ATTTGAGTGTTCTTGCCTCGCTCGTCGAGAGATCTCAGAACAACACACTTTGCGAAAAGATTCTCAGCATGGTTGAAGAATGGGTCTTCAACTCGACGGAGCCTGTTCCTACTCTCAAGGAGAAAACCGCTGTTTTGCAGAAAATGCTTATGTTTGAGAATCGATCTGACTTGACGCTCTATCACAAGTTCCTTGATCTTGTCATCAGGATCTACGAGGATCCCAAGATCTTCAGATCTGAACTGGCCGTGCGCATGGAACATGCTTTCCTTATCGGCCTTAGAAGTCCTGATATTCCCATGCGCACTCGCTTTATGACGATCTATGACCGCAACCTCAGTCGCACGGCTGCCAACCGCTTCTTCAAGCTGCTGGCTGAGCAACAGTGGGATGTCCTTGCTGACAGCTTCTGGCTCAGTCAGGTCATCCACCTCATGTTTGGCTCAATTGACATGAACACTTCATTGAGGCTGCACAACGACGACTTTAAGTGTCTATCCGCTTCGAAGCTCTTCAATACACACTCCGCGGATCCACGACTTCCTGACATCATGCTCGATTCTGAGTTTGAGAACTTCATTGCAAGCCACAAGCGTTTTGTACAAGAGCTTGGTGAAGTCAAGACGAAGGACGTCCTGGAACCATTGGCTAATCTACAGCACACTGATTCAAACCTGGCTCACGACATCTGGACTGCCTACTTCCCAGTGATCTGGTCGAGTCTCTCAAGAGATGATCGCGAGGATATGGAAACAGGTCTGATCAATCTCTTGACCAAAGACTTCCACCAACGCCAAACTGACAAGCGTCCGAACTGCGTGGCTACTTTGATCGATGGCATAGTCCGTGCTAAGCCGCGTGTCAAGTTCCCACCGCATGTCTTGAAATTCCAGGCCAAGAATTACAATGCTTGGTACAGTGCAGCCACTTACATTGAAGAGCTGGCAATGAAGCCTATCGTTGATACTCCTGCTACTCGTGAGAGCAATCTCGATGCTCTGGTCGAATTGTACGCCACTCTTCAAGAGGATGACCTCTTCTATGGTACTTGGCGCAGGAGATGCCAGTTTGTCGAGACCAACGCTGCTCTCTCATACGAGCAGAACGGCGTTTGGGACAAGGCTCAAGCAATGTATGAGCAGGCGCAGATCAAGGCTCGCACTGGTTCGATTGCGTTCTCGCCTGGCGAATACATGCTTTGGGAAGATCACTGGGTTTACTGCGCGGAGAAACTTCAACAATGGGAGATTCTGGGCGACTTTGCCAAGCATGAAAATTTGAACGATCTATTCCTCGAGGCAACCTGGCGTAACTTCGATGCTTGGGAAGAGCCTGATAACCGAGCTCAGCTGGACACTATAATAAAGGCCGTCTCTGATGCTCCTACTCCTCGACGAATGTTCTTCCAAGCCTTCATGTCATTGTTGAAGCTTCATAATAAGACTGAAACTCAACAAGACTTCAACCGCATTTGCGATGAGAACATCCAGCTCTCGATCAAGAACTGGCACAAGCTTCCCAAGCAGATCACACAAGCTCACATCGGGTTGCTGCAAAACTTCCAGAACTTGGTAGAGCTGCACGATGCAAGCGTAATCTGCAGCAGCCTGGCTCAAACCACATCTGCCAACCTTGATGTCAAGAGTCAAGAGCTTAAGCTTCTTCTTGGCACTTGGAGAGACAGGCTACCTAACTTCTGGGACGACATCAACTCGTGGCAGGACTTGGTCACCTGGCGTCAACATATCTTCCAGCTGATCAACAGAACGTATCTGACCCTGTTGCCATCGACGAACCAGGGCAATGCCACTGGTCAGTCGTATGCTTACCGTGGTTACCACGAGACTGCTTGGATTATTAATCGCTTTGCACATGTCGCCCGTAAGCACCAGATGCCTGATGTCTGTATCACTCAACTCAGCAGAATCTATACGCTTCCCAACATAGAAATCCAAGAAGCCTTCCTCAAGCTGAGGGAGCAGGCCAAGTGTTGTTACCAGAACCGCAACGAGCTCACTAGTGGCTTGGATGTCATCAATAACACCAATCTTAACTACTTTGGTGCTCAGCAGAAGGCAGAGTTCTACACACTCAAGGGTATGTTCCTGGCCAAGCTTAACCACAAGGAAGAAGCCAACGACGCCTTCGGTACTGCTCTCTACTTCGACATCAAGCTTCCAAAAGCATGGAGCGAATGGGGTAGATACAACGATATGCTCTTCAAGGAGAAGCCCGAGGAAAGCATCGACAAAGCTAGTGCTGCTATCAGTTGCTACCTCGAAGCTGCTGGCCAGTACAAGAGTGCCAAATCGAGAAAGCTCCTTAGCAGAATTCTCTGGCTTCTCAGTTTGGACGATGCAGACAATACGCTCGCGAAGGCATTCGAAAACTTTAAGGGAGAAACTCCTGTGTGGTACTGGATCACTTTCATTCCTCAGTTGCTCAACAACTTGTCCCGTACCCCCAGTGAGGCCAACATTGCCCATGGCATCCTGAGCAAACTCGCAAAGACATACCCTCAAGCACTTTACTTCCAGCTGCGTACCAGCCGTGAGGATATGTCTGTCATCAAGCGAAGTCAAGAGCAGAAAGAAGCTAGAGAGAGACAGGCCCGAGCCAAACAATCCGGCGCTGCTACACCAGCTGAAGGCGCCAAGTCAGAAACCAAGCCCAATGGAGATACCGCCAGTGCCACTCCTCAGCCCAAGACCGAAGGTCAAGATGCAAACCAAGCACCAAAGCCTGAAGCGGCTGAGCCACCAAAGCCTAAGAAGCCATGGGATCACACTGAAGAACTCACTCAGACGCTCAAGACGGCGTTCCCTCTGTTGGCTTTGTCCATGGAGACTATGGTCGACCAGGTCCAGAAGTATTTCAAGTGTACTCTGGATGAGGACGCCTACCGTCTCATCGTTGCTTTGTTGAACGACGGCTTAGCCTATGTCGGCAGATACCCAACCTCATACGCTCAAGGTGTGAACCTGCCGCCGTCGACCGAGGCTAATATCACTAGGTTCGCGGAATCTATCTTGCCAGCTCACATTCGCAAGTCGTTCGAGGCCGACTTTGTGACCAAGAAACCATCGATGTTTGAATACATTGCCAAGTTACGCAGATGGAGAGACAGATTCGAAGAGAAACTCGATCGCAGAACATCAAAGTGGCATCTCGAACAAACCACCCATTTGGCTGAATTCCGCTTCTTGAAATTCGACGAGGTTGAGGTGCCTGGACAGTACCTGCAACACCGTGATAAGAATCAAGACTTTGTCAGAATCGAGCGATTCTTGCCTGATGTTGAGCTCGTCAGAGGCGTCACTGGTTGTCATAGGAGATTAACCATTCGTGGTCACGATGGAAGCGTACATCCATTTGCCATTCAGCACCCAACAGCCAGGCACAGCAGACGCGAGGAAAGAGTTTCGCAGTTGTTCAGAATCTTCAACAGCATACTAGCGAAGAAGAAGGAGAGCAGACGCCGCAACTTGCAGTTCCACCTGCCGCTGATGATCCCTCTGTCTCCCGGCATCCGTATGGTTCAGGACGATGCTTCTTACATCAGTCTGCAAGGCATTTACGAAGACTATTGTCGTCGTAACGGCATCAACAAGGACGACCCAGTCTTGTTCCAGATCGATAAGCTCCGTGCCTTGACACCGGTAAGCAAACCCAACACCAAAGCAACAAAGCGCGATACTGACCTTTGGTTCCAGCAAAAACCTGAGCAGGCTGCAAGCATTCGCCTGGAGACTTTCAACGCGATCCAAGAGAAGTATGTTCCGAACGATGTCGTTCAGGACTACTTCCAGCAGACGTACCCTTCATACGACTCGCTCTGGCTATTCCGTCGCCAGTTCTCTGCACAGTTGGCTGCTCTTACATTCATCACGTTCACCATGCACATGACAATGCGCTATCCTCATAAAATGTCTATCTCACGCGGTACTGGCAATATCTGGGGATCAGAGTTAGTTCCTGCAATGGCTGCCGCCAAGCCATACTTCCACAATCCTGAAGCGGTGCCTTTCCGTCTTACTCCCAACCTGCAGACTCTGATGGGACCGATCCATACCGAGGGCATCTTCGTCGCTGCTCTGATGGCTATCGCTCGTTGTTTGACTGACTCGTCTTCTTCGCCTACAACCTCCACTCCACCCGCCGTTCCCACGCCTACCAATTCAGGCAATGGAGCCAACAACCAAGATGAGACCGAGAGCAACACATCCGATTTGGAAGGCCAACTGAGCATCTTCATTCGTGACGAGATGAACTTCTGGTCGCTGCAGCAGCACAAGCAAAGCATCAAGGATGGTGAATTGCGCGAGCATGTCTACCGCAATGCTACCGGCATTGTCAAGAAGGCAGTCGCTATGGCAAAGGAGCCGGATGCGAAGAACTTGCCTGCCAGTCAGAGCGTGCTGGATCTGGTGGCCAAAGCCACAGAGCCCAAGAACTTGTGCACGACTGATGCGCTTTGGCAGGCTTGGCTGTAGAGGGGAAGAGATAGTGATATTGATTTTCTGAGAGTATTTGGTTCGTTTTGGACTTCTTTTTCATGCATAGCGCTAGGCGAAAAGGAATGGGAAAGGTGCCTAGCGATTTTCTTTCGTTGCTTTTTATAAACATTTCTTCTTGCATGTAATTATACCGTTCTTGTTCCTGCTTCACGATTTCTGTAGATCATATTGTCAGTGTATCCGGCTCGTTGCCCAATGTTAGGTCTTGGATTACGTAGTGAGGCCGTGTATACACACAGCGTACCAGCCACCAATATCCACATTGGCCTGCAGTGATGTCAAGCTCTAGTAAACAATGTGTTGTAGCAAGCTACAAACCAGTTTCTGTCAATCGAACTTTTCAACAATGCATTCATGGTCGAGCATATGGTCAGGGTGACGGAGGTAGCTAGAAATCTTGGCACATGAGTCAGGACTGGCGGCGGGGTTGAGCTCTGATGATTGAAATTCACGATTGAACTTGTTTCGTCACACTCAGACATAATGGCAGCAACACAAATCGCCGAATGGCAGAAGCGCGCAGAGGCCTTCAAGCCTCTCAACCTCAAGCAGATTGAGGGTCCCATCGCCGAGCTCGACGCACACCTCACCCTGCGCACCTGCATTGTTGGCTACTCGGCCACCGACGCCGACCTCGATGTGTGGAAGGCCATTCGCGGCAACCGCATTGCCCACTCGTCCGTCATCAAGCAGGGTCTCTACATCAACGTCAGCCGCTGGTTCAACTTCATCGAGGAGACTGAGCGTCCCGTTGTCGAGCTGGCCAGCCGTGGCAAGGAGATGGCCAAGAAGGCCGAGGGCAAGGCAGACCAGGGCAACTACGACATTGGCCTCGAGGGCACTGAGAAGGGCGTCGTCACTCGTTTCCCTCCCGAGCCCTCAGGTTACCTTCACATTGGTCACGCAAAGGCTGCTCTGCTCAACGACTACTTCGCGCACAAGAAGTACCAGGGCAAGATGATCCTGAGATTCGACGACACCAACCCCTCCAACGAGAAGCAAGAGTTTGAGGACTCGATCGTCAAGGACCTCGAGCTCATGGGCATCAAGCCCGACCAGGTCACCCACACGTCCGACTACTTCCAGGAGCTGTACGATGCTTGTGTCAACATGATCAAGAGCGGTCACGCCTACGCCGACAACACCNCCCAGGAAATTCTTCGCGACGAGCGTATGAACAAGGTCGACTCAAAGCACCGCAACGACTCTATCGAGGACAACCTTGCCCACTTCGAGGAGATGAAGAAGGGCACCCCCGAGGGCACTACCTGGTTCATTCGTGCAAAGATCAACATGCAGGACCCCAACGGTGCCATGCGTGACCCCGTCATCTACCGCTGCAACCCCCAGGCTCACCACCGTACCGGCGACGCCTGGAAGATCTACCCCACCTACGACTTTGCCTGCCCTGTTGTCGATGCTGTCGAGGGTGTCACTCACGCACTCCGTACCACCGAGTACAACGACCGTGATGCCCAATTCCAGTGGATGCTCAAGGCTATGGACTTGCGCCACGTCTACAACTGGAACTTTGCCCGCATGGCCTTCGTCCGCACTTTCTTGTCCAAGCGCAAGCTGACAAAGATTGTCGACAAGGGCGATGTTTGGGGCTGGGACGACCCTCGTATGCCTACTGTCAGAGGTATTCGTCGTCGTGGTATGACCGTTCCTGCTCTCCAGGAGTTCATTCTCTCCCAGGGACCTTCCAAGTCCATCACCTTGATGGACTGGACCAAGATTTGGGCCACCAACAAGAAGTACATTGATCCCATTGCCGGTCGTTACACTGCCATCGATACCAAGGACAAGGTCACCGTTACTGTTACTGGTGCTCCCGCAACTCACACCGACATGAAGGACTTGCACGCCAAGAACCCCGCTGTCGGCCAGAAGAAGGTTGTCTTCAGTAAGAACATCCTCCTTGACCAGGTTGATGCCGCCTCCTTCGCCGAGGGCGAGGAGATCACTCTCATGAACTGGGGCAATGCTATTGTCAAGTCCAAGTCCACCACCGTCGTCGACGCACTCAAGTCTCCTATCGCAACTCTCAGCGGCAACGCTCCCATCTCATCCATGGAACTCGAGCTCCACCTCCAGGGTGACGTCAAANAGACCTCCAAGAAGGTTACTTGGCTCTCCACTGACCAAGAGCTTATTCCTGTCAAGCTTTACGAGTTCGACTACCTGCTCACAAAGGACAAGCTCGAGGAAGAGGACGACTTCGAGAAGTTCTTGAACCCCAACACTTCGACTCTGACCGAGTGCTTGGCTGATTGCAACGTTGCCGACCTCAAGGTGGACGATATTATGCAGTTCGACCGTAAGGGCTTCTACAGAGTTGACAAGGCTTTCAAGAACGGTGAGCCTGCTGTCTTCTTCCAGATTCCTACTGGTAAGGGTGGAAAATAGACCGAGTCTTTTAATGCATGATGGAAACGAAAAAGGAAGATGATGTGAACAGGATATGTAGGTGTAAAATTGATGACTATCTTGATCATGCCAATGTGTTCAGTTCCCTCGTAGGACAAGTGCTGTTAGTGGCTGTCGTCCGCACCTGTATCCCCGCATTGAGTACCTGCAGACGCCACAAAACGCACCTTCCTGCCGATCGGAAGGCCGTTGTTCCCTCTTTACAACTTGAGCGATGCCCGAGATTTTGGACTGCTTCCATCTCCATCAACCACTTACAACCATGCCGTTCCGTTTTATTTGTACTATGACTGCCGATGCAATTTAATCCCACAGAGTAACGACGGGTGCTCCACGCCGCTGATCCTGCCAGCCTGCAAGTCGAATGCAATCCTTCGACAGACACAGCCCCCACATAAATTGACGATCGTCTCAGCCATGTCATGGTGCATCAATGGTGCTGTTATAAGGCAACACGATGCTCCCCTCCATCGAGGTATGGAAGCATCGTTCTGCAAACAAGCAACGGATTTTAATGGTGGTCGTTGCTGAATGAATACAGCCTTCATCTTGAACTTTGGATAGGCGACTTCGTGCTCGTACAATCATTCGCATCGGCCTCCAGAAAGTCCAACCCATCATTACCAGATTCTCGAACTCGTTGGATAACTCAAAATGGAAGACTCGAAAGTCCGACGAGAAGTGTCGCCCGCTTCTTACCAATATCAACCCCTCGAAGTCCAGTTCAAGTCAGAGCAGATTCTTCAGCACACCGATACTGCTACGACCAAAGACTCGTATCTCGCACCCCGAGAGTTTACAGAACCTAGGTCAAGCAAGACATCCTGCTCTGGTGACGGATTTCACGAGACAACTGGAACATATACGGATACAGGTAGTCACGTCGATCTTCGGTATGTCTTACCTGCAGCAAGCCTGATATGTCTGGTCTCTGTCGTACCTTTGATAGTGTACGCTGCTACACACAAACGAATGGCTCGCATCACGTACACGAACAAGAACGACATGTATGACTGCTCGTAAGCGTTTCCTGAGAACGATAATATGTGATCTTACTGATGGTCTTTCGGGCTTGCGAACAAGGCTTCGAAAAGTGCACCGGGTGATCTGGGTAAGACTGTTATCACCACCACGTTCGAGAAACAGGCGCCTGAGCTGACTACTATAGCCATCAACCTCTTTGTTTTCGACAAGATCTCCTTCGCTGCAGCAAAAGCCATCGATCTGGCGTGGAACATGCTCGCAGGCCGCGGTTTCCAAGCTCTGGCCGCTTTCATCTGCTACCGCCTATTCACAGGGATATTGTATCTGCTGATAGAGCGGCAGAGTGTCTCGGCAGAGACCTTCTCAGCTCTTGCTTTTTCTACCACGAGTTTGTGGAGTTGCGGACCCATCGTCAAGACGATGCATCGTGGCAAGATAGGCTCATTCAACATGTTCGCTGTCGTGTGGATACTCTTGTCAATTGTGTATCTGCTATTCATTGTGACGATGGCCGATCTGATGACTGGCTATGTGACGGGCCAGACGACATGGGTAAGCGTGTTCAGGTTGTTATCATCAAGGCCTTGAGCACTGATTTGACTACTGTTTCACAGCTNNCAAGTTCCGAATGGTACTATGATGGAAACAGATACCGGCAACTGGACTGCGCAGGTGAACATGCTCTGGACTTTGACCAAAGACAAACCTCCTGAGAATGTCACGATGCCAAACAACACTACAATCTCGCCAGATTGGGATTCAACACTGATGCCAACAGCAATAGTGCCCTCGTCACCCAATAGCAAGAATGGCACTATGCTCTTCGAGGAGTGCCTGAACGTTGACGAAATGGGTTTGTTCTACGCGGACGCCTACTTTGACCCGGAATCTGGTAGCGAAGGTTCTTGGTTTGCATCTGGTGACTATCGAGGCACAGATCCTTCGCGCCAACATCTTCTCACCCAATACCCTGCCGCGTCGTGTCTAAATCGCTATTTGATGGGGATCCAAGACCTCTTCCAACGGCCGAATTACACTCCCAACATGACGTGGTGGACAGACGAGAATAACTTTCGATGTCTCCCTTCGACGGATTATGCATGGGTAAGTTACGGCTGATTATGATGAAATAAGGATGCTGTATCTGACATTATGCGGAAACAGGGCTTCTCGTATCAGTATACAATCCTCCTGACCTCCATCAACAGCATTTGGCTGCTCGTTACCGCAGCGCTGTGGCTTTACGTCGAAAGAAAGAGCCAAACTTTGCAGAAACGTGGTATCATGGGCACTTGGCGTGCAGTACTCGATCTGGCGTCGGCTCTGCAATACAGTCTCGGTCATGATACCGGAGGATATACTGAAGCGGAACTCGAGAAGGCAGTCCAAAAGCTACAGCCTCTGACTTACGATGTACATACAGATGATACGGAGGGGACGGAGAGAATTGTATTGAGGGAACGTGATGGAAACGACGAGTGGCAAAAGAAGAGGTTTACATTGAGGTGGAAGACGAAGTACTGTTGATTTTACTAGTGACACTTCCTTATAACTTTGCAGTCGCTTTGCCTGACTCCATCCCACTGCTGCCTAAGAAGATTCGCTTGTCCATTTTCGATATTTCCGGCCAATTGGCTCCATCTGGAGGTTGGAACGCAGTCGGACTCATCGGATGGCTTCTTGCCCACCTCCGGGCTATCTCAATAGCAATTTCGTCTCTGTCAGTACAAGCATCAAACATGAGCAATACCGCACAAGTCACCCATTCGAGATGCTGCAGCAACTCACGTCCCTGGAACAATATTTGCTCTTTGTCGACAACCTTAACCATATTTTCCAATGCCGTGAGTCTAACCAATACAAGCTCAATCTCGTTAGAGAATGTTGGTCTGCATACAGTCAGGATGCGGCGCACCCAAGGAGCATATACCGTCTGAATGACTTTGCCTCCTCCAATGCGCTTGTCTGTTAGAACTCTGACCACGTCCTCGGCCATGACGCTAACGGTGCCTTCCCAGATGGGCCCAGAAAGTGCGTCACGGAAGACTCTGGAAATATTCATGAGGCCGCCGTCTTCGTTGTTCTCGCAATAGCCGACGCCACCCAGACATTCCATCGATTCTCTTAGACCTGCTACACTTCCAAGCGTGATCTGACTCTTCATCACTGGAGTTAGGAGACGCAAGAGAATGGCCAGTTCGTCCTTGGTTGAAGGGATCAAGGCAGAAGCTTTAGTGCTGCGAACCACCTTTTCTGGGTCTTGTTCCATTGCTCCGTACATTGCGATACCAAAGAAGGCGAAATGCGTGGCTGCGGTATACTTTACCGTTTCGCTAGCCATCCATCTCAGATGTGCGGGATTGTCTTGGAGGAGCCCACCTCTTACTTTTCGAACCCGGGCATGAGCACGACAAACTTGTAATCCGCGTGCCCAGTAGCCAACACCGGCGTGTGCAGTGTACAAACGCGTCATGTTCAGAATAGCAGAAATTTCCTTGACGCCGCGTCCTTCTTCGCCGATGAGGTATGCGCGGACGCCTTTGAGTTCGAGCTCTGCTGTCGGAAGTGATTTTGTGCCGAGTTTGTCCTTGAGCCGCTGAATGCGAATGCCATTGAGTTCGGAAGCAGGAGGAGCATTGCCTATCGAGGGTACATGGCGCCGCGTGGGTGCATAGAACAATGAGAGACCACTGTCAGTTTGTGCAAGCATCATCGTCATATCGGAGTCAGTAGCGCTACTGAACCATTTGAAGCCATTGATACACCACGGCCCGAGAGGCATGCCATGCGCATCGTGAACTCGACCTTTTCGGGACTCTTCAGCCAGTTCTGAATCCCTGAGTCTTCTTGCATAAGTTTCGGTGCCGCTTACATCGCTACCGCCAGAGCGCTCCGTCATCCATTGTCCTGCTGTCCAAGCTTCTTTCGGATCGTTGGAGATCAGTCTTCGATATGCTTCGTTTATAACCTTGTTTAAACCAGGTTGATTTCCGTCTGGCTTGTCAAGATGTCCTTGAAGTAACTTTGCCGCGCCATCGCTCATGCCCATGGGACAGCCTGTCAGTGCTCCCGTACAGATGTAAGCGTGCTCCAGAGCGAATTGATGCACACGTCTGTTCCACTCTTGGTTCGTTGTGTCGTAAGCCACGCTGATCAGACCATTCTCCTGGTATATAGCTTTGAGCGCTTTCCAACCCGTGGTGGTCCACAGAGGGTCATTCTTGTTTTCTTGGCCAAAGGTGTTGAAAGGCCGTAGCTTGGGATGATTGGTCTCTGCATCAACTGTGTGGGCTAGAACGTCCGGGTGAAGAGACAGGCGACTCATATCATGGATTGCCTGGAGAGGTTGTTGTGCTGATGAAGGTAGGTAGAATGCAAGGACTCTGGCGAACGCTACGTCGTCTGAGATTACATCTGCAGCCTTTGACTTTGTGTTGGTGGTATTCGTGTCCGAGGTGGTGTAAAGCGGTAGCAAGACCGGTAACTTTTGAAAGAAGCCATCAGTGGATGAGGATATCAATCTTGCGGCCATTTTGGGAAAGATTGATCTTTCGGTATATCTTTCTGATCATGCAGGAAGAGCATTGGCAGTTCTCCGTATTGTATGGAGGAGTTGTTATCTAGGTAGTCGGTCGATTGGCGATGTCGATCTCGGCCGAGGCACCCGAGTACCCCTCCCTGTCATCCCTTTCGCGCCACGTTGATCATGGAAGACAAGATGTCAAAGGAGGCGAGCCTCGGTGATGCCAGCGGTGCGTTAACATACTCGTCCTCATACGAGCACAATCCTGATTGAGAGCTGGTCCAACAACGCGGCCATGGACTGCTGGATGGTGGCGCGTCCTCTCTATAGAGACCTCGGCTGGACTCGACAAAGGCCACGACCACACGACATTCGATGATTAAGCCGCGCTGTTTCCTTGAGTAGCTGCTTCGCCGTCACTGGTATCCTTCCGAGTCGGAGAGCCTGGAGGTCTTGTTATGATAGATGGGAAAGAAAGAAACTGGAAGATAGCCCCGGCTTTGTCTCATCCGCGCTGAGGGTCTAAGGGTCATTCTTACCCGCTCGATGTCGCAACTGCCTGGGCTGACTTAGTTGTTGCACTTCTGTCTCACGCAGTTCAAGTGGATGCTCAAAAACAACTGGAAAATTCGCTGTCTCATTTGTATATGCCTGCCTTCTGAAGCAACTTCTACCGACCGTCGTATCCATTGGCCACGCAATTCTTCATACTCTACATTCTCTCTCTGATCCGCCAACGTTCCCTTGATCAGATCGTCTGCCTGTCTTGTTCTCGTTCTTGGAAATGTCTCATCCTCGCCCAGGTCGATCGTCGTTGTCTAGCACGTCCAAGCCAGATATCTCTTCCATGACAAACGACCACGTTAAGAGTCTTTGGCTTTTGTAATTGGGATCCGTTGCGTCTACGAGCAGCTCTCGCACTCATGTTCAAGTGTCGCCAACCACAGTTTCCATCGCCAGAGCGTACAGCAGCTCTAGCGCAGCACGACGGGAAGGCAGAACAGGAGGCGTGTCAATCGAATTGATGAAGCTGAACTGCAGAGCAGGTTGGGGCTGCTGTTGTCTGATGCGAGTAGGGAACGTGACGGTGAGTTGGACGTTTGCTTGTGCGGTACCGTTGGTAAGATGTGGTGTTCCGAAGGCGACCTCGATGTTGTTCTGTTGCAGCAACTGGTTGACGTGGTCGACAGCGGTCAGGTCGATATGCTCGAAGGACTCTTCAGAAGCTGATTGGCGATCCGATTCCGAAGTGATATTCTGGTATACTTCCGTGTTTGCTTCAGATGCAGCTTCGTTGATCTCGAAAGATGCAGGAGATCTTTCGACGGTCTCTGAGACACTGTGTCTCTTGACTTCGGGCTTTCCTCTGTTCTGTTGTTCGCCAATACCATCAAGCTGTCTACGCTGACCAGCTTGGCCTGAAATGATGCTTTGGATGCGTCCGAGCTCTCTGATAGACGCGCGGCGATCAGTAGTAGAGTTTGGTTGAGTGGTGGGACGAGACTTCGAGTCTTCAGATGCTGTGACGGGTTGAAGGCGTTGAGATCCTATCGGCTTGGACATCCAGACCGACTCTGGCAAGAAGGGAAGCTCATACTTCCGCAGAGGGACATAATGAGTCGCAGTTGTCGAGCGCCCTTCTGCCCAGCGGCGAAGTTCGGAAGTGGTACAAGACGTACGTAGTCTTGGGAAGGTAGACAAGATGGTGTGAACGCCCGCGATGTACTTGTAGTTGCCGTCTTCATTGGTAAGGCCAAAAGCAGTGGTAAAAGACGGCCAGAAACGATCGACCAAAACTTGGTCCACGACGTCTTCGTGCGGAGGATGGTATCTGACTAGACCATCGTCGTGATATGGGCCTATAAGGTCGATCCACAAACAGGCTCCAACACTCGCACCAGGTATGAAAGGCCTATACCAGATGAGGCGGTCTCTACCTTTTACGTTCTTGACGCCAATGAACAGAGCGCTTTCATTGGCACGCCAGATGAAGCTGAGATTCTGTACGAACGCGAAGAGAGCTGGCTCAAGGTCGCTTTCTGATGGATCGATATCAAGCAGCTGACTGATCTTTGTACGTATGGGCTCGGTAGGAGTCGAGCCGAACTCTTTACAGAGTCCTCTGAAGAGAGTCTTGGTAGCATCTTTGACTTCCAGACTGGGGATGTTGTCGTTGTCGAGAGCACTGGGAGACAGGCGCGCTTGTTTGGTAGCTGGGCCACCCTCAGCATCGATGCTGGCCTCGCGCTTCATCCTGAATGGTAGCGGGTCTATCTCCTAGTTAGTAGTGCAAAGAGGGACAAAGTGTGACGGTGCTATCGTCACTGACCTTTGCAATAATCAGGGGTTGATAGTGCAAAAGTGTCGAGCTCTCGATGCGTAAACGAAAGCAAGTAGATGTTTTCGTGTTTGCAAACATACACGGGACTAAGCATAGACACGACAGCGCCGAGACGACTAGCAGCCTCCTGGTTGGTTGTTCGCCCCGGCAACCGTCCCCTATCAGAGACATCGGGCTCACGCGAACGAAAAGACACGACAACACATACACGGAGAACCAACTCCTTCCCCTCCCAACACACACTCCCTAGATCCATCATGAACCCTATCGAGAGCAGAGGTCACTGGGACCCTGCCCTCCTAAGGTAATATACCTCCTTCCCTCCCTTCTAGCGAATCCCCTTCTCGACGGCACAGAGCAGTTTGCTATCAAAAGGCACAATCGACTTGAGAACATAGTTGCTCCCAGAGAGAGCCAATAGTATATCTCTTCTCAGTGGAGACTATCCTGGTTCTCAACGATATTATGCCTTTCATAGGTACAAAGATGTCATACTCTGGCCCCTGAGAAGGGCGGTTGCAGCTTATCATACAAGATGGTCTTTGCTGACTCCCAAAAGCTCCATCCTTAGTTCATCAACTGCCCCGGACGCCATGATTGAGCTTCGCACTGCGTGTGGATTCAAGTCTCTGGTGCACAAGTCCCTGTTGTGCTGCTACTCCCCCTATTACAGCGTCGCCATCAATGGCGAGTTTGTCGAGTCCAAAAGCACCTCCTTCGAGATTGAGCTGAGCAAGCCACAAGCCGAGATGTTGATCTGTTGGCTCTACAGCGGACGCCTGAGCGACCACTTGTTGCGTCCAGACACCGAAGATCTTATCCACCTCTATGTCTTTGGCGACAAGACCGACATTGCTGCTCTTCGCAGACGGATCATGATCGCCCTTGTCAACAGGAGAGGCGTTTACATGTCTCATCAGTCAACCATAATGATCATCAACTCCTTGCCAGTCTCTTCTCATCTGTACAGCTTCGCTGTAGACTGGTACGTCCACCACTGGATGCCCGCCTTGGCCGAGAACGGCGATTGGGAGCCCGTCTGGCAAGATCTTCCCAAAGACTTCCTATTCACCGTCATGTGTGGCTTCGCTGAGATCAGAGCCGACTGTCAGGCCCTCTGCAACTGCTGCAACAATCCATGCTTCTATCACGACCACGAGACCCACGAAGAGTGGGCTGCTTGTAAGTCCTGTATTCTGTCACTCTATCGGAACTAATTCTCATGAAAACAGCATGCTCAACATTCGGCGATGTTTGCAGAAAGTAACATCGCTACGATTTTATCGAAGTCAAAAATCAATTGAAGGATAAGGGGTCGATAATTGGCTCGCCAGGATGATAGCAAAAGTACACAACAGCACTAATACACTTCTGTCGTCTCCTCTTTCCTTCCATTCAATGTTCATCTCTTGCCATCGAGTCTGTATCCCACATATCTATAAAAATGCACAATAGTGATAGGAAGCAAGATGATATCCACTGAGAGACTCAAAGCTATCGACTCTCTGTGAATGTGCCTCGGTTTCCTATTACAATTGTGTCTTCTTATAGTCTAGATTTTGTCGTTAGCTGCGTTTGATGTACGGTGGAAGGAAGTTATCGATTTTCAGAGTTGCCGGACCGGAGCTCTGGTTATTAAGATAACCTCTAGTGAAGGTTTCTATATGAAGACTATATCCTTGTAAAAAATATTATGCATTTCTGTAGGTATACTGTGACTGTCTTTAGCCCAGTGGGGAGGAAGTATTAAAAAGTAAAGGGAAAAAAGGAAAGAAAAAGGGACAAAAGGGGGAAAAACACATTTCACAAAGGCAGACCAATCAACACGACACAACCATCACAAAGAAAAGATATGGTATCATAACACTAGAAAGAAAACTACCCAAGTCACCTCCCTCTCCAAGCAAGCTCAGCCACCTAAACTCCAGACTCATCTGCTCAAGTCCAATCCTCTTCGTCCACACCACTAACCTCCGTCACATCCTGTACTTCTGAGTTTTCCATCTCGCTGTCCATACCCATCCTTGCTCTGCCTCTTCTTCTATTCCTCTGTTCTGCAATGGCGAGTTTGGATTCTAGTATCCTGTCCATTTCCTCGTCTTCTGCATCCGCTATACGGGTTTCACCTTCTAGGCCTTCCAGCGCGCGAGAGAGTAATTCGGTAGCGATAGGATCTTGCGGCGATAGAGCGAGTGCCTCGTGCAAGACAACTGTAGCCTCGAACCACTCTTCCAATTCCAGCAATACCAATCCCTTGGCAGAGAAGATACCCGCATCTTTGCCGCCCAGCCTCAACACTTCTGAAAATGTATCTAGAGCTTTTGAGTATTGTTGATTGCGGCGATAGGCATGTGCAAGATTAGTCTTGATATCTAAACTTGCCGCCGGCGCTGAAGAAGCAGAAACCTCTTCAGCAATGGAGATGGCAAGCTCAAAAGTGCGGATTGCAGAGTCAAATTGTTGGTCTTGGTAGTATGCAACGCCCATTTCGTTGAGCACTAGAGGATCGTTTTCGCACATCGTGTATGCAGTTTCAAGGTACTCTCTTGCCAGACTTAGGTTGCCGAGACAGAGATTTTGCATGCCAAGGAAGAGTTGCGGAAGGTGGGTGCCTTGGAACAAGCGGGCGGCTGTCGAGTAGGCAGATATGGCTTGATCATGTTCGCCTTCTGCGGCAAAGGTGTGAGCGAAACCAATCCAAGCAGGACCGAAATGAGGGTCCATGAGGGATGCTTTTGAGAAGTAGCCGCGAGCTTCGGGGATGCGGGAGATGCTAAGATAGTATGTTCCTACTGCTAGCCAAGTGCACGCTTCTTCTGGGTGTGTATCTGCTAAATCGTGTGAGAGGAGGAACAGAGCGTTTGTTTCCTTGAGTTCGAATAGGGCAGCTAGATGGACAGGTAGAGCAGAGAAATTGTAAGGGTCTGTTTCGAGTATTTGCGTTGTCAAGGCGAGAGCATCCCGGAAGCGGCAATTCGTAAAGAGCAGTTCGGCCTTGGATAACAAGATGGAAGAATTGCTAGAGAGGTTGTAATGCGTTGAAAGAGTTTCAACTGCAGCGTTGAAGTCGTCGGGCCTGCTGTATTTTGATAGTCTCGTCATATAGAGCATTTTCGTAAATTCTCCAGCTTCTTGCATACTCGAGGCAGGAGCATCGGAAGCGCTGACGCTGTCAAAGTCCAGGGAGTCCAGAAACTCCCATTCCTCGGCTGGCGACATGAGCGAGTTCTTCATGAGCTGATCGAAAGCTTCGAAACAGAGAACATCAATCCGTACGGCATCTTTGTAACAGTCTTTGGCGCGATCAAAGGCGTTTTGTTTTGCATAGCACAGACCGCGCAGATAGCACATGGCAGCCTCGAAGCGAATATTGCTCATGTCTTCCTTGTCTCTTTCTTCACTGCGGTCCGCCCGATCTGATCTCAACTGGGGCAATTTTGCCATCTTTCCGAGGGCATTGCGTGGGTCTAGGTGTTGAAGTTTCCGCCGTGATCGATCGGACGAGGTTATGAGATGAACAGGATTCTTGTCGCCGAGGATATGCAATGCTTCATCGTATCGACTCTGCTTGACGTAGCAGTGCGCGGCGAGATATTTACATGATGGATTGCGGGCGATCAGGTCTTGTCGAGAGAGGAAACCAAGGGCGCGAGTGTAGTTTGCTGTCGAGAAGTGCACTTGGGCCAGCCAGAAGGCATCCTTGTCATTGTCTNNGCTCGCCATTGGTTAGAAGAGATTGACAGACAAGGGACAAGAGATGTGGCACACACTGGTCAAGGCGAGCAGCTTGTCACCGACAAAGATGGCCGATTCGTACTGGTGTTTGTTCAAAGCATCCTGTCGCCAGTCGCGCAGGAACTTTTCCATGGCACCTCTCGTTTGTTTAGTTATGCTTTGGTGAGGATGATGCTATGCGGATCAGATGCAAGATAAGAGCTGTATTGTTGAAACGCACTATGGTATCTGATTATGGCCGGGTTGTTGATGTATCGCAATTGTCGCAAAACAATTGGAGCTCCAAGTAAACATCGTCACCCCTCGGACTTTGCGAGGCCAAGCTCCGAGCTCCTTCCTCCGCCTGTCTTCCCCGAGCCACCCCAACTCTCTTATCATCACTTGACAGTGATATGACACTACACAAACAAGAACTGGTATAGAAACAGACAACAGTGTTAGGTTCTGATCACTAAGGAAAGAGACACATCCAAACATCATCGGACCATCATACCTCCGAGGTCGGCTCGTCCGCACTTTTGTTACTCCGCATCACGTACCACATAAAACCCCACTGTACCCCTCCGCAGATGGTAGCCGGTAGTAATATATATTCTCGTCCCCTCTTCGATTCTACCAGCTCAAAGACATACACCAAGCGATATGTCAAGTACGCAAACCTTCAAGATTGCCTCCATTCCAGGTGATGGTATTGGCACAGAAATCACTGAAGCCGCCATCCAAGTCTTGGATAAGTTGGCTGCAGTAGATGGAAGCTTCAAGTTCGATTACACACACTTTGATTGGAGCAGTAAAGCATACAAGGAGAGAGGATGGTATATGCCTCCAGATGGCATGGACCAGCTTCAAAAGCATGATGCCATCTATTTCGGTGCTGTCGGTTGGCCAGGTATATTTGAACCATGCTTACCGCTGTGAGTAAGCATACTGACCCGCGCTCTAGATGTGCCTGACCACATATCTCTCTGGAACTTGATCCTCCCTATCCGCAAGAACATGAACCAATACGTCAATGTCCGTCCCACACGCATTCTGCCAGGCACAAAGTCTCCACTCGAGTCCTGCCAGGCCGACCCGTCCACACTTGATTGGATCATCATCCGCGAGAACAGCGAGGGAGAATATGCAGGACAGGGCGGCACAACTCATGAGAACAGCCCACACACTATTGCTACCGAGCTAGCCATCTTCAGTCGTGTTGGAATCGAAAGAATCATGAGATATGCCTTTGAGACAGCGAGGTCAAGGGAAAGAAAGAAGTTGACAATGGTGACCAAGAGCAATGCCCAAAGACACGGCATGGTTCTCTGGGACAAAGTGTTTTACGAGGTCGCCGAGGATTATCCAGATGTTCAGCACGACAAGATGCTGGTCGATGCCATGACTGTGCGTATGGTTAACAACCCTGCAAGTATGGACACCATCGTCGCGACAAATTTGCATGCCGATATCCTCAGTGATCTGGCAGCAGCTCTGAGTGGCAGTATCGGTATTGCTCCTAGCAGTAACTTGGATCCTACCAGAAAGCATCCCAGTATGTTCGAGCCCATCCACGGCAGTGCCCCTGATATTGCTGGCAAAGGTGTCGCCAATCCGGTTGGTGCTTTCTGGAGTGCAGCAGAGATGGTCAGGTGGCTTGGCCAGGGCAAGTTGGATGGCACTGCTGATAAACTCATGCAAGCGATTGAGAACGTGACTAAGGCTGGTGTCAAAACAAAGGACTTGGCAGGAAACAGCAACACCAAAGAAGTGACAGAAGCAGTTTGCAGGGAGATCGAGACAGTCTTCAAGAAGTAGGACCAGAGTGGACTAGGAGAGGAGAGGCTTACCTTTGTCGACATATCCAGACCATGCTCAGTACAAGTTCTCCCACTCACCATACTCAACCTCTGTAGCTCGTTCGACTTTGGTCTTGACATTGTAACCAGTCCAGTGTTTTTCGCCGAAGCGTTCCCACGGCCAGAGACAGTATATAGCCTTGGCTGCAATCAATGACTTGGAGACNCTATACCACACCATGTTAGCATGTCGACTTTCCGTACTTAGCTCACTCCAACTCACTGGACCGTAAGTGTTGCTGTCTTTGCTCATGCCTGCATTATCACCCTCAACCCACACATGACCAAGAGGAACCCTCCACCTCCTCTTTCCCACTCCAAACTCTTTCTGCTCCCCAATAGCATCCCAAACCTGACCCGCCGCCGTCGGCCCCTCAATACTCTCTTTCGGCCTCCTCTTATAATCCAATGTGACCCAATCCCCCTCCAACGCAACCACTCGCTTAATCCCCAGCTTCTCTGGCTTGTGTGGGAGATTCAGCATCACCACATCACCTCTTTCGAGATCTTTTGTGGGTTTCCACTTTTCNATGAGAAGTACGTCTTTTCGCCGGTTTCGTTGTAGGAGGGGGGACAGAGTGGGGGCCATGGAGACGCCTTCTATTGTTACGGGTTCGAAGAAGTGGTCGTTTACGGTTATCCAGGTGGTTATGCCGATGAAGATGCCTTTTGCGGCGGGTGGAACCCAGAGTGGGATTCTGTTCATGATAGTCTGAAGCGGTCGTGTGCTTGAGTGGGCGGGTTTGTTGGTTGTTGTATAGAGATTTGAGACTGCGGTATAGATCTTCTCGGCGGTAATCCTGTCAGCACCGGTATGACAAGATGTTTAGGTGTATTGTGTTGGCAAGGTTGTCGCGTCACCTTGAGATTGTCGTGTAGACTTTCTGGACGTGCTTCGGACTTTGCGGACTTGTGAAAATCAATGGTTTTGGTAGCACCCTGACCTAGATATCAATGGGTCTCCAACAATAACATCTACGGCAGGAGTGTTGGCAATCAAGAGTTAATGAAGACATAACATAACATTACCATCTAGAATATTAATGGAATGAACAATTGGATTGCATAACGAACGACCAAGCCAAAAAGTCTTTCTTCTTAAGACCTATCCCCAAGGGCCACGAGGGACATCAATGCACCGTGCATGCAGAACTTGGACCATCAGAAACAATAGTTGCGTGTCTCGAGTCTGTCTCGAAATGTATCAGAAATCAGTAAATTGCTTTTCCAGAGTAGTTCTTCTTCTAACCACTCGCAGGTATCAGCCCGGAAATTGTACAACCACCTCCCAGTCCTTTTTATAAGAACAAGAACGCCATGACCCATGCAATATCACTTTAGTCGTCAAGCAAGATCATATCCCATCCTCCCTCGAACATCTAGTCACATCTATTCCTCAGTCTTGGTCTTCTTGGCCTCGCTCTGCTGGCCATCCTCCTCACGACCGCGCTTGCGATCCTCACGGTCACCACGATCGCCGCCACGGCCTCCGCGGCCACCACGTCCTCCTCTTCCTCCACGACCACGACCACCACGGCCTCTTCCGTTTCCACGGCCGTTGCGATCACCGCGCTGGTCGTTAGCTCTTCTCTCCTTCCAGTTGTCGTTAGGAGTGATGGTGCCGTTCTTGATACCCTCGAGTTTCTCGTCCACGTAAGCCTGCTTGCTCTTGATGTTCAACTCCTGGCCCTGGAATGCGGGCTTGGGGTCGAGCTTGAGGAAGTCCTCGGCAGTCTTCTCATCCGAGAACTCGACGAAAACGCTGCCCTTGAAGTCACCGTTGCCGTGTCTGCGTAGGCGCACGGCGTTGAAGGTACCGTAAACAGCAAAGAACTCCTCAATATCGGTCTGGCTGGTTGGCTTCTCCTCGCCGAAGCCCTTGGCGTAGATGCTGCGGGCCATGGTCTGGTTCTCGAGCATCTTGCGGTTCTCGTCGACGTTATCGCTGAACTTGTCGCTGATGGGCTCCTTGCGGGTGATTTGGCCATCGTCGGTAACATCGATCAAAGTGCTAGCCTTGCAAGCCTCGAGGACTGCCGAGTAGGGCTGGAAGTGACGCATGCGCTTGAAGTTGTGAATGACCTTGAGGTCGACGGGGAGGTTCTTGTGGCCGCCGGTCTGCTTGAGGAGGTAGTTGTCGGTGGGGAGGTTAGAGTCAGAGAAGTAGAACTCGACCTGGCGACGGATCTCCTCGGGATCGCTGCTTTCTGGCAATTCATCGTAGTTGGATCTAACGCGCTTGGGGTTGCGACCTGCGCCCTGGCTGCGTCCACCTCTCTTCTCGCCTTGGTTCTCGGCAGGCTTGGGAGCTGTATTCTTGTCAGCGGTTGCGCAATCACTTTGCGCGCGACGGATAGTCGTACCCTCCTCGGTCTTGGTCTCGGGCTTAGCCTCAGCGGCCTCTTCCTTCTTCTCGTTCTGCTCCTCGGTCTTGGCCTCGGCCATCACAGCATCCTCGGAGGTGGTGGGTGCAGCGGAGAGCTCGGTAGTCTGGTCAGGGTTGGAAGTTTGCTCGACGGTCTTGTCGTTCTGGATCGAGGTGGCGGCAGGGTCGGCCTCAGCGGTGGGAGTGACCTTGATGTCGGACATTGTGATATGCGGATCGCGATCTGTTGTATATGCGCAATTGACGGACGGAGCTTCGCAAAGGGTGACTCGACGCAGATATGTAGTGACGGTTGGTGTAGATGGGTGAATAGGTCTGCAAGGAAGGTAGGTCGAATCAAAAGCTACACAAGATCTGCTGCTCAAAAGCTTCACTGCACTTTTTGGATTTTTGTCCAGAAATCTTTCTGGTCTGTGCACACGCGGCCTCGACTCGTGTGGGGAAGCACTCAGACATCACCTCCTGCGTCTTGCCGCTGTCAACTTGTTTGTCTGTTCGGTGTGACCATAAGGATATGTGTAGGCGTAGCATTGGTTTGATGTGTAGCATGAAACATTAGCCGCTTGATCGTAATCCGGGTGCTTCAACATAAAACCTTGCCGTGCGTTTTTGCACTCCTCCATCCTTCAGCCTTCGTCTATATTTCACTTCCAGCATCTGAAAAGCCAAATCCCATCATCATCTCTCGTGATGTCGCAATGGACTCAACTTAGTGGTGGTTCAAACCTCATTCTCACATCCCTTTCTCTGAGTCTGTTCAACGATAAGACCCTGTCTGACGTTCAGATCAAGCTGAGAGACGGAAAAAGTCTCTTCGGACACAAGGCTTTCCTTGCTCGACGATCACCATGGTTCCTTAGAGCTTTCACTGGAAAATTCCCAGTCTGTCCGACCTCGAGATATAACCATTGAGTTATGGAATGCTGATTGAATCAGGTTGCCTCGAGCGATGAGATCTGCCTCGACGATGAAGACGACGATCCGAATGTGATTCGTGCTATGATCAGCCATATCTACGACCTCGCCTATGATNCTATCTTTTTTCCCTTTCAGCTTGTTACAGACTTGACGTTCCACGTCAATGTGTTTGCTGCTGCCGATAAATACGACGTCCCTTCCCTGCGAGCAGTGGTCGTCGATAGATTTCCTCGATTGATGGAGCAGAGATGGTCAACCAGCCAAACAGAGTTTTGTACGGTCATACAGCGCCTTTGTGGACCGAACGCTGCCAACTTCGCGGACAAATCGTTGCAGGCATCCGCTGCGTCGTTCTGCTCCAAACATATAATGGATCTGATTAAACTTGACCCATTTGTCAATATGCTTGAAGAAGGTGAACCTTTTGCTGGTCGTCTCTTGACTGCTGTTTTGCGAGGCAAACCGAATTGTGTTATGGAGACCTCCATATGCTCCAGATGTAAATCAGCCTCAGAGGATGACATTAAGAGGAATGTCAAGCAGACCTGCCTCAATTGTAACACACGCCACTCTACAGCTTTTGGAGGTCCACCACTTGAGCACTACAAGCATTTCATGCCGATCTGAGACTTTGCAAAAGTAGTCTATAGTTTGGACGCGACGGCAGCTATGATAACGGCGGATATATAGTTTCCTATAGGTAAGTCATTTGCTCTCGCTGCTTGTCTGCGCTTCTAATGAGTGTGCAGAGTGTCGAACATAGACTTCTTTTTTCTGAAAAACCGCCATAACTCTGCATATTGCAAGCCGCTGGCTTTGTGGTGTTGCTATCTCTCTTTTACGTCCTCACCAGACCATTCGAATCTATGCGAGTTTGATGAATGAACCAGAAATTATGTATGGAAGTCTTCGAAAGCCTCTCGTCTCCCATGGTGAGCCGCGGAGGTGAAGACTATTTGTTGCACAGTTATCTGTCTTCCTCCAACAATTCCGACTGGTCTGGTGGTTATCATCACTGTTAACTCAATACAAGCTAACTCAATCCACCAGTCACTCTCTTCAAGCAGCACAAGTTCGAATCCAACCATGAGCTTGTCATTTCGCAGCGACTTCTTCTTATCAGCGACTTCGGTCGTTCGAGGTGAAAACCCTCTACAACTTGAACTTCGGTTCAAGGGTCTCCGAGTGAAGGTGCCCCTCGGAAGGGGGTCGAGTCAAACACCTGAGGCGGGGGGATTTGAACACAGAACATAACAAAACAACAACAGAGGGTAAGTGAAGAATCTCCAAACCACCAGACCAGCAATATCTTTTTGTTTTGCACATTAGTCCTTAATTTACTATTGCATTTCGCACTTTTCTGTCTATTTAATGTTGAGTCTTGCCCACACAGTTGTGATCTTCTGATATTTGGTTCGCTCTTTCCTTACAAGACAACTTACCCAATCCTGCAAAGAGCTTGAGCGAGTGGAACTTTCCGATGATACAGGAAGGGAACTGCCGTGCTGTTGCTTGGTCTAGTCACCCTTTCCGCATTGACTCGCACGTGGTTGCTTTCACTGTCAATTTTGCACACAACACCACCACACCACTCTAAAACCGAGCTGTCTGCCGTCTTTGACGCCTGCCGCGGACTTCGAGCAACATGGCCACGAAAGACACCGTAGAAAGCAGCAACAGCAGGTGTGTCTCGCGTTCCTCTGGTGCCGGAAGAGTGGCTGATTCTCGAGTAGCCTGTACACCGACAACACCCTGTCCGACATCAACCTCAAGTTCAATGGTCGCCGAGTCTGTGCACACAAGGCTATTCTTGCACAAAATTCCGCCTACTTCAAGACAGCTTTCAGTAGTCTCCTCCCGGTATGTTTGACTGACTCGATTTTGTGGCAGACAAGACTGACGCGTTGATTAGGTTGCGACCAGCGAGGAAGTTGATCTTGGAGACGACGATGACCCCGAAGCTGTACACGCGATGTTGCGCTACATCTACGACTTGCCTTACGCCCAACAGGCCACGGGTACCACCGGCTCTTCCGAAGAAAACCTGATCTTCCGTCTAAATGTCTTCATCGTCGCCGACAAATACGACGTCCCTGGTCTCCGACAGAAAGTCATACCTGACTTCCGTGTTCTTCTTCAGAGTACCTGGAAATCCGACGCGTTTGTCACTTGCGTAAAAAAGCTCTATGGTCCTGACGCAATGTATCTGGCCGACTCATCCTTGCAGTCCGCCATCGCAGACTTCTTCGTTGACAACATGTCTAAAATCACTCATCACAAGAGCCTTGTGACTATGATCGAGGGAGACAAGTCGTTCACAGGACATATTCTGGCGGGCCTCCTAAAAACAGCTTCCGGTTCTACTCGCTATCTTGGTATCTGCCACAAGCCTAACCGCAGCAACAGAACCATTCCAGACTGCACTTATGTTAGTGAGGAAAGCAAAAGTTATCTTTCAGCAGCCCTGATTCAGTGCTGTGTGCATTGTGGTACGGCTGCTGGGACCGCCTACAGCAAGTCTGGTGGAGGAACAGCTGAGTGTCAAATCCGCCACACTGTCAAGGTAGTCCTCATGTGAATGTTCTGTTAAGTTTATCGAAGGATGACGGACAATATCTCAAGCCGGCGAGGACACCTTCTACATGTATTGCGACTGTTGAACATGCTTTGTTGTGCTAAGAGGGTACAGGTTGCTTATGTAATGAGGTTGCTTAACGAACAGTGTCGCAGAACCATGAGAAATATAATCGTACATTGCTTCTCATCGCTGTTCCAACTTGCAACGTGTGTTGAAAATAGATGACCGCAGCTTCTCCCTTTCGCTGCACTTTCGAATCGAGGGCAGATAATATCACTCATGTATGGTGCCGAAGGTGAGTCACATTGTCAAGAAGCTTCTGGTTTTACTGATATTCTATCTCAATGGATGTGGATTGCGCTGCGCGCAAGTTGCAACACGTTCAAAGATCGTGTTGTTTGCTCGCTCCAAAACAATTCAAGTCTCCAACGTCTCTGTGCCTTATTCGATCCCACCGTTTGCAAGATGGCACGCGCAGTCAAGCGTGCTCGTTTGTCGAACATCAGCTCGACCCTCCAAATTTCTTCGCCTTCCCGCCATACCTTACGTTCTCAAAACTCTTCACCTTCAATTCCAAAAGCTACAGAAACTGGCGAAACTGCTCGTGTATCTACATCCAGCATGATCGCTAGCAACGCCGCCACCGCCGACGGCGATGAGAGGTATGAAGATACTTTTTACCTTGATCGTTTCTCAGCTGACGCGATAACAGTCTGTTCAACAACGAGACACTCTCTGATGTCCAAATCAAGTTCGGAAACCAGCAGCAGCTTCACGGCCACAAGGCTGTTCTTGCACGTAGATCAAAGTACTTCTACAAGGCTTTCTCTGGACAGTTCCCCGTACGAATGTATCTCCCGATGATTGAACACTTCTGACGCCGATTGCAGGTCGCGACAAGCAAGGAGATCGATCTTGGAGATGACGAGGACCCCAAAGCTATCCGCGCCATGATCGGACACATCTACGACCTTCCTTACGATCAGATGCTTGAAGAGAACGTAATCGACGACTCCGCCGCCTACAGCACCAACGAGGACCTCCTGTTCCATATCGCTGTCTTCACGGCCGCCGAAAAGTATGATGTCGCTTCCCTTCGTCCCTTGGTTGTGAAGAAGTTCGAAGATCTTCTGGAGACCAACTGGGAGAACGAGAACTTTGCAACCAGCATCCAGAAGCTCACAGGTCCTTCTGCTGGCCACCTCGCCGACAACACTCTTCAGGCTGCCGCTGCTGCATTCTGCGCCAAGAACCTTACCAAACTCATCAAGCAAGACAATTTCGTCAACATGATTCAGGAGGAGGAGCCTTTCACTGGTCGCCTCCTCACAGATTTTCTGACTGGCGGATCCGTGGGAACAGTCCAGCTGAGGACTTGTTCGCAAGTGTCATGCCGCAACACGGAGCCCTCTGCATCTACCCTCCAAGGCTTCCTGTACCATTGCGTTGTCTGTGGCCAGAACGCCAACAACGGTTACAGTGGCCTTTTGCTGTCGACTACAGGAAAGCATACATCATCTAACACTTCTTCAACACAGCAAATTCAACCTCACTACCATGAATGCATCCAGAGGAGGAATCAAGCCAAGCCTAGATCGCGATATGATTCGAGATAGATTGTATACAAGAAGGCTCATGACATGTGATCATTGCCTGGAGTGGTCTTAAAAGTGGTATCTGAAGTTCGATGAACTAGGTTGAATGAGGTAGAGATTGATTCCAGAGTTTGCAGCTCGAACCCAAAGAAGAATCGAAGATTTTATGCAGCCGAGCTCAGCCAGCAGCCATGTACTTTCCTAAACTGTGCTTGAAACATCTAACAAATTTCTTGATTACCTCGCGGCTGCATGCATTGTGCCCCGCAACAATCTATGCAAGCGACTTGTACCTGCATACACGTCCCGATGAGTCGTCACGTCGACCATGATCCACAAAAACGATCTGTCGTTGTTTGTCTAAGTCACACGAAAACGTCACGCAGTTTCGCCAACACCTCGTGGTAAAATGTGAATCGGATTTGACAACTGAGAAAAACCACTGATCTTGAGCAATCATGTCTTCCATTACTTCGCCTCTACCCCCTCCAGTGACCACACGACGAAGAGCCCGCAACGCTGCTCAGGCAGGAAACCCACGCCTCAAGTACCCAGTGGTTCCTCCCATCCTTGAATTTACTGAGCCGCATGCTGTCGAGGTCAAGGAAGAACTTCGCGCGAGGTTCGACAATCTATGCGAAGAAGCTGGCTGGGCACCTACCGCTGCCATCCGAGACGAGCTCAGAATTCTCACCAAGCTTGATGCGAAATGGAAACAACGCGATTGCGAAGCAGCTTTCTTCGCTTTTGTGCAGCACCTGGATTTCGTATGGATGAACGGTTACGTTCTGCTTGGTCGGAAGAAATTCAAAGAAGGAATCCTTTGCGTCTGGTATCGTCCAATTTACAGCCCCACGGACCGCAGGATCGAATTTTGCTATGGGCCTGGAAAGACTGTCTTCAAACCCGAGGGCTTGCCAGGCAGAGTGGACAAGGACAAAGTCTGGCCACCATTCAACAAGCTGTTCGACTTGACCAACCTCAGACGAGACAAACAGAACCTATATCTTACTGGTGTCTGGGAGATCCTACACAAGTTCAAGCATATGCGCGGTATCCTCGACCCCAATGGCTCTGAGGATGATGTGTCAAGACCTGGCTATTCAGAGCTTCCGTTCTTGCCCGGTTCTACTTGGTTGAGACAGCGAGGAGTTCTGTGGATTGATAACTCCCCGAAGAGTCAGAATACCGGAATGGAGCTCCGCAGTAGACTTGAATCGCAGTCGCCCGACGAGTCAAACATGGAGAAACCTGATGATGAAGAGTCTGATCAACGCGCCAACACAACACTATCAGCTGGAATGACCAGTAGCATAGATGAACCCCACTCTTGTTCATCGTCAGTCAGCACCGGGACAGACCCTACCGGTTCAGTCTCTGCAAGCAGCTCTTCTAGCATTGTGCATGACAGAGTGTGCGGACAAAAGCGCAAGCCTACAGACAATCCTAACAATTCACCAATCCGAAAGCAAGTGCGAGCTTCGAACGATGAATCAGAGACAGACTCCTCCCTCGTTACAACAAAGTCTCCTGCTCAAATTCTGTACCAGGATCATTGTCAGAGATTCCAGTGGACGCCATGCGAGCCTACACTTCAAGAGCTTGCCGGGTTGCTGAGTTCTCACGACATCGAGCTTGGAGATGTGGAAGTTGCTCTCCTCGCATTTGCCCAGTATTTTGATTTCATATGGGAGAATGATTCCATGTTCATTGGCTCTCGCAAAGCCAAGGGTTGTCAGAAGTACGAAAGAATCTGGTACAAGGCAGTCTATCGTGACGGCGAGCTTGGGATCGAGTGGTCTGTCGATGCAGGCAAGCAACCATGTTCACCGCCGGTGGGACAGATGGAGATTGAGTACTTCTGGCCCTCCTTCAATGAGTTGTTCGATATGAAGAACCTTGGAAGTGCGATGTACAATCAGCAGAACGTCTACATTGCTGGTACTTACCTCATTCTTTTGCGCTACCCTGCGCTGCGCAGATACCAAGAACCTGGCTCGGGTTTAGGCATCAAGCTAGCTCCTCATTCAGAGAAGCTTGAGCTGCCATTCTTGCCTGCTTCTGATCCGGTTGACGAAGTGCAACAACTTCGCACGAGGCAACTCTCATCTTTCAGTGAGCCTCTGCTCACAAGTGTCGCGCGGCCTGCTCTGAGCGACCAAGGCAGGCGAAGTGAAGCTGGAGCGCAAACTTTGACCGAAATGCTCGACGGAAGAGACACCCAACGCAAGATAACCACGATGTGCAGAAGCACTGGTGGTATATATATTGCTGAACCAGGATCCAAAGAATATCAGAGCATATTAGCCGACCTGCGGAACGATCAGTTGTCAGAGGCACTTGCCAGCACACCATCGGAGCTCGTTCAACAACCCCAGGACCAAAGTCCCATTAGTGGTCTCGTCAACCATCTTCTGCAGAACATCCAGCTATCAAGCTTCGTCGATACAACTTCCAACGAGACTAAGCTTCGAATCGTCGCTCATCTTCCTGCTAATCTCTTCCAGCCACCTGCTCTCGGCTTTTCTCTAGTGGTATGGTTAGACATGTCGCCAGTTCTACCTTCCCGTGACTGCATCATACAGGAATTGGAAAGAATCGCCATGGACAGTTTCAACTCTCAGCAGCGAGCCGCCCAGCAACAGAACTTAGTACCTGCGCAAATGCACCATGCGGCTGTGTTAGCAGCTCCTGTGGCCCAGATGGTACGTCAGCAAACCAATGTGAGCAGCGACAACAATGTCACTGTTGAACAAGCAAGAGAGCTTCTTCGTGGTCCCCGCGCAAAGCTTGTGTCCTCTGGAAAAGACAAAGACGAAGGTCTTGAACTGTTCCAATTTGCCATTACTTTCCCTTCTGCCGTGGCTGAGAGACTTCCTCTCGACCTCAAGTTCACTCCAATCCTCTCGAAGGAGACCGTTCCTGTCAATCTCACTAAGAGTCAAGCATTCAGGGCCCTTGCTGAGTATGCAAGAGAAGACGAAGAGTCTTAGGAGTGATGTAGACTTGTCCACGGCATCCAATAAAACGAACCAGAGACACAAGGCATGCAGACCTACATCCGAAAGGGAGCAGAAGGTCGAAGCAGAAGATGTAAGATGAAGAAGAAGAGATGGTCTGCTTCATGCACCTCGTGGGAGATGGAGTAGTAATGACCAAGAGTGGCGATGAAGGGAGTACCGAGAGCTCTATACGGCGACTGTTAGCGTAAGTAGAGAGTCATAAATGTACAACAGTCAACCAGTGTAACACTGCTGGGCACAACTACGACAAAAGATAGCGAGGAAATCATTTGTTATTCTTCATGTTCGTGTTGTGATGGTCTCACGTCGCGTGCCACGCGCGTCGGCGTCGGCGTCCGCGTCCGGCAAGCACGCGATCGCTCGCACCTTCCCGTTCAATCCAGGCTTCTAACACCTGAACCACAGGCGATTGCAGACCAAAAATGATGCTGACAACGAGCAAAACGATGATTCCGCCCGGGTTCGAACCGGGGACCGCCTGTGTGTTAGACAGAAGTGATAACCAACTACACCACAGAACCAATTGGTGTGAGGAGTCCGGCAAAGTTAGTAGAAGTTCTGTTTCATCACGGCCGAGCTTCGCGTTGGTGCACAGACCCCAAAGCGACACTGGCTTTGCGCTCCGACCTTCTCTGCCCGCATCATTCCTTCCCGTGTGCGAAATACCCTCGCAGTGAAGCTATCACAATACACAGTACTTCTCATATCAGAAGCATGGCCACCGAGACGCCCTGAGAGAATGGTCTCTCTGAGGATAGCAGCCGCTTTCATAGAGTATTGTGCATCTTGATGGCCTGACGAATCACCAGACGTCGCCATGGGAAGGGGAGACCGAAACGGATTGGTACTTACCTCTCTCTGCCCCTATGCCCCGATCTACTTCCTACCTGCTATGTCACGCGTCTATGTGACTGTGAAGATGCACAGTGGTATTGAAGACAGAGAAGCTGCCACTGAGAGCAAGTGTCTGGTCGAACACTTTCGAACACACGCTACGAGTATAGTTGGCTGTGCATACCGTGCGATCTTAGGAACAACACACTCACAAAAGCCCCTCCTACCAAGCCGACTCAGTATACATCGCTGATGTATCGATCAGTCTTGACACGCTGAAGCCACACTTCTGCGTCGTCCATTGTCTTCCCGTTCTTCTCGCACCACACTTTNTTGCAAACTTCTGCAGCACTCTTGCCCAATCTCGCCGCACTTCCACACAGATATATCTTTCCACCGTCAACAAACATCTTCGCTACTTCTTCGCGATGCTCCCAAATGGCATCTTGTACATAATGCGGGCCTGAGTCACCCTTGCTGAAGGCCGGGACGACTTTGACGACACCTTGTTTCTCCCACCGGGCTAACTGATCCCGGTAGATGAAGTCTTTCTCCGGATGACGGCAGCCAAAGAACAAGATGGCAGGTCCGAGCTTTCGCGCACCAGCTGCTGCTATGGCAGCTCTTTCCTGAAGGAAGGCTCGCATCGGTGCAATGCCTGTGCCAGCTGCAAACATGATTATGGGCGTCTCGACGTTACCTGGAAGTCGGAACCCAACATTTGTGGGACGCACAAAGCATGATATACGGTCACCAATGCGACGAGAAGCAAGATAGGTGGATGTGACACCGAAGAAAGAACCATGGCCTGAAAGGGCTGGTGAAGTATGGACGTCGAAGCATAGAGATACGATATCTGCGTGCGACTTATGCTGTGGGTTGTTTGCTGGCTCTAGAGAAGATGAGGCAATAGAGTATTGACGAGGCGTCAGAGCTGGAAGCATGTCGACGTATGCACCGAATGGCAGGGCGATTGCGGTCTCCTCAAGGATATCGAGGATGCTATAGCGTTTCTCAAGGAAGTGTTGGTAAGAAGCATCTTGGAGGAACCCTTTGTATTCTTCCTGCTGCTCGGGAGTCGCATGCGACAGGACGCTCTCTAGCTGACGCTTCGTGATGGGCTGACTGAGTTCGACAGCTCCAGAGAGGAACTCCTCGATAGGAGTGGGCTCAGTCGGAAGGAAAGCCTTGGATGATCCTTTCACTTCGAGAATGTCGTTTTCGCGAAGGCCGAAGTATGCTAGAACCCTATGGACTGCTTCATCGGGATTGCGTGGTTGCACTACAAGGTAGTCGCCTGCAGTGTAACTCATGCCATCTGGCAAACGAATATCCATATGGCGCTTCGCAGGTCCTACTTCAGTGCCTGCAAGCTCTGTATTCGCAACAACTGTTCCGATGTTCATGTCCTTGCCGCCGAGCAATGAAGTCAGCTTGGATTCGCGAATGGTGATCTCGGTGACGGCCTTAGCAACGGATCGAGCACCAGTCGACTTCACCAACGCAGCTATAAGCTGGTCTACCCAGTCTTCCCATGGACCAAACAGATCAGCCTTGACATCCGAAAGCCCGATCTCGACGACTTCTGCAGCTCCAGCCTTATTCATCAGCTCGCGAACGAGTTTCGGGATCTTGTGGAAAGTGCTCGCCCAATCCTGNTTGTATTATCAGTATCTAAATTGATACGCAGAGATGACATTCACGCTTACCGAACTTCCCACTCCATAAACTGCATACTTGACACCATTTAAGGGGNNGGAAGCGTTCTTATTGCTAACATCCTCTAACCACGCCATGAATTTCTTGGCGTTGTCGGGTGGCAGACCCTCGTACGAGGAGGTGATTATCACGACAGGTCGATCTGGCGTATGCTCAGTCAGTGTGTCAAGACTTTCAATCGAAGCACTCAAGCCGTGATCGGCCAACTTCGTTCTCAGGTCTTCGGTAAGAGCTTCACAGGTTCCGGTATTGCCTCCAAAGAAGATCGATAAAGGTGCATTGGAGGACTCATTTTGAGCTTGTGCCTTCTCGTGCTGCTGTTCGTGTTTCTTCGCAACGTTGGTGGGTACGCCTCCTGGAATACCAACCATCAGTGTTTTGCCCGGTCGACGACGAGCTTTCATCCTGAAGTTCCATGGCTTGATTGTCAACGTTGATTTCAGTTCAAGCTCATAAGCTGGATCCGCCAACTGCAATTGGAAGCGTTGGAGCACGAGCGCAATGTTGATAAGCATCTCCTGTTCGGCAAAGCCTCTGCCGATACACGATCTCATTCCATTTCCGAAGGGCTTCCAGCTATTTGGAGGCAACTTCTCAAAGTTGGATTTGAGCATTCTTTCCGGCTTGAAGTCTTCGTGGTCATCGCCCCAGACAGCAGGATCGTGATGGAGAGCTTTTAGGTTACAGGCGAGCTGAACATCTTTCTTGACTTCGTATTTGCCTTGCAATGTGGTGTCCTTGCGCGGACAGACACTCCAGCGAGTAATAGGGGAGCTAAGACGAAGACTCTCCTTAATGCAGGCGTCGAGATATGTAAGCTTCGGCAGATGCTGCAGCTCCAAAACATTATCGCCCACTACCTCATCGACCTGTCGTTGCGCCTCGATAAGTTTATCGGGGTTCTTCAGCAGATTGTAATAGGTAAAAGAAAGGGTTGAGCTAGTAGTCTCATGTCCAGCGACGAGAAATGTAGCCATTTGGTACCTGACGTTCTCGTCTGACAGCCCTTCACCAGTCTCTTTGTCAATGCTGTTCAGCATAGTATTCAGCAAATCTTTGTTCTCAGGTTGGGGGTTCTTCTTCCGATCTGCTACAATCTGGTCACAGAGGTCATGCATCTTCCTGACATCTTCTTGTCGCTTCTGTTCGCTGCTACGGTAGACATAATCGTTGATGAACCCCGGACGGCTGACACGCCTACCACTCTCAGTCAGGACATCGGCCATTTGTTGCGCGAAGGGATGAGCGTGATCCGTATAGAACTCATTGAATCTATACGAAAATGCACAAAGCCCAATTGTGTCGAAAGCCAGGCGTGTCAAGTCATCGCTACACTCAATTTCGTGTTCTGGTCCTAGACGATCCCACTTGAGTACCATCTGAGACGAGATATCAAGCATGTCGTCAAACATCGAACGGAGCGCGATAGGACCAAAAGCTGGCACCAGCATGCGATGAGCTGTCCACCAGTTCATCTCGGAGTCATAAGCTGTGAACAGGCCATCTCCAGTCAGCGCTCGAATGGCCACCAGCGCACCAGAAGGGATTTTGTGGAAGCGCTTCTCGTCGCAAATCTCATTGATGTGTTGCTGGTCTCCGAGTATGACTTGTTCACTACCAAGTTTCAACTTCATTATTGGACCGTACAGCTGTTGCATGCTCCATATATTCTTGGATGGGAAAGAAGGATCCAAGTCAGGCAGGTTGCCGAGCAAGCCAAAGAGATGCTCTGGAGGTTGAGGAATGGGCATGTGTTCTGTTCCTGGTGAGCTCGACTCACCAACGTCCGACGCGTGAGCTCGCATAGGACAAGGCATGTTGTAAAGATGTCTGTCAGTGATCGGATTTGTGTTGAGGTTGGAAGTTTCGTGTGATGCACCACTTATGTGGACTTGACCCTTCCTCTATATACGCTGCACTTTGGCAGACCACCGGCATGCACCTCGGATCCCTACCCCGCTCGCACATGGCAACAGTGGTATCGGGCAGGAACATGTCACCTCGCTTCGTTGTCAATGGCACGGCATCGCTGAAGCATCCTCCAGTGGATGCCGGCTCTTTTGATTACTGATTGCAGGGGAGCAGTCAGCACTAGGAGCCATTGCAGAGCTAGCTCATGATTCGAGCATGAAGCCGAAGAGTAAAGATTGATATATTGGAAGAAAGAAAGATTGGTGGATGTCTCTTTGTTCTATCTCTTTATCAGCTAAACTAGGCCCAATTCGGCAGTGACACGGCCGATCTCCCCTGCCTCCCATGCAGACCCTTGTACAGCTCGGCTCGTCTCAAACCTGCAAATCAGCTTACTTGCATGTCCTTTCTTGAGGTATACACAGCTTATCTCTGCGCATCAGATAACTCGTGAGTCGAACTATGCCGTTGTGGAGCCATCAGAAGAATGTCGCTTCTGTCTGACAGCATTCGTTGGTAACCTCGCGGGAGCAAACATCTCTTCTTGGTCGAGGACTTCAGATATTGACAACATAACATAGGATCACTTCCATTTTGGTCTGTACACTGGTTCTTATGTTGACTCGATAATATTTGCGGCTTTTATTAGAATATGTAAAGAACGCTAAGACTTTCAGAAAGCAATTACCTCTCTTAAAACTCTTCCGATTCGTCAACATCGAGCATCCAGTCGTGCTTACCCAGGTCGATACCATCCACTGTGTCTTGCAGTAGGACCGCTCTCTCAACCTGCCAAGAGGACTTTTCAGACAGCAAGTGCTCGACATAAGGAAACATCTTCCGAATGGTAAGCTTCTGCGAGGACTTGCACCCATTGCTCAAAGAGCTCAAAGGCTTGTCCAAATCAAAATTGACAATGTCGAAGCATTCTTCCACGCAGTCTACACACCAGGTGCAGTCGCAGCTTCGTCGTGTCACACAAGGCTGATCCTCTATCAGTAGTTGGCATTTTTCGCACAAGATCTCGTCAATCGTGGTTAAGCCAGCTGTAAATGGTGCAGGTGTGCTAATATTGGAAAGCTTCTGCTCCGACTGTTCGTCGATGAACGCCTTCAGGTTCTCGAATGCTTTTGAAATGTCCCATCCTGTGTATAGGTTTACTGGTTCTCCCTTGATGTAACCTAGAGCACGGGTAATTAGTGGAACTATGATGTAGTAGTGAATGACAGCGAAGACAATAAAATCCAGAACCAGCTGGGCGAGTGAAGAAGACATGATGAGAACGGTGGGGAGCGGCTCAGCCGTGGTGAAACAAAAAGATTCAAGAAAGAGATATGTATGATCACACTCGCGAAGGGTCTTGATGGGCTCATCAAGTTGATGGACATTTTCTTTGTAATGCCTTATCTATCTCTCATAGTTCTCATTCATTCAAACATCTCAACCCACAGACTGACGATAATTGAGTGTCGAGGATTGTTGATCCACAGACCAAAGTGACCTGAAGAGTAAGAGGTGAATTTTCAAACTGACGAAAGACCGGCAGTGGACTTAGCTAGCAACACAAGACATCCATGACAATATAGTGATGCAAGCCTGACTTATATTTGTCGAACTGGTGGAATGGCGCAGCGGTCAAGGAGCTCGTTGCTCCTTCCACCTGTTACCCGGAGTCCACCGGTTCGATTCTCCTCATCGCCAGGCCATGAGAGGTCCTAGTAATCCTCGCACGACACAACAATAATGACGAAAGCATGCTTTTCTCTTCCCCTCCTAGCAACACGGCGGCTAGGAGGGTTTCTGTTTTGTCAAATCTTGTGCTACCTACTTATTCAGAAAATCCGTTCGACGAATACTAGCGGGATAATGATGCGAGATCAGGGAGCCGGAAAAGGCTCAGTATAATGTTTGGCATGAAGTGTCACCAATGCTATCTGCGGCCAAGCGTCCTTTGCTCTCAAAAATCCAGAAACAGTTTGCCTTATCAAGAAAAAGTGAAACAAGCGTCTGAGGTTTGGCTGAGGATCGTCAACGACGAGGATGAAGCTTACAGTCAACATAATACTCCCACCTTGCACTCCAAACATGGCACCAGGCGGAAGAGGCAGATCTCAGGCTCTTCATCTGCTTCCGAAAACGCGAGAGTCCCATCGAATTTTCTCGGACCTGCTCTTAGGATTACGGCTAGTCCAACTGCTGCCGCTCGTCCAACTGCTGCCGCTCGTCCAACTGCTGCCGCTCGTCCAACTGCTGCCGCTCGTCCAACTGCTGCCGCTCGTCCAACTGCTGCCGCTCGTCCAACTGCTGCCGCTCGTCCAACTGCTGCCGCTCGTCCAACTACTACCACTCTTCCTGTTGCTGCTCCCACTGTTGCTGCTCCAACAACAAACAATCAGACTCTAGCATCAAGCCAACCAATCAATCGTCGCACTGCCAACAACTATGCTGGTGTAGCAGGAGGAAAAGTGTTTACTTGTCCAGTCCCTCAGTATACCGCCCCAATCCCAGAAGTATGGATGGTTGCGAAGTTCTACAAACACATGGAAGATGCAAAGAATACTATGGCTTTCTACGAACAAGGCACCAACGTGTGTCCTTACGGATGTCGCAAGGGGTTCATGAGTGACTTCAGCTTACACCGCCACATACAGAAGTCCAAGTGCGAGAAGACCGATGATCTCCTCGAAGAGGTTAAGAGCTGTAAGCATTGCACGGCTTCCTTTCCAGGTTTTATCGGCGCTCTTGACCATCTCAGCGACAACCATGCGAGCTTAATGACAGCTTCGACTACTACCTCACTCACCTGTATCCTTTGCGGTATCAGCTTGCCGAGCGAAGACCTAATATGGTGTAATCTTGCACATGTGAGCGGTCGAGGCGATTCACACTCTGTGTTCCCAAAGCATTTGGTATCCCTCACCTCCAATTGTGTAGGTAGAGTTGCGGCAGAGGGCAAGCAGAGCAGAGACGAGCAATGGTTGAAAGAAAGCATTTATCACTATGCTTATAGGTTTAATATCATGAGACAGATCCGTCGAAACAGCAGTACCGTATTGCTGCAAGTAATACGAACACATCTTTGTTAAACTTACGACGCTTTAATGCCGAGTGATGCTTCTCTACAATGCACGACTATCGTGAAAGGGCTATTAGAAAGTCTACAGCTCGCATACCATCTTTGTATGTTGACCGTAAGATATTCCTCCGATGTAGTCGAGTTTGTATACTGACGGGTGAAAAGCCTACAGGAAAGTATAATACGATTGCTACAAATCAACTTGAGCTTTACATCATCTTTATATGTTGACCGTAGGGAGTTGGGAGAAACTCTCTTGTGTGCTAAAGACAGTCACAGTGTAGCCGTAGAAATTCACAATACTTTCGTAAAGAACATGGGCTTATAGAGAGAACCCAGATGAAGGCTGTCTCAATGGCCAGACTCATGTTCGAATCGCAACTGTGCATTTTGATAGCTTATAATAACCCTTATACCTTGAGAGAAGGTTTGGTTTCAAATTTGTGACTGTCTTTAGCACACGGGGAGGCACGGGGAGGCAAGAGAATCAACCATATATCGATTGGCAACAAAAGTTTGGGAGAAAAGAAATTCACTGTTGTTGTAAATCAACTTGAGGAGGAACAATGTCCATGATAGTCTGAGATCGCCCTGAGAAGACCGATTCAATGAGCCGACTAGCGACGGGACTTATGCAAACAATATTATATGGAATCGCAGTACAGCTTTGTACTTGTTCTGAGGGGGCAGTGCTTTGTGGATGTCTTGAAGGGAAGTAGTTGGAGCCAGAGATCACTACAGCAAACAGTAGGAGTCCGCTCTCCATTATTTTCCGAAAAACACAGGCCAGAAAGTGAGTGTAAGCGCCCTTCGTTCTCCTAGTTGATTCATGGTCCGTTCGGACGTGGCCCCTTCACTCGACCAGCACATCGCTTTGAGCAACACCAATGTGTTAGCATCTTCGTTCCACCAGAGATTGAACCTCACCTATTTTTTGTTGGGTTGGTACACTTGCAGTGATAGAGAGCCGTCGAACAATCACTACTGCGACAGTTCAATATCGAGTCACTACCGCTGCGACTCATCACCATCAACACAACTCACCTTTCGTCCAACCCATCAACACTGATCGCTTGCGCTTGTTCAGTTCCACTGTATGTACTTTCATTCTGCTTCTTTCTGGCACCATTCAACACACAGTTTGTTTGTTACAACTTTTACTGACCTTAGCTGGCGTGCAAAAGCAGACGAACATATCAACATCTTGACAATTCGGAGCAACGCTCCCAGCGATCTCAAGATGACGCCGCCCCTCGACCTGGCACAACATGCCACCGATCGCGTCAACGAAACCACAGCCACTATGAGGACTACGAAAGAAAGCAAGTCATTACTTGGGCGGTTCTTTGAAACCTTGCGTAATGTTTTCAGAACCACTCGAGCGGATCCTCCGGTGGCCCACAACGAAGCGAATCCTCTGGTGGCTTACAAAGAAGCGGATCCTCTGGTGGCTCGCAAAGAAGCGGAGCCCATACGTGATAAAGCAGTGGTGGTGCACCAGGCGACCCAACCCTCGCTCTCTCAACTGGAGTCGATGGTGGCCATCAACAAATCGTTCTACGAAACACTTTACAATGTTGGAGGCCAATTTGCAAGCTTTCGGGACTACAATCAGGGAGACACTAGGGTCATATCTGAAGCCTACCAAAGGATGCAGAGATGTAAGCTCGTCTTGGATGGCAAAAGCACCAGAATCAACATACCTGGAGCTACTCAGCCACTCGCTTCAGTACGCCGTACAGAAAAGCCGATCACCCCTTCATACATTCCAGTCTGTACGGCCCCCAAGCCTCCTGCATCACCTCTGCTGCTGTCGACTCGAGCTTCAAGTCTGACATCCTCGACCAAGTCGACCTCTAGAGCCTCAATTGAGATTCCGACCGCTTCGACATCACCTGTGATCCCTTCAGCTATTCAAGTGGCGCCTGCTCCACCTGCAGTGGCCACGGTCAGAAGTTACGCACTAATCGCACTTGAAAAGAAGGTTCAGGCGTATCACAAGTTACTTCAATTGCAGGTAACAGCTCTATGGACAGAGTGCCTGCTCAGAAGTTCGCCTCAAAGCCGGGGAGAATCAGTGATAGTTTGAAACAAAACCTCAGGTCATTGGGACACGAGGATCTAAGTGCGATCCACCAAATGCTTGTCGATTGTGTTCACAGCCGTACTTCTGGAGTGATATGTGAGGCTACCAGTGAGTTTCTGCTTTGCTGTTTCCAGATCCTTGCATTTAAGCTAATCTCTCATTAGACACCGAACAGGTTCGTGGAGTCGCCATAGCTGCGACACACATGGGAATGCAAGTTAGCAGGAGCCATAAACACATGGAGTCTTTGGCCGAAGAAGACAAAAGCGGATTTGTCTGTCCATCAATTGTCATCGTGACGTCTTCAGGCGAGCTGGTTAGCCTGATGCACAGCACCATTGCGAAACTCATTGAAGGGAAAGGCAATGGATGCTCAGCCATCGATTCTCTGCAAGTTGTTCACAGCATGGGTGGGGATCATAAGGTCCTTGCCAACCTCAAAACCAACATTCCCACCATCCTTGTGTGTACTCCTGGTCGATTGACAAAATTCATCGAACAACCCAGGTTCAAGGCGCATCTCTTACATCTACTTGTCATCTGTCAAGGCTCAACTCTTGCCTCAGTGGATTTTGCCGAAGAGATGCAGAACATTATTGCTTGGGCCAGATGCTTGCAGCCAAGTCTGACTGGAGAAAAGCTGGTTTCTCCACCTGCTCCATGCCGACTGACCACAATCGTCATGAGTCAAAGTTTCGAAAAAGATACTGCGTTGCATCAAGAACTCAAACAACGATATCGCACCGACTTCATCTGCGCTGCCAATTTGACTCCCATTGGACTTGGTGAGCACCCTCTTCTTAATTTCCGAGGCAAGATCAAGGTGCGAGTTTGCCCTTTCAAGGACGTTGTCCGCTCGAGATACTTTGTTGAAGAGATTCTGCCCAACCATCGGAACGAGAGTATTCTGTGCATGGATTATTCTAAAAAGCGTGCCACAGACATTGCCTCCCAATGTGGCGAGTTTGGAGTGCCATGCGAGGTCTTCACGACAGAAAGCGACGACTCGACGACAATACAGCGCTTCCGCGAAGGAAGATGTAAGATCATGTTCACAACGCCAGCAGGCTTTGAAGGCATTCGCTACGAGAACGTCAAGACTGCTGTGATCTTCACATGTCCATACGAAAGCTTTTATACTGATGCGAATGGCCCCAAACCAGGGATATACAAGCGACGTCCAGATCACTTGCGCGCAGCCATTGAGAGTATCGGACAAGCTGGGGAGGATGCCACGGTCTACATCTTTGTGGCCAAGAGCACCAAACAGCCTATCAAAGACGATATCGCTAAGGTGTTGCGTCAGACTGGACATGAGGTTCCCAGCGTACTTGGGTCGCAAAGTAGCGCTTTCGCTTGCTCAACTGGATAGTCGTAATAGATGGTAGCGGACAGGACCGAGCTGGAGAGACTCCGTAGCGAGATCGAGATAGATAGCCGCAGAACATGCAATTGAAAGAAATCGTTCTTTCGCTTGTCCTTACGTCGTAGATCATCGCATTGAGCTTTGTATCCAGACTTGTGGAACGTCTGTGTCCAGAATCATCATTTCGTTGTGTCTTTGTACGAAGCATCGCTGTCGCGGCAAGAATCAGGTGAGGTGTGATGTTGCACGAGTCAGTGCGCGAAGGCGTGATCGGAAGAATCTGGGGTTGAGAAAAAGCTTGGACGCCACCATCCCGCGATGTCACCCTGTCCGCACTGGGGATGGTAAGCACGGCGACTTCGGCGATCTCCCATCCTCCCTTTCTTCTCATACATCTTGCGTTTGTGTGCTTCATTCTTTTATCTTTACTTTGTCTTCATCAAGGAGTTTCAGGATCAATGCATAGAGTAGCATTTTCTGCTGGCCGTTCGGTCAACGCTACTAGCAAGATCTCAGGTTCGAGAACCTTTGCATCAGTGAGCTCTGCTACCAGAAACCACAAGATCGTTGTGGTCGGTGGTGGATCTGCTGGTTTGGCCATCAGTCACCAATTGCTTCGTACTGGAAAGTTCACACAAGACGACATTGCCATTGTGGATCCTTCGGCCTACCATGATTATCAACCTGGATGGACACTAGTTGGTGGTGGTCTCAAGACAAAGGAGGAGTTGAGAAAGCCCATGAGCAGTCTTGTCGACTCAAAGCTCAAGTTGTACAACCAAGGGGTCAGCACATTCGCTCCCGAAGAGAACCTAGTTAATCTTGGCAATGGTGACAAAGTGGGCTACGAACACCTGGTTGTGGCACCTGGCATCGGCATCAAGTACGACAACATTAAGGGACTGCCCGAAGCACTGGCAGATCAGTCAACGCCTGTATCTACTATCTATGGCTACGAGACTTGCGACAAGGTCTTCCGCAACATCAAGGAGTTCCGTGGGGGTGAAGCCTTGTTCACTCTCCCTACTGGCGTTGTAAAGTGCGCTGGTGCACCCCAAAAGGCAATGTGGCTTGCTCTGGATCACTGGAAGAAGGCCGGTCTCTACGATCCTAGCAATGTCGCCAACTCGCCCATCAAGATCAGCTTCGCAACTGCTCTGCCAGTTATGTTCGGTGTACCCAAATACAGCGCCACATTGGAAGAGTTGCGCAAGCAGCGTGGCGTCGAGGCCATGTTCCAGCACGATTTGGTCGAGGTCAACGGCGACAAGGCCATTTTCGCACGTCTGGATGGCAGCGAGGAGAAGGTCTCTAAGCGTTTCGACTTGCTCCACGTTGTCCCCAAGATGGGACCTCACGCTTTCATCAAGGACAGCCCTCTGGCAAACGCAGCAGGTTTCATTGACGTTGAGGATGCCACTCTGCGTCACAAGAAATTCGCCAACGTCTGGTCAGCAGGAGATGCATCATCGTTGCCGACAGCCAAGACCGCTGCTGCAGTGACATCTCAGGCTCCTGTGTTGGTACAGAACATGCTTCAATCTATCGAAGGCAAGGAGCTCAATGCTGCTTACGACGGATACACTTCTTGTCCTCTGTTGACCGAGTACGGCAAGGTCCTGCTTGCTGAGTTCAAGTACGGCGGACAGCCCAAGGAGACATTTGCCAAGTTCGGACTCGACCAAGCTGTTCCTCGTCGTGCCTTCTACCACCTCAAGAAGGACTTCTTCCCTTGGGTCTACTATAACAACATGGTCAAGGGTACTTGGGGCGGTCCCAAGGGCTGGGTCTGGTAAAGAGAGCGCATGACTGACCCTGTCAACACTGTTTTTCGCTTCTTGTACCATTTGCATTGTTGGAGATTGAATTGGGTCAAATCGACCAGGTATTGAATTGTATATAGACAGGATAGACAAAAGCTACGGAGTTCATAGGCACCAGATATGAAAGCCATTTTCACAACCAGATGTTAATGAAGAGTAGAATTGATTTCACTCAGCGAGCCAGGCAAGAGTGTGCTTTGTTCTCAGGCCATGGCATAAATTTGCATAACTCGGTGACGTGTGTGCACAAAAGCGGCGACGCGTCGCAAACACGTTGAATGATAATTGATCGCGTCGCCACAAGCACTTTCCAAAGCACCTGCAGCTGTCGATGAGGCTGAATGCGGAGAAGGCAATGGCGAGCCAGGAACAAAACAGTCTCGAGAGCGAGCACGGTATATCTTTACTGCATGAGAAGATACTGCAAGTGAGTAGTTGTCACGGCTATCGACAGTCTATGCGATCGACGACCAGGATATGCAGCGCGGCGGCTAACAGCGACGTGCAGGAGAACAACCACTTTGCTCTGACCCAGCCATCCCAGAGGCCAAACAACGATGCGCCAAATGTTCACTCACGCCCTCGCCACACGTCAAACACAAAGATTCAGCGGTTGAAACCCTCGTCTACCGCTCCTGCCGTATCAGCCACACCGGACATGGACTCGACAGATTCACAACATGCTGTTCCTTCGCTAACCAAGCACACAACATTCCATGGCTTTCCCCTTCCGCTCGACCTCGATGGCGACACCCAGCCAATGCCCTCACAATTCTACAAAAACTTCACCAGCGGACTTGGACCAGAAGAGGACACTCAACCAGACGATGAACCCGCCCCAGATACCCAACAAGAGACGCCGCAGATAGACTTGATGCAACATTGGCAACAGCCCACCTACCACGAGCTTTCTAGCGATGAAGAGGAGGAGAAAGATGAAGGTCAATACTTCTTGAGCTCCGTCGCAAGACCTACCTTCNCCAAGACGCCTGCGACTGCTGGCCGCAAGCGCAACCACCGTGGAGATGTTATACCTTCCACTACGAGCACAAAGACGCCAGGCTCAGGCGGTATGTCGGCTTTCGCTTTTGGCAACGCTCCACCCTTGACCAGCACTCAGCTGTTCCAAGCTACACAATCTCCTTCAAGTCCGGTCCCCGATGTTCCGAGGAGCGATCCAGTATTGAGCCGACCAAGTCCAAACATTAGACAGAGTTCGCCTGGACAGAATCTGGCTTTCTCTTCGCCCTTGAAGGGTTTGGCACAAAGCCCCAGTCGATCAGTCAACATGGCAGGCAGATTGAGCAGGCCGAGTACAAGAGATGGTCTTTTCCAGAACAACAATATAATCATGGATGGGCTCGAAGACAGAGGCGAGAACGAATGGGAGTATCATGACCGTGAAGGAGTCAGCCTGGACGACCATGTCCATGACAGTTCAGCAAGCGAGTCAATGGATGAGTACGACGAGTTCGCTCAGTCAATAAGAATCAGTCAGCGACAAGCGTCATCTTCACCCCAGCCAGATCAGTCCGACGAAGAAAACGACCATGTCGAGTCTTCGAGTCGTACCTCAACACATTCCAGTCATCACAATCCGGATATCGAGACGCTCAATGCCTCCGTCCCATCAGGTCGTCAACAGAGCTCTCATCAACTACCTACCACACAGATGCTAGGCCAAGATGCTGAGACTTCCGATTATGCTGTTGCCGATTCGCAGCCCACCCGACACGACGAGACTCAACTTCCACCTCCTCTAGTCGAGCCTTCTTCCATGTCATCCTTTGTTCCTGGCTCTTATCCTGTGAGCCAAACGACACAGCGCTTGGACGCCTTGAAGCGCGATGCTGCAGACTCATCATCTATCCCGAAGCCTCCGCCAACAACTAGCCAAGTCGCTCCTCACACACAGAACCGTCTACCGAGTAGTCCTCCCCAACTCCCTGCCGTGTCTGAAGAGATCGAACAAGAAGAGGCTCTGGATTTGAGGGATCAACCTCGACCGGATGATGGTCACACAGGCAGATCATCGCCTTTACCAGAGACACGACCTGCTCCATCTCAGAGGACTAAGGAGCTGAGGGAAGATGAGCACAACCAAAGCTTTGCTGTTCCCGACACCGACCCCGCAGACGAGAACCGTTCTTCCAATCAACATCAAAATCCCCTTATCGATGTAACGCTTGTACAGCAATCGCTTTCGAAGCCGGCTGCGAACGCAGATAAGGATGTCTCTCCCGCTATTCCTTCCGTTTCGCAATTCGAGAAGCATCGTGCGAGTCAGTTGCAGACCCAGAGCCAGGTTCAAAGCTCATTATCCAGCACCGAAAGTCCGCGCAAAGCCGCTGGTATCCTCAATTTCGCAGACATTGCTACACAGCCTACACCTCCCAACGCTGTTTCCAGCAAGGACTTAGATATGAACATTGATATACTCTCGAATGACGATCACGATTTCATGGACATCATGGCATCGCCACCTGCGAAGAAGATGCGCCTGTATGGAAAGAAGGCAAGAGGATTGGAGAGGACGAGGTCGAAAGTGGTCGACAAGAGCCCGGCCAAGCCGCAAGCTACCATCAAGAGTCCGGCCAAATCAGTCGCCAGGACAGTCACCTTTCACGATGATGTTGTACCAGAAAACAAGCATAATGATGTCGCTCAAGTGGCTATCAATACTGCGGATACTCCCAAACCAATTGATCAGCCCGAGTTGAGACACTCGGAGACAGCAAGCACCATTGATCCCAACTCGCAAACACATGAGCCTGTTGAGACATCGCCCACAAAGTCGCTGGGAGGAATTCACACATCTTCGACTGATCAGGTCGTTGCAGAACTGCCAAACAGACCTGCCGACACAGTGGAAGTCGAAGCAGCGAAAGACGGAGAAAGACAANAAGCTAGTCTGCACTCACGCCAACCCACCCCAACAAGCAACGAAGATCAATCAACTCCACCTTCTGCCAGGAAACGAGAGCAGGCTGGTGCGTCTGCGGCAACAAAGGCACGCGATGCAATGCTCGCTCGTAAGTCCGTTGAAGTCAAGACTCCCATTAACAAGGGCAGTCCGGGAAGACTTGTACGACCGAAGCGGAGAACTTCCGAACAGAGCCCGTTGCGAACGCCTATTTTAAGAAGACAGGAGACTGGAAAGGCACCAAAGTCAAAACTTTCACATGCGCAGCGCATCTCACCAAACACTTGCCCTCAACAGGAAAAAGCAATGGCGCCGGCAGATTCTGTTCTTCAGGCAGGGGCTGCTTCAGAAGATACAGCAATTACGACCGAGCAAGCAGACACTGCTACTGACGTGTCTATGGCCGATGCCACGTTAGAACAGAACCATGACCACAGTGAGAATACCGTATCAAGCGCTGAAATTACTCAACCTGATCGAGTTTTGGCTCTGTTCAAAGGTACTGGACAAGCATATTATCCAGCTACATGCCTGGGAGCAGCAACTCTAGATGGTCTCAAACTACGCATCCGCTTTGATGATGGTACAATCACTCAGCTCGATTCATTTTTAGTACGCCGTCTCGATCTGCGACGCGGTGATCAAGTCAAGGTCGATTTGCAAGGTGTGCGTAGTAAGGTCTATGTTGTGGTCGGCTTCCAGGATAGAGTTGAAAACCTTGAGCCTGAGTCTTACCCCAAGACTGATGTTCATGGGTTTGAGACGTTGCAGCTGGTGGCTAAAGATCGAGATAGTGTCTCAGCACTGCCCCGTGAGGACTCCGCAGCATTGCTTCGAGTGCCTGTCACAAGCGCCTATCTTACACAAACGATGTGGGTTCGTTTCGAAGGCAGGAACTACCTTCCGTCTACAGCAAGTATGACGACTATTGCTACTGGTCATTCGTCCCGCCCTCAAACACCAGTCCCCCGAAGCACCACTCTCGCAACACCAGCCTCTAGATCCAGAAGAGGCACGGTCACCTCGATACATACCTCAACAATCACTTCAGTGCGATCGTTGGCACGACCAGAGTTTGCCTCACCACTTCCAGCTGGTCGCGGGATATTCTCTGGTATGGCTTTTGCGGTATCCTACAGCGCAGACTCACCCGAGAAGAATTGTGTCCTTGAGCTTATCCAAGCCCATGGTGGTCTGACATTAGAAAAAGGGTTTGATGAACTCTTCTTTGTCAAGGACCTCGGGGACACTCCTGAAGACACATACAGAGTTTCATCCTCTGCTACTAATGATACCGATGCCTTGGTCCTCTCAGCTCGTGCTCAAACTCTGGGCTTCGTTGCCTTGATTGCGGATAAGCATTCTCGCAGAGCCAAATATGTCCAAGCACTTGCACTCTCACTGCCATGTCTTTCAGGCCGCTGGATTCTCGACTCGATCGCCTCAGCCACACCTCTACCTTGGACCAAGTACCTCCTCCCAGCCGGAGAGTCCGCATTCCTCTCTGGTGCAGTGCGCAGCCGGACTCTCTCGCCCTATCTCCCAACCACGACTAAGCTAGCACAGACTATACAAGAACGAGAAAAACTACTTCAAGGCGGCAAAGTTCTTCTTGTAAGCGCAGGAGTAGGTGGCAGAAAATGGGAAGCCAGACGTGCTTATGCATTCCTGACTGTTGCCTTGGGTGCCAGCGTCGTTCGTAGAGTCTCTGGGCTCGACTCTGCCAAGCGCATCCTCGACGCCGAAGATGGGTGGGGCTGGGTGTATGTGGAAGGCACCATCGAAGAGGCAGAAAACGTACTCTTCCGAGGTGGCAGTGCTGAAGATACAGGGATCGCGAAGAAGGGACGTAAGAGGAAGAGAGAGGATGAACAAAATGAGAAGATGGTTGCGGTCGGCCGTGATGGAAAGGTCAAGATCGTTGGGGACGAATTTATAGTGCAGAGTTTGATTCTGGGTGATTTGATGTTGTAAGAGTGGGTATTGAATTGAGCGTGGCGTTGGAGGATGGAATGATATTGGTCTATTAGGCCTTTGAGTGGCGCTACTGATATTAGCTAAAGCACATATAATTATCAAAGAACGATGGTATAAGCCAAGTCTAGTATGTGTTGCATTGGTCGTCTTGAGGCTTCCACAGTGTTCTAGACATGCTAGTCTTTGTATACTGGCAAACATGGTAGATCGCTTTGTCAGCAGTGTCCATACATAGACAGCTCTGAGGTCCTCCAGAGATGTGGTAGGTCCTCATATCGCAACAGGTTATGAGCCCTGTCTTCGTCCCAACATGGTTTTTGTTGCTTATAACACTTCCAGAGGTCTTGTATACATGAACTATATGGTCTGCAAGATTTTTCTCATGCCTTCTGGGAACTCTTTCCTGTGCTGTTGGATTATGGACGAATATGTTCACTACTGGAACCAGGACGAGGACACCGAAATTTATTCTCCGTACTGATAAGTCTGCTCTCGACAACCATTAGGAACTGTCTGTCTTTACGGTTGAGGCCTCACAGCTGTCAAAAGTTCCCTGCTCTCTTATATGATCGGAAGGACGCAATTCGAGACAATCGGACAAAACGGAATAAAAGCGGTTGGAAAGTAAGAAACCCAACCAAATGCAGGAGCGGACTGCCTATCAGGAGATTAGTGCTTGCCAATACATGTGCGGCAGCTTTCATCTCACGAAGCACAAGGTTGAGGACGGACTGTCCCCATCGCAGCTGGCTTAGCAGGTTTTTCTGCTGGCGATCCAAGGACTAAGGTTGTCTTTCGAGAAATGGAGTTGCAGGAACAGCACGATTGTGGCATTTGATTCACACCACAATCGCACTCTTCGTCTGCAGGCTCTTGATAACCACAATGCCATTATCACCAAGATTCCCGTAGCTAGGCCAGACTTTGTCGCAACTTGACGCTGTCACAAGACCACGGTCTTACGTACCTTACATACCATCAAGATGTCCCAAGAAAAGCTTGCACACGAGTCATCCCTGCTCGCAATGCCCTTCCTCGATGACTATCTCCCTTTCCAGGCCCAATTCGATGGCCATCACAAGGTTACGGTGAGCAGGTTCTCAGAATCCTTGAGGCTGAGTAAGTTCTTCGTTGCATTCCCATAGTAGCCTGTTGCTGATTCAAGACTAATAGGAACATCGCCGCCACCACAACTACAACCGCCCTTAATGTAGGTTCTCTCAGTCCTCTGGAGATCGGCTTCGAAGCGTTCGTTTAAACTCCACTGCTTCGTAAGTTGTTTCTTACTTACATACAGTCACCAACTGGCGGATGGGTGTTGAGGAGAAAAGTACCACCACCGCCGTATATAGTCTGCGCTAGTCGTAAGGGCAAGTATGCGGTGATCCCCGGCAGCAACCCTAGACACTGCAAGGATTGCCAGGACAAGAGCGAAGCATGTGTCTTCGAGTTCAAGTAGACCTAGCACAAGGCAGATATGTTTTATATACCATGTTATCCGTAGATACCTCATCCCTGAGGCATAGCTGAATCCCGTGGATGTGGTCTTCTGGCCTACCTTGATTTGACACAGTACATACCCGGCGTAAAACCGTTCGTTCTGCAAGCTTTCCAAGTGTTGTCAAGTGGTGGATGATATGTCTCGTCTTTGGCTCTGTGTCGATCAGATGATCTCTTGCTAAGATCGTTCGAGCCTCGAGGGAGTTCACTGCAACTCCTTTCAGCACTGCTGGTCGAATTCGACTGCTTTCGGTCGTACTGAGTGTTTTCTCGGCATTGATGCACGACCACGACCACGACCGCTTTGAGCGAAACACGACCTCTCGGCACGACATCACTTCTCGGCATACCACGCAGATCCACGCACGACCAATTTCGTCACTGTCTCTGAAGCACAACGAACTGTCCTCCTGATCGTACAGACGTCTCATCACCTCTCGCCTGAACATGGATCCCATCATCTGGTCAAGTAACCTGTGGAATGGAGACATGGTGAGGTAAGTTATCAGTCTCTAATTGCAGCATAGCTGAACTGATCAAGATTCCCAGGGCCATCACTCAGAAGTCCACAAAGACAATCAAACTTCGCTCTCTCGACGGCACTACCGTTACTGTAAACAAGGGACTGCTGTTCTACTTCTCCAAATACTATAGAGCAGCCCTCAGTGGAAAGTTCTCAGACGCAAAGAAGGACACTTTCGACGTCGAGTTATCTGCTGCAAACCTCGAATGCTTCAAGATCTGGCTCGACACCGGCATCGTCCAGCCGGCGGAGCCGCAGTACGACAGTTGCATGTGTGAGTCCCATGTTCGTCTGTACATCTTCGCAGACCAGACGGACAATCTGGCACTCCGCCGTACAGTCATGAACTTCTTCGTCTCCAAGCACACGATGATTCCTTTCTACGATACAGTCGCGCTCGTCTACGCAAACCTACCTGAGAGCTCACCCCTCAGACAAAACGTTCTGAAGAGCTACATCACACACTGGACTCCAGAGAACGATGAAAAGACGACTATATGGAGGCCCTCGAGAGAGATAGCGAGGGAGTGCTCCAGGGCTTCATGTATGAGCTCTGTATTGGTGTGGCAGATCGTCAGGAAATCCATCCCGAGAGATGTGTTTGCTGTGAACGTCGCTGCGAGTACCATGAGCACGAGAGTGCCGAAGAGTGGAGCCACAGTATGTTAACATGAACTGTTAGTTTACGGACTTTCTACTGACACTCGAACAGCTTGTGGTTCGATCCAATCCGGTCGCTTCAGGCTGCCAAAGGAGTTTGTCGATGAAAGTTCGAACGAGGACGAATTGGTTGAGGAGCTCGAATGAGACTACACCGAGACCGAACCAGAGAAGCGAGCGGCCAAATGTCGAAATAGGCCAGTTCTTCCTTGCTAGTATCACATGATGTCTATAGTATACCCTAGAGGGTCGAAATCGAGTTCCGGGACAGCAAGAGCACGACAAACAGAGGAAGCCTGCTACAGCCAACTCGACGGCAGTCAACTCGACTGCGTACATGGCTATTCTTTTCTGTCAGATAGTTTCTGGTAGAAGAGAAGAACTTGCCAACACCCTTATTGTAGGCCTTTTGAAATCAAGTTTATTGACACTCTCTTGTTCCATAAAGTACAAATCTTGTGTCTTGCAAATCCTGCCATTCGCCTAGTTGCTTCTCAGGTCTAGTAAATTGATCTTCAATACTGGGTATGCATGCTCGTCAAGAAATTTGGGAAGGCGTGAACTGTGGTTCCGACCTAATTCCGAGTTGGTCCCCACCACGTCGCTTGCTGCTGGTTTTACGTCCAAAAGAAACTACACAAGGATGCCCTCCACCTTCCAGAGGTGTATTGGGCTGTCCTTCGATCAAGAAGCACGCTTGGTGAAGTACTGCTTCTCGGGCATCCGTAATTTTGGCAACTGCCCACAAGCTATTTAGTATTAGTTAGATGTTGGTAGAAACGGACGAAGTGCATAGGACATACTCGCATTCCATTCTTCCTCACTTTCATGCTCGTGGAAGTTGCACACGTTGGTACAGCAAGAACAACCGGTGCGCCCACTAATATTTGCCAGAACTTCACTTTGCACAACCTCACGATAGAACTCGCGGTGGGTCGTGATCTCCAGAGAACTGATAGGGTCATACATATCGTCCTCGGGCTTCCAGTGGTTTGCGTAGTAATCAACCACGCGCCTGCGATATGGAGAATTGCGTGGTAGATGAGAAATGACTAGGCCCACTTCGCGGTATCGTTCCATTCTTCCCTTCTCGGTCATGATTTCGCGACGAAGAGCTAGGATGTCCACCAAGTCGGCAAAGATGTAGATCTTTACACGATCCTCTCGATCCCAACTGTGCAGCTCGAGTTTACCGGTATGTAACCAGTTGATGAACACTTGGAGCTGCTTGCCGGAGAGGTTGACAGAGAAAATGTCCTGACGAGCTTCAGCAAACCGGCCATTCAAGGCTGCCGCATAGTAGGAAGAGAAGTAGCATAGTAGTGCTTTGTTGGCAGATTGAGCAGCGCCATGGACGGATCGGAGCTGTATCGTTTCGGGTGATCTGGACTTGATCTGACTAGATAGCATCAGCAAGGCATCCATCGAGAGTAACATCGAACATAGCTTACTCCACTGCCTGTTTGGACCAGGAGTTCCTTCCCCAGTCGTCTCGCTGTGTCATACCGGTAGGTCTCGAAGATCGTGCAATCATCTCAAAGTCGAGCGGGACAGTCTGGGCTTGCGTCGCAGTGCAATGTTGTGTAGTCGAGACTTGAAAGTATGGTTGCCGGAAAACTCACGATTCAGGGACCATCACATGCTATAAGCCAATTCTGCCACACCGCGAGCGTCAACTCGACTGAAACGGAACGTGTTTATTCAAGTCTCACTCCCCTTTGTTCTGCGTCTCAGATTTTGTCGTGACTCTAGTCAGCAAATACATTAGAGCGACAAGTCTCAGGCGGAACAACTTCACAATGTTCTGTCTCAAAAATAGGGGAACCATGAAACTTGGCCAATATGTCGTGAGGATTGAATGCGAAACAGAGGGCAGAAAGGATCCAGTCATATTCTTAGAGATTATAAGCCAGATCTCTGTCAGTTTTTGAGAGTTGTATTTGCGATTGTTGACTACATGATGATAAGTTGCTGGTGTCAACTCGTCCTTGGACGATGCTAAATAGTCGACTACAACTCGTTGAACCATGGAATAGCAGCCTGAGCTCCAGGTTTCTCGACAGTACGCGCTGCAGCAGAGTTGGCGAATTCGATCATCTTCTGGGGTGCTTCGGGAGTCTTGCCTCCATTCTTTGCGATCTCAACAGCGAGGCCTCCAACAAAAGTGTCACCAGCAGCGGTGGTGTCGACAACCTTTGCCTTACGCCCGGGTGTGTGTCCTGAACCTCGAGACTTGGCAGAGTGATAGACGCCCNNTGGAATTTATGTCAGCACTGATTGGCAGAGGTTTCAAGGTTTTCCTACCTTGGCTCCAAGAGTGACGACGACCATGTCGGGAACACCACGTTTGAAGAAGGCTTCGCAGATCTCTGGCAGATCTTCGTCCTTTAGCTCTTCTTTGGCCTCGCGGAGGATGTCGGCCTCGCTCTCATTCATAATCAGACAGTCAATGAATTGGTATAAATCGTCGGGCAGTTTTTGTGCAGGTGCTGGGTTCATGATAACCTGATCCAATGTCAGAATATAACTTTGATTAATAGTAGGTAAGCATACGTATTTGCCCTTGGAGTGTGCAAGCTTAATATTGTGCACAACCTGAGCAAGAGGCATCTCCAATTGGAAAACCACCACGTCTGCATCTTCAGGTACCAGGTCCTTGACTTCTCCAGCTCCGGAGAAGTTGGCATTCGGACAGAAGAGAATGCGGTTTTCTCCAGTCTTCTCTTCAACGATGATGTTGGCAATACCAGTCTTCTGACCGGGAACTTTTTGGATGTGAGCAGTATCAATGAATGTATCCTTCATAGCAGAAATGAAATCTGAACCGAACGAATCTTCACCAACGAAGCCAACCATGCTGACCTTGATGGGTGAGCTGTCGGCAGGTGTTAAACCATCACTGTTGCGAGATAGTCTAGCACATGCTACTGCTTGGTTCGCACCTTTGCCGCCAAAGCCAGTATCCGAAGAACTGGCTTCAAGCGTCTCACCTCCTGCTGGCACGCGAGGAGTGCGGGTGATGAAGTCAATGTTCAAGGAACCGATTACAGCAATCGAGCCGGGCATCTTGAAGAATCTGCTCAATAAATCTTGTTGTGTTGAGTAGAAACCTTTTGAGCGATGCCACGTATCGAAGGAGATGTTGATTGACTTGGTATAGAATTGTATTCTCGAAACGGAAGGAAGGCCGAGACCAAGAAACAGCTACGCACGCCAAGGCTGAAGCTCTCCAACTCCTCCACCTGAAACACCTACACTCGTTGTCCTCGCTGTTCTGTACAAGACCACGGCATTATTCTATAGACACCAAGATGCTCCTCCTCGGCCTCACTGGCAGTATCGCCACTGGCAAGTCCACCGTCTCGAGAATCCTGTCGGCGCATCCATACTCGCTACCTATCGTCGACGCAGATCGGATTGCACGTCAGGTCGTCGAACCAGGAACAGCCGGTTATAGCAAAATTGTCTCACACTTTGGACCATCAACGCCCGACCTCCTGCTCCCAGCAGACCCCTCTACAGGTGGTGAGAATGGACCCAACGGCAAAGGCAGACCGCTCAACCGGCCAGCGCTAGGGCGTCGGGTGTTTGGTGAGGGGAAAGAGTCGGATAGGAAGGTTCTAAACAGCATCGTGCACCCGGCTGTCCGTCGCGAGATGTACAAGCAGATGCTTCAAGCATACCTCAAAGGCCACTGGGCTTGCGTCTTGGATATACCCTTGCTCTTCGAGAGCGGTTGGGAGCCGCTATGTGGAACCATCATGGTGGTAGCAGTCAAAGATGCTGAAATTCAGATGCAGAGGCTACTTGCTAGAGATGCACATCTGACCGAAGAGGATGCACGAAACAGAGTTGCCAGTCAGTGGGACGTCAGGGACAAGGCCGCAAGGTGTCTGCGTAGAGGAGAGAAGGCTGGAGTTGTTGTCTGGAACGACGGGGACCAGGAGCAGCTGAAGCGTGAGATCGATAGAGTCATGGAAGTCGTGAGGGCAGGCTCTCCGTCCTGGTGGTCATGGTTGCTCTTGTTCTGCCCGCCGCTGGCTGTTGCTTCCGGAACTTGGAGCTATCTCAACGGCATGTGGGTGAAANAGAGCTGGGAGAATGAGAAGCTGAAAGAGAAGGCAAAGCTGTGATTCTTTCTTCATTCTTCAGCACGAACATCCTACCGCCCTAATACCCTAATATTAGAGTATCTGGAAGTTTACTCTTGCTGTCAACGCGCTTCACTTTTGTGTTGGGGCACTTTCCGCTTCTATCACTCACACAACCTAATTTTCCGGACTTCGTCAAGACTGCGCCTTCCACATTCCGTAGTTTCTTACCATCATCTTCATCCTAGCAGTTTTGGCCAGGTAACATCAACATGACTGGCAGCATCCAAGGTTCTGCAATCGACGACAGTTTCGAGACCCTTACCAATGCACCGGACGCATGGGTGTCTGGTCGCTATGCGGCAGCGCCTCCAGTCGACTATCAACATTACGTCGAACCAGGAGACACACGCAGCGCTGTTGACGACAGGTGCTTCACAGAGCATGGAGCGGTCGAGCATACGCGTTACGTCAAAACAACCAAGCCAGCAAAGGCTGATTCAAAGCACCGTCAATCGCGCCAGACATCAAGCAAGCCGCCATCTCATGGAAAGCGACGCCCTTCGCCCAGCTTCCGCATCCGCAGCAAGGACGGCGACAGTGTTGTTGTAAGCAATCCATTTGTGCTGCGCAAGCCTTCTCGCCCTCAACCTCGCCGAGAAGCAGGATCCTCCTCCCAAACGGATGATCAAAGTCAATCCTCTGCGACGACAACTGCTCGCTCTCGTACCTTCCAGATCCGCATCAGAGGCAAGAATGGCAAGGAAGCTATACACGAGATCAAGAGACCACTGTACTTCGCCTCCCAGTCTGGCAACGTTCGCGAGTCGCAAGCAACTACGCTTGTTGGAGACGATTCAGGCCGCGAAAATGTAGAGTACTGGGCTGCCAACCAGTCAGAATCCAGCCAGAAACGAGAACAGAGGCACAAGAGCAAATGTATGCATTCTTGAAATGGAGTCGAAAACGCAGTGCTAACCAAGCCACGCACAGCAGGACAACCAATTTTCACCGACTTTGTTGTCGACTCGTCCACAGTGGCCTCCTCAACCCCTGGTAGCTCTGTCAGAATGTCCGGAGCCCTCCCACGCTCTTCTCCTGCTCCAACTACAAACTCGTCCAGATCACGTCTACTGCCGCCAGAGAAACCTGATAGCTCTATGCACGATTCTGTCATGTCTGTCAGCAAACATCCTAGTAAGAGCCCGTCTCACGCCGTCTCTCACCAATTCGAGTCGTCACCAAAGAGCTCATCTCGTATTCTTTCGCAGAATGAGGTTATCATAGTTCCGGATGAGTCCTTAGACGGTTCAGCAGTGACTCCGTTCTCGTCTCTCTCAACGCACTGCATCGTATCACCTCGGGCGGTCTCTTCAAACACTCCAATCGAACAACCGGAGGCAAATGATGCGTCTAGTACCTCCGACCTTGCCCCGTCATCCATCTCCTCCAACGCAACAGTCGACAAATCATCATCCAGCGCGTCTTCCGTCCCTCCTTCGACAACCTCTCGCATGTCATCAAGCCGTATCGTCACATTAACTCAATCCTCGAAGCAAGAACAGGAGTATCAGGATGACTCTCGACCTGTTACTGTGTCGTTGAGCAAGCAGAAAGAATTAAAGCAAGAGGCTTATTACAATTGGAAGGCTCCAAAGGACTCCTTGTACTCTATCTCGACGAAAAGCTCAAAGCCCGTGTCCTCACGCCCTGATCTGGTCGCTCCAGAAAAAATCACTTCTGCAACATCTAAGGCTTCCAGCCATCATGGCGGTTTAACATCGCGCCATGCAGATGCAGACAGCGATGCTTCACTGTCCGAGCGCTCCAGGGTTTCACAAACATTACCTAAAGGATACAAACCACCTCCACGCTCTTCATCAGCACGATCAGCTAGTGCTATAGAAACCATCGATGGCCGCGTTCAAGGAACCATCTCGGAGAAGACACAAACTTCTGGCCAGAGTCGATCAGCTCGATGCATCCCACTGCCTGAGTCGCGCTCATCTTCATCCAGATCAAAGGCAAGTCGATCGTCAAAAATGACCACCCGACAATCTACCCACTTGGCTTCGCAAAAGCCAGTACATGGAGACCAAGAATGGAACAAACCCCTCTCAGAAGCCGCAGCCACCGAATGGACGGTTGACGAGCATTCTGAGCTGCCTGCGTCCCACCATACAGACCCTGACGAGTGGGGACAAGCCGCTGAATGGGAAGAACCGTCAACGTCGTCACATCGTTCGAAGATGACACGAACCTCGAGATCGCATCGAAATTCGTCACGCCAATATGAATTTTCCGGTCGACATGCAAACGAAAGCCTCCAACAAGAACACAATGGGCATGAACTGTGGGCCAACGAGGAGGAGGGTTCTCAGAGATCGACCAGGTCAACATCACCAGTCAACATCGAGGAAGACTTACTCCATTACCTCCCAGCGCCTTCTGACGATGACCGACTACCACCACCGATGCCAATGCTTACTACTATCTATGAGGAATCAGAACCTACGCCATCGAGCCATGTGCCAAGCATGCTAACACAAGAGACTACACGTTTCGCAAGACCAGGCGCAATATCGCCTCATCCCTTAAGCTCTGTTTCTTCGGCAGCAACAGCACGGAAGCCCCCAACCAATGAACCTTACAGATTGGAGTACCAGAAGCCATACGTGGAAAGCAAGTCGAGCTCAAGTGCTTCCTCGGGGGCTCACGATAGCGACTTTAGTCGTCGAAGCTCGAGACCGAGAATGTTGGAAGAACAAGCTTACCACTCGGCAAAGGAAGCTAGTCGCAGCCGTAGTAACAAGGAGATGATATCAGGGAGTGGAAAGTCGTCGAGAAAAAGTCGCAGTTCAGCAAAGGCATCAGGCGGAGGTTGGAAGTTTTGGTAAGGAAGAGTTTTGCTTTCGATTGAAAGGGTAAAGCAAATAGGTCCTTTCCCCTCGAATCTTGTCGTTATGCTCGAACAAGGCTGTAATTTACGATATATCTTGGTTTCTGTCTCGTTGCCTTTTATGTGAACACTGCTGTAATGCATCGCAATTGAAACCAAACCAGCGCATACCATGATTATCTCCATCACAAGACATAGATCAAGCACTGAGAGTATGCGCTACCAAATAATAGATGTTAAAAACATGTTCTGGTCGTGTTCGTACTTCATGGCGTGTATATATTGGATGTTCGGCTGTAGATCAGGGTCGTACATCCAGCATGCGGTGATGGGCGTATCTGTGGAGGCGGAGCTCAGCACGCATCTTGTCTTCTNNGACATGTGAAGCAACGATGTGATGAGCGCGCAATTCCNNCCTACACGACCGATATCGAGACTCACGGGGCACAATGGTACGTTCGCTGTGCGCCTTGTACAACAGCTCCCAAGCTAATGCGCATGTACAGGCCAAGTGCTCGCCCTTTGCTACAGCGCCGGAACAGGCCAATACGTACGTCTCGATACCACGACCCGCTACACGATCGCACACGCCTGACCACCGCCACAGCTCTTGACCGGCAGCACCGACCGACAGATCCGCCTTTTCAACCCTGCCACCGGCCTTGAAGTCCAGAAATACAGCGCCCATGGTTACGAAGTGCACGATTTGAGGGTCGCCCAAGACAATGATCGCTTCATCAGTGTAGGCGGTGACAAGACTGTTTTCCTTTGGGACGTTGCTACGCACCAGACATTGCGCCGATGGAGTGGTCACGCTGGCCGTATAAACGCTTGCGCCTTTGCTGGCGAGGGAGATTCACTCGTTGTGACTGGGAGCTTTGATTCGACCATCAAGATCTGGGATTGCAAACAACGGAACGAGAAACCCATCATGACCTTGTCAGAGGCCAAGGATGCCGTGTCTTCTGTCTCTGTGTCTGGAGCCGAGATCTTGGCCGGCAGTGTGGATAGCAGGGTTAGATGTTATGATGTGAGGATGGGTGTTATCGACCAGGATGTGCTTGGTCATCCCATCACTTCCGTCACGCCGACCGTCAACAACGATTCCTATCTCGCCAGCACCCTGGACTCTACATTGCGGCTCATGGACAAAAGGGACGGCAAATTGCTCCAAGCGTTCCGACATCCAGACTTCAAGAACGAGAACTACAGACTACGATCTACCCTGGCTGCGGGAGACAGTCTGGCCATCTCTGGCTCAGAAGATGGACATATCTACATCTGGGACTTGTTGACTGGCAACTTGAGTCACAAGCTCAAGCATTCTGCTCCTGTTCTGACGGATGGCACCAAAGCTTTTGTGTCCATGTCCTCGAAGAGAGACGTGGTGAACTCGGTAGTATGGAACCAGCTGAGGAAGGAGTGGGCTAGTGCTGGAGGAGATGGCAGTGTCGTCGTCTGGGGGACTTGAAGACTATCGAACTACATTCTGCATCGAATTCCATCGAATTCGAAATGATTCAGACTGCTTGAGACATCTCCGGTGCAATATTTGATAGTGACACACTCGTTGACTCTTTCACGCTCATCCTCTTTTCGGTACTCATGAATCACGTACAACATGCATCTGTTCATCGCTCCCACTGTGCTGGGCCCGGCTCGCTCAGTGTTCCTTGAGTCATAACATCCAAGCCTAAACCCTGCCAAGCACGCAACTGCCTATTTGAGCCTGGCTCACAGATGTCGTACTGCTCGGCGGGGTTCACCTAATATGGATTGAATCGCGGTACCTTGGCAAACTTGCTTGTGCGCACGACATGAACGAAAAGCCGGACGAGCTCGCTAGACCAATGTTTGGTTGACATGCCTTATACACAACCGACAGTCAGGCAGCCAATCACGAGATCTTCGGAGCCTTGCGTCATCGAAGGATGTCCCCTTCCTCATTCAATCCATAATACGAGCTCCTGCATCACAATGTGTGTCTTGGGGAAGATGAGGAGCTGAAGGTCTCTTCTTCGGCGTACCAAAGCGCAGATATTTCGTTTGGCACGAGCTTTGCTAGGGCCCAGTGTCTCGGACGCTGCATTGGGGCACATTTTAGTCTTTGCGACCCCTTTTTTCTTCTTCTCTCGGTGGAGAGATTTTCACGTGCGTAAGGATTGTAGTGCCTCTGATATGTTCATTAGTTGCGGCAGGATCGAAGTCGTTACCAAGCAGTCTACAAGCCCTGAGAGTACCCGATGGATGTCTCGCTACCCTGTTTTCCTTAGCGCTGCCTGTCTGCTTCAGCCTGTATGCTTCACTACATCACGATGCGGCAACTTGACTGAACATCATGACCATCTCGTGAGCCAACAGTTTTGTTCTCGGCAGGCGCGCCTAACCGACGAGATCCGCCATCTTCATCTGAGACCAGCCATTGCCGAGCGAACACGTCCTGAGATGCACCATGATCCTTCGTGAGTAGTCTAGGCGCGTTGGTGGTGGTACGTCGTGTCATTCGAGTTGGATATGCCACAACCGATGGATAGCTCTTGCAGAAGTAATTTCCGGATGTATTGTTGCCTCTCCGTACGATAGCAGCACCCTGGAATGGCGGAATCAAAACCGCGGAGTGGACTCCTATGTCATCGAGACATTGACCTGCATTAGTGGTCCGTCGCAAAGAAATGTGGTCGCCACGAGGCTTCGAGTGGATTCAACGCAGAAAACTGTTTCATTTGAACCCATGAAGCTCTCTTTTGGTATTGAAGTGCCAAACCTCTCCGGCGTGTCTTCTCATGTGTCGTGTTCTTTGATCTCATTCGGAGAAAGGTCGCCGCCGTTGGATGTCGGCAAAGGCACAAGGTCGGCGGATACCCTGCGATGCTACCCACAAGCTATAAGTAAGGTTTACTCTAAAGATATTAGCGCAGCATGCACTCGAATTCCGGTACGCAGGCCCGGGCCGTTTTGAGTCGGCGGCACCATATCGTGTCACTGTATCTTGTTAGAAAACTCAAAACGGTCATCAATTGCGAAGGTTAGTAGGCAGATTGACCAATCATGTGTGACGTTTTGCTTTTCTCTCTCACCCTTTTCTTTGGAACGCCTACTGCCGAACGGATTCAACGACTTCCTTGCTTCTCTGCTGCCCACGCTGGTTTGTGTACAAGCTAACCACGAGCTCGCGTGCTGTACAGTTTAGCCGTGTAAGAGCAGGGTTGGGGGACGTTTGCGTACGGGCGAGCATCTCCGCGACTGTTGACTCAGTCGTTGAACGGTGTGTTCGCTGGCTCTCAGGAGAGGCATCGGTGACCTTAGACGAGACATTATGGTCATTCCCGAGAACATTACAAGCAACACTGGTAGTGCGTGAGTCGAGGCATGCATGCTGCCTGTCTCCTGAATCGCTCGTTGAAACGAAAGTGCAAGCATGCGGTTGATCGAAAGACTACGGCATCACTACGTTGGATGGTTGAATCATCATGCTGTTTCTTCGCCTGTCCATACATGTCCGGCCAAGCGCACTGTCCAGTGTTAATGGTAAAGAACTATTGAATTGCAATCGGCATTGCAAATTTGCCAACCTGCATGCTTAACTTCGCCATCATAAACCTGCGTAGCTAGATGCACGATGCCTGGCCGCTGGAATCGTCATATTGATGCTACTTGAACGGCAGTCTCTCAATAGTCAGAATCCTGTCTTCCTATCTCAAGGAAGTCGTTCCTTCCCCATGGTATTTCTTAAACGATTACAAGGAAAACGCCTGACTGCATTGTCCTTTCTCGGACCGGCTACTCAGCTGCTAATGAGGAGCCGGCTCATAGACTATATGTGGTTTGATATACATATACCGTACCAACATGTATCGTAAGCATGATGCGCATCTCTTTACATTAAAGGCTTGCACCTTGAACGGAGGTTCATGCAATGCAGCCTCGGTACTTGGGGGTGAAGCCCCGGCTTTTAAAATCCTTCGATACTGTCAACCAATGGAATAGGAAAACTTTGCCAGCCGCTCTTTTCTGCTGGGGCAGAAGTAGGTCCACGACTCATGATGTAGACCGAGCAATGCCAGTCAATTGTCTGTCTCTCGATCCACGGAGCTGCCGAATCGATAGCAGTCGTCGTTTTCGTTCAAGCATCAGCGCGAGTCATATGCGAAAGACTGCCGAAATCTGGGGCAAGCAAAGGCAAGCGGTACAATATTAAAGAAATTACGTCAATTGATGGTCCTTGCAAAGAGTCGTTCATGTGGAATGTCCTGAGAACTCGTACATCTCTCATCGTCCTTCGCTCACCGCCTTGGAAGTAGATGGTGGGAGAAGTTCCATAGCACACATCTTGCTGCAATGTGAAAACCTGCTCCATCGGTTCGCTGATCCTCCAACAATTCTCATTCTCCCCCATGTTGGTTGCTCGAGGAGCTGTTACCACGGCTGTCGCTTTGAAGGCCTCAGCTGCCCGGACCTCGATAAGTGCCATCCTTTTGCTAGTCTGCTTGGCCTGAATTTTGGCGCTGGCGCAGAATTGTGCAAGATCGTGTAGAGTGGCTATGCTGTCGTTGATGAGCCTCATAGTGTGGCCAAGCTCCTCTCTTAGACCTCCAGCACTGAGTGTGTCGATAGCTGCAGTTATGCCATAGGCGAAGAAAGGAGATAGCAAATTAATCGGATCCTGGCCTTTGCCTGATCCATAAGGTTTTGTGCTTCGGATGTCGCAAACCATTTCGAGTAATTGGACAGCGTTCGTACGCGCGAGTCGAATTTGTCGCGAAATCGTTTGGGGTGACAAAAGCTCGTGGTGCGCATTGCGTGCTGCTTTCAACTGCGAGACATGATACAAAGCATGCATAGCCACAAGACTGCCTGCGTATCCATGGTGAGTCGCCTCGATAAGTCTTTGTCGGCTGTATTGCAGGTGAGGCGGCAGTGATGATCTCCAGTCAAAGAGCTTGGCCTGAACATCACCCAATAATGATTCGTGACTTTTAATGTATGATCCCGAATCTGCAGTCTGTCGAGGTCGGCGGAAGATAAGTTTCGTCACATCGGTCCAGAGAGAAGCTATGATCATGGTGTGTGCCGCAGGACTTGGTGTATTCGTTTTTGGGTCCAGTGATTGCAGTCCCATGCCTGGCTGGAAACAATCAAACATTGGTGCATCAGAAGCCAGCCCTTCTTCGTAGATCTGCTCGTTGCAAGGAAGTCGAAGTCGAATGTCCTCAAGTTGTATAGCACAAAGCAATCCTCCACAAAAACCATGATATCGNCTAGACAATGTCAGTGTACATACTCGCTTTCAGGTATCGTGCAAACTTACATCCACAAGGAAAGCAGTCCAGAAGGTCCGCCTGCGACATTCCCTGAGTTGTTCACGCGAAAAGCTGTAGTATCGTCGCGTAAACTCGTCCAGATCTTCTCCACATCCTTCTTCACTATTCAATCGCATCGCGCTAATGACTCTAAGAGCAGAACCGCTCAGGTCCCAGCCTGCACTGTCTTTGCCGACAAGATGATTGTATCCAGCTACAAGCAATCGAGCTTGGACCAAAGCTAAGCTGAACTTTCCATCAATGCGCGCCACCGCTTGACCAGCTCTGTCCGCACAAATTTTGGCAAATGAGGAAAACTCATTCTCGGCAAAGATAGAACCCAAAGCAAGGACGGCGTATAACACCATACATTCTCGTTGACACTTCTCGCGACATTGTCGTACCCAGCGGGTGAAAGCATTACGAGGAAACATTATACTGACCTCACGGGCGGATTGCGCAAANAATAGTTCCAGGAAGCGCATAGTGGCTTCAGGGTCGTAGAGATATGGATCCTGATCCCAAGCTGAGGGATCTAGTTTCTCGGCTCGAGGACTGGGATGTACCATATCCTCAAGGTCCACTCTTTTGCTGTCCTTGCGCTGTCTTTCAGCTCCGTCGAGAGAGGAAGCAGAGCCATCAGACTTGCGCCTCTTGACACTCTGTGGCGACTTTTCACGATTCCATGTCGGCGGTAGATTCAGGACATCCTGTTGTGCTGCTTGTGCTGAGCGTCTGCGCTTTTGGTTTGGCACTTCGGCCACGGCGATGCTGCCGGAAGATTGACTCGACCAGTCAGCTCGTCCCAGAGGAAGATTAGGGATGGCCAGCGTCGTATTGTTGATAAGCTCGACCTGTGATTGAGGAACTGGTGGCCTGCTTTCATTCCTTAGTAGACAGTCGGTGACTGAGCTCGGAGACGCAAACCTGTGACATTCTCGCTTGGCCTTTTCGCATTGAAGGCAACTCTTCTCACCAGGCTCACATTTGATCTTCTTCTCACGACAGTTTCTGTTCACGCGTTAGTCACTGCCTGTTTGCAAGACAACGCGTTCAACCTACAGGCATGCCTGAGCAAGTCTTTTNCGAGCCTTGCCTGCCTTAGTCGTTCCCCAAAGCGGGTTCACTGGTTCTCCATCAATGATGGTCGGACAAGTGCTACCGTCCTTGAACACATAGCACATACCCTCCCCGGGTATATGCCGTTGTCCCACGCACTGTAGGCTGTAGTTACTGGGCGGAGGCGCATTTCGCATTTCTTGGGTGGCATTCATGCGTCTAGCTATATCGCCTTCGGTGTCTTCGCGATAAGGAGAAGCCACCTGTGACTGAGATAGGCCCATGCCGTCCACGCCTTGCGCAGCTTGAGTCGGCTGCTCCGACACGCATGGGCCCTGGTAGTCCGAAATTCTGCGAAGTGGAGGAGGTGGAGGAGGGGCGGGCAATGACGGTCTGACACCAAGAGGAGCTTTTGGAGCGGGTTGAGAGAAGCGATCAGCGCTAGAAACATCCAGAGAGAGACGATGGAAAGGTGGTGGCGTAGGGTTGAACGGGACCGATAAGACTTGAGATGGCCTGTGTTGGCCGGTAGAGGAAGACGCACGGCCATCGGACCAGCTAGACTGTAAGTTGTTGACTGATGGCCAATTGGGTGAATATGATGGCGGACCGGATCTCAAAGACGGACTCAAAAGCTCCTGGAGACCAGGGAGCTGTTGGCGTGGCTGGTTTGAATCACTAATCCTAGCAGGCAAGTACGGCGTCGGTGCATTTCCCATGCTGGCAGGCTCCATTGGTCTCAAGGACTCTGCTTGCACCATCGAAGGTCTGCGGTTAGTTTCGTCATAAGGCCATGATTGTGCTTGTCGCGAGGGCGTGAAAGCCGGTGGGTGGTCCGGGATTGATGGCATGTTGATGATATGAAGGACGGATGGTCATGGGAGATAGGGCAGGTTGTATGTATGTAATAGTAGGAGGCGAGTTACGTGCGGAGCTCAGGATCACGGCCGAGCTTGGGGCTTGGATGAGGAGCAACGTTGACAATAAAATAATACCGTGCGCGAGAAGCCGGTCAGAAATAGCCGGAGCTCAGAGCTGACGTTAAGTTAAATGCGCCACCTGCTGGGAGATTAAAGTTGCGGGAACGAACAACCGATAGGGACAAGTTCGCTAGATGCTGATCTCTTGACTGGTGTGGAGAGGATTTAGATCCTTCAGATGCAGGATCAAGAAAACCAAGACCGTACCGACCGATCCGCCAGATGGTGGGATCAGGGCAAACCGCATGCCTGGTCCGTCTTTTCTCCCATTCATGAAAATCCATCGCGTCAGGAAGAAGTTATGCATGGAGAGCATGCGAAATGTATGTATACGTGCAAGTCACTCCCGTCCAGTATCTGCAAGAAGAGACGACCCGGGTGTCATTCTGCTTGTACCGGACCAGGGTTGAATTTCGACGACGCCGGCAACAAACTTTGGGGGCAGGTGCAGCGAGCGGCTCTCCTTTCCGGCTCTCAGCAATTCATCCTAGTGAGACTACTGTTCAGGCAGTTGGTGATACTCCCGAGACCGATCGCGCGCGTGTCTGAAGCTAATAGTCTCGATCGCTTCCTCTTTTCGAATACAGTAGCTATCTGAGTAGGCAATTCAAAGCGACCGTGTCCGCGATTGGGCACCACTTCCAACAAATCCCCCAAAGCTACGACCTGGATGAACCAGACCATCGGCAGCACATTTTCATACAAACAGGGCACAGTCGACAAGAGGAGTCGTCCGACGAGTCAGTTTCAGCACCAGGGCCGCCGGCCAACATCCGAGTAGGTAAAACGCTTTTCCGCCTCGCGCCTCCGCACTATTGTCCAATTCCTCTCTCCACTTGGCTCGACGGGGACAAATTAAATGGCTACCTTTGTAGTCACGGATCGGAATGGCTTGCATGTGGCTCTGCAAGCTGCCAGCCCTCGTCACTGCTGATGTGTTCCCGCCATGGATATCGTTCTAGACCATGGCCTATTCGCAAACCAAGTCGTGTCGGTCGATCGATCAAGCGAGAGGGAACGAAACAATTCGCAGACATTTGCCCTAGGTAGTCTATTGTACCACACTATCCTCGACCGAGAAATTGCGCGCAAACGAGCTTTATCGAACAGTCGGCAAGACCAATACCTATCACCTCATCACACCGCGATCGAGTTGTTACATCTCTGCTCGGGCTTAGCGTGAGGCAGATGCGGGTCAGCTTCATACATACGCCCACGAACTTTGACATGTGCATCTTTGACGAGTTCGAAGACGAGCAGTATAACTCGGAGACGGGCAATATACCGTCTTGTGCTTCAAGAACGATCTTGCTCGGTGTACCAGATGTGTTCATGTAGAGTTGTGGTGGGTGACGAATTTGTCCTGTGGTATCAGCTCCATTTTCGAGATGCTGGCGTTGTTTCCCACATCTCTACGCCATTTTGTCTTGAATACTCGAAGGATTCTCTGAAAAGACACGAATAACCGACTGACACGGTGATCTCAAGCTGGCCAGTTATTGTCGCAGGACAGCATCCTGTACGTGCGTAAGAAATCTATTAGAGTTGGCTAGTGGGGTTCGATGTACATGCGAGTCTGTGACGGATCCGCACCAAGATTCACGCCGTTTCTATCGGATAGCACTTGATAGAGACGGTCGCCGACGGGCCCTACAGTCGCGGCCGCCGGGGAGTACGCAAGTCCTATGATCATGTCGTCGTCGGCGCAACTCATGATGAGTCGCGAAGGACACTGACAATAACAACTCGTGTTCGAATTTTGACTAACAAACATATGTTGAGCCGAACCCTAGGACCTCATGAACCCTGCAGTACTTGTGTTCATGTGCCACCAGTGCGTGTTTCCGACGACCTGGGTAGTCTGTCTTGTTCCCTCATCGCTGGTACAGTCCAAGATGGCTAGTCTCTCGCCATCTCCTTCCTCAGGTCCACTAGCTGTCTGCAGTCGTTCTCAACCGTCATGTCATCTTGCTACGTAATCAGGTGATCGAATACACGCGGATGTAGGAGAGTACACATCGCATTGTTTGGGACCTAAGCAGTTCTATCCACGCGAAGAACGTCAGCCCACGCCACTTCTGTTCGCACAACGGAGCTGTCAAGCAGCAAGGGTTCTGAACAACGTGCAAAACCTTGGGTGACAGCAGTTTACAACCTCGAAAATACAGTGGAGAGGCTCAACTTAAGGTGAGGTCATTGCCTTTAGACTCACGGCGCCTCGAAGACTATTTGGAATCACACTCTGGCGGTAGCGAGCAGACTCAATCTCTTTCTGCTGGAATCCTTCATGTGTCTGGTGAACGGTGGAAGGGTTCTACCAGATACACAGGTACTACACCGCAAATCCGCTACAACAAAGTTTGAACTCGAAGAAGTGCCGTTGGAACTCCGCGAGCTTGGCTCCATATACCTGGAGCGTGAGTACTTGTGCAAAGTCAATTCTGATTAAACTTTCAAACATTCCGCAGATGTCAGATGCAGAAAATGGTCGATGGAAGACAGTACATACAGGGCGAGTAACTCGGCTAGGCCCAAGTCGAAAAGTCGTGTCTACGATTGCTGTCCTGCTTTACACTTGCATGTGTGGAAACTCAGCTAACGTTACTGATCTCCCTACCATGTAACCGTATGATGAACGGCTGTTCCAGTGAATTTCAGCCGAAGTCGCCCGCGAGAAGTTATCGTTTCATCAACCGCAGGATGCAGCCAAAGGCTATGGCTGGCAGTCGCATGGACCGCTGTTGCTGGCACAGTGGCACTCTGAGTCTTGAGGCCACAGGTAGGGCTCTCCAAATGACAAACATGTCAAGTCTAAATTGATCATTACCGCCAGTCACACGCTACCTAAACATGATTCGCCTTTTTGGGCTTCGCGTCGCCAAGCCAGCTCAGCCAGCCAATGAGAGGCTCCGATCAGCTCCGATATTACCCCATTCGGCTTATCTCCACTACCTCCGTGCCGTCGCCGCCCCTCCAGAATTCTAGGCGGGTAACGCTAGACTCGCCATAATATCGAATTCCATATAACTACTACTATGTCAATATAGACCCCTAATGCCATGGCCTCTAGCCTTAAGTATAAGCACCCTAGTTACGTCCTTAATAAAGAGCTCGAAGAGAACTTTACTAGAATACCCCTATCGCTAGAGTTTAAAACTGCTAGAGCTATATATTACTACTACGGTTTTAAGCGCTCCTAGCACTCTATACGCCTCTCTAAGCACTTATTAAAGTGCATATAGTATATGCCGACTAAGAAAATAAAGTACTTAAAGCCCTTTATTATTTAGCGCCCTTAAGAAACACCTACTTTAACTACTACGTACGCCGACGAGATCTAAACTGCCTTTATAATGGCTATATATATGCATAACCTCCCTTTTAACTACTAGTCGTAAAAGTAGACTAACCTCTTTATTTATACTATTAACCTCTATATTAAGATCCCTCGCGCTAAAGAGCTAGGTAGCGTCCTACTTTAGAGGGCTTATAAGACTACCTAGGCACGTTTTATGCCTATTATTATGTCCTATATACGACATAGCATTAACTTTATTATAGATAAGTCTACTAACCTTAAAAAATAACGGGTTATTAATCTCTCTATAAACGTTCCTAACTATAGCGCCTTCTATATAAGCTTAGAAGTGGTTCTAGAGGGTACCTCTATAATAGGCGAGTTTATTACTAAGTGGTTTAGAAGTAAGATTTATAACCTTAGAAACTATAGAGTTAATGCTATTATTACTAATAACGTTAGCTATATAAAGAAGGTATAGCGACTACTTAAAAACTAGCACTTCTACTACCTTATTACTATTAGTTATTATACTTATAGCCTTTAACTTCTTATTAGCGATAGTCTCGAATCTAAGATAACTACCTTCTTTAGTATTCTTCTTAAGTAAGTATAATTAATTATTACCTTCTTTATTAACTCGCCCCTTTAGCTTAATAGATTACGTCTCTTAATGCGTATTAAGCTTAGTAAAGTTGTCTTATTTATCCTTACGGTAGTTACTTAATAGGGAACTTACCTCGCTATAATAAAGTTAGTTACGCGCATCTATAACCCCTTACTCTATTATCTATACGAGTACTAGCCTACACCTAATCTAAAGGAGCTAGAGAGTCTTAAAACGCTAAGATTACTAGCTTATAGCTATAAGTTTTAGGACTGTCTTAAATTCGCTATTAGGACTTTTAAAGTTATTACTAAGTTAATTAAAATGGCTAAATTAGACCTCTATATGCTATGCTACTATATTCTAGCTTACTAGTATGTCTTCGAAGAGTTTAAAAGGCTACTAACTATCCTATATATAGAGTTAAAGCATAAAGAATTGTCCCTCTTACATAGGAGCGTTTTAAGGCTTAGATTAATAACTATTATATTACTACTTATTTACTTAATCTAGTAAACGCTCGCTACTAGAAACTAGTCCTATTTATCGACAAATTTAACTAGAGATCCTTACTATAGAGGGTCTTTAATTAACTATTACTAGCGCTACTTAATGCTATAAACTAATTTAATACTTATAGGAACCTCGAAGGGCACTTTAATATAAGGTCTAAGCTATAGTAATACCTCTTAGATCTAAATACCTTTTAGTAGTAAGTCGATAGTGCTACTTTTACTCTATCGTTAGTTATATAGAGACTAGCTATTACCCCTACTAATTTAGTCCTCTCTAAGCACTTATTTTTTATCCTAAACTTAATCTATAGCGACCTTAGAAACTCGCTAGATCTAAAGAAGGTTAATATGCTATAGTGTATATACATTAATAAGTAAGTTCTAAGGCATATATATTAACGAGACTATAGCTATAAGGCCCTCGTTGCCCTTAAAGATGCCCTCTAGATATAAGGGTTAATAGAGAAGGATAATCCGGTACTATATAGAGACCCTCGCTACTTGATTTAGAGCCTTTTAAATGCTTAAAATGTATATACACAAATTTGTACCATCGACATTCTAAATTTGCCCTAAAAACCCATGCTAAGACCGATTTTTGGTGAGGAATTGGCCTCGAAACCACGGTACGGAGACGGCTGAGAAATCGCGCTAGTACGCTTGGCTAATCATGATTTTCCTGAAAAATAGCGCAACTTGACATCAGTGATTATGGGGAGCCCTAGCCACAGGTCGTCATAAGGTTGACTAGTTAACCGCCATTAAGTTCCCAAACTCGATTCAGTCGGGACACGACATCGATGCATCGTACAGTAGACGTAACAAACTAAAGGTACATCAACAATAACGATGGACCTGAGGATGCAACAATCCGGCCAAGCCGAGACACCACCGCCACCGCAAGGCACACATGTTCTCCAACAATCCTTACGTCGCCAATGCGGCTGGTGAACGGAGCATTGGCGTCGAAAGAAGGTCGTATCAAGCCAATGATGGACGCTCTGCAGTTACTACTCTTGTAGTATGAGCCACAAAGGCGTCAGGTCGGCACTGCGTAGTAATGTCGTACTTCGATTAGGTTGAATAGCTTGGTAGCGATGCCGACTAGACACCGATTATTTGTTCTGCTTAAATCCTGGCGCAACTTCAAAGGTGGCGGCAGTGTAAGGTTGGACCAAATAAAGGGGGCACGTCGGTTGTCTTTACTGACGGGTATAAGAGCCGACGAAAGTTTCGGCAGATGGCGGTAACGTTGTGCGCGAGTTTGCAGTCATTTGCCGTGGTATTATTAGGTTCAAACAATAGGATCGAGTGTCGCAGATTGTTCATCAAAAAACTTCTTGTATGGATGAATGCCATAGAAGTGCTGTTTCCCGTTTGAGTAGTATTTTCCCTACGTGGTTAAACTCTCAACCATAGAAGCCGTCGAAATTCCGTCAGAAGAAGCATATGCTCTTGACATGATCTGGGGACATCCTATCGCTTGGTTCGCAGCAAGAGATTGTCAATTGTGTTGTGGACAAAGTCTTTGCTTGTTACATGCAGGGAATCCACAAAACAAGCAGTGCGCATGTTACTCACTAACCAGGTAGCCTCTTGTAGAGAAAGTATTCTGCATGGAGGACAGACCCGGGCGATGCGCATTTCAAATGCCAGGCATTGCTTGTGCAGGCCATCGCCAGCAGCCAAGTCACAGCTGCACAAGACGGATACGAAGACAATGAATGGAGGTGTAACAGAAAAGATGTGGCCCTGAATATGAAACCCACGCGAGCCATAAGTCACGGCATAATGGGCGATTAACGACGGGCAGTTTCGGTCTAGAAACCTGGAATGGGGTCCGACAGAATGTCGAACAAAAACACCGGTATATCATACTGAGATAGTCCAAGCGGTGGGTGCCAGGTCCCATGTTGAGAAGAGAAAGGAAGAGCAAAAGTCGGAAGCGAAGAATTTGTAGTCGGCGGGCTCGCCCGCTTCGCCGGCTTACAGTGTGTGGAACGCTGATTGGCCCTCGGCTAAGGACCTCAGTTCGGGGACTCGATGTCCATACAGCACTTGCACTTGGCTTGACGACAACGACGACGCAGTAGACACAACAATCACAATGCTTGCTCAAAGACTCGGTCTGCAGACAGCGCGCCGCTGTAAGTCTGCTTGACTCAATTCTATCACGACATAGACTAACGTAGCAGCAGTGGCGGTCCGCCAGCCTTCGCTCCTCTCGTCGCGCACTCCCCAGCTTCTGTCATCCGCCGGCCTGGTCCAGCAAAGGTACGAACTGCGTCCGCTCGCGCCACTCTAGCTCCTGTCAATCTCACACATCTTCTGTCTCCNNAGACACGCCGCCTTCCAATCCGTCTCGGATTCCGAGGCTTCGCAACAAATCCTGGCCAAGCAGCGCCTGAACCGCCCTGTCTCGCCTCACTTGGGCATCTACAAGCCTCAGATCACCTGGTACGGCTCTGCTCTCAACCGTGTCACTGGAGTCACCCTCTCCGGCACCTTCTACCTCTTTGGTCTTTCATACCTGATCGCTCCCGCCTTTGGCTGGCACCTCGAGAGCGCCAGTCTTGCCGCTTCCTTTGCCGCATGGCCTGCCGCTCTTGCCATCCTGGCTAAGCTTGTCGCCAGCTTCCCCTTCACCTACCACAGCTTCAACGGCCTGCGACACTTGATGTGGGACATGGGCAAGGGCATCACCAACAAGCAGGTCCAGGTCACCGGCTGGACTGTCGTTGGACTGAGCGTCCTCAGCAGCTTCGTTCTGGCTCTTCTGTAAATTCCCCATTTCTTCCCTATATCCGACTTTTGATCGTTTCATGAATGTATTCTTTTCCTGACTCATTTCGGCCTTGTGCCATGACTCTTTACCGTTGCAGTATCAACTAGAGCATATTGATGACTTCTCATCCACCTATGTGACCATCAGCTTCTAACCTGGCTCTTACATCCCTGACCAAAGCCTTGGCTTCCTCTACTTCAACTCCATCTTGACACAGTTCGTTTGCCAATTCTGACGCACGCTGCCAATCTTGTCTGACAAAGCTCCACTTGGCCAGCCATAATCTTGCTTTGCTTGTCGTTTGCGTGATACCAATGCCTCCTCCAGCACTGGAAAGTGGTGCTCCTGGCGGCAGGTCTTCCTCGTCTGGGCCTTCCTCTTGTGCCAGCGTAAGTTCCATGTACGCAGATGCCTCGTCCATGTTGTTGTCCTGCTCGTAAAGAAGAGCTATCTGATAGAGAATCTCAGGATCCAGTGCACCTCCGACTGCTCCAGCAAGCGGATCTGCTGAAGATGCAAAGCTGACTGCTCCACCGCCATTATCCAGATAGCTACCAGCAACCAATGCTCGCTTGTAGGACCGTATCGCATTTTGCAATCTGCCGCAGTTGGCGAACGAGTTGGCCACGGCCATCCACATCTTTGGGTCCCATGGTTGCAGAGCCACGGCGCGCTGAAAGTAGAATAGAGCATACGAATGCATGTCCAAGAGTTCATAGCCCTGACCCAGACCGTACCACGCTCTGTAATCCTTTCTGTTGGCGTCGACGGCTCGTCTGTAGCTTTCGATGGCTGCTTGAGTGTTCTTGAGCTCAATGTACTCGTGGCCCATTAGAGTCCATGCTGACAAAAACTGACGATCCAGGGTGAGAGCCCGTCGGAAGTACATGACTGCTTTTTCGTGCTCTGAGCACTGCGAGTAATAGTTTCCGATGATGCAGCACGTCTCCGGCCGGAACTTGTCAATCGCTGATGCGACAGACGCAAGATGTGCCAGCTTCGGCCTTGATGGCATTACGTAGAGAATGTTTGAGTATGAGTCCATTGAATCTAACCGGTAAGGATGTCGCAAGAGAAGGTCTGCGAATAATCCATCGGCCTCTTCAAACTCTGGAGGCAAAGTCAACAAGACAGGAACGGTAACAGCGTGTGCGAAATTGCTCACCTTTNNAGAATGGTAATGCAGCAGAGCACGCTGAGTTTGCAAGAAGGCCGAGTTGGGAAAGATGCTGCTAATTTGGTTGATTTCGTTATAAACCTTTTCGGTGGATTGGAAAAGCTCTTGGCTACAGTAGATGTGGAACATGAAGGTCATGATGTTTTGTGGCAAGTGTTCGGTTATTTCGTTGAGNCTGAACCAGTTTGTCAGTGGGCTGCAGAAGGAGAGACTATGGATACTGACCTCCTCGGCCGAACTCAACAGGTCCGCAAGTTCTTGCCATGCTCCCCAATTCCATGGACATTGATTGACACTTTTGAGGAGCCATGCCTTTGCAAGTGCCTCATTTTTGCCTCTTAGCAAAACAACGCCATACAGATATTCCAAGAAGCCCTGTGATTCATGTGTACTTTGAAGACCACCTCGAGCACTGAGATAATCCTCAAGAATGCTGGATATCCTGTTAAGCTCCTTGTTCAAAGTGACAGCACCATCGGTGGGGCCTAGAATCATCTCACTGTCTTCTTCCTTGCGTTTTTCGCCAGCCATATACTTTGCGTACAAGGCAAGAAAAAGAGAACGCTGGCTGAGCTGTGGTAGGCCTGGCAATGAAACCTTTGGCTTCGACTTGAACTTTGGGTCGACATTTGTCGCATTCCTCGTAACGGGCTGTTGTGGAACAAGACTAGGTAGCAAAGTAGCAGCGCAGCGATCGAATTCACGACAGTCGAAGAAAGATTTGGCCATGAGAAATTTAGGATACTCTCTCCGTTCTAGTCGGGCCTCGTGCGAGTCTTGTGAGAATTGGAAATTGGACCATGAATCGTCTTCGCCATTTGGAGAGTTCGGTTCTGTATCGTAAGTGGAATCAAGGTCATGATCCGAGTCTGGAAAAGCATTGAGAAGTTCTGCAGCCNNCTGGTTGCTGTCTTAGCAGAGGCAAGATTCAGGTATGCGTAGATGCACGCACCATTTTGCAGAACGGTACAAGCAGCGATCGTTACATGCGGCTACCGCTTGATGCAATTGAGTGCGTAGTTGCAATGTCTGGTCAGTGGACAGAGTAGCCATGTCGGACGGAGATGTTGCAATGATGGTTGGCTTGGCCAGAATTGTTTTGTTGATGTTTATGTTTCACAACAGTACGGACAGCATGAACGTCTGGAGATGGCAAGACTAGTATACCCCGGCTCTAGCAGATAGGACCTGGTGGTGGTCGAGGCTGGCTAGGCGTAGAGGGCTTTGTTAATTTCGGACTGAGTCGCGCGGTAGGAGGAGGCAGTCGAGATTGTTGGTGGGGCTCTGGCTTCTGCGGCAGGGGGGACAAAGACGGAGGTCAATTTGGCCAAACAAATCGGACGACTTTTGGTTTCCAGCACGCTCACTCGTTCATATTGTCGCCATTGCTCGTCTCGCCCACTCCTTGTCCAGACTACGCTTTGCAGGTCCCCGCCGCATCCTGAACAGCCTGTCGATACCCCCGCCGCGACTCCAGCCCATACACTCTTTGCGCCCTCGCACAAGCACCGCCAACATGCCTACCACTCTCAAGCAATTCGAGTCCGTCTTCCCTCAGCTCATCCGGGACCTGAGCGACCACTGCAAACAATACAAGCTCCCCACCCAGGCTCTCACATGGTTCGAGGAGTCTCTTCAGCACAACACAGTTGGCGGCAAGTGCAACCGCGGCATGTCGGTCGTCGACACATCGGCTCTGCTCCTCAAGCGTGACCTCACTGACGACGAGTACTTCCGCTCTGCCACCCTCGGCTGGATGATTGAGCTGCTCCAGGCCTTCTTCCTTGTTTCCGACGACATCATGGACTCGTCCAAGACACGCCGTGGTTCTCCTTGCTGGTACCTGATGCCCAATGTCGGCATGATCGCCATCAACGACGCTTTCATGCTCGAGAGCGCCATCTACATTCTGCTCAAGAAGTACTTCCGCCAGGAAAAGAACTATGTCGATCTGATGGAGCTGTTCCACGAAGTCACCTTCCAGACCGAGCTGGGCCAGGCCTGCGATTTGTTGACTGCCCCTGAGGACCACGTTGACCTCGACAACTTCAGTCTGGAAAAATATACCTTTATCGTCATCTACAAGACTGCATACTATTCCTTCTACCTCCCCGTCGCTCTGGCCCTGCACTTCTGCGGTATGGCCACCGAGAAGAACCTCAAGCAGGCACACGACATTCTTATTCCCATGGGCGAATACTTCCAGGTTCAGGACGACTATCTTGACAACTACGCCGACCCCGAGACTCTTGGCAAGATTGGTACCGACATTCAGGACAACAAGTGCAGTTGGTTGGTGAACCAGGCTCTGAATCGCGCTACCAAGGACCAGCGTGCCGTTCTCGAGCAACACTATGGAAGAAAGAACAAGGACGATGAGGCCAAGGTCAAGGCTCTCTTCAATGAGCTCCAGCTCGACCAAGTCTACCACGCATACGAGGAGGAGAAGGTTGGCGACATCAGAAAACACATTGCCGACGTGGACGAGAGCGAAGGCCTCAAGAAGGAGGTATTCGAGGAGTTCCTCCGCAAGATTTACAAGAGAAGCAAGTAAATTACTGGTCGACAGTACGCGCAAGCTATGCTACAAAAGATACCTCTAGAGCCATTATAATAATTTCTTTCCAATCTCCCACCTGGGGAACGCACATATTAAATTGAGTTGTGATTATTGAAAGTACACTCAGTAGATGTATGGGAAGAGCTTGTAGGGAGTCTGCTTTCTGTAGTTCTGCCATTGTTCGCCATACTGGAAGTCATGGTTAGCAGAGACGCGGTATCTGCAATGTAAACAACTTACCCGCTCCTGACAATATCTGTTGAGTTCGGGGATGCCATCTGAAATGAAGTTGTACGAGAAGAAGGCGCCAACGATGGCGCCCCAGGTCCACCCGCCGGCTGCCAGGGCGTACCCAGCACGCCACAGTGTATATCCCGCATAGTTGATGTGTCTTGCGAAGCGGAACAGGCCTCCAGTATAGACCTTGCCCTTGTTTGCAGGGTTCTTCTTGAACTGTAGTCTCTGCCACTCGGAAAAGGTCTCTGTGAAGATACCAACAAGATACAATGCAGAGCCGACTAGCAGAGGAGTCTGTGGGAAGTGTTCGCCGTTGACCGATGCAGAGGTCATGGAGCAGGTGAAGAGCAACGAGTTGACAGAGTTGAAGACGGTATTAAAGACTGAGACCTCGATGGCGGACAAGGGTGGGAATTCCTCCTGACAGATACCCACAAGCCAGTAGTTCTGCTTGATGGCGCTGCCTGCAGCCATGCCGAGGAGGATCAGTCGATAGGGCGATAGAGCGAGACGGTCGAGGAACGTGTTTGTGACGACAGGCGGACCTTGGGCCAGAGTCTTTCCACCAAGTCTGTGGATGGCGCCGGCCGCGATGCCTTTAGCAAGGAGACCATATTGAAGTACCGGATCAAGACTGCGAAGGCCTAAGAAGAGACCAGTGCCCAGCGGGCTGCTCTGCTTGATCCCGCGAAGGATCAGCTTGTTCTTGTGTATCTTGTCGTCTGAACTCATGCCGAGAATTGCTTCGAGGGACAAGTCGGTGAAGAGTGACGAAGGTAAACAAGACGAGTACATGCACTGCAGTGTACCTTACCTTAGGCCTCCTGCCCCGCACTCCCGCAATCACATGTTTGCTGGGCGATGATCCACTTCCGATGGCAGTTGATATGCATGCGATGTCAACGTGATCTGCTTCAGTCTGATGCCAACGTTGAGATCGGCTGTGAGACAACCCTGCTCAACCAACGATGTCAACAGCTGCCGAAGCCGAGGTGCTAAAGCATGTAACTTCTTCACTGTACTCCGACTATAGCAGTGAGTAAAATTCACGCTATAAAAATACACAGTTCTAATCAGAAATGGAGGTTGGCCAAAGAAAGCTGCTAAGGGATTGCTTCTCAGTGGACAGTATCCTATTCTCCGATACTATTGTGCATTTTTATAGCAGCACGCGTTACTTACTTTGTTTGGCACGGGGAGGATCGACGCGCCATTTTCGAGCATCTCGTCGCGTCTTCCTCAGACAAAGAACGCTCACCATACCTATTTGGCTCTTGGTTATATCGCATTTTCATTGTTCTAGTTATTCTTGCTTGTTATCACTTGCATACCTATTTGCTACAGATCAAGGGATATACTTGCTTCTTGGAGCCATTCCCGCTATGCTGTAGCAAATGTCCTTCAAATTCGCTTACTTCTGCGACTATCTTGAGCGATGCGAAGAAATCTCATGTCACGACCCTCNNCCCCTGCCCCCATCGGAATTGAAATCGAGACTCTATCGTCAACACGCCACTTGGTTTACAACGCACCATAAAGCTATTGATGCCCTAGATCAACTCGGTACCACCGCATTACTATCATCCTTTCTCCCACGCAGAAGAAAGGACCGCATCTATGGCTTACAGTCTGCATCCCTCTTGAAGTTACTCGGTCGATGTCTCGGCTTGAGCACCTCTGCTAGACAAGAGCTAGCATCATTCCAAACGCCCAATAACGGTGATCTTGGAGGTTGTTTGCAGCGCCTCCTGACGGTTCGTGGTCCGCCAGCTCTCCCTTTCGTCACGCTGCGAGACGTAGATGATGTCTTGCATGCTCTTGCTGCGGGAAACAGGTTCTCGGCTCCTTCGGTCCGTCAGTCCTTCCTTCCTTCGGCTAGCATCGACTCCTCCCTCTCAGATGTCTTTATGCGTCTTCACCCCGTTGAAGCCAAATGGTTGGTCCGACTCATATTGAAGGACTTCACTCCAGTTTCACTTCATGAAAGGTCAATCCTGGCCTCTGTTCACTTCTTGCTTCCCGATCTAGTTGGTATGCAAGACAGCTTTGAAAGCGCATGCGCCGCTTTGAAAACAACCTTCGCTGATTACCCGAGCCGTCCGGATCCTCAATCCAGGAATATCTTAAGGCAAACTGCTCTTTCGTCATTTAGACCAATACCCGGTGTCAAAGTTGGTCGACCTGAATACACCAAAGCCAGGTCTATAAAACATTGTTTACAAATGACCGCTGGAAGAAAGTGGCTGTTGGAAAGAAAATACGATGGGGAATATTGCCAGGTTCGAAAATCTCGTCACTTTTCCTTGTCTTCACGTTCGCTGACGGCTCATGCGTCTAGANTACATGTCGATCTTACACGAGGTGATGATTGGCTGAAGATATATTCGAAGAGCGGTAGGGACTCTACAGAAGATCGAGCAGGTTTGCGGAACACTATCAAAAGATGCCTACGTATCGGTAGCGACAAATGCAGAATCAAACGCGCATGTATCCTGGTTGGAGAGATGGTGGTCTTTTCTGATGCTCAAGACAGCATTCTTGGATTCGATGAGCTACGCAAACACGTTTCTCGTGCCGGCTCGTTTATCGGTGCTGAAAACGAGCCGCCTCATCAATCGAGCGAACACTTAATGATCATATTGTTTGATCTTTTGTTGCTTGACGACGAAGACATCTTATCACGATCTGTCGAGGAACGCAAAGCTCGACTAAACACAGTCTACAAGAGAATTAACGGCCGAGCAGCACCGGCTGAATCCTGTGTGATGGACTTTTCACAAGCCACTGCTGAACGCAGGCTTTTGAACCACTTTGCGGCATCGATCGCTGGTCGTCACGAGGGTCTGGTCCTCAAACCATGCGATGTCCCCTACCTCACGCACGATTTCACGCACGATTTGCTGACTGGCATCAAGCTCAAGAAAGATTACATCGCTGGACTTGGGGACGAAGCTGACTTTGCTGTTGTAGCCGCGTCCTACAATTCTCAAGAGGCGAAGAAGCGATCGGATTTACGCCTGAAATATACACATTTTCATCTGGGATGCTTGCTAAACAAGGGTGTACTCCATCAAGATGGTACCAAGCCTATATTCAAAATTGTGGCGACGATTGCATATGATCATTGCATGTCAAAGGAAATCTTGGAAAGAGTCAATCTTGAGGGTGGTTCGCTTGCAGAACCGTACAATAAGAGCACCTCGACACTTCTCATCGAATCCGACAGCACGCTCCGGATTGGGGACTACTTTCGGGATCCGCTAGTATTCGAGGTACTGGGTAGCTCATACAGTAAACTTCCCAGAGGGTTTTTCATGTTACGACATCCTCGAGTCAGAAAACTACATCAAGATCGGACCTGGAGGGATTGCATAACATTCGACGAACTGCAGTCTGCAGCGACTAAGGCTTTGGAGTCCCCTCAGGACTCTGAAACACAAGAAAATGTCAATTGGATCGCCAAATTGGAAATGAGTCACAAGCGGAGGTATACCAGACATAGTCTTAACACAACGCCACGGTCAAGTGTCGCCGATACAACCCCTCGATCAGCCCGGAGTGGCTCGAGCTGTACCCCACATACGGGGACCGTATCTAGAATCAAGCCATTGGCTGTTCTGGGGGATAGCCTGCGCAAGAGGGCGGTGCAGCAGACCTCTACCACTCCCAGCAAGCAAGATGCACTTCTGCCTACTCCACCAGAATCATCTCCACTGGATGGATTGGAAAACTCGAAGACATCTACGATACTAGGCAAGCGCAAGCTGTGTGAAAGCAGAAACGATGAAGCAACACGGATTTGCCGCCAGACCGCATCCGTATGCCGAGAACGGAAGAAGCAGATTGCCGAACAGAGCCTCGTGTTATTACCACGAACGCCACTCTCTGACATTACCCAGCAGATGGTCCGGAAACCTGTCCAAATGAGCCTTGGTGAAGCACATCAATCAAGCTGGACTGAGGGCCGTTGCAAGTTTGAGCAGACTATACCAGTGGCTCAANAAGAGAGATGCATATTCAGCCAGTCAGTTGTCTTCATAGCAGCCTTGCCAAAGGAAAAGAAGNAAGAAATCAGACGGAAGGTACTCGAGCATGGGGCGGTCATGATCCAAGACCTGATGCACTGGGATCGAGACAGTCACAGGCACGAACAAGATACTGTTTGTGAAAGTCAAGCCTACAATGGCATGCGGAAAATGGTACTGGTGGACCCTCGAGAGACACGGCAGTATCGTGCTTGTTATGCAGAGATTGAGAGGCTGGGTCTGGACAGAGTCGAGATCTTTGACTATCGTATTGTCATGGCCATGTGCAGCAATGCAGAAGAGGCAAGCTAGGCAGGGGCGATGCGAACGGGTGATCTGTGCCGTAAACAGAGCATGGACGTTATGTATCAAGGCAGGTACATAGATGGGATGGCAACAAATCAGTGTTGGTCCTGGGAAAGTGATGCAGAGAAGCAAACACAAACTGTGAACGTATGACGATTGGAAGTAGAAGTTGCAATGCATGACGGTATTGAGCATCGAATTAAGAAGCGAGTCATGGGGTTGCGCGTGCTCGACCGGCTGAGACGCGGCCTCCTCTTCAGGGTCCGAGGTCCTTATTAATCCCAAACATAGCCAAAGGCAAGACTGACAACGACCAATGCAAGTGTTACGTGCGACAAGTCGGCTTCTCTGCTCCTGAGCAACACAACCATGGACCAACAACGGCCCTGGAGCAGGAGTGGCATCAGTGGCATCAGCCCTCACTCGCGATCCATGTCGGAGCGCAAGGCGAAGCGCTTCAGCCTCACCTTCCCTATCCAAACATCCTTGTCGCCGACGTCCACAACCCCCTCGCCAGTCCTACCCTATACTCCTCTGCTGGCCGAAAAGCCAACCTTGGCCGCTGGTCCCACCGATTCTGCCTTTCTCACCGCACTGGCCGCTCACGAGCGACGCGTACTGGAACTACGTGAGGAACTGATCAAGGCCGAGCATGAATTACACCGCCTCAAGCAGACATGGGCTGCACACGAAGCCCACAAGAAGCGCCAGCACGATCCGCGCAGACTACACAAGATGCAATCCCTGCACTCCACCATCGACACGGCCGACCCTGTACTCGCCTCCCGCCAGCATGACATTGAGCGGCGCAGAGCTCTATTGACCAGCAACAAGAGTTCGAGCCGTACAGTCTTCTCTGGCTCTCGTCATGCTCGTGCTTTGTCCTTGTTATCGCCTGATGCTATGCGACCACCACCACCTCGACCACAACCTCACTCGCGCCCTGAACAAGACTCAGCGCGTCCCCCACACCCTACCCGCGTGCCCACTGACGCCGATCTGACCACTGAGGTGGCACGTACAGCAGACGACGCTATCGATCTGGGTTTGCCTCGCGAGGTTCTGCTCAAGACTGGTAAACAAATGGCTTCCGACTTTAGAGACGGCTTGTGGACTTTTATTGAAGATTTGAGGCAAGCTACTGTTGGCGATGAGGGTATCAATGGAACAACTTCACGAACACAATCTCGCTCTCCGAACCCGTCAAGGTCTCCCGGACCCCAAACTAGTAGAGGCGGTCTCAAACCTTCACCCAATCCCCAGCCTTTAAAGAGAAGTGCCACAACCGGTAGTCGACGAACGAATTCTCGCTCCCCAGCACCATCTGCTGCTGAGGAGATTGCGTACCTCGATATTGGCAATTCCTTTTGGAAGGAACATGAGCCGACACCCGCACCTATTCTTCGCAAGCCATCCAAGAAGTCTGTTCATCCTCCTGCTAAAGTCAATCGTGCCTCGACCACTTCTCTCGATGCATGGGAAAGTTGGGATCCTACAGTCCCTGGCTCTGACCCGAAACCCTCACGATCCAATTCCTCAGTGTCTGAGCCTCGCACGTCTTCAAGCCCAGATGGCACGAGTCCCGGGACCAGCATGAGGTCAGCTATCTAAATCTTTCAAGAGGCGCCATAAGCTAACAATTTGTGCAGTTCGTCTAGAGACACAAAGAGAGACTCGTTACCGTGGCCTGCCTTGAACAAACTAGCCCCAAGCAATCTCAGACGGACCGCTTCACACCTCATGAACGAGTGGGAGAGGAGCTTGAGCCCTTCTCCCGGCGAGGGAGATAAGCAGGGAGATTATATGNGGAGAGCCATTTCCCCTGCAGGGTCTTTCAAGGAGACCAAGAACGATTGATCTTATGAATGTAATGACCATATTTAGTTAGATTTCAGCCTGACACCTTGTATATCAAAGGGCATATGAATTCGAATCGATACAAATTGTGATCATTCTATGCACCGTGCTCATTGACGCGCAATACATGGTATACTTGATTAAACTTGGGTGACATGATTCTAATGGAGTGATGGTGTTGGGCGTTTACAGATGCGCGTTTTGAAGAATGATGAAGAAATGTCCAACAAACCTCGTAGACGCACTGTACAGAGATCAGGCGAGTCACAATCATCACACGCTATACAAGGCGATCACATTAATTTATTGGCCAAGTCTTGATTCATACGTACCTGGAACTAATTGTGTACTGAGGATATGCAACCAGATGCGCATGTCTCTAGGATGACCCTGGCTTGATATATCTCGGTGATTACCTAAGCTCGCCGCATTCTTGGCACGACATGGTCGGTCCGTTCAGCTAGTCGGGCAACTTTTATCAGTACTCTCGTCGCTGTTGCGCAGATCCCTATACCGTCCTGAACAATGGCGTTTCCCGGCATGTCAGCTCCCGGCTTGGGTGGCCAAGGTGTCGGTCTGGACGAGCAGAAGCTCAAGGAGCAGCAGATGATCAAATTTGTGCGCATGCACTGCTTAGATGGAACAAAGACGAGCAGCGGAAGCTAACAGAAAACTAGATGCAACAAGCCATGGAGTCATGTCCAGCAAAGACTGCAATGTCTGGTGTCATGGGCTTCGGTTTAGGCGGTCTCTTTGGTCTCTTCATGTCGAGTGTAAGTCTAGCCCAAATCTGTTCAAGGCCGCAGACTGAATAGAGCTCCTCACACAGANTGCGATACGATGCTCCCATGACGGCCGGCGCAGATGCAATCACAAAACTTCCAGTCAAGGACCAGTTACGACAAGGATTCAAAGAGATGGGCAAAGCGAGTTGGAGCAGTGCGAAGAACTTTGGCCTCGTTGGTAGCATTNTTGCTGGAACCGAGTGCTGTATCGAGNGGTGTAAGTGAAATCGTCACATGTGCTGCCTTTCGGCCGGATCCTTGCTGAACAAACCCACGAAGTTCCGCGCAAAGAACGATCTGTACAATGGCGTAGCAGCTGGATGCATCACAGGTGGTGCTCTCGCCGCCAAAGCCGGTCCCCAGGCCGCTGCTCTTGGTTGCGCTGGTTTTGCTGGTTTCAGTGCCGCTATCGATTACTACATGCGCATGCCGAACGACGACACAGCCGCCGACCCCATCGCTTAGCTCTAGGACATCGGTCCACGTAATACTAGGAGCACATGGTTCTTCTTTCGGAAAAATGGCGTTTGAGAGAGGTCCTCTGACTACGGAGTTTGTGGCGTACGAGGAAAATCTTGACTCTTTTCTAGTGGAGAGCATTTGTCTATTGGCCCTTCGATCATGCAATACCACTGTGGAATACACACCTCAATATCTGCAGCATTCTGCAATAACCAAAACGATATCGGCTCTGGTTTGAGTCTCCTTACATCCGATCATAGCATCTCGGCACGGCTAAACGACGACTTGCCCCTGCTTCCATCGGGGTAACCGGTAGATCATCGAATATCTGCAAGGCGCGTGCTTATAGTTCTAGATCACATAATGAGATGCCGCATGGACAGCATCGCCCCTCTCGAATTTAGCCAACTCCAAGCATATGGTATGGTCATAGACTCATAGCAGAGGGTGACATGCTGACAGCGCGTGCAACGGCCGCCCTTCTGCCACAGTGCTTGGTAATGCTTGGTATTAAACATCCTTGAGACCAAGCTTTTCAATAACCAGCGTCTTGGTACACCAATGTCTTGGGAGAAAAATGCCGACTCACGACCACATATCAGACCAAAGCCGAGGCTTCAATCTTTGACAACATATCCTTTCTCACCACAGAAAGTCCATCAAAATCACGTTTAACCGCTGCCCCGCGTCTCCGCGTTGGAAAGAAATGCGGATGCGGGAGCGGGAGCGGAGTGACAGAGCAGGGCACGAGGGCTCTTTGCCTGTTCGCCTGCCGCTTTGGTGGGGCCGTGAAGGCCAGTGCTCTCTACGCTACCTTCTGTTTCCATCTTGAAGCCTCTGCAATCTCCAGCCAGAAACCTTGTCCTTTTAGCCTGTTCGTGCATGCAGATGTCTTTCTCTAGGGACCTGCATGCAGGAACAGTACAGTGCTAGAACATGACCAGATTATCCGGCGATCTCTAGACAGGAACGAACTTAGTAGTAAACGAGTATCAGTATATATATGTAGGCACCCATCTCTGTTACACCCATCATCAAGCAACAACCCGCAGTCCTTCGTTACACTACACTACATCCTCTCCACGATGTCTATCCGTTCGCTACTCAGCTTCGGCTTGTTGGCCGCTCCTTTGGTCGCCGGTCTGCCTGCTGCAGACCACAAGTCAATTTCATGCAGCACCAGCACCAGCACCTCCCACTCGACTTCTCACTCGTCCTCCCACTCGTCTTCCCACTCATCCTCCCACTCCTCGACCCAGACTTCGTCACACAGCTCTGCCACTTCTGCTGTCGTCACCACCACCACCAGCTCTGCTTCTAACACCGTTCAGACCACGACTTTGTTGGCAACAGCCACTGGTAGAAAAGGCTTGAACGACTACGCAAAGAAGGCCGGCAAAGTGTATTTCGGTACAGCTGCAGATATCCCTGGTACTAACGAGACCACCGACAAATACTACCGTGCAGAACTTGCCAACAGAGATGATTGGGGACAAGTCACACCTGCCAATGCCATGAAGTAAGAGACATCTACCGTACAATGAGATGTATGACTAACCGCCTACTAGANNTGGGTCTTCACAGAGCCCGAGCAGGGTGTCTTCAACTACACTATGGCAGAAACTTTCCTTAGGGATGCTGCTCCTGGGAAATTGGTTAGATGCCACAACTTGAACTGGTACAACCAGCTTCCCGAGTGGCTCACTTCGGGCTCATGGACAAACGAGACCTTGACCAAGGTTCTTCAGAACCATGTCACCAACCTTGTCAAGCACTTTGGAGACCGTTGTTACGCTTGGGATGTCGTCAACGAGGCCCTGAGCGACAGTGGCACCACCGGCAGCCTGGCCGACAACACCACCTGGAGATCAGATATCTGGTACAACACCATCGGTCCCGGTTATGTTGCTATCGCTTTCAAGGCCGCAGAAGAAGCTGTCAAGGCCAACGGGCTCAGCGTCAAGCTCTACTACAACGACTACAACATCGAGAGTGCCGGTCCTAAGTCCACTGCCGCACAGGCACTTGTCAAGAGTCTCAAGGATGCAGGAATCCAGATTGACGGTGTCGGTCTGCAATCTCACTTCATTGTTGGAGAGACTCCCTCCAAGGCCGCTCAGATGGCCAACATGCAGGCATTTGCCGCGCTCAATGTTGATGTAGCCATCACCGAGCTTGATATCCGTACCACCACACCTCCTACCGCTGCAGCTCAGCAACAGCAGGTCGTTGACTATGCCAGCTCTGTTGGTGCATGCGCAGACGTGGATGCTTGTGTCGGCATCACTGCTTGGGACTTTGACGATACTTACAGCTGGATCCCTTCGACTTTCCCTGGTCAAGGATATGGTGACCTTTTCTTCCAGCCTGGAGGATACAACACTCCACTCGTCCGCAAGGCAGCCTACGATGGTTGCATTCAGGTAAGTATCACTGCGATCCTCGATCCTTCAGCATTCTAATAATCGCAACAGGGCCTCACCAGCTAAAGCCTGAGATCCTTTTCGAGACGAAGCAAACACGTTCTTTACCTTCGTGAAGCCCTGGTAGGCTCACAATATGCCGATTCTGACCGATTTGATTTTTGAAAGTGGAGAAACACGTGGTATATATGTGCATAGTCGATTGATATACACAAATTGTTCCTAAATGCTCAGTGCAAACGTCTTGATTATGAGCCCAGCGTTGTGGCTTCGGCAGTGCAGCCGATTGGACGGCTCGTGACTCTATCCTTTGCTTAGGAAATGCGTTGTCTTTTGCGACTTTGGTTGGTACTGTACATCATACGTGAATTCGAGCAGGCTTGTCATCGTTTGCCTATGACATTACACGTGTCAAGCTGGTACTGAGAGCAGAGTACTTGAGAGTCGGAGGTGGTTTCTCTCGATGATGATGTCTTTACCCTTTGTGCTCGCGTCATCGAAACGGGTGGGACGTGTGCAACTCGATATGTGGTTGAGTTCATCATTGATGCTCAGCGGCGTCGAAATGGGTCTCGTGATTATATGCTAAGAATGGGGTCACGCAAACGAGCCTCGGAATACGAGTGTCGGCGCCCGTGAATTGATTGATGGTGAGGTTGCATCTGTTCACCATGGCAAGGCAGCGTGCAGGCAGCACCGGAGACGCTGGCCGGCGAGAGCTTCTTCAGACTGCCGGCAAACGGTAAGTTTCGGCTCTGAGCGCACGAGGAAAATGATCCGGGACAATCTAGCGACGGCCGATGTCGACACTCTTCTTGGTGGTTCACTGACGATGGTGATGCATAGCTGCTCATGGCCTTGGGATGTGGCTTTCAGATGGGCAGTTGCGGCGGAGATGCTGCACAATCAACGACTTGGCAACGCTGCTCGACCTGCCTGATTCGTGGTTCCCCGCAAGACAGTCTTCGGCCCTAGCCTTGTATGGCATGCTGTTACTCGACCAAAATTCGTTCACGCCGTGCTTGCTGGTCACGCGGTTGTCGCAAGCTACGCGGCAGGTCTCTGCGTCTCTGAAGGCGTGCAATCTGTCCAGAAGCCCATTTGATGCGACGGTAGGAGGGTGCCTCGTAGACGCTGCGATCGTTCCGATCCCGGGGCTACCAAACCATTCCATTAGGAACCATTATGTAAAGTTGCTAAGCCTAGTCCGAAAAAGATGAAAATGTGCTCGACAGAGGGTGCAGGAAATCACCACGAGGTCGAATCTCAGCGGGCGTGCGATGCTGTACCCAAAATGCACGGCTTCGTCTTGTCGCGCAGCCACAGTCTCATCTACCAGAGAAAAAATCCTACAACGTCAACAAGAGCCGGTTGTCAGCCAAAGTCAACAGCAACCTGTCGGCTCCCTCTCGCTGCCATCCTTCCTTCCGTCTCCTTGCCTTGCTCCTGCCCCGCACATTTGCCCACACATTCGTACCTTGCACTAGAGGGGCCCTTGTTTTGGAGAGCTGCCGTCAAAATACAAAATTACGTCTCCTCGCCCTGACCTCAGATCGAAACCTTGCTCCCTTCGGTGAACCAAGCCGGCCAATCATCCGAGCGTCCCCCTTCTGCCTCTGTCGCGCGTCAGTTTGCAGAAGCTTCTCTGTCTCTGGTCCTGATCGTCTAAATTTGTTTCCTTCACACACACCAGTATTCCGGTTCACAGCACTCCTGGACCTTTGCGCGCCTCTCCCTCGACCGCTCTTCGCTCTGGAGCCGCTGGTCCACACCCCTCAATTTTCTTCTGAAGAAAAAACGGTTTCCTCTAACCTGGGCACGGTCGCCATATCACGTGGTGGCTTGCCCGATACTTCTGGTATAATGCCACTGATGATGCCTACAAAAACCGTAGTGACTATCAACTCGACTGGCCGTCAGACGGCCTCCTTTGTCCGCGTCGCCTCTGCTGTAGGCTGGCGCGTGAGAGCCCAGGTTCGAACTTGCGATGGTCTGGTCGCAGAGGAACTCGCCGCTTTGCCCAATGTTGAGATTGTTGAAGGAGATTTGTGCCAACCAAAGGCTGACCTGATCCCCTTCTTGAATCATCTCTTTGAGGGTGCCAAGCTGGCTTTTATCAACACTACCCACTGGGGTGATGAGGTCGCCATCGGCAAAGCCTGCGCTGACGCCGCCAAAAGGGCAGGCGTAACCCACTACATCTACTCATCCATGCCCGATCATTCTGTCTACAACCCAGACTGGAGACCACTTCCGTTGTGGTCGCAANAATTCACGATAGAGAACTACGTTCGACAACTTGGAATCCCGGCCACTTTCACCTATACTGGAATCTACAATAATAACTTCACCTCCCTACCTTATCCGCTATTCCGCATGGAACTTCAGGAAGACGGAAGCTTCGTCTGGAAAGCTCCTTTTCATCCCCACGACCCGCTGCCTTGGCTAGATGCCGAGCACGATGTTGGCCCAGCTCTCTTGCAAATCTTCAAGATGGGCCCGAACGCCTGGAAAGGCCAAAGGTAATTCTTGACATTGTGCTATGATACATTTCTTCAAACTTATACTGCCAACAGGGTTACACTTGCTTTCGAACGATTGAGTCCAGTCCAGGCCTGCGTCAAGTTCTCACGAGGTGTGGGCAGGCCGGTCAAATACGTACATGGTCCGATAGATATCGAAGTTTCCATTCCTAGCGGCTACCGGGAACATCTAGAATCGCTTCAAGAGACTCTTGGTGAGAAGAGAGCTCCCTACTTTGGACCTTTGGAGTACCCTCAAGAAGCCAGGAGCCTATGGGAGGGCTACCGATCACTCGAGGAATACGCTCGCGAAGTGTTCCCAGACGAAGAAGCCGCCAACGGATTGACCTGGATGGATGATGACAAGGAATTTCCCGAGTATGCCGACAGTACTGGAGACCCCGACGAAGATCGAGACGAGAGTAGCGTTGGAAGCACCACGAATCCCACACCTTCCTGGACCCCTGGAATGCGGACACCATTCAATCATCCTGAAGCGGACGCCCACAACTTTTTCGTGGGCAGCTGTTAACCCTCCGTATCCTCGGCTAATTGTGACTCCGCAGTCGAGTGCACGCAGATACGAGGTCTTATCCATCCAATCAAGGACAACAAAAGTGCATTCTAAGGTGTTTTTGGGGAATCCAGTACAAGCAAAGCAAACATATTGGCGTTACACGGCATAAAAAAAACTCATCAACGAAATTCGTGGTCACCCGATTTGATCCAATGACCACTGTTGAAGGGCACGATGTACCTTCTACATGGTGGCTGACTGGCTGGCTGGCTGGATTCGGTCGCATCTTCATATGCGCGGGGGAAATTGTTTATTTGTTCCTTGCAAAACCACACAGCGTCGGCGTACAGTGAGTGCATAGGTATTGCGATCCTCTTCCCGAGGCTTTCGCCTTGCGAGCATGCTTTTGTTTTGTTCACCATCTATGCAGCCCAGATAAAAATCTATACAACTCAAGATTTGATAATCATCTTTTGAGAGATGTCTACAGAAAGAACAGTTACAAGATCAAGAAAGTAAAGCACAGTCGTTTGTTCGTTATATATCTATCAACAAGAAAACGAGCCCTGAGGCCAGGTTGGCCACCTTTCCAAACTCCAACAGATCCAAAAAGTGTACACCAAAGAACAAAAACTAGAAACGCTCCCCCCTGTCCGACCAAATTGACTCCAGACCAACAACACTCCCTCAGATAGGGTATCAAGCTAAACGACAGAAAAACAGAAAAAGAACAACTAAAGAGTGATGAGGTGCCGGCCTCTTCACTCGACAACGCCAGATGAAACCAACGCACGCTATGCTATATAGGTATTAGGGAAAAACATTATAAGAGTCGGGGAGAAAAACGTCAGGGGATTTGGACGTATTCGGGCAGCTAAGCATTGGGCCATCGCATACGCAAGCCCTCGCTCCAGCGGCCGTACAAGGCGTCTGCTAGCATGCCAATGTGTTCGAGGCCAGTCTCGACTTTGCCAGGCATTCTGTCTTCCAGAATGGCAGTACGAAGAACCTTTTCGCGTTCGCTGTCCACGAAAGCGCTTTGCCTACGCATCGAGCGGGTAATAGGAGCTGGTTCCAATTTGTATGGTGAGGTCGGGGGTGTGACAAGGGTCTCCTTCTCCGTCACAATGGGCGCCTTCTTGAGCGAAGGACTACTGCGCAGGCTGGCAAGCTGCGAGGCGGGCATGACTTGAGCTGCGAGTCTAGGATCTTTCTGAACCCGCTCGAAAATGGCCTTGAGTAACAACAGTTCGCCTTCAGGATCAGCCTCGTCCAAAATGTTCCAAGCTTCTGCCATCCTGGCCAGAGCAGTCTGCTTGGGTCCAGGAGCGGTGGAGGCATATAGTTCTTGCAGTGCTGGATCAATACACTTGACGTAAGCGCGTCTACCGAGAATGGCTTCCNNCTTTGTATCAGGCATCATTACGGCAGCGGCAGGGGGCAGATTTTCGGAGTCTTCGACAGCTGTCTGTGACGAGCCAGAGCTCGAAGGACGGCCCCCACCAGATGGCACGCGCTTGAACTGGCGTACGGTTGAAGCCCCATTACCAAACGACATATCGAGTCCCAAAGGTTGTTTGGCCTGAACAGAATGACGGCGAGTCGTGTGGTTAGAGGTCGAACTTTGTCTGCTGACACGGCGCGCAGTGGGAGTTGAGCCAGATACCTTGCGAGTTGTAGCGGAAGGATCGATTTGACGGGAGGGAGAGTTAGAGTTAGGCTTGGATGTGCGAATGGTGGCAGCGGGATCGTATGAAGGCGAACCACCCAGTGAAGGGTCGCGGTTTTCCATGGCTGCGAAAGCATCTTCGGCTTCGCTGTCCCATGCAATCATGTGTGAAGGGTCGCGAGGCTTGACGGTTTGAGAGTGGTAGGTTCCTGGTCTGACAGTGTCAAAGACCCAATCGTCCTCCTCGTTTGGTGCGTGGAGCTCGTGCAAGGTCTGCTCGTAGTATCTGAGGCGGTCCTTCTTCTCGTTGGCGATGCGGCTACGAGCTCTGTCGACAAGCATCTTGAGAGAATCAACTCTTCCGGCACGCTGGATGAACTTGTGTTTGAGAAGAGTCTTGGCAGTGGGTCGTGTGTCGGCGTCCTTGTTCAAGCAAAGGGCAACAAAGTCTCGGAATTCTCTGGTCCAGGTGGCACCTTCGAGCCTTGGGGCCTTTTCCTTAGGAATCAAGAACAAGACCTTCATAGGATGGACCTGGCTGTGAGGGGGTTCGCCATTGGCGAGTTCCATGGCGGTGATACCTAGACTCCAGATGTCTGCTTTGAAATCGTAACCTGCCTCCTGGATCACCTCGGGCGCCATCCAGAATGGAGTGCCGACGAAGGTCAGACGCTGGGACTGGATGTTGGTCAGTTGGGCGGCGACTCCAAAGTCGGCAATTTTGACTCTGCCCGAGCTCGACAGGAGAACATTAGCAGCTTTGATATCTCTGTGGATCTTGCCCGTGTTGTGCAGGTAGTCAAGGCCCAGCAGCAACTCGCGCATGATGATGGCGATCTGAGCCTCGTTGATGGGTCCAGATTTGAGCTAGCACGAGTCAGAAAAGGGTCTCGGGTGTGTTGCGTCTTGACATACGAGATCCAAACACGAGCCTCCACCAAGGTATTCCATGACGATCCATAGTTTGACGCCGCGCACAAAGCTGGCCTTGTATCGTGTTACGTGCTCGCTCTGGCATGTGCTCAAGAGGGCGATCTCTTGTTGAATCTCTTGGATGTCGTCGTCGCTGCCTTCGAGGTCAATCTGTGGAGACGATGGTTAGCAGGTGCAGCGGAGCGGTATAGGGGCAGGGGGGAGCGGTACGTGTTTGATGGCGACCAGGTCACCGGTGGCCTTCTCGACGGCCTTGTATACGACACCAAAACTTCCACTGCCCAGCTCTTCTAGCATGTGATAGTCGTCGGCCATGGCGGCGTCTCCCAGAGTAGGGTGCATTGTTATGAATCTTGTGCAGCCGCGGGCTTGTATGGCTTGGGCGTTGCAGCAGACAGAGAGAAGATGAGCTTGACAGTCGAGACCGGAGCATGCATGCGAGTGGTTTGAGGCGGGCTTTTGTATCAAATTGTATGCCCGAAAAGCAGCGAGAGCTTAGTGCTAGTCATATCGCAGCATTGGTAAGAAGTTGGCCCCCAGACGCCAGCCATGCCAACCGCCCGCGTTGCCCAGACAACCTCGGATGTGCCACACCAGCCTGATACCTACAGTCTTATGGCCGCCCTCTGCTTTTCTAGAAGCCTGTGCCGTGCACTCAATCTGATCGCCCGTGAGCCGCCGCCCTGCAGCGACTGTATCTCGACTGCACTTCTTGCCCACGAGTCCGACTGCAAGAGCTGCGACTCCGTCTCTGCGTGGCCTTCTCGTCTGCTCCTCCTTTAGGCCTCCAGAAATGCCGAATACCGCCTACGCACTGATAGTCTAATCTAACGTTGCAGCCAAGGAGCTTCTTCTATGACGATACCCTACTAACCATGGTACCACCACGATCGCCAAAAGGTCAATGAGTCAAAGAGAGGCTCAACTCGATACTCGACAACACCGTCACCGCAGCAATCTTATTGTCGCCGCAGCCGTTGTTTTGCCCTTGTCCACCACTATGTATTGGCTCAATCGTAAACTCCCCGTTACCTGCCGTCACGAGCCTGCCAACGACATTACTCGCTACCGGCCTAACCGACGCACCATATCCTGCTCTGACTCTAGCTTGCTGACCGTATGCCCATTGACTCTCGCATAGTTGCGTGACAGCGGCAGTCACTGCTCTACCGTGTCCGTGTGTTGACACTCACTCTTGCTTGTAAAAACAACACGAACAGCCCTGACCATCTGTGATCATTGGGCACTCACTGTTCATCAGGCCGCCATCTACACCATGCACCCTTGGCCGTTCTACAGCCCCGACCAGACAGGGTCCATTCCTGGTGGACACAGGACCAGATTCTAGACGTTATCAACAGCTCCTGTTCTACCAGACGTTGTCAGATCATTCTATTGTACACTTCTCGCCCAAGAGTCACGAGCTCTCCTTGACTCGCTCGACGAAACATCAAGGTAATGTCTGAAGCGACCATCCGGGACGGACAGATCTCGATAACTGTTGTTATCTCGTTCCTTGATTTGCGCAGCGTTCGGCCGGAGATTGTCCCACCATCAATATTCTTGATGCTTGGCCAGTCACATGGTCGCAAGACCGCCATTGCATCGGGCCGCGACAACTCTCCAGACCTCGAGGAAATTTGGGCTGCAACAAGTGTATGAATATGAAGTCATCAGCGAAGCACGAGCTGGCGGTCAATCCTCAGTTTTGACAGGAGACTAGGCTCCTGATTACGAGATTAGTGGGAGAAGAATTTTTTCTCTTGTTCAGACCGTGAACGAGCTGACAGACGGCGGTGAAGTAAGGAGAAGACTTGTTGGAGATCGGTGTGTGTTCCCAGAAATGACTAGTAAGCATGACGAGTGCACGAGATGGCGTTCGGCTATCGATGGTGCATAAATGAAACGGAAGTTTATCCCAGCCCTGCAGGCTGCAGCTCATGAAGACGCGACGAGGCATGCGAAGATAGCGGAATCTGGCAGTGGTCGCGGGTATCCGGAGTGCAAAGTGTCAATGCTTTTACATGTGAGGCAGCCAGCAGATTTCAATTCCTTCTCGAAGTTTCATAAGCTTCCATGCCCAAAGCTCAGGCATGACATGCGAACTTGAGCGAATCAAGCAGGCGGTCGAGAGTATCAGCGTGTTTGTTCGACTTGTATGTTACTCCAGTAACTTGAGTGCTTCGAGGGGTACACACAATTTACAAAGGGTCCGGACGTCATGATGAGCTTGATTGAACGGGAACTCCAACAATCAAGAAAGTGAACAGCTGGAGGTGTGGGGCAGGTGACGCGAAAGAATGAAGCGTGGCCACCCTGCCACAAGTGACAAAGACATGAACTACCGTGTTTGCTCTCACATCGCATCATGACTGTTGGAGGCGCAGTCCTGCTCATGCCAGTACCACCAAACTCTTGCAAGAAACATCATGAGCTGTCAGCACAACATCGCCCATCACCCTACTACGATTCATGATGAATGAGGTTTCCAGCGGAGCTTCTCCGAAGCGCTCGTCGTCGACTAAGGAAAGGGTCAAGAGCTTGGGCCGCGGAACCAAAGCGAAGACCAAGAACCTGTTGCATCTCAATAAACATACTTTGACCCCCGAGGAAGAAGCTACTCAGGGCCAAGAAGACGATCCATACGACGAAATCCGCCACGACCCAGCATTTGATCCATCACAACTGGTCTCTCAGAAGCCCAGTCTCTCGACTCGTATCGCTGGCGGTTTATCAAATGGCGTAAAGATAATCGTTCACCCTCAAGATGCTGCANAGAAGCTGGCCGCCTCTAAGGCAGCCATGAAGGATCGTCCCTATCTATCCGAGGAAGCTGACAAGGAGTTTCTCGATGCGCACGACAGTCTGTCGAGAGCGAAAACATCCGCTTCGCGCTCCAATGCATCCGCCGACCATGAAGAGGTCGATGATCAGCGTGAACGCGTCAACAGGATCGAAGGTCTACGACAGAGCAGGAAAGTGGCCTGGACATCCAGCCGCCACTTCAGACGCGCCATCGTCTTTCCAAAACGCGAGTTTCCGCCACCGCCAAAGGAGGATTACACCTATGTCGATGCTCAGACAGGCGAGCACCGTGTCAATTACATGGCCTGGTTGCAAGCACGCCAACTGAATAGCATGCAAAGCTTCGCCACGAATCATATGGGCCAGATAGATTATTCTGGCCAGCCTCCCNTTGACAGAGACGCTTCATCTCGCTTTGTAGAGCGCATTCTCATTGCCTCTGGACCATGGCAGACGTTCTTCCTCTCACTCCGAAGTCTTTACCTCTGGGAGAACCCCGCCAAATCGAGAAAGTGGCTGGCCATCTGGTTGTTCATTTGGTATCTCGACTATTGCGTCACATTCATCATGGTATACTGCGCCGTTACTGTACTACAAAACAGATTCCAACGCAAGCAGGTTGAAGAGATGCGCGAATCGTATACGTCTGCACTACAGAAAGGAAGTTCTGCTTACAAGTTCAGTGCTCTTCTTCAGGAACATGGAGCAGATTGGATTGATCCTGTGATTGAGAGTGCAGGACCAAAGATACAGATGCAATTATCTGACTTCGCCGATACACTGGAGTCATTGAACAACTTCTACGATTGGCGCGATCCGAAGCTCACCTGGGCCACCCTCTTCTTCTTCTTCTCGGCAATTCTGCTCGGCATCTTTGCACCCAGCGAATACTCCATCAAGATTGTGAGCATGTCTTGCATCATCATGTTCTTCGGATCCCGCTATGTTGCTCACTACCACCCCGAGTACCGACATGTCGTCAACGCGTTCAACTACATCTTCTGGGGTATTCCTAACGACGCAGACTGGTCAATGAAGTATCTCAGGGAGAAGGCTCAAGAGACTAGAGCGGAATTGATTGGAAAGAGGGTCCAGGAAGCATGGGACAATGATCTCTCGCACCCAAGAGGAGGCTTGGCCGCTGGCAGCCTTGACATTCCTACAGTCACCGAAACAAAATGGCCAGAAGATGATCATTTATCGGATAGCGACGATGACGATGCTGCAAGCTTCCACACAACAGACTCTTCAACCAGCATTCTCGGCGGCCTCGACATCTTGTCGTTCCGGTGTTCCATGCACAACATACCTGGCCGTCTGGTCATCTTCTCGGACGGTCTTCGCTATCAAAGGACGTCTGGACTCGCATCGGTAGGCAAAGAAGTCTGGCGACGCTTATGGTCGGAGCTTGTTGAGTTGGAAAAGATCGATCCAAAGACTGCTGGGCTGGTCAAATCGGATGGCATTCGTCTTGCCTTCGCAGATGGAGTCGAGGTGAAACTCGAGCATGTCCGTCAGCGCGACAAAGCCTACAACTGCATAATCGGATTCTCCGGTTTGCAGTTCCAGATTGTCCTCCCTGGAGCCGACACTGGAGCTGACCACGAAACGTTCGGTCAAGACAATGCAGAATTTGGTTTCAAAAAGGGTTAGAGTAATGACCTTATGTAGTTGGAGAGAGTTGGTTCGTAGTTATGCATAATGAAATCAAGTGAACCAGAGTTATCCACAGCATCAAAGACTGATCATCCGTCTAGCAGATCGGCAAGCTCAAGCAGACCTCCGGATGTAAGAGAAAGAAATAAGCTAGCTCGTAGACACTGCTCCTGAAACTCCCTGAACGCAACCCGGTGTGCCGCCCAACCAAAACAAGAGAAAGATAAAAGGTAGCAAAATAAACTACTGGTTGAGATCTCGATTGACCCGATGCCGAAATGCAAGATAAGAATGATAGGACCGTTGCCCTTGCTAAGAGATGGTAGTCATGAAGGAAGACCGCCGACGGTCGGCCGGTCGGTTGGACCATCTGTCGTAACAGCATTAGCACATTCACGACCTCAAGGACAAGAACCAGGCCGTGGCTTACATTCTGACTCTTCTGTCATCGCCAGCAGAAGCGAATATGGCTGGATTGGTGGGATGCCAGGCAACTGAATTTACAGTACCAGGAGGATGTGCTTCGAGTGCGACAACGAGTTGTCCAGTGTGCTTCCGCCAGATATAGACTCGTGAATCNTAGCAATCAGTCAGCAAACTTGAAGCATGTTGAATTTGACACTTTGTGTTACCTTCGCTGCCACTAATGACAAAATTCTCACCAGCACCACCAAAGGTACTTCTTATGACAAATTCACTTTGAGTCAGACCATTGTAACGCTGTAAGACCTCGCCAGTGTCGGAATCAAGGAGCACCAGACGACCTTCGTTCATGCTAACGAGAAGCGATTTGCCGTCATGGCTTAGGGTGACACAGGTGAGCCTGTCTTCCATGACCCATTCGTGCAGTTTTAGGCGCGTCTTGAAGTCGTAGACGATGACGCGGTTGTCGTTGCTTATAGCGACAAGGCGAGAGCCGTCGGCTGAGATGGTACAGTCATTCACACGAAGACTTTGGGCATCGTTACTAACCCAAGAATGCAGTATTGACTGGTCTGACAGCTGGTAGAGGCTAAGAGGTCTTCTAGAATCTTGAGAGCCAACGATGAAGCTTTGACCGTCAGGAGCCCAGGCAGCGGTTGTGACGGGGTAATGGAAATGGTCGACACCACCAACGCGAGTGCCTGTGCGGGCTTGGTAGATGGCGAGCTCTCTTGCTTGTGAGCAGGCGAGGATGTATGTGTCGTCAGGACTCCAAGCAACGTAGCAGACACCGCACTCATTATGAGGCTTTTGCTGGTTCAGGCGGCAGATGGGCATCCATGAGGTGGTGTCGTAGATGATGACAGTGTTATCTTTGGAAGCGGTAGCCAGCATTGAGCCGTCGTGTGAGAATTCGAGGTGCCAAACTTCGTCTCCGTGGTGTTGCAACTCGTGGAAGATGTGTAGAGGGAACTGGTCGCGTTCGCAAACGTGGTCGTGCAGCAGCGAGGGAGGCTGGGTGGTATTATGATATAGACACTGGTCGATGTGCTGCTGCTGGACGTGGTCTAAGAGGACGGCGAGACGGTGTTCAGGGATCATGACGGACGGCGATATTGATNNTCTGAACTCGTGGTCAGTTTGGTATGTGTAGGGGCAGAGTGTCGGGAACATACTGGACAGCTCAGACAATAGGTCCCGCCTTGAAGTACCGTTGGCGCCATCCCAGTGAGCTTGTTGCCTCAGGTCTTCAGCTCGGCGACACATGATCAGGCTGGATAGAGCGTGTAGACGGGCAACATCTTGATGCAGCGGGGTCAACTCTTGACGAAGAACCATCAGAGCCTTAGACAAATGGCGTAGCTCTAGCAGCTCGAGGTATTTCTGCTGGCGTATCAGGAAGACCATGTCGTCTCTCTTTGCGCCTTCACACAGCGGCAGGCCTTCGCGGGTAGCATCGCCGAACAACAAGGCTTCAGCCTCGGACCAGTGGCCATTCTGGACGGCAGTGCGGAAGGCGGCTACGTTGGGGACCTCGAGTTCGTAGCCACTCTCCTGGCTCAGTTTCTGGGCGGTGGATTGGTAGCCTAGGTCCGAGAGGCTCTGGATGATGATGCGCGTCACCTCCTGTCGGTTGTGGCCGTAGAAGTCGTTGGTCGTCGAGATGGCCGTCGAGTGCTTATCCGAGGCGCCGTTGGACGAGTGGTTGGCCTTGTTGTCGTCGTCTTCTGGCTGGAGGTGCATCCTGCTTCTCTTATGGGCGGCCTCTGCCTCTGCCTCTGGCGGCGACGCACTGCGCGGACGCTTGGCGGCCAACAATGCAGCCACGGTTCAAGAAGCCTCCAGGATGTCCGTCGTGGTCAAGCGTATGCCACGGCGTCGGTGATAGATGGTCAGTGTCGTATAGTTGATGGTCTGTTGCGTTGATTAACATGAATGCTCAAGCCTCCCCACTCCCGCACCGAAGCCTGGAGGTGAGCTCTCCAGCATGACGTCTCTTCACATGTCACACGCTCCAAGAAGCCTTTCGACCTCGACTACACACTTCTCTTCCTTTATATAAATTCTTCTCACATGTTTCATAATCTTTGTAGTCCGTGATGCAACTGCAATCCTGTTTGATATCATGTAATCCCATTCGATACAATAAAAGTCCTTGCCATACTCGGTACACGCCCATCTTCTTCAAGTTTGGACCGGAGAACCACCACCTCTGAACCAGTCTGAGCCTATGCTTACTTCGCTGCATGCAGAATTGCCAGGAACCGTGTAAACTCGATTCTCGCAACATTCCCACGTCTTGCCAGAGCCATCGGCTTCCTGCATGATGTACTTGTACTCGAAGCTGGTGCCCTCGGCAATCTGGAGTTTGGCGCCAAACGTTGGAGCTCCTGCACTCTGCGGGTTCGTGACCGACATTGACACTGCTTCAGTTGGAGACCAGTTGCCCAGTTCTGGGATACTGCCCACAAGGATGATCTCTTCTCCACTGTTGTCGTATGACCCACTGACTTCAAAGATGGTTGTGGCATCGCGTGAGGTGCACGCTTCTGCTTCGACCTGAAGCGAGACACTGCCGTTGCTGGCCATGTTGCAATCGCCATGTGCATGTTGCTGGTACATCACTTCTTGCGGGTTGATGTCACAACTCAGTGCTAAAGTCGAGTTGCTCATGTGCGTGTTGGCGGTCGCAAAGATCTCTTGGTTGGTCCTGTTACTGCTTCAGAGATATCCCCTTTCTGAGCATGTTACACTTACNGTTGCATCAGTAAAGTTCTGCTGAACTGCAAGACTGAAGTTTCCAATGCTGAAGTAGGGGAAGAGTTGGAACCGGAAGTCATTCGCTCCGCAAGCTATCCACTTCCCTGTAGGCACAGCCATACTGTAGGACTCTGGTTGAACCCACGAGTTGTCTCCCCAAGATGTTTGGCAGGTCGTCGATGAGCTGGCTCCGCCATTTGAAGACGTTACGTCGAATTGAATACGGTAGTAGTTCGTTTGGCCCTCAGGGTTGCCTATCGGCTGATGGGTGTTCAGGTTCTTGATAACGAGAGGTGAGTACGCCGCTGCAAGAGAGCAGAAAGCAACAGGGAGAACCGCGGTCTTCCACATCATAGCTGGACACGAAACAGGACAATGAAGATAGAGTAGAAGCAACGAAAAACAAACAATATGAAGAAAAGAGAGGACGAGAGCTCGACTCAATGTAGCACCTACCTTATGAGGTCGACTTGCATTTGTTTCGTCAGACGCAAGAGAGATCCTCCTGCAGATCCTCTCATTACACGGGCAAATGCACAAAGGCGGCACAGCAACAGAGCAAAAGATGCCTGCAAACTCAACAACCCAGTGGTTTCACGGACCATGTTGCGCTCCGGATGTGCAGGAGTCAGGAACTTGTCAACTTTTTTTTCCATGCCGTGCTGCATGAACGCTCGAGCCTTTCGAGTCGTCCGGACGATCAAAGCCGGCAGCATGCCGTCAATTTGACTTTGCGTCCAGTTCCATCTTTAAACACTCGAGTCGCTTGATGCTTTTCTAGCTTTCGGTGGTCAAGACCCATTGATTTTATGAGTTGATTGATGGTGTCCAAGCTCTTCGGATCGAATCAATGATCTCTCCACTCGACTCAAGAGTCCATCGACTAGTAGTGCAACTCGAAAGGCAACCTGCATCAATTTATTGATTGGTCTATTGAATTCAATGCTGCACTCCACTTAGTAGGCTTGACTAGTCGTGTAACACTGCGACCAGGCTGCTAAATTTACAGAAATCTTTATCGTCGTCCAATGCTGCCTGCAACGCATCGAACCAGCGGTGAACTGCATCATCTATGAATGGTGGGCGTATCACAGCCATTTGGAACGCGATCAACTTAACCAACAAGGGATGTTCAACGACTCTTTGCAATACCAAATGCTTCGGAATCACATAATAGATGGTTCTTCCAAGTTGGTTGGGAGGAATTGAAGGTCGACGACAACCACTGTCGAATCTGTCTGGCGATGATCACGTGACTCTCACCCAAAGCAGAAGGCGCTAACTCTTCCTGACTAGCTCGAGCAGAGCGAGAAGACTGCTCAGTTGCTCTCCTATTCGATTATCGAGAGGTAACGACAAAACTTATGGATGAAATTACAGCTTCTGACCTCGATGCGATTGACTTCTCATGTTAGGTATGTCATAAATGAATGTACAGACTACCTCGTCCCTCAAGTTTGTGATGCAGTGGTTCAAATACAAGCGTTTGCAGTCTCTCACTGTTGAAGGTGTCTTCCCCTGCGAGCACAATTGCCTTCTCTTCATCGATCGAGAGTACGAATGGTGCATTAAAGCCCTCGTAGATGGTACAGTTGGACGAATAGTCAATATCTGCGGACACGACTCGCTCCAAGTCAAAGATCTAATATTCTTACTGGACTATATTGTACATGGGTCTTTCTATTTTGACATCTATGCCTTGCCGAGTTGCTTCTCGAGCGCTTCAATTCTCTCCTTTTCAATCTTCTCCTCTTCCTCCTTCTTGCGTTGAGATTCAATGGCAAGCTGATCAGGACGTCTGATGGCAATGTCCTTGGGACGGAAGTCACTGAACGTTTGCTTGAGAACCTTCTCAATGACCCAGCAGCCACAGTAGTCGAGGATCATGATGGTGGTCATGGTGATCTTGAACTCGGTGGTGAAGGGAACAAGCTTCAACTGCTCGTTGATCTCGGGAACAAACTCTGTTGCGCACGAGAATGCGACAGCAGTGACCATGACAATACCGTAGTACATGCCCTTGTTCTCCTTGATGGATTCACGGAAAGGACGACCCTGGTAGTTGATGGCAAAGGTGGAGATTTGCTGGATCAGCTGCAGGAGGTAGATGGCAGAGTTGAGGAGCGAGGGCTCGAATTCACCCTCGAGATCGATGTCGGTCTTCTTGGGCTCAGTGCGTTGCACGTATCTGGAAATGTAAATCAAAGTGACAATGTGGACGGCGAACTGTCCAAGGACGGAACCGATGATGTATGGATTGAAGATGTTGGGTTGAGGTCTCTCCTTGGAAAGTGTTTCAACGGTCTGGAAGATAGGTTAGCATTGATCGAAAGGCAATACACAGAAGTTGACATGACATACCTTGGCGCGCGAGATGGAGAGGAAGCAGACGCTCATCAGCATACCACTGATGGTGACCTGTCCATCGCCGAACTTGATACCGTCAAGGTACAACACGCTCAAACTGTAGGCAGAAATCAAGCAGTTCAAAGCCAAGATCTTGTACATTTGGATGGTAGCGACGAGAGTGCAACGACCCTGGCGGATGATGTTGGGAATGGCGACAACGTTAGCGAGCTTGCTAGTGAAAGGAGCAGCGACCGAGGCGTCTCCAAGCTTGATAGTAGGTGGTTCGTCGTCGGTAAGAGCGTCTTCCATCATCGAGATTGACATCTTTTCAGCCATGGCACTTGCAGCGTTCTGAGCCTTTTGTCTGCGCTCCTCCTGAACTGTCAGAGGTGCCTTGGTTCCAGCCTCACCATCCTTTGCAGTAGCGTTAGCGACCTCGGCCTTGTGCTTAGCTTCGGTGACAGCCTTGAGAACGTCGCTGGTGGTGCCCTTGTTGGCGGCTTCGCGTTCCATAGCTTTGTCGTAGTGAGGGTTGCCGGGACCAGGAGGGTAGAGGTGGGCGATGTGAACAGGGACAGGCGGAGCAGGCTGGTTGAAGCGCTTCATCATGGCACATTGCTTCTCATAGACATCCTTCATCTTGGTCTCTCTGAAGTTCTGAGCGATCTTCTTGAGATCTTCCTCAGTTCCGTTGAGAAGCGCAACACCAATGTGGGCCTGTTTGAGTGCACCGACATCATTTGTACCGTCACCAGCCATTAGGGTAACATATCCGGCATCTCTGAGACCAAGCAGAATTTCTTCTTTCTGCTTGGGTGACACACGAGCGTAGACCCAAGTATGGCGGATGAGTTCCTTGAGAGCGTTTTGACCAGTAAACTTGGAGAGAGCGTAACCAGTAACACAAAGATCTTTAGTCTTGATGATCTCGGGATCAATGGGCTCAGCTGGGTTGACAGGGATGCTGATCTTGTCGTCAATGCTTCTCCAGACAAGGTTCTTGCCAGAGTCATCATGTTCGGGTGCGTCAAGAATCAGAGTCTCGCGGTCGACGATCTCGACCTTTCTAGCAACGTGGATAGCGGTAAGAGGGTTGTCACCAGTGATCATGATGCAACGATGGCTGCTCTCGTTCAACATGCGAACTGCCTTGATAGCATCGTCCTTCAGAGGACATTGCAACACAAGGAAACCGGCAAATTGAAGATCACACTCAGCCTCTTCACGCTTCATGTCGTTGATCTTGTTCTGACCGATCTCGTCGCTAGTAGAAATGAACTTGTAGGCAAGGGCGAGAACACGGGCACCATTCCTCGAGAAGTACTTGAAAGTCTCCTCGTACTTGGGAGGAACATCGACAAGCATGTTTCTGATAGTCTCGGGTGCTCCCTTGACACCGACAAAAGTGCTTCTGGTCTTCTTTCCAGAATCGCGTTGAGTAGTGACAACGGTAGCAACAGAGCTCTGACGCTTGAGAGTAGAAGAGAATTGGAATCTGCGCTTGATTTGAACCAGGTCGGCAGCAGACTGGCCAGTGCCCTTTGCGGCGACAGCAGTCTTACTCGTCAGAGTGTCGTTGCGTCCAACAGTCCAGCCTAGAGATGCAAGAGTAGCTTTCTCCATAGGTTCGCCAACAACGTCTCCGTCTTCGAGTTTAACAAGAGCGTGAGCTGTAGCAAGGACCAGAGTGGTGCAGACGCCTGTATCGTTGAGAGGCACAAGTTGAGTTTGCGCACCATCAGCCTCGGCGGGTGCCCCTTCCTGGCCAAGAGTCAGACCAGCAACACCATCGACGACAAGGTCTTCTCCAGTCAAAGTTCCAGTCTTGTCAAAGCAAGCAATATCGACGCGACCAGCGAAAGGAATACGGAAGGGTTCTGTGCAGAAGATGGCGTACTTGCTGAGGGCAGCAAGAGAGGTGTTTACAGCCAAACTCAGTTCCATAGGCAGCTCAGGGGGTACGACGCTGGTGACAATGAGGACACAGTCCAGGAGGAGCTTGGAGCGCTTTCTGTCCTTGGCGACACCCTCGGTCCAGACATACCAAGAAGCAGCAATGGCAAAGACAGTGAGGAACAGAATGAAGAGCAAGGCTTCAACGTTGTTGGCTGATACGCGCTCAGTGGAGTAGATCATGGTGCGGACGAGACTACCTTGACTGGTCTCGAAACCAGTTCTGACGACAATAGCCATAGCTCCGTTGTCAGGAGCTGCAGGAACACCAGAGACAACAGGGTGAATCTTGTCCGAGTCGTCCGAGCCAGTGTTGCCGTGAGTAACCTGGAGAACCTTGGTACCGCCATACAAGAAAGCGAGCTTGTCGATGCCTTCAGGCTCGATACGAGCATCAGAGGGGCGAAGTTGAACGGAATCCTTCAGAACAGGAGTACTCTCTCCAGACAACATGGCCTCGTTGACAATGGCGGAGCCCTCGACCAGAAGCATATCGCATGCGACACCACTGTCCTCCTTGGTACGGCCAACCGATACAAGATCGCCAGGCAANAGAGCATCGCTCTGAACTTCAATCCACTTCTTTTCTCTGTATACCCAGATATCGTAAGGCTTGATGCTCATACCGCGGAACTCGGTCAGGGTGCGCTGTCTCTGCCAGACGACAGTGCTCTCAAAGACGACGAGCATGAAAAGGGTGAAAAGAGAGTAATACCAGTATTCGTCGAGCATCCAGAGGCCGACACAGAAGATCTGGAAGACGAAGAAGGGGGCGACAGCGTGCTCCTTGAAGAGTTCTGTGAAAGAAGGAACAGGGATATCAAAAGTGTTGGTGCCATAGTATTGCTGGAGACGGGCGATTTCTTTTGCGGTAGTGAGACCCTTTGATTTTTGGAACTCACCAATGGTGGGCTTTATCTCTTGGTCCAGAGGGTAGGACAGAGGAGCGAAGGTGCCAGTATCGGACGAGTACAGGAAACGACGCTTCTGGAAGAGAAAGGAGATGTTGGTCTTGCCGTCAACGGTTTCGCGCTCGATGGGGCAGATGTCGGCAGATCCAGCGTTTTCGGCAGGAAGAACCTTGATCAGACCAGCGCTACGCACATCAGAGGCGCGGGTGGTGGTGAAGAGGGAGCGGATATTGATGTTCCAGAAAGTAGACAGCCAGAAAAGAGACTGGATGGTGACGATGCTGCCAGACCAGACAAAAGTCCATTCTTGGCCATTGAAGTGTTTCTCATAGCGTTCTTCGGATAGGTAGAAGGCGAAGAAGACAGGCCAGACGATCAAAAAGGGCCAGACATAGGTGTGCAATGGCAGAGGCAGCGGGTTGTGGAGCGAGGCAGACTTGACCTGGGCATTATCCACGAGCGGCGCCCTGGAGGAAGACATGGGTCAGTATAGAAGACACAAGAGACGGTGAAGAGGAACACACATGATGGCGGATGTCAGGGGATATAGCTGAGTTGTTCTACACGTCGCCTCATGGAAGCATCGAAGGCTCAAGAAGTTCGGCCAGCGACGGCGGCCACAAATCTTAGCCCAAGCTTGCGCCCATGACCCGCAAGCAACCAAGTGAGTAATAATTTGTCTTCTCCCTCTTTCTGGGAATACCACAAGACATACGACTAGCACAATGGCCGACGCAGCCCCCGAAGAGCCCAAGATCTCCAAGCGCGCTGCTGAGAAGGCCGCCAAAAGGCTGCGGCAAAGGCCGCAAAGGAAAAGCACAGAGAAGCCGCTCCTGCCAAACAACAGGCCCCAGCCGCTCCTGCTGCACCTGCCGACCCCANATGCCAACTTCAAGCAGGGCTGGCTGAAGGGCGTCTACAACGAGAAGCCCGTCCACGACGTCCAGACCCGTTTCCCACCCGAGCCCAATGGCTATCTCCACATCGGCCACGCAAAGGCCATCACAGTCAACTTCGGTTTCGCCAGAGCTTACGGCGGCAAGTGCAACCTTCGTTTCGATGACACCAACCCTGCCAAGGAGGAGGAGCGCTACTTCACCAGCATCAAGGACATGGTCAGCTGGCTTGGTTTCGAGCCCGCCAACATCACCTACAGCAGCGACAACTTCGATGAACTGTACCGTCTGGCCGAGGAGCTCATCAACCGCAACAAGGCCTACGTCTGCCACTGTACTGCTGAGGAAGTCCAGAAGGGAAGAGGAGGTTCTGACCATGGTCCCCGCTCTGTCTGTAGCCACTGGAGCAGACCCGTCGCTGAGTCACTGGAAGAGTTCCGTGCTATGAGAGATGGTAAATACAAGGCTGGTCAGGCTCTCTTGCGCATGAAGCAGTACCTTGGCACCAAGCCCGAGGAGTACGCCATCACCGAAGAAGACTCGCCCGAAACCAAGAAGGAGAAGGCCAAACTGAAGACACTGGCCGAGAACCCCTCCATGTGGGACGTCGCCGCCTACAGAGTCAAGGATCAGAACTACCACCACCGCACCGGCCACAAGTGGAGAATCTACCCTACCTACGAGTTCACCCACTGTCTGTGTGATAGCTTCGAAGGTATCACTCATTCTCTGTGCACTGTCGAATTCGAGACTCTGCGTCCTGCTTACAACTGGCTCCTGGAGGCCCTTGATCACAAGATTCCTGCCTCTGAGGAGAAGGGTCCTATGCAGCGTGAATATGGCAGACTCAACGTAGAGGGTACCATCCTTTCCAAACGTAGAATCCAGATGCTGGTTGAGGGTGTCAAGGCTGGTGGTCAGCAGCCCTCGGAAGAAGAGGAGCTTGCTGGAGCTGCCGAAGAGCTTCAGATCGCAGAGACTGGCGAGGAGGAGGCTGGCGCCGAGACTGCTGTGTCCAAGCCCGTCGCAGGCACACAGACTATTCCCCCTGTTGTCCGTGGCTGGGACGATCCTCGTCTCTTCACTCTGGTTGCTCTGCGTCGCCGCGGTGTTCCTCCTGGCGCTCTGAAGAAGTTCGTTCTAGACCTCGGTGTGACCAAGGCCAATGCCGACACCAAGATGCACATGCTGGACGCTTCAATCCGCACCTACCTCGAGCGTACCGTGCCACGTTTGATTGTTGTTCTCGATCCCATCAAGGTCGTCATTGACAACCTTCCCGAAGACTACCTTGAGGAGCGTGACGTGCCTTTCGATCCCAAGGACAAGGAAAAGGGCATGCACAAGCTTCCTTTCACCAAGACCATTTACATTGACCGCGATGACTTCCGTGAGGTCGACGATCCCGACTTTTTCCGCCTCGCCCCTGGCAAGTCTGTCGGTCTACTCTATGTTGATCACCCTCTTCGCTGTACATCATTCACAAAGGGCGAGGATGGCAAGGTCAATGAGATCCGCGCCGAATATGGTGCCGAGGTGCCCGCAGGCAAGGCCCGTATTCACTGGATTGGCGAGTCGGCAGCTCACAAGTCGCCAATCAAGGCCGAGGCTCGTATCTTCAACTCGCTCTTCAAGAACCCCCGTCCCAACGAGCTCGACTGGAAGAAGGGTGGCTACTATGAAAACGTCAACCCCGACAGCGAGATTGTGCACAAGAATGCTATGATTGAGGCTGGCTTCTTTGACATTCAGCAGCGTGCACCATGGCCCAAGGAGGAGGGTGAAGCCAAGGGCAATACCGGTCCCGAAGCTGTACGCTTCCAGGGCTTGCGTACCGCTTACTTCTGTGTTGACAAGGACAGCTCTGCTGAGAACATCATCTTGAACCGCATTGTCAGCTTGAAGGAGGATACCAGCAAGAAATAAGGAGCAAGTCATTTTTGAGGGAAGTTCAGAGCGAAGCATAAGGACGGCGCATGGGAGGCTTGAGTTACGAGAATCATGACAGGGCTTGACTTAGAAGAAAAGGAGTCATTAGAGATAGCCAAAATATACCCCATCTTCCTGTTTGGTTCTAACAAAAGGTCTCGACTCTGAAGATTAAGAAAACCAATACTCAATCTGAGAACAAGACATCCTAGTCATCATCTCCAAGTCTGACAGAACCCCAACCATTCCCATCAGCATGGGCAGCCTTCTTATCATCACAGTACAAGTGCACCCACCAAGAGTATGCACCTGTGAATACAATACCACCAATAGTATTTCCTAAAGTTATCGGGAGCAGGCATTTCCAAAATAGCATGCCAAGCGACATAGGAGAGCCAAGGAACATGGCAGTCGAGCCGAGATACATGTACTCCACTGTATGTGGGCATTTCGCCGCTGTTGAGATGAAAAANGGCCAATGAAGAGCCAGAGCTTTGCTGATACCGTCTTGGTTTTGCGTGCCCAGCATCATGGAAAAGGTTACTAACCAGCCGCAAAGAATGGAACGGAGGAAGATGATGTGCCATTGCGATTCGATTATGTCTTCCGAGATCATGGAAATGGTACCGCTCCTGAAGGGATCTTCGCTGAGGATCTCAGTCAGGTTGGTGAAGAGACCAGAGAAGATTAAAGCACCAATGAGGTTGCCAAGCCAGGATACTATGCCAACGCGTAGATATTGGAAGGCAGATCCTTTTCGCTCTAGAGCTGTCATGATGAACNNCTGCAATTCGAGTCAGAATGTATGTGTTCAATCTCATCAAGGACTAGGATCTTACCACATAGGGTATCCGGTATACAACTCAGCTCCCACGAGATAGACCAGGACTAGGCCGACAGGGAATGTTAATCCTTGCAAGATACGTGGGAGTCCCGGGTTGGCCTCTGACAGCCCCGGGGTGCCAGTAACCAGGGTAAGAGAGAGCAAGCCTCCTGCCGAGATCAAGAGAGCACCGTAGACATTCTTGAGAAACGTCAATTGCAAATCCTCCTCCAAGTGGTGTACGCCGGTCTCGAGGGTTCGTTCAGCAGCCTTCTTCGGCGACAGTGCTCCTGTAGACATCGACGTTGAGGTTCCAATTGTTCGATTGGTAAATCAAGTGTTATTTTACTTGAACTGGGCAGCTCAATTGATGTCAAGGCAAAGGTTTGGTTTGAACATGAGTCGATGGAAGGTTTGAAAGGATCCAGTCAATGACGCAGCTCTGATACTATGATCAGTGGGTATCCTTGAAGATCCATGATCTTATCTGATCAATCTCCTTTCTCAACGGTATTCGGACATCCTCAGACCATTTTTCACCGCTAGACGCGTTCAGTGTACGCATGGGTGAGTGTGACGCGTTTCCAGCTCGAGGGATCGTCGTGTTGGTTTCAGCAACGAGTCAACACTAATGCCCATTATCAGAACGTTGGCGCAGCATCTTGGTATGGCCCAAGTAGAATGGCTTGAAGACGCATTACACTATTCCATTTGTTGATCAAAGAGCAAGCTAGTATGATGAGCAGTTCAAGGAAGACATGGTGAACATCCAGGTGTGCTATTAACAGCAGACTGAAACAAAACAAGAAACTGTTTACCCCACGAAATACAAGTCAGTGCTGTCAGGGTCGCTTTCGGGCGTGTCCGGACGCCAAACCATCGGCCCCACGATTCATGAGACTCATGCTCTCCAAACCTGCCGACCATGACTCCCGCTGTGACCAGCAATCTCACAGGTTCTTCAAGGCGAAGTAGAATTGAAACCTGCCGAAACAAAGCCCCGGAACTTTCAGGAAAGTCGGAATGAATGTGCGGTAGAGGAACATGCGATAGCAAATGGGGAACAATCTCCTTCGTTATTCGGGCAGATGGGCGGGCGTGAGAGATGGCGTGACATCTTGTCATTTTGGCGGAATCATTGCTCCACAAGCCATGCCCGAGTGGGGCCTTTGTTGGAATGGTATGATTTAGGCAGTCCTTGCGCCATGTGAGGCAGCGACTGCAGGTGAGACATTTAGGTTCATCAATGTAACGCTGAGGTATAAAGAGACATGGTTCCCAGCTTTGAAGGTTTGAGGGTATCTTGAAAACTTATAGAGGAACCATTACCACTTTTGTCGTTGTCCCAACCCTCGAATTTATGTGAGCATTGCCTCGTGTTGTTGCTGCGCACAAGAATCTAACCAAGGATATAAAGACCAGTTTCACCAAGACTATTAGCACCATGACTTCTCCATCAGCAGCCCTTATGCAAAGCATCCGCTCAGGCACCACTCACTTCAACGCCATGACTCCTAAAGACCGTGTCAAACTTATCGCGATCATGGGATACTGCACACTCGCCTTCAGTGCACCTTTTGCGGGAGCGGCAGAAATGAGCAGACGTACACGCAACGATACCACATATGCAAAGATGTAAGTGCTTGGCTGGAGCAGGCGCAAATACATCAGGTAGGCTAATTGAATCTTAGGCNGACCACTCAGCTACAGAGATTGTCTAGCCTGTGGCTCTCGCCTTGAAGACTATGCTGGTCTTGGCCGCAGACCTTGAGCAACTATTGCAAAGGCTTCCTATGACATGATGGTTATTTTCAGGAATACGGCGTTTGAGGATCAGCCTGGCACGGCTTTGCATGGACACTGGGCGTATGGGCATAAGAATAGAGTGTGAGAAGAGCAGTCTTGTTGTTGTTACTCATGATATCCAGCAACAGGAAAGGCGAGCAACCCTGAAGGTTGTTTCGGCGGTATATGGTTGGGCGTGGCAACAGAAAACGATGCCAGATGAACTCCATGACGATGCTTTATAATAATACAAAACTTTGATGCAGAAAAGGCTCAACTGAAGCGATCGCCCTTCTTGCTCCGGTATGGTGCAGAGCTCTCGAAAGGACTGTGGCCTCCGCTCTCGGCAGCATGACCTGAGGCGGGTGACATGTCTTCGGTGGCTTCTTTGCTCGGGTTTGCGTGGCTGTCTTGCTTCTGGGGAGGAACGGGATAGCGGTTTTGAAGTTCGCGCATCTGCATGCGTCTCTTGTTGTCTGCTTCTGCGCGCTCGGCACGGTCTTTGTTGATGCTCTTCTTGGCGAAGTAGTATGCGCCGCCGCCTGCGACAATGAGGACGCCCCAACCGTAGCTGTAGGGGCAGGTGGTATTAGAAGGATTGTGATGCAATTTGGACTTTCGTTGTTAAAACGTACCCGACAGATCTGACCTGTGGGGCAAGTTAGTTGGCCGAGGCGTGCGACACAGGGTCTGGGTGAACCTACAGTGTTCATTTTGGTGTATAGAAGGTGAATTGGCAGTTGTAAGCAAGATGGACGGACACAAACAAGGCGGCCGTCAAGGATAGAAGAATCGGGCAAAGTCGTGGCAGACAAATGGTTGCATCACCTGAGATTCACCTTGAGGGAAGCCCCAGCCGCACCTTCGTGCCAAACAAGCAATTGTAGCCGGCTCCTTCCATTTCACATGCCTCGATTACACGTCCCTCTCGTTGATGAAGACTGAGTCACATTTGCCTCTTCACCAATGTCAATACCATAACCCGGCGCATGTGATTGCTATCACCAACAATGACCGGTGTTAGCGGGAACAAGCGCCTTTGAACTCACCACCGAAGCTTCTCCGCCTCTTCTGGTCCCATTCCGTCATCCGAACGACCAAACTCTAGGCTACAGCACGTGGCAGTCAGCATTATCCGCCCACTTGGACCTGCAATACATAGCCATCCGTCGCAGACTCGATCCCTTCTTCACACACGCCCGTCATGCCGCCCAAACGCAAGGCCGCCGCCGCCACCACTGGCTCTCGTCCATCCAAGCGTGTGGCGTCGGGTGTGAACACTCCCGTCAGCATGGGCAGCAGCGACGACGAATACATGTCCGACGACCCAGATGACTACGACCCTCAGCACGACAATTACGAAGAGACTGTCAAGAAGTTCCAGCCATCCTCGTACCGCAGCAAGAACACCAAGCCACAAGAATCAGACCAAGCCACTCGTCTTTTCAAATCCGACAACGACCTCTCCGCCCTGGACCTGAAATCTGACCACGCAGTGCGTCCGCTCTGGCTTGATCCTCTGAAGGGCAGAATTGTCGTCGAGACCTTCTCCCCTTCATTCAAGCAGGCCCAGAACTTCTTGATCAACATCGCCGAGCCTCAGTCACGAACCACAAATGTCCACGAGTACACAATCACTGGCCACAGCCTGTTCGCCGCCGTCTCGGTCGGTCTCACCACAGACGACATCATCCGACAACTCGAGGTCTTCTCCAAAACAAGGCTACCTGATAGTTTGAAGGAATTCATCTACACGTCCACTCAGTCCTACGGAAAGATTCGTTTGGTCTTGAAGCACAACAGATACTATATTGAAAGTCAGGATGCCTCTGTCTTACAAATGCTCTTGCGCGACCCAGTCGTTGGTCCGGCCAGAATTCACGAAACCGACGAGTTGATTCAGGAAAAGGCCCCTCAATTAGGAGGCTTGGTGATTCCGGGAACAAAGGATGCCGCTGGCATCAAGCAGGCCGAGGCTCAAGCACAGAGAGCGGCTGCAAAGAAGAACGATGGCGACGACGACGACGAGGATGAGGATGACAAGAAAGAAGAAGCAGAACAAGACATGACGGCCTACCTCAGAGACGAGGACGATGATGACGAGGCTGACGAGGTCCACTCTTTCGAAATTGATGGTGAGAAGATTCAGGCAGTCCAGCAACAGTGCAATGTCAACCTGGGTTTACCTCTGACAAACGAGTACGATTTCCGAAATGACGACACCAACGCAAACCTGGACATTGATCTACGGCCTATGGCTCNNCAAATCAGATATTATCAAGAGCACGCGCTCAGTAAGATGTTCGGTAACGGTCGTGCCAGAAGTGGAATCATCGTTCTGCCTTGTGGTGCTGGTAAAACTCTGGTCGGCATTACCGCTGCCTGTACCGTCAAGAAGTCAGCCATCGTCTTATGCACTTCTGCCATGAGTGCCTATCAGTGGAAGAACGAGTTCTTGAAATGGTCGAACATCAACCCGGATGACATCGCCATCTTCACTTCAGGCGAAAAGGAGAAACTCAATCAACGAGCAGGCATCATCGTTTGCACCTACAGCATGGTCACTCAAAACACTCGAAGAGCTCACGACAGTCAGCAGGTTATGGACTTTATGCAAAACAGAGAGTGGGGTCTGATGGTTCTCGACGAGGTTCACGTTGTGCCTGCCGAAATGTTTCGTCGTGTTACATCTAAGATCAGGTCGCACTCAAAACTCGGATTGACTGCTACCTTGCTGCGTGAAGACGACAAGATCAAGGATCTGAACTTCCTTATCGGCCCAAAGTTGTATGAAGCCAATTGGCTACAGTTGTCGGAAGAAGGTCACATTGCCCGTGTCCAATGCGCCGAAGTTTGGTGTCCTATGACAACAGAGTTCTATGGTGAATACCTTAAGGCTCGCACTACTAACAAACGCTCTCTGCTCTCCACCATGAACCCCAGAAAGTTCCAAGCCTGTCAATTCTTGATTGATTACCACGAGAAAAGAGGCGACAAGATCATCGTCTTCTCTGATAACGTGTACGCGCTTGAGAAGTATGCGAAGCGATTAAAGAAACCCTATATCTACGGAGACACGCCTCAAAGAGAGCGTGAGATGGTCTTGCAGAATTTCCAACAAAATGAATCAGTGCGGACGATCTTCCTGTCTAAAATCGGAGATACCAGTCTGGATTTGCCCGAGGCTACCTGCCTGATTCAAGTGTCCAGCCACTATGGGTAAGTCGCAAATTTGCTGTTACCGGTAACACTGACTAACGTTGTTGGCTTTAGATCTCGTCGTCAAGAAGCTCAGCGATTGGGTCGAATTCTCCGTGCGAAACGTAGAAACGACGAGGGATTCAATGCTTTCTTCTACTCTCTTGTCTCGAAAGACACGAATGAGATGTACTACTCGTCAAAACGTCAAGCCTTCCTGGTCGATCAAGGATACTCCTTCAAAGTCATCACACACTTGACAGGTATCGATAAAGTCGAAGGTCTCCATTTCCGTGACACGTCTTCACGCATGGAACTCCTCGAGGACGTCCTCATGGCTGGTGAAGAAAGTGGCAGTGTTGAGAATATCCAGGACGATCTGTTCAGTGGAAGACAAATGCACAAAGGACCAAAGGGTAAACCCGGTGTCCGACGCACAGCTGGCGCACTCTCGGAATACGCTGGTGGCAAGGACATGGCGTACATTGAGTACAACAAGAGCAGAAACAAGGAGCTTAAGAAGAACAAGCCAGCAAGTAAGTTCTTCAAGGATATCCAGAGGACGAACGAAAAGAGAAAGGCAGCTGCCAAGATGGATACGTAGTGGCCTTTCTTTCTCTCCTCAAAAACAACGAGTCATTGCATATTTTCATGATTACGATGGGGTCTTGGGTTCAGCAGGCGCGGTGTCTTTCAATTTTTGAGCTTCTATAGCAAAAACAAACGTCTCTAGTCTTCTACAATGGAGAAGCAGTGTGGCACGTTGGTATCTCATGTTCAGTTTGTCATTTCCTGACACTTGTATAAGCATCATGTCTGACTAGAAAAACATGTTCTCGTGTAATCGTGTAACAGACATGTCCAGAGCAAGTTTCATTCGATATTTAAAATGCATAGAAAGTCGGAATCATCATTGACACAGCAAGCAGACAAATCCCCCATCCGTTCATTCTCTCTCGCGAAGCCAAGTTCGGCACGCCATCGTTCTTCGAGCCATTGATCTTGGTAGCCAAGCTAGCATTATCGGAGTAAATCGCCTTCAAGCAGTCAAATGAGGATCTTTGCAGACGATCAGATCCTGCGCCTGAATCTGCCGTGGCGAAGAAAAGACTCATCATCGGACTGTACGCGAACAATGGAAAGCTCTCATTGCCTTGAGACCAAAATAGGCGTATAGAAAGTTCTGGTTGTTCCTCGAGGATTACATTCGATCACTACTCCAGAGCATTATCCCCTTACCCTCACACTCTATTCAAGATGGCTACCGCTCTGGGTGTTGTGTCTAGCACCATCTCGATTTCCAATCGCGTTGAAGGCCTATTCCCAGCTCCTCAGAATCACCACTCTTAGCTGAAGATCTATGCGGGATTCAACACTGCACCGACAGCCGATCAAGATTCTTCAGACAATGGTTATGTGAGTGTTAGATGCTGTCTACAGTTCTCTGTTCTGCTACAACCTCATTTTGTTTTGTCTGCTCTACACTCCTTTCGTGTTTTGAAGGGATTCTATATGTTCTGACATTCGTCATAGGTACCATACATAGTTACCTCCCCTTGTGTTAAAGTATGTGACGCGATGAAAAGGCACAACTTTATCCAGAATCAAAGACATGGCCAAACAAAGCCGATGAGGAACTGCCTCTCAGTGAGCACCATCCTGTTCTCTAATAATATCGAGAGCTCGATGCACTGCATTTGGCAAGAGAAGAAGAGATCTGTGTATTGGAACGAAGCTCCCTGTTTGTATATTACACTCAGCCACAATTTTGCACTTTCACGCAAGATTGGAGCAGGACAACGCTCAAAAGCAACTCTCTCGTTTCTGTATACTGTACTATGGCGTTCAACCTCTGAGCGTGTCAATAAAGATCGCAAAAGTCGATTGCGCGATGAGTCTGTATTGCGCCATTTATTCTGCTTGCGTCACGCCTCCGACGGGAACGAAGGCATTGATGAAGATCGCAATAAGGTTGTGAATATAGTGTCTGCTTTGGCCTGTGAGCGCACTATCGAACACTCATCAGCTTGGCTATAGTACTAAACAAATCTAGACATTGCAAAATCCAGACACCAGCCATGAGCCAAAACCCTTTCTATTGTGCATCAAATTCTCGAGATGCAGATGCTGTTCGAGCGTCTCACAGCTGATCGTGGTTGTACAAGAATGGTCGAGACGAGAACCAGGCTTCTATCAGCTTGAAGCATCTCGAGACCAAGACTTCTGACCTGAACATCTTCTCGTGTGTTGAGCAAGGATAGAAGGGTGGCTGCATATTAATATATTCCTCGCGAAAGAGGATCGGGAGGCGCAAGGACCATATTGTGTCTTTCTCTTTCTGCAGATCAAAGGGAAAACAACTCCACTTCGCTGCAGTCAGACACTTTAACAAGCGAGTCTGGCTGAGGTGAGAGTCAGGTAGATTGTGATGCTGCTCCATGAGCTCGACGAGATCCAATTTAGTCCGGAATCAGGACTGGCATGATCGGGTTTTTCGAAAGGCCTGACACACCTGATAGATTGCTGGGAAATATTGGCGGCCCAAGCAAATAAAGCAGGCACGACAAGCAAGGTCGATGTTCCTACAGAACTCAGTGTCTCGGTCTCGAGACGGGTTGGCAAGAGGGCAAGGGAACGCAGTGGGCCTTTGAAACAAGGACGGACGAGTCGGCGACCCACGGCCTCCTTCGGGTGACGGCAAATGGCGCGCGCGCCTCGTGCCTTACTCGCGAGCCAATGCGTGACAGCCCTAGGCATATTGATTACAAGAACATCACCTCCTTACTCGAGCATTTCTGGAGTCGACAGCAGCAGAAAGACTCGAACTGACTCGAGGTCTTGGTAGAGAAATGTCGATTCATGACACCGGCAACAGGTTTAGCGAAAAGTAGCAACAGTGTCTGTCATGCAAGCCTCTTCTTTCAAAACTTGTTGCAGTGCGATAAGGTAATATTCGTGTCTTGGAAGCAAGGAGAGAAGGGAACAAGCTCGGATCGGGTACCTGACCGACAGCCGCCGTGCATGAGAGCTGCAGCGCCTTTTCGTGCCACGAGGCTAAAATATATTAAAGCACTGTCTGTAACATCATCTTAAGCCTTCCCCATACGACGTGATACGTCCGTACGGTATCTAGACAGCTTGAATGCGCGCGCGGTGATAATAGGCTCTAGAAAGGGAAGAGAATCTGTGGATGGGAATAAAGCTCCTTGTCTATGCATAATACATTAAAAAAAATCATGTCGCTACACCATGCTGATATGACAAATCCATGGGGCTGGGATCGGAGCAGCATTTGAGCGAAGTCGAAGAAGAATGTTTGTGCTTCTATGAGCTCTGGAGGCCGTTGGAGGCAAAGAAGTTTTGAATGACATTGTAGGCACCAGTAGCNTGAAACAGAAGAAACGTTAGCATCTTGTCATCCCACGCATTGAAACGTTCGTGCATCTGAGACAACTTACCATTGTAGTGGAAATTGATGCCGTGGCCAGTGTTCGGGTGGATGTAGGCCTCAAACTTGCTGACATTAGGGAATGCTGCAGCGACTCCAGCAGGAATGCTAGCAGCAGCACCGCCAGTGGCGAGACAGTCACCTNNGCAAGTCAAGTTAGCATATTTCTGAGAAAGAAACATCGAGAACTCTGTACCTCCACAGTAAATTGTGTCCTGGCGACCAGTCAAGACGAGAGCAGGACCAGTGAGGGGAGAGGTAGCAGGAGCACCATTTCCAAGAGTGAACACTTCTCCAAGAGTGACAGGTTGCTTAGTGCTTTCAGCATAGACAGCGGCACCAACATCGAAGTAACCGGGGTAAAGGAACGCGAAGATGTTGCTTGTCAAATCGCTCCAGGTGAGATATCCGGTGGGCAGATTCTGTGCAACAGGGGCTACGGTAGCATTCCAGCCGTTGATGATATCACCAACTTCAGTGGTAGCGATTTCCTGCCAGATATCAGAGCTCGAAAGGTCGATACCAACAGCGTTGAGAGCAGACTGAAGGATCGAGATGACATTCTGGCCGAGCCAGGCAACGTTAGTCTTGGTGCGAGAGACAGATTGATCGCCGAAGCGTAGAGGCTGGTTGAGACGAGCGAGGTGCAGATTCCAGTCCGCAAGAGTTTGAGCAAGCCAGGTAGCGTTCATTGAGAAGCCGGTGAGGGCGACACCGTCAGATGAACCAGGGTAGAGAGCAGTCAAGAGGTAACTCTGGAGAGATCCGAAAGAGTGACCAACNTGAAGAACATCAGTTTCGACAAGATTCGACCTCGAGATAGGTAACTACTTACCGTGTACTACCTTGCCGAACTTCTGGCTCACCTGGGGGAACGTGCCATTGCGGAGCATGGAAGTGATCTCATATAGAGCAGAAACCTCAGCAGGGGCTTGAACAATGTTGAGGGGGNNGTCAGCGTGAGAAGAGTTGCCAATGCCGAATCTATCGATTGAGACAGTGTGATAGCCAGCGGCAACGGCAACATCAATGTAAGAGTAGTTGTAGTTGTTGTAGGACAAATCCCAGTAGCTCTTGTCGAAGCCAATGCCGTGGGTCAAGACCTGAACAACAGGGTTGGCCACGTTGTCGCCTTGAGGTTTGCAGTATTTGGCGCTGATGTTGTAGTTTCCAGTGACGGTCTGGAATCCTGTAGTGACAACGTCGGTGTAATTCATGCCAATGTTAGTGAAGTCAAGAGAGAACTTGACTGCATCGAGGTTTGACTCCAAGGTAGGGACATCGAAGACAGCCTGTCTTGCGTTGATGTATACTGGAACAGTGACATTGGTGCAGACTTTGGCTGCAGAAGCCACAGTACCCAGGAGGGCAAGAAGGGCAATAGAAGGCATGGTGAACGAGGATTGAAGGAGGAGGTGATGAACAGACTTGTGCTTTTGGAGGGAGTCGACAGGGTATTTATTGTCCACGAGCAGTCAACCAGTCAATGCCTCAGAAGAAAAGCATTGACGTCAAGTAGATGGTCGCAATGTTCTAGTCTTACAGTCAATTGGCACTCAAAGATTGGCAGACACGAATATGCTCGGGACAGTGGATCGGTCATGCAGGTGTGGCAGAAGCGAGTTGTGGATGCTATGGTCGCAGTAAAGACCATTAGCGTTGCAAATACCACCAGAGTCCCTCCCGCCGGTGCTTGAGCGGCTGAACTCAAGCATAGTGAAAGGGCCCTGAGAACGTCATGATCTTCTGGAGGAAGGGACCTCAAGGGAGACGATCATGGCGCGCGGGACGGCTACTCAAAATTCGAGGGTCAGTCGGTCGAGTCCTGACCACATGCTCTTAGGCGCGACCCCAGCAGGAAGGACAAAGCTCATTACTGCTGACTCTGTCAGGGATACAACGTGGGTGTAGGGACATGCAGCTGCATCGACGAATAGTCTGCACAAGTGTCTCTCGCCTAAGCAGGTGTGCCCGCCGGATCTCCACGCTACAGAGCTACAATATTGTGAAAGCGGGCGCCTGCTCACTACTTGCTTGAGTGAGAGATTACCGAGCAGCAGTCAGATCACTACTCGTCAGACGGCATTGAGTTACAATATGACATGAGCATCGGATTGACAGACACTTGATGGCGCGTCGATAGCGCAATTGCGCACGGCACGCAAACACGCCTTGTATCAGTGCAATCAGAGGCTTGATCAGAAGGATCGGTTGGCTGGGCGGGTCAAGGACCGTGATGGAGCTCCACGGGAGAGAAGCAAAGACACGGGCGGGCTAGTTAGAGTACAGTGAAGAGCTCGAGTGAAACGAGGGGGAGGAAAGTGCAACCGACAGGAGTCTAGCAAAAGAAGGGCAGGAACAGGAAAGCTTGGCGTCGCGAAGCGCGGGAATGGCCGCTGTCCTGGGAAGTTGCGTCTTGCGAGCTGCGTCTCTGATCGGGCTGGAACTGAGCACTTTGACACTATCAACTCCACTCGTGCTGCTAGTCGACTCTACTAATCCATCGCTATCAGTATCGGTGCCTCTTGTGCTTTCTATTGCAACACAAGCGAGATTAATTCCCACGCCTTCCTACGGGCGTACGAAGCCACAATCGTGTTTGCTGCACATCATCACGGCCTCGACCAGGACACCACGCGCAAGCCGAACACAGAACCAAGAAATCAATTCACTTTCTAGTCGATCACAGCCGAAGCACTCCTGAAAGGTTCTCATCACATCACACGTGGCCTGGTCTTCTGCTTGCATCTTGCTGCCGCCCTTGCCGCCATGTCCAACCCAGTCTGGAACCCAGACAATATCACCGACGTCGCCGAATCTGTTGGCGTTGGTGCTCTCAACCACGACGTCGTTACTCAGCTCGCCCAGGATGTTGAATACCGCGTCAGTCAGATACTGGAAGAAGCTCTCAAGTTCATGCGCAATGCCAAGAGAACCACTCTGAGCACGCAGGACATCTCACAGGCCTTGCGTCTGCTTGATGTTGAGCCTCTCTACGGTTACGAAGCTACAAGACCTCTACGCTTTGGTGAGGCATCAATAGGCCCTGGACAACCGTTGTATTACGTCGAAGACGAAGAGATCGACTTCGAGAAGTTCATCAACGCTCCGCTACCGAAGGTGCCTCGCGAGATTTCTCTAACAGGTCCGTCAATCTGTGTTCTGCTACTTAGCTCAACTGACACCGCGTGCANNGCACACTGGCTCGCTGTAGAAGGAGTACAGCCCTCAATCCCTCAGAATCCCACCTCCGCCGATCAGAGACACCAAGAGCTTCTCCCCAAGGGCCCTGGCGCGAATCCTAATCTGGCCGCCATTGGTGGAAACGACAATGTCGCCGTCAAGCCTCTGGTCAAACACGTCATATCAAAAGAACTACAACTGTATTTCGAACGCATCTGCAGTGCTATCCTGGACGAAACCAACGAGGAGTTCCGCATATCGGCTTTTGCCAGTTTGCGCACTGATCCTGGTCTTCACCAGCTGGTGCCGTATTTTGTTCAGTTCGTCGCAGACAAAGTTACACACAATCTAAAGAGCCTGTTCGTTCTTAGGCAGATGATGCAGCTGTTGGCGGCCCTGCTGGAGAATCCCAGCCTATACATCGCTCCATACGTTGCTTCACTGATTCCACCAGTCCTTACATGCTTGATCGGAAAACATCTTGGGTCAATATCCGCCGATGGCCCTGAAGCACACTTTGCACTCCGCGACTTCTCCGCTTCGCTGCTGTCGGCTATCGCCAAACAATATGGTCAAACATCGGGCACGCTCAAACCTCGCATCGCGCGTTCGTGTCTAAAGGACTTCCTCGACTCGCACAAACCTTTTGGCACGCACTACGGAGCTATTCTTGGGTTACGAGGCATCTCTGGAGCAGCGGGTGTGCGAACACTGATCCTCCCAAACCTTAAAGCTTATGACCAGGTGCTCAAGCAAGGTTTGGCAGATGAGCACAAGAAAGATCAGGCAGAAAGGGTTGCGGTGGTGCTGCTTCGATCTTTGGAACTTCTGGAGCAACATTCGGCAAACATGACCAACGGACACCCCGAAGGTGCAGAGCTGAAGGAGCGCTTGACGGAAGCCATCGGCGAAGTACTTGGTGCACGGGTATACGAGAGCGGAAGATCAGGGCTGGCTTCCGTCGTGCTTGACAAAGACATGGCGGTGTAGAAAAAGTGAGAGAGGATTAGCGCGTCATTTTTGGTGAATGCATAGCGGCGTGGGGCGGGCCACCGTAGGCACAACAACATCGGAGTTGGGGGATTTACGAAGTCTAACTAGATATGATACCAGGACGATGCAGTCGGCGTGTACAAAAGAAGCAAGCTCTCCCAATTGAGAAGGAAGCATTGATGAAATGTGGTTCGCATGACTTGCAAAGTGCTTGTGAGAGTCTTAGAAAAGGTGACAGATATGGTGGTGCAGGGCAAGCGCAGAGAAAAACAGTGCAGCGGAACTCAAGTGGCTGGCGATGGGATGCAGCAAGGAAATGTTCAACCAGGGCAGGTGCAGTAGTGTTGTGGGTATTGCCAATGCTCGGATGTGGAGCAAAACCTTGTGCACGATGATGGGGTTCACGCGAGGACCGTGGTTGCGACGAGAGTTTATCTGAGCAGCAAGGGCATGCTTTGTTGTGGCAGCGAGCGGGGTGGGACACGAGAAAGTATAAGCAGAAAAACACAAGGGCCGCAAGGAACGGGTATACAAGGGAGCGGGCATATTATGGGTACGTGTACCGAGTTGAGCTGAGAATTATGGATTCGTTACCATTTTGATGGGGTATTCACGGGTTGCAACATGTCGGGGTTGTGGTGTCACAGACGGACGGCTGGCGCTTCAGACGTAAACAATCAACACTTCCTTGACAACCACCAACCTCGCTCTCTGCGCCAGCCGACATAACACACAAGGCCGTCCAGGCGGTCGCATGAAGAATTTGATTAATCCTACTCGTGCTCTTGGGCCTTCTGCCATTCGGCCAGTCATTCATTTATTCTGGAGGAGCGCGTTTCTGGTTGCTGGACTGCCCACGTAAACAAAGCCATCTTTGGACTGCATCGATACCCAACCTGGCCTGACGGACTAGTCGCGCAACATGGCGGGCCAGTCGATACCGACCAAGTTCCCCTGCTGGTGCAAGGCTGTCTATTCTTGGGGTGGAGAGGTGGGCAACGACCTTGGAGACGGCTCAGGACGCAAAGCTGACTGACACTCTCTACAGACCAAGAAAGACCTGGGCTTCATCGAGGGAGATCTGATCGAGTGTCTAAATGCAGGAGATGGTTCGTGGTGGATGGGGCGTCTGAGGCGCGACCGGCGCATGGTTGGTCTGTTTCCTTCCAACTTTGTCCAGGTGCTCGACGAGAAGTTCCAACCAGCTCCCATCCGTCGCAATGTTTCGCCGCCTACCACCGTCGCCGCGCCGCAAAAGTCAAAGAGCGTCTTCAGGAAGCCCTTCCAAGGGTACAAAGAGTTTGGATACCGTGATGATGGTTGCAATTCGCGAGGCAGCACACCAGAAGACAGAGTGGTCAAGAAGAAGTTCAGCCCGTACTCCAGCATGAAGACGGCAAAGGCTCCTGGATCTGACAAGAAGCCTCAATCCTCACCACTCAAGGAGGAGTCGACCTTTCGCCTTCCATCTCCGCTACCGCGTGCCTCTCCCAGCAGGGCGCCCTCGCCAGGAGACATGTACAGAGCTTCCTCTCCGGCGCCCACCACCTTGCACCGATCAGTTTCGCCTGCACCTTCGGCCTTTTACCGTCCCACTTCGCCAGCCCCTTCTACCATGTATAGAACATCTTCGCCTGCGCCTTCGGCCATGTACAGAGCTACATCACCTGCTCCCTCAGCCATGTATCGTCCCATTTCGCCGAATCCTCAAGACATGTATCGCTCAACTTCTCCCAATCCCTCAGCCATGTACAGTGGGCATGCCTCGCCTAATGCCGCTATGTATCGCGCTGCTTCTCCCAACACAAACGCCGATCTGTACAGTCGAGCTGCCTCACCAAATCCTTACCGAGCCATGTCGCCAGCTCCCTTCCATCAGAACAATTCACCTTATCGCGTTGCATCGCCTGCCCCTTCTCAGTTCCATCACTCGCCGTCTCCTTCTCCTACTCCCACTCCCATGGCTGCGCCAGGCCAATACCAAGCATACAGACCCCCTCAAGATTACGACTATTTCAGGGCAACCTCACCCGCACCTCCACCGATACACCACATCTCCAGACAGCCTTCGCCAGTCCCACAGGACGATGCATCCTCTCCTCCGCCTCCTGCACCGCCACCCCATCGTGTACTTCATCAACAGAGCAGGCCTGTTTCTCCTCGCCCTACCTACGAGACTGAACCAAACAATGGCTACACCACACCCGGAGGCCACTCGAGGGACGGCCAGTCTTCCGGTATGACTCCTTCGCCTCTGCGCGATGCTATGGCCGACGTTATGTCTTCTTTGCATGACATGAGCAGTGTTGCCGGAAGATCATCACCCNCTCCTGGCCCCGAAAGCCCCAACGGAATCTGGTCACCAGATGCATTCGATCTCATACGTTCCCGATCCGCTCATCAAGCGAGAGCAAAGTCTGCTATGGACATGTACCGCAGGGAAGCAAGCCCGAACAGACTGGCAAATGTACAGGAAGATCAGGGCTCTATTCCATCCTTGCCCTCTTCGAGAGATGGTCCACCTGCATTGGATGACTACGTCTCACGTATGGAGAGTCGTTTGAGACGAACGAAATCCACTGGAGCCGACCTCCAAACTGTTGGGNGTGCCACCCAATCTGACAGCAGGCCTACGACATCCGGCAGTCAGAGCAGTTCAGGCAGTGTTCGTTTCAGCACACAAGTGCCCAGAAGCCCCAGTCCCCGGAAATCTGTTTATGATCTCGCAAGCAGGCAGCAACTTCGCAGAACACAGACAAGCAAAACCAATGCAACGAGTTCCTCTTCGGGTACCAACAGTACTTCAACAGCCAGCACTACGAGCACTCAGATTACCAGTGCAAGCATCATGAGTGGTCACTCTGCAGGTGCCTTCAGCGCCACTAGTGCTGGTAGCTTTGCTAGGCGCAAGTGGGGTTTGACTGGCAGTGTANAAGGAAGACGGCCGCTGAGCGCGTTGAGCTCGAGGTCCTATGGCGACCTACAGGGAGAGTGTAGCAAAGAAGAACGCCCTAAGACAGCCATGCAATCACGTCCTCAGTCACCCGAAACTGGCATCAGCTTCCATTCGAGCCATGCCACGCAACCTGCCCCAACACCTGTCGCCGATTGGACTACTAACCCATTCGAGACTGCCGGTGTGCTTGGAGGCCTTTCGGCTCCTAAGGCTAAANAGAGCGGCTTCTTCAGAAAGATGATTGACACAGCAAAAACGACCGCGAAGACTGGCGCAGCTAATGCAAGAAGTACCATTGCATCTGGCAGACCTCCGAGTAGGGCTGGCTCGCCCAAGAAGAGCATCATACCTGATGGTGTTACGGCCATCTCTGGTGGTATGCCTTCATCGCCGCCAGCTCTCACATCGACAGCACATCGTGACATGGGTCTCGGAGGCGGCGACGGCTGGATGCAGGTCAGACGTGATGTTAACCGATCCAATTCGCTGAGCAGAAATGAGAGAGTCGAACGTATCGAACGTTGTGAAATGATGGATATTATCGTTCTCAATCCTGTCGAGGAACTACTGGAGCAAACTGAGGGCGATGAAGGTCTTGACGGACTGGCCATCACCGAGCCAACTGATTTTGCAGCCCCAAGTCTTGGTCTGGTGGACAAGGGTACAAGATTTATCTCTGCTCTTCCTCAGATGGTTACTCCAACATCATTGGCGCAGAGTTATCTCTGCAGACCCTACCGTAGCGATGTTCAGCGTCTTCGTGCCATTTTTACATGGGTTGCTGAACGTATCACTTGGGAAGAAGATTTCGAAGGTCAGATCGATACCAGACGCGTCTTGCAGACTAAGCGCGGCTGTAGTGAGGAGATCGCTGTACTGGTACGCGACCTTTGCTCTGCTGTGGGTCTGCATGCCGAGGTCGTTCGTGGCTACCTCAAAGGACCTGGTGAACGCCTTGATCTAGAAAACATCGCAAGAGCGAACCACTTCTGGAACGCCGTCATCATTGATGGCGAATGGCGTATCATGGACTGCTCCCTGGCTAATCCTACCAACCCCAAAAGAAGCATGTACAGCTCAGCAAACAACACTGTTGCCGATCATTGGTTCTTCCTCACGCGACCCATGGAAATTTGCTACACTCATATCCCTCTTCTACCTGAGCAACAACATATTGTTCCTCCTGTCCCTCACGAAGTCCTCATCTCACTACCATGCGCCTGTCCGCCTTACTTCCGTCACCACATCGAGCTGACAAACTACGACACTTCGATCGCCTACCTCGAAAATCTAGAGATGGCACACCTCCAACTCACCGTTCCTGAGGACGTGGAAATTGTTGCAGAGGTAGAAGCCCGGGCTTTCGCTCGTGACATGGACGGTGATCTCTTCGAATCAGGCGATGTGACTAGGAAGATCGCTCTTGCTCAGCCTACCTGGATCTCTGGTCGAAAAAGCTATGTTGTGAAAGCGCTTCTTCCCGGTGACGAAGGCGAAGGCATGTTGAAAGTATATGCCGGCAAACGAGGTCTCATGCACAGTATCAAGGATAACCCGCATGCCCTCGCTCTCACAATGCCGCTCATCCACACTGGACAGAACCCACCCTATAGCTTCCTCACGCGCCACCCTACTCCTCACGCCCAACGCCACGACCTATATGTCGCTCAACCCCAATGTGCTCGCTTGGTCATCAACAACACATTTGTGTTCTGCGTACGCCAACACCCATCCTCACTTTCCCGCTTCTCGCCCGACACATGGGGTGGCTCGAACACCACAGCCTCCAGCAGGGGAAGAAGTAACTCAGCACTAGGCCTGCGCTCCACCTCACCCGCTCCGTCCGCCCGGCCGTCCTCCGCAATGTCCATGGCATCTTCTTCCGCGGGTATGTCACACACCGGCAGCATGATATCCGAAACCTCCAACATGAGCGAAAAACAACAAAAACCTGCCAAACTGGCCATTCAATCTCCTTCAGGCAAGATCATTCGCTTCACGAGAAAACAGGAGTATGGAGGTAGTAGCAGTGGCAGGGGAGCAAAGGAAGAAGAAGGATTGGGTAGTACGTGGGAGACTGTTATCAAGGTTGGAGAAAGAGGTGTTTACAGAGGTCTTGTGTTGGCAGATCGAAGTGCCAGATGGTGTGTTTTTGCTGAGTGGGAGTGTGTCTGATGTCTACGAACATTTTCTTGTTCTCCGTTTTGTTGTTTGTGGTCTGTACTATATTTCGGGCTGGAGTTTCTATACACGTGGGGAACAATTATCAAAGGGTCATCAAAGCAGTCTTGGTGCGTCTGTAAGTTTTTGTAGTTCTAAAAAGCATAGCGGCTGGTGCTTTACGTTCTCAATTATTTTGGCTTCTATCACACCACCGTATGCCGTCAGGCATTATTGCACGACTATAATTCCTGGCATGTTTGATACCTCCAACAGCTAGACATTCCTATAATCATTTAAATTGTGGTTGATGTGACCAAACACACGAGTTTCGATATCAGGTTTGGGGTGGTACCTTTTAACAGGGTCACCCCAGACGCTATATGGACTTGTAGAATTTCGGTGTACGTACTCTATGTCTTCGATTGACTCTTTCCATGTTACCTCTCGGTCTAACGGACATCTTGCATCAGCTGTCTGGTACGGTGAAGAAAGATTCTAGTCACGTCTGCTCGTTATATCCAGCCGTACTACTCGGCATACGGTAGTCGTGGCCCTTCGTCATGCAGTGATCGACAGGAGACATGGAAGGGAGCGTTGGCAGTTGCGAAAGTCTATCTTTGCACCTCTGACGTCGCAGAGTGAGACGAGACAACTTATTGTGAAAAATAGCAATATTTGTCTAGGCTGATACATGACAGGTCCAACAGCTTGAGATGATGGATTTGTCACTTGCCCTTCATAAGTTCACTCTGCAACAAGAAAACGCAAAGAAAATCAATAGACGAGTATCGAAAAGCATGCTCGCTTGGCATATGTAGCACTTGCATATCGAAAGGGCCACAAGCAGGTCCGGGAATTCCTGTTACGAGAGGCGCAAACGGACACCCGCATAAGATCGTCATACAGCAAGCAAAGAACTGTTGGGCCCTGGTGCCTCTGCAATTTTTCTAGCTTTGAAGTTCTACAGAATATAAGAAGTTCTCAATCGCATTAGTGCTGTACTGCTTCTACTCCACCTCTCTACCGTATTACTATTATCAATTAAAACATGCATTTCACAAAAGCATTCACCTCGCTGGTCCTCAGCGTCAGCACTGTTACCGCAGCGGTACTACCCAGACAGATCAACAGTACTGGAGTCTCCAACACCACAACCACAAACACAACACTACCACCTGTATCTCTGGACTCGGACAGCTTCATCATCCGCGCCCAACAACTCAATGACACTTCCATCACTCTGGGTTACATGTATGCCGAATATGCCTACCCACCCGGCTACTATGCAACCCTGCGACCTTCGAAGAGCGATGCTATCGTGGGCCATTTGACCGATACGACGAACGCCAGCAACAGCAGTTTGGTATTTGGAGACGAGAACCCTCAAGGTTTCGTGCTGTACCCGTTGATCTCGTATGCGAATGCCTCGATTGCGCAAATTTTCTCTGGCCAGCAGGGGACCAAGGGTGTTTATGTTAATGAGGGCGGAATCGTGGATTGGGCTTCTCAGAGGGTGTCTTGGTATGGTGAGTTTTTATGCCTTTTATCCTGTGGTGTGTTGAGTGCTGACCATGTTCGAATAGCTTGTGACCAGGCTCTGGAATGGGGCAAGGCTACTGCTATCTTTTATAGGTGGACAAATGTGACCACCCCCCACAACTGTGTCGATATCCAGTTGATCGCGGAGTTTGTGTCCTCATAGAAGAATTGCAGGCTGGAACTGCAAAATCAGAAGCACACCAATGTGCGTTACGAATCAATCATGTCTTCATCAATCTCTGTCTCCATCGCGAATTGTTGCTTGTCGCCACTGTGAGTGTCGGGATTGGCATAGAAGAAGTTCAGGCGGTGGCTTGAGGGGACAGCCATGCCCAAGTCACGTCGACTCTACCACTGGCTCTGGCTGCGAGTTTGTCAAAGGCTGCTGGAGACACATCAAGGTCTGTAGCCTGGCAGCCAACNGCCTGTAGTCAATATTAGCACATGCCTCTTGACTCCACCTGTCAATGGCAATACTCACATCGATCAACGACCTTCAGATCAACGCTTCTTCTTTCTCCAACCTGCTCATCGTATCTCGATGCTCTGAGCTTCAGACCACACAGCGGATTCTGATTGGGATCGGAGCTTCTAGACGCCGCATCAAAGACGTAGTGAGATACGGCAACAATCATGTCGCTTTCAGAAGACGTAAAACCACAACTACCTAACCCAGTACCGTAGTATGTAAGGTCTCCCTCATGCTGTTCGCTGTTTGTTGGTAATGGTAGATTTTGACCGCTACGAAACATCAGCAATTGCCATAAGATCCTTGACGAATGGTCGACTCACCCTTTCGAATGCCTAGTCAAGCCAACAGCTAGACCAATGATGAGAGCCAGTAATGCTAGAACTGTACAGGCAAGAACGATGAGGAAAGTACGTCGCTTGAGCCCAAAATATGACCGCGATTGAGGAAGGACGGCATTGAACTTCTCCTGCAACACTGCCTTCGTAGCAGGACGATTCCTTGAGTGTGAAGTTGTTGCTGTGACTCCAGCTTTGTATGTTTGCACAGCATTGGAATCCCATTCGGGTATGATTGTGGTTGGACTCGCAAGTGGCTGCTGCGGGGCCGTTGACACGGGCGCTTGTGTCGACATTCTGGCGTGTGATTTCTTCTGTTTTCCTTTCGGATCAATCCAGATCGTGATATCAGCAGGAAACGCGTGGGGGAACGCGTGGTTCTTGTGTAAATGCCGACACAGAGAGGGTATTTGACGAGGGGCATTGATTGGCGCTCTATTGCGCTGGTCCCGTGACCCCTTAATCTCAAGACATTTCGGTTTGTGGCGTCTGCTGCTCACCGCAGGTTGATCTTCATAGTTGCTTGAGTGTCCGGCTTGCAAATCACTATTGGCAATAGCTCTGTCTCATGCGCTCGAGGGAGCTAGAAGCATAACAAATGTGCTGTCGCTATTTGATTTTGGCTGTCAATACTGTGGAAGCAGGCGGTATATGACGGATTGATAGGTATGTCCGCTCATGACTGACTCGGAGGAGCGACGACTATGAGATTACTCTAATACACGTTGAGAGTTCAGAAAAGCCCAGGTTATCACGTCAGACAGATCGTCGACGGAGGTCTCTAGCACAGTACAAATGAGGCATTGCCTTCTGACCCTCGAAAATTGGACAATTGAAAAGTTATGGCACTTCATAGAGCAACAGTAAACGTGTAGGTAGGTGGGCAAGCAGGCACTCAGGAGTCCGACATTCAAGCTTCGTGGGCGACAGACAAGGAAGGCACGACGATGCTGGTCCTTCCAGCTGCAGTCACGAACGAGACATGATGTTCTGTTGCCTAAAGCAAGAACGTGACAACGCGCATTCTCCTCTGCGTACACCTAGATCCCTTTTATACCTTCGTCGAATGCTGGAACGATACTGAAAGTCGTTCTTCGTCTTATTCAACTTGAGAGACAATGCCTTACTACGACTACGTCGACGATAAGCGAACCTTCCAGCGCGGCATCTTCTCATTCTTTGCATTGGTTCTTGCAGGCCTCTGTTTTGCAAACCCTGGTGGTATCTTCAGGTCAGAACAGAGATACGAGCCCCCAGTCCCAGCAGACAATGGCCTCGCAATCGCAGAAGCCTGTCCGAGTCGGACTCGTCGAGNCAGCAACAGCAGCAGCCAGAGCAGCCTGGACGAACCCCTTCCCCGAGAAGGGCTCACCATCACACCTCTTCGCGGGATGGCATGAGGGCTCGTTATCCCTACCCTCCGGATCAGGACTACGCCCTCCACACCCACCATCACCACAGCCATCACCAAAGACACAACTCGCCTCAATCAACCCATTCGAGAGCAGACGACCCCTTCGCTTGGGAGAACACCCTCAAGGGGCTCTGAGGCCTCCAACTGCTGCACCCGCCGATGACGGCTTCTTTGCTTTGCCCAAGAATGATAACTCAGACGAATATGCATTAACTAAAACTCCGACTATTGAGTATGAGCATAAGTCACNNACTCAACTCGAGAACGATAAGCTCACATTCGCTAGATTACACCCTGCACAACATAAACCATCATCAACCAATGCTGTACCAACACCAACATCCTCTTCAAGCGATAAATGGTCATCCTCTGAGGCCAGCAGCTATGCTCATGTTCTTCAGAGAGAACGCGTCACGAAANAGAACTTCAAAAAAGTCATGGTAGCTCCTCCGCACCTTTCGCTACCAAATCCGTCTCGTCCAGCTCCACCTCGCAACATCGTATCTTCACCTGCTATTATCATGCAACCAGCTCCGCCTAGTCCTGGTTTCCAGCCTCCCCTCAAGTCCATGACTTTCTCTGATGCATTCGATAAACCCCGCAACGTGTCTCCCCACCCTCAAGAGGTAGCCTATCCGCACATTTCCTTCTACACATCGAAGATCAAGGCTCGTCGTGCGAAGGCTTCTATCGCACCAGAGCACGCTGTTAGCACGCCAAACCAAAAGCTTTCCACCAGCAGTCCCTCAAGAGGCCACCATCGAAGCATAGCATCTGGGGCCCCCAGACCCCGCATTACCACTCAATCAAAATCAAGCGACTCTATACCCAGACGAGGTGTACGAGAGAGACCCGTCTATCCCGGAAATCCAACCTCTTTTGTCAGTACAGTGGGATCGATTGCGGAGTCTGTGAAACGAGAATCAGAGGGAACGTCAGCACCTCCTCCACCGGAAGAAGCACCGAAGCAAGGTTTCTTGCGAGAATTGACAGTACACAGCATCGTGCCAGCTCCAATCAAAAGAGAGGCTACCAAGCTACTGAGTTCCGAAAGTCCATACCGACGTCAATCGAAACAGTCCTCAATCATAACAAGGTCACCCTCGCCAGGATCGCGTTGTTTTGGTCTACTCCATCGTGCCTCTCGTCGAAGAAGAAATACGCATGCATCTATCCAAACTGCGAGCACAAGTAAAGGGGTTGTTTCCAAACGCAAAGACTCGTATGTGGGAGCGGATGGACGAGAATACATACATCGACCAGTACCTGGATTGAGCTTCCTGCCGTCCGAGATGCAGCGAGTCAACACACCTCCAGTGGGCAGGGCAACGCAGAGCTCACACTCAAGGTCACGAGGATTCTTTNTTGACTACACCAACCNNCCTCCAGGTACAGGCGAGGAAGTAGAAACACGACGAGATTCGGTGGCAGGATCGACGCAACTCAGAAGAAAGCCGAGCTCCCCGTAGGAGGTGAAGCAGAATCAAGAGTACGATGGAAAAGAGGGCAATAAGATGCCAGATTACTTCTCGCAAAAGATGAAACAAGTGGAGATGGAAGCAGAAAATGAGGAGGAAGAGATTGCCAGTGATGTACCGGAGCACCTGCCTAGCAGCCCACTCTGTCCTCTTCACCCTAAAAACTCGATACACGGACAGTTACTTTGTCCGATACACGGCAGAGGAAGCGTTGTGGCTGGAGGGCAACCGAAGGACGGGAAGACAACGACGTTCAAGAATATGCTGGCTTAATTGATGAGATGGCTTGATCAACGATGGATGTCTCCTGTGCCCGGACAAGCGAATGATGGTATCGATAAGTAGCTACTATACAGTGACAGCAAAGATACAAGAACATCATGAGACTCTCCAAAGGAACGATTGAAGACTCATGATAGAAGAAGTGACATTGATAGAGACGAGGAGTCAGGAGGAAGTGAATGCCAAGGCACGGCTAACCTTCCGCGTTCGAAGCTGGGCTTGGATACCATCAAGCTGGCCAACACCGAGACACGATTTGATCATCTCGACCAAAACATACCGTCAACATGAGCGCAGGTGACAACGATGCGTTGAATCTCTTCCGGACGAGTCTGGTAGCCTCATCACCGCCTTTACCCACACGTAGCGCCGATGCATCATCGGCCAGCGACATTGCGCCTCTGACTGATGCGTCCCACCTGCTCTTCAACACACAATCCGCTGCCGATGGAGTCCAACATACTACGCTTGCATTGACGACAGCCACGAGATTCGTCTCGCAAACCAATGGCGCCCTTGACCTGGCTAGTATCTTCTGGTGTTGGCAGAACAAGGACAAGAGTACGGGAGACTACATCGCTGCAACCCAGGAGCTCAACACGGCGCGTACATCCAATGGCCTTAGCGAAGTGCGCAACTTGGTCTTTGCCGAGAAGCTCGACTTGATCAACTGGTTGTCTGGCGAGAACGACAGCGAGTTCATCAAGAGTCTAGACGACAACCGTCAGACGCGTGCTCAGGCCCACGATGCTGCAAAGATGGCCAGTGGGGACGGCGATGTGGTCATGCAAGATGCGAGGGCCGAAGACGATAAGCTACGCGACATCTACGCTCTAGAACGCAAGACTGGCGATCGCAACTCGATTCTCAGAGGCAGCAAACCTACCGTACGTCCTCGATGCGCTTTTTCCTCATGAGTAGCCATACTGACTCCATGCTATAGGNATTTTTCCCACGTGCGCAAGTATGCTGAAGCATTCTTGGGTCGCTCCAAGGCATCGGCTCCAACTCCCGCTCTTATCGCACCAGCTCCCGCCATCCGTCCTGCAAAGCCATCCAGTGGCCGTCGTCCCGAGCCCATCATCCTCCTCTCTCCATCAGCGTCGTCGCTTCTTCGCCTGTCCAATGTCAAGTCTTTCCTCATGGATGGTGTCTACACTCCTCCTACCTCCACTACTTCGACCACCTTGAACATCCTCCATGTCAATCGCGTCATGCCATCCATAGAGCCCACGCGCCCTCTGCGTTTCATCCTTGTCGAGTCGCCTGATAACTTCAAGCCCGACTACTGGAATCGCGTTGTTGCCGTCTTCACAACTGGCCAGGCGTGGCAGTTCAAGGGCTACAAGTGGAGTCAACCAGCAGAGCTCTTCAGCCATGCCCTGGGTGTCTACGTCGGCTGGCGTAACGAGCTCCTTCCGGATACCATCAAGGGCTGGGGCAGAGGTGTGCTGAATGTTGGTATTGACGCGTACCGCGAGGGTCAGACTGCCCAACAAAGATGGAGAGACCGTGAGACTGTGGAAGAAATTTGGAGTGCTATCGAGGCCTCTATGAGAGCTCGTGGCTTCAACAGAGAGACAAGATAGTCCTGCGTCTCCGATCGTGTTTATTGTGTTTTGTCGTGCGTTCAAGCGGGATCTTTGGTTCATTATCAGTACACCGGCAGGGGATAACCGGGAGAAAAAGCATCAACGAAAGGAAATGGTAGCTGGATTGTAGCAGCTTTGATATGGCCCTTAGAAATTTACGAAAGTTATAACCACAGGCATCCATCCGCCATTCTAAACAAACACTGGTTGACAGTTTGCGGAACACCTGCTCTCGGTCACTGGTGACTCGTCCACCAGAAGGAAGTGAGGAAAGTCCTTGACTCCCGTACCTTCTTCGTCAGAGCAGCCACTCCGTTGAGAACAACTCCCGGCTCGACTATCGTTGCTCTTCGACTCCTTAATCAGGTTTATCAAATGCCTGCTACTCACGCCTCTCTTGTCTCCAGATCAACCATCTCTCGAAAGACTCGCCATCACCGTTCCAGGTACTTTACTTACATCTTTGACGGGAGCTTTCACCGAGACTCAGTATTGCCGAGCATCTCTGATATCGATATTGACCTTCCACCCATATAGTTCAGATTGACTGCTTCCTCCACTCCAACACCAATAGTGAACGTCAACGGGCTTATTTGTACCTGAAGGTCTGGACGATCGATCGAGTCTACAAAAATCTCTCGCACAACCAGCAGATTGGCTCTAACGCTCAACAACATCACCTCCTCTCTGGTCGGCTTGATCTCTTTTCCTCGATCTCTAGGACGTGTTCTGGCAGCTTTGGATCTACTCCGGTTGCTGTACGATCACCTGGACACAAAAAAAATCTCTCGCATTACACTCCGAAGTGAGGGAACGCAGTCATGACATCGCTTAACATACCATTTGACCAAGAAGATGTCTCTCTCTGGACTCGTGAAAGCGTCAAATCCTGTGTGGAAAGTTCTAAGAAAAAGCTCAAGGCTTTCTTTGTGAACTTTNTCGGCTGGTCAGAAGAGGAGTATAGGGAAGCGAGAGATTGTACCTCTGCCGAGGTGCAGTTACATTTCGATCTTTGCAAANAATTTCCGATAATTGGGCCTCAGGCCAAGTTAAGACATACAGTGCAGATCAACTTGGTTCGAGATCGACCTGATCTGTTCCTGGACCGACACGCTCCAAACCCACCTGCCTGGTACGACGCAGAGCTCATCAGTCGGTCTCCACCATACACGAAGCCATTCGACATGAAGAACGTGGTTCAGCAGTTCATTGCTTTCTCGCGTAAACACAGAATACATGATCATCAGAAACACCTGAAACGCGAGAATCATGCTGAAGAGGATGCCGACAGTGACGAGGACGAGGTCAGGATTCGGGTTTCGAACAAGCGACCAAGAATTTCTCGGCTGAATGAAGCTACTCCATTTTCGACTCTAACTTCCACGTCTGTATTTCCTAATTCGGCTGCCACAATCTCATATCCTCAAATAAGCGGCCATCCGAATCCACTCGGAAAAAACATCCAANACCCTGGCGAGGGCAGCAACTTGTCCGGTCGAATCACTACTACTACAGATGTTCGAAGCTCAGTGAGCACACCGCTCGGTCTTGTTCTCTATGTTACTCGCGTGACGATAGTTGATCAGAACCTCATTCTTGAGCGTGACCGCTTTGGTCTCGTCGACAACTTGTTCGAACAGGGTCAGCTCGTCGAGTCACGTATCCAGGAACTCGTCTTCGGTAACCCTCTAGATAACAAGCCCACTTTTCTTTGGTTCTTCGACGATACATCCAACGACAAACCCAGAATCATCAGAAACAGACCTAGTGCCGAAGTGGTGGTCGCCATGCTAAGAGTACGCGCAGAAAGAGCACAAGCCACCGGCATACAAGTGTTCGACGCCCCGAATAGTGATACAGCAGCATTGGTGCCTGTTCACGAAGTCACTCGTAGAGACAACTTCGTGCAACGAGCAAGCTTTGAACTGGAACTCGACATCGATGAGGACGATAATGAAGTCGAAGGGACAGAGCACGAATCCAAAGTGAACTCTGCTTATGAGTCTAGGGATGGAGAGCTCCAGCTGGACAACAATTCCATCCAGAAAGAAGTTGACATCAAGCCTAACACCATTTGGGAGGCACAGCAGCAGGNNCCAGTGTCGAGAGCGAGAGCGAGAGCGAGTCAGAGGAGGAATAAGATATTGGAAGCTTCTGCTGACGAAGCACGAGCGAATGTCTCTGCAGACATGAGCACAGGGACTGCTTCTTTCGCGACATGTACCAATACACAATCTAGCAAGATACTCAAATACTATTCGACAGTAATTGCATCATGATTGAGAGCCAGCTGCTACTTCTTTCCTGGATAATAAGTCTACGGCTTCTACTGTATTCCGACTATAACCAAGAGTCAAATATAGACTATGCAAGGGCACAATGGTTTTCGGAAGTAGAGGCGTATGCACAGAAAGTCGACAAATTGCTAACAAGCTTCTCAGTGGATGCTATCTTGTTCCCTGTTAGTGTTGTGCATTTCTATAGCTATAACTACATACTTTAGTACACAGCGAGGTCACATTTCGACTCTTGAGCGACCTTGTCGAATGTTGTTGCTTTCACGAGCAAGCCATCTGTGTGATTTGTACGAGAAAAAAAAATAGAAAAATGGTAAAAAACGATCTGCATCAAACCCGCTACGGACATTTTCCCTAGTTTGGCCGAGCCGTCAACAACGATGTTTGTCAGCGACGATGATACCATGATTCCTACAATTTAGTCCTGATAGCACTCCTCTGATTGAAATCTTCTAGCGATGCTCACACAGAGTGAAATTCTGCTGTTCGCGGCTCGCTTGATCGTCCTTGACTGAGGAGGCGGAATCTCAACAATAACTTTACCGCACTTGGACCCCATCTCTGGTTCCGGACAGTCTCTTGAACATGACTCACAACAACACTGAACCTCTTACGAGAAAGAAAGATACGAACCAGACGGAAGACAGCTCAATTCAGGATCTCAAATCCCAGGAATCAGACAATGAAATTCAACACCAGCCCGCTTCCGAGAAAGCAAAATCTTACGATAACACTGTTCCTGGAGAACGAACGCCGTCCACCGACGACAATGACTTGGAAAAGTACCCCGAAGGAGGTCGTGAGGCTTGGCTGGTGGTTCTAGGATCCTGGTGCGCCATGACAGCAGGCATGGGACTTCTCAATACCATTGGTACCTTGCACGCATGGATTTCTACTCATCAGTTATCGTCTTACTCTTCTTCTTCTGTGGGCTGGATCTTTTCAACGTTCCCATTCTTCCTGTACTTTGCAGGTGTCCAGATCGGCCCGTTGTTTGATGTCTATGGAGCTAGGGTGCTGGTGATAACAGGAAGTATTGGACTGGTAGTGGCTCTAATGACCCTCAGTGTCAGTACCGAGTACTACCAGATCATCCTATCTTTCGGTGTTCTAGGCGGCTTGAGTACTTGTTGTCTTTTCACCACCGCTGTCTCTGCTATCGGTCACTGGTTCCATGCTCGAAGAGGCTTTGCAATGGGGATTGCATGTACAGCTGGTGGAACAGGCGGTCTTGCCTTCTCACTCATCATCCTCTTTCTCGCACCTAAAATTGGATTCGGCTGGGCGATACGGATAATCGGGTTCATCAGTGCAGCACTCTGTGCAATTGCTTGTCTACTTCTCCGCAGTCGCTTACCACCAAACAAGACAAAGGGCGCCAAAATCGATATCCTCGCACTCAGGGACCCGCCTTATACTGCCACGACTGCTGCCATCTTCCTCGTCGAATTTGCAGTGTTTATCCCATACACATTCTTGGTCGATCAAGCACTGGATGCGGGAATGAAGCAGGAGTTGGCGTATGCTCTGATCCCCATCCTCAATGCTGCTGCTATACCTGGCCGTTTACTGCCCGGCTACATCGCCGACCGCTACGGACGTCTCAACACCATGACCGTCACTGCAGTAATCTGCTGCCTTCTTACCTTCCTCCTCTGGTTGATCGGCTCTTCTTCTCACGCAGCCATCATCGCATACACCGTGCTGTTTGGTTTCTGGTCCGGTGCAGCGATCTCCCTGACACCAGTATGTATCCAACAAGTTTGCAAGACTGAGGATATCGGCAAGAGGACAGGGACCACGTTCACGATCAGCAGTTTTGGAACACTGATCGGTATTCCTATTGCTGGTGCTATCTTGGGAACAGGAGCAAGGCAGGATTATGATGGGTTGATTATTCTTGCTGGAGCGTCATATGTTGCTGCAAGTGCGGCTTTTGTGGTTGCGAGAGGTTTGACTGGTGGATGGGGTCTAAGGGTTATCATCTAGGCAGAAACTAGACTGGCGTACTATCAGCCATACATTGTTGAACTTGTTCCGTGGTCCCAAATGTGAGTCTCGGCAGGTTGGTTGATGCTGCACCGCACCTGTCTTCTTTGGAGACTACTCCTGAAGAAGAGGCATTACGTAAGAACGATATGTGATTGATGTGGATATCTGATATTTGTCGTATATAGCCGTATATTAATCTACATTTGATTTACATGTCTATCGCATGGTCACCAACTCCTCAGCAGATGTGGGGTGAATAGCAACACAGCTGTCAAAGTCGGCCTTGGTGGCACCCATCTTGATGGCAACACCGAAGCCCTGCAGGATCTCGTCACTGCCCTGGCCGAGGATGTGCAGGCCAACGACTCTCTCGTTGGGACCTTCGCAGATGAGCTTGTAGGCGGTAGGGCCCTTGTCTTCAGGCTCCATCATGGCGTAGTACATGGCAGTGAAGCTGGAAGAATAAATCTTGATGGAATCACCGAACTTCTCACGAGCCTCAGGCTCGGTGAGACCGATGCTGCCAACAGTAGGGTGAGAGAAGACGACCGAAGGGACATTGGTGTAGTCGAGGTGGGCGTCCTTCTTACCACCGAAAAGACGGTCTCCGAGACGACGACCAGCGGCAATAGCGACAGGAGTCAGTTCCATGCCGGCGTTGCAGACGTCGCCCAAAGCGTAAATGCCGTCAACGTTGGTGTTCTGGTACTTGTCGACCTTGATGTGGTTCTTGTCGTCAAGTTCAACACCGGCGTTTTCCAGGTTGAGCTTCTCGACTTCAGGTGTACGACCAATAGCCCACAGAACGCAATCGACATCCATGGTGTTCTCACCCTCGTCATCCTTGTAGTGAAGCTTCTTCCAGCCATTGCCCAGATCCTCGAGCTTGCTCTGGGAGCTGTTGGTGTGAATGTGGAGACCTTGACGCTTGTACTCATCCATGATCTTGTCCTGAATCATGGGATCGAAAGTGCGCAAGAACTTGTCATGGCGGATGAACAGGTGGGTCTCAGTGCCGAGGTGGTGGAACATGCCAGCCATCTCGACGGCGATATAACCAGCACCGACAACGGCGACCTTCTTGGGCTGCTTCTCGAGGTCGAAGAAGCCGTCACTGTTGATACCAAGCTCGGCGCCCTCGACATCAATTGTGCTGGGGCGACCACCGACAGCAACAAGGATCTTCTTTGCGCGGACCTGCTGTTCCTGGCCATCCTGACCAACAACCTTAACGACGTCCTTGGAGACGAAAGAGGCGGTTCCGTTGAGGTATTCGACCTTGTCGTTCTTGAGGTTCTTCTCGTAGATTCCGTTCAGACGCTTGACGTAGGCGTCACGCTTGTGCTTGAAGGTGGTCCAGTCGAAAGGAGCGGTCTCCTGAATAGAGAAGCCGTAGGCCTTGGCTTCGTGGATGGTCTCTTGGATGGCGGCGGCGTTCCAGGTGACCTTCTTGGGCACACANTCTATGAGACTTGGTCAGAGAGAGAAGTGTAATGATGGGGACGACGCGACATACCCGACGTTGACACAAGTACCACCCAGTCTGGAGTTCTCGACGGCAATGGTCTTCATTCCATACATACCACTGGCTCTTCTGGCAGCGGCGAGACCACCACTACCGATACCAAGGACGAGGAAGTCGCATTCTTTGGGAGTAGGAGCCATGGTTGGGCGAGTAGTAGTAAATTGACGGGTCAGGTTGTGGAGTCTTGAGGAAGCCGTCGGTATGGTGTAGAAGAACCGCGGGGAAGTGGTGAAGGCGCGCATATAACCTTTGTCTTGAAACAGAGAGTGATGACGAGGGGCAAGGGTAGAAGGTTGATGTAAAATAGAAAATACCCAGGCGGGCTTTGCTTACGTCAATCACTCTAGAACGCCACCAATGAACGATGGCCGGCAGACGTGGGATGCGAGATGGACAAAGGTTTCGAGCTTGGGCGAAGCAGAAGAAGGATGACAAAGCTCGATTTGATGCTTGATTTCCAATTCACGCTGATTACGGAGGAAGGGTCCGTTGCTCGATAAATAGCAAATGTCCAGTCGAGCCGACACAAGGTGCCAGGCCTGAGGCAGGAGCTGCCCCTCGGCATGAACCACGGCCTCTAAACTTAAAACCCGCCTATGCACGGACGATCGTGCATATCATGATTCGGCACGAGCATCAGGATCAAGCCCAGCCCATGCTATCACACCACCTGCGCATGCAGCTCTTGATCTTCATCCATGTGAGAGGTATTTCTCTCTGTAAGCAACCAAAACATCAACCATGGGCGGCAGACTGTCTGTTCCAAAAGGGCCTGCGGGCACCACCGAAATGAGCCACCCTAGAGCCTCGCCCTATCCTCGTCGCAAAATGCCCTTCAACTCGCGAACAATCATTGCTCCCGCCGCTGCCTTCACAATGGCTTGCATACTATTCGTCTACACCAGAACCTCTATCCGCGCCGCCAAAGCAAATGCCCAGAGACATCGCGACGCCGACAGTGGTGGTGAAGGTCTCGATCTACTGGCTGAGAGCAGGAGAAGACATGGTCGTGCTGAGAAGCTAGACCACGGTACTGGTACTCTATCCGAGCTGGCACACGGTGCTAGAGAGCAGTTCCTGGGTCCGTCCAAGTCTGCTACTCAGCAAGAAAAACTGAAAGGTCGCTCGCCAATTTCTGAGAACGAGGAGAAGCTGAGAGCTGCCATGGGCAAGAAGAGCGATGATTCCGCTCCATGAAGTCCTGATCACTACTGATCTGCCCACACCCTCCGTGTTTCAGCATACACGTAATCTCGAACTCTTGCGCGATTCTGCTCCCAGAGAGCAAATGTTACTGCCTGCACAAGACAGTCTGCCAGATCATCTAGTTTACCAGAAATGGCTGATGCGTCTTTGGTCACAACCTCCTGTTCGTGCTCCTCGTCTTTGCTTCGTCGACGACTTTGTCGTTCTTTCGGTGAACAAAATGAAGCAACCATTGGAGCAAGGTCTGCGTCAACCGTCAATTCGTCCGTAGTCAACGCGAGCGAAAGCCAGTGTCGAGCCAATGCAATCTTGTCTTTCTTCTCAAATGATTTCTTCTTGACTTCTGTTTCTATTATTTTTGCCATGTCTTGAGAAACCGTGAGCGACGCAGCTATGTTTGCTGGTGCTGGAAAGAAGTCTCCACGGGTGAGCCAAAACATGCCAACTCGTCGAGGGCTCATCTCCAGGACATTAGGGAACTTTGAATCTTGAGAAACCTGTGTTCCATGGTAGCCATGTCGCATTGTCTCCAGTGATGCCCAGAGCATGCTCTCCAGCATGTTCACTCGGACTGTCCATTCCTGTATAGCTGGTCCACCACCAGAACGAAACCTCTGTCGTTCTATCAGAATGTAGTCCGGTTTGTATTGCAAGAACTCAGCCGCTAGACCAAATGCGATCTTGGAGAGAGATGAAGGCGCATACATATTGGAGCCTTCTTCAGAAGTCATCTCAGTCGACTCTTCAGTCTCGCCAACGCGAATGGCAGATATTCGCGATAATGTTGCTGATGGAGAATTTGTATGTCTAGCCACCAGCCTCTCTGATACGTCCAGGCGTTTCCAGTCTGAGAGATGTAGAGACAGCGTTCTATCGCCAGCTTGGGAATTGGTCAGATCAGAGTCCTGAGGCAACGTATGTAGATCCAATAGGCAGAACGCGAGATTCTTTACTCCCATATCTATGCTGAGGATTCTGCATTGAGGACTAGGAAGAGTAGGCTTGTTGGTGCAGTCTACCAACGCCCTACATAGTTGCGCTTTCGTTCCCGTGGAGTTCAGTCCAGTAAGAAATGCCAGGTGTCTCAGTTGCCATGCTTTTAGCGTGGACAGAAAAGCAAGAGGACCAGCCTTGGTCATGTTTATGCAGGATGGATTCTGTTCGTGTCATCAAAACAAGAACGCCAGCTCCGCGTCAAAGCTCAAGTCTAGATACCTAGTCAGAAACGTACTGCTTGACGCATCTTTTTGGCTGTGAACAACCCGAATTGCCTAACTTTCGTCGATGCAAAGATGTAGGATGACTCCTCGGTCATCCTTGCGAAACAGGATGTCGATGGACGCAAAACAAAAGGCCTCAACCCGGGATTGAACCGGGGACCTCCTGCAATTTAGATAAACCCAAAGCAGGAATCATACCGCTAGACCATTAAGGCAACTTAGGACTAATTTCTTGTGCTATACATATATAACTCACCAATCTTTTACGCTACCCGACCCCTGAACATTTTACGAGTAACGTCTCAGCTGACATGATATCCCCGGGTATCACGGCAATAATTAGCCTTGCTGATCCAAGCCGGGCATCCTTTGCCAGGATCTGACGACACATGCGCTCGTATATAAGCATGTCTTCGAATCCGGGAGGACCTGTATCGCGAACTGACACACCTGTTGTAAGCCCGATTCGAAGATGGCAGACCAGTCCGACAAAAACACAGGCCTCGACAACAAGTCGCAAATGCAGTCTAACATTGAGCTACAAAGACGAGATAGTTCAGCTACCACAAGAACCACTTTACCGTCTTACGATGACTCGCTAGCCTTGGGCACTCCGCCTGCGTATCAGTCTGGTCAACCAAACAAGAAGCCAGCACCTCAACAGCCTACAGCAGGAGCTTCTGCAGCCACCATTAGAGCAATCATGGGCGATCCCGTTCCTGAGGAGCCCAGACGAAGCTTGCGAGATCGACTTCTTTGTCGGAGGCCGACATACAATCGTCGTCGTCCTTCTTCTGAGCGATCACGAGAGAGCTCTGCGACGTGGAATGTTTGGGGGTCGCCAGTCTCCGATCCTAACAAGTAAGGGGATATTTGATGAGAGCAACATCCATGCAGCATACGCCTTCTCAAAGAAAGATTCGGACTTCCAGTCAGTGAGACCTTTCCAAGGGTCAAGTCTTGTTCTCTTCCAGTGAGTGACTGAAGAAGTCGTCCACAAGGCGATAACTACCCTCTCCTCTCCCAAGCTCTTCATCATTCCTTGTCTCTCCTACATCAGACATCACTAGTATTTATACGTCACAGAGCACCTACACAGTTTTACCCGCACCTCTAGTCCTGGATACTAACTGTGCCAGACACCAAGAAAGTGATTGCAGGCCAGATGCCGACCACAGAGACGACCGAGACTGAGAAAGGCAGCTCCAATCAGACTATTTCCGACAATGCTTATGCCAACGTAGGTCTCGCAAAGAACGATCAGTGTATATGATATTAATAGACCCAGCTCTCGTTGAACCAGCTCAAGGATCACCCTCGACAGGAAAAAGCCAATCTGAAGCAGTTACGTTTTCATTCTTTACACGCCTTTGTCGAGTGGTGCAAGAACGACGCGCAACACAGAGACGCGGTTTTGAGAATGCAACTAGGCAGTACACCAGTGCTGCTCGCTCTCGACTCAGAAACTTTCACAACTCGGCCACTCGATCAAACTAGACACCGATTCCGCTGCTATGCTTGGACGCATGAACTCTTTGATTAAGCAAGAGTACGCAAAGTTCAGAAAAATCGGTTCGATCTGCGACGTCATCAAGAACAAAGTCGAGGGTGGTGAGAGTGGTATGGACGACTATGAGTTTGCTGAAGAGGCCCAAAATTACGTTCGTACACACAAAGAACATGTTGAAGATGTGGCAAAGAGGTTTCTGCAATCAGTCGGGACCTCGAACTGATATGACCTCAAGAAGGAACAAACAGGTCATGTAGCCAGAGAGAATAACACGATCTTCGTGGAGACATCCATGCACAGAGAAGGCAGAGACAGAGACCAATTATTCTTACAATATTACCGTGGGATTTATCTACCTACCATATTTCACAGGGAATATGGACAATCTCTAAATTAGTGTCCATACTTGGAAGCAAATATAGCAAGAATAACTCCATGAGCGGTGGCACTTAGCACGTACCATCTAAACTCGATATCTTTTCAAGATTTCCCTTTCATCCACATTGCGTCTTGCTGGTCTGGTCATCTCCTCACATCTTCTCTAGCTCTTTTCTTGTCTTTCGATAGGCTTGCGTAGAAAAGCTCACTCAAATTTGTGTCATCCATCAATTTCTCATTGGACATGGTACGAGTCTGAGAGCGATCATGCAGTTACACGTCTCGTTTACACTCAATCTCCATCTGAGGAGTCCTTGTCATTTCGTATTCAGCTTTGATCACAGCGATACATCGCAGTGCTGGAGAGATACGAGACGTCTTGATCGTCCACAGCAAAACTTTATGATATCACTTCGGCTTTTAGAACTGTATGACACTTATTTCACGGGAGTGCTGTATCAACAGAGGCAGACGTGATTACCAGTGAATTATTCGAGTTGTCATGATGCCTAATTACAGTATAGCGATGCCCAAGATATCCACATGAAAGAGAGTTCGACGAGAAGAATATATACAAATGCCAAGGAAGAATACAACTTTTGGAATCTAAACAGAACCACGAATGTACAGGAACTCCTTGTACTTGTTGGCAGTCAACCTGCGAGTAGCCTTGCCAAACCACATCATAACAATCGTACCGAGGAACATAACGCCAAAACTCACACATCCGAGAGTGACAAANACTTGAGTCAGACTGTGTGCATCGAGCCAGATCGAGCAAACAAAGGTGAAGATGCAAGCAAGCGAGTTGTTGTAGACGGCGACACCAACCATGCCTTCCAGGACTGCGTCGGGGTAGCAATCCATGAGATACGCCATGGTCAAATCACCTCCGCATCCAAAGCCGAAACCGATGAAGCCCAGAGCGACATAGGGCACAGGCCACGGCCAGACGCGCTGAGTCCCCATACCGAAGAGAATGAGGCCAACGGGCGAGATAACGGCAGGTAGGTACATGAGCCAAAGGCGGTCTTCAGCTTCGGAGACGTTGTTGCGACGTTTTGCCATCCATCGCACGAAAACATCAGAGAACCAACCTCCGTACACACAGCCAATGATGGACCCAATAAGAGTGGGGATACACATGATGGCATCTGCACGATCGCCATAGTTGTAGGGGTCGGAAGTCCAGTTGTCGTCTTCGACAGTCATGTAGAATGAGAGGAAGGCATCTTGCATACCCCATTGCAGACCGGAGTAGATGACGGCCGGGAAGTAGAAGATACGCAAGGTGTGGAATGTACGGCGCATGTACTGCTTGAATCCGATTCCAATCAACGTGGGTGATGGAGTGATGAGAGCAATGCGTTGCCAGTAAGACTTTGGTACCAAGTCGGAGCCATTGGGGATCAGATTGCCTTTCCTCGGTTGATGGTCACTGTTGGTTCCATCGCTGATGATAACAGATGTAGGATCAGCGACCGTCTTCTTCTCACTAGACATGTCGGTCTCAGCGGAGCTTCGTCCAGTGGCCAGACCATCCAAAACACTGTCGCGGTCAAAGGCAGTCTCCTCCAAGCCGAAGTAGAAAACGAAGAGGGTGCAACCAGAAATGATCAACGCGAACCAACCCATCCAGCGCCAGCCGAGCGGACTGTCGGCGATGAAGCCAGAAAGCATAGGTCCAAGGAAGGTACCAACGGAGGTCGCAAGCACATAGACACCCAGAACAGAGCCACGCTGGTGTTGGAACGTGACATCGGTCAAAGAGAGCTGTGCAGTGGCCTCTGCAACAGACTCAGAAATTCCCAGGAACAGCTGGCAGAGGATGGTGTCTGCCTTGCTATCGGATCGAGCAAACCAGGCGCTGCCAATGATAGACGCGAGCAGGCAGATGATATATGAAATACGTCTGCCGTACAACCAATTGGCAGAAGATAATGCCAGACATGAATAGCCGATACCCAGGAACAGAACACCAGCAGCAGTATTTTGGACGCCCCAACCAATCCCATATTCATCGACCAATGCTGTACCTGCAGCACCAGCGCTGTTTGACGTGGCTGCAGTAAGAGCAGTGATATACAATACTAGAGCGGCCGACCACATCCTTCGCCAGTAGCTCCAGTTCAGCGGATCATTGGGCGATTCTGTCGGCTGAGGAAGCAGCAAAATCTTGTCCGAGGATGTCGAGTCCGTGTCTGCGAACAAGCGGATTGTGCCCGCAAGCTCTTCATGGGTAGAGTTGACGCGATCCATCCTACAATATTGATCTTTTGCCAGATAATAATACCAATGGCTATGCTGCGAATTGCTGTCGTTTGTCCTGGAAGCAGATTCCAGGAAGTCAATTAATTCTCACGCGGCTGTACCGCGCAGAGTCGCAGGTTTATCAGGCCGTCGAGCCTTTTGTGGCAATTCCAGAAGGTGTTATCGCTGATCTGTGATTTGCTGAGTCCAATTGTCCGCGGTTTACTGCAGGTAAGATTGAAAAGTATTCATAGACGATTGAATTACAAAATAACCAGGTATAGGGGTGTTATTGAATGCCCTTGACGTATTCGAATGCTGCGTGCATCATTCCAACAGAGAGGAGACCATTAGGTGCGACGGTGACTTGGAAGTAGAGGAAACAGGCACTGGTTGAGGAAAAATTGTGTCGCGTGTCGGCCTCCGCGAATTGCTGATAAGCTCGAGTTTTGCCAAGAGCCGGGAATAATTGATGAGTGGCAACCACGTTGCGAGCCGTGCGTCATTGTGCATGTCACCGCGTGGACAGGGTTACCAATAACTTTGGCTTTGAAGAATATTGAATGAGTTCTTCGCTTCAATGCATCTGTTGCTCATAAAGGTCATGCTCAGATGGTTGAATAGCGATAAGGGCTTGCTTGCTCGCTCGTTATGAATTTTGTTTCATGGATCTTTTGAGCATGCCGCAAAAGCTCTCAAAGAGAATATTGTCCTTGCCTTGCAGCCAGTGGACTTCCATGTCACCTTCCCTGACATCGATACTAAATCTCAGCGAGACCGCAACAGGATCTTCGATCTTGAGAGCCTCAGATTGGGCTTTTGCTTCTGGATCCTCCTGTTCCATCTCCACTCTCTTGCGCTTACGTCTTGCCGAGCGTGACCACACGTTCTGGGTAGCCATACCATGACCAATCCACCTTTCAGCTTGCCAAATCCATTTTAGATCGAGTGCTTCTAGAGTTTTGTTGAGCAAGTCAGCCGCTTCTTGTCTGGTGTATCCGATTGTATGGATCGTCTGAGCTGTTGGATAGGGCAGAATATGCGTGCCGAGATCACTGCCTCTGGCAACTCGCTGTTCCTGTTAGCATCTTGGCTATGATCAAGGAGTAGGTGGTGGCTCACANTTGCTTGGTCTTCTGTCTCCATAACTCCAACCTACAGCCCATCTGCGAGTCTTGTTCCCTGCTCGAAGCAGCGTAACAGCCCAGTTGTTGATACCAATCTCCTTCAGCCGATCGATGACTTGATGCACACTAGAGAGCTTTCCAAGCATGCTCGTGTACCATCTAACAGCATCCTTTAATTCTCTGCTCTCCTCGATCATACGCAGCACAAATCCGGCGTCGCCTCCTGGACAAATCATCTCGACTTCCGCACCAGTGCACACGGCACTGGGAGGGCCAGATTTTCCAGCGTTGGAGACTGCCAGGTCTTCAGCGCTTGAGTAAAAGGGCGGGTTGCACATAGTGAAATCTAGTTTTTCGAGACCAAATGCGTGAGGCGAGATCAAAGCGTCTTCTGCAGTGTTCAATTTGGTCTGAACTTTTTCGCTCAGATTGTTCCTCTTGATGTTTCTATTGGCGTATGAGAAGTTTTGATGGTCAATGTCAGTACCAAGCATGCTCCAAGATGGCCGTGAGGAACAAGCTAGTAGGCTATAGATGCATGATGCACCAATTCCACTATTGTAGACGATTAGCCCTACTAGATTTTGATATTTTCTGACCACCTAACAGAGCACTCACATATCCAATCCAGTGATTTTCTGTTTGGATTGATTCTCGGCATCATCACCGGTTGTATCCATCAAGTCTTGAAGCCATCGAACATAGTTGTACCTGACCGGCACCGGAGGACACAATCTGTCATCAGGCAGCTCGAGCTTGAGGTTGAAGTCTCTTTTCAATATACTCTTCGTAAGTTGTNNCTGATAACAGTCAGTCTTCACAAATCGCGATCAATTGAAATGCAGGACGACTTGCTGTAGTGCCTTTGGATCCTGGAAGTCGACATGGCCGTTTGCGTCATCGTAGAATTTGGCAAAGTCTGGATCAGTCATTGCCAGCGCCTGAAAGTCGACTTCCTCATCATAACTAGGGATCTGTATCGTGGATGAAGTCATGTCGTGTTGTTATTGTTGTTGTTGTTGTTGTTGTTGTTGTTCTTAGTTGAAGATTGCGAGGTCAAAATCGGGTTGTGAAGTAAAATGCAAGTCGGGAAGCGCGTCAGACAACCTCCATCTACGACACTACTCATAAATTCTGGATAACATAATTGTACATCGAAGCGAAATAAAGTCAACACATCTATTGATTGGTATTCCCAGAATCCAAACCAGACGCCATACTCCAACTTGTGCGTATGCTCTTGAAATCTAGACAGCGAAACCAAAAGAGCCATCGAATTGCCAGACGTCAGGATCTTCACCTAAGCGAACCTGATCAAAACTGGGAACGACATCTGGTGCATAGCTCTCAAGTAGGGCCTCCATGTCGCGCTCCTCCATTGTGCAAAAGTCCTCGAGAGACCACTTATCGCAGACTTTGATCATNCCTGCAGGAAATTAGCACTGGACGATCAGGCAGCAAAGGTAGATTTGAGCATACCACTTCATTCTTTTNGGACCCTCTTCGTTGCCAGGTGCGACAAGTCTGAGTTTCTTCCTGAGAGCTCCAACCTTCTTAATTGCTTCGCCCATGTTTGGGGGCAAGCTGGAAGCAATCCTCCTGCGCACAATGTTTGCCATTCTAGGGCCGTTTCCACTGGTGCTGACCATGATCTGCAATGGGCCATCTCTGTACTGACTGCCGAAGTAGAAGTCACACTCTGGAGGGACATCGGCAATATTGGCAACGATTCTCTTCTCTTTACACAGCTTCCAGATCATGGTCGAGGCTTCTGGGTCGTCGATGGCGGTCATGACCATGGCAATGTTGGGGTCGTCGAGATCCGAGGGCTCGAATGTACGGTCGATGTACTCGACAAGGCCCTGCTCCACGCGATAGGCAACTTCATCGTTGAGACCGTCACGAGGGCTGATGAGGCGGATTTTGGCATCTGAATTGAGGAGGTTCAAGATGCGACCGGCAGCTACCNNTTGACTTTAGTGTCAACGTCAACACTCAATGTAAGATACAAGCTGTGTATGACTAACCTCGCCGCCGCCGACCATGAGAACCAGCTTGTTGCGGATCTGCCAGGCGAGCATCAGAGAGCCGCCGCCCTCGATTTCTGGAAACTTAGCCATGGCAACAAAAGCAATCGCAGCGTTTTGGGGCTACGGAGCGTGAGCAATGGCAAGATCCCAGAATATATTTGGAGATTGGCGATAAGAAAGGCAAACCCCGCGGCGAAGCTCGTCCAAGTCTCAGCCGGCAGCGGCATCGCATCATGGCGACCGTGACCCAACCCGTGGTCCATGCAACGGGCCGAGAGCTCCGAAGGGCGGTGAAGTCAAGACCCAAACAGTAAATAACATAGCCTGGCCTGCAACTGTCGGCCGCGTGCCGCTCCTATACCATGACATCGCGAAGGTCCTTAGGAGGAGGCCGAGTCCTGGGCAGCGGCCGCTCGCTGTCGCCCGCCGTCATTCCCCAGCGCCCGCACCAACTCACGCCTTCCGAGAGCTCCCTGTCGCTTGCATCAAGCTCCCACACGTCCACCACCGAGACAGACGACATCGCGTCCAGAGTCGCCCTTGAATCCAACAATGGGCCCGTCGGTGCCGCTGCCGCCAGCTCGCGCCTGGTCTGTCCCATATGCAACGACGACATGGTCACGCTGCTACAACTCAACCGCCACCTCGACGACAACCACCAGAACCTGCAAGAAGTCGAGCAAGATGAAGTCAAGAATTGGTTCGAACAACAGATGAAGAAGGCCAAGCGCTTCCAGCCCCTCGCCGTCCTCAACCAGAAACTAAAAGGCCTCGACGTCTTCGAGTCCAACGCGACCGCTCCTACCCAGCTCGCTTCAACCCTGTCATCGAGTCCCTCCAACTCTGGCCACACTACCCCAGCCCAAGCCCCTGCTGCTCTACCAGAAGTCCGCCTAGATCCTGATCATGTTGTTACAAAAGCACATTGGCAGCGCTCCACCAGCCACGACTCCTGCTCAGACCCTTTGTGCGGCAGGCGCCTCGGAGGCACCAATGGCAACATCAACTGTAGACACTGCGGTAAGCTTTTCTGCGAGGAACACACCATGTATCAGATGAAGCTGTCCCGCTCAGCCCAACACGAACCCGTCCGCGGTTTATGGTGTCGCGTGTGCGAGACATGCTACAAGAGTCGCCCAGGTTACAACGATCACACTGGACTCAAGCGCGACCACACTCAACAGTTCGCTGCTATCCGTAGACGCACAGTAGACAAAGCATACCTCGAAGTGAGCCGCTTGGAGAAGCGTCTTTCAAGGCTAACCCAATTATTGGCCAATCCACCTCCGCCCGAAAATGATCAAAGCACTAGTAGCTTTCTGTGGTCTCTCGCTGGCTCTAAGAATCACATTCGCACTTTGGAACAGTCGGTGGTAACATGGGAGGATGATGCCCGTGTCCTACATTGTCCATTCTGCCAGCAACAGTTCTCTCAGTACTCTTTCCGCCGCCATCACTGTCGAATATGTGGACGAGTCGTTTGCGGTGATCCAGCCACAAATTGCTCCTCCGAGATTGGCTTGAATGTCGATGCACCAAACAAAACCGATGGCTTGGAGAAGTCTGCCGGTCAAGTGGCTGTCGATGTGCGCATGTGCAAAGACTGCCAACACACAATATTTAGCAAATCAGATTTTGCCCGTCAACTTTCAATACGACCTCCGGATCAGCGGGCTTACGAAAACCTTGTCCAGTTCGAGCGTGGTATACGCCTTCTTCTACCCAAGTTTCAGAAACTCCTCCAGGCTTTGCAGGATCCCGATAAACCTCCAACACCAACCCAACTAAACGATGCCACTAAAGTACGCAGGCGGCTTATGGATGCATTCACACAATACGACGTTGCGGCCAGACGGATCAGAGACTTGCCTACTGAAAGTCAGACGCAGGACCGTTTACAAAAGGCCATCTATGCACAGGCAACCACTTTCCTCCACTTACACATGCTTCCCCTCAAATCCTTACCCAAATTACTCCAGCACGCAACCCCACACGGCAAACCGCAAGCCAAGTCCTCGGCGAATCCTTTGGCTGCCATCAGGGACGATCAGACCAGGCCCCAGGGCAGTCGAGCGAGTAGCTCGTCATCCGCTCAGGTCACAGCTCTGGAAGCCGAGGAGAAAGAGCTTCGAGAGCGAATGATCGTCCTGGAAGAGCAAAAGTTCTTTGTCGAGGGCATGATTGCTGATGCCAACAAACGGAGGAGGTTTGATGAAGTGGCTAGTCTGGCTGGCAATGTCGAGGATTTGACGAGAGAGATTGATCAGCTGCAAGGTCGGATTGCAGGTATGGACTTTGCTGGTGCATATGCGGTTGGGCAAGATATCTGATCACGGTTGTTTCTACCCATCCTAGGGCTCGCCCTTGTTTTTTACTGATATACAACATTGGTTTCCTGATATTAGCGAGGCGTTCGTGGTGGTTGTTTATGGTTTCCCATTTCTATAGGTTTGTAGCCTGATATGACATGATTTTCTCTCCATCCCTCATTTCCTGCCTATTCTTCCGCCGTCCACGCGTACAGCGGGGTTAAGTATGAGACACGGGAGGATTGTCCCAGGGCGACATTGGCTTGTGGTCTGTCTGACGGTTGAATCATGCCATCGCATCCTCCTACAAGGAATCCTATAAGTCTTTTCAATACTTGTACTCAAGACGACTTCAGCTTATGAGCATGACCTGATATCTGCTAGAGTCAAAAATGCGTGTACTCGCATTAGCACCACTAGATGGTTTGGTCTGGTCCACAAGTCTGGCGTAAGTATCTAAACGACGTGCAGCAGAACTCGTTCCAAGGACCAGAAGGGTAGGTAGGTACCTTGCCTGAACGCGTTTGCTGCCCTGAAGAGTGAACCCTTTTCTCGCCAAGTCAACCAGCATGATCTACAGGTCTGGAGCTGCGGGTTTTGCTTTTCCGCCCTCTTAAGTTCTAACCTCCTCCACGTCGGCTCATGCAGCCGAGTCCGAAAAGTTCGTCTCTCTCCGCATTCACCCCCAAGATCGTCGTTGCATTCGGCAGGGGCGGCCCGCAAACCTGATTCCAAGGTGGCTGGCTGGCTGCCCCTGAACATCAATTCGCTGCATTGGGGAAGACTCGAGCACATAACATGACATTGGAAAGGAAACAGTTTGAACTCGGAACTTGGAAAAGAAGAAGATTCGTTATATTCGTAGCACCTCACTAACGCTTATGCAGCCGTGTCTTTTGGTGACTTCACCCACTCGTGGTCCCAAGGCACCATGGCGTCCTTGCCGACTACCGCCTTGATGGCTCTCTCGCTAATGTCCCAGAAACCTGGACCCAACGAAGGATCGGCGGCTAGATCTTTNTCGCGTCCTGAGATGCCCTGGAGTGCGTACGTCAGTAAAGTGTACAAAAACAGGGTTGTTTGCAAAGGATGACTTACAACGTCGACTAAATATGCGCCATTCAAGTACTTTTGTTCCACGTCGGGTGATGTGGCTGCGTAGAGCGTGATGCGTGAGCTGCTGCGTACCGCAAACTTGGTATCCTTGGAAAGAGTGTCCAGAATGTGATCGCACAGATCGGAAGGCTGCCAATGACTGTCCCTTCTATATTGGCTGCCTGCACCTATCAAGTTCTTTGATGGTTGAACCGCGAGTGCATAGATGTTGTCATGGTGGCGCTTGACGATACGCTCGGCGAGACCATGCCTGACACCAAGGATCAAGCTCGTCTTCGAGCGGCGGAAGATTTCAGAGCAAACTTCTGCATCGTAAGCAGAGCGGCGTAGGTCTTCTTCGTCGCTAGATGAGTCGTCGGAGATGCTTTGTAGGCGTTGTTGTCCTGGGGCTTCAAAGATAACTCGAGGAGCTGATGCCTCAGGTATCCTGGAGGTCTTGCGAAGTAAAGGCCAGAGAAGGTTGCTGGCGTAGAAATGACCCAGCCACATCATGCCAAAATAAGCATCTATGCAGTGTAGATCGGTTGTGAAGTGAGCCTGATCGATTCCTGAGCCGAATATACACAGGTCCAGTCGAGGAAGCTCGTCGCATAGAGCAGAGAAGACTTCTTGTACTTGGATAAGGTCCGTCATATCGCAGTATCGATATTCAAGGGCTGCGTCTGGGCCAGCCTCATCACGAATGGTCGAGATGGTTTGAGTGCTTTGCTTCTCGTGAACATTTACCATCACGACTTGGCATTTGTGGATGACGAGGGCTTGAGCGATTTCGCTGCTGTTGAAGTTGTCAGATCAGACATATAAAAGCCGTGAGCGTAAATCTCGAATTAGAGACATACCCNNAATCCCACATGCACCTCCCGTAACGATAGCAGTCCTGCCTTGTAGATCTGGCATGTTGCCTGTAGATTGGAAGATGGGAAAGTAAGAGCCTGGGGCGCGCATATTGATTGCTGTCGGGACACTGCTGGTCTAAGTAATGAAGAGTTTGAAGTCGAGGTCGAAGACAAAGACGAGGTTGTGGTTGAGGTTGGGGTCGAGATCGAAGAGGTATGGTCGGAGTAGCAGGACCAGACAAAGCAATTGGTCAGGTCGGACATATATACTTGTCCAACAAAGAATAGATGCTTTGAAGAAACTTGATTGAGAATAGTGTCGTTTCTAGGCAGGGGCGCTATATAAGCACTTTGACGTTTCGCCAGGTAGCCAGATAGATAGGATCGGGAGACCTTCTTGGTGCATGAACGGGCCGGAGAGCCTACCTCATAAGCACACAATTCTGAATAATGATGGTCGAGGATCCACATCCCTGTCACACTTTGGCGGCTCTTTTGCTAGCTACAATTTCCCCGGATGCAGGATCAGGTCGCATTCGGCAAAAATTACATCGGAATGTTGGCAAGATTTCCTGATTTTTGAGGACCATTCAGGTTTTGTTGAAATCCTCATGACGAGTCGCATCGCCAGCTCGAATTATTTCTCTGTTGCCTTCATGACAGCTCCCAGATTCTGAAAGTTGGTCACAAGGTTGCACCGACTGTGTCCTTTGTCTGGTCGTGTTGCTCAATCATTCGTAGGCCAAGCGAGTTGTCGCACCAAAGATGACTCGAAAGCCGGCATCGGTTGCAGCAGAAATAGCATGATTGTCACTTTCGCATGCCGCCGGCTACGCGTAACGGCCGCGAGGCTAGCAGAAAAAACATGCGCATAGCAAGAAGGGGTGGAGGCTGAGAACGAAGAGGCAAGTTCGTAAAGATGACGCAGAGGGTCCCAGCTGATTGGCATCGCTCGTCCCCGGACCCCAGAATGCCGTTGTTGGTATGAGAGAAAGATGAGCATTTTTCCCGTCATGAGCGCAATCCTTTCTCGTGTTGAGTGCCCAACCCGTAGTGGTGGAGCAAGCCCTATCCGAGCTTGTAGGCGAAATAGACACAGAAAATAGCGGCTGTCGTTTCGGACATGCAACTCGCTGAGTTGTGCTGAAACGAAAACTTCGGCCATCATCCTGCGTCGTCGATGGCAAATCCAAAATCCGATCTGCTGTGCGATGGTCGATGACAGAAGCCATGTTATCTCCTGCATTCCATCTAGCCAATCGCGATGCCTCTGGTGTGATAATCAAGACGCCCTCCCTGTACTCACAACGCACCGAGCGGGCCGCTGCAGTGGTGCAACCTACACGAACGAGGGAGGAGCTGATACCGTTGCTCATTGAGGTCTTTATCTGACCATTAATGATTATCCTGGGTCAATGTGGTCAAGGGTGCGATCTCGGGGTGGCGATTGTTCTCAGGAAACTGCAGATACGCCAGACAGAAGAAGCCGACAGCTCAGATACCACATCGCCAATCAATTATTCGACACACGTAGTTGAAATGTGTGGAGGTTTGGAGGTTTTGGTTCATGCGCCGAAGCTTCAGAAGAAAGATGCAAGGAGGAGGCTCAAATCAGCATTCGTGGGGTACCGGCCTCCGCTCCGAAACGAGTGCAACCCTGGGTTTTACCAAGCAACTCTGAACAATCTTCTTGTCTTTTGTATGTATTAGCAATTCAAAGCAGGCTCCCTATGTCTGTTTTATCGAGAGCTCGTATGGTTGTGGGCACCACGACAAAGTATATTATATCAAAGCATCTTCCACATTACATTTGTTTGATGCTTCCATGAGATATCGCTACTCGGACTAGACGTCGATGAAGGTCTGACGAGAACATATCGTTAGAAACACAGATGTATTTTCAGGAGACCGAAGTTATGGCCATACATGATGCTTTGTGACCATTGGTTGTGATCTCTCATCTTGTTTGTCAATCACTCTTGTGTTTGCCTTTCATCGTGAAGGATACAGCACCAACACCGGCCTCTATTTGAGCCATTCCTTCGTCATGGTAGAGCATGGCGTCCAGCATTGACGATCAGAGTTCATCTCTCGGTGTTTTAGTACTTTTGGCTTGCTATTCGTACAGTCAGTATCAATAAAGCTGGTGGCTGGGAAGAACATACGGCTTGAGGTATTTCCTGAAGAGAGCGTTCAATGTCTTTAAATGGAGATACCCATCGGCATCCTCTCCTAGGCCCCAAGCAAAGACGCCTCCAAGCTTGCGACGTTTAACAATGGCCGGAAACTTTTCTGCCATAGACGCAGGCGTGTCCCATGACCAAAAGATCTTCTCTTCTGCATCCCAGTAGTAGTTTCCGTCGTTGTCCCATTCTCTGTTGTTCAAAGCGGTATGAAATGACTTCTCGAGTTCTTTAGGTACTTTATCATGCCATGAGAAGGAGCCGCTGGTACCGAGATCCTTTCCTGTTTTCGGATCTTCCATTAATGCTGTCTTGCAGCCTATAGGCTCGAGGCTACAGTCGCCATCTGTTCGATACCATTTGACGTAGAATGCAAATCCTAAGTTGGCCTTTTCAGGAGAAATGCCGTTGGTTAGATATGTGTCTATGGCAATCAAAGAATTGTCAATGCCAGTATGATGCATGGTGACGATGTCTCGCCTGTTGAAAAGGTCATATGTCATAATGTTGAAGAAGTCAAGATGTTTTGTTGCGTCGGCAAGCGTTTCTTTCTTGAATGCCACTTGAATGTCGACTGGCTTGCCCCTTGATACATGTTAGCAGAATCCGTTCAGAGCGAGCGTATACCACATCATGAGCCAAGCGTGTTACTTGCCTGGAAGACAACTACGGATGTTCGGAAACACTATTGGAGCTGTAAACACATCGATGTCCAATTGCAAATATGGTATCAGCGCTTCTCGATGAGAACCCTGCTCTAGATGTTTTTGCATTACAGCTTAGAGTCTTTTCGTTTACTGACCGGTAAACAAGAACATCTCTGACGAACAATCGAGGATACCAATCCAGTATTGTGCTTCGGCAGGCTGACACATCCCGACTCATGAGTGGATACACGTTGATAGACTTACGGGACTGCTGCAGACATGATTTTGTCGGGTCCGATGGCAGTTCGGATCTCGGCGAGCAGCTTCGGATACGCCTCAACCTCCCAGCTCTTTTCGGAGTTTGTGATTTGCTTGTAGTCCTCACCGTTGCCGCCAGGATACTCCCAATCAAGATCAACGCCATCTGCATTGGTGAAATCAAGCATAGCCTTTACGTTCTCGGCAAAGGCTTTCCTGCCCATCTGCGAGGCTGCGGCCGCCGAGAAGCCATTGGTATCGCCCCATCCACCAATTGCTATCATGACATTAACTTTCTTGTTTTTTGGAAACTTGGCGCGGACACTCTCGACAGATGTGAAAGGTTCCCAGGTTGAGGGACTGTTTCCGATGAAGGAAGAGGATTTCATGAAGGCCAACACAACATGCGTCACGTCCGCGAGATGGACGTCAGGAGGGAACACTGGGTGCTGAGCAGTCAGGTAGAGGACGTATCGCGAAGCCTCGCATACGCATGCCATTACCGCGACCAGCGCGAGCAGTGTTGTCCGCATCTTGTGTTTGAAAGAGCCGTGCTCAATTTCGTGATACGTAGCTTGCGGTGTCCACGGTTTGGTGTTACCGAAATCAAGTATGAAGGCCGCAACGTGAGTGATGGTGCTCAAGATGCATCAACTTTGTCGTTCCAGCAAATTGTGGCTGTGGCTTTGGCCCCACATGATCATGATCATCTGAATCCGGTAGCTACGAATTATGCATTCTTGTGGCTCCCTGAGCTTGCATAAAACAGAGTTGGCTTATATTGAAACTGGTCTTTAGGGTTGGTATAAAACCCACAATTTGCGGCTCGCCTATGTGTATCGCAACATCCATGTCAACATCGTTGTGGGACTACGGTGCGAACGCGTATGACCGATCTCGACAACAGCTCATGGACGAGATTCTCAGCATGGTTCATAGACTTATGTGACTCTAATCGCACTGGACGCTAGGATTTTGGTAGGCCTGATGAAGCATGGAATTCGCTACCTAATCTTTGAGATCGACATTTTCTGTAACACAAGGAGGAAGCACGTCCCGGCGGAAGGCCGCAGCCGGTCCGGATGTGCCTGAACATCATGAATCTCTTTTCATCTCAGACGATCGCACTGCACCACTGCATGGGAAATGGCTATTCAGGTACCCGCAGATTACGGCTTAGACAGATGGCACCGTAGAACACGCGAGCGAGGTACACAAAAGTAGGTCGTTCCTGCCTGTGCACTCTCTTCTCATCTCCTTCTACTTCTTCTGTGTCCCTCTTTTGATTCCATTGATATGTTCAAGTCATTCTTTCTGGCGGCTGCCTCTTGCGGCCTTGCTTTTGCAGTCACTTGTGACGACCTGGTTGGTTCTCTATCTTTCGAGGGTGTCGACGCATCTGTGGCATCCTGCAGCTATCACACCGCTGGAGAGACCCTCAAAATCAATGGCGATCAAAGTGTGTGCTTTTCTGAGATCCAGACAGAAATCGATATGTGCAGAGTCGTTCTGACTGTCGCCACTAGCCCTACTTCTCACAACTATGTAGAGGTCTGGCTCCCTTCAGGAAACAACCCATGGAACGGCAGACTCTTGCACACATACAACGGTGGTTTGGCTGGATGCGTGGAGTACAAGGACATGAAGTACATGAGCTCTCTGTCTTTCGCAACTATTGGAGACAATGGAGGTCACAACTCAACAACTGCCGATGGATCAAAGTTGCTTAACAACAACGAAGCAGTGATCGACCTCTCGTACCGTTCAAGACATCTTGCAGTTGTAGCTGCGAAGCAGGTCATCAAGAAGTACTACAACCAACCGGCTAGCTACTCTTACTACGTTGGCTGCAGCACTGGTGGTCGTCAAGGCTTAAAGTCAGCTCAAGAATTCCCTGACGACTTCGATGGCATTCTTGCTGGTTCTGCTGCTGCCGACTTCAACCACCTCTCCGACTGGACTTCCAGATTCTTGTTAATCACTGGATTTGGCAAAGATGCCAGAGCTCTTTCCCGCGAGCAGTGGGTCTACGTTCACGAGGAAATTCTTAGACAGTGCGATGAGCCATTAGATGGTGTCGCCGACGGCATCATCGAAGATCCAACCATCTGCGAATTTGACTCCACAACGTTGCGTTGCGGTACCAGCTCAGACTCTCGCTGTCTTACTCAGACTCAAGTCCAGACTGTGAATGATGTTTACTCTGAACTCTACGATCAAGATGGAAACCTACTCTACCCGTCTCTGTCATTCGGAGCCGAACTGGTTGCCTCTCAGCAAGGCCTGTTCACTGGCAGCGTGGTGGGCAATGCTGCAAACTGGATTGCCAATGCGGTATACAACAACAGCAACTGGGACCCCACAACTCTGAGCCAAGAGACCTACACCAAGGCCGACGAGACCGATGTCCTGCACGGAAACATCTCAACCTGGAACGGCGATCTCAGCTCCTTCCGTGAGGCTGGCGGCAAACTAATGATGTATCACGGTCTTGCTGACCCTAACATTGCCGGCGAAAACTCTCAACGCTACTATCTTCACGTTGCCAGAACCATGGGCGCTACTGATGAAGAACTCGACGAATTCTTCCGCTTCTTCCGTATCTCAGGAGGTGACCACTGCAGCTCTGGAGGCGCTGGCGCATGGGAGTTTGGTCAAATCGCTGCTGGTAGAAATGGTCGCCATAGTGCGATTGACCAATTGATGGCTTGGACAGAAAACGGCACTGCCCCTGAGACCATCACAGGTACTAAATTCGTCAACGACGACCCCAGTCAGGGCGTTGCCTTTGAACGCAGTCACTGCAAGTTCCCTTACCGCACTACCTACAAAGGACCCGACTTTGACCCCAATGTTACTACCAGCTGGACCTGCGAGAAGATCAAGAACTGGCAGGAGTGTGGTCCTGGTGCAGTTCCCAGACTGTGCTAGGCACAAGATCATTAGGTGCCGATGCACGGGATTATTGCCAAACGACGATGAGAGTCGATGACACTAAAAGTTTTCTTACTCATACTTCGAATTTTTAATCCTTGATATAACATGTTACTTATCAACATACAATCTATATTGAAGAGCATATCATTGTGATTGGAACCTGTCTACTCGTAAGTCATCATATCTCAGACACAATGATATCGCTATATCACTAGCAATCTCATGATTTAGAAGCAAGCTTCTCCTCTCTGTGTGGTAGATAAAGTCTGCAACCTCCACCGTGCTCCAACTATAGCTAAGAGCAGAATGTAGACTACAAAAAGGCACAATCGTTCTAGGAAGTAGAGACGTGTCCACAGAGAGTCGATCACTCGTTGCCTCTCACTGGATACCATCTTGTTTCTTATTACTATCGTGCATTTTTATAGCTATATACGTTACAGACTCAGTACATGGAGAGGCTGTGTCCCCTTTCAATGCATCGGCAGCAAGTTCTCAAGGTTCTTCCAATTTAGGCTGGCAGGCAGCCAACCGAACTACTACAAGAGCCTCATGTTTCATGTTGATCTATTGCCCAGGTGTCGTGTGCGAGCCTAACGCAAATGGTAACGCTCTAACTTGACGGATCTCTCGCCTTCATTTGAAAGCCTAAAGACAGAATTCACTGTGCACAGAGAAGGGCGCAGGCGAAACGGAAAGCAGGGAAAATGGAGAGGGCATGAACGGACAAGGACGATAACATCAACGATAGGTGTGTCAACGTCAACAGCACTTGTTGCTAGACGACATGCCGCACAAGCCAGACCACCAGGTAGCAGATGCTTGCCCGCTGTTGAAAGCTCTGGGCTTAGCGTACAATATTGTACGCAATACGACGACATGGGTGTATGCTATTCACCAGGAGTAAAACTTAATTCGAGAGCAATTATCCGATACCATCAATGTGATCCCCAACTCCTGCGCCGTAGTCCTCGCTATGCGATTGATGCTCCTGCCCTCCCTTCCCATATAAACTGTTCTTATGCTTTTTACACGGCAGCCACGACTTCGCTGCCACCACCAACGCCTTCGACCTTGATCAAGAACTCCCTGACTCTGCCTGCTTCTTCACGTCCGAGGGCTCCCTTTTCTGACTCGACGGCCGCCAAAAGCGCACCGAGCTGGTCCTCAACTTTGTCCTCTGCGACACCAGTGCATAGAGATACGACTTTACGGTACAGATGTTCGAGCTGTGAGGAGCGTGATTTGAGCTGTGTGGACTTTTGGTGAAGACGATCGTTGTTGGTCTCGTAGATCTTCTTGAGAGCACGTAGCTCAGCAATTGAGGGTGTGTTGTTGAGAACTTGTTGTTGTAGTGGGNNGGTCAACTGTTGCACTGCTCGTGCTGGATCTGAAACATTGGATGGTAGTTGATCGACGACTGCAAGCACAGGAGAGATGGAATTATCTGCATCTCCTACTACCGTGTTGGTCTTTGTGACCTTTCTACCGTTGCGGTGACGTTCCTCGAGGATGCGTTTCAGGTTCGCAATCTTCGACTGAGCTTCACTGCGAGATTTGGCACGACGCTGAAGAGTTGCTAGCTGATCGCTCTCTGTCTTCGCGACTGCTGACAGCTCTTGGATCTGAGCGTTGAGCTTGTCAATCTGAGTAGTCTTTTCGGCCAGTAATTGTTTGTGCTGGGCAAGATTCGCGGTGAGCATACTTGTGAGTGAGGAAATCACATCCTGATTCTGTTCTTCGATAACATTTGTATTGGCGACAGGTGTTGTTTCTTTCTCATTTGCGCCTTCTGTGGTTGCGTTTTGAGATGGAGGACGGTTCAATGCTTGCGCCTGGGAGAAGATCGGGTCGATGTTCGATGGATTGTTAAAGCCTGCATTGGCTTGTCCGTTCTCGTCTTCGACGCCTACGCCGAAATCGCGGGCTGTTATGCCCTTCTGATTGGGAATGGTCGGATCGGCTTTGACTTCCAGAAGCTGCTGGATGATACCCCTGTTGCCAATCCTGGCGGCAAGATTCAGAGCGGTATTGCCTGCCTTGTCTCGAGCATTTACTATATGCGTGAGAAAGCGCATCAGGTTCATTCGCTCTTTGCCTGCCTGTCCAGGGGTTCCAGAGCCGTTCTCGACTGGTGCAGGTTTCGACACGCTGCGGACCAAGAATTCCAACAGCGCCTCCAGATAGTATTTGCTGCTGGGTGCTCTACCTTTGATACCACAAGATACAGCGATGTGATGAAGGATGGTACGCGCTTGAGCATCTCTGACTTCTATGAGGGGACTCAGGAGCTCTAGAACATCGGGAAACGAAGAGTGCTCGCAGCAGTTGTTAACCAGAACAGCCGAGATCAAGGCGCTCTGTCCTGCGGCATTGCCTCTGAAGATGTTGGCACCCTTTTGGATGAGCAGTCGCAGTAACGGCACTCTTGATAGCGTTGCAGCCCAATGTAGAGCAGTGTTAGCTGAAGGATCCAGAGGTATATCCAGATCCTGTGGTGATAAGGAGAGAAGTGCTGGATGTGAAGCAAAATCTTGTCTTGATGATTCAGCAAAGAGGTCAAGAAGCAATAGACGCTTGTTCTCTTCGTCCAAGCCCATAGGTACTGGCAAAGGAGGGAGTGTGACAGGCTCATCTGAACCATTGACATTTTCTTCGAGATATTGCTGTGTACTTTGAAGGAAAGATTCTCCGGGCTCGGTGGGGTCGAGGGACATGATTGAAGCATCTACCGGGATATCGTCGTTGGGTCTCATACGCTTTCTAGGGGGTTCCTGACCACCTGGTGCTGTTCTCCAGGCAGCGCTCTGGGTGTTGTAGCCAGAGTCGGGAATTTGGTAGCTAGCATCGGCCATGATAGCGTGAGAGGTGTTTTGCTGTTGTTGTTGAGATGAGCGCCTCATGTGGTTCGGACGTGCTGGCGAGTTGAGACGGGCAGCCTTGTTCAAGGCAGCAAGAGCGACGGACGACATAGAAGAGATGTTCTGGAAGAAAGTGTTTGAGGTAGCGGGACCATTTCTGTCTTGGGCACCAGCGGCGTAGAATCTTTTCCTGTTGGCAGCCATGGCTTGTTCCTTGGTGGGCGTCTCGGTGGTTTGACCAGCACCGGAACCATCAAGGTCATGTTCCAGCAAGGGGAGAAGTAGATCCTCGACACCGTACTGACGGCAGAACTCGCGACCCCTGCGGTAGGTGATCCAAGTGCCTTGGTATTTGCCGTATCCACCTTGAACCTTTTCGTGCTCGCCAGGCAGAATTTCCTTCTCCAAGACCTTTGTGCGTTTTCCCTTGTCGACACCGGCGACCTTGAGGATCTGAGTGGCATTGAGCCAGCCGTCGGAGCGTCGTCGCATGCAAGCGATGTTGTTCACTTCCATTTCATACACCTGAACTCCAGAATAAACAGCNCTAGCTTCACTGTCAGTGATTTGCATGTGACAGGTGGACATGGGGTAGCTCACGGTGTATATTGTGGGCTTCTCAAAGGTGGGACGCATGTTCTGTTGGGGAGCGGGTGCTGAAGCTCCTTGGCCGTAGCCAGCATCTTGTAAAGCCTTGAAAGTCTGGGCCATGCCTGGCGACTGAGCGACAGCATATTGAGCTGTCTGAGAGCCGTAGGGCATCGAGTAATGGCCTTGATCCTGCGGGGTCCGATTCGTGTGATGGGCCATGTTGGCTATTGGCCTTTGGAGGTGATCACAGTACAGAGGACGAGTCGTTTCTGAGCACACGGTATGCAAAAATGGTTGTGTAGAGGAAGCAGCCAAAAGTTTCACCACTCATGTCTGAGATGTTCGGCTGAGCGAGATGCGCAAGTCGCGAGATACAGCGAAAGACGTGTTCGCGTTGCTCTGCTGGCCCGTGCGCTGGCCCGTGCCCCACTCGTATATCCACGCCTATTGGCTCCCAGCCCGTTGTTGGCTCTCGCACGAGAGACGACGATAGCGCTATCAAAGTGTATTCTACCGAGTGCTTAACTGATCGATCGATCTCTTGCAGCTTTCCTGGAGGATTTTCAGGGGCGCCTCTTCAGCTTCTAAGTTCTTTGAGACAGCACGTTAGGTATCCACTGTATCTGAGAAATATAGCCCAATTGGTTCATCATATTTTGGGCGCTTTCCCATTCCGTTCACTATAGTACAGTACATAGATGTGCATATAACGCCGCCCCAATCGATTTTGAACATGTACAAGCTGAAAGATACCACATCCAACCCCTTCAACGTCTGCGGAGGTACCAGTTAAATGCAAGAGCCATTGTCTCGTTGGCAAACGGTGTGGGCACTTCTGCCAATCCAGGTCTAGCGACTGGGTGACGGAGGTAGACGGCGCTGCAGATCTTCTGGTTGACCTCCAAATAACGTGGGATAAATGCAAATGCACTCATAAACTCACGCGGCCTCCAGGGTGTGGCATATGGCTTTGACGCATCAATCGGGTTCTCGTTTGCACGCGCAAGTGCAGCGTGTAGTAGCTCGGCGTCCTTGCGTGCACGGAAGGCATCTTCTCTCTTGACCGGTTTTTGTTGCTGGTCGGGCAGGGCGGCCTCTGCGGGTGCATCTTCAGCAGGCACCTTGGCAGCGATGGCCTTCAGCGTCTCCTCCAGTGAGTCAATCGTCTCGGTACCAGGCTTAGCAATTCCCGAAGGTCGTAGACGAGACATGGTTTGCTTGACAGACTTGGCAAAGGCGCGTAGATCCTGCTTGCGCTTGCCAGACAAGACTTTNTCACTGTCTCTAGTAATGTCTTGTGCACGAGCAAGCAATGACTTGAGGGCAGCCTTGGGGTCCTCCTCGGCTGATAGTGTTGTCTTGGTAGATTTGGCGGATGCCTTGGAGTCGTCTTCAGTTTTCTTGTCCTCAGACTCTTCAAGAATATCCTCAGCATCATCATCCACAATTTGCTCAACCTCATCGGGCTCTTCGCGACCTTGCAGTGTGTCTGGGGAGTTCTTGTTGTGCTTGCGTGCGCCGGTAGCGAACAGAACACGCTCGGGCTCTACTGAGAACATGTCACCGGGATTGAGAAGGTAGCCAGGGTGTTGCATNCTAAAAATGTTAGCTTGCAAAGCAGGTATTCAATGGAGCAAAGTGGCTACCTTCTTTCCGTTGACCTTGACAAAGCCGTGGACGACGAATTGCCTTGCCTGGCGGGCGCTGCTGGCGAATAGAGCACGCCAGACGGCAGTATCCAGTCTGCGCTCAGTCGGGAAATATGTCATGTGCATGTAAGGAGTCCTTTGCGGAGGCCTTTCTCTTTCTGATCGATCGGAAGCATCCTTNTTCTTGGAGATATTGAGACCAGAACCACGGCCAGCAGCCTGCTCGGAGCCATCTGTACGGGCGAGGAGTTTGTAGTCCATGGGAACGACAGCGGGGAGGCGACGGTCAAACATGCGAGTCCATTTTCCTTCGCGGATTTGCTCGCCATGGTAGGCACGGGTCAGAGACTTTGCTAACCATTTTTGCTGGAAGAAGGTCTTTGAGGCGGCGTAGGGAGTTTGGAGGCGCGAGATGTTATAGAGAGTCCATTTTGACCAGTCGGCTCGGACTTTCTGCGCAAGGTCAGCAGCGCAGCGAGATGGTGGGGACAGAGCAAGAGTGACATACGGGNNCTTCTTCAGACCGTGAAACCTCTTACGCATGGCGAGGGTGGGCGCGAAGCAGGTACAAGGCAATGAATTAGTCTAGAGCGACGGCTGGCTTCGACTTGAAATTCGCCCAAGACGGCATGCACATTGCACAGCTTTCGGCGAAGATTTGTGTCCACCGGGTCGATGCTTCTGCCACTCGGCCTCGCCAATTCGCTGTGACAGGCAGCGACGCGCCCGCCCACAGCGACCTCATCCAATGCCGCCGCTCTTCACATACCAACAATGCAATGAGGCTCGACATCTACTCCGCGCCATTTTGCGTGAATCAACCTATCTTCCCGACCATCAGGCCCGTATCTACATAGCCACCCACGCCCTTGACCGCTTCCGAGACTACACGCCTGGACACAAACCTGACCATGTCTTGATACAACGGAGACGACTGCAGCTCGACCATGCCCGAAAGGCTCTGTCCGAGCTGCGCCGAGCGAATGAAGGAGAGCTGAAACCTCTGCTCAAAGTCCTTCATCTGACCTATGCCCGCATCGGCAAACGACGACACGAAATCCTGCGTGACTTTCAATACAGACCGCCTGCTGATGTCGACGTCAAGCCTGACACACCGCCCAAGCTTTCGACTCAGCATATTGCACTCCTTGATTCTCAGAGAATGGCTGCTCCGCCTACCATTGTTCGTCCTCTTCTCCGATCATGGTCTTTGAAGATCCCCGAGACGAACAGCTGGGAAAGACCCCTGCCTAAGAAACGCCTTGCGAAAATCGTCCGGGACTGGTATGCCGATGTCTTGAACCGAACCGTCGTACCTCTCCCTGTTGCAGAGTGGGAGCGCTTGCGCGATCTTGCTTTAGGCAAAATCAGGTTTCAGGGCCCTATACCCCGTCGTCCTATGCCTGTGTCAGCAAACAGCGTTCCTTCTCCAATCCATCTCGCCCTTGGTATGGTCCAGCTCAACTCACCTGCTCTGGTTCTAAGCAATGCAAGCAACTCAATTCATGCCCGTAAGCTCACTGCACGTTCAATGAGAAGATGTTGGGCCGCGGTTTTTGCACAGTGCCCTGTAATGTCATGGAATGCCGAGTCTCAGAAATGGTCAATCCAATGGGGCTGTGATATTTTAAACCAAGCGAAGATTGCAAATGCCACCAACGAAGTCGCTCTGAACAAGATTTGATTTGCTTGAGCATGCATACCTGTCGTTGCCAGGTGTATTCGCTTGATTCGGCGTTCTTGCTCGTTGCTAGCCTCGGATTCGACGGACTTTTATGCAGCGGACCTTGGTCTTAGTATGCTTGAAGATTTCCAAGGCACATTCAATTCAATGGGCCTCTCACTCTTAAGTTCCTCGATTGGCAGGAACATTATCACTATCCAAAAGATCAAGGGGCAACCACGTTCTTTTGCTTCCCTCACGGAAGTGCCATTGCGTGACGAACAGATCCCACGAATACTTATCTACATTTTCTGAACAACCTTGAAGATAAACACATCTCTGACAATCTGAACCACTGGCTCATCAACCGCAATATCTCACCACGCGCAATCCATGCTTGGGAAATCATCGCTAATACACGCAATAGCTATAAATTACGTAGGACTGTCTGGCCGGGACCATTACCAGAAATGACTTTTATTCTACGACCAATCAAAACATGTCAATCAAATTGAGGTTGATGCAATTAGCGTAGAGAAACAATTACTCTTCAAACTACGGTATTGTCTGGTACACTGTCAGCGGCAAGAGTCTCACGGACGTCTCCCACGATCGTCGCTGCCAAGAATCCGGGGCAATGGTCAATATTTATGTCTACATTCGCGCGGCATGTCATCGACAGGGCGTCCTTCTTTTGAATATCATCGATACCAATTGACCTGAAAACATTGTATTTCTTTGTCTACAAGCTCTCCTACAATCAGATCCATAATCTCTGGCTCTTCATTCTTAAAGTTGTAACTATGTCCAACCAACCCACCATCAGTCATGCGACCCGCGAAGGTGAGTTTGAGCACGCAATCAACGCGAGCAAACATACTATACACCATACGCTCAAGATCTTGTCGTTCATATACTGAAAATTTTGCANNGATGTGCCTCATATCTTGAGCCTCATTCGTGCGCTCGCAGACTACGAAAAGGCCCTCTCGTCATGTCATGCAACCGAGGAGTCTCTAGCATCAACTCTTTGCTTCGCACCTTCTCGAGGCGAACCCCCATCTGGACCCGGCTATGCCAAAGTTCTCTTGATCCGTACGCCAAGTGATGAAGTGGCTGGTATGGGATTGTACTTTAACAACTATTCTACTTGGTGGGCAGCACCTGGAGTCTACCTTGAAGATCTGTTCGTGCTTCCTGAACACCGCAACAAAGGCTACGGTAAGCTTCTCATCGGAGCATTGGCAAAGGNNGAAGTCAAGAGGATTGGCGGCAAGAGGCTGGAATGGTGTTGTCTGAAGTGGAACAAGCCATCTTTGGACTTCTACAAGATGTTGGGAGCCCAGCAGATGGAAGATTGGGTTACATTGAGAGCAGATGGAGAAGCGCTGGACAAGCTGGCAGGTTCTGCTGACAAGGCTGCCAATGTACAGGTGGATGGCAAATGAGAGCATGCGTGTGATGATTTGGGTCGGTTGACATCAGGGTTTCGACTTAGTCAACTCTCGAGCCTTCGTGGATAGCCAGGGGAGTTTGTCCGTACAGAAGCGCTGTTGTCGGGTTGATGGCGTGGTGAATTGTTTGCTTAACATCCTGAGGAAGCACCTTGTACATTATTCATTCCATCTCTAGAATTTCAGCCAAGTTGATGAATCGGGTTAACAACAATTTTAGTAATGCACGGGTTATGCAGATCTACGAAAAACCTTTAGGGACTACAGTTGAACGTAGAGCTTTATCCTTGTTACAAGATGTTCTCTATAAGCAAGACGTTGACCTTGCTGTCGTCGGATGGCATAGATGGACCGGGTCGCACTCTCAACAAAGAACGACTTAGCATGGTCCAACGTCACTCGGAACAACCGTGCGTCTCGAAACGCCGAGAAGATTCGAAAAAATCGTGTTTTGGGTCCCAACGACGACAGCGCTACCGAGAGAGCCCCTCTATCCCACCTACTCCCACTCTACAATCTCTCCAGACTATTCAAGCGCCTTTTCTTTGATTGAGATACCCCCTTGTCGCCGTAAAGACGACTCTTGTTTGACCCCTACAAAAGTTCTTTCTTATCACTTCAGACCACACATCCATCATGTCGTAAGTTGCACACTTGGCCGCCACATGCTGAAGCTTTTACTGACCTTTTGCGCCCAGTGTCGTCGGTCTCGACTTCGGCACACAGAATGCCGTCATTGTAAGTTTGCGCGACTGCTCGCTTCAAGTCCCAGGTCAACACGTACTGACACGTTGTGCAACAGNNGCTGTCGCCAGAAACCGTGGTGTCGATGTTATCACAAACGAAGTCTCGAACCGCGCAACTCCCGCGCTCGTTGGTTTCGGCCCCAAGGCTCGCTACCTCGGTGAGACCGCAAAGACACAGGAAGTTTCCAACCTCAAGAACACCGTCGGATCCCTCACCCGTCTCGCTGGCCGATCGCTGAAGGACCCCGATGTCGCCATTGAGCAAGAACACGTCTCGTGCAAGTTGGTCGACATCAACGGCCAGGTTGGTGCCGAGGTCTCATACCAGGGCAAGAAGGAGCAGTTCACTGCCACCCAGTTGACTGCCATGTTCCTCACAAGGGCTAAGCAGACCGCTTCTGCCGAGCTCAAGCTTCCCGTCAACGACATGGTCATCGCCGTCCCTGCCTGGTACACCGACGCCCAAAGAAGAGCCATCATCGATGCTGCTGAGATCTCCGGCCTTAAGATTCTGCGCCTGATCAACGAGACCACCGCTACCGCCCTTGGCTGGGGTATCACCAAGACTGATCTGCCCGGTCCCGAGGAGAAGCCCAGGAGAGTCGCCTTTGTCGACATTGGTCACAGCAACTACACCGTCTCCATTGTCGAGTTCCGCAAGGGAGAGCTCAAGGTCATTTCGACCGCCTACGACCGTCACTTCGGTGGTCGCAACTTCGACAAGGCCATTGTCGACCACTTTGCCGCTGAGTTCAAGGAGAAGTTCAAGGTTGACATCAACGAGAACCCCAAGGCCAAGCTCCGTGTTGTCGCCGCTTGCGAGAAGCTGAAGAAGGTCCTCTCCGCCAACGCTGGTGCCCCCATCAACATTGAGTCTCTGATGAACGACGTCGATGTTCGCGGCTTCCNNCTCAAGAGAGAGGAACTTGAGGAGATCATGAAGCCCCTTCTCGAGCGCAGCACTGCTCCTCTTGAGCAGGCTCTTGCTGAGGCCAAGCTGAAGGTTGAGGACATTGACTCCGTCGAGCTTGTTGGTGGCTGTACTCGTGTTCCCGCTCTTAAGGCCGCTATTCAGGACTTCTTCGGCAAGACCCTGTCCTTCACCCTCAACGCCGACGAGGCCATCGCCCGTGGTTCCGCTTTCGCCTGCGCCATTCTCTCCCCCGTTTTCCGTGTCCGCGACTTCTCCATCCACGACATCTGCAACTACCCCATCGAGTTCACCTGGGAGAAGAGCGCCGAGATCCCCGATGAGGACACCTCGCTTACCGTCTTCAACCGCGGCAACGTCATGCCTTCGACCAAGATCCTTACCTTCTACAGAAAGCAGGCCTTCGATCTTGAGGCCAAATACGCCAAGCCTGAGATGCTCCCTGGCAAGATGAACCCCTGGATCGGCAGATTCAGTGTCAAGGGCGTCAAGGCTGATGAGAAGGATGACTTCATGATTTGCAAGCTTAAGGCTAGACTGAACCTGAACGGTATCCTGAACGTCGAGTCTGGATACTACGTTGAGGACATGGAGGTTGAGGAGCCCATTGAGGGCGAAGATGTGAGTTATAATGAAGAAGCGACTTCGCAATCTCAAATCGACCAAGACAGAGAAAGCAAGCGACCCAAAATTATGCCCAGTGCTGACATTAATTCACAGGGCATGGACACTGACAAGGAGCCCAAGACCCGCAAGGTCAAGAAGCAGGTCAAGAAGGGCGAACTCCCTCTGTCTGCTGGCACCGCCTCTCTTGACGCACAAGCCATTGCCGACTTCTCCGAGAAGGAGCACAGCATGATCATGGAGGACAAGCTTGTCGCCGATACCGAAGACAAGAAGAACGAGCTCGAGGCCTACATCTACGAAATGCGTGCAAAGATCGACGAGGAGTACGCCGAGTTCTCCAGCGACGAGGAGAAGACCAAGCTCAAGGAGAAGCTTGAGACTAGCGAGGTAAGCACTGATTATGTCATAAACCATGCCAATCCATATACTGATGTTTTATGCTTAGNNGACTGGCTCTACGACGAGGGTGACGACGCCACCAAGGCCGTCTACCAATCCAAGATTGACGAGATCCGTGCTATTGGTGGCCCCATCGCCCAGCGCTACCTTGATAAGTTCGAGGAGGAGCGTCAAGCCGCTCTCAAGGCCCAGGAGGAAGCTGCCGCAAAGAAGCGCGCCGAGCAAGAAGCCATTGAGCAGGCCCAGCAAGAGCAGGCCGCCGCCGCTGCCGCAGCAGCCAAGATGGCCGCTCAGCGCGAGGAGCAGGACAAGAAGGACGCCGAGATGCAAGACGCATAGATTGACGGCGGCACTGGTACTTCTTCCTCTCCATCTTCCCCATACAAAAGACTCAGAAGGAGCGTCTCGGGGCTTTTTACACGCAACAATACGAAATGAATTGAACAACCAAACAAGACAAAACACTAGACTATGCCCGTCATGTTACTATTTCCCTTTCTTCTAATGTTTTGCATTCGATGACACTGGTACTTGGTATGTTCTGGAAGAGACGGCGTGGATTAGGAGTCTTGTTTTTCCTTTTCGACTGCTATCAGAGTAAATGACTAGAAATTATGAACAAGACCTTCATAAAACCATCACAGCAAACTCTCTCAACCATACATTTCCCTGTGTCCAAATACTGTGTATATCCTGTCTGCTCTTAACACCTCCCATGAACGATGTTAGGGCAAAAGCACACTGTAGAAATGCACGATAGTTTTCGAAATCATAGTCCAGCCAGAGAGAGCCGATGAATTAACGACTCTCAGTGGAGACTACCTCATCTCAAAATACTACTGTGCATTTTTATAGCTACATACATCGTGGTTCAGCAAATGGAGAGGCTACGAGGGAGACAGCACAGCATCCCCTTTAAGCTCTCTCCCGTGGCAACGCATCACAACTTTTGAGCTGTAAAAATACACGATAGTTTTCAAAATCTAAATGCAGCCAGAGAGAGTTGATGAAAACATGGCTCTCAGTGGATATTGTCTCGTCTTTCAAAACTACTGTGCATTTTCATAGCTACATATATCGTAATTTGGCACTTGGGGAGCCCATGAGAGGGAGGTACAGCATTCCCCCTGAGCTCTCTCCCACGACAACGCATGGTAATATTTAGCTGTAAGAATGGACAGTTGCTTGGTGGTTTGAGCTCAGTCCACTGAGAGCCGCCAGATTGACGACTCTCAGTGGACATGACTTGTTTCGGCAAAGTATTGTGCATTTTTATAGATGCATTAACTTGGCACATGGAGAGAGGAGATAGCAAAGGTGTTATTTCCCAAAGCATGTAATCGAAGCTAATTATGTGATTCGAAGCTATCTCCATGCTGGCTCAATTAATCTCTGTTCTTATAGCAATGCACGAATCTGTCGTGCCTGGCAGCCATTGCCCCCGAGAGTTCGCTCATCCACTAACCCTTTAGTCTTCACTGCACATACCCGTGTAGTCAATCGCCTTGGTTTTGCGCCCTGCCCTGGTCTTGATTGGTGAACCCCTTCTGATTGCCTCCTTCTTCGCTTCAGCCTTGTCCATAGCCTTGTTCAAATCATCATGCAGTTTCTTGTAGAAATCTTCATAGGCCTTGTTTTCCTTTTGNCAGTCCTTGTTGAGAATTGCCCAGAACGCGCCATGTTTGATACACGACCCGCGAAGTACACCTGGTATAGTGATAATACCATAAGCCTCCTCGCGGCTTTTGCCTTCCGAACAGAGGGACTGAATCAAAGGCAGAAGAATAGAAGCCCAGTCCAACCGAGAGTGGTAGCCGTACCTGTGCCAGTGCTTAAGCTCAAGCTTGGTCAAAGAGCTTGCAGGAGACAATAGGTTATATGCTTGGTTGACAGAGACAGCATACTGTTGATCGACAGAGACAGACACCAGGGACCTCACACGCTCTGAGCCAAGGTACTCTAGGAACCTTTGTAGCATCGTAGAGTCTGGAAACTCAAAAGTGTGACGACTGAACAGATAAGGCGTCGACTCGACACTGATTTGCTTGTTGACTCTCATCAAGCTGGTGCTGTAAGGCTCTCTTGGAATATATCCATGGCGTCTGTTATACCATTGGGTGCCAATGATCCCAGATTGCTTGCCTGAGATTCGAATACTGCAGGCAGGACGCTCAAGAACCAGAGAGTAGATCATGTTGCGGATTTCTGCAGGGAGATCCAAGAAGGGAAATTTTTCGTTCTCGTCAGGCTCAGGCTGCATCACAAGAACGTGAAGCCCAGCGTATGTACCTTCTGTCATCAGGACAGGCTCCAAGGAGAAGGGCTTTTTGGAAGTGAGTTTGATGCTTTGAGTGAAGTTTTTCTTCTTGCGCTGCGCCGACTGTCAGAAGAGCATCAACATTGTTGATCTGGAACAACTCACGACTGCAGAAGTGTCACCCAGAATAGTGCATTGGATCTTTCGGACCATACGGTCGCTCTTGGTGGTCAACGTAGCCTTGAAATCTTGGTTATGTTCAGCATCGTTATCGGAGTCGTCGATGGGGTCTGGGTCTTTCTTCATGATCTTTTTGACTTCGTGCCAGCAGTGGCCGAGCTGCGTGCTGAGGGAGGCATGGTGACTGGAGATGATTGAAGTCAGGAAGTCGTGCGATATTGGGCCATCGAAGAAGGAGTGGAAGAAAAGTGGCTTGAATTGCGCCTCTATCGAAAGTCAATTAGGGCAGGTGTTGCAGCCTAGAGATCCAACGCGCCTTCCTCAGTGAGAGCGAAGCTTTCTTGACACGATTGACTCAAGAAGTTTCACTCAAGTACTACCACCATCCTTGACCTATCGTCTTTCAACAAGGGTGTTCAGCGACCTGCGAACCATGAAAGGCATGAGTGTTCTTGACCTGTAGTATGATCAGAGAGAGCCTATGAACTATTGCCCAAGCCTGATAAAAAGTGAGAAGCTCAAAATTTGGTGGAGTGAGAAAGAAGATAGATTTTGCGAATAAGAACCAATCATTGCGCCGTGAACTTTCTTCCTGGGAAAATGAAAATGGTATCCCCGTATGACTACTAGATTACAAATGCAGAATTCTCTTCATGAATGCTTTTACAGCATCAAGCTGAGAGGGTTCTCGATGGCGGCCTTGAGCTCCTTCATGAACTCACCACCAACGGCACCATCAACGACCTTGTGGTCGAACGAACCGGTAATGACAATCTGCTCGTCCCACTCAATGCCGTCCTCGTTCTCAGAGGGAATGGCAACCTTCTTGACAGCGCCGACAGCGATGATGCAGGCTTGAGGAGGGTTGATGACAGCGGTGAATCTGTCAATAGCAGCGTTCATGCCCATGTTGGAGATGGTGATGGTGCCGCCCTGGTACTCCTCGGGCTTGAGCTTGCCGTCACGGGCACGCTTGCCGAGCTCCTTGATCTGGCTGGAGATGGACTCGAGGCCGGTACCGTTAACGTTCTTGACAATGGGGGTCATGAGGCCAACGGGGGTAGCGACAGCGACCGAGACGTCAACAGTGTTGTGTTGACGGACGAAGACGTTGCCGTTCTCCTCGCGCCAGCTGGAGTTGGCAGCGGGAACCTTGCGGGCGGCGGCAGCGAGAGCCTTGACGAGGAAGTCGTTGACGGAAAGCTTGTACTTGGCGTCGGCAGCCGAGTTCAAGGCCTGGCGGAGCTTCATGAGCTTGCTGACCGAGATGGACGAGGCGACAAAGTAGTGGGGGTTCTCGTTCATGGACTGGGTCAGGCGAGCGGCAATGGTCTTGCGCATGGACGAGGCAGGGACATCCTCGTAAGAAGCGACACCAGCGGGAGCGGCGGCGGCAGTGGCAGCGGGCTTGAACTTCTCAATGTCCTCCTTGGTGATGCGGCCACCGGGGCCAGAGCCCTTCACCTGGCTAATTGCAACACCCTTCTCGAGAGCGAGCTTCTGGGCAGCGGGGCTGAGCTTAGGCTGGCGCTCGAGAGCGGTCTGNAGGCGCTCACCAGTGGACTCGGACTCCTGTGCCTGGGGAGCGGGGGATGACTGAGCGGGAGCGGGAGCAGTGTTGGAAGAGTTGGATGGGGGCTCTGAAGCATTTGCGGCCTCCTGTCCACTGCCCTCCTTGGCCTGCTTCTCACCACCAGCATCCTCGACGGTGAAAGAGTCGAAGGCTGAGACATCGGTACCCTCCTCGGCCATGACAGCGATGGGCNNTGTGACAAAGTCAGTAAAGCGTGTTGGGCGCTCTGCAAGGAGCTATTGTGGTCTTACGTTTCCGACAGCAACATCCTTTGCGCCTGAGTCCTTGAGGACCTTCACCAAAACACCCTCCTCTTGGAACTCGAAGTCCATCTGAGCCTTGTCGGTCTCGATCTCGACGAGGACATCACCGGGAGCCAGGGCATCACCGGCCTTCTTCTGCCAAGTACCAATGTTGCCGGCGGTCATGGTGGGCGACAGGGCGGGCATGCTGATGATGGTGTGAGGGGGGAAANNGCTGCATTGGCAAGCGGTCAGCATTTCGGATTGTAGCAGAGGAGAGAGATGCATACACTTGGAGGCATAGTATCTGCTGAGAGCACCGAAGACGGCGGGAGTTGCGACAGACTCTCTGGCTCTCAGTGACTGCAGACACAATCTTCCCGATGCGCGGGCAAGCAGAGCTGCGGCCGACATTGTGTGTGATGTGTGGGTGGAGGGTGATTGGGAGAAGAGAAGGGAGAGGTTAGAGGACCAGGATCTCTGCCACCGAGCACAACGAACGTCGAGATGTAAGAGGAGCGAGGAGGTGGTGTTTGTGAGAGCTCTCAACAATCGAAAGGCCGGCCGACTCGTCGGACATTTTCCCATCAAGCTTGGCAGCCGATTCAAGGGTCAGATATCCTATCCGTGCCGATTCCCTACCCTACCCGACACCGAACATCAAACGTCGTATACTACTAACGCACCCATACTACAACGGATCCCATATCCTAGACTGCAAGTTGTTTCGGCATCTCACCTCAGTCTTCACAAGAACAAACGTGGCCAAGGACATGCCTTCGTGAGAGCGACCGAGAGAGATTGTGCCTTCGGAAGTATGAGCCGGAACCGCCAGCACGCCAGAAATGATAAGCATGCCCGGGCGGCGCATAAATCTGCAGCAGCTCAACGAACGCAAAATTTCACATTCTCGTGTGCCCGATGGCACAGAATATCTTAGACATCTATGGCTATCGAGTAGAGTTAGAAGACTTGAGTGTCTACTGACACGTTCTTTGTTGATCCTCGAGAACATGGCCTATTCATAGTGTATCGGCTTGGCGCCATCTGCCTTCGAAGGGCCGAGCGTTGTAACCCCATAGTGTATTATTACTGTACATTGAGAGCTGTCCATTTGGTCCTACAAGTTGCTTCGCGGCACCCGACGACTATACATTTCGACTGAAGTAGCCAGTCACATGTCGCATTGCTGCATACCAATCTAGAAAAGCAGGCATGGCAGACACCGAGGCTCCTGCTCCTCAAAACATGGAGCCTGATGTCGCTCTCGACAAGCAACCACACGGCCCGCCGCAACCCGACATGGACTCCAGCCAGGAACTGCACGATGTACCCTTAGATACCGCGCCAGATGCTGAAACTCCTCCTGTTTTGACATATGAACCCTCGGATCCTGTACAGCACCAACATGGTGCAGACATTGAGACATCGCATCCGGATACGCTACCCACACCTGAACCTCCGCTCCTGTCAGAGCAATCCGACCAACCTACCGTACCTACCATCACCACCCCTCTGCCAGAGTCTACATCGACACCACAATCCGAAGATGCTCCCCAGACTGCCGCCGATCCTCGTCTCATCCAGCCTACTCGCCAGCGCACCGACTCGCAGTCCACTACTGCTACCTCTCGCTCGACAACTCGTTCGTCCATGGTCTTCGTCGTTAGTGCTTTAGAAAAGATCGCTGCTTCCAAGGATGCTCGTAAAGAAAAGCCCCTGGCAGATGCTACCCAGCGTGCCTTGTCAACAATCAAGAGCCAGGGAGATCCGACCCAGACAGATCCTGAGATTCTGTTCGCGCCCCTACAACTGGCTAGCCGAGCAAATACCGTCGCAATTGTCACTACCGCTCTGGACTGCATCGGCAAACTTATCAGTTACTCCTACTTTTCAGTTCCTACAGACCCAAATCATGAGAACCAGCAGCCTCTGCCACTCATCGAGCGCGCCATTGATACCATATGCGACTGCTTCCAGGGTGAGACCACCCCTGCTGAGGTCCAGATGCAAATCCTCAAATCTTTGTTGGCTGCCATTCTCAACGACAAGATTGTGGTCCACGGTGCAGGCCTACTCAAGAGTGTTCGTCAAACATACAACATCTTCCTGCTGTCCAAGAATAGCTCCAACCAACAAATTGCTCAAGGAACCTTGACACAAATGGTTGGAACCGTTTTTGAGAGAGTAAAGACACGGATTGCTGGACGTGCCGCCAGGGCTGAATCCTCCAAATCCCCCCTTACCAACGATGCCGCCGAAACAGCCGAGTCGCCCTCAGATGCGGCAGGAAATGGATTACCACGAGCTTCCACTGACTTGCAAGAAGAGGAAGAAGAGGAACAAGAGGATGTTGACACGACCAGAATGACTCTGCAGACATTCGAGACCAAGAAGAGTTTCGACGATGCTCGGATAGGCGATAATGCTCCTACTATGGTCACTCGCCTGAAGAAGTCACGAATGCCTGCCCGTACCTCTTCTGGCAATGACGGCGTTCCTGCCATCACAGTACAGCCAGATGGTTCTGACATTACCGAAGAGGATGAGGAAGACGAAATCTTCATCAAGGACGCCTTCCTAGTATTCCGTGCAATGTGCAAGCTCAGTACAAAAACGCTTCGTGTCGAGGAGACTGTTGATCTGAGATCTCAGGGCATGCGCTCCAAGCTGCTATCCCTCCACATCATTCAGACTACGATCTTCAATCACTATGCCATCTTCACTTCACCCTTTGCGACTATTCGCAGTAGCTCTAATAACGATCCCACAAGCTTCACACAGGCGATCAAACAATACCTCTGTCTTAGTTTGAGTCGCAATGGAGCTAGCTCTGTGAACAAAGTGTTTGAGATCAGTTGCGAGATCTTTTGGCTGATGATCCGCTATTTGCGAGTTACACTCAAGAGGGAAATCGAGGTTTTCCTCAAAGAGATCTATCTCGCAATTTTGGACAAGAGGACGGCGCCTGCATTCCAGAAGCAATGCATTATCACGGTCTTGACCAGACTGGCTTCAGATCCAAGAGCACTGGTTGAGCTCTATCTCAATTATGATTGCGACCGAGCAGCACTCGACAACTTCTACCAACGTATCATCGAACACCTTTCCAGAATTGCCAGTTCGCCTGTGCAGGTCACGGCGCAGCAGGAACTGTTGTACATTGAGCAGCAATCTAAGCATGGCAATGCCATGTCCGAGTGGTTGGCCCAAAGTACTCTACCTCCATCATTATCCACCTCCACAATCTCTAGTGTTCCGGACGCCAATCAAGACATACCTGCAGAATACGTCATGAAGCAGCATTCTCTGGAGTGTCTGGTGGAGACGTTGCGTTCTATGGTCAACTGGTCTCAGCAAGGTCTCAACGATGTCGCTGCATCACTGTCGAATCCTGAATCGCGCAATTCAATAGAAGACTTCAGAGAATCGATTGACGCTCGTGAAAATGGTATCGCCCAATCACCTATCGTACCGAGCGTGGAGGCTTCTGCGAATGCGGTGGCTGGCACTCNNCCCCTTGCTGAAGACGACCCTGCTGAGCTTGAACGAGTCAAACAACACAAGACCGCGCTTAACAATGCCATTAAACAGTTCAATTTCAAGCCTAAGAAGGGTATCAAGGTTCTGGTGGCAGGTGGCTTCATTCCCTCGGATTCGCCTCAAGATATCGCTCGGTTCCTCATTACCAATGATAGGTTAGACAAGAAAGCACTAGGTGAATTCCTTGGAGAAGGTGAACCAGAAAATATTGCTATCATGCATGCTTTCGTGGACAGTATGAACTTCACAAAGACACGATTCGTCGATGCTCTTCGCAACTTCTTGCAGAGTTTCCGTCTACCAGGAGAGGCCCAGAAGATCGATCGTTTGATGCTGAAGTTCGCCGAAAGATACACCGGAGGCAATCCTAATGCGTTTGCGAACGCTGATACTGCCTATGTGCTAGCCTATTCGGTTGTTATGCTCAACACCGATCAGCACAGTGCACAGGTCAAGGTTCGCATGACTCCAGAAGATTTCATCAAGAACAATCGTGGCATCAATGATGGTCAGAGTCTGCCAGATGACTACCTCAAGTCTATCTTCGAAGAGATCGCCCAGAATGAAATCGTTCTGGATACGGAGCGTGAGAATGCTGCTAATCTAGGCATGTTGCCGCAAGGCACTGGTAGCTTAGCTGCAAACATCGGTCAAGCGGTCGCCAATTTTGGGCGTGATTTACAGAGAGAGGCGTATGCTCAAGCTTCGGATCAAATGGCCACCAAAACGGAACAGCTCTTCAAGAATCTCATGAAAGCTCAGCGTCGTGGGGCTGCTAGGTCATCTTCGGTCAGATTCATTCCTGCATCATCGTTCAAACACGTCGGCCCGATGTTTGAGGTGACCTGGATGTCTTTCTTGACTGCACTTTCTGGCGGAACTCAAGAAACAAACAACATTGAGAGAATCAAGCTCTGTATGGAAGGCCAAAAACTGGCTATCCGCATTTGCTGTTTGTTTGATCTTACAGATCCCCGACAGGCTTTTATTGCTTCACTCACCCGATTCACAAACCTTTACAACATAGGGGAGATGAAGGCCAAGAACATCGAAGCTCTCAAAGCCGTTCTCGATGTCGCACAAAACGAAGGCAACCTGCTCAAGGACTCATGGCGAGACGTTCTTACATGCATAAGTCAACTCGACAGGTTCCAGCTCATCTCCACTGGTGTGAGCGAAGGTGACGTTCCGGATATGTTGAGAACACACTCTTCTATGAGCACCCCCAACCGCAAATCTCTTGGTGTTCCTCCTCGTCACCGCAACAGAAACTCTGTCAGTGGCGTAGTTTACCAGCCCGATATCGCCGAGGAGAGCAGATCCGCCGATATGGTTCGCAGCGTCGATCGTATCTTCACTAACACCGCCAACTTGTCTGGAGATGCCATCGTGCACTTTGTCACGGCCCTCACCCAAGTCAGCTGGCAAGAGATCCAGTCGTCTGGCAACAGCGAGTCTCCCAGAACTTACAGTCTGCAGAAGCTTGTTGAGATCAGTGGCTACAATATGACCCGTGTGCGTTTCGAATGGACAAGCATTTGGCAAGTACTAGGTGAACACTTCATCCAAGTCGGCTGCCATAACAACACGAACGTTGTTTACTTTGCTCTTAACTCATTGAGACAATTGTCTATGCGTTTCATGGAGATCGAGGAATTGCCTGGTTTCAAATTCCAGAAAGATTTCTTGAAGCCATTCGAACACATTCTGAGCAATGCTACACAAGTGCCTGTCAAAGATATGGTCTTGCGCTGTCTGATTCAGATGATTCAAGCTAGAGGTGACAACATTCGCTCCGGATGGAAGACTATGTTCGGTGTTTTCACTGTTGCGGCTCGTGAGCCTTACGGTATGTGTTTAACATTTGACGCAACTACTTTTTCTAACTGTTCTCAGNAATCGATTGTTAATCTCGCCTACGACAATGTCACACAGGTCTACAACGATCGCTTCGCTGTGGTTATCACCCAGGGTGCATTCGCTGACCTTATCGTCTGCTTGACTGAGTTCTCTAAGAATCACAAGTTCCAGAAGAAGTCCCTGCAAGCCATTGAGATGCTCAAGTCTTCCGTCTCCAAGATGCTTCGTACACCCGAGTGTCCACTTAGTGTCAAAGCCAGCACCGTCAAAGATGCTCCTACAGCAGAGGGTATGCCCAAACAACCTACCAGACAGACTCAAGAAGAGCAGTTCTGGTTCCCTGTTCTTNTTGCCTTCCATGATGTGTTGATGACAGGAGATGATCTCGAAGTCCGATCTAGGTATGCTCACTTTTCTTTATCGCTACTGTGCGAAAGCTAACAGTCTAGGGCGCTCAATTACTTGTTCGAGACATTAACACGATATGGTGGTGACTTCCCTCGCGAATTCTGGGACACTCTGTGGCGCCAACTTTTGTACCCTATCTTCATGGTCCTCAAATCAAAGTCAGAGATGTCAAAGGCTCTTAATCATGAGGAGCTTTCGGTATGGCTATCGACAACCATGATTCAAGCGCTCCGCAACATGATCAGTCTTTTCACACATTTCTTTGATTCTCTCGAGTATATGCTTGATAGATTCCTGGACCTTCTGGCACTTTGCATTTGCCAAGAGAACGACACCTTGGCCAGAATTGGCAGCAACTGCTTGCAACAACTGATTCTTCAAAATGTTCACAAGTTCACCCCCGAACATTGGGAANAGGTTGTTGGCGCGTTCGTCGACTTGTTTGCACGAACTGAAGCGACAGCTCTCTTCTCCGCAGCAACTTCGTCCTCATACAGGAAAGACTCAAGTGCCTCAAACGGCTCCAAGGCTGCTCCAGCATCGATGGACGGCCTCTCAATGACTGAAACCCCTTCTGCAGATCCAGCATCTATACCATCAGAGAATCCTCTAAACCTGAACGGTGATGAGCATTCTCCAAGTGAGGGATCACCGAGACGTCCCCAGGGCAACACCACGGCTACTATGCAGTCCGACCGAAGCTTATCTCCTTCAAAACAGGCTCAAATTGGCGATGGCAATGAGCTTGAATCGTTCAACAACACATCACAAACACCCAACGCGCCGGTTGTTGTCACTGCAGCACGCCGCCGCTTCTTCAACCAGATCATTACCAAGTGTGTCTTGCAATTGCTGATGATTGATACCGTCAGCGAGCTGTTTTCCAACGATTCTGTCTATGCTGCCATCCCTTCTCATCTGTTACTGCGCTTGATGGCACTGCTCAAGAAGTCTTACCACTTCGCCAAACGCTTCAACGAGGATCGCGAGTTGCGTACGAAGTTATTCAGAGAAGGCTTCATGCGTCAGCCTCCGAATCTGCTCAAGCAGGAGTCTGGATCGGCGTCCGTTTACGTTAGTATTCTTCTGCGTATGTTCTCTGATGAAGGAGAGGAGCGGAAAGCATCACGCACCGAGACGGAGCAGGCACTCATTCCTTTGTGTGCCGACATTGTGAGCTCTTATGTTGAGCTTGATGAGGATACACAACAGCGCAACATCATGACTTGGCGGCNNCCGTTGTGGTTGATGTGCTTGAAGGCTACACAGCCTTCCACACCGACGATTTCGAACGTCACGCCACCACTTTCACACCGCTTGCCGTCGGCCCTCATGAATCGTGATATGGGTCCCGAGCTCCAGCGAGCGGTGCAAGGACTTTGGGCTCGCGTCACCGAGATCAAATTTGGTGTGAAGACGTTTGCTCATACTGGCAAGACGTCGGGACTGACTAGCCCCACTAGACCATCGATGTTCAGCGGGCGTCGCTCGAGTAGGGGAAGTCATTAGACGTAGGAATGTCGTTTGATCAGCTTTGGGACTTGTAGGATATGTATACAGGCGTTGCGGAGTGAATGGCGCCGTCCTGTTGTGATACACCTTGCTTGATGACAGGTAATTAGAAGAAGAACCAAAAGTAAACTTGTATATCAAGAAGTTCTGCATGTCAGGTCATTCTGCGACCAGAGATTGATAAATACTGGAACAACGACTATCGCTTGTCGAGACCGCAATACCTATTATGTTCAGAACACCGACGCTGGTCTGGAGTCTTTCCAAACTACATCAACTTTCGTCATTAAACCTTGTAGCTATAGGACACGGAGGATTTATTGACCGCCGCAGATGACCTCCTGGCGTCTGTATCGACAAATCAGAAGCATTGCCTCCCGTATACTAAAGGCTGTAACTTCCACCGTACTCCGACTATAGCTAAGGGCAGAATTTAGACTATAAAAAGGCACAATTGTTCTACGAGAGTAGAGGCGTGTCCACAGAGAGTCGGCATCTTATTGCCTCTCAGTGGACACTACCTTATTCCCCATTACTATTGTGTATTGCTATAGATATGCGCGTTACATTTTTACTTTAGTAAATGGGAAGGCAATGCAAGGTGAATCAAAGCCTGAACCGGGCCTGAACCGGCTTTCAGGGCCGGTCGATACATCATCCTTGACCAGGTATATGACTGCAGCTCTGCGCCGTCGATGAACACAATCATCACTTACAAGTCACAGATTGCAATCATCGTTGCTCGCCAAAAAATCACCAAAAAATAAAATTGCTTAATGCTGTAACATTTCAGTATCATGATGCAGCAGCCAAGCGCAACCCTGGCTTCGACTACTACCCAGGCACATCAAACTCACGATGACACAACAAACCATTCGAATGTCGATGCCGAGAAGACAGTTGGTACAGTGCTTTCTGGTGCGGATTATGAGCCTCCCTTCTCGATCTTTACTCTTACCGAAAAGAAACTCATCGTCTTAACCATATCTTTTATTGGTCTGGTATCCCCATTATCAGCGAGCATATACTTCCCAGCTATCAACACACTGGCAAAAGACCTTCATGTCTCAACATCAGACATCAATCTGACCGTAACTACTTACCTGGTAAGTCGTTCAACTTCCATTGCCAAAGTCCCTGACATTAACACTTTACTCCAGATCTTTCAGGCCATTGGTCCGACCCTCTTTGGCAATCTGTCTGACGTTCATGGAAGAAGGCCAGCTTACATCAGCTGTCTTACAATCTCGATCGCGGCCAACGTCGCATTGGCCTGCCAAAGATCATACCCTGCCCTCCTGGTCCTCCGTTGTGTTCAAAGCTCTGGCTCTGCGGCTACAGTTGCTTTAGCTCAAGCTGTCGTTGCTGACGTTTCGACAAGAGCGGAAAGAGGTAAGTGGATTGCTTATGCAAGCATAGCGATGATGATGGGTCCTGCTCTAGGTCCTCTAGTCGGCGGACTGCTGGATGCCTATCTTGGCTGGCCATCTATCTTTTGGTTTTTGGCCATATTTTCTGGAGCTATGTTGATGGCAACCCTGTGTTTTCTCCCCGAAACTTCCCGGGCTGTTGTTGGAAACGGATCTATTCCGCCACAGAAATGGAACAGAACGCTGTGGTCATGCTTAAGAAAGAAGGATATCACTGAGCAGACCAACACATTACAGCGCTCGACTAAGAGGCCAAGCCCGATCCAGTCTTTGCTCGTCTTACTCAAGAAAGAAGACGGCCTTATTCTGCTCTACGGAGCCTTGTTGTACGCTGGCTTCTACATTGTTCTTATCACCCTGACCGACCAACTCTCGCAGCGCTATGGCCTGAACACTGTTCAAATCGGTCTCTGCTACCTACCCTTTGGTGTCGGATGCATGGCCTCGCGCTTTTCTGTTGGTATACTTCTAGACCGAAACTACAAACGGCTAGCACGTCAGCTCGACCCGTCTGGCGAATCTGATCCCAACGCCAAAGAATCTGACGCCTTTCCCATTGAGAAGGCTCGTCTACAGATCGGCATTCCAGCGATTCTTGCCTCGGCTATTATTACCATAACCTACGGCTGGGTCCTGTATTACAAAACCTCGTTGGCAGGACCACTGGTCATGTTGTTCTTCGTCGGCAATTTCACCACTGGAGCATTCAATGTGTTTAGCACCTTGATTATCGATATTAACTTGCACCAGCCAGGTACAGCAGCTGCAGCAAACAATCTGGCCAGATGTGGTATGGGGGCCGCTTTTACGGCCTTTGCACAACCTTTGGTGAATGCCATCGGAATTGGATGGGCGAGCGTTGCAGTTTCTTTTCTATGGATTTTGGCAGCACCTTGTCTGTTTGCAGTCGTGACATGGGGACCCAAGTGGCGTGCTGCAGAGAAACTGAAGCTAGAGCAAAGAGAGGTTCGGAAATGAGGAACGCTAAGATAATTGCGAACATGTCCAGTCGGATCGGTTTAGTGAAGACACTAAAGGCATAAGTAAAACTGAGAAAATTGATGGAACGTGTTGGTGTAGAACGAAGACTACAACTCAACCATAGATAGAGACTAGCAGGCATCAAATCCGTCATGTCAGACCAAACTGTCTTTCCTAAAGCAAGCCTATTCTATATTTGTATATTGCTCGTTCCCATAGTATCTAGACCTGGAAAGTTCAAGAGATCTAGCGGTAGAGAGAGATCACTCCCCATGAAGTAATCGAAATCGAACAAGGATGTATCTCCAAAGTCCATTGTTCTTGATTGTTGCTCGGTTTCAGCTGCTAGGTCAGACGGAGCGCCCTGTCTTAATGGATCTGTTGGATCTTCCGAGAATCAGTATTTGCAAAGTCAAGAAAGGCAATGTGTCAAGAGACTCACCTAAGGCGCTGTTTTTCAAGGTCTGCATCTGTTTTCTGAAGTGCAAATCATTCTCTTCTCTCCACCACAGGATAGCGTCTATGACATGGCTACCATTGAGTCGACTTCTTGCTCTTAGCTCTAACATATCGCTTCCGTCAGCTTTCTTGAAAGCTCTCGGACTGTTCCAGAGTTGTGTTAGACACATGTATGATTTAGAATACATGTCGTTCTGGTCCATTGAATAGCCCTTCATAAGGCCGATAGCAGCAAAGAGCGACGATCTTGCTTCTTCGCTCTCNCCNGAGAGAAAAGGGATGGATGACTTCAGAATGCGGAGGAGTGCGTAGGAGGCAAAGAGAAGAGCGTTCACGATGTAGATTGGTATCGACAGAGGATCCGTGACACTATGCGTGAGCCTCTCCACCTTGGCAATGACCTGGCGAGCAACTTGCTGAATCTTGTCGAAGCTTGAAGCGTAGGATGTTTTATCTTGTTTCAGGAAGTAAAAACTTCGGATGTAAAGCTGAGCGATGTTACATTCGAGTCGATCAGAGTCNTAGCAAACGTGAGTACATGTGACATACTGTATCGTGGTAGTCTCATCAGACGATGTATCTGTACGGTACTCACCATCTGCAGCAGTTCGTTCTAGATCCTTGATCTGGGTATCGTACGTCCTGATAATAATTGACAGAGCGCGATTTTGATCTGGCGTCAAGTGGCGCATTCCGTTCTCTGACACTGCGGACCCGCATTGTACACATAGATCCTGCCATTTGAGACGCAGCTTGAGAGCCGAGGAAAGTGTTTGCTGTCGACTTTGGCTCTGACTCATCTCAGGAGAGATATCGAAGGAAGTGCGCGCTAAGAAACCTTTGCACATGCAGGTCCTGAGTGTATCAGCAACATGCAAAATCGCGGCAAATATGCAAAACTACCTTTGGTAAGTCATTACAATATACGTCCACAGCTCTGTTCGACGAGCTATGCTTATGTCTGGAAGATTAGGCGTCATGGCCCGGAAGAACTCATCAGAGCCAGCAGGCACATGTAGGCCACTTCTTTGCGCCAGATGCAGCAAGAGACCAGCGAATACATAGTTGATTTCTTGCTGATTGGTTTCAACAGCGTCGGGAAGAGGCCATGTGACCAGTAAGAGAAACGCCTGGACACGCTGTAAGGGTGACCTAGTGGTGATCACAGATTGTAATGTTAGATTGGTAATACCTTTTGCGAGTGCGCTCAGAAGAGTTGGGTTTTTCGAGTAGCTTCTGCAAGCAGTTCCAATAATGATCCAGAACAGTATAGGCGATTGGTTATAACACGCATTGGGTGATGGCCTGGACTCAAGAATAGGCAGGTACGGTGAGTACTCTTGGAAGTACAATTCGAAAATACCATTGATGTCATTGGCTGAGACGGTCACTCCATCCAGAGTTCGAGGGGTTGTCGTTAGTGCTTGACCATCTAAGGCTGCAGTTCTAGTTGCATGAGTAGGAGTGGCAAGAGATACCGAGCCAAGACTTTGAGAAGGGGATGCTGCACTGGACACACGGTAGTATCTCGCTGTCGAAGCTTCAGGATGAGAAGGTATATTAGAGTGGTCGTGGCGCTCTGTTTGCACGGGCTCGGGCCCGTCGATGACACTTGATCGATAGTCTTCTGTCATAAGCCGCTTGCGTAAGGTGTCTGTCTCTTTCTCGAGCTCTGATAATCTTNNCTGTATGGGCATAAGCGAGGGAAGGAGTATCATGCGCGTGATCACATACTGGCGTTTGTTCTCCCTCTTGAAGGGATCGGAAATCGTGCATTGCAACCCAATTCGTTTACATCGGGAACAAGCATCGCTTGGGTTCAGATATGCATCGCATTTAGCCTGTGATAGTTGCTACCGGTAAGTCCAGGCTCCATCATCTATGTATTTTCACTTGACATCGATAGACCAAACCTTTTGTTGCCTACACTCCGTGCATGCCTTCTTCTTGTTCATGGTCACTAGTGGCGGACTTTACAGCCATCAGCAAATGGGCCTTTTGCAGAGTCTTCACACATACTATGTTGATGACTCCTATATAAGTCTAGATTAACTTGACAATGAAATGCTCCAGGCGACCCACGTTGAGCACTGGCGGTAATGGTAACTCGGTGGTTGGCCAACAATGTGCTCCGTCTGATTCCTCCCCCGAACACGACCGAGGCTAGGATGCAAGCGTAGCGAAGTCTGGATCTGGCAGAGAGAAGTTAATCTTCACAAAACACTGTGGGTCACCATGTCTTGTTGCAGGCAGGCGCGAGTGGACGTTCTCCTGGCTGAAACACACTTCCGGGAACGGCCCGTCAGTGCCAAGGCTTGGCACCCATCGCTGCTTCTCCACCAGTTCCTCCCTGAGATCTCTCTTCGCGCTGTCTTGCAACAGATCCATCAATCGCGGTATGATCAACCATGTTATGCGCCCTGAGCGTGACTACTTAATCTCGCTTCGAAAGTCATGGCATACTGTACTGGCTATGCATTCAACAATCGGATGCATCCCTTTGTCGGCAAAATGTCCTTCGTTGTTGCTCATGTGGCCTGCCTGCAGAGAACCAACCGTGAAAGGCAACAATATTCAAGGCCATACATCCATTGGCTTCAATACACTCTCCAGACTAGATGTACCTATGACCACGTGTGTTTAGATCGTGTGGGCTGCTATTGTTGAAGCTTTTACACGAAACAGACCACTCTACCGCTTCGCTTACAGTATAACCGAACCATCCTGAAACAGAACATCCCAGTATAATACCCCCACTCAGCTGTGGGTACTAGGAGCAAGTCAAGTATATAAGTTTCCTTCTCGCAAGTTTCTAGTTCCTCTCAAGCATTCAAGCCTCATTCATTCATTCTCTTCCACTCTGGTCGCTGGTCGTCCTTCAATCACCAACCGAAAAGTCACTCTTTACAACACCTTTCGTTCTTCAAGAAGATCCCAGCGGTATACACACCAAATCAATCAAGATGCGTTCCTTCGCTACTATCATGGCTGCCGCCGCTCTGGCCCAGACCGCAATGGCCCACTACCGCTTCACTTCGCTCATTGTTGGCGACGAGGTTACCAACGAGTACGAGTTCGTTCGCAAGAACAGCAACATGAACTCTCCCGTCACCGATGTCACCTCCAAGGACCTCGTTTGCAACGCTGGTGGCCTCGACACCGGTGCTGACACAAAGACCAAGAAGGTTGCCCCTGGTGACACTCTTGGTTTCGCTCTCGACACTCCCATCCAGCACCCTGGTCCTCTCAACGTCTACATGTCCAAGGCTGATGGCGACGCTTCTGAGTACGACGGTTCCGGCGACTGGTTCAAGATCTACACCATGGGTGCCAACAAGGCCGGCGACAACGGTCTTACCTTCAAGGCTGACCACCTCGAGAAGGTCACTTTCGACCTCNCCAAGGACACTCCTGCCGGACAATACCTCCTCCGTGTCGAGCACATCGGTCTTCACAGTGCCTCTTCCTTCGGTGGTGCCCAGTTCTACATCTCTTGCGCCCAGATCGAGGTTTCTGGCAGCTCTACCGCTAAGCCTTCCCCCACTGTCAAGATCCCTGGTGTCTACACTGGTCACGAAGACAGCATTGAGCTGAGCATCTACTACCCCGTCCCTGAGAACTACCAGCCCCCTGGCCCTGCCGTCTGGCCCAGCAACGGCGCATCTGACTCCGCACCCGCCTCTTCTGCCGCTGCCGCCTCTTCTGCTGCTCCCGCATCTAGCTCCAGCGCTTCGGCCAAGGTCCCTGCCACCACCGCTTCGTCTGCCAGCCCTACCACCATGGCCACCGTCGTCAAGTCTAGCACCGCTGCTTCCACTGCCACTGGCTCTGTTGGCGGCTCCACTAGCGGCACCTCCAAGAGATACCAGCAGTGCGGCGGCAAAGGTTTCACTGGAGCCAGTGAGTGCGAGTCTGGCACCACCTGCAAGGTCCAAAACGACTACTACTCTCAATGCCTCTAATTTTAGGCGGCTGAGCACGTACGTCTGGATAAAACAACATACTGGAGTGATGTAGTTGAAGTTCTCTTCTTGGATGTATCCGTTAGGGTCATCTTCTTTTCATAGCCTTATTTTCTGAATGAGATTCGAGCTTTGAATCCTTACTTTTGTCTGTCTCCTGTGCCTACTCTTGTGATCTCATCCTTCTAGACGCCGTTGTGTTCAAGCTGTAGATGACCTTCATTGGCAGCTCTCTATAGCAACGCTCTGCTCCTCAAAATCATCATACATTCTAATATATCCTCTAGAGGTAAATACATTGGTGCGTTCTCTAGTTTACATGACTCTTTGCATGTATTGGTAGTGCCAAAGCAAGGTTATACTAAGTAATGCCTCCTTATATAGCCTTTTGCTGTTGGTCACACATGTACTGTAGTGTCGTGAGTCGATTAAGTATTTTTGCTTAGATAGCACTACACAAATGGCAATTGCCTAGTCGAGATCCCTCTCTTGGATGTACTGTCATGTGATTCTTACTCTCAGTGTGTTTTACTTGATTCAAATCAAAATCAAGCTTTGCATACTCAAATCTATCTTTCGTGCTTGCTGACGACTGTAACGTTTTCATGATTCTAGCCGTAGTTGAATACCAAAGCTATTTGGGCAGTCCTATACTCGGTAATAGTGTCTATAGCAATAGTCATATCAGTCTGCACCACATAGACCAGCATCTAATATGTGAAAGTAAACGTAGAATATGCACAGGGCGAGAAATGATATTAGTGAACCGGGCTTGAAGAGTATCATATCCTCTGGACCTCAGAGTGAGAAGCATGAAGGGCGCTACCTCTTCAGCTGAGCAAACCGCGCTGCCAGCTCGTTCACATCTGGAATCTTGCCTCCAGGACCCGCTGTGTCGGGCTTGTTTGCCTTTACCATCTTGGCTGAAGGTTTGAGGTCTGGCGGTCCAGGCAACTTGATACGTGGTGAGACATTGTCCGTTGATGGACTCGGCGGCACCACGCTGACAGGACTTTTCATACCCAGGTTGCGCGGAGGAGTCGCGGCGACCAAAGGTTCTGTGCCGTCTGGTGCTTCTAGAGCCGGCACCTTCTGTCCACCACTAGGATTGTCATCGTCGTCGTCAATATCGTCCTGGTTGGCGGCCGCTTCTCTAGCTGCTAGACGACCTTTGGGCCAATCGATGTTGTAGGCATCTGCGATGGTTGACAGATACGCCTCGACCAACTCGGGTTTCGGCGGCTCGACCCTCAAGCGATCTACCACGCGCTTCGCAACCTTGTCATCTTTGTTCTCGGTCGCATCCAGCACGAACTCCTTGCCGAACTTCTCAGCCAACAGGGCTCTCACGTTGTGCAACTCCTTGACGTCTGTCCTTGGTGCAGCAAAGATGATACTTTTCACCGCCTCTTCAAGTCCTGCATCACACTCTTTCGCTTCCAAGAGACCGGCACGGGCGAGCAGCAGTTCGCAGTATAGTTCGAGGATCTCGAGTAGTTCGATGGTCAGGTCGCTGCGGATAATGTTCTCGACACGGATGCGGGCGGATTCGTCTTTGCCTTGCTCGAGCAGTTGGGCCATGGCGCGACGTTGCTGTTTGGCGATTGCCGTGTCCTTTTGTTGTACCATGCGTAGGCGCGAGATGGACAGCTTGAGCTGCACCTTGAGCTTGTTCTGTTTAGGCACACGTGCATTGTCAGTTCTTGTACTCTGCTTGCGATCTCGATGATATGCTGGTTTCATACAACTAGGGTTGATGCTGGCGCCATGACTAGGGTGTTGATCAATCTGAGTGAGTACCTATCTGGCTAGTTGCGATGTGCGAGGACTTGAGCTGGTATGCAGCGACCTGCGAGGACCACAGCCCTGACGTCTGCGGGGTTCGGCCAGACCCTACCCTCGCCATCACCTTCCTTTCTCGGCAAGATTATACATACAAGTAGGGATATCAATCACACTTGTTTAGAGATCACGCAGGCTGACCATTGTCTGTGTAAAATGCTGTCGTTTGTAAACCTGTAGAAACATTCAACCTCAATGTAATTGCTGCCCACATACGCCTTTTGGTGTTCCCGCTCGCTAATGGGACTTGTCCAATAACTGCCCTCATATAATCGTCCAAATGCTTTACCAATGATATGAAGAAGATAATCAACTCTGATCTCGAGGGTTCTGTTTCCCTCGTCCAGGACATCCGTTTTTGCATGTCGCATATCGTCGCTACACGGGTTATGGCCTGGGTGAATGAGCCATGGGTACTGCTGGCACTGGGGTGCTGCACCTGAATCGCTACGCGCTGTTTCGTATAGACTTTTCGAGCTAATACACTGATTAGTATCATTCCTCACCATTCTGGAACTGTGTCCTCTCACCTCTTCTTACTGCGCAAACTTGACATGCTCTTCTGTCTCACCATACTGAACATCTTGCGTAGCCCTCTCTTCTCGCGTGGTGATTCAAGACTGGGACTTGCTGTGGGTGCTGTTGTGACCGTAGGAGTGCGCTGCACATATGTTAGTCCATACTCTGGCAGCCCTATCTTGTGAGACTCCAAGCATACTTCGCTGCTATTTCTGCTCTGCCTGCTACGCCTTGAACTCGTGGTATCGCTGTAGTTGGTATAGGTAGTCTCGGGTGTGGCTCCTCCATTCTGCACGCCTTCTTTGGACGAAATCGTTCGAGTATGCGCCGCTCCCCGTACAGGTAGCTCGACCGGCACTGTTGTGTTTGTCGCATAGGCTTCTTCCTCCTCTTCCTCTTGAGGACCCACGTCGGTGCGATCTTCATCCCCACAGACGACCACAAACCAACCGACCTTCTCGTCTGGCGCAAGCTTGTCTCTCAACTCCATGAGTGCGTTCCATTGCTCATCACCTAGTCCTTTTCCCCTGACTTCATCTACTTCAATGCCCAGTTTGACTTGTTCGCAAATATCGGCGATGTATGCGTAAGGCTGCGAACAGGCAGCTGGAGACTCATCGGTAGGATCGAATTGTTCTACAAAGCGGAGGTTGGGCAGGTTCGCTATGGTCTGCGGCCATAACTCGGTAAAGTTTTCGAGCAACGTCTCGGTCGTCGCAGGCGCGATGAGCCATTCTGCGGCTGCATCGTCGAGATTTTGAAGAATGATATGGATGCGAATAAGCGGCCGCGGCCAGCGAAAACCATGGATCAGATATGTTGGCATGACGTGCGATTGACGTGTCAGGGAATGCTCGAGCTGTGACCAGACACGGCTGACGGGATACTGGAGTGAGATGATATATGAAGTTGACTTAGATGTCGGAGATGGTGGGGGAGAGGAAGCACGAGTGATTGAAATGTCAGGTAAGTCGAGAGCGAGTCTCGTCAGTCTTGTGCTCTTGGTTTTGGTAGAGTTGGGAAAAAGTATGTGAGATTGCAGTGTCCGAGCCCCTGCAATTAAGCGGATCGCTCGTAGGATGGGCCCCAGCGAAATGCCTTGAGCAGACTCAGAGTGAGAGAAATGGCTGGGACGGCCGCTGGAAGGAAGGTGTGACGCGGGTGGTTGAATCCTCCTTCTCTGTCGCCGTTGGCAATTGGCGCGTCAAGTCGTTGATGTTGGCTCGTGAGCTGAGGAGTCCGCGATTCTCTAGGATCGGCACGAAAGAGGGAAGGACAGCAGAGGTCAGTGGACACAAGAACGGCAAAGGACAGTAAAGAGCGGGAGACAAAGCACAGCGCAGTCGCACGAAGTAACCTAGAGCCGCGAAAGAAGAGACAAATACGATCACTCATGCAGGCTCGTTTGGTTTTAGCAGAGGTTCGCTGGAATTGCGTTCGCGTTCGCGAGTCATCACAGCCTTTTCGAGCCCGCGCCGAACCGTTGTGCTCCACTTCCCAAGCGGAAGGCCACCCGCTCGTCTCTCATTCGTTGCTCGTCGTCTGCTGCCGTTTTACCTCACACGTCAAGCCACCAAGAAGCAGCGTGTTTCCTTTTGACACAACGGGCACTGAAACAGACAGCATTGTGACTTGCGTAAATCTCACGACCCTGCAAACCACAACGCCATGGTCCTCCATCTGCTGGGCAAAAGTCTTGGAATGTCTACAACAAAGATAACATCGACCGTGTGCGTCGAGATGAAGCTGCCGCTCAAGCCAGAGAGGAAGAGGCAGACCGCCGAATGGATCAGGAGGACGCTGCTCGACGCATAGCTATTCTGCGAAATGAAGTCCCACCGCCAGTAACAGCGCCATCGTCTCCACCAGAGAAAAGTGCTGGTGCTCGCCCGTCTCGATATGGTGATGACGGTCGAGATCGCAAACGAAGACGTTTGAGGGGCGAGGATGATACCGACAGAGACATGCGTATTGCCAGAGAAGACGCCGCTATTGGTGCTGCTGCTCGTGAAAAGCTGAACCAAAACAAAGTGGAAAAGCATGAGGACAACATGTCTTTGACAGACCATTCTGGTCATATTCAGCTTTTCGCAGCACCCAACGAACGTGATCTGCTAGCCAACTCTCGCAATGCCGAAGCAGAAGCTGAAAAGGCGAGGAAGGCACGTGAGTATGAAGATCAGTATACCATGCGATTTTCCAATGCGGCAGGGTACAAACAGTCGGCATCTTCGGCCCCTTGGTATGTTTCATCGAGCAAACAAGATCCCGAGATTCAGGAATCGAGTAAGGACGTCTGGGGAAACGAGGACCCAAGGCGTAGGGACAGGGAGCAAACAAGGTTGACTTCCAATGATCCAATGGCATTCATGCGCAAAGCACAGACACAGCTCAGGCAAGCTGAGACAGACAAAGAGAAGTGGAAGGTACAGAAGGAACGAGAACTGAGAGAGTTGCACCAAGCTGAGAAAGAAGGAAGACGGAGGAGGAGAGAGCTTCGACACAAACGTGATCATAGGGAGAGACGTCAGAGCGTGGGTAGTCTTGAGGGTTTCTCACTGGACAACCATGAGAAAGAAGAAACAGGCGACCCTCGCGACAAGAGGGACTCGAACAGGCGGTATAGAAGCCGAAGTCGAGATAGGGATCACAGACACTCTTCGCACCGAGCACATCGTCGGCGATCAAGGAGTCCTATCAGGAGATCTAAGGTATAAACTTAATGCATAATAAAAGATGTCTTCAGCAGACCTCGTACTATGTATGATCCCCTGGGGCCCTAGGCTTGCTACCTACGATTCGGGCCACTCCCACTCGAGGCTTCAGCGTCTGAATCATGGTCGTAAGAAGGCACTACTGTAGGATTAGCCTCGGCCACATGCTCCGCTGTGCTGACCCTGTCCCTTCTCTTAGATCCGTCTTCGTCATCTGCACCATCACTGCTTCCCATGTGCTCTTCGTCGTCCTCGGTAGGCACTGCCTGGAAACCTTCTCTATCTGATTCCTTGCCCTTGATGAAGCTGTCGATGATGTAGTATTGGATGCCGTTCATAGCCACAGGGAAGATGAACATCACAAAGGCGATTTGAAGGGCTTCGTTGCCTTCGGTCCAGCGAAGAGCCCAGTCGCCGACCCATGGCAACCATGGTAACATTGCGAAGAGCAAGAAGACAAAGAGTTTCATGCCAAACAGTCCGATGAAGTAGATGATAGATTGCTTGAGCCACCAAGTGGCGCGCGGGGGNTTGCCATAATAACCAGACTTGATCGACTCTGGCGGGTTTGCGATAGGAGTTTTTGCGAAGAGACTGTGCAAGACACGTAACAATAGGACAAGGACAGGAATACCAATAGTAGTNCTGTGGGTGTGTCAGCATGATTTTCTCCAGGTCGATTAGAGTTTACTCACATCGATAGCCAGGTTCAAAAGATAAAACGAACAAGGATTTGGCATCTTGCCATCATCAGCAGTAACAGCAGAGACACTTGCAGAGATGTCCTCGGGTTTCGTGCTGGCGAGATCGAATTTGCCTGACGAGAACATTGACATGCCCAGGTTGGCAAGATGCAGCAAAAAGGTACCAGCGACCTGTTTGGAAACATCGAAAAACCAGATCTTGACTGGTCGTCTCGGGCGTTCTCTCCAACGCTTGAAGACAAGGGAGAGCAGAGCAAGGGCACCTAGTGCGGCCTGGACAATCAGGGCAAAAGGACCCAGAAGCTTACATTCGCCATCTTGTGCTTGCATCATGCCCTTTGGTCCCTTCTCAGACCCACTGCCGGACGGTGGAGGTGGAGGGAAATCGTCTTGCGGAATCGGAGGTGGTGGTAGCAGTTCCTCAGGCCTGAGCGCAGGCTCCTCGGTCTCGGTGGGTACGCCAGCTATCGAAATGAGCTCTGTATCGAAGACTNNTTGAAACATGTCAGTACATGTACAACAGTTAGTGATGGTGCGACTGAACATACTCAAGGTGCTGTCTGGAGGGATGACCCCAAGATCACTATGTCCATAGGCTAGTTCTGGAGGAATGACCAGCTTCCGTTGTTCACCAGGACACGCGCCTAATAGTCCCTCATCCCATCCTTTTATCACCTCGCCGACACCAAGCTTGAAACTGAGAGGCTCGCCACGACTGTACGATTCATCGAACTTGGTACCATCGGACTGCAACTTGCCCCGGTAATGTACACTAATCTCGTCGCCAGATTTAGTAGGACGTTTGCAGGTCTTGGGGTTGGCCGTCACGATTTCGAGCCCGCTGGCGGTGATCTTGGTGGTGGGGCCGCTCAAGTGTCCATCAGCAGCGAGGACGGCGGGTACTGAGAGGACAGCAGCCGAAGCGATGAGAAACGGAAGTTTAGTGGAGCGCATCGTGTCGTAGAGGTTGCCGCCGGTCACACGGCCGTGTCGCAAGTCGTTGATGATGAAGCGACACTGGTGGAGGCTTCGAGAGTGCACGTCTTTGTTCGAATGCCGTCTGTTTCTGGTTTCCTATGCGATCTTGCCAAAAGTACAGTCTGCAAGTTAAAGGAACCTTACTTGCAAGTTGCACGAGAAGGTCTAGCGGACGTCGCAGCCTCGCAGGTCGAGTGTCTCAACCTTTCGGCAGAGCGAGCGCCTCCTGCTAAACTCGCCGCCGGCAAAACGACATCATGATGGATCCCCGCAAAACTCAATGGCGGGACCCACTTGCCCTTTGCTCTGTGCGAAACAGCCACGACAAACCATTTTCGATGCACAATATGGTATTAAATTTGTCCACTCCTGCAATTCTCCGGCCATGCCTCCCAACTTGACCTTCCTGGAGAGGTTCGAGACCATATCAAAAGTGCAAGTTACCCGTCACTCGAGGCATCCTCCGTGGTCAAAGCTCGGACTGCTGACCAAGCCTCAGANNCAAGCAGCCTTCGCGCTGACTGACACTGGCCTCTCTCCTAGCGATGCTCAGCACCAGGCCACGAATCTAGAGCAAACTGCCTACGACGATTCGGGAAATTTGGTAATCCAATATACCATGTTTCTCCTTGATAACTCTTGTGTTTCTGATAGCTTTCATGTCTAGCAAGATTACCAATCTCGTATTGATGCTGTAATTCGTGACTTGTCGTTGAGATCGAGCATACATGAGCCACCCGCAGAACCCTCCCAAGACCCTCTCGTGTTACCGTCTGGCGGTGTGACCATCGGTCATTATACAAATGCAGTACACCACAACGACGGCTTGTTCTCTGAAGTCTACAAAGCTGTAGCACAGTTTGGGTGTGGCATCACCCCGAGAACACATGGTTATCAGGAGCACCCTTGTCTAGTTGCTCTAAAAGTCACCAATCCATCTGCCACAGAGCCACCCCACGATTCTGTGCGCGAGGTACGCCTACTAGAACGAGCTCGCCATCAGTTCGTTGTAGAGCTCGTTGAGAGCTTCCAACAAACTGGCGGTCGACTGGTGTTGGTATTCCCCTTTATGCCCTATACCCTTGATGATCAACTCAGAAAGGGTAAGCTGCAATCACAAGACCAGCAAATCATTCTCTCGCAGTTGATGCAGGGTCTTGAGTACATCCACAGTTGTGGGATTATCCATCGAGATATCAAGCCCTCCAATATTCTACTCAGGAGTCCATCTGGTCCAGCCTACATCTCTGACTTTGGCATCGCATGGTCGGCTGATGATCCTTCATCTGAACCCGCCAAGGAGAAGATCATGGACGTTGGTACAACAAGCTACCGTCCTCCAGAGCTCATGTTTGGCAATCGTTGGTACGATGCGAGTTTGGATATGTGGGCAACTGGTTGTGTGGTTGCTCAAGTGGTGAGCTTGGGCTATCAAACATTATTTGATTCTGGTGATCTTGGGAGCGATCTTGCCTTGATCAAGAGCATTTTCTCTACGCTTGGAACTCCAGATACCGAGAGCTGGCCTGTAAGTCCGGAACAAGAACCGAGTAGATTGGGTTAGGACCTAACACCTTTCAGGNAAGCCAGAAGCCTACCTGACTGGGGCAAGATGGCCTTTGTGCAATACCCCGCGAAAGATTGGAAGAGCATTCTACCCGATGCTTCAGCGGATGCTGTCAAGCTTGTGCAAAAATTGATCGTGTACCAAAGCGGTCACCGGATGAAAGCTGACCAAGTAAGCCTTATCATCTATGATTTGCAATCTTCTACTAACTTTTGACAGTGGCGGACGCAAAGCTTTNTTGACGAGGGACCTAATTAGCTCTGGAATCGGCTTTCACAGCCGAGACATAATCTCTCGAAGCTTGTATCTGTATCAACATGTATACTATCAAGCAGATCTGGAATGAATGCCGATCTTATGTAGTCGTCAATGAAAATGCCATGCTTGGAACTTCTTTAAAAGACAGCCATACTCTGTATGCGTCCCACATAGCAGAGGAGCGAACAGTCATTCCTTGAATCTTCGGTGCATCCGTGCGAATTATGGGTAGCCTGATGCCATCATGCCTGAGCTTCGTTCGCCATATCGAAGGTTTCGTCCTGAGAAGACACATCCGTGTATGGAGAGCTGTATGGCTCAGCAGTTGATGCTTATGATGAATACATAAAAGCAAGCGCGCAGATGAAGGTACACTTTGGCAGCTGAAGCAATCTTACTCGATGATGGTATATCACATGAAACATCAAAGCTTTATGTTCGGGCCGCCTGACAACACGCCAAGCACCCCGCAAATTCTTGTTTATGGAAAGTCAATCTCACAACGGTAAACACATAGGCGGTGACGACTTGTTTGCAATCCCTGTTACTGTATTCTTCTGTTGTCTTTTCTTCTTGCCCTCTTCTCTTTCAAGTTAGCATTCTACCACGTAGTTCTTGTGTTTGATCGGCGTTGTAGTCCACTCCCCGCCTGCAACAACCCCGCCCGCATCACAGATATACCAGATAGAGCAGCGCACAAGACACGAGCAGCAGCATGGCGTTCTTGTTTGGCCGTAGCAAAGCCAGGTCTAACCAAGAGTTGACCCGGTCAACCAAAGATTTGATACTGAAGCTAATTGCTGAGGACAAGCCTTCACAAAAGGTATCCGACCACTACGACCCGAGCGAGCTGGACTGGGCTGACGACGGTCAGATCGAGGAAGAAGTGGCACGGAATCTTGGCCAAATGAAGGTCATCCTCCAAGGCACGCCCGGTACGCGACAGTTCAGCTTATCAACATGCAAGCACATGGCCACTAACATCTGCGCATAGNAACTCGATGTCAGCCCCGATCAGGTATTCCAGCTAGTAAACCTCCTCGTTACCGAAGATCTTCTACGAGTCCTCGCCGAGAACATTCACCGTCTACCCTTCGAGTCGCGCAAAGACACACAAACTATCATTTCCAATGTTCTGCGATACAAGCAACCGGGCGAAGACCAACCAATTGCCCTGCAATACATCATCACGACCCGTCCTGAGGTCATTATCACGCTTTGCAATGGCTACGATCGTCGCGAGAGCGCTATGCCCTGTGGAGGAATACTGAAAGAGGCCTTGAAACATGATGCCGTCACGGCTCTGATCCTCTACGACGAACCAAGCCTACACGGTCAACCTCTGGATCTTGGCAGTATTGATACAGATCAACCTGCCTCGGGTCAAGGTGTGTTCTGGAAATTCTTTGACTGGATCGACAAGAGTTTGTTCGAGGTCAGCACCGATGCCTTTGATACTTTCCGCGTAAGTCGCTCCCATCCTACTCCAGAATCAGATTCTAACGAAGGACAGCAAATCCTTGTAAGGCACAAGCCTATGGTCGCAAAGTATATTGATACCAATTTCGACCTCTTCTTTGACAGGTACAACAATATCCTCATCAAATCAGAGAGTTACGTCACCAAGCGCCAGTCGATCAAGTTACTTGGTGAGGTTCTGTTGGACCGCCAGTTCTACGAGATCATGACCCGCTACGTCGAGTCTGGCGATAACCTCAAGCTCATAATGTGGCAGCTCAAGGACGATCGCAAGATGGTGCAGTATGAGGCTTTCCATGTTTTCAAAATCTTCGCTGCGAACCCTAACAAATCACCCGACGTCAAGCGATTATTGACTATGAATCGTCAACGTCTATTGGACTTCCTGCCCAACTTCCTAGCCGACCGTACAGAAGATGACCAGTTCTCGGATGAGAAGAGTTATCTCATCAAGCAGATCAAATTGTTGCCTCAGACACCTCAGCAACCGAGAACTGCAAGCCAGGAATCATCGAAATAGAGTCTCGATGCTGCACAGGCATCATATCACGATCGTGACTTGGCAAGGAGCATTGCGAACATGGATTTTAGACGCAAGCTCGAAGCTGCCACCGCTAAGAGACTGGCACGAAGAGAACTTGCCAAATAGCGGGTTCCCGCGAAGGGCTGTACATCAGTTTGCTTGAAGGCATGAGAATGGCCAATGAGAGACAGACGGTGTCAACCATCAATTTAATGGACTTGCAGAGGGCAGTTGTTGCGTAGATTGATGGTTTGCATTGCTATGGCGTAGGTAGAGATGGCATTTTGGACTTGTGAGAGGTCGACTTGGTGTTTCCTTTTTGTTTTTCGCTGCTCGTGTCCTGAAGCGACTTGGTCTGTTTTGGAGTTGGAGGTTTTGTTGCATGACGAGAAGTCTCATGAATTGTTCGTCCAGTCTGTAAATTTCTTCGAGGTCAATAGCCTCATCAGTATACACAAAGAGGTGCTCATTGCCGCAGCATTTCGTTTTCAAGACCTCTTGCTATAGATCTTGGCTCAAGCATTGGCGTCTTGATATCCATCAGTCAGTACAACCGACGATTGACCTTTGGTGCCCGTGTCAAAACTGGATATATCTCGGTTGCCTGACACGCAAAGTTTGATGAGGCTCTTTGCGACAAACCGGATTATCGATCTTGAGATCGGCCCGATCGGCCACTAGGGTCGTATGTGGTAATCAAAGTGCAGATCATGGACGTCGACCGCTGGGCAATCCGCCGACACCCAGTACCTTATACAAAAACATAGAAACATATTCATCAGTCAACAAGATACAGGGACATGTCTGCTTGTTTCTAGTGAGTGATGCCATCCGGAAGTGCTGGGCAAGCCTCTTCCTTGGGTCGCCATTTCAACCCTCGCAATGTATGTTCTGAGCTACTTCCTCCGCCACGCGCTTACTGCTAACAATTCCGAAGCNTCAGAAATGCAACCTTCATTCTACCACGGACTGGTGAGCGTGTCAGACGCGCCTTTTCGTTACCAACTCTAGGTAACGATGCTCGTGAAGAAGCTGGTTCGCCGGAGGAACGTGAGGGTCTGCTGGGTACAGATCCGGACGTGTCATCCTCACCAGCTCCTGAGCATAACGCGATACTAGCGCCCNTTTACCGCTGGCGGGATCACTCTGTCGATTTCTGGGCTTCAAATCTAGGACAGGGTATCTTCAAATGCTCCATAGCTTATCTACTTGGATCCCTGGCTACTTTTCTTCCCTTTGTCTCAGCCTTTCTCGGAAAGCAAGACGGCAAACATGTTGTTGCAACCGTCACGGTGTACTTTCACCCTTCGAGGACAGTTGGCAGCATGATTGAAGCCGTGGGTATCGCTTTGATTGCTTTTGTATATGCAGCATTCGTGTCCTTCACGAGTATGGCTATCAGTATGGCCCTTGGCAAGCGCGATCTTCTGGTTCTTGGACATGCAATCGTTCTAGTGATTTTCTGTGCTGGCGGCCTAGGCTTTATAGGTTGGCTCAAGCAGCGACTTGGACATCCGACCGTAAATGTAGGGTGCAGTCTTGCTTCTCTGGCGATCATCACAATCCTGACTAAGGAAGGATCTATTCAAGCTGCGAAATTCTCCGAGGAGAAGGTTTTCCAGGTCCTACGCATGGTCTTGCTAGGCATGGCGGCGACCACGGCAGTGAATTTACTCATCAAACCTCGATATGCCAAGAGAGAGTTGCACCGCGACTTTGTCAAGATGACCGACTCTTTGGGGGATAAACTCATTGCTATCACAAGAGCATTCCTGACTGGTTCGGAGACCGAGATGCAGGGCGCTGCATATAAGCAAGTTGACAAGGACTGCAAAGCCAACGAGACCTCGATGAAGAAGAACCTGATTGAAGCCAAATACGAGCATTATATGCTAGGTAGAGAAAAGGAATATCACATCGAGGTCAAGCTTGTCAAATGTATGCAAGGGCTTTCTCAGAGTATCGGTGGTCTTTACAGTGCGGCTGACACACAGTTTGCGCTTATCAAATCCTCACCACACATTAATCGATCAGACTCGGCAATCGCATCCATGTCGTCGTCTTTCTTGGGCGCTTCGCAGCTTGTGAGCGAACCAGGTGAAATCCGTGGATCTTTGACACCAATTAGTGAGACTCCCGAGTCGCCAGCCGATCAGCCAATTCCGTTCAGTCCTTTAGCTCCGAGCTTCACCAGCAATACCACAGACAAGAGGCCTTCGTTATCGCCTTCTGATATGTTCACGACATTTATAACACAGCTAGGGCCACCGATGAAATCATTGGCCTTTACCCTCAAATCAATCTTGGACGAACTGCCATTTCAACCCGGAACCGATCATGTAATCGCGGTCAATGTTAACTTCAGAACAAGTCTTGCCCAGGCCATCGAGCTTTTCAACAACGCCAGGAAAGAAGCATTGTCTACACTGTACCGCAACAAGGAGATCACGAATGCCAAGTCTTTGGAGCGTGTAGCTGATCTGGAAGAAGTTGCCGCGAGCTGCGGACACTATGCCGCAGCAATGGTAGATTTTGCCGAGGACACGCTCAAATATCTGGAAATCCTGGAAGAGCTAAAGGAAGAACTGGAACAGGAAGACAGAACTCGGTCCTGGAATTGGCTGGCCTTCTGGAGGAGACATAGAACCGATAAAATTGCGAATGAAGAAGCAGGTCTGTCACTGGTGCATGAACCTGATGAGGCTCTGACTACAGACATCGTCAAGCCTATCCTCCAAGCGGATACGTTTGCTAGAGCAGGACTCAGTACTAAGGAACCGTTCACTCACCGACTTTATCGTATGTTCAAGTTCATCCGAAGGGACGATATTCGGTTTGCGATAAAGGTCGGCGTGGGTGCAGCGCTCTTCGCTTTGCCCTCTTTCATGGTGTGGTCTCGACCGTTCTACCAACACTGGCGTGGAGAGTGGGGTCTTGTTTCCTACATGGTCGTATGCTCAATGACGATCGGAGCTTCCAACACGACTGGCATTGAGCGTTTTATAGGCACAGCTATGGGTGCTGTACTCGCGATTGTGGCCTGGATCGTCTCAGACGATAGCCCTTGGCTTCTCGGTTTCTTTGGCTGGCTGATGTCGCTCGCCTGTTTCTACATCATCCTGGTGCAGGGTAAAGGACCCATGGGTCGCTTCATCCTTCTTACATATAACCTGTCCGCCCTGTACGCATACTCGCTGTCGGTGAAGGACAATGATGACGATGACGATGAAGGCGGCATTAACCCTGAAATTTGGGGGATCGTGCTCCATCGTTTCGTGGCAGTCATCGCTGGCTGTATATGGGGCATCGTTGTGACACGAGTGATCTGGCCCATCTCAGCTCGCCGCAAGCTCAAANATGGTATCTGCTTGCTTTGGCTACGCATGTCGTTGATTTGGCGCAGAGACCCACTAGCCATGTTTCTCCTCGGTGAGCCCGCGTCGGCATACATGGACATACGTGAAGAATCTGAACTGCAAACCTTCCTGGCGCAACTGGAAGCGCTTCGCAAAGCCGCAGCCTCCGAGTTTGAATTCCGAGCACCATTCCCTGACAAAGTGTTTGGCAAGATTCTGGAAAGGACAAAACGCATGCTGGACAATTTCCACTCTATGAACATGGTGATAGCCAAGGACCTTAAAGCCACTCCTGGGGAAGCAGAAGTGCTTAGATATACTCGAGCAGAGCGATTTGCTCTGTCGGCGAGAATCAGCCATTTGTTTTCTGTGTTGGCTAGTTCAGTCAAGCTGGAATACCCGCTCAACGATGTGTTGCCCAATATTGATCACACGAGAGACAGACTTTTGGCGAAGATCTTCGAGTTTAGAAGGGATAGTGACAAAGCTTCGCTTGCCACCGAGGAGGACTATGAGCTGTTGTATGCTTATGGTAAGTCTGACCAATATATTCCACCCGACAATTCGTACTAACATGGACAAACAGCACTCGTAACTGGCTCGCTAGCGCAGGAAATTATGGGCATCAGTGCAGACTTGGAGGAGTTGTTTGGAAAGTTGAACGAAGACAACCTGGCACTGTACTAGTCTGCATACAACATTTCTAGAATCAGTGACATTATCCTTGTCTGATATGAACGATGGCATTGGACGTTTGTAAAGATTTCATTCAGAATGTACAATAAAGCGTGCTGCAAGAGTAAGGCAATGAGTGCCTATGACTGGTGGTAGTCTCTGGCAAAGATGTCGTCAAATACGTTCTTGTCGACAGCGTACTCGCGAACGTAGTCCTTCTCCATGTCGTGCATGCGCTTTCCAATGAGGACCAGACTGTGCAGAGGCTTGCCCAAGTCAGCCTGGGCGAGCTGCTCCAATGTACCAGCAACGATTTCCTGGTCATCGGCGCCAACGCGGGCGACACCAACGGCTAGGCTGTCCTTTGAGCAAATGCCCTCGCCCTTCTCCTCCTCGGTCTCGATCATCTGTTGGGCGCATTGGGCGACGGTCATGAAGCGTGGTGGCTCGTAGACGATTCTGCCTCTGGCCAGAGCTTCGAGGTTGGGCTCCTTGACCTTGATGTCAAGCAACACCAGAGTATGCAGACCCAGGGCGACATTCTCCTTGACGCGGTCATAGTAACTGGCGGGTTTCCAATTGTCTGTGAAGAAGACCATGGAGACGGTCTGGCCGAAGTTGTAGAGCGAGAGACCGGTGCATCCGACACCAGTCAAGATGGAGGCATTGGGCAAGATGCGAGTGGGAATGTTCTTCTCGCGAGCGCGAATGATGAAGTCGGTGTGTGTGGTAGCTGAGAAGGGATCGCCAACGACCAANAAGGCAATGTCGACCTTGTCGGCGCCCTCGAGGATCTCGTCTGACGAGGATTCGACCATCTCACGGTCGGCGATGATTACTTCACGGCCATAGTAAGCTTCCTACTGCGATTGCGATTAGTCGAGGTTGGGCATGCAGTGTGGAAGGTTGCGTACCAGGACTTCCTTCTCGACGAGCAGGACGGCGGTATAGGCTTCGAGATAGACACGCTCGGCGCGCTTGATGATCTCGAGACCCTTGACCGACACGTCCTTTTCATCTGCCAGACCCAGTCCAATTGCGTAGAACATGATTGCTGTGTGTATGCGAGAAGAAAGACTGACATGGAATTTCTAAAAAGACGCTCAGATCAGACCCTCTCCCCACACTCCTCGGCCTGTCCATGATCCATCATTCATCGTCCACCGATTGTCTCCTGTCCTTGTCCATCAACAATACTCATCTTCACCATGCGACATTGACGCCCTGCTATATCCATTCCGCTCCATACGTGATCACGATCAGCATCTTATCCGCCTTGCAGCCAAATATTCAATATCCCCACGCGACACGCTGATCAACATTCACCATGGCCGACAAGGACAAGGCGGCCAAATATCGCACAGAGATCCAGCAGATGATGTTCGTCTCTGGAGAGACTGCCGAAGCTGCTCCTGAAACTACCACCCTTATCGAAGCCATCGTCCAGCAGCAAGTCGTTGAAATGCTCACTCGCGCAACCGCCCTGGCCGCTCGCCGCGGTGTCCGCAGCATCAACACCGACGACCTCATCTTCCTCATCCGTCACGACCGCGCAAAGGTTTCACGCCTACGTACCTTTCTTAGTTGGAAAGACGTCCGCAAATCTGCAAAGGACTCGGATGACAAGGGCGGCGGTGGTGCTGGAGGAGGTGACGACTTTGCTGATATCGACGTCGGTCCCGCCAACGATCCTACCTTGGCTACCGCTGGCCCCTCAGTCGGTACCAGGAACTCAANNAAGACCAAAAAGGCAAAAGTAGGTCTTCCATGGGATGTCTCGAGTTTCTATCAAGAGCAAGTTCCCGAACGAGAGGATGAGGAAGACGAAGATGAAGAAGAGATGACAACCGCCACAATGACTCGCCTCAAGAACGCCGACGATCGCACAAAGAACATGACACCTGAAGAATATCTGCATTGGAGTGAATGCCGTCAAGCTTCTTTCACTTTTCGCAAAGGCAAACGCTTCCGCGAATGGGCTGGTTTCGGCGTCGTAACCGACAGCAAGCCAAACGATGATATTGTTGATATCCTAGGCTTTNTGACCTTTGAAATTGTCCAGACTCTGACAGAAGAAGCTCTGCGCGTCAAAAACGCTGAAGATATACAGCGACGCGAGAGCGGCGGCGATGAGGATCAACAACGACGAAAAAGAATTCGCAGAGAACCTAGCTTGTTCGATCCACCTGAAGAGGCAAGAACCCCTGTCAATACCAAGCACATCACCGAGGCTTTTCGCAGGTTACAGAGACCTGACGCAAAGAGTCGCTACATGAGCCACATTCCTGCTGGTATCAGGAGAACGCCCTTGAAGCTGATTTGATCAGCTATTAAATGCTGTATATCCAGTCCTTCTGTCAATGGAAGCGAAAGCGAGGCCTCGGCCATGTTTTCAACCCTCTGGTAAACAGTCCAGCGTACAAGCGGCTTATCCCACAACTGCAAAGGTCAGCTCGGTCAAAAGCGCCTCAGAGGCTCTTGTATCATGGGTCATCAGAGACATAGATCTGACAGTTGAAGAACCAGAGCGAGATTCGGGTGTCACCCTCTAATCAGGTTCGGCCAGACTCCACTTTCGCCACTCGAATTCATCCGCATTCCGCAAACGTTTGGTACATGCAAGGTGTACATCGATAATGCCATGTGGATGGCTGAGATTCTGATCGAGAGCCACAGCGTTCACCGTAGCATGTATCTCGCTCCTCAAGCGAGCAAAATCAGTCGCCATCCCGCTATTCCAGCCTGCAACACCACACGGTAATGCCGGGCAAGTACAGAGTTGTCGTTATATGGATTGAAACTGTCAACTAGTGATCAATCACGGATCGGAGTGACCGCCGTGTCCATTCGCGCGACTCACGAGTCAATACAGCCCTACAAGTTTACCTCGGATGCCGGGACAAATAGGCACCAGCCTTCTTTCGGGCAAAGTTGCAAGATAAATGGATTCTCAGCTTGCCCGTTGCACTTGTAAGGTCTCTGGGATTTGTGTATTGAGAGACATGAGGCATGCGAAGCCGGGCCGTTGGATAGATTCTCGACGAATCCACCATCCGACGTTGGTTCAACGGCGCAGCTTGCATGACTGACAGCGACTTGTCGTGTACTCGGTCTGCAGTTTGGTCTCGATTGCTCTCCCTTTGTCTGTTCATATATGGGAACAGAGCCGCAAACTTGTGATTACCACCTCTGAGGGCTTGACTCGATCATGCCTTGTCGACTCTGCATTATTCTTCCGACTATTCCAAGGCCATGCAATCACATAACCGCTTCATGAAGGATGCGTTGCCTGGAGGTGGTTTCCTCAAGCACATGATATTCAGAGTCACCATAATGTTTATGGCGTTAACCTCCCTGTGTTTGTTCTTGAGGCTATGGGCAAAATTAAGGATTGGCAAACGGAAACTCGCTGTCGATGACTATTCTATGTTGACGGCGTGGGTACGTGAAACACTCTTTACAATACAACCTGACATCGAATCCTAGGCTGACTTTGCACCGACAGNNTTCTTCTATATGCTTCTCAGCTCTCTAGCTCTGAACATTGCCCTGCTCGAGCATCACAATCCGGTTCTTACATTGGCCGTGGCCGACAAATTCTTACTAGTAAGTGCTAGTAATCGACCGTCCTATGGCTTCATCCACTGATTTGAGATACAGATACTGACGCTCGGCGAGGTGATGTTCATGCTCTCAACCATATTTCTCAAAATATCCCTCATGCTCTTCTATAAGCAATTTCTCTGGAAGGAGTGGCAGCGCCGTGCCATTATCATCGCTGGAGGTTGCTCGATAATCCTTTCCGCAGTCGCCCTCTTCCTTTCGCTGTTCCAGTGCGGTGCTCTCAAGCACATCGCGTATCGACAGATCAATGGCAAATGTTTAGGACGCAACAAATATGTTCCTTTGCTTTATCTCCATGGAGCTACTGGGGCTGTTACTGACTGGGCTTTTGCGCTGTTGCCGGTCTCTGTGCTCATCAAATCATCACTAAAACCGCATATCAAACTCTCGGTCTGTATCCTGCTTACACTGGGTGTAACCGGGAGCGTGGCTGCATGCTTCCGGACCGCGTACGTATATGGTGTGTGGTTTGACCCGGCTNTTTTAGAACAGTCTGCTCACATGAGTTTCTACGACCACTCGGCTCCCGAGATTGTGCTGGCCCTTACGGAGCTTGGTTTTGGAATCTCGGCGGCTAGTCTGGCTTGTTTGCAGCCACTATTCCGACATCTGGTGCACAAAACGCGCCACTGGATTCAAAAGTGCTTCTCGGACGACTCAGAAAATACTACCGGTGCAGCGAGGTCGCATATGGGGCTTTTACCACAATTTGAGCTGCGAGGCAGGAAAGTTGTGGGAGCTGTTTCGAAACAGCCTCGAGCCGAAGCATGTGAGGCACCGTCTCCAGAATTTCCACCACACCCGGCAGTTCGTAGACATGGTATTGCGGATGCGAGTGATGGTCCCAGCAGTGCAAGGGTCATATCTCTGGACTGTCGCAAGTCTTCGCAAAGTGCCTTGCCCACACACGACGGCGCAATTGAATTGGGCAATCGGCAAGAGCAGCGCAAACCCATTCGACAGCGTAAACCGAGCTTGATCGTTGGTGTCTTGCCAACTCTGCCGACTCTTGCGACAGGAACTGGTACCGAGGTAGACGAATTTGATCCTGGTCAATTTGTGGCGGACACACCAATCCAGGCGACATTTCAGATTGACGATGACGACCGGGTTTCAAAAATTGATTCGTAGGCAACGTGTTGCATTGAGAATCCTGCATAAGCATTAGGAGGTGTTTCATCTGTTGGACTAGGACGTATTGCGCGGTATTTTCTGGTTTTTTTTTTTTCCTTAATGATACACATGACTTTATCTATCTCAAAGAATAGAATGATTAGTTTTGAAGAGAATTTTTTCCATCGTTTAACAGGATTTATTGAACAGCCTCGTTACTGACTGATGTGAAAGCAGACGAGTATCGCTCTTATGTATGAGCCACTCTACATCTTAGAAAGGCACAATTGTTTCCGTGAGCAGATGATGGCCAAAGAGAGCTGATAACATGACGCCTCTCAGTGACATACGTAATTGTCAATCGAGTAACAGCGAGAATTGTATGTAGTCAGATGTCCGTGAATCTTAAGCATTACGATAGCGGATCTTGTGCGTCGTTCATGCCGGCTCGAATGCCGGGCATATCGACAAGACGTTGTGAGAAAGTCATGGTAAGATGACAAACTTCTTACCCATTTTCCTCACAACAAATTTCACTACTCAATATAGTCTTCCTCCAATTCATCGCTCAGTTCCTCGTTGTCGTCGTCATCAGATCTGTACTCGTCCTCTATGCCGACGTCGAACCCGTCTTCATCGTCTTCGTCGTCGTGAGCTACCGTGTCTCCATCACTATCAGAATCTGCTTCCAGATCGTTGGCGTCCTCCTCGTCGTCGATGCTTTCGGTTCTTGGTTTNTTCAGCAACCTGTGGAGCAATGGATCGCCAGTCGGAGCACGTTTNTTACTGTAACCGAGTTGTGCCTCAACCTCCTCATCCTCATCTGAATACGCAGGTTCTTCCTCGATCTCTTCATCCTGGTGCGTAGGCGCTCTGTCATCGGCTGTTTCCCTCGGAAGAATAAGGATTCCACGAGCCTCGTGCAATACAGTGATGAAGTTGTCCACCAAACGCCGAATATCAGACGTCACGGATGCACTGCCATCCAGTCGAGCCTGATCAATGGTCGAGATACAGACCGCGTAGTCCTCCTTGATCTTGTTCAATTTAATCTTGGCCAGCTTCTTTTGGTCGACAAGCTTCGTTTCTCTTTTGACAGTTTCCTCCAGTTCGTTGNNGAGTACATCTTTGGCTATACTCGAATCCTCGGCCTCGGCTTTTTGTTCCAAAAGCTCAGTGGAACCTCCTTTGCATTTACCTTTGCAAAGTTCCCAGTCCCTAGAGCATTTGNNGAAACAAAAGACTTGTGTACATGGCTTGGTGCAGACAATGCGATTGCATCCTTCTTTCATGCGTCCAGCGACGTTACTGCAACGAGGGCATATGGCGGCGCCTTCATGTCTCAGAGCATTCATCACTGCCTTGAGGTCTTCCTTTGACGTACTGTTGCATTGGCCTTCGTGAGCTGGCTTCTCGCATTCGGTACAGATACTTTTGTGGCAGGTCGGACAGTGCAACACTCTTTCCTCCATGTGGTCCGAGTGGAGTGAATCGGCAGCAATGGGGACATTTTATTTGACTCCATTGCTGCTGCTTCTCGAACCATTTGGTGAACACATGAGGAGGCATGTGTTTTCTGGCTTTCGAAAGTATGCTTTTGAGATATATCGAAGTGGGCGGATCGTGTGAGCACCAGTTCTGTGGCCAGTCGGACTTTTGGGGTGCAGAAGTTATGCCATTGGTTATACACTCGTAACACCAGTTGCATTGGTTGCAGTCCCAGCTCAATACAGAGTGGCTGGGTAAGCTGGAGAGACAAATGTCGCAGTCTTTCGTCTCCTCGGTGTCCATTATAACGATGTAGCGTGTGTTGGTGTGGTTTGTCGTATCCTAGTTCAAAGGCGATCGATAAGTATAAAAGTATGTGAATTAAGACAAGTGTATGTAAGGAACGCTTGATGCTGAAGGATGTTCACTACGCTGCCTGGAAGAGTGCTTTTGTTGATGCTACGTCTTTAAGCATAGTCCTCTTGAACGATCGCGTCCCAATACGTTGAAGCCTATGAAGATTCCACGGGCTGGATTCGGGCACAAAGAATTGCCAACCCGAAGAATGTCGAAAGCGTTTCCGGTCTGGAAATCTGAACAGACAAAGGCTGTGGCTTGCATCGAGAATCAAGGCTTTGCTAACAAAGAACTTGCATTTCTGCTTTGAGCGACTCGACGCCACCTTTAACACAGCTCATCTCAACAGCGGGTTCTATTCCGCAGGCAGAAGACAAGAGTAGAGTAAATTCGAAAAGTAGAGCGTGATAGTGGTAGAATAGTAATGTACTTCTTATGACATTCAAATCTTATATCTCTGCAGCCCTGGTCGTCTTGTCGTAGAATTCCAACGTACATGCAGCTAGGAAACAAGGAATCTCTTTCCTTCCATCAACCCAGAACTCAATGAGTGGACGGATCTCATTGGCGAATACACTTTCAGTGCCACCAGACACCTTCATAGTGCCTTTCTCGCCGTCGAACAGGATAGAGTTTTCCTCTTCCTCGCCGTCCTTGTTGATGGATGTCGGGTACAAGATAGAAGTGACCTTGAAACGACCGTTCGGTTGGAAGACTACTTTCCAGCCCAGTGTTGCCGCGACCGCCTCTGCAAATTCGAGGAACTTGGCGGACCAGATTGATTTCAGACGCTGTTGTTTCTTGTCGCGTTGAGCAATTGTGGCTTCGAGTTCGCTCATCTGAAGGCGGGCGTGGTCGAGTGTGCTGATGGGTACGACCTTTGTCGCGCCATTTGGTCGTCCTTCTAGTTGTTCGAGCAGTGCTGCGTTTTCTTCTTTCAACGTACGGAGGGTTGCCATTTTGATGCCTTCGGCTTGGGCGGTTGGGTTGTCACGTAGCTCAAGGACCCTCGTCCGAGAGGACTCACGCAGAGCATTCAGTTGGCTCGTCTTGGCCTTGAGCTCAGTCTCAAGAGTCGAGTAGCGGGTTTGTAGTGCTGTTAGATCGTCTTGGAGAGTGCGTGTCTTACGACGCAGCTCGCCTAGTCGCTCGTCTGACTCTTCTGGATGTGGGCGCTTCAGACCTTGCGTTGGCGCAGCAACAGGAGCGCTGCTTTCGAGTTGCTTCATCTCTGCCGACAGTGTCTCTACTTCGGAGCGGTACTGATCGATGAGTGTCTCGAGCTCTTGTGTACGCTTGTTCTCCTCCTGGTTTGACGTCTCTGGTGAAAACTCGTTCTCTTCTGCTTCGAACGCCTTCATCTGTGCTCGGAGATACTCGACCTCCTTGATTGCCAGATTCTTTTGGCGTTCGAGGCGTGCACGAGCTTTNGCGTCTGCAGGAGCTGCAGTGGATGATGAAGTGCCAGCTTCCTTCAGCTTCTCGATCTCGGCGCGAAGTTGAACCTTCTCGTCCTCGAGCGTCTTGATATTAGCATCACGCACGGTGAGTTCAGGCTGTAAAGCTCCCAGCTTTTCCATCAGAGTAACCCTCTCCAAGCGCTCGTTGACGAATGCCTTGGCCATGTCCTCTGGTGATTCAAATGCCATCTCTTCCCTTCCGGCAGCCTCGCTCTCCAAGTAACTCGTCCAGCTACGCTTCTCGTCCTCGAGAATCTGCTTCTGCAATTGTGCCTCGGCCAGTTCTTTGCGCAAGTCTTCCATGGCGCGGACTTTCTGTTCCAGAGCACGCTTCTCTTCTTGGACGATTTCGACACTTTTGTGGGTTTTGCGCAATTGCTTGAGCTCGGAAGATTGGTCGCGGTTGGTGGATTCCAGTCTCTTGATGTGTGAAACTTGCTCAGAAAGCTCGCGTTTGATGATGCCCAGGGTGTCCGAGTCACCCGTCTGGGCCTTGAGTCGGAGAATCTCATTTTCAAGGTTGCCATTTTCTGATTCGCGCTGCGACAAACGCTGTTGTGTGGACTGCAGTGTCGAGACCTTTGACTCGAGATCTCTTTGAGCTTCTTCGAACGAAGCCTGCAGGGCAGCGTGTCTTGCTTCGAGATCGTTTAGACCATGCTGGTGCTCTCGTTCTGATGACGAGAGGCGTGACTCGGCATCTTCAAGGTCTTCTCTTAGGCTCTGGTTGTCGTCCTGTAGGGTCCTGATCTTGCGTTCCAGCTGGATCTTGTCGTTGGTGTGTCGATTCTCAATGTCGCTCAACTCGCGGGTCAGTTGATCGAGCTTTTTGGTGCTTTGTTGTGCGGCCGTCTCTGCAGCCTGAGCTCTCTTGAAGTCCCGTTCTGCGCGCTGCTCAGCATCGCGAATCTCGCTCGCTTGTTGGAGAGCGGTAAGCTCCTTNTCCTGTTTTAACGAGTCGAGTTCATATTGCAGAGTGTTCAGCTGGGCGCGTAGCGATTCATTGGCAATGTCNTGCGCTACACGGTCAGTCTCATAGCTGCGTCTTGTTGGCTGCCAACACGCACCTGAACGCGCGACTGTCGCTGTGGATTGACGAAACGTCTCGCGCAGAGGCTGTCTCGCCGGCGAGCGCTCTTCTCCCGTAAAGAAGTCGAAACTCGGTTGGATTGCGTTCCTTGCCATCACGGCATCTTCGTTCAATGACAGAGGATTCTACAACTGACGGGCCATTCATGTCAATCTCCAACAATCAACAAAGCCGACCTTGTCGGCCCGGCTCACATGCCAATCCTTGACATGTTTCCGTTTGCGCTTCACTTAGGACCCTCATGCCAACCTCAATCACTCTACGCACCCTCATTTCTTGCTTTACTGCTTCCGGACCAAGGTTCCTCCCGCATGTCTTCAGGTGTCATCTTGTGCATCGAGTAGTCGCGAGTGGCCGACATCACCGGTGACCCTGCCCCTGACCTTGTCAGTATCGTCACCCTGCTTTCAGTCGGCAACATCGTCTTTGCTGCCACATTATCTAGTTTCATTATTTTAAACATCTTTTGACCTCGAGATTATTTTACTTGTTGTATATAACGTCGTGCTTAGTGGTAATTGCTTCAGATGCTGCTGACTCGTCGAATGCCAATTTTTCTGGTATATCAACAAATACTTGACGCGAGCATGGACTGACACCCAGTCCCTAAGTGACGATCATAATGTTGATATGGCCTACCTCATATTCCAAGTTTATGAGTAGCCATTTTTGACGTCTACTCGCGGTAATCGGGACTGATCGAATGGACTCAGAATACGTCAATGACAGACATATACACTAGACGGGAGGGGGGACCAAGCACAGTTCGCTATCAAAATAGGAGATCTCCAACAGGGATTGAAACGAAGTTATGCAATAGCAAAGGAATCATGTAGTCGATTAAGCATTCAGAATCTGGGTCTGGAGCTTCTATGGACGATACAGTACATACAGAGGGGTGGAGCAATTGCGGGAAGGAATGTAAGACGATGGACCGTGGCTTCTTTGTGGGCCAGTATCAACCAGTAGATGTCTCGTTGTCGTTCTGAACGCCATCGTAGGTCCAAGGGTATTCGTGATGTGGTTCGGGAAGGCTGAAAGAGGGTATCAGAATCAGAGCTTGTACGGTGTGGACGTGATCAATATTCTGACTTTTCCTGGGCCTTTTCGGCGTATGTCTCAGCCTTGTCGCCGGCGTCGTTGGCCTTCTTCTTGGCCTGCTCTCCGTAAGATGCCGCCTTGTTGTACAGGCTGCCGAACAGCGAGTCGCCTCTCTGCTTGGCTTCCNNCTCACCCTTGGGGCCGAACCAATCAGCAAGAATGTTGACACTGTCAGAGGCGATCTTGAGTTGGGTCGAGATGATGGCCAGGATGCTGGTGCTCAAGCCATTGCCGCGGTTGTTGCGAGCTGCTGTCTTGTTGTACTGATCCTCCCAGGTGTTCATGAAGTATGTGCGGCCCTCATCAGCGACTCTGAATGGGAGGAAAGCATAGTTGACCATCGTGTCCTTGATGGTGACGGTGTCCTCTCTGACAATGGGGAAGCGGGTGTCGACCTGTTCCAGACCCTTGTCCGCCAGACTGTCGGCTTTGGCCACATATGGTGCGGCGTATGAGTAAGGAGTTCTTATGTAGGGCATGACGGGCTTTCCAAGCTTGGTGTATGCGGCGTCAGCGATGTCGAGAGATTTGGCTCCATAGGGATTGTTCATGAAGGTCTCGACGCCATCGTTGACGACAGGGTAAGACTTCAGGTGCTAAGGTCGGTCAGTGAAAGCATCAGAGCCAAGTTCTGGTAGCAAACATACCGAGAAGAATTGGGAGTGAGGCTTGTCACCGTTAGTGACGGGGCTAGACATGTCGCTTTCTGCGTGAGGCATTGGATTGTTGCTGATGATGGATGGTCAGCTGAAGGTTGCTTGCAGTCGAGGAGATGTCAATTCGGTCGGAAGGAAGGATGTACAGAGTACCATAGCGAAGTTGCTGGACGAGTAACAATGAGCAAAAGTGAGACTTACTCTGAGGATGCTATCTTCTAGAACTGTGGATGGTCAATGGCTGGTTTCTGGCGGGCTGGCAGAATACAGGAAAATGTCAAGAGGGATCAAAAACTGAATGAACAGTCAAAGTGAGATGGGTAAGAGGACCTGGCATTTTGGTGGTGTTATCTCGAGCTAATAGCTCAGCTGCAGTGCTCCTGCCTTTCACAAGCAACGATGTCATGTCACTTTCCCCATTTTCCCTGCATTTCAACCACTTCGGTTTCACATGTCACATTTTCACATGTGAATTCAACAACAACATCCACACCACCACTCAATCCACTCAACCGCCATCGTCCTGACATCCCCGCGCTCCGACCAACCAGTTCGATCTCTGGACTACCTGTGTACGGCGCAGCCTGTCGTGGCATGTTTGACAGCTAATCCCCGCCGCCTCGCAAACGTCAGGTACTGCCCTGCACACCGTATGCGCGCTTTTTGCTTCTGCATCCCCGTTTGCGGTCATGTCTTCATTCCTTCAAGATAGCAGTAGCACAAAGCTTCCGATGGCGACATCTGATTCGTCTTCGATCCTTCCTTTGATGCTGGATCAAGTCGCGTATCTGGCTTCGGCACCGTTATTGACTCTCTCGCCAATTCTCAGCAAGCATGTGAACATCAGATGCTGGCAGCTTGCCAACTTTCTCCCACTATTGCATCCATGCAGTATCACAGACCCACTGACTGTAATATCAAATTGACATCTTGTCATATCGTTTACCGCCTACGGGGATGTTGGGATACGAAATCCGTGAGTCAGTCTACATGTAACACGGTCGGGTTTGTACATATCTTGCTGTGCCACTCATTCGTCTATCCAGATATCCAAGCCGTGTCGAATGATTGAAAGAACTGCATCCGCCCGTGAAATGGGCAACACAGCGCTACTTCCAAGGCGACCGAGATGAATTGCTGTAACCTTTCATCATGGCGATGTAAGTCATGACAAAACATATTGTTGCAAGTTGGTTGAGACACCACGCAGCATATGTGCTCGTACCATGCGAGCGCAAGTCTCAAGCCATACAGGCGGCATGCGGGATTGCGGATTTTGTGCCGCATCACTGTCCTGACCATACGGATGTGTCTTTGCATCCTTCAAATAGCGCGCGCACCTATGCATCTGCGCACTCAAGGATCGCAACGAATCGAAGTTTCAACCCAAGCAGTCCGTAAGCCACGCACCGATTTATGCATGCCTCGATACTCTGTACGCGATTGAGGTTTGCTGTCGAAGGCTGACTTGCTTGGGACGAGCAGCCGCACTACATCAGTAATGAGCCAAGTGGCCGTGAGACAGTGCTTCCTTATGCCATGCTGCAATAGCATCTCGTAACTTATGTTGACTGTAGCAAATTCGTTGTAGCATAACGACAACAGCAAGAGCACTCTCGGAGCAACCCTGGTCTCATCTATCTGCTATCAAGATATTGCATCTGCTCATGTTCTGAGAACACAACAGGTGAATGACCAAGTCTACGCAGAGGTCCCTTTGAGCAGGAGACAGTGCAAAGTACCCACTGTTTTGGTTGAGGAAGCACGCAGCAGCGCTTCTATTTGAAGGCGCGTTTGTTCTGGCTTGGCAACAGACGGATCTGGCCGAGAGTTCATTTGGCTGGCAACAACCTCGCCGCCTCAATCTCTGCCTCGCTCATCTCATCATGCCATCTGAATCAGCAATTCTTGTGGTAGTGGTTCAACCTGACCCTTCTAGGGCTACGAATATCAAATGGGGTTGTAAGTTGTCGCTGCCATTGTATATCTCTGCATTGACAGCAAGATTTCGAGTCTTTCTCAATCTTCTTGTTAATGGTTTGCTGCATCTTCAAGGCGAAAATCTCAAGCAACAACAATCTTTGATAGCAGAGAGCCGAATCGACTTCGTACCTAAATGAAACTCCTCTGCCAAACGAGGCTGATAGCGAATTGTAGAACGGATGAATCCAAGCAGGTACGACAAGGCCCACAAAACCACCAGCGGGTCCTTACATGATAGATCTATCGGCGGATGCCATACCAAGCATTTAACGTTGTTAACGTCACTTCATGTGTCTAACGAAGCCGGCACTTGACTCACTATCACGCAAAGTCCATTGGGCACATGCATGTTGCTCTGAACGAAATACAGATCGATGCGTCCGAAATCCGCACATTGACCAAATCGACTCTTTTCCTCATATCGCTGACTGCGTTGTCTTGGGACGTTGCTCAGGATCTAGCCATGAATCATGAAGTGTGTCGCTACTCACTCCGGTACGCCATCATAGCTTCGACGTTGGCGGTTGCGTAACTAGAAAAGCGAGCCTACACAATATTGACCCATTGGACGCTCAGGTCTCGAAACTTCGCCATTGAGCATATAGTACAAGGACCCGCCGCGACGGGGAAGTGGCCATAAGTAGATCTGTCCCGATCCCTGGTATAAGATCTGACTTTGGCACATCTAATCACCTCGACTTCAAGCAGTCCTGGCTGAAAACACTACTCTTGTCAAGAATGGTCGCTCTCAAAAACATCACCAACAACCTGATGGCCGTCAGTGCCATGGTGACAGTCTCTCATGCTGACCAGTCGCCTGAGAAGCGCTACACATCTTCGGCTGCTGGATCTCTGACCAAGGGCGGCTGCTACTACAAAGTTCCTAACGTTGGTCTTTTCACTACTAGGATGAACTATGCCTGGGACAACTACTTTACACTTGTCGCTCAAGGCGTTGGACTCGTCGAAGACTTCGTGTCCTCCCTCTACACCATCAGTGCTGGCAATTCCCCTCTTCCTCGCCGCTTTGATTTGGTTAACATCGGGGTCTCACTCCTTGATCCTTCCATCACTCTGACTGTTCCTGGAGGCCAAAACAAAGGTCCCATCTCTTCTGCCCAGATCACCACCGCCTACGACGACATCCTTTACGGTTCTGTCCGCACTGTCGCCAAGATCTCGAATGTACCCGGGACCACACATGGCTTTTCCTTCTACTCCAACGATACTTGGGAGATCGATTTCGCGTTCTTAACCTCCAACACTGGTGTTGCGCACTTGACAAACGAGCAAGACTCCNCCAGTAGTCCTTCCTCGTCTTACCAAGTCCCAGCACCAATTGATGCAACTACTGCGTACCACGAGTATCGTGTCGACTGGCTTCCTGGCAAGACACAGTTCTTCATCGATGGTGATGGCAAGCTGGTACAGACGATTGTTGATAATGGTAACCAACGCGTACTACATACGGTTCGACTCATACGACTAACGACAAGATAGNTGCCAACGACTCCAGGATTCTGGTTGTGGAACAACTGGTCGAATGGTAATGCCTGGGCGCAAGGTCCTCCCACTAAGGATAATGTCTTGAAGATCCGCAGTATCGATGGCTACTTCAACCGCACCAGCGTTTTGAAGACTTTCGCCGCTACTTCTTCGAAATGCAACATCTAACACGAGCATAATTTGCACGTACGAACAAATCTGTTCGCTCTGAGAACAGACTATTGTCCTTACTGATGTCTCCTTCTTCTTTCTGAAGTTGGAAGCCTAATCAACATATTTATCAATATGACTAGACCGTCTAAATGCAGCCATACGGTTGCATGCAATTATTCTTTGTTAGCATTTCACGTGAGTAAGGGCGGAACGTCATTGCCGAACAGCATCCATCCCCGCAAAGAGCTTCGATTTCTTAGTTCCTCGATGCTTCGGTGGAAGCTTTCGTCGCCATGCTGGACCATTAATTGTGCTATTCTTCCTGATCGAGCAATGCTGTGAGTTGCGGACAGTATGGAAATAGTGCCTATATCGTCTTTGTCGCCTTCATTGGCATTGCCTACCGACTGTGGGTTCAAGGCATTGGTTACACTGCTATGGCCCTTCTCCTCAACGACCGGGCAATGCGCTCTTCTCTTGGCCGATCCAGACGCGCGACAGCGATATCAGAAAGGCCAAGTACGCGTGCGATTTACTGGACCCAGTGCGCGCCAGATCGCGGTATCAGGCATTGGTATTGGGGATAGCGTGCAAGTCGCGCTAGTAGGCGTGCAATGGTTGACCGAATCCGATACAGTTCTGGTCAAAACGCCCGGTAAAAGTGTCGATGGCGAACTTGTATTCAAGAACCGTCTGCATATGACCATCACGCGAGGCCAGACCGAGCCAAGGACAATCGATGTAGACGAGTCCACCGAGCACACGTCACCGAAGCCTAGTATGCTACCACCGAGTACGCCTATCGCCCGACCCAAGCCTCGCCCTTCTTTCGATGCCTATGGAGTCGCCGTGTATTCTTCGCCAGCCTTTATGAAGCGTCTCCGACTCTCTGAAGGAGGCACACCATACTCCCNNCCTGTACCCGTATCAGAAGACGACGATCAGGACAGTGTCGCATCGCGAAAGAGACGGAGGGTTTCATACAAAAACGTCTCTGAATGGAAGTTTGACGGCCGAGAACCTTCTCCTGAAAAAGACCAGATTGATGTCTTGGATGATGCTGAGGGAGACGAGGACTTGACTGCCGACACAGCAGTACCACAAACAACCACCGTAGAAAATGGTAATGTGACCGAGCACAGGCAAGATCTGGACATGCAAGACGCTGCTGAGCCGATCGAAGAAGCCAATCACGAAGCCGAGCAGCCTGCTTCCGAGGCTGAGAGCTTCCAAGGAAACACAACAGAGCCTGCTCAGGAGACTGTTGCACATGAGCCTTCAGTAGAAACTTCTGGAGATGGATCACTTCAGACTCAGGCCGAGGCTGACACCTCTCCGAGGTCTGCAGCAGAATCTTCCAATGTAAAAGAGCCGGAAGAGATGGTAATTGAAGCAGTGGTTCAACAACCTGCAGAAGCTACGAGATCAGAAGAGACCAGTCCGGATGGAGCACTACAAGCTCCGGAAAGTTCGGTGACCTCCAAGCTCCAGATTTCGACATTTGAAGATATGCCACCTTCAACTTTGCCGCGTCTGACTATACTGCCCACCGAGAGCGAACTTCTAGAGCAGATGGCGCGTGCCCGTACCGTTGATAGACCTACAACGCCGATCTTGCAACCACTACTCACTGAAGGTCTACCTTTGCCGTCGCCCTTCCCGACTAGTGCTCAGAAGATACCTTCTCCGGTCGCTCTGAACATAACAGGAACTTCACAGATCATTGAGAACGAGACAGTCATGGAAGACGCAGCAGAGACCGCTGCTAACACGGGTCAGCAAGTAGAAGCAACTTCGCAGACGCCTCGCGTTGTTGCCGATACCTATGATGGCTACGCTGAAGAAAACCCTGTCGTACTGTCTTCTGGTAGTGAGGATGAGGATGATAACGACGAGGATGATGAGGAGGAGGGCAATGCTGAATCCTCCGATCAATTACCAGTGGCTGCTTCTTTACCAGTCGTTACAGATGTCCAAGTTGGATGGCGCTCGAGAGGTGATAGATTCGATGACGAGAGCTCTGCTGATGAAGAGTCTGATGAGGAAACGGAATCGTCCAGTGAGGACTCAGAATCGGACGATGTGTCATCTGCATACAACTCTGAACAGATTGAAGCTCTGCAGGAGCAGAGTGATGACGAAGGTGCCATCGAGGAACCGGATTGGGATTATCTGGAACGTAAGCTTGAGCAAGAAGAGGCTGCTCTTCAACAGTCGAGAGAAGATCTTACTGCCAGAGACAATGGCCTCGTTGAAGCAGCCGATGATTCTGAAGAAGGAGATGAAGCAGACGATGCTGTGATGCACGATGACAATTCCGAACTGGACGAAGAGATATTGGCCAGAAGTGATGACGACAGCGCTGATGATGACTCCGACGGCACAGGATACTTCGACAGGGCTGTGTTGCCTGACACCGAGGATGAGTCTAGAGAAGAGTCAGAGGTCGACGCGATGGACCAATCCTATCAACCTTCGATGCCTGCGAATGCCATGTATAGCCATCCATTCGGTCTAGATGAAGCTCGTACACCGACAGAGACGAGAACGGCATTGCCTTCCCAAGCAGCATCTGAGGCTGGTTCTGCAGCGGGAGATGAAACCATCGCCTGGCGTGACAGAGATGCTGCTGTCGAGGCACTTGATCAACAAATGCAACAACGTCAGCCTCGTCAAACCACCGAACAAGCTGTTCAAGCGCCTCCAACTCAATACATTCCGCCACCATCTTCATCCAGACTCGATGTTGTCGAGTTATTAGACGTTTCCGACTCAGATGAAGAAGACGTTGATCTCGTTGCTCCAGTCCCTCGAGGAACACTCGACTTTNTGCCTTCGATCGATCTTGTCAACCGTTTGCTTAGCAGCAACCAGAAGGATGCTCACCTTGAGCTCAGTGGACCGGTGACTGCTCAGATTCGCTCAGAAATCAAGAAGATCTCGGACCAGGTCGACAGCCAGAGTAGCCATTCAACCAAGTTCAATGCCTTGAAGATTATCTGCAAGATTGGAGTCAATGTGGCGGTTGCTGCCGAGAGTGGTAACATGTTTGCAGAGAGTGTCAAGTATCGTCTCAAGGAGGATGAAGTACTCGTCAGTGTCTGTTGGAAGATCTACAACCATCTCTCGAATGCGGACAGATACCATACAGGCCAACCATCTGATGTGCTTGTCAGTCTCGAGGAACTGGAAGAGAAGCGAGATTACTGTTTTGAAGGCTTTACCGAATTTCTGAAGCATTTCAAGCAGAACTATCACCATATGCCTGTCGAAGCGGAACAACAGCAACTCGATCAACAAGCCACATCTACGCTACCCACAGTGGAAACTCAAAATGCACGAGGAGTGGAGTCACACCCAGCTACCCAGAACAGAGATAGCGAGCAGAGTTCCGCAACCCAGGTTTTCGAAACCCAGCTAGATCCGGTCTCGACCGATCATATTGACAACGGGGAGCAGCAGCTCAACCCCCCTGCACCGGAATTAGCCGAGCAAATGACTGAGTCGTCTGAACAAGTACAAGCAGAGCCAGAAGCACAGGCAACATCGAAGCAGACATACGTGGAGAGTAGTACGCCGTCTTTGGCAAATCCAGCTCAAGAGGTGCATCAGCTTGACGAAGATATAAGCTCTTCTCAGGTTCTATCGATGGAAGAAGACATCGAGCATCAAGACGGTACCGAAGCGGACAAGTTTGAGACAATGGAGGTCGAGACAGAATCTATCGAATCTAGTGATGAGCATGAGATCGATCCTGCTTTACTAGAACAGGCAAACTCTGTCGAATCCTCGCAAGCGGAAGGATACGAGATAGATCCTGCACTACTTCGAGAAGAGCATGAGATCGATCCTGCACTGCTTGCAGAAGGACATGATGACCTGCGGTCAAACAGCCATCCCAGCCCATTACAGACTGACGACGTAATGTCCGAAGCCCTCGAGCCTGAAGCTTTCTCGGTCGCTGATGAAGAGGAAAGCGAGCAGCGGAATGTTGAAGAAGAGACTACCGCCGTAGTGACTGAGACCACGGAAGACGAACCTTTAGCTCCTCAGAACGAAGACGCTGCCGTCACTCAGGTTTCTGAAGTCCCTCTCAAACATGAGGTTCAACAGAGTGTCGAGACAGATCCTGAACCTATTGGACAGTCGGAGGTGGGAATTACGCCAACGCAAGCATCTCTGGAATCCACCACTGAGATGGAGAATTCACATAAGGTCAAAGAGGAGTTCCGTCCGCTTTCGAGTTCAAGCTTCAAGACTCTGAGTCCAACTCCTGATGCCGTTGAAATTCAGCCACCAGAGCCTAGTGCTCGTTTCACAGCTCAGGAACATCCGGATATCGATACTCATATGCTTGACCAGCCTATTGAGGAGCTTGATCTCTCTCAGGTTGAAGCATCTTGGACATCTCGTTTCTCACAATTCTCACAATCACGGTCGTCACGAGCACATACCAGAAGTGAGACTATCCCTGATAGTGCCGATGAAGAAGCGACCGATTTGGAGGCAGAAACCAACCATACCCCTGACAGACTCACAAGCCTAGAACCAGCGACACAAGCTGCTCCGACGCGGGAAACCCAAGATGAAGCCATGATACAACCATCGCAAGAACTAGGCACTGCACTATCTCAGTTCCAAAAACCAAGACATGGTGCTTCAGAAATGCAACCGCAGCTTGAAGCTATAGAGGAGACAACGCTTCCCGAAGATAATGATGTTGCAGATGAGATGAGATCACAGGCTGGCGTGGACGATGAATTGCTTGCAGATTATGTTCAAGTTGCACCTAAGCCCGAGGTTATTCCAGTACTGTCACCACCACAGCCAGGGCCTTCAACTCCAATGAGCACGAAGAAGCCGGCAAGACCTTTGACGTTGTTCAGAGGTCGAAAGTCGATTGGTGCGCGAGTGTCTGTTGGGAATGACCAGCAGCGGATTCGGGATCTCGAGCAGCAAAACCAGAACAACGAGCAGCAGGTTCCGCAAGACGAAGTGATGCAAGAGTTGTCTCCTCGCGAGCCACAAGTACCTGTGATAATCGAGAAAGTGACGGAGAGTACGGCTGAGGGTGAGAGTCGAGTCCGGGATGAGATTGATGCAAGCCTGGCCTCAGGACCCTCTACAATCTCTGAAGCTCAACCGCAGACAGTGCAGGAAGCGCAAGGAGTTACCCCAACCATCAACCCTACAGTGGCTGCCGAGCCAGAAGCTCCCATCGCGACCGAGCAAGCCCCCGAGGTAGAAGAAGCCTCGAGCAACTTCCAGATCAAGCCAACACTCAAGCCATTCGCCGAGGTCGAAGCGTCACTCTTTGGCACACCTGTCAAAGGCAAGACTGCTAAACCACAGGAGCCTCGATCGGCACCATCGCAGTCCTGGCGTAACGCGCTGAGTTCCAGGATAAGCGAAGTTCCTGTTATTGGCTCCTGGTTCACTCCTAGACGCACCACCGAGATACAAAAGGCAGCTACCGAACACAAAGCCACGACATCCAGCACTTCGTTTGTCGAAGAGACACCAATAAAGGCTGCGGCCATGCCACGAGGCAAACAAACTTCTCGCGAGCAGCAGAAGTCAATCTCGCCGCCACCGCTGCAACGTTACGCATCCCAAGGCACCTCAACATCTCTATCGTACTTCACTCCGCTAGCCGGTCTCCACCAGCATCTGAACCAGCAATCATCTCTCATTGACATTGTTGCCGTCTGTACGACCGCCACCAGCACCGCCGAACGTGCCAAGTCGGGCCCCAAGGATTACTACACAATCTTCAGAGTTGTTGACCAACCACTCCACGAGTATCACACCGCTTCGCAAGACCAAGGCACAAAAGACGTCAGAGTCGAGATCTTCCGGCCCTTCAAACAAAGTCTGCCCACAGCATCACCAGGAGACGTTGTCTTGCTCCGAGGGTTTGTAGTAAGGTCCCGCAACCACAAGAACTATCTCTTGTCCACAGCTGCTAGTGGATGGTGTGTCTGGCAATACGGTGCATCATCTTCTTCTGCTCTGAACTATGAAGAACAAGAGCAAGAAGACGATAGACCTGTGTGGGCCAGAAAGGGCACGAGTCAGAAAGTTGGCGAGGATGGCGTGAGAGAGGAGATCACTGGCCCACCAGTTGAGATCGGAGATGAGGAGAGAGAAAAAGTCACAATGGTCAGGACGTGGTGGGAAGGCTTGCAGAAGGAGAGCAAAGACAAGGAAGAAGAGGACCGCGATATCATCATGATTGATTAGACCCTTTATACATGATCTGTATAGACGCTCGTCAGGATCATCATCGTCTTGAACATTCGTCCCCATGATTTGCTCACGAGAGCCAGCTTCTCGCATTGCAGCCTTGACGAGAAGGAAGGCGCAAAGGAGCACAATATGCTTAACCGCATGAAGTTAGCTTCGAGTGTTCCTGCCTGTTTCAGCGGCTGTTCTCTGTGGTGTTTTGGTTCCAATGATTACGGTAGAGCTCATCCAAAGACCGAAGGATGATGTAGGGGAACATGGAGATGAAAAGGAGACCCGCTCCTTCGACCGGTTGTGACTAGCAAGAATACATGGCATGAGGGGATACAGTGGCAGAAGGGATTATATGAAGAATTCAGGATACAAATCAAGATGAGAGGAGATAGCAAGACGGAGCCACATCAACACTTGTGTTTTTTCGAAAGTTTTCTGAGTTTTTATTTGTTTTTGTCTTATTGTTTAACGTACAGCAAAAGCGAAGAGTAACAGCACATAGAACAACAAACCAAGAAGTTTGCAAAGCACAGCGAAAAAAGATGTTTTGAAAATGTCAAGAAAATCAAAGAACAATGAAGAAATGACAAAACAATGTGAGAAAGAAGAACTCCTCTACTCGCCTTCTCCTCCTCCTTTTCTTTGCCGAATATGCCATGATGATAAGATATGTTGCCCAACGCTCCTTCTTTTCCCCTCCTGAATGCTCTCTCTTTTATAGTGGTCTTGTTTATAGACAGAACCACCACCAGTTCCACAGACCTCCTTTTGCCATGCTGCCTTACCAAACCTCCCACGAACAACCATCTTTGCCATCATACGGCTAAAACAGCAACAAAACAGAACACCCACAATTTGTATAAAGAATCAAAAACCTTCCCGACCACCCCCACCAGGCGCCGACGCTGACTGACATTGCAATTTTCTGACCAAAAAAGCAAAACCCATATTTATCCCTGCCCCTTCCGAATTGATTTGGTGTACACGGTCCGGTCTTATCAATACAATGTGTGGTTATCTCCTGTAGAACTTTCGCTGGTGGTGAGGTCTCTTTTCGCCATCCAGGAAGTCTTCATCATCAATCTATGCAGGAGACTTGGAGGGGTTGGTGCCGTTGCGACGAGCATCGTCCGAGACGCTAAGACCGCTGAGGCCACTGCTCAGGAAGGTGAATGGGTCAGGNGTGGCCTGCTCGCCGGCGTACATACCACCACCGTTGGAGAACGAGGAGTTGTTCTGACCTGCGGAGAAAGCAGCCTCAGCACGGCTGTCGAAGCCACCAGAGGGCATGCCGGCGTTGTGGCCGTAGGCAGAGCTCATGGCGGGGTAGGGGGAGGTACCGGCACCAAGACCGGAGGGAAGAGCGTAGGTTGACTGCGGACCACCGTAGTTCTGGCCAGGGAAGTTTCCGGCAGAGTTGAAGCCGCCTTGCTGAGGGNNGGCATAGGGGGCAGGTCCAGGAGTGCCGGCCATAGAAGGAGGGGCCATCCCGTAGCCTTGAGATCCGTCGACCTGCTGGAAGTTGGAATCAGCCACCAGGGCGGCACTTGCACGGGAAGCACCACAACGAAGACAGCTGACGTTCTTGGCAAAGTTGTGGTAGTTGCAACCCTCGGCACCGCATCTCCAATCGCCTGCGCGGAAAGGAACGTGAGTGGAACCGCCGCCACGCATGCCACCGCCACCCATGTGGTGATGACCCATGTGGTGTCCAGGAGGACCCATCATGCCAGGGTGTCCATAGCCATAGCCGTACATCGGGTCAGGAGCTGCAGCCATGGCGGGGAAAGAGCAGCGGAAGCAAGCAGTGCGGCGCTGGAAGTTAGAGAAGCCGCAAGAGGGNCAAGTCCAATCGCCAGGACGAGGACGGTTCTTGCTGGGAGGGAAGGCGGTCAGGATGTCAGCGGCACGGTCGAGTACACGCGAGGAAGAAGGCGAGACCTCGATAGCCTTCTCGTTGAGTGCACGGCCGTTCATGCAGAGAGATTCGGCAGCCTGCAAGAGATGTCAGTCTTGGTGTGAAGTATGAGATGCAAGTGTTTGGTATACCTCTTCGTGGGAGGAAAAGATTGCAAAGCCAGTGCCAGTGGGCTTGTGCTGGTCGGGAGTGCGGAGGGTCCAGAAAGCGATGGGTCTACCACCGAATTGAGTGAACCAGCTCTCCAGCTCGGACTGAGTGGTGTCATGAGGAAGGCCGCTCATGTGGAGGACCTTGCTACGCTCAGACAGGAAGGCACGCACGTCTGCGCGGGCGTCCATGGGGCGGGTGAGAACATCGGGGTGCTCGTGGGGAGGCTGAGACTTGCGGATCAGACCGCGAAGAACTCTTGCAAGGGTGACGGCCTCCTCCATGGCACGACGAGGCGAGGCGGGAGCCAGAGCTTGCAGGTGGAAAGGCAAGTTGTGCTTGATGGGAGCCGAGGACTGGACAGGCTCAACCTCAAGGGCGGCGCAAATGTTGGTCAAGGCGCTGGAGCCGAAGGGCAGCGACTCGGGGTGGTGAGCCTGCCATCTTTGATACTCGGTGCGCAGGTCGAAGGTGCGCGAGTGCTGCAGGTAGGGGGGAAGGACGACGGCCTTATCGCGAGCCTCACGGGGCAGCTGGACACGGAGATCCCACGAGTCAAGAGTGACAAAGGCAAACTCGTGGTTGTTCTTGACGAGGTGCTCCTGGGCGAACTGGTCGAAGCGGTTAATGGCATCGCGGAAAGAGCCTGCATTGCGGACGTGCTCCCAGGTAAGGGTCGTAAGGCTGNNGCTGCACGACGTGTTAATGGGTTGAAGAGTCGGTTGGAGGTAGAGGCTTGTCTTACTGCAGAGCGGGGTGATGGGAGTGTTGACGGGCTTGACGAGGACGCTCTCACGGTGAAGCTAGATTGACATGTCTGTTAGACGGACCTGGCAGATAAGAGGCAGGTTCGTTCGTACCTCGTCGCAGTTCTTGGAGTCGAGCAGGATCCAGCCCAGCTCGATGACTTCTGCCGAGTCCTTGGTGACATAGACGCCGTGCTCGTCGCAGGTGGTGGCTACGTGAATGACAACGTAGCGGTCGAGGCCACCGCTGGGGGTGGTGGGTGCAGAGGCCATTCTGCTGCAAAAAGAAGTTTGGGTTGTTGTTGATGTCGGAAGCAAGACGCTTTGGCACAAAAGACAGAACGTGGGTGAGGGCGGTAGCAGGCGGGAAGCTTCGACAGCAACGAGGAAGCTCGACGAGAGTTTCAAGACCTGATGCTTCTCTGACTTCTGCCAACGACCAAGTCTTCACCACTTGACAGCCAAAGGCCCCGCTAGCGAGCGACAAAGCACGTACCGCCCGTCCATATTGTACATCTGCCGGTCCACCCGCAGCTGCCAGACACCACTATCTACCAGCTATTGTACTGCTAACCGCTTCGTTTTAGCTGGCCAACTGTGGCCTGTATTTGCTCTTGTGCTGCCACCTGCTGCCTTCCTTGTTTCTTGTTTTCCTGTGTCTCCCCTGTCCTTGTTCTCCGAGACACCACACCGCCATGCGTCTTGGCCGCTCGTGGGCCGTCCTCTGAGCCATTGATATTAAAAAATTGATTGGCTTTCTGCACTTGCACCACAATTCCTGTTCGAGTCTAAAAACGTCCGGCTCATCCCGAGCAGTCCATCGCATGTCTGGCACGCTGCCAGCAGCCAGCCCTGACGAATATTATTACCTCTGTCTTTTTGGGCTCTATGCAGCCGCTCCGACTGTGACACGACGTGCCTACATCTCGCGTGTGCATGAATGCGCCAGATGTCATAATTACGCTTCATCATCCATGCGCCATCCCTGCAAGCATGTGTCTGCTCTCAAGAGCTTCTGCTCTGTGCCATAGTCTGATCATAAATTTATACGCGCCTACGGTAATACGCGATACAACCGTGTTTGAGGCACATTGCTTTGTGTCTCCTTGGATCAAGCTAGAAGTGACTTTACTTTTACATTCTTGAATTCTGCTTGAACTCCTTGCAAGCTTGTGCTTGACATGCGTTCAGCGTATGACATGGGATGTAGGTTGACGGTTGGTACCACGCTTCCGACCATGACACCGAGCTGCACTGATATAGATTTGGAGTTGAATTCATCTCCGGGCAATATACTTGTGCTCACTGATTGAATGATTCGAAGTCGCACAGAAAGGCTTCCATGATAATGATATCGACCGTGGCATGGCTCAAGGGGGAAGTAAGTAAGCATGTAGAGAGACAGAGGAGTGGTCTAAGGAACAGCGCCAGGTCAAACAGCTCTTGGCGAGTCACATGCAGGGTCCTCGGGCGTCAGCCAAAAAAAAGTCGGCCATCAGAATTTCTGTGAGAGACACAGAAGTACCAAAAATGAGCGCAACCATGGACTCGCAAAAGCCGGTACACACCATCGTCTTGGATACTGGTGCCATCATCCGCAACCATCCTACTGTATCGACCCTTCTCGCCCAATCCGAGCAAATCATCACCGTCCCGGCCATCATCACCGAAATTAGAGATGCTGCCACCCGTACCCGCGTAGAGACGCAACTTATGCCCTTCTTGACCATTCGTTCGCCAAACCCTGCGAGTATCAAGTTTGTCACCGACTTTGCTCGCAAGACTGGTGATCTGGATGTTCTGTCGAAGCCTGATATTCAGATTGTCGCGCTAGCTTATGAGCTGGAATGTGAGCGCAATGGTGGCGACTGGAGACTGAGAAGAAATCCTGGACAGAAGGGCATGAACGGAAAGCCCCAGTCAAGGAGGAAGTAAAGCCTGAGGAGAAGGACGAGGCCAAACAAGACGACGCTGCCGAGATCAAGCAGGAGGAGACAACCGAAGCCGTGCCCGAGCAAACATCCGCCGATGCTGTCCAGCAGATCTCTGAAGATTTGGCACAGACAAAGATCGAGGAAGTAGAGAACACTGCCTCAGAAGAGCCCGTCGCTGCTCAGAACTCCCAACCCGATCAGACTCCCCAAGAAGAAGNCCGAAGACTCAGGTGAAGACTCAGACGGTGGCTGGATCACACCCTCGAACCTCAAAAAGCACCAAGAGAAAGATTCGGCAGGCAGCACTGAGAGCATCCAGAATGTCCAAAGCGTCCTGCAAGTTGCAACGCTGACGACAGATTTCGCCATGCAAAATGTGCTTCTGCAAATAAATCTCAACCTGCTCTCTCCTACCATGCAACGTGTCAAGCACCTCAAGACCTACATCCTGCGCTGCCACGCCTGCTTCTGCACGACAAAAGAGATGAGCAAGCAATTCTGCCCTAGATGCGGAAGCCCCACACTCACCAGAGTGGCCTGCAGCACAACATCCAACGGAGAGTTCAAGTTGCACTTGAAGAAGAACATGCAATGGAACACTCGCGGTGACCGCTTCAGCATTCCCAAGCCCGTACACGGAAGCGCGAATGGAAGAGTTCAAGGTGGAGGTAAAGGACACTGGGGCAACGATCTGATTCTTGCAGAGGATCAGAAGGAATTTACCAGGCATCACGAGGCCGAGAAAAGGAGAAAGGAGAGAGACTTGATGGATGAGGACTATCTGCCTAGCATCCTGACTGGAGACCGCAACAGCAGAGCGGGCGGCAGGATGAAGGTCGGTGGTGGTCGCAATGTTAACTCAAGAAAGCGATAGAGGTGTGAGAGGAGTGTTTGATGCCCGGTATGAATCTCTGTCTTACTTGCATGGCAAGGTGTTTTAGGCGCTTTCCTAGGGATAAGGAGTTTCAATGGTAGCCATCATGATCATAGCGGAAAGTGGTATAAAAGTGCTTTCACAGACCAAAACAGGGACAGGCATATCACAGCTGGGTGACTTTTTGGGCAATTGAAATGTTTTGTGATTTGAGGCTTTTGCTTTACGCAAGAAACCATTGTGTTTCTCTCTTGACCCTTCAATCGAAAATGTCGCGTGCTCCCCTCTCTCTGCAAGTTTTGTCCTTCTCAAAAGAGACGATCCGTCCGATACAAGCCTGCGCCGCAGAACGCCTTTCTTTTCCCATAGTACGAAAAATGTTCAAATGTCCATGATTGCTTTTGCAGCTAGGGTGCGTTTATTGACCAAGAACCTTGAGGTCCTCTATCAGTTGTGTTAGTTGACAAGGTTTGAAAGAGGAACATTTGGCTAACGTACTCTGCTGAGTGATAAGGAGACCGTAGCGCTTCTTGAGGGTGACGCGGTGTCTGTTGGGAGAAAGTCAGCGTCTTGCCGACTGGATTATGCATGGTTGTCTCTTTGTCGCGGATCGCATTGTTTTTGGGCTTCCAAATCCATAGTAGTGTCCATAATTTCCCTCTCAACAGTGTCGTGTGCCTCGTGGACAAGGCCAGGCTCATCTTAGCCCATGATCTTGCAGGTGTAGTCCTCCTCATTCTGGCCTTCTCTCTCTCGTTCTTTGGAACCCCTCTCTTGTTCTGTCGCGCGAAGTGAAGAAACGAGTAATGATATCCTTACCTCGAGTACTTGTCATCAGGGGAGAAGCGAGCAGGGTGTGCGGACTTTGTGACCTCTGCGCCGTTGACCTTCTTCAGGGTGTAGACACGCTTGCCCTGGTTGTCGAGAGTGTACATAAGATGCATGTTGGCGGTGTTGTGTTTGTGGAGGTCGTGAGAAAAAGAGAGAGGTTGGTGGTCGTGGGCAGTGAAATCGATAGCGGCGTGAATGGAGGAAAAATTCGTGAGGATGCGCCGGGCGGATGTGCTGAAGCTTTTGCGGAGGTGCGAGTCGCCTTGGCACCATGCGATGGCCGCCAGGGTGGACAATAATACAGCTGGCTTCTGAACATCTCATTCATTGACATATTATCATTCTTGACGAATAATATCCTCGAAAGGATCGGAACTCGAGAGTCACAGGGCGATCAATTCCCCACACAACAATCAATCACATTCGGATCGAAAGCACAACAAGAATCAAAGTCGCAACAATGCAAACACCACTATCCCTCTTCTTTACAACTCTCCTGCTCTTCGTCCTGCCTGCATTTGCTCAATTCCAATTCTTCGAGCAAATGTTCAACCAAGGTGGTCAGCAAAATCAACAACCACAAAACGCTGCATCCGACTCTGCATGGTACAAGCAACAATACGAAGCTGGTCAGTCTCAGTCGTCCGTGGTCTGCGAGTAGATATGCTGATGCAATACAAACANNGTGCACTGCGACAAGTACCTCTGCCCTTCCACCCTATCCTGCGTACATTTCCCACATCACTGCCCCTGCGCATTTCCCGAGCTAGAAGACAAAGTCGAGCTGGACGATGGCAGTATGATCTGTGTCTCAAAGGGAGGCTACAAGGCTGGCGAGGCTGCGAGGAAGATTGAGTTGGCAAGAAAGGGCTTGTTGTAATGCGAATGTGCTTTATGAACACCAAGAATACATTGCTTTGCTTTTGAGCACGACGCTACTCTGTATGCTATCAGAAACATAGCTGGCCTATGCTGATCTGTGTGCTACAAGACACCGCGTACCAAAGTATATCACTCTGTCTTCTCGGCAAATCCAATCTTTTCGAAATCTTCAGCGACAGCATCAGGACCGGGCACAGGCACTGAGCCATTCTCTGCAACCTTTCCGATCTTGTCCGGATTCGCTTTGTATACTGTGAACGGCGCCGAGTTTCTCTTGCGCTCATTTGGGCCCTCCGACTTGTATTGGTAGCCTCGTAGTCTGTTTGTTCGTCAGCCTTTCTTGGTCTCGACATTCTAGACACTTTGAGGCGCCTACCTAGGGCCACGGCCTGTTGATTTTGGCAATTCTGGCTCATAGAATCGTTCAAAGTCCGCAATATCCTGATCCAAAGTGCCACGACCAATGCTCTCGCGTATACCAGCAAAAAATTCATCCATGATCTGATGGTTGTGGATTTGCAACAATACCCAAGCCAGCATTTCCTTTGCTGACAAGAGATGCTGCAGGAATGCGCGATGGTGATTCGTGCATGCGTAGCAAGGGCAGTCTTTGCGCAACGGCGATACATCTGTCGCGTGCTTTGTATCCCACATATCCACGCCTAACGGCAAAGGCTCCGCTGGTACGGGGCCAGAGACAGGGAATCGAAAGTCCAACGCTACGCCGGAGTCTGTGATGGCGCTTAGGAAAGGCAGAGTCAAGACATCTATGCCTCGAGACACGTCTTGCAGTACTGCACGTGGGTTGTTGGGTTCGGTCAGACCAAGACGCGGCAGAGTCTTCAGCTGTTCCGGCAAGTCGCCCAGGGTGATTGTGTTGTAAATAGCCAGTCCGTGTATATCTTGCACCATGTCTTCCAGATGGTCAATGTAATATCTCTGCGAGTCAGCGGAGATAGGCAGTAGTGGTGCATACAGCAGCGGTAGTTCTGCTCCGTGCTCTTTCTTAGCCCTGGTTCGTTCGTCCACGTGTGCTTGCATCCATTTTGCAGTGCGATCTGTGATTCTGTCGATTTTCTTGTAGCTGACTTTGTAATATCCATACGGAATATCTCCGAGACCGACAACAATATCCGGACTGAGTGAGGTTGTGAGACTTCTATATGTCGAGTCCTGAAGTTTGGTAAAGCCGAAAGCAGTCATGATGCTCATCTGGCTATCGGTACTTGCTCCCGGCGAAGGCACGGGCGGTGAGCGGCGAGCTCCAAGGACCAGAACATGATCGTCCGGGGTCGCGGTGTATGCACGCAGTCTTGATGTTCCATCTGGCGGGTTGTACTTGAGAATTGGGGTACCTTTTCTACGACTTTTTATTTCTTTTGGTGAGCACACACATTCGGTCAGCTTCGCTTTTCAGGCGAGAGATTGTTGCGAAAGCACAAACTTACAATCCTCTGCTGCCATGTATGCACCACAGATGTGCGTGTGCTTGGTCACATTGTCCTGGGTCAAGTGCGGTATGGCTCCTCGAGATGCTAAAGCCAGATAATGGGGAGTCTTGATGGCCTGTCGATTGGGCAAACTGAGCAGGCCGGTTCGGACTACCCCGCTAGTCGATCCTGTCGTGAATTTGAACATGGGTTCTTCGGACATGTTGGCCAATGTCATGTCAACATTTCAGGAAGCATTTGGGCAGGTTTCTTGAGTCTTTGACTCGGCGGACCAAAGTCCTTTGCCAAGCCGCTGGTTCACGCGCGTCGGTTCGCGTTCCATCGTGTACCTGTAAATTGATCTCTTGACCACAACTCCCAATCTTTGGTTCAACATTATACACATCGCAAGGATGCCTCGTGGAAAGCTGATTGTGTTTGAAGGTCTTGACAGATCAGGGAAGTCCACACAATGTGAGAGACTGGTATCGTATCTTTCCGAGAAAGGCTTGCCAGTCAAACATCGGCGGTTTCCTGGTACGTGGTTCAGATCGCTTATTGCACTCGAGGAAAGGCTCATCTCTTCAACAGATAGAACAACCCCAATCGGTCAAATGATCAACAACTATCTGCAAGGTCAGAGTGAACAAGAAGATCATGTCATTCATCTGCTCTTCTCTGCAAACAGATGGGAAGCAGTGTAGGTAAATTCGAATCATTTGTATTGTAGTAACCCCCTAACGACGAACAGCGCATCGATAGAAGCAGACATCAATGCTGGAACCACTGTTGTCATCGACAGATACTATTATTCTGGGTGTGTCTATTCTGCAGCGAAGAACAATCCCAGCCTCGATCTCGCTTGGTGCCGTCATCCTGAAGAAGGTCTTCCTCGACCCGATCTGTGTCTATTTCTCGACATCTCTGCAGAGGATGCAGCAAAGCGAGGGGGTTGGGGCGAAGAACGATACGAGAAGAAGGAGCTCCAAGATCGAGTTCGCCAGCTCTTTGCTGACATACGAGCCACGGACGATGGTTCTGACTTCGTAACCATAAACGCTGGCCAAAGTCTTGAGGATGTCGAAAGCGCAATTCGCCATCATGCCGAAACTTGTATCAGCATGACAGATGGTTCAAGTCCTCTGCGACGCATTCAGCCTTGGTAGACGGTCTTGGGCTGTCCGCGACATAAGAACAGTTGAGCGGGCGTCGAAAGGCAGGTGCCTCGAATTGGCTGTCAGTCCACTAGACACTTCCGTCCCGTCTCATTCGATAACCTCAGCTTCATCCCAATCGCTGTCTTCAATAACTGCTTTCCGCGCTTTGGCAGCTGAGGAGCTTGCTGAATCGACGACGTGGGGTTTGTTTTGTTCGTTCAACTCGTCGACTAGCTTCCACTCATCGCCAACGGATGGTGTTGCTTGCATCTGATCAACGTCTTCATAGTCTGACTGCAGTAAGACGTCGTCAAAGTCCACCTCGGGATCACTTTCATCTGCCAGAACATCAGGCTCCTCCGCTTCCTCGTCTTCCACAATGGCTGCGCTCCTTGCGCTCTCTTTGACGTTCTTNTTACGGCGTTTTGGCTCCTTGAACAGAGCTGCAACCTCCTTCTCGCCACGGATTCGCAAGCTCAAATCCTTCACAAGGTCTGTCCAATTCAGGCTTGATTTGCAAGATGGGCAATGTCCATGTGTTGGGACAATTGCATCTTGAGCGCCATATTCGCCTTTGAGGAAATGAGTTGATAGACAGCTGATATGGAAGATCGAGTTGCAATCCTGATTGGAACACACAAGCGCCATTGCCGTTGTGGAATCAACAGCAGAGCAGCAAACGACGCAGCTATTGTTCGGTGCGACTAGCAGTTTGCGGCTCTTTTCTAAAGTGGTCTTCATGTGATTATAGGTAGGGTCGATTTTATGGATGCCAACTGGGTCCAAGGGGTCCTCTTCGAGTGCTGCTTGTTGTAGGACTGATTCATCCATCTCAACTTCAATACCCTGACGAACGACTTCAGGCATGTTGACTGTCCACCTGTGCCACATTTTGTACACATCTTCGGCAAAGAACTTAACTTGTAATGGCCAACGTTCGAAACTCTTTGCTCTTAGCAGGATGTGAAGGTTGGCAAGCTTATCGTGCATTGACATACGAGGGCGTCCTGCGCGCTTGCGTNNACCACTTCGTGGTGAGAATCTTTGTTTTGTGTTGGCTTGAGTGATGCGTTCATCTGGAGCGATATGCCGCGTCTGATGTGTGTTTTGCCATGCCCATCTGATAAGTCATGGTTAGAGAATACAAACCTCACATGTGCTTGTATATTGATCGATAGCCTGGTGTATCGGAAAACAAACAAAGCAGATAGGCAATCAATTGACTTACTCGAATTGCAGGGCAGCGATCTTGGAAGGAAACCCAGTGACAAGGCAGGTCATTTCCCATGGCCGTAGCGTGTTTTTGGATGTTCTCACGGCTCCACCTTTGGCGATTCCATTGTGTTGTTTCAGACGTCGGACGGGATGTGGCGTGCTTCCCACATAGAGATTCTGGTGGCGTACTGTAGACCGAAGTAGATAACAAGCATAAAATGCAGGTATCGGTCTATCCATCGTGGACCTGCTTCTTGACGGGCAAGAGTGGATATAACAGAACTCCCTAGTCAAGCCCTGGGACGGAAATTAGGAGGACCAAAATCTGCGAGGTGAGACCAAGGGACATGTGATTGGCTGTCAAGTGCGGGAAGCTCTCGGCTGCAGATCTGCTGTGCGGCAAATCTGACGACGTACCTTGGTCACGAATTGTATGAAATCGCAAGAGAAGAGATTCTGGCTAGAGAAATGTGTGTTGGCATAGTGTGACGGTCAATAAGAGGAATGTGAATGTCAATGATGAAGGATAACACAAAATAATTCAGTGGATGGTGCTACAGATTCAGGAACAGGGAAGATGAAGATGGTTCTGGCATCACGCGGCGGCCCTCGGAAGAAGCCAAAGCCAATCTTGGCCAAGCTGTCGACTTTGTGTGGGTGTGGGTGAGTCGTCCTGTTCCAGCCGTATGGGAGTTCTGCCTCGCACCTGCCTTTCTAATTCCAGCACTGCTTCTTCAATTTGTTCGTTCCTAGCCGCTAGGCGAGCAGACCTTGAATCCATGCACATGCGACAGTAACCATCGGTACCTGGTCATCGCCTGGAGTTCGCACCTGCCTACCTAGTGGTTACGCCCACATATCAGATCTGGCCGCTCGCCCTCTCCAGTTTCTTGTCGCTCCACATTCGAATGTGCCCGCTGCACCATCACCCCTTCACCATCAACGCCGCTCTTTAATATCATCCTACCTCAGACACTCACGACCGAATTGCCTAACGTCAGCTTTGATATATCCACCTTAATAATTACACCCACCGAATTTTGCGAATGGTCGTGCCTCCAAGCAGTGGAGGGGCTGCTGCTGCCTCTTCAGCAAATCGCCCGACATACACCACCAGCAATGTCGCCTCGACAAAACCCAAGTCCGTCGCTCACACTCCGAGTGTAGCCGTAAACAACACGCCTATGCCGCTCAGCGCAAGACGCTCAGAACCTCTGGACTTGAACACCGTAGAGCGTCGAGGACAACCAAATGCCGCGCCTGAGATTACCAAGAGGAACAGACTACATGGTATTCCCGAGGGACCTACTTTCCGACCCACCGAGGAAGAGTTTCGCGATCCTATGGCCTATATGCGCAAGATTGAGCCTGAAGGTCGCAAATATGGAATCGCAAAGATCATTCCTCCTGAAGGCTGGCAGATGCCATTTGCCATCGATACATCGGTGCGTATGGCGTGATCATGCTGCTCATTCTACGCTGACAGAGTTGACAGCNGATTCCACTTTCGTGTGCGACGCCAGGAACTGAATTCTGTCGAGGGTGGTGAGTAACGATATGCATCGACATTCATGTAATCGGCTAATTCAAGATTAGGCACTCGAGCAAATCTTAATTACCTAGATCAACTATCCAAGTTCCATAGGCAACACGGCACTAACCTCAACCGGTTTCCTAGTGTGGACAAACGACCACTGGACCTCTACAAACTCAAAAAGGCGGTCGAGGCCCGAGGGNGGTTTGAGAGAGTGTGCAAGTTGAAGAAATGGGCTGAGATCGGTCGTGATCTTGGATACAGTGGAAAGATTATGTCTAGCCTTTCGACTTCCCTCAAGAACTCGTATCAGAAATGGCTACAACCATACGAGGATTACCTGCGAGTAGCGAAACCGGGAGTTCAACATCAGCTCGAACTGGAAAACGGCGGCCCTTTCACCCNNCCCTCTCCGGGTACTTCGCCACTTAAGAAGTCGCAGAATAATACCCCGAATGGTGACAACACTCCAGCGATGCGCGCATCTGCTGCGTTGAACGCTTCTCTGGACACTGGATTGCCTGTGGTCCAGCAGACGCCAGTCAAGCCGACTCCTCCGGCCCCAGCTCCTGCCCCTATCCAAGGCTTTACTCCTGTGAATGGAGGCTTTACATCAGTCAACCGTCCCTCAGGCTTTACTCCTGTAAACGTACCTAATGGAGTTCACGCGACTCCAGAAAACCCGCGCTCAATACCAAGGACGACCATGGATAGCCCACAGCTGCAAGAACACAACACACCAACCTTCGAACCCAGCAACTCTGCAAAACGGCCTTTGACTGATAGCGCAGAGAAGGATGTAAATGGAGATCTGGACGCGTCTGGACGACGCAGCAAGAGATTGAAGAGAGAGCCAGCGCCGACGGTAGCAGGTTCGCATATGCACCAACCTAGGACGTCGACACCGAGATTTGTTCCAGCACGAGAACGTAGCAATTTCCCTCCTGGCGAAGCATGCGAAACTTGCGCAAAGCCAGAGGACCCAGGATTGCTTCTGATATGCGACAGCTGCGATTGTGGTTATCATGGCGCATGTCTTGAACCCCCTGTCAAGATGCAGCAACCCGAACACGATTGGCATTGTCCCCGTTGTCTGGTGGGAACCGGAGAGTTTGGATTTGAAGAAGGCGAGGTTTATTCGCTTCGAGCGTTCCAGGAAAGAGCAAACAGATTCAAGGAGAACCACTTCGCCGACAAAATGCCCTTTGATCCCATCCTCAACAAAAGAAGACCTGTCAATGAAGACGATGTTGAGCGCGAGTTTTGGAGACTTGTCGAGAACATCACTGAAACAGTCGAAGTTGAGTATGGTGCTGATATCCATTCGACGACCCACGGAAGTGGCTTCCCCACGATCGAGAAGCAGCCTCGCGACCCTTACTCGACAGATCCCTGGAACTTGAACGTCCTCCCACTCTATGGTGAATCTTTGTTTAAGCACATCAAGACGGATATTTCTGGAATGACAGTGCCATGGCTCTATGTCGGTATGGTGTTCTCCACTTTCTGCTGGCACAACGAGGATCATTATGCTTACTCCGCCAATTACCAACATTTCGGAGCGACCAAAACATGGTATGGTGTTCCTGGAGAAGATGCAGAGAAGTTCGAAAACGCAATGCGCGAAGCTGTGCCAGAACTCTTCGAGACGCAACCAGATCTTCTATTCCAGTTGGTGACCCTGATGCCGCCAGAGAAGCTGAAGAAAGCTGGAGTACGTGTCTATGCTATCGATCAACGTGCAGGTCAGATGGTCGTGACTTTCCCTCAAGCGTATCACGCTGGTTTCAACCACGGTTTCAATCTCAACGAAGCTGTCAACTTTGCACCTGTTGACTGGGAACCTTTTGGTGAAAGTGGTGTACAANGGCTCCGCGACTATCGTCGTCAACCATGTTTCTCCCACGACGAGCTCCTGCTGACAGCTGCTGCTCGCGATCAATCTATCAACACTGCAAAGTGGCTTGCCCCGGCCTTGGAGAGGTTGCTCGAGAAGGAGCTGAATGCTCGCAAACACTTCCTTGAGCAGCCTGATAATACCGAGCCAACAGACGACACTTACCAAGGTGACAGATACAGCGACAAACCCGAAGTCTTCACGGAGGATATGGACGAAGAGGAATATGTCTGTAGCTTCTGCAAGTGTTACAGCTTCCTCTCACGATACGTTTGCAAGAAGTCGGGTAAAGTCATGTGCTTGCTACATGCTGGGGCATACGAATGCTGCGACTCGAAAGAATCGGATCGTTACGCCAGCCCAGCTCATGACCATGTCCTCTCTCTTCGCATGACAGACAAGGAGTTGAAGTCAATGGTGCAGAAAGTGGTTGACCGAGCTAAGCTCCCTGAAGCTTGGGCACAGAAGGTCGATGATTATCTTAGCCAGGAACCTCGTCCGTCGCTGAAAATCTTGCGCTCACTGCTCAACGAAGGTGAGCGCATTCCCNTTGACATCCCGCAGCTCGCAGACTTGAAACGCTACGTTGAGCGTTGCAATGATTGGGTGGAAGAGGCCACCGTTTACATCACTCGTAAGCAGCAGAACAGAGCTAAGGGAAAGTCTTCCCGCAAGAAGTCGATGGTTGCTGAATCGGACGAGCGCGACAAGGAGCTTCGTAACTTCGAGAACATGCAAAAGCTTCTCGCCACCGCTGACGAAATTCATTTCGATTGTCCCGAGTACAAGACCTTGCGTGAAAGAGAAGCCGACATCAACGACTTTAAAGCAAAGGCGGTCGCTATCTGCATGGGTCAACAACACCACCCACGCTCCACCCAAGAAATCGAGGAAGTGTTTGAAGTTGGCAAAGGTCTCAATATTGATCTACCTGAGCTCGACAACCTTGAGAAGCTGCTGAATCACGTCAAATGGCTTGACGAGGCTCATACTCGTCCGGTCCATCTCCTGACTCTTCAGGATGTTGACGCTTTCATCAACCGTGGTCTGGAGATTGGTATTCCCGAGACAAATCCGCATATACTTCGCCTGCGAGACGCAAAAACACAAGGCGAGTATTGGGAATCCAAGGCCAAGGAGATCATGGGCGTCGAAAATGTTCATTATCAGCAACTGGACGCTCTTTCGAAGCAAGCAGCTGGTCTGCCTGTCACTCCAGAAACACTTGCAAGAGTCGACGCTATACTCAAGAAGCAGCGCGAAGCTCAAGAAAAGATTCTTGCCCTCTACCAACAGAGCAAGAATCCTGATTTCAGATCACGGCCGATGTACAAGGACGTCAGAGATGTGATGGCATCTCTCGAAGAGTTGAACAACAAGCCTGCTGGTACTGTTGACCTCGAGAAAGAGCAACGTCGCCATGAAGACTGGATGCGCCGCGGCAAGAAGTTGTTCGGCAAAGCCAATGCGCCGCTGCACATCTTGCACCAGCACATGAATTTGGTCAAAGAGAGAAACGATGCATGTTTCGAGCTTCGTGATAAGCCAAGGATGCCGGTCGAACCTTCTTCGAGGGAACACACTCCGGAGCTCGACACCAAGAACAATTTCCCGGATGTCTTCTGTCTCTGCCGCAGACCTGAAGCTGGTATGATGATCGAGTGCGAATTGTGTCACGAATGGTAAGTCTCGAGTCCAGGTTCAGCAAGGTTTGCATTACTGACATCTATATGTAGGTACCACGGAAAGTGTCTCAAGATCGCACGCGGCAAGGTCAAGGAAGACGACAAGTACACTTGCCCAATCTGTGACTGGCGTCTGAAGATCCCTCGTGATGCTGCTCGCCCCAAGCTCGAAGAGCTTATTGCCTGGCAAGACGAGCTAGAAACTCTGCCATTCCAGCCCGAGGAAGAGGAAACCCTTACAAGCATTATCGAGACAGCTCAAGCCTTCAGAGATTACATTCGCCCATATGTCAACCCCTTGACAGTCTCTCCAGACGAGGTCACTACACTTCGCTTCTACCTGCGAAAGGTCGAAGGTGCCGATATTCTTCTTGCCTACGAGACCAATTTCCTACGTCAAGAACTGCACAAATCAGCGCCTGTAGCTCCAGAAGCTCCGCCAGTCATTGACTCCTCTGCTTCCACCCGCAAGCCTCGTCCTACAAAGCAACAAAAGCTCATGGCATCGTTGGGTATCACTAATCCTGATGATCTTCCTCCTCAGTACAAAATCAAGCCTCACAAGCGCAAAGGAAGCGAAGCACAACACAAACCACCTCAACCACTCCAACCTGCCGGTTCTCCTGCTGCTCATACGCCGTCTAGCATGTCGACCGCGACACCCGGGCCTCCTAGCAGTAGGCCAGGCTACCCTCAACAGACTCCATCTTTCAGCTATCCTTCATCTCAACCTCAGTCTATGGTCAATTCAGGTTATCGCGATTCGCCGCTGTTCGCACCGCCCTCTTTCGGCCTGCCACCACTTCGTACTCCAGACGAGCCCTCGAACACTGTCAATCCTGCACAATTCGCTTCGAACAACTACGCATCTCACACGTCTCCACCACCGCCACCAAACTTTGCGGTACCACGGTCACCGCCCCAGCACCCTCCAATGTTTAGCACAGGAATGAATCTGGACCCTGCTCTCTTTACTGCTGGTGGAGCCATGTTTGACAAGCGGCCTAGCTCGTCTGGTAGCCCCAGGTTGGTTCACACTGAAGCAAGTCCATCTTTCAGCAGTCCCCAGACTAGCAACACGAACGCCAATCTTGACTCTATTTTTGCGGACATGGTACACAACGACGAAGACCATGCCACTTTGGGCCATGAAGGAGAGAACCAGCTTGCTGGTGAAGCTTTCGCTGCTGGTGGACACGGTCAAGACCATGCAGACGACACGCACATGGATGACTTTGTGAACAACGAGTAGTATGACAACCACGGGCTTTGGTCTCACGACCATTAGCGGTGACTTTTGCTTCGGCTTCTTGTTTCTTCTATTCATTGTCGATTCTTGCTGTGGCTACTGGCCTATCTTTGCAAAGCGGCATCTCTTATTCTGTATTTCAATCTTCATGTGAAAGGAGTATGACGGCTTGGGAAGGGGCTTAAAGCTCAAGGGAAGAGCTTTTGTCTTGTTGTACGATAACTCGCTGCCACCATTTTTGCTTGCCCTTAAAATTCTTAGCTTTTCTTCCACATTACACACTGATTGAGACCTTCTATTGATTCGCTGTTCCTGCCTATGTAAGAACTTGTTTTACCGTCGTGGTCCAAATTCGATCACACACAACGGTTTCTTGTCACTCCAGCTGCGAGAACCAGTACAAGCTAACTGAACGTGGCTAGCTGGTTCCCACTGAGTCACGTGTGATAAACTACTATCGCACGTGACGATGCAGAAAAGAGCATTCCAGATGACTCTCGAAAGCGTGGAATGTCGTCTATTTGCTTTACTCTTCAAGAAAGCTTCGGAGGTGCAGAGAGTAGATCCACTACATAGCCATGGGAGTGAGACAGCCATGGTCTGATTCAATAACTCGAGTTAGTCAAGGTCAACCACAAAGGGCTGCTCTATGCCAGTCACGCACAGCAACATGAAATCGTGACTGGAAAGCAATTGAACCTACTCATTAAACTAGCTAGAATTTGCAAGGTATGGTACAAGAACACAAATTTCAACGCCAGCTCCATCAAACCCAGGTATAGCCCTGTTTGTATCTCTGTCAGACAATGCCGTTGCTTGACGTCAAAGACACACAGATTGCTCCCTCGATATACATACAATTAGGAAACCTTATGTATCGTTCATATTCGCCCTATTCGCACAAGAGTAGTGAATCCTTGTTGTCCGTTCGGCGAGTCCCTAGGGTACTTAATTTCACGTCCCAGAGCACCAGTCAAACTTTGGACAAGGCCTGCAGTACTAGAAACTCTTGTAGAGGTCGACGTGGTGCTTGAGCTTGTTGCAGTTGATACTGAGGACGATCGTGAAGAAGTAGACGATCCAGCTGGTGCTAAAGATGGCTGACCCGAGCCAATGCCCAGTCCTGAAGCCAGCGCGAGCGACGACGTCGGAAGCAGGCCGGTACTGAGAGCCGTGATTGACAAGCCATTTGATGTCACGCTTGCTATCAATTGACTTCCCAGATCCAATCCTGCCAAAAGACTTGTTGTACTCACTCCCAGGATAGGACTTTGAGTACGACTCATGCTAGATGACCCGACAGACAAGCCGAGATCAATGCCTGCTGCGATTGAAGGTGTGACTACAACCGATGCATCTAGCAATGTGAGCGCGCTACTACTAGGTCGAAGATTGAGATTGAGGTTGGCGTTGGCAGATGCTGTGATGGTTGCGTCGACGCATAGATTGAGAACATTGCCACCAGCTGAGCAGTTCGAGGTTGATGTTGAAGCCATATTGCTAGACAGTGGTCCCGCTGTGTTAGAACCAAGACCAAGGTTTGCCCCAAGGGTCGCATTTGCAACTAAGGCTATGACACTCGTACCAGTTGAGATCCTGACATCGACACCTGCTGTTATGGATGGCGCGATCGCCAAAGAGGCCGATACATCAACTAGTGTGATAGTGCTACTGCTACTCACAGCAATGCCCGCATTGCCATCAGCTCCGATCGAGGGAGTAACAGCAGCGTCTATGCAGATATTGAGCGCGTTCCCGCCGGCGGAGCACGATGTCGATGGTGAAGAAGTAGCTGTAGTTGACTGCTGCAAGCCACCAATGCCAGGACTAACGCCTATGCTGGCACTTGCTCCTATCTCAACATCCCCTGTCCCAATAGATATGCCCACGTCCGCAGTTGCTGCAGCAGAAGGCGCAATTCCCAGACTTATCGATGCATCAACAACTGTAATGGTGCAACTCCCAATGCCCACACTGACTGCACCTCCAACGCCAACAGAGGGCGTGATAACTGCATCGAGGCAAATGTCAAGGACATTGTCAAAGATGGAACAGCTAATTGATGAGGATGAAGCTGCGCTCGATGCAGTCCTAATATTGGTGGTGGTCAAGAAAGACGTACTATTGGTGGTGGTTGGAGATATGATGTCCGTGACAGAAGGTGTGAAAATGGTCGAGGTCAGATACGATAGACTCGCTGCACCATTGTCATCTGTAGCAATGGGTCCTATACTACTGGTTGTAGCTTCAGAAGTCGTTCCTGGATCGCTCGTGGTTGTCGTTCTTGACGTGTCTTCTGAGGCCAGATCGGACGCAGCAGATAGCAACTGTACAGTGCTTTGGTAACTTGTGCTCTGAGTGACGTCCTCAGAATTCACAGACGTTTCGGTCGGAACGATAGTAGTCGATACCTCGGCAATTGATGGCAAATCTGGAGGTGGAGTTGCTGATGTTGTTGTCGAGAAACCAGGTGCATCTTCAGTCGGTGCTACAGAACCCGTCGTTTGTGACACAGAAGAACTAGTGATAAAGGTCGCGCTGCTCTCTGAAAGACCTGAGGTTCCAGCTGGTAGTGATCTGATACCAGACACCGCTCCTCGAGTTGACGGTTGGAAGGAGAAGTCAGAAGCAGATGTGCCTGTCTCCAAGTAGCAACTGCTACTATACGTCCACGCGGTACAGCTTGGGAGCTGATCACAATAAGTCATACAGTCATTGAAGTCTGGTGCAGTAGCCACAAGAACATCAAATCCTGAGGTTTCTTCGCTACAGCCTATTATATATGAACCTCCGGTGTTGGCTTGGACCTGTTCTCCGTTGACTGCAGGACAGGAGTAGTTGGTCTGAGGCAAGCTAGAAGGTCCAGCAAAATACGAAGTGGTGCTGACTGTCGAATAGGAAACAGCATTGGTAGTGGAGAAGAACACAACATTGGCAGACGAAGCAAGGTCCGAAGGAAGAGAACTAGCCGGAAATGAAGTATAATCGGAGGATGAAGCACCTACAAGCACGGAAGATGTTTGGCTCGCGGCTGAGGTCGGGCGAAATATGACGCTGACACCACTACTGGTAGCAGAGGGTGAGACACTTTGAGGTGATGCCGTGTTCGTCGAAGCTTCTGCGCTGGAGATGGTGGATGAAGAGATGGTTTGGCCAGCACTAGAGAGCGGTGGACTTAAGATTGTTGTTGGCCTCTGAGATGGCCGATCTATGATAGTCGGGGCGTTATCCATCACCGAAGATCGCATGCTTGATGATGCACTGGAGCTGATGGGTATGCCATTTGATGTTCTTATATTAGGGTCAGGTGCCCCTGATCTGGTTAAGATTGACGTAGGGACAACTTGAGTATTAGAAATGGTGGGCGCACTTGCCGCCACTGAATAGCTCAAATTCGCAGAGCTTGCTGTTTGACCCTGCGCCGCACTGCTTGAACTCGCGGACAAAGGTCCCGTACCACTGCTTGATGGCAATATATTTGCTGAGCTTGGTGACATAGCAAGAATACTTGTACTGGATGTTGTGTTCGATACAATCGATGTGATTATGGTCGAAATTACTGCTACTGTTCCACTCGATTCTTGGACAGCGTCACTGGATGCAGCAAAAGTAGCCGAAACCTCCTGGATCGATGGATTTGGAGTCCTGGAGACATCGACTGGTAGGGATTTCACCAAACTTGTGCTTCTGTAGGGAGGAGAACCACTCGAAACAGGTTGTGCAACCCTTTTCGCTAGCAGAATGGCAGTTGTGACATTGATTTGAAGGATTCCGTCGTTAGAATTCCTGGAGCTGACTGTCGTACATGACCCATTCTGGAAAGTAAAGCCGGAGCAGTCGTCAACATCCGAACAGATCTCAGAACAAGACGCTAAATCACTGACAGCGAAGCTTGAGCTAATGTTGCTGCTCGTAGGGAAGAATGTGTCGCAAAGAATCTCATACACCGATCCAGAAGAATCTACCAGTCGAGTGCCATCAGCACCAGGGCAGATGTAGTCAGCTAAAATGGCCGAATCTGAAATTTCAGAGCCCACACGATTGAGAGCACTGCTCTTGTAAGAGCATAAGCCAGATGCTGCAGTACGTGAAACTCCTATACATCCTTGAACGTCACTGCAAGCATCCACGCAGGACTGTAGTTGTGACTGGTATGTTGATCCGATGGTTGCGTCTAGTTCATCAGTGTTGCAAAGTAGCTGGTAGACCCGATTGACGGTATCCGAGTAGTACATCCCATTATCCCTGGGACATGTGTAGACAGGGTTAGCGGTTGTGGTGGCTATGCTGGTGGAGCTAGCTGTTATCGTGATAGCCTGTTCCGAGACAGTCGACATACTTGATTGTGATGCAAATATAAGACCGCTAGGCGTGCCGGTAGGGAGATTGGGTCCATCTTGACTCAACGATACTGAACCGAGAAAGTACAGTGACGTAGACAGCAAAGTGGTCGATAAACTCATACCACCGATGGTGTGTGAAGTACTGGTCAATGCTGGAGGAAGGACGACATCTACGGAAGATCCTGATGGTAATTGATTTCTACTCTGTATGGCAGAAGAGCTTGAGAAGCTCAAGGTAGTTATAGCTGCGTCTGGGCTTTGAGATCCATTGAGAGAGCTTGTTGTTCCAGCGCTCGTTTGACTGACCGCTGTTGAAAGCCTAGTAACCTGTGAGGCGTAATGGTCGACTGGAAAGATACTATAGGATGTGGAGACCGTGTCATCGGCACCAGTGACGATCGTAGACGACACGGAAAGTACGACAGTGGACCTTTGGCAGACACCTGAGAGGATCAGATTGAGTTTACCATGTTTTCGGGTCACTCACTGTCCGCAAGTCTAGTCGGAAGAAGTTGTGTTGTGTTCTGCAGAACTAACGGCACGATAGTGGTTCCTAACAACATGTTGACCCAGCAATGAGAGACGTATCTTCGATGGTCTTTCTGAAAGCGGGATAGAATCGATAAGATGAGCGCCATGGATATATGTTGCCCACTCAACGATCTGTCAAGAGATTGGAATATCGAGTCAAATTAGATGAAGCTTTCCTTGGTATGAACATACATGCTATATGATCAAAACAAACACAACCAATTAATCACACAAGGCTCTGCTAGGGTTATTGTAGGCGGGTACGATTGAGTATCGAGTCCAGGGGTTCCTCATTGGGGCGTCCGATGTATGCAAAGCTCATTATACCAGGCAAGTGCAGACGAACCTAGCCTCGTGTTCCTACTCGCTATTGGACGCGATTGTCCTCTGTGGTACCAGGAGGATAGGGCAAGCATATGAGGTGTGGTAATGTACTCGGGGACGCCGACGGCGGAGTAGCAAGCCACGTGCTTTCTTTCCGCCGGCATACCGAACCCATCTTCGGCCAGGAATGCAAGGTCAAGCCTTCTACGGCCTATCTCATCTTCGGCCCGAATCGCATTGCATTCCTCCGGTTTTGAGATGTGGCTAGCCGATGAAGCCGAAAATGCTGAATGAAATTTGTTTGAGCAATCCAGAGCACTCTGAGTGCTATTCAGGGTCGAGTGTTGGCAAGCAGTTGACCAACGATACCATCAAAGATTGTAAATAGAGAGCAACTCTGGTATTTTTCAACCAAAGATCCAGTATCGTGCTCAGGCATGGCTGTCTGCTCAGACATTTCCTGACCAGCGACAACAGTGCCTTCAGGGTAGGTTGGTCGTTTTCCCTCTTCGATAAGAGCAATGAATGCCGGATCGATAGGTACACTGCCAAGGAAGGGAACATTGAAGTCTTTGGCCATTACTTGCCCACCACCCTTTGAGAAGACATTGGTGCATTCCGCGCAATTAGGGCATACGAAGCCGGCCATGTTCTCGACAACACCTAGGATGTCGATGCCAGTCTTCTTGCAGAAGTTGATCTCCTTCCTTACATCCGAGACACTGATTGCTTGTGGAGTAGTCACCACCACTGCTCCAGAAACCTGACCAGGAGCTGCGTTCTTCATGAGAGTCTCGACAAGTGAGATATGTTCGTCTGAGGTACCAGGAGGTGTATCGATCAGGAGATAGTCCAACTTGCCCCAGTGAACGTCTGAAAGAAATTGGCGGACCATGGCTGTCTTCTTTGGTCCACGCCATACCACTGCATCATTCCGGTTACCAAGAAGGAAGCCTAGCGACATGCAGTGGAGAGAACCAATAGGCTTGCTGTCGTCCGATGTGCTCGAAGTCGCGTCTTTGGTCTCATGCACAGGCACAGGAAGCCAGCCACCTGGTGCTTGCTTGACCTTCGAAGACTCAATACCAAGGAATCTAGGCATAGAAGGTCCAGTCAAATCAATGTCCAGTATGCCAACCGAGTGTCCTCTCAGTGAGAGAGTAAGAGCCAGCTGTGTAGTGACGCTTGATTTTCCAACGCCTCCCTTGCCGGAAAGCACGAGGATAATCTCGTTCACATTCGAAAGAGACATTTTGCTTGATGGCGTCGAATGCGAGCAATCAAATCTGACTTGTTTTCTCAACCTGACACGAAAACTTTTGTGTCCTGCCAGATGCTCGTGGTGCTTCGAAGAAGCGCGATGATGATTACCAATTCGGCGGCGAGCCACGGCGATGACGGAGCATTTTCTCTTGGCGTTCACCAGCAACCTCAACCCATCATCGACCACTTCACCTCACTCCACATTTCCGACAACTCAAGCTTTGCCACATGCAGTGCATCGATACACTGTCAGAGCGATGCCTGGTGAACATAGGCTACTGCTCTCAGTCGTCTAAAGGCATCGCGGGTCCACCGAATATGTACAAATGGTTCAATACGCTGAACATAGACACCTTGACCGACGTGATTGAAAAAAACTGCTCTGTATGGTTGCTATAGACCATATTGCTTAACCTTAATCTAGAAGGGATGCCAGTCACTAGTCCAGAAGCCGCGGTCTGACCAAAAAGAAAGAAATGATATCAGCCTCTCCCATGCTCTGCACTTGCCTGCAAAAGAGAAGACCGACAGGAACGACACAGAGAGTTCGAAGCGACAAAGACGCTGGTTGGCATACCACCGCCATAGAAGAACAAGTCCAAACTGTCGAGAGTCTGCACTGTTATCAGGGTAGACTCTACATAAGAGCACCAATCGAAAAGAGCCATTAGTCCATCACTTGAGCGGTAAGCATAACCGAATAAGGGGTCAATGCAGGCGTCTCTTGCAAGTAAACAGGTCGAGCCACGCCTAATTCTGGTTGTGAGAGTGCCTGTGAGAGAACGACCTGCCCCACGTAGTGGCAGCACGCAGAAGAGTCGCACCCCTGCGACGCTGGTTCTGACGAAATGTGCGACGCTCGGTGGTTGTCTACCACAAACGGCCAATGACAGATCCTTGGTCGTCGACATGGTCATACGGCTGAAGATTGTGCTGATAGCGTTGCCAGGCTGTCATGTTGAGGCGCCTCTGCTGAACTGCCTGCTGATCAGCGGTCAATCCAGCCCAGTGGGAGTTTTCAACTGAGGTAACAGTGGAAGCAGCATCAGCCGCATTGGACGTAGTAGGAGCAGCGTCGTGAGCAACATCAGGAGCATTGGGAGCATCGGGAGCGTCGGGAGCATCATTGGTAGCAGAAGAAGCAGACGAATCTCGTTCGGGAGTATCGTCATGTTTTACAGACTGTGAGGATGGCGAGTCAGAGGCTCGCTGGCCACCAACATTGACGATTGGATGGGTCGACAACAACAGTAAACTCGCAGCAGCCTCAAGCGTATCATCGTCGACAAATGTCTCAGGTGCAGAAGTTGCGTTGGCATCATCTGAGGTCTGGGCTGGGTCCCACACAGCATCTGCCATGGACAGCAGAATCAGGGCAGCCTGGACCATTTCAAGTTGCTTCTCATCGGTGCCATCCATGTTGGTGATAAGCTCAGTAATATCGATACGACTGAGTTGCGAGGACTGTCATCCCAGCTATATGAAGCATTTCGATATGGTGTGGTAAGAACTTGACCATTCCAACTCAGCATGGTTTCTTCTCACTTCTTGTAGACGGACGTGGAAGCATTCGGTTTTGTGTAGACAATGGTCCCGAAGTAGGCTTTGAAGACCAAGAGACACATACTTACTCAAGACACATTGCGTGTGAGACAACAATACATTGACATCGGTCAAACGCACGATGGGAACAACATGAATAACAGTATCAGGGGGCGGTGGGTAGGCTTTTGGAGAACAGCATATTGTACAGCCTATACCGTGTTCGGGAGTTGATGAGGGCACCATGACAGGGTGACACACTCAACATTCTATTCGAGTGGTTCATAGCAACTCAATCAGTCGTGAATGAAGGACAAACGAGATCCGCAGGCTCTAAGCACTTTTGAAGTTCTCTAAATGAGTACAGCCCAAACATCATGCCGGTGAATGACATCCCCCTTGGTGAACTTGCCGTCATGATTGCCATGCTTATTGGCTTGGACCACTTGTATTACGAACAATGTGTCAACTTTGTCTCGGCTGCTACCGAGATTCTTGGAGAGTGTTTGAGACCATTACTTGTTACTGTCTGAGCGCAATGCCGAGAGTCTATGGTTTCAACGCAGTCCAAAGGTGGAAAGGTTACATTTCGCTCATTGAGGCGGCCAGAGTGACTTGGTCCTTAATATGGTCGATAGCCATTACCGCGATCCCACCCTCGACCCCGTCCACGCCAGTTTCCTCCTCCCCTACCTCCCTGCATTTCATCACCTCGCCACCCTGTATTGTTCCCGCGACCATAGTCGTTCTGTCTGTAGTTGGGCCCAGCGATGTGTGGTGCATCTCTGTTCGGCGGTGGCACGTTTGGCGGAAAACCTGTATGGAAAGCTGGAGGCTGAGCCAATTCTGGCGGAGGTGGAGGCATCCAGTTCTGTGGACGCTCTGGTCCATTGGATGGATTCTTCTCAATATTCTGGAAGATTTTCATGAATGGTACGCTGAAACCATAGTATCCTTCGACCACTTTGTACTTGGGCCTGTCTTCGCTGCTCATTGGATCTTTGGTTAGCCGAAGACCCAGACCGTTGAGGACAAAATCGTCCTCGTCTGCCGTCGTAGATATGTTGGGTATCGCATTGATGTCCTTGCATTCCTCAATGTGATCGAGAACTGTTTCCATCATGTCAGGGTCGACCGAACCAGTAGGCATATCGAGCGGTTTGATTTGAGATGTTCTGACAGGATGGCCGGGTTTCGTTGTCTTCATTGCATGAATCATGGTTCCGACGGGAAGATCGAACCAGGCATCCCTTGGTAGTCCGTGGGTATTCGGAATGTCATCTTCAACATCTTTGGAATATATCTTGGTGATCAGGTTTTGATAGTGCGATGGGTAGGCCCTTGCTGTCGAGTCCAGCCACTCGATATAGGCTTTTCGTGCGATATTGCGGAGTTCTAGACGTATGCGCTTGGTGAACAAGCGCTCTTGACTCCAGTGATGCAGTAAACAGGCCAGATCTTGGTGAAGAAGAAGAGCCTGGACACCGCGACTGGCAGCTGCAGTTGAAACGAGTTGGACAACGGTTGGTTCGATAGCTTTGGCAAAAGTCAAGTAAGTTTCAAGCGGCTTGCGAAGTAGTCGGCCTGGATTCTCACGAATGCGCAAGAAGATGGCATCTATCAGATGTAGCAGACCAAAGGCAATTTGAGCGCGGGATAGGGCAGATTTTTCCAAGTCAGAGTGGGTGTCCAGTGGTAGCAGAGAATCAGAAAGCTTTAGGAGATAGTCTCCAAAAGCAGCAACCCTGCGGCGGGACTTGGCAACATGGCATACGATCCAGGCTACGCACTTTTTGAACNNTGGGATCAGTTTAGCGATGGATGCGATTCAGAAGATTTTTGACTCGGAAAAGACCTCTTTGGTGCAGCGGGTAGTGTCGTTCAAGGCGAGCTGTAGCAGATTATGGAAATTGTTGACATCGGAGGCATCGAGGGTCGACCTCTTGGACTGTCCAGTAGTTAAGCAGCCGACGAGCTTGCCTTTTGCAAGGAGTAATCCAACATCAGCTTTGGATGTTTGAGCGGTCCTGGGGTCCATGATGGATGGAGGTTGGTATGGCAGTGTGTCAAGGCTTGAAGACTGAAGGAGGGATGGAGCGTGCAGCAAGTTGTGGCTGATGAGCGACCACGGCTCTGACCAGACCTTGTTGCAAACGCTGGACGTTAGAGAGTACTTGTAGGCTATAGCGTTCGAAACGTTGAACAAAGGACAGTTTTCCCTCTGTGACTGTGTAGATATCGACTTAATCAGACAACAAATGCTGTAGCAGAAGAATGGGCTGGGCTGGTGCTGGACAGGCGGGCACAAAAGTCTCGGCTCGTGGGCCGACGGAGAAGCAAGGCCAGCCTCCATCATCCAGGGTCTCCTCGGTTCAATGTTTGGTCGAAGAGCGCTACGTCACATTCAAATGATTGCTACTCATATCCTGTCCATGCTGTCTCTGTCTATTAGGAAATTGACCATCCTCTCGACCTGAAAGACTCGGTTCGCGCCGTACCTAGTCTAGAGCCGCCGTCGCACCTTCGGACAGCTCGGTCAGCCTGTCACGACATCATGGGCGCCGTCCAGAGTGATCTTAAGTCCAACATTGTCCAGGCCTCTTCCGGCGATGTTGCCATTCCCTCAACCTTGACCGAATTCTGGCAGACTGTAACTACCTTCGATCCTCGTCTCTTCCCAGCCTAACCCCTGCTGACACGCTGTCAAATCAGTNTCTGGCAACGACCAGAAACCGCCGAACATGTCTTCGAGACCATCACCCCATCCGATCTGCGCACTATGCGCGACGACCCCAAGTCCTTCAAGAACTTCGAAACCCTAATTTTGACCCTTACCCTTCACTTGATCGATCTGCGCTGGGCCGAAGACTCTCTCTTTGAANAAGATGCTGCTGCCTTCATACGTGAGGCTCTAAATTGCGTCCGCACTCTCACAAGAGTCCTTCCTTTCGTCTACGAATGTGACCGCTTGTCTAGCTGGGAGCAGTCCTTTNTCTGGGAGCCCACCGACAAGCTGTCTCAGCCCACCATCTCCCGAAACATCTCTGGTGAATCTACCACAGCTGAGAGTCTGGACCACTCAACCAGATCGTCACACCGCGAACCTTCGACATGCCTTGGTGTCGAGCTCATTGATACCCTTCTGGACCTGGCCTTCTGGTCGGGCTTCACCCTCNCTATCAATATGAATGGCAAAAACGGTCCTACTTATGGCTTTTGGCAAAGTGGAATCGCCTACGAGCGACGTTTAGAAACCAGCAAAGAATTTGAGAGCAGGAGGACTGAGATCATGCAACTTCTTCTAGTCCTGGAGAGCAAGTGCATCTACAAGCCTACCAACGCCTTCACCACCTTTGGTGGTGAGGCAATTGACTTCATCTCCAATCATCACGACCGCAAGAAGGTCCAATACCTCCTGTGTTCTCTCTTGAACACCGTCTTGAAGTATCAACCCGACGCCCGATACCTCTCGCCATCACCCAGAGAGGTACACGAAACTCATGTTCGCACATGCCTGCACTTCCTACAGGTCAATCTTTTGAATAGGACACCTTGGGCTGAAGGTTCTGCTCCACCAGACAATCGGTTCCGTGATCTTTTCTCCCACCTACACAAAGCAACACACCTCCAGTTTCTGGCCGATGGCATACTGAAGATACTGCGGCAACCGCTCGAAGCGAACAGTAACGGATTGAATATCGTACAAAGACCGCTTGTTTGGGCACATGAGATTGTGCCACTCTTGTGGGAATCTCTGTATTCGAACAAATACTTTCGTGCATTCATTTGCGAGACTGGTCGCCAGTTCGAGCTGACTGTATTTCTCCTGTTCTATATTTTGGACCCCAACAAGAATGTGGAAGGAGTGAAACGAGTGAGTCTGCTGTGTGTACAGACTATGAGCGAGAATCGAGAATACGCCATATCCTTGAACAAGCAGTTCGAGGGTCATGACAATCTTCCATCGTTCATGCAGATCAAAAACTTCCACGGCTCTTATGCCGATTATCTATTTACTGTAAGCACCCAGCGCGCTCCTGATCCTCACCGTTTACTGACACACTTCAAGTGGTTACTCACTCTTCTAAGACCCAACAAGAATGGCCACTTAGACGCTATGGCTGCTGCGCTAGTTGGAATCATTGTCAATGTGTCTCCATACATTTCTCACCTTGGCCGGGCAACAAGTCTGAAACTGATCCAACTGGTGGACCTTTATACGCGAAACTCTTTATCGACTAGCGTTGAGATCAACGCCATGGTCTTGACTCATATGGTCCGCGCAGTGAACTCGATGCTGGAAGAATACAAACCCGGAGCAGGTTCGTTACATTTGCCTAGTTGGGGAATCAACACTGACATCTCTACTGCAGAAAACGAAAACTTACTTTGGGCCATATGGAAATATGGAACTACATTCGAACATCTAGCAGACCTCAGGATGGAAGTTGATTCAAGCTTCAAACAAGTGATGGAGCAGATTCGTGAAAGCGGCATTACAGAGCCTACATTGTGCCCGGATGGCACTGTGCTGCATCCCTTGATCGCGGCTAGTGATATAGCCAACCTGGACAAAGACAAGGCCCCTCGACCACGTCTTGGAAGAGGACGCACATGGCTAGAACTTCGTGATATCTACAATCCGACAACATCTCCAGTAGTGCCTCCGGTAGATGATATGCCGCCGCCTAACGGAGATAACGTCGCAGAGAAACAGCCTTCGGTATCTTCAAGGGCTGTGGGCAAACAGCCCGAAAAAGGCAAGGAGTCTGCAGATTTCGAAGAGGAGAAGGCAAGAGCGCTGACCTCACCAACCACAGACATGGATATAGTAAGTTTGCACGACCACTTGGGTATGATATGTACTGACCAAAGACAGGTCCGAACATGGGTTCCACAAATGCCTCTCCTCACAGCATTGTCGCTTCTCCTAGCGTTACAAGCATGGACAGCAAAGTTGTTGGAAGAAAGAGGTATGGAGGGCAGCCAAGAAGCTGTCGACGGGTTGGGCATGGATGAAGTGTTGCAACCAGTGCGTAACCTGGGTCGTATCTCGGTGGAGACGACGACTCGAAACATCCACACGTTCCCCATGACGGCCCNNCCCTTCTCGGAGGCCTACGCAGCTTTCTACTGGGGTCTCGTGGTCTCCCAAGATCTGCAACATGCGTCAACGTCTGGAAGTGGTATCTGGAGCAGCACAAATGTCAAGTTGTTCAAGATTCGGGCTGGCGAGGTTGTGCCGCCAAGCTTGTTGAGTCCCAAGGGAGCAGTGGACGCGCTGGGAGAGAGCTTGGTAAGTGGTGTACAAAACCTGGCATTGAAGTTTCGACAGCAGCTGAACGGTAGCTCTGAGGCATGATCATGAGCGGGGCAGGGCAGGGCAGGTAATTCTTGGACAATGCATTGACGGCTGGGCGATTGCAAAATAGATACCCAGGGAGTTTCAATGGCGCGAACGGATATATGAGCAAATTATAGGCAGATCTCAAAATCATTCATGCATACTGGCACTTTTGAGGTACATGTTCTGAGACAGAATCTTTTCAGCTTTGATTGTAGTTGCTGTTTGCCAGCTGTGTATCTACAGGCTCAAGAGAGACATTTAAGGCTTCTCGTAGATCCAGTCGTTCTGGGCGAGCTTCCAGGAGTTGAGCTCGTCCTTCTTGAACCAGAGGGCGATCTCCTTCTGGGCGTTCTCGACGGTGTCGGAACCGTGGCAGACGTTGCGGCCGACGTCGATGGCGAAATCGCCACGGATGGTGCCGGGGGCGGAGGCGAGGGGNTTGGTGGCACCGAGGAGGGTACGGCCGGTCTTGACGGCGTCACGGCCCTCCCAGACCATGGCGCAGATGGGGCCAGAGTTCATGTCTACGGTCCAGTGTAAGCGGCTGATTTTCAGCTTCTAAGGATATGGATTTACGTACAANGAGATCAAACCTCTGAAGAAAGGCTTGTCGCTGAGGTCAGAGTAGTGCTTCTCGAGGTGCTCCTGGCCAGGGGTGGCTGCATTGACGTGTTAGTGTACGTCCTAGGTGACAGAACATGGTATGAGAGACTGACTGAGCCTGTGCGTGGGTTAGTATACTGTCTATCGTCGTTTAAACCGGGCGACATACTTAATGGCGGCCATCTTGAAGCCTTTNTGCTCAAAGCGAGAGATAATTGGGCCTATCAAGCCGCGCTGAACACCGTCCGGCTGCGTGCGCGCGTTAATATAGACGTTCTAACGATATAGAGGAGTTGCTTTTGCTAAGGTCGCTTTTGGGAGAGAATTTGGTGTGGAGAGCGGACTGAGCAGAAACGCACTCCCTGTAGCAGTGCGTGATACATACCTTGATGGCGATGAAGGTTTGCTCGGAGGACGACATTGTTGTAGATGTGATTGCTTGATTGACAGTGTAGAGCAAAGATCTATCTTTGGCAGGCAAGAAATTGGAATTCATGAGCAGCGGTCGAGACGGCGGAAACTGCCGAGTGCTTTGGCGGGGTCCACGTTTCAGCTCCTAATTGGTCAAAGCTCCTGCTGGTTCCTGCTTCTTTATGCATCAGCACAACCCCTAGCATAGGCATGCATTGACGTGCTTGATGCTGCCCCGGACTCTCCATCAAATGGACTTGCTGTAAAGTGTCCACTTGTAGCCACAATTGCGTTGGCATAACATGGCTGCTGCACTTATAGCATCTTCGTCCAGATGGGCACAGCTGCTTCTGCTGGCGGCAGCTCTATGCTGCCTGTTTTCTCCATCTGGTGAGTCCAACTTCTAGGGCATTACAGAAGGGTCAATAGCTTAACCCATCCAAGTGTCTGTGAAGCACGAGAACTTCAAAACGTGTGACCAGTCAGGCTTCTGTAAGCGTAACAGAGCCTACGCCGATTCTGCCGCCTCTCTATTCTCCTCATGGACTAGCCCTTACGTCCTCGACTCCGCATCTATCACCTTCTCCAATGGCCAGTTGTCGGGAACTATCCTCAAGACCATTGCAAATTCCGATGAAGCCGTTCGTCTGCCCGCCACCATCTCTTTCTTCGAATCTGGTACCGCCAGAATTACTGTTGATGAAGAGAAACGTCAGAAGGGAGATATCGAGCTTCGTCATGGCTCAAAGGCCCGGAAAGAGCGTTACAACGAGGCCGAGAAGTGGGCTATCGTTGGTGGAACCAAACTTAGCTCTGGTGCTGCAACTGCTAAGGATGCCGAAGCTGGTACCACTAGAATCTTGTATGGCCCTGGAAGCAAGTTCGAGGCCATCGTCACTCACTCTCCCTTTGGCATTGAGTTCAAGAGAGACGGTGAGACGCACATCAAGCTCAACGACAGAGGCTTGATGAATGTGGAGCACTGGCGCCCCAGAGTTGACAAGCCACAAGAGGAGAAGAAGGAAGGCGAGGCTGAAGCCGACGAGGCGAAGAAGGAGGTTACTGAAGACGAGAGCACATGGTGGGACGAGGCCTTTGGTGGAAATACCGATACCAAACCGCGAGGTCCTGAAAGTGTAGCTCTCGACGTTACATTCCCTGGTTACGAGCATGTCTTTGGTGTGCCTGAGCACACTGGACCCCTGTCTCTGAGACAGACTCGGTGAGTCTAGACTGTTTCCCTGTTATTTCCATCGTTCGAATGCTTATATGATATTATAGTGNGCGGCGAAGGTAACTTCAACGATCCCTACCGTCTTTACAATGCCGATGTTTTCGAATACGAGATGAACAGCCCGATGACACTCTACGGCGCAATCCCTTTCATGCAGGCTCACAAGAAAGACTCGACTGTTGGTGTCTTCTGGCTTAACGCTGCAGAGACTTGGATCGACATTGTCAAGTCCAAGTCGAGTGCCAACCCACTCAGTCTTGGAATTGGATCTCATACTGACACACAGACTCACTGGTTTTCTGAGTCTGGCCTGCTTGACATCTTTGTCTTCCTTGGTCCTACACCCAAGGACGTTATCTCATCCTTCTCCGAATTGACCGGTTACACTCAGTTGCCTCAGCAATTTGCCATTGCCCACCACCAATGTCGTTGGAACTACGTTACCGACGAAGACGTCAAGGATGTCGACCGCAAGTTCGATAAATCGCAAATCCCATACGACGTCATCTGGCTCGACATTGAATACACTGATGGCAAGAAATATTTCACCTGGGATCCTCTGACCTTCCCTAATCCGCTTGAAATGCAAAAGCAGCTCGATGACCACGAGAGAAAGCTTGTTGCTATCATCGATCCTCACATCAAGAACGAGGGTGGTTACTCTGTCGTCGACGAGCTCAAGTCCAAGGATCTCGCGACTCACAACAAGGATGGCAACATCTACGAAGGTTGGTGCTGGCCTGGCTCTTCTTACTGGGTTGACTGCTTCTCTCCTGCTGCCCGTAAGTGGTGGGCACAGCTGTTCCAGTATGCAAAGTTCAAGGGCTCTGCTCACAATCTTTGGTTGTGGAATGACATGAACGAGCCTTCTGTTTTCAACGGTCCAGAGACTACGATGCCTAAAGACAACTTGCACCATGGCAACTGGGAGCACAGAGATGTTCACAACCTCAACGGTCTTACACTTGTCAATGCCACTTTTGAAGGTCTTGTCGCACGCAACAAGGNNGAGGAAGAGAAGGCTGGAGGAGTCAGACCCTTTGTCTTGACTCGCTCGTTCTATGCAGGCTCGCAGCGTATGGGTGCCATGTGGACTGGCGACAACCAAGCAGACTGGGAGCACCTTGAAGCATCCCTGCCTATGATCCTCTCTTTGGGTGTCTCTGGTTTCCCTTTCGCTGGCGCTGACGTCGGTGGTTTCTTTGGCAACCCTTCCCGAGAGCTACTCACCCGCTGGTACCAGGCTGGAGCTTTCTATCCTTTCTTCCGTGCCCATGCTCACATCGATACTCGCCGCCGTGAACCTTACCTTCTGCCAGACCTCGAGAAAGGCATCGTCACACAAGCTTTGAGACTTCGTTACGCCCTCCTCCCTGCATGGTACACTGCATTCCACGCAGCAAGCAAGACCGGAGCGCCAATTGTGCAGCCTATGTACTACGCACATCCAGGAGATGAGAAGGGCTTTGCTATCGACGACCAGATGTATCTTGGATCGACTGGCCTCCTAGTCAAACCTGTTACCAAGGAAGGCTCAACCAGTGTCGATATCTACTTGCCAGATGGCGAGAAGTACTTTGACTACTCAGACTACACAAGTTACAGCGGTCCTGGCCATGTCAAGATCGAGGCGCCTCTGGAANAGATACCACTTCTCATGAGAGGTGGCCACATCGTTCCCAGACGTGATCGCCCAAGAAGATCTAGTGGGCTGATGAAGTTCGACCCTTTCACACTTGTTGTTGTTCTCGGTAACGATGGCAATGCAGAAGGCGAGCTTTACCTTGACGATGGCGAGTCTTACGATTACGAGCAAGGCGCATACATCCATCGCCGCTTCACATACACTGGCTCGAGGTCGTCGCTTGCATCGGAGGATGTCAGCACCAAGGACAAGAAGACGGCGCAATACCTTCAGCAGATGAAGAATGTCAGAGTAGAGAAGATTGTGATTGTAAACGCGCCGTCATCATGGAAGAGCAAGACAGAAGTTGATGTGTCGGAGGAGGGAGTTAGCAGTAGCGGTGAGAGCAAGAAGGCTGGATTCGGCTTTATCAGTGGGGAATCAGGCAAAGCAGATTGGGCAGTTGTTAGAAACCCAGGCGTCAGCATTGGCGGAGGGTGGAAGATCAGCTTCGCATAAACAGAAATAGAGTAGAGGTAGACAGAGTTCTACAGACATTGAACAGCGAGATGTTTGTCAATGATCCGACTGCCTACAGGTGTGGCTGTGCGCGAGGCAGCATGATAAGAAGAGAGGCTTGGAGCTGAACTTTAAATGTCTTCGGACGTGGAGAGCAATGGAGCAGCCAGCAACGAAACGTCACCCGCAAATTAGCCGCAGGTGAGGTGCGCAAGGTGCAATCAATCTACTCCGTAAGAGCCTAACTAAACAGTGACCCTAATTACACCGCAATTGTGTTTTTTTGCCCTTCTCTTCGTCAGACAATAGTCAAGACCTCTGCAACCCTTCTGCCAGGTCTCACTCCCAACACTCGATATCCACGCAACTAGCACTCGCGCTGCTCATCGCCAGACATGGCCACCAATGCCTCCGCGTAAGTCGGATCCAGGAGGCAGCAACCACCATTCGTGTCCACCTTCTGACCTGACCAAATAGAAGCATCAACGTTAACGACCCTGGTCTCATCACCCTGGTGAACAAGCTTCAAGATGTCTTCACCACAGTCGGAGTACGAGTCTGCCCCACTCAACACTTAGACTCGATGTTAACCTTGCGCCTTGCAGNNGTCCAAAACCCCATCGACCTTCCCCAAATCGCCGTCGTAGGCTCGCAATCAAGTGGAAAGAGTTCAGTCTTGGAAAACATAGTTGGCAGGGACTTCTTGCCTCGAGGAACTGGTATCGTAACCAGACGGCCGCTCATCCTGCAACTCATCAACCGAGCACCCGCCCCCAAGTCGCAAGAGAACGGCGCAGCTGCCGAGGCTGTTGATGGAGCTGCAGACAAAGAGTCCAACGTAGACGAGTGGGGCGAGTTCCTGCACATTCCTGGCCAGAAGTTCTACGACTTCAACAAAATCCGCGATGAGATTGTGCGCGAGACCGAGTCCAAGACTGGTCGCAATGCTGGCATCTCACCTGCCCCTATCAACCTGCGCATCTACTCGCCAAATGTCCTGACTCTGACGCTGGTCGACTTGCCCGGTCTGACCAAGGTGCCGGTTGGCGACCAGCCCCGCGACATTGAGCGTCAGATCCGCGAAATGGTCCTCAAGCAGATCAGCAAACCCAACGCTATCATCCTCGCTGTCACTGCTGCCAACACCGATTTGGCCAACTCAGACGGTCTTAAGCTGGCCCGTGAAGTCGACCCCGAGGGTCAGCGCACCATTGGTGTTTTGACCAAGGTTGATCTGATGGACGACGGTACCGATGTTGTTGACATTCTCGCGGGTAGAATCATTCCTCTGCGCTTGGGATACGTCCCTGTTGTCAACCGTGGTCAGCGTGATATTGAGAACAAGAAGGCTATCTCATACGCCCTTGAGCACGAGCGTGCTTTCTTCGAGAACCACAAGGCTTACCGCAACAAGAGCAGTTATTGTGGTACTCCCTACCTCGCTCGCAAGCTCAACCTGATCCTTATGATGCACATCAAGCAAACACTACCCGACATCAAAGCTAGAATTTCTGCATCATTGCAAAAATACACAGCCGAACTCAGCACCCTCGGAGACTCGATACTCGGCAATAGCGCGAACATCGTCTTGAACATCATCACCGAATTCTCCAACGAGTACAGAACAGTCCTCGAGGGCAACAACCAAGAACTCTCCAGCATCGAACTTTCCGGTGGTGCCAGAATTTCTTTCGTCTTCCACGAACTCTACGCAAACGGTGTCAAGGCAGTGGATCCTTTCGACCAGGTTAAGGACATCGACATCCGTACTATCCTCTACAACTCGTCTGGCTCTTCGCCTGCTCTGTTCGTCGGTACTACCGCGTTCGAGCTCATCGTTAAGCAACAGATCAAGAGATTGGAAGACCCCAGCTTGAAGTGTGTCTCACTGGTCCACGACGAACTGGTCCGTATCTTGGGCCAACTCTTGAACAAGCCTCTTTTCAGAAGATATCCTTCACTGAAGGAGAAACTTTACCAAACAGTCATCAACTTCTTCAAANAGTCCATGGAACCCTCCAACAAGCTTGTCAAGGATCTTGTTGCTATGGAGGCTTGCTACGTCAATACTGGCCACCCAGACTTCCTTAACGGTCACAGAGCTATGGCTATTGTTAACGAGCGTCGTCATGCTTCTAGACCTACTCAAGTTGATCCTAAGACTGGCAAGCCTCTGCCACCATCCGCTGTGCCACCGCGCGCTGCAAGCCCTTCGTTGTCTCTTGACGGCAACGACGCCTCGGGAGGCTTCTTTGGCAGTTTCTTTGCTAGCAAGAATAAGAAGAAGATGGCTGCCATGGAGGCACCCCCACCAACACTCAAGGCCAGCGGCACACTCAGCGAGAAGGAGAGCGAAGAAGTCGAAGTCATCAAGCTTCTTATCACTAGTTACTTCAATATTGTGCGCCGTACTATGATCGACATGGTCCCCAAAGCCATCATGTTGACCTTGGTGCAGTAAGTTGAATCATGCACACTTTATCAGTATTGAACTAATTTTGTCTTCACAGGTNTCTCAAAGGAAGAGATGCAGCGCGAGCTTCTGGAGCAAATGTACCGCACACAAGAGTTTGACGATCTGCTCAAGGAGAGCGACTACACAGTGCGCAGACGCAAGGAGTGCCAGCAGATGGTCGAGAGCTTGGGCAAGGCAAACGAAATTGTCAGCCAAGTGCAGTAGTTTGTCTTTCCGTCGACGCAATTGTAATCTGTTCTGGTTTTTCTTTTCGTTTGGGTTACGGCGTTACCTTACCAATGCTTTTGTACCGTTGAATCACGAAGAATAGATGAGATGAGATAGGTGAGCATGACGGCAAGGCACATGGAGATGGCGGCGAAACGTCTGTTCTTTTGGTTCTCGACCATCAAGCGCTGTTCGGCGTAACGATTTGGGATTATGTAAAAGAAAGCATGAGTGATACCTTGAACTTTCTCTCTCCTATCATCGCACTCGACTCATCGTTAGCCAGTCTGACAAGCTTGGAATAGCGCCTTCAACTACAGGCGCTCTAACAGCGTGCGACCACCGTTCTACATCTCGTTGTCAATCGGTTTTCGAACCGCGTGCAAATTGTGAGTGTTCATAACGAAATGGTATCTGATTGGTATTGCATATGATTCGGACCTCAAGCCTCCCTTACATCTGCACCTTGTACCTTGAACGCCATGTCAGTATCGACCTACACAATGACCTGCCCAAAACTCCATCCCAACAACTTTAGACATGACCGATCATTAAACACCGCTTCTGTACACTTGACCACCGCCCTTGCGAAGCTGTATACTGTCTCTCTTCTGCAAGGCCCAGATAGCTCTGTTGAGAGCTTGTTCTGAGAAATTCTTCCTGTCCACGAATTCTCGTCTCAGGGTGGCTAAGCTTGCTGTGTAGCCAATGGGCAAACGCCTTCGCAACTCGTCTTCGACCTTTGAGATTTCGTCAACGAGTTCGCGGTTGCCGGCGATGCCAGCAGCATTGGCAGCGTTGGACTCGCCGTTTTGGGAGAGGACTGCTTCCATGGTACTGCCCAGGAACAGACGAATTGCTTCGTCGACATGGTGTTCTGTGGCGATTGGGGACAGAGAAATCTTGGCCAATGCCTCGGTGATACGAACGAGCGATTCCAGTTGTCTGACAGTAATAGGGATACTCGAACGCTGGTTGGCGGAAGCTTCGGCTTGGGCGACTTGCCTTCTGATACTGACAAAGTGCGAGGACAATTTCTCGGCGGCTTCGGCCGATAGACGCGGCGCGCAACGGGTCTTGCAGTAGCTGATGTAGCGCTTCATCTTCTCGACCGGAATGGTTGGAGCGGCTTGTTGTTGGTCTTGGTTGGCACTGCCACCCATGTGAATTCCCATGACGTGCTTTGCAATGCGCTCATCACGTCCACGGTCGTGCTCATCCTTGACGATGAAGATGAGATCGAATCTGCTGAGAATGGTGGTCTGGAAGTCAATGTTCTCACCAGGAGATTTGAGATCATCGTAGCGTCCGAAAATAGGGTTGGCAGCTGCGAGGACGGAGGTACGAGCGTTGAGAATGGTCGTGATACCAGCCTTGGCTATCGAAATGGTCTGTTGTTCCATGGCTTCGTGGATGGCAACACGATCCTCATCACGCATCTTGTCGAACTCATCGATACAGACAACACCACCATCTGCCAACACCATGGCACCACCTTCGAGATAGAACTCACGCGAGTTCTGGTCACGCTGTACCGAGGCCGTCAAACCAGCTGCGGAGGAACCTTTACCTGACGTGTAGATGGCAATGGGAGCTGCTTTNTCGACGAATTTGAGAAGTTGGGATTTGGCGGTACCAGGGTCACCAAGAAGCAGGACGTTGATATCACCACGAAGCTTCATGCCATCAGGTAGGATCTTNTTGCTACCACCCATGAGCAAGCAGGTGATGGCCTTCTTGATGTCCAGGTTTCCATAAATGGATGGGGCAATGCACTCGGCAAATCGTTCGTATAGGTCAGGTCTCCTGCTCATCTCGAGGAATTCTTGCTCCTCCTCTGCGGTGAAGTGGGCGCCACCTTTGGCTGTGTGATCAACGTCGGTCTGGATTCCGACTGCGCGAAGATAGGGGGTACGAAGGNNGGCGACAGCGGCTCCTGAGCCTTTGGACTTTGATTGGTATGTGCTGAAAACACCCATGACAGTGCATCGCGAACCAGGGACGACACGATTCGTCAGGTAGCGGTCGGCTGAAATATGGATGTGGCGAGGCAGCTCACCAACAGGGACATCATCGGGAGCCTCTTGCAGCTTGATGACCTGTTGATCGATGAACTGACACTTTTCGTGGACGACAAAGTATGGATCCAGAGGACATTTTGCCGAGTCTTCGCCGGGTTGAGTCGAACGAGCACATGTGCGAGGCAGGGTGAGGCCAGAGAAGCCGCCCAAGACGGAGATATTCTGAGAGTGCTGGCAATTGCGGCATTGAATGTGCAGGACGGTAGCTTTTGAGGAGAGGGTACTGGCTCCAATGACGATTCCAGGGATGCGGACCAGATGAGAGACGTGTGTGGCTGTCAGGCCACGAATGAGGGTCTGGGTAACAGACGAGTGGAGCAAGAGCTGAGGGGAGGGCAGATTGACGCCGGGCTGCGAGGGATAGAGGATGCGTTGGGCGCAGTGCTTGATGGCGGCTTCAAACAGCGGGATGGTTTCGGCAGGCTCATTGTTGAGACGGTGGGCGAGAGATTCGCTGGACGAGGCGACATGGGCTATGTCGACTTCGCAATAGTACTGCTTAGCTTTGTAATTGTGACTGATCTGGTCTCTGTATTCCCAGACGCTGCCATTTGGTGTTTGGTAGTCCATGATGAACTTGACAAACTGATCTTGTATAGCGCCGCGAGAGTCTTCACCCGTTTGACTACGGTCTTCGGGGAAGACACTCAAAGTGTAGACCGACTCTCTATCCATGGTTGTGGTTTGGTTGTGCTATGCGATTGAGTGGTGTAAACACGCAGGAGAAAGTCCACGGTGCTCAGAAACAACACGAGCGCGACCATGAATCGGCGTTTCAATTAACCCCCGAGTTGGTTAGCGTCCGCAGACGATGATCTTGGCGTACGTGTAGTTCTGGCGCACCGCAGCAAGCGGCAGTCTAGTGGATGGTAGCGCAGTCCGGGGTCTGTATCATGGTGCTGTGGTTGCTGGCCTCGTATCATCAACCTTGACTTAGAATGTCCTTGACATGTCCGAAGACAGCGCCGACCTGGTCTCGTCGCCCTCGTCGCTCCACTCGGCCTATCCCTTCCCCTCGTCGTACCAGAGACGCTCTTCACGCCGCCTGTCCAATGACAGCACGCTATCCATCAACTCAATAGGTGGTGCTCTGGATATCAATCCCGCTAGAGCCGACAACTCTCTCAGGGAAGCTGCCCACAATGGTGCGCATTCACCACAACAACACTGTCTATCCTATACTCTTCTTCTAAGCGTGATATAGNCCATCTCAACCCTGTTGCAACCACCTATAGTCCGCACCGGCCTCCTGACTCCTGTCGCCTCGGCGTCCTCAACTTATCGTGCTCCGACTACACGCGATATCCCTCCTGTCACTCTGACCAACATACCTAAAGTCGACACCTCTACCTTCAAGGACTACATCTCTCGTGTCGGGCCACTGTTTGACAACCTCTCGCGTCTACGTCGCGATACCCAATCCAAGCCTCAGAACGATGCCCCAACCAGCCCTGTCCTCAGCCGCCATAACTCTACCACCTCCCTCCTGTCTCCAACCGATTCTCCTCAGCCGCGACGCCGATCTAGTGCCTATACCCGCCGTAGATTGAACGAGCCCACTCCCTTGTCCACTATTCCCAATGTCTACTTTGAAGAGAACTTCCAACTCGAGAATCCAAGGACTTTCGATGTTGTCAGCGAGCGCGCCGAGATCGCTCCTGGTACCGCAAAACAAGAGCAGTCTGCTAATGGCGCCCCTCTCCCTCCGCGCAAGGCTCTGGCCAGCAATGCCATTCTACAAGAGAAACTGTCCTGGTACATGGATACTGTAGAGGTGCACCTGATTCAATCAATCTCTTCCGCTTCGACCTCCTTCTTTGCAGCTCTGGGCTCATTGCGCGACCTGGAGCAAGAAGCCTCCGACTCTGTCAACAGGATCCAGAAATTGAGGGCCGATTTAGCAAAGCTGGATCAAGACATGGCAATGGGTGGTCTGGAGGTCGCCAACCTGCGAAGAAGATATCAAAACATGCAAAAGCTCGCCAATGCTGTGGACCAGGTAGCCTGTGTTGTACAAGATGCGAAAAATTGTGAAGAGTTGGTTGAGAAAGGAGAATACGATGCTGCTGCTGGTGCAATGTTACGCCTCGACCGCTTGATTGCCGGACAACCCGAACCGTCATCGGAACCATCGCCTACAGAATTGCACGATTTGCGCTCTCTTCACGCCCTCCAGGGTCTGTCCGATGCCATGAATCAGCTGCGTTTTCGCATTGGCAGAGGCTTTGAATCTCGTTTCCTCGAGACACTGTTATCCGATCTACGAAGGCACATCGATCAAGTCCCACCCAAGGACACCATGCGTCGCTGGGCGAGTACATCAATGCGCTTGCGAGGCCTGCAGACTGGTCCAACGGCTTATATGGAGATTGACGATCAGTTCCGGAAAGACTTGCTCGCTTCATTACATGGTCTAAGCAATTCAGGTCAGACTGCACAGGCGACAGCCGACTTCAGGGATGCGATCATGAGGGAGATGAAGCACTTGATACGCAAACACCTGCCCAGCTCCAACGATGACGACAATGAGTCTGTCACATCGGTCGCTACCCGTACCAGCAAGGCTGCGAGCCAACAAGAGAAGTCTATCATTTTGGCTAGAAATTTGCGTGCCATGGACGAGGAGTCTGCTGAGGATATGGTTGTCAACATCTACACCGACATCAGTGAAGCTTTGCGACGTCTGAGCATACAGATCAAGGTATTGCTCGATGTCACCAGTACTATGGATGCTCCAGAATCGTTGAAGTCGCCGTTGAGCCCAAGTGTAAGGGCAACTGACCGATCGAGAAGCCCAGCGCCTAGGACGAGCGGAATACAAGAGGAACTGAGCCAGGCACTAGATATGTCAAGCCTATTGGGCCAGGCAGTGGACGTAGCGCATACACAAATCACGCGAATCCTCAAGGTGCGCACAGAGCAGGTGAACCACTTACCGCTGGAACGTTTCCTCCGCTACTTTACTATCAACCGCCTCTTCGCCGATGAGTGCGAGGCCATCTCCGGTCGCTCTGGTACCCAGCTCAAGGCTCTAGTCAACACACAAATCAACACTTTTGTGCGAGCCTTTGGTGATGCTGAAAACCAGCGAATCGCCCAGACACTGGACTCTGATCAATGGGAAGCCAAGGACTTCAAGGAGATAGACCAGGTGTTGCTCTCTCGTATACTGGAAGGCATGTCTTCGGATCCTGCCATCTGGCTACAGGGCACGCGCGTTTGGGAAGATCCATCACAACCTGAATCGATCAATGGCACTTCTTCATCAAATGGCGACGGTAGCGATGCCAAATCTAATAATCGTCCTGCGTACATTGACGAAACACGGTACATTCTGGTCTCATCTGCTATTTCGCTACTTCGACCCATCGACAATTTCCTTGCACTAATGACCAGCATACCCTCAATAACCTCCGCTGCTGTGCCTGCGTTAATTGATGTCCTCCGAACGTTCAACTCGCGTACATCACAGCTCATCCTCGGCGCTGGCGCCACAAGGATTGCCGGCTTGAAAAACATCACCACCAAACATTTGGCCCTCGCCTCACAGGCGCTCAGCTTTGTCATTGCTATGTCACCTTACTTGCGTGAAGCAGTCCGCCGGCACGCCAGTTCAGCCAACAAAGCTGAGGTGCTGGGTGAGTTCGACAAGCTCAAGCGACTCTATCAGGACCATCAAATGGCCATTCACGACAAGCTTGTCGAGATCATGACAGCAAGAGCAACATCGCATGTCAACTCGATGAAANAACTTGACTTCGATGCCGAAGCAAAAAAGAATGCAGATGGCACGAGTGCATACATGGAGACTTTGACAAAGGAAACAGGCACCTTGCACCGTGTGCTGAGCAGGCATCTAGCAGAAATGGATGTAACAGTCATCCTGAGCCAAATATTTGCCAGCTACAAGGAGCAATGGCTGAAGGCTTTCCTAGGAGTAGAGATCAAGACGCCCGCTGGTAAACAGAGGCTTCTCAAAGATGCACAGCTATTTGATTCGAAGCTGGGCAAGATCGATGGATTTGGCGACATGGGCAAGACGCTCATTGCTGCTGTGGAAGCGAAGACGGTCGTCCAGGAAAAACAAGACCTTCCACCGCCTCCACCACCTCAAACAAAAGAGGTAACGAACGAGAAACCATTACCTGCAGCACCCGTAGCTGCCGAANAAGAGAACAGGGATAGCAAGGAACCCGAAAAGGTGCCAGATGCGGACCAGGAGAAGGAAGAGGTGAAAAGTTAGAAGCTAGAATTGCATATATGCATTATTGTGATTTAGCTTTTGCGAGACTCTAGTTGTTGATCGAGCGAGAGCTCTTCCAAGTTTGTGTTCAAATGATCTGCTGGCCTAATCGATGGTGGTAGAATACTGGCAGGTGCAAACGCTTGATTGACCTCTAGACCAGGGCAGGCGCGACTGTTACAATAACAAACCTCAGCGTCTTGGGGCGCATACTCGTGTACACAAACAGTAAGCCATGTCATGTTCTCCTGGTTCCGATGGAGGATCTTGCGAACCGTAGATGTATCAATCGACTCCCAATTGCCGCAGTGCGAAAGGAGTAACGAAGCCTCAAGAAGAGTTATCGCCCCCAAGTGCCGAATTCGCAAACTCCATAGCAGCACGCTTAACATCATAAGCTCTCCAAACCGTCATAGCATGCTTGTTGTTCCATGTCTCGCACAAAGGCAATGTTTCCGTCATCTCACCAATTTTCCAGTCGAAATAACTATGAACAGAGTTGACCTGCACAAACAGAATGCCACTTTCTTTCACAAAGTCATGTTTGTCGATTATAGCGAAGAGTCTGGTGTGACTTGTTTGTGCGTCGGAGATTTCGAGTGCGTGGAATGCTTTGAGACATGCGTCGATACTTGGTTCGGAAGGCTGAATTAGAATGTCGAACGCCGTGCCGGGTGGCAGGAAAGGAGTGAGATAGTCTAGAAGTAAGTGTCCCAGTTGAGCGCTGCTCTCAAGTTTTGCAGATTCGAGGTGAAATAGGTATACAGACTTTGTCTCCTTTCGAACGATTTCATCTTTTCTGAGCTTCACGCAAACGATGTCGTTATCCCGTCTCTCCACGGTGCTTTTGATATCTTCCTGGTAGACTTTTGGGATAGTCGTAATCCTTGGCTCCTCGGGTGGTTTTGGATTTGAATGCTGTTCGCTTGCTTCCAGTCTCCATGGTTCGCGCTCTGCATCAAAAATCCATTCCTGTATGGCTTGATTCATGTGGCAATTGCCATCAACGTTGTCCACTGCGCAAATACCTAAGTCCAGCTCGTAAGGACATTGTTCAGGTACTCTATCTCTAGCAGCAAAACTCGCTAGAATGATAGATTTTTCATTCCAGTTAGGTGGGTCTATGACAACAATTCTTGCTCTATTGGCTTGTTTACCATATAGATGAATCGGGCCACCTCCAAGACCAGATGGAGTTGTGTTGCTTCGATGAGCGATTTCTCTCTTGTGGTGAGCGATGCAAGCGTACACATCATGCAGAGGTTGTTTGTACACATCGATGCGCCATGAGATGTCCGCATGGTATGGCTCCCACTCTCCATCTTGGAAACATCTTCGACCATATCTGACAATCGGAGAAAGAAATTCGGAAAGGTCGTCACTCAGAGGACTGACAGTGTAGACTTGGATAGCAAACATCGGCCATGGTTTCNNCGAAAAGTCTCGAGGACCTTTAAAGATTACACTGCCATCTTCGTTTTTCTGCTGTGTTGCATACTCGGGGTCAAAAGGCCAGATACTGACCGCATCTTCTCCAAGGTGATCTTTGAATTCATGGAATGACGGTGCCCTGACTCGGGCATCTGGATCGTCGAGTCCGAGCCTTCTGTGATCCGCCCCTTCAAGAGGAGCACGTCTTTGTCTTTGGCGCGGCATTCTTTAATAGAAGAATGAATTTGTGGTGATGGATGTCAGAGAGGAAACGGATCAGAGCAGGCACCGACTTGATGGCCAGGGTCATGGGCTCGTCTACCACTTTTTGATGACTCGCACGATTATAGCGCGACGACGTGTGGAATAGTCTTTTGGACAAGCTGTCAACGTGAATTGATACCTGTTTCATGCACTGAGGCACTCTTGTGTTCGAAATCGCTGTATTCAGATTGCTGTTGGCGAATATAAGTTCCTGGACCTGACGTTTTGAAAGCTCGGGTTGATTCACATCAGTCGCCATCACAGCCTTTTGACAATCGGATGTGGTTCTTGGATATCGCTTCTGGGGTGACGACTGGCTCCAGACGAATCGGCAAATTATACTAGAGTGGTAAAGCATTATACCAGAAGGCCTATGCTACGATGACAAGAGACGGTCGCATTGAATTGCGATCGATGGTCAATTTGTCTAATAGAATCAGGGTTATATTGCGCAAAGACTGGATTTCAAGTACGTACGGCCACAGTCAGCTGAAAACTGGGCATCCCGTCCGCTCTGCCATACATAAGCAGTTGAACGGCAGATTAGTACTACGGTGGGTGACCACGTGGGAATCCCTGCTGCTGTACGTTTTGTACTTTTGTCTGTTCTCCTAACGACCTGTGTATCCATAGAGCGACACATGAGAGTCGACTCTTTTGCTTTTTCGACCAGTGTTTATCGTGAAAAGACATTGAATCCGAAGCTTTTCAAGCAATGAGCTTGAGCGTCTTGCCAAGAATGGGCTCATAGCGACAATCAACAGCGACCAATACAACATTCTCTCGTCTAAACGTGCTATAAGACCCAAAGAACGAGACTACCTGTCGAGTATGCTAGTGGACCATATGAACGCATTGAGGGTATTGTGATGTGTATTTGATGGGAGAAACACACTTGTTTTTCCTCCCCAGTCTTCATCATGGGGTACGTATGGGGCCCCGGAAAATGGCGCAGGAAATTCGGAAACCGGAAGTTGAACTGACCAACTTTTCATCAACCTGTTATCATCATCAACCTGTTATCACCACTATCGAGTCCCTGATGGATAAAGTGGATAAAGCGGGGCCCCAAACCAGTGGGGATCTCCTGTTCCCTCCACATCACCTTATGTATCTCATGATCCTAACTTGCGTTGAACAATCCTCATCATCTGTACTGCCGAGTACTTAAACATGGACAAGCAAGGCGTCGAACGAACGGAGTTTGTCGAGAAACGAGACCTTCACGGATACGACGATTCCGAAGGCTATCTCGCTGAGGTCAACACTCATGAAGCACAAACTCAACCCATCAAGACCACAAAAGATGGTCATGTTGTGCTCATTCCTCAACCTTCTGACTCGCCTCAAGACACTCTGAACTGGAGCAAGGTCAAGAAGCACGTCGTATTGTTGGTAGTAAGCTTTGCTGCACTACTACCAGACTATGGCAGTGCTACAGGTGCTGTTACTTTGATCCCTCAAGCAGCGTAAGTCTCAAACCGACATTTGACCATGACGATTTACGTCTCCTCTAACGGTAAACCCGACAGCGAATGGAATATGAGCCCAGATACTGTAAATCATTCACAGGTTGGCAATGTCTTCATGCTTGGTGCTGGCGGCGTCTTTGTCGTCGCTCTATCCGCCTGGGCAGGCAGACTTCCCGTGCTGTTCTACTTCCTCGTCCTTGCTACTGCCACCGCAGCATGGTGTGCAGCTGCAACTACCTTTGAGAGCTTCATGGCCGCCCGTATCCTGAACGGCTTCTTCAGTACCGTCGCTCAAGGTGGCGGTCTTATGTTCATCTTTGACATGTTCTTCTTTCACGAGAGAGCGCGAAAGATCAATATCTGGGCCGCATTCATCATCTTATCACCATATATGGGTCCTATGCTCACAGCCTTTATCATCACGACACAGAAATGGCCTATCGCTTTCTGGGTCTACTTTGTCATGGTAAGACCAGCTTCATGGATCGAATACTATTCATCAACTGATATCATCTCTCACAGANCTGCTTTGGCTCTTGTCTGCACCTGTCTGTTTGTGGAAGAAACTTTCTACGACCGGCGTATAGCTCCTTCGGACCAGCCACCCAAGGGTACTCGCCTCCAACAGATCTTGGGCATCTCCCAGTATCGCTCGCGTCATCTCCGCAACTCGTTCGGTCAAGCCTGCTCCCGACCATTCCGTGTCATCATCAAACCCACCGTTTTCCTATCGAATGTATACTACACACTAACCTTCGCCTGGGTCGTCGGCATCAACACAACCCTCTCGATCTTCTTGACACCACTCTACAAGTTTGGACCCTTGCAGATCGGGTATTTCTACTTTACACCCGTCGTCGCAGCTCTGATCGGAGAAGTTGCAGGTCATTGGTTCCATGACTGGATAGCAAAGAGTTACATCCACTCACACAACGGCCATTTCGAACCCGAAGTCAGGCTTCGCGCCATCTGGCTCAGCACACCTTTTATGGTTGCGGGACTTATCGGCCTTGGATTCTCCCTCGAGAACGGTTACCATTACATGGTGACTGCAGTGTTTTGGGGTCTCTATGTGTTTGGTATCATGATTACCACTGTCGCACTCAATGCATACAATCTTGACAGCTACCCCGAAGCATCTGGAGAAGTGGCCGCATGGCTCAATTTTGCAAGAAGTAAGTTTTTGTGATTCAGTCATTTATATGAAGTCATTACTAAACCATCAACAGCTCTTGGTGGCTTTATCGTCAGTTACTTCCAGGTTACCTGGGCTGATGCTGTCGGAGCAAAAGCAAGTTTCGGTACCCAGGCTGCTATAGTCTTCGTTGCAACTGGCCTCATCGTTACACTGCAGTTCATTGGCAAACGTTTGAGGATGAAGTCTGGAGCACTACATTTTCCCACCTCTTGAGGAACGGCATATAGATAGACGTTACAGAACCTAGAATCATTGAATTGCTTGATATCAACATTCTTCTGCACGAGTGTCTACCTGGCATCCTAGCACTTTCCAACAACGATGCGGTGCAATGAACCAACAGCGATTGCCATCAGCTTCATCGATCTACGCGACATAACTCCAGTTCGAGTACGCCGTGAAACAGAGAAAACAAACAAACTTCTTGAGCCGTGCTAGCTAAAAATCTAGAAATGCGTTGGGGTATCATAATATGTACACGGGCTTGATGGGAGGAATAGCACACCTTATTCCTCCTCGTGTTCTTCCATCTCTTCGTCTTCCTCTTGGTTCTCCTCGTCACTCGTCAATCGCTCCACTTTTACCTTATTTACCCAGCCTTTCCAGTCCGTCTCTCCAGCATCCGTATCATTGAAGCTCCAGGTGCTCAAGTCAGCCAGATGTCGCATGGTTGGCCTACCATGAGGACAGTTCCAAGGCTTATCCATCTCACCCAGATTTCTCACAACCTTGAGCATTTGATTCCCTTTTAGGGACTTGCCAACCATGATACTCGAACGACAAGCTCTCATAGCTAGCATCTTCCTCACCTTGGTTGGGCGGGGTATGACGCCACCAGAGTGATCGGAAAGCAGATGGAGGAGTTCTTCCAGGTCGCTAAGGTCAAATGTGACATCTTTACTTGTAGGTAGAGTAAGCAGCTTGCAACGCAATCCTACGTCGCTCGCGCCAGAGGTATCAGTCTCAATGATGAAACCATTCGCAGTGAGTGCTTTGGTGTGTGCAAGAACAATCTCTTCCTCTATAGCGGTAAGCTCTAGTTGTTTGGGCTGTGCTAAGCGCTGTGGTTCCAGAGTCAGGGTGTCGGTAAAGCGTTCAAAGTTGTACTTCTCATCAGCAGCATGCTGATCAATGATGAATAGGTCAGAGGATGTAACTGTTTCGCTAGGAGGTCGTACTGCAAGGATGAAACCGAGGTTGAATTGTCCGATGATGTCCATCTGACCAAAGTCAGACTTTGACACTGTGAGCGAGAGACGTGCTTCGGCGTCCGCTTGCTCTATGTCATCAGCAACGGCCTTCTTGAGCCGAGAGGCTTCCTGTGACGTCGCTGAAACCATTGAAAGGAGAGTGGCCTGTTCCGCAATGAAGGCTGTCGAGGTATCACACGCTTGACTCAGATTCAGTGTTTTATGTTTCGATGCTCGAAGAGCTTGGGTGGCGCGTTTGACGTTGTCGTGCGATGGGCGAGCGGCCTCATCTTCTGCTTCTTGAATCATTCGAGCAATTTTGGCATCTTCTCGCAGCCGTCTCTCCTCTTCGTCTAGGTAATCTTGATCAGACTCGGATCCAGTCTCGCCAGCTCTACTGAGTTCTTCGTCGGCTGCCTCTGTGCTGCGCAAAAACTGATCGATAGGGCTTGTATGCAAATCTTCCAATGTTTGAGAGGTAAGTTCGGGCGTCCGCTCTTTTGAAGGAACAATTTGTCGGTCATCTGTTTGAGCCACAAACAGTGCTTCTTCATCGCTTTCTTCGGCATCTTGTTGTTTTGCCTCTTCACCAGACCCACTCTCCTCTCCAGAACATTCATCTTCACTCTCCACCTGGGTGCCGGGCATGGCGAATTGGCTTAACTTCTTTGCCACAGAATTCTTTGGGATGTGGATCTTGTGCCTTTTTGGAGTATAGGGCCCATTACCAATGACAGTCCGTGTAATTTTGTCTCCGATTGTGATCTCAGCCACTTGTTGAGGAGTACGTTGTGGGCGCATGCGATCGAAAGCATTCTGAACCGGTGGTTTGTCTGGTCTTCTTGGAACATCATCCCGATCTTGGGCACCTCTGCCTACCCAATTGTGGATCAATCGTTCAGGAGGACCTGTTTGAATGACCCCTTCGGGGTGTTCTTCATCTGACTGATTTGATTCAGTCCGGGGCAATTGCAGCTCTGGAGTAGCTTCAGCGGTAGATTCTGTTTCAGGTTTTCGTGTGACAGTGAGTGGTTTGTATGTAGGGAGCTTTGGTTGCGTGAGAGCAGATTTCGTTTGTGGCACAGTCTGTTCCTGAGACTCAAACAGCTCAACGAGAGCTTCTTTGAGAGATTCGAGCAACAACCCCTGATCATGCAAAAGGATAGTTCGCTTGTCAGGGGAGACGTTGACATCGTAAGAATTTGTGTCCATGATCAAGTTCGCAAAAACAAAAGGAGATTGCGAAATGTTGAAGGATTTGTACACCTCGTTAAAGGCCTTTGCGACTTGAGGAAGACCGCAAGGTCGTGAGTTGACATAAAACATCTGTCGGTCTGGCGCTGATCGGCCTTCTCCTAACACTGGCCGGGATATGTGGCCTTCGACTCTGACCTCGCGAGACGCGTCATCATCGGTAGAGATTGCGGATGTGGTAGGTTGCATCTCGAACTTGAGATCAAGTGCTACTAGGTCCCGTAGGCTTTTCGAGCCAAAGACCTTGATGATGTTGTCCTTGGTAGCTGCACTGCCATTGGTAGAGAAGGACGATGTTTTTGCCCTGAAGAATGGTCAGCGAGTGGTCAACACCTGCCTGAACTGCGGAGATATCATACCCTTTNNTGGCATCTGATTGCTGACCGTAAACCTAACGCCAGTACTGATGCAGGCGTATGCTTGCAANAGGGTCAGAACCTTGCCGTACTCGCGCTTGATGTTCTTCTCCAGCTCCTTNTTCCGGACAGGTAGATTATGGAAGATCTTTTCGACAACGACCTTGGTTCCCCGCTGTGCGACGATGGTAGTTGTACCCTTGAGTTTACCAGAGACCTCAAATTCTAGACGAGTACCTCTTGGTCGATCCGTCTCGCGAGCAGTGATGATGTAGAGTTGGGACAAGGCGCAAAGTGAAGCGAGTGCTTCGCCTCGAAAGCCAAATGTGTCGAGGTTTTCCAAATCATCGTAATTACGTAGCTTGGATGTATGGTGCTTGAGTGCNTAGTGATTGTATGTCAGATATAGACAAACACCCAAGAATCCTTGGTTAGACATACCGACAGACTCAAAGTCTTCTGGCGCAATGCCAGTGCCGTTGTCAATTACCTCTATGGCGTCGAGACCATGATTGCGAAAGCGGACTTCTATCGACGTGGAGCCGGCATCCAGACTGTTCTCAACAAGTTCCTTGACGACGGAATTGAGATCTACGATGACTTGACCCGACTGAATTTGGTGCACCGATGTCTGCTCAATCGCCTGTATCGAGGCCATGATGCATACCTTGATGAGACAAAGAGGGGCGGTTTTTGGAAGACGCGTCGGGCGTTAAGTGCTTCACGCTTTCCCGTGCTCGGCCTTGGCATCACGCCGTTCAGGGTCGCCCCATTTGACAACATTCCAGTGAATCTGATACAAGCCGAAAGTGTGTGAATTACAATGTGTTGGAAGCTATGGAACTGGCACGTCGCCATCTCTCATGAGTACACTTAGACGAAAGCTATTTACGGCTTCGGTCTTGTATGCTTTGAAGCCCCTCGCTGGAACTTTCTTGACAAACATTTCATCTAGCTCAGCAAACGAACGTCCGGACGTTTCGGGCTGGCACAACCATAGGTAGACTGTCGAAAGGATCGCAAAGGCGCCAAAGATGAAGGCTACTCGAGCGCCGAGATTCGCTTGATCGGGATTGAAAAGATATGGTATAACAAAAGCCCACATTGCCTGCAAAACGATTAGATGGCTTCTCCAGCGTTCATGTGGTATACTCACAAATAAACCGCTTTGCAATGTCAGTCCGATGGCGGCGGTCTTGGTCCGCAAGCGACTTGTCGGTGTCTCGATCAGAATTGGATATGCAGTAGCTCCGATCGTTATCGAGTAGAGCCAGTTGTACAAAAGCAACAAGCCAACTGTTCCCTTCGTCGCTGACTTGGATCCGACACAAGCAAGACCTCCCGTGAGTAAGAGCAAGATAGTCAGAAGCAACATGCCGTAACACGACAAAGGTCTCCGACCAATTCGGTCTATCAAGAACCAAGAGCAGGCATTGCCCATCATAGCAAGTATATTCTGAACAATACCAAGGCTGAAGGTTGTGGGAGCGTCATATCCAGCCAACTGTTGATAATAAGTTGAATAGGCTGATACAAANAAGAGGCCACTCAAAGCTTGAATGGACAGAGGCGCTGCTGCGACAACGGTTCGTCGAAGATTGGTCTTTTGGAAGCACTCGAGGTAGGTCGCGCCTTCCGTCTCTTCTCTAGCTTTCTCTAGCGCCCGGACGGCAGTACTCGCATAGGTTTGCGCCTCGTCCGCAGTGTATCCGAAACGGAAAAGTGCAAGGGTAGCATCAGAGTTTCGATTCTTGCTAAGTAACCACCACGGCGACTCAGGCATGAATGGCAATAAGATTGCACCCACGACGCTGATTCCATACTGGGCCAAGAAGACCGATCGATAAGCCCAACGATCTGCTTGATCGCCAGTGGCTTTCACGACAATCGACACGATGAAAGGTCCAATCGTCAACGCTAAACCGGCTGCTGCAGTGAGTTTGCCTCTTGCTGGGCGAGGGGCAATCTCTCCCAAGTATGTAAGTGCGGTAGTCGTGAAGGCGCCTATGGCGAAACCCGAGAGGAATTTGCCAATGAANAAGACCAGATTGGTTGTCGAAAANGTCTCAATCGTGATTGATACAAAGATGATCAGATAGCCGACGGCGAACGTCCACTTTCTGCCAACCTTGTCTGCGAGCCAACCAGACAACAAAAACGCGATGATGCTACTGAGAACTGGTGCGCCACTGTAGGCAGATTGCCATCCCGCAGAGAGCACATAGTCGCCATGGTACGGTGATCCAAAATCTTTCCTGAACTGAGGAATTGAAAGTACAACGCCACCAGCCTGGTTGTCGAAACTGCTAAGCACCAGAACGAATATGGCATAGATACACCATAATAGCTCGCGCGGATGATGCTTGATTGCCTGAAAGGAGGTTGTTTGAACACGCGAGCTGTTCAGCTCGATGTCTCTGCTGCTTGCGCTATCGTCCAAGTCGTTGTTGGTTACAATGCTGGTCTTGGCAGAACCAGCCATGGAATGGAATCGTAGTGGACGCGACGCAATCAGTGGACGCGCATACTGAGCGACTCATATGCTGCAGTCGTCTGGTGGTAAAGAGTGTCCGGAGGCATTCGAGACTGCGCGTTGAGGTGACTCTCAGTGTCGGGCGAAAGAAGGTACTAAATCTACCGAGCGAGGCGCCGTTAAAGCTTATCACTTTCTAGGCTCGGGAGACGGACCATTATTGGTCCGGATATTCATGGTGTGCTCCATGTTCCTCACCACTCGCAAATGTATGTTTCACTCTATGTTCATATGTAACATTTGAATCCTACGGATACTCCGGGTATCCTGCATACGTTCTCATTGAGATCACTAGAGACCAAAACCAAACTTGTGTCGATTAGGGGCATTGTGTCTCGCAAGTAAACGCACGCTAGGATGTAACCTCTCCGTGTGCTAAAGATTGTCATGGTGTAGCTACAGAAATGCGCAATACTCTCGTAAAAGAATGTGGTCTTCACAGAGAGAACCCCATTAAAGCCATGGCTCATACTGGAATCGCAACTATGCATCTCGATAACCTATAATAACCCCTATACCTCGGAATAGAGCAGGGGCTGATCAAGATTGTGACTGTCTTTAGCATACGGGGTGGAATGATATGTAAAATGCTATGTTGCTGCAATGAACAGGCAACTGATGCTAACTCTTCCACGGATAGATATTCGCCCATCCACCTGAGATGCAAGCTTCAGAAGCAAAGACTCGTCCTTGATGTATTCGACATTGCGGATCATACTTGGCCTTGATCTTGATCAGTCTCTCAACATTCTGTCCCCACACCCTATGGCAAGATACTCCTGGTGAAATGTAGTTCGGATAGTCTGCGATGAAAGGTCCAACCAACGCTTGATGATCGTGTGTGATTTTATTCAGGTCGTCATTATGTTTGATGACGAAGCTATCATCCACAGCAGATCTCCAGGCCGGCGAGAAAAGTGTCTGATGCGCTGTTTGGGCATGTGGCCATGCGGTTTCGCTGTCAGATGTCGGTCCGTGGCCATTTTGATTGGGATACATGTATTGCAAGACCCACACGGCGCTTTCAGGAACTTCACCGCGAGCGAGAGATTGATTGATGTAGACTTCCATACTGTTTGATACAGTATTGATGTATGATGTTGTGATGTTGGAGGTTTATGGGCCCCAAAATCCCCTACGATAGCCATAAGGGAAGAACGGGGCACTGAGTTCGGTAGCTTGTCCGTATGGCAATTTGTAACGTGAGGCTTTTTTAAGGACAAGGCCGTCGAGCAGGTCAGAGAATGTTTCGTTGAATGTTTTCTGTTTTGTGTGATATCCAGATGGTCTAGTGCCGTTTCCTCGGTTGCCATGTGAATATAGTGGGCTGGCTGATTGGCCATGAGGATCTGCAAACCGTATGCCCACTATCACCATAGTTATTGTCAAACTTCCACTTGTCAGGTGCTCAGGGTAATAACCAAGTGAGTAGTACATGAGCGAGAAAGGATCGTTGTTCGAATCGAAGAACTTCACCGTGTTTTGTCGAGCTCGTGCCCACGAGTCTCTAGCGACAATCCAGATGCCAAACTCTGAAGACCTTGGCTCTGGTATTGCTTCTTGATAGAATGTAGTAACGATTCCGAATTGGCCACCTCCACCTTGGAGCGCCCAAAACAGATCCGAGTATTGGTTGGTCTTCGTGGCCAGTACGACCTTTCCGGACATCAGGACAACTTCAAGCGCTCGAAGCCTGTCAATGGCATAACCATATGCTCCAGCTAAGGATCCAATGCCTCCTCCGGTCGAGAAGCCGCCAACACCAACATTCCCGACCCGAGCGCCGACAGCTGTGAAGCCTGTTCCATTCGTATAGTCTGTGACCTGCTTCCAGATAGCACCTCCTTGATATGATATGGCCGTAGTTAGTTTGACATCTCCTAGCGTGACGTTGTGTAGAATTCTAGTTGAATTCATCCAGGATAAATCGATCAGAAGACCAGTTGTGCTAGAAGCATTGGTCTGTCCATGACCACCACCCACGAAAGCAAGGTCTCGACCGAGTTTTGAGGATGAAGCAGCTTGGACAGTACAGCTGACATCATCCCTGGTAAGTGGGAAGACCACAACTGTCGCATTTTTGCTGTACTGTTTTCCCCAATACCGTCGGGCATTGTATTCCTGCAGGGANGACTGTCGGCATGATATTGCTGCACCAGGTGAGAGCTGAGTAGCTAGTCTGGTCAAGGCAAAATCATGCTCGATGCAGTCACCCTGTATAGATGCATGCGCAACTGATGCTGTGAGAAGAAAAATGCAAGCAAGTAGTGGATGCATCTAATCGAATGTTCTGGCAGAACAGATCTGGAGGGCATTATCTATAATGAACCTGAAATACTGTGCTTCGGAGGTCCAGATCCAAACTTGCAAGTCTGTAAAGAGACTAGCCGAATCAAACCGTGATATATCTGTTTGCTGAGGAATTATTGCTCTTCTGGGTCGCACCAAGGTTCAGGTAGAACACAAACGTGGCTCGCTGGCACGTTAGCCTAGTCGATGTTCCCTACACCACGCAAGCTAAGGTAGACATCAGTGCCCCAGCCTAGTAAGCTCTGAACTCTGATGCCGCCTCCGAAATACTCGGCATATGCTCTGCCTAGTTTCAGGCCATAACCTAATCCCGCCAGGCTGTTTTCGTTACCACCAGCATTCGAGAGGGCGTTCAAGCCATCGCCGTCATTAGTGCCTCCACTAGTAATGTCAACGATCTCCTGCTCGTTGAAAGTGGTAAAGCCGAATTCCCACAACTTCGCATAAGCAGCGGGNGGTATACCACCTCCTCGGTCTCGAATGCGGATTGTGACGCCTGGAGTGGACTTGTCCAATGGACGAATGTTTGCTGATGCGGCATTGGCAGGTCGCTGGGCTCCTGACGCTGCATCAACGCTGCCTTGGTCGTGATTGGTGATGCCATTGTGTTTGCCCTTGATTTCCTCTGGCGCAGGAGCGATTGTAATTTCGATTGGGTGTCGCTCGTTTTCTTTNTCAATGGTCGCTCGGAAAGCATTCTTGAGAAGCTCGGTGATGATGTATTCTAGATGCATGGGAATATGCGCCAGAGTGGTCTCTGGCTCGCCACGAATGACAACGCTGGGTCGGACGCCATACTTGTACTCGCAGATGTCACCAACAAGGCCTTCACAATGTCTGATGATATCAACGGGCCTCAGCTTTGTGTCAATGACACCGATATATGACGAGTCGACATGAGTCTTTTGTTCTGAGAGTTCGAGATGAGGTTTGGATGAGAAATGCAGGGCAATGTGTTGCTCGGCAATCAGTCGAGTGCCTATTCTCGCGCGGAGATGCTCGTCAAGAAATTTTGTGACCTCGTTCGGGCTGATATACTTTCTCGCTTCGAGGAAGCCTCGAGCGAGAATAGAAATGGTGTTGGAATGTGTCTGGACCAGATCGGCCATGACACTTGTAAACTGGATCTCTTCTTCTAGCGTCTTGATCTCCTTCGAGGCATAGGGTAGGAGGGTTGATAAGGAGTGGACATAGTTGTTATGAATTTTGGAGACATTTGGATTCGAGACAACGATAAAAGGTAGGTTGCGAAGAGATTGAATGCGATGGGCGAGGCGTGAGGGCAGGATGGACAGGGTGAAGTTGGCCGAGTCAAGCAACTGGTCGGCTGTGAGAGGTGGTCGTCCGAACCTAGTAGTCTTTGTTTAGTCACGGTATATACGCACAGTCTGCCAGCTATTCGACTTANNCTTGGCTAGATCTGCTAGTGTCAGCGGATGCAAGGGCCTGCCAGCCAGTCGAGCGACCTCGCCATCTGTGACCTTTTGTGTCTTGAGCCTGTTGTCTGGTCTGCTGAGTCTTGGAGTGGTCGAGAGTCGTCTCGTGGCATTTATGCCTGCGCAAGGTAACCTCGACAAGCGGCCACCTATGCAATTCATCACGACAATTGCTTTGTGTTGTGGTTAGTCAAGCGACATGTTGCGGCCGGTCGAGGGCATTTTGTTTAAGTCTAGAGCTATGACGCAGCACCGTGAAGCCTCACGCGATGTCAATCAGCCCAACACAAAGGACCGATTATAGTCCTGTCCATCTGGTGACTACTAGTCTCGTATCGCTACAGAGCCAACGTTCTGACTTTATCCTTAGGCCTTGTCGGCGTGGTCTACAACGCCATGTCACACGATTTGGAGTATAGTGCATAGCATCGACCGTGGTCATGTTTGCGGTGTTTGCGTGTCATGAGTTATTCAACGTATGGTATCTGAAAGGACCCTCCCATATGTAATGTCATATCTGTCGTCGACCAAGGCAGTGAATGCCTGTCCCCAGCTGCTGCTCTACTGAGTTCTGACCTCGCCGTCGTTCTCAACGTTGATGTGGTCGTTGGACGAAAGGGTGTGGACCTTGTCCTCAGGGAACTCGGCGCTGTGTGGTGTCAGTCGTTGCTCATGCGGGACGATGGTCCAGGGAGGGAAAGCGTACGTGAAGCCCTTGATCAGCTTGAACTCAGTGGTGATCTTGCCGCCCTGGTCGGTGACCTGCTTCTTGGCACTGAGATACAAGTCAGCTCAAGCATTCTGAAGTCAGGAAAGGGTGTGCTCTTACGCGTCAAGCTGAGATGCGTCGGCACCATCCTTGAGAGAGACCTGGACTCTGTTAGTTGTCTGCCCATAAGGTCTGCCTCGNTTTGCTGCGAGACCCACGTTGATCGAAGGCATGTTGAGTCGAGATGTGAAGGATATGTGAGAGGTTGATGCGGTAGAGAAACTGTATCTGAGAGAAGAAGAGAGTAGACGAGTGTTGGCTTTCAAGAAGAAGGCGGGCATGAGGGCAGTCAACAGTTGCCAATCTCACCTCCAGTCCCGCTTCGACCACTCTGACGTATTAATGCAGGTCTGTTTATCCATGTGCACGTGAAGGACGCCTCGGCCCTCACCGTGCAGCCAAACAGACCGCTTGTGAGGACAGTATTAACCTGAGCATAGTCCGATTGGCTAGTAACTTACCATCTCTCAAGCCATTTGTGACGAGTCTGTCTACGCTTAGCAACTTGTCTGCACCGCCCATGTCAACATGCACGGTGTTTTTGCTAACGGACGGAAATGGCTGGGGAAAGTGAAGCCTCGGCGATAAGACGCCAAGACTTCGGCAGACATCCGGTCGAGGGTCCCGGACTGATTAGGGCTTCTATCGAAAAGTTCAGAGAGCCTCTAACATTTTCTGACCTTTGCCGCCGTCAGCACTCTTGTTACGCCGGACAAGATGTCGGAAAATCAGACCAACCGGCCGCATCGCGCGACCAAGGAGAAGAAGGCCCCAACTACTGGTGAACGCAATCCGAAAGCTTTTGCCTTTTCGCGTCCTGGAAAATTGCAAAAGCAGGCTGCTCGTTCTCACGATGTAAGAAGATCAAGTTTCACATGATACATCAAGTTCTAACAAGACACAGNNGTCAAAGAGAAGCGTCTGCATGTCCCTCTGGTGGATCGTCTGCCTGAAGAGGCTCCTCCTATCGTCGTCGGTGTCGTTGGTCCTCCTGGAGTAGGCAAGACCACCCTCATCAAATCCCTCGTCCGAAGATATACCAAGCAACCCATTACCCAACCTGTTGGACCCATCACTGTCGTCACATCAAAGAGAAGGAGACTTACATTTATGGAATGTCCGGCTGATTCCCTGGCTGCCATGATGGACGTGGCCAAGGTTGTCGACATTGTACTACTTATGATTGACGGAAACTATGGTTTCGAGATGGAGACAATGGAGTTCTTGAACGTCCTGTCTTCCAGTGGTATGCCCGGTAACGTCTTCGGTATCCTGACCCATCTCGATCTCTTCCGTAAGCAGGAAGCCCTCAAAGCGCAGAAGAAGCGCCTGAAGCATCGCTTCTGGAGCGAACTCTACTCCGGAGCCAAACTGTTCTACTTGTCCGGTGTTGTTAACGGCAGATATCCCGATCGCGAAGTTCTCAACCTCTCACGTTTCTTGTCCGTCATGAAGAACCCTCGTCCTCTAGTTTGGCGCAACAGCCATCCTTACGCCTTGGCCGACCGCTTCCTCGACATCACTCCTCCTACCAAAATCGAAGAAGACCCCAAATGCGACCGCACTGTTGCCTTGTATGGCTACCTCCGCGGTACCAACTTCCCTGCGAACGGCGCCAGAGTCCACGTGCCTGGTGTCGGCGATCTGAGCGTCTCGAACATCGAAGCTCTTCCCGACCCGTGCCCTACTCCGTTCTTGGATCAAGCGATTGCAAAGGCTACGGGCAAGTCTGGAAGAAGAAGGCTAGGAGAAAAACAAAAGCTCATCTACGCTCCCATGTCTGATGTTGGTGGTGTGCTTGTGGACAAAGACGCTGTTTATGTTGACATCAAGAGTCAAACCTTTGATCCCGAAGATGATGAGCAAGAGCGAGGATTGGGTGAACAGATGGTCGTTGGTTTACAAGGTGGCCGCAAGTTACTTGGACAGACTGAGGGTGGTCTGCAGCTTTTCGGCGACGGTGAGAAGCTGACTCGTGAGGATCTTGGCCGCAAGTCTGCTCGTGTTCTGTCAAGAAGGATTAACGACGATGAGGCAAGCCCAGAGGACGAAGGGTTCGAGAGCGGCGATGATGAAGACGAAGAGTTCCAGAGCGGTGACTCCGATGTTGACGAGGACGGCGAAGAAGACATGCTTGTTCCTGCGCCGAAGCGCAGAGAGGCCAGTCCTGACGCAACTGGCGAGGAAATTGCTTTCGCCGACAGTGACTCTGACCTCGGCTCCATGTCTGAAGCTGAAGATGTCAGCGATCCTGAGGATTATGATGAAGACGCCGAGTACAGTGAAGACGAAGACGGCAATCTTCGCTGGAAGAAGAACATGAGCGAGCGTGCCGCTGCCCTGCACCAACGCAAGATGCCTTACCGCACCGTGGAACTGGCTCGCCTTCTATACAACGACATGCTATCGACAGCACAGGTCTTGCGCCAATGGCGTGGCGAAGAAGATGAGGAAGACGACATTGAAGATGAAGAAGAGGAGGACTTGTTCGAGAAGAAGAAGCCTACCGAATCCGAAGCTACCCTCGACCGCCACATCCCAATGTACAACAGAGCAGAGCTTGAGGAGAAATGGACTGACGAGGAGAATCTTGAGGCCATCCGCTCGCGATTCGCATCGGGCCACATGCTCAACGGAAACGACGACGAAGATGGATCCGAAGCGGAGTTCAATGGCATTGAAGACGACGATGATGAGGGTGACGGTGCTTTCGAGGATCTGGAAACTGGAGAGGTTCACGGCGCTGAAGACGAGGCCCAAACCAACGGTGCTGATGGCGACGAAGAACCAGACCTGGACGCCGAACGTGAGCGCAACGCTCGAAGAAAGGAAGAGCTCAAGCTTCGCTTTGAAGAGGAGGACAAAGAAGGATTCGCAAATGACAAGAGCAACGCCAAACGTGAGAGCGGCGAGGACGAATTTGGCGAGGATGACTGGTACGATGCACAGAAGGCTCTCATTCAGAAACAACTCGACATCAATCGCGCCGAGTTCGACGCTCTGGACGAGCAGTCACGAGTGAGAGTCGAAGGTCACAAAGCAGGAACATATGCTCGTATCGTTCTGGAAAACGTACCTTGCGAATTTGTGGAAAAGTTCAATCCTCGATTCCCCGTCCTCATTGGTGGTCTGGCACCTACGGAAGATCGCTTTGGCTACGTCCAGATTCGTATCAAGCGTCACAGATGGCACAAGAAGATTCTCAAGACGAATGATCCTCTCATCTTCTCCCTTGGTTGGAGACGTTTCCAGAGTATGCCTATGTACAGCATCTCAGACTCGAGAACTAGGAATCGCATGCTCAAGTACACGCCTGAGCACATGCATTGTTTCGGAACCTTCTATGGACCGCTTATTGCGCCCAACACTGGTTTCTGTTGCGTGCAGTCTTTCTCCAACAAGAACCCTGGCTTCCGAATTGCTGCTACTGGTGTAGTCTTGAACGTTGATGAGTCGACAGAGATTGTCAAGAAGCTCAAACTGACCGGTCACCCATACAAGATCTTCAAGAACACCGCATTCATCAAGGACATGTTCAGTACTTCCCTTGAAATTGCAAAGTTCGAAGGTGCTAGTGTGCGCACTGTTTCTGGTATCCGTGGTCAAATCAAGAAGGCCCTCAGCAAGCCCGAAGGCAATTTCCGTGCCACGTTCGAAGACAAGATTCTCATGTCAGACATTGTCTTCCTGAGAGCATGGTACCCGGTTAAGCCTCACCGCTACTACAATCCTGTGACCAACCTGCTGGATGCCGATGTGAACAGCGAAGGTTGGCAAGGAATGCGTTTGACTGGTCAAGTACGCCACGCCCTCGACATTGCTACACCCAAAGACAAGAACTCTGCCTACCGCACTATCGAGCGCCAGGAACGCCACTTCAACCCTCTACGTGTACCTCGCAAGGTGGCTGCAGAGCTGCCTTACAAGTCTCAGATCGTCCAGATGAAGCCACAAAAGAAAGAGACATACATGCAGAAACGTGCTGTTGTTGCTGGCAAGGNNGATGAGAAAGAGGCCAGAAGATTGCTCCAACAAGTTCAGACACTGAGAAACGAGAAGGTCGCAAAGCGTCGTGCTAAGCAGGAGGAGCGCAAGCAGCCTTACCGTGCCTTGGTTGCCGAGAACGCCGAAAAGAGAGCAGAGAGGGAGAAGAGGGAGAAGGAAGAATACTGGCGCAGAGAAGGCAAGAAGAGAAAGGGTTGGAACGATGGTGAAGGTGGTGGTGGCGGCAAGAGAAGAAAGGGTTAATCATGGGTGTGGCATTTCTTGTTTGGATGCTCATCGAATCTGTTCAAAAGCGATTTCATATAGAAGCATTTCTCAGGCGTCAAACAATGATTGTTCCTTTTTGTCAACATGCGTGCGTACTATTGAACATAGCGTATTCAACCACATTCAAAACATTTTTTAGATCAGGTCGACGAAAATGTCGTCTCGAATGGCTCTCTAGTCCAGGGTCCAGGAGGAAGGCGCAATGATGGTCAGCCATGCAACCCTTCAGCTCTTGGCGGTTGCTTCCGCTTTCTTTCCAACGTCCTTCGGCCACCACCTTGCTCAGTTTCATGTCAACCGACATCGCCGGTCATTGTCATGACCAACTAAGCAGGTTCCGAGGACCGGTTTCTGCTGACCTAGTGGTCGTCACTATCAAGCTATGGCGCGACATGGCTGATGGTTGTTTGCCGCGCTGTCCGCTACGACGACCTCCCGTTCTGGCTCAACCAGCCTGCTTGTTTCCAGGCCCAATATGCTCGAGTTGACACATCGCCAACCGACATAATGCAGGGGCATGAAGCTGCGTAATAAATCAATGGGCGAGACCAGCAGAATCTATGAAAGAGCAGGGACACAAACAAACACAAACGCAGTGTCTTAGATCAGGAGGTAGGAGTACCGAGGCAGGCCTTTGCGACCGTCATATCATCGCGATATTCAGCATAAACAGGAGAACGGGTCGGTGATGATGATTTGCACGTCGATGCTCGGCCACCTACGACTTGCAGTCATTGCTTCTTGCTGTCAAAAGTTTTGCTGGTTGGCCATCCAAAACACAGGATCAGTGCTTGAGGCAACCATGATATGCTCCGAGGACGTTCTCAGACAACGTGATGCTGGCGAGAATCAACATGTTGAACTATGCCTATTCTAATTCACCATCACGAACTAAAGAGACTCAGGAGGTCTCGATTGTAAAAGTGCCATCAGCTAGGATACACTTATGCTGTGACCACTAACTTTTAAGCATGTTCCGGAACCGACTCTGGGATCAGCAACACTGCAACAGGAACCTTGTATGATCTTCACTTTAATTTGTGTCAGGTCGAACGCGTGGTGCATTAGTCTGCAATGTGAAACTCTGGCCCCACATTAAACTCGACCATAACCAACAAATATTTCGATCAACAACCCATACATACAAAAGGAAGACCTTTCTGTCTTCAGCACATCAAACACATTCAACACTCTTTTCCTTGCAACACCACACTCGCTCAAATCGAACACCAATTTCTAATTCGTCTCTTAATCCTTCTTCGATCGAAACCAAACATCACAATGCGTTCCTCCACCGCCGCCATTGCTCTTGCACTCGCTGTCGGCGCAGCAGCTGCTCCTCAGGGTGTCGTCTATGTCACCAGTGTCATTGACAAGACCACTACCTGGTGCCCGGTAATTACTATTTTCTTAAACGATTTAATTGCTATTTTCTAATTCATTATAGGCTGGTGCTACCATCACCCACGCAAGCGGCACCACCGTCTTGACTGCTGCTACCATGATGACTCTGCCCGTCTCCTCTACTGCTGAGGCTGTCTCTGCCTCGACTCCCCAGGCTGCTTCCGTTTCCACAATTCCTACTGGAGGCTCGTACGAGTCTGCTCCCGTCTCATGCGCCGAGGGTATGATGTCCTCTGGTGGCTCATGCGTACCTGTTCCTGTCACCTCCGCCCCCGTCCCTTCCGCCTCTGCTCCAGTCTCATGCGCCGAGGGCATGATGTCCTCTGCTGGCTCATGCGTATCTGCCCCCGTCTCCTCCGCCGCTGTCTCGTCAGCTGTGGTCATGCCTACTAGCGGCTCATACGCTTCTGCTCCCGTTTCATGCGCTGAGGGTATGATGTCTTCTGGTGGCTCATGCGTGTCTGCTCCCGCCTCGAGCCCCGTTTCTCCTGAGGAGACCTCCTCCGTCCCTGCTGTCGAGTCAAGCCGTGCTCCTGTCGCCTCTGTCGGAACCGCTACCCCTATCATTCCCGGTGCAGCCTACGGCTCCTCTGCTCCTTACCCCATGTCGTCTGCTGCCGGCGCTGTTGGCTACGCTCAGCCCTCGGGTGTCGCTGGTCCCTCTGGCTACGCCCAGCCCTCTGGAGTTGCTGGTGCCTCTGGTTCTTCGTCAGCTGCTAGCCCTGCCAGCCCCTCCTCCTCCGCCTACACTGGTGCCGCTTCTCGCAACTTCGCCGGCGCTACTGGTGTTCTTGCCGTTGCCGTCGCTTTCCTTGCTCTCGCTTAAATGATGTGAGCATGTTTGCTTTGCAACCCAGCTGCTTCACGTCAAGATGCAAAGAGTAGCTGGAGTGCTTTTGTTTTTACGCCAAATGATACCATTAAGAGCTGCTTGTGAACGCAGGGTCTTTTCTTTCTCTTTTCCCTAGTCTAGGCGTTTCAGTTTTTCTCCGTAATCAGAACAGTTTTTGTTGCTTTAATCTTGCATGGTCTGTTATCTAGATTATATGAGGACTCACTCCAGTCTAGATTTTCTTCATTCCACTCTAAGGCCAAGTGTCTCTCTCATGTGCTGCTATTCCGTATTTTTTTCCCTTTAAAGCTATGGCTTTCGTAGCGTCGTTGTCGCTTCATTCCACGCTCGTGAGCAATGTTGCCTTCTTGAGACAGATAGCGCAGGGAAAGTGGTCCTCCGCTCCAATTCCAGCATTGAAGAGGATGGTAAGGCGGGCTTATCTTCGAAAGAGATATTTTTGGCCAAAGTCTAGTCAACCTCGAAGATGCAGGATTCTTTTCTTGGTTCGGAGCCCTGCTGAAACTTCTGTACAATACCAATCGAGTAGTCGATCAAGGTCTGTGCCGTCAACAAGACGGCTGTGTCTAGAGAGCGTCCATACTGGTTCTGGTGCTCAAAGTCTCGTTCTTGTTTCCAAGCTTGCTGATCTGGAGGAAAGCGTCAACACCATAGCCTTCCAGATTATGAACTTCTAGGCTACCAGCCCAATATTCGGCAAAGATACGACTCATAGGCAACCCAATCCCCAGACGAAGATCGGGATGTCTACCAGACAGAGATCCCAAAGAGTGATCGAAGCGAGTCTGTTTCGCATCGCGCTTCTGGTTTGGGGAGTCTGGTTCAGGAACTTTGAGGTCTTGGAGGGTGGCTGCTAGTTTAGGGACTTGCTCGAGGTTTCGTAGACGTCGGTTGCGTTCTGGTCCTTTGCTGAATGACCAGAGGTTTGGAAGACTTTCGCGGTCGATGCCGCCGCCTTGGTCTGATACCCGGATGATGACGTGTTGTGCAGCCTCACATATCAATACTTCGATTGGCGGAGGCTTGGAGCCGTGTCGCTCGACTGTTGCCTGGAAGGAGTTTCGCAATAGCTCGCCGATGATGTATTCCAGATGGCTGGGGATGTAGGGAAAGACGATGTCTTCGGCACCTTGAATGATGACTTCAGGTAACCTCACATCGGAACCATATGCCTGTTTGGCAAGATTGCCTATCGTGTCGGCGCATTCTTGGACGATTTCCTTTGCGTTGCATCGAAGGAAGATCTCGCCGACGAAATCATCGCCATGTTCGGGGTGGAGTTTTGCTGCTGGAGGAAGGTGATCTGGAGAATGATATGCTTTTGTCAGAGCACAATGCTGCTCAGCAATCACTCGTCGACTGATCCTTGACCTCAACAACGAGTTTACCAACTTGTCGCACTGCTCGCTTGGTATGGATTCGGAGATTTCTAGCACGCCCATAGCAAGTCTTGGAATCACACTTAGGTGATCTCTCAGTTGTTCGCGAACAACATCACAGAATCTGTCGTTGTCTTCTAGGGTTCTTATCTCAGGGACCTTCCGTAGCTTTTCGAAGGCTGAGTAGTATAATTCGTAGACATGGCTGATGTGAGGATTTACTAGGGCGGCGTAGGGTAATGTTTGCATATCGCGGATTCTGTGTGCAATTCTNTGGACAAAGATTAGCGATGTGCAGCATATACCAGAATGATAGGTAAAGTACCTGGTGGGTAATTCAAGCCGAACATAGTTCGCAGATCCAAGTAATCGAGTGTCGGTGAGAAGTCGACCAAAGAAGGTAAGCTGTCGTAAACTGATAGGCCTCGCTTCTCGTTCAACCCATCTACAGAAGCGGGTCAGCATGAGAAAGATACAAGATTGCATAATTTCGTACTTGTCCAATACAGAGGCTGGACGCCATGGGGGCGGTACTATTGAGATGCTTCTTCGCTTTGCCATCCATGTTGTGCGAGTCAAAGGGCGTATGGCTGAGACAGCGCGACATAGCAAAGGCTGAGTAGCCTTCATTCTGAAAGAGTGGTCAAACATCTTGTCGAAAATGGATGGCTAGTATTCTATATATACAAAGGGGTACACAGTCGTCAAGATGTGACCGGAAACAAAAGCTAGTGGTCAGCTACAAGTCACGATGTCAATACCGCGACATCAGGTGAGTTGTGTGATGCAGAGACAGATGCAAGTGCGGTCGAGTCGGCCCTGCTCCAAGCGACGTTTTTGGCTCGGTCGTGGTCGAGGCTTCTCGTTCCTTCAGCTTCTTGAGCCCGAACCCCAGAAAAACTGGACCCTGACTGACGTGTGTTGAGTGGAGCTTGCGCGCCAATAATGTTCGAAAGGCCTCCCAAAATTTTGTCTTCTCTTTCTGCTCTTCAACCACACTTTGTCGCACACATTCAATCATATCAACATGGCCGAAGATCAAGCACCTGTTCACTACGAGGATCTCGCTCTTCTCGAGACTCAATTCGACGAAGTCGATCGCGAGATTNTGTACCTCTCACTTCCATACCTTACTGGAATGACTACTGACGAGCATCTAGTGGCCAAGCAGTACATCCTCAGCGCTCCTCTGTACGCCAAGCGTCAAGAAGTTGTGTCAAAGATTGAGCACTTCTGGCCTCTCGTCTTTGAGCAATCTCCTCCCGATGTCGACCGCTACATTACCCCCAACGATGCCAACATCTTCGCAAAGCTGAAGAGCCTCGATGTCAAGCGCTTTGAGATCCCCATGGGTCCCGAGAAGATCGAGGGCGAAGCTGGTGACCCGCGCAGCATTGCTATCCGCTTCGAGTTTGACGAGAACGAGTACTTCTCTAACTCTGTCCTCGAGAAGAAGTTCTGGTACAGAAGATCAAAGGACGGCTGGGCTGGCCTTGTCTCTGAGCCCGTCAAGATCAACTGGAAGGGCGAAGATCCTACCAATGGTCTTACCGATGCTGCCTTTGCTGTTTTCGAGGAACGCAAGAAGGCTGGTGACATGAAGAAGAAGGGCTTTGCCGCTCACAAGAAGCTTCTCAGCTTGATTGAGAACAACAATGTTGACAACACCTCCTTCTTCGCTTGGTTCGCCTACGTCTCTGCCACTCGCTACGTTTCGGCTGAGGAGTCAGCCCAGGCCAACAAGGAGTACAAGGAGCGTCAGGACAAGAGATCCAAGGGCGAGAAGGTTGACAGCCCCGAGCCCGAGGAGGAGGACATGGCCGACATGTCTGGAGACGATGAAGTCCACCCAGAGGGTGATGAGCTCGCTCAGCTCATCGCTGAGGACGTCTGGCCCAACGCCATCAAATACTTCAGTAAGCACAAGCTACCTATTGTGGCTGCAAACATGCTTATCTTTATACAGCTCNAAGCACAAGAGATGGAAGAAATGTCTGAGATGGATTTCGAAGACATGTCCGACGAGGACGATGATGAGGACGGCCCAATTGACCTCAGAGCGCTGGTTGGCAAGGGCAAGCCTAAGACCAAGCCCTCCAATGACGCCGATGAGCCGCCCAAGAAGAAGCAGAAGAAATAAACTCGCTCGCGCAAGATGATGTACTAGGTTAACGAAAGGATCGATCTGATTAAATGGTTGGAATGATGATGATCTTTGGGTAATCTGTGGATAGAGACCAATGCTATACCCTGAATATTGGTACCAGAACCCAAAGACTTTTGCAAACTCCAGTCCCATTTCTCTCCAGTTTCTCTTCAGTGATTTCCCTTGTGCCAACCCTCTTTGCACCAAAGCAGACTCTCCATCGTTCTTGCAGTACCAACATTGCCGCGTTGGCCACCAATAATTTTTCTGCGACACAAGTCTACGAGTCTCCTTCATTCGTCCACAACCATCTTATCTTCCTCCTGCTCTTTCAGCTCTCTATTCTTCTTCCTACGCATCATACTCAGAACAACATCCTCAGGCTCAACAACAGTAGGCAAAGGATTCAAATCTGCATCCAAGTAGCCATACGAAAGATATGACAAGAACATCCTTTGCAAACCAGTACGACGTCTAACTGCCTCTTTCAGCACCAACTGATCTGGACGCAGCAATGGGACTTGACTCAGTCCCCAACACTCGTAGCCCCAGCGACCCACAAGTGCGGCAGGAACACCCATGATAGGCATGTTCAGTTTTGCCTGGTATTGTTCGTGGGCTTCGCGGGTCATTGGTCTGATGGGTTGGGGTCTGTTGTAGCGGTGTCTGATCCACAAGCGCAGGATATCTAGTTTGGAAGTGCCATCTGCGCCGCGCAAGAAGTTCCAGAGGGTGGTGAGACTGCGTTCTGCGAGCAGCAATTCACGCATGGACGCTTCGCCGCCGTAGTAGTGTACGGGATCCACATACAGCATGTCGAGCTTGATGAAGAAGAGTTGTAGGATTGCGAGTGTTTCCTTGGTGAAGAAGCTGGTGTTGTGGATCAAAGATATGCGAGGGGCGTTGACTGGGATGTCAAGGAGAAACCACATTTTCTGTCAAGATGTGTTAGAAGCATGTATAGCAGAGTCTTGGAGATGTGCAACTTACCTCNNGAGAGCGACGACGCTTTCAGCACGTGGTATGCGATGACCGTGTACTGCCATCCAACCAACAATCTCTCGACAGACAGACTCACGATACGCCACCATCTTCAGCCAGCGGAACCCTGGCACTGGTGCAGCAGATTGTTGTCGATGTTCAGCGAGCTTAGAAATCCTTTCCTTTCTCTCAGCTGGACTCTCAGATTTGACACTTGCTGGACTGTCCGAGACGTTGGAACCTTGAGATCCAGATTCATCAGAAGTTCCTTCGGCAGATACATCAGGCTCCGAAGCGGGGACGAGATCATCCCAGCTCACACTTCTGCGATCAGTTCTGGGACGACGCAAAGCAGGATCCTCAATGCAAAGTTGACGGTAGCACCACCATGGGAAGCATTTATCGGCGTTGGGAGCCCATATGAAAGTGGCTGCCTTGATGAATGCGGTAAAGTGACTGTCCATCACATAGTGAAAGGGAGCAGAAACACTGTACAGATTGAGAAGTGTCTGGGGTGGGAGGTAACTCGTGATTTGAAGCAGGATATCCACATGCGAGGCAAGTCCGGTAAGGAGATTGAACTTCTTTGGTCCAGGAGGTGGTAATGGTGAGTTCAGGACAACGCGTTTGCGGCGACTCGTAGGGAGACGACCGACTAGGGAGGCGGCTTGGGCGAGCACATCGAGTGGGTTTGTTTTATCGACGGATGACTGTTTGTTGTCTACCAGAGTTGGTTGGAGTTCGTCCTGAAGAACGAAGCGCCTCTTGCTGGAAGCATAGTCGTCATCTTGTGCAAAGACGTCAGAAGGATCGCTTGGGCGACGCTTTCGGGGGGCGTTACTGGCGTTAGTCATGATGATTTCTCTCTTTAGTGCAAGTGGTCGAGATTGAGGATGTTTTGGATATCTCGAAGCAAGATGGTTTGAAATTTCGAAGCGCGACTGACGGCAGCTGATATTAAAATGAAGAGAGAACAATAGCAAGTAGCAGGCTATTGTCGTTATTGTTGAGTCAAGCTATTGTTGCAGTGAGTGGCGTCAATGTCTGTCGAGTAAGCAGCTAGTGCTTCACTTCGCAACAATTAGTGAAAGCGAGATGCCACCAAACTTAAGGAAAGAAATGCAAATGTGCTGGAACAAGGTCGTGGAATTATTTTGTCATGTATGGTAATTTTACATTGCTGAAAAGAAGGTGATGCAAAATTCGTTCATTTACTTACGATCGTTGAGGTGGTATCATTCCGTAACCTGGCTGTTGAGTGGCCATTCATCCTTCATCTGTATCTCGTGTTGCTCCCAAAAACGCCTGTTCCCCATCTATGACCATAATCGACTTGCTTTTGTGCTGTCTACCTCCTGTTGAGCAGATTCAGGAACTCCTCTCTCGTCTTAGCAGTTGATCTCATTCTACCGAGCATACAGCTGGTAGTCGTTGTGGCGCTGGTCTTTTGAACACCGCGCATGACCATACACAGATGGCTGGATTCCATGACGACGGCGACACCCTGAGGTTGGAGGACTTCGGACAAAGCAAGGGCGACTTGTTTGGTCAAACGCTCCTGAACCTGTAGTCTGCGAGAAAACATCTCGGCGATACGTGCAAGCTTGGAGAGACCGAGGACACGGCCGTTGGGAATGTAGCCGATGTGCATCNNTAGACACGTCAGAAAGCTTTCGTGAAAGGTGCTGAGATGTGCACATACCTTTCCAGTAAAGGGGACCAAGTGATGTTCGCAAAGACTGAAGACTTCGATGTCCTTTACGATGACGAGCTCATCGTGATCTTCGTGGAAGACAGCGCCATTAACAATGTCCCTCAGGTTCTCTTCGTAGCCTTTGGTGAAGTACATCATGGCCTTTGCATAGCGCTCGGGCGTACCATGAAGGCCCTCTCTTTCTGGGTCTTCTCCGATGCATTCGAGTAATGTACGGACTGCTCCGGAGAGCTTCTCTAGGCGGGCTGCGGCCTGCTCGGGGGTAGATTCGAGTCTTTCGCGTGTGCCGGTGNNCCTATACAACGGTCAGACAAGGAAAGCGATCGGAATCGGCTGAAGCATACTGGGCCAGCTCAGTCCGTCAAAGTCAATAGTAGGAGCGAGAGTGTAAGGACTGCTAGCTCTGCTGGTCTGCTGAGAGGTCCAGTCGTCACGCGGGTCTCTTGCCTCGGCCTCATCGAGATTAGCCAGCTTTGAAGGGCGCTTGTCGCGCGGTTGAGCATTGGTCTGGGGTTGGAAGTAGTTGCCCTCAAGATCAAGAGGCTCTTTCTTGGGACCCATCGAAGACTTGATGGACTTGAAAGCGTTCTCACGCTCACGCGCATCCCGGTTCTCTTGGGTAACCAGAGGAGACGATCCGTTGATCATGTGCGATGGGATAGGCTTGGGCCTGATGGGCGAATTTGGGTGGTGGTCCATGGCTATGGCGGAGTATGTCAGACAGTATAGACGTCAAGCTGTTGATTGTGGTGATGATCCGCTAGCAGAGTAGATGATGTAGGTAAGAATGTAGCGGCCGAACAATTGATCACGTCCTAGAGGAAGTAGTTGGAGTGTGAAGCTTGTATGTGGTAGAAGAGAAAGTCCATTACGGTCTGCCTGGGTTTACAGAGCCATGACTTGTGCTTGAGAGGCAGAGGTCATTAGTATTCTTCCTCATTCCTCCTGCTTGTCCCTTGAGCCCCGCCGGTCTCGCCAAACTTTTTCTCTTTGAGTCACGCCTTCCCGAAGCCCTGGAGCTAGACGGAAGAGAGGGCTCGTGCGCCGCAGGTCGGGGGCTGCATTCCCAACACGGCCAACACTGGCACAACGAGCATCACCACCATACAATCATCCTGTCTGTTCCACTATTCCTAACATGCGCCACCTCCCTCGAGTGCTGGTCAACTAGCATCATCTTTCTCAGTGGTGCCATCGTTCCTAGTCTGCGCGTGTGTACCGCTCATGACGACCTACACGACATGCACATCTTGCAGTGTGCCTGCGCTCGTCCACCTATCTAGTTAGATCATGTTGCTGTTCGGACCAACTAACTCATGTTCAATGTTTCTGAAAACACCTGCTGTTTTTCGGAACTTGCTTCGTGCTGAGGCTCTGTTCACCTAGCTAACACACCTGTTGTCGTATTTTGGCTCCCAGGCTCGAAGGACTAATTCTGATCACTGACAGTCCATTCTGCTCGGCAAGACAACAGACCAGCCTCAACTTTGCTCTCATCTTTTGCATTTGCGAACGCGATTGAGACGCCAGCCAGATCACGCTTCATCACTCACTGACAATGCTCGGCTTGACCGATTTTGGAGCTCTAGACAGCTCTTTCCTCGGGTGACATTGATCTCGGGGAATCATCGAATGTCTTTTGGGCAGCACCAGCGCGAGGGACACTTTGAACAACATGATGCACTGGATACGTTGGTCTATCAAGTTTTTGAAGAAGACATTTGGAGGGCCAAGGCCCAACCTTCCGGCCACAACGACTGTCAATTGATCTGGCTGCACAGCAAAATACTGACGTCCTCTCAGAGGACATTGAGTGAACGAAGACACCTCGAGGTTCACAGTCAACAAGTATGAGTGGTCGTTGAGGCAGTTTGAGATCTGGACATGTGCATCACAAGTGAATGATAGAAGGCGGGTCAGAGTCAGCACATTCAGAAGATGCCAACCACAGAAGCACCGCAAGACAGTCACATAGATGGCTCACTCGAGCTTGGTCGTGACCAAAGAAAATCAGCTTCTGGTCTCCTGTAGGGAGTACTCGACTGAGCAGCATTTGGTGATGGAGCAGGCCGCTTAAGCTTCGGGTAGGCGTGAGCGGCGGGGAAACGCCATGGACCTCGTTCAGCCATGTTGGGCAAAGAGGGCGCGTCTCAAGCAAGAGTTGCACGCTGAGCAATTGACAGGTGAGGGAAGTTGATCACTCCATTCATTCTTAATCCCCTTTCCCTTCTGCGTTGTATTGCTTGCACAAATGCTATTGCTGCTGTCGCTGGCACGTCGTATTTGAGTCAAGAAGATCACCACCACACCACGGCTGTGTCATTGGCGCGTGGGCTTCAAGGCTGTCTCGGTGGCCGTGTTCGTCGTCGGACTTGAATTTATGTCCCTTCTCCATGGCAGGCAACGAAACAGAACACGGGCGACGTGGACGTGATTTTCCAAGCAGAAGCAGAGAGCGTGATAGTAGACTATCGCCGTCGCCTACTGCAGCCGCTGGTCGAGGGCGCGCTGCATATCCTTCCTCATCGCATCACCACCGCCCTCGTTCAACCTCTGCACATAGGGCCCACGATCCTGACCGCGAACGACCTACCCATTATCGCCGTCGACACCACCATCATCACCATCACCAACACGACTCGGCGCGCACTCAGCCATCCCTCCCACCAGCCGACGAAGCTCCTGTATCGTCGCTGAACACAAGACGTCCAAGTCCTTCTCCAGCTCCATCGACAAGCTCGAGATACGCCAAGCGTCAACCACGAGATTACTCTCCTCGATCTGCACGTCCGTACGACCAGCGACCGTATTCAGATAGACCCCTACCAGGTCGAAGACCTCAGTCGCCCGATCCATACCCGCAGAGACGACGTTCTCGTTCGGTCGAATCTCGCTACAGCTCGCGCCAACCCAGGTATCCGTCCGAAAGAGACCGCTACAACGACCGTCGCCGATACTCTCCACCTCCTACCAGAGGTTATCGTTCATCAGGCCACTCGTCTCGCGGTCGTCCTGACAATAATTACGCTTCTCGTCATAGCAAACCTCCAGCACGCTCGCCTCCCCGAGACGTCCGACGCTCTGACTCACCGTCAGACGACCTGATATCGCAGTTGGCAAGTACTGCAAGACCTGAAGAAGCAAAGTCTAGCAGACGTCGAGGTCCATCAGCACACTCTCGCCGCTCTTCGAGGTCGCCTCGGCCAGACAATCGTCGACCTTACAGGCAGGATCCACCTCGCTACCGTGAAAGAGAGAGAGAAAGAGATAGAGATTACGCAAGAGATTACGACAGAGATTACGGACGCAACCGGGAGTACGATCGAGGAGGACGCCGCGAATACTACGACAGAAGGGAACGCTATCGCGACGAGCGCGAACCAGACGCAATGTACGGTAGGGGCGGTCCTCCTCGGCAGCCTATGTCTCGCCCATACGTAGACCCACGATATTCGCAGTCACCACAATATCCGCCCCCTGGACCATCTCCACCGCACGCTCAGTCTCCCTATGGTCGTGCGTATCCTCCACAACAACCTTATGCTAGCTACCAAGNNGGTGAGTATTTACATCGTATCTTGGTTATTCAATGCTAATTTGATACTAGTTCTCCAACACATGCTGGCTATTCAGCTGNNCCGGCTCACCTTACTATCAGCAAAGCTATCCACCCCCAGCAGCAAGTCCTTATTATCAAGCGCAGCCACCGCCACCGCATTATGCAGCTCCGCCTCCAGCTTCTGCATATCCACCTCAATCCTCGTACCGCGGACCTCCCTCTCGTGGATACAATGGCCCACAACGACCGCCTGCTTCTCTTCAGGGTCCTCCTCCTCCTGCTGGTAGAGGGGGGTCGTGGTGGTCATNTTTCCAATCTATCTTGGACTCCCTCAAGTGGTATCAGAGGCGGGAAAATAGCCTCAAAACGGGAAACTTCCATATCCGGCACTGAGACTCCCCTCGCACCAGGTTCGATGACCGAGTCTGTCGACGATGATGACAATCCATTCAGACCGCCTAAGGACCTTCGAGCCGAGGATGAAAGCGAGAAGAGGAAGTCAGGCATTAGCTTTTCCATCAAAGGAATGGCTGGGAGAATCGATTCTTCGGCACCGCACAAACCGGCTCCGCTGGTTGCGCCTCGCACGAGGAAAGAAATTGTTGTTCGCAAACGGCTGAAGCCCAAGCCAAAGTTGACGGGAGAGTTTGCTACCTCGGACTCGGTGTACTACCGCAAGACTGGCAACGAGTCAGTTGTTGGGTCTGGCACTTACGGTAAAGTGTACAAGGCTGTCCACGTCTACACCGGAGACAAAGTCGCACTCAAAAAGATAAGAATGGAAGGAGAGCGTGATGGCTTCCCAGTGACAGCAATCCGCGAGATCAAACTTNTGCAATCTCTGAACCACACTAACGTGGTCAAGTTGCAAGAAGTCATGGTCGAGCGCAACGACTGTTTCATGATTTTCGAGTACCTCTCACACGATTTGACTGGGTTGTTGAATCACCCATCTTTCGTGTTGACCGAAGGGCACAAGAAAGACCTGGCAAAGCAACTGTTCGAGGGTCTTGATTATCTTCACAAACGCGGTGTCCTTCATCGCGATATCAAAGCTGCCAACATCCTTGTGTCTCGCAATGGTGAGCTGAAATTGGCTGATTTTGGTCTTGCACGATTTTACAACAAGAACGCGAAACGAAAGCAAGACTACACCAACAGAGTCATCACCATTTGGTACCGCTCGCCTGAGTTGTTGTTGGGAGAGACGCAGTACGGACCAGCAGTCGACATCTGGTCAGCCGCTTGCGTCTTGGTTGAGATCTTCACCAAGCATGCCATCTTCCCAGGTGATGGTGGCGAGATCAACCAGCTCGACAAGATCTACAATGTCCTTGGTACTCCGTCGCGCTCGACTTGGCCAGGAATAGTGGATCTGGCTTGGTACGAGCTTCTACGGCCAGCGCACAAGGTGCCCTCGACCTTTGCCGAGAAGTACCAAGAACGTGTATCACCAGCAGCGTTTGATCTTTTGAGCGCCATGTTTGTCTTTGACCCCGACACGAGACCCACAGCGAGCGACGTGCTGGAGCATCCATACTTCACGACAGAGGAACCAAAGGCGAGCAAGGTGGTGGAACTGAAAGATCTGGAAGGTGATTGGCACGAATTTGAGAGCAAGGCATTACGCAAGGAGAAGGAGCGTGAAGCAAGAAGAAAGGACAAGGAAAGTGCAGAGAAGCGGAAGCTTGAAATGCCGGCAGGCGACGAGAGAGAGCTCAAGAGAGTGAAGACTGGCGATGCACAAGCATAGCAGGCAGCATGTAAAAACACTCACTGAATGAGGATGAATTGTAGCAGGCGGTGACACTGCATTATTACTCCCTGCCCGTGTTCCAAAGTCTGGAGCTTCTCCGATTCTAGCAATGAGCAAGATGTATACTGTCAGATGACACCAAGGTTCATGGGAACAGAAGCGTGTCCAAAGAGAGCCGATTTGATGTTGTTCCTCAGCGAGCACTATCGTGTTTCGTGGTAGCAATTATTGTGCATTTTGATAGCATAACTCTTGCACAATTTCCCCAGATTCAGGGACGGCCACCTAAGTGCATGCGATAGACTTGCTGGCTTTAAGCTCGAGAAGACCAGTCGACATCACAACATATTCAAGATGCACTCGTCGCTCGTGCGGATACAGAATGTATTCGGTTTCTTCACAACCGTGGCCTTCAGTCTGGGACTCTTGATAGCGCTGAGCGTTGTCGTCTCACACCAGAACCCGACGGCAGAGCTCGAGCTGCGCAACGTCCAGGTGTAAGCAACTATACCTTCTGCACTTGCTGTAGCATTGTCTGACAAGCATCCAGCGNTCAAGGGTCGTCCCCACTACTACAGTACCAAGAAGGAGGAATACGCACACATCAAGTTCGACCTCGAGACCGGTTCGTTGCTCTTCTGTCCCTGACCCTCACCACGAACACACCTTCTGACCGCTTTCACAGATCTCAGATCTCTCTTCTCCTGGAACACCAAACAGGTCTTTGTCTACGTGACCGCAACCTTCCCTTCCAAATCCCCTCTTTCTCCTCCTTCAGAAGCCATCATCTGGGACGCCATCATCCCCGCTCCCTCCGAACCCTGGCACCAAAACACCTACATCCACCCCCAAAAGAACCGCAAATTCCCCTCGCGCCGCCAAAACACCGCCGCCGCAAACCACAAATCCTACCCCGAAGGCACCAGCCCCGGTATTTTGAAACTCTCAAACCAAAAGCCCAAATACCAAATCACAACCCCTTGGTCCAAGATTGGCGGGGCCGAGAACTGTACTTTGCAGTTCAAGTATAATGTGCAGCCGTGGGTGGGTGCGTTGTATTGGAGTTCGCCTAGACCGTTTGGCATGTGGGAGGGTTTGCAGGGGGCCATGAGTGATGTGTTTGACATGCCGGTGGTTAAGAACTCCGCACAGGCGAGCAAGAGCAAGGAGGATCTCAAGACCGAGACAGGTGGTGAGAGGAACAGAGGAAGCCCTGCTTAGAGTCATGCAAAGATGTGTTTGCTGTTTATAAGCCAGAATCACTTGGTTTAGAACCCTGAGGGTTCAGCACGAGTGTCTTTTCTGCTCTGAAGATGACAGATACGGTACGCTAGCAAAACAATCTCTTTTCTTGCCATGCCTAGAGACGTACTATCGTTATCGTCATATCATTTCGCAGTTGAAGAGTTGAGATTGGACACTGATATATGCTGTCAACAAAACTCTTCATTAATACGATGAACAATTCTCAAATGATTGACTGGAAATACACAAAAAAAACTCCTAGTTATGAACCTCCTAAATGAGACAGTGTGGACTCCAAAACCTATGCAACTTCTTTCCTTTCTTTTATGAAAACTCTTCCCCCTTTCTACATGTTTGCGAGCTCGTAATCAATCTGTTGGTCCAAGAAGGCTCTCTTCTGAGGATCCAACTGCACTTGCAATCGCTGCTCTGTAAGTACCTTCAGCTGCTTCTTGGTCACTGTATCCAGATCCACTTCTCTCAGGCAATCTCTGACGGCATCGACAATCTGACTGTCAGTGACTCCCTGGGTTTGGAACCCGGGAAGGCCGAAAGTGCTTGGAGGACGCGAAGCGGACTGGGACAATGGGCTGCGGGAACGAGGAGGGAAGCCAGCCGAGGGAGGAGGTGAGAGCTTCGGTGAGAGCAAGTCAGGCTGGGAAGACAGGTATTGGCCACTGGGGTTGCGGGGCAAGCCAGGTGAGGCGTCGCTCATGTTGCCCATAGACATGAGACGTGAGTTCTCGTTGGCGCCGGGTGCGACGTCAGTGAAGCGTGAGTAGCTAGACAAACGGTTGTATGCGTTGTATGGGCCAGGTGATTGGGTAGGAGGGCGGTAGGGCATGTTGTTGTTGGGGAGGCCGGTGAGAATGGTAGAGGCAGGGTGGACAGAGGAGTAGACCGAGCGAATATCGTCCATCTCATATCCTCCATTATCTTGGAACGGCGAGAAGCCCATCTCCTTCTCCTGAGCGACCATACCACGACGGCCAGGAAGTTGATTTTGGTAAGCATAATCGTCCCAGCGCTGCAGAGGAATGCTGCGAGGATCAAATTCTTCAGCATCCACAGCGATGACCTGCTTGGCACCAGTCTCTCCAATAACAACACGAGTGTTACCCCATGAGAAGTCATCCTGCTTCCAGAAAGAGTAGACAGGCAAGACAAATGAGTAAAGAGGATAAGCGGCCAAGTAACAGATCATCCAACCGATGTGCTGCCACTGTCTCTTGACAATGAAGATGATGGCTTGTAGACCATATACACCAGCCAACATGATGATTGAGATGAGAGGGAATTGACCACCAGTCGATGCGGTGACGATGAGGTAGACAAGGTAGACGACAGTAGCCGGAAGGATGACAGTACCGAACAGATCGATGAACACGACGAAGCGCATGGAGAAACAACAGAAACCGCACATGTCCTTGATGAGCATCAGTTCAGCCAAGTTGTGAATAGTTGAGTTGATCCAGCGACGTCTTTGAGAAAGAAGAATGCTCCATGTCTCGGGTGCGGCGGTTTGAGCATATGCTTCGGGAATAAACTTGAAGGACATGTGAGGGAAGTTCTTGGTCATCAGAGTGGTCAACCAACGATCTTCACCAAGCGACAACAAGTTCTTCTTGTGCAGAGTATCAACGTTGCAATCACTGTACTCTTCAATGATTGCATCAGAGATGATGAGAGGTTTTCCTTTATCTGCTGTTCGAAGACGGTACATAGTGAAACTNGGGAAAGTGTTAGTACTGCAAGATTGAAAGAACCATGTGCGCATGACTTACCATCCAGGAAGACAGGTGACACTACCGAACAAACTTTCGAAAGCCTTCGCCAAGTGATGAGAAATGTAGTACTCGTAGACCTGAATCATAGTGGTCCAAGACTGTTCTTCGTTTTCCAGACTGGTTTCACCACAGACAGCGGCAATCTTAGAGTCATTTGTACAAGCAGCAACGAGACGAGTAAGAGAATCTTCCTTGACCAGAGTATCGGCGTCGACCATCAGAAGATATTCATAGAGTTCAGGGTCCACACCAATGACATTGTTGATCTGATGGAACATTTCCAACTCAAGTGGTGACATGGGAGAGCGGTGGTGAACTCTGTTGAGGAAGCTCATGAGCAGAATCTGCGAGTCACGCTTACCACGGTTACCGGGCTTGGCCTTGACCTGTTCAGACTCTTTACCACACTTGACGACGACAATGTAGGGAACCACGTTGCCTTCGAACTCGTAGAGACCAGAGTAGACCTTTCCGTAGTTCAGCTGTTCCGCACCAGCACCGATAGACTTGAATGGAAGAGCAGGGGGGNNATCAATCTTGGGATCAACACCGAGGATATCCAGAACAATCTTAGGCGTTGGGCGGTCGTTGCCACCTCCGACAATCATGCCATCGCAAATGACACAGATCAGCTTTCTCTTGTTGTCATATGCCAGCGACGTGAGCGAGTCGAGACCCTTTCTAAGATGGTCTTCACCCTCGGTGTAGGCAGGGACTTGACAGATGACGAATTTGTCTTGCGGAGCGGGACGAGGTTTGGAACCGAATTGCAGAGCAGCCAGGAACTTAACCACGATGACAGTACAGAGAATGATGGTAAATGCCAGCAGAATGTAGTTGTTCACTTGGCAACGGGGAGTATCTCTGAAATCGACCTTACCAGCGTAGAACATATTGTCCAGACATTGTGTAATTTTGGAATGATTAGTCGGGTTGGTGATCGTCTGGTCGAATTGTTGCTTGATGTCGAGACCAGGATTGGCTTGAACAATCGCTGAAAATTCCTCCGGGAAAAATGCGTACGTGGCAAGGTTGTTCATCAAGTCCAATGTGTGGAAGTAATCGGTCATATCGTAGAGCTTGTTACCCAAGGTGAACCAGTAATGGTTGTTGTCTTGTCCATCGCTCTTAATCTTGTTCTTNTTGACGACCAGATCACCCTTGTAGAACTCTTTCATCTTAGGCAAAAACTTGTCGCCGTACCAATTAATGTCGTGGAGCGCAGTGTTCGGGTCTGGAGCAGCTGTAGGGCCCGAGCTATGCGTTGCCTGGGGATATTCCAGAGTCGTGTTTGAAGTCAAGCCTGTCACGGCAACGGCAGAGGTTGAGTCGGGTACGAGACCAGGGCAAGCAATAGTGAGAGGAGGGACGATATATTCGCTGACATCAGTGCCGCCAAATGGCTCCATGTTGGCAATGGTAGTTTTTATGACACCATCACTGTGTTGAGTCTTGTGAAATTTGGTGAGATCGTACACATGTCCGCGGAAACTGACATAGTAGTCGTTAGATGCTGCGTGATAGCCGACTTCCTTGGCACTCCAGGCTTTGTTCATGTTGGGGCAGAGCAGACGGCCAAATGCGACGATGTAGAAGACTACAGTAGCGTTGATGATAAAGATGATGATCATGAGAGCGACCTTTTCCCTCCATGCTTGACGGACATCAGGTCTCTTCATGCGACCGATATAACGCAGAGCGGGCGAAGGAATATAGAAAGTCAATGCCCATGTAGTCCAGATCCAGGCCTTTCGACTAAATGTGATGGGGACCTCGGTGATGACCTTTGCATCGCCATCTTCGACCNNCTCGCCGTAATAGGTCACGTCGCCATATTTGTTGTCACCCTTGGTACCGAGACCATAATCTCCCGGTCGGCCTTGCTGGGTTGGTGCTTTCGAAGGTGCAATAGACTTGGCTCCAAGTTGACTTCTGCTGGCGAAGCTCTGGTTACGGCTGAGGAAAGGATTGCTAGGGTTGTCGTGGTAAGGCTGCTGGTAGAAACCGTCTTCAACCATTGGAGTAGACACCTGGTATTGGCCGCCGAAAGGTCCTGCGGCGTCCATTGATGAATCCATAGGCTTCAGATCGAGCATACTCTCAGCTTCCCACCAAGCAGCCTCGCGAATCCAGATTCTCTCTTGGCCGATGACGACTTCTCCATTGCTCCAACCACGTTCCATGATCCAACTCTCGACACCGTCACGACCAAGTTGACAGCCCAGGCGTGCATAACGCTCCTGAAACTCGTTAAGATCGAAATCAGCAGTGTAATCGAGCTTCTTGTTACGATGGTTGGCCCACTCGGGAAGTCTCCAGGAACGAATCTGGCTAGACACTGACCCTGCAGACCATGGGAAACTGTTGGGTGAGTGATTCGCCAAGGACGCCGGTGACTCGTCAGTAGGATGAAGGGCGAGCTGGAACCAGACACGACTGCTTCCCAAAAGGTTCATAAGACTGAAACGACCAGCTTTACCAAGCTGAATGCCCTCACCGTCTACAGGGTACAGAAGACGTCTGAGGAAGCTGTCCGCTTCTGTCTCGACGCCCACTTTCTCAAGAAGTGCCTCGCGACGATCAAGTACTTCCTCACGCTCTCTTGCGGCCACAGAGTTGGGAAGCTCGAGCTCTGCAGCATTGTCGTTGACGGCGTCAGTCATCTCTCGAACGATCGAGGAACCGACGTGATAAGAGGGTACTCCGTCTTCTTTCATCTCGAGGTTGATTCCCGTTGAATCGTCGAAAACAGTACGCAGAGCCATTGCCTTGCCCAAAGTGACACTAGGCAGGTCGAGAATCGTCAAATTGACGGTATCTGCACCATCGTCACCCGGAGGTGGTGTCAGGATGCCTCCAGAGTTCTCTGTGTCGCTTCCACTAGACGAGTTGACGAGACCGCCGTTGCGGAGCTCCATGCGGATAGCTTCGTTGGCACGAGCGATGACCCAATCGACCAAGGCCTCGTAAATGGCAGCCATCAAAGTCTGGCGTTCCATAGTATCGCACTTCTTGGTCAACACGGCCGTGTCCAAATCAAGCAAATCAGCCACCTCTTCACAGACATTCTCCAGTATATCCTCATCGACCAGGAAACCCATGGTCTCGCCAAGTTTGAGGATGGCAGCTACAACGGAAAGCATGTTTCTGAGGGCAGCTCCCTTGATACCAATCTCCTTTAGCGACGCACGGAAGTCGTCCGCGGCAGCAGCATCATCGGCTGTAGGGAGATATAGAGGAGGGGTGTAGGTATCTGTCTTTTTTAGGAGAGCGTAGGCCTTGGGTTCTTGCAGACTCAANAACTCCTTCTCAGCTGGCGAGGCGCTTGAGAGCAAGTAATAGAAAACATCAAATGCGCGGTAGCCAATTTCGGCAGGCACGTCGGTCAGACCTTTGGCAACATTGATTCCAGAAGAAGAAAGGCTGAGCGAAGCGCCTGTCAGCTCACCCTCAAGGTTGAGGNNGTTGAGCACGGCCGCCAGGCCATTGTGCTGTGCTGCCGAAGGGTTGCGTGGCGTCACGGAATATAGGAAGGGGCGGATAGCGTTCAGAGCAGTGTACACAGTCGTGGGTACTGCAATGGGTAGCGAAGATAGAAAGGGGATGAGGAGCGAAGGTGTAGACTCGTGGAGGGAGCTGTGGTATAGATTAGCGAGGTACAACACAAGCCTATCATGACATGGACTCACCCCAAGNACAACACATCCATCCTCGGCTCTTCTTCTGGCGTGCTCCCATGCACGACGACCAAGTTCGGCGTCCACGGTGCCTCCTTGACGGCCGTCGGGGCCGACAATCATACTAGTGACCCATGTGTTGACAACAAGACTGGTGCTGGATTCAAGAGCGTATGGCTGGCCGTTGGTCCAAACAGAATGTAGCGCATTAAGCAGGGTTGTGGTGGAAAGTTGTGCGGATGGTTGGGCTGGGCGAGGGGCGCTCGAATGGTTCGAATAGACCGACATACGGCTGCCAGGTCCCGCCATGGTGGATTTGCAGGCTGAGGCGCGGCCTCTATGTTGATATGTGGTTGTAGTGACTGTTAGAAGTGTGGCAATGGTAGATTTATGTCGTCGGTAAGCAGGAAAACAGTAGTCCTCCGACTTTGAGGATGGTGGAGTGATGAATTGCAAGAACGATCGAGTTTCTGTTTGTGTCGAGCAAGCGAATGTCGAGAAGATGGAAAGAGGCACGGAACACGACGACGACGACAATAACACCAGCACGATGAAAGAGCAAGAAAGACGTGAGGCAACAAAAGTCCCTATGCAGTAAAAGTACAAGAGGCTTCAGACACGGAGTGAGTGCAGCGGCAAGCGTCTGTGCACGGCGAGCTAGCACGATGATTCGAAACGACCGGGAGAAGAGCGTCGCCACTTCCTCGACATTAAAGGGTTTGTTGCAATATCTCAGACTCGTGCTTCTACACGATTCCAGCCTCACCGACTTCCGAGCGTGTTTTCGCTCATCGAACTACCAATTCTGCTGGTCTAATCCCCTCGACTCGGGGGTCGATATTGCTATTGTTGATATTTACGACACTAAAATCGGAACACGGGCTCTATTTTTGGGAGGTTGGGCCAGGGAAAGCAACGGCTGGTGATCATCGCGAATGACTTGGTGACCTTCATGCGAAAACATCCAGCCTCGCCCACGTACATACGCAGCTCGTCTTCTGTTGAGACCAGTGCATATGTCACCTGCTTCTGCAAGCATTGTGCACCATGTTAGTACGAGAACAACGATTGCTCTGGTGGAACGCTGGCTGGTTGGGCTAAAGGAATTATTTCACTGCACGAAACATTCGTTTCAATGTTTCACGCTCGGCGAGATTCGATTCAGGGGATGGATCCGCCAAGGATGGCCCCATGGGTGAAGTCCTTTGCAATGGAGTGTCATCTCGACTGGTCGTCCTCGGCCTTTAACAGTGTATCTCGCATGAGTCCTCGTCGCTGGAGAATGATGCTATACATGTTCAAGATGGTAAGGATGTTCGATGACACGCGTTCTCGGCAGGAGACCGATGAGCAGAAGAAGCGGCCCGCCGCCTCCTTAGCTCAAGTGGTTGGCTTTAAAGTTTCCCCGCGTGCTGACCGTGTTTTCGTATTTTGTATTTTGGCCGAATAACAGAGGTGCTCTCTGGGACTCTGCGACGAGTCATTCATAGCGAGAACGAGTATCAGCAGCGTTGCATGAAGGTCGTCTGTACCAAGGTAGAAACGGCAAATCAAACGAGAGGTAGATCTGGCGGTGTTGAGATTATTGTCCTTTGGAAGATGGTGGCAGGGCTGAAACGCGAGAAGGGCGGCGACGGATTGCGGTTTCCCAAAATACCAGCGCCCAATCGGGTTGGCGTTGGCTTTTGGAGAAGGCTTGCCTTGAGGGCCATCCATTATTCTATTCTCCTTGAGCCGCCACAGTCTCGTGTGATTTTTCCTGGCTGCAACAATATTCTAGTCTTGGGTTTTTGTTGTTTTACCACAGCCCACCGTCAATCGTTTTACACATCCACTCCAGTCGCCTCTTCGTGCTGGTCTTTCGTTCAAAGGGGTCGATTGTGATTCGACAAGCAGTCTGCTAGGAACAGGAGAGTGAAGCAGCACCAGGCCAACATGGCTGTTCCTGCTCACGCTCAGGCTTCGCTGCCTGCACTCCCTGCTCATCTTCAGGATGACACTCACTTGACGGCACACTTGGCCAGCAGATTTCACGTCTCGCTGCCCACAGCTCAGTTGTCATCACACGCCATCATCTCCCTCAATACATACACATCTTCGGCCAAGGGTCCAGATGGCTCANAAGAAGGCAGCGCTATGGGCGCTGCTGAGGACCTCGCTTCAAGAGCGTGGACTCGTCTAGGAGCTAGACAAGAGAACCAGGCTGTTGTCTTCCTGTATGTGTCCTTCCGTGCCTGTGCCACACTGCCCACGTTCTTCTCTAACCAGTACACAGTGNGTGAAACCGGCTCAGGCAAAACAACCCTCCGCTCGCACGTTCTGTCTGCCTTGTTGAACTACACGTCGACGCCACTGTCCAACAAGCTGTCCTACGCTGCCTTTGTCTTCGATACTTTGACAACCACAAAATCTGTCACCACCCCCACTGCCTCCAAAGCTGGTCTCTTCTTCGAACTCCAATACGACACTTCCTCAAGCCTTCACCCAACACTTGTTGGTGGAAAGCTGCTCGATCACCGTCTCGAGCGCAGCAGAGTCACCACTATTCNNCCCCCTGGCGAGCGCAATTTCCACGTTCTCTACTACCTCCTGGCCGGTACCAGCCCTCAAGAGAAGGAGCATCTTGGTCTCGATCAGGCAGGTCCTGCCACTCACAGACACTCGCTTAGTAATGGCGGCGCAAAGAGATGGAGATATCTGGGCCACCCAAGTCAGCTCAAGGTTGGTATCAACGATGCCGAGGGCTTCCAACACTTCAAGACCGCTCTACGCAAGCTTGAATTTCCTCGTGACGAGATCGCTCACATGTGTGAGATGCTCGCCTGTATCTTGCACATTGGCCAGCTTGAGTTTGTTACAACACAGTCAACTACACCCTCGGCCGATGACAGCGGTGGTTACTCGCACGAGGGAGGCGAAGATGTTACATCAGTCAAGAACAGAGAAACGCTTCATATCGTAGCGGCTTTCCTCGGTGTTTCTGAGAGACATCTGGAAGAGAGTCTGGGATACCGCACAAAGAAGCTGCACCGTGAGCGTGTCACCGTCATGCTGGATCCCAAGGGTGCTCGGGAAAACGCCGATGAACTCGCACGCACCTTGTACTCGCTCTTTGTCGCCTACATCATTGAGCGTATCAATCAGAAGATCTGCTCGGCCGAGGATGCCATCGCTAACACTGTCTCAATTGTGGATTTCCCAGGCTTCGCACAGTCCTCCTCGACTGGCTCTGTGCTCGACCAGTTGTTGAACAACGCAGCATCTGAATCGCTCTACAACTTCTGTCTGCAGAGCTTCTTTGAGCGCAAGGCTGATCTCCTCGAGACTGAAGAAGTTAGTGTGCCTGCAACTAGCTACTTTGACAACACCGACGCTGTCAAGGGTCTGCTCAAATCTGGCAACGGCCTTCTTAGCATCTTGGATGATCAGATGCGCCGTGGCAAGACCGATCAGCAGTTCCTCGAGAGCGTCAGAAGGCGTTTCGAAGGAAAGAACCCTGCCATCGAGGCCGGCGCGGCTACCCAAACTCTTCCCGGTAACAATTTTGCAACTCGCAATGCCAACGCTGCATTCACTGTCAGACATTACGCTGGCGAGGTCGATTACCCCGTTGAGAACCTCCTTGAAGCTAATGGCGAGATTATCTCCGGTGATCTTATGAACCTGATCAATACGACCTCGAACCAATTCATCAGCGACCTCTTCGGCCAGGAAGCCCTAAGCAAGGTCGTCCATCCCAAAGACCGTTCTGCTGTCGTGCAAGCCTCAGTTGCTTCAAAGCCCTCAAGAATGCCTAGCATGGCCAAGCGCACTGGTGAGCGTCCTGCAAGACTTGGTGCCATGAGACAGGACAGCGACAATGGCAAGCGAAGTCATTCTCGTTCCGGCAAGGGCGAGCCTGAACAGCAACAAGGCGCTGCTGCTCAGTTCTTGTCTTCGCTTGACAACATCACCAAATCATTGTGCGACCCTCGCACAAATCCCTACTTTGTGTTCTGTCTGAAGCCCAACGATCGCAGAATTGCAAACCAGTTCGACAGCAAATGTGTCCGCACTCAGATGCAAACTCTTGGTATCGCTGAGATCAGTCAGCGCTTACGCAATGCTGACTTCAGTGTCTTCATGCCATTCAGTGAATTCTTGGGTGTCGCTGAGGGTGATGTATCTGTTGTGGGCACTGACAAGGAGAAGGCAGAAATGATCTTGGACGAGAAGATCTGGCCAGGCAACGAAGCAAGAGTCGGCAGCACTGGTGTCTTCCTTAGTGAACGTTGCTGGCGCCAGATTGCACGAGTCAGTGATCTTGATGTAGCCCCTACTGGAATGCACGACCACACACCTTATGGAGAACAAGAGGGTATGTTGTCTCCGGATCATGCACGCAACGGTCGCAACGACTCGAATCTTAACCTTCTTGGTGGTGTCACTCCTTCTCCTGGCGCCTTCTACCACGACGACAAGGTAGCAGGTTATTTCGGAAGTCGCGATCTTGATGCTAAGTCGGAAGCTGGTGCTTCAGCCTTCCATGGAGGTGATATGTTCCAGAACCTCGAGACGCGCTCGCAGCTGGCAGAGAAGGGAAATGAGGCAAAGGTAGCAGCAATCGACGAGGTCCCTGTCACAGGTGCTCGAAAGAGATGGCTGTTCCTTGTCTACCTTTTCACCTGGTGGATTCCTGATGTGTTTGTTCGCATCATTGGCCGCATGCCCCGTCCTGATATTCGTATGGCATGGAGAGAAAAGGTGGCCATCAACTTCATGATTTGGCTCGCTTGTGGCAGTTTCTTGTTCCTCATGATTGGTTTCCCTGCACTCATTTGTCCGACACAACACGTTTACTCGGCTGCTGAGCTGCAATCACACAATGGTAAGAATGGCCACTCTTCCTACATTGCGATTCGTGGCGTTGTCTTCGACCTTGGAAACTTTGAGTCAGTTCATTACCCTAACATCGTCCCGACATCGGCTCTGGAGAAGTACGCCGGTACTGACGCAACCAACCTCTTCCCTGTCCAAGTCTCTGCCCTCTGTCCTGGCACAGACGAGAACGGTATCAGTCCTGCTGTCCAGCTCAATTACAAGAGTACCAACTACACTGGTCAAGCTTCGGCTATCAGCGGTACTGACCCTAATGCAAAGTACCATGATTTCCGCTGGGCCACCAATGACTCTCGTCCCGATTGGTTCGCACAGCAGATGAAGTTCATGAACCAGAACTACAGAAAGGGTGCTCTCGGTTATACCGCTGGTTACGTCAAGAAGCAGGGCAAGAAGCAACAATCAATCGCTATCCTCCATGGCAAGATCTACGACTTCACCGATTACATCGTCGGTGGTCGTGCTCCCAAATACCCTACCGGATACGACGTACCTGATACCCCACCCAACTCAAACTTCATGGACCAGCGCGTAGTCAATCTTTGGCAGCAACATGCTGGTCAAGACGTGACTGACGAATGGAACAATCTTGGAATGACTCTCGACCTCAAGAACCGCATGCAAATCTGTCTCGATAACCTGTTTTACGTGGCCGATGTTGACACCAGAAACTCGACCAAGTGTCAATTCGCCACTTATCTTCTTCTCGGAATTTCAATGTTCTTGATTGCCGTCATCGGTGTCAAATTCCTTGCTGCCCTTCAGTTTGGCGGTAAGAATGTTCCGGAGAATCTCGACAAGTTTATTATTTGTACTGTGCCAGCGTACACTGAAGATGAAGATTCGTTGCGTCGTGCCATTGATTCAGCCGCCAGAATGAAGTACGATGACAAGCGCAAACTTCTGCTTATCGTCTGTGACGGTATGATTATTGGTCAGGGCAACGATCGTCCTACTCCTCGCATTGTCCTTGATATTCTTGGTGTTCCCGAGACTGTCGATCCAGAGCCATTGAGTTTCGAGAGTTTGGGTGAGGGTCAAAAGCAGCATAACATGGGCAAGATCTACTCTGGTCTTTACGAAGTTCAAGGTCACATCGTCCCCTTCATGGTTGTTGTCAAGATTGGCAGACCTGCTGAAGTTGGAAGACCTGGTAACCGTGGTAAGCGTGATTCTCAAATGGTTCTGATGAGATTCCTGAACAGAATTCACTACAACCTGCCAATGGCTCCCATGGAACTCGAAATGTACCACCACATTCGAAACATTATCGGTGTCAACCCGACGTTCTACGAGTTCTTGCTGCAGATTGATGCAGATACCGTCGTTGCTCCTGATTCAGCCACACGGTTCGTCGCCTCGTTCCTCCACGATACACGTCTCATCGGTGTTTGTGGTGAGACGGCTCTCACTAATGCCAAATCGTCCATCGTTACCATGATGCAAGTTTACGAATACTACATTTCGCACAACTTGATCAAAGCGTTCGAATCACTCTTTGGCTCGGTTACTTGTTTGCCCGGTTGTTTCTCCATGTATCGCATCCGAGATGCAGCATCCGGCAAGCCACTTTTCGTTTCGAAGGAAGTTGTCGAAATGTACGCCGAAATTCGCGTCGACACCCTACATACCAAAAACCTGCTGCATCTGGGAGAAGACAGATACTTGACAACTCTCCTGATGAAGTGGCATCCTTCTTACAAGACCAAGTTTATCATGCGTGCTAAAGCCTGGACTATCGCCCCCGACAGCTGGACCGTCTTCATGTCGCAACGTCGTCGTTGGATCAATTCGACTGTACACAACCTTGTCGAGCTTACCTCATTGTCTCAGCTTTGTGGATTCTGCTGTTTCAGTATGCGTTTCGTTGTCTTCCTTGACTTGCTCTCGACCATCATCCAGCCTGTCTTGGTCGGATACCTGGTGTACATCTTCGTTCGCATTGGACAAGACCCCGGTGGTGTTTCGACCATTGCCATCATCATGTTGGTGGCTGTTTATGGTATGCAAGCATTGGTCTTCATCATCCGTCGCAAGTGGGAGATGGTTGGTTGGATGATCATCTACCTGATCGCTACACCAGTCTTCTCCATGGCGCTTCCCCTGTACTCTTTCTGGCACATGGACGATTTCTCATGGGGTAACACCCGTGTCGTCACTGGTGAAAAGGGCAAGCAAGTTGTTGTTTCTGACGAGGGCAAGTTTGACCCAGCCAGCATTCCGAAGAAGAGATGGGAAGAGTACCAGGCCGAGCTTTGGGAAGCCCAGACCTCGCGTGATGACGACGCTCGCTCTGCCATCTCGGGCGTCACCGGCGTCTCGTATGCTACCAAGTCAGCCTACCCTGGCATGGGCGGCTCTGTCTACGATTACCCACCTTCGCGCCCTATGTCAACTCTGGGCGTCCCACAGGGTCCCTTCGGCAACCAGTCACGTATCAGCCTTGCCCCAAGCGAGATGGGCCTCATGGCTGGTGGTTACAGCCCCAACTCGGTAGAGATGTCAGATATGCCTCTTCCCAGCGATGACGCTATCCTCGCCGAGATTCGCGATATTCTGACCAAGACTGACCTTATGACTATCACGAAGAAGAGTGTGAAGTCCGAATTGGAGAGGCGTTTCGGTGTGCCGCTGGATGCTAAGAGAGCGTACATTGGCTCCGCCACAGAGGCCATTCTTAGTGGACAGTTGTAAAAAGGAGATGAGCGGCGGTAGCATTTGCATTTGGCGGCGTTTTGTATCTCATTGCATATTTGAGTCCGTTCTTGTCATCGGCCAAGTCTTAGTTAGGTAGCCTGGGTATACGTGGATGTGCTGCATATAAATGCTCAATTGTTATTTTTTCTCATCAACCCAAACTAATGACAAGCAATTGACGCATGCTGCTTCTCTAGATTTGTCCAGTTAATCGCTGCAGGGTCTCCGCTAGTATCGAGCAGATACTCAAATGCAGGGTGTTCGGCACTCCAAATCAGCAGATGGATCAAATACCAAGAGTCATCACCAGGGTTATGAGAACTAGAAACGCCTTTATCTAGCACTGCCTACAAGATGATGACATCTCACATGACAACCGGAGGGTGAAAGTCGTGCAATCACCATTTTCTCTCCACTTGGCTGTCGTTGTGGTTGTCGTTGTCCGGGAGTGCTTTCAACGGTCAACGTCGACGAACAGCCAGCCAACGCAACGCTCACTCGGACCCTTTCTTGGATTTATATCGACCATCACGCTCACTCTCGTCGCTCTTTTCTTCCCTCACCGTGCTCTGCGCAATTCTTTCTCTGAACAATCCTCATCATAACCTCTCTTGAATTGACCTTCGCTTACACATGATGAAGAGCACTACCTTCGCACTCCTCGCGTTGACCGCTGGAAGTGCTTCTGCACAATTCTTCGTCCTCTATGGCAGAGACACTGTTGTCTCGCGCATCGATCCTATCGTTTCCCCTGGAAGCATTGGTATGCATGCACACGAGTTCATGGGCGCTGGCAACGTCAACCAGAACTCAGACTACGATTCACTCCAAAAGTCGACCTGCTCGAGCGTCGGACGTGCCAATGGCAACCCCATTATCGAGGACAGAAGCGCCTACTGGCATCCTACTCTCTACGTCAAGGCCACCAACGGTTCCTACATCAGAGTTCCTGTAAGATCTACCGAAATGCAATCAAAACCACACTGCTCACAAAGTCTCTAGACCAATGGACACCAGATCTACTACATCAATGCCGGCACTGGCCAGATGCGCGAGCCCTTCGAGTTCCCCAAGGGCTTCCGCATGACTGCTGGAAACGCCTATATCCGTGCCGCGCAAGAGCACACCNCTACTAACATGGACGGAATTACTCAGTGGATCTGTCACGAAACTCCTTCGTGGAACGAGGGTAGTCAAGGTGGCTTCCCTACAGGTGTTACATCTTGCTCTCAATACCCTTACTTCAACGGCGCCATCGAGTTCCCTCACTGTTGGAATGGAAAGGACTTCAACCTGAACTCTCCTTATTCACATGTCGCTTATCCTGTCGGCGACATCAGAAACGGAGCTTGTCCTGACTCTCATCCCATCAGACTTCCTCATCTCTTCATGGAGAACAACTACGACCTGTCGAGCCTCGAAGGAGAGTTCGAGGTTGACTCGTTTGTGCTTTCCAACGGAGATCCTACTGGTTTTGGTTTCCATGCCGACTTCGTGAGTCCATCGACCAATGCGAACTACCTGACTGAGGCACCTGCTAACGAATTTGCAGNNTACAACGGCTGGGACGAAGGCGTCCTACCTAAATTGCTTACTGGCTCCAATGCCTGTTCATCCCACGATGTCGGCGACTGCTCCGGCGTAACCTTCGATTCTAGCATGAACTGGGCTCAGTGCACCACTACTAACCAATATCCTGAAGATCTGAACGGTCCCCTCTCTGCTCTGCCCGGCTGCAACCCCATCACGACTGTCAACCCTGCTCCTCAATGCAAGCCTTGTTCCGCTGGTGTGGTAGGCGGACAGTGCAACGCCGCTACCAGCTCAGTGGCTACTAGCACAAAGAATGCCCCTTCGACCTTGAAGACGACCACAAAGTCCGCCTCATCAGCCATGCAGTCTTGGACGACCACCACCACGACCACCAAGACCGTGACGACCACTGAGCAGTTGACCACCACCGTGACTGGCAATGCTCCCACAAGCACCGAGTGCGACGCATGGTAATCAGCTGTCCAATCCATCGACGCTGCTGCGTTGTCTGACAAAATGACCCTGACCGCTGGACGGACAAGGTGAGTAAACATACCTTGGTCTCGCTAATTTTCACTTCTAGGCCTTTGAGACTGCGTTTCAAGTAAGAGCCCAATCACCTTACCGAATACGGTGCAAGACGTTCAATCCCAACTCGATATCCGAAGACGAATATATGATACCCACACGAACGTACCGATATCTTTGCCCGAGACTAAAACGAGTGTCGAAAACACGAAATCGTAATCCCTCATTCGCAAACCTACGAAAACGATCACGACTACTACGATGGAGAGAAATGATTCCGGAAGAAGGGAATATGCTTATTTAATGTCCGAATGAAGTTGCTGGGCAACATTGCTTTCTTTTCCATCGTCTCACTATCGCATTCCAAATGAACATTCGCTCTCACAAACCACTACCTCGTAATACCATGCCTTCGTTTTCAGCCAATATTCTGTTTCCAGCCATGATCTTGGTGATGTGATTTGATCTCTTTTCATTTTTGCTTTCTCCTGCTACCTTTTTCTTTTCTTTTTCCTCTCTTTTCAATTTTCTTTTTTTCTTTTTGTGCCATGAGACCATTGTCAGTCGGTCAACCACAACCTGCGACACAGGGCAAGTTTCGATTGTGCTCTTCATTTACAAAATCCCCCTTGCCAGTCGTACTTGCTGTCTCGAATATCGATTTCTGTTTGTTGCTGTATTGAACGGGTGCTTAGGTTGAATTTATGGTTGTGATACGCTCTTGCTGTTGAGGAATTCGGACAATACAAAAGTACGATTATCTCTCCCGAACTTCATATAAATGCTCCACCACTGTGTGTACCACTTCTTGACGAGCTCATCAATGTATCAATGCGAGAAGAATTCTGAAATCGCCAGCATTGAGGGTAAAAAAGACAGATAGATGCTGTCAGTGCTTGTATTGGGGAAGACCCTGCTCATGGTCGATACTAATGACATGTTTCTAGTTTATAGTATCAAGCTAGTCCATCACCTAGGTCTGTAAGTATCGCATATATTGTTTGCAATATGATGCAATCGCTACTCAAGCCCAATTCTGTAGTTGTAGGCTATTTTATTCAAAGAGCATTCTTTGTTCGCTCAAGGAAGGAGTGGTATCGGGGATTACCGATATAACTGATGGAGCAGTTGAAGACCGACCCGGCCATCGCGATCACATGCACATGATTCATCACGCAATCAGACACCCCTAATCTTTCCTCCACTTGGATATGAACATTCTTTATCATAAAGCATACTATATACAACACAAAATGCAAGATATGGAGACCATCCAGCAACAAGCAACTCCTCCGCCAGAGAAGTGCGAGAAGGCACCGCATCATCATGACCCCGCAATCTCCCAGCCACCACCAGCTGCAGGCAGCTGCAACCNAACCACCTATGATATCAACAATTTCCCACTTTGACCAACTCCCATTGGAACTTCTGACGATCATTGCTTGTGAGGTGGACAAACATGGTCGTAACGCTACGAAAGCATTGCGATGTGTTTCGAAGAGATGTGCCGCCGTTTGTACCAGTCTGGTTTTCCGCGGCTCTGCGCTGTTACTAAGGCAGATGAGCATCAACAACTTGGGAAGCCTGCTTGAAAAACCGGAATTGTGCTCTGTCATGACGCAGCTCACAATCGATACCGCCGAGTATACGGACACTTGCATGGACACATACGACTGGGAGTATCGTGATGAAGAGCTGTTGTTATCTTTTCTGGCTGTTTTGAAGAAACTAGGACGGTTACGAAACCTACGGTCGGTAACGTTGAGATGCAGCAGTGAGTGTGTCGGTCCACAGCAAAGACGCCACTGGTGGGCGAGAAATGTACCTGAGTGCATCAAGTTTAGGACGGATGTGTTGCAAAGTCTCTTTGCTGGCTTGAATGCCAGTCATGCGACACCGAAGTTGGAACACCTCTGTATCGAAAACTTGCAAGGATGCGGAAATGAGACGGTGGCTCGTTCTAGAGACTTCAGAGCAGTCATGTCGCGTGTCCGTAAACTGGACCTTCAGATCACCACCGAGGATGTTGATGGTGATGGCTCATTGCCTGCAAACCTCGGTAAGAAAGAGCTCCATTCGTTCTTTGGGCATCGGCTCGTACAGGAATGGCTTGAGCTAGTCCGTAACAACTTGACACATCTGAAGCTCTACTCACGAAATATGTATTTTGGATATCTTCCAAAGTGTCATCTGCCCACCTTTTCAGCTTTACGATCCTTGACGCTCGGAGGAATGAGTTTTAACCACGACGAACAATTGAATTGGATATTGTCGCACCGCGATACTCTTGAAGAGCTTGTTATTGACAATTGTCCTATTGTCATCGGCGTGCGCATACCATCGACCCTGGACTCGGACAATTACCCAATAGAACCATTGTTCAACTCGAGTACCACAGGATCTATACTTGCACCTTCAAGCTTTCTTTACTCAGCACGTTGGCGTGACTACTTCTCTCGATTCGCAGTCGGACTTGTCAAGCTAAGGTCCATACGTTGTGGTTTCGGCGACTGGTATGATAACACTGCATTTCCGAAATCAATGGAGCTTGGTACAGGACTCTGGGCGCAAAGATATCGGATTCTGGATGATGGCGAATGGAGAAGACCGCGATTTGGTGAACATGGCTCCTACGATGGTAAATGGAGTGATCCTCCTGTATATCCCGATTGTACGGATGAAGACTGGATTGCATTGTGTGAGGTGAAGGCTGCGATTGCATCCAGACTTGGTGGCTGATACGACTAAGTCGAATCTCAGCTCTGTGTCGAAAAGTCCGGAACATTCGACAGTGTCAATCACCTATAGCAGCTAGCCCTGAGACCGTATAATATTCACACGCCGGTCCATGGCTTAAGGGATTAGTCGGAGCTGCGATCGCGAGCCGCTCACTTGTTGACTTCCGTCCGCACTTGGTCGGAGCGACTTCGACGACTATCGATCTTTGACATTGCCAACACTTTCACTCTCATTCGGAGCGATACTCACGACATACTGTAAAGGCCAACTGCTTCTCCGGGATAGATTTGTTGACTCGACCACATCTTGTTGACCCTAAACAAGTAGTCTCCTCGACCCTTCTCTACTCGGTCTCGTTTAGTTTTCAAAGCAAGTCACGCTTACTGGACGGAATCAGCGACGAAACAAGCAAATATCACCTCCGTTCACTCGAGTTTTGAAAACCCCTTTCACACCAATCGAGTCGTTGCCCGGGCACCACATCGAGCTTTCACAAGGTCGCGATTTTCCGTCGACCCATTTGTGTCTCACACATTCGACACTCTCTTCCAAAAAGATCAATCTTTGCGACAAGCTCTTCCTTCTTGATCGACAACTGGAGCGCCTCGACATTCAAACACACGGTCGGTCCATGTCGGTACGCAACATGGGCTCCTCAGAGACCGNNCCGCTCCCCCTGATCGACAACTCCGACATGGCCAGCGACGCCAATGCCGCATGGCCTGCCCAAAACTCAGAAGACATGATGCCCAGCAATGGTCATCATTTTGATGTCATGCCCATGGATTTCGAGTTCGGCCCAACTGCCCAGCAGTTTGGAGCTTTGCCCGACTATTCCACTGTCGAAGGTGGATCGATTGGATATGACTACAGCAGCAACAACATCAGCATGAACAGTAATGGCATGATCCATAACAACCACTTCGACGACAATTTCGAGGAGGCTGTTAGCGCAAAGACACCTGGATACCACGACTTTGATGCCGGTACTGCAGATTACCTCTCGTCTACCATCCACAACCCACCATCAGCCCACGACAATCACACTTACCAGTCCTATGGCGCTCAGACTCCTTTCCAAGCTTCTACCAACACTTACGATGCAAAGACTCCCTACGTCGCTCCCACCCCTTACACCTCTCCTCATCACTCATCATCAGGCTACGTGGGTGGTGAGGTTCCCGACCTCGACCTGAACCAGTCCGGCGCTCAGCCGTCTGATGATTTCGACCCTGGCCCGAGCCCTATGGTAGAGACCTTTCCTACTTCGAGACCTTCCACTCCTCCACCAGAGTCAGGACCCACTAAGAAGACACCCACTCCTCGTAAGGCTAAGACCAAGGCAAAGGCAGCTATCGCCAGCAAGGAAGGTGAAGACACTGATGAAGGACGCTCGCTGCTCTCCAATCGTAGCAAGGGCAAGGGCAAGGCGAAGGCAGTCATGGTCGACGACGAAGAAGAGCTAGAGAACATCAACGTCGAGACTCCTACTACAGGCTCTTCGAACAAGAGCAAGCGCCGTAAGNAGAGCAGCTGTTTCCAAGACCCCAAAGACTCCTACCACTACACCTTCCAAGAAGTCCAAAACAGGCACTGCTGCCAAAAAGNNTCGACCAAGAAGACCACCGCTGTTGATCTGAGCACTATGGGTCATCAGCGCGTTCGCAAGGTAAGTTTGTCTCTAAATTTTGGTCACAGAACATGTACTGAACTAGCACTCAGGNCACCCAAGGATGGTATTGCCCAAGTCAAGCCCATCCCTCATTCCTTCGAGGAATGCGACTTTGCCGATCAAACCTTGATTACTATGCGCGAAGTAAGTGTTTTTGATCTGGTTTGGTCAACCTCCATTTCTAATAATGTTTTTAGTNCTGGTCACACATGGGCCGAATGCAAGGCTCGCTACGCCGAACTTGAGGGCGTCGTTCATGGCAACAGCACCATCCCCAACCGCTACGAACGCCTCAAGACTGCTTTCATCAACATGCGTGAGGAAGACAACCTCCGCCTCTTCAACATCAAAAAGACACTCGAAGACGACTTCAACAGCAAGAAATGGGCCTTGATCGCTACCGAGATCGTCAAGGACGGAGGCGCCGAGTACGATCCTGACGATTTGAGACGCCGCTTCAAGCAACTCATGGAGAAGAGTGGTTTCCCTGTCAAAGAAGGCCTGGCCAAGGAAGATGTTGATTTCAAAATCAATGTTGATGACGAGGGCGAGGAAGGGGAGCAAGAATCTCCAGAGCCTCCACGCAAACAGCCACAGATCACCTGGACGGGTGATGAAGATGAAGAGGATGATGCTATGGGAGGAGGAGAGCAGGAAGACTACGAGGATACTCTACATGCTCAGCACAGTCGTCGTGATTCGCGCGAGTCTGCTCAGATGGACGTCGATGATGATGAAGATGAGGGAGGAGATGATCTTGCCTACTAGGCAAAAGGTCCACACCATGTCCTTTGATCGAACAGGCTTGCGTGTTGATTGTTCCTGCCTACACATCTCTCGTAGGATAAGGCAAGCGGATGGCACGTTGCACCGAGCGACGTGTTCTTTTTGATTGTAGTTACAAACAAATGACTATCGAAAAGGTCCACGAACTATTATCTCGTTCCGTACATCTCTTGCAGGATAAGGCAAGCGAATGTAGCGTTGCGTCGAGCGACGCGTCCTTTTGTAGTTACAAGGGAACCACGATCGAACCGCAAGTTGATTGTTCTGTCTCGCACTTATTTCGCAGAATGTGGCAAGCGAATCTGACGTTGTGTCGAGCGACGCGTTCTTTTTCTGTAGTCGTAAGCAAATAACGATCGAGAAGGCCTGCGAAATCAACATTGGAAATGGCGCTTTAAATTCAACCCCTTTGCAAATATGTGCAGAGTATATATCACTCCCACCGATCAGAACAAGGAGTTTTAGCGCTATGGAAATACGCAATGATTTTTCAGAGTAACGATTGTTCCAGTGAAAGAGAGTGTTTGTGCATTGTTGCTCTGGATATTGTTGTATCTCCGAATTCCTTTGTGTAATTTTATGGGTGTGATTTCAGAAGGTGGTTGCATTGGGGAGTGGTGTATGCTCTTCTCTCTCCTCTTACCATGATGGCTCAGAATACGCTTATCAAAATGCATGAATCTTTTGAGATTAGAGATACCGTAGAAACTCGTTTTGAGCGGCATGCCGTTATAGAGAAATCATCGATTTTGAAAAGTCGCCTCTCACCAAAATTTGTATGACAGACCTGCCGCTGTAGAGCGAGGGGCCGGTGCACCAAGGGGGCCGCTCAAAACGAGTTTCTACGGTATGCTCCAGAGAGAATTGGAAGATTAGGATTTGTTTCTCTGGACATGAGTAGATTCTTGAAAAACAATTTTGTATTCTTCTAGTGACATGATGAGGTAATCGGTGAGAGGAGAGAAGAGACAGTGCATGTTACTTACATTATCATTGATATGATTGAATTAATGCAAACCCTTGTGCAATTCTGATTGCTGTAGTAACCCTCGGAGCTGCTAACCAGGAGATCATCTGCAGAAAAAGACTAATAGATGATCAAAAGGCGAAGATCCCGTACCCACCTTCCCGTTTATTGATGGACAGAAAAGCCATATTGTTCATTAATCTATTTTACTTGATGGACGAAGCCGCTTCACGAGTCACGACTGCTTCTCCCTTGAGGAATTTCGGCATTTGCGTTTTGGGGTCTTTGCTTGTCACTTTCTTGTTGTTTTGCGCCAGCGCTTGATGCCCGCGGCGCGGATGGGAAGGCTTGCCTGTCAGAAAACGTAGATGCTGCGGGAGATAAGGAAGGAACCAAAGAAGAGAAGGAAGAGAAAAGCCAAGACCTAGAGAAAACATGCAGGGTACAACACCAATGAAACGCAGCGGGAATAGCCGCGCAGAAAGGCCGACGACACGTCTTTCTTTTCGTCCTTTGAGTGGTATGCACATAAGCAACTTGCTTTTGTGGTGTCAATCTTCTAGACTGCCGGAGACCTCGTTTGCCGTATAGCACATGGTGACATTAATGACACGAATCTCCCCATCTCACGTGTCGTGAAATTTGCTTCTTTGATTCTTCTTGACAGACGCCAGCGCGGGTGAGTGTGGATGAGCGTTGCTGCACATGAGTCGTCAGCCGCGACTACCTTCTCTGCCGCCGTGACTGCGACTCGTGTTGCGATAATCAAAGCGCAGTGACACTGTGACAGCGAGGAAATCTCAATAGAGTTTGGCTGTAGATGGCAAAACACTAGTGTGTGTGTGTGTGTCTGTGAACGGGACCCTTGTGTTTCGTGTGTTGGGTGTGGAGAAAGGCATGGACGACAGATCTTCAGAGGGTGGAAAGAAGATGTATATCCGTGAAGTGGTAGGAAGTTTTACTCAAGATTCGAAGACGTGGGCTTTGGAAGTCGACAAGAGAGTCGATGTGTTTTTGGTGTAGAGTCCTGGTCTGACAATGTCCTGTGTATTGTGGTTGTTAGCGGAAACTGCTTGTTGTGTAATGAATCAGCTATGGGAAGCGGGTGTAGATAGATGCACCGCGTATATTTGGTCATAATTGCCTGCCGTGTATCAGACCAGGTTATGTATGTACAAAGTCAAACAGGCGAAGCTCGAAAGCGATAGTGCAATTATCAATCAGCCTTCGCTCACAGCTATGTGCGAACAAGCATATGTAGCATAGTCTCAAATGAGTTTAGGACGCAAGCAGATGAGCGAATGCTGGGCTGCTGCTTGAAGATGGTCAGGAGCGGCTGTAGGTGAAATCGCGCAGGTAGAACGTCGGCAGAGCATCCACCCCTGATCACCCCCATCTGCTTGCCTAGACCTAGCTGACGCGCAACAGTGATGATGTTATCGAGTGGATATCACATCATGATGAAGTGAGACACTCGAAGTTGCCAAATTGCAAGTCCGAAGGCTGAGCGAAGGATCAATGTACATGGAGGAGAGGCTGGTTTGTTTTTATTTGGAGGCCGGTTGGTCACCTGGTCAGGGTGTACAGGCGACAACTAGTACAACGGTAGACTGACTTGGTATCCTGAGGTAGGGAGCTGAGAGACGTGAACAACAACAAATCTGACCGGCCTACCGAGACACAAGGCAGGTTAACCTTCTCCAGCATGTCTAGAACATGTTACTCAGATGCGACAACGTGAAAGTTGATGGGTATCGTTGTGGGAGACGGACGTGTTTCTAAGCGGGTAAGGATAAACAGATCTGAGCAGGGAGAAACATGCCAGACAGAGTTCTGAGTTCGTGTGCAAAGAAGACAAGACACTCAGAGGGTTCCTCCCGAGTCTCAGAAACCGCGTGCGGACGAGCTCACCGTGAGACCAAGACATACCTTCGCATCTAAGACAGATTGTCGACTCGCTACAACTGCTTNNTGAGATTGTAGCCCTTGGTGATTCAAGCTGCAAGCGGAAAGCGAGAGTGAGAACCAACCTCCTCGGCGACTCTGCTTCGTGCGTACAAGTGGACTTTGTCAGGATNGTGTCCCCGCCCGACTGAGACAAAGCGTTGGATGATACGCTGACNCTTGGCTCATTGTAGCGAATTGCGACCGTTGGCGATCTCTTTGAGAATTCCTCGCGATGGTCACGAGTGAGTATTGGCTGCAACGGTCGCTCAAGGAAAGTATGGTAGATGCCCGGANNTGTGCCGTCGGGGTCAACCGACGCGTAAACGGAGCGCGAAGAGGGGTTGGAAGAGAGATAGAGTTCTCGAAGCAANAGAGAAGAAGCATGAGGCTCGGGATGGTACCAACTTTGAGCTGATCAGGAAAGTCCATCACTTTTGCACAACTTACCCGAGTACGAGTCCATGCACCGACTTGCCTTCTGACAGCAAGTCACTTGTTTGCCGATATCCTCCTTACCAAGAAACAGGACAGCTTGGATCGCTGATAGCATTACTTTTGTCATATGCCGTTGGGCCAGGTGGTTGGCTACGAGATTGCTGAGACAGAGACTCCACAGGCAGGATCAATACCAGTTGATAGGCTGGACTGCTCGCGGATTCTCCAAGAAATAGGTACATAGCCAAAGTCCTGGTGCATCTGGAGTTGCCATCCTGATGTGGAAAGGTGTGGCCAGAATAAAAATCGTTGTATGTATAGTGGAGCAGCGACAGACTCTGTTGGCCAGAAGTCATTAGCCTAGATGGGTATACGCGCGACTGGCCATAATTTTGATCACGTTTTCTAGCAAAGTATGAGCGAAACTGCCACACACGTGCTGATAGTAAGGCCAATTCCTGAAAACCAGTCGCTCGGAATCCATAGTAGCTGTCGAAAAGTTGTGATATAGGTATTGGAGCAAACGTGTGCAATGGAAGATGTCGTGCAGGACGTCAATATGNATCCCACCGGTAGGGCANTCGGCACCGTTTTCATGTCAGACGTTGTGATAATGCATCAACGGTGGTATCGATATTGGCTCTCGTGTAGAAGCAGANAGNAAGCGGCAGAAGGACGAACGAACCTCTAACCAATCAATATCGATAGAAGGATTGCAACGGCCATTCTTGGTGCTATCGAAGGCCGTTTGGCGCATACAATGACGGTTGTAATTGCGAAACAAGTGCGCGNNACTCATGGAAGGATGGCTTCAATTCGGCGTTTGCAAGGCACTCTTCATGACTTGCAAGAGTTGGCGCCTGTTTGCGCATGCCTGCGTGTTTGGGAAATGAAGAAGGAAATAAGAAAAGGAGAAGGTCGTGTAAAGTTGCGATCGGCCAAGCTGACAGAGAAGCCCAGTGCGCGCATCTTGCTTACGTCGCAGGCAGATTTGAAGGCAGTCGACGGTTGAAATTTGGATTTGTGGAGATACCAGCTAGAAAGAACCGGTAGGACGAAGCGGTCGATCTCGTCCCGTTTGGGACGCTATAGAGTAGATCGGCGCCGAAGCGGCAAAGCTACCGCTACACAGCCTCTAGCTCCTAACCTCTTCCATCGACAATTCTCCTTGCTGGTCCTTGGCCAGTGTCAGAGGCAAGGGTCAAAGAAAAAGCACTCAGGGTTCTTTGCGGCGGACGACGAACCGTGCAGATCGCAGTATGCAGGAACCAGCACATCTACAGCATCTGCTTCCCAGTTTTTGTCGTCGCCGCTCGAGGCGTGCAGAAGACGCTCCAGCGACCGCGTCAAGCAAGGTTCGCTCGAGTCGTCAATTGCGATGCGCTTCTTTGCAAGGTCAAAGATGCTTCTTTAGCCAAGCGAAAGGTCGCTTTCCTTTTGGACCGACCAATGCCGTTTGTCCGCCGACGAACCACAGCTGATATATCTAATGACCAGAGCGCGCGGCCGTTGGCGCTCGCGCCCGAGAATGGCCGAGGGTTGTGCCAATAGCCAACGCGGTGGTCCTTTTCTGTATTGCGAAAAGCACTACTTGCAGCTTTTCAAGGTGGCCGTTGACAGGTCGAAACCGTCGTGATAAAGTTGCTTAAGGTTTCTGTTGGAATGCAAGGGCAGACCGGCGCACCGGCGCGCGCAAGCCCAGGACCCGGAATAGGCGGCGCCCACAGGAACCTGTGCTGCTTCTCCTCTCCTGGCTCTAGCGTTCCATCTGTCACCGGTTAGAACGATTTGCGGGAGCTGCTCCAAGCTCCCCGTCATCCACTCAGCGGCCGATGATGCGCTCCAATGGCTTCCACAAAATGCACTGATACCGTTCGGGGCCCTTCTTTTAACATATCATTATCCCTCCTCTCCGCCTAAACCCTCCTCTCTCTACCCGACTCGCTGCCTTCACCCCTCTTGTGTGCAGCATCCCAGGACCTGGCAAAGGGAGGCGCACTCATACTAACACCGCAGCAACCTCTCTCTCCACATATCTCAAGAGAGTCACGCCCCACGCTGTCAACCAACCTTTTCCAAATCGCTCCTGCCTTTTGCGAGACCTGTTGAAACACCTTGACTCAGATCCGGATCACGGCTGTGTGCATAGCTACCCAATCATCCATACTTTCAGCTACTTCCTATTCGACCTTGCATATACTTGGATGGCCAACTCTTAGCCAATAATCTACCGGAGCCCAAGACATCAAACTAATACACACACCCCCACATATCACTGTCTTCATCTTGCGCATACACTGTCGCACATAATACCAAAGGACCGGATCCATTCAGCCTCTACTTGGAAATAATGTGAGTGCTATCCTGGATGTCGGGACATGCTTTCTTCAACCTCCTTGCATTCTTGCAACGGTGCCGACTGACTTGTTCAATCGTGAAAAAGCTAATCGCATGCAAGCCTAGACTTTAATATTCATCGCGCCATCCGGTTCACTCCAGCTCGACCATTTCTTTGTTCACGCGAAACGATAGTGAGTATTCTCTCCTCTACCAGCCGACTCACTTCTTGCTTCAATACATATGTTGTCTTGAAAACATTGCCCAACACCGTCAAAGTCGGAACGGGAACTTACCTTAGCCGTGTATCCAGAACCTTGGGACCATCTTCGGAAGACACCTGCAATCTCCTGCGAACGCCCTCCCCGAGTATTATCATCGACAATCCTTCCAACTTCAGCTGGACTGTCTCTTTAAATAATTCACTAGCAAGACCTGGCTGGATCTACGTACTGCATCTTGTTTTTGGCTCGTATATCCATTAATCATCAAGCATCGAATTCCGCGCGTGCAAGCCATCGACGGGTTCTTGCTTTATTACTCCAGCAAAAGCGTTCGTCAGGTTTCTGATTCCCAGCCCACCTGACGCAAGTCGACCTTCGTCGCGGTGTGCATTCTTGAGGTCGCTCCGTGCCTCGTTTTGACTCTCTTCTCCGCTGCTTTGCAAACCTGGCGGTCAGCACTCTTATGCGCCTGCAGGTTCGTCTTCCATCTCTTCTTCCTCAATTATTCTTGCCTTAGCATTTTATCCTGACTTTCATTCCTCCCTTTGCAGACTCCTCCACAACTGAGAGCTGCGCCTGTCATTGTCGACGAAGAATCAGCCATTCCGGAGTCAGTCATTGTTGCCTGTCAGGAGGCCCAAAAGGGTGGTCTCCTGGCCTCTTCGAACTACGGAAATCTACTCGCAACAATGTCGGGTTACGAAAAACCTCCAGCCTATAGCTACGGTACGTTGTTGATGTTATTGGTGCTTCCAGAAGAGACTCTCGGCCGCTTAACGGATCTACCCGAGGTCGCGAGGCTTTATCATGGCTCAGATGACTGACCAGTACCGAAATAGNGCTACGGCATTGCCACACGACCTGATCAGGCACCTGGCTATCCCGCATACAACCAATCACAGTTTAATCTCTCCTACTCGAATTCCCACGCGCAGGTCCCATCTGGTCTCCCAGATGCTGCTCAAATCCCCCTGCTCACCGAAGAGTCATATCAATCCCATGACTCGTCTTATGCTCAACAAAATGCACCATCTTATCCTTCGTACATGGCTGCTGGATCCCGTACCTTGCCTGATATCGTCTCGCTTACGCCACAACGAGGCCCTGCAGGTGGTAGATTCATCATTTACATGAACGCCACCGAGGACCTGACAAGCAACGGAGTCTCGTTCATTGTGTCTTTCGGTACCAAACGCTGCGAAGGTCGTCTTACCACCTTGCCCGGTTCAGGTCAACAGCCAAACTTTGCCTTTCTTGTTGACGTTCCTCCCTTCGAGGCTACTGCATCATCGAGCACTGCAGTCACCATCTACCTTGAGATGATAGACAGCAACAAGCAGTCCTTGAATGTGCCCGTCGAGGTTGGTCAGTACACATATACAGACGCGACACCTTACGCCATCTCGAGTCCGTCGCAAAACAGTACGCGCAAGAGGAAGATGTCAGAAGAGGCCCAGTCGCCGAACAAGCGACCTTCGTCACAGAACCTCCGTGATTCTCCTCTTCACAACCCTGCTGAAGTCAAGTTCACGCCGCCTTCGTCCACCATGGTTGATCCATACTCTTCTCGTCCTCAGACATCTTCTAGCGCAATCTCGTACGCTCGTACTTTCAACGCCCCTGCACCTACACAATACTCGCAGAACCTGCAACAGGCGCCGACTTACAGACTAGCTCCCACGCCCATTGGTATGCCTCAACCTCAGCCCTTCAACTCGTACCCTTCGACATACATGACTAGTGACCGAGCTGCACCCACTGCGCAGGTCACCAACGTCTCGTCGAGCGGTGCAAACCCACCTCTCATTCGCACCACTGCCTTACAGCCATCGCCTACTGGCATGTCACCGAGTCAACCTTTCAACCCATATGCCATGTACCCTTCCAACATCAAGGCTGTTCTCAAGCTTGAGGGTGATCTCAATGGCATGGCGAATGACTGGAATGCAGACGAAGTTGCTGCAAGACGTCGCATTGTGCGCTTCCGCCGCAGTCAGAATGGTAGTGTCATTTCTGCTTCCTTCCAGCCCGTCACACCCGAGGAACACGCGCAAGCGCCTGGCTGCATTTACGTCAACTGCATCTGGTGGGAAGAGGAGAACGGCTGCTATATCACCAGTGTCGATACTATTCAGCTTCTGGAGTCATTGGTTGCTGTTCGCTTTACTGTCGAAGAGAAGAACCGTATTCGTCGCAATCTCGAGGGTTTCAGACCTCAGACAGTGTCGAAGACCAAGGCTAAATGCGAAGAATTCTTCAAGATTATTATGGGATTCCCGAGCCCTAAGCCACGCAACATTGAGAAGGACGTCAAGGTCTTCCCTTGGAGAATTCTTGCAGGCGCTCTCAAGAAGATCATTGGCAAATACGTGAGTTCCACAGCACTGCTATCTGCACCTGCTTTTTTTGTATTAACACGATCACAGTCTGCAAGTTACTCCTCAACTGCTGGCGCTCTGCCCTCACCAAGTTCAGTCGCACCACCCAGACATCAGCTGCACAGTTCATCCCCTCCTTCGGTCACAAGCAACACCTCCATGTCATTCCCTACTAGTATGACTGCAACGAGCATGCCAATGCATCAGTCAAATATATCAGCAGGTATGAGTGCCATGTCAGCTGGACTTGGCGACTCACGCCTCATGATGCAGCAACAGCAGCCGCATGCGCAGCAGCAGCAACAACAACAGCAGCAGCATCAATACCAACCGCAGCATCATTATCAAAGCCAACAGCCACCACTACAGCAATCTCATAGTCAAGGCCCTCAGTCTGGAGTCGGATGGCATCAGCCATCAGCTCACTACACAACCGAGCCCGCTGTCGCGAATCGCACAGGTAGCATAGATTTCGCTACACTGTGGGAGACTACCAACCCACAGGTACCTCAAGGCCATCAGCAGCAGCGCATTCCATCCATCAGTCAGTCATTGCCTCATTTGTGGCCGCAGCAAGACTGGAAAGATTATCGCACGACGCAAGCCTAGGCGCAATCGACTTCTGTTTTGAGCAGCTTGTTGCCCATGCGTGCTGCGGAGTTTCAAGTCTTGCATGCATGAGGGAGAGTCATGTGGCTCGATGGCGCTAAACAATCCCGGATTCTTTTGCACCCTATTTGCTATCTCCTGTTTTTCCTTGGCGTTCGGCGTCCTGGTGCTTGGTCACACTTGCAGATGATCATTGGGGCTTGTGACTGCCCTTTTCGCGGACCACACGCCTTGACGACATCATTCACAACAACACCCCTTTGTCGCCTTGCTCATTGCGACGAGAAGCAAGCATCATCGACGGCGCATCTCTGGGATTTTCTCGTCTCTCATCACAGCACATCACATCACATCATTCGGAGTTTTTTCTTTCTTTTTCGCTTCCGGAAATACACCTTTGCGACTAGATTTCAAAGGCATGTCTCTCGCGAGACTGGCGGGCGTTTGATACCACTTTGTCCATTTTTGTCCGGCATTTCCCATCACCACCACCACAGCACTACACAAGTATACTTAATCCACCATATCACCACTACACTTAATCCAAAAACCAATACACAAGACACACAGGCTTGGCTGGGACGGTGCATCTGGGCGTTTTCTTTTTATTCGTTTTACCTTTCTTCTTTTCCACAAGGGTGTCATGTTTCGGTTTTCGGCTTCTGCGCTTCCTGTAGAGAAGCATGCTTGAGATACCCCTTTTTCTGACTCTTTCTTCAGCTATACCATAACCCTCGCTTTGCATTGTTTTTTCCCCTTTTCTTCGTCTTATTGCTTAGATAGTCACACAACCAATCCTAGGAGCCGCAGTGGTCGGTCTCGTCTTCCTGAATCCTGATTACCATTTTGACCAATGTTTTTTGTCTTTCTCTTTTGATATGCCAATACGAGGTCCTCCAATTTTGATCAAGGCTGAAGTAAAGAAAAAGGGCGGCATGTAGTCAACTTTGAGGATGTGGGCACGGCACGGTTGGCATGCATGTAAGACAGAATAAGGCCCGAACCCAATTGCACTTGTGGTTTGCGTGGTTCGATGGATGCGTCGAGGCTTGGAAAGAGGGCGGCAGGCATGGCGTGGGCCGTAAAAAGACGGGCCGCTACCCGTAACCCTTTTTTTTTTTCCTTCAACAAGCATGTGATAGGAAAGTAACATGATTCTGAGTAGGGATGGCATTTTTACGGTAAATGGACGGTAAAGAACATCCGGAAGTTACGTCAGTAAACAACCTGCATTTTTGGTAAACTGACCATCTGTGGTCAATGCATGATTTCTGTCCACTCACAGTATGATGCAGGGTGGTTAGACTGGGGAGATAGAAGGTAAACATATTTTGAGCAAGTTATCATTGGGCTTTAACCACGCGCATACCACACGATGTAGCGGGATGTTATCATATGCAGTGCTGCATAGTCCCCTCGTAGCAGCTGCCACGGTCAGTTAACTGTAAGTGTCCGGCGGCGATACCGTTAGTTACCTAAACTTACGGACATGTCACTTACCAGGAACATCCCTAATTCTGAGATGAGGCTCAAGTAAGTCAGTGATCAGAATGAGAAGAAGGAAAAGAGGAAATAATACAAAACGAAGTATTGAAAGGGAGATATTGGAAAAGAAATGGGATTTGTTTTATTTTTGACTTTTCATGTCGTAAAGTCGTGTCACGCTTTAGGCAAGGAAACTAAATCGTAGAGACGACTCTAGGAAAGATGAGGTGCAAGATGGAATAGTAAGCACAAGCAGAATCAAAGGGAGAAAACGAAAACCTGTAGGAATATACACCGAAACTATTCGAGAACAAGACGAGAGTATACACAGAACAAGGAAGACATAAAACAACAAAACGATGCAGAGCAGCAAATGTTCTTAGACAAAGAAAGATGGGCAAAGCAATCAGCTACTCAAGGGTGTATATACATGTATGTGCATAAAGAAATAATCGTTACAGAAAACAGTGGAAAAGAAAGAGACTATACATGTTCTTCAAATGGCGACATGCTCGTAAGCAGTAAGCAATGCGCCGTGTCTGTGCTTGTTCATCTCTTGAGACCCTCCTTGTCGCTGCAAGAGATCAATCATGCGACGTACGGCTTCTTTGCACTTTGTGTAAAGTTGGTCTTTCGAGTTTGCTTCATTGGCAGGTAGGGTGGCCAGAAGATCCGTCATGGTGAGCNNTGCGATAGAGTGTTAGCCTAGAAAGTCAATTGTGGCGATAGAGCAAAAACTTACAGCTTCTTCAAAGGCTCGGTGTTGGAAGACCCACCAAACACCAGCATCGCTCTCGAAAAAGTCATTGAGCTTGAAGTAGGCCCAAATGGCTTCGTGCGCTGCTTCTAATGCGCCACGGAAGTTGAGCTCTACACCCACCTCTGCGTCTTCGAAAGCTTGAATAATCATCAAACAGTGGTAGTAGTTGCTTGTGAAGAACAAGTTTTGACGAACCGCTCTACCACTGTTTTGAGACATCTGCCGCAAAGTCTCATAGTCTGACGTTGTGAGGAAAGAAGGAGCGGACTTCCAAATTTCGCGGAAAGAGTTGACCAAAGTTGTTTTNGCGCGNGGCGTTTTGGCTATCGGGATGGACAGAGAGACTGGAGAGCATAGATTTTCCTGTACTTTCAGTGCCAAACGCCACAATGACTTCACATACAGAACGTCTGCTTTGTCGACGTCTTCGGTGATTCTTTGGTGTGGTAGTATGGGAGGTTCGGGCTGTTTGGGAGTGTCCTGCGGGGGCGCGATAACGTTGATGCTCATAAGGTTCTCAATACGAGCACTGCTGCCTGTGTATCTGGTCGAGTCCTGAGCTTCAACTTCTGTCTCATTAGTCAAAGAGTCAATCGAGACATCGCTGTGAGTGGCTGTTGGCGGCAGCTTGAGTAGCACTGTGAGGAAGGTGTCTTGATGGAGAATGGCCTGCCAGAACCTCCTTCGCGTGTGCTTTTCCACAGGCGAGATGTTTGGTAAGATGATGTCAGGATCGCGATGGAGTCGCAGTGCGTAAGCCTGTCGTACAATGATTCCAGACCAAGCATATGCATCCGATGCATGGTTGTCGTTCATCAAGAAATAGCACAGCAGGATCTGAGCACCGAGAGCTCTGAGCGATGATCTGTTGAGGTACGAGTAGATGCGAAGTGCCTGGTTGGCAGCAGAAGCTNNATTTCTCAGTCAGGAATTTGTTCTGATTTGTTATCAACAGTCAGACTTACCCAGAAATTCGGCACTCGAACTTTTCGCATCATAACTTGCAAGGTCCATGAATTGCGTACCCATAGCATATAGAGCAAAGTGCAAAGCAATCAGATCAGCATCAGCAGTTTCGCGTTCCTTTTCTGGTAAGGCCCAGAATCGTTCATATGCCACGTAAAAGGTTCGTCGATGTAGGAAAGGATACACAGGAGCCACGCACTCAAAGTACTTGGCGATCAAGATATCAGCCTGCTGCTTGCTTGGCAGCACTGCGAGGACCTCAGGTAGACCACCTTGACATGTCCAGTAGTTCGTGAAGGGATGAGATGAGCCAATGCCAAAAATGTTAGATGGCGTTTGTTTGGAGAAAGGAACCTGTGACTGAAGAAAGGGCGATCCAAATCCAACAGAAGTCTCGCGTGGAGAGCGATGATGGAATTTAGAGAACAAATCAGTTCTTACTTGCTTTATGCCAGTAACACTGGATGGTGAAGATGAGGAGCCATCGAAAGAGCCGTTCAGTTTTCTGATCTTGGCAGGTGGTGGCTTGACCATGTGCCTTTGCTTTTCAACTCCGTTGTCTTTCTGGCTTNNTGTTGGATGTCAGCATTTACAACCTCCTCGTCTTCGTGATATATCTGGATACCTTGCATCAGCTATCAGATTAGCAACGTGGGTGTATCTACAAGTCGATTGCCGTTTTATGCAAGCCAAGCATCCCGGCCGTCCTCGGTCACANCTGTGAGTGGTTGATTGATTAGTATATGCTGTACATAACCAAGGTTGACAAGCGATGCGAATGCGTCTTGTTTGACGTTCATGAAACGCAGCTCCAAGACAGAAAGACAGAGAGATTGAAAGACAACCAACCTTGGTCTTGCGCTCAACACATTCTTCGCAGCTCAGCGTAGGCTTGTTACGCTTCTGTTTAGGTTTCGTGCGTTCGCCATCAGGCGTAGACGTCTTTGCATCCTGAGCTGGTGATCCGCTGGTACTAGTTTGGAGTGGTGGGAGTGATGGCGCAAAGGCATTGACAGGCGTCACAGGTACAGATCCGTAAGCTGCAGCATGGTATGGCGATTGTTGAGCAAATTGTTGCACTGGCGGCAGGTGAGGTGGGTGATGCGATGAAAAGACTGATGGTGAATCAGAAGGCAACCCCGACATTCTTGCCGACTCGGGTTCCTGCAGTGTTCTTCCTTGGACCCCACGCTAATTATTGCGCGTTCTTGTGGGATAGAACGAGGAGGTGGGCCGATCTGCGTGTTTCGAGACTTGCTTCTTGGTGGAAATAATCTGGTAACAAGCTATGTGAACGAGCCTCCGGGAATAGAGGAAGAACGCGACTTGTCAAAGACATCGATCCGGGGCGGGCGACCGAGGATGTCATGACTTGGAGAGCGAAAAAGCCAAGCCCTTTGTCCCAACATCCTCGGAGCCGTTTGCCATGCTGTTGAATTAAGCAAAACACTAACGAACCTAATGATGGCTAGCCTTCATCCGACGATGCCGACCAGATGCATTTGGAAAATGGACACATTGAAAGTATGCCCAGAATACCACTGAGATGGTACGCAGGGCTGAAGTGGCAGTGCAGTTTTCGGGATTGTCGCGACAAGCGCGTCACATCAAGAAGCTGGGGAAATACAGTACCTGGAAGGATTGAGAATGCGACATACAGTGCATATGATAGGCTAGAACATTTGTCAAGACGCCACGATGAACAAGTACAGCTGAATGAGGTATATGTTTCTGGCGAACTACCTTGTCTTTTGAGCGAACAAATCATGTCTCATTATTTGACCATCTATTTGTTGAAGTTGGCCTCTCTCTCCTTCTTCATCTCTTGTGTGGCAGGACGGTTGGAGATTCTCTGCCACCATGCCCAGTAGTGAGGAAGCTCCTTCTCAATCTCGGCGTGGAAAGCATCGCTCTGCTCTCCGAAGATGAAGGGCAAGAGCATTTGCCAGGGGATGAAAGACAAATCGGCGTAGGTGTACTTATCACCAACGAGGTATTCGGTGCCCTGCTGTTTGAGGTGCTTGTCCAAGACTGTGAGCACACGCTTGATCTCCTTGCTGTATCTCTCAATTGCTGAGTCGATCTTGGTGTCGTGGTAGATGTTAAACCAGACACGCTGGCCGAAGTAGGGGCCCTGTCCGGAGACTTGGAAGTGAAGNCCTGAATAGATGTTAGTCGAGCTCTGTGGTCCAATGCATTCATGCCTTTACCATTGCTTCAACAAGTACTTCTCGGGAGTGGAAGTGTATGTGAACTTGTTCTCCTTGTCGTACTGCTCGATCAGGTACTCGACAATGGCACCAGACTCCCAAAGGGTAATGCCGGTGTTGGGGTCCTCAATGGTAGGTGTTCTTCCGTTAACACAGAGCTTCTCGTACTCGGGCTTCTTGAGGTCAGGGAAGTCCCAGAGCTTGTGCTCGTAAGGAAGACCAAGCTCCTTCATGGCCAGGACGACCTTCCAAGGGTTAGGACCACCAGCATGGCCGTGAACGAGAATGGGCTTGAGAGACATGATTGTGAGAGTGGTGATGACGAGGAAGGGCAAAAGTCAATTGGAGCCACCGGACGAGACGCGGCTACCTCGAGGGTCTTTATATATGCCTTCTAGACTCTCGAGTTAGGGGTTACATTGCCTCTTGCCCCACCCACCGTTCATCGAAGCTTCCATGATGTCGCGGCGGGAGGACAGTTTCGGGGTTCGGTGTTAAGCTCGCTCGCATTCGTCATGCTGCTTAGAAACGCATGTTTACCCCTCTTAAAGTCTAGCAGTACGACGATAAGCCGCTCAAGCTATCTAGTGATACTTGATAGAGGCGGTGTGCGGTATGTAACGAAACTAATAGCTCGAGGCACAAAATGTACAATGATGGTCGCATCTGAATCCTTTCAGGTACCACAATACACGATCTCGGTGGGGCCGATGACAAAACATCATTGCGGGGTAGCTCGAGGTTTAGTAAGCTGAGAAATGACAGTAAATTAAGCAACATTAAATAGAATTATTAGGTGTTTCTGAAACTGGGTATCTCGCAGCAACAAAGGAAGAAGCACCATCAAGACCATAATTCGTAAATCGTCATTTGACGTTGGCCGCCATGTTATTCCAGTAATCCCAGAGATCAAGCTGCCCCTTGTCTTTGCGGCGACGAAGAGCCTCCACGTATGACAAGCTTCTTTGGCTTCTTTCTTGAGGGACTCTCTGCGTCTCCATTGACGTGATTTGGTTCGACTCTTTCTCCCGTGGACGGACTCTTGGCAATGGTTCTGCTGGTTCCGTTGAATCGTCGGACTCCGTATCCGTTCTCTCGTCGAGTTGAGTCTGGTGGTGTGGGCAGCTCAGACTCTGAACCACGTCTTCGTTCTCCATCGGGGAGTCGCTCCGCGCCTGCGTCTGCAGAGGATGATCTTCGTCGTCTGGAAGGGTTCGGCGTCAACTTGGATGCTGGACCTTGAACTCATTATTATTCGAGTTCTGTGGATTGCAGAACGACAGAAGGAGGTGTTGAGAGCTGGGCAAGGGAGGATTCAGGGCTAAGTACCTTTNNACCTTTGCCATTCTGACGTGGAGTAAGGTCCTCGTGATATGCTGCCTGGTCGCCGTCTGTTGGGTCGTCAAACAGTATGCCTCCAGTGCCTTCTTTGATAGCGTTGACCATATCGACTGCAAAATCAGGATTGTCTTTGAAGCAGTTTCGGTAGCTCTCGGCATTCTTTTCACTGTCTGGATCCATGATCTGTCGCGCAGCAATCTGAGCCATGAGTTTCCGGAACGGCGAACCCACTGGGGAGCTGCGATAGATTTCGTTGATCTCTTCGGCATCGGGGACGAGTTGAGCTTCGAGTAAGCCTTGTCTGTATCGGTCGATGGACTCATTCCTCAAGATTGGAAGGTCGAACTTGTTGCAGAGCAAGTACAGCTTGTGGCAGGCTACCGAGTACTCGTATTTCTTCTCGTCCGTCATATCGGACGTGTCATCCAACGTTCCTTGATACAGCCATTTCACCAGCAACTCGAAACCAGCAGGATCTTGATCAGGTAGTTCAAGCTCAGATCTCGAAGAGGGTTTGGACGTCTTGTTGGCGAGAAATTCGGATTCGAAGTAGGGCGAATGGTGACATAGTAGGTTGCGATGCAGCGACCAATGCCGACGCTCTTCACCGACGTAAAAGTCGATCGTCGGGCCAGAGAGGAGCCTTTTCCACAAGGTCTTAGCTTCGTCAGGCATTTGCGCCAACAGAAAACAAGCAGATAGAGCTCAAGAGCAAGCTGTGCAGTGTAGTGAAACGTACTCGGCAAAGGTCTTTGCAGTGATCTCGCTGACGTTAGCTCTGGCCATGCGAAGTACTACGGGCGCGTTGTTGGCATACGCAAAGTCGCGCGAGTAGATAGGTAGGTATCGATAAACTTGCTGAAGCGCTTGTTCAGACCATGAACCCATGCAGTGGAGCGAGTCTTAAGTAGAGTTGGTGGCAGGTAAGGAAGCGAATCATGGCATTCCACAGACGATACGATCGGATTGGAAAGGGGGTACGAAGGAGTTGGAAACTTGCGAAAGGGAGGGCTCCGTCATCATCGAGGGGTGACAAGCTTTCGGTACATTCTGCTCGGCCTCCCGATTCCCGCTGTCAACTTGCGCCATTGCGATTCTCCCTCGGAAAGGGTTTCAACAACCATTACTGACCATGCAAACGCATCGCTCGACAAGCACACACTGTCCTGTCCAATAGAAGATGTACTGGGTTGCTCAAACACTGCTTCCAAATGCTGGTTGTAGTTGTTGGTGTTGGTCGCATGCCGTCCAATCAAATTCATGACGCGTGATCTTGGCATTTACGCGCCGACTCTCAAAGCCTGCTGCCTCGCGACGAGCAGAACTTATAACCTCCCATCAACGACCATGAGTTGGTGGGTTGTCCATCTGTCTTGCTTCCATCGATTCTGACCGACTTACACGCGCTATCTAGGTGACGCCCTCCTTTTCTTTCATCCTTCGAGTCAGGGCTGCTCTCAAAGCCCGGTCGGGTGGTTGGGGTAGGTTGTGGTCAACCTCAGAGTCGCTGTTGCGTAGACCATCGACACGACAGATTTCGAAGGCAGGCCATCATTTCGAAGTCCAGTCGCACTCCCAAAGCGCTTCTGGGGTCTGTAGGGTTCACTGTGGTCACCGGTCGTTGATTCTCGTTACAAACCAGATTTCACGAGCAGGTCAGCTGGTCTGATCTGTAGGGGCTGCAATGGATTTCGGCTATCGATTCTCTCGTGTTGATGGTCCGCTTCAACCATAACCTCTGAAGAGTCAGGGCTGCTCTAACTGGAAGCCCGGGTGGGAGGGTTCTACGCTTCTTGCGTGGGGTTCTCATTCTTACTAATATAAATCTAGCCTCACAGAAAACCGCACTTCATGCAAGTTTACTTTACTGTTCTTAGGCTGACAAGCGCTCATGTAGTTGCATTTAGGTAATCTCAATGGCATCAAACGTTCCAATCTTATCAAAACTCTCGTCCAAGTGTGCGCCAGCTCTCATGATGGTTCGATATCGCATGAGTATTATATGGACATGGTCTTCAATCATCAGAATGAATTTCATTGCAAGCTCGGCACATCCGCACATTTGGTTGACACCAAAAGAAGTCAGAGTTTGNTCTACCTGGTGCTCGATGTCACTAATGTCGGAGCGATATGCCTTCCAACAAGCGAAGATGTGCCACTCAGTGTCGCAAACGCGTTTATCAAGCAAGCACACTGTGCAACAGCTGCCGATATTGTGAGCTTGCAGTTCACTCTCACTCAAAAAGTACACCTTGTTGGGCCCCCAAACTCGGCATTAAAGCAAAGACCATCGACAATCACAGACATAGATACTTTGCTACGATTCGGCCAGTGCGACACATTCAAAGTCTATGTCCCTTCAAATGCTATCAACCAGGAGCGTCTTCCAGACCTCTGCAAGGCATTGGATCAGGGTATCATCAGATTTTCCGACCGCCATCTCCAAACTCTGTACAACGGCACCGGCAGGAAGGTCATCACGTGCATCGATGACCTATGGACCCAGAACCGACCTGAAGGTCCACCTCCATACGACCCATCGACGGCGCCTGGGGCTACCAACAGCGAACCGATAGGTCAATCAGATCTAGGATCCTCAAGTAACTCCAAAGCTCGCGGAAAGCGACGCACAGCATCTCCCTTACCAAGTCAAACCCCGCTCAAGCGACAGTTGTTGACTGAAAAAGTTGCACCAGAGCCCTGGGAACTGGCGTTTGCAGCTCTGAGCGCAGAGTTTGCAAATTTACGTGAACAACTAAAGCAGCTCCAGCGGACCCCTGGAGTCGATGCTGAGACACAAACCGATCCGGTCGTTGAGCATGCACTTGAGTCTTTTTCAGTGCCTGACCCATATTGTTCATCACCAAGCCAGGCTAGCACGGTTGAAAACACTATCGAGGACCGTCTCTTGATGGTGCAAGACAGCGTTGCTGATGAACAAAAGCAGCTGGCATCGCTGGCTGAGAAGGTTGATCACAAAGATAAGCAGGTATGTATGCAAGAATACCACAGGCCGACAACCACTACATGCTTTTTTTCTACTTCTTCCACTTCTTGAGATGATGGGAGTCTGTTCACTGCATCACAGAGTGACATCTAGAAAGTTGAAGTGTCCATGGAGAGCCTGTCTTTGGCCGAGTGACGATCGAATCTCTTTCGACACCAACTCAATTTCTGATGACACACTGCAATGCAGCAGGATAGACTGTCTTCTGGCTGCGCATCGTTTTCTGAATCGGACAAACACTGACTTCACTCTCAGATACGACAGGAGCTTGAAAGCGAATGCTTTGGGTTGCAGTCTGCGGTCGAGAACCTCGAGTCTCGAGTCGATGACCTGGAAAGTGGTCTTCAAGACGATCTTCGACAAGAGTTCAAAGAAGACATTGATGCAAAAGCATTGGATTTACAAGTCAAGCTGGAAGAGTTCATTGAGCATCGACTAGAAGACGTCGAAGAGGTCGTCAAGAACGATGTGAGGATGGCGTTCGAGAACGCATCTTGTAAGTTCAAGATAGATTTGGGCTGGTCGGAATAGTGGAATCAATGTACTGCAACAGTAAGGCTCTACAAAAGTTTTTCAATGTCTTCACTGTACTCCTTGTAACCAGCAGTATGCTGCCGGACCAAGCGTATCCTGCATCTCTTTGTCTCGCATGAACAAGAAAAATTGTCGGAAGATACAAACGCGTTCTTCTTCACTTCTCCGTACTTCCGTCGACCTCTCGTTGTTCCTTCAAAACACAACACGACTTCACTGTCATCGCTCATCTTCATTCTTCCTCTTTCCTTCGCTGTGCTACACAACAAACACTTCCCACTTCACATCACGGGGGTCTTAAGATCTTCTCGGTCCTGCGCGCACTTCCTCAGAATCTCTCTTGTTGTCGCTGGTCGAACTACACAAGGCGCACGAAGTCTTTCTCATTCTCAGTGAAGATCTAACATCACCCAGGAATTCACCAACACGGATCCTCCGACCTCATTTTCTTCCCTTCCGCCCGAACTAGTCACCAAGATCTGCCGTGACTCTGGCCTTCGCAAGAAAGATCTCATCGCGCTCCGGCTTACTAGCAAATCTCAAGGCATCCATCTCTCTGCCTCAAAGGAGTTCGCCAAGCGTTACTTCAAGGAAGTCAAGCTTGTCTACACACGTTATAGTATGCAAGCTTTCGCGGAGATTTGCAAGCACCCTGTCTATGGTCCTTCAGTCCGAAAAGTCCGGCTCTCTTGTACTCGTTTCGAGCCGAATCGTTTTGAGGAAGAAAGCAAGGGCCAATTCGACCATATTGAGGTTGACGATCCCCAAGGACGCCATGAGTACCTGGAAAACATACGACTACTCGTCAACCGTTGCGATGAAGAAGAAAATCTCAGAAAATCTGGAGACGCCGAGGACTTTCTTGCTGTAGCTTTTACCGCACTTTNNTCTCGATGGCACCATCCTCTGGAAATCGCTGTGTCATCGCAGGAGTCTGGTGCATTGGGCCAAAGTCGAACTTACAGTCCGGAAAACCTGGGCGAACACGTACATTGGGAGTGTGATATACTTGGGACGGTCAGCCTGCTTTATCGTGCCGCCATGCGTGGGACATGTGCTGTGCAAGCGCTTGACATCTCATGTGCTGTCTGGGATAATTTGGCTGATAACTCATCTGACACCCTGAGCTCGTTAGCCCAACTCTCCGAGCTCAAGCTGGAAATCTGGCCTCTAAGGGATGTAAACATTCTACTGGTTACAGGCCTTGAAAACGTGGCGAGCAAGCTGCTGGAGAATGCAATTCATTTGACAACCTTGGAAGTCGAATCCGCTTCTTTTGATAGCAATCCTAGATATCTTCGCAAAGTCTTCACAATCATGTCGAGGAGGAGGCTTGAAAAGCTCACGCTAACCTGGATTAATTTTGATCGATTCAAACCTTTCGACAAGCGAATTGAGTCTTTGCGTCATCTGGAATTGATTGGTTGCACGGCTGAGGAAGGCCTGAAGAACATTTTGCTTTCTATAAAGAAGAACTGCCCTCGACTTGAATATCTCCGATTTTCTACAGCGCCTTGGATGAATGTAGAGATTGTATTTCAGGGCGTTCAAGGAGTCAAGGATGGCATCGACAAGCTGATACAGTCAAAGCTACAGGGTCACGCTAACCTTGGATGGGTAGCGCTTTGGAGTGGCGATGAGGACTGACGCATCCAAACAAATGATCGAAGTTGAAGTGCAAGACGATGAAGACCGGTTGGTCCAGAGTTCAGCGATGTGGTTGGCCAGGGCAGAACAGACACAGAAAAGCATGTATTTTCAATACTAGAAGAAGTTCACGTAGCATACGAATCAGCCAACCCAAAGGGTCGTCATTTTCAAAGTTCTTGCTGACATGTCTTCTACACACACCTTCCCTATGGGCTAAGGACAATCACAGTGTAGCTGTGGAAATGCACAATACTTTCGTGAAGAACATGTTCTCCATAAAGAGGACCTGATCAATGCTATCTCAATGGCTAGACTCATATCTGAATCGTGATTGTGCATTTCGATAGCTTATTACAATCCCATATAGCTCAGACGGAGAAGGGCCAGTTGCAAAACTGTGACTGTCTTCTAGGATCTCGTTGCGTGTGGATGTATAATTGTGCAGGCTTATGAAAGATTTGTGAAAGTTCAATCAAACGCGTGCAGTCCACGTCGCGTCTTTCTCCAACAAGCGCTCCACAACCCAGTGTTTGTCAAGAACAATTGCACAAGAAACGAGCATATGAATCAATGAACGTTGATGTTGAAGAGCCAACCTTTTCCGACGACATAGCAGCACTCTACGAACAAGAAGCAGAAACTCGAGCGGACAACAAGCGACGCGGAATTGTTATTCAGCACCGAAGCTGGCCTTTGGCAGACGTCTTTCGCAGCGAAGACGATCGCTCTACTCGTACGATCTAGCTGGACATCTTGACGGCTCTTGTCTAAACAGCATACAGACATCCCCTCGAGTCAAGCCCTGTACAGACGAAATCAAGACCCTCCATCGAGTCCACCCGCTATGCCCTTCATGTCTTCGGCCGTCGCAGCTCCACCAGTCACAATGTCGCAGAGTTTAGGGAAAGACGTGACGAACAATGTCTTCATGGAAGACTCGGACAGTGACGATGAAATGCCGCTACCACAGCAAGAAACGACTTCAGAACCAGTCCAAATTCAAGAGCAACCACTTTCAGAAGCCCAACAACCTCCTGCTCACCAATCACCTACACAATCACAGAACAGTCAGAATGCACCAAGCCAGAGTCAATCTTTGGATTTGGGGCTGTCAATGTTCGCCAAACGGACCATCCACAATCCCTTGATTTCATCCTCCAAGACTCCCACAACAACAAAAGTCGCCATACACACTTCGTCTGGCAGGTCTTTCTCCGTCCGTAAGAAGCAGAATGCCGAAGCTTTGTCAACGGAAAGGCTAGCAGCCTCTCGATCCGAAATCGCTGAGGGAAGAGCTCAGAGGAGTTACTATGGCATCGACATCCACAACCTGGTCAAGGNNGAAGCCAAAGCCCAGCAAGTCATCGACCAAGCAGAGGCAGAAAGGAAAGCCGCCATGCCCTCTATAGAGCCCGTTCTTCCTGTAGACGGCGCACAAAAAAATCAGCGGACATTGATGTGGACGGAAAAATACAGAGCACGCAAGTTCACCGAGCTTGTGGGAGATGATCGCACACATCGTTCTGTCATGCACTGGCTCAAGCGCTGGGATGAGATTGTTTTCCCTGGCTCAAGCAGAAAACCCAAGCATCGCAAANATGCCGACAATGTCGAGCAGGAAAGACCACATCGCAAAGTCTTGCTTCTTACTGGTCCCCCTGGTCTCGGAAAAACAACTTTGGCTCATGTGTGCGCTAAACAAGCCGGCTACGAAGTCCAGGAGATTAATGCTAGTGATGAGAGAAGCAGAGATGTTGTCAAAGGTCGTATCCGAGATATGGTCGGCACTGAAAACGTCAGAGGTGTTGATCAAAAGACTGCTGCAGGCAAGGTCCGCAAAGCTGGACGCCCTGTATGTGTCATTGTTGACGAGGTCGATGGTGTCGTGGGTGGTAGTGGAGGTGCTGGTGAGGGAGGATTCATCAAAGCCTTGCTCGACTTGGTAGCCCTTGACGCGAGGAACTCCAACAAATCTCGCTCACAACAACCTTCTGAAAAGAAGAAGGCCGACAACTTCCGTTTGCTACGACCGCTTATCCTGATCTGTAATGATGTCTACCATCCTTCCCTCCGACCACTTCGACAAAGCACAGCTGCCGAGATTATTCATGTTCGCAAACCTGCCATCAACTCTGTCGTCTCCAGGATGCAGTCCATCTTTGAAAAGGAGAACATTCCTTATGATGGCGATGGTGTGCGAAAGCTGTGTGAGGCTTCTTGGGGCATGTCAAGTCGCAAAGAGGGTGGTTCAGGCAGCAGCACAGGCGAGGGCGACATTCGTGGTATCTTGGTTGTTGGCGAATGGATCGCAGGCAGACTTCGAGCAACTCACGATCCAGCCGCGAATTCAATACAAAGGCTGACTCGCCGATGGATCGAAGCTAACGTCCTAGCAGACCTGTCTCATGGAGGAGGCTCAGCAAGAGGCGTGGGACGTGGTGGGCCAAAGGAAGTAGTCGAGCGTGTCTTCAAAGAAGGTGCCGGATTTTCCAAACCCAGCATGTTGGCAGCGCCAACCACCACCGCCTCGGTCACTGGCATGAAAGGCGTAGCAGAATCAGGAAAGCGACAAGCCATGGACCGCCTTCGTGAAATGGTCAATACATCTGGCGATATTGACCGCATCATGACCGACTGTTTCTCTGCATACCCAGATCAACCATACCAAGACGACAACTACCTCAGCAAACCAGATGAAGCATATGAATGGCTCCATTTCCACGATCGACTCTCTTCTGCAGTCTTCAGCCACAGCGAATGGGAATTAGCCACCTATCTCGCCCAACCAATTCTCGCTTTCCATCATTTGTTTGCTACACCAAATCGCTCGCATACCAACACGGCAAACAAATGGAATGAACAAGACACAACGGAAGACAACGAACCTCCTACACNNCCCTTCTCTGGCCCTCAAGCCTCATTCCAAGCGCACGAGACGCAAAAATCCAACTTTGAGATTCTGCAAACGCTGCAAGCGTCTTTGTCATTACCGCTTCTACGCATGTTTCCCTCGCCAACAGCCATGTCGACTGAATTCGTACCATACCTCATGCGCATGCTAAATCCAAATGTATCGCCAGTGGTAGTCCAAAACTCTGGCATTTCCACTGCTTCGGTGCGCAAAGCGAGTGAGAAGTTACTCGTCAGCAGAGCAGTCAACGCAATGACAGCATCAGGCATCCGCTTCGACCGCACCCGTCTGGAAACCGAAGGCGCCTCCTTTTCCCACTCCTCAGCACCACAGACTTGGGTGTACCGTATGGAACCTGCCATTGACTGCCTCTCCGTGTTCGAAACGCTGGACTTGAAGGCTGCGGGTTTGGCACCTGTAGACCGCACTCGCTATGCCGTGCGTCAAGTCCTAGACCAAGAATTCGCCATTGCAACCAAGAAGACTGCAGAAGCTGCTAGAGTATCCAGAGGTGGGAATGGAGCTGCTGTACTCACCTCGCTTGGAGAAGTTGTTGCTGGCGCTGCTGTTCCTGTTTCGGATGGCAAAAAGCTAAAAAGAGATTTCTTTGGTAGGGTTGTTGCTGAGGAACAAGAGGCAGATACAGAGGAACAAGGTGAAGGTGCAACCAAGAGGAAGAAACAGAAGCAAGAAGAAGCTGGCGATAAAGAGAGGGTGTGGGTGACTTTCCACGAAGGATTTTCTAATGCGGTTAGGAAACCTGTGTCGCTCAGGGAGTTGTTGGGGGCTATGTAGTTGCCAGAATAGCAGGCATGGAAAGAATGAAGATTGCTCAGCGAGATGTTAATATACCATCACCCTTGCATTGCCTTTCCTATCTCACACTGATACATTTGGAAATGAGAGGCTGTAAAAAGACACAGTATTGTTTGACATGCAGACATTCACCCCGAGAAACATGCCCGTCAAGTTAGGTACCTACCGTACCTTCAATCACAAAAGCGGTTTGTTACAAGAGCAGAGCAGAGCAGAGTTGGAGTTTGAACGTCATTTTATTCTTGCTGTGGTAACAAAGAAATCATGCAAAGCCAATGTTTGTTGCATGTTCAAGAAAAAGAAAAAAGCCCCTCCTGAACGCCTTGCTGTGAGACACCCTAAGCCAGGGGTTTATGATGCAGAGCAATGCCGTGACGGTGATGTAGATAATTGGAGTTCCCAGAAAAGTGCGTTTGTGTGTGTTGGATCAGAGTTGGTAGCGAGAAACTGGGTAACGTAAAGAATCTTTCTATACATTTTTTGGGGGGGGGGGGGGGGGGGGGGCGTAGCTCGTGATATGATGAAGCATGGTAAAAAGCTTTGTCGAATGGATGTTGAGAATTGTTCTAAGCGGTTCCGGGAATGTGCTCGTCTTCGTCCTCGGCTTGCATACGGACAATCACGCTTTTGAGTGTCTCGAAGGTAAGCATGGTGGTCATGGCGGCAGGCACGGCTCGAATGAGATTGGTTCCCATGCCGCTGTAGAAGGCAGTCCAGCCCTCTTCGTATAGAATGGTTCTACAAGTCTTGATGACACCTTGATAGCGAGGTTTGTTGATCATGCCGTCGGAACTGGGAATGCCTCTTTGTTGTGTTTGTAGACGAGTGCGCAAGACTTCGTGAGGATATGTGGCTGTGGTAGCGCAGATTTTGCTGATGCAGGTTGCGGCGAGCACACCGACCGAGTTTGTGCCTTGGCTGGGAGGAGCTGCACCCATCTCAACACCAGTAAACTTGAGTTTTAAATACTCATATAGAGGGAATTGGATGGCGACATGTGTGAGACCCAATAGTGCGGGAGCCAGACCAGAGTAGAAGGCCTTGATACCCTCGCCTTTGTACATCTGACGGGCAGCATCCCAAGTGTTGTTATAATGCCAAGGAGTGCGGTGTCCTTCGACAGCTTCTTTAGATATTTGAGACATGAGACGAGTTTTGATGACCCAGATGGGATTTGTTGCAAGCGTCGAGCAAGCACCAGCTGTGACGGAGGAGAGCACATGAGCAAACCATTGGGGTTCTNNTTGCGCAGGTTAGTATATGGTGATGAAACATGGCACAGTTGACTCACCAATACGCTCCGAGTAATTGGTCTTTGCTATGTCGTAGACGCTCATGTAGACAGCCCAGGTGGGTAGATAGCCAAGTACCATTGGACCAAGACCTCTGTACATGCCCTTGAGGCCATCCTGGCGCACGATTGTTCTTGCAGTTCCAACAAGACCTCGGTAGACTTGAGAGGTTGAGTTCGAGTTCTGTGAGTGCTGCTGGCGGCGGAAGGAGCCTTGGGCTTGTAGCTTGGTCTTTATGACATCGAGTGGACAGGTAACAATACCCGAAGCAACACCGGCAGCGGCACCGCAGAAACTGTTTATGTATGGCTTGGGCAACTTTTGAGCCAGAAGAGTTGCGGTAGATGGTGGGGTTAGATCGTGGGATCTGGATGCCGGGGCTGACATTGTATCGGAGGGGAGTGCCTCAATAGCTGCGCATGTTCAGGCCAGAGGCGAGTAATATGGATTGTAGGATAGATGTTTCTCAGGTGGTAGGTTGGTGGTAGATACGGGAGTCTTGTCGTTGCGCACGCGGCCCGGCACCGCTTTCAAGCAGCTTTGGTTAGCGATTGTGCGTCTCCATGAATCTGCACACAATGACCGAGGGTTTGGATTGTGCAGATGGCAGTTGGTGAAGAAGTGAAGTCGCTGCTATCTTGGGTCGTGTGTCAACAATGAGACGGGATGGTATCGCAGTCGCGCAATCATGCCGGCGACAGCCATGGTCCATCAAAGGGAACAGCCGGCGGTCGGAGGTCGGCTCAAAGCGGGGGTCTCTCATGCCGACGCTGATTGGACTGTGAGAGTCCAGGTAAGCAGCCAATCAGCGGACGTTGGATCAGGCTGGGCTCTCGAGACTTGAACGACAAGAGTTGAAGCAGCAGCTGCGAGTTGAAGACCACTTGACGGACGACCCGCAACCACACCACACATCGCCCATCATGTCGCAGCCTTCTATGACCAACTTCATTGTCAAGCGCCCCTGGTTGAAGCGCTGGATGACCCCTCTCGCCAACTGGTACACCGACGCCGCCGGCTACAGAAAGTTGGGCCTGAGGTCCGTCGCCCCTGCCATTGCAATGCCTTAGTCTCTCGACACGTACTGACGTCGCTTCCACTCTGTANGAGCCGACGACCTTATCCCTGAGGAGTCCGAGACCGTCCTTCTCGCCCTCAAGCGTCTCCCGCCCAAGGAGGCCTACGACCGTGTCTTCCGCATGCGCCGCGCTNTTCCAGGTCCGCTACCCAAGACACAACCTCCAATGCCTACCCTTATCGCTGACACGCCCTTGCAGTGCTCCCTCGCACACCAGCTTGTCCCCAAGAACGAGCAGACCAAGCCCGAGGATGTGCGTCCCCGAAAACACTCCCCCTTCTCCTACCTTCGAATTACTTACACATACACCAGGNATATCCCATACCTGAGCCCCATCATCAAGGAGATTGAGGCCGAGAGAAGAGAGAGAATGGACCTCGACGCTATGGTCATCAAGAAATAATCGCCCTAAACCTCATCTACTCGCTGATCCCCCGAGTCGCCGCCCGTCTTCATGTACTCTATACCGTTAGAATGTCCAAAACCGCTTTTTCCTTGATTCGACAACCATATACATTCAGCCTCAGCTTCCATCTTATCCACGAGTATCATTCTCCGCGACACGTTTCTATGCGGCAATTCTTGCTGGTTGTGGTCTACGCGAACACATCATCATCATCACTGGATCTAGCATGTGTTTTGTGACCGAGGTCAGGCTGTTGTGATGCTGCAAGATCAAGCCGTAGACACCAGGTTACGATTGAACTCTGTATACCATTTTGCCTCACGCGTTTCCTTTCATGGTCTGTGCTTCTTGCATTGCTTGACCGTGACTTTCACTTCTCCTTGAACGTGATCTATCTACGAGAATTCAGTCTTTTGTCCGTGAATTACAGTCGCTTCTTGTCTCTGAATTTTAAAACTCATGTCGAACTCTTCCTTTTTAGCTTGTTGTTGGTAAACTCGCAAGACTCGCATGCGTCATTGCGTCAGTCCTAAATTCCTCCATTAGTTACCTCTTTTGACGAGCCTCATCTTCGACCATCAACTACTTTAGTCATCGACTTTCGATCATACTTGACAGCCGCTTTAAATACTGGCTTCTTTCTCCTTGTTTGCAACGAATACTTTCAAAATGTCGCTCAGACGCTCTGCTCGTGTTCAAGCCCTGCCTAGCACCACGGCCACGCTTACTTCTCAGCTCAAAGTCACTAAGCGCAAGACATCTGCCATAGATGTGAAACCATCAAAACCCATCACAAAACCATCCTTAACATCGACAAACGAGCAAGAGATCACAGAAAATGCTTCTTCCAAGCAGAGGGCTCCTCCTCGCAAACGTCAAAAGATCAATGGTGCATCGCCACCAACATCAACACTTCCAGCTGATAGTCTAAACACTACGGATGCTGCGACGACAAATGGACACACGTCGTTACTGGACTCATCTTCCAGGCCCGCAGAACCTCACCTCACAAACGCGCCGATCAAATCGCCGGACTCGGATAAAGTGGTAACAGCATACTCGACCTGGAGCAACGATATCGCCGGTGCAGCTCCCACAAGCACAACAAACACACTCCTAGACACCGCCCTAGCCCACCTCAAACTCCACGACTATACAGGCCGCCTAACTCCCTACCTTTCTAAATTCCACTGTAAGGTATTTGACGCAGAAGGCTTGGCTCAACCCATAAACCCCTTCCGCTCACTCGCTTCTGGAATCATTGCACAACAAGTCTCTGGCGCCGCTGCTAGTAGCATCAAAAATAGATTCATAAACCTTNTTGCTGCATCTCCTTCCCACTCTTACCCAGGACCACCGGAATTTCCTCCGCCGGCTTTGGTGGTGGAAATGTCTGTTTCTACTTTAAGGACGGCAGGCTTGAGTCAGAGAAAAGCTGAATACATCCAAGGACTGGCTCAACACTTTTCTGATGGAACTTTGAGTGCCGAGATGTTGGCAACGGCTTCTGACGACAAAGTCATGGAAAAACTTATTGCAGTCAGGGGATTGGGAAAGTGGAGTGTGGAAATGTTTGCCTGTTTCGATCTCAAGCGTATGGTACGTGAGCCAAAGGTACAAACACCACGACTAGTGCTTGTCTCAGCCTGCACGAGAAGTCTCTGGAATGTGTGTTGCAATGAAACGCCATCCGGGACGGTATCTCGTAGAGCTGAGTGCATTCGTTCAGCTAAGTCGTGGTGTTCTCACAACCAACGTCTGGATATCTCGCTAATTGTACCTTCGCCTTACAGGNATGTATTTTCTACAGGAGACCTAGGAGTTCAGTAAGTTGTTTCCTTTTACCAAAATCCTCATCCAAACCTTTTGAACTGGTTGTTGGACTGACTTGAACACAACACAGACNGTGGAGTGGCAGTGTATCTAGGCAAAGACGTCAACAAACTCAAAGCCAAAGGTGGAGGCAAGTGGAAATACTGTTCCGAAAAGGAAATGTTGGAAACTGCAGACAGGTTTTCACCGTATAGGAGTTTGTTCATGTGGTACATGTGGCGACTCAGTGATGTGGACATTTCGACTCTTCAAGACGATGCCAAGGTTATATCGGAAACTTGATGGAATATCTTACCACGGGGGCACAAGGCACACAAATATTATACTCCTTAGAACTCAGTTGCGATAGTTGTCAGCAAGCCGAAAAAGACACACGCGCACACATACATTGATCAAATACCATCATAAACAATCATGTTTCATGGCTTGTGGCACACAGACCTACCCGAGGAAGATTGGTCAAGACTGTGTTCGGTGATGATTGAGGCCTAGCAGTCTAAACTTTCCAAATATGCATCTTTGATTCTTTTGGTCTGTTGCTTGCGCAAGAAAGAAGCTACAGAGATCATCGAAAAGAAGAGAAATAGTATACATGTTTCGGAAAAAACAGAAGAAAAAGAACATTTCATAAAAAGGCATTGCAAATCTCCCCAAACCCATATCTATGGCATACTTTCTGTGGGAGGCATTCCTTGAGGCAGCATTCTAGAGCTTACTCTTGAACTTGTTGCTATCGTTCGTCTTGAACAAAATCTCGCTGTTCGGGTACGGGTCCACCGTGATGGCGTTCAAAGGGTTCAACTCGCTGGCACGGTAGAACATGTCTTCATACACCTTGCCATCATATCTGCCCAACGACGAATCCAACTGCCAGTCAGGGAAGTCCCACGCATCGACCAGACGCACAGCATGCGGTCTAATCTCAGCCAGCAACTTCATAACCGCATTGGTGCGCGCAAGTTGGATTTGACGCACCGTGACAGCAGCAGAAGTGTAGAACTCCGAAGCTTCGGACTCGAGCGTGTGCAAAGCGTACAAACGGAACAGTTTGTGCATCAACTCAATGGTAGGGGGATCCAGTTCGGAGTTTATGGATGACGAGTTGAGGGCTTCGTAGAAGTTCTTGACGACCATGTATTGCGAGTGTGCGCGCGACAAACGGTAAAAGTCGACGAGGAGGTCGTTCCAGGCTTTCTTGTTCTCGTCTCTGTGCTTGAGGGCTTCGAAGGTGAGGAAGGAGGATCGCCAGGCAAAGGCTGCTACGAGGTCTTCGTCCTTGTCCATGATGTTGAAGGCGGCGCCGGTCTCGGACTTGGCGAGGAAGTTGGCTAGGATGGCGGTGGTGTCGTTTGTGGGCTCGTTGCCCTTGAGCACGCTGCGGGCTGACTTGAGCAGGTAACGAGCTACTTGTTGGGTCAACATGTAGTTGTCACCCTCCCAGGTGGCAGTGGGCAGGTAGTCGGCATACCAAGGGCCGATACCTGAGAAGTTGCTGTAACCGTGGCCACCGCAAGCACGGCGACACACCTCGAGACCGTCGACGGCAGTGGATGACGCCAACGACTTGAGACCACAGGAGGTGGCGTGAAGATCGGCAAGCAAATCACTGCCAGGAGTGGTTTCTTCAGGACCAGCACCACGCTTTGCGCCTTCGGCCTTGCCTGCACCTTGGCTCATCTTCTTCTGGTTGGCCTCGTAGAGCTGCATCATACCGCGACCAGTAAAGTGCAAAGCGTAACAAGTAGCCAACAGAGTCAAAAGTCTGATCTGCACAGTTGTGTAGTTGAGAACCTGGTTCTCGTCCGACTTGGGATCTTGAGCGTCACGGTCCTGGAACTGGCGACGTACAGCAGCATAGCGGGTAGCAATGGTGACACCACGAGCCAAGACGCTGCCAGATTGCAGGACAATGGTGCTACGGACCCAGGTGAGGGTTCCGTAGATGAGCGAAGGAGAAGCAGGACGCAGGTACTTGCTGGTGTTGGGGTCAACGCTGGAGAAGCGGCCAAGCATGCTAATGTGCGGGACCTTGACCTTGTTGAACAGCAAGAAACCGTTATCCATGGTGTTGTAACCAAACTTGGGACCAATGTCACCGATGTGGATGTTCTCGAGCGGCTGGTGTGTCTTGAGATCACGGATCTGGACGACGAAGGGATGGGGGCCGTAGGGCTTGTTGTTGACGATCAGCTGGGCCATAACGACTGCGTGATTGGCAGTGCGGCCAAGCGAACCGATCCACCACTTGCTGGCAGTAAGGGTGGGCGAGTTGATGATGAAGGTCTTGTCCTCGGCGTTCCATGTTGCCGTTGTCTCGAGTCCTCGTACGTTTGAACCGTGGCCGAGCTCTGTCTGGGCGTAACAACCAATGTATTCGTAGTTTCTTGCTGGCTTGAGGAACTTCTCGTGCTGTTCGGGCGTGCCTTGGTCACGGAGGGTGATCTGTGTCGTCGGTTAGCGGCTGGCTGAGGCCTCTATCGTCAAACTGCAACCCACCAAGAACATGCTCTCGTGTAGGCCGTACGGGCCAGGCTCACTGATGAGCTCATTGGCAACCTGCTTGTCCTGGTCGGTCCAGTTGTGCTTAACCTGCAGCTGTCGGAGTCTCTTTGCTCTTGCCAACGCCGTCTCGAAGCGATCAATGCGACCGGCAAAGTAGTTCTGTGACTTGTCAAAGACCTTCTCCTGCTGGAGGATCTTCAGAATCTTGTGCTTGCGAGCCAATCCCTCCTGAGTGAACAAGAAGGTTGACAATGCCTGGACGTTGACGTTGGACTTTGCTCGCTCTTGCGTCAAGAGCTCAGTGCCCTGGGGGCCCGCAGGCTTGAGGTCCTTGACCCATGAAGGAGTGGGCGACATGATGTGTAGTATGAAAGTTTTGGGAGTGTGAGGAAACAAAGATGATGATCACTGCATTGTACTTATCACTGCGCCATCGGTTGTAAGAGACACGGTCCCTGTCCCCCTGCCTCGGTGCCGAGGTTACCGTACATTTCCTGGGGCAACATCCGACTACAGAACGCTGACGTATTTGACAGCCACAATCCCAAGTCGGACCTCGCCTTTCGTACCAGACTGTAACATGCCGATAGAGGAGCATAATACTGCTGAAGGCCACATGCACTGCGCAAGAGTAAAGAATGGTCTACTGAATTCTCTCTGCCACGCAGTTCTCATTCCAAACTCACATGCGTTCTGAAGCACAGACTTCAGCGTTCGCTATCTAGTCTTGGCGGCCCCATATTTTCCATCTTTGTGGAGATGTCATTTCTGGGGCAGACCGTCCTCTCCGTCCTCGCACCGCTCGCTCATTTTGCTTGTGAAAACGGCTTTCTCGTCTAAGCAGCACATGAAGACGGTTTGAAGACATAGAACCGATGGTCCATGTGAGCCACATGATCTGGCCACTTTCGCTGTTACGCGTTTCCTCTTCCAAATGTTGGTTCGAGTTCAAGCCTCTTGTCCATGCACTCGATACCTCTCAACAACCTGGGCGACCATAGCGCCAATAGTTTTCGCTGCAGGAAACTTATCACCCAAAACTTCAAACAGTTCCATTGCGAGCTGCAGATCTTCGACCGCATGCAAGCGTTCTAATGACTCTGCAAGTCTTTCTGGCTGTACAGTCACAGAATACACCAAAGCAATGACTGCATTGTAGAGCATGAGTAGATTCAACCAGTTGAATGCCAATCGCCTTTGCAAACGCATACTGTTTGCGTGGCGTAGTGCGCATGCAGCAGCTTCTGCGAGAGTGTTGACGTGAGCGATAGGAAGGGTCGGAAAGAGAGGCGAAGGTCGATAAAGCGTTGTCATGTGGACGTAGAAATTCAGGTCAAACCAAGTGGTGCAGCCATGAGGGACATTGGCGTGCAGGTGTGGCAGTGGAAACGGAACACTTCGCCGCCAATTCACCAAGTCTTGATGTAGATCAGACAAGACTTGTTCGCGTTGAGCAGCAGAATAGCCAGCGACTACACGTTTGCAGTATACCTTTGTGGCGATGTCATTGGCAGTCTTTCGTAGACGGAGGATGTGCTCGGTAACTGCCATTGAAGATTTGCAGAGGTTGCTTTGTGGAACAGCGAGATTGTTGTCTAGTTCCTCGCATGTCTCGATAGTGAACGATGAGATATCGATATCGTCTTCGTGGATAGCAAATGGTCTGCCTAGCGTGATGGAAACGAGCCGATCCATCATATAGATTGAGAGAAACAGTCGTTTGCGTCTAATGGCCTGAATTGTGGATAAGGATGAATAAGTCGAGTCGCAATGAAGACCCATGCCTAGGGCTAAACGTGCGGCAGTGNNCCAACAAGAAACCATGTATCTAGAAGAGTAGCCAGTCAGCGATGATGGTATGATACAAATGAGCTAGCTAGTGTGAGCAGTCGTACTTGGACCTAGTTGGTTGAAGAAGGAGAACGACACTTGTAACATGATAGCCTCAAGTGCAACCNNTTACACGTATCAGTATATGCATGCTAGTCAGCGTTTCTCACAAGCAGAACTCACAACATCACCATAGTCCATCGATGCATCGAAGTATGTCATGGCCTTCTCATAATACAATCTGGACACAAATTCCTCGGCTAGTGTGATTGAAGAGTATGTAGTTGAGCCAATGGCCAATACCATCCATATCCGAAACATGCATGGTGGAGACAGCGTTAGGTAGTGCTCAGGATCAAGCAAGATTGAATGTATATCAGTCATGACCTCTTGTTGATGTACTATGGGATAAAGAGTGTGAGAGTGGTCAAAGTAGAATTTTGCCAGATGTAGCACCTCAGCCCGGTCCGGAAGTTGTGTTGTTTCATTCTGTATTGTAGTATCAATCATGGGTAACGATGTTTCTCCTGCCAGCAGAGAAAAGTCGATGGCTTGGTCGAAATCAAAGTAGACACTGTTTAGAAGTTCCAGATGCAGATTTGTGGCTCCTTCTAGCGGTACCACGTTGCCATCCACGCGTGGGCTGAAGACAAAGTCTCGACCGTCTGGTGAGAGCCTTCGAAGTACTGCTTGGGTTAATTTTGCGAATGTCAGCCCAGACATGGTACCCAAGTAGGGCTCTGCTACTGCTGCGAGAGAAACGTCTCTCAGATTCTGTTCCAGAGTCTCTTGAGCACGAGGAGTGGGTCCATGGTTCGCATTGATCATAGGCGACTGCTCTGTATGTATCACAGCATGATTATCGTTATCTGATATGTGCTGATCCAGGAAGATTAGGCTAGTGTCTTCCACTGCTACTTCATTCGCATTTTCATGAAGATTTGAAGCCGTGCTCAATCCAAGCTGGGTTGCTCCTTCTACTTGAGGTTGAAGCGTGTCGTGTGATGGTAAGTAAGCTTGCTGTTGCTCTAATTCGCGCACACGCTCTTCGAGACTTCGAACAAACCTGTTCACCGTCAACGCTGACTCTCAAACTCGATGATATNNGTCGTAGTTGAAACTCACGCAACTGGGTATGTCGCACTCTCATGGTCTTCCTCCGCGAAACTGCACGAGTGGTGCACGGACGCACAGTTCCCACACTGTGGCAGAACGCGATCACACCTCTTCTTTNCGCCGATGACACCGTGAGCAAGACACTTTGGCACGCGCCGACACCGAGATGCGAGGTGCACAAGGCATTTTGAAGATGGGCTTGTTCAATCACAGCTGGAAGTGTTGATACGCTACGAGAATATATTGTTGTGTAGCCCCGCCTCAATAGAGTACTCAGGTACGCCCAGAGCCGTGGCCCAGAGCTTACCTTATCTATACAGCCCCCACCTGATAGGCGAGCGACTCGAGATAATAGCTGACTAAGTTACACTGACTTGATGTTTTCCTTGTAATGCTCCTTCGTCCGCTCATATGCCGCCTGTAGACACTCCTCCATGGTTTCCTTATCGCGTGGAATGAGTCTAACCTTGAAGTCACGCGGGATTGCAACCAAAGCAGTCTTGAACTGGTTGTAATCCACATAATCTGTGTTGGGAGGCTCGGACTCGGACGCAACGATCTTGTACGAAGACAAGATGCGAATGAGAGCCGAATACAGTAAACGTGTGGCAATCAATTGGCCACTGCAAGCTCGAGTGCCAGCACCGAAAGAAAGATGGGCTTGTGATGTCAAAACACGTTCTTCGAAAGGACCCATGTCGTTTTCTTTTGTGATGGGCTCAAGCCAGCGTTCTGGATTAAATACTGCTGCATCAGGCCCAAAGTGGTCGACATCGTGATTGCCAGCCTGTGCGTTTACGAGGATCATGGTCTTTGGAGGGATAATGGCTCCATTCCAGTTGACCTCTGTTACTGTACGGCGGGGCAGACTCATGGAGCTTACAGTATAATAACGACCTGCTTCCTGGATAATTGCCTTCAGGTAAGGAACCTTTTCTTCTTGGAAACTGTTTTGCCATGCATCGCGAATGTCCGGATAGTGGCGCTTTATGTCGGCGTAGGCGCGCTCCTGGAAGATTTGTCCTTCTGGTGTGCAGAGTGATCCAAGACATGAAGTCAAGGTTCCGGGTATGGTTTCGAAACCTCCACTGACTAACGACAGACAGATTGACGACACTTCGACTCCAGTAAGTTTGGTCTCCTCGTCTTTCAGAATCGCGGCACTGATGCATGGCTTATCGGTGCCATTCTTGATCATCTCGCGTACTTTGTCCAGCAAGAGGTTGAGGTAAGCATCGCGACGAGATCGCAAATCTTGAGAGCGGGCATTCTTCTCGTTGTTTGGCAAGTAACGAAGTGCTGGGACATAGTCTTGCATATTCTCTGATGCACTGCGTAAAAGGGATATCGCAGATCCAACGTGTAAAATCTCACGCAGAAGCTCATCATATGTGTCGTCCATACGTATTCCGTAGCACAGAGTCAGAGTCGTGTTGAGAGCATATCGCTGGATGTAAGGTCTGATGCTGATCTCCTTGTTAGGGTCGGAGAAATTGCTGTCCTTGTGCATGTCGCGTATGATGCAGAAGCTCTCCAAATCGAACATTGGGTGATAGTTGCGCATTGCTGGTCTTGACAGAGCGGTTCCAGCTGCCTTACGTTTGTTCTTGCAGCTCGAATCCCAAGGACTGCTACCAATCGTGAAGCCTTGAGTACTGCTGATGACTCCATGGAATGTGTAAAGCTTAGGACGGTCTATCACGGCATTGTGATGCTTGACCAAGATGTCACGGCAGGCATCAAACGAGTTGAAAACCACAGCTCGAGTGTTTCCCAGCTTGATTTGGAAAACAGGCTGGTTGTACTTGCGCCACCACTTTTCGCAGGAAGAGGCGTGATCTTCTCCGAGTTTTAAGAGGTGACCAAAGACAGGAAGCGCGCCTGGGATTTCAGGTATACCCTTGATGTGCTTGATGTCCGTGCCATATGCCCACTGCGATGATGTCAATTGCAGCCATGATTGGTATGTGTTACGGCCACTTACTGATACCAATAATATCATCAGGCAGATAGAAGCCACTCCAGCGATGTAAACCGAATTCGTATGGAGGACGTCCAGGAAACTTTCAAGCGACGCCATGGTGATAAATCACGAGAGTCACTGTTTGAGCTATAGAGAGCGAAGATATCTTCCAATATATGGTAGAATGTCAGACAGGAGAGCGTTCCGGTTTGGCTCACCTCTGGAGCTCACGGCTGACACAGCTCGACGGAGTGTCCGATGCGACAGCACACAAGCTACAATGCTAGAGAAGCGTATCTTACTGGCCGAGATCGAGTTGTACAGACCCCTATTGTCAGCCGATATGGTATCTCGTAGCGGCCAGCTTATCTTTGTTCAGTCGGACATGCCGACGCCGTAATTGAAGACGATGAAAGGTGTTAATTGCATATCACTTACTCCCAGACTGCGAAAATGGCATGATTCAACTCAAGCTTCCTTTCGTGTCGATTCTTGGTGCCTTCAACATCTCTGCTTGTTGATATCCATATCCAAAAACATGACAGGGTCACCCAATGGACAGGCCTTCTTACTAAATTCGGACGCCCCAGAAGGACCTACTCGATTTCCTCAAGCACGATCAGTACCAAGCAACAGTCGCACAACCTATGTCTCTGGTATTGCAAGCTTGCTTCCTGACGGCACAGTTGCCGGCGCCGAGGAAGGTCAGATACCTGATGTTCGAAAGCAGACCGAGACCATCCTCGGCACAATCGACAACATCATCCGAGGAGCATCTGACGGAAACGGCAGCATCCACAATCTGATAGATGCCGTGGTTTACTTGACAGAGATGGAAAGAGATTATGCAGGCATGCACGAGGAGTGGAACAAGGTCTTCAAGAGTCAGATGGTAGCGCCTGCTCGAGCGACCATCGGCGTCAAGAATTTGCCAGACCCACGATTTGTGGTGGAAGTTAAGGGTGTGGCGATAGTGCCTGGATGATTAGCCAATAAATCACTAAGATGGCCGTCTTTCAAGTTTATGGTTCAGTTGCTGCAGTTTTGGTCAAGAATGGCGGCAGCAGGAAGGAGAGAATTGCCAAGTTCAAGCCTGCTTAGTCAGCAAAATTGATATCGACGTTACACTCCCACATGCGTCTTCTTTCCCATCATATGCTATACGACAGTTGAGGGACACTAAGCGCACAAAGCGAAAGCCAATGGCCATATGCTCAAATACTGCTTGTCCAATCTTGTGGAAGCCTTCACGCGCGATATGCTATTTGGACTGGCTTTGGTAGATAAATTCCAGCCAAAATCATGCAACCAGAAACGCCTGTCATCAAAGTTCGTCAAGTCTACGGACCATTTGAGCTATGCCACCAGACTCATCTACTCAAAAATCTTGTTGAGCACCCGTCCAACTCTATCTGACTCTCGTGGAACAAATGTAGCCTCGTATGCGTCAATCTCCTCCCTCAAACCACCAAGGCTCAGATCAGCAGTACCAGGCCGGACATAGGTGCTCTTGAAAACCACCTTCCAGAAAATGAATGCTGCAATAAAGAATCCTATCATTGCATAATCCAAGAAGAACCACATCACACTCCAACGGCCTTTGAGGAAGACATCGTAGCCTCCTGCGAGAAGCATGAAAAGAGTACCTCCCATGGCAATATAGGATGTGTAGGGCTGGAATTTGCCCTTGTATGGAAGTGTGTCTCTTGAGACGCCTTGTTTCTTCAGCGATGCATAGAAGTGTCGGTATGTCAGTGCCGTGAATCCATAGTTGAGCATCTGACAGCAGGTGATGAGGTCCACGAGATAGGTCAAGACGACTGCCGAAGAACTCTTGACTTGTAAGAAAGCAAGAAGGCAGAAGCATAACGAAAAACATAAAGCCCAGAGGGGGACGCCCTTCTTGGTACAGCGAGAGAAGATCTTCGGAGCATGACCTTCAAGCGCCATTCCATGAAGCGTACGAGCAGCTGAGTACAGGAGGCCGTTACCTGCGCTCAGGATAGATGTCATAATCAGAGCATTGACCAGACTAGGTAGGCCAGAGATCTTGAGTCTTTGCATTGCAATGACATAGGGGCTGNNGACTCGTGATCAACAAACTTCTTTAGATCCAAGAAAGGGGCTGACTTACGATGCAGCGCCAGTGCCACTTCCTCCGATGTCACCGCCAAGTATCCGCAGGAGCGTTGGATCGTTGTAAGGTATGACGATCCCCATGCACAAAGCAGAACCTACGAANAATACAAGCAATCGCCAGACGAACGATCTGAACGCAGGCGGCAAGACTTTACGTGGATTCTCGGTCTCTGCTGCGACTATCGAGATATACTCTGGTCCAGTGATCNNCTGACACCTGTTAGCTAGCGGTCACAATGTGTGCGACACTTGTGTGTATACTTACGAGAAACTCGCCTGGTACAAGCAAGAAAGTACGCCCAAGAACTTTCCTGTTCCGCCAGGCTCCAGATGCTCAACAAAACTTCCAGGATCCTTCCAGTACCGAAAGCCGTAAGCATCATGCAGAGGATTGCCTCCGACCATGGTGATGAAGGTGAAGAAGAAGAGTCCGATCACAAGCAGTACTTTGAAGATGGACATGTAGAACTCCGAGATGCCGAAGTACCGCACAGTGATCGTGTTCAGGAAGGCATAGAGAACGATCATCGCCACTATGACAGCCTCGACAGGCACTTTGTCGGTCCAGAATGTTATCAGGATATTCATGGCTACAATTTCGAATGGCACCAGGATCGCCATGTTCAGGTAGAAGTTGCACGACATCGCAAAGCCGAGAGCGTCATCTACCCATGCGCTACCGAAACGGATGAAGGGCGATGGTACTGGGAGGTAGGACACCATCTCAGCGAAGCATTCGTTGACAGCCCACATCACGCCTGCCCAGATGACAAACGCGATGAAGAGGCCTGCAGGACCGCCCTTCGGGAGAGCGGACCCCATCTGTACGTATAGAGCNTTAGGGTGTAGTCAGTCATATTGCAAATATGATGGGGTTGTTTCAGTCAATTGCAACATACAGGTACCAATTGCTCCACCAATTGCGAACAGTTGGACTTCTTTGCCTCGAAGACTCCGGTGCAGCGATTGAGAATTGGGAGCAATCTCTGTGACTGAACCTTGGCTGACATCTTCGTCCTTCTTTGTGACTGGATAAGTTTCCAGAGCCGGCCCTTGCTTGAGCTCGTCCATCGTCGTGTGAGTGTATGTTTTCAAGACCAGTGTGGACTTGCTGGATCAAAGAGTTTGAGAGGTCATGCAATGCATAAGATAGTACAGGCGGAGTCCACACGATAGATATCTGCGAGCATCACTCGTGAGGTCTGATAACCATCTTGGCTTGCTTGATAACGGCAGAATTCAGTGTATACAGGAATTGTGGTAGTAACAAGGCTGATGATTATCATCAAGATAGAGGTACGTATACTGATAGAGGTTGAGGAGATTCTGTGTAGCTGGGCGTCGGACTGTCCGATGCTTCGTGCGACCATTCTTGGGGAAGATAAACCTGGTCTTGCTTCAAAGGGAAGCGCTTATCTCGCATGAAATTCGAGCGTCTAATGTCGTACCGCTAAGCCCCAAGGTTGCAAAAGGTTATCGCTCCTTTCTTCTTCTGTTCGACACAGCTGGTAAGTCTCTGTCCTTGGCAATGTTTCTATGTTTACTTGTTGACACTTACAGTACAGTCGTGTCTCACCATGTCAGCACTCAGCATTGAGAACCTGTTCGGTGTAAAAGGCTATGTGGCCTTAGTCACTGGAGGAAGCAGCGGATTAGGCTTCATGATATGTAAGGTAAGACTCTAACCAGAAGACATCTTTTCTCCGCATTTTCAATCATGCTGTGGATCACTAACAGCTAATCATAGGNGACTAGTCGCCAATGGTGCCAAGGTCTATGTCGTTGCTTTGCCATCAGAACCAATCGAGGAAAAGGTAGCGGAGCTAAATCAAATTGGACTCTACACAGGTGGCTCGGCGTATGNNGGTAAGTAGACATTCAGCTATCGCTCTGTGACACAATTGGAAACCTGACACACTTTGATCAGGTTAGCCTGCGATGTCAGCAACAAGGAATCTATTGCAGAGCTAGCGGAAGCAATCAAAAGTCGAGAGACGCATCTCGATGTGCTGATATCCAATGCTGGCATCAGACGAGATCCTCCGATCCCTTGCGATGTCCTTACAGCGTCATTGTCTGATTTGCAGGCATCAATGTGGTCGTCGCGACATTCGGATTGGTCAGACACATTCTCTGTGAACACGACCGCTCACTACTTCTTGTCTGTGGCATTACTTCCACTTCTGGCCGCAGCTTCACAGGTTGATTTGGGCGATGGACTTCGGGGCAGAGACGTAGGCCGTGGTGCTGTTGTAATGACGAGTTCATGCGCCAGTATGCATAATGCGACGAATGTGGATTTGACAAGCTATGCCACAAGCAAAGCTGCGACGGATCATCTCGTCAAGCTCCTGGCGGCCAAATTCAGTCGATTTTACGTTCGAGTGGTCGGCATCAACCCTGGATGTGAGCAGTATTATCGTTTCATATTGCACGAGACTGACTCATTCGACANNGTCGTTCCAAGCAACATGAACCCGGTTGGAGAGGCTGGAAATATGTTCAGCTCTCTCTTCGATCGCGTTCCGGCGAAGCGCGCTGGAAATGAGGGAGACATCGCTGGAGCTGTTATATATCTTATCAGTCGAGCCGGTGTAAGTCTTGAGATCAAGCTGCGACCAGCTATCCATTCCTCCATGCCAGCCCACCTGACTGACTATTTCACAGNNGCCTATGTCGATGGCGTCTCTGTTTGTATCGATGGAGGCCGTGTGCTGGTCGCCAATGGGCAAGAGTGACGATGCTCTAACCATAACATTCCTGTAAAGACGAAATTGGATTCGCTCTTTTCCTATTCATGTTTTCTTGCACGATTGTTCAGTTGTCTAGCAGGAAGCACCCTCGAGTTGTTTCTTTCCTCGGCTCGTCACGCGTGCGCGTCGGCCCTGCCGATCACAACAACACCTCTCTTCTCTCCTTTCGTATAATCACAACAACCATCCCTCAAAACATGCGTGTGATTGTTCGACAAAGATCTAAGTACTCTGAGTCGCCAGACAATGATCCTCGAGGCAGTGTGAAACCCTCAATCCCATGGCCACAATGGGCGGAACCGCTTTTTTTTTGTCGGACTCTCCGACTTTCGTATCAGTCGGAACCATGCCTCTGTGGGGTAAAAGCATCCCCTCCGAACAGAGCTATCCGAAGTATGATAGTGGAATTGGTAAGGTAAAGAAACAGGAAAAGACACTTGGCCACTCAATTTGCCAAACGCCTGTCTATTAGGACTGTCATATCGACACATGTCTTGACCGATAGCTTTGATTGACCGACAACCATATTGCGAAATGCTGACCCTACTTGTCTTCTTCGTTGTTATTGTGGCAGCGGTATACTATAATATTGTCGAGCCTCTATTCCTCGACCCCAAGAGCAAAATACCCGGACCGAAGCTATTCGCCTTTACCAAATGGCGTTTGGCTCTAGAAGATTTTAGAGGCAGTAGGACGAGGGCCATCCATGCGCTACACGAAAGATATGGTCCTATCATTCGTATCGGTCCTAACGAGATTCATTGCAACAGCCTGAATGCTCTTCGCACAATCTACGGCGCGGGAAGCGGTTTTGAGAGAACATGGTTTTATCGCATGTTTGACGCATACGGAAAACAGAACCTCTTCACCTTTGAATCTGGCAAGGACCACGGTGAACGCAAGAAGCTGGTCGCCAACGCGTACTCGAAATCTTTAATGCTCACAGGACCGGCTGCTCGTATGGTACAGGAAAAGGTTACTCAATACCTGGCACTACTCAAGGCGCAAGGAGAACAGCCACAGGAGATCTTTAGCAGTCTGCACTATTTCTCCCTGGATGCAATCACTCATTTCCTCTATGGCCCGTCTCATGGTGGCACTTCTGCGTTGAAAGGTAACGCCCAACACCGTGCTTTGCTCAATGATATCGTTGATCCGACTCGCCGCTATCTCAGTTGGTTCGCTGTACATCAGCCTGCATTGACCAAATGGATGTATACGCGTGAAGGTCTGCTGGAGCAACTACTCAGACCAATACTGCCCATGCAGAAGCCGACCACTTATACTGGAATTCGCAAGCACGCGCTCGAAGCTTTCCATCGCTTCAAAGACGCGGCAGAGACGAAGTCGGACATTCTGGCCTCGGAATCGAGTATTATATCGCGATTGTGGACATCGCATGAGAGCGTGAAGGGGTCTGGACCTCGATCTCTGGACTCTCTCGATATTGCATCCGAGTGTGCAGATCATTTACTTGCTGGAATCGACACAACAGCAGACACCCTCATGTTCCTGATCTGGGCATTGTCACAACCGCAAAACTCGCATATACAGAAGCAACTAGTCGAGGAAGTGCGCTCACTATCCGACGATGCCTTCGAAGATGGAGTGCCCAAACTCGACGCCATTGACAAGCTGCCATATCTGGATGCGGTGATCAAAGAGACTTTGCGCCTTTATGCCCCATTGCCAGCTTCAGAGCCTCGCTCGCTGCCCACCGACTGCGTTATCGATGGCTATAGAATTCCTGCACGCACTATCGTCAATATGTCACCATACTCTTTGCATCGCAACGCTGATGTCTTTGAATCGCCACTAACTTTCGATCCTGAGCGATGGCTTGGACCAACGGACAAAGTAAATCTCATGAACAGGTGGTTCTGGGCTTTCTCGAGCGGTGGCAGGATGTGTATAGGACTCCAGTAAGTCAATTCTCTGTCTCCCCCTTGAGCGTATAAACCCACAAGTCACATGCCGCAAGCAAAAGGCCTACGCACATACACTGACAATACTACCACAAAACAGCNNTTAGCCATGGCAGAGATGACGGCTTTGACAGTAGGCATCTATCGCGAGTACACCACCTCCATTGCTCCAGGCTTTGAAAACAAGACTCCAGGCATCACTTCTCGTTTCGAAGTCTTCTACGACGAGACCTTTCGAGAAGTAGCAGTAAGTCGAACTTTTTTTGCGCTTGAGACAGTAGGAAAAGCTGACTGTCAATCGCATAAAGNNGAACACACATGCATGGTCAAATTCACAAAGGCAGCATCGTGAAGCATCGGATCTTGAGCGGTTGTCGAGTGAGCGAGTTCTGTTGAGATCTCTGGACTTGTCAATTTCACGAATGGCAAAATAGAAGAGAAAGAAAAATGCCATAATATTTGTACAAGTTTCAAAAGAAGCCGAAAAGAGCAAAGATCAAGTCCTTGCTTCAAAGAGAAAACATCCTCAATCGGACAAACTCAAACAATCCACCGCAGCTTGTATCTGATCCCTCATTCCTCCCAACGCCTCAAACGCAATAGAATAATTATCCAACGCCTGCAACACACGCCTTAATCCTTCTTCACACCTACCCAATAATTGCCCAGCCTTACTCTGCGCCTCCATATCTTGATTCTGCTGTGCGAGCACCCACGTACGGTGATACACCATGAGCAACGCATAAGCCGACTGCATAGCACAACAAGCAAAACTCGGCATCGTACGCGGCGCCAAGCCCTCCCCCAGTGGCCCCGGCAAAGGCATACTTTCAAACGCAGACGCAATCGCCAAAGCAGAGTTCAAACACAACCTCGAAGAAAAATGATTGCTGAAAGGGAAAGGGTGCATGTAATCCGCACTCGACGACGACGCCGAAGAAGTAGAGTTGGGAGGAGAGACGGAATTTGTAAGGCCGGGCACTTGTGTGGGTAGGGATGTGGAAGAGCAACCGCAAGATCCTGGTGATGAGTCCAAGGACATTTGGTCTAAAGGATCGGCGCTAGTGGAGAGTGGTGGCAAGGGTTCGGATTTNTTGAGGTCGCAGTGTTTTTCTGAAAANACTGGAAAATCGAAGAAAGCGCAGTAGCGGTGGAGTTTAATCCTTGCACTGTTGATGGCGTTGTTTAGCATGGTGGTCTATATCTGCATGACTCCTTTGTTGTCTTACCTGTTCAACTTGATCTTGGACATTTGCTTTAATGAGTATGCAACAATGGCTTCAGGATCATGGGTATCCGGTTTGGTGTCTGCCCAGTTATGCGATTGGGCGATCAGAGGTTCGATTGTGTTGTGCAGTTCTTGCATACGGTTGGAGATGTCTGTCCAGTCTTCTCGACCGTCGACGGCGCGACCAACTGCAGAAACAAACTGTGTTGCCAGGAGGATGGTCTGTTGCGACTTGATGAAGAAGGGCCATGCTTCTGGATCCGGTGATTGCGGGAATGTGGTTGTGAAGCGAGGGTCAAACAGCGGTATTGCCGGTGGCGCAGAGCTGACGATGGAAGCCTGACAAGCACAGATGTAGCTCATCCACCATATCCTACTCCTCGCTTCGGCAAAAGCATCAAGCTCAGTACCACGATCATGCAACGAAAGATTCATAGCCATCATGAGTGCCTGACCAGCCCGATCTCTCATCTTCGTAATATTGCCACGCTGAGCATACTCATACACACTCAATATACTCAGCGCAACTACACTCTCCGCCTCAATCGGCATCCTTGGATGGAAAGCAGGCCGTGAGAAATATACCTTCTCATCCAAGAGCGCCTGCGCTGGTGAGGTCGAAGAATTGGGTATCTCAGAATCGCTCTCTATGCTCTCTAACGTGCGTTTGGCAAACGAGTGAGCGGCCTCTCTGCGGGCTTTGATGCTTTCTTCCTCGAAAGGTGCGTATTCCTCTGGATGAGGGATCAAAGCCAAGATTGCCGAAATTGCGAGAGCAGCTGGCGACAGAGATTCAAACACTGATTCTGAAGATCCTGGAAACCAGAGTTGCGGGTTGTCCAGCGGTTGAGAAGATTTTGATGGTGGAAGAATTGGAAAGTAGGGATGCAACCATATATAGTAAGCATCCAGTNNCTAGACAATAATGTATAAGCTTGAGGTTCGAGTGTCCAGAGAAAACAGAACTTACATGTCACTATCTGATCCATATCTCCGCACTGAGCCAGTTTGTCGGGGTATAGTATTGTCCAATTCGATGGTCTGAGGTATAGGCGCTGCTGTGAATATGCTGTCAAACAGCGTATCCGTATTGTCAAGATTTAGATCAAGTTGTGTCAATCCAGCGCCAGGCTTCACCATCGTCGGCACAGACTCATCAAANACCTGAGGATGTTGTCAGTCGAATGTCAGTAAGATACCGCCAGATAACTTACACTCCTGTGCAATCTTGACGAAATCAGCTTTCTCGTGCTCTTGCTTCTTGCTGCGCGGCACGCGAGCACCGCCTCGTCGACTCTGAACATATACGCATTCCTTGCCTCTGTGATTGCACTACGCAAAAGTTAGATATCGCGGAGTCTATTGGGGCAGAGACAAGGATATAGCACTTACGCCCGAACATGGCTCTTTCCCATCACAGCGGATACGAGAGGAGCGACTNTAGAAATGGATCATCAGCAAGCGATATCACACCAATACCAAATGGCTTCATACACACCATGATAGACATGCTACCTTGACCGGAGGCACGGCAAACGGCTTTTTCCGAATGCCAGTGGTGCTCTTTTGACGCGTTTGTGTTTCCGTACTCATAATATCCGACTAGGCGCAAAGTGTGACGTGTGTGTCGTTGAAATATTGTAAATGTGCAAAGATGGTAAAAGCAGTAAATCACAGGAGGCAGAATACGGATGGTAGTGGCAATCAAATTCAGTTCATTGGACGGTTTCGAGAAAGGGAACCTGAGGGTTTCTAACTTTCTCGGCCGTTTAGCCAGGGTCTGGGCTATGTTCGCAAATCGCAAGAAAGACTGACTCATGTCACGTGGTGGTCTGATATATTCGTGTCACAATCGACATTTTGGAGCGATGATGTTGTTGAGAAAGAATTGGATATCTGTAAGAATTATCTACAGAAGCTAGAATCTCAAGCAAGAGAACAGAAAATAGACAGCAGTAAGAACGGATTTTTGTAGCCCCTCAATTCATAACCCTTCATAAAAATATGCTCAGAAGAAATGCACAGCAATTCTCTAGCGCCAAGAAATAGTATTTTGTGCAAAAACAGACATTATGCAAATCCGATAGTCGTTGTATGTGTTGGAGGTGAATGGAAAAGTATAATCAGACTGCTAATGCCCTCGCACCAGGCGGCAGTTGGGGAAGTGGAAGTGATGGAGGCGGTGCTGGTGGTGCTAGACCAACGATAGGCATGCCTAGATCAAGTGGTGGTAGAGGTGATGAAGATGGCTTCTCAACCATCGGGACTCTCGGCAAATTACTCGCGTCTCGGAGACATGGTACAGATCCAGCCTTTGAGAGCTGAGGGCGGTTTCCAGCCGTCTTGGGGCGGATTGAAGAGAGGAATGGAGCGTGGTTGGGGCGAATTTGAATACTAGCTGGTCGGCGAAGAGGACGATCTTGAGATCTTTTCATCTCGTCGGCTGGTGATGGTGGAAGTGTCATGGGAGGGGGAAGGCGGAAGTGTTTTGGCAGGAGGAGCGACAGATGTCGGGTTAGCNNCAAAACATCAGCACTAGGAAAGAGCGACAGCTTGACTGAAGATGTGCGCTGAGGCTTGCGGGAGAAATTCTCGACCGGTCTTGAATGCATTGTTGGTAGCGCTGGTAATGCTCTCGTAGGTGGGGGAGCTGGCTTCTGTGGCGATTGTGAAGACCTTTGTCTAGGTAGAGACATGCTGTCAGAGTAAGGGTTGACCTTCAGTGGTAAACGCTTCATTGGTGGTGAAGGCGTTTGCTGGTTCGTGAGTTGTGCGGATCCTTCAGAGGGTTTGCGTGCTGGCCAAAGTAGAGATAAGTCCGCAACAAAAGAGTCCGGACGAGGTCTGCCGATTATAGCACTGGGGTTTGGTCTCTGGAGTTGACCGGTCGTCACTGATCTCGGGAGGACGGGGCTGTCGGTGTTGAATTGATCATGCAAACTTCCTACCGAGGACTTTTGCGAAGTATTTCTGTCACGAATCATGCGCTTTCCTGCACTCATGCCAAAACTGACAGCCGAGTCGTGAGTAGTGACGGAGAGAGGGGAGTCATTCGTGTCAAAGGAAGCCATCTTCCTGAGTCTTTCGACGTTGTCGCGATCTGGTAGAGACTTTCGCGAGAGGGCCGCATTCGAGTTCCTCCTTGTGTATGAGTGCAATTCAGCCACTTCAGGCTGAGTGGCTATTGTGGCTGCAGCACTCGAATCGCGTCTCGGTCTAGTGGTGGTCCCTATCTCAGGACTGCTAGTAGGGAACGAGAAGTTCGTGAAAGATGGCTGGTCTTGTTGGTTGGTAGATGTGCGTTGTTTGACACGTAGCTTGGGGGCAATGGTGCTTAGCTTCTCAACACCTTCCGGCTTAAGTCCATCGCCCATAACAGCACCTAGAAGCTGTATCTGCTTTCTGACTGCGTTCATCCAGGAAGTAAGCTCCTCGGCTGTATCCAGAATGATCAGTATACTGTGGTCGCCCACACGCGGGAGATTGTCTTTTAGTCCAATCTTCATAAGGAGTGATGTCTGAGAAGGGGCCATATGGGGATCTGAAGTAGCAGTTGACTTCTGATCAACCTGTAGAACATATGGTCTTCCGGGAACCAGATCACAAGCGAAAGCGACAGACTCCGGACCTAGTTGTAGAGCCCTTTCTGGCAGTCTTTCACCACCGCCCTTTTCAGGATACTGAAGGATCATAGCATCGTTGGAAAGTGCGAAGATCTTTCTCTGGTAAGGTCCTTGACTGAGCGAGTTCCTTCCGCTTCCACTTCTACTTTGTGCTTTGTATTCGCCTTTGATACTCTCGACACTGCCTCTTCTCTCTTCGTGGATGTGTGCCGGTATGATGTGCGATGCGTTCGATTTGCGAGGCCTGCTAAGGCGAGACTGACCAGATTCATCAATGGCTTGTGCAATGGTAACCTTGCTCGAGTCTGAATATATGTCGAACAGTGAGGGCAACATTGGAGTATCTTCCTCTTCTCTGACTTCATCAGAAGAAGTTGTCGTACGGCTTCGCGCTAGATTTCGACGATCCTCGTGGATTGACATTGAAGTGCTGGGTCGAGAATACAGCGCTTGTGAGCCATTATTGGAAGCGATTGGTGGATCCGGACTTGGTATAGCTCTTCCAGGCTCAATGATTGGAGTAACAGCATACCCGGACTCGTTGAATCCTCTTTGCTTTTCAACTCTTGGTCTGCTGAAAAGACTGAATAGACTAGATTTTGGATTCAATCGTCGGTGTGCGCGTCCAGTTCGAATCGAATTTGGAGTGCTTCTCCCACTATCTTGAACAGGCTCTTTTATAGCAGGCAGAGGTTTGTCCTTGAAGGTAGTCTGAATTGGAGGTAGATCCTTGAACTTGCTCTTGTTGATGGCATCAAGAGCATCATTCTGATCGACGGCCATTGAGCATTCGCCACATTCAAGAATTCGAATTTTTGTGATACAGGGTGGTCAAGTCAAGAAGAACAATAGAAGCAAAAAAGAATGATCGGCGAATGGCTAAGAAAAGAAGCAGAGGAGCCGTATTTGCGGCATTTGGGTATGACGAGAGGGCGTGTGATAGAAAGAAAGAAAATGAAGGGACAAGGGAATTAGATTAGCCATGTTGTATTAGGACGTCGAGGGCTTAGTCGGCCCAGAGTTCTATCTGAAGCAAACGAGACAGTGGAGGCGGACCATGCGGACCGCACACGCAAGCGAATTTAGTNNTAGTTGGACTCATTAAGAGGTCGTGCTGTAGGTGGCGTGCAAACAAGCAATAAATGTNCGAGTCGAGGTCAGTCCGAAGCACCTAAAGGAGAGNGTGATCGGAAACGCATTGAGGCACGAAAAGAAGATANNTGAATTCTGAATCTGCACGTAAAACTGTGACGGGCAAGAGATNGTTTGCAGTTGGGATGATGGAACCAACGCCGGGGCAGTGGGTTGGAGATGAAACTCGGCTGAAGGCTGGAAAGAAAGGGGACGAGCGTGGACGAGGGGCAATCGGGGCATGCTGAAACGAAGGTAAATTGCATGACCGGAACCCNNAACGCCCAGGCGCCANGCGACGGAGCGGGTCAATAGCATGGAACGGAAGGCGCGCCAGATCTTCTACCTACGATTCNNGAGCACCGAGCATGGACTACAGTAGAAGGAGTCGAGGTTGTAGGTTATCGGGAGCGTACCAGAGATGGGCCACTTGGGGGGAAAGGCGGAAAGTGGGCTGCTCGAAAGAGGTCAAAGCATGTTTGGATGCGAAAGTGGCCAGCTGCAGGAGAAGAGTTTGCAGGCATGGTTAACTACATGAATGTGGCTCCAACCTTGTTGTCAAGAATTGGTGTTTACAGACGAGCAAGCATATGGCTAGGTTTTAGTAAATTGTTTTACGAGGTTGCAAGGTGAAGGATTGAGGCTTGTGGAGTTGACCTGGCCAGAGAGCAGCAATCAGACGGCGCGATTGCGGGCGCTCGAGGACAGGGTCGTTGGCAGACAGTAGAAGACGCACGAGCTCAATTCGGGAGACGTCGAATCCTTCCCAAGATACTGATCTGGTTGCAGACACAGGCAATTGTCTCACGAGACCCTGGGACGAAGATGGCTGAAATTGATGGAGGCTCTAGTTGTCTACAAAACAATAGCCGCGACAAAGGTGCGCGAGGGTCCGCAAGAGTCCGAGGTTCTGTCCGAGGCTTCGGAGCCTTGAAAGGCCTGACAAGCGGAAGAGTCAAATGACGCGGGCTGGACATGTTCTATCGGAGCAATATCCTGCAATACACGAATAGTGAGCGGCTTATACATGTGGCTAGAGAATGAATATAACGGCCGTCAGTCGACTTGGTAGTCACAGGATGCATTCACAGAGCTAAGTGGAGTGACTTTGTCCTGACATCTGGTGAGCTTTCGCAGCGGGGCACATGCTGGCAACTGGCAGGCAGCAAGCGGTCAATCATGACCATCAGCACTTTTTATTCAAAACATGCAATGGCTCCAGACCTAAACTCACTCCCACCATCACCAACCCTACGACGTACACCAGACAACATGACAAGCACTACCGAACACCACCCGTCACCGCATTCGCCGTCGCTCTCGTCACTGCAAGCTGCAGCAGCCATCAATGCCGGCATGCGCAACTCCAATTCTCCACGCGCCACCCAGACCCAACGCAGAAGATCCAGTCTCATGACGAATTTACATCTCAATGATGCCCAAATGCCCGGTCCTGGCGAGATTCAAGACCCAACCCATCATCACCGTGCCCCCAGCTTGGGTCAGATGCATCAAGAGCTGGAGAATGAGCAAGAACATCAAGTCAATAGACTGCTGCACATGATCCGCCTACAGCAAGACCAAATCGATGAGCTGCACGCTGATCCTTCCACTACTGCTTCCGCTTCGGACTCCGACACTCGCCCACGCACCCTATCGAGCTCGAGCAGACAGCAACCACTGCCTCAACGTCCAGTATCCTTATCGCGACATTCATCTCAGGCCGTCTCTGTAACCAGTGGCCCCAGAAGCAGTAGCAGATCGCCCGCTCTCCGTCCCGTTGCCTCCCCATACGACTCTCAGCGTGAAGATTGGCTGCTCGGCGCAAATCGCGATGAGAGCGCTTTCTACCAAGCCGAGACGCAGATGTTGACCCGAGAGAATCAGATGCTCAAGGCCCGAATCCGTGAACTTGGTAAGTCGTACTGCTTCTTTGCTAAGGCCTCGCCCATCAGATACTGACCTACCATTGCAGAGCGTCAACTTGCCCACCCTGACTCATCCCCTACGCACCATCAACCACCCACACCTCATAGTCCTGCTGTCATCTCCCCTTTGACGAGTCCACCTGTCATCTCTGAGCCTACTCGTCGACTTCACCAAGAGCCGTGATAGATATCTTCGTCTGACGCTTTACGATTTGCATCCCATCTCTAGCAGGAAAATGGCGTTATCAAGGTTGTCGGCGTAGGTGCAACATCGCTGATTGTTATTTTCGTATCCACCTCTCAAGCTTTTTTTTCATTCTCTGTACTCCTCGCTTGTTGCGGTTGTTTTCACGTTGCTGGCGACGCGACATTAAACCAAATCCGTCCTGTCACTTAGGGTCGTAACATGCCAATCGACAAAATCTTCATGTTTTTCACCAGCTCGGCCGTCAAACTATCGCAGGACCCGCGAGTTCAAGAATTACAACGACTGCCCCACAACTTGTCAGCCAGAACAAGATATGGTGACGAGTCAGAACGTTTTGTTATAGGTAAATCTTCCCACTCCAGGACGTCGATATAGGGCATCGGTCAAAATCACATGCCAGCCCTCCACGTGTTTGGCTGCCGGGCTATCATACATGTCCAACTACCGGCGTTTGTATGTTGCCAAGAGCGTACCGTTTCCAATTTGCCCGCGCTTACTTGCGTGGACTTTTGATATGGCCGTTTCGATACACAGCTGATAGGCACAACGCCTGTAACGGCCGCGCTCAAATGGACATTTTCACTGGTCAATTTACATCTGGACAACAATCCGACCCTGGTTCTCCAATCTTGTATGAGGCGAAAAACGTCTCTTGGGCTACATTGATTCAGCTGAATGGTAACGTCCACCGGCGAGATGCTCCTGGACACTCAACATGTCTTGTATCATTTCTTTATACTTTATCTGTTGTGATTGATATATAAACATGGACTCCTTCCTACCGATGTATTCGTGTTTCTTCAGGTTGTCCACTCGCTAACAATCCATACCAAAGCTTCGCCCGGTGCGTTGCTGTCGTCGCCAAATTTTTCAAATTTTTCTCTTGTTATATATTATCTTAATCCTTAATCATGAAGTTCGCCATCTCGAGTGTCCTGGCATCTGCCTTCTTGCTACAAGATGTAGCCGGTCTTGGTATGCCTACTTCTCTTTCTATGATTAATGATTAGAATACTAATACTGCTTTAGTTATCGCAGAACGTGAAGTCATCGAAGAACGTGCGACCGCTACTCCAGTCAAGAACAATGGCAAGCGTGGTCTTTCCTACAACAATGCCGCTTACACCATGCCTTTCTCCCTGTCTGGCCAGAGCTCTCAAGTTTCCTGGGCATACAACTGGTACCAGGCAGCTGGTAATGGTTTTAACCCTGCACTTGAATATGTCCCCATGCTTTGGAGTAACGCCTCCGACCTTACTTCAAGCTGGCCCGCCAACGCACAGGCTGCCATCAATGCTGGCAGCACTCATCTTCTTGGTTTCAACGAGCCCGACCTCTGTCTTGCCGGTGCTGGATCTTCTTGTATCGAGATGCAGTCGGCTGTCAAGGCTTGGAAACAGTACATGGAGCCCTTTGCAGGCAAGGCACTTCTCGGCTCTCCTGCCGTGACCAACGGCGGTTCGCCCATGGGACTTACCTGGCTCTCAAACTTCATGGGCAACTGCACTGGCTGCCACATCGACTTTATCAACATCCACTGGTACTCGAACAAGTATGCTGGCGCCAACTACTTCAAGCAGCAAGTGCAAGCCGCTCATGCCATGTCCGGAGGCCGTCCCGTCTGGATCACCGAATTCGGTCTTGACAACAGCGTCAGCTACACCCAAGCCGAACTCACATCCTTCCTCGAGGAAGTGATTGAATGGATGGACGCACAAGATTACGTGCAGCGCTACGCCTACTTTATGGATACAACCGGCGCATTGATGAATTCCGACGGCACCGGGATGAGCGATATGGGATCCATGTATAACTCTTACCCTGAGGTGAGTTCGGCATCTTCTTCTGCTTCTGCTTCTGCGACAGCTGTGCTGTCTTCTTCTTCCTCTGTTGTATCCACGGCTGTGCCGTCTTCTGTCTTGTCGTCTTCATCTGCGATTGTTGCTTCGACATCGACTTACAAATCTTCAAGGATTACGAGTGCACCGACTAGTTCGTTGACACTGAGCAGCAGCAAGAGTTCTGCCGCGTCTTCCCTACAGACCTCTTCTTCCTCTCCCAAAGCTGTTTCGTCTGAAACTGCTGCACCAACCGCTGGTATAAGCATCCTCAGCGCCTACTTTGCAGACAAAGACGTCACTGCCGCTGCCCAGACTGTCTTCCTCCAAAATGGCAATTTGGTGGTGAATACTTATACCCTAGCCTCTGCACTGTCCGTGTCAGACCCTTGGTGGGGAACCGTCAAAACGATCTCAATCCTCTACTCTGACGCTTCCAATAACACCTATATCTTCTCTTCCGCAGAGCAAACAGGCACCTACACCATTTCTCCCTCATCCATCCCTTCCTCCGCAAAAACACCTTCGATGGCTGCAATCGATGGCGCCACGGTCAATATCGTCGGTATCGTTTGGGGTACCCAGCAAATCAAGACTCCTGGGGTGTGGGACAGGATTTACTATCAACAAGCCACCAAATGGGGTTTCCAGATTAACACTGGATTGTTTGGTGTTGATGGGTTTTGGGGTCATGCTAAGGTGGGCATTGTATGGTATAGAGATGCTCAAGGAGTGTTGAAGTCCTTGGTTAGTAAAGAGAATGGGTGGGTCAAGTTCTAGAGAGTGAGAGGAGTGTAGAGGGGCGATGAAGATATGGTTTATCATATAGATAATGTCTTAGTAAAAGTACGTTAGAAAGGAAATACATAATATACTATTGTTTAGAGACATCGTCTGTTTCCTTTGTGTTGTCATCAGAGAAGTGACCGATGCGATCATCCTCTGGAACATGCCGTAGTGTCTCGCCAAAGAAGTATGTATAATGCTTGCTGCGTAGGGAATGGACTAGTGTATACATTGCTCTACGGAAGGAACTGATTTAAACTCTGGGCACCGGTGTTAAAGCCTTGCTGCGGCTGCCAGTGACTGGTGTACGAAACGTTGCTCTGCGCAAGGAGCTGGCCTGAAGTCTGAGTACCAGTATAGGAGCTTTGCCGCGTAGGGAATTGAGTGTTATATGCATTGCCCTTAGGAAGGAACTGATGTAAAGTCTAGGCACTGGTGTCGAAGCCTTGTGGCGTAGGGGAGTTGACTGTTGTATGCATTGGCTTGAGGAAGTGCTGATGTGAAGCCGGAACGTTGTCGTAGAAGCTCTGCTGCGACTGCGAGCGGCTGCTGTATGCATTGGCGTGTGGGAGATGCTGCGATCGAGTTGGAACTAAGCCCTAGAACCCCTGCTGTGACTGCGAGCGGCTGTTTTGTCTATTGGCTTGTGGAGGCTACCGGCGAGCGAATGGTGGATTAGGACCAGCAGGACGAGGTGCGATTGGGTCATATGAACCATTTTCGGCAAGGACTTGTCTACTGTGATGGCTTGTGATCAGCCAAGTAGAGAACATCGGCAGGGAACATACTCACGCGGCATTCTATGCTGCTTTGTGTGTAAGCTCGTGATTCGTCTTCAACGCATTCAGAGAGTTGAGCCGTGAGGGATATTCGTGAGCTGGAAAAAGAAAATGAAGTCATCAAACAACCATTTGGTTGGCAAAAATGCCTTTAGAGAGAATAATAGGGAGAGAATAGAAAGACGGAATATTTAGCATGACCATTGAACAGCGAAGATGACTTTGTGCGCGACGAGATGTAGTTCCCTTATCGCATCTACGGTAGTCGTTGCCGCTGTGGAACCAACACGTCGGATTGCTGAGTGGCGGTGTGGTATTGAAGAACCTTGACGGATCCCCTGGCACAAAAAACGGCGCATGGATGTGGGAAGACAACGGGAGATACGCTGGAGCTGCTTCTCGCGTGACACAGGTTGCTGTGGGCGTGGCCCCTGATGTATGATGTCTTGTGTCCCATTCCAGTAAGCGAAGATCCAAGTCCTCTCAGACCGCCAGGGCATCCAGAGCTATTCAGACGATCGTGATGGATCTGTGAATGTTGTGTCAACAACCAAGCGAGCATAACTCGGCCCAACCCGAGACTTGTTTCTAATATCGTGATCAAATAGTCATTCCCGGGTGAGAGATCTCATACAGCGATGTCTGAGAAGCCTCTCGTGGTTGTGTTTGTTTCGAGTTTCGAGCATAGGACAATTCGAACCGGTCTTCGCGCAGAATGCCGTCTTCTTCCGAGTCAATGGTGTTGCGCCGAGCTCTGCCAATGACGGATTTTCCTTGTGTTCCGTTGAGTGTTGCCTGTCGCAGCGTGGTTTTACGGAGGCGTGATGAGTGGGTGATGTCGCCCCAGGCTTTGGGTATCAGTGCGCTGATGACGGGTAGTGATGCTACGACTACTGCGAGTGTCAAGTCGACTACTGTCCATGCCAGCAGACTTGTGTAGCCATCTGTAAAGAGTCAGTATCTATAATATAGAACTGGAGAGCCAGACCTACAGGTGATGTCTCTGCTTATATTCTTTTGTGCAAGCTCTCGGAAGACACTGGCCACGCAGGATAGTGAGCCCATCGAGAACACAATGAACAGCCTAATCTTTGTCTTCTTGTTGAGCTGTACCTTCCAGAGCACAACGATCGGTGTAAGAAGTAGGATAAAGTCCATAACAACATGTATAACGCTCAATGTATTTGCGACCACCAATGTTGACCAACACTTGGCAGGCTGTGCGAGTTTGCCGGAGTATATCTTGTCCCACATGGCTGGAGCAGGCGAGCATTGGAAGCACGACCAGAAAAGTGCGAGTAAGGTGTAGCTTATGAGCAGGAAGAGGAAGATGTCGTTGGCGATTCGAGGATACTTCGATGTGGCTTCGGAGATGCGGCGGAGGAAAAGACAAATAGATATTTTGATGATGCCGACGGTCGTGAAGAAAATGATTTTGCAGACAATTGCGAGCTGCATCAGGTCAGTTCAGCAAGATCCGCTGTTGTCAAATAGAAGATTGCGCACCTTATTGAATGTATAGTACTCAGCATAGGTGACATCCCATGCATGTTTTCCACCTCCTCCAAGCACAATCATCGCAATTTGCAGTGTCGGGTACAAAATGGCCATCACCTACGCTTGTATGTTAGTGACTAGGGTATTTGCTGAGGTAACAAGAGATTGCCTCATACCACTNCCTGGTAGTAGAACCCAGTCATCCGCTCCCCATCTTACACCACTCTTGAAATATCGAAGGACAAGTCGTAGGGTAGTGGTAGAGAGCATGATGACTATGGCCATAGCCATGCCAACAATGATACTAGCCTGCTTGTCGTTATACCCATAGTCTGTGGGCTTTTTCGGAACGAACAAGTAGCCTTTGCTCGGGTCTTTGTTGAATGCGTAGGCAGTTCTGTACATGCCCTTGATGATATAGAAATCGTCCTGAGTGGCTGGTGGTTGGCCCAAGAACGCCGAGTGCAACATCTTTGCTCAGATCCGAGATGCAGCAACATGCGCAAGCAGAGTGTGAAAGAGATGTAAGAACTGAAATGTATCAACAGGCTAAGAGAGTCTGGACCATACACCTGGGGAGATCATCAAGGGATCCTGACTTCTGTAGGAAGGTCGGACTTGTATAATCCAAACATCATCGATGATATCCTACCTGTTTCTTAGGGCCAAAAACTCTGTATAACGGATACTCATCCAGACTAGGACTGCCATTAGGGCATCAAACTCGCGATTTGATCAATCTGGAAGCCGTGAATGCAGTGCAATCCGCCAATAGCAGCGTGCTATCTAAGATAGGATGTTTCGAAGGTGTAGCATCTCGCGAGCTCTTGTCGAGATCTACTCATGGCGCAAGGTCATCGTGTTCTGGAGCATATGCCCAAGCCTTCAAGCGACCCATGGGACGTAAGTTGGAAGCGAAGACTGTCAAACGATGGTCCGTTCGTTGGCAGGGGTGACTTCGCACTGACATAAGTTCACGACTTCATGTCTTCTGAAAGATGACCACGATCTTGATGCGCAAGACTCGCGGACGTCTTTGCTCAGATTGTGCAGAAGAAAGATGCTCTCCGTGGCCTGGACTTCATCCAAGGAAGTGATGATGGCGCGAAAAGGGAAGTCGACTGTCGCGTCTTGCCAAGCCTGCAGTTCGTCACGCGTCGGCTAAAAAAGAGGCAGGTGTTTGAGCCGTGCCAACTTTTCGCCCTTACACCGCTTGACATGTTAAACCTCCGAGAAGCAAGCCATAATCGCTCTGTGCACAGAAACGTAAAGCTACGGATTTAGACTGTCGTGATGTCTTTATCGCAGAATATCAGGCACTCCATGTCGCAATGCGTCGCTCGCTGTTACCGAATTTGATCTCATCTCAATAGGGTCGAGCTCTTAATGATCTCCAAGGTGGATCCTCGCGAGATGAGGGACCTGCCTTACACCACTTCAATGGCCAGATCCTTGAGTGGAGAAGTAGATGAGTACAAAAGCGACCACTTCCGCAACCCTGCCGACAATCCTTTCCCCTTGGCTTGTTTCAAGTATTGTGACTTGTATTTCTCCGCAAGAAATGATCTCCTCAACCTTGCTCAGTCTCGCCTCTCTTGCGAGCGCCGCTTTCGCCGCGACTGACTGTATTGGCATCAATGCTATCGCGCCTGGATGTGTCTCACAAGAAGCATTGCATTCTCGTGACTTTTTCTATATTGGAGGACGTTACGTAGCTGGCGCTGCCGGCAATCTCACCTACGACCAGCTCTATGTCGAGAAATTGACACCTGCTGCGGGTGTTAAGCAGAGCAAACCAGTTGTTCTCTTCCATGGCGGTGGCACATCTGGAGTGGTGAGTCAAGTCTTCAAAAGCTTTTCCTGAAGCCTCTGTAGCTAATTGCAAAGANCATGGCTCAACACGCCTGACAACCGCAAGGGCTTCGCATCCCATTTTCTGGACTATGGCTACCAGGTCTATATCGTTGATCAGACCAGCGTTGGTAGAGGTAGCGTAGAGGATCTCAATGACTATGTCATGCGCATTGGTTCTACCGCTGAGATCACGGAGAAGGGGTTCACTGCTCCTGAACTTACCAATGCCTACCCGCAATCTCAGCAACACACTCAGTGGCCCGGCTCAGGAGTCAAGGGTGATCCTGTCTTCGACGCTTTCGAGTCAACATTCATCCCACTGACCAGTAATATGACTGTCCAAGAACTCTCTATGAGATCTTCAGGTTGTCAATTACTTTCTCTCATCGGACCTTCCTTCTTGATCTCTCACTCGATCGGGGCTTTACATCCTTTGCTTCTATCCAACGATTGCCCATCCTTGGTTGCTGGCAACGTCAATCTGGAGCCTGGAAACATTCCTTTCCAATCATACGTCGGAAATGCTACATCCTCTGTTGGCCGTACCTCTGCTCGTCCCTGGGGCATGACGAATACCCATGTGACTTACGATCCTGCCATTAGTAACTCTTCCGAGCTTACTTACGAGCTTGTTGGAGACGACACACCTGCCAAACGCAGCTGTTACATGCAAACCGGAACAATCCACAAGCTTACTGAAATCGCAAAAGTCAAGTACGTCGCTCTTACTGGCAGTGCTAGTCCTCATATCACATACGAGCATTGTGTCATCGACTTCCTGCAACAAGCTGGTGTTGCCGCTGAATGGATCAAGCTTGCTGATAGGGGTATTACTGGTAACGGTCACTTTAGCTATCTCGAAAAGAATAGCCCTCAGATTGCGGGTGTTGTTCATGAGTGGATTCAGACAAACTGTTAGCATGCGTAAGCTGAATATGCATAGTAACAATTTCCAACACAACGAGTTTTGTTAACCCTTGAGCACAGTACCATGGCGTTCCCTTGATGATTTCGATGTGATATTCTGATTGTAGGAACCACCTCGAAAACATGCTAGACTCTCCTCTTCCAATATTACAAGTACTAACCGTCAAGAAAGGTAAGTGGTAGTGCAAGGGTGCCGCTCGGCATGGAGTTCAACGTCATTGCGGCACCACGGGCCGGCGACCCGTCGTTGCGCAACCCTAAGAATCCGCCCTAGCTGACCTTTCCTTGTCGCATGACTCTAGCATCACTTATATGTATCTCGACGATGCCGCCCACATGTTTAGCAGGTTCTTACTCTGTGGTGGAGAAACCGACCCTCCTCACTTTGAAGACTGCCGTAGTCAATTCAAGACGCTGTATTGGACCGGGCTAGAAGCCTGAACAACATGCCTGGAACTCACGATCAAAGCTCAGTCGAACTCGCAGATTTCCTTTCCGAAGGCAGAGTAGAAACTGCAGCTGAAGAAACTTCCGCTGGGCCATCACTTGACAGACGGACACTTCTACGACTGGTTAGCGCTGGTTTCTCTTTCTTCGTTGCTGGTGTTAATGATGGTAGTCTCGGTGTTCTCATACCATGGTATACTCGTTCATATCGTTGCTTTATCAAAATCATACAATGCTGATAGATACAAGGGNTGATTCGGGACTATGGTATCAATACCGCAATACTCTCGAGTGTGTAAGACATATACTTTTGGCTTGCGTCGCTGAAAAGCTCACTAAATTTGCTGTAGCNNTATGGTGCCAGCTTCCTCGGCTGGTTTACTGCTGCATTGACAAACACGCATCTGAGTCAATACCTTGATCTCGGTGCAATGCTTGTGCTTGGAGCGATTCTGCAAGTCATCGCTCAAGCTTTGCGTGCATGGCCAACACCTTTCGGTCTCTATGTCACCACTTTCTGGCTGACCTGTCTCGGACAAGCATACCAGGACACTCACGCAAATGCGTATGTGGCCGTTGCTGCCAAAGGCGCTCATCGATGGCTAGGTTTCATTCATGCCATGTATATGGCTGGCTGCTTGGTCGGGCCTTTTGCTGCATCACCAATCGCATCATCTCGAGGATCTTCTAGCTTGTCTTCTCCCTGGTACTTCTTCTACATGATCCCTCTAGGCCTCGGCGTTCTGAACGTCATCTGTTGCCTTTTGNCCTTTAGCGACACAGTGCGTCTGAAGCCCAAAGCTGCGAGCCCGTCATCAACGCAAGACGAGACTGTCGCGACCTCCACAGGATTTGCTGAGCACACAACCGACGAAAAAACTGCGGTTGAGCTTCTCAAGAAGACGCTTGCTCAGAAAAGCTTTTGGAACCTGAGTATCTTTTACTTCTTCTATCTCGGGGTTGTCATAACTGCTAGCGGATGGGTCGTCGAGTATCTGGTCAATGTTCGGAACGGCAACATATCTGAGATGGGATATGTTCCTGCTGGTTTCAGCGGAGGTGCTCTATTGGGTAGGCTACTTTTGCCTGAACCCACTCGTCGCTTCGGAGAGAGATTGATGGTCACTATTTACTGTCTTATCTGCATTGGGTTGCAGATAATGTTCTGGTTGTAAGTTTGATGAACGGCAAGTTCCAGTAATGAGGTTAACGTTATATCAAGTGTCCCAAATATCATCGCAGCAGCTGTGGCAATCAGTCTGATTGGTTTCTTCTCTGGTCCTCTGTTTGCTACTGTGAGAACAATAGTCCCATGTTCGAGGCAATATATGCTAATAACGACAGNNGGCATTTCTATCGGCTCACGACTCTTTCCAGCAGACATTCGATCAACAGCACTTTCTTTGGTCTTTGTGTTTGCACAAATTGGTGGCTCTTTGTTTCCAGTGATTACAGGACTCGTCAGCTCGAGCAAGGGTGTATGGGTACTTCAACCAATGCTCATAGGCTTGATTTCAGCAACTGCGATCAGCTGGCTTTTGGTACCTCAACCCAAGACATCAAATGTGGAGCTCCACCAGGAGTAAAAGAAGGACCAAGAAAACAGGTAAAAAAAGAGCACAGCATCTCCAAACAATTCTTCAAGCAGCGATGGCATCAAAATCAGGCAACTATGGGGAAACAATCCATTTGTTGTAGCAAACTGTCATACTCTTCATGGTTCAAGTGGCACAAGTCATGATTGGTTCGTCTATTCTCAGGAGCATGCGTCTATCATTAGCAGCACCTTGAATCAAGCAGTTGTGTATGATCTTGCTCAATACCTGAGAGAAAAAACACAGCCTCAGGATACGTTACCAAAGTTCTTTCTATATCAAGAATTACGGATCGGACAACACTAGCAGATAGGCAAAACAAAGCTTCTCATATATAATATTGCTTCTCTTCTGTTGTCATAAAATCCACAGAGCCATCCACGGGCAGCAACAAAAGTGACAGAAACAATCAATATCACCATCCACAGTTCAGATTGCTTCCAAAGCCAGTGTTGTCAACCATGTGCGGCTATCACGAACTCCAAACCCCCTGCTGTGGCGAAAAGACAGGCTTCTCGCCCTCCTCTGACCACAAATGCACCCACTACTTCACGAACAACCGCTACTGTCGTACCGGCTCCATCCACAGCTGGATCCTCTCCTCACGCCCTCTCACCACACGCACAAAATGCGAGAGCTGCAAGCAGGAAGAGAAACACGAACAAGCAATTCTCCAAGCCGAGATCTCAAGACGAGAAAAGCAGATGGAAAAGGAAAGACTGGAGCAAGAAGAAAGAAGAAAGCAGGAACAAGCTAGGGAGTTGAGATTGTGGGACAAGGAGTTGAAGAGGGTTAGGGATGAGAGACAGAGTGGAAGTGGAAATGCGGCGGATGCTTTGAGAAGCCAGATGGCTGGTCTGAAGATCAAGGATGGAAGAGACCTTCCCAGATCGGAAGAAAGCAGGCGCAGGCGCTCTGGACCGATGGATGATCTTGACTGATGGCTTTTTGTACGGGCAATGAGCTTTCAGGATCAGAGCTGAGAGTTTGATGGTTGATGAGCTGATTGATAGTCAGCGGAATGCAAGAATGAATTGCATTTCTTACTTTGTTCAATGTATTCTTGTTCCATCCATGATCTCTTCGAACCCCAGCTCAATTGTGAATCTTTTCTGCATTTTGATGGACAGAAAGATCGCCAGTAGCCTGTAAGAGATCATGAGTACGTGCCGCTCGAGAACCATGAATCTCTATATAACCATCTCTTGCAACCTTAAGCGTAAACAAGACGATCTCAGAAGCTTCGCTCGCAGGAAGTGAAATAAAACAGACACGAGACAGAGTACGCAAAAACCAACCCTTTTCTGACCGCTGGACAGAGCATAGCCGACGGATTCGACGCTCAGGTCGATAACGGTGTCTACTTTTGGACAACACTGTGAGAACGGAGAACGGAGGACGGAGAACGGAGGAGCATCACGAGATACTACGGCTGATGCTTCGACTAGGCGAGATTGACCTAGTAGACATGACCCGGAGGGTCGTCTTGACTGACGCTTGTGTAGTCTCCCGAGCTTTTTTGAGTGGATGACCTACACGAGTTGCAACCGTTGACGACGTGGTCTGAAGGAGAGAACTCATCGTGACCTGAGGTGTTCTATCCTGTGTCTACTTGTAGCATTTGCTCGTACCCGGACAGCGTGTTTGAAAGACCTGCTTCAAAACAGACTCGACGGTCACCGAACACGATGCTGTCCAAGGACAGTTGGGGGAGTATCCAGATACAAATTAGTCGCGGAAGCTATGCCAAAGTCGTCAATATCCCGGTACACGCAAGGTTGTAGACCTGTACGGAAGGTCGACGACATCAGTACCTGCCATGTCGTGTTAGCTGCAGCCTTCCATTGTGTAGACGGACAAAAGCAGAAGGCACCAACTCGTCTCGGCATCAACACACAGACATAAACAGAAGGTGCCCTCAACCTACTTCTTCTTCCAGCACGAACCCGACACGCTCGCACTTCCCACGACATCCCCATCAACCGCAACTACCGCAACTCACTACCATCGCAACTCACGACATCAAAACTACCATCACAATGTGCACCAGAAGAGTCAGTCGCTACAACACTTGCCCTTACCGCTACAACAAAACCCTTGAGGAGAAGCTGTGTCTCAAGAAAGGTGTCATTGCTCCGTGCCCTCCTGAGGAGTGGTTGTTCATCAACGAACTTCCCAACGCTGAGCTCTGTCCTTGCGAACAGTGTGCAGCTGCTGCTGAGCGCCGCCTCGAGCTGCAGAGTCCTGCTAGCAAGGCTAATGACATTTCTCAGTGATGGCGTCAAGGTATGTTCTAATGTTTGAGCGCTTGTGGAGTTGGATTTGCTGACCAGATTGATGTAGACGTCTGCTCGAATAGTCAACATGAACACGAGCTGAACCACAAGAAGTACAATATGGTCCAGGGAAGCTGACCTCAAGTTCAAGATGGTCATAAGCGGGTCGGAAAGATGAAAAGCTCGGCGGAATGTTCTTTAATTCGTCAAGGTGGCCATAATCACATCTCCATCTCATCAGGGTTGTATCCCTTCTTCTTGCCCTCTTCCAACTTCTTCTTCGTCTTTTGTTTCGAGTCCTCAATCCAAGCATCGTAAGAACCGTCTGCAATCTTTGCAGCAGTGACACCCTTCATCAACTCGCCCACGAAACCGACAAAGTTGTGTTTGCGCAGAGCATTTTCCCATTGCCACGCGCGGCGCTTCTCTTCCNNCTCACGATACAGCATATCTTCGTCTCCAAACTCTCGTGCCTTCGCACGTAGATCTTGACACATAGCCAGTAGGTTGAAACGAATCTCGTTGGAGGGGTATCTTTCGATGCGACGTTGGAGCACGGGAATGACTTTTTGNGCGAAGTCTGTAGGAGTGCAAGGACCGTGGTTGATAGGGGCTTCTTGGAGACCGTCGAGTTCGTAGAGTTTGCCGTTTATGCTGGTGTATGCGATAAAGTGGAAGAGGTCGTCGTCTTGAGTGGCCATACGGGTCTCGTCTGACACGAATGGCGAGCTGCGGGCGAAGGAGTTGTGAGTATCGCGGATAAGGTCACTGTTACTAAGAGCTTCACCACGAATCNNTGGAGTTGTCAGCTTGACTGCCTGCCGTGCTTGTCGAAGCGAATCACATACGTCTGGTGGGAAGCCGGCGGTGAAGTCCTTGAAGTCTGTCAAATGAGGACCCAACTCAACACCATCGGCGTTATCCTTGTTCATCAAAACGCTGAGCAGCGCTTGTGTACCACAGGCATTCTGAATTGTCTGAGCGGCAAACCACACCTTGCCCTTGCCGTCGCCTCCACTGCCAGCATCGTCCAGGTTGTATGTTGCTTCGAAGTCGAATTGTCCATCTAGTGGACCGTCTGATTTGCGGCCTTCATTGTTGTACTTGAAGAGGAAGATGACTCCAAGCGGTGATAGCTGGCCCAGCGATTGTGCGTCTAATGAGATGAGCTCCTCGAACTGAACGTTCTTGACTCCGAGGTTCTCTAGCAGATACGTGAAGACGCCCNNTGAGCGATTGTTAGTATGCGCAGAACATTGACCACGAAATGCTAAACTCACAGCGTCTGACTCGATTGTATTCCAGCCTCCCGACATGTTCGCTAGTATTCAAAAGTGAGAATGTTCAAGTTGTCGAGCTCGTCTCTGCGCAAACATTCATGCGTCATTAGCCGCACAGCTTCTGCCAAGCCCGCTCGGTGATCGGCGTTTCGGCTGCAACAACCTCCGCTCGCCAGCCCATACCGTTTTTGCAAAAGGAGGTGCCCTAAGGAAATTTTTCATTTGTCTAACAAAAATTTGTATCCTATGCAGGTCACACGAGCAAAGATGGAGTAGCTGGGAATCGAACCCAGAACCTTCTCCACTCAGGAATGCTCGAAGAGCAATGCTAAGAAGATGTCATACCACTAGACCACAACCCCATTTGATGAAGAGGCTTCGTTCCACATGGTATACAAAGCTCCGGATCACGCTGTCTTCGTTGCACAAGGGGTGACCTGGGTATAAGACCGTCGTTCAGAGACAAGACTGAAGTACAGGATAGTTCGTAAATCATCCCATTGACTTTCCTAGAGCTTGCTAGCTTCTGCTCCTTTTTCGAGCTCAATTACCAGCTTGCCAAATTGGCTAGCATTCTTGATGTCCTCGAACAATCCGTTGATAGCCTCAAGGTTATCAATTCCAGTGACTGTCCTCGACACGACGGGTCGAATGTTCTTGGATGACACGAAGCTGACCATATCGGCAAACTCTTTTCTTGAGCCCATGGTAGAGCCACGAAGGTCAATGTTCTTGAGAACAGCAGCCATCGTGAAGGGCATCTTCGGACCTGTTGTCATGCCATATGAAACAATGACACCACCAGGCTGTAGAAAGTCAACACGGAAAGTGGATCAAATCGCACGAAAGATACTCACCTTCAGAATCTTGAAAGTCTTTCCAACAATGTCACCACCAGCACCATCGATGACAGTATCGAGGAACTTTCTATCCTTCGGTAGTTGCTCCAACAACTTCTTTTCCCAGTCCTCTTCCTTGTACAGAGCACCTCCTGCTGCACCTAGCTTCTTAGCTTTGTCCAGCTTTTCTTGACTTCCACTCGTCACGAAGACATTTGCACCAGCGGCAGTTGCGAACAGCAGTGCCATGAGTGCCACACCACCTCCAATGCCGGTGATGAGCACATTACGGCCAGGTTTGCAGTTGCCACTTTTGGTGACGGTTGCTCTCCAAGCAGTGAGACCTGTAAGAGGCAGTGCTGCAGCCTCAGCATTCGAGAGATGCTTGGGTGCCTCCTCCAGCTCAGATGCATCAATGACCAGACTCTCTGTCAAGGTACCCAAAGGGTTGAGCTTTGTTCCTCCGAGTATAGCATATCCCTTAGGATCTTCAGGACCCTCAGGGTCATCTTTCCATCCGCTACCTGGGTTGAGGATGACGCGCTTGTTGAGCCATTTCTTTGCTTCGGGAGAGGATCCGGTCGATGTTACGATGCCAGTGCCGTCTGCAAGAAGCGGTACACCGAAAGTTGTGCCTGGGTATAGGTGCTGGCGAATGAAGTGGTCTCGATGGTTCAATGCTGCAGCGGTGATTTTGACGACGACTTGATTGTCTTTTGGTGTGCTTTCGGGAACGTTGATCTTCTCTAGAGGATAGTAAACTTGACCGGGCTTGCCGTCCACTTTGCGAATTGAGATAGCGGTAGGCATTTTGCTGAGGAACGTATGTCACGAATGAACGAACTCCGGTTCCGAACGCAACACAGCTTAACTTATCTTCAGGATGGTTACAAATCAATACCAAGAGGACTCCTTTGCCCCGTTCATGCGGTTATTGCGGGGCGTCAATGTCAAGGTGGGGAGAGCTCAAGGTCAAGTTGAGCCGAGGCTCTTTGAGCAGACTTGCTGACTCAGCTTTGTACAACTTCACGTCCTGGTTTCAGGCTTCATTGTTCGAAGAGATCAATTTCCGGCCAACACAATGGCAATAAATTTCATTATGATTCGGTATGCAACACTTTGAACGGTCATGAGCACATTCGCTCTAGCAACAGACAGTTCTGCTCCTCGGTCCTCTGGGATTCTGTCATGCTCCCTTCCATCCTGACAGACATCAAGTCCTCAACAAGGCTGTCGATGAGTCCTCTCAATCAATACGACGATACATGGCGTCTGCAATGTTTCTCTCCAAGGCTTCCTGGCGCATCTCTGCTAGACGTCGATTCCATCTGACACAGTCTGGATGCTCGCAAGGAATGTTGGTTCCTCCAAAGTGTTCCAGCTTCTCATACTGCCACTGCACGCCCGTACGTCTGGCTTCTCTGCAGTAGTACTTGTAGACGAGCTCATGGCGGCATTGGTACCAGACTTTACGCTGCTCTCGGCACATGTTGGGACTGATGTTCAATTGCTTGTCCTACATTGATCCTGTTAGTCGAGCGACACAACTGGAAACTGGAGTTGCTGGGGACCTCACCTTGAAGGCTTTGTGGATCACTGTCGATTTTCTTGGACCCTTGACAGTACTGCTTTTGCCATCTGGGTATTCAAGAAATGTTTTTATACTATCTTCCCCCATGGGTACAGCGAATTGAGCGTTGTAGCAAGTTGGACAGCACGAGGGCCACGTCACTCCTTCAGGTATCCCACTTTGACTTCTACCCCATCACGAGGCATCCAGGCGTGGAACTTGTAGGCTTTTAAATCCGGATCTCGAGTGCTAACTCCATTGTCTTTGCAAGTCGGACATTAATTGCGATGCGGAACAACTTCATGCTGGCATTGAAGCCAGTCACAAGCTCTTCGTTTCTCCAATGCCGATTGACATGGTTTGATCAGCGCTTCGCTTTCATGTCGGCAACCTGGCCAGACCATTCTTTCGTATCGACACATGACAGAGATGGAGAATAAGCTGGACGATCAAAAACAAGCTTCAGACATACAAGAATCGTTGATCTTGGCCAGCAAGAAAGAGTAGCGATACTCTTGGTCTTTAACATCCTGCCTGCCCTGTATACTACTTACGGAAGCCTCTGCATCTCCCTTTCCCCAGGTCGTGGCGTTCTGTACCACATCCATCACGCTTTGTGCTACAGTGCAAAAGCAGGTCCCCTTGAGACCTCAGCCCTGTCTGCTGACAGCATGTCTTGCAAGACATCACCTTCGTTCCATTTAGATGGTATTGAGGTGCCTCCGGCAAGTTCGGGCTTGCTGACAAGCCATAAAATCCATGGGCCTGGTTCTGGAATTGCTGCTGAGGAGTCCTTTGAACATATCAGAATTGACGTCTCGATGATCTCTTCAATTGGTCACATGAAAGATGACCAGTCGCTTTTCCGACTGCTCGATCGATCCGCAGAGTCAGCGTCCGTAGCACCATTGCTGCTGAGCAATCTCAACAGCTTGCTGCTTCTCGCTTTGTTCAACTCACTCCACTTTGCTTGAGGTGACATGGGTCTATACACTCCACAAGGACCTCGCTCCTTCCGCATGCTATTTGTTGAGTTGTCGATTTTTCCCTCAGCTTCGGATCCCAGGCATTCCTTTGTCTTCGAATGTAACTGTACCACGCGCCACTGCCTTTGTCTGTGAAATCGCTTTCTCTCGCGAGCGCCATCGCACTGGTAGTATGCACTGGAGATGATCTGCGTGTCGGAAGCCCATTTTATCGTGACACGTCCGTGTGGATTATCTGGTCTCGAATCAAGGAAAAGTGCTTAGACTCCGGTGTATACGATCGGCCTCTCATGCTCAGCTATTGTCGAGCTTTGAAGTTTGACATGCTGCAAGGTCTTTTCGCCCACCCGCCTGTTAAGAAGATGCTCACATAAGCTATATATGTAGCGTAAGTTCGGAACCTCTCAACAGACAACGGACCAGTCGGATCTGAGATCTGGAACACCCCTCCGACGGTAGCTTCTATGGTTCAATGGTTTGCCTGGTTTGTTGTCTAAACCCCTTCCCTCACTTCGGGTTTCTTTTGAAGATCCTGAGTTCGAATCTCTGGCAGAACTGCTTTCTGCTTTTTGCAAACAATGTTCAGCCTCACCTCTGAGATTGACCGTCTTTGAGCTTCACGTAGCGATTATGGAGCCAGGCTTTTTTTATTAGATTTGCACGCAGTTGTTCAAGATGTGCTCTGTTTCAGTGCGCAAATCAACGTTGCTGATCTAGCAGCTTGCATGTGCTATGAGCAAGGTAGGTGATTCACCCTCCTGTATCGAAATCGTTCACTCTTGGCCCGCTGTTCCGCTTGCAGCATACAGTAGCCACGATGGTACTTTTCACAAATCTGGTATTGCCCTGCAAAACTGTTCTACCTATTGGGAATCAGGCTTTCTCATCAGACGATTTTCAAACCTGGATCGTATCGTGCATTTTGACAGCCATGTTCTGGGGCTCGGTCACGACTGGAGATTGATACTCACGCGCTACATTTCACGGCCCCCTCGCCTTCGACCTCGTTTTCACCAACGGAAATTCGTTTCCTAGTTTTTGATTTGTTTGCTTTGTTTCGCAATCACTCGTCTCTTCCCCTTCTTGCGCACACCGTGTCGCGACGACATCACGACCAACCCTGCTACACCTGCGCAGTCGACTACAATGGAGCATCCACGCCAGGATATGGACAGAGGTATGTCCGCGGAGGATGATAATGACTCCCGGGCTCCCTATGCCATTTCTAACGCAGGCGCCGAGGCTCAAGATGAACCCCTGACTCCCATTCAAGCACCATCGCAGCACCACCACACGAAGACCCAGAACGAGGGTGAAATAGAGGAATTACCTCAGAATCGCATAGCACTCCTTGACTACGATTTGGAAGATTGGGAGCTTGCCACCCGCCACGCCACCCGCACTCGTCATGGAGAACACGTAGTGAAATGGGTCTTCGAACAAATCCTCGACAAGATGCAACCAGGCATTGTAAGTCGGCTCATCTCCTTCTCATAGTACACTTTTAACATTCTCTTGTACAGTGTGGTTGGAGATTGGGAGATCGCGTCGACGAACGCGAACTTCTCACTGACGAAGACCTGAATGAGCAAAGAATCTATGAGTTGGAAGATTGGGAAGCAGCTACTCGCGCCGTAGCTTCTGATGGTCGTGTCCCTAAGCATGCCTTCGATGAGGCTCTGGCACGCACTTCGTCGTACATCGTGAGTTCAGTCTTCTATCACTTCAGAGACGATTCTGACACTTTTCAACAGCATGGCTATGCAACGAGGTTTATGCTACGCGATGAACAAAACCCCAGCCTCGCCCCTGCCGCTACCCCCTGAACGCCAGTCCGCCACGCCTCTTCCAATTAGACAGTCCACAGCACCGCGTGATGAGCGCTCCACTTCTCAGTCCCGTCGCTCACCTACACCTCTGGATCGCATCATCCACGGAGGCCCTGCACATACATCTGCCTACACAAGGGGCAGGCCCTTGGATTCGCAGAAGGCGGCCTTCGCACGTAGCGAGCCAGGCCGGGAACTTGCCTTGATACGTAACAGACGTCCCGCTATCAAGAATGATGACAGCGGCAAAACTGAGCGCGTTCGTGCTGAGCCTTCCTCAGAGCGTCACAGGCGCCGCAGCCCGGCCACACTTACACACACTGCCCTCGATCGCGACCGTCCCCAAGAGCTTCGTCAGGACAACAACAACCTTGAATATGATACTGGAGATGCCTCTAACGTTGAGCTTGCTCACTACCCTAATCGTGAGCCCACAATCGCACTTTCTGGATACTCAGACGAAGACAGATCCGTTCGTGGTTGAGAACGTGGTCGAGAGCGTGACCGAGATCGTGGCCTCGCCAATGCTTCCATTACTTCTCGTCGAGGACCTGCTTCATTCCGTCGTCGAAGTCGTAGCCCTGCCAGAACTTCACGTCCCCCAACCGAACGCAATCACCCTTCTGTGCGTCGTCAAGGCAGCGGCAGTCTCAACGTTGGTGCGGAAAAAGCATCTACGCACGGGTCCGAGGTTCAAGAAATTGCAGGCATGAGTGGTGTTGTGACTACCAATAATGCACATGGTCCAGGATTCGCTGCACGTTTTCATACCAACCTCTCCGCAGCTGAGATACAACAGAAGAAGAACGAGTTCTCTGTTTGTATCCCTTGCTGGATCAGGAACAAGTCCTGCGACCATGAATCACCTTGTCGTGAATGCCAGATCAGTGGCAAGACTTGTGCTTATGTCGTCTGCCCCATTACTGTTTGTGGAATAGACATCAAGTGTCCAGCATGTCATATTCTACCTGGTCTTCCTCTGGTTGATCGCAATGTAGGAACCTCCATGCATCTTATCGCTTTGCTGGGCCTCAATCGCGAATGCATCCAGTCCTACGACGTTCGTCAAATCCAAGCATTGCACGACGACACACGCTGTGGACAGCACATCTATGTTTCGATTCAGAATGAGGTTCATCGTACTGCTCAGCAAGTTCCAAACTTCCATGAGCATGTAGCCCGAAAGCTGTTGAGAGACTCAGACAAGGTGCCCAGGATGGGCAAGAGGGCCTTGAGTACCATAACTAGCATGTTTGTTAAGCTGGTTCAGCAGCAAAAGTAAGCTTGATCCACCGCTTTTCGATATGACGCTAATACTGTGTAGCAACCAGCCTTATCGCGAGCTGTGGGAGCACTACCGTAGACAGCAGAAGTTTGGGCCTATTTCCAGAGATTAAGATTATGTCTTGGTGTCTTTCGTGCTTTGCAGAGGCTTAGCACACTTCATTGTTGCACAAAAGCAACGTCTGGAATTGTTTAGGGGCATAGAGGAAGGGATCAAGAGAGAGCGAAGTTGCGAGAGTGCAGAATACTGCACCTGGCGGTCACTCCACGGTCGTTCAAGGATACCACACTGCAGTAAATCTCATCTGCCTGCTTGGTAAGACGACTGATCTTTTGTTCAATGGTAATACGAGGTGTAATCAGGGGAGAGTACCAGGGTAGGTGCTAGACAGCATGTCTGTTCTCAATTTTCGTAGGTACTCTTGCATGAAAAGCGCCCAATCATCTGTTTTGTCCTCCGAATAGAGTATTCTGCACCGAATGTTTCATGACTAGGCAAGAGTGAGGGCTTGGCTTTGCAATGTTGTTTTCTTGCGACATCCTAAATCTGTTTTCAATTTCCGTGGCCCTGGCTTCCATTCTCACATCGCGTCTGTCGTCCTTCCCAACTTCCTCGAACCCATCAGCAGTGTCTTGATTACAAACTAGATACCCCTGTCAAGACGTTATTCTGCACAAATCTAGCTCTATCGGAGCACACAGACATGGCTTCTCTCGAAGGCTTGCCGGATGAGCGCCGCGCTGATAACGCTTCCCTCGACCCTAGCAACAACAACAACACGGCCAAAATCACTCAGCATTCTCCTCGCGACGACGACGGCGACCACGATCACAACACTGCAGCCTTACAGTCCGCTGAGTATAGCGATCAGAGCGGTCAGGCACAACAACCTTTGACTTATCATGCGCACCCTCCTCTTTCGTTCCGCCCACACAATCTTGCACGCTTTGGAGTTGCTGCTCGCTCTGCACTCGGCCAAGCAAATCGCGTTCCTTCTGCTGCTCCTCAAGCACTCAATGCGACCTCCGCCCAATTTGGTATTCCTGCCCTCCACAAAGGTCCTACCCCTGAGCCTGCATCATCATCAGTTAATGCAGTATCGACCACTGAGAATCTCGCCTTCGACGAACAGCAGCAAGCTCAAGAACGTAGCACCATGCGTAACAGAAGTCGCAGTCTGAACGGCGATCACACCACCCAGGCCAGATCCTCCCACGGTAGACCTGCCTCGTCACGTCACAGGAGCCGCAGCCCAGTCCTCGCTACACAACCCCTATCATACCGCGATCGTAGCCCCACCCGTCACCAAGGTAGTAGCGCACTTGATCGCAGCGGCGAGAGTGAGTCTGCAGGAGTTGATGACGTGAGCATGGATGATGCAGTCGCTGCAGAGAGACAGCGTCGTATGCCTGAGTTACAAAAGGAGAAGAACAAACATGCAACTTGTGTCCTCTGCTGGCTCAAAGAATTGCCCTGCGACCATCAATGGCCTTGTAAAGAGTGCAAAACCAGAGGCAAACCTTGTGCCTACATAGTTTGTCCTATGGCAAACTGCGCGCTCGATGTCAAATGTCCCGCATACCACAAGAACAAGAAACTTCCGGACGAGACTCGCAAGATTGGATGCCCCATGCATATGCTCGCCCTCTTGAATCTCAACCGTCCCCTCATCGATTCATACGACGTACAGAAGATTCAGAAGAAGACCGAAGATCCTGGCTCTGCACAGCAGATCCATCTTCTGCTCCAGCAAGAAATCGAGCACATCGTTCAGCAAAAGACCAAACTCGAGAATCCCATGGCCATGAAGCTACTCTGAGATTCGGAAAAGGTGCCTAAGATGGGAGACAAGAGTTTGAAGATCAAAGCTAGATTCATTGTGCAGCTTGTCAAGGAGATGAAGTAAGTTTGGTTTCTCACAGTCTGTGGCAAACACTAACCATCTACAGGAGTTAGCCCTATCGTGAGCTGTGGGAGCATGATCACAGACAACGCAAGTTCGCCCCTCAGCAATTCAGTTCAGCTGAGGTACAAGACACACCCATGCTTGACTTCGAAGAATAGATCCAACCTCGCAAGCACATCATCTGATTATGGAGGAAGTCCAGCCAGCGAATTATGGAGTGTGTGCTCAAGTGTGTCGTTCGTTCTCGATTAAATGACCTCAAGCAAGTCCCTGCTGGCCCAAGGCCTGTTCAAACCTTATGCTTCAATCAGCAATCAGGAGTTTGATTTCAAGACGAAGGTTCACAAAGCTAGTGGTTCGTAGCGAGTCAATTGTCTTTCACGTTATTCATGCTTGCATGTCAGATTGTTTGTTGAAAAACAAAGCTAGGTTTTCCCAGATAGACTTTCACGAAGACACTCTCCCACCCTTTGTCCGAGAATGGACCAGCGTAATCTGTCACGAGCTTCCAAATTCTTGAGGTCTACATTTGTAAACATATCGAGGAAACCCCTATCATGGTCCTTGAACGAACTCACGGTAGATTCCTTCAGACTCGAAGGTTCTGAGGCGATTTTTGCTAGGCAGACATCGTGCGATTTTCCGTCACTTTGAATCCCACTTTCATACCATCAGAATCTGTGAGGTCATCTCAATTGACCCAGCTACTTCTTCCGCTCCGCACAATTTGTGACAACAATACTACAAACTTCTCTATCTCGCTTGCTGCCCTGTGCCGCAACATCGATCGAGTCATGTCCTTGTTGCCTCTATCTCCTGATGCTCTCGACTATGATCCGAGGGACTGGGAACGCGCAACTCGCATCGCTACGCACAATGGCCAGGTCATCAGATGTTTCTTCCGCAGACTCTTGAATCAATTCGATGAAGACATGTTGGAGCCGGTTGTGCAACATCCGGACTACGACGAATTCATTAGCATCCACTACGACACACAGGACTGGATCGCCACCACACGCAGCGCAACATTTGATGGACGCGTTCATAGGCAAATCTTTGAGGCGGAACTCGCATCCGTGGTGCCACACGTGGTAAGGCTGTTCCTTTGTTAAGTAGCCTCTATTCCTAACAAAGGTAAACAGTACGGTATGAGATTCCAGGTGCGTGCGGCACCCCCTAGACCACCTCGTCTGGCTGTGAACATCATGCCTGAGCGTGATCAAATTCGGATGCGCCCACCTCCCTTTGATTTGACGCACCGCTCTCACTCGGAGCTTACTCAAGTCACTGAACGCCAATTTGACTTCGCTACACCACCACCCCGCTACACTAGCCGCCCACCTCGCCTTGAGACTGCCCCTTCCTATCCTCGCTCGCCACCTCCTCGATATACCAGCCGCCCTCCCGGTCACGAAATGATGGGTCCGGCTCTCCGCGCTACTCCTCACCATCACGTCAGTCGTGCACCTGAGCGCACCCAAGGCAGTACCACTTCCAGACCTGGCCGCCGCCATGCTCGGTCCAGAACTCGCAGCCCAGCTCGCCGTCAGATTGAGTATTATCCTGACTATGTGGTACCAGTTACCAGAAACGGCCAGCGATTCTTGATCAGACGCAGTGGTGCTTCTGAGCGACGCGTTGCCCGTGAACGCCACCGTGCAGCTGCTCGTCGAGACAATCGTTAGGCCGTTCAAAAACGTACTCTTGATATGATGAGGTTGGACTAAGGAGCTTTTTCTGTTCAAGGGAGTGGCTTTGTTCATTTGGTTTTGTTGAAAGCCGTATTTGGATATTATCATGGAACAGACAAAGACTGGTCATAGTCTCTAGAAAGATGGCTTGGATAGCAATCACTTTCTTGTGGTAAAAGATACTCGTAGGTACACCAAACCAATGCAGTCCTTCATGGGATGGTTACTCCAAACATCTTTCGCATTCACTGCTCTCCAGCAACTCGTCTGTGTTCTTGTATGGTGCAAGAGCCAAGCGATGGCTCGTGTACATTGCTGTTGTACAGCACTCTGTGCTAGAGCATATGGTTCGTCATCAATATGCAATTCCTATCATTCTGTCTGTGAGTCCGAGGAGACGAGAAAATAAGGAGACATAGAGCAACAACGAGGACATAATGAGGAAGATACACCAGGGGATATAGCTCTGGATTGATGCTCCTGAGTCTGAAACTCAGTGATAGCAACCTTTATATACTGCCATGTCTAAAGTATCTTTAGGGTGACTGAACAGGTCGGATGGTGTAGCGGGAGTCAGTTCGACAATCTCGTGTGGCGCCAGTTCGGCAAGCCACAACACCACGGCAATAGGCATCAACAATCTTTTATTCGACTCTGAGCTAGGTCCTCTTTTGCATTTCGATGAGATTCCTGGTACTGAGCATCCATGATGCATTTGTGAAATGGAGTCGGTCCGCTATCCTCGAAGGCTGGATAGAATTTAACCCGTACTCATTCTGTGGTAGATGGTGTTGTATGTCCGTGTGAGAGTGTCAGTGGTAAACATCGAGTGCACAGCCAGCGCAGTTGTTGGATAGTCAACTATTTTGGTAGCAGGATGGGTATGACTTGAGCGTCTTCGTCATCGTTTACCGACGAAGTTCAATGAAAGTTGTGTTTCGATCATGAAACTATCAACTGTTCCAGACCATTCATCTTTGATGTATTTGGATGTCGTTATCAAGACATCATACAATGAGTGGCACTCAAACGGAAAGGTTTTGGGAAGGGAGGTCATAGACAGGGTCGTACCTACGACATCTGATTGTGTTAAGAAAATCTCCAGTTCTCGAATTCACCTTCTCTTCATCGCGACTTCCATTTGCGGCAATGTGCCAACATTCCTTGATCAATGCGCGGTGCATCTTGCGCAACTGTAGCCTTGTAAGCTAATTGCATCTCTGATTGTCCGCTCCGACTACAGTGATCTCTCTGACCTCCGAGACTTCGCCCTGATCATACCCGAATGCATCTTGATGGATACTGCTCGACTACGATTGCACCATCGGCCTCATCTGTGCCGTCTCAATGGCCGATATCTCATGATCTGAATGTTTGTCCCGTCTTGCAAGGACAAACGAAGAAGAAATTCCGGATGCACTAAGCAAATCCCGGCATGGGGCATGCATAGTGACCAAACCCCGAATCGATTGCGACAACACCGAACTTCGAAACAGCGTATGACAGCACATACCATCTTATCTCGGGGTCTGGTATACTCTCTGCACTCGAAAGCGCGATCTAGCACATCATACGACATCTCGAACATCAGGCATCTTCACCCGAAAGTGTTACGATAGCAATGTCGGCCTTGATGTATCATCACTGCATTGACGATGAGAGGCACCGAGCTGTACGCGGTGTCGGGAGTCTGTAAGGCGATAACGATGGCGAGTCAGATATATAAACCTCGTTCGCCAGGACGATGGAAAGGAACATCACACTCAATCATCCACAACTTCCAACACCAGATCAATCATCCCTCAATTCACCAATCACCTCCAAAATGGTCGCCACTATCAAGAAGTACAAGGCTGCTGCCGTCAACGCCGAGCCTGGATGGCTCAACCTTGAGCTCTCAGTTCAGAAGACCATCCACTGGATCAACGAAGCCGGCCAGAATGGCTGCAAGTTGATTGCCTTCCCGAACTCTGTATGCATGCCCTACTTCATCATGTTTGCCTGAATTCTAACAAAATGATCAAAAGGGATTCCTGGCTACCCTTACTGGATGTGGCGTGTCAACTACCAGGAGTCTCTGCCCCTCCTCAAGAAGTACCGCGAGAACAGTCTTCCCAGCGACGGCCCTGAGATGCACCGCATCCGTGCTGCTGCAAAAGAGAATCAGATCTTTGTTTCTCTTGGCTACTCCGAGGTTGATCTCAACTCGCTTTACACTACCCAGATCTTGATCTCACCAACTGGTGACATTCTCAACCACCGCCGCAAGATTCGTGCCACTCATGTCGAGAGACTTGTTTTCGGAGACGGTATGTGGCGTTTATTGTAACAAAAGTAAGGACCAGTTACTGACAAAGACATGATAGGCACTGGTGACACCACTGAGTCGGTCGTCGATACCGAGATTGGTCGCATCGGCCAGCTCAACTGCTGGGGTGAGTGCAATAGAATGACACTGGGATCACATCGGCTAACTCGACCAANNGAAAACATGAACCCCTTCCTCAAGTCCTACGCCGTCAGCAAGGGCGAGCAAGTTCATATCGCCGGCTGGCCCCTCTACCCTCACGCCACAACCCTCAAGTACCCCGACCCCTACACCAACATCTCCGATGCCAACGCCGACATCGTTACTCCCGCCTACGCCATCGAGACCGGCTCTTTCACTCTTGCTCCCTTCCAGATGATTTCCAAGGAAGGTGTTGATCTGCAAACCCCTCCTGGCAAGGAACGCGAAGACCACAGAATCTACAATGGAAACACTAGGATCTATGGTCCTGATGGTCAGCTCTTGATCACCAAGCCTGACGATGACTTTGAGGGTTTGGTGTATGTTGATATTGATCTCGACGAGACACACTTGAGCAAGGCTTTGAACGATNTTCGTGAGTTACCTCCAGTATTGTCTACGCTGCTTGGAAACAATGCTAACCAATCTACAAAACAGGGTGGTCACTACATGCGTCCCGACCTTCTTCGCCTTGTCGTTGATACTGACCGCAAGAGCTTGGTCAACAGAGTCGATGGAAGTGGCAAGTTCATTGTCGAGAAGACAGTCGATCGTGTGGGCTTGAGCACTCCTTTCAAAGACCTGCCCATTGCTCAGAAGAGTGAGGGCACCTCCACTTCTCAGGACCAGGAGTAAGGAGTGATCTGGGTTCATGGTTAGCTGTAGCTCTTCTCTCCTCTCAAATACGCAAATTTGTTCCCTCTTGAGCGAACATGATTCTCAAGTTATCTCTTTTGAACTCGCCGTGAAGAACAGTCCAGTGACACGCGGAATAGATTGGCTTACAGTAAATAGTAGGCAGTAAATTTGTCGTGGGGTGCAAAAGAGTTGCCGACTCAGGGGGTCGAACAAAAGATCAGAGACCTTGCGCTTTCTGGGTTTGACATACCGCTCAGGATGATGGCCACTGTAGAAGGCTGCCACTACACCACAGAACCTGCTAGTTCTCCTTGGAAGCAATCTGAGCGACCATCGTATATAAAGGTTAGTAAGGGGCCATGTGACTCCTGCCTTAATTCAGGTGTCTTCGTCATCATTGCAGTCTCCCTGCTTGATAACCTTTCACTTTTGAATATCTAGCAATGCTCAAAAGCGCTGCTCGCATGCTTTTGCATAGCATGGGAATGTTGGATTCACACAGCAATGTCTCACGAATCATACAAGAAGTCACCTCCATTTAGCTGTGCATACGATCGTCTTCGATTCCTCGGTGGTTGAGATGTAAGCACAAGTGACTGGGTCTGCAGTTCGATGATTGGTGCGTAAAACACTACTGCTAAGGCTCTTATTCAAGAAACCGTCTCGGCAGGGCATTGATAAAAAAACGTCAATGAAATGCCTGAAAGCCAAACGTCTATTCCCAACAAGAAACAGAGCAAGCTTTCGTGCAGACAGAAAGTCGCCCAAACCCAATCAACAAAGAAAACAAGCAAAGAGGAGGGTCCTGTGCCAACAGCATATCGCAGTCTTGCCCAAGAGAACCGTGTCACATCCTGACTGTCATTCATAAGGATCCGCAACAAAGAAAGATTCCCAGATCCGACATCGAACCGAGTTTGATCAACGACGAAGGTGCACAGAGATACCAGCGCAGGTTTGTTGGCATAACAAATGATACAATGATTCCTGGTCTCGCCATTCATCCAACCTTGCAGCTTGATGAAACGGAGATGGCTATCCAAAAATCAGCGTGATCCAAACGATAACACCCGATCATTCCCTCTCTTTGGAGCAACTTACAACGTTTTCTCAGATGCACGACCCAATGAGAGATCGGTGTCACAGCCATAGAAAGTCTCGTGAAGTAGCAATCCATTCAGGACGTACATGTTGATCAAGCATTGTGTTTCGCGAACTTGCCAATACGCTTCGCATGGCGGTCCCAGATTTCCTTAAAAGGAGGATAGCTACGAGCGGTCAGCAACATTGAAGCAACAAGACATCCGCCACAACTTACCTTATCTGTGTGAGAAAATCAACTATCAGCTTTACTCGGCCGTTGAGTTGCTCTTGCGACATATGCGAGCTGAATTCAGTGGGTGGTAGTGCCGCGATGTAAGACTTGATAGTGTTTGTATGAAACATGGGGTTTTCCTCCTCCAGGCGGGTGCGGATCTCACCAAAGAGGTATTGCGCAGAAGTGGGGTTGTTGTGGAGTTCCTGGAAGTGGTCGAAGATATCTGAAGGAAAGCCGTTCAGTGGAAGCTTGATCAGAGCGATGAGATGCATGGGACTGGCAAGTTAGCCGTCCAGTGTATCATTCTTGTCGGCGTGGTATGCAGGACATCTTGGTGTCTTGGGACAATTGTGAACGGGACAGCGGATGTAGAAACACTGCTTTGCAGTGCCGGCGTCCACACATTCAGAGCAAGGTAGTTGGTGGTCGCACGGCTTGCCGTTGAGCCAGCATGTAGCGCAGACGGCGTTCTGATTTTCCAGTTGCTCGTGTGGGATGATCTGGCGTCTATTACCACGACGCTCAGAACGTGATAACTTTGCAGGAATGGCTAACACGTCGGACGTCTCTCTAGAAGACTCAAGGGTTGAGTGCACAGGGCTGGAGGGCCTGCCTGTTAGAAACATTTCTGGATGGTTCTGGGGCTGAGCGATCAAGTCTAGATGCCATATCGTGGAGCCTTCTGTAAGATTCAGGAACCAGACACAGGCGTGGAGGGCTGCGGCTTCTTCGGCGTGAAAGAGGTGGAGGTTCTCTTGCGCGGCTGGATGAAAAGGGTCTTGCGTGGTTGCTGCAAATGCTTGGGACACTAGTAGCAGTCTCCGTAGTGTCTGGTGCGAGGTTGTCGATAGTTTGCGGGAGAGGCTCTCGAGGTGAGAAGGATCCAGGAAACTGTGATCGGTAAGTATCTGAGCAGTTCGCGAACGCTAACCATTACTTACGATTTGACTTTGCTTCTCCTGTATATTACGTATGAAGAGATCCACATCGAACCAACCATTGGTAGAGGATTTGACGACAGTATCCATGGCATCTTCGATGCGGTATCTGACAAAGGTCTGAAGTTGAGGGACGTCCACGTTATCGTGCACAATATCGGCTGGCTCAGGCGTTTCGGAGTAGTCGCTGTCTGGATCCCTCATTGTTGCTGGTGTGCTTGGGGGACAGATCTATGAGGATAAGAAGGAATGAACAGTTAAGATGCGCAAGTAAAAGAAAGAGAAAAAGGCGAATCGTTGCAATATTTGAGTGTACGCTCGGCTATAGTGAAGCAAGCACACTGAGTGAAAGCGTGGTTGCTATGCCGGAAAATTGGTCGCAACAACATCATATGCCGATATCTGTGACAAGGTTACCCATGAGGATACAAAACACTTCTGCGCAACAGAGCAACCTCGATTGAGTTTTGAATGTGTGAACATCCTCCGTAGTTGCGATAGGTGCAGCTTTCGATGGGTTTTGGGCAAGTGAATGGCACCGTGATGGATCATAGTATGAATCGTGACTTGGAGAGGCTTGGTCAGCAAAAATGATGCTCAGGCGGAGGCTCGAACCACGAGCAAAAGATTAGTTTGGCATACCGCTCAGGATGATGGCCACTGTAGAAGGCTGCCACTACACTAACTTACCTTTTCAGGCTTGAAGTTGCCTTGACCTAGATTCAATATATCCCTAATCTCGTGCGCTCGTCTGATCTCCGAAAAGTCTCGACAACTCAGGAGCTCATCCGACCATGTGTCGAGGGTGAGAGTTGGGAAGTGTTTCTTCGTCGTGTAGAGATGTCGAGAAAGCCCTTCGTCGAATTGATCGTTTGTGGTTGGCAGTGCCGTCGACATCTCGGGGACAGCCTATTCGCTCGTCAGTGCTGCACTGAATCTTCTACTCTGACATCAGACAACAGTCAACCAAACACACATAAAAGCACAGGAAACCCATAAAGAGTGAAAAAAAATTAATCATTACAATGCCATGCACAGCAAGCCAACTTCGCACAAACAGATGCCAAGCCCATCCCATAAGCAAAAAAAGAAACCAGCACATCTATATACACAAAACGTATGTGCTTTTCGTTTCCCTCTAATCAGGGGCGGCCATTAACGTCATACTCCTCGAGTCGCGGACTAAGGTATCTTCTTAACATGCCCATCGCCAGGCGGACTCGGTGGATTTGTGCCACTAGCACCTCGTTGCTGTTCTTCCAAGCCGCTTCTCCTTCTCAGCAGAGGTGCGAAATGCACGACTACCAACCAAGCTGCAAACCCATTGACTAGATGATGCAACACGTAGGCATAACTAACACCATAGACTGCGGCGTAGAGTGCCAAGGCAAACAGCATGATGTTATTGACTAGGCGCCATGAAGACGTCAAGCGAGGGATGATGTGGCCAGTACTCATGGTTTCGACGATTAGGATGTAGGGCATGATGGAGAGGATGTTGTGGTGCGAGGAGAAGGGTGTAAGCCAATGAACGGCGAGATTGTGAACCCAGACGACGAGGACTGGCAGGTTGATAGGCAGGATCCAGAGCATGAGGATGAGTAGACTGTGCACGTAGTTGTAGAAGTTGTAATTGTTGCCCGAGCGCTGCAGTTGTGTTAGATGTTGGAGTCATGACGATCTGGATAGATGGGAGCTTACTGTTTCTTGTGCCAATCGCAATGCGCGGACGGAGGTTGCGAGCTGTACCAGGCAGAGGACTAGGTAGGCGAATTGGTAGGGTATAATGGTCGCGACCATGATGAGCAAGATACTGGTTGTGATGACACGTTGTAGAGGACTGGTGACTGCGAATGCTGTTGTTGATCGTCTNGTCGCAATCAGTCAGTCATTTTCCAACTGAATCTTATAGAGACAGCCGACTCACCTTCCGTCGTCGTTTCTCAATCGCACATTCCTGACTTTGGCGTAGCAGAATGTAAACACCTGTGTCAATGCCAACGTGATGTAGTTGAGCACAATACAGACGCCTACACTGATGACACCAAACAGAGGTACGAGCCAAAAGAAGAAAGGATCATTGGAGCCAAGTAAGAGGTCGTTCTTGGTAAATTGCAAGAATGATTCTGTGGCCTCGTGCTGAGATCCAAGTATTTCTTCACCTGCCGAGATAGTGGCATGGTTGGCAAGTGCAAGAGACAAGAACGACAATGCGATGAAGAGAACAGGAAGGGATGTACGGATACACTGATCCATGCCTTCGGAGAAGCTCATGAAGATGCCTGATATGCTGTTAGCACGGATATCATATTTCGATTGGTGACATGAGGACAGACCTGTAGCATCGTACACCTTGAACTGCTTTCTCAGTACCAAAGCCACAACAACCAGAGGGAAAGCAGCAAAAACAGTCCTGTAGCGCATGTAGAGTTTGCCAAAGCTTCCAAGGAAATCGATGTCCAGGGACACACTCATCTCCGCATTACAAGTTGGATCTGACCAGATTTGTAGCGAAAGACCATCCTTCGTGTGGGCGGCATTTGCTGGTGGAGGCACAAACGGTGAGACGCCATGCAGATTGATGTTGACATCGCCGCGCACATTCGGGAAGAATTTCGACTCGTACGGCTCTGAGATGTACTGTCTCAACAGAGGTTGGAACAGGGGTTCGGTGTTGCAATTTTGATGAACGCGTAGGGTGTAGGCCAACAAGCTTGAGTGCACGCGAGGAACACGAATCTCGTTGACCATTGCGCGTGCAGCTGGCAAGATACGATGCATGCCACTCAACATCAAACTGCGCAATGATCGTCTCACAGTGACAGTCGATTTGATGGCATCGCTAAACTCAGCAATCACCCATCCATCTGTGAGCTCGCTTGCCTTGTCGACGACAGCAACAAACTGATAGTCAGACAGATCTTTGAGCGCATATTCGACATATGTAAAGGGTTGGACGTCGTCGAAGGCAAAGTTTGATTCCGAGTTCGAAGCAGGCAGGGCAATAGCATCGACAACGGTGTCCTTACAGGACAAGCGCATGAAACCTGATGAGCCGCCAGAAAGATCCAGATTGATAGCATAAGCATTGCCACCCGCACCAGCTTGAGGAACATGAGAAGAACAGAGAAAGACTTGAACAGGCCCATGTTCATCAATCCGCTGGTTGGTCAGGACGGAAAGTTTTCGAGCATCGTTGTCAACCAGAGAGGGCACAGGCAAAACGTATGCTTCGGTCTTTGCAGAAGAACCCAGCTGACGAAGACTCAGACGTTCACCCTCAGTAAGAATGGCCGAAGATTGATCGTCCATGGAAAGAAGCATTTTNGCTTCCTGTTTTGGTAGTTCCTTTTGTACAGTCGATTCTAGACCTGTGAGGAAGCGTTTCCGGAAGTGGTGCAAGCGATCCGCACGTGGTATTGTTTGTGTAGGTTGTTTTACATCAGCAACGTCGAAAAGGGCCTTGATGACTGCTTTGCGGAGCTGATCACACCATATGATGGCCAGATGGTCCATACCAGTCCATACGTGAGGCATTGTCGAGGTGAAAACAGTAAATCCATGCGACTCGGGCACCAGAGAAGTCAGACTAGCGTAATCCGAGGGTACAACAGTATCCAGACCACCACCAACGATTGAAACCAAAGTAACATGATCCAACGGGCCTTGATCTACAGAGTAGGATTTGCGCCAGTATTCGTTGATGCTTTGATATGTATCGACAATATCCTGGTCGAAGGAGACAGGTGCACGAGCATGAGGAGCGGAGAGGGTAATTATGGTGTTGATGGTATTAGGTTGATAGTTGTGCATTGTAAACATTGTGCGAGCAACAATGCCGCCCATAGAATGGCCAACGAGCATGACCGAGGTAGGATCGGGTAGTGAGTCGTCACGTAGACTGCGATGAGGGTTGTGGTAGAGGGCGAGGATATATGCGATGGCTTCATTGAGGTATTCGGCTTGGTCCAAGAGGGTCTGGCCGTGGAAAGCGGTAATGTCTTCGTTGAAGTCGACCGAGAAGAAGTCGAATGGACGCTTGCCGTCCTGCTGAGCTTGCGGGTCGTGTTGCAGCACGTCGTGGTAGTAATTGGCAGCTTCGGCTGCTAGAGAGCGCACTTGCTTATAGCTGCCTGCATTTCCTGGAATGAACAGCACGGGGATACCCTTGACCNNTGTGTCTTGTGTCAGCCTCTTGTGCCTTGCAAATGGCAATATTGTACGCACGCGCGTGTCCTGGTCAATGCCAGCCTCGCGATACAGATACAACGAGTACTTTGTTGCGAATCTGGTATGCTCGGTGTCGAAGTCTGTGTATTTGGCAAAAGCCGAGAGCATGTACGACATCTTGCAGCCCTTGGAATCCAATTGGCGTCCGAGAAACGACTGGGCTATGGTCGCCAACAGCAGCAGCGACAGACCAGTACATATCATCGTCACCAACGAGCAAGACCACGGGCTGCGCAGCCTCGCGCGTTGGCGCTGTTTGCGATAGAAGTCGTCCATCTTGCCGGCCGAGGGCGCAGGTATGGGAGGAGGAGTAGTCGATTGAGGGTCTAGGTTGTCGTCGGAATCCTTCTTGCGAGGGAAGATCAGGGGTGGGTGAATTGTCCTTGTTGTCGTCGCTATTATCCACCTCTTCAACATTGCTTCGCATATTAACCTTCAACCCTTCATCTTCGTCGGCGCCCGCGAGAGAAGAGGCCCGTCTTCGCATGAGCAACGTCCACGTCTAGACCAGTTGCCGAGAAGTCCGTCCGACACTCGCTCGAAACAGAATCCACACGATACAGAAGCGACAGGAAGGGGTGGATGGAGTCAAAGGAAAAGATCAGGGCACGGATGCAAACGATTGTCAGGGACGCCGAATCGTCAATCTCAATGCGCTGCGGACCCGCGTGGCTTCCGCATACGCGTACGAAGACCAAACTAGACAAAGCACTCCCTTTCCCTATTGTTAATAGAATCAACTTCGTATCGCTGCTTAGCCTGCTCGACCACAAAAGAGGCCTTTCCAGCCACCACTTTGATCCTTTTGACCCTCTTCTACAAGCCGCCTGCCACCGCGTTTCTGCATCCTCGATTGCGCAGTCGTGTGCTTGGCACCTCCAGAAAATGATGTAGCTACAATTGCTTGTTCGCAGCCGCACTCTTCCGCTCCAGGAGCCAAACGGCTCCCCTAATCCATACTTTACCCGTTTGTATACCTCTCCGTGTGAACAAATGCCGTGTCGGACATGATTCTTCTGCTCGTCACACGAGACGCGCGGTCAGACGCATCAGGAGGCTTGCGGTCTCCAAACGCCCTGAGAACCTTGACCGAAGCGCTGACCAGCCTTTCCCCGCAGTGGGACCGCAATATCACAAACATGGAGAGCAAATACGGGCGTTAGAACGAATCATGAAATTTCAGCTGAGCTGTCGTAAAGGCGTCAAGTTAACTTCTGTCTGAAAATCAAGGAACTCCAAACAAGAAACAGACAAAACGTGGTTGCCAAGTCCGCAAGCTCCAAAGTCAATCTTGCTCTCTTCTTACTCGCCATCACAATGTCCAGTGCAAGTGCCCTTGACCACTTCTCCCGAGATGAAATCTGCTGCAGACACGGTTCCATCCCCTCCATTCAGCATACCACCGAACATCTTGCACAATCCATTGCTGATCTGGAACGTGAAGCTGTAACAAGTTGGCTGCGAATCACAAGCCTTCATACATTCATTGAAAGACCCGGTCGTTTGAGAAATGGACCACTCGCTGAGGTTGGAAAGTCGCTCGAGGCATGTATACACGTCATAGTCACAGCCACATATACCATCAGCTCCAATATTGTTGATTGCGACAGCCACACATGTCGTTTCTCTGGGAGGTGTTACGCTCGTGGTCGTTGCCACTGTGTTCGAGCTGGTGTCTGCAACTGAGGTGGTTGGAGTGCTCAAGACAAATGTTCCATTGCTGTTCGTGGTCCAGCTGATTGGAGTTCCTGACACAATGGATGTCAACATGGATGATGAAGTGGTTGTATTGGAAGCAAACGTCGAAGTATCAGTAGGCAACGACGTGTCGGACGATGTAGTGTTGATCATTGTTGCAGAAGTCGAGTATCCGCCAGAGGAGGATGGCATGCTGCTCTACATACAGTATCAGACAACCGGCTTGCTTTCAACGTCTCAATGATACTGACCGAGCTCGAAGAAGCTGTAATGCTGGGACTGGGGTATATCCCATAAGGCTGGCGTATCCCGACTTGCGCGGCAAATGCAGTCGACAAGGTGGCAAACAAGAGTATAGCAGAAGCCATTGTCGTGGTTGAGGTATGGTAGTGGTTGATTGTGAAGGAGTCGCGACGAAACTCGGGTCTTATATGCTGTCTCGACAGCTGCTCAGGACAAAGAAACGGTATGAGGTGACTGGGAGCTTGGTCGAGTCAACCAAACTTTGCGATGTTGCTTGCATGTGTAGTTGGAGACGTCCTCTAGGTGGCGGACGACCTTTTGTTCAAACCACCACTCCCCACATTTGATGATACACAAAAGAGTCGCAAACAAGGACCGTGGTCACACACATGGCTTGCGGCGTACGGCCGCTTGACAGTCTGTAGCTATCCGCTGTAAATCTGGGTACACAACATGTTCGCTGCAGACGTGCAGTCGATCATAAATGTGTCATCGCCCAACCTCCTGATAGCGAGTTCTGTCGATCTGGGTAGTGTTAAGCAAGCCTCTCATCGCACAGGGCCGACTTGTATCTGATGTCTGGACATTCTTTCTTGAAGCTGCTGCTGCTTCTGCTTCTCTTGTTCCATCTTGCGTCGAACCTGGTTCAGCTTGTCGAATCGTCCTTTAGCGCCGTGAATCATCTTTGTTATCATGTCTGCCGCTTTGCCTTTGGTGGTATCTGCAGACGTAAGTTGTTGACCTTCAGAGCGAGACTGGTTGAGTCTAGCTAGCTGTGCTGGTGTTGGAGGGTATTTGCGCCACGGTGCACTCGTAGCGATGTTCCTGAAAGGACAGTGTTTGCCTGCATAGCTGTCGGCGGCGTGAATAGCTTCTTCAAATTCATGTACCTTGGCCAATTCTCGAGGTCTTGCATAGGGGCTTTTACCGGAGAAGCCTGCTGGCAGCTTTGCAACACTGGTGACAATCCATGGTCGTTCGTCAGTGGTATCGTCCCGGTGAATCTTCAACGTATCACCACTACCACTTGACAAAATGTATCGATCAGTGTCGATTTGAACCCATGCGAATTGACTGATTCGCCTTATGTAGACGTCACCTCGAGTGTCCTCCACCAGATCGTTGACCGAGTCATAATGGGTAAAGGTGATGTTACCGGCCAGACTCTTCATACTCCCATCCAGGGCAGAGAGTTGACCCATAGCTGAAGAGGCTTCCTCTTCGCGTTGCTTCTCCCTCTCACGTTTTTCTCGTGTTGAGGTCATGGACGTGACATCTGCATGATCTACCAATTCAGAAGGATCAAGACCGAACAAGGTTGGCGTAGTCACAATTCCTGTTTCCAGGGACGCCACCATGTCAATGACATGGCAGCCCTCTTTACCTGGATGCAGTCGCAAACCTCGACCAATCATCTGAACCAAGAGGTTACGTGACTTTGTAGGTCGAGCTAGTAGTACACAGTCGATGTTTGGTATATCAGTACCTTCTGTGAAGATGCCGCAGTTCAGTAAGACGGCAAACTCTCCATTCTTGAAAGCATCCAAACGCTCGGTCCTAATCTGCTTCGGCGTGTCACTAGTGATGAATCTCGCATCAATACCAAAGCGACGAAACATTGCTGTCAGACTCGATACGTGTGCCAAGTCTACACAAAAGACCAGAGTAGCCTTTCTGTCCTGAGCTTGCGCAAGCCATGCTTGAACGGTGATTTGGTTTGTTTCGTCGTTGTTAACAGCTTTTGACAGGCCACCAGTTTGAAAATCTCCTTGCTTCCCAAGCGATCTTACTTTGCTGAGATCTGCTCCAGATTGTACCGTAGTGAAAGAAGCAGTAGATAGCCACTCGCCCTCGATCATATCCAGATAGTCTTTGTGGTAGACAATCTGATCGATTGCAGCGCCTAGCCGAAGACCATCGTGTCGGGAGAAGGTTGCAGAAACACCAACCAGAGCAGGGCAATTGTTATTGGGGATCTTTTGTGATTCCTCGTCCAGTCTGAAATGCTTGAGAACGTCGAGATACCTTGTAGCGACTATGTGATGGGCCTCGTCTACGAGCAAAAGCTTGAATCGATTCGGGTCAAACTTGCCGAGACGATCTCCAGACATGATACTCTGGATCGAGGCCACTGTTATATCAGCCACGCCTGTAGCATGTCTTGAGCCCATCTCGATCTCAATCATCTTGTCAGGGTAAATGTTTTGGCAATGACGAGCCGCTTGTTCCACCAGCTCCCTACGATGAACCAAGATCAAGGTCTGAGTGGCTTCCGTCGTTGGTTCTGGAACTCGTTCAATCAAGTGACTGAAAATGACCGTCTTGCCGCTTCCAGTCGCCAGTGAAATTCCCAGACGTTTTTGACCGAGATCAAGATGTCGCAAAACAGCTTCGATGCATTCTTCTTGATAAGATCTCAATTGTATTTGCGGTCTTTGGGTCGCCGCCACTGGCTGTACGGTAGCATATTGACGAACGTGCGGCCGCTGTATGCGGGACCAGTAGATTGCAAATTGACGACCTACACAAAGCCTGTGCGAGTTCCTGATGAGCTGCGAGACTCTGAACATTCGTCTGACCATACAATATTGTCCAAAACGGAAAGATGATGCTTCCCGTTTAGGCAAAGTTCTCGTGGACAGAGCGATGCAAGCATTATGTAAGCGCCAAGACTTTTACTGATCTGCGCTTTCCTCTCACATGCAATGTTTTGATGCTCAAGAAATAATTGATTTTCATCTCACACCGGATCTTATTCTTCGGGACACGGATTATGGGATGAGCGACATCGAAACCGACAGTGGGTCGGTCCACGACGACGAAAATCAAATCAATGAACTCCAAGAGGACTCTGGTTCTGAATATCAAGGCGAAGATGACGACCAAAGCGACGATGCAGCAAACTCGGTGCGAAGTGGACGTAGCGAGAGGAGTAATCAATCAGAAAAATATGTGTCGCCAAAGAAGTCAAAACCTAAGGACAACCCCAAACCGACGATCACAAAAAGCACAAAAGCCACCTACAGTGATGCCTACCGAGACTTTTATAACACAGAGGTTGAAGAGCTGATCCATCCACTCCATGCTCTTACTCATGCACTACCAGCATCTGAGATCGGAGTGACAGTCTGGACTCCTCTGGAANAAGAGACTTTGTACCGAAAGGTCTCGGCTCTGGGCAAGGACGACATCAAAGGAATCTCGAACGCAATAAGGACCAAATCTGAGACCGAGGTACGCCAGTATCTCTTACTGCTCGACAAAGGAACGGTCGAGGGTAATATGACCAAAGCACTGCCTGTGTTTTCTGCTGCAGACATATCACCTGCTTTCGAAGTGAGCAAGCAATCAGAAGAGCTGCTTGAAGAGTACGCAGACGGTCTGGCCCGGTATCAGACAAGGAGTGATCAGAAGCGAGAGAAGAAGAGGCATGGTGACTACTGGCTCCTTACTGAAGATGTTGCGCAAGAAGTCGAGGAACAAGTCATGGCACGTGATGAATCGTACACGAAGTCAGGGCTACATGATGAGGCTGAAGATGAAGACGATGAGAATGATGATGATCTAGAAGATGCGAAAAGCGATCAGGAGGCTGCCAACACGGACGTTGAATCTGGTCAAGAAGACCTTAAAACCGATGCCGGAGACGAACCAGAATCCCTTGGAAAAGCGACAGCGAAGGATCAGGAGCCAGATCGGCAATCCTCTGAGCCGCTTGAAGACATTATGGTTCCCGCAGCTGAACTCCTTGATCTTCCAATGTGGCTTCGACTGTCTCGCTTATTCATGTATCAATCGCCAGAACTCGGCGACAGCTGGGACAACTTCATTACCTCTGGTCACGAAACTCCTTCGATTTACCACACTGCTTTTCAGGATTTCCACAATTTGACTGTCAGTCTGACAAGACGTGTCGTGCAGGCCACCATCTTCCAAACAATGACTCGCCTGCGAGCACGCGACAAGGATCAACCAAGCGCCAGAGTCACAACAACTGACGTCCGAGCGGCAACCGAAATCCTAGATCTACAATCTAATGCACGCAAATTCTGGGCAAGAGTACCAAGAAAACATGGGCTTCGAGTCTACGAGCGTGGCTCCAAGTTCTCGAGGGGTCAGTCTAGGGCTGGGGTTGAGCTCAGTCTCGAAGAAGCAGAAGACAGACTGGGCGCTGGTCAGACTTCTGTTGTCGCTGAAGCGGATGATGATGTTATGGAAACGGTTGAGGACGATTCAGATGAGGATGTCCTCGACCCTGACCAATACTACAACGATCCCGAGCTTTGGACCGAAGCCTCGGATGAGGAAGACGAGACTCAAACTGATGTACCAGACAATCAACATTCAGACGCTTCTGACGAAGACGAAGCTGCTTACAACCCGACTGACGATGAAGAAGCACAAGATGCTACGAGAAAGAAGCGTCGCAGAAAAGGACGAATGGAGAGGAACTTTCAAAGAGTTCATGATGCATATCTCGAAGCCGTCGATCAAGAGATTAGCAGAGTGCAGGAAGTTACGATGTGGGACACTCTTGGTGTAGCACCTCCCAACGATATCAAAAACGAAGAGATAGAGATCCCGCTCCAACCAGTTATCAAGCGTCGACTCTCGGATACCGCCAATTGGAGGGATGGCTTCGAGTATCGTTCACCATGGGAACTAGGATTCGACACTGTGCAGCCAGAGACATTTGCAAGTATGCACAAGCGAGGCGAACAGGCCAGGAAGCGCAGACGAATGGCTTATGATTACCTCGAACGAGAGGGTCTCGTCGTACTGCCTCAACAAGCACCAGAAGTCACTGTCGTCAAGAAGACCAAAGCAACTGATACTGATACGGATATGCAAGACGCGCCCGCGGACGAACCACCACGTGCTACTATAGAAACCTTCGACGACGGAGTGCCAAGAAAGAAACGTCCAGCTCCTGTCCACAAAGCCTTGAGCAGAGCTTCCTCGATCTTAAGCAGTAGCAGAGGCTTAAGCAGAGCTTCTTCAGTGCGAGAAGGCTCACACGACTCCTTGACCAGCGAGAGGTCAGGATTAACCAATCTTGCTTTGCTGAACAAATTGACGAAGCGCACGCCGGCTCAGCAAATGGAGGAAGGCCTCAGAAAAGCTGAGGAAGAGCGGAAAGCAGAGGAGGCACGACAACAGGTTGAAGAGCAGGTTCAGGAAGAGAAGCGAAAAGCCAGGGCCACTCGAAAGGCACTGTCTAAAGAAGAAAAGGTGGCCTTTGATAGGGAGAGGCAAGAAGAGAGAGCACGAAAGGCACAAGAGACCAGACGAAATGAGGAAAGGAGAAGAGAGAAAGAGGAGCAGGAAGAGATGGAAAGACTTGCCGCAGAAGAGAAGCGCAAGGTTAGAGAAGAGAAGCGAAGGGCAAGAGAGGAGGTAGAAAGAGGCAGAGACGAGAGGCGGAAGGCTAAAATCGAGAAGCGCAAGGCCAAAGAGGAAGCTGCCAGTGCGGATACCAACATCGAACAGCAGGGAGATCTAGCACGTTCACTTCGAAGCAGGAAGGCGAAGAGAAAGTCTGGATTCTAGTAATACCGCCTAACCCATTATACGCTGGAACACGGTATCGGCATCCCTATAAACCTCAGGATCTGCATTCCGACCATCAACGAGGATCTCAAACCAGCCATGGCCTTCTCTGAACCTACAGCTACACAACTTGCCACCCCATCTCAGCAGGCGACTGATCAAACTCCGGTATATAACCTTCCATACGACATCATTGAAACACTCATCTTCATTTCTCACTACTACTCTTTCGACATTGTGCAGGTTCTTCAACGTCTCGGACAAGGTGTAGGACAAAGTGTGTGCTGAATCCAAGTCTGCTATCTCGGCATAATGGCGATCATATTGCGCAGGGCGTCGTGGGACGAGGACCAATGTCTCGAGCGATAGATGTGGGTTGCCAAAGGGTACACCATTCCAAGACTCGTTCAGAGCACGTAAACGATTGATGCGACCGACCAGGGTGATGTGCCTGAGTTGCTTTACGAGCGGTTGTGGTAGGTTGGCTGTACAGAGACGTGCAAAGGCTTCGGGGTCGGCATACAGGCCGCCAATAGTGAAGGAGGTGCGTTGGAGATGCAGAAGCTGGGTTTCTCTATGCATCTGGCGACATGTGAGGAGTAAAGGCTGGGCAGGTGTCGATGTAGGCCCGTCTAGACTGGTAGGCTTGCCAAAATCGGCGAGACTTTGGTGCGAGCGAAGGGTGTCATTGGTTGTACAGGTGTAGGGACATGATTCAATGAATAAGAGGTCATAGATCTGGTTTCGCAATTCAGCAGGGAGAGTGAGTAGGGATGGCATGATGTGCTCATGTGCATTGATGATAAGGAGAAGGTTGCTATCGAGTATCACACAAAAGGACATTGATGTACACATGACGATAAGAGAACGACATCGGAGATATCGGATAAAGGCTGTTTGTTGGCCAAGTTGGTTTGCACAAGATCTTGCTCGGCATGCATCAACATAGTCAGTGTTTGTGGAGATGGACTTTATTCTAGTCTCATGTCATTGCTCTTGATCATTCCCAGATCAGAGAGTCATGATTTGGTGGCAGTGCTGTGAGCCACTGGTCAGGAGGTGTGAGCTCCGAGGCCATTTGCCAATGACGTCGGGCCAGCTTTGATCAACCAAGTTTCGCAGCGTATGCCCTCCAAACAATGAATACACACTTTCCTCCACACACACACAACCGACGCGACAATGGCTTCAATTCTGCGCCAGATAGTCGCAGGTCCCCGCGCCCAACACCCCGAAGCTGGACTCGACCTCTGCTACGTAACCGACAACATCATCGCAACCTCTGGCCCCAGCGGCACATACCCCCAACTCGCCTACCGCAACCCGCTATCCCAACTCGTTGCTTTCCTGGATAAGAAACATGGAGACAACTGGGCTATTTGGGAGTTTCGCGCTGAAGGCACTGGATACCCTGATTCTGAGGTCTATGGCCGTGTCAAGCATTACCCATGGCCTGACCATCATCCCCCGCCGTTCGCACTGATCCCATTGATCATGGCTAGTATGCGCAACTGGCTAGAAGAAAATAAAGAGAGGGTTGCGGTTGTGCATTGTAAAGCTGGCAAGGGACGCAGTGGCTCTATGAGTTGCAGCTACTTGATCTCGGAAGAGGGTTGGAAGGCTGAAGATGCCATTCGCAGGTTCACAGAACGCAGAATGCGACCGGGCTTTGGTGCTGGTGTTAGCATACCCAGTCAGTTGCGCTGGATCAGCTATGTTGATCGTTGGACACAGCACAAGAAGGTCTACGTCGAGCGTGAGATCCAGGTCATGGAAGTTCATGTCTGGGGCTTGAGGGATGGTGTCAAGGTCAGCATTGAGGGTTTCGTCGATGAAGGACGGGTCATCAAGAACTTTCACACTTTCACAAAGAAGGAGCGCGAGATTGTTCGTGGTGGCATCAAGAAGTCTGGAGGTTTCGCCGATGCCGTTACAGCAGTCATGGGTATCAACAGTGCCGAGAAGAACCTACACCTGAAAGAAGCAGAGAACATGGAANAAGAGGAAAGAGACAAGGCTGCAAAGGGCGCAGTCACCGACCACAAACTACACAACGCTACAGGGGATGTCATCTTCAGACCCTCACAATCCGTCATCCTCCNNCCTACCAGCGACGTCAACATTGATTTCGAGCGAAGAAACAAAGCAGGCTATGGTATGAGCATGGTAACAGCCGTCGCCCATGTCTGGTTCAACTGCTTCTTCGAAGGCCAAGGCCCTGAGAATGCCACTACAAACCAACCGCCCGCCTCCTCTGGCGTCTTTGAAATCGACTGGGAAGCCATGGACGGCATCAAAGGAAGCCTCAAAAAGGGCACAAAAGGCTTTGACAAACTCGCCGTCGTCTGGAAAGCCGTTGACGAACCCGCACGAGGCAGAAGAGCCAGTGTCGTAATCACCGAACCACCACCTGGCACCGAAGTCCCCGAGACAGGACCTGCAGACTGGAGAGGTCAAGAATTCAACAATCCTTCGCCTGGACGAAACAGAAATCTTGGATTGAGAAGTGAGACACCCGCAAGCAGGGATGTCAGTCAAGCAAGCAGCACAAGAGAGGAAGATGGCATTGGAAGCGATACAGAAGGTGTTCAGAGCTACGTTGATGGCGCGATCAAGGGGCATCAGCAGGTCGCACACGAGAAGCAAGTACAGGTGGAGAGAAAAAAGGGTCCGTTGCCGTTGAGTAGAGATCTCCCTGGCCCCGACCATGAATTTGCTGATGCGTAGCGCAGAATGATTTGATTGCTTTTGGTGTTTATGATGAGCTGATGATACTCGAGCGGGTGTGAGGGTCACGAAGCATTGTTTCGTTATTCATGGTTTGCATTTTTTTTTTCTTGCCTCTTTAGAGCACGATACCATTTTCTTCTTAGAAGCACGTTTGTGTTGTCTATCTCTTTCCTTATCAAGCCCCGTGGAGCTCCTCAGTAACTCTGTCGTTTCATATCTTCTTCTTCTGCTGCTGTTCCTGATGTCTAGTTTTGTCCTGACTTGATCTCCTCGACCTTCAGCTTGACCCATTCCTCATACCCAGTCGTCTCTCTTCCCAAAAGCCATCCCAAGACATTGTTGTTTCCTATCAGTCCCCTCTCGTTGTAGTACAAGAACATCCTGGAACCAATCTCCTTCATCGCCTTAGGTGGTTCCTTGCCCCCATTGATCATCTTGATGCTCGTGTTGACAGCATCTTCAAACCCTCTCTGCTCCGCTTTGACTTCTTTTCCTATCACCTTGCTCACAATAGCACAAGCCTCGACATAATTCAATGGGGAAGCAGTACTGACTAACTGATAGGTAGCAGCCACATGCTTCTCCCTGTTTTCCAACACTTTCGCAGCAGCTTCTCCTACATCCTTCGTCGTCACAAATGAGAATTTGGTCTTTGGGTCCCAGTTACAAGGATAGATTGGCTTTTCGTCTTGCATTAGTTTTGCTAGTGGCAGCATCTCCATCATGTGGGTTGGTTGGAGGATTGTGTAGGAGAGACCAGATTCGATCAGGTATTCCTCGATGTAACGCTTGCAGTCATGATTCAGCAGTTTTTGGAGGATGGGGTGGATGACGCTGCTGTAGACTAGATGTGCAAATGAACCTCTAGCCTCTTTTTGCGCAATACAGGCGTCGATGAAGGTGACCCCTAGAGTTGTCTCGTGAGGGTGGAAGGGAGGAAGGACTAGCCAGCACACAGTAACGTCTTTGAGGATGCGGGTGCAGTCGGATGCGTTGAAGAGGTCTGCTTGGACGACTTCGGTGTTTGGATATTTTTGCGAGAGTGATTTTGCTGAGGTGTCACTGTTGCATTGCAAGCGAATGTTTTGGTATGATCTTAGGATATGGGGGATCAATGCTGAGGATTGTTTCCCCGAGGCGCAAGTGATCAGGATGAGGTCGTTTTGGAGGTCCGGCATGTTTGCAGGGTGGTTTGATATTTGATATTTGATATTTGATATTTGATATTTGATGTTTGTGGTTTGTCACATCGAGGGACTGGACATGAATGCCTTTTGATGTGAGGTTGTCAGATTATACGTCATGCAGCATTGGAGATACTCGGTCTCGGGGTTAGAACAAAGTCCGACCTATCCGGTATGGTTCAAGAATGGATGAATTGACATATACTACACGATACAGGAACAGCCTATAGTATGGCCACCTTGAATGGAGGCTGTGAGTAGCTATCTGTTAGGAGCAGGGTGTTGGGATCCGCAGCTTTGAGACGGCGTTTCCAAGCTTCGAGCTCGAGCTCCGGTGGCTTCTGGGCCAAAGGAATCCTTCATCGGACCCCTCACGAGCTGAACTACTGTCTAGCATCCTCTCATCCGACCTGAGTAGTACCTGCAGGAAAGAGGAGGTATAAAACCAAGAACCAGTGATGGAGGGGTTCCATTGAGCATGCCAAGTTGTGCCGGACACGGATCGGAGGTGAACCGTGAGACGATCAGGAATCAGGATCAATCGGATGGCTCGAGCTTCTTCGCCGAGAGCACAACATCTTTGAGTTCCATCGTCCGTCTCTCTACAGCTTCTTGTTCAACAAACCCTCGTTGCTACTATCAACATGTTTGCCGCTCGTCAAGTCATTGGTACTGTTCAGCGCAGAGCCTTCTCGGCTTCTGCCCGCGATGTGAGTGCTCTTGTAGCCTGTCAATGCCTCGCGCGGCGACAATCCTCTACCCTCGATTGCACCAGACTAACAATATCTTGCGCAGNNGCCTCCAAGGTCGCCGTCCTCGGTGCCGGTGGTGGTATTGGCCAGCCTCTGTCGCTTCTCCTGAAGCTCAACCCCAGAGTCACTGAGCTTGCCCTCTACGATGTCCGTGGTGCTCCCGGTATGCTATCGCCCCCATCCATGTACTAGAATCTTGCGCTTACTCGAATGTCAATCNCAGGTGTTGCTGCCGACTGCTCCCACGTCAACACCAAGTCTGTTGTAAGTAGCTACTCGGCTCACAGAATTCACATCGCAATGCTTACACACTCTACAGNNGTCAAGGGTTACGAGCAGGCCGATGTTGCTGCTGCCCTCAAGGGCTCCGAGATTGTCCTCATCCCCGCTGGTGTCCCCCGCAAGCCTGGCATGACCCGTGATGGTATGGACTTGTTCAATTCGACCAACCAGAAACACAAACTAACACATGCTANNGACCTCTTCAACACCAACGCCTCGATCGTCCGCGACTTGGCCAAGGCTGCTGCTGAGAACTGCCCCAAGGCACACATCCTCATCATCTCCAACCCCGTCAACTCGACCGTCCCTATTGCCGCCGAGGTCTTCAAGGCTGCCGGTGTCTACGACCCAAAGCGCATGTTCGGTGTCACCACTCTTGACGTTGTCCGTGCCTCGCGCTTCATCTCCCAGCTCAAGAACACCGACCCCGCCTCGGAGAACATTGTCGTCGTTGGTGGTCACTCTGGTGCTACCATCGTCCCTCTCCTCTCCCAGTCTGGCTACAACCTCGAGGGCGAGCAGCTCGACGCCTACGTCAAGCGCGTCCAGTTCGGTGGTGACGAGGTCGTCCAGGCCAAGGGCGGTGCTGGCTCTGCCACTCTCTCTATGGCCATGGCCGGTGCTCGCTTCGCCGAGTCTCTCCTCAAGGCTGCCCAGGGCGAGAAGGGTGTCATTGAGCCCACCTTTGTTGACTCTCNNCCCCTCTACAAGGACCAGGGTATTGACTTCTTCGCCTCGCAGGTCGAGCTCGGCCCCAACGGTGTTGAGAAGATCCACCCCGTTGGTCAGATCACCGACTACGAGCAGAAGCTCCTCGACGCCTGTCTCAAGGACCTCAAGGGTAACATTGAGAAGGGTGTCAAGTTCGCCAAGGAGAACCCTTAAATTACATGAGGTGACGCTTTGATGATGTGTATTAGTAGTAACCGGTATATACATGGTTGAAATCTATGTGCATGCCATATTTTCTCATTATCACATGGTGTTGGTCAGATGGGCGACCGGATATATTTTCGGCCATGTTGGCTGAGTCTCGGCTGATGGTGGCCCGGTGGTCATGTAAAGAACGGTCGCTGAGTGTGTATCGAACAGTGACGAGCTCGCTTTCTATGCGAGCTGACTGTATCGTGAATTTCTGGCAGTGGCTCGCCGTTGATTCCGTCCTCGCTCCTAATGCTCAACGGACTCCGTCGCGAAGTGTTCATGGCCAGTCGAGCTGGTAGAAGAGCATGTGAAGGCCTCGAACATCAGGTTGGAAGTCTCGGTTGACCGTTCTCTATCAAAATGTGCACGCACACTGGGGAAGGCGGAGTGACGAACCTCGGCCCATTCGGATTCTGGGGAAGCTCAACTCTCGACCGAGGGACGGTCGGCATCAGTCGCAACTACGTAGCAGCAGCAGGATATTTCTACCAGGTGTGACGGTAAGCTCCTGTTGATACGTCTTTATTTTCTTTTCGCATCCAGAAAATTGCCATTCTCTTTCTCTCTCCCTACCAACCTCGCACGCTATCTACTCTTGGGATGTTTGGTCTTCGAGCCCGCATCCTCTCCTCTCCGCTAAGCCGTCCACGCATCACTATCCCCTCGACTATTGCGACTACTAGAATGGCTCCTGCCCGCAAGAGCAGTTCGTTGCCTGAAGGTGTGTACTCAAGACTCGCAGAGATCAATAGCAGCGTCCCTAACACGTTCACAGGCTACAAGGAGGATGCATCCAAGGGACCCATGCTCCGCTTCGAGGAGTCACTGCCACGTCTGCCCGTTCCTACACTGGAAGAGACAGCCAAGCGCTACCTGAGGTCGGTGCACCCTCTTCTGAGCAAGCAAGAGTACGCACAAACCGAGAAGGCCGTCAGCGAATTCCTCGCTCCCAACAGCCTCGGCCACACTCTGCAGAAGCGTCTGGTCGCACGAAGGGAGGACCCCAAACACAAGAACTGGATCTACGAGTGGTGGAACGATGCTGCATACCTCGCCTACCGCGACCCCGTTGTTCCCTACGTTTCCTACTTCTACAGTCACCGTGATGACCGCAAGAGAAGAAACCCTGCAAAGAGAGCTGCTGCCATCACCTCTTCTGTACTCGACTTCAGAAAGCAGGTCGTTGAAGGCACTCTCGAGCCCGAGTACATGAAGAAGCTGCCAATCGCCATGAGCAGTTACGAGTACATGTTCAACTGCTGCCGCATTCCTGCTAAGCCTGCCGATTATCCCAAGCAGTACGCTCCTAACGACCACAAGTACATTACTGTCATCCGCAAGAACCAGTTCTTCAAGGTCATGCACGAGGTTAATGGTAAGGAGCTCACCACTGCCGAATTGGAGCAACAGTTCTTGCGTATTTACCAATTGGCTGAGGACACTCCTGCCGTTGGTATTATGACCACTGAGAACAGAGACAATTGGACCGAGGTATGTGAAGCCAGCAATTCCTGAACGAGACCCTCATTCTGACGACTACAGATGCGCGACGCCCTGATTGCTCAAAACCCTTCGAACGAGGCCGCTCTTCAGACCATCGAGGCGTCATCCTTTGTTGTCTGCTTGGACGAGGCAAGACCTGTCACACTTGAAGAGCGCGCTCACCAATACTGGCACGGCAATGGTGCAAACCGCTTCTTTGACAAGCCGCTGCAATTCATCGTCAACGACAACGGAACTTCAGGCTTCATGGGCGAGCACAGCATGATGGACGGTACACCAACCCACCGCTTGAACGACTACATCAACATGCTCATCTTCAACAACAAACTCGACTACGACAACCCTTCAGTTCGCAGCAACCTCCCCGAACCCACTCCCGTCCGCTTCGACCTCTCACCCTCAAACCTCGAAGACATTGGTCGCGCTCAATCACACTTTACCAAGGTCATTGGCGAGCACGAGCTCAAGGTGCAAGCATACCAAGGTTACGGCAAGGGTCTGATCAAGAAGTTCAAGTGCAGTCCCGACGCATACGTTCAAATGATCATCCAGCTCGCCTACCACAAGTTCTACGGCAAGAACAGACCCACCTACGAATCTGCCGCTACTCGTCGCTTCCAACAAGGACGTACCGAGACTTGCCGTACCGTCAGCGAAGAGTCCGTTGCTTTCACCGACGCCATGGCAAACCCTGAAGCCACTCCCGACGAGTGCAGACAAAAGTTGCAAGCCGCCATCAAGCAGCACGTTGCCTACATCAGCGATGCCTCTGACGGCAAGGGTGTCGACCGTCACCTCTTCGGTCTCAAANAGTTGCTCAAGGAAGGCGAACAACTCCCCTCCATCTTCAGCGACCCTGCATTCTCATACTCGTCGACCTGGTTCATCTCCTCTTCGCAACTGTCTTCAGAGTACTTCAACGGCTACGGCTGGAGCCAAGTCGTCGACGAGGGCTGGGGTATTGCCTACATGATCAACGAGAACAGCTTGCAGTTCAACATTGTATCCAAGAAGTTGGGATCTGAACGTATGAGCCACTACATCAACGAAGCCGCAGAGGAGATGAAGGAGCTCATGCTCCCCACCATCGAGACCAAGGCTAAGCTTTAGAAAACTTGCGAGGCAAGAGGGAAGAAGAAGAAGGGCATCTGGGATGAAAGAGGCCATCTTGGACATTTGGCTCCTGGACGTCTCAGACCGCCTGTTGTGTTGCATTGTTCTGCATGAGGCAAGGCATTTTGTTAGTTGTTAGAGAAGGCTAGATTTGTTTGTTTGCAAAACCGAAGCCATTTTTCTTTGTGAAATTCATAACTTCGTTTCTGGCATATGATCTGCATACATTTGTACTATGCACATGTGGGAGTGAGCAATCACAAATCGCCTGATCTGTAGGTTTATGAGTTTCCTTACAGCATCATGATGCTCATTCATTGGCGCACCCTTGCCGCGCTAACATGGACCTGCATCCTGTTGAACAACCGAGAATCCTTCTTTGTCGATCACATCCCAGGCTAGATCGTCAGCACTCTGAGGATCAATGTACGCATAGGCGAGGCCAAAGATCTGACACACCGGTCAGAGCTGCGCCTCTGCCCAATGGTCGGCGAAGCAAACGAGTAAGTTTAAATTGCATGCCATGCCTAGGTAGGTATTAGAGCGGCTTTTCCTCATCTTTTCTGGGTTATCTCACTTGCTTTCGCAACACGAGAGCAAAACACCCTCTGGAGGACGCGCAAAACAATATCTTGGACATCCAGAGAACCAGGATACGGTGTCAATTAAGAAGGAATAATTAGGTCTCTTCGGTCCACCATTGACCAGCAAAGCAAAGTCTCGAGATTCATGGCTGCTGCTACAATGGATTCTACACAACTCCCCACGCCTTCTGTGCAGCAATCAACAAACAACATACCCTTCTACATAGTCCCACTACTCCAAGTCCTCTTCGGCATATCCGCAATCTCCAGATCCACAGTTATAAATCTGTTCGCACTCGCTCTGGGAGTCTATTGGTTGTTTGCTCTGGCGATCTATAAGCCTGAAGGTCAGCATACGCCGGTGTATACCGCTGGAGCCACGTTGATTACTTTTGTGCTCAAGACATTGAGTGCGAGGTGGTTGATGACGGCAAACGAGTTTGAGAGAAAGGCCAAGGACAAGGATGACAAGGAGCAAGGGGGAAAGAGGCAGAGGGGATGGTGGCAGTGGGTTGCTGATGTTATTGATATTAGCTTTATGACTAATAGAGGAATTGGGTGGTAAGTATTTTGTTCTTGCATTTCTGCTTGCTTGTGTGACTTCCTCCAATACCTGAAGACCTATTGCCAAAAATCGTAGGATATATACTAACCCAATATCCACAAAACAGGAACTTCCAAATCAAAAACCTACCCCCTGCACCTGCGCCAACAACCCCACGCCTCCGCTTCGCAGCCAAAAATCTCGGTTTCGCTGTTTTCAATCTGCTTCTTGTGGATCTTGGATACCTCCATTTACGCCAGTTCTCAGGCATCACAAGTCTTCCTATCAAACCTTTGACTTCCCAACCATTACCTCTCGCCCTCACCAATGCCTGGGTTATCTACCTCCAAGCCCGGTGGACAATGACCGCACTCTTCAGCCTGGTTGCCGCTATCACCGTGCCCCTACACATATTTTCTCCATCCGCGTTTCCGCCGTTGTTTGGAAGTTTCGCGCATGCATATACGGTCAAAAGGTTTTGGGCGTTTACATGGCATCAAATGATGAGATCGCTACAAACGCCTTATACCGCTTTTTTGGTCAGGGNNAGATTGGGACTGGATCAACGCAAGAAATCTACTTATTGGGTTAAAGTGTGTTCGGCGTTTTTCTTTGCGTGGATTGTGCATGCGTATGGCACGTTGATTACTGGTGGGGGATATACTGCTGATGTTTATCGTTACCTACCCCAAATCTTTGCCTTTTGGATTGAGGAGAAGGTTATTGAGGTAGGCAGGAGGATGGGCTGTAAGGGGAAGAAGTGGCGGCTGCTGGGGTATTTGTGGGTGTTTGTGTTTGAGGGTGCTACGTTGTTGGCGTGGTTTGCACCTGCTATTGAGAAGGGTGCGCATTTGAAGCATCCTCTAGGCTTTAGTGTTGTTGACAAGCTTCTTAAGTAAGGAGAGGTTTACGAATCGTCAATATGAAGGAGGCAGAGATATCACTGACAGGAAAGCAGAAAGGGAAAGAGAAAGCATGTAATTTTGGTCAAGAGAAAGTATGTATTTGTCTCTCGACGCAGAGCAGAGTTATGAAACTGGAAGCGGCTCCTCTCACGGAGATCTGTTGCTAGTTAAGCGTGCTACAAAGGAAAAGAGCAAAAGAAAAGGCCGGAGAGGCTCCTGGGTATCATGAAGAACAAAGAAAAGCAGACCATCTCAACGCCATTAACCAATAAAACAGAGCATTGTAAGGTATGCTTGAGGGATAGTTGGACCTTGCTTCAGCTGAAGGTGCAGTCGAAGTTGTCCCCAATGGTTCCATCATCGCTGAACAGCGTCCTGAAAGGGCTCAGGCATACGTCAAGAAAGACACTCAGGGTACCATGAGAAACCAGAAAAGAAAAGCATCCCAGCACCAGTACCAGTAGAAGAAAAAGAATTGTGAGGTTGATGAGAATATGGATTGGGCTCCGTTCAATCAAAGGTGCCAACAAGTCGTCCCAGTCAGTCCATTAAGGTCGAGCAGCGTCATATGAGGGCTCAAGGGAAGAGTCCAAGTAGGCGCCTCGGGCATCATGGGAAAGAATGACGACACCAACCACCTCAAAGCCATGAACCGCTAGGAGAGGGAGGTTTGAGGTATGTCAGGGGACGGATGGGGATTCGGTTCAGGTGGAGTTATCATCGAAGTTGAAAGGGCTGCATTGAAGTTAACCCAGTCCCAGTCAGGCTGATCGTTGTCGTGTTGTGGCTTGAACCCATTGGCCTGAGGTTGGAATGGATCGTAGATGTGGGTATCCTCAGCTTCGTCCATAGTGCCATCGAGCTGTGGGATGCTGTTGTTGTTGTTGTAGCCTCGGACAGAGCCCTGGGTGGCGCTTGGAGTTGACGAAGCAGGGGCATAACCAGAGGGAATAGGGGCAGGAGCNGGGGCGATCGCGACAGCAGGACGGGGNCCGCCAGCCTTGATCCATGCCATAGCATCGCGGATCTTGGAACCATTGGCAGTGAGAGTCTGATCATCGACCCCGTCCTTGCCGCGGATCGGGATACCGTTGTCCTTGCGTGCGGTATCGTAAGCAGTGCGGAAGGCACCAATATCAATCTCGAACTCCTTCTCGAGGAAGTCGATGGCAGTGTTGATTCTCTTCACAATGCCGCTGGAGCTGGCTGAGGATTTCTTGTTGTTTGCCACGGCATCATCGGCGACCTTCTTTGCGATCTCCTGGTTGCTGTATTGAAGACCGACCTTCAGTATGTTGTTGTACTGGAGGTTTTGAGTGTGCTGCTCCAGAATGTTTTTAGCGGTGAGACCGGCGGGGAGGGGAACTTGTTGGAGGAGCACGCGAGCAGCAGTCTTGCGCGGAGTAGTTGTGGGAGCCTGCTGATCCTCGTCGTCGTCGGCGGCGTCCTCCTCCTCTTCTTCTTCGGCAACATGCTCATTGTTGCTGCTCTCCTGCTGCTCAGCAACATCATGTCCAATTCCGAAGTAAGCAGGAACGTTTGTGCGCAGATCTGCCACAATCCATGCGGTCAGGGCAGTACAAGTAGCAGACCAGGGGTAGTGGAATGCCTTGACCCCTTTCTTGGTGATGGCCACGATGCCAAGCTCAATGTTGGAGAGGTTTGATGATGCAGCGAATGCTTCGGCGAGAATTACCATGTGGTCCTCGCTCAAGATGGAGTCAGAGCTCAAGTTGCTCAAGTTGAGATTGATCATGTGTTCGGCATTGTGACGTTTAACGGCAGCCTTTGCAAAATCGATGAACCAAGGAGTACGATGGAGCTGGGCCAAGTTGCGCTCAGTGACAGGGGCCAGGCCAACTTTGACACAGATAGCGCTGAGAGCAATGGCCAAAGGTGTGTAGGCCGAGAACGCGTGAGGTCGAGGGGCGCAACGCGCAAAGACACCAGGGGAGGACAGGGTGTGGTCGAGGGACTCCAGAGCCTTCGACGTGCCGACGACAGGGATAGTAGCATGCTCGTTTGGAGTCACAAAGTCGCGGAAGGTGTAGCTTGTCAGCAAGCGATCATCTTGTTGGGGATAGGAGAGCGCAGTGTGGTTGTTGTTGACATGGTCATGTTCTTGGATGTGACCCTGATGGTCGTCGAGCGAAGGGTGATTGAAGGACATCATGGTATAATGAGATGGTGACGGCTGTTCAGGACGACGGAAGCGTTGGAGAGAAGGAATCGCGTTGGAGAGAAGAAATCGCGTAGGAGAAGAGAAGAGCAATTGACACGCGAATGGCGAGTGAAAAGAGCGTGATATCGACAATTCGGGTGGTCTGTGCTTTCGAGTGAGGGTGTTGTCCGGGTCGACGGTCAATGAACGACCAATTTTCCGCCTTCCACCTCCTGGACGATCTCCTGGACGACCTGAGTCTTCCAATATATACCATGGCTGACAATGGAGGGATCCTGAGATTTGAACACGCGCCTGCAGCAGTTTCGAGACACAACTATAACGTGAGCGAGACAATTTCGGGTAAGACTCAATCTGAGACCTTTTGATCTTAACGTAATCCATGCCTGGCCATGAAACAACACGCCGACAACTTTGTTGTTCTATTCAATACCGTGGCATCTGTGTGATGATAGTTCAATGAGCTACGGATGTGCCTGGCACCTGTAATGCGAGCCAAGTTCGAAAGATAGGTCCGAAGTCGTCGGGAGTCGGAGGAAGATGACACAAAACTCTCAGCAATGTTGTGTACCTTGATATCTGAGCCAGTCCGTGACACTCTCCAGAAAAGCCGATTGATCTCTCTTCCGATCGAAGATGCAGTCGGTCGTTCTTTGATGGTCGGCAATGATCTCTCGTCTTCCAACACTCTTCCCATCATCGCTGGGTCCACGACTTCCTCCGGTTCTCTCTCGATACTACGAAAAGAATGCGTTCAGAGAGAAGAAATAAACTTACCGATGAACAAGCATTTTAATGCTGGAGACGGCTCTTCTGCTGGTGATTGAAGCCGGACAATCCGCTGACGCCGGACGAGCACAGACCTGCATACCATTCCCATGCTCCAACACAGGTAAACTCTATATGTAAAAACCAGGAAGTTTCGACGATTGCTTTACGGAGTCCTGTTTATACGAATGGTATGGAAAGAGGTGAGGTCCATGGTCTTGGCGAAGCCGTCACAAAAGGTTCTCCAACGGCAAAACTTCGGTCTTCGTCCTCCCTTCTGGCTTGTGGTAGAGCACTCTAGCGACTGCTGTAGCAAGTAGCGCATGGAGTGGAGATTGATTTGATAGATGTCATGGTAGCAGTACATATCGGCTAACCTGCATTGAACCCGACGGCTGTCTCAATTCGCTCGCGACCGGTCTCCAATAAATTGTTAGTGGTGTGGGGGTAAGTCTTCAGGTTGAGGAAAGCCTTTCTCAGTACAGAATCGAGCTCTGTTGTGTTATAGTATCTGGTGAAAGTGACGTGGTAATAGACAGTTCCTGGGTGACGCTCTACTGGCTCACGATCGGATTTCCACAAAGGTAAGTCGCAGTGACCTTTCAGGACGCTCAACTGAACAGTTTGACATATGGGACGAAGAAGGCATCTTCGCTGATGTCGACCAGTGCTCGAAAACTCTTCTCACTCACGTAGTGCCTTCTGACCGTGAAATGGGTCCGAGCAAGTCAATCTCTGCTCTATTTATTGCACTCTTTGTTTGCGAGGCGGAAGTCGAGGAGATCATACTCATCGAGATCCATCTCATTGATCACCATGATTTTTACCTCGGTTGCGAGATCGTTCCTGTTGGAGCCGGAAGTCCAGGGGCCGAAGCCGTCCAGCTATATATAAGAGCATGAGCATGAATCACGTTGAAGGGGCAAGATGGCAGGTTGTGAAGTCCACATGGCAGAAGTCAGTGTAGTGCCAGTGGCACTTGGGTTGGTTGTCAAATGCTGACTTAAGTGGCGTCGTTGCCAGGACACGGCACCTAGCTAGGAATGCGTCGGAGTAGATTCTGTTGTCTGTTTCGCTGATGATTCCATCGACATCGATGATCCAGGATTGAAAAGTCGGTGTCATCAGGGCGGCGAGAAGCATGTTTGACTAGTAGACGATAGCATATATAGCGGTTAGGAACTCCATGAAGTCGTACAGAAATGTAGGTATCCTTGTGAGCATCCAAGTGTTCGCGACCTTTGTCCTTGTCATATCCGATTGCCCTTTGCAGGACGCCCTCTAAGCCAGTTCCACTGCCGATATGGAGACCAATTATTACTTTGTTCGTGTTAGGTATAAGGGAGACATAAATGCCCGATCTCCTTAGTTGATCGCTGATCGCGCCCTCGAGGTTCAAGAGGTTCTCCATTGTCAACCCAACTTTAACGTCTGATTAGCCATGTCTTGAGTTTCGTCGACACGAGCGGTGTGCCATGCGTGGAATCCTCTTCTCAGGTTGATAGAGATCGAAAGCGATGCGAAGTTGTATAATGGGATCTTTTCTTCGTCGTTGGTCCAAGGAACCAATTCGCCTTGCTCGTTCCTGCGCAACTGCACAAACAGAGTCTCGAACGCGACAGCGGCATTAGCCTCCATAGAAATTTCCAAGAATATGAGAGACGGGAGAGTGCTGTCCAAATTGCTGATGGGTCGAACGAGGGCCACGTCAAAGAGCTTGACAACCTTCAGGGACTAGGAAGCAGAGTGGTTGTAGGGACCGGTAGCTGCACGAGGGGTGAGTGGATACCGAAGGTCGAGTAGATGTCTTCTTGGAAGGTGCCGAACTTCTGAACGGCCTTCTCTTCGGCTATCTCGTTGCGTGCTACGTTGATGTCGACGATTGAGCCTGATGCGATGTCGGCGGGCAGCAAGATGGATGGGAACTCAATCTGCATGTGCATTAGTTCCTGTTCCATGTCTCCTGTTTGGTCAGGACTATGGGGCCATACCGATTGCTTGTCTTCGGTGAGCAGGTCGGCCACACCGGCGTCGACTTTGCCCACAGTCAGTGACACGAGCATCTTTGGGTTATATGAATCGTCGTCGACCGTCTGCTATACCCGCGGGTTGATGTCTCGCTAGCATTGAGCTGCATAAGGTACTTGTGGAAGAACCGACTGGAGTACGATGCACTATACCGTATTTGAAGAAAGTCTACTTCTGGCGAACCTGCGCGTTTCCAACACGCCGCTTCTGATGGTCAGCATTGCGAGATGGCGTAGGGGACGCTCGAACTGGGGAGTGCAAGGGAGGAAGGTTGCGTGATTGTGTAAATTGATTTGTCAGAGGTGAGTATAGATTTTATGAGGTACCGAGATAGAAGGAAGCTCCAGTAGACAACGTCCGAAGTGACAGATCGTGAGAGTGTTCTTCATCTTATGCATGGAATCTCTCGTAGAACAGCGTTTCTGCAGTCTCGGCTTTTGAGATGATATATAGTTCTCGAAGCTTGGTCTGTGGTAAAGGGAATGAGAAGAAGTCCAGGTTGGGTGCGACGCATAACTCGTAGTCGTCGGCAGAGGCATTTGATGCTGTAGGCGTCGAGCAGGGGTTGCACATGATTTGAAGGCAGTGCTTCAATCGGTCCCGAGAACATCCGGTTCAATGATTGCAGTGAAAAGCAAGTCTTGAAGATGAAGTGATAGTGAAAAACGAAGGCGGGTAAGAAGGCCAGTTATATAGCACGTTGAGGTCTGATCTGAGCAACGAGGAAGTCTCCGGATGTTGCTAAATGGACCGAAGTGATGAGCAGGATCTAGCACTGATCAATCACGATCGCGAGGAGTCTTTCACTTATAGCCTTAGAGACAAAGCCTATATGCAATGCCAGGGCGTGATAGATCTTTCGAGATGTATGTTTGTAGAATCCCACAAACAGAATATATGCCAGAGAAAGAAGGTGCCGGGATTGGCAAGAGGAAGCTTGAATTCATCAGCGCGATAGGATTCATGGACAAACACGACAGATAAGCAAGGCAAGGAAGGAACGATGGAGTAGATAAGAAGGTAATAGAGGGAGCTTTGACAATCTTCACCATCACCTTGTTTGCCGATAAAGAAACTTTGGACCAAACTAAAAGTCGGCATATCAGTTGGCACTAACCATATAGATTATTTGTCTACAGCTCTTCGAATACCACCTGCTGCTCGTTTATGCTCAATGGCAACTTTTCGGGACCAAAGAAGTCCACAAAGGCTTCTGTAAGGATCTTTTCGGTCAAATCCATGTGTCCACCAGTGGCATTTCTGAACTCCAGAGCGCCCTTTCTGTCCAGATGCTTCAAGCCAATCCAGTCTTCTTTGTAGATATCCCTGTCTCTGAGGCCGGTAAATTCCATGCTCGTCATGTTGACTTCAGCAAACCAGCCGCTTTCCTTGGGGATAACAGTTTTGTCTTCCTCAAAGACATACATAGCAAACTTGTCCAGAGATGCCAGACGCTGCTTGTACTCTGCACTCTTGTTGTGTCTTTCGTTGTTGATCTTTGCAATGAAATTGCTGTTTTCCAAATAGTTCTTTGTGGGCTCTCCAGTGGTTTGATTTGTTTCTTTGTAGTATTGTGCAGGGACAATGTTGCCTTGGACCCATTCGCCGAATGCATTGCCTTTGATGGCCGCCATAGCTCCTTTGCATACCAAATCCCAAGTACCGCAGTTTTGGAATTTGGCAATGCCATTGTGTTGAGAGCCAAAGGTTACCAAACTCCTCACGCTTATGCCAGGGCATGTTTCGATCAGACCGCGCAAGAATTGACCGCCTTGTGAGAAACCCAAAGCATCGATACGTGTGTTGTTTGAAGAGAAGGATGAGTTTGAACTCAGGGTGTCGCATACAGAGGCAAGTTGTGTAGTAAGATTGCCGAAGAAGGTGGCGCGGGAGTCGGCTGAGCCATCGTCGGCAAGGCGAACAGGGTAGACGAGGGTACCAGGGTGAATCTCATCTGCTAGAGCAGCTACTTCTGAGATTCCATCGGCGTCGTAGCGATCACCTAGACCGTGCCAGATGATGAGCGGGAGAGGTTTCGCCGAAGGTTGAGCGGTTGGTAGGGCGGCCACGAGGGGCAGGAGAGGGAGGGCGTTGGTGATACGCATATTCGAAGCGCGTGAGAATCAACTTGTCTGGCCTGTCGAGTCTCTTTGTCCTGAGTTATGTCTACGCGTAAAATGTTGCAAAAGAGTGTTCAAGTCGAAAGTGGTTTTGCCAGATGACCAACGGCAAGCGCGTCATTGATCTTCTGCGCGGAATTGCCTCCGTCATCAACCCTCGAGTCGTTGGCAGGTTGACCCTGCTCTTTTCCCACTTGAATACCTCCCTGTGCAACACGCGCTTCTCCTTTCGAAACGCCAGCATACTGAATCCGAAACAACAAAAAATGAGAAAATCAAAAACATAACGCGAGGAGCTCGACAACAATGTTTGACGAGTTGCCAACCACAGACGCTTCCCGTAAACCAGAAGATATGGAGCAGTAGTTACTTGGAAGGAACGGGTCATGAGCTCAAACATCACCACACATCTCCACCAAAGCGGTAGCAACGAGCCGTCATCACGTCCATATCAACAACTAACTCCTGAACCAATCTCCTTCTTGGAGCCACTGGGACCAGACCATTCCCTAGCAGCAGAAAGCGCCCGATACTGACCTGTAGCCCAGCGGAGAGCGCGCCACTCTCTCGTCAAGAGGTGCGAACATTGACCGGTTCTCCTATCTCGAACTGTCGTGGGACAACTCGATTGTGCCTCTTTGTTCCGAAGGTGTCTCCTTGACGTCTCTGATGGATAAAGTCTACAGATCAGCATCGTGACCGATCATGTGTTGTACATCGACCCAACATGGCAAGCTATCCTCGTAAACTCGAAACCAAGGGTGAAGAGCAGGCCGCACACCAGGCTCCGAAAAGGATGATAAGCAGCAAACGAAAAGCTCGAACGTGCTCTGGATGATCTACTGAATCACTTCACAAATGTTAATTCGGAAGGGGAGTAATGCTTCTGGGGATAAGTTTTCTTCGCATTGAACAACAACCTCGAAACCAGTTCGAACACTACTGCTGATGCTACTTTGAGGAAAAGATAAAGATCCCAGAAAAGAATGAAAATGGTTCGATCCGCCAAAGATCCTCTTCACACACTCAAAAATCTTTCTTGTCCATCAAACAAAGCTCCATCGAGAATAATAACACGCTAACGATGCACCAAAAGATACGTTTACTTGCGGACGGGGTTCTTAAGGGTAAGAAGACCGGGGCGGTAAGGAAGGTTGTCGTAGGAAGCAGTCGACTTGGGGTCACGTCCCTGGTAGAGGAACTGGAGGTTGCAAGGGTCGACGGTCATGGTCTGGTCGGCGTTGGCGCGGACAAGATCACCGTGAGAGATGTCGTTGGTCCAGGTAGCACCCGAGTTGGCCTTGCCGGCGAAGGGAGCGCTCTCAGAGGTAGCGTGAGGAGTCCAGGTACCGCCGAGGTTGGTGGAGGTGAAGGAGCGGAAGTAGCGACCGCCGGAGCCCTGGGCCTCAACAATCATGAGGTACTTGTTCTGGCCCTTGAGGGTGTAGACCTGGACGGCCTCGAACAGGTTGTTGGTGGTGTCGCTCATGACAACGGTGCTGGCGCTGCCGAAGCTGCCGGGGAAGTTGCCAATGGGCATGCTGGCACGGTAGATCTTGCCGTTGTCGCCGGCGAAGAAGAGGTACATGTTCTTGCTGTCACCAATGACGGTCTGGTCAATGGGGCCAGTGCCGGAACCGGAAATGGTGCCAGTGAACAGAGGCTGAGCAGCAGACCAGCCGTTAGCATTGCTGGGGTCCTGCGAGGTGCGGTACGAGAAAGTGGTGGGTCCCCACTGGTGAGCAAGGATCCAGACGTTCTTGGGAGCAAAGTGGAAGAGGGTAGGAGCAACAGCAGACTGAGGGAGCTTGTTCTGGGCAGCGCTGCCCATCTGAGACCAGTCACCGAAGAGACCGAAGTTCATACCACCGTAGTTGGCCGAATCGTGGTAAGAAGCGTAGACAATGTGCTTGCCGTTGTAGATGGTGTTGGTCAAATCCTTGATGGCGACCCAGCCGTTCTTGGGCTGAGCGAGAGCACCAGTGGAAGACCATTGGGGCTTAGCAGGAAGGTCGCAAGTCTGAGCAGAGACGGAACCGAGAAGCATGGTGGCCGACACCAGGCCGGCCTGAGCAATGGAAAACTTCATTTTGAAGGGTTGGTTAGAAAGGTAGTGAATGAATGGAAAGGTTGGTAGATGGCGGATGAGAAATGTCTAGCAGTGGTGATGGGATATCTATTTTATATGATTACCATGAACGCGTGAGAACGGGTGAGTACGGAGTGCCCATCTCTATTGTCGATCATTAGATTCTTGTGCAGGTTTCAGGCTGAGTGGTGGGCTCGGGTGCTCTTGTTCATTTGGTGCCTGTATAGCCGAACGAAACCTGGAGGCTGGAGCGCATTTAGAGTGTGGGGTAAATAGGTAACCTTGATGTCGCCATGATGCTTAATTCCCACCTTAATTGAGTTAGGACGAGCGCTGATTGGTGTGCAAAGGTCCGAGTGTCGTCTGGCTAAAGTCGATGAAACCCATACTTTGCATCGAAGCGAACTTTAGCGCATGCTACCTTCCTGTCCAAGTAGGGGATTTTCATATGTTCGAAACACGAGGCTCGGCTTCGAGAACTAGTGACATACCGTTTATACTTGGACGTGGCTGTTCACAGTCCTATAACGTGTGGCTTGCCCCTAGCTTAAGCTACTTCGAAATAGTTCGTGAGTGTTTAGGCTGAGCATGCAAGACATATAGATGATCTTGATACCAGAAATGGTCATACGGGCTCGGCGTGGGTGATTCTCAGACAGTATAACGGCAGAAAGCCCACCGGAGGTTCATCTATCCAGGTTCGCGTGGTGACAGGAACAAAGGAGACGGACCGAAGTCTCTGGTACGACAGAACCTCCACGCGAGATGCTGAAACAGCGAAGCCGCAGTGAGCATAATCCGGGGTGACTCTCATCTCGACGTCCGTGAAATCAATCGAACCGTGGCGTTCTCAGCTGTCAGTTCAGAAGGCGAACCAGACGTGACAGTCGATCTGTGCCCAAGCTTTACTGAGAGAAGATGATTTCTTAGGGCACGCCGCATGAACTGAGTGGCACTGGAGACAGCCCAGTTTCCAAAACCGAGAGGCTCACCGCGAAGCTTCTCGGCCGAAGTGATTCTTTCTTCTGACGAATTCAGGGCTCGACTTCACGCGTCCAGTACCTAAAAGTAGCTCGCTTGGAATGCTAGCCGGCCTCGTTAATACCCAGGGTCGAGCAATGTCTTAATGTTCTTTTGTTCTACTCGCTTCTGGATCGCAGTCTGGTCCTCATCAGCAGACACATCCTCGTCAAATGATCTCAGCGCCCCCGAAGCATCCGCAGGGATGTGGCTTACGGATAGGTAGCTATTCTGGAAGGATGATGCTCTGTATAAAGGATATAGTATCAGAGATAGAAGAACCTTAGGCAGCTGCGACTTGCTCATGCGCTATCGACATCGAGGTAGCTGTTCTGAGAAAGAAATACGATTGTGCAGAAGGCATGTCCGCCAGACGGCAACCCTTCGACGCGAAGGGGCGAGCTCGATAATTTCGTCGCGATGTCGAACAGTCAATATGGCCAGGTCCGCTGTGTTTACAATCAAAAGCTTCTGCTGCTAAGCGTCACAATCAACAGATTGCTGATGAGCACCAGGATGAAAGCTCGACCACGTTTTCACGAGTCTGCAATATTCAGCGAGCACCATGGCCACATCATTGGTGGAGTTATGTGCCCTAGATGGAAAAACTGCTCGGCTACGTGCTGAAGCAGGTTCGTTGTAGCAGCGACTGGTGTGACAGTGGGCGTGAGTGCAAATTGATGGCAGCCATGTTCGGGTGGGATATTATCCCTGCTGCAGCGCTTTTGGTGATACACAGCTAATTTAGAGACGACGGTCGAGTTCGGGGGAGTAAGGTTGCGCGTAGCCATCTTTGGAAATGCGTTCGGTTGTTAAAAGGGCTGACTGACAGAGCCAACCAGTGGTCATGTGCGATGCTCAGAACCTCGCGTAGAGATGGTATGCTCTACTTGATGTTGTCCATCGAAAGTCTGGATGTTCTTGGTATATCATCAAGCTTCGTACGTGTGACGGTCAAGTCGGCTATGACCATCAGTGCCTATATATATGACCAAGACCGGAATCTATGATATTCCGTCAATCAGCTGTGCAGTATCTTCACTTTGCTGGCGTCTTAGGTCTTGCAGAGGTCCTCAGGCGTGTTGCCGGATATTCATCACACTTCCATCACGAAGTAAGTCAAGCCCCGCTGCCTCAGCTGATTCTCCCGGGCTTGAACATAAGTGTGTGTCTTTGATTTCGAAAATAACCGAGCATGCCGAGTCTTCTTGGTGAGGAACATCACTCTGATTATGGTCGTGCGAGTGTTTATCCTCGATTGGAATTTGGGAGTGACGTTCCTCAGAGTCCCGCGATTTTTCCAAAGTGTTTCGTTCTTGGCAACCATCAAATCACCTCGAGTCGCTGGCAAGAATGCTCGAAAGAGCGACTCGAGATGCAACCCTCGTCCTCCAATCTTCTAAAATCAAAACTCCCACACATCGTCATCTCCCAGATCTATCTTAGCACTCTTCAAGCCATCTTCCTCAATACACGGCAACAGCACCCCCAAATCCTTGATCCCACATCTCACCGTTTCCAAGACCTTCTTACAATCCCAAGGACACCAATTCCTCTCACAAACCACATCTTCATTGATAGTCTCTGACTCTGTACTTACCACACGTAAACTCTCATCAAGCAATGTCCTATCATCAATGATCAAAAATGTAGTGGAATCGATGCAGTTGTGAGGGGATGAAGAAGGGATATATGCGATCCTTTGGTCGCAGAAATGGGAGAGTGAGAGCATGTCCCAGTCGATGAAGTAGCTGGTGAGTGGTTGTGTGGTTGGTGTGATGCCGTGGATGAAGATAAGTTGGTCTGGGGATAGGCAGAGGACTAGACAGTTCTGGACTTGGCCGTCGACGCCGCGGGGGAGTGTTGCTAGAGCGTTGTTGAGCTGATGTTGTCTCGGTCAGCATTGTTTATATGGAGATGTTGCGAGGCTAAGAAATAGTTAATCCTACCTCAGCTGGGAGTTCAGAAATTGTGCAAAAGATTGGGTAGTAGCCAATTGTTGACATGCTGGGAGATACACTGCGAAAGGGTATCCAGAATGCTACTCTTTCGAGTTCTGAGTTTGTGATATACATTGGAGCGGGCCAGCGAAGAGAGGTAGGTATGTGATTTGACTCGAGTTGCTTGCCTGAAACTTCGAAACACGCTCTGCACGACTGTATCCAGAGAGACCGTGCACTAAACCAAGCAACAGTCCAAATAAGACGATCGAACTGCCAGAATGTCTTCTTGCTGCACTGATGAAGATTCACCAAGATATATATACCTCGCTTTCTAATCGTCACCGAAAACAAAACTCTTCCAATTGGCAGCCAATTGCTTGACTCCATGTTCCAACTCCCACCCCTTGATCTCACAAATCTTTCTCACCACTTCTTCAAGATAGCCATCCATTCTTTCGCCAGCAGTGTGCAAATCACTCTCTATCAAGACTCTGTCGTCAGGAACTGCCTTGACTGCATCTTCGGTCTTTGCAACTCCTGCATGCGAAAAATTGATGACGGAAGAGAATGAGAAGAATATCTTTGCTGGGATTCGTGGATCCAGATATTGTTTGATTGTTTCTGGTGGCCCGGAGTAAGAGTGCAGGCAAATACGTGGAGGATATGGTGTTGGTTTCCTCTCTTCCTCTCCAGGTTCATCTTTGTTTTTGGTAGGTGATGGGTTGGCAGCTTCTTGCTTTTTGCGTTCGCGTTTACTGAGCACCTTTCTCTCATGTCCTTTCCAAGTTTCCTGAAGCGTGTTAAACACGACACCATGAGCCTGGACGCCATGCACAGAGGTTGCACGTCCCAGTTCTCCTGCCAGATGTAGTTGTGCTAACAAGACCTTTTTCTGATGTTCCATGGAGACACGATATGGTGACAAAGATCTCCCTTCTCTTCCACCTGGCGTGAGAGCTTCGTCTCGTTCGGTCGTTTGGCCTGGCAGCCAGGCTTCAGGAATTCGAAATTGCTTGTCCAGGCCCACTTCGCCGACCAATGCCAGTGGGTACTTCTTAAGGTATGTTTTGGTTTCGTCAAGGAATACTGAGAAGGGACGGGGATCGGGAAGAGCGAGAAGGAAGTCGCGATCGGTCGGGCTTGGGGTAAGGGCGGATTGGTAGTGTTCGATCTTCTGCTCGGGAGTAAGACTTGTGGTGTTGGGGTAGGTTTCCTCGTCAAACATCTGGTGTGAGAACCAGGGATGCCAACCGAAACACGGTATCACTTTCTGTTCTGAGCTGNNTATGTTCTTGTCAGCACTCTTGGTACGGTATTAAATGGCAACAGCAGTGATGAAGCTGGAAGGGGTGTACCTTATTTACTGTACCTACCTCCAATCTTGCTCAGACTTTGTCCTCACACCTAACTTGTCGGCCGTATCAGCTACTAACTCCTGGTCCTGAGCACGTGTAGCCATGATAGTCAGGATCCTGGCATGCATATCCGGGATTGATGAGATGTTGGCGACTGTGTCTGTCGGATGACAGTGCGCATCATAGACACCAAGATGCCATGGAAACAGTTCTTCTGATCTCTCTCCCATCTTGTTCTTCCGCTGCTTGTTGTATAGGTGTGTTGAAAATCGGGAGGAATGGTCAGTCAGAAATGTTGCTTCCTCCAGCGATGACGATGACGTGTGAGAAACGTCGAAGTCAAAAAGTCAAGGAGCGGCATCTTCTTTGTGTCACCTTCGGCTATCTCGGCGCGTGAGCAGTCGCACAACTTTGTTCTTGAGCACAGCGCTTCTGGAGATACAGTTCGCAAGATGCGCGACGACTCGACAGTCAGATCATGTCAGGTTATGTCAATCTGTCAATTCGAATAAAAGACTTTGCCTTTAAAGGTCCGGCAGATGCGACCGAAGCTGCGACCAAGGGGTAAATACGATTTACGGCGGCGGCTAAGGCCGACGGAGATTAACTCAGCAAATCGGAGGCCTCGCATCCGAGGGGTTCAACGCGAAAATGGTTCGATTTTGTTGTGGTTGATGCGTACAATTTAACGCCTTCGACTTTCTTCTGACGGGCCTATCCTATCGCGACCTTTGCCATTGTAATCTTTTCTGGTCGGCATTGCGGGAGGCGTTCTTTCATTCCTTCTTGACACTGCCTCTCTTCCTGGGAGTTTTGTCCATCGCTCTTTCTTCTATTACCTTTATTGTCCCCTATTTCTGCTTGGACTGGCATACAACCGCGTCCACTTCACAATGTCGGTCATGAATGCGAGTTACGCCTCGCCGGTCGCAGATGCGGCTTTCGCAAAGATCAATGCCATCGCACCTGAGGGTTTCGTGCAGCGTCTGCTTGCTGGAGTAAACACATGGACTGTTGTTTTGACTCTGCTCATCGGCGCTGTTCTCTACGATCAGGNNGTGAGTCGAAGAAACCAGGAGGCGCCAAACCTGCCGAAATAGACTGACCAAATCTCAGCATCATACCTCTACCACAAGGGCTCAATCGTGGGTCCCATGTTCAAGATCCCCTTCATTGGTCCTTTCCTCGAGTCAGTGAATCCTAGATTCGAAAAGTACAACGCAAAATGGCAGAGTGGCCCTCTGAGCTGTGTCTCCGTTTTCCACAAGTTCGTCGTTATCGCCTCGACACGCGACATGGCCCGCAAGGTCTTCAACTCTCCCACCTATGTCAAGCCCTGCGTCGTTGATATCGCCTACAAACTCCTTCGTCCTACCAACTGGGTTTTCCTCGATGGTAAGGCCCACGTCGACTACCGCAAGGGTCTCAATGGACTCTTCACCCGTCAGGCTCTCGAACTTTACTTGCCCGGTCAGGAGGAGGTCTACGATGCATACTTTGCTCGCTTCCTCAAGGTCACCAAGGATGCCGGTAACAAGCCCGTCGCATTCATGCCCGAATTCAGAGAGCTTCTTTGCGCTGTTTCTTGCAGAACTTTCGTCGGTCACTACATCAGCGACGAGGCCATCAAGAAGATCGCAGACGACTACTACATGATCACCGCCGCTCTTGAGCTTGTCAACTTCCCCATCATTCTCCCCTTCACAAAGACTTGGTACGGCAAGAAGGCTGCCGACATGGTTCTCGACGAATTCGCAAAGTGTGCTGCAAAGGCAAAGGTTCGCATGAATGCTGGTGGTGAAATCCGCAGCATTCTCGATGCCTGGGTCAAGCAGATGATCGAGTCCGAGGCCTACCGCACCAAGCTGGCCAGCGGCGTCAAGATGGACGATTCCGAGAAGCCCGCCATGCTCATTCGCACTTTCACCGACTACGAGATCGCCCAGACTCTGTTCACCTTCCTTTTCGCTTCTCAGGATGCCACCAGCAGTGCCGCCACTTGGCTTTTCCAGATTGTTGCTGACCGTCCTGATGTTATGGAGAAGTTGCGCGAGGAGAATATGCGTGTCCGCAAGGGTGACAAGAATGCCCGTTTGACCATGGACATGCTCGAATCGATGCCTTACACCAGAGCAGTCGTCAAGGAGCAGCTCCGTTACCGTCCTCCCGTCCTCATGGTTCCTTACCTCGTCAAGAAGGATTTCCCTGTCACCGAAACCTACACCGCTAAGAAGGGATCCATGATCATCCCTACGACATATCCCGCTCTCCACGACCCTGTCGCATACCCCGAGCCCGAGACTTTCGATCCTGAGAGATGGATCAGTGGTGATGCCGAGAAGCACCCCAAGAACTGGCTTGTGTTCGGCACAGGACCTCACTACTGCCTTGGACAAACATATGCCACACTCAACCTGATGGCCATGATTGGCAAGGCTTGTGTTGAGATGGATTGGAAGCACGAAGTTACGCCCTTGTCTGAGGAGATCAAGATTTTCGCCACGATTTTCCCTCAGGTGTGTATTCACGATAATTTTCACTTAGAAGTTGGGTCACTAACAAATTCACAGGATGACTGCCTTCTTACATTCAGCAAGAGAGATTAGAGGAGATTATGATTCCGTGCTTTCGAAGGTAATTACATGCAAAAGAGCAACTGTGATTGGAAGTACAGGAAGATAAACCTAATCGTGCACTTGATAGACTAATTATTTTAATGTTCTTCAAACCATATTTATGCCTCTGTGCTCTCGATAAGAGTGCATTTCGTGTGACTTTGTACTTCGTGTAACAAGCAGATGGAAATGTCTGGATGAAAGATGGCGATGATGGACCTCGGTCTGCGGAGAACAAGACCGAACTTTGGCGATGATGCAACCTTCAATTTATCATTCTACACCACAACTCAGCTCTCTTCACACCAACCACACATACTACCCACCATGTCGCTAAGAAGAGCCACCACCTTTGCCGCAAGGGCAGCCATCGCATCCTCACGACCCGCCAGATTCCAAGCTTCAAGCCTGCTGCAGTCAACACCAAAGCTCCAATCCACCATCCAGCGACCAGCAACATGTCTCGCACACCAACGCTTCCACTCTACTGAGGGCAGACCCGACAACAAAGTCTGGAACTTTGATTCCGTCAAGCAATTGACCGAGTCGCCAGACCCATCGCGCGTCTTGATCGGTACGCTGCCACTTCTACCTGCCTCTTGCTCTAAATCCCCTCACTAACACTGTTTTCTCTGCACACAGNATGTCCGCGAACCCGCCGAATACGCTGCTGGCTTTATCCCTACCGCCATCAATATCCCTGTCTCTTCTGCACCGGATGCGCTATTCATGCCCGCCCACGAATTCGAGGATAAATTTGGCTTTGAGAAACCGACAGCGGATCAAGAGTTGGTGTTTTACTGCAAGGCTGGAGTTAGGAGTTCTGCGGCTGCTGGATTGGCTAGGCAGGTTGGATACCAGAAGGTTGGGGAGTATAGAGGTAGTTGGTTGGAGTGGAGTAAGAATGGAGGTAAGGTGGAGTATGACTAGATGAGAAAGACGAGGGAATACAACAAGAAGGAGACCAGGTCTGATACTATGATGCTGAAGGTTTGAGCTATACAGTGTGGTCCATCACCGCTGCCTTCCAGGGTCAGTAACAGTTCACCCCTCATAGATCTTTCTCCAGAAATCAACCTGGACTCTCCCTTTGAAGTCTTTATCCACTCAATCATACCTTTGATTACTGCAACATTACCTCAAAACCTGGTAAACCTCCAGGAGAACAGCACTTTATCGTTCATGTTTAGGGACGATGTTATCGTACTCGCATGCTTTGACATGCAGTGCTCGACGCAAATCTGCTGTTGATTCTGCTTCAACTGCTGTTACTCTTCTTGATCTGCTCGAATGAGGAGAAAAGATCATGTCGATCAGTGCAAAGCTTCTGACACTGACATTGTGATCCTGCTTGATAAAAGCCACTCCGTGAGCTCGTTGAGGTGTGCTTGCCTGTCACGAAGCCCTTGATGTCTTACACCTTTTCGAAACTTTTACCCAGCTTTGATCTATCTCTCAGTTAAACGGCCATGTATGTTTGAGATGTCAAGATAATCATGAGAAAGAATGCATATCAATAATTACCAGCAAGTGGTCTGTGCTTTTCGATGCTCTCGAACCTCGACTTTCGCATGATGAAGTCCATCGATATCTAATGACAATCAAACAACAATTCTTCTCAACTCACTCATCAATATCTTGTCGAACCACTGGATCGATCTCGCAAAAGCACCGGACCTTCGCCGAGTTTGCCTTTGCACAGACAGCCTCAAACCACGTCAGACACTTGCAGGCCTTGCTATCATCACTCAGCGACAACGAAAAATGTCTTCAAGTACTCAATTCAACATCTCCAACCTCCCTCGCATATCGCGAGAATCTCTGGCTTCTTTGATCAAGAACAAACATCCCTCTATGGCCGTCATCGACGTCCGAGACTCTGATTACATCGGCGGCCATATTACTGGTGGCCAAAACATCCCTTCCAACACGCATGACTATAAGATGCCTGAATTGGTGAGAACGCTCAAGGATAAGGAGACTGTGGTGTTTCATTGCGCGTTGAGTCAGCAGAGGGGGCCGAGTGCTGCGTTGAGGTATTTGAGGGAGAGGGAGAGGATGGAAGGAGCAAAGGAGGCAGAGGAAGAGGTTGTGGACGGAAAAGAGGGGAAGGAAGGTGTTAAGGTCAAGGGACAGACTGTCTATGTGCTTGATGGTGGGTTTGTCAAGTGGCAGGAAGCGTGAGTGTTTCATCGACTCGACTGAGAGATCGCATTGGTGCAAGGCAAAGACATGTTTATGCTAACTGTGATCACAGATNATGGAGAAGACAAGGAACTCACGGAAGACTACCAGAAGGATATCTGGGAGTTTGGATACTAGGACTTTTTTTCTTGGAAGCTCGAACGCTTCCCATCAGACAACTCTCAAGGGCAAGCAGACTCAAATCGCCACTGCTATCTCTAACCTCAACTCCCTTCAATACAGCGAAAGCCAGCGTGTCATCACAGCAAGCGAATATACGCAAATATCAGTACATAAAGAGATAAGATGTACTCCGCGGTGAGTGCTCTTATTACCGAATTTCTCCACATATAAAATAGGTTTATTCCCGAGCATGACGATGCAACCCATCAGCCCAGCCTCCAGCATCCTAGTACCTTGTACTCCTAAGACTTTGAACCTTTGCTTGGCCATGACTACAGTGACACACGAATTTCTTGGTGTTCATGTGCGATGATGGTGCTAGCCTCAAAAACCAGGATTACCACGCCATATGCTTGTGGTATCCTCTTTGCACCTCTTTCCTGCCTGCCTCATCACTCTCGGGTCTTTGGCTTTTGACAAGAATATAGTATCACCAGCAAGATGCCGTCTCTGACAACCGCGACTTCATCCATCAGAGCAGTCTTTTCACTAGATGTCATAGTATCTGCACTCGCCCTCTTTCTGGCCATCATCGCCGTCATCCTCGCACTTGCCCGCCACAAACGCCGTAACGACCAATACCATGGCCTCTCTGACTCTTCCTCGGCGCCTCTGAGATCAACACTGGCAACTCATCTCTTCCNNCTGGTCCCTGCTTTGGTCTTCCTCTGCATCGAGTACGCCTCCCTGGCCGCCATTGTCGTTTTGCAACTGCACCTCTCGACATCCACGACCATAACAACCGGCTACTCATACCAAGCTCTCTTTCCAGAAACCAGGTCTGACGATACCATCGAAGGGCTAAGCTATACTCAACAATTCGCCGCTATTGTGTTTACAACCTGTTTGAACGGTGCTGTGTGGTTACATTCCTCACACATCACTTCCAATGGCACTGGCATCGGTAAACCCTCTACCACATCCAAGATCTGGAATACTGTTATCTTGGTTTGTATTGTTGGGACTGGGTTTGCGGCTTGGGGATGGGCGATTGGTCTGAAGGGGACTGGGATTTTGACGTATGCTAGTGCTGTGCAAATAGATGAGGTTGCGAGAGCGCTGCATGTCACTTTTCGGTGTATTGTCATCTTTTCCTCATTGTCTGTTGCTGTTGAGGTGGTGAGGAAGTGGACGGAACTTGATAAGAATGGCACGCCTGGTGTAAGTTCTTCTTGTTTCTCTATTACCCGTCTTATCTTTGCCATCTCTTGTTACCAATGCTCAAGTGCTGATTACCATATACAGAACCCAGAAAGACCTATCCTCCAACGCTTCACGTATATCGTTGTGCCTTTGATTGTGGCCAGAGATATCTTTATCATTGTCGATATTGTTATGATCTATGTCTCTTATGCTTCTTGGTCGACGGCCAGTCAGCAAGCACTGGCGTTTTTACTTATTGTCTTTGGACAGTATGCCAATCTGGGGATCTTGGCTATGGTGGTTTGGGGTGCGTGGAGTATGGGCAAGCAGGCTGGAAGGAAGGGCAGCGTTAACAAGATCTCGGCTTGATTGGGGTAAATCCGAAGTCGAAGTGTTGGTATTCTGATTCGAGGACCTCAAGGCGGCGATATGATATATAAGCAACACTTTTAGGCTAGTAGTGTACGAGGTGGTGGCCTTGTTGGTCGTGGGCACGGTCCGTGCAGAACATGAGACGGGACCTGAATCACAGCGTACCCAAAGAACTATACCCATTCCATATCAACCAAATGTATTGATTCTTGATTGTTTATAGACATGTCCACAGAATATTTTCTCTCCATCCATAACACGTAAGGATATTCACCCTACGCCATACCTTCCAATCATGTCGACCATAGGATACTACCCGCTCTTCTGCACCGTTCCACAGCTCCCAGTAGAGGTTTGTCCCACACATACAAGTACTTTTGTACCCAATATCTCTGACCCCAGACTTAGTTGGTCANACAAACTCATTACTGAGACCAGAGATGTTCAGTTCAACGTTCAAAACTGTTTTGTTCTTATCCTAACGCCAGATCAACAAGACTTCCACAGAGGCCTGGAACCTATCGCCGCGCCTCTTACGTCCGGGTTCGTTGATGCCTCCATCCACCAACTGGCGGAAATCTCCACGCGGAGTTTCGAAGGAATGTCATCCAGCGACCTGGAGAATCAGATTAATGTGGACCCGTTTGTTATAATTGACGAGAGAACACTTGAAGATGGCACTATTCGAGTCGTCCAAAGCGATGTTGGATTTGTCTATGGAAGACATGGGGAAATTGTCACTGAGGAGGATGTTGACAGACTCGAGACTGTGAGATGCGAGATTGAACAGTTGGGATGGTTGCTTGCACTGTTGGATGAGGAAGGCATGATACTGTTTAAGCGTGATCAGGAAGTGCCTTTGGGAGATGATGATGTCGCTGAGTTGTGATGCTGCATTTTCACAGATATCAGGGCAGTTAGCTTAAGACTGTTTCATGCAATAGACAAAGGTCTAGGGAGGAAGAAAGAACTGCAACCTTTCACACTTGAGACAATGTTCAACACCAGAGAAAAGTCTCACACAATCACCTTCAGGCAGCATATATCTCCTTGACAAACACCTTTTTCTCTCGTTCCCAAATCACAAAGCCACAAGAAAACCCCCTCAAACAATCAGCCATACAAATGCCAAAAGCAAAGCAGTCAAAGAAAGCAACTACCAAACGACGTCAAGCTCCCTATCCTACACCACCTCGACCTACCCCTGGTTCTCGTTCGTCAAGAGCTGCACCATCGATTCCAGGCGCGCGCATCTTTCCACCACCTCCTGCTTCGAGATGGCCGCGCCCAGACTCTGCTTACCTTGAAGACGCCTTGACTCGATATGAGCAAGGTCAAAGCTTTCTGGAATTCATAAGAGAACGGCAGAATGGTACAGGCCAATCTCCTCGTGTGGTTGAAGATGGGAGTGCCGGTGATGACCAAGTTCGTGATGATCGACAAGACGAGAACCCTTTTGAGCCAGACACCCAAAATGGAGATAACACACAGCCAACTACTGGAAATTCTTCAGGTCAACCATCACCTCCTGACCCTTGTCCCCCTCCAGGACTGCCGCCAAATTCACCGGGAGAGTCTACGCCGGAGTATCCTCTGATTCCGGAACCTCTTACCGAAGATGAGATATGGCTCGAAAGATTCAAGCCCTTGATAGAGTTTAACCAAGCGACGCCTTGGCCTATACCCTTCCATGAGCGATCTGTGCCGACTCCAGCATGGCATTTAGAATGTCCAGAAGGTTACGAGCCGACGACCCTTGCTGGATACCCTATCAGAAGGCAGTATGATCTTTGGATTTCAGCAGCCCATGACCCAGACTTGGTGCGGGATGAGTATGGGCACTACTGTCTTAACCTCGATAAGTGGGATCAATGTTGCATGGGCAAGTGCGAGGGATGTGAGATCTGTCGTCCAGGTCTCTAATTGACATAGCAGAGAGAGAGCGAGAGATTGTAGCTTTCGTTGATCTGTGGCCAGCATTTCTCCTTACACTCTGCTGCATTTTTTTGATTATAAATCATATTCACATTTCCTCAAGTAGTCGGTGTTGACAAGAGCAGATGAGAACGCGACTAAACTTGATTGCCAGCAGGGCGGGTGAATCACCAAGGTGGTACCTTGATGAAATGGCGTTGAGGCTTCGGCCATGTCAGTCTTGGGACCGGATGTTATCTGTGGCAGCTGATAGGTCCTGATGTCTCGAACAACATATTTCAGAAGATTGTCACGTATACTCGTGGTGTTAAAGAAGGTTGTGTGGTCAAGCAGGGTCTCTCGGAAGCCGGGCGGAGGCAACGGTGCGTACGTCGATGATGGTCCTTGCACGGCGCGTGGTGGATGGAGAGTGGAGCAGGTCGCGTCTCCTCGAATGGTTGGATCATCGCGACAATGTTGAATTGATCTTTTTGATTTCCAGCTCTCGACAACCAGACCAATCTTACACCAAGCCATGGAGACGCTGACAGCACCATCCAGATCGGATCTGAGCATACCGGTACCTGGAGTTGGGAAACATTTCGAAATGCATCCGCCAGGCCCATCCGTAAACCCCGCGACGCGCATGCCACCACCTTCGTCTGGCAATCGTGATGGCCAGGACCGGTCGCATATTCAAGAACAGAACCAGATATCTCCTCAGAGCGAAGACCGCACCTCACTCCCAAATCTGGTTACTAGCGAGCAGTCTCGCACGACTTTATCCAGTGTTCCATGTGAGCACGACCAGAATGACGCGTCGCAATCGAGTAGTCGAGTCCGCACTCCGGAAGATGCATCGCACTCCCAGACAGACTCAATATACAGCCCAACAAGACACAAGAGAACTGCAAGCGGACTTTTGAAGGCTGTCGACACTCCCAATGAGCAGAGACCACGCGCAGAGAGTGTCAGCTCGGCTGGCAGCAAGGCCGGCGAGGTGGGTTTATGCCGTGTTTCGTAGCCACCATCTCCTAACACATCTTCCCAGGTTGCTGCTCAGCTCAAAACCCGACTCGCATACGCAATGGTCAAGGTCCAACACGGCTGGGAACATCGCAACATAAACGAAGTCGAGAAACTGGCTGTCGCCATGCACCCACGTTTGGCCGCCTCACCAACAGCCTCCAGTGCACCCATTGATATCCGGTCACCACCTTCGAAACGACGGTCCGGGGCGGGTGTGGTGACTTGGTCATTGCCAGACTCCAGTCCAGCCACCAACGGCTTATCACAAAACTCCCATATGTTCAGACGTCCTTCGGCATCTTCTCCTCCTGCGCAGGTCCCCTCAACACCCAAATCTCGTCCGCCGCCTGTACGCTCGACTATTCCGACTCAACAAGCAGAACAAGATGCCATGGATGCCTTGATGTTGATGGGTGGGAGTCCAGGTAATAATGGCAAGTTTCCAGCTTCGCAGTTTTCGTCTTCGCAACAGACATCACAATCTCAGTCACAGCAAACCTGGCACAGTCAAGGTTCAGTCAAGCCTCCGAGTCGCCATTATCCAGACTCTCCAACTGCCGCAAACAAATCACCCATGCGACCCATAATTTTGAGTCGTAACAACAGCAGTACTTCGGAAGTCAGTGTTGCCAATAGCGAAGTCTGTGAAGCAAGAGAGAGGGTTCTCGAAGAGGTTGAAGAAGCGGCATGAATGCGGGTCCAACACGTGGTAGAGGTTTGTTGTCTTTCTGGATATGTGTGGGTGTTGAAGGCAAACAGGATACCCTTCTTTCTGTGGAGTTGAGGAGTTCAAGCGGCCATGTGCCTTTCATACCAGCATATAAGAGGCGTTTGTTGTTTGTAACTGTAGCATGGATGTATTGAATGCTGAGTACACATGCTGTTCAGTCTGCAAGTATTCTTGGGAGAGTGAGCATGGTCAAGAGAGCAATGGTGTTCCGTGGTCCGGATGGAACCTTAGTAAACTCCAGCAAAATGGGCAGGGAAGAAATTGGAAGATCTGAGGTCATGGCAAGTACGCATTTTCCTGACAAAGTCGCTCCTGCCTAGTTCCTCAGGTGAGCGTCTGGTGAAGCTTACAACACAGAGCAGCGACGAAGGCGTCAGGTCTTGCCTTATATTTCAACATTCTCGTCTTGCAACCCCTCACTGCCAACACCTCGACAGCGCGAGTTCTGCTTGACTTCTCTGCTCAACATGCACATTCATCGTCGTTGACATCTAGTCCTTCCTCATCGCGCGCCATTACACATCCACCAGGACAACTCTTTAGTCTTTTGCGCGCCCCGACTCAGTCATACTCCCATGGCTGCCGTTCCACCTGCCGCAGGTGCAGCTGCTCCTGCTTCTGCCGCCACTGTTACCGAAGACGGTTCTCCTGTCAAACAAAACAAGACTCGCACTAAGAAGATTGTTGGTCCAGCTGCTAGAAGAACCAAGCAGTGCTGCTTCAATGAACCAGGTGGCCCATGGCCTCAGTACGTCGCTCACCTCACGATCTATACCATGATCATCTTCACTAACTGTTACTCAGCAATGTCATGCTTCAGGCTGCTACCTGCCATGATATGAAGGAAAGAATGATGACTCTCATTGTCGGCCAGGAGGAGACACACTTCACCTGGTTCCATGAAGTCCTCTCCTTCCACTCATCCTTCTTTGCTGGCGTCATGAAATACTCTTGGTCCACTGAATCTAAGGACAAGATTGTGCGCATGCCTGAAGACTCGCCTGACGTTGTTCGCGAGTACGTTCGAGGCCACTCTTCCACCATCGCAAAGACTAATCACGTCTTCTCTGTAGATNTCATCCGTTGGATCACCGACCACAAAGTCGGCGGCTATGGCGCTGGTTCCAACAACCCCTCCCTTACGCCTTGGTGTTATTGGGACTTGATGGTCGAGCTCTACATCTTCGGCAACAAGTACAACATCCCTCGTCTGCAGAATGTTGCTATCAACGAGATCATTACTCTCTTCCAGGACCAATTTGCCTTCCCTCGCGCTTCCACTATCTACAAAATCTACGAGCGCACTCCACTTGGCGTGTCTCTTCGCAGACTTGTCACTGACATGGTTGTCCTCTCGCACGAGAACATCGGAGCTCTCATCGACGGCCAGTCTCGCTTTGGTGAGGGCTTCCACTTCGAGTTCATCAATGACTTGTTAAAGCGTCTGCACAAAGCTGCAACGCACCCTGACGGCTTCGCATCGCAGCGAAAGGTCCGTAGAGATTGGCGTCTTGTCCCCCGCTGTATCTATCACGTTTCTGAGCTCGACGCCCGCTTGAACGGCAAGGAGGTTGGTGTGCATTCATCCAGTTCCGATTCTTGCAGCAGTGGCTAACGTCTTTCTAGATTCTTGAACGTTCTCGCGCTGAGGGGTTGCCCTAGAGAATGAGAGTCACGGAAGCCAACTGTTCATGATGTTTTCCAAAGAGGATGTGTGGAACCACAGACTATCGCTGTGCTGCCAGTGCTCTGTTGCAATCTGCAAAGCATGTAAGAAAGCTGGGTGGCAAATTGGCCGTGAGGAACAAGTTACGAAAATGAAGTTGCATCAAGACCGGAAGAACATAGCTCAGGTCCGCTGTGTTGGTAGACATGAATTGCGCGTGGACGAAGAAATGGCTGTTCCAAGGCGTACTGCTCTGACAAAACGTACGAAACATTGCTGACTGAATCCGGTTCGCGATTCCTAACCGTAGACTATACTAGCTTTAAAGGCAATCAAATGCTGACAACTCTCTGCCACGTCGATATGTGACGTGGCGGTGCTATTCAAGCCAGGACATATACTCCTCAACGAACTAAAATCCGAACTCCATGAGGTCCTCACTGCTACGATCAAGAACTGTCGGCTGTGTGACACTTCAAGATCAAGGTTCTGTGGATGTGAACATGAGCTGTCAATTCCGAAATTGGCTGGTGGCTAAAGCTCTGAATACAGCGGTTGGTAGCGTCGGAAGCCCAAAGACTGGTGCCTTGTGCCTTGTGACTCTCGGAATGTTGACTCTTGGCTCCAACCATGCCAGCAGTGGGTGCATGTTTCCAGCCTAGACCAGCGTTTTTTTGTGGCTATGTACACAAACCCATCTGCCAACTTGCCAGATTCAAGTTTCTGAAGCCTGTGAGAGGCAAAAGTTGGCAGATCATGCGTTCGAACCAATGTCTGTTGAAGAGCACAACCAAGAACTTTATCATCACATGCTATCTGACACAAAGCTATGCCCTTCTGGCTTGCTCCTTGCACAAGTGTGCAGGAATCTTGCATCTATTCTTCGCAGCTCTACAGCGTGCTTTTTCTGGCCTACTGGATTTTGTGCCTTTATAAACCCTTCCTTGCTTACTTTGTTCTTCTCCATCATCAACCATGTCTTTCATAACTTCTTCTTGGGCTACATATGGACTCAGGGCTGTCTCTAACCTCAGCTGCTCCCTAAAGCACCGAAGACGATATCCAAGTATATATATACATCGGCATCGGCTGGAACCTGGAAACCGTCCATCGATCTTTGTAGACGCCGTGAGGTTAGTTCTTCTGAGCGGATCTTTCAAGGTCGTGGAAATGGGACACACACACGGCACTGCGATCGCTGGAGCATCGCACCTGATTATTCCAGCTCTGAGGGTCTCGCGCATCTGGCGGTGCTCAAGCTCCAAGATCATCTCTTTGAAGAAAGAAGAGGTCTGCGCGGCAACTGAGCGGTAGAGTCAATGTCGAAGGGCTTGCAGACAGCTTGCACTCGCGGCTTCTTCAGCTGCTGTGCCAGGGACGGACATTGGACAGCGACAGCCTGATGTCTCACATGTCCAGTCCCGCCTCAGTGGTGTGAATGTCAACAGCATCAAGTACAACTTTGCTGTGACGCCGTCTCTTATACTGGAGTCTGTGGAAATCCAGCTCGAATCTTTCTTCTCATACTGGTGTACCTATTTCAGGCTCATCACTGTCGGCCTTACACTATATATGAGTCCATGAGGAGCCTGGGGTCAAAAATCAAGCTGTTGATATCTGGATCGGCTGCAATGGCGAAATTTGGCAAGGAACAGAGTTGCATGACGCTTATATTTCGTCGTCGAAGTCCTTAGGCAACCAGACCCCATCGTCCAACTCATCTGGCGGCAAACCACATGGGATCAGCTTCAGACCCGCCATAGTTCACATCCACGGCCCTGAGGTCAGATATGGACCTCCAGAGCCTTCCTCTCGCGGCGCTACCACAACCATATATACCCGCTCGAAGAATATACAGGAAGATGTGTTACACCTTAGCGCCATGCCGACTTCCCCTCCAGGATTCTATCCTCAGTCTGTGACCGACTGCTGCATCATGACCCTTATCAACCTGGACTGCTTTGTCTTACTATACATCCACAAACGCCATCGTTTCTGAATGCACATTCAGTACGGGTAGCAACAAACCTGCTGCCTCAGAACCAGAGAACAAGAGCAACCGCGAGAGTTCTGACTTACGGCGAATATCAACCTCATTCTGGATACTGTCGTCCTCTTCCAGCTTGACTTGCGGTCTCTATCCTGATCATCACTTTCAGTGAAGTTCTCTTGCTAGCAGGAGATCTTGTATATACTCAACGCCCATGGGCCAGACCTTTGGCCTCGATATCTATACTGCTGTCCTCCGTCCGGCCTGGGGTATTTTGTGTATACTTGGAGATTGCCATAGAATCTCTCGCTAAGGAAGAAGCAGCGCAACTATCCTGTCTCAACACCTGCCCCACTGTCCCTCGATGACGAAGATTTATAAGTCAAGACAGAGAGAATTGTGACATCTTTCTGAATGAAGAAGGAGACAATGTCGAGAGTTCTGGTCTTCAGACAGCAAAGCAAAGCCTGCTCCCCCACATTGATCTGGATTTCAGCAATTGCAAGTTATCTTGCAGTATATATTGACGATACCAGCTCACCGACTTCTGCAACGTTATGTTCTGAGCCTGGAGATCTGGTTCTCTCCTCAAAGGAGAAGAAGAAGCGAGCAAAGAGAGAGAACGTGCAGAAAAGAACAGGACCGTTGTCACCTGACCGCAACATATATATCATGCTTCACGATCTTATACGCTTGGCCACCGATTACTCTCGGACCTTCGCTTGATCTTGCAGAAAGGATGTACGTTTGGTCCCCAGCAACCGTGGACTTCAGCGGAGTTTGAGTCTTTTGAGACGGTACGACCATACTTGCTACAGCTCGGTCACCCCAGTATATATATACGCCTACGCACAGCAGTCAAGATCGAGGAGAGTGCTCGGCGTAGGCAACGCTCTCCTCCACCGTATCATGGTTTCCGACATTCAGGCTGGCGACGATTACTTTCGGTGCTGCTCTTCTCATGGGGGAATTCCATTCTCGAGAACCTGAAGGCTCAACGTATCGAGCAGAAGTCATCAGGTACAGGACTGACATTCGGAGCCGCTCTTGTCATGGGCGGTACAAACCTCATGGCGCCCCTGAAGGAAGGATCTCCTGCACGAGTAATCCTCACCAGCTCGGAACATCTGCTCAACAGCAGAAAGCAGAAACCGACAGGGGTACTGACATCGCTCTCCTGGATGCGAGTTTCATGGATCATTCCTCAAGTGTGGACTGTGATCATCGTCGTAATGATATGTTGGAGACTTGGAAGACTGTCACAGGCCTGATGGATGTTTTCCTGAATGGTTTTCATCAGGATTCCTCTGTTCGTCAGAGATAGCTGGTATTCCTCGGCGGGTCTTGCATTTCATGCTGGCTTTCAACAGGACTCCCTGCAGCGCTCTCCTGGATATTTGCTCAAACGTGGACACAACCCGTCAGATATACTGAGCTGAACACCCTTATGCATTTTCCCCCCTAGTCCAATCTGTAAACAGCTGGTGGCTTCCACTGCCATGTTAACACGGACGTTCCCGGTAGACAGCGATAGAATATCAACTACGTCAAGCGGCACGTTCGATGCGTCGATTTCAAAGGCATTGAGACAACACCAAGTCGACTAAAGATTGGAAACGATCATCATGGAGCGGTTGACTCGATCAAGACATTCCTTTCCAACAGTATTCGAGTTCCTTGCGGGTACATGCAATCCTTGGATCATCTGGCTGTCGACTCCCTCAGTTGCCGCTAGAACAGCCAAAGCCACGAGTACAGACTTCACCTGGCGAGCTTCGTTCTAGCTGTCGTGATAGCCAGCTACCTCGAGGCTTCAACCGCTCGACGCGATGAGCTACATAAACGTTCGTAGCGACCACGACCTCATCCGAACACCTGAGACGAGCCATCGAAAGGGCGACTCACTATGCTACCACCACAGCGAGGCCTCACACTTCCTTCGGCCTCTTGTACCTCTTCCGGTACCTCTCTCGACCATGTTCTCGCCGTTACACCGCTCAGTCTATGAATCATGAGTAGTGCCGCCGGGCGACCACTCATAACAGGCGAGATGGCCGAGCGGTCTAAGGCGCCAGCTTAAGGTTCTTCCAATACGCTGGTCCGAAAGGGCGTGGGTTCAAATCCCACTCTCGTCACTATCTCTTTTGCTTTCTGCATGCTAGATATGGCAGAAGCGACAAGGTGATAAATTGGTGGAGGTATCAAAACTTTCGGGAGTTGGACGTGGATTTTGCAGAATTCTGTTTTTTGTGCTTGAAGCCTGGCTTTGTGGAAGAGCTTGGCGGTATCGATGCATAAGTTGTGCAGGATGCGCATACAAAGATGAGCAAGTATGTATTATGTCTCTGCAACTGACATAATATATGAATGTTCATCAAGGAGTAATCTGGACCGAAATAAAAGCAGCTTGTTTTTCAATATCACAAACCTCGGTGGGGACTGTGAGCCAATATGGTCAGAATGTCTTGAACACGAAAGCGGTTGCAAACACATACAATCATGCAGTTTTGCATGCAGCATTAGAAAGTTCTTTGACATATAACTCATAAGCACATAAACTCGCTCTGTCTGGGTTCCTCTTTTCTCTTTTGGCTCCCCTATATCTCTTATCCGTACCTCTCAAATAAGATACCTATACTCGGGATTCAAATCTCCCAACTCGGTCTTTTCATATTCCGTCAACCCTACATCCGTGACGGTCTTTTCCCTGTGTCTGTTCTGCGACACACAAGCAATGAAATAAGCAATACAGCTGACAACACTCAAACACGTGAATGCTATACAGATACTGTAGCCTGGTTTGTAGAGTGGAGCGTCCTTTTGGAGGAAACAGTATACAGCAATGATGCCACCGATGTTGCCGAAGGCGACTTGCCAAGCTGAACCCACGCTGCGGCGATGGTGGCCACCGAGATTCATGTCTGCGAGAGCAAAGAGTGTTAGGATTGAGTCTTTTGTGGGAAGAGATACAAGACTGGGAAATCAGAACTTACTGAACCAGCAAACGATGATTGGCATGGCTGAATAACAGCCCATGGCTACGAGGAAAAGAGCTGCGTATTCGAGAGGACGGTTGTCGTGTACCGAAATCAAGATGGCGAAACCGACGATTGCGATACAAACAGCGAAAACGGCGTATGCGAATCGATGGCGTGTTTTGTCGGAGATGTAAGCTAGTATCATGGCAAAGCCGAAGGCGGCGGCCCACGGAGGTACACTGTGAAGTTGAGTTTGGATCTGTCCGTAGCCATAGCCTTTGATAATGGCAGGGCTAAAATAGGCATANTCTGGAGCACAAGTTAGCACATTTTGAGCTCTGAGGAAGAAGGAATAGTCGTACGAGTAGGCAGGCACGATCAGGCCGAAATACATGAAGCCTCCAAGGAAAACTTTGTAATCCTTGAACACGTTCGCAACATCTTTGGCACTCGTCTTGCGCTCAACGGCTGAGGCACCTTGTTCACTGCGAAGGCGGTTGACGACGAATGCCCTCTCTTCCTCTGTGAGCCATTTGCTGTCTTCGGGGAAATCGGGAAGTACGAAGAAGAATGCGATGCTGACGACACAAGTGAGGATCCCTTCGAGGATAAAGATCTGCACAACTCAGTCAATCACAATTCGAGTCTTTGAGGGTTTCATTTGACATACCCATCTCCAGCCTCTGTAACCTGCGACGCCATCCATCTTTCCGATTGCCGCGGCGAGCAGGCCAGCGAAGGCACCGGCAAGTGTTGTACTCGAAAAGAAGAAACTGTATCTTCTTTGTGCTTCGGTTCTCAAGTACCACGAGGAAAGCAAGTAGAAGCATCCTGGGAACATGCCGGATTCAAAAAGACCTNNGCGAATAATGAGCATCTGTGTCATGCGATTAGAAGGTTTGAGATCCAAGCCGAACACACCTAGGAAGAAGCGCGTAGCCAACAATCCAGAATAATTTTGAACAACTCCTTGCAATGTTGTGGTAAGACCGAAAAGAAACATGCACCCCGACAACCACACGTGCGGCTTGAACTTCTTTAACAGGATATTGCTAGGGATTTCGAAGAGGATGTATGGCACGAAGAAGATGACGAGAGCGTTGTTGTATTCATGCTTTTCTAGGTGAAGGTCGGGGGACAAGCCTGCAACATTGGCATTTGCGATGTTGACTCTGNNCAGATACATGTGGTCAGGTCGTGTTCTCCTGCTCTTTCTTTGGCTTCGTCGCGCGACTCACCTGTCGAGGAAGGCAAGCAAGTAGAGGATACACAAGAACGGGACGACGTGAAAATCGATCTTGTTGACTAGTTTGCGCTCGGTTGTGTGTGGTGGACAGACAATGGTATCATCGTATGCGGTTCCAGTTTCGACGCGGTCAAATGATGTCGGTGACCCATCAATGTCCTCTGATTTTCTTGGGTCAGTCATCTTGATGCTGCAATGCCAAAAGCTATGCCTTACTCTCGCGATACGCCATGCCGGGCAACTCAACTTATATTCTCAACTTTCACAAGGGTGAAGTGGGTCCGAATGATTGTCTTGACCGTCAATGGAAGAGGCAACTGCAGGGCAGTGATAGCGATTCAGGCTTGCGCAAAACAAAAAAGATAGAAGATGAGAGGAAGATCAACAAAGAAAGTGGAAAGATGACTGTACTTGAACATCTCGCTCCCGACACCGCCGTAGGGAGATCATCCTGCTCTACCATGCGAACTAATCGTTTCTTACCTCGCAAAACGACACATGTGAGCCATCAACTCGCATCGCTATTCGTTCCAATCTACCAGTTCCCCGCAAAGAGATCTGCAGGTGTGTATGGGGCTGCTCTTGGCAATATGACGACGGAATCCTTCCGAAAGGGTACAACACATCAGATCTTTACCTGGCTTCGGCCATGCGCTTGAGCTGATCGTCGTGATAATATTCCTGCCTTTTTCGTTGTTGAAAACTCATTTTGTTCAGGCAGGTATCGCTGAACGAGGCAGCATTCGCGTTTGGTTGTTGTCAATTTTCCGAAGGATTGAGAAGTGGCTTGGAGAGCAGCGTTGTTTCCCGACCTGAACATAGGTAGAGTGCCGATCTCGGAAGCTCATGCGCGTAACAACACCTTCCTCTTTTGCCTCGGATTCTGCATCCCTTGGGTGGTACAAGTAACCTAAAAACGGTTTTACCCAGCCCCCAAGTCAGCTGGAGAATTCGATACGAGTCTTCGAGTGCTATGACGGCCATGTTCCGCAGAACGACGCTGAATCAAAGCACCAGGGATGTTTTTCGTGCTTGTATACCACTCGAGGCTGTTCGTTAGGGAGTTCCGAGGTCGGCGCTTTAACTGTGCACACCCTGATGGTGAGATCGCTCTGATGTGAATGGGTAGATGAGTCACTCATGTTATGACTGTCCAGCATCGAGATAACTCGCAATCAGTGTACCTAGTGTAGAGCTAAGCCGGTACGAGATGCTGAAAATCGAGTGCAAGCGGTATTCAGAATGGCAGCTCCAAGGATTGATACATGACCAGCCTCGAGATGATGGGAAGCGTATGAGCAACTGAGAACGGGGTGATAGATGCCTTTATAGCAGCTTTCCTCCCGTGCCCGCTCTTACCTGAGGTCATTTGGAACAATTTTGTTGGCGCATGATCTTGCTGACCAGCACACGGGTTGTTCTACCCACACAAATGCTGCAAATCATTTTGAGATGTTTCGTCTCTTGTAGACATGAGATGCATGACTAGATCTGATATGTATGTGTTGATCAAGCGAATGTCATCGCATTTGATATATATGTTCAGCCAAGATGATATACACGATTTGAGTAGACCTGATTGCAAGCGACGGACGGGTAGTTAAGTAACGATGCATGATGCGCGAATCTGTGAAAAGATACAATTGCATTGTTGAGCAGCCCGTCTGTCCTGGGCGAGTTATCCATAAAGAGTTCACACATGCGATACTCGCAAGGATAACAGATTCTTGGCGATAGCTTGAGAGCCGTTTCAGAATGCAGGTACGCGCGAGTCTCGGTTTCGCGGCTTTCGTCCTTGCGCGGCGGAAGTTGCCAGCAGAGAGAAGGTTCGACCTGCCAATCACAGGACACGCGTTGCAGCTTTACCGATTCTTCCATCAAAGTCTTTGTCAACAAGAAAAAGTTGAATGGCAACGCCGCTCACCATAGACAATTTCTTTCCAATGTTACTGACTTGAGTCGAATTAACCAGAAGTTACTATGATCCTGAGTCTCCGCGTTCACGCAACAATAGAGCATCTTCACGATGGGCATACCGGAAGCCTATATCCAAAGATAAGACCCCGATAGTGGGTCTGGATGTTACCGTCGGGAGGGCCTTATCGAATCAGGACGAAGACTTTGACAACTTTCTGTCAGCGACAGTGAGCTCCGTGGCCCATGCGCTATCAGATCGCGGCGGTCCCATATATTATTGACAAGTCGCCGGGAAATCCACAGCTCCCTCCTGGCCCTGTCCATCTCTCTTCCTTTCTTTGTGATACCCCCAAGTGTGTTTGTCCTTTTCTCCTCTTCATCTTAATATCACTCGCACATACACAATGGCTTCCGCTGCCAGATCTTTCACACGTGCTCTTCGCACCNCCGCCACAGCTTCTCTGAAGAGAAGCGCCACTTTCGTTCCTCGCACCACCTTCGCTCAGTCAAGCCGCCGCGGCTACGCTGATGCTGCTGGTGCTAAGAAGNGTGGCAATGGCCTCCNNCTGATCGGTGGTCTCGTTGCTGCTCTTGCTGGTGGTGCTGGTTTCTACTACATGAACGGTGCCGAGCAGGCCAAGGCTGCCGGTGTCTTCACTCCCAAGCAGGAGGACTACCAGAAGGTCTATGACAAGGTCGCTCAGCTTCTTGTTGAGCACGACGACTACGATGACGGTTCTTACGGACCTGTCCTCGTCCGTCTCGCATGGCACGCCAGTGGTACCTACGACGCCGAGACCAAGACTGGTGGCAGCAACGGCGCTACCATGAGATTCCCTCCTGAGGGTGACCACGGTGCCAACGCCGGTCTTCACGCTGCCCGTGACTTCCTCGAGCCCGTCAAGAAGGAGTTCCCCTGGATCACCTACTCCGACCTCTGGACTCTTGCTGGTGTCGCTGCCATCCAGGAGATGCAGGGCCCTAAGATCCCCTGGAGACCCGGCCGCAACGACCGTGACGTCTCTTACTGCACTCCCGACGGTCGTCTCCCCGACGCTTCCAAGGAGCAGAAGCACCTCCGTGCCATCTTCAACCGCATGGGCTTCAACGACCAGGAGATCGTCGCTCTCTCTGGTGCCCACGCTCTCGGCCGCTGCCACACCGACCGCTCCGGTTTCTCCGGTCCCTGGACCTTCTCGCCCACCACCCTCACCAACGACTACTACAAGCTCTTGATGGAAGAGAAGTGGGCTTACAAGAAGTGGGATGGCCCCAAGCAGTTTGAGGATGTCTCCACCAAGTCTCTCATGATGCTGCCCACCGACATGGCTCTCATCAAGGACAAGAGCTTCAAGACCTACGTCGAGAAGTACGCCAAGGACAACGACGCCTTCTTCCACGACTTCTCCAACGTCGTCATGAGACTCTTCGAGCTCGGTGTTCCTTTCCAGACCGAGGAGCGCATGACCTTCAAGGCCTCCGAGTAAACGAATCTCTCGATACCCAAAACACCCATCATACACAAAAGAATAAAAGGAGGGAATTAGAAACAATACATGGCCCTGGAAATACACATAGACGCTGCCTTTATGGTCAAAGGCGCATTTGCATGATTATACATTAGACCTTGCGCTGGATCACCATCCTCTTTCTTCGATGATACCTCGACTTTTTCTCTGTTTTGTCAATTGTTCATTTAGCGCTTCTTTTCCTTGTATCAATGCAAAGAGAATACAAACGAATCTTCCACATAACATGACTTTAGTCCATCTGTTCCAAGACTTGACGTCCAGTTTACCTTTGACAGGACCTAGCCCAATGGCTGCGAGGCCTGTCCAATAACCTAACTCTCTTCGGTTCTGTTCCGCGCATGCCGTTATGAAGGATCTCGGTTTGCAGCTGAGGCGCCGTGACCCCGCGTCTCTGGTTGATCATTGGGAGAAGCTCAGTATGATCCTTTGCGACAGCCTTTCAAATTCAGACTGCATCTTTGGCTGACCATCAGAGCGGAATCATCGCACTTTCGTAAGTAGTGACGAATCGTAGCTGAGTTTGCAGAGCAAAAGGTGGCCATGTCAAGATGCTGCTGTAGTGACCCTGGTACCAAGGTTTGCCGCTTTTTGTTTTGTCATTAGGGTATCTATACGAGTCAATTGCATGATAAACAATCGTATCTGTTACACCATCATTGGGCCTGGGAATGTTGAATCAGCTGTTGTGCTGCCTCGTCGTTACGCCGATTTGTCGGTGACTTCACCTCGGGATATCTTTGAAGCCATCCATCTGTGCCGTCCCAGCCAGGATGACTTGTGTATAGAAGGCATGACAACACCATCAAGATTGCTATGTGTATTTAACAAATCGCTACGATCTATGCGGCCCGAACGATTTTAGATGTGAACGTAATTGCGTCCACATCGCGAGGCGTATCTCATGCACGTGTGACTCGACCATCTGAGTCACACGTTGGAGCCTCCAACACATATCTCCAGAAACACAACATCCAAACACTTCCAAGCCTCCTCAGAGATCTTGTTGCATTGAGTTGCAGACAATCGCAAAACCATCATTCGTCTCTTGCATCCAATAACTAGACAACAATCATCGACCAACCCCACCTCCATCATCATGTCAAACAACACGAGTGTCCAAAACCCAACCATAACACTCGCATCTCCTGAGCATCTAAACGCTATCACCGACCTGATAACCCAGGCCTACACACCCTATATCACTCGTCTCAATGGCAAAGAACCAGCTCCCATGACTGCCGATTACGCCGTGTTGATCAGCTCTTCTTGTGTCTATATCCTCTGCGCTCCTCCCACACAATCCACCTCTTCCACTGTTTTGGGCTGTATATCGCTAAACCTCAACGCCACAAACAACGCACTACAAATCAACAATCTAGCAGTTTCGCCCGAGGCTCAAGGGAAAGGCTATGGAAAACTGCTGATGGGGTTTGCAGAGGATGTCGCAAAGGAGAAAGGGGTGAGCAAGCTCGAGTTGTACACTAATGTCAAGATGGTCGAGAATCTGGTCTTGTACAAGAAGTTGGGGTATGAGGAGGTGGGAAGGTGGGTTGAAGATGGATTTGAGAGGGTGTTTTTCGTCAAAGAACTGTAGTGATCTGGAAGTCTTGACACAAGTAGATGTGGATTGAGGTTGGCATGAACAAGTGTCAGCACTTGTGGACATGAAGACAGATTATGGAAAGATTGCGCAACCATATATTATGAAAATGTTTGGAATTGCATGGTCGTGACATCACTATATCGCTAATAAATCGCTGCTCAAAAAAACACAATATGAAGAAATAGAAATGCTTTTCATCATAAAATCATCTCATGACATCCAATGCCAGAACTTGCCCCAGAGCGTCGTCGGCACAGGCTCTTCGAAGATTTGCTCATCAATCTCCTTTCTGCCTGAGTCAATGTCAGCCTCGGAAGGTCTGACGAATCTCGGTCTGACAATGGCTTTGTGGCCAATGTAAAGCACGACGAACAGAATCAAACTGATGTATGCGATGAAGAAATTTGATGTGTCCCAGGGGATGAAAGCGGTAAATCCTTGTGTGAAGATGATCAAGACCCAGAAGAAGAGTCCATAGTAAGTGAACCACGGCTGAAGCATGGCCTTATATGGTAGAGTATCTCTGGAAATACCGCGTGCAGCCAAAATCTTCATGAAAGCCAGGTGAGAAGCCAGGATACATGCCCAAGCGATGAATCCAGCCACACCAGAGATCTGAATGAGCCAATTGAAGGCGACACTGCCTCCTGACGAGACATTCATGAATCCAAGAAGACCGAANAGAGAGGTGAACGCGACTGCGTACACAGGGACTTGACCCTTGGTCTTGGTGAACCACTGAGGAGCAAAGCCTTCGCCAGCAAGTCCAACAAGAATTCTGGACGCGGAGTAGACGTTGGAGTTGGCAGCACTCAACACAGTGCACAGCAAGACGGCGTTGATAATTCCAGGAAGTGTTTTGACACCTGCTAGCTTAGCAGCAATAACCAAAGGCGAAGCAGTAGCATCGTCACCACCAGCGCGCAATTGCTCGTTGTTGTAAGGAACCAGAAGACCAATAAAGAAGATGGTGAATACGAAGAAGAAGATGATGCGGAAGAAGGTTTTGCGAATAGCCGAGGGGATGGTCTTGCGAGGGTTGTATGTTTCACCTGCAGCGACTGCAACCAATTCGGTACCAGAGTAAGAGAAACCAGCTTGGATCAAAACAGACCAGAAGCCGACGAACTTGGCCAGAGCGGTACCTCTGCCGCCGTCAACATCGGGGTATGGTGCAAAAGCGCCAGGGTTGCCCCACGTATGGAAGCCTAGGTATCCATGCTGACCAGCTCCGGCATCGATACAGATAGCGAAGATCATGAAACCAAGGACGGTAATGACCTTGATTAGAGCAAAGTAAAACTCGATTTCGCCGTAAAACTTGACAGGCATGAAGTTGGCGGCGGTGATGACAATCCAGAAGCAGCCGATGAAGATGGCTTGACTCAAATCGGGTCGCCAGTATTGGATAATGATACCACTCGCAGTGAGCTCGAGAGCGTAACACGAAGCCCAAGCCCACCAATAGATCCAACCCATAGAGAAACCGAGCGAAGGGTCGACGAAGCGGCTGGCATAGGCGGTAAAAGCTCCAGTGACGGGGAGGAACGCGCACATCTCTCCTAGTGATACCATGACACTGTAGACTAGGGTGCCTACGAATGCATAGGCAATGAGAGCTCCGGCGGGACCTGCATTGGCGAGAGCTGTTCCTGATCCGATGAACAACCCAGTACCGATAGTACCACCTNNGGTTGGTTGTGGTCAGTGGACGTTGAAGAGATATCATGATCAGGTAGAGGTACCAATGGCAATCATCTGCAAATGTCTAGACTTGAGCTGTCTAGCAAGCTGATGTGTGGTTCCTCGTTCGACAGCATGGTCCAATGAACCTGAACTCGAGTCCCAGGCATGCTTCTCGTTGACATCAAATTCCTTTGGTGGTTGTGTACCAGCATTGTGTATACTGCTGTCGGCCATGGCTGTGGTCGGCAATCGACTTCCTCGAATTGAATTGGTGGTAAGAGACGAAACAGTCAGAGAAGGCAAGTGAAAAGCGACGAAATCATCGTGCAGGCCGGCCGACTTGGCCCAGCTCGGGCCGTAAAACTTGCCTGTGATGCTGCGAAAACTTTCCAGTACGTAAAATTCAACGTTGGGCCCCAGAATTTTCAGTCATAGCATAGAGCTCGGTCTTTGCCAAGCGACGACCAAAATCGCCTGGACCAGTCCTCGCGTGAGTGCATCCAGGGAAGGAAACAGACCAGATGGTGGAGGAGTGTGGATGTGAAATGGTCGAGCAAGGGCAAGGCCGACGACTACCGGTTCTCGCGATGTCGAAGAGAAGTTGAGTCTCTGGACAGCGCGAGCGACTTACATCGTACGAGACGTGGGACTCGAGACATCTGCAGCAACTATTGCTGAGGCATGCTCAAGGCAGAGACGAGAACGTGTTATTCAACTCTTGCAATGACGGCTCGTCGTCGAGCACGAACAATACCGAACACGAGTATTGTTGCCAGGATGACGAGGAGGGTTGATGATCCGGAGGGAAGGAGGGAGCGCTCGAGAAGGCCCGCGCCTCATTTCTTGGCACTTCATTTCACGAGTCATGAACTGTCACTCCGTCATCGTCGACCATCAAGGAGAACAATTTCATGTCTGACAACCTTCAAGCAGATTGAGAACTCTATAAAGCGATCTATGAACAAATGTCAGACCAGTCTTGCTCTTCTATGGGAGAGCAATCTATGAGTGCCACATCAAGTCTTCTTCACCATCTTTCCAGCAGGCTTATTCTTCTCCTTCTCAGCTACCTCCAAGAGCTTTGTATCTCTCCACGCCTCAACCCGACCAACAGCCTCTCTGGGCTTCTTCTTGTACAGTAGTAGGTAACCCTGCACATCTGAAGGAGCAAATTTTCCCTCCGGCAGCTTATCAGCGAATTCTGTACTCAAGTCCTCCAATTCATCTTGTGTAAGCAGTGCCTCTGCAACTCCATCTCCAGCGATACCTTCTGCGTCTTTCTTGATGCCAATCGTCGACAAGAATGTTCCTGTAGTGACAGCAGGAATGTTATCCCCAGTGTACATTCTCAAAAACAAACTCTTGATCTGCGGGGTAGTGGCATAGGAGAATCGAATCTGCATGTCGACTCTTCCTGCGCGTACCAATGCTGGGTCGAGCTTTTCAGGGTGGTTGGTTGTCATGATGAGGATGCGACCTTCGTGTGTTGCAACGCCGTCGATCACATTGAGCAGACCGGACAGCGAGATCTTCGATGTGGGCTCATCCTTATTNGTCAGACGAGGATGACGATTTGTGTTTACGACTGCGACGTTTACGAGGCGGAGGGGATGAAGATTTCGAGCGGGAATGGCGAGTTGCTGCAATGAGGGCGCGAGCCAGGGAGTCGACGGTAAGGGGACCTTGAAGCTGGTGCTGGGAGCCTTGCGGCGAGGATAATCCGCACATTGAATGTGAAGAGGCTCCTTCAGCGTCNNGTGTGTGATTGAGACATGCGCGACTGAGTCTCGGGATGTGCTTCTACCATTGGTAGTGACGAGGGGTTTGCCATTGGGAACCACTGTAGGCGTGACCAAGGTGACGTCTTGCTTTGTGTCGCCATTGACATGGTTCTTGGCTGCCCCAACATCTGGACTAGCTGAACCTTTTGAACCATTGGCGATGACATGTCCTCTGGCCATGGCGCGACCCCTGCTCTTGCTCTTGCCAGCCGTCGACCTCACCGAACTTCTCTCAGCACTCTCATGCTCCGAGTCGGAGTCAGAGTCGGAGTCAGAGTCAGAATCAGACTCATCTTGACGCTTCTTGATTCCCGCCGCATCGATATCCTCGAACAAGACGATACACCTCTTCGGCAGGTGGTTGAACAGTCTTGCTAGCATACTCTCAGTCAGGGATGGATCCATGAGATTGATGATGTGGATGTTTAGACCGAAGATACCAGCAAGTGAGAAGCTCAAGCTGGTCTTACCAGTCCCAGGAGGACCAGAAAATAGGTAGCCACGACGGTAGGGAATGCCACGAGAAGCATACCACTTTGAGCTCAGAGGATCCAAGTATTCGTTCATATCTTGCAAGAGGCGTGACTTTTGCTCCGAGTCCAGGATTACAGTGTCGATTGGGCGTGATGGGCGCTCAGAACCTCTCATCCATCCATTCCAGCGCTCTGCTGCGGGTATGCAGATTACCGTCTTTGACCCCTCTTTGCGTACAGTCCATGCCTTGATGTCGGCGAGCAACGACTTGATAGGGTTGGTATTGAGGCCGATACAAGAGAGATCGACACAAGACTCGGTGCGTTCAATGCCATCGCTACCACGGGAAGTGTATTCAGTTTTTCTGAACTGAAAGGTGCCGCTTGGAGATGAGAACCAGAATTGACCATGATCGGGTTCGTAGCGAGGTGGGATGCGTGCAGCAGTTTTTGAGAAGTTGAAGTAGCCATGATCACCAATAGCGACTTTTGCGAGCATATCTGTATCCTCATCTTCGTCTTCATCATCCGAATCGTACATACATCCATACTGAGTGCGAGCAGTGAGTGACCGTTTGGACAGATCAGGCCTGGTTGCTGCGACCCATTTCATGACTGTGGTGTATAGTTCATCACTACCGTCGATGTGCACAGAGCTTGTGAAGTGGTCGAGAAACGTGCCGTAAATACGGATCCAGATGAAGTCAACAGCACGTTTGGCGATAAAGAAGAAGGCGATACATGTCATGATCAGACTCATGTCGAAGCCGAGCCATTGTTGTGCAGCGTTCGCGAAGAGACTGTAACCAGGAACGACCGCTTCGAGAAGTTTGATGGGTAGATCGCTGACATCGGTACTGTTCCCAGAAGGCAAGGCCGTGATAAGCTGACGGCCCAGGTAGAACAAGTCCATGTCGGTCGACGGAGAGCCAACAACGTTGTACAGTAGGTTGGAAAGCTGAGTAATATATTGTCGTCTTGTAGCGGTGTCCAAAGTAGGTTGTCGAAGATGTCAAACACCGCCAGCGAATGTGGAGCAAACGTGCCCACGGTGAGTCTGTGTTGGAACGGGATGCACGACGAGGAAAGAAATAGCAAAGGCTTACTTTATGTACGATCTACAGCTCTCTCGTAGGTAACTTATCACGTCTCAAATATCGGCGCTTCTGCAGTCATTCTTTAGGCGGCAATCTTGGATGATCGTTTGCTTGTATCTTGTCGAAACATTGTATGTACTACGTTGTCTGTCTCAGCGATCTTAGCATGTACCATTGTTTCAGCTCTTCCAAGATCTAGTGGTTAGGCAGCAACCAGTCGTAATATCACTCGGTGTTGGTTGGTAGGACGAACAAGGAGAGTTGTGAAAAGTGCCCGATGCGGGGCAACAAAGGTGTGAATGCCAGAGACACCGCATGACACGTGCTTGAAGACTGAACGATAGGCTGTTAGCATCTCTCTGCGCGGGACACTTGCATATGCGCGATGCAGAAAATTTTGACAGGTCTCAATGGTCCGGAATTGACAACGAACAGAAAACTTGTTGAGTTGGTTGGAAAATGAATTTTGCAATATTTGTTCCTCTATTGTAGGGAAAGACAGGGTATAAACAAGTCAAAATGTAAGAATCGAACACGAATCGCCAAAAAGCAAAGGCATCTCTATCCGAAATGGAGAGGTAGAAAAGTATGGTCTAAACAGAAGAGACAAGCAAACAACTGCTTACTCCTTCTTAGCCTTCTTAGGCTTCTTTGGCACACGAGCGAGCCAGTAAATGCCAATAGCAGCAATGGCGTTGAAAATGATGAAAGCCCACAGGATACCAAAGTTTCTCCAGCGGTGGTCGTATGAAGCGCTGACCGAGGAAAGGAAAGTGTTTGTGTCGGAGATCTGGCAGAACTCGCACTGTGAAGTTTGATTGTTTTCGAGGTAGCCACCGTAGGTTGAGATCCAAGGACCCATGAATTGACCGCAAGTCTGGCCTGCAGGTGAGCTGAAACGCAGGTACTCGTTATCAGCACAAACAACCTTGGTGTTGGCAACTGCAACAGACAGCATGCCGTCGACCAGGTAGGAGAAAGGCGACACGCGATACATGAAGATCCAGAAACCAGGCATGACAGTGGGTCCGACAAGGACACCACAGAAGATCAGGCACAATGAGAACATCAAGTTGGCAATGTTACCACCAGTCTCAGCAAGATCAATACCAGAGATGACCATGTTGGTGAAGGTCGAGGTGAAGAGGAGGAATTGCCAGACGAACAAGAAGAAGAGACCACCACGCTCAGTAACTGCGTTGGTGGGTTCAGCGTTGCGGTACAGACCGATAGGGTAGTAGAAGCAGAAGAAGATGATCACAGCTCCAAGAGAGTTCCAGGGCAGCTCGACAATGATGTTGCTCAACATGAATGCCTTCCAGGAATAGGTCTTGGATGGGCGCTCACGAACCTCGTACAGAGCACGCTGGGTAACAAAGTGAGGCATGATCTGTTGAACAAGCTGACCGAAAATCGTAAACAGCATGAAAATGGAGAACATTTGGTTTTGTAGGCCTTGCTGAGAGTTCGGGGCCCTAAANAACACAAACCCTATAAAAAGAGCCGAGAAAGTACACAAAGCGAGCTTTGAGAAGATGTAACTTGGCGTTCTCCAGTACTGGATGAATACACGCTTGGTAACCTCCATGAATTGTGTACCAAAAGGAGCGGCAAATTCGCGGTAGCTAGTTTGGTCGTTGGGATCGGTTGAAGGCTTGGTTTCCTGAGGACGTTGGGTACGAAGTCTCTCGAGCTCTGCCTTTGTGTTACGATATTCTTCGCTGTCGCGCCAGGTCTGGTGCCAATCGATATCGGTGTGGGATCCGGGAGCAGCGCCAATAACTTCAAGCATCCACTCGGCTGGGTTAGCATCAGGAGGGCACTTGTGTGCACCGTTGCGCTCAAAGTAAGCGGTCAGAATGTTCGAGTTTTGNCCAACTTCGCCGAAATAGACGGTTCTGCCACCTTTGGCAAGGAAAAGAAGACGATCGAAGCGCTGGAACAGCATAGCGGAAGGTTGGTGGATTGTACAAAGAATAGCTTGGCCGGACTTCGTAAGTTTCTCCATAAGATCGCAAATGGCCCATGAAGTCTGCGAATCCAGACCTGATGTTGGTTCATCAAGGAACAGGACTTCGATGATTGTCAGCATATATCATATGAATCACCAAGATAAGGCCAAATACTCACGTAGCTCTGGTTTAGCCGCAAGTTCAACTCCGATAGTTAGACGCTTGCGTTGCTCGACGTTGAGACCTTCACCGGGAACACCAACAACTGCGTCAGCATACTGCTCCATATCAAGTAGCTTGATAACCTCATCGACATAGTCGAGCTTCTCCTGACGGGATACGTGTGCTGGCTGACGGAGCAGAGCGCTGAAGTTGAGAGCCTCGCGAACAGTCGAAGTTTGAAGATGGAGATCTTGCTGCTGGACGTAACCGGTCTTTCTCTGGAATGATTCATCGCGCTGGCGTCCATCGACAAACATGTCACCAGAAATGACACCCATAGTAACACGAGTAGCAAGGACATCCAGAAGAGTGGTCTTTCCTGCGCCCGACACGCCCATAAGAGCGGTCAGGGTACCAGGCTTCACCCAGCCATCGACATGGTCCAAGATTCTGCGGTCTTCCTTCTTGATCTTGATATCGTAGCAAACGTCCTCCCAATGGAAAACGGCGGTCTGCTTCTGAATGATATCAGCTGCATCAGTGTCATTATACTGCTTTTCGGCAACAGCTTGGCCAGCACCCGCGGCCTCGAGATCATCTGGTGTGCTCTTGGTAAGGGCAGCAGGTGCGTGACCTCTGCGGAAAACAAGGACTTCACCCTTCGACTTCTTGGCGGAAATCAGTTCAGTAGCACCCAGGTAGAAGCACATGAGACCGATCATGAAGGCGATGACGATACCAAAATTGCGCCACTTGTGGCTGTGGTAGTACTGGAACGACGAGTTGATGTAGGCATCTCCGCTGACGAAGTTCTGACCAGCGACAGCACCGACGACATTGCAGACCTGCGTACCCTGATCATACGTTCCATACAGCGGCACAGGCGAGGAACAAGGGAAGTTTCTGTGGTGGAATTCGTTGATCATAAGAGCTTCAAATCCGTAAGCCACAGGATCGAGGTAGTTGATCCATCGACTCCAGCCAAGCATATAACGGGTAGGAATTGTGAAACCGGTGAAGATAACGATGGCCAAAATCAGAATAGCTGCGGGAGCCATAGCCTGCGAAAGAGTGCGCGAAACCGAAGCAATTGTTCTGAACAGCATACTCATGGTCAGCGTCAGAAAGAAAGAGACCAGCAGGAAGAAGAAGAACGCTCCAGGTGTGCGACGAAGGTTGGTCATGAAGTAAAGCGTCAGGTTGAAGATGATGGCGTTCAGGACCTTGTATGGTAAATCCGTAAGCATAGAGGCGAATGCTTCGGCAGATGGATGGTATAGAGCATATCGAGAGTGTTTTTCGACAATGGGTCTTTGGGCGTAGAGCGTCAGAATTTCGAGAGCCGAACCGAAAGCGTTCATCAGAATAGCGAAGAAGAGAAGAGCACCTCTGCTGTAGAAAGAGTCGGTGCCGTCGTCAAGGTTGAAGAAGAGGGAGCCAATGACCAGAGACATGATAAAGTTACCGAAGAGTTGAGTGAAGGTCAAGCTGGGATCTCCTACCAGGCGGCGGAAACCACGCCAGAGACACAGCTTGACTTGCTGAGCGTAAGACAAAGTGTAAGGGGAACCAGTGCGCTGACCCTTTGCCTTTTGAGCTTTGCGCGACGCGGCGAATACCTCGTGTGATTCTCCGCCGAAGGGGTATTTTCTGTCGAATTCGTCGATCTCTTGTAGGAGGCGCTGACGCTGAGGGCTGGCCTTCCAGCGAGCAGCGAACTCATCAGGCGATCTGGGTACTCTGCTCTCCCAGCCCTTACGAACAACACGCTCTTGAGCAGAAGTCATGGAAGTGAGGAAATCGGCATCGGTCTGACGGTCGGGGCACTGGAAACCGAGGTTCTCGAAGTATGCCTTAGCTTCGATGGTAGAGCCGAAGAAGATCTGGCGTCCCTCGTACAGGACAATGACCTTGTCGAAGAGGTCGTAAGCAGCACCAGGGGCCTGGTAAATAGCAACCATGGGTGTAGTACCGAAGAACTCTGAGGAAAGACGAAGGGTCTTACAGAACTCAACAGCGTTGGCACTGTCAAGTCCACGAGTCGAGTTGTCCCATGCCTGCAAAGGAGCACCACTCAATGCAGCTTCAGCGATAGAAACACGCTTTCTTTCACCACCAGAAACACCACGAATGAAGTCATTACCGACCTGAGTGTTGATGGTGTGGGAAATACCAAATGTAGCCATGATCATGTCCCTGTTTGCTTCAGCCCACTGAACCTTCGACATGCCACCAGGAACAGTCTTAGGGGCGCGTGCGCGAGCTGCAAAGTACAGAGTATCGCCCACTGTCATGTTCGGGACTNNATAAATCATTAGCGAGGCTCAGAAAGATGGTAATTGTTGCAACTAACAGTGCACATCAACCTCAGCTGTGTAGATGGCTTCACCACGGTATTTGGTGTTCATGTCCTTGGCTTCGATACCCTGGTAGTTAAGGTATGACTGCTCGTCAACGTTGAAGCCATGAGTCTCTCCAGTCAATGTCTTGAGGAAGGTCGAGCATCCAGAACCAGGAGGACCAAGAACAACAAGCATCTCGCCAGGGTTAACGACACCCTCGAAATCGCGAAGGATGTCGATTCTCCTCGGCTTTGAAAGACCCATTAATTTCTTGATTCCGCTGACAGCCTCGAGTGCGATGTTGGAAACAGTTTTCTGATAATCCGAATCGGCACCGAAACCGTGGACGTTCAAGTTCTTGAAAGCGATACCGGCAGTTCGTTGTTGTACGCCTTCTCTCTGATTCATCTTGTACATGGATTTAACCCATTCTCTTGCACTGAAGTTGGGTCCGTTTGGGTTGAGTGGTGAATCGTCCTCGTATTTGAATGGGTCATCGGGTGCTTGTGACATAGTGCGACTGAGAACCCTTGCGATATCCTGGACCTTCTCGTTTCTTTCGTATGCACCTTCGCTTTCCGATGCTGATGGCGATTCTGCTGGCTCGAGCTCGGTCTTCTCGTTCGGTGGAGGAATCCCATCAGGGTAATATGTGCCATCGTGGATTCCAGAATGTGTCAAGTCATGTTGTTCGGTAGTAAAAGTTTTCGAAGTCTTGCGAGAAGCAGGAATGTGAGAATGCTCGGCGTTGTGACCAGGGTTCAGGTGTGTGTCCCGTGTCGAGTTGTCGGCTTGATCGTGATGTTCATCGTGTTGGAAAGCATTGCCTCCTAGGGCACTGACACCACTACGCTGGTTCTGACCATCGTAGTTGTTGAAGGTGAAGTTACCCACAAGCGACATGTTGATTAAATTATTAAACGTCGATATATTCTGGGGTTAAACTCAAAGGGACAAACCCCTGTTGCAAGCAAATGTTTGCTGCTGGTCTGGGTATGTGTCGCGGTATAAACTGAATATCCGAAGAAGCAAGAGCACTCTCTGAGATGGCGAACGGCTTCCCTTAATACTGCCAGAATTGCTAAGGCGTTAGGCCGAAGCAAAGACAACAAATGCGTAGATGACGGCTGCTCTTCGATGCGCTAGGGCAAAATCCAAACCGACTCGGACAAACGTCCTCCTGTAAAAGGCATTCCGTGCGTGCGTAGACCCACTGTTCACCCCCCCAGCTCGGGAAGGCCAGCTTCCGAGCTGGAGAACGGACGTCAAGATATCGTCCCATTTGCATCCTCCCGGTCAGGGCAACAAAAGACACGCAATTTAGACTGTCAGATCTGGGCTAATCACATGGCGGTGTCCCAATCATTCGACAACAGATCTTGCACCACCTTGGATCATTCACCTTTTGTAGCTACAGACGACTTGGCGGGCTTTCTATGACGCGCTACTTCCTTAAAGATTGCCTGCGAACGGTTCTACCACAGACGAAAGCCCAGCATCTTTGACAAAACCTTGTAGCCTTGCCGGGTCAAAGTCTTTCCGCCGGTGTTCGAAAAGGGATTCTTTGGTGTATCGAAGCATGCACCGCATCTTTAGCAATCTCTCAACACGATCAGAAATGTCCTCGGGTAAGAGCCATCCGCGCGGGATCGCCATGAACCCTACGTGTGGCGCACCTTCCCCGGCTCTTTGTTTGTTCGACTGAGTCGCGTCTGGCCTTATGCTATACGAATACGATACATACGAACTCCAAAAGATTCAGCACGCGCAAGGAAGACCGCAGGAATCCGCGGTTTCCGCGGTCTCGATCTAGATGTTGCACACATGTGTTTACGCCCCGCCTGAAAATTGCAGAGAAATTGCAGCACGGTGTCCTCATCACTTTATCACAGTATGACACGAGAAAAACGGGGAGATTGCGTCTAGAAGTCTCGAAGTCTCGCCGCGGTATTGTCGCCTACAGACCTCGTCGCAAATACAGTGCTTCACGTGGCAGCGAGCAAGCGGCGTCGAGCAAAAGATGCGGCTCTCCAGCTGTACCACTGTACCTCCACGAGTCAAAACTCTGTTGTTGTTTGACAGCTTCGTACTCGTATGGAAGTACCTCTCTCTTTGTCAGACTGGCTTCCCCCCTTTGTCCTGGGCATCTTACTCCAAGACAAGACTGCATCTTACGATTCTTACCCAGCCCGTACGAATACCGTTTGCTCGCCTAATTTTGGCGACAGGGGTTAACTAATATCGAACCATTATTCCTTCACGGCGCTATAATCAATTTTCCAGTAAGCAGATCCACAGACGAGCCCGTTCTGGTTGTTCGAAACAGGACTGTTCTCATCGCCTTTACAAAATCATAGGGCCTGTTATTGGTGCCTTGCTGGCTGAAACATGCCTATCTTCAGATTGGTCAGCCGCACCTCCTATCGGTATAGGGCAAGCTGTCAAAGCAGGGTACCGGTGTGTGCGGGGCGCGATATGCGACACTAAATGCAGCTTACAAAGATTTCCGGAATCCTTCCCTCCCGATGGAACTTTCAAGATCCGTTTTCAGTTGACGGATGTTGTCCCTATCCGTCGGCTGATAGCTGATCAACGAACCTGATTGCGCGCTCGACTATCTCGGTTTCAAGCAGCTTCGTATCATTCTCCGATGTACAGCTGCCGAGTTCAATGAAACTCGAGCTGGTCATACGGTAAGAATGCTTGGTAAGTCGCTGAGAAGACGAACATCTGAAGACCCGCAAAGAAGAGAACGATGTGTCTATCAGTCGTGCGAACAGTACAACCTCGTATTCTCATCTCGCTGCCGCTACCGCCACCGCCAGGCCATGAATCGAAGAAGACCCAACAACTTGGTCACCACCATGTCTCACGAACTCGACCATTGTCGTGGGCGTCTCGATCAGTATCCGCAAGATTGATAACAACTTTAATATGACGAAGTCGACCAGATCGTGCTGTGTCAAAGTCTCCTTGTGGACGATTCTGCATATTTTGATGCAAACAGAAACACAGGCCCGAAGACCTCATGTGAAGTCACTTTCTGATACAAATGGTGTCGAAGGTAGATAAGCTCACGTCAGACGTGTATGCAATCAAGGACAGTAGTAGGTTTCGTGATTACTAACAGTCTCTATGATCTTCTTGTCTACTGGTGAACAAAGAATGCTCCCCAATGTGTCAAGTCAGAACGATAATGTTTTCCCTAATCAGAGTGTGAGTTTTCGAAAACAAAAACCCAACTAAAAGAGTCAAGAAAATCTACAAAGCGAGCTTTAAGAAAAAGTGATGAGGCATTCTCAAGTACTGGACAGATTCACATCTGACAACCTTCGTAAGCTTCACACCAGAAATGCCGAGAATTGATGCTCTCTGTACAATGTTTGCTTCCTCAGATGCTCTTCACACACTCCCCATCTTCCCAGCCTCAACATCCCACCCCTCAGGCGGACTCCCAAACGAATAATCAATCCACTCTCCCAAAATGCTCCTCACGCCATCCACCAACTTCTGATCNCTTTTGACTCCTTCCTCATCAACCACAACCCCATCCCTCAAATCCCCGTACTTTCCTTTGACACTCAAATCTTTGACGCTGTTGGCAGCAGCAGCACAGCTTTCTACTTCTGCTACACTGCCTGGTCCCATGATTAGTGCCATTGAAGGCAGATTGGGTGTTTTGAGAGCGGTTTCGCGGACGGCGAAGCGGAGGGCTAGGCTGGCGAGGTCGTCGCCGTGGGATGCGACGTAGGTTGCTGCGTTTGCGGCTGCGAGACGTAGGCCTGGAGGTGCGGGATGCCAGTCTCCGAGATTGCTGTTTTGGTTGTTAGTACAGAGTGTTCAGAAATTCGCATGTACAGACAAGCCACAAAAGAACAAGAAAGATCATGAAACTCACCCAATAGGTACACCCTGCGCTCTGAGCAACCCGATATTCAGCGGCGAGCTACTACACACCACCTTAACTCCCGCCTCCGCCAAAGCCTCCAAGCCTTGCGTCCTCAATTTCGTATTCTGCAGCGTCAACTGTCCCCAATTCTGTACAATATCCAACGGTTTGCCCAACTTCTGCTTACACAACCTCGCAACTCTAACCAATTTATCAATCGGATAGCCAGAAATCCCCACATATCTGATTTTGCCTTGGGCAACAAAGTCCATGAGTGTTGCCACGGCACCAACAACAGCAGCATCAGAAACAAACTCTACATCATGGCAAAACACCACATCCAAGTATGCGGTTTGGAAGCGTTGGAGGCTTCGTTGCACAGACCGCTGAACCCAAGCTGGCGAATAGTCAAATTCCTCAGCTGCGATTCTGCCCACTTTGGTCATGAGAAAGTAATCTTTGCGTGAGTACTTGTCGCTGATGGAAGCATCTGCAAGTGCTTTTCCGAGAATCTTTTCAGAGGGCTCGTAGTAGGGTGATGTGTCGATTGTGCGAATTCCTTCTTCGAAGGCTTTTAGGATGACGGGGATTATGGGTCGGGTTTCGGCGTCTGAGTTTAGTTGGTGTGACCATGCTGCTCCTCCCATCACTATGGGTGTGATTTCAGAGGCAAGATCGCCTCGTGGTCGGATAGTGGTGTTGGACATTATGTTTTGTCGAGAGGGAATGTCCTTGGTCGTTGTCCAGAGAGATGGCTGATGAAACCTTATCAAATCCTGATGAAATGACGAGCCCAGTTCTACCGACGCGAAGAAAAAAGATATTCAATCTCAACACTGTACAGTGATCACAAGAGGACGATGTGGAAAACAAAGAAGCAGGGGAACTTCTGGAAGGTGGGATGGAACGTTGATTAGAGTTTTGCGGAGGAGCTCCATTAGGAAGTCGTCCGCGATCTATTTAACCGGTGGTAGACGACCAATTAGAAGTGGTTCTAGCCGACGACATCAAGTTGCAATTTGTATTGCTGCGGTCTTTGGATGGTACACAAGAATAGATGTTGATTGAGCAAGAGCTAACAAGACAGACATGATTATTCGCTTGACTACTTCTCTTCCCAGCAATACCCTCTTCTGATCAATGCTCAAACCTTCATTCCAATCTTTGCAAGACATGAGTTTGGCGGTCTCTCACTAATGAATACTTCTGCAAAACACTCTTGACAGTAGCAGGCAACTCGACATGACCCTTGATAGTGATTTCACCAATACCAGTGCTACCACCACTTCCAGACTGCAGCCATCTCTTCAGCAAGTCATTGCTTTCCTTAGGCTTGACATCTGGGCTGACAGTACCGACTGTGATGTGGGCAGTCTCATTGACGCTGCGCCATTGCATACCGCTCTGATCCTTCTCGTCGGGGATCATGCGGACAACAAAGCACATCAGTCTGCCATCCCAGACAAGACGCTCAAGCAGCACTTTGCAGCTGCCGAGAACTGGTTCAGGTGCGGCGTTAGGCTTGCTTGCGGCAGTTGTATGTGCCTCAGTAAGCTGCTCCCAGTAACCCTTGTGCTGGGAAGCGGAAGCGCGATGCATCAATGTGACATGGAACTCGGACTGAACACGGTTCTGTGACTGTAGTACGCGATATGTCTTTGCAATATCGACATCGGCATCACGGAAGACTGCGTCAAGAATGCTCATAACACGCTTGGGATCCAGTGTTGCGCTAAAGTACTCAAGCTTGGGGGCCTTCTGTTTTGACTGTCCGTTGGTTCCGTTGGCACCGCGCTGAAGTGCCTGATTGTTGTATTTGTTGCTTCCCTTGATTTCATGCTTGATATCAGGTTTATAATCATTGAGTGCTGCTTCGATTGCCTTGTCAAGATCCTCACCAGAAGGCATTGCACCGAAGAGCTTGGGGAATTCTGCATTGAGCTGTGAAACAACAGTCTCCAAATTCTCGCGCGAGGAGGCTGTCACGTCCAGATCAATGACATGCTCGAAGGAGCTGTCAGGTTCACGCTCAACCTTGACTGGCTCGAAACGTTGCATGAAGCCGTCCATGATGCCGATGATCTCGTTCTGTCCCCTGGAACCGGCTTGGATAGTTTGATGATTGTCTCCTCTGCTCAGAACGCGCTCTCGTGTAGCCTGCTTGATCTGGTCATAATTCGCACGGTCGTGAACGTAGTGAAGAGCAACGAAGTGTGCTTGAGGAACAGTTCTTGAGACATCGTCGAAAATCTGCTGTCTTTCGCGACGTTGGTGGTTGTTTCTGTCAGCAATCATGACTGGGTGGTCGATAAGGCCGTCACAGATTGCCTGTGCAAATTTCACTGGCTTAGGCTTCTGAGTGATGTTGTCATTCTGGATATGACCCCATCCGAAGAGCTTGCAGAGGGCGAGAGCGACAGTAGTCTTGCCACAACCGATGGTAGCAACAGGAACGAGCACAACATTGCGATCAATGCCCATGCCATGCTGGTTGCCCATCTTTAACTCCTCACGTATTATGTCAGAGCCCTTCAACCCACGTTCCGCCAANAAGTCGTCTCTAAGCTTAATGATACCATGGTTCTGGTTGTACTCCTTTCCGAGGTTGGGATCCTCCTTCAGTCGTTTACGAGCGTAGTGAAGGTATTCTTCAGTAATATCCTTGTGCTTCTTGAATTTGGGGTCCTTCTGGGCGATGATGGCTTTTGTGCATTCTCTCCACTGTCTGTACATGAGGTAAGGTTCCTCAAACTTGTACTTGAAGAACCAGTCCTCAAAGGGTGTGTCGGGAGTCTCGCGGGCTTGGCATCTAATGACGAAGCCCTCGGTCTCTCTGCCATGATAGCTTCCAGTCTCTGCAACCTTGTCTAGGAATGACTTGACCTTGCCGATGTCGTTCTCTGTAATAAACATTGTGTGCTTGAAACCCCACTCAGACGCGAACCTGTCGACTAGGTCATGAGGATATGTGACGAATTCGGGAAGGTTGAGGTTGATTCCATGAAGATAGAGACCAGCGGTTTCCGGGTTGTATGCCAGGACGTGCTCTTCAAATTCATCGTCACACAGCTCAGCAACAGCAGTTGCGTTCATGGCACGAAGCTTGGCAGCCAGGTCCTTCTTTGACTTTCCAACAGAAGCAAGGTGTTTGTCGACCCACTTCTCACCGGCCTCTGCGTGACTGACATCTTGATCGCCGCGAGCACCAGTCGAATGCTTGCTGCACACTAGAAGAGAACCATCCTCGAGACCAGAAAGAAAGATGATGCAGCCGTTCTCCTTGACACTGAGTTCATAGGGGCCTCGAGTGTTTTGCTCGACATTTCTCCATTCGGTCTTTCTGACCTCGCCGTGATTGAAGAACTTGTCGTATCCTCTGGTAACAATCTCAGGCTGACCTTTTGAGTTTGTGGTTGTGAAAAGACCTCTGGCGTAAGTAGGAAGGTCGGGCTTCTTGTAATCCCAGTCTTGCATCTTCCATGAGTCGACTTTGATGTTTGAGTTCGCTACATTGAAAGTAGCCTTNTTGCATGAGAAACCACCTTTTCCATCTTTGCCTTTGAGATGGCTAGTCAGGCCGCGGATCATCTCAGACACCTCATGGGTGTCCTGAGGACGGTAGGGGGCCTCATTGCGGTGAGCCATGATTGATTAATTGATTCAAGGCCCAGATGAGAAGGGGAAGATGATGGAATTTATGTGTGATGAAATGTTGATGAATGGCAAGAAAGTGCTCTAGGCGCGACTGAAATTTCGAGTCATTAGCGTGGTCGAGGTAGGATGCAACTGCAATGCTCCTTCTTCTTTTCTCACCACTTCTTAGCTTCCCAGCTATAAATTGACTTCGACTTGGCAAAGGGGCTAATTCTTGATCTCAGTGACTCACTTGTATGCGGAGAGTCAACGTAGCATGGGTTTCGTGTCCGAAATTATTCTCGAGCACATCGACACCGAGCACATGACTCGCGCGGTGTCGCGAAACGGGCAAGTTTTCTCGAATGGAGGGGCAATCAACCTGACATCAGAAAAAGAAGCTCTAGACGCCTCGCGCGACCTTCATCCACCTTTGCATACTCCAAAACACACACATACCAAATCAACACAACACCATGGCGCAAACAATCGACAAACTCCTAAACCTCGTCGTCGACAAGCCCGACCAAGTGCTCCAACACCTTCAAACCAACCCAGAACTAGCCTCACAACAAGACCGCCACGGCTACTCTCTGCTGCACGCCGCCGCCTCCTACAACCACCCCCAAGTGCTCCAAACCCTCTTGTCCACCTACTCCGTCAACCCAAACCTCCTGGACGAAGATGACGAAACCTGTTTATTCAGCGTCGAAACCGTAGACATGGCAAAATTCCTGGTTGAGCAGTGCAATGTGGACACCACGCACAAAAACGAAGAAGGCCAAACTGCAGCAGAAAAGTTTGAGCAAGAGGGCGATTTCCCAGAGGTTGCGCGGTATTTGGCAAGTCTGGTGCCGGGAGGCGCTGCTGCTTCTATTCTTGCGCAGACGGGAAATCCTTCGGCGCAACAGGCTGGTGCTGGTACTGTTGCTCCTGGTGAAGACACAAATGGAGCTGTTCCTCCGCCGCCGCTTCCTCATGGTGTCAAGATTGATTTGGGGACTATGGCAGAGGATGAGGTTGGCGAGGCACCAGACCCGGAGTTCAGGAGGAGGATTGAAGAGTTGGCAGCCAGACCTGATTTCCAGAGTGAAGAGGTGCAAAAGGAGTTGCGGGAGCTTGTGCAAGATGCTCTGGGCGGCATGAGAGGAGATGACAGAGAGGTGAGGCAGAGACTCTCATAAGGAGAGGAACGAATGCCGAGACGATGTTACACATACCCCAAGCATCAGAAACATACAAATCACACACTCTTGCACATACAAAGAGCCGGAACAATACACATCTGGCTTCTTGTGTGTTTGATCTACCATCTACCAATGCCGAACCACATACAAAACCCCTTCCTGCTCCAACTTCTGCAACAAGCCCTGTACTTTACTCCTCTTCAAGCCCTCTCTAGCCGCAATTTCTTCCATAGCCCTCTTCCCATCAAAATGCTTGACCAGAACCCCNCAATACTCTTTAACCTCCTCATCCATCAAATGCTGCCCAATATACGCCAGCCACCTGCTTTCCTCCGTACTCGCTTTGTGCGGACTCAAAACCAATGTCTGCTCATACGTGCTAGCATCCGTGGATGGCAGTGCTGCAGAATGCACAGTTGAGTTGTCGTCTTCGTGGCCAGAAACACTGCTGCTGGAAAGAATGGATGGCGGTGAAGGAGCCAATTCCCTAGTTGCGTGCAGATTTGGTGACGTGTCTGCGCGCTGCGGGCCAGCAGGNGGTGGAATAGCAGTTCTTCCGCTGCCATTACTGCCTGCATCACTTGCCGATCTACTCAAAGTAGGCGATAGTAGTTGTGCAGAGCTCGAGATACTCAACCTGCTACTCGCGACCTCGGAGATGGCGTCGAAAGGATCTTCAGACACTCGTCTGGATTCTGCACTGGTGCTGCTTACCCTCGAGTTCGCAGCAGCCGAGGTCTTGTTGAGGGCAGAAGGCGGTCGCTTTGCCATTTTGTCTTCAAACTCTTGTCGCAATTTGATGGCTACAGCAGCTTTGACTGCAGGCGACACTTTGACCCAAGCAAAGGTCCGAAGTTGGGTCACCCAGCCTCCTCTCAGCAGCCAAGCCAGAATGTCCATGTAAGCAGGCTTGTGGTCCTTGCTAGGAATCAAAAAGCCATATTGTATAGGCTTCCCACTCAGGTTCTGGAGCATCTTTGGTAATGATGGGAGGGCAGAGAACCTTTGAGCATATAGCGGCATGGCTTTTGTGAGTTGGCGCATGTCGCAGTTGGGCGACACGATATAGGTATCGCGAATATGCAGAGGCGGGATTGCTCTAGCACGGCGCCAGTAGATAAGATGGCGGGCGAGAAACTGTACATCGGAAAGTGGTAATGACAACGCAGCAGAGAGCTTGGTCAACGATTTTGTAGGTGTGAGTTCGCGGATGAAGAAAGCGAGCGGAGAACCCAATTCCTTGCCATCGCCCTCGATATCTTTGAGCATGACATCTTTGTCCTCGAGCAGAAGGAGAGCTGCATGTGGACTGAGACTTTGACCGTCGTCGGATAGACTGTTGGCGGTGGTGAGCCACAGACCAGGTAGTTGAGGCTCTGTAGGCGTAGGAACATATGGCGTCGAGATAGCTTGTGGGATTTGGATACTTGCCTCAAAGCCTTTACCAATACTGATATGCGCAATCTTGTTGCTCGCGATACTGGTATATAGGATAGCAATTGCTTTTGCCAGCGAGCAGCTAGAGATCAAGTTCGGCCACAAGACCGACATTGGTGTCTTGTTTTCCTTTGCTTGTGCCTTGAGAGACTGCATCTTTTTGGCATCTTGGTAGACGGCATTTGAACGTGCTTGTTCGTAGCGGAGAGCTTTGGCGGTCTTCTTGACAACATTGTCGTACATTTCCTGAAGACGGATGTGGTATTCCAGCGCAGGAGGATTCATGACGAAGACAACGTGGAACATGGTCATCTCATCCTGGTTACTGTTAGCACTGCCAGTTTCTGAGGCAGCTTCGGACATTGTGGCCTCTGATTTGTAGCTGCGAGGCAGTTCTCCATCCCCAGGTGGCCGGCGAGGTGTCAGAGGCGATAGTGGTGGACTGAACATGTCGTTTCCTGCCGTACCTTCATCCTCGTCATCATTTTCGTTGTCACTGCCACTGTCGTTTGCCTCGTCATCATCGGCTTCATTGGCCCCCTGGCTGCTCTTTCCGTCATGTGTTGTAGCCCTCCTCTTGGTCTTCTTCTTCTTCCAGGTACCATCGTCACGCACAAAGATAGGATATCCTAGAAAGACCAGGTCGTCCAGCATGACCTCGAAACGCTTCTTGTGCATGCTTGACGGAGGCGACAGCATCATCTCCAGCCCTTCAACTGGGTATCCCAATAGCTTTTCCCATTCAGGTGTATTACGCTTATCAGTCGTGGTGTTCTCGTGTCGCGTGGCGCTGGTCGTTCGGTCGTGAGGTGCATTGTTGGTCGTGGTCGCTGGTGCAGGTTTATCGGCAGGAGAAGAATTCAAGTCCAGCACTTCAACGTCCAAGTCAACATCATCGTCGTCTTCATCGTTGTCTGGAACATCCGAGTGCAATGTGCGAGTAGTCCTTCTCGAGGAGATGGTTTCGGCAGCGCGACTCTGCGATGCGATGCTAGGTCTTGCAGTCTGCCGCGAGGATGTGGTGCTTGTGTCATCAGAACCTACAGTCTGATCGTCATCAGACGAGCTACCTCCATCCTCCGAATCGCTGTTGGCAGATCCAAAGTGCCATGATGTGTTGCGCTGGATAGCCTCAGGAACACCGGGATAGTGAAAGACCAGTCGCGGACCAGATCGGGTTCGGATAATGAGTATTACGGCGACCAGCGATGGGTTGGGCGGAAGACTGAATGGTCTGATGGGCATTGCTGATATACGTATTTGTGCTGTGGTGCAGACGATGCGTCTGTGGTTCAGGTCCTGTCGCGTGCCATACTACGAGACCGAACTGACCTGCTACCTACGTCAATATGACCTGGCAGACGGGCTCAGAGTTGTTGTCTTTCAAGGCATCGCAGTCAATTACTCCAGCTCTCTTGCTGTGTCCAAGCTGTATTGCTCGAAAAGCTCCTGGTCCCCACAAACCCCCCGACCTCGGCCAACCACCCTTTCGGACACCTCCGACAAGCTGTCTTCCCAAACACATTTCCAGTTGAAGAACAGCCACCACATGGAACAACATCACCACAACCATCTCCCGAGTCAAGGACTGCATGATCCGGCAACAGAGAATCCCAGCCTACCGAATCCCAGCACCATGGATCCTCCTTCAACTACTAGACAGCCAGCTGGCAGACAGCTGAGCCTCCTCTACAAGACCTATTAGCTCTAGTCGAAATCCCTCCCTCGCGACCTTGACTCGAGGCAGTGACATTTCCTATAAGCCCACGTATAGCGTACTTTTCGGCCCCAAGCCACGAAACACGCGTCTTCTTTCTCTACCATCGGCAGCAAGAGACATGGCGTTCTGGCTTATCACGCTTCCACCTGCCAAACATGCCTTGTGGCTACACAGTAGCCACAACAAATCATGGTTCCAACCCAACTTGGACATGAGTTCGGCATTCTGACCCATTCAGGACTCCATTCTGCGTTTCAAGAATTCACTCAGGGCTTTCTAGCACAAGCGGGACAGGTCTACCCGTCCTGCCATCTAGACCTGTGGCCCTCTCTCTGCCACGGACCCCACGTACGTATCTCGAGTCTCTATTATGTCAAGCGAGATCCAGAGTGCAAACCGCCATATGAAATCGTTTTTCTGATGTTCCTCGTTTCAACTGGCTCGCTAATTCTCAAACCGTCAAATCCTGCCCTCGTTTCTGATCTAGAACCGGTATGACCTACCTCTAAGCGATGCTGCGGTGTTTGAAATCATCCATCTTGGTGTTTGAATCCATCTACCTCATGCATAATGGGAGGTTTGCCCCAGCTCCCCGGAGTATGTTGACTCCATTCGAGTCATGGGTTGTAGTTGAGAACACCACATTCGAATTGTGTAGCGACTAGGGCTTCGGACACGGCAGGGATCATTAGTTTGAATAGCTGCAGACGTGACGAATGCTCACACTTGAGTCAGACGGACGACTGAAGCAGACGCCGAACATCAAGAGAGATTTGATTGGGGTCATTAGAAGATTGGTAGGTACTGGTATCTGGGTATCTAGTCTGTTCTGTCGATGCCAGTGTGAGAATGGCAGAAAAGGAAAACGAGGCTTTTTGTTGACTGTCGCTGGAATATGCAAAAGATGCAGAAAGCCACCAGGGCTTGTTGCTTTGTGATCACACGCGCTCGTAAGCATATGTCGTGTCGTCTGATGCATAGTCTTTGTTGCTCTCAAGAGAGACGCTCGATCTCGCTGCATTTCTTTCTTCCGTCGTTGTGACTTGCACGCTCTTGCTGATACCATGGTCCCAAGTCTTGAGCGGTAGCATATCCCTGTCCTCCGCTCCTGCAAAGATATTCTCCTGGCTTCCGTTGTCGTGGGATCCGGACATCGGTCTTGCACCTGTCACTGTAGTGATCATGGTATGGTTTCTGCGTGAACCATTCTCCGCACTGTCCAGAGGATCGCCTTTTCTGTGTGTTCTTCTGCCGTGTTTGGTGGACCATTTGATGTTTGAGTTTTGGGGTGCGCTGGGTGCATCGGGAAGGAGATTGGGGAAGAACTTCTGTACCAAAGGGCGCAGTGTTGCCAGACTAGCGGCTGAAATACCGATTCCAACCTCGACGGTACTCCAAAGAGCAATGTATGTAGAAGTGTAGAGGAATTCTNNGGAAACACAAATTAGCTCTAGAATCTCTAGTCTGTAATCTGAATAACCCTTACCTCCTTTATAAGTTCCAAGTTGTTTGACATAGGGAAGACGGATCAGAGTCGAGAGAGATCCAATAGCGGCAAACCCAAGAATGCCAGCAACCACAATCTTGGTGTTTCTCCTCATATTAAGATCTTTGACGATGAAAATAGGTAGAATACCAAAGAAGAAATCGGCGGCGCCGTTGAGCACAGAGGCAACATAAGAAATGACCACTAGAACCATGGGACTGATGCAATGTCCTTTGGCGTTTGGTGAGAAGTCCCAGTAGAATGAAATTGGAGAACACTGGAGAAGAGCGACCTGCAGGGGTTAGCATGTTTCTTTGACGAATCAAAACGAAGAAAAACGAAAAATCGTCACATACAAAAAGNNGTAGATTGTGCCGATTAACATTGTGGCAGCCATCATGATTCGGATGATCAAAACGTGTATCTTGTTCTGAGTGATTCGCTCCAGGAAAAGGCCAACAGCAACTTTCAGCACCGATGCCGATGCGGTATAGAAGACCTCTGCGAAGAGCCAAGCAGCAAAGCCAACTGGTAGGTCCTTATCAGGAATATCTTTGCGATGTCTTCCAATTCCATGTGTTACTGCTGCGGCCTGGCATGATAGATATGCTGTGAACAAAAGGAGTGCGACGATCATAGCGACATCGTCCTTGCCAAAAGACTTGATCATGACAGTGCTATTAAAGTCAGTGACCTATAACAAACTGAGTCATGATCAGACAAGGATAGATACATACCGAACGTAGATTCGGAGACTGACTATCACCCAAGACAAGACCCAGAAGGTGATCATGACACCCATCACTTGCGGACGCAAGTCATCGCTGTTGGCCATGTTGTTCGACGACTTGACACGCCGCGGTATAGAAGGAAGTTAACGTTCTGGTTTGAGCAGACAAGACACGAAGGCGAAACACTAAAAGATGGATGAATCAAGAAGGACTGTGCAAGGAACGACCCCGGATTGGAAGCAACTTGAATAAGGACTCCAAAGCAGGAGTCGACACTCGAATGTCAAAAATACGGGAGGCGTAGAATCCATATATCAAGAAAGTGCAGGGGCCTTTCGAGGTTCAGGCCAGTTAAGTTCGTCATGTCTCTGCCAATGGCGCATCCTAGCTGCTCGGTCACTTCCAGCTCCCGCAAAAGACTCAATTGGCGCCGCTTGATCCACGATGGATGCAGAAAATCCAACCGCCATGGTGCTATCGAATAGAGTGCGCTTCGCCGGAGGCTCTCCGCGGCTTGGGGTACGCGAGCTGCGACCACGTTGTAGTCAAGGTCCAACGGACGTGGTCAAGGTACTCGAGGCACGGTACCTGGAGATCTTGGCCACGTAAACGACCAGACCATCTTTGGGCATTTGCACCTGGAGAACAGGTTCCAGGGTAAAGACTGCCGAATCTCGAACGAGCCTTCGAGCGTCGTGAGATGGGTCGGAAATATCTGAGGTCAAACTCTAATTGATGCTCGAGTCAACAGCAGATTCGCAGCAACGGCCAACGCCGATTGAAAAAGTCATTCCGGATTGACTCGACACTCGAGCAACAGAAATCGGGGTCGGGCAGAAGTAGTTAACGAACGATGAACCGCCAGAATGACTCTGGCTCGGTTGTCAAGAGTCATGAAGCAGCTCTAGATGTTTCGATATGAACAGCTGATTTTTGCTCAACACGGTTCCTAGGGATCTGGCTGGAGAATTTGTGCAAGCATTTAGATTATCTCGGCTACAAGCGGGCTTGTGAAAGACGGCTTCCTTCCTTCCGCTGGACGAAAAGCCCTGATGGGCATTAGAGCGCTTCTCCTCATACCTATTTGGCATGATTATCTCCACCAGAGACCTCTCGGCGTGATGGGAGTGTGATAGACTTTTGAGACGCCCCTGCGGATCTCGTTGCGTGGTGACTGATCACAGGGCATGAACGAAGTAAAGCAGGTGGATTGTTGATCTGCTTGTTCTCCTGCTTCATGCATTTCATATGTCAAGGAACTTTCACAGGTACAAGTAACAATGGACTGAAGGAAACGGCACGGCAAAGCTGGTACGACATTTGAGGGGTTCGTCCAGACAGCAGAGAACGCAAACAAGACCCGACATGTGTGAAGTATCTTTCGACATGAACAGGGTTCGCGACCTACAAAGGTACACTTCAAGGTTGTGAACTCGTTGCAGCACGCGAGGACGATGCGGATAGACTTGCGCGAGGCTTGAACTTTGAACGCGGCGGGCTATCCCAGTTACGAGGAGAGAAAAGAAAGTAACAAAAAAAGGGGAATGAGCTTCAAAAGTATATCTCTGCCACTGTCTCACACCCGAACAAGTCCAGGAACATGCAAGAGTCATGAATATCTAGAGCTTGCAGTTATCCGTGTAACATGTTGCCTATAACGATTGAGAAGGAAAGGCATCACTCAAGCGCGCTGAGCCTAATTGCTATGGTCAGGAATTGCGACTCAGGAGACTTCGACCACTGGCTTAGCTTCATTGTTCAACAAAGCTCCGAGCTGCAGTTTGTCGATGACAATAATATTGTACTATCGACGTGGCTACGCCATGATTACGCCTTCGGGGCTAGGCTCTGGGAGGCTCGGATGCTGAAAGTTAGGCCAATTTCTCTCAGTCTGAGAAGGTGCATGAGTCGTACTGTTCATCGCTGATACAAAGGTGCTGTATAACCTGGATTCAAGGGCTTTTGTGAAGAATAAATGCTCCTGGCTCTCTAGACTTCTGCCTTCATCTTTCTGAAGAAGTCCATCACACCAGTGAAGACGACAAGCAGAATACCACCTCCAGGACCCAGTCTCAAGACCTTGGGCAAGAAACCCTTGTACAAAGCACTGAATCCTTCCTCCTTGTACACCGTGCCAAGAGCAGGCCAGGCCCAGTTGTACTTGGGCACTCCTCCGGGCACTCTGGGNGAGTTTTGGATTCTGCTCTTGACGACATCCATGGGTGTGTTCAGGATTGTACCGACAGTTCCACCAATAGCACCGGAAGACAGATCGTTCAGAATCTGAGACTTCTTGTTCTCGGCCTTGGGAAGCAGTTCGCGGACTTGGAAGATACAGCCAAAGTAACCAGCGTTCCACAGGATGTGTCTCCACATGGTGCTCTCCAATCCTTGGTACAGTGTAAGAACACCCTCTTGCTGAACGACCTTGCGCACACAGTCTACTAGGCCGTTGTACTTGTGTGATTGTGCCTTGTCTTGCAGACGGATCTTGACCAACTCGAAAGGAACGACGACGAAAGCCTCGGTGGCACCAGCAGTAGCGCCAGTAAGGACGGAAAGACTTTGGGTCATCTTGGGCACGCCAAAGAGATTACGGTAGAACTTGCCCCACTCGTCGTTTGCGGCGAACTTGGTTGCTCTNGAGTGTGGTCAGCTGGTGAGCAGTGGGCACGCGCAAGCAGGATGAACCAACCTCTTGGGAGCTTCCATGAGAATGGGAGCCTCAATACCTCTGTATAGTCTCGAGAAACCCTCATTGCGAACAATCTTGCGGAAGCAGTCGACCATGCTGTTGTAGGCCTCTTCACCAGTAGCGGTTGAGCTCTGGAGCTGGATTCGTGTCTTGACGACATCCAATGGGTACCTGGAACCTAGTTAGACAAGCGATATGCCGGACTACACGAGTGGTATTTGTGTACATGACAAGAATCTAGGTATACGTCAGTCATGCTCGGGTGAAGCGGTTGTAATCGGTGGATGTACCTCTGAGACACCGGCTACGGCACCAGCAATGAACTGGTAGACGAAGGGCAGGGGCTTGGGCTGGTCCGACATGATGGGCGACTTAATTGGAGGGAGAGAAAGCGAGTAGTATGTACAAGTCTACAATTCACACACAATGGGGGACCGACGGACGCGATGGATGATAGAAGTCGCGAACGGGTGATATCCACGGGCCGGCCGCCGACGTCGCTCCTGCTCAGGTGTTGCCGAAGCAGAGCCCTCGGTTGATAGCGAGTTTGTTTGGGCATTTTGGGGGTTTCGAAGACAAGTACAGCTCACATATACCCTCTAGTCGCCATACAGCTTGACGTCTTCTCTAGTACATACTCCGGCATGTGGTATTCGAGGGGTTCGAGACAATAATGACTATCGGATCTTGGTTCGTATATCCTCGGTCCAGAGCGGTGTCGGCGATTCAGCACCTCGTACTTTCAGATTTACCTGGTCAAAGCAAGACAGATGCTGGTTCGATGAATTGATCTGTAGCTATCACAGATACAGGTCACAATCGTTGTTCTCGTCAATGTAACCCAGAAGAATCGGAGAGTGGTGACGATGATGATAGCTGTTGGTTGCATTGCCCTTTCGGAGTCCGGCAGGAGTCATGGTCCGTCATGTTTTGTCCCTGCGCCTGCTCGTTTTGATTTGCGGGGAGCGGCCCCTTCTTGGCTGGTCCAAATTACAGCGGCCGGCCTGCTCTGGCCAGCATTTGGAAAGCATAAGACTGTCGACTGCTCTGCACCTCGTCTCGCCTGGTGAACATGGCAGCTGCAGACGTAGCAGGTACCATAGCGCCGCTGTCTCTCCCGTCCACGCTCGCCCAGCGCTGACCGAATGCCGACAGAGCGCTCCGCTCACAAGAGGCCGTTTGCTGCCTGGGTCAAGCGTCTGACCAATCTGCACCCGAGCAGCAAGAAAGCAAAGAAGGCCTCCCAGCTCAAGAACAACCCATATCCTCAGTCCGGCCGTCTTCAGCAGTGTCGCCACGAATCCCTCAGCTCTCAATCCGCCTCGGACAATGCTAGCCTGAATGTCCATCACACGCCCAACTCGACCACTAGCAGAAACTCGTCTCTCTCGGCCCCTCCTGTCAACAGCAACCGCTCCCAGGCCAACACTGTCGCTACTATCCCCGAGACCATCGCTTCAGATGGAGGCTACTTCAAGTCGTCGACCAACGGCCAAGGCGGTGCTCTGAGCTCAGTCGACGGCGCCGGTCCCAACAGCACCTTCTCCTCGCCGAACCAATCTCAGCAGTCGCTCACCACTACTCTGACCACCATCCAATCCACCAACGCCCACCTAATCACTAATCCTGCTCACACCCACTTTGCGCAGCAACCACCTTCGGCCATTCCTCCACACCTCGCTTCGAATACCAACAACAACCCTCACAACGACAATGCCTCCATCCTGACTCTGGCCTCTTCCTCCAAGCGCCGTCGTCGTTCCATGGACACGGATGCCTCTGTTCGCGCTATCGCTCCCAAGAGCATGTGGGGTGATAGCAGAGAGTCTCTGCCTTTGAGTGTTCTGAGTGCCAACATAGATCACTCTTCCACTCGTCATGCCGTTGGTGGCCTCATTAGTGCCGAGCGCGCCAGCATCTACTCGTCGCGTGATGTGTCAGCTCCTGCCATCGCTTCCGATCGCAACAGCTACTATGCAGCAAGCCACAGACAAGTCAAAGACAGAGAGCGAGACAAGGAAGCTCATCGCGATCGTGATTTTCCAGCTGATGGCAAGAGCATCAACTATGATGCCAAATCACTCAACTTTGATGGCAGAAGTTTAGGTGGTGACGTCGCCAGTCTGAGAGGCTATGAAGGCAGCGTACGCAGTGGTGCTCTCGGCCACGGCCGCAATGATAGTATTCCTAGTGGTGCACCAAGCCCCATGGTCGGTGGCTCCCCTCTGCTCAGAAGACCCTCGGGTGCCCTGACCTTCAGCTCTGACGTTCGTGACAAGGAGGACCACGAGCCTGTGGACCACAAGGCCCATGTTTGAAGTGGAACATTCATCACTTTTTCCTACCATTTTTAGTCACGACTGGGATGGGACATTTGGGGATGCTGCTTTTGTTTTCTGAATGGAGTTCAAGGGTTTTGGTTTGGACTCTTTCTTTCCTTGTTATATACCCCGTCTGTATCTGCAGACTCTCAGATGGTCAATCCTTAATACTCAATATTGGCGCACGTTTGGTTTGCTGCACAGATCATGGGTCAAATCGCCGACATGTGTCATGCACTTATAGACTATGAGTCAACGCACGTCAGTGTATTATTCAGTGGGGAGATGAATCCTTCATGTGATGTCAGTCGCACAGGAGGTTATCCTGCTGCCTGCTCAGCATCGCTCACGGCTCGCATTCGTTCAGATTCCAGTTGTTGCGAAATTTGCCGCTGTTCTTTTGCGCTTGGTTCCACGTCTCGGTCGCTGGCTGACGCTCACAGTACCAGTTCAAGCTTGTTGCTCTAGCCAACCGACAACTTGGAGATCACCTCAATCATGATAGACGCATGGTTCGAAAACACCATTGAAAAAGGCGAAATCGATGGAGAAGGATGCCGTCGCGAAGAAGCCATGACCCTAAGAGCCTACCTGCGCAACGAGATCACCGTAGACGAAGCATCACAGCAAATCACACAACCCACAGAAAAATGTCCAGAGCCTGGTGATCCTTTGCTATATCTCTGGGGCGTTCTTCAAGACGCCATGCTCGAAGTTCCCGGTGCTCAACCAAAGATTGTCAAACTTCTTCTCAGGATCCAAACGCGACCGGACATTCAACTTGAAGAGTCACAAAGAGTAGGTGCTCTTAGCGACAAGCAATGGACGCATTGGAGAGATTTGCCTCACTTTGGGCATGATTGGTATGATTTGCATTGGTGGTATTACTGCTCGTTTTGGCGCTTGGAGCCAGACAAGTACAGCACGCCTGACGCAGATACACTGGCAAAGACATGCACAATAGCTTCTGCAGATGCACAACTTGCTGTCGCTGGTCTTCTTAGCAATCAAGCTTGCTTTGAAGGACTAGTCCGCTTGGCCGCTACGCTTGAAGACAATTCAGCTATCTTTTGGATCGAGTTACCAGCCATGAAAGAGTGGCTGGTCAATGGCGGAGATATGCTGTTTGAAATGTCCAGAGTCGGAAAAACGCATCGTCTTTTGCGCGATTTTGGAGACTTGAGAAAACAAGAAAACAGTCTTTGGAAAGGAGATGCTGGTGCGAGTCTTCAGCGGTGGCACTTCTGGAAGGAGAGGTTGAGACAAATACAAGACGACAATAAGCTTGGAAAGGAAACAAGAGAAGCCGCGAAGATCTCTCTTGAGCTCATGGAACAGTACTGAGTATCCATCAATCGACTGTTTGGCTGACGATGACCGGAGTGACATACTTCTTAACTGGATCGACAGCAGACCTCCACCAGACTGTCCTTCGCAGTTCAGGGACGAAACACAAGACGGCATCCACGATATGATGTACCTTGTCGTTGAAAGCATCTGTTACGCGCTGGTTGATTCAACAAACTACCTTTGACACCAAAGACATTCGTGCCTTCCTAAGTCCGAAGTGGTACACTGATGAAACGATCAACGCCATTGGGAAGCTAACCGCACGCGCAAATCCCCACAGCGATGTGTTTTATATGGAGGTGCTGGCGTTCTGGTCCTTTGTTGAGCAGCCCTGTCGTGTCATATGAACAGTCGCACAGATGACTCGAAGACTCCATGCCGCTGTCGAGACAGCAGAACGCTTCGCCTTTATCCAGATGTCAGAAAGTGTCAAGTGACCTTGCATCCGCATGAACTCAACACAAGATCGTCTTCGCATGCAACCTTGGTGGTTATCATTGGGTAGCTGTTGAGATCCACTCATCTGGTCGGATTCGGGTTGCAGATTCTCTTGCCTATTATCGGTCGATGTTTCATACTGACCTTCTGAATGTCTCTCTGCCTCTCTTTGCACGTCTTGTCAGCCTACGGCCTATGTCTGGCTAGCATCCAGAAAACTTCGCCGACGTGCATGTTGAATATATCCAGATACCCCAACAAATCAATGGATGGGACTGTGGGCCCACATTATCCACGTTACCAAGGGAGAACCTTCAGAAACCGTATTCCATGGTCTGGCCTTTCGATTCGCTCATCTTTGCTTTGTCTCGGATGCGTATCTGGACAACCGACAATGGTAATTCGAGGGTCAGATGGGGAGTCGGAGAGGGAGTTCTCTCTTGCTTACAAATTGGCGGAGGCTGAACCTCGTTTGGCGTCTCCTCTCTCGCGATCTCTCATTGACACAAGTCTCCGAGATCTACAATCATCAGCGGAACCAGACATTGCAAATACTGCAACAAGAGTTGAGGATGTTATAATATACACGGAAGCCGGGCACTGTTATTCTATCAGCGATGAGCGGACAGCGCCAGAACGAGACGATTTGGCCATGCATACAATATGGACATTAACTGAGATTCTTACCTCACCAAAACACTACGCCTCTCTAGGCGGACTCCAGTTCCAATTTGGAACTTCTTATATACGTACCCTTTGAAACTCTCTGTCGACCAGATCATTGACCGCGTGTTGTCTGCGACTCCTCGTTGTGCTGTGCTTCCATTCCGAAACTTTAAGCCTAGCTGCGAGAGAAGACTCCTCTCTAGACTTCTATAAGAATCCCCACATTTCATGTATCATCCTGCTGAAGGCGCGTGGAGTGCAACGACGGGGATGTAAGGCATACGTTCACTTGATCCACATTACATAGGCAACACCCTTCGTCCAAACTCCTTTTCTGTCGAGCTGCTGAGTCCGTCTCCTCGGCTGCAAACAAAGACTACTCTTTAGTCATTGTTGTTGAAAGACATTCTTCCCTTGATCTACTCACTCAAGGCGATTTATCTTCCATGGACACACTGTTGCCATGCTAGTCGTATACCTTCGCCAAAAGACCCCTAAGACAAGCCTTACCCTTAGACTCGGATGTTCTTTCTGGCCCCTCCTGGTGGCGGCATCAGACAAACGTCACGACACAGACTATTGCATTCTTTAGCAAGCGCGCAACACCCAAGACAAGTCTTTAACTTCGTCTGATAGCAATGAACCATGCTGCAGCTAAACAACAGATACGGGTTAATGTTGCAATTGCGACAACAAGCATGGATGCGTTGTCATCAAAGCCGTTATCGTGGACTTCTCTTGTGACCACTTAATCCTACCTGGATTTTACCATCATGCAATTACACCCTAAGGATGCTAACCTTGCCACTATCGATGCCTAGACCGTTGCCGACAGCATTCGCTGGAGTGTCTGTTCTGTCCATAGTCTAGCCATGCTATAACCCTCCCCGTCTAGATGAACAGACGCTAAAGATACTGCCGATTAGAGATTCTCCCAACCAGATGTCAACATTAAATAGGCACGACATTCTTGCTTATCGAAAATCCCTTGTCTTGCAACAAGCCGCTAAGCGTTAGAGGGTCATAGAGGCACTGGAGATATATAAGCAAATAGCACTTGTCGGTTTGCCCTGTTACAAAACGCATTGCAGAATCCACATGGGTAAAGGACGTAAAGGAATACTATACGCGAATCGACATCTACTAATAACAGATGGAGAGCTATCGTTATCTATAAAGATCACAAGTATACAGTCAAATATTTTTGTAATATTATCTTGAAGCTTCAAAATCTGGATGTTTCTAGTGACACCCTGACCTTGGATGAGTTTCCCCTGTAGATGTCGCTTCGATATCAAGCAATATGATTTTGATCGACAGATGCCTATAAGATATAGGCGAAAGTACCCGTGTTGCTACTGGAAAGCCAGAGATGTGTTCTTACAGGATCATCGTATCGTTTTGTTCATTTTTAGCAGAATGTAGACAAGATGTTCACTTGTCACCGACGGCTCATACTCAATAGCAGTGTCAACACGATTCGAGACATGGAGCATTTAATAACATGCCAAAAGGATATTAACTATCGAATAGCAAGCAACCAAGATCTTGAGAAACGTGAGCAAGAACCGAAGATGGTTTGGCTGTTAGTAACGGTTTTGAATATGGCAGTCACAATCACATCACGACGCCTTCTGTTGCCTTCGACCTGATATCAACACAATCTGATCGCTATCCATGCCTCATCTCTCATTTGCTCCCACATGTCTGCGTAAATACAATATACTTTCCGGGAAACATGCGAAAATGGTACAGCGACCTCATGTGTGCATACAAAGAAGACAATCCCGCAACGAATGAGGAATGGACCAACCAAAGCAGGAACGAAAGACCCCGATACTTCGAGAACATTCCTACTGGTGAGCAGGAAACGCGTATTTTGGGTCGAATGACATATGGCAAGCGCGTTGACGCTGATCGTAGCTTCGGTAGGGCAAAGCTTAAAGTTGACTCGCATATGTTTCCACGTCGATCAATGTCCAACGGCTATACCATTTTTGCCCCTGAATTTGACGAAACTCGCAATTCTCTTCGCTTGCAAAGACAGAAGCGGTCTATGAGTATGAGAATAGTATGTTGTGGTGATTGGGTATCTCAGGTCTTCTGTTTCGTGTGCCAATGACGTGTGATCACGAAAGAGTTGAGAGAATTATACTGCGCTCCCGGAGTATCATGCGCAAGTTTTTGGGAACCAGATTCCACCTTCGGTAGCGGCATGAGGAAACAAGTTAGTAAGCAAGAGCTGCTATGAGAACTCTCGTTTCTTCTGCGTTTCTCTTTTCTCACCATCACTCCTTCACGCCATTCCTTCCCACCGAGCTGGTGAGTATGAACCCCTGCCTCCCCTTTCCACTTCCAATGCTCCCCTTCAAGATGTTCACGCCTTTTCTGCGCGACACTCAGTCTGCACGAGAGAACCTCTACTTCGGTGCGCCTAATAAGACACACAATCTTGCTGTCCTCACTGCACTCTGCTCCAACTTGACCGAATGTTTTTGGGAAGGCTTGCTGCGAGCTTGTGTACGCTGGGGACTGAATACACTGCGAGGCCCAGGGATCTCATCCAACATACGGACCCCACCTTCGGATGTCTGAAGTTCAGACGCATAGAGAGGATTGCGCGTGCTAATAATAAAGTCTTGACCGATGCCTTTCTTTTTTGCTTCTGCTCCCTGGTAGGGAGGCAAAAGGGGCTAGAGACGCACGTTGGTTCTTTCACCGGTGGGTAGCTTGGGTGACCTTTTCTTACTTCTGCACCGCTGATCTCCCTTGGTCGTTTAGGCAATGAGTACTTTTTTCGCACACTGCAGACATGTGTTGGGTTGTGCAAAGGTTGGGTTTGTTCGCGGAACATCTCCGTATGGTTTTGTTGTCACAGACATGCCATAGAAACAAGTTTTTTTTTTTCTCAATGAGCTGCTGGCATCGTATGCTGGAACTTGTAGAGGGGAATGCGATGCCTTCATTTAGCGCAGCTGATCTGTTTCGCAATCGATGTATGGTATAGACAGGGCTTCGACATGCTTGCGCTGACATGTTGACTGGCGAAGGTATATCATGATAGCGAGACATAGCATAAGACAGAGTATTTGCTCCACTACATCCTGCGCACAACAAGTATTGCACGGCGACGCGGATGCTGAATGTCTTTCGTATGACGGACCTGACCACCATGCGCAAGTTTTCGGGCGGGAAACAGACTCCACCGTCGCCGACAGCACGAAGCTCAAGTTAGTAAGCAAGAGTTAGTAAGCAAGAGCTGCTATAAAACTCTCGTTTCTTCTGGACTTCTCTTTTCTCTTCATACTCTCTTTCGCTCACTCGACGACTTCCCCTTATACCAGTGTCTGACCTTGACTTCGGGGCGCCTAATAAGAAACACACTCTTGTTGTCCTTCCTGCTTTGCTTTAGCTTGTCCTGGTTTTTTTCAAAAGGCTTGCTACGAGCTTTGCATCGGGAGAGGGACTGAATGCACTGCAGGACCAGAGCTACCATTTAATCGCCCTTAGGGTGGAGTTCGACACATGGAGCTTACTGCAGGTGGCTGAACTTCAAATTCAGACCGCATAGAGAGGGTCAGCGTACACGTGCTAATAATATATCTCTCGTCCGACGCTCGTCGATTTAGAGAGGCGCGTTGGCAGCTACACTGCGTTAGGGAAGACTGGGTGAGTTTTCTGTGCACACTGCAGACATGTGTTGGGTTGTGAAAAGGTTGGGTTTGTTCGCGTAACATCTCCATATGGTTTTGCCGTAAAGCTTGCCATAGAAAAAAGTTTTTCTCAATGAGTTGCTGGCAACATATGCTGGGGCTTGTAGAGGAGATCGCATTTGTTGATGGTATGGGCGCAGTCTCGAAATTGCTTGGGTTGTCACGTCGACTTCCGCACAACACGACTCCCGACCTTGCAGGTGTTCACAAAGCTTCCAAGTACAGCGCGGCCGACGCGCACAAAACATTGTCATATCCAAATCATGTCTTCAGGAAAGATTTCCTCAGATGCGGTGGAGTCAGGACTCATCGACTCAAATCCATCTTTTGCATTGCGCGATGCTTTTTTGAACGGCGCGGACGACAGATATGAAGGAATGTACAATGGAGACCTCTTAGATTGACGTCCTGTTGGTATGGCTGGCAGAGGTATATCCGGTGGCGGTGTTAGAAGATCCGGTATGAGAGGCTCAGATTTCGTGGATGACAGATTTAGAGGTGGTGGGATAAAAGCTCTCGGTCGTGTACTCCTGAGCGAGAGGTACTCGCCTCTCTGCCTCGGCATTGTCTTTGTCTGAAGTGATGTATTTGATGCGCTGTGAACAGAGGTCACGCCGAGTTGAGGCATAGAAGGTTGTAGGTCTGCAGGTCTTGAAGATTGCGCGAGGTGTTTGATGGGAGAGCACGAAAACGACCGTTGAGACGAGACCATCGACACGAGAGGTAGTGTTGGATGAACGCCCTCTGTTCTGTCTCTTCTGGCTGCTCTCCATTCTCCAAACCAAACGGGAACCAAGTGGTCAACATATTCCCAACCATCAGGTCGTCGAAATCGCGGTTTCGACTGCAGTAGAGGGCAGTCCTCGTGACCGTCAGATACGAAATGTCTCTGCCTTACTCTGGCAATCAAGCCCTTGTCACCGGTTTTGAGGGCTTCAAGCGCAACCATCCGACTGAGTTTCTCTCGCAGAAACGTAACCCAGCTGTTGTCTGGAATGTGGAACGTATAGGTATGCTTCAACATGCAGCATGAGAAAGTCTGTGCGCCGACACCAAAAGTCTTGAGTCCCGTAACACCATGTCGTGTTTCATGGGGCCTAGAGTCTGGAGAGATTTGAAATGTGCAGCTCTCTATCACGGAGTCTGGATATTCGGGTGGACGTATCTTGTAGAGGTTGAGCGGTATGATCCATGTCGCCGAGTCACCAATTCTTCTGATACCCTCGCGAATGCCAGGTTTAGTGCATCCTTTGTCCTGGTCGAAATCCGCCCAGTCTGAGGTACGCCATCCATGAGACGAATAGTTGCTCAATATCTGTCCCATAGCTTCGTCCGGGTCGTGCAAAAGTACATCCGACGGTCCATGAATGTGATGTTGGGAAACATGCAGTACGCCTTGTTCCAAGTGATGATGTTGACGTGAGCGGTCGAAAAAGCACAATCAGTCAGGATACTTTGCAACGGTGGTGTTCGAGTAAGATGAAACCGTATCTGCGGCGACGCGGGTGGCAGTATTCTCCTGAAAACGAGGACCTTCCATAGTAAGCCATGTGAGACTTGTGACAAAACAATCAACTCACTCTGGTGAGGGTACGGTGCTGATCATCATCTGACCAGCTATAGCTATAATCAAACTGGTAGCTCTCGTCTTTGCCAATGTAACGAATCAAGGCGTCAGCTTTTGATCCTTGCCGAACGTAGATGTCCAATCCAGAATCTAACCAGTAGAGTTGGGCGAAGAACAACAGTGCAAATGTCCCAGAAATTAGAGCGTCTGCTTCTCCCAATCTTGACCTGAACTCTTTCGGATCATTCACGAATCGTGCAAGCCGCCGATTGATATTCCACTGACATGGCAACATGTTATTGTAGAATGAGGACAATCTTTTGCAGGTTCGGCTGATGGCAATCACATCTTTGATGTCCAGGCGCTGATATATATTGTTAAACAAAAGATTGTATCGTTCATATTGTGTCAAAAGATCGAGGAGAGGTGAGTGTGATGCTTGCTTTGTGGTTTTGGTAAGCCATCCAGTGACCACGTCGATCGATGAATTGATGTCTGCCGAGTCCCGAAGAAAGGCTATTTGTCTTTGTGATTCCTTCTCGCACCAGATCTCGCGGACGGAAGGCAGTTGGGTTCGAAGGAACTCCTTCTCGATTTCCTCTTTCGTTAGGCGCTTCAAACCGAACTCTGTCGAGATCATGTCGAAGTTTTGCAATACCGAACGCCAGGGCCAAGGAACCCTATCTGGATCACTAGTGAAAGAATTCAATGGATGGCTTCGAATTGCAGGATAGGATCCATGCATAAGACATAGGGATCGAGGTGACGACCAGTCCCAGCACATGGTGGTTGTGGTTGCCATGTCGTCGCGAAGCTGTTGCTGTACAATTGCCCGTTCACGGACATTCCGTCTTAGTAATCCTCTGCATCCTGCGATACATAGCAAGAGGCAACTAGTGCACCTGGCTACCAAGCCGGGGGATCGTTTGGTGGAATCGTTCGGCCAGCGGGTTGGTAGCTTCGTCCAACGTCTTGTTGTCGCTACTGCAACTCGACATGTTCGCCTGGGGATGCCAGATCACAGGGCTTTTCGATGGCTTCGAGGTATGCCAGTGACCCGACGACCAGCAGGTGCGCACCATTAGAAAGAGCAGTCCACTTATTGGTGGAAAGGCATCCTTCGATCGGACAGCCACTGTACCCATGGATCTGAACTCTACCGAACATGCAGCGACTATTCTGGGACCAGTTGCCTCACCACGATCCGTTGCTCGCAGCGTTGCTCAAACATCATCAGGCTCGAGCTGAAAGAATCTCATCTCACAACGACCGGCACTCGGCCGTAGTGTTTGTAAAACGGAGAAGGTCGGACGAAACTCCTGCATGTCAAGCCTCTGCCGCTCACGGACCATTTTGCTGTAGCGACGAAGGATTGGAAACAACAAGTTGTGAAGATGCATTCCGATTTTGGCTTAGAGAGAATGTCTGACATTGTCAGAGTTCGAGAGAAGTAACAAGGGGAATTGACAAACATCACACCAACGGCAAGTACGAGAAATTTCACAGGAAGGGTCGAACTGTCTTTTCCTGATTTGTTGTGGTATTTTGAAGCAGCATGAGAAAAGTACTTTGCTTTTCCCGCCATATCGTGACTCCCATGGTTCATGGCCATGAACCGATGCATTCCCAGCTCAGTAAAAAATGTAAAACAGTTGTTCATTCCCATCTCGTGACCAGCGCCCTTCTTTTGTGAAAAATCAAGTCAAGCCCAGCAACCTGTAGCGATACGCTTATGCGTCCTCAACAACGGTGGTCTGGAGACCCTTGGGGTCCTTGACGTTGACGGCCTGGACGTAGGAGTAGAGCTTCTCCTTGGCGCCCTCCTCGTCGTTACGCTTGCGCGAGATGCGGACGCGGAGACGGAAAGGAACACCCTTAACACCACACTCCCAGACCTTCTTGTTCAGCTGGGGGTCGAGGCGGACGTCGCGAGTGCCCNNTGTGTGAAGAAAGAACCAGTCAGCGTCTGAGATTGAGAAGAAGGTGTCGCATGTGTTTGGCGCCGGCGCATTGCTTCCAAGAGTACTTTGGGCATGCGCCAAACACACAAGCAGACAGGAAAAGTGTGCACTCACCATGGCGTTCTCAGCGAAGGCCTTGATCTCCTTGATGGCGCGGGGAGCGCGCTTCTTGAAGGAAACACCGTGAACCTATATTAGAGAAAAATCCGGAATCAGTCTTCCGCCCGATACCAGCTCATGTTGGAGAGCGGCCATTGATGGACTTCATCAAACTGAACGTACACGCTTGTGCAGGTGGATGGTGTACTCGCGAGCGACAACATCGGCAATGGCGGAACGGCCAGCCTTGGGCTTCTGGGTCTTCTGGGTGGTGGACATTTTTACGTCGTCGTTGGGCGAGAGGGGCGGATGCTTGTCGAGATGCTCTTCGGTCGTCGCAAAGATGGAGACTCGCAAGATTTTCCCACAGCCTTTGCGAAATCCCAAGCGAGCCTTGGCACGACTTTTCGGTCACGTGCGCCTTCCGAATCTGGACCGACCATCCATGCTGCCACCAGACTGGAATCATTCAACCATTAATCACACAATTCTAGTGAAGATGGTGTTGCGGGTTGCGAGTCTTGCATCTCTAGTCGGCAGAAGCAGACTCTTCACAAACCAAAGTTGTAGATCACCAAGGCGGTATCTGTCAAGCTCGCCCCAGCATGACCCTTTGCGTGTACTCTTCTGTGGCGCCGATGAATTCAGCATATATTCGCTGAGGGCTCTGAACAAAATCAGAGAAGAAAACCCTGACAAAGTAGCTTCCATCGATGTGGTCTGCAGGAAGGACAAGCGTGTTGGTCGAGGACTGAAGCAGATTCGTGAAGGTAAACTTCTTCGCAGTGTTACAATATATCGTTCTAGTTGCTGAGTGTGCATAGTCCCAATCAAGAGTGTGGCAGGCACTGAGCTGGCTCTCAATGTACATCAGATTGACACATTCACTGGCTGGACACCACCACAGCCTTTCAACATGGTAGTCGCTGTTTCCTTTGGCTTGCTTGTCCCGCCGCGTATTCTGAATGCAGCCAAGTACGGCGGTCTTAATGTGCACCCTTCGATGCTTCCCGAGTAATTCCTCTAATCAACACATCGTGTCCGCTCCCCAACTGACAGTTTCCATTCAGCTNTGCCTGGTCCAGCGCCTCTGCATCACACATTATTGCGACGGCTAAACAAAACTGGTGTAACCTTACAAACATTGCATCCCAAGCATTTCGATCAGGGCAGAATCATTGATCAGACCCCTGCTCCTGGAACCTCCGTTCCGGACGAAGCATCGGCCACTCTAGACTCACTACTGGCTTGGATTGGCCCGCTCGGTGCTGACATGCTCTACACCAACATCATGAATGGCAGTTTTGCCACAGGCACGGACAAGAAGCCTGCAGCCAGTCGAAGCCTCAAGAATACAAAGAACGATCTGTTCGGTCAATTGGACGGGTCATCTGAGTATCCTCGCCATGCCAGAAAAATCGTACCAGAAGACCGACACGTCAACTTCCGCTGGCCATCTTCCGAGATCTTGTTGAGAGATCGTGTGCTTGGTCGATTATTCGCCCTAGATACAGGTCTTGCACCCACAAAACGAGTCACCTTCTCCGGATTTGAGGACACGACCGATGGTTGCTGGGACCAAGTTCAAGCCAAGGGTCCTATCCTCAGGATGGGCAATCACCCTCTCGATCCTGGTGCGATTTCAATCTTCCGACATGACAAAGAGAAGCGCATATACTTCCGCACCAAGGATGGCTGGGTCAGCCCGACAGATATCACGATTGAGGGTAGTCCGAAGCAGAAAGCGACTGTCATATACGAGAAGCTGAGGCAAACGATGCCTGTGACTTGTTGCTAGTCAAATGAATTCCTATAGACCAGCCATCAAACTAAAAAGGCTATGATTTTAGCCACTTGGCGTTCCGTTCTTCGTCCTCTCATCCCTTCGTCGTTCAATCACCAGATGAGCATCGGAGGTGCCTCGCTCAACGCTGCTGCACACTCCACCAACATGTTGGTCCTGTTCGCCAGCAACGACACATATTAACCGACCGAGACAACCACGTCCCTGACTGTTGAAAGGGCCAGTGCGTATCTCTCATGATCAAAACGATGGGATGAAAAGATGACGTATTGCACAATCCTGTCCAAAAGAACTAGTCGACACAAAGTATGGACGTGTCCTTTGATCCTTGGAAAGGCAATATGTCGCCCTTGTTTGCCAGCGACAATGACCTGAGTCAGACAACCACGTCTGACCGTGCAAGAGGCCACTACATCTATCTGATGGTCGTGTATTGTGCACACGAATGATCCTATGTCTAGCGGTGGAAGAAGAGAGCAGACGGATCTTGACGAAGAGGACACAAAGTTTCTCTTGCGGGTATATACAGGTCTTTCTTATTTGAAACAATGGCAGAGCAAACAGCAGCGAGGAACTCAGAACTTTTAGTTTGCTTGAAATTAGGCCGGTACTACCAACGACCGACATCACGTCCACGAACATCACAACCGACCCTCTGTTCCCATGCCTCCGGGCCGCTTGCAAAAGCCTCTCGTGTCAGAACGCAGACCTCACCTATATTCTTCACCAGCGCCGGGATGCGTCAGCTGTAGAACACGGGTCATAGACGTCGTTGTTTCCCTTGCTCATCCACAACATGCTTGAATCTGGAAGATCCCCCTGCAGGTCCTTGATTCCAGGAAGGAGTTCTTCGGCGATCTTTCTCCACGTCAAAGGCTTTTTTTTTCGTATCTGACACCAGCAGTCTCGAAGAAAAAGGCTGGTCGGCGTCATTGGTAGTGCATAAAGAAGGACCGCTGCTTCTAGTACAATCTTCTCAAATGGAAGTACTTCTGGTTCTGATGTTCGACAAACGTCCTCCCACTGGCGCTGATTGGGATCTTCCACGTCTCTTGAGCAGTTGTAATCTTTCGAATCTCTCATCCAGTTCCTTTTCCCGATCTAATTCGGCCTTGCGGCGACGACGGTTCTGTGAGATGAAAGAGCTTCTCAAAGAATGGGCCTCAGTAAGTCTCAACACCATGGGCTTGTTGTAGAGTCGGTGGACAGTGACGGCACGCCATCTCTCCCAAGGCAACCTTCTGAAGGTAGTGTTGTGGCGAGAGGTAGTACTGTGAAACGTGTGCATCGCACTGATCGCGCATATCGCCAATGAAGGCCTCGATCCACTCCACAGAACAGATGGCAGGTTGCTGGGTCCAGCGCACCATGTCGGGACGTAGCGGTGACGGAGCAGCAGGATTGCGAGAATGAAACCAAGCATGAGTCTTGATAGTAGGCGGCTGATTGTGGTGGAAGAAGATGGTAAAGGCCATTTCACGCATCCAAGAGAATTTGACGTATAACGAGTCCACGTTATCTAGCATCTCTGCGCAGAGAACCAGTCGGCGGAACTTGCTCCAACGCACAACAGAGCATTTGATAAAAGGCAAGCGAGGCGCATGGAGATATTCGCCTTTGGCTCTCAATCGATACATGGAAGTTGTCCAGAATTGGTGGGAGGCGGGATGACGGCACTCCACCTGCAGTGTGCAGTTTCTGGTGAGCATACCAGCTATGTGCTGTCCAATCGCCTTGGAAACGCGCATGTAGGGGTGCGGGAGGACCTGTTGGTCGTGTGCCTGAAGGATGTATCCGAAGATTTCGTCGAGGATCTCTGGAGGCATTGTCGATAGATAGTCCTGATGGGTCACAGGAGGAATGGGAGGTTGTTGGTTAATGATGGCGAGGGTGTGTTGTTGGTTTCGAAAGCGTCAAAGACTTGGTGACTGGGTGTCAAGAGACTTAGTAGATAAAGGTGTTGCGTGTTGTGTCTCACGTCTGCGCAATGCTCGCGCTCTGTGCTTGTGTTTCGACTTGAGACTTGGCTCAATCTAAAGTGGAACGACGGCATGCTGCAGCATCGTCTACGTGTTGGGGGTGACAGAACATAGAAGACTAGGTCCATGGCAGCCTTAGATTTCTCTTGATCCCAATTATGCAGAACAGTTAGCTGGCCAGTTACATGTGCAGACATGGCCCATTGAAGCTGCATCTCGAGAAGCACAACTGAACTGAGTCATACAGAAACCTGCCGTTTTGCCAGCATGCAGAGCAAACAACAAAGAATATCTAGGGGCCGAGTAACCAAAACACAGTCTTCAGTCTACTATGTTGTACAAGACACATAATTTGTTATATATCTCCAACTCTCAAAGTGTGCAGTAGTATGTAAGAAGCATTCAAGAGGGTAGGCTAAGGTTGAGATATCCCCGTTACGCTCCCACTTGAAGTGATCGAAGACAGTTGCAATGCAAGATAAGAGTTCACAAAACACCAATGTGTATCGAGAAAAGACGTGTGAATATGCTTTCATTGGACAACCAGTTTTCTTCGAAAAGATCTTTTGGCATCTTGACACATATTAGACAATCAACATTGGTTTCCATGGGACAATGAACCATTAACCAGCATCAGACCGGTAAACATGTATTCAAAATTTCTCCTTTTCTAAGCGGAGTAGTAGGTAGCCCACTTGCTGTTTCCATTGACCACATCGATGAACGCTCTGGCAATGTTGCGGTCGGTTTGTTCGCTAGGGTGCAGTGGATCATACCACATGTACGAATCAGGGTTAGGAGCAGCAACACAGTCTGTGCCGTTTGTAGTGCAGTGGTTGACATAGCCAGTGACGGTAGGGTTGGTGCCGTTCAAATACTCAGTGGGGTTGTTGTACATATCGGTNCATCTATTTGTCGAGATTAGCTCTTTGAAAAGCGCGAAGAAGAGATTTGTAAAAGGGAGATAGGCAAGACTTACAAGGCCATACATGTCCATAAGAGCAAAGTGGGCTCCGGGGAACTCATTGGCGAGAAGGACTTCGTACGGTGTGCGGTACTTGTACACATCATTGACTGTAGTCACAGTCTCAAGCATACGACCCCACACTTCTGTGATGTTGGCAGGCTTCTCAGGCCAATACTGAGTAGCATTCAGACCACCCTTGCTAGGCAATCCATACTGCGGGGTCAACTGCAGTGGCGCAACATCCTGCAGAACAAAGTATCTAGCTCCCGAATCATAGAGACGGGAGAATTGCTGGTAAACACAATCGATGTAGTCAGGAATGACTTTGCCGGCAACTTGGCTGTCGTCGATGAAGGCGTAGTTGCCGAGATCGTTGGTGCCGATCCAGATGGAGTAGACGGTAGAGTCTACGGGGATATCCAAAGCTTTGGTACCGTTGGGATACACGTATTTGCTGTCTGCGAGATATGCAGGGACCTCGTAGCCATCGACATCTGGAAAGTCGGCATTGATGCTGGAGAAAGTGCGAGGAGTGATGTTGTTGCTGCAAACTGCTCCAGACACGGCATAGTTGTAAATATGAGCGCCAGAGTACTGAGCAACGTATTGAGGCCAAGGACGACCTCCATCTGCCGAATGATAGTTTGCCGGATTGACCCAACCGACTGGTGGAGCACTGCCGTTGTGAGAGCCAAAGTAGCTGAGACGGGAGTCGTCGGTGTAGCTGTCTCCGAAAGCGACCAAGCTGGTGAATTGCTTAAGACCCCAAGAAGATGGCTTGGAGCCTGGTGGAGGTGGGGGTGGAGGGGCGCCAGAATGAAGAGGAGGTCCAGGAGGACCAAAGTGCGGCCATGCTGATGCCACAGAGGACAAAGCGACTAACGCTGACAGTGAGAAAGTAGGCATGACAGTCAAATCTCGAAATTGTCAAACAAAAGAAGATGACAAGCAAAACACAGAGCATAGCCCTACCTTCTTATACTTTCCCATCTCCTCAAACACAAAAAGCCTATGACAAGGCATCCATACAGCCTGTCTCGGTTACGGCATCGGTACAGCACACTGCAGACTTCCACTAGCCCTTCCAGCCCTTACATTCTCTACACGGCAGGGAAGCATGGTCTGCCATGTTGAACAAGCTTTCTCCGTCTTATGAGACAGGATGCATGTCAAGACGTCAAGATCCCCGCGATTTCTCCACCTCTGATCTGCATCATGATCGCACCACGGAATGAGGGTTGGACATTAGGCTAAAGGCGATCATGATGGTCTGTCTCTGACTCTTTGCGCATCAAAGTCGTACGGCAGCGCAAATACCATGTCACCGATATCGGGCAACGGAAAGATGGATAATAGGCCAACATCGTGTTGGTTTGCGAGCCGCAAAGATGGCAGGAGAAAGAACTGCTGCATCAAGGTGGCTAGGCGGGGCATCTCCGGCAACGCAGAGTGCACCTTCTTTGCCCTGCTCAAATGGCTCATACACAAGCTCTGGCTTATACGGTGGAAATTCGATCTTCCTTAGTTCCCTTGACCATTGTGGATGCTGACAAAAGCCATGCATCTCTGATATAGATCAATTGTACATGTATCAGGTGGAAGTGCAATGGCAGGTTTCGAAACATTGTCATTCCACATATCTACACCACGCCTCTTCCTTACAAAGCAGATCTAATAGCTGACTTAAAAGGGAAAATCTGAATCNNTATGCTCACAACATTAGCAACTTTCCCACCAACCCCATCTCCAATCCTCTAGCATCAGCAAAAACTCACCTTATCCATATCCCAAACACCCTTGTCTGCATAAATATCCTTCTTGATCTTTTCAAGCACTTCTTCCTTGGAGCTTGCTACAGCCATCATGACGGAGCCGTTGATCTTGAGTGGAGAACCTTCTTTGGGCACGTCTTCCAGCATTGCTCCGCCCAGAACCCAGAATCCGCTTGCGGCGTCGGGTTTGATGTTGGAGAGGTGTTGNTCTATGGCGTTGCTGTTAGAAAAAAGCTATCCGGAGTGTGCTGAGAGGAGTGAGATGCATCAGGTCTATACAAGCAGTACGCATGCGTCTCGCAAATGTATATCAACAGTTTGTGGAAGTAGGGATACTTACTCTCTGACTTCCATTCTCTTGTTCAAAGCACCGACATTGTCAGGCAGAATGACCATCCACTCGTACTTTTGAGACATGATGCGAGTTGTTGTAGAAAAGCTGCGACGGGTAAAGAGAGTAGAAGCTTGTCGAAGTGCAAACATCAAGAGTGTTTGTGGTTGATTGAGGTGAAGGGAAAGCAAAGATGGCTCTCTTGGATTTGTGACGTTTCCGAGGTTCGGCGACGTGGGGCAAAGGTGTTTGGTGCTTTGGAGGGGTTGGAGAGAAGTCTGGCCCGAAGAGACACCATTTCACTGCCGTGCTTGCTGGACGTGGTTCTCCGTCTCTCCATATCCTTCCATATATAGATTCAGATATTGTCGATGGGGTGCATCGGACTGCGGCTCAATCTGAAGAAACAATGCATCATCGCGCCAAAGTTGTTCATGAGAATTAAACATTGGGTGTATAGACATCGTATAATCTTCATGTGCAGATCGCATCCTCCAAGATCCAAAGCAGGCCTCAACCCAACGCCGACGCTATGCAAAGGAAAAGAGAAAAGAAGCCTGTGCTTGGGTTGAAGCACCCTATCTTCTGCCACCACGGCCAGCTCCTCCCATACCGCCCATGCCACCCATTCCACCCATGCCCTTCATCATGTTCATCATAGCGCTCATGTCTGGCATACCGCCGCCACCTCCAGCACCGCCACCCATGCCCATCTGGCGCATCATGGCACCGATATCCATGCCGCCGAGGTTTGGCATGCCACCAGCACCACCGCCGCCTCTGCCACCTCCCATCGACTGAAGGCGTTTCTGCATGGCGGCCATCTGCTGCTGGTTGTTCTTGCCGCCCATGGCGCCCTGTGCTTTCTGCATGTTCTGCATGCCTCCCTTGAACTTCTTGGCCATGCCGCCCATGACCTTTTGCTGGGACAAAAGTTCTTCGACCTCGCGAACGCTGGTACCGCTACCCTTTGCAACGCGGGTCATACGAGATGGCTGATCGACGAAGATTTTGCCATCAGAGTCGAGTTCCTTTGCTGTCATGGAGTCGCAAATGTAAATCATGCGCTTCAGCTTCATGCTGCCCTCTTCATCGTCCATTTGTCCCATGAGACCACTAAGACCAGGAATCATACCAGCCATCTTGGAAAGAGGACCCATCTTCATGATGTTGTTGAATTGATCGCGCAAGTCACGGATGGTGAATTGGCCCTCAGCAATGTGCTTCATGGTGTCCTTCTGGTCAAGTTTCAAGCTTTGGACGTGCTCAACCAGGCCAGCCATATCGCCCATGCCCAACAGCTTCGAGACAAANGATTCAGGGTTGAATCTCTCGAGATCCAGCAAGTGTTCACCAGTACCGATGAAGACGATGGGAGTGTGTGTAGCAGCGACGGCAGAGATAGCACCACCACCAGCGGCAGCACCATCAGTCTTTGTGATGATGATGGCACCATAGTCGGCAGTCTCTTTGAAAGCTCTGGACTGAGCCTCAGCAGCCTGACCAATGGAAGAGTCGAGAACCATGATGGTCTGGTGAGGAGTAACAGCCTTCTGGATTTGAACCATCTCATCGAATAGGTCCTGCTCTTGTCTGTGACGACCCGAAGTATCGACAATGATGATCTCAAACTTCTCCTTCTTAAACTTGTCGACACCCTCTCTGGCGACAATGACGGGGTCGGTCTGGGTCAAGCTACCGTAGTAGGGGATCTTCGCTTTGGTGGCATTCTGCTTCAGCTGATCGAAGGCACCAGCACGGAAGGTATCGGCGCAAACCAGAGCAGTCTTGAAGCCTCGAGCCTGGTACCAGCGGGCGAGCTTGGTACAAGTCGTGGTCTTACCAGCACCCTGGAGACCGACGAACATGATAACGTTGGACTTGCCCTTCTTGGGCTGGTAGGGAGTGTTGTGAGGGTCGACAAGTTTGACGAGTTCATCGAAGACAGCNCTATGTGAAAGTTAGCACCGATGAAAGATACAAAGAAAGACAGATTTGGGCACCTTCTGGATAATGCGCTTCTTGTTCACACCAGGAGCGAGTTCGCTGAAGTTGACAGATTTCTTGATGGAGTTTCTCAGACCGGCGACCAGCTTGATGTTGACATCTGCTTCAACAAGAGCGTTGCAGATCTCCTTGATCATTCCATCAAAGGCCTTTTCGTCCAGAGTGGCAGACCTGGTCAGGTCGTTGACGGCGGCATTGATGCGGCGTCCGAGATCTTGCAAAACCATCCTGGCTAGTTGACTGCGATGAGATCGAGCCTAGTTGCTATGGTTGCAGTGAGGAGAGGGGGGGAGGGTGAGGGCACGTGTGGTCGTGTGAGCGTACAGGCGTGTGTAGAGTGACGGTATCTTGAAGACAGAGAAGCAGCCAACAGCACAAGATGGCCGAGCGTGGCATTGCGGGGCGAAAACCACCGAGCGGAGCCGCCGACTCCCCCAGATTTTCAGCGTCCAAAAATTATCAGCGACCATCTCTCACAATCTCACATACCACAACACACATCACACGCCACACACCATGGGTAACCCAAGCGCAAAGAGAAAGAGGCCAGAGGGCATGGGCTATCGCAAGCCCAAGAAGACCGTCAAGAAGTTCAAGAAGCAAAAGGCCTACCACAGTGACAGCGAAGAAGACGATGTCCAATCCACAAACACCGCAACCGACTTTCAGCCCGTCAACATGGATGACTCGGATGAGGAAGTCGAAGATGCTCCTGCTGCTTCCTCTGCGCCTGTTCCCACTCCTGCACCTGTTGTCGAGAAGAAGGTCACACCCAAGCCCGCTGCACCTGCAAAATCAGAGCCCGCACCCGCCGCAGTACAACCCAAACTCAAGTCGGCCTTGAAACAATCCAAGAAGGTCGACCCGCCGTCAGAAAGCGAAGATGACGACGAGGAAGAAGACGACCAAGTCGAGGATCTCGATGCGCTGGACGACGAGGACCTCGACGACTCTGATCTCGAAGACGACGACGAACTCGACCTAAGCGACGACGAAGACGGCGAAGGAAGACAGAGAAAGACACGCAAGCGCAACGATCCCACCGCTTTCGCTACATCCATGTCCAAAATCCTGGGCACCAAACTGACCACTTCCAAACGACAAGATCCTGTGTTGTCGAGGAGTGCGGCTGCAACTGCTGCTTCCAAGGAATTGGCTGATCAGAAGCTGGAGTTGAAGGCAAAGAGAAAGCTGCATGCTGAGAAGAGGGAGGCCTTGGAGAAGGGTCGTGTCAAGGACGTTTTGGGTTTGAACACGCCCGAGGTCAGCACTGCTGAGATTCAAGAGACGGAGAGGAGGTTGCAANAGACTGCTCAACGTGGTGTTGTCAAGCTCTTCAATGCTGTCAGAGCCGCTCAGGTGCAAGGAGAACAGGCTAGAAGCGAAGCAAAGAAGGAGGGTGTGGTTGGTATCTCGCAGAGAGATGAGAGAGTCAGTGAGATGTCAAAGAAGGGTTTCCTCGACCTCATTGCTACCGGAGGAAAGAAGCCTGCTGCTGTAGAGGCTTAGATTTAGTTTACGATACCCGCTCATATTCTTGTAACTTGTTGATCATCATGTCTTTGCTCGTTGGTGGTTATGTACATTGCTTAAGCCTCTATTGACCCTTCTGCGAGCGGCTGATGGCAACCATGCCATCTACTCCGCCATTGTTGTCGTCTAGAACACCACCCTTNTTCAGGATGCTGATTGTGTGCTCTACCACACTCGACTCTACTCCTCGGACGTTGTCTGCGAACTTGACTGTCTTGAGCCATGCGTTGGCGTCCTCCTGCGAGTACTCCATGGTGCCAGTGATATGCTCGACCGACTCTTCTTGGTGCTCGCGGAAGTACTTGACTCCTTGATTGAGCTTCTCCGCCATGACTTCCAACTTCTTGTCTTGAGCATCTCTTGCTACAATCATCCAGCTAGGCCAAGGTGTATAGATCTCACCAACTCTCTTCAGCTCGCCATTGTCGTAGAACTTTTTTGTTGTGAACTGCGATTTCAAAGATTAGCAAAATTCACAGGTCTCTTGGGTGCTGACACGACTTACGTGCTCCCACATGAAGAAGTCAGCTTTATCCCCTTCATTGACACCATGTCTCAGAGCCTTGAAGTCTCCCAGTGGCACAACCTCAAAAGGTTTCTTCGACTTCTCCAACCAACCCTTCTGATCGGCAAGCACATACGACATGACATAAGACCCACTACCAATACGCGAAACACCCACTCTCTTGCCATTCAAGTCGTTCTCATTGTTGATGGAGCTCTTGTTTCCAACACTGATGGCCCAGCATAAGGGGCTCTCGACGTATGTGCCCACTAACTTGTAGGCAGGTGTTTCTTTGCTTGCGTTTGTCTTTCCGAGGTCTGCGATGAAGCCTTCGGTCAGGCCGATTGCAACATCGATGCTGTTGTCTTTGAGAGATGCTGTGAGGGCACCAGTACCGGTGGGAAAAGGTCTGATATCGGCTTCGAGGCCAAAGTGCTTGATGGCAAAGTGTAGCGGTGTTGAGAAATGTTCNTTGATCTCAATGTTAGCTTGAGGTCTTAGACATTCGTAGAGCTTCGGAAATGTTCATTGCTTACCAGGAATGTATCCAATGCGTAGTTTTTCGGCAGCCATCCTTGATGTAGTAGCAAATCCACGGGTTGTAGTGTTTACAGTAGATACAAGTCTTCTTGAGAACATGTCGTGGGAGGAAATGCTCAAAGGTCGCAATTCAATTGCTCGAGTAATTACCAATCGCCCCGCAGTGATCATCATTGACGACATGCGCACTGCCCCTCGCGAGCGACCCTGTCCCTTAGTTCTTCCCTTCTCGAAAGCCTCTCAAGCAAAAGATACATCACCACCAAACAATGGCCGTCCCCAGAAACTCTCTAGGAGCATTTCTCAGACAAGCAAAATCCAGCTTAAAGAAAGCCATCGACCAACAAGAAAAAGTCACTTTGGTGATTGGGAATGAATCTGCAGGTTTGTTCTTTCCCTAGCTTTTGGCATACACGATATCCCAAACCTGATACGCCATGTCTANNGATCTCGATTCCATTACAAGTTCAATTATCTATGCCTACCTCAAATCCATCACACCCTCAACAACATCTTCTGCCCCTTTACACATCCCCCTCCTAAACATTCCCAAAGTGGATATAAACCTGAGGCCTGAATTACTGGCTTTGCTTCCTCATGCAAACATACACCAAGACCTTTTGATCACTTTGGACGATCTTCCTGATCTCAGCACTATAAAACAGACCTTGGTGCCAGAAGCCACGAGATGGATTTTAGTCGACCATAACGCTTTGCAAGGAACCCTCGGCGCCATCTACGCAGATCGCGTGGTAGGTGTAATCGACCACCACACCGACGAGCAANAAGTGCCCAAGGATACTGGCAGCGAACCCCGTATTATAAAAACTAGTGGCAGCTGTACAAGTCTGATTGTAAACCATTGCCGTGAAGCTTGGGAAAGCTTGTCGAGTGGGACATCTTCCACTGGAGCTGCTCAAGCGCAAGGCGATACGCTTATGGAAGATGAAGCCGTGACTTCGCTCTGGGATGCACAGGTAGCGCAACTGGCATTGGCTTCTGTGGTCATCGATACCATGAATCTCGAAGACGAGCACAAGACCACTCAACATGATAAAGACGCTGTCAAATACCTCGAAGCCAAGATCAACCAATGCGCAAAGATCGGAGCTCAATTCGACAGAAGGGCTTTCTTCGAGGAAATCAATAACGCAAAGAAAGATCTCAACTCCCTCACTGTTGAGGAGATCTTGAGAAAAGACTACAAGCAATGGACAGAAAACGGATTGAACCTGGGCACCAGCGCAGTCGTCCAACCAATCTCTTTCCTCGAGAACAAAATCAATGACGACAAGAACGACAAATCCTTCCTCCCTCTCCTCCACGCAGCCAAGAAGTTTGCGCAAGAGAGAGATTTGTGCATCTTCTCCATCATGACAGCCTACGAAGCAGACGATGGAAACTTCGCTAGAGAAGTCGCTGTGTTAGCGGTAGATGAGAGGGGCTTCGCTGCATGCAAGAAGTTCGCAGAGTCGTCTGGTCAAAAGCTTCAATTGGATGAGGAAGATGCTGATGAGAGCGGTGAACATTGGTTCCATATTTGGAAGCAAGGAAATCTTTCTGCTAGCAGGAAGCAGGTTGCTCCGCTGCTTAGAGAGGCCATGTCGAGTTGATCTCAACCCGGCTACTAAGACGAGGAGCAACATGGCTATGACTGAACCTTCGTATATAGAATACAACCTCCTCGTGTGCTAAAGACAGTCACAATTCTACCACTGGTTCCTCCATCCCGAGCTCTGAGGGTTTTTGTAAGCTGTCAAAATGCACAGTTTTAGTTCGGATATAAAGTCTGTAGTTGAGATATCCTTTATCAAGATTCTCTCTGTGAAGACCATATTCTTCGTCAAAACATTGTGCATTTCTGCAGCTACACTGTGACTGTCTATAGCACACGGGGAGGGATAGAAAAAAGAAATGCTGTAAACCAAACGCTTCCTTAGTATCGTGCCTTGCAGCCGACTCTGAGTTGTTGATTCTTGCTTTGCTCATCTGTTCTCTATTCCATTCTGTCTCTGCCCCTTTTCAAATCCTGTATCATTCCTCCCGCCTTATCGATGCTTCGAATAGGATATGTAGTGCTTGTTCCGTTCCTCAGCCTACAACTTGGACGGCATGTCTCTACACGCCGTTCTGCGAACGAGTGTGATTTCGTACTTGCTTTGCCTTCAACCTCTGATTCAGATTGCGGGCAATTGGGCAGTGTGCTCGTGCTCGTCTCCGTCATCGTTTCCCTCGAGCTCACCATTATCCTCGCTAGCCTTGTCACTCTCGTCATCTTCGACGTAGTAGTAGACATCCGCATCTGACTCGACGTAAGTGGAGATGCCGACGAGGTCGTCACGCACGTAGCCGTCTCTTTCGATCTCTGCAACTTTGTCGCGTTCCATCTGCGCCACTCGATCTGCAAGTGCCTTGAGCTCTACAGAGATGCTGGTGTGATCAGACAGGATCACGGCCTCATCACCATCTTCGGAGAACATCAAACGAAAGTTTGTGTGGGAGGAATGTTCCCCAAAGTCGTAATTGCCGCTCGGCAACACAAAGTGGTCCTCGATGGAGAAGTAGTACCTAGCGAACGAGATCTCCAAGTATCTCAGCGTGGTCAAGCGGGAGAGCCGAAGTAAGAAAGTGCTCCAGAAATTAACCTCAAATTCGCCTGTGTGCAACTGGATATTATGTAAGGTCAAACGCTCAAGTTTTGGAACGCAGAATATACTGAGGAGGTCGGAGCTGGCGACGAGAGATTTTCTGACTTCGATTTGGGTAATTGGAAAGGCCTTGAGCCAATTGAGCATGGGCTGGACATTGGGAAATGCGTCGCACTCGTCGTCAGGAAAAGAATGCAGTGGGATCGTCAACATACACAGCTTGCCTGTTTTGTTGTCGTATTCGAGGCGTTCCCCATAGAAATAACTCCGAGTCGTCAGATCGAGGCTTAATGGTTTGGAAAGTGGGATGATGTAGGTTTGAAGTAAGGCTTGAACTTCTTCTCCATAGCCATCTTGGAGCATCTCAGACATCTCGGTGTCAGAAATGTCGATCTTGACCTTTTCGATGTCGCAACCAGCGGTTTGAGCTGCTTGGAAAGTGTATCCGAAAGTCTTGGACATATAACGAGAACTACTTTGTCCATGAAGAGTATGAAGTAGATCATGGTTGAACGAGTCGTTACCATCGACACATCTGGCATAATCTTCCGAGCCCCAACAATAATAGTCTGCTTGGTCGCCAGCCCCAATACACACCGAAGAGGAGTTACGTTTGATGTTAGAGAAAACATACTTGAGCTTGTCGCGTAGTTGCCTGAAGCGCAGAACACGATGTTGAGGTGCAGGACCGCTGCATCCGCTCAACAGTTTGGGACGAGAGCCACAGACAGTTACAGTCTTGACAAACTTTCCAAAGAAGGGATGGGCTGTGATCTCAATGAGGGCATTCATGCTGTACTGAGACGCGACATGCTTGCGTTCTGAGAATTTTTCGAGTGCCAAAGGTCCGCTAGCGATTGCGCAGAGACGCTTGTTTGTGAGGCGCAAGGCAATAAGGGTCTCGGCATCAGTCAGATTAACGATGATTGAGAGAATCTCAGTAGGCATGCCAGTCAAAGAGAGATCACGATCGTCCTGAAGAGACTCCTAGGAATGGCGTCAGTATGTGTCCAACAGAGAGATAAAAAGTACACGTACCATGGTGACGATAGCAGGATAGCTTCCGTCTTTGCGATGCGCAGCGGAAAGTGTTGTTGTGATGATTCAAGAAGATAGACAGGCGACAAGACCTGTGAGTTGTGATGCTTCTTCGACAACTGATAGAGCAAAGTCTTTGGTGTAGCCACAAGTGAAGAGTCGAGCTGTGTTTGTTGTCGTTGTCAGAATCGGCTTGTCCACAGAGACCCGATGCAGTGCCTTGAAACGTTGCGCGCAGAGGTCAGAGATTTACTTGTGCGCGCGGTTACCCAGCGCAATAGATCTGAGGAGTCCCGATGAAGTTGTGCCAGTGAGTGCTTGTGTTGGTTCAGATGAAACCAGTGGAAATGGGAGAAAGGGTGTTAGCAGGAAGACCGAAAACGGTTGCGTTGATAGTCAGTGCGGAAGCAAGTTGTGTCACAGTGGGTGTTGGCTTTCAGTCGCTCGTCAGTGGACGATCATGCTAAGTGAATGAAAACACAACTGGGACGAAAGTGGAAGGGGGCGATACAGAGGTCGACACTCTTTCGTTCTTACCAGTCAAATCTACTTACTGTTCATTCATTGATCATCGAGTTAAGCCTCCGTATCGCCTCCGAAATCTTCAAGATCACCCTCCATCTCTCCATCATCTTCCATTCCATCTCCTTCAACGTCATCATCTTCTGCACCACCTTGCGTATTCTCGTCACCATAGACCTCTCCCTCCCCCNNTCTAAACTTGTCTCTGACTCTTTGAGCAATGTCCGTCTTCACCAAGTTTCTGATCTCTCCAGACAATTGCATCACCTTTTCGGGATGAGCGCCTCTCTCGAAATAGGTCTGAGGATATGTTGTCTTGTCAATCTCATCAGGAATAGACGATACCGTTTGATAGGATGCTGTGTCAGGAGCTTGCCCGGTGAGCATCATGCCAATCATATCTCGCATAATAATACGTGCTTTAGCGACAGTGCCGTTGAGGTACCAGCCATAATTCACAGGCNNTACAAAAGTCAGAAGGATAATCATTGGGGGTGGGAAATATTGACTTACATCAAACTCAGATCGAAGGTTCTCGGTAGCGAGTAGACCAGCAAGGACAGGCTCTTTGATATCACAGACTTGCCATGTCTTTCCGTTGGTGGTCATACTTTTGCCATCAAACACATGTGAAGGTTCTTCGTCTTTCTTGTAGCGATCGCTTCTGATCCACTGGTTCTTGCCATCTCGCATCTTCTTGGCTGCAGCAATGACTTTGTCTTTTGCAATGAGCTGGAAGGAGAAAGTCTGGTAGCAACGGTACTTAGGATCAGTACGAGGGTCGAGGCCGTACTTAACGAGTGTATCCCTGAAAGGACCTGACTTGAAACTGTATCCAACATACTGTGTCGCTTCCTTGAACAATGCCTCGTTTCCCCAATCAACGAGATTACATGCCACACGTCGTGTGACGGCAGGTCTGGTCTCAAGCAGCTCCAACAGATTCTTCACACATTGCTGGAGGGCTTCGGATTGCTTCTCGATGGGGACAAGACCCTTGGGTGGCTCCGTGGGCACCTTCTCGACATCATGAGCTACCGAGACGACTTGACGTTTCTTGGGAGCTTGTGTGTTAACAGTCTTGACACGACCCTTTTCGTCTGTTACATGTGTAACACCAGGGTTCTGCTTGTAGAGATAATTCAAAGACTGCTCGAATGAAGTGAAATTGGGAGGCGCAATAAGCTCTTCGTTGGCCGGTCGACCAGGAGTCATATCGACCTTGAAGTTCTTGATGCTTGATACTGTTNNCTCATTAGACCATATATCAACTTTCATATAGAAAGAATACTCACCAGTAGGATCAATGAGACCTTGGCCAATCTGGTGCATGACTGGCTGAGAACCTGCTCGTAGCTGGAAGTCTGGTAGAGCACGGAATCTGTGAGTTTGCTTGATGGTTGCGACAGGCTGTATGGTATATGCATCCTGATTGTCAACGAGACGGCGTCGTAGCTGTTCAGCCGTCACAGGAATTGACGTAGCAGTACCTTCGGCGTCTCCAGGCAAGCTCTCCCTCTCGTCACCGTGATGTTCGAAAGCGTCATCAGAACCTCTCTTTCTTTTACAACCTGTTCGCCTTGGGACAGTCACACGAAGGAGAAGGTTTTGAACTGGCATCTCCTTGGAGACGAGCTTCTTGACGAGGGGATCATGTGGGCGCAAGGATAGACCAACAGATAATGTTTGACCAGCAGGAGCAAGCAGCTATCACAGCAAGTCGATCAGATGACATGGCATAGTGGAATTGAAAAAAAGTAAGTGACCTACATGTTTGATGTGATGTTCTCCGCCAAGAGATTGCAAACCCTTGTCAATATCTTTGATAATGGAGGGATGCTCTACAGTGACAACTCTGTCGGAAGATACGGTCAACCAGTTAGCCAATTGATGGCGGTTGGAGGCCAGATCTGGCCGTTGCTCGGTCATGATAGAGTAGTTTGTGTTTTGATGAAGAGCATGCGGTCGGCCTGACTCGTTGTTGAAGTGTGGGGAGTCGAGGGTCGGTAGCTGTACAGCGTGATAGCAGTACAGGTATAGTGTGATGTGCGGGCAATGCAGTCAATAGTGCAGGAGGTTGATATTGCGAGTGATAGTGAAACGGTCTTGAGATTAATTGTCACTTGACTCTTGGGAGATTTGGAGGCGGCTTGAGGGTCCGCGGGAGGGGCTTGCGGGTGCCAAGGCTGGACCTAAGCGTGGCTGGATGTAGGCAACTTGGGGAGAGCGTCAACAACCATCGGCCATAGCTACTCTAATTGTCCTGCTTCAAACAAGACAAGCCATTGTTCACCACCCTCCTATCAGCAATTCAATAGCAAAGCCATTGCTGCCCTAGCTCCTGGCGAAGCTCGGCACCCATCCGACACTTTGCCGTGTCCCTTAGGACCCACGTCTCGCAATCCGACACGCTGCCGTATCATCATCCCCTGCACACTACACAATCCACCGCCTCCTCAGCTCATATTCGGACAATCATCCACACTCCGACGCCGTGACGAAGCGAGACCCTCCTAGGCCGAGGGCCATTAATTTCTCATTCATCACCACCCATGATGAAGGGATTCAGACAGCGCGTGGTAGGCAGTCCCCCTGCTACATTGAATAACACTCGCCAAGACACACCATGGCTAACGACCTCAGCATGAGCAGCTCTCGCGAGCTAAGGACAGCAACAAGATCTCCAAGAAAGCGAGCAAGGAACAATCCTCGGGCACTGCTTCTCCTCACAGCGGCGCTGCCCAGTCGCCCGCCGGCACCCCCTCGTCCTCGACCCAAAATCTTGCCGAAACCCGCAAACCATCAAACGATGGCTCGTCTTCGGCCCAGCAGCAGCCAGCCATGTCGCAACACCAATACCTCCAGCAAAATCAGGGTGCTAACGGCACTCAAAGCCCCAACCGCTACAACCAGCAGGGTGTAAACCCTAGTGTCGTCATCAGCCCAAGCGCTCNNCCGTAAGTGAAAGCCATTTCACAACACACATGCCTATTCTTTGCTCACCAGTCTCAGCATGTTCCTCCTCCTGGCGCCGCTGAAACCATGCCTCACGACCTGGCCCCGCCCAAGGCTGGCCAGAAATCGCTGCTGTTCGACAGATTGCAAGCCACTCCCAAAGATACAGTGCCCGAGGGCGTGCGCACCCCCAAGCGCCAACATTCGTCAAGATTCGACATTTCAGATCAGAGACAGCGCGAACTGGAAAAGCTGCCCGGCTTCCACGAGGTTCCTCCCAACAGACGCCAGGAGCTCTTTATGCAGAAACTCGACCAGTGCAACATCATATTCGACTTCAACGATGCGAGCGCCGACATGAAGTCCAAGGAGATCAAGCGCCTTGCGCTTCACGAGTTGCTCGATTACGTCGCTCAGAACCGCCAGGTTATCTCGGAGCCAATGTATCCCAGAGTCGTCGAGATGTTTAGCAAGAACTTGTTCCGCCCAATTCCTCCTCCAATGAATCCTCAAGGCGACGCCTTCGACCCTGAAGAAGACGAGCCAGTCCTCGAAGTCGCCTGGCCCCATATTCAAGTGGTTTATGAGTTCTTCCTCCGTTTCATCGAAAGCCCTGATTTCAACACAAACTATGCCAAGCAATATATTGATCACAGCTTTGTTCTGGCATTGCTCGACCTTTTCGATTCCGAAGATCCTCGCGAGCGTGATTTCCTCAAAACGACACTTCACCGTATCTATGGAAAGTTCCTCAACTTGAGATCATTCATCAGACGTTCTATCAACAACGTATTCTTCCAATTCATTTACGAGACTGAACGTTTCAATGGAATTGCTGAACTTCTTGAAATTCTGGGCTCCATTATCAACGGTTTCGCCCTACCTCTCAAGGAGGAACACAAGCTCTTCTTGACTCGCGTCCTCATCCCCTTGCACAAGGTGAAGAGTCTGAGCATGTACCACCCGCAACTTGCATACTGTATTGTGCAGTTCTTGGAGAAAGATGCCGCTCTGACTGAGGAGGTTGTGCTTGGTCTTTTGCGATACTGGCCCAAGGTCAACAGTACCAAAGAAGTCATGTTCTTGAACGAGGTCGAGGACATCTTCGAGGTCATGGATCCTGCCGAATTCGCAAAGGTCCAGGAAGCTCTATTCAGTCAGCTTGCCAAATCCGTGGCCAGCCCACACTTCCAGGTATGCTCATCTTCACAAACTTTCATCAGAGTCAATGCTAACAAGTCTTNNCAGGTTGCTGAACGCGCTCTATACTTCTGGAACAACGAGTATTTCTGCAATCTTGTCAGCGACAATGTTGATGTTATTCTACCGATAATGTTTGCTCCTCTCTACGAAAACTCAAAGGGGCATTGGAACAGGTGCGTGGTTGTCATGTTTCGTGATTTGAACATTGTTAGCTAACCCACTACANGAACAATCCATGGCATGGTATACAATGCCATGAAACTGTTTATGGAGGTTAACCCTCAGCTGTTCGACGATTGTTCCCACGACTACACCGAGCAACAAAACAACGCGCCCGAGGTGAAGAAGACCAGACAAGAAAAGTGGGATAGACTTGCTGCTCTTGCTCAGTCGATGAAGAGCGGACTCCCTCCATCGGCTGCTATCAACACAAGTACCGCACCCAGCGCCACACCCGCACGCACGGACGATACAGATCCACTGCGTCTGGAACAACTCAGATTACAGGATGACTCGGAGAGGAGACCGAAAGAGTTTGAGAGACAGACCAGCTCGGTACGTTGATCAAGTGCGAGTATCTTCTCTCCCTCTCGATCATTGGGTCTGTGAATGAGTATATGTTAGACATTCCAAAACACACCATCAACCCCTTCACATTCCCCTTACTACATCTTCTTTGTGTCACAACATCCTCCTTGTTTTCTGCTATCGGGTCTCATCAGGGGCGAATATATTCCATCGGCGCTGGGCGTTTCCTTCACAATCTGTTGCCTTGAACTTCTGGAGATCTTCAAGCTCTCACAACTTTTTGTTCTCTTTCTTGATCCCTGTATCCAATCCAAGCACTTTTCCTTTTATCTTTTCATTTCCTGTCTGTCGCCCGGGCGATTCAAAAGATTATCATCCTCGCTACAAACAAAAATGCTATGACAAGTTCAATCTAACATGAAGAATCTTTGTGGGCGTGCAGAAACGAGATCACCGTCACAACCGTCACAAACAATCGTCGAGCGTCGGCAACACGAGCGATTCGAGTTCGAGTCATATTCGAAAACGCAGCGGGAGTCGTACGTCGTCGAAGAGTGTCGGTTCCACTTCACAAGTGTCAAGAAGCAATTCGAGAAGCAACTTACGGAGTAGCTCGAGCAGTACGACGCATTCGGTGGGCACTTTGGATGATGTCGAGAGGATAAGACATAGGCAGGCGTGAGTGAGGGCTTTTGAGGTTGTTTGTTCATGCAGATGTGTAGTTGGGCTGGGACAAGGGGAGTATATCGGATAGCGAATCCTTGCTTGGCGCAACTTTTATTCTCTTCTCTATACTGTTCCTCGTATGCTGACTTGTAGTGATCTCACATTTCAAATCCACGATTTAGACAAATTTGTGACTTGCGACGATGTCTGTTGCGATGATTTGCGGACCTTGAGATCTCTTTGCAGATAGGGAAGGTATAAGCCACCATCATAGATCTATCTTAACAAGCTGATAGCACAAGAACAACGACGTTTGTGGAGCAACATGACAGTATCTGCCAGGGTCCAATCTTTCTGCTTAGAAAATGCTAGCAGCACTGGATTCTGTCCATATCAGACACTGACAAGCGTGTTCATAGCCAACCATTCTCCCTCGGGCAAATCTCTAATCTACCATGACTCTGCAAAATATGCGGTGGTTTTAGTAAGTTCCGCTAACCAAGTGATCGAGTGTGTCCTCTTGAGTCACCAACCCTTCAGGAACGAGATAAAGGCTTCTATCTTCTTCAGATCGTTTCTCTTTCTTCAATACTCAGCATCCAACATATTTCATCTACTAAACCTGCCGCATCTCTTCGCGCGCGACATAATCTCGCCTACAAGCACACACCTCAGCAGTGCCTATCACACATCTCCATCAAGCCACCACTCAAACAACCCCACATCGGACCATCCTCGCCATGAACAACCAAGAACGAAGACAAATGAACCCATTCCTCAATATACTGGGTCCACTGCTACCAATCCTCGCACCCAACAACCGCGACAGGTTCTGGACAAACCACAGCCGCGAACTCGATAGAATCGGGTGGAGTAGAAAGTATCTCTTTTCAGACAGCGAAGACAGCGAAGAAGAAGAAGAAGAAGAAATGTTGGATTCGCTGGTTGAGCAGGAGAGGGATGAGGGTTGTCACAACTTAAGTGGTGGTGGTTATTGGGGTTATGTCGATGGTTCTGAGGATAGCGAAGTCGACGAGTCTGAAAGGGAACACGATCACGAGGATAGTCAATCCCCGAGCCTTTCACAACCCTTGGACAACCCCGAACCCTCATATCGTCAAAGCGAGCAACAAACAGAAGACTACAACCACAACACCAGTCTTGAGTATTACTGGGATGATATCTACTCTTCCGAGTCTGAGTCCACAGATTGGGATTATGATACAGACGATGACGAGGAAGATTACTGGTATGATGTAGAGCAGGCTCTTATACAGTGGGCTGCTGCGTTGTTGTTTGTAGTTGGCGTGTGGTTTGTTATGTGGTTACTATTCTAAGTAGTATGGAAGACGGGTATTGGACTTTCTCTCCCGTGTGCAGAGGGATCATAGTGTGGATATGGAAAATGCAGAGTAAACTTTCTGATAAATGTAGTCCTCGGAGGGAGATTCACCTCTATAGTCTATCTCCATGGCTGAGAGGCGTTTGTAGAATGCAACTGTGTATTTTGACAGCCTATGATACCCTTGTAGCTCGGCATGGAGAAGAGGCTAGTTGCCACATCATGACAGCAGGGAGGTTACTGATCTACTTTATTGTTGTGTCCTTCTTGTGTGCTAAACACTATCACGATGTATCTATAGAAATACACAATACCTCTTTCGGCAGATCAAATTTCCACAGAAAAGGACTCTTTTACAGCCTATCTCTACGACCAGACTTATGTTCGAGTCACAACTATGTATTTTTCTACAGCTTAAAGTGACTTTTCATACGTCAGGATGGAGCAAGGAATCAAATCTAGAATTGTCTCTGTCTTTAGCAAATGGGGAAGGTGGAGATTGTAGTTAGAAGAAAGCAGCAATTCGCAAAGGTATAAGAGCAACTTCCTGTTTGAGATCTGCTATAAACTCCAAAAACTCCTATTGCTATCAACAATTAAGGTTATGTAGAAAGAAAGGCTATAGATAAACCAGAACAAGAAAAATAGAAACGAAAGATTCCAAAGCGACAGAGAGAAAAGATGCCAGAAATCTTCAACGAAATCGAGACCAAGAACCAGAAATATGACTGGCCTTCTCTCTTCCTTCTATCCCTCAAAACCTCCACATTCCCACAACGACAACATCCCATCTAAGCAACTTCAATAAGCGCAGGTCCAAAGACAGTAGCATCAGCCACCTGATCAGCATTAGCCAAAGGCTGTCCCTTTCTAACCACAGCACCAATAGTAAGACCAAAGAGCAGATCAGTCTGCTGCAAAAACTCCGCATCAAAAGTGACTTTCTCGCCCTCCTGCTTGACATTCTTGAGTTCCTGAACAATGGGCACATTCTGACCATTGAACAGCACAAACTCCAAATCATCAGTGGTGCCCTGGTAACTGCTGATATCAAATGACAGACTAATACTCTGATCGCCCAACTCCACAGTGGAGGTTTCCAGAGTGAGGACGTCGAAGATTTCAAGGTCGATGCTGGAAATATCGCAACTGCCCGCAACCACAAAGTTTTGGTTTAGAGCTGAAAAGGCAAAGTCGCGGGCAGATGCCGTGAGGAAAGGTTGCGCTGAAGGGATCTTGTTGAATAGACTGCGGTAGAAGCCATTTTGTTCTCCTTCTTGACCGATGACTGAGGCGACTGCTGCTACGACGCCTTTTTCGCCATCGGCTGCAAACACCATAGAAACATCTTGCAAAGTCCCAAGAACGACATCCGTAAATGTTGCGGCGAGACCAATCGCATCCTCGAATTTCTGGGTTGGGAATTTGTACTCGCAAGTCTGGAGAGGAGTGGGAAGTTTGGTGTTTGCATTGATGGCGTGGAGTTCTTCTTGAGCTTGCACGGCAATCAATGTGTCGATGATGTAGGTGGAGTTGAGATGAGCAGGGATCTCAAAGCCAGGAACACCGGTAGTGATGTTGGTGAGCAGAGAAGTGAAGAAAGCGACTTCAAAGAACTCGTTGAAGGCGATCAATTGGAAGTTTGTGAGAGAATCCACAGGAAANGTGATGTTGCCTGCAGAAGCATTGGAAAGGGTACCGTGGGCTGCGTTGTTGACATCTGCGAGGGCAGAGGGGGAGAGGTTGGGAAAGCCGTTGCTGAGGAGGAGTTTCTTGCTGGAAGCGACCTGGGTCGGGAAGCTCTGGTAGGAGGAGGCAGTAGAGTAAGAAGAAGAGGAGGTCATGGAGCCATAGTGGCCGGAGTTGGAACTGGAAGAGCTGTAGGAGTGAATAGGTTTGGCGTTGCTCAGAGACGCAAGGCCAGAAAGGGCCAGGAGAGCTGTTGCACGGTATGCCATTGCCGGATTGAATCGTCTTCTGTGAACTCGAGTGTGCTATGAGATGACTGGAGATTGATAGATGAGAAGTTGGAAGCTTGACTGTGGATTGTCTGAATTGCTTGTTGATGATATTCCTACCTCTTGCGGCAGATTCATTCTCTTTATACCATTGCAATCTGAGTATACCAGGCACCTACTATCACAACACAGAAACATAGCCACGTACTCAGCTTCTAAGATCTGGTATAACATCAGCTAAGACACTTCTAATCTTCAGCTCTCACAGTCGGTAAGACATGTCTGACAGAATGTCAAGGATGCAAGCTAAGTTAAGCACTGCGAATAATGTTGGAATCAAGCTATGTAAGACGTGCATACGATTGCTTAGTTTCCCAAGGCGCAGCAGAATGATCTGAGTATAGAAGGGATCTGGTTGGATGGTTGGATATCGGTTGATCACCCTAATCTTGTGCTTGTGCTTGTGCTGTACGGATACGAAAGTATGTTGGTGCGCTGACATGGTGGTGGCTGACGATAAGTTACACCCCACTTTCCACTTCAAGCCGGGTAGAGCAAGGCAAATTCACCTTTCCGGAGCTCGTCTGCGCATCGAGTATCAAAGGTCTAGATTTCAAATAATTAGTGTTATCCCCGACAGCAAACAACAAAGTTGTGATGGTTGAATTGCCGGACATTAACCAGACTTTTGGACAAGCTTTCCAGCCTTGTGCGGCAGAGAACGGAAAGACAAACTGTAATCTGCAACGAAGAAAGGGACAGAAACTCTATGGAAAAAACAAAGTTATGCTTTTCTCCTAAGTATGTTACAGATAGCGAGAAGAGCCACAGAAGAGTGGTGGAAGATTTGTGGGTATCTTGGAACAGAAAACGGGCATGAAAGACAAACGCAAAAGGTAAAAAAGCAGCAGGTGGCAGGCAGGTCCAGGCGCACGTGGAAGGGCGGATACGGATATGCGACAGTGAGGTAGAGACCGGGAACAAAGTCCAGATGAGTTTGTCCCAACACTCGTTCAGTGCGAAAAGGCGCCATTCCTTGAGGCGTCATCGGTGGCTCTGGTCTCGGCCTTTTCGCGACTCTTGCTGGCTATATCGAGCTCAGCGAACTTGTCGCGTGCGTTGGCAATGTTTATCCTGGCGGCGTTGTACATGGCCTCACCACTGCCCATGACCACAGCCAAGTTTGTATTCTCACTAAGACGAGTGATCAAGAACATGAATTCGCCAGTCTTGATCTGCAGCTCGGCAAAGTTGGCTGATCCGGCGGGCATGCCCGTGTGTTTGGCGACAGAGTGCTTATGTGATTTGAGGATGGAGGATAAGCGTTCGAAGCGATCGGGATGTGGGTTGCCATCTGCTTCGTAAGGGCGCGAGACGTGCGTGACCATGAGACAGGTTGTGCGTTCGTAGAGGATGAGTTCGTGGGCATCAATGACCTCTGCCAGCTGACGCAGCAGATTCTCGATGGCGCCAGCGTTGGGTACGAGGTAGTAGATGACTTGGGTCCAAGCCTTGTACAAGCTCTGGTCCCAGATACTTGTGCCCCAGAAGTCGACATCCTTGCCTGCATCTTGTTGGTTTCCTCCAAAGCCGTGTTCAATGCTGATGTGTCGGATTGCGTCGCTACGCTCGGCGAAGACGACATCACGCATGTTGGACATGATCAGATCCATCTTGTGGATCAAGACAAAGATCTTGGCTTGTGGTGAGTTCTCGCGCAGAGCTTGGACAATCGAGGCATAGTTGATGAGGTCGGCATTGAACTCGCGCGATTCGACGTCGAAGACAAAGATCAAGACGGCGACGGACGCAAAGACGCTTGAGCGTTGGTTGGTGAGATAGGACTCGGTGAAGCCATCCTGNTCTGCACAAAAGAGCGTCAGTCTTATTCTGCAGGCGCGGACCAATGGATAAGCACCTTACCCTCCACAATCCCAGAGATTGAGCATGAGATTGCCCATGAAGCGTATGTTACTGTGCTCGACATCGATGGTAGCTCCCAGTCGGCGAACATCCTTGGCCACGTAGTTGCTGAAGACGATGGAGCGCATCGACGACTTGCCCGCCCCCGACTTGCCCATCAGCAGCACCTTGCGCTGCTTCTGCCTCCGTGCTGACCCCGAGCTCAACATCTTGACCGCTGTCTCGTCTTTGTTGAAATGATCATATCCAAGTCGCAACGCGCTACCTCGGCCAGGACGTCAGATAAGCCCATGACCGCATCCTGAGCTTGGACCAACGACAGACATCATCAAAAGAGACACCCACACCTGCGAGAGGTAATCTCACTTTAAGCTTTCAGGCCCATCTATCTCGACCAACATCTGCCCACACATGCTACCCGATCGTCAACACAATAGAATCAGGGGTTGGGTCACTGATTTGGCCATGCGAGCCGACAAGTTCTCTATCAAGTACACTGTATATTTCTGTATGCGATTCATTGTTATCTGTGTCAGAACTGAAACCTTCCTTTTTGATTCCATCATTATCTACATGCAGTGTATGAACGCTTTTGGCCTCAAGATTCTCGATTCTTGGACTCTGATTGGTTTCCCTCCTCTTACTTGCTGAGCTTCCTTCTGAGCTCAAGAGGTCGGTAACTAGGTAGGTGGAAAGCAGGCTATGCACAAAGTGCTGCTCTTCGGACACTGGAGTGGGTATGGTGCGTACGACCAGAACAAGACATAGATAAGAAAAACGCGATAGGTGGAGATAGGAACAGAGGAAATCATTAGAAGTGAAGGTAGGGAAAAAGAGGAGAAAGATACAGTGTTCCCGCCGTGAGAATGGAAAATGTGATGATGCTCAACAATCCGATGGAATAAAACAACCAGGCCTGCGGTATGGGGTATCATTAGAAGACGGTGCCGTCCGACACAATCATGATCGGTGGCTCCTTGGTGTTGGGTCTCGAGACCTCTGCAATCTCTCTGCCTGCCTGTTGTACTTGTCAGCCAATGCTCTTGTCGTCTCGTAATCTTTCAAGCTTGCTTACCTTCCAAGTGCCGGCTTCAAGAACCTGCGCCAGACTCAATTTCTTGCTGCCTACTAGTCCGAGCTGAGAGTTGACCTCAAAGCACAGCTCGTCCAAGAAGCCAACTGTCAGCGCTCTCCACTCCACGATCACATCGTCATCCACGCTGAACATGGGAACCACTTCCATATTAGGTTGTCCTTGCTTCATGGCATTGATCTGGTATTGCTCGAGACCGCGCTTGGCGTCTGCAGGCTTGAGAGTGAGAAGTCCAGTGTCGATCAAAAGACCACCGTTGCGATATTCCGGCAGTCCAGTAAGAAGCTCGGTACCGGCAAAGTGTACGTGCATGAGCTTGGTCATTGGCACCATCAGCGAGTAACAAAGCCATTGAGTTAGCTTGTGGAATGGAACAATCTTCTCCCAAGGGGCATTCGTCGCTGAGGGCATCGCATTACAGTGCCAAGCGTCGCCAATCGAAACACCATCGATCGCGGTGCGTGTTGAAGGCCAGATTGGTGCGAGACCGTCCATAAGAGCATTCCAGAGTGTTGGTATCGGAACAACGGGAACTGATGAGGCTTGAGTCGATGGGTGGGAGAGGAGATAATCNTATGAGGCGCATGTTAGTGCTTGCGAGGATACTGAGTTTGACCTCAACTCACCAAGCAAGTAGCCAGGTCTGGCCTCGATGCCAAAAATGTCCTGATTTTGCAGAGCATCTCCAAGCTTGACCAGCAGACTTGCTCTGCCTTCTAGACCAGCAAGAGTGTTGGTTTCTGTGACTTGCAGACCCTTTGCGAGGTACTGTGCATTGATCTTCTTCAAGCCGGCGCTGTCGACCTGGCATGGCTCATTGGGGTTGCTGCTGAATGCACCAGCCTTGAACATCTCCAAACTGGCAACTGCAAGACCCTCACTGCGCCTGTAAACCTTTCCGGATTCCTTGCTCTTGTATGTCCATTTCTGACCTGCACCAGCATCCAGCAAAACTGACACGAGGAACAGGTCGATAAGTCTGCGAGTGCGTTCTTGGTCGTTGACCGACTTTGGCCATGTTGCCATGAGTTGATCGACTCTAGGTCTGCCACCAACTTCGAAATGCTGCCAACGGCCATGTGGGGGGATCGAAGCGTAGTCGGGAGCGTAATCTCTNCTATCGGTGGAGCGTTAGACAAAGGTTCCGCGTATCTTTTTTTCGTATTTTTTAGTTTTCTGCCTGGGCATAGAAAAACTTACGTTAATGATGGAAACGACGAAGCGTGCTGTGTCGGCGAACTTTGTCATGTCGACGTCGAAGTGCTTCGATTTGTTGCGCTTAGCTAGCTCGAAGACATACTTGGACCTCTCGCGCACAGCGTAGATACTGCGCAGGTAGGCAGCGGGGTTGAGAGCCGGATCAGGAGCTCTGGGGAGTGGAACATGTGGCAGAGAGGCATTGGCCGAGGGGTTGCCATTCATGGGCTTGCTGGCTGGTGACTTGTGAATGGAGCCAGCGTCTGAACCAGGACCTTTGTCTGCATCTGCTGCTGACTTCTTGTCCTTACGGCTGAAGAGACCCATTGCGTCGAGTGTCTTTGTGAAATGCTATTGTCAAGGCGGGAGAGGGCAGCTCGCGGCGCGAGTTGGCTCGTCTGGTCGGCTGCTAGAGAGAAAAGAAGAAAGCTGATCGAAGATCGTGAAATGTTTCAGAATTAGAGTCGGGTCAAGCTCAATGTTAGATCTCAGGTTTCACGTCGAGTGCTCGGTATGATGACGGGCACCAGCAGGCGGAAAAAAGAAGACAAGAGAGGATGGGACGTTCGCGATAAAAGCAGAAAGTAGGGATAAAGAGAAATCAGTGGACTGTGGAGCTAGTTGGTAGACTACTGCCCAGTCGCAAGTGCCTCGCCCGCGGGGACTTTCCACTGGTGGCGCCTTTTAGAAAGTAGACTGCGGCGTTCACGTTATTGCTGCCCGTAACAATTTCAACGACCTGGCTCCCGGATCTGCGAGAGCACGAGCGAGCATACTCGCCCGTTCCAGAGCTAGCACATCCGCCAACGCCCTCTTCACAACCACACATCTTGTGTGCCAGCAGACAAAAATGCAAGCTCGGTCATGAGAGTAATCATCTGAGCAGTGATCCTCATCGACACATTTCCACACCCGTTGATCGCTGCCGGCCCGGCTACACTACCATTCGGCAGGGAAGGGGCAGAGCGCAGAGGTTGCTCCTTGCGAGCCAGAATTGGCTTTCGACGAACGGGCCCATGAGTGACTCGGCAGCAGCGGGCCGGATCTCTTCTTAACGCGATCCGGGAAGACCGCTTCGTGCCCTCCCCTGCATGTACCTGATGATCTCTAACCATGCAGGTCACTCGAAGCCATTGGACACTTGACCACAATCAGGCTGAGGTAGCAGGCTAGATCTGCCTTTGACATCTGCAGGGATAAGGTATCACTCTTTATCTGCCACTTGACGATCGCAACAGTTCCTCACCCGTACGAGCTGCTCTAGTCGAAACCAAGCAGAGTAGACTTCTGAGACTGACTCAGTGCCGAGACTAACGACCGAAACCCTTTGCTTCCTCTCTCCACGCTTGCGAGCCGTTGACGCTAACTAAAATGGCACCTGCGCCGAATGGGCAATTGTGAAAGCCTCTCAATATAATTTGATGGATTGAGTGGTGCACTACCGAAGAACGGAAGAACACCTGTACAGAGTGGCGGGCAGGCTGTCGTTACTCGTGCAAACTAGGTGGATGGCGTCTTGAAGATATATTCGTCGTTTCACGGTTTCGGGTGCCGATATAGATTGGATTTACGTGTTGGAGTGGAACTCTTTTGTATTTTGGCGAGGTCAAGTTTAAAAAGAGGCTCGAGCGTGCTTGGAAATCGCATGACATGTGGATGTTCTTCGTCCCCAACCCGCCCAAATCTATTATGCTCTGCTATTCCTTCTTCGCGCTTGTGACCGAGATGAAGCTCGACCAAAGCAGCAAAGGATCGCGATTGTGCAATCAAGTGCAAAGGCAGGATCCGGCAAAGATAAACCAGTCAACTCTACAATCGTTTCCAACGCCTGTCCGCTCGTCCTAGCCTCGAGACGCCGTTTTGCTAGAAGCAAAGGAGGAAATCTCTGACCTTGAATTCATCCTGCTAAGTGTCATGTTAGTCATTATAGCAAAAGACAGCCATTCAAGGCGAGCAGAATCTGCTCCGTACATAGTACTGTACACACACGAAAAGGTCACGTAATTTGACACTCACTACGTCCTCTCGGCGCAATTCAGCTCGTCAACTCATGAGGAAATCGCGGCGCTTTTGCTCCTTCTTGGCACGTCGCTGCTCGTTGAAGGCTTTGACTTGCTTCTTGCTCAACTTTTGGTTGGCGCGCTCAGCTTTGAGAGAGCGACCCTCATGAGCATTGGCAGCGCGATCTACATCAAAGAAGGCATTCAGTTGGCGCTTTGACTTGTTCTCATCATTGTGGTTCTCTGCACTCTTGTCGGCGGCCTGGAAAGCTCCCGTGAAGCGATTGAATGTGCCGGCTTGCTCGTATGCCGCAGTAGGTTGTGCCAGGGCAGCTTCTGAAGCAGCCCATTCTTCTGTCTGATGTTCCTGGTGCCACTTTGCGTAGTCTGCATTCGGATCAAAGTCGCCATGGATCTTGGGATTGTAACCTAGATATGGTTCTCGCGGAGGTGAAGCAGGCGGTGCGGCGGATTCAGAGGTACCGGGAGCGTAGGATGTCGTATCAGTGCCAGGCGCGTACTGCTGGCTTGGAACAGCGGTGGGGACTCGTGGATTTTCCCATTGTGACAGACCAGTGAAGCGATTGAGAAAATACCAACAACCAGAAGAAGGATCAAGCTGGGCAGACCAGCCATCGTCTTCTTCGGCTTGTGCAGGCAGAGGCTCGTCAGGGGAGGGGTGGAGCGTCCTCAGGTAAAGGTTCGTCGGGCAGNNTGGTGGCGCGTCGTCGGTCGCAGGAGCAGTCTCAGTATCTGCCATCTCGCCTTCCTCGGATCCTTCTTGTGACTGCGATCTTTCAGGCTGCGGGATGGATGGTGTAGCGGCAGATGCTTCTTCTGAGGTGTCGTGCTCAGGCGCCGGCGCGAGCGCAGCTGGAGATGCTCGGCCCTGAGGTTCTGCCATGACTAGCGTAAAGAGCTGTGCTATAGAGGCGTTAGTAAGGACAGATGCTGCTTATGCTATGATATGGTGGCGTTTAACCAGCGAAAAGCAGGTGTGTACAACTGAGTGCTGTCGTGATGTGCAATGATGAATGTGGGATGATTGACTCCGGTTTGCCGCGGGAAGTTGCGAGCGACTTCCGCATCTGGGCCTTGTCACTTGATTTCAATGCAAACGGACATCCCTCCCGTCACTTTCGATTTGTGGCCAACAAATTGCTAAGCATTCTATCTGAACTCAAGTACGCTTCTGTCAAAAATGTAGGGCTACTTTACATGAACCAGCAGTCGCACGCCGAAAGTAGATTGCAAAAATCCATGATAAACTGTCGATATCAGCCGGCTATGCAACTGGCATACATGCATATCAAATCCGTTGTTACTTAGGCTAGAAGAGCCCGTCCCGTTCAATTCTTCCATAACTCCTTCCACCACTTCTCTCAAACTTCTAGCTCCCTTCAACCTCATGTCTAAAGCCTTAAACTCGGCGAACTGGAAACGCTGCATCTCAGACATATGATCCGCCTTGTGAGCACCATGTGTCACTCTCTCATCTTCCTCAAGACCTTTTTCCAGAAATGTTCTGGCGCTGGGTTATGTCTCAGCGCTAGGTATACAACATGCCGTGTCCCGATGCAGTTCGAAACGGTATCCTGCCTTTTTTTGAACGGCCAACTGTGACCCTCAACGGCATTGATGTCTTGGCTTTGTTAAGACTTTGCTACTCCATCGACATAAACGTTCAGGCATCCAGCTCTTGTTGAAAGAACGAGAGGCTCCGCCTGTAACTCGGCTTCGATCTGAGAGCCTCTTGCTCGCCAGCGAGAGTTTGCTATCGTTATTCACATGGTTCGAATCGTGCTGCTTGGCTTTGTGGGAAGAACAGTCGTGGAACCTTCCTGTGTCATGGGCTTCGCCGAACCAGATTCGTACTGTTGAATAAATGCCGGCAATGGATAGTATAAGCCAGATACGCCTGAGAGGCTAGCAACTACGTACGCAAGGTCGAACCCCTGTCAAGCCACCACATGGAGTGGCTCTTTGCCGAGAAAGCCACCGAAGAACGCGAAAGGTCGACAGACGTGAAGAGCTGCGGCTGGACCAGACTCCGAGCCGCAAACCAAGTCAGGAGTCAGGACCAGGCCATATCTGGACATCCTCGCCGACAGGATCAAGGACACTTCGAGGTAAGACTTAGAAGATGATCTATAACTCTTTTCTCGTTCTTTGATTACATGATTCTATCATACAGCGAGCATGACGCGTTTACCCTGTCTCTCTTTCTGTTCTTGCATTCTTTCTTTACAACAATCATGTCGACCTGTACCGCCCAATACTCCTTTTTGTTGAAACCGGGCCCTAGAGAAATTACAAAGAAGTAATAAAGTGAGTGTACATTGCAGGGCAAGGTGCTCAAGAAGCGGCCAAACACCTCAAAGGCCAAATTGGAGTCAGCAACGATTGTTCGGGAACAGCAGCCCCTGGCAATCGCGCCCTCCATCCACACAACCATTTCTGGCTGTTTCTAAATGGCTACTCAAGATTCTCAAGATGTCGTATATTCACCTACGCATCTCGAGAAGGCTGAAGGTTCTCAGCTTGAGATAGCCTCGGCGCAGGCATGCACTGCTTGGTGCATCTATGCCTTACGGCTTCTGGTGACGCGGCCGTTGGGAGTGGGAGCGTCACGACCAGTGAAGTGAGCCTCACCACCACTGAAACGTCTTCTAGCCTCGCCAACAGTGGGGACCTTCTCATCCTTCATCTCAACCAGGGCGCTGGTGGCACGGTTGCGGCCCTTCTTTGTGGGCTTCTTGTAGGTTGCGGCGTAGAAGGAGAGGNNGAAGAGGAGGAGGTAGGAGCTGAGAATGGCCATACCAGCGAAAGCGGCGAATTCCTCACCGGCGCAGATACCCATGTTGGGCATGCTGGGGAAGTATCTGAAAGTGAAGTAGGTGTACGAGGCGAAGTAGACAAAGCCAAGGTCGATGACAAACTGGGTGATTTGCATGACAGTGATGTACTTCTTCCACCAGATGCGAATGCCACGTGCGGCCTGGAAGTAGTACCAGTACATGACAACGTGGACAGTCAGGTTCAGGGTGATGGGAACCCATGAGACTGCGGTGTGGCCGAGAAGCTGGGTGAAGCAGAGAAGGGCAGTGGCACCATGGTGGTAAGTGTGGAGGAAAGCTAGGAGGCCAGTTAGCTAGTGTATTGAACGTGAGAATGTCGCGCGCTTACTCAAGGGCTTCTTCTTGAGGAAAAGGAAGCAGGTGTCAATCAGCTCGAGGTACTTGGTGAGGTAGTTGAGCNNTGCCAGCTGTCAGTAAGCGCATTCTGACGAGGAATTGGCAGAACATACGTAGTAAAGAACAACAAGCTTGTCGGTCCAGCCACCCTCGTAGGCGCAGACAGCGTGGAAAATGCCGTTTCTGACAATTTCGGGCAGGAGCTGCTCGACGAACAGAACCAGGAGAAGACCACTGATGAGGGTCAAGTAAAAGTTGTGGACCTTGAAGAAGAAGTTGAGCTTGAAAGGCTCGCGACCACGCATGAACTCTCTGCCACCAAAGATGATGATGTAGTAGGCAATGAGCATGGTGGCCGTCTCCTTGAAGGTAGCCATGGGGGTCTTTCCAGGAACGAAGCGGAAGTCCTGGGGCTTGTAGCCCTTGAGCGAGGTGAAAGCCTTCTCGAAGATGGGCCACAGCTCGAGACCGAAGGGACGGTCAAGAGTGGGCACGCCGTAGCGGATCCATTCGGGGGTAGACATTGTTGTTGTCGGGACTCGGCGGCTCGAGACGCGTTCAGAGGGACTGGTTTACAGAGGCAGATACAGGGCCAGCGGCCAGCAAAGGAGTGACAAACTTGGTAATGACAGGATTACCAGAGCGGAGAGAAGAAGAATTGGGCCTGGAGACGGGGTGGAGGATGGTGGGAGAGAGGAAGCTTACATTATAAAGGAGGTCGGGAAATTATTCTTTCAACACAACTGGGGACCGAGGCAGTCTTGGCAGGGTTGGTCATCTGGGGAGCCTATAAACCTCTTGGTATCTGGTCGCAAGCAATTCCCCTTCTGGAAATGGCTATTGTGATTGGCATGTTTTGTAGGATATCGATAGGTAGCTCTACCGAGATGTTGTGCATCGTTCTGTGCGCAATTTGTGTTATGGCATCGAGCATGCAGGTACCAAGCAAGATGATCAACAAAAGAATCACATTTCCAAAACAGACATGGTTTGATCGTTATTTATGGTTCTTGTACAACACAGCTAGGCTCCGAGCATTCAGAACATTGAGAACATTCAGAGATGCGACCACAAGACTGGTAGAGAGTTGGCAGAGAGAGAATTGGCTGGTTGTGTCTTTCAATGTGAAAGAACGACTTTGATCAAGCAGGGGCGTGAGCAGGGTCAGGGAAGCCTCAGGTGAGTATGGTCCGTGCGCTCAAGGACTCCCAGCGGCCGCGATTTGGTCATGAACGCAGCTTTGGACTGCCAGTTCTGCAACATCGTCGACTCAATCCACCCTCCTCGATCCTCGCATTCATACCAACAATGTCCTTCCTCCGCATTGCCGCTCGCGCTGCCCGCGCTCCCGCACAGCCCCGTATCCAGGTCGCATCGCGCATCCAGCGTCTCAACCAGGCCAGAACTTTCAGCGTCGCCAGCGTCAAGCGTGCCGACGTCGACGCACACGACCCTCACCACGAGGAGAGCTTCGAGGAGTTCACCGCCAGGTGAGTCTATTCAGAATATCCACCCCTGCCACAGAGCCACTTTTCTGCAGTCCAGAGACCACCCGAGACTGGCAATCGCTTCCGGACCTCCGCTGCCACGCACCTCTATACACGGCCCAACCTTTGTCAATCGCTGACGTTGTCTTGAATGCNNAGATACGAGAAGGAATTCGAGGGTGTCCAGGATGTTTTCGAGCTCCAGGTAATCCCATCCAGCTAGTCCTCCTCTGGTCGCAACCATCTAACCGAATTGTGCAACNAGCGTAACCTGAACAACGCCTTTGCCTACGATCTCGTTCCCGCTCCCTCGGTCATCGTTGCCGCTCTCAAGGCCGCCCGCAGAGTCAACGACTTCCCCACTGCCGTCAGAATCTTCGAGGGTGCGTCCAGCCTCAACTCGACAACAAGAACGACATGCTGACATACTGTTCTTATTCAGNGCATCAAGGCCAAGGTCGAGAACCAGAGCCAGTACGACGAGTACCTCACCGAGCTCGAGGGCCTCAGGAAAGAGCTTGGCGTCGAGCTCAGAGAGGCCATGTACCCCGAGTCCTCGTAATTTAATCAAGTCTCAACCTGTCGATAGAGGAGAAATCATCAACGCCATTCCATTGAAAAGGGTCCGAAACTCTAATGAAGACGAGAGCTATAGTGTATCATTCCCCTGGTTTCGACGGCCGTCAGAAAAAAAGCAACAACGAGAGAAGCTCCTTGTTGGATCTTGTGTACTTCACCTGCAGCAAATGTACATTGCGTCAACCTTATGTTTCGTTTCATTCTGATCACGACTGTACCATCATCCAGGCATTACAGCACTGACCATCTCGCTCCTTGTTGATTTAGCACCGATGCCAGCACACCTACAGATATTCGAATATAGAAGTATATATGCTCATGTCATGCCTTGCTAAGGCGTTCTAGATTTTCATATGCCATGCATTTCAAACAAGTCCGACATCTGGTCGATACAGAAATCTGCTAGTACGTCAAATAGAGCAGTATCGGATAACCTGATGCAAGTCGTGCACGCTGGTCAATCGATCAAAGATATACTGCAAGTCTGGGTTATTCTTGCTGCACCATGCCTGCTTCACCATCGTACCCACGATGGTTTCTGTTGTACGACTGAGCGATACCGGGATCTGGTAGCCATCAGCAACACAATGAACGTTCACATGAAAATCAATATTTCATCCTACTGTGATCGCCGAAGCACTGAGAGAAGAACCCTTACAACGCGCAAGTCAACATTCCCGACTTCTGACTCATGTCATTGAGGCAGCAACTATGATTCACGCTGTCCAGCCATCGATTTTACTTGGTCTTGAACGTTTCTCTTCTCAAAATTGCGTCGCCCATCTTCCAACTCATCGTCACATCAACCAAGCAGAATTGTCACCATAGGGATGACCACACATCCAAATCTCATGGACTTGTCGTCCCAAGGTAGAATGCGCATGTACAACGATGCCACGACTTCAGACCTGACCGTTCATTTCTGTGACAGATCCATCTACGCTCACAAAGCCATCCTCTCGGAACGTTCAGAAGTCTTCTACCGTGCCTTTTATGGTCCTTTTGCTGAAACGTCCTCGTACACCATCGCATGCGAGGAGTACGATGTCCAAGCCATCGAGGCCCTACTAAAACACATCTACTCATTTCCATATCGAGAACCCGTTGATGTCGAACTGAATTTGGATTGGTACTTGCAATTATACCTGATTGCAGTCGAGTACTGGGTCGACAGCTTCGAAACCACAGTCGTGCATTTGATAGAGGCGGAAGTGTTTCTCAGCGTACCAGTCATCAACCACGGACGAAAGTTTCGAGAGTGTTGTCGACAAATCGAGGGTTTCTACGACAGCTACGCCCTGCCCATGTCGCTGTTCTACCTGATGGACGGTTATATCAACGCAAGCGACAAGTACAGAATCGACAAACAAGAAATCATCAAGGAAAAGATCGTAAGAGAACAGAGACGGGCTGTTGAATATCGCACTCGTAGCAACAGATCTACCAGTCTGGAGAGTGGGAAGGTTGGAGAAAGGAACGAGGCTGATCGTTTGATGGTGAGGTTTGAAGAGGTGCTGGCGAACTTGGATATGGCGAATAGGAAGGGGCAAATTCACGAGAAGAAGAAGAGATCCAAGAAGAATAGACATGCTCATGCTGGACGTGCCGGGTTCCAGACAGAGCTAGAGGAGGATTATGGTTCTGCATATTGTGCATGGGAACAAGTTGTGGTAGATGCAGTTCAAGACCGGAGTGACTGGTATTGTAGATAGTTTGGGTATATCGTGTTAGCGTCTTATGTACATCTCGAGCCACAGCTCCCGTGTAGCCACGAGAGAGCAATCTTTGGCAGATGCCACCTTAGATCTGCAAAGCCTCTGGATTTCTGCCCATCCACGAGCACACATAATTTGACGCCATTCCATAGCGCCAGTGTATGATGGCAGAGTACGTGAACGGAGTGCTGGTACCGATGACCTGCGACATGCTTCTGTCGTGCAGCATGAGAGGACTGCCTTTTGACAATTGCATCTTGACATGCTTGTCTCAAGCGCAAGAAACCGTTCACTTCTCCAAGCTCGACTCGCCCATCTGGCTCGTCACACCCTCAACGTCAGCCTTGTCTTCCTCGGTAGCTTCTCCCTCTTGTGCTCTTGACTTTTCCTCATCTTCCTTTCCACCGGTAATCAACAATGTTGCGACAACCTCATCCTTCTCTGCGCGCTCCGCCTCGAAGACCGGAAGGTGTCCAGCAGCGTTTTTGACCCAGACGTCTACGCCGCTGTCAATGAGAGCCTTTACGGCTTCAACGTGACCGTTTACAGATGCCCAGTGCAGTGCAGTATTGCCAGCCTCGTTCTTGCGGCTCAAGACTTCGGTTTTCGTCGAGGACTCGAGTTGTGATGAGAGTGTTTTGAGAAGATCNTGGAGTTGTACGTTTAGTAAGACTTTCTTCTTTCTGCCTTTGGCTGCGAGTATATGCGTACCAGCGTAGCCGTTTGCAGCACAGTAGTGGAAGGGTGTGTTGCCATTGTCCTCGTCGACACTGCTCTCGAGCAAAGCAGCAATGCTGCAGTTGTGTTGTTGTGACAGTTGACCGAGATATTGCTGAAGTTCGGCGCTCTCGTTTGTGCGGGTTAGGTAAAGGATGTCGTCGACCTCGTCGTCGCTGAGCTGGACTCTGGCTGCTTTTCCGGATGCCATGTTGTATTGGTTTGTTTCTGAACGGACGTGGGTTGAGCGATTGAGTACAAATGCTTGTGAGAGTGCTAAGAAGATGTTGTCGCAAGAAGTTGCTTGAATGGTATACAATGGAATAACAAGAACGAATACCAAGGTGACCAGCGATGAACTTTTGGAAAGATTTCTCGACATCTGAAAATGCGGGGATTGATATGTGATAGTCGAAACCCATGCATAAGCAAGCCGTTGTGTAAATTTGTGCAAGCAGCGTCATTTTTATGACTCAGGCCCAGCCACTCTGGCAGAGGAAAAGAGAATTCCCCACGGCCAACCACAAGACTGCATTTGGACTTTATATCTCGCTGAAACCCACCACTTTCCATTATCGACAGTAAAGTTCGCTCTTTGCTGGTTGTATTCTTCCAATTCCATCTGGGTATTTGATTTATCGCGCAACCATGTTTCCGCCGTCGGCAGGGTATAACCTCGATATTGAGGCCATCAGCGGCATTATGGGTTCCATCTCAATTGGTAAGTGCTACCGTATATGACGGTTCGTCTCTTCACTGGGATACTCGCTGACTCAATCGTAGNCCTGCTGGGTGGTCGTCTTCTCGCCTCAGATCATCGAAAACTTTAGACGCAGCAGCGCCGAGGGCCTGAGTATAGAGTTTGTGATTATATGGCTTCTTGGAGATTTTGCCAATATCATCGGTGCGGTCATGCAAAGAGTCCTTCCTACGATGGTGAGTTTATGAGTGGTCAATGCCATGGAAGTGTACCAAAAGCTCATGAAATCCTTCAGANTCATCTTGGCCATTTACTACACATTTGCGGATATCGTCTTACTGGCTCAATGCTTCTACTACCGCGGATTCCACTTTAGAGACCCTAAGCCCGTCAAGCCCTCGGATGTGGAAGAGGAGACTCCTAACGAGCACTCTGCTCTTTTGACGGCCAATGGCAACGGCACCAACGATCTTCCTCGCACACGCTCAGCATCGTCTTTCGGCGAGCGCTTTGTGAACGAAGGCGTCCACATGTCACCTGCGAATCCCATGCACCCAACCCCCAAAGTACAAAGACCAAGAACCGCCAAGCGCTCCATCATGCAGAAACTGCTCTTCAACTTGACTTGCATTGTTCTCGTTGTTGCAGCCGGTGTTGCAGGCTACTACCTCAGCCCGTCATCCAACAGCGGCAACGAAACTGAAGAACAGCAAAACGACAGTCTGCACTTCAACATCGTCGGCCAGGTATTCGGTTACTTGTGCGCTGTTCTTTACCTTGGCAGTCGCGTGCCTCAATTGTTGCTCAACTACCGCCGCAAGAGCACTGAAGGCCTCAATGCTCTTTTCTTCCTCTTCGCCTGTATTGGAAACTTGACCTATGTGCTTAGCATCTTTGCCTTCAACCCTATCTGCCATCACGGCAAGCACGGCCAGAAATGCAGACCTGGAGAGGCCAGTGCCATTTACGGCAGATACATCTTGGTCAACCTGAGCTGGCTGCTCGGCAGTCTGGGCACGCTCTTCTTGGACTTTGGCGTCTTTGCCCAATTCTTCATCTACAGAGCTCAAGATGACGATGAGCAAAGTTTTGAAGATGGCATTGAAGAAGAAAATAGAGGAAGATCTGTACAATAGTTGTGTGTTGAGATTTTTTTTGTCTTTGATATGTGGCGATGGTATCTGAAAGAGAAAATGGGCGAATGTGTTTCGCATCTGTAAAATATGTGTATAGAATTAGCACGGACCAATAACAAATGAGCCAAAGTCCTATGGGCAGCATGGTTCGCTTTCTATGTGTGTTGATATTCTGGTCAAAGTGATGTATTCTGCACAAACATTTGTCGATGTGATAACACGCAAGTCGACGCGACATATCGCCTGCCTCTCTTGAGACGAGAAAGACAAAGAAATACTTACCACGTTGTTCACCAAGTCTTGGATTATGTGAATGCAGACAGGCACAAAGATGCAAGAAAATTTTCCTATGGTATATTGTTGAATGCAAAATATATACGTGTCGTGATGTGTATAAGGTTAAAAGAAAAGACATGACTGAGATCTCCTCGATCTCCCAAACAGTATTGTAATCTAGTTCCAACCTCCGAGTTTGGGATCTGATACATGTCGACTGTACACACTGCTTGTGTTGGAAGCAAAACTGACACCTCTGTTGCGAGCAGAGTTGAGTTGCCTAATCGAAGGCGGAGGCGCCAACAGCGACGAAGGCACACGCGATTGACTCGAAGGTGTATATGCTACGGGCAATCTTCTCGGGGCAACTGGGCCGTTGCCTTGTGCTGCATGATTGTATGGCGTTGGTGCCCGTCTCGATTGGTAGAGATTCGTAGGTCGGGTCAGGGGCATATGGACTGGTGGGGATGCTGGAAAGGTATCGAGATCTCTTTCAGGAGAGGGAGGTTTTGTCATTAGAGGGGCACCCATGTGAGAGGTAGGAGTCAGGAATGTTGATGATACCCGTCGTGATGTGTACACGCTTGTCGTCTCTATGGGCGTGACTTCCGCAGCAGAAACTCGCTGTAGTGCAGTAGGTGCTACTTGTGGCAAAGTAGGGGCTCTTTGCGGAACAATGGGAATATGGCGCGTTACAGGAGGGGCTTGTTGAAGCTCGATAGGAATGTATCGCGACACAGAAGAAGTTCGTCGCGGGATGACAGGTGGCTCTCGCTTTGGCACAATAGGAGATTGGCGTGGCACTGAAGGGGTTCGTTGGTGTGAACGCAAACCTGCTGCTGCTTGCTGCTTCGATGTGTCTTCTGACATTGCAGAGACAACTGACTTTGGTAGATGTTTGGGCGAGTACAAATGTGTTCCATGAGGTGAAGGAACATATGCCGTAGGAACCCGCGAAGGCTGGTATGCCCGAGAAGGTGGTATGTATGCCGTTGAAGGCTGGTTCGAGCTGTCCACGCTGTCGTTCGAGGTATGTGAACGTGAAAGACTCGGAGTCTTGGCCAGCAGAGGCGATTTCTCGATCGACTGACGAGGTGACGAGATACCAAGGCCATTAGACTTCTCGCCATTGGCATTCATCGTCATCCGTAGGGGTGATGATATCTTCAGCGGTGACGAGATAATTGGTGATAGCATCGAACGGCATTTGAAAGACATAGTCGAACGCCGGGTGACCATCCGTGGAGTTCTTCTCTCGAGATCTGATGGAGATATGCAGACATTGGCCTGCCTTGATCCAAGCAGTCCTGCTGCAAAGGGATCACGCGAAACATTATACGTGAAACATAAAACGAAGGAAACGATANNCTGTTCGAAGCAAATCAGTCACACGCACAAACGCATGGCACAGGCAATCACTTACAATGCCAGCATGCTGACTACTAAAGCCGCTCTTTGAACATAACAAACTCGGCCCTTTCTCCACAAGTCATTGGTATCGAANTTGGCTGGCCGACATGTCGGCTGTCTTGCAAGAGAGAAGATAATTCCCAGTCCGACCGTCGTGATCCACAACAGCACTGCCGTACATGATACGAAGAGGATTAGGACTTTGCAAACTGTTGCGACCACCTTGGCCCATTTGCTGAAGACGCTCTCCTGGAGCCGTACGATCAGACTGTGTATACAGATAACAAGAAGTGATGTTCCAGCCTATACATTGTGTTAGTATGCCTCGTACCTCCGCGTAGCCATGTTTGATTCACTTACTGCCGCGATGCAGACAACATCAGTCAGATACAAGGATTTGTCAACCTCGTGGAGAGCGAAAAGAGAGATTTGAACTGAGAGAGGAAATATGCTGGACCAGAGTAGAAGTTGAAGAGAGATCGTGATAAGTAAAGTCGTAAAAGAGTGTTGCTTGGGTTTCTGTATTGTTGATGTTTCCATACCGACACTTGCAAAGTATCGAGGTTATTCAGAGGACAGTAAGAAAAGATATCATCCAGGACATGTCATTGTTTTTCAAAAGGTACCACCCTGATCTAGAAAGTGGCGGGCATAGGAAAGGGAGAAGTGAAGGAAACTGCGGCTTGAATTTTCAAGGCAACGCGTCGCGTGCTTGCTTTTTGAAGGAGGGCCTGAAAGCGTCATGTTGTATGATGTCCAAGTTTGGAATGCTAGGTATCAAACTAGTTCTGAGTTTTGGCCAGAAAAAAATCATGTTGACCTTTTTGGTGTCGCATCAGAGTGGACGGACGGATTTAGGCGGATAGAGCCAACGCCGTTGTCAGAGCTGCGTTTCACCACGAGGGCTTGTTAGCCTGAATGTTTCGGTCGTGTGTGGGAGAGCAAAGGACAAGAGTTGTTGGGCAGAGTCTTTGCCTTCGCATTCGTATCCTGATACATGTTGTTACCAAACACTACTTGCCTCAGAACAGGAGTTCCTCAGCTCTTGTTGGTATATGATCTAGCTGATCGCTCATCCGTTTGACACGCGACTATCGCATAGCCCCGTCGCCATCGGAATCTGCTGTGATCGCGTCTCAACATTAGAGATTTGTGGTAACAGAATGCCGAGTAATGCATGTTGCTGCACATCGGAGTTCAGATGAGTTGAGTCCCTCTTCCGAAAACTCGGTTGGGTGGTCGATCGTGGATGCGGCTCTTTGGATGTCCCCGCATGTCCGGGAACGTCACACCGCGTGGAGATCTCGACCCTCAAAGTCAAAGTCGTCTTCCTCGGTCATCGATGACTTGTACCCCTCATTGTATAGTGATATACAAAATGGCAGTCATCACAGATCGAATATTGTTCCATCTGCATCGCCAACACCGGCACCATGCCTCAGCAATCACCTTACCAGATTGATATCCCAGCCACCGACATACTCTCCTATGTCTATCCTGAAGGAAATGAACCCTATGACCAGCCAATATGGATCGATGCGGACGACACTACAAGGTCGTTGTCACCTAAACAGGCCCTGGGGTGGATCAAAAGACTCGGCATGGGACTCGACAATCTCCACATTGGCAAGAACGAAGTGGTCATGATGTTTTCCACAAACCATATCTTCTGTCCCGTCGCTTATCTAGGTGTTGCTGGGTCTGGACGTGTGTTCAGCGGTGCCAACCCAGCCTATACTGTCAAAGAGATTGCCTTTCAGATCACCAATACGGGTTCCAAGCTGATCCTGGTGGATCCGAGTCTACTGGACAACCTTTTGAAGGCTGCGGACCAAGTCCAATTCCCTCGTGACAAGATATACCTATTCCTAGATGAACCATGCAAACCCCAAAAAGGCATCAAAGATTGGAGCTCTTTCCTACCCTCGCGAGAAGCTGCAGAGAACTGGCAATGGCACCGAATGTCAGCCCAAGAATCAGGTGCTAATACAGCTGTGCTGAATTATTCATCAGNNGGTAAGAAGATGTCGTTTTGATTTCGATGAACAGCACATTGGAGCGTTCCTTATCTTAGCGAGGCTCCTGGTGGCTGGATGCTTGTGATTCGGAGATCATGACTTCAAGCTACCACTTGCATCGGCATATTCATGCGGAGGCTGACCCATTTCAGGACTACCGGTCTGCCCAAGGGTGTGAAGGTCGCTCATCAGAACATTATCGCCAACGTCTGCCAATCTCTATACATGAGAGAACTGTCACAATCCTATCCAGCAGATCAGAAGCCACCAGAGAGATTCCTAGGATTCCTGCCATTGTGGGTATTACCGATATTGCAAAATGCTATAGCAATGATGCTGATGCTCGGAGCAGATNACCATGCCTACGGGCAGCTATGGTCAATCACGGCTGCCGCGATCACACGAACACCCTGCTACTACATGCGGGCCTTCAACTTCGAACCTTTCCTATCGCACATCCAACGCCACCGGATCACACACATCCAAACAGCACCTCCGGTTCTTGTCATGTTGGCCAAGAGACCAGAGACCAAGAAGTATGATCTATCATCTCTAGTCAACATTCTTTGTGGTGCCGCACCACTCAGCAAGGAATTGCAGAACGAAGTCAGCACCAAGTTCAATCTCAAAGTCGTACAAACTTGGGGTATGACAGAGGTGACATGTTCCTGCTTGCACGTTCCCGGCGGCATGGATGACAGAAGTGGAAGTGTCGGACAAGTCGATCCCAACTCGACAATCAAACTCATCGACGAAAGTGGAAACGAAGTCACCAAACCAGGTCAACGTGGAGAAATCTTCGTGCGAGGTCCCAACGTAAGCACAGAAGAATACAACATTTCAATGAGTTTCACTAACTTTACCTTGACAGNNATCACCCATCTTGGCTATTGGAAANACGAAAGCGCCACAAAAGCATCCTTCGACAGCGAAGGCTTCCTAAAAACCGGCGACGTTGCCATCTACGACGAAAAAGGCTGGTTCTGGATCGTCGACCGCGCCAAAGAAATCTTCAAGGTCAATGGCTTCCAAGTTGCTCCTGCCGAACNNTTGGAAGCAGTATTGCTAGAAAATGATGATATTGCTGATGCTGCAGTTTGCGCTTTGAACAAAGATCATGAAGATCGGCCCAGAGCATATGTGGTATTGAAGGAGACGGCCAAAGGCAAGATCAATGAAAAGGATGTGGTTGAGTGGATTACGACAAAAGTTGCTAAGCATAAGAGACTTACTGGAGGCGTCAAGTTCATTGATGAAGTCCCCAAAAGTCCTAGTGGCAAGATCCAGAGAGTTGTGCTGCGCGAGTGGGCAAAGAGAGACGCAGACCAAGGTACAGAAATCAAGGCTAGATTGTAGACACTATCAAGACAAATGAGTACAAACTGTTCACGTCTTAAGCCCCAACATAACCTCATCTAAGCATTAACCTCATCCAAATATCCACAAGACCAAATATCCACAAGACCAAATATCCACAAAACCAAACACCCTCAAAGCAACTAAGCACCCCTTCATCACCTCCTCGCAACCATCCACCTAGGCCACAAACTCCCTCTCCTCCAAGTCCCCTGCCTCACCCTCCCATCCTCCTCAACCACAATCTCCCAACCCCCCGATCTCATCGTCCTTCCCCACCATTTGAGCAACCACAGCACAAGCGACACCAACACCAAAACTCCAATAGTGCAAAACACAGTAATGATGATGCTGAGTAAGGTATAGGTACTGCATTTACATCCCAGTGCTGCAGTACGCAATTCGTAGCGTTCAGAGGCTAGTGGACAAATTGGGTGGTTGATTGGGGAAAGCAGGTTTCCGGTTGTGGGGACGCAGGTGGAACTNCTGTGAGTTTGTGTTAGGATTGGATCATGGGATTTTGAGAAATGGAAGAGATAGAGGGAGGGACAATTGAGAAATAAGATGTAAGATTCGAATAGGAAGTGACTTACACTCGGGCACCATCCACAGCCATACTTGCTTTTGAGACAGCTGCCACAGTCTTGGTTGCGCCAACAGCCTTTTCTTCTATCTGCTATATCCATGACATCTTCGACAATGTTCTGCTGATTCTCCATTTTGAAAATGATTTTATGAGGAGAGAAGACGATAAAAAACAATGCTGGTTGTGATTGGAGAGATGAAGTGGTGTGATGGTTGCGGTTCCAAGCTATATCAATGACATCAGTGCTTGGTCACCGGAGACAGCTCCGTGTGAGTGAGGAGCACCACATGTGGTATAAGTGGTAAAAGAATTATTGATTCGTTATGATGGACTTTTCTTGGATATCACGACTTAAAGAGAACCGAAATCTCTTCTCTTTTCCTCGCTCGTCGATGTCCGCTCCACTTTTCTCCTCGATGTCTGTTGCTGCTCTCTTCGTTTGGTGGCTCTCCTTTCTCTTCAGCCTCCTGCTTCCAACGTCTCCACAATGCCATCCCAGTTGAATTCAAAGATAATGGATCAGCAAGAGGATGAAATGTCAAGTTCCTTGTTAAAGAAGATCAGCGCCATATCGGTTCTTGTATGTTGCAGAAGCTGATATCTGTGTCGACTGTGATCAAGAGAGCACAGTCTCCTCAATTATAGGCTGGTCTTCAACTTTATCGACGATGCCAACCATGTCGTTGTTCACACAACCATCGCTAACAATTCTTTGCACCTTCTGTGCCTCTGCTACAGATACGTAGCAAGCTAAATCTTTGAGTCTTTCGCAAAGGTCTTCGCCCCTGATTTCGGTTGACTTGCTTCCGTCACGGAACGTGAAGTAGAACCGTCTGTGTCCCTTGATCAGGTAACGGCCATAACCAGGAAGTTGCATGGACGCTTTCCTGGAGTCGCCAGCATAATGCGAGATCCTGAAGGAGTAGGCAAGACAGCTTAGTCTACAGTGCTGAAGACCAGGCAGGGTGGAGATGCTCTGAATGTGTTTACTCCAAAGGTTTTCATTGAAGTGTTCAGCCCAGACATACGTCACGGAGAGCTCGAGAGAACTTAGGTGAGGCGTGAAGAAGGGTCGAAGACGGGAAGGTTGATAGTCAACGACCTCGGCGATTCTGAGTCGAGTGATGGTCCTAGTCTGCAGCCACATGAAAGATGCATGCAAAGGAAGGTCATGGTCCTCGATTGGGAATCCAAAATCAACGTTTTGGAGATTCAAGCATTGTGACTCGCTGTCGTACGATAGCTGGAATGAGTGCCCACCCCCTATTCCCAGGCTGAGAGTTGTAGGAGTCGATTCCAGGACTTTGTACAAAACTTTGTCGAGTTCTGCATGCGCATCGTCGTCGTAATGGGTAATAAGATCAATATTGAGGTACTTGACAGGGCACCCTACGCGTCGAGCTGCATATACAGTCTGCTCGAGAGTCTCCACTGGTCGGTAGGCAACGTAAGTTGGAGGATTCTCAAANAGCTGAGCCCATCCATAACAACTCATCGGCACTGATGATGCCTTCAGTTCCCCGAAGCCGTCTTCATCGAGATCAATCCTGCCTGGATTGTCGTAGATTCCAATGTGCACGGAGTTTGAATGAGATTTGATGCTACAGAAGACACGCTCCATACGGCGTGCGAAGCGCTTGGTCTTCACGTAAGCGTTGAAGAAGAGTTCATGGTGCTCTTGTTCGTTGATACGAAAGTATCGGGGGATCTTGGTACGTCTGGCGCTGTAGATACCAATGGTCTTTACGTATCTGCCAAACACAGGATGTTCTGTGATGTCCACAAGTGCGTTGATGCTGTAAGGAGAGACAACATGGTTTCTCTCGGTGAAGTTGACCTTGGCGAAATGGGGAGTTGCAGCATCACAGAGTTTNTTGCAGACGAGACGGGCAGTGGAAAGGTCTTTGTTGGGAACATGCTCGAAGATCTCAACGAGGACTTCGGCTGGTAAATTAACCAGTTCGAGAGACTGGTTACGGACTGAAGCCGCCTGATTTGTGTAAGCGCCAGACCTCAAAACGGGTTGTGGGATTAACTTACCATGCTTGATGTTCTTGTTTTGTTGTTGGATCAGTCCAGGCAAGAGGGTTGGATAATGAGATGACGCTTGAAGGTCGTATGCAATGCGCGCCGCCAGCAAGAGTGCGGTTGTGAAGTGATTGTTGATGTTGTCTTGTTTGTGCGAGTAGAAGCTGGTGACGCGCGGATGGTTGTGTTGTGAGTGTGGGTACAAAGCGGGCTCGCCTTGTGTGATGATGAGCGTGAGACTGAAGGCAAGAGTGGGAACGAGGGTCAAAGTGAGAAGAAGGGGAATGTGGGTGGAAGTGAGGATGGGAGTGAGAGTGACAGTTCTGAGACGTCGATGTTTACTTTTCGAAAACAGTGACGAATCGACACAAATGGCAAGGCAGGTGTCGAAAAGGAAACTCCACACAAACAGCTCCCGAAATGCTCAAGCACTTACTGTGTATTGCAGCAGCCATCAGCAGCAAGTGTGCAGTAATGGCTGTCAATGTCTCATTCTAGACGTGCACTTTCTGAACCTTTCTGAACCTACCATTGATCAATGCAAAGTAGCTTCCTTGATTCTTCTTTCTGCTACTTTCTGTTTCGTTCAACGTGCTCTGCATCTTCCCGTATCTGTCTTCCCTCTCTCTCGACTTTGTTCAGGCCTACCCGATGAGTAAGTCTGGTCGATAGATAACTATCTTGCCATCCTGCCTCGTGTGCGAATCTCGCTGTGGTCCTCTTGTCCATCATATCCTCTCTCCTTGTGGTTCTACGGCGCATTGGCTGAGGTCAGGTACCACTGCTCTATGCCTCACGAGAAGAAAACAACCTCAATCCACTGCACAATTCTTTCTTTCCCTTTTTCCTCTTAGGTCTACTTTTCTTTGCCGTTTCAGCTGGTGACTAAGGCCAATGAAGAATATTCGGGATCCTCTTGCTCAAGAATCGGCACGCCAGCCCCTACAACCCTGGAGTCGATGACCTGACGGGCCGCTTCAGTCTCTCGAACCTTCTCCTTCTCTGCAGCAGCTGTGTAGGCGGCCAAATCTTTCAATTGTTGCGAGATATCGGCACCCTGGATTTCAAACTCGAACTTGCCATCAGGAAAGACAAGAAGCAAAGTTTCCCGTTCGGATGGATATCTTCCAGATCGGGTTTGCATCATATGAGGGCTCCAGGAGGTGTCTTGTTGCAAAAGATAGTGGAGTCTGTGGAGCTTGCAGTGCCTCAAATCTGGGATTCTTGAGAGACGCTCAAACATATTGCTGTAGAGATCCTCTGCAAAGTAAGCTGAGCTCAAGTTTATGTCTGCAAGTGTGACAGTCCGGAGAGATTGTATAAAATACATATTGAGGAATGAGAGACGACCATTGTCGAGTTCTCGGAGGTAGAGCTCCCAAACGGACCTGTCTGTAAGTTGTTGGACGATGTCATCGAGGAGCAGAACATCAGCACGATAGTCAAAGCGGTCCAAGAGCAAGGACGATGCCGAGAAGCGTAGAGAACTCTGCAGGTGCTTGTATTTCAGCACGCCGTGGTATTTCCATCGAATTTTGAGGTCAATGGATGAGTTGCGTGATTCGAGAAGTTTTTTTATCGTCCTTTGTGTTTTACCGCGCACGTTATAGCAAGAATCCCGAGCAAGTTCGATTTCAAGTCTGTTGATGTTGATTGCAGCCGCGCGCATCTCTGCAAAAAGGAGCTCGAGTGTTTCGGACGTTTCAAAAACAGTTCCGAGTTCGGCAGCTTTACAGAAGGCTCTTTCACCATGGAATATTTGTTGTTTCGGTGCCACGGAGTATTGATCACGACGACTGTGTCTCAGACAACAGTCCTCTTTNACACCGATGGCAATCGAATCAGAGTGCTGCTTGAAGTTGGACAAGACTTGTTGCATCAGGTCGCTGAACCTGCCAGATTTGATAAAGGAGTTGTCTACCACAATGCCGTCGTCCTCGATGTTACTGAAGTCCAGGGGCTCGAGGACAGCACTAATAGCACGGACAGGACTGAGTATGATGCTTTTGATATGTGCGCCAAATGTTTCATGCGCACTGATTGCGAGGAGTGTCTTCATGCTCTCTTCAGTGACGACATGGCGCATGTTGCCGAAGTTGCGGATAGCGAATGGTCTGCTGGCAATGGTGGAGATGTACCTGCTAACGCAGCGCAGATGGATCAGATCCGAATTGTCGACGAGCCGGAAAATCCTATCTAGCATCTCGACCGGAAGGGTCGAAAGTGTCGCTCTTGTAGGACTTGAACTTGTCATGACGTTTGTATCGGCGAGAAGAGCTGGATCGGTCATCTGTTGAAGTGGTCAACATTGGCAAGCGAAGAAACCACATCGGAATACTGTGCGCGGAGAGCAGAGGCGGGTGGGATTACAGTTGGCGACTTGACTTACATGTGCGAGAGATTGTGCGCCTGGATAAGATGCGTGCTTGAACAAGACAATAGTGAATATGTGAAGAACTGAGGTAGAATCGCTGGTTCGATAAGATAACGTGCAGCTGAAAGCGCAGGTATTGAAGTCAGCCTGTTCCGGTGATCGAGAGGTGGGCTGTGTTGATGGGCGTATAGCGTTTGATAACTTGATCAGGTTGTGTTTGTTGATGGAAGGAAGAAGATGCTGTATTGAGAAGCAAGCAAAGTGACCCGGCGCTTGTGACCAAAGCGGCAATTACCACTGGCGAAAGCAAACCGCTTATTCAGTTGGTTATTAGGTCTTTGTAGGCATACATCCCGGAAAGTGAATTGGCGCAGCTTTGTGGCCCTCGTTTATCGAGGACTCGGTGAGCAGAGCTCGTAAAGCGTGAATTCTACTTACTACACAAGTATGATACTATGAAGGTTCTTTCCAGCATCCACCCTCGTGCAATCCTGTCCCAACCAGAAGAATCAGCTGACTTCATCACTGCTTCGTTCCGGAAGGTCAGCTCTAGGTATCCTCTATGCAAAGCCGCTTGCTTCTCCGGTTTGGGACGCTCGAGCAAGTGAAGCAGATAGCTGCGTCTATGTTTCCAGCTGCCAGCGGTGGCAGGTAATAATGGGTACATGTCGTGGACGCCGGAAGCCGAGAGTGTCAGTAGGCTCGATCGACTCGAAAATGTTAAACGTCACTGTGACCTTCAAACTCGTGAGTAGTGACAGATTTGGTATTGACTAGATGCATGTCTGGTCAGCCTTGACTCGATGAAGGATAAATCTGCGAACAACACTAACCTTGTTGGCTACATGGCCCATTTCCTCCGACTTTATGCTCCGAATGGCAATCTCTTCAACTCCGAATGGCTGCGAAAGCCCAGAACCACGCGTGAAACGGGACGTAATGCATTAAATGGTTGCTCAAGTGAGAAGATCGGCGACTACGATACGTTAGCGATATATCACTTATCATTTCAAGGTCTGCTAGCTTACCGTTCATGGGCATCTCATCAATCTGGGTCGAGTAGTAAAGCTCGATATCGCGAAGAATTCTCACGTCCTCGCTGGTAACAAAGTTGATGGCAACACCCTTGCGACCAAATCTTCCGCTACGACCGATTCTGTGGATGTAGTTCTCACGGTTGCTGGGCAAGTCGTAGTTGATGACAAGCGAGACTTGCTGCACGTCGATACCACGAGCCCAGACATCGGTAGAGATGAGGACTCTTGAGTTGCCCTGTCTGAAGTCTTGCATAATGCTGTCACGTTCCTTTTGGGGCATCTCGCCGTGCATTGACGAAACGGTGAAGTTGGCCTCACGCATCTTGTCGGTAAGCCAGTCGACCTTGCGGCGAGTGTTGCAGAAGATGACTGCTTGTGTGATGGTAAGAGTGTCATAGAGATCGCAGAGAGTGTCGAACTTCCATTCTTCCTTCTCGACAGCAATGAAGTATTGCTTAAGACCTTCGAGAGTCAACTCATCACGCTTGACCAGAATGCGGACGGGGTCGGTCATGAACTTGGTGGTCATGTCGAGCACATCGTAAGGGAGAGTGGCCGATACGACAACGACCTGAGTGGCAGGAGGGAGATAGCGGTAGACGTCGTAGATTTGCTCGCGGAAACCACGGTTGAGCAGCTCATCGGCTTCATCCAGAACGAGCATCTTGATGTTGCGTGTGCGCAGGTTGCGGCGACGGATCATATCGGCGACACGTCCGGGAGTACCAGAGACGACGTGTTGACCGTGGTCGAGCTTGCGGATATCTTCGCCAACGTTGGTTCCGCCAATGCAGGCGTGGCATTGAACGTTCATGTAGTCGCCGAGAGCCATGACGACGGACTGAATCTGGGTTGCCAATTCGCGGGTGGGAGACAGGACGAGAGCTNNGGGAACGTCAGTACTTGATCGCGCAAGTCGCACAGATATATTCGAGATACCTTGAGTCTCGCGAACAGCGGTATCGATGACCTGGAGAATGGAGATGGAGAAGGTGGCAGTTTTACCAGTACCGGACTGGGCTTGGGCGATGGTGTCGCGACCTTTGCAGATCTGAACGATGGCGCGCGACTGGACGGCAGAGGGAGACTCATATCCGTATGCGTAGATTCCACGGAGCAGGTTCTCCTTCAAGTGCATGGCCTCAAAGGTGGGCGCGACACGGACTTCCTTGGATGTCGAAAACTCCATGCGCTCCTCCATCTTGCGGTCGATTCCTCCTTCCGCCATGGTGGAGAGTGTGTCTGGTCGGCTTACGGGGGTAATTCAAATGGCAGGCGCGATGAATGAGGAGATTCGGAAAGCACAAGTCGTAATGGCAAAAGTGGCAGTGACAATCAAGAGTGAGAGGAATAAAGCTCGAATGGCAAGAACGACGGAGCATGCACAGACCTCCTCCATCGCTCGCCGCGCGCATTCAAAGTATACCAGCCACCATCTTTCTTCTATTTCCATTTACACACATCCACCGCCATGCTGTTAGAAGATTTGCGCAATACAAGGGAAGACCTCGAGCGTCTTGAGCAGGCTATAGCCGAGCGCTCACTCGAAGACCCTAAACATGTAAGCTTCCATCCTTTGCAACCTAGCAATTTCTATATGCTGCGCTTCTTCTCCCTCTTCCTCCTTTTCTTTCGGCTACCATGTGAGAGCTCTTGATGAAGAGGAACAGAACGCGCCGAAGTAGTTGTCTCATGCACAGAGTGCTAACGAAGCCTCAGANTTCGAGACCGCCTATCAAGAGACCATCAAATCGCTGCATTCCTCGATCGCATAAAGTCGCAATCAAACCGCGCAGTCGACTTGTACAAAGACAATGATGGCAGCCGTCTACGCGAAATCCAGTCAATCTCTACTGGCGACACCTTCGACGAGTTCTACAAGCAACTGAACAACATCAAAGACTTTCACAAGCGCTACCCGAACGAGCCTGTCGAGAACTTGGAGCGTGCCTACAAGCGCAGAGCTGTCGGCGAAGATGCTCCCTTCCCTTCGGAGATCGACACCATGTTCACTGGAGAGGAAGCTTTTGGTCGTTATTTTGACATGAACGCGCTGCATGAAGACTACATCAATTTGCCCGGCTCAAAGAGACGCATCACATACCTACAATATCTGGACACATTCGACGAATTTGAGGGCATGCCTAGGCCGGACAAGCTGAAGGATCAGTACTTCCAGTACCTAGGTAATCTGGCTACATACCTTGAGAGCTTCATGCGTCGAATCAAGCCTTTGGAGGATTTGGACAGATTATTCATCAGTTTCGACGAGGACTTCTTAAAAGCATGGGAGAAGGACGAGATTGCAGGCTGGCAACTCAACACAAAACCAACAACAGACGGACCCGCAACAGAAGGCACAGGCGAAGGCATTTGGTGCCCAGATTGCGAAAAGGAATTCAAGAACGACAATGTCTACAAAGCTCACTTGACAGGAAAGAAGCACATCAAAAACGCAGAAGCAAGAAAACAACGCTCCGCAGACGGCGGAGTAACATCCACAAACGGCAGCAGCAATGCAGCAACCTCAGTTCACCGTCTAAAAGAGAAGGCCGTGGCTGAGCGCGAACACCGTATTCGCAAACTTGCTGCCGCAATGCAAACCGAACGCTCCGACACACGAGCCAACGTCGAACGCAAGCAAGGTATGACCGACAAGGAACGTCAACAAGAACTCGCCGCCCTCTACGCCGAGACTATGGACCTCCAATCCGCCGACCCAGCCGCCAATGACGCCGAAGATCAAGACGAAGAAGGCAAAGTCTACAACCCGTTAAAACTGCCCTTGGGTTGGGATGACAAGCCCATTCCCTTCTGGCTGTACAAGCTCCACGGTCTGGGTGTCGAGTTCCCCTGCGAAATCTGCGGCAACTACGTGTACATGGGTAGAAGAGCATTCGACAAGCACTTTGGCGAGGCCCGCCATCTGTACGGCTTGAAGCGACTAGGCATCACCAACTCGAGTATGTTCAGAGATGTCACAGGGATCGAAGAAGCAACAGAGCTGTGGAGGAAATTGCAACTTGATAAGAAGCAAGAGTCTACGGCTAGCGATCAGGTTGTGCAGATGGAGGATGGCGAGGGCAATGTCATGCCCGAAAAGGTGTACTATGATTTGCAGAAGCAGGGATTGCTATAGAGCGGCCTCTGGCTTTGGCTTGAAGAGTTGGAGAATGAGGTGAGGATATGGTAGATACAATGTTATGATCTCCCTTCGTCTCACTATGGGTGTGCTTCTTTCGATGTGGCATCGTGCAGGTGATCACACAACTTGCGGATATGATGTGTTCGAGGTTCGAGAGACTGTTGTTCGACTCATTGACCTTTGTTGGATGTTACTAACCAACGTTTCTTTACACCGAGCAATAGTTCTTCGAACACCCGAGCAAAAGTGATCAGTAGATACGTACGGTATTCTTTTCAGATTCCCAAGATATATCCTTCTCTATCAGAGTGGACCCAACATGTTCAAGACCAGATCATCCAGCAATCAATTTACATCTTTGACTCGGCAGCCAANAAGCCCTTCTCAACCACCGCACTGATAAGCTGATTGGCAATAGCAGTCTGCGGCGGCAACCTCAAATCACCTTCCTTGTACTCTGGCTTTGGTCCCTCGTCCAGCCCACTAGTCCCCACTCTCAGTGCCGTCCTCACCTCCTCAAACGTAAACCACTTGGCATCCTCCAACTCTGGATCGTTGCCGAGATCAATAGTCTCGCCTTCGGGAACACTCTGCCCAATAGCACCGATCATCAGATTGGCAGGATAAGGCCAAGGTTGCGTGGAATGAATGATCACACGGCCTAAATGGATACCAGCCTCTTCCCAGACTTCGCGGCGGGTGGCTTCTTCAATCGACTCTGCGGGTTCGCAAAACCCTGCCAGTGTAGAGTACCAGTACTTTGGGAAGCGTTTGCTGCGTCCTAGGAGAAGTTTGTCGCCGGCATGGTTTACGACGGCGACGATGATGGTAGGGTCGGTGCGGGGGAAACTTAGATTGGAGACGCCTTTGCGGGTTGCGCAGGCCGGGCGGTCGATATTGGAGGCGGCAGTGTTGGAGGTGGAGATTGCGGTGGAGGAGAGGGAGGCTGCGTCTGTGGGTGGGCAGGTGCGTTTGAAGCCGCCGTTGACGGAGAGGGTAGGGTGGCCGCATTGAGCGCAGAAAGGGTTGCGCATGTTCCAGTCGAGCAGTTGGCGGGCTTCGGCGTAGATTGCTGCGTCGCCTGCTACGAGGTCCATAGCACGACCTTGTTGGAAAGTAAGGCCTTTGTCTTCGCAGGCCTTGATTAGGTCATTGCATTGCTGTGTCAGAGGATCTTTAGGGGTGACATCGATGGCAAAGTAAGGAGCACCCTTGTGGACGGTATTCTTTGCTTCGTAGCTGAAAGAGTTGTCCTTGACCGACTCGTCCAGACCGAGGAAGATCATCTGCGGAATGAACTTCTTGGAGTTGAATGTCTCGATCATCTTGTCCTCGGGAGTGGCATAGGGGTCTTCGCCAATGATGGGCTGGACATCTTTGTATTGGATGTAGGCGAGGTTGGCCTTGTCCTTTGTCAATGGCTGCAGGTTGTTGCAAGGAAGGAACTTTGTAGACGGGTGCTTGAGAGCTCCAGACAGAAAGACATTGTCGCTACGGAGGAAGCCAAAGCGGTTCAATGGTGAGCCAGCAAAGTAATTGGCAACTTCCCTGCCAAACTTCCTCGTCAGCATTGAATCGAGCTCTGGGTGTGCGGGTTGAGGGAGAGCAGGTGTAGGCATCTTATTACTTGAGCTTCAACGAGACGAAAGAAAGGATAGCAACAAGAAGTTGTTTAGCTCTTCTGTCTTTTGATCTGGAAGGTCGACATGTCGTCACTTCGGCCTCGGCTATTGGTAATCCATATCGCGGAGATAGCAGAAGTCTATCTAATCTTATCCATCTGTATATACCGACACCTTTCGTGACTACCAGCTCGTCGTTTGCGACAATCGCATTGCACCTTGCTATCGTACATTTGACCTGACAACGCAACCATGAGTGCCTTCTATGTATACCTCTCTACTCTAGCCTGACCAAAACCAAGCCGCTGATCACAACAACCACAGCTCCCCTCGTCAACAGCAACAACAGCAACACCCTCCCCCCTCACCTCCCCACCATCTCCCCTCTCCAACCCCCTAGAAACCCGCCAATCCACCTACAAAACCTACCCCGACTCCGACTCTGACTCCGACGACAACACACCATTGCCTTTTCCACAAGCCCTCCCACGTTCCGATTTCCTCACTCCAGACTTTACGCCAGAAGCCTACCTCTCCACCCTCCACAACAGACACCAAACCCTCGAGGACCTACGCAGCGATCTACGCCAACGCTCCCACTCCATATCCACAGAACTCCTCGATCTCGTCAATGCAAACTACGAAGAATTTCTTTCCTTGGGGCTAAGACTAAAAGGCGGAGAGGAAAAGATCGAACAAGTAAGAGTGGGTGTGCTAGGTTTTGGAAGAGAAGTAAGCGGTGTACGCGATCTCGTTGCCTCTCGAACTCAAGAAGTGGGTGGTTTGCTGGAGGAGAAGAAGAGGATTAGGAAAGATGTCATGGTGGGCAGACGACTGTTGGAAATTGAAGAAAGACTTCAAGATCTGGAAACTAGGTTGATGGTCGAACCTACCAGTTCACTGTCGGCAAACAATCCTTCTGCAAACGATATAGACTCGGATGATGAAGACGACGAAGACGAAGAAGGAGATACAGCTACTGCGACCACGCTCTTGAGATTGAGGAAACATGCACAAGCATATCTGTTGCTTACACACCTTACGCAAAAAGTTTCAGATCATCCTTTTGTCGTAGCACAACAATCTCGAGTCATGCGTCTGAGGAACACACTATTACTGGATCTGAAGACGGCACTCAAACAGGCTCAAGCGGCTAGTGTGGGAGGAAAACAATTACTCGACTTCTTGGTCATATACAGGGAGCTGGGAGAGACAGAGGAAGGTGTCGGAGCATTGAAGGGAGTTTGAACAGCATGAGATGAAAGAAACCAAGCACCAAACCACGACAGGGGCCGAGACCTTGCAGAAGCATAATAGAGGAGTTTCAAAAGCAGAACAGGACGATAATGTATGCATTTGGCCTTGCAACAGAGACATTCCACACACAGATGGCCACTGAACCTAATCACCGAGGCTATTACGAGGAAAATATCACATGTTATGGAAAAGCGAGCACCAACATATATGAGCTGCAGGTAGCATTCTCAAACTTTCAGATGTGCGACAAGTCTGAGAATCATCTTGTTGTCGCCAAGGTGTGGCTCAAGAGCAACTCGATTATCATATAGCTAAGCTCAACGATGTAGAGCGTTCATTCATGCAATGCTGTTGAAGGGTGTAACGAGAGAGGGTAGAATAGACAATTCCGATTGAAGATGAGCTCTTTTCCCTAGACAGGTTTAAAGAACGTGGAAGTCCTTTGCTCTGTTCCTGCATACGAGCATTTTTTGGATTTCGTCTGCCTTTTGTTCTTTACTGATGTTTGTGGGTGCTTTGTGGTTGCATTCTTGATTTTCCTGCTCTCTTTTCTTCCGTCTATTCATCCTTCTCTGATTGGTCCATTTGACTTTCAGTGTTGAGTCGAACCTCCTTCCGGCCTTGCTCGATGGTTTGAAGGGCTGCATCAGGCGTTGACGTTGTTCAATGCGTCGAGTTTCTTCTTTGCAATGGCCCGCTGGTTCTCGAGCTGATCACGTCTCTCTTTGAGTTGAATTTCGTTCTCAAAAATCTGGCGGCCTTGCTCCTTTGTCTGCTGTTCCTCTGCAAGCAGTGCATTGTGCCTTTGCCGATACCCGCTCTCTACCGAACCAAGTCTCTCAATTTCTTGACGGTGTATCTCAATCCGCTGACGGCACTTTTCACTCTCCTGAAGCAACCTTTCACTTTCCCATTTGAGTCTCTCGCTTTCGTTGCACAACCTCACTCTTTCTCCCTCGTGCCAATCAATGGCATCGAAAGTTTTCTTTTCGTCGGCATAAGTCGTGTTGATCATGTTACGGCAATCTTGGACCTTTGAGCTGACTTGCTCAAGCTGCTTCTCCACCTCGGGTATCTTCTCATCGAGCTCTACTTTCTCGGTGTCCAGATCTTTGATCTCTGCTAAGAGCTTTTTCTTTTCCGCCATGTTGGCGAGCTTCTGCTGGCGTTCTTCGATTTCCTTCTGCAGCTGTCTTGTTTCCTCATCGAGATCGTCAGGCTCGGGCGTCTTTTCAGCTCCCGCCATAGGGGCTGGTTCTTCATGCGTTACGGGCGAAGAATCACAGGCGTCGTCAGAAAAATCGCCTTTGGACCAAGCATCAGATTTAACCAGATTGGTTTCACTGAAGGCGTTTGCGAAGCTGGCTGCGTTTGCGAAGCTGGCTGTGTCAGCTTCAAAAGCAGTCTTCTCAAACTCATCTGTATCTGAAGCAATATCAATGACTTCAATCTCTTCTGGTGATGGCTTTGTGACCTTCGTTTTGGCACTTATGATTTTGGATTCCATACGCTTTATAGTTTTCTTGCCATAGTCGTGTGCTGATTCGCCTTTTGGTCCAGTCGGACAATGCTGCATCCGTTCCCAGAAGCTGCGAAAGAGCCTTCGCGCCGCGGTCGATGTGGAACCACTCTCGCCAGTAATCAAATGCGTATCCGTGGTCATGATCTTGAAGTCGGTACACAAATCAGCGACCGATGAGTATCTACCAGCTTCCAGAACGATTTTGATGGTGGAAATCCGCAAAGGCTTCTTGCTTGTTCTGGACTCGGATTCCACATCCCAAAAGATGTTGAGCTCCGCGACCGATTTTGATTTCATCATTTCTTTCATCTGAATTTCGAGAAATTTTTGCTGTTCTCGTGTCATTGGTTCTGACCAGACGACCAAGACGTGGGAGTAGTAACAAAGGCGTTCGATCGAATGGAAAGTCTTGACTGGTTTGTCGGCTATGGTTATTTTTGCGCGTTTTGAAGAAGATTGGGGAGCTGCAGACTGAACATCAAGTTCGACTCTACGATCGCGCTTTCGACCGGACATGTTGTGATTTCTATACTCGGGACTCGAGGTTTTGGCCTGTACCTTAATTAGCCGTCTGTAAGATCGTACATCGAGCGAGTGTCGATCTCACGGTATGAACACTTTGTACTGGCTGTGAATTAGCTTCTACTCGTGGTTCTGGGAGGTTGGCTGATCTCCTTATGTCTCGGGACGTCGTCTCGATCTTGGCTACCATGATCTTGCTGGTCTCGCTGTCGTATAGACAGTGCTCAAGCTCCTCCCACTGATTCTTTAGGACTTGAGTGTAAGTGACTTTTTGCTCAGAAGAGAAAGTGACGATCTTTGAGATTTCTTCAGGACGCATCATAGACGGAGGATAGAGTCTCTTGGTTGGAAGCAGGCGCTCGTGACCCATGATGGTCCGGTTGAAGAGTAATGTCTGCGGAAGTGGAGATTATGGTGTGATGTTGTTAGACCATACCTATCTGGAGATCTGCGGTCACAACAGCAGCGACAATGTTGTTGTGTACTTCAGCTGTGCGTTTTGAGGGAGTCGAGGATACTAAGAGTCAACAACAGAAAGCGTCTGACCAGCATCACCAGAGGCTACGGTTTTGTTATGCTGGTTTGGTTGTTTGGATCTAGAAGTTGAGAGGTGAAAGAGAGGTGCGAGGATGCACACTCTATCACTGGTCGAGTGTGTATCAGGAGTGTAGTGATGGCTCTGCGGATGAGCTTGCAGTGGTAATGGTGTTTAATAGGTGAGCAAGGCAAGATCGAGAATAAAAGCTCGTGGTGGGGCTCATCGCACCTTCCACTGCTAGAAGTGAACGCGAATTACACATGGAAAGCGCAAGTGACTGACTACGAAACTGTAGGGAAGGAGCTAATCGTGACGAGACGGCATCTTTGATCTGGTCATAAATATTGAAATGGTGATACAGAGTAGTACAAAAGAAGAAGAGCACATGAAAAGTCGGGTATATGTACAATGCTTTACCTGCTTGCTTTTTTTTACATGGCAGTTGCGAGGTCCTTTGTGGGTATCGAGTCAGGGCCTCTGAGGTCGCCGTTCAAACTGAGACCAGGTCCGTTGGTTGATGAGAGAACCNNTATAATTTGTTAGCCACCATTTTTGCAATGTGCAATCCCGTCTGCAAGGAAAGGAACCAGAAGTCAATCGTTACTTACCACCTCATGAATATCCTTGGCGATTCTGTCGCTCATACCAGCCATGTCCTTCTTGACGTTCTCAATGAAGCTTCTGATATTCCTCGACAACTCCTCAGGTGTCATGCCCAACTGTCCAATAGCCATTCTGATGACACCCAGACGTTCTCTGTACTCGCTTGCACCAACCATGTCCTGCACACTTGCTGCAACATCCTTAACGACTGTTCCGGTCTTTGCGCTGGGCATCAAGCCTCTGGGACCAAGAATTCTTCCCAAAGCTGCCTTGTTCATCTTTGCGAGCGAGTCCTGGTGGCACAAGCAGCGGTCGAACTCGATACGGCCCTCCTTCACAGCGTCGAAAATGGCTTCCTCTCCGACCAAAGTTGCTCCAGCCTTCTTTGCAGCAGCGGCGGCGGATGAGTTGGGGTCGCAGATGACAGCGATGCGCAAGTCTGTCTTTACAGGATGTGGGAGGCGGATGCGGTTGCGGACTACGGGACCGTTCTTGAGGGATTTGAGGCGGAGGTGCAGCTCGTACTTGGATGATGTTGGCACGCGACCGACTTCTGTTGCACGAAGGTATCTGNNGATGCTGTCAGTTTGCGCCTCTCTCACAGCCTGAGTCGAGGAAGGAGGAGATGATTCGTACCGCATGGCATCAACCAGGGGGNNGAACTGGATGGCGTCTTTCAAATCATGGTTGATGAAGGTGGTCCTGCTCTTCTTCTTGCGCTGCGATGTGGGCAATTCCTTGCGCTTGTATTTTTGGGCGTTGGCACTCTGTGCAGCACCACGCTGTTGTATGGAGACTGAGGGGACGTAGAGATTTGGTCGTGATAGAGTGGTTCGTGTCAACTGCGACAGGCACGTTCTTGTGGAAGCCATGGCGATCGTATGTGATATCAAATGTCAATACCCAGCGGCTCCAGTAAATGTTCGACCCTCACCTTCGACCATCAACTTCGANTGCCAAGATTTTTGGACAATCCATGGCGGCTGTTTCCGCTGCCCGCGATTAATACCCTCCCAAGCCTCTCTCTTCCGACCAACGACGGCAGTCACACTTCGGTCATCACGAGGATCATGGTATCTTCATGATCAGTGTACTCAACTTCCGGATTGCTGTACTTTGTTTGGTTTGAGTTAATATCGAGGACAACGCGCCTACTATTGGTGTTATTCTCGAACGTGAAGTAGCATACATCATATGGAAAGCTCATTGCTTGGATTGAAGCCAGTACTGCAACATTGAGCACGCGTAGGACTGTAGTCGCGCGCGATAGCCTTTCATCTGAGCTCGTCATGAAGAAGGTAGGTCAATTTCTGATATGATTGATATTAACCATTTCTCCCATCGGACTGATCTCCATCATGATGATATCATGAGCGAGTCGATTTGGTTGACCAACTCTACTCTTAACTCGACCTCATGTCCATCTCCCATCCCTCTACAATTCTCCAAGCACAGTTCACCTTCATACAGTCACCATGATGTCTCTACGCACCTCGTTGATGCGAACAAGCCGTATCGCCTCAACCTCCACCCGCACTCTGAGCACCACCTCTCGCCTCGCAAAGGACAAGCCCCCGCCGCCAAACATCCCTCCCGGCGCACAGCAGAAGGGTCGCACCTCGTCTCCCGCCCACGATGACAAGTCATCTGCCTCCACTCAGGGCTCTGCTCCAAACAAGTCTGGCGATGACCACCCAGCGAAGCAGCCCGATCCCCAGCAGCCCAGCGACAGAAGCACCGGTTTCCAAGAAGTCAAGGAAGTCAAGGGTGGAAAGGAGGGCCTAGGAGCCAGGACCGACAAGCAGTAGATAGAACAACAAACCACACACCAAACTACGAATGAGGAGGAAGCATAGCCACGATCTTGATGACGTTGATGGAAACTGACCAAGAGGTCACAACGAAACCCACGACTATACTCGAATGACTCTGTATCTATACCAAGCATTGAACACACCTTTTACCAGCACGTCTTCTGACTATCACTTCACGACCTTACCACGTGCTGTTATTCCTTACGAGACAAATGTTGCAGTCTCAAGCATTGACTCGTACAATACGTTAGGGCATGTCTAATTATATGTTGAGTCGACTACACTGAACTACAGTTGAGAGCGGCCGTTTTGAGTATCCACCAGATCCACTTGAGAAAGCCAGGGTCGTACACTCAACTACGATCAAAACATGAATTTCGACTATCAAGACGTGCACACCAGTATTTACCTGTATCTGCTTGGTGCAAACGACGACTGGTCGGCTTTGCTTCCCCAACTTCAAATCAGAACTGGTTGTTGGCTCCGTTACTCGAACAATTGTGAATTCGGCATTTCGAGGTGCGAATCTTGAACTTCTCGAACAGTATCACTATAGATACGACACAGCTTCCCTGCCTTTTTACATCAGTAATGCAAAACAGGAAACAGAACAAGCCGGATGTTCTCGACGTCGCTTCTTCACGTTCCGTAGCAGCTGAGATTGACTCCAGAGGTACATGTAGCATGTTCTCTTTGATCCAAAAGCTCGGATCGAAACCATAGCACATCCGTGACCCCACGATCCAGAAGCTTGCATCAAGAATCTGCTCCCTCCTCCCTCCCTGTACAATCAAAAGAACAAATTCAAGAAGAAGAAGAAACCACAAGGCCAAGATGCTGCTACACATACACAGCTCTGAATCCTTGATTCAACCATACGGTCGTATCTCGTACATGGCTACTTGGCAGACGATTTAGAGTCCACAGGATCTGCACCAAGTGCGGTAGGGCCGGACTGACCTGCAGCGCTCGGCGACCTCGCTTGTACCGTTCCCAGGTTTTCGGTGACGTCTGAGGCCCTCTGATTGGAGAGCGATGACCACGACTCCAAAAAGGATCGCAACAAGGTCGCTAAACATGTGCCGCTACAACACGGTGCAAAGGATAGCGCGATTCAAGGGTAAAAGATAGCGCGATCCAAGGGTAAAAGATAGCGCGATCCAAGGGTATCCGCCCCGGGTGGGGTCAATGTCGTATATATGTATACCAAAAGCCCTATACTTTCTCCAAAACTTGAGTTTTTCCTCTTTTCCACCACTTCTTTCTGGAGCATAACACATCATGGCGTTGGCGGAAGTGTTTCAGGGTCTCGGTACCTCGCAGGGATATCTAACTGCTGTTTCGGTGATCCTGGGTTTGTTCGCTGCGTACCTCTACGTTGCTGGCCGGTATCTACCTGAAGGAGCACCTCCGTTGGTGAAAGGTGACTGGCCTCTGATCGGCCCCACAGACTTTTGGACAAGACGATGGGACTTCTTCAAGGAGGCGACAAAGGCATCGGTCAATGGCAATTTCACGTTCCACGTTGGCAAACATGTGGTCGTGGGAGTGTCTGGAGATGACGCTAGACGAGCTTTCATGGAGAGTAGGCAGCTAGATGCGTCTTCAGGGTGAGTGGCAGACTGACTCTTGCCTGGGTTATGCATGATTACTGAAGCTTGGCTCTGGAATCTAGATNATGCCACTCTGTTTGCTGGCGCGCCAACAGTACCCAAAAACNTTGATCCTGATCAAGAGGAGATCGATGGTCAGGGATTCTCCAGACGTCTTCTTGCCATGTTGAAGAAGGAGAATTTTGTCAAAGGTATGATTAGGAACGGCGATCGACTTACCGTATGCTCACATTTANGCTTAGGATTGCAGGATTTGATCAATGACACAAGAACGCGTTTGGATGAACTCGTAAAAGACCCCAGCGGCATCACTGATCCTTTCGAGAGCATTTACGGCATTGTTTACCAACTCACTATGCGAACGGTCGCGTGCAACGAGATCGCCAACGACCGCGCTCTCTTGGACCAAACGCTGGACATGTTCGAGAAAATAGAGGCTTCGTCCTCGGCCAAGCTCATCATCTTTCCCTGGTTCCCGTTCCCCGGAAAGCTCAGACGACTCTGGTATGGTGGTAAACTTTACATGATCTTCAAGGGTATTATCGAGGACCGTGCCAAGACTGGTCGCAGAGAGGAGGATCCTCTGCAATTCTTGATTGACAAAGGTGACAATGTCAAGGAGATTCTCACTTTCGTCTTGGGTGCGCTGTACGCAGGCCAACTCAATTCTGGCATCAACGCTGCTTGGGTTATCATATACCTTGCGAATGACCATTACTGGCGCGGAAAGGTTTGGGAGGAAGTCAAGGCAGTTGCCGAGAAGTACGACAGTGACACATCAAAGTCGATCGCAGACAGACTGGCATCTGCTCCCCTCGAGGCGTGGGAGAATGAATTGCCCACGATTGATTTGTGCCTACGAGACAGCATCCGTCTGAACGCTTCTGGTTCCATGTTCCGTAAGAACGAGACGAACAAGGCCGTCAAGGTATCAGACGGCACGGAAATCCCGCCAGGCGCCTTTGCAGCATATCCAATGGCCGATGTTCATCTCAACCCTGACGTCTATCCCGACCCCGAAAAGTGGGATCCGTCACGCTACTTGCCAGAGAAGGCAGAGGACCACAAGACAAAGTATGGATTCATTGGTTGGGGCGCAGGCAGACATCCATGTCTCGGTATGCGATTTGCGAAACTCGAGCAAAACATCATCCTCGCCTTCTTCCTCGCCAACTTCGACTTTGCCTTGTCGGACAAGCATGGCAACAAAATTGAAGGAGTGCCAAAGACTGACTTTAACNACTTTGCCGCAACCAAGCCAGAAGACAAGATTTACGTCAAATACAGCGTCCGAGAATAAGAATAGCAGGGAAGCGAATCTTGGTTCGTCACAGTTAGCAATACATGTAACAAAACGTCAAACCCTGTGGCTTGAATCGTATGCATCCCTATACTGAAGTGCCGATGCCATGTCACTGTGAAACCTCTGTTGCGGTTAAGGCTCTCACCGACTCATGGGCGGGGTTGTTTGTTGGTAGGGNNGCAGTGCGAGTGAACGCCAGGGGAACCACCCGTTACCAGTNNTGAAAGCAGGACGGGAAGATGAGAAATCGATTGCATCGANAGGGAAGCCTCGATTTGACATCAAAATGTCATGGTAGAGCAGCTACCATGGNNGATCTTCTTGAGTCGGGTCTTTCTTCAGTGCTTTGACACGAAACGATCGACGNNTGTCCAGGGGGATAAAAATGGCAAGCTGCTCGAGGGGTGACCAAGAGCAGGCCATTGCCTCTGGGATTGNTATGGGGATCGCCACCAGTTCCCCGTACAATGGACCCGACATCCAGACTTGGCTNNCGACTGTTGCATAACTAAGGGGTTGCATGCACCTGGATGCGGCGGCAAACCCAGAACCGGTAGAGATTCTGGAAGAACGNNATGCGCAATCATATCGATTGTTATTGCGACGCCTGGGAGTAGAATTNNATAAGAGNNATCCATGCGGGCCGCGCTGTGCCGCAGTGTCAATTGCCCAGAGAGCGCCCAGTGGCTGCCACGTATTGGCAATAACCACGGGTTCGTCAGTGCAAAATTGCGCTTCAATGCATGGAACAGCATGGTCGATTCATGCGCGGCAGTGTCATGTGCACCTGTCAAAAGAATGTGAGCAAAGTAAGGGGGCTACAATAAGAAGAGACTTCGTCACGGGTACTGTTGCTGTGGAAGAAGGAGGTGGTCGTTGTGTTTAGCAGACGTTTCAATCGTTGCAATCATATCCCACATCAACAAGAAAAGGATGCAGGATGACACGCATTTTTTGTGCGAGACTGCGAGTGTGAGGCTGCCTGCCCTGTTGCTCCCCCTTCTGCCGCCGGCCGGCCGTTGTGAAGCTAAGCTTTGAGGCTTGCCGCGAAACCAAAAAGTTGAGACCTGTTGTGACCTCTTTCTTCGCATCGTCAACAACCACTGGCTTGACTGTTTGACAAGGCTCATTTCCGACATGCAGATCGATGTCCATCCCAAGAAGACGCGGAGATCACAGCTGCTCAAGGGGCCCTCGAAGTGCGTAATCTCGAAGCAGGTTGCAGAGCACAATCTGCGTTCCGACTGGCGGATGGACGGCCACGGAAAGTGACAGTGTTCATGTGAGGCTACATGACAATCAGAACAGCGCGCAATCGATAGGATGCGACTCAAGGCAAGGTAATAACACGGTTCTGAACGCAGATGCCGCAGAGCGCATCGGGGGCACAGCAAGATGAAACGCTCTAAATTGTGGCGGCGCGTGTTGGAGCACCGTGCCCCTTTTAGAAACAGCTTCATTTCCTTAAACACCCATCCCCCTCTGCCTCCCCCTGCACGCCTTGGTCACCTCACTTTCGTCTGTTGTTTCTGTTGCTGCTTCAATCTACCGTCACTCTTTTCATCTGGCCTCCCTTCGGTCAAAAAATCATTCATTATCTACCTGCATCCGCTGCAGCCCAAATCTTGGCACCATCTTCACTCGTTTTCCCACATTCACTCCCACATTCCTTAGTCGCAGCAGCAAAACAACTCGAGTCGTCCGTGGCTTGCGTATCCCTCTCCACCTTTCATTGACAATCGACCGGCCAAGCAGTCAGTCTTGTCAAGCTTGATCAACCCTACTTCATCCAATCGATAAACACATCACCTTCAATATGGTGAACAACAAGGCTTCCGCGCTGTCTCTGGCAGTCAGCGCTCTGTCGCTTGCCGGCAGCGCCGATGCTTTCTGGCGTCTTCCTTGCCGTGGCCGTACTGGTGTCGGCCGTCTTGACCCCATCATGGACCCTGGCAAGGTCTCTGACCACGTCCACGTTATCCACGGTGGTAGCAGTAAGTTTTTGATATTGATGTGATGGCTTTTCAATTACTGACCCTCTCCCAGACNNTTTGGCATTGGCAACACCCCTCAGGATCTTGTCGACTCTGACTGCACCTCATGTGCCGTTACTCAGGACAAGTCTGCCTACTGGACCNCCCCTCTCTACTTCCTCCACGCCAACGGTACTGCCGAGATGGTCGAGCAGGTTGGTGGTATGCTCGCTTACTACCTCCTCTACAATGACGCTGCAAACCCCAACGGCAAGATCACTGCCTTCCCTGAGGGCTTCCAGATGATCTCTGGTGACAAGCGTCTTCGCAGCTTCCNNCCCTACCCCATCCCTGACAATGACAAGTCTTCGTGGACTCCCGAGCAGAAGACTCAGAGTGCTCTCGCACAGAAGGCCCTTGGTTTCAACTGCTTGAACTACGCCGCCACTCCTGAGGCATCCCTCTACCGTCACTTCTTGCCCGACAAGGACTACCTCGACGCCAACTGCCTTGACGGCGTCCGTCTCGAGCTCATGTTCCCTTCGTGCTGGAACGGCAAGGACCTCGACTCTGATGACCACAAATCGCACGTTGCCTTCCCCGACTTGGTCATGAGCGGTTCCTGCCCCGAGGGCTTCGACACCAAGCTCCCCTCTCTCTTCTTTGAGACCATCTTCAACACCTACGCCTTCAAGGGTATGGACGGACAATTCGTCCTCTCCACCGGTGACCCCACTGGTTACAGTTACCACGGTGACTTCCAGATGGGTTGGGACAGCAGCGACTTCCTCCAGTCTGCCGTTGACACTTGCACCAACGCCTCTGGTCAGATCCAGGACTGCCCTCTCTTCGACATCCAGAGCGAGGCCCAGGAGCAGCAGTGCTCTTTCAACCCCGTTGACGCCATCAAGGATGACAACCCTCTCGGCCCCCGTGACGGTCTTCCTATCGCTGTCCCCATCCAGTCCGGCCCTGCTTACGCCAGTCTCTACCCTGTCGTTCTTGCTGGTGATGAGACCCAGGCTGCCGCCACCTCTACCAAGGCATCTTCTTCCCAGATCACCTCGGCTGCCTCCTCATCTGCTGTTGTCCCCACTCTGAGCTACACTCCTGGTACCTCTTCCGTTACCGACAAGTACGGTGGTGGCATCCTCCGCGCCAACACCGCCGCATCATACGTCCAGACCGAGTCTGTCTCGACCGTCACTGCTGCTGCCTCGCTCGCTAACGCTGAGACTGACGCTGCTGGCAACATCATCGCCACCTCTTGGTATACCCAAGGCAACCAGGTCATGGAGATGATGATCGAGGAGGTCGACGTCACCGTCACCGCCACTGCCGTCGAGACCGCCAACGCACACGCTCGCCGCCACGTTGGCNAGGAGCACCGCCGCGTCCGTGGCCACCCCCGTCGCTAAGCATTCATGTTGTTTACCAATATTGGGTACTGGCAGGGCCTGTTGTTTTTCTCCTGGATGTAGCAAAAACTCCTTTTTTTTATACCTTTTCTGATGACCCCCTCTACCGGTTCTGTGTTTTATACTCATGGAGAGTTTTCGCGATCAAGTTATATCCCTTTTCGTTTGGCTTTCTCTGATTCTATGCCGCTTTTTCCAACACCCTTTTTTTCGTTGTTGCTTGTTCGATATACAAATGCTGCAGTTTTATCAGGCCCAAGTTTATGATCCACACGATCGCGCGCTACTACCATCATCAAAGACTACTATCATTGCGGGCAGGTTCCTGCAGTATTGTATAAAAGAATCTTTCTATCGTTAATCTGATTTCTCTCTCGGTGCCTTATGCTATGTGATGTGATGCTGGCTTTCGACTTGGCCTTGTTTTGATTGCCACTTGCCACAACCATTCCTTCTCAGTTTGTCTCATCCTTTGTCTCTATATGTTTTTCGTGCTAACTCTCTTGCTAGTTGATGTCTTGGATCTTCTGGATCATGTCCTGATCAACTTCGTTTTCACTATGTCTTCGCTTGTGCGCTCACTCATTCGCATTGATGTCTTGTGGCAGCTATGCCATGTGAGATGTGTCTGGTTCTCATGACTGTTTCCTGAGTCTTGTCGCGACAGTCCAATTCATCATTCCCGTTGCCTCTATAATGACTCGAAACCTCGATGACGTACGCCACTGCTGCCTAGAAGGATCTCAAGTTGGATGTCATATCAATCACACCTCTCCTCCATCAAATCCTCGAGTCCATTGCACATAATGATAGAAGAATACATCAGACAACAGCACGAATGGCTAGATCGACTATATCCAGTACCAGCGAGGCGCTTCGATACTCCATCTTCACAGCCGAGAGTAGACCCTCGTACTCACCAATTGCATATCATCCAAACATTTCAAGATCTCTTGGATTCGAAATGTCAACCTCAAGAAGCAGCTGAACGTTTAGCAAGCATCATATTGTCATCAGCAGATGTCGTAACTCCCTACAACAACATGTGGGGATGTTTCTTCCAAGCCATACAGTATTTCTCACGTATAGATATACTTTCTACTTTGTCTGGTTTGTTGGCTTGTTTGGCTGGTCTTCCTGATGCCATCAACACTAGTCAAGAACCCATCATCCTTGGCTCTCCAGAGAACACTACTATCCAACCAGGCGAACCGATACTTCTGCGTCTGTTGAAAGTTAACATCCAACTCTGGCAAGACCTTCCATACTTCTCAATGAACCTCAGAGACAGCATGAACGGCCCAGAAGTCTATCTCTGCAGAGGCGAGCCCGCTGCAACCGCAGAGCGCAAATGGACGAACATAAACACATTTCTCGCTATCTTGGTCCGCGACCACGGTACCGCATTCCCAGATCTGTTCGGCATCCGTGTACAGTATGCCTTCTGGGCACTATCCTCTGCTCTCGAACACCCTCCCAAGACACGATTGGGAAAGAATATGGCAGTACATTTGCCAGCAGCTTGTCGATGGATCTCGATAGCTGGAGATGCTGTTTGGGAAGCTTTGGATACTGGATTTGAGGAAAAACCTTGGACAGCAGCGCCTGGTCGGCTTTGGCAGAGTCAGGTGGGTACGAATCAGGTTGATGGACGCAGATGGGCGTTTTGGAAAACGAGACTGGAGAGTTTGAGAGATGATTCGCAGTTGGATCCTGAGTTGGGTGATGTAGCATTACAAGCATCGAGGTTGATGTAGTATATGTTATGATTTATGATTCAATTTACGTCACTTCTACCAGGTGAAGGATTTGAGCAGTGACAGTGCCAGATGCAAAAAGATGATTGGGTCAAGGTAAGTGATGACGAAGCGGACACATGGAGAAGCTGCTCAGGTGTGACACAAACAAGAACTACAGTGAACTCGAAGGAAATACCTAAAAGGTCGGAAAGAACCTCTTAGGAAGGGAACCAAGCCAACACTAACAAGGGCATCTGATATCTTCTTGTCACTTGAACATGGTGAGCAAACAACACAAACGTGCCTCACTCGCAGTAAAAGTTGCTTTGCTCCACCACTCACATCACCCTCTGCCTGCTGCCTAAACCAGCCAAGGCACCCACCACCTCTGCTGCCTAAACCCCATGACTCACACCACCTCTCCCAAAGCTATATAAACATCCTCCCTTCCTTGCCAAAATCCTTTCCTCTTTCTTCTCATCCCAGTGCAAGGGCAATATCCGTGTCGGTGAAGATTTATTCTGAGGCCGGATTTTTGCTAGTTGAAAACTATACTTTTGACTGCTCCTTTTCTTAAAAGTCCCTCCTTTGGTGGGTCGAAAAGGGAATCTTTGGAACATGACAAAAAGGCTCTTCGTTGATTGCTTGGCTTGTTTTGGCTGAGGGTTGAAGAAGAGTTGTGGATGAGGTGAAGGTTGTTGGTCTGTGGTTTTGTTGTGACAAAAGATTAACGCAGCGAGTGAGATTCGAACTCACGACTCTACAACGCCAGCGACATTACAGCGAGCGCATAGCATTCGCTCAGTCTACCTTGATACTTGTGTTTGCAAGATACAGTGGTGTAGCGTCTTGACCACTAGACTACCGCTGCTTTGTTGAGATCAAAAGAATTTGGATTAGTTATAAGGAGTTTACAGACATGAAAGCTTTCGAACTTTTCATTTACTGTCAAGGTAGAAGGAGCTACGCACTATGCGCTATTTGACCGTGACACAGGCTGGGCGCTTCATGTCTGGAAGTTTTGAAAGGCCATCGACAAAGGTGTTCGATACAGCTTACTCTGCCATCAATCCCTCTACCAACGAAGACGAGCTCTCTGACACACCAGACGTAAGCATACTCGCCTCCCTCTGTCCCTCGACTTCTTGCTACCAAAGCTGATCCCAAACTAATCGGTACAGCAGTCAGCCACGGCTATCGGCTTCAGATTTGATGATCTGCCTGTCACTGTCCAATTTTAGATCGAAAGGGAGGTCATCGCACCAGAAGGCCCTGACTTCTTCACTATGCGCATCAAGTACGACGGTATCTTTGTCACAGACGGCCCCTCCCTCGNNTCCCTCACCAGCAAGCTCAACATGTCTAACATGTTCGAATGGTTCAACCTCTGCCCAGTCAAGGTCCAAGTTGACGTTTCCTCTTGCCGTTCCTCTGATGACCTCACCCATGTCGCCTTCGCCATCTACGATGATCTATCCCTGCTCCGATCCGTCAAGAAGATGCGCCGCAGAAACTTTGAGATCGTTGGCTGGCACCAGCCCTCATTCTACGGCTTGATACACCTCGCCCATGCTTTCGGCAATCTCCCAGACTTCAACAGAATCATGGCTGCAAACAACGTCTTCACCTTCGACCACGTTGCTCCCAAATTTGCCTGCAACTTTGCAGTCTCCTACATCTTCGAGAGAATCCTGAAGATGGGCTCTCAGACTGGCATCTATATCCACCAGCTTGCCACTGAGATCTTCGACTTCCTGCACAGCAAAGATCTCACCATGGACCAGTGGGACAACCACCAAGACTGGTCAAACAAGCACTTCAACCACGTCGCTACTCCCTTGTGCAGCACTGTCGAACAGCGCGCAGCTCGTGCCTCTTTCTGTCCCAGAGGCGCTGCCAAGGTGTTCAAGGAGGAGTTCATGTCCATCCACTTCAAGAATGCTGAGAATGCGTTGGAGGCGTTGCTTTTGGAGGGAAACTACTAGACAATCAAAACGGCATCACCAAGAAGTAATCAGGGTTTCGTGAGTATACAAAGGAAGTGGCAACGGACACGGAAAGCAAAGGGGAGAGCAAGGCAATCGGTATGAAGTCTACCTTCTTAGATGCATGCCAATATTAATGATGAAGACTCCCTCAATTCCGTACCAAGCTGAACAAAGACATGCATCAATCTATATAAAGACATCAATATGCCTACTACTACGAGCAGTCCACAGCAAGACTCCCCCGCGTGACGCGCGCCACCTGAGACTAGCCAGTTGGAGAGTGAGTAATTGGCGATGCGACTTTGGTTCATCACCATGCCATCTTGTCCAGTCGCAGTTAACGGGCTGAATGATATCTCCACGCTCATCTTCGGTGGGAGGGTAAAGCGCAGCCAACAGATCCACGCTGTATACTGCCCATGGAGCTACCAACGCTGCACGCATAACTGGGATGAATTGATGGTTGGCATCATCCGGGGTAAGCACAAACATGTCGAACTGTAAGGCTGGGAATTCAGTGCAAAGAGCACACCATGTAAGAGGGTTTGACGTCGCTCCGTCTATGCAAGAGGCAACGATAGCCACTCTTGCACGCTCGCCAGGCTGAAGAGATGCTGCAAGAAGACTGCACCGCAATCGCAGATCAGTCGAGGCTCTGCGATCATAGAGGTATCGTAGCTGTCCACACTGGTCAAAGACATCGTGCCACCAGCTTGGATCCGAGTTGTAAGGGTCCCTAGACATCGGAAGAGGTGGTTGGCCCACTCGGAATGTTTGCTCCCATAAACCCATTAATCGTCGTCCCGGCTTCTGCACAAAGTCGAGATCCTTAGGCTTAAACTGTGTGGAGCTGTATCGCTCCACGACGATTGTAATCGAGTAAGAAGCTTTAGCAGCATACTCGAGAGCCGCTCCGAAATGGTCCGGTGGAAGATCTAAAACCACTAGGTCATGTAGCAGAGCAACGTCCAATGATCTGATGCCACGAAGAGGAACCATCCTCCCTGTAGGCGTAATCTGGTAGTGTACACATGCTTCCAGATCTCCCTGCACAGTATGTGATTGTCCTGGCTGGAGTATCTCGTATTGTAGTGACTCATTCTCCGTGACAAAAGTAACGACATCAGAAAGACTTGTCCTTATCTTCTCCCGAGCAGCTAAGAAGTTCCAGACAAAGTACTGGATGCCCAAGTCACATAGATCGCTAGCGTAGAGTACATCACAGATCCAAGACTCCATGTCAACCCTTGTTGTCCCTTCCCTTCCATAGGGCGGCTGAGGAAAGGTAGAATCCACCATGTTTTGGCCAAAATCCCGGGAAAAGTCCAGAGAAGAGTCCAGGGCATTGCCATATCCCCCCACAATAAAAGGATCCGCCATCTGACCAGAGTGTTGCCAAACGTTGTAAGCCGCTGTGTAGACCTCGCCCGCCTGCTGTCCATTGATCCTCAAACGACCGCTTCCCACAAACCGCTCTAGAAAAATATTGAGGTGTGCAAACCGCAAAGCCCGCCCTGGAACACTTGTCTCCACCGCCTCATTCTTGATTGTGTGGACGAGAGTCGTCACTGCAGCAGGGCCGCAGTCGAATAAGTTGTTTTTTTGTGCAATGTCCTCATACGTAACTTGTGCATTGACAAAGTTGTCCGAGTCCCATGTACAGCCAGGTCGTAATGAAAGAAGAGTGCCGTACATCGGTAGAGCACGGTCGAGAATAGTATTGCTGAGAGCAGTGCTGTCAGATCTCTTGTACGAGTTGTACACAATCATCTCACCGTCTTTGGTGATCTTCACGGCAAGCCAATGGTTGCCAAGTGGGTTGCAGGCGAACGTGACTGCTGTATGGTATGCAGACATACCACTGCAGGGGAAATATCGCTTTTCTGGCAATGTCCCATTGATACGATAATGGTCGATGGTGTCCTGGAGGCCCGCAGTAACCCTGTCCACGACGTTGGGAATATCCTCTCCTGTGTACTTAGTTTCTTTGACAAGTGCCGTGAACAAGATCGCGTCCTGGTAGTAGGTCTCTGAAAAGGGGTAGGCCTCGATCACAGCATGGACAACTACATCGATAGCTGCATCTGAGTACCACTCTGGGGACACAAAGCTTTTGAGATCCTTCTTACCGAGCATGACTTCACCTCTCTGTCGAAGGAACTCAAGATGGGTATCTAGCGTTGACACCATCTCATCGACCGCAAGCGCCACATTCTCCCGCTGGTTCGAGGAAGCTCCAGTTTACTTTGTGTCTGGCACGCTCGCATAACCTGGAGTCCAGGTGAAAGACGGAGTTACCAAGGTTCTTTGCTTGATCGGCCGCCTCGGAGTCAATTCCAAAGAGAGCTCCAGGGCGTCCAGCTTCCTCTCTTGCCTTAGACCAGATGGAGAAGGAGTCTCTTTCACACTAAACGAAGAACAACCAGGGATTGTGTTGATGCCTGACTCCTTTGATCGACTTGAACTCGACGTTGTAGAACCAGATCCTTTACTGCCTTGCTTGCTCGCTTGACTTGGAGTCGACGCAGAAGAGTCAGATGCTTTGATGCCTGACGTGTTTATCTGACTTGCACTCGATGCAGAAGAACCAGATCGTTTTCTGGCTTGCCCGCTTGCTCGACTTGGAGTTGACCCAGAAGAATTAGACGACTTGCTGCTCAGTCTGCCCGTGTAACCTGGAATCCATGGAAAAGTTCCAGTTCCTGGTGTCAATTCTGAAGAGGACGTGTCCAGCACACCAGAGTATGAAGAGTGAACTGTAGAGCCGGGCGGAATACTTCTAGTGAGATAGTCGCGGTAGACTGTCTTACGAAGGTTCCTCGGGAGGCCCGCCCTGATGCGATGCTTCGTCTCGTTGTCTAGAGACACGAGTGCCTCGGCAAGAAGCCGTTCCTTGTCATCCTGTGATATTGTCCCTTCCATACTGGCAGCGACAGATTGTGATACTGCAGAGCAGTCGAAGGACGTGATGGCTTGCGAGCAGTCGAAGGATGTGATGGTCTGGCAGCAGTGGAAGGACGTGATTGTCTGGCAGCAGTCGAAGGACGTGATGTCTTGAGAGGGCGGTCGCAAGCGGCACCGCCGTTATGGCAAGAGATGTAGCCGGTGTCGAGTTGGCGACAGAAGCCTCAGCTGGCGATGTGACGGAAGGCGACGTGAGGGAAGGCGATGTGACGGCAGATTTCAGAGCAGAGCTGAGGCACAGAGCTGAGGAGCAGAGCTAAGGAAGATTTCAGTGGGAGAATGAAAGGAAGGAAGGAACAGCATGTGATGTAATTGTTGAGGGGTTGACTTGCCTTCAGCTTGCGCCTGCCTCGAAACTGTGAGCCCGTTGTACAAGGAAGGTACCTTCAACATGTGAGACTGATGTAACGAGGAAGGTGTAGATGAGGTGAACACACACTCTGATCCGGTCTGTTTAGAAGGAAAGGAAGGAAGGAAGGAAGGTCAGAAAGGTTTGTTAATGAAATGGAATCGAACAGTAGCAGTGATCGGTGAATATGTCGCCAGAGCACATCCTTCTTCCGAGAAGGAAAGGAAGGAAGAAACAATGAGTAATGTAGAATTGTTGGAGCCCATGCATCAGAGTCGACAGCTCTGTAAAGACAGCAAGGTCGGTGGGCATCGGACGCATGTTGAAGGCCCAGTTGGTTGCAATGCCATACTGTATCAGCTTGTCTGGGTTCATGTAACCATTGATCGAGAGTTCGATCCACTCGAGCAATGCGTGGATTGTGGCGTGCTCGAAGTTGACGAAGGTAATAGTCAGAGAAACAAAGCTTTCATTGCCGAGCAGCATGAAAAGAGCCGTGCTCAACTCCTCGCCGAGCATCTCGAGCCCACGTGTAAGCTCAGTCTGCTTGTATCTCTCTGTGGCCACGTCGAATGTCACGTTGAACTTTCAGTAGATGTAGAAGTCCAACAGAAACTCTTCTCGAGCACCTTTGGATGCTTGGAGCAAGGGATGCTGTGCGAGACGAAGAAATCCCTTGTCATCAACGTTCATACGAGTGACGAGGTCGTACTTTCTCAAAAACATATATGTTCCTGCGACGATGCCATACTTATTATCTTCGCTGACATCTCCCCATAGTGCTGCATTGTTGAGCAAAACATTAACATATCCTTCGTTTCTCTTGTTGGGACTGATGTAGCGCGTGAATGAAATGGACAAAGTCCAGATTGTTCCCGGGTCCAATAGACATATCGGCATTGACGAATGGTGCAATGTCATATCTGGTGTCTGGGATACCAGCTGTAGTCGATATACCAGAATTCTGGCCTGGAAGCGTCGACTTTCTGGCAGTAGACTCTTGTTGGCTAGTCGGCATACGATGCTCCGGCACGGGCAGGGGTGCTAGAGAGGAGTCGCTCTGTTGAGCCCATAGCGCGTAATGTTTCAGTGGTTAAGACAGTCGGCTGCCGACACATTCTTGTTCGTGGAGAGTGTGATAGAAGGGGATTAGAAATTAGAAACTTTTATAGCTACTTTTCTTCGCATATTCTTACAACGTCCACGATCATGTCCACGTCTGTTCTAGCCCGTTTGTCTTGGCCTCGTCTTCTTCAAGCCTCGCTCTCAATTCCTGTTGTCCTCTCATGATGCTCGAAGATTCCACTGATGCGATCTTGCAAGTGTTCAGCTTTGTGCTTCATCCACCACATAGTTCTGGCACTCTTGAACTGCATGACACCTCTGTGGCGTCTGTTGATCTGTTTGCTGTGCTCCCTGTACTCGTGGTACGAGTCCATCACATTTCTGCTGCCCTCGCTAGATCGGGTCATCTTATCATCATCGGTGCCGGTGGTCAGTTTGGAGATGCTGCGGTGACGGGTATTGGAGAGCTTCTTCTTGATGCGGTGGGCGTGGGAGGGTTTGTTTTCAGATTCAGTGTCTGAGCCTGAGGAAGATGAGGAAGAAGAGTCGGCGGATTCTTCGTTACTGCTATCGCCTTCGGCATGGGGGTCAGTGCCGTTGTTTGCGCCTGTTGAATCTGAGAGTGCCTTTTCTTTGATGTCTTTGTTTTTGACAGCCCCTGGGTCGTCCTGTTCGTTGTTTGCCATCTGGAATCTTGCAGTTTCGACGACTTCGAAGACGTCGCTGAGGTGTTTGTCGTGCTTTGAAAGACGTTTGTGGTATCTGCTCAGTCCTCTGCAGAACTTGAGCTTAAGCTGTATTTCGCCGACTCTGTCGCCATAGGAATCAAGTTTGCAGGTTGTGGCGCGTTTGAGGTCACCTTTCCAGACTGGTAAGGTCAGAGAGAGGTCTTCGTTGTCGGAGATGTCACAAAGCCAGAGAACAGCAAAAGCGGCAGTCTTGTCGCGCAAAGAGGTGTCTTTGCGGAATTGAACTATCAAACAGCTGGCATAGCGGCGGCGGACACCTAGATGAAGACCATTATTGTGGCGGCTTGCCCATGAATGCTCATCTTTATGTGCTTTCATGTGGCCGACGGAGATGGCAGTCTGAATCTTGATGCGACAGCCTTGGAGGTCGGTGGGGAAGCTCGAGCCGGAAGTGATACGTGGATTGACTATAAGGGTGCCCCAGTCCCAACCCAGCAGCTCTTTGGGCAATTGGCTCTCCACGGAGCGGAACACCATGCTGACTCGAATGCGACCATAGCCTACACCACCGTACAGAGGATAACTGCCATTGACTTGAGAGCGATCCTTCAGAACGTCAATCAATGGCAGACGCACAATGCCCATGACAGGATCGTCTTCATGCACACGAGCATCTCGCACGCTGATGTAGACCTCGGCAGTCCTCCAGTCGCGGATAAAACGCTCAGTGCCTGCATTGAAAAANGGCTTTGCATTCTTGGGCTTGACGCGCGTGCGGTATATCTTTTGATGGTTGAGAATGATGTTGCAGTAACAAGATGGAAGTTCATCGCCCTGCTCTTCGAATCCACTCGGTTCCGGTTCATCGTTGTAACGAGCAGCGTTGTGGTGAGCGCGCACTTCCAATCCAGTAGCTTCATGAATTTGGATGGCTAGTATACCGCTGGGGTATCTTTCCAGAGGTGGTGCAGATATGATCATTGAATCTTCGACCTCCTTGTACTGCTGTAGCTTGAGCTGCTCAGTTTCTCTGCTCTCGTCCTTCTTCGCTTCACGCAGCTTGCGGTTGGCAGACTCTTCAACCTTCTTCTCCAGCGCATCTCTAGAGCGAATTTCCGAATCCTCAGTTTGTCTTTTGAGTTGCTCGTCGATGATGTGAGCCTTTGGAAAGTAACCGACGCTCCACTCAAGCTTGCCAGGAAGACCTTCACCAGCATGCAGAGCCTTGAAGCCATCAACACGATCGGACATTCTGCCTCTTGTTTCCTTATTATGGATTAGTTCCTTGAGGTCCATCTCTATACGACCAAGATCATCGTCTGCCGTAAAGCGGTCACTATCCCAGAGCTGCACACGAAGTCTCTCGTCTACATTCAACTCGTCGGAAGTGACCAGAATGAATGCAGTTTCTTCCCAAGAAGGATTCATCTCAGACAGGATGACGCGTGTTGACCACAATGGCTTGACGAATTTGGCCCAGCCTACCGTCACATAAGGATCTGCCGATCCTTCTCTGATCAATGGGACAGCAGGATCTCCTTCCTTGAAATCGAAGGCGCGCTTGATCTTGGCGATTATGACACCTTTCGCCCTAGTGTCTTTCTTGAAATCTTCACCAGCAATCATATCTTGGAGGTTGATGGTCATACTCTTGGGCGCGACGTATTCTGCCACAGCGGCATCAACAGCGGTTTGCACAAAGTGCGAGATGACTGGCAGATTCATAATGTTCAGGCCCTTTCTGGTCAGCGGAGTGCATGCCACGTCGACATTGGGCTGTCCGAGAAGGGTGAAAGTGCATAGAGCAAAGAACGGTGGATCCGGAGTAAGCTGTAATCGGCAGCGCATAATGCCGACAAAGCCTCTCAAGTCGACATACACCGGAATTTTGATGTTTCCTGGAAGATAGAAAGAGATGTACAGATGAGCATGCTTGGCCCTGTCCTTGAATTTCTTCGAAGTAGAACGAGTCCTGTAGGCAAAGGCAACTTCGAGGTTGATAAAATCACCTTCCTCGGCCTCCATGCCTTCGGCAATCTGCTTATCGTCTGCCTCTTCCTGAGTGTTCGTCTTTTTAGGGCCCTGAGTCTGATCAAGATCCTGACTCTGGTCGGGTGATGCGTTGTCATCAACCTGCCACTGACCAGGCACATTGCGATCACTGCGTCCTTCCTTTGCTTCTGGTGCGAGTTTGCCATCGGCACCGACTGAACGTGCTGCGGCACCGGTAGGAAGCCATCTGACACCCAGAATACGCATGGACTCGCTACCCTGGCCAAGGTCCTCAATGCTAACCATGCGAACGACTGACGGAAGCGAAGCCTGCATGACATCCTCGAGTGTATCAGCCAGAGAGATGAACAGGTCTGGATTGACAAGCGGCCAGAGAGAGGTCAGGATGTTGTTGAGCCATTGTGTTGTCTCCTCCTTGCCATCTTGACTTTTTGCCGAATGCTTGTCGGCGTGCCAGATTTCTTCTTCCCATAACCTGTGGACTTGTCTGTCGGTCCATTTCTGGATCCAGAGTATGACAGCGACCGTAAGCGCAACTAGCATAATGGTAGCGAAGCCACTGGAGAGATATGGCCAGATGAAGCTCCAGGAGACCCCAGCATGCGCATCGTTGCGATCGAAGAAGAACACAGCGATAGTCTTGTACAAACCAATGGCGACAAAGACAGCCACCACACCGATTGTTATTCCTAGCTTTTGTATCTTGTTCATGCGATTCCTGATCTCGTCAAAGTCCGGCGGTGGAAAGAGGTTCTCGAGGGCGGCATGGTGTCTTCCGATCTCTTGCGTCTCATCTGCCAGCATGTCCTCACTCTTTCTCTTGTTGGCCAGACCAGTCGCCGACCTGGATTCTGAGCCTGGTGGCCCTAGGTTTTCAGGGACCCTCTTCAAGTCTCCGGGCTGCAAGTCATGAATGCGCACAGGGAGATGGGTAACGGGGTCGGTAACCTCTCGATAGGCACGCTCGCCTTTGCGTTTGCTCTTGCCTATAGCTTTGCGTCGTGTCTTGGGGTCTTGATCTTGAGCAGGAGCCTCAGACGTATCGTTCATCAAATCTGCAGACTCATGTACACCACCACCGACCAGCTTCTTCTTCAGCTGTTGGGTACGATCCTTCTTCTCGTGCGCTGGGTTGTCGAGATCTGAATTGTCGGAACCGGCATTGCTGTGCTCTCTTGAATACAGGTATCGATTCGCGCTATCGGGGTCTTCCTGCTCATCTTCTTGTCCACTGGGCGGTGGGGGTCCACCAGCAGCATTCGCTTGACGCTTCTCCTTCTCTTGTTGGTACTTTTGAATGGTTGGTATAGGTCGGTGTGTGCTGTACGGCGCCTGATATCGGCGCCGCTCGAGGTCATCATCGTCTACCGTCATCGAGTTGTCAGAGCGCGACCGTCAAGGTGCAAGGGATCCAGCCCTTAAGGCGTGTGATTAAAGATGGGTATATATGTATGCAAAGAAATAGCACAGAACAAATCCCGAGTCTTGCTCAAGGGAAGGAGCGATAGGTAGGAGGACAGATGGAATTGATTGCTACCTGAGCCATTGACGACGATGAGGAGGGCCGGAGGACCGGCCTTGGTAGCTATTTTCCTGCTTTCACCATTTCTTACGCATCTGCATCCCCTCACCAAGCCCTTGATTGAGAGAACTGACGTCTTTCGCAGAACAAGAACGGATCGCCGACCGGTAAACGCTCACGCGAATGATGTCTCGGCGCTCTCGAAAACCTGGAAGTTGCATCCGGGGAAGTGTTTACGGCGTGGGCTCGTCTTTTCTAAACGAACGTTGAAAATTGAGAAGATGTAGTCGAGGGAACTGGCATGAACCAGACACAACTTTCTATCGACGAACATGGCGGTGGATGCGGATGAAAGGCCACCAAAACAGTACCTGTTAAACTAAGAATGGTCATCAGAAGTGGCTGTCAACTGAAGTTCGCACAGGTCGCTCCTGCTTCCAGAATCCAACAGTGTGCACGTGACTTTGCTCTATAACTTTCCCACATGTGTTCTTAATGAGTCCCTTACCAAGACGACCGCGCGTCACCTTGCACCTCGGTCTTGGTATCGAGTAGGCTTTTACATGAGTCGAACACAACCTTCTCAGTAGAGCCTCAATTAAGCTCTCTTCCTACGAACAATCTTCGAGAAAGACACTTGAGTAAGCGATCGTGCGGAAAGACTGTATTCACAGATATATGGCAGAGTGTCAATCGCTAGAACAATCTAAGCACGCTCAGCGACTTGCACATCTGGTCCTCCGATTATCCGTCGTACTGCTCTATTCATATGGCTCTCGCCTGATAGCTGCATGATTACCCTCTCCTCTCGACAACGCAAATTGTCGGCGCCTACTTGCTCAGCCTGAACGGTGCACTCCTCACCAAGCTTGTGCTGACTGCATAAACATCCACTTCTTCGACAAGCAAAAGTTGCTAGCTGCAGATTATTGCCTCATTACAGGAAGCTATAGTGCCTCTATATATGGAGATAATATTCTTCGTGTATCCATAGTGGCCAAGAACTCCGTTAACGCATATATCAACCTAGCGCTGCATAGCTACAGGTATCACATGTGATTAGCTGCCTCAAAAGCTCTATTTCCTCGCACTTTGTTGATGCTATGGCTCGAACAAGCAGGTCATCATCTTCGTCGTGGTGGCGTGTCCTCGCTTGGAGGAGTGCAGAGTGAACAGGAGCTGGTTTATAAAGTCAACATATCCACTGAGCTCAAGTGTACAGTCCAAACACACTCCTATACTCCAAAGACACCGAGTATCTGGTGCGCACTAATCTTTCCCACTGACTCCCTTTGACGTTCATATTACTTCTCAAGGTCTGAACTTCTCTACTCGGCGGATGCAGATCACCGAGATGTGCTGACTATGTGCCAAACAGCCAGCAACATGTTTGTCCACTCCATCGTCCTCAGCGCCATTGCAAGCGTTGCAGCCCTCAGCAACTCAGCTACCGCCCTTGCCATGCCTGAGCAGGCCAAAAACCTTGAAGCCAGAGCCACTCGTCCCATCAGTGTAGAAGCAGCCTGCAATGTTTTCTACGGAACCAGCTTCTCTGCTCAGACTACTGGAAACGGTTGCTACGACTGGGTCTGTGTGCGCGGTAACGAAAGATATGGACTCGATCTGAACGAGTGGTGCGGTGGTCAGGCAGGCGGATCGGATCGTGCTTCATGCAGCAATGGAGTCTACAGCTGGGTGTGCATTGACTGATTGAGAGGTATCCAACCGTCACATCCAGCTTGATGGGTCTTGTCACAGCATATGGTCGATGCAATGGTGCAGATCCAGCTCTGAAGGGTATTCTGTGATCGTCAGACTATTTACCTTCAGCCAGTGCAAACAATGGGCAGATTGGATGACAGGACTCATCTCAAGAATTCACGAATTAGTCATAACTGTGCAAGCTTCACTCTTCTTCATCAACAGACCAGAGCAGGTACAGTTCTGACAACCAAACTTTCCCATGCCCACATGAATTATTGTAGAAGTGCAGAATCATATTCGAAGCAGGGCGCGGCTCAGTGGTGGGCTTCTGTCAGCTCGCTCCGGTCACCTCTCGGGGCTCATACACAATTGTGCTGGTTAGTAGTGTGCACGATCTCCGTATTATCATATTGTGTAAGGTTCCAGTCTTACAGCGAAATACCGAAAGACAGAGAAAATAACTGACAATATACAATACATATGCTCCCTAAAGGTGTGGCACGTCATGCGTGCTTATCGGCCAACAGCACGCCTATCTACTCGTTCGGCCAAGCAGACCTCTATACCTAAACAGACACCTCCGTTTGAGTTTTGAACATTTAACAAAAATATCATGTCTGGTCCTAACAAAACCGATTCCATCATCATCGTCGGCGCCGGCGTCTTCGGCTTGACCAGTGCACTCCACCTTGCCCGCGCCGGCTACACCAACATCCATCTCTTCGACCAGCAAGACTTCCTAGCCACAAACTACTCTTTTACAGCAGGAAGCGATGGTGCCTCTGCAGACGAAAACAAAATCTTGCGAGCATCCTATGGTGGCCAAGAACTCTACCAACGCATGGCGTTTGCCGCAATGCAAGAATGGGAGCAATGGAACCAGAATATGGCTTCTGATGCTGACATACCTGATGCCCTCAAGAATACTGAGAAACTATGGGATCGTTGTGGCTTTTTGAGGATTGAAGAGACTTTTGGTCAGCATGAGACTGAAACGCAGAACAGCTTTCCTGCGGAGATCAAGCACACTCAGTATCGCGTCACAGACAAGCAACGGATCAGGGAAGCGACTGAAAATGGTATATCGAAATCCAAGTTCGACCCATTTGATCGTGCAAAGCGTGGACTACGAACAGACGGTATTCTCGACATGACAGCTGGGTACACTCTAGCCTCCAAAGCTTGCACATACGCTCTCTACCTCTGCAAGAAAGCAGGTGTAAACCTTCATCTTGGCTCTTCCATCGGCACGTTCGATTCGTTCCTCTACTCTGGTACCAGCGTCACTGGTATCAAGACTGCAGACGGTATGTCTCACCAAGCAGCTTTGGTCATCATGGCAACAGGTGGCTGGACACCTTCCCTGCTCCCAGCAGCTCAGCCTCTGCTCGAGACAACAGCAGGTACAATCCTAACGATCAATCTTCCTCAGTCTCGTCAAGATCTCTGGGACAAATATGCACCAGCCAACTTCCCTGTCTGGAGTTGGAATATGGGTGGCTTTGATGCCTTGACTGAAACTCCAGGCGGCCTTTATGGCTTCCCACGCACACCCGAAGGAGTGATGAAATTCGGCTTCCGCGGTGCGAAATGGACAAACTATACTCACACGTCCTCTGCTGGCCATAAGATCTCCTACCCCAAAACCGACATCCAAGAAATTCCTGAACGAGCATTTAAAGTCGTGAAAGCCTTTTGCGCAGAAAACATGCCTGATTTACTGGATCTAGAACTCCAGCGTGGAAGACTGTGTTGGTACACTGACAGTGTTGACAACTCTTTTCTTGTGTCTTATGTTCCTGGTCAGCGTGGCTTGATGGTCGCTAGCGGAGGCAGTGGACATGGGTTCAAGTTTCTTCCAGTGTTGGGCAGACATGTGGTTGATGTTGTCGAGGGTAGAAAGACAGAATATACAGAGCTTTTCTCTTGGAGGGATGTGCCGGAAGGTAAGAAGAACGGGCTGGAAGAGGGAGAGAAAGGGTGGAGGACCTTGAACAAGCAAAAGCTTGTGCAAAGAGGAATGTGGAAGCTGTAGCTATCTTGATGACTAGTGAGAGTAGCCATACAGATTGGATTTCGCAACTCCATAATCACTTTAGCTTACAGACCTTGTCTACTACAATCAATACTTGCTACATCAGTCTGAGGCATGAGCCTGCTCTGCCATAACCGTGGCCATCACTTGGACTTATCGATAACACAGCAGCCCATGTGCCTTCTTTCAAAGAGCTTGTGCAATGGTCAACAGAAGATCCCAGATGGTCTTGCGAACTCGTCGATGGGTTTGAACCTCCTCGTGGCATCGTGAAGGAAGTCATACTAGATATATGATAGAGCAGAAGTCGCGATCAACAAAAACGAGTCGGCGAGTCCTACGTCAGTCATTCCGGTTCGTGGAAATTGGAAACCAACAACCTCGAAGTCAATTTCACCGTGGCCTCGCCCGTCTTTATATCGTTGACTCTCTCAAGACGACAGGTCGCAATTTAAGAAAATGTCATGTGAGGAGACGGGCGCTATTATTGCTTTTCCGTTTTCGGCTTGATGTATTTTTAAACATGAAACAAAGCCTCCAGCACCAGTCATGATTCGGCTTGACATATGGATCAGAGCGGCCAAGGTCGATTGTTCGCAGACTTGACTCTGCAAATGCTTTTGTCCATTGTCATGTTGCTTGGCTGATGATATTGACATCCCGTCTTGTTCCACTGTTTTCTGCATGCGATTACACAATAGTTGGTCTGTGGACAGCCCATAAATATTTGTTGATCATGGATTGAGCGGCGGATGATCGTCTGGAGAGGCAGAGGTGACGATGTCTTTTCAAGAGACTTCTTATCTTGGCTTGGTGTTGGCAGTCTTATCGTTGTATACTTGTATCAAGTCCGTTGCTGACATGCTCGACTCGCAATCGTATCCGAGAAGTGCGGAGTAGATACTACTGAATCTTCTATGTGGGTGCTGGCAAGATGCAAAGTACTAGAGCACTTGCATCAAGAGGCTGATTCTCTGAATCGTCACACAACATGTTGTCGACTGGGAAACATGTGAAGGTCGCTCGTTGGAAGCAAGGACACTCTACACGCCAGCCGCCCAATATTCCAGTACGAATTGTGATGAGCAACTAACGTTTCTGCGCGAGAAGGACTCATGCATCAAATCTTCTGAAAACACCGGACAATTCTGCCGGCGTCATGTTGATCGCCACTGGGTGCAAATCAATTCTGCAGCAGCAACGAAAGGTGAAAAGACACTTCTTCCCATCTTTGACCAGTGAGACATCAACAGACAAGCACACCGAGCAATCGCTGTTTAACTTTTTCAGAGGGATGCAACACAGTTTCCTGCCACGGCCCACGGAACCTGGGGCTGATCTTTTCTTGACAGAGCGTGCCAAGTCGGAGGGCTCGATCGAGCGACCGAGGAAGCAGCCACATTTTCGTGACGATCATGCGTGTTTCCTAAGGCTCTAACAACGGGTATCACGGGACCCGCTGAGCTTGAGTAGAAGTTGAAAGCATGATTGTAGAAGAGCAAGCTTTNGCGAAGGATGTTCGTGTTGCCGGAACCTTGACGCGACGTCGTGTTCTTTAGAGGCTGGGACTCAGCCTCTCGAGTATGCAAGTCTGGTCGAGAGGGCAACAATTTGAGCAGATAGCANNAGCTGGAATGGTTGGTGTGCTCCACACAAATNNCGCGAACTCGCCACCACTTTCAAGCACGGAAGTNAGTTTAGGGTAAATCTTGTTTGTTTGGGGACGGGAAAGNCAGCCCGGACGTTGATCTGAGCCACGACTGGGGGGAATGAATAGACCGNNAATAGAACAATAGAATCTCCTCCTGATGCGAAATAGATAGGCACTCGAGTCGCTATCAAGATTGGCAGCAGCACGAGAAGAAATANNTAATATGCGGAGTTTTAGTTAAGCAATCAAATCGTTGCTGAAACGGACATGTAATTGACCAAAAGGACGATGCGAGATTGCGGTGGCTGCAGGGATGACATCCAGCCGAAACAGTTCGAGCACTGGGAAATGTCAAAGCGCCTGGCCAACGAGCGAAAGCAAGAGATCGACCATCACATTTTATGACGAGCCGCGGGAGAGGGTGAAGGCAACAGAGTCGAGTTTGACAGGAGCATTGTGTTGAAGGCTTGGATGCTTGGATTTTGGTGGAGCGGCATGCGACCGAGACACGTTCGCCACGCAGTTTGCTAAAGAAAGAGAAGAGTTTCCATTCCGCGGCGCTCTACGGCGGCCAGAGCCTGGGGAAACCTGATGTTTGGCAGTGGTTGTGGTGTTTGCGCAGGAAATAGTCCGCGTAACGGATGTTTGCCACTAAGAAATGGCGGCTTGGCAAGCTCAACCTCGAACGGACATCTTTCAAAACAAGCCCCTGCCCGGCCCTCTCTTTTCACACGCACCTTCGCACCTTCCTCTCGTTGATTTCATTACGAGTGCTTTTGTACCGCAAAAGGCCGCTTCTCCTTTCTCACATTCGCTCTCACATTACTGTTGCATCTGGTCTTTTCCACTTGCACTACACTTATCCCAGCGCTTTCTCACCTGCAACAGTTTATACACTTTCAAGGTATGTTTTCAGCTGCTTTCTAAATCCTCAACACCGACCTGCTTGGCTCTGGCATCTCTTGACATGACCTGTCTTGTGCACTCTGCATTGGATCACTTGTGGGCTGTTGGACCGATGTTCCTGTCGCACTTCGACCCCTCTCTTGTACACTAAACCAAGCCATCAATACTGACGCGCGGCCTCCTAGTTAATTCCCTCTCACAATGTCGATGAAGTACTTTGTTCCGGCACTTGCTGCCGTTGGCGGTGCCTACGCCCAGAGCTCTTGCAGCGTCTCCGGTACTACCACTCTCAACTCTCCCGCTGATGCCTCGGCTCTTTCTGGCTGCCAAACTTTCTCTGGCTCCATCGCCATTGCCACTGGTGTCACTCAGGGCATCAACATCCCTGGTGTTAGAAGAATCACGGGTGACCTTGTCGCAACTAACAACTCTTTGATCCCTTCCATCTCGGGTGACAGCCTCCAAGTCATCGGCGGTGCCTTCAAGCTCGACGAGCTCCAGATTCTTTCGACTCTGTCGTTCCCCCAGCTCAGCCAGGTTGATGCTATCCAATGGAACGCCCTTGCTGGTCTCCAGCAGCTCTCCTTCACCACTGGTGTCCAGCAGGCCAGCGAGCTCAACATCCAGAACACTCAGCTCCAGACCCTTGACGGTATCAACCTTGCTGTTGTCGACACTGTCATGATCACCAACAACAACTACTTGAACGACATCTCCATGCAGCTTGGTAACATCACTAACTCGCTCAACATCGAGTCCAACGGTGGCAACGTCTCTGCCATCTTCCCCAACCTGATCTGGGCCAACAACATGACCTTCCGCAACGTCTCCCAGATCGCCCTCAACTCGCTTGTCTCCGTTAACGGATCTCTCGGTTTCTACTCCAACGAGTTCGAGTCGCTGCAGTGCGCCAACCTTACCACTGTCGGTTCCAACAAGGGTGACTTGACCATCGTCTCCAACCAGAACCTCAACAACGTCTCCTTCCCTCAGTTGAAGAAGGTTGGTGGTGGTTTCTCCATCCAGAACAACACCGACCTCATGGTCATCGACGGTTTCCCTAAGCTTGCCACTATTACTGGTGCTTTCGATCTCTACGGTGACTTCACCAAGTAAGTGTACTGTTCACAAGAATGAGAGATCTCCTACTAACATNACTACAGCGTTTCTGCTCCTGCTCTTAACGAGGTTGACGGTGCCTTCAACATCCAGTCCTCTTCCGAGCTCGGTGGTTGCGACGCCTTCCAGAAGCTGAAGTCTGGCTCTCAGATTCGCGGCAAGTTCTTCTGCAACGGCACTGTCGCTAAGCCTTCCGGTGTTGGCTCCAACCCCAGCGTTACCGGCTCTGGCGGTTCTTCCAAGTCCACCAACACTGGTGCTGCCAACTCCATGTACATCCCCACTGCCGCCGCCGGTGTCATGGGTGTTGTCGCCGCCGTCTTCGGTCTTCTGTAAACGGGTCTTTTCTCGACTTCGTGTTGATCAAATTGCATGGCGTTTCGATTTCATTTTCTTTGTCTGGTAGACTAATCCAAGGGACATCCTCAATCTATCTCAATGACCCGAAGATTCATTCTACTCACATACCGGCTCCGGGTTTGACTTGAGCGAAAGCATTCTTTTAAAATACAGGATAGCGTGTGCATCGAATGGTCCTTTTACTCACAAAGTTTATTTCCTTTTTTTCTCTTTAATGGCTTCTAACGAGTTAGGCGGACGGGTCTATTGTAATAACTCATATGAGATTCTTCGTGTGTATACTTCAAACGAAATTGTTTACTCAAAGCGCTTGTCTTCGCGACGAATTGATGTGCTTGCTGCTTGTTGATTTGAATCGTTCAACCTGAGACATGCGGCGCATGATTAGCCGACGAGGTGTCGCATGCGAGGGCCTTTTGACTTTGAACACAGGGAGGAGCCTTACCCTGAGGCTCTGAGCTTCTCTTGAACGTCACCTCGTGCTATGATCGAGCTGTGCCTTCACCTGATTTCGTTTTTACAGCAGAAGTCTTCTGAGCCCTCCGATTCAGCACCATACTGACCCGCTGATGCCATGAGGGGTGGACCTGTGTTTCCATCCGGGGACCTCTCAGCATGAGGTCGCCGAAGTACTGCATCTGCATCGTTCATGACAGCATGCATCAGATGCCGCGCGAGACCTGTTTCATCAGTCTTCAACATGTTGTGTCACCGTAGATGGTCCTAACTCCGTGCCTGCTAGAAAGAGTAGGCGTACAAGAGATATCCGCTGCGCATGGGCTTGTTGATTGCAGTGGGGCACCGCCTGCATGAGCTGGACGCCTCTCTGCAGAGGCAAGCCGCAAACCAACCGGGGCATCCGGATGCATGTACAAGAGTCATTGATGCTGCTCGTGTAGTACCAGCCCTCTGCTCATCATTCAACGACCGCTCTTGCATACCGACCATTAACTTCCGGCACTTGGGCTCATCGCGCGGTAGATTAATGAATGCCCACCAACGATTGGTCCAATGACTCCAGTCATACCTGCATCTTCCCGAGAGTAAGCAGCTCACAGCGGGGGAACAAAGCTGGTGGTCTACGCTTGCCTAGAGGCTAGAGCACCATTTGGTCCGCCAAGATGTCTCCAGAACTCGGTCAGGCAGCTGTTGCATGTCTCTCGACTCATTGTTCAGCCTCTCTATAACCATACTACCAACATTGGGCGCCCTGTGGATACTCTTCTCTTGCTGGCTTGGAGCATGCTCATCTGGTGCTCTGGAACAGGTGCACGCTCCCGTTTGTTCCACAAGCAGTCGGGTGTGCATTTCCGCTTGCTGTTCGCATGGCAAGGTTGACGTCTGGAGAAGCAGCTACCCGTTCGACAACGACATAATGATGGTATCCAAAGTGCAGTACACAGTACATGGCCTGCTCGACTTGACAGGCAGACAAGAGACAAGTCGCATGTCAAGTTAAGTTACAGATGTAAGCTGCTGCGTATCTCCAAGGTGTCAGGCGCTCCAGGGAGATTTTCCGATCGATGCGGCACGGGTACTCCACTCATCAACATTAACAGCGGCTTTCGGATCTGGTCCGCGATAGCAAGGGATTCAAAACCAGGATGCCGGACCCTCACATCAACAACCACCTATCGCAAGCAATTACGACGTGAAGCACGATCAACCTGGTCAGACATTTCGGGATGGCGCTCGTTCTATTGGCAAGCTACCAATTAATCAATCTCATCGGTCNNATTCTTTGATCCTTCGAGTCTCTGATATATCAGANNTTTGCTCTCGTCACAGCTGCTCGTGCCTGGCTAGTTTGCTCTGATCTTGCACNNTGCGCCGCGCAAAGATGGACGAATCACAGAGACCCATCTGCCCAAGGCATGGATACAAACCCACTATCTTTGCCGCCAGCATCGGNNCTTTTTGTCCCGATTTTAGTTGCGTCTTTCAATACGACATACCCCTTGACACTTTTGCATNTCACAATTGGCATGCAGAAGAATGCCNTCACATAGATCTTCATGTCTTGTTCTGCAAAGCCCACAGGTATGTTGAGCGTCAATAGATTGTCCAAGAAGCAGCGGTGAAGGAACATGACGCATGCTAGCAAGCCCCAAAATGGAACGATTTGGGCAGCTGCGTGACTGAAAGAAGATCTGGAAGGGAGCTGACCAGGTTTACGAACCTTGGACCCTGCAGATAGCTCAAGCGCCTGCCGCTTGCACCAGGAAGTTGGTGAACACAACCCGTAACTGCCCTGAGCGGTAGTGGCTACGATACTAGCACTAGCGTCACGCTGTGTGCAGACGCCGGCAGCTGGATGGAAAATGACATGATCGAGTAGACGCGATACTCACCATATTGTGGAGTGCTGTAAGTATGTCAAGTCGGTAGACACCTGCCTTTTCATCTTCGGTTCTTCATCATTCGTCCTCACATTTACAGTGCGTCAATCGGTTGGGTTTATTGCTCACCGTTAATTGTTCCTGTTCTCTCTTGTTCTTTCTTGGGTTGGTTTTTTTGTTTGGCTTTTTCTTGTTTCGAACGTGTATCCCATCACATCGACAAGAGCTGGACATCGTGTCAATCTCCATACGCCCCTATACACAGACCATCAGACCTTTATTCTCTGGTCTGCGCCTGAAATAAGGAAACAAAACACTTACCTATTTCCTCGTCTTTACAGAGGATATCAATATGATTTACGAATCGTGAGTACCCGACCTGAGCAAGGTACAGAGGTCATTAGAGTTAACACAGTCTAGGCATAATCAGAAAGCTCTCAAACGTAGAGCAGTGAACCGTGCTGAGCAGGTTAGTGGGCATCTGATGTCCCGTCCTGTGTATGCTCGAGAGGACATGGCTGCAACTCGCATGCAGCCAGCCACTGGTACACCATCATTCGTACATCATCAAACTGGTCTGCCTACGAAGATGGTGCCTAGTCCTGAGCACAGCCCTGCTTCTACCGCTGCGTCTCTTCCATCCTTCAAGTATCTTGCTCAGGTCGCTGATCAGTCGAACCTTCAATACATGCGGGCTCCTTCGCTTGGGTGTGAGTATGTCCCAGTTCCTCTCATCAGGACGGAGTCTACATATGTTTCGCCTCCTGAGTCTGTCGCTTCACCCACCCCTACTCCGTCTAGGTCTGTTTCGCCAGTCATGACGCACATGGTGTTGCCTATCAGGCGAGCCAAGAGACAGAGTCCTTCTTACAGAGTTGAGAAGAAGACCAAGCCTGCAAAACGCAAGGACTACTCTTCGATGGCCCAGGCACAAGAAATCGAGAATAACCGACGAATTGATGAGGCCCAACACCCCTACAAAGAGGGTATCCAGATGCCCGTCAATGGCTACCTCATGCCTGGCGGCAACTCGAACCATGTTGACGGCCATCGATCATTCCCTCGATTTGATCGTCCATATGTGCCTCGCGAGGCCAAGCGTGCCAAATCGGTGACTGGCAGCAGCGACCCCAACACTAGGCACAACGTTGCACAGACTCATCTTCGAGCTGAGAAAGGGGGCTCAAGAATGGTTCTGCAACGTCTGCTCGTCAGTGGCTTGGGCTGGAGAGGTCATAAGCTCCAGACGGTAGTCAATGCTAAGAGCAGTGGCATGCTGTATGAGGAGAAGGACTTGCTGCAAGCCAGCACCCAATTCAATGCTTTTGCTATCGTCATCATGCAAGAGCTCTTCGGGGTAAGAGGTATGCAAGAGCTTGGCAGCATGCTTGACCTGTTTGAACCAGAGGATGTTCAGCCTGCAGATGTGGTGAGAGGCCCGCTTGACGATGACAAGACATACGGCCTCAAGTGTCAAGCAGCCAGGATCCAGGTCATCGAAGAGGCACATCTGCCGCTCGGTCTGAAGAACGTGCGGAGCCGAGACGAGCTTCTCCAAATCATCGAGCAGAAGCTGATGCCTATTGCCAGCGACTACGGCAGAGTTGCATTACAACAAATGTTCTTTTCTAAGCCCAGACAAGACCGGGCTATGTTTTGAGTGAAAAGGAAGGCAAACCGTTTTTGGAGATGGTTTAATGATTCTAACGAATACCCTTTGTTCTGTTTTCTTGTTTTGGATGAGGTTTTGCAGCGGATCAAAAATTGTCTGATCAAGGGAGAAGAGGAGAAATGTCCCGGCAGCATATTTACCAACTTTACAGCATATATTGTATGTTCATTAATAATAAACAGATGATCGAATCTTATGAAAGCGATTGTTCAGAAGTGAATGTCTGACTCAGGGGCTGGAGAGGTACGCAATAATTAGGTGGCTTTGAGCAGAAGGATGCTGGGGTTTCCAAGTTCTAGAAAATCATTGCCGAATGGGGGCGTGGCAGAGACGAGAGGCCAGCCCGTCGCAACAGCAAGCAACGACTGCAGACAGAAGTCGCAATTCCCCTTTAAACGAGCCAGGAAGGAGCTAAGATCCAGAGAAAGTCATTGTCATTACCGCTCTTGCCCTCGACCTTCGCACGTATAGCTCTTGGCAAGCCAAGGTACAGATCCTACGCCAGTCAACGCTCTCCGGGTTCCTGAAGCGCCAGCCAGCGCCGACGAGGTTGCTGTCATCTCGACTTTCCCGCGACAGGCCGCCTGGTTTGACGTGGTCGTAACTGCATATCGCCATGCTTCTGCCTAAGAATGGCGTGTCCTGGAAGGCGGCACAGGCCAGGCTGCCTCCGACCAGAGCCATATGGACTTTTCTCACACGCACCCGCTTCCTGTTGGTCGTCGCCATAGTCGGCCTCGTTATCTTGTTATGGAGGGNNGGAGTCACAGGTACTGCCGAGGACCTGCAANAAGTAAGCTTGAACCTCCTGCTCCTGCTATCTCGTGCGACAGACGGCCTCGACGACGTCGACAGTTGCCCTGTGCTGTAGCTCTCGATAGCTCTCAATTCATCATGCTGACCCGACAGGTTCTACTGCTTCGGTCCGGCCAAGTCACCAATGCAAATGACACCCAATGAACAGATGCTATGGACCGGAAGCCTACAAACCCCCGTCATCTTCAATCACCACGCTCCCGTCGAGATCAACCACACCACCATCAGTAGTGTCGACCTCAATCCCATAAAGAGCACGAGACAAGCCATCGACAACAAGGAGCGCGTCCTCCTTCTCACCCCTCTACGCGACGCCGCCNCCTACATCAACAAGTACTTTGATCTCCTCGTTGAATTGACCTACCCTCACGACTTGATCGATCTCGCTTTCCTGGTCGGCGACAGCACTGATGACACACTTGCCGTCCTCTCCAAGGAACTCGAGCGCATCCAGAATCGCCCCGACGCGACTCCCTTCCACAGCGCTACCGTTGTTCAGAAAGATTTCGGTGTTCATTTGAGCCAAAATGTCGAGGACAGACACGGTTTCGCTGCTCAGGGCCCGCGTAGAAAGGCAATGGGCAAGGCTAGAAATTACCTTCTCAGTGCTGCTATGAAGCCTGAGCACAGTTGGGTCTACTGGCGCGACGTCGACATCAACGATAGCCCTTCCAAGATCATTGAGGACTTTATCGCCCACGACCGCGATGTTCTTGTTCCTAGTACGATCATGTGCTGAGCCCATCTCGAGAATGTACCACTAATTATGATACAGNACGTCTGGTTCCACCGCTACGAGAACGGCCGCGATATTGAAGGAAGATTCGACTACAACTCATGGCAAGAGTCCGAAAAGGGTCTCAAGCTGGCCGCCACACTTGACAAAGATACCGTCTTGGCAGAAGGTACATTCATCTCCACTGCGATCCTCCCCCAGCAGACGCTAACAACCATCACCTTACAGNGCTACAAAGAGTACGACACAGGCCGCACATACATGGCCAAGATGGGCGACTGGCGCGAGGACAAGGACGTCGAAATTCCACTGGACGGCATCGGCGGCGTCAATATTCTGGTCAAGGCCGATGTCCACCGCTCCGGTATCAACTTCCCTTCCTACGCGTTTGAGAACCAAGCCGAGACAGAAGGCTTTGCGAAGATGGCCAAGCGTGCGGGATACGGTGTTTATGGATTGCCGAATTACATTGTGTGGCATATTGATACGGATGAGAAGCCTGGAAACGCGTAGATGCTTGGTTGATTTTGATAGAGATGTATTCTTCTTTTTTTCCCTCTTGTTGCTTGTATGTGTTGTTTCCCTTTATGCGCCATGAGCGTGTTGCTCACATCGTCTTGCGTTTTTGGTGTTCGTTTTTCTCTTTCCCTTCGGTTGCTGCTGGAAAGCATTTGGATGAGGTATGAGCTGTCAGAAGGACAGCAAGGAAGAATAAGGCAGACAAACCCACAGCATTTGCATCGAACACCTTTGCCCTTGTGGGAAAATCAAAAGGTCAACTGTTTTGGTTGTTTCTAGCACACAAGTTATGTCATCTCAAGCCCTCTCTCTATACGGGCTCTGAGTTGTTCCTTTTTTATAATCATCTTATGGATACCTGTTCGAATTATTTTCTCTTCAAGGAGCTGACGTTATCCTCCTTCCTCTCTCTTATGCACGTCTCGCACGCTTTTTGTGATTCTAATGTGAGGGCCACTATTTTGTTGGCAAAGGACGGTCGGTTATGTGGTACTCGGACCAAGTTTCGACCTCAGAAGCTTTAGGGAACTCGCAGACGGGATACCGTCCAATCAAGTGCCGAGAACATATATCCAGCAGCGGCTTTGGTAGAGGAAAGTATTAAAGAATCCATATCATACTATTCATAAGAGGTAGGGTGCTGAGGTGAGATGGATGGAGACTTGAAGGTGAGGAGCAGGGTGATACCATTCACCACCAGGACTTGGTGAAATCGCAGCATAAAACGGCTGGGTACATGGACGTCTCTTTGTATGGCATCAAGCAAATACAGTACAACATCACAGCAAGACAAAGGCTATACAAATCGTCAACAATAGATGAGAAACAAGCGACGCGAAAAACCAAAGGTCGATTCTGAGTAAACCCACACACAATGTGTGATTGTAATGTGGTTTTCTACCAAGTGGCCTGCTAGCGATTCAGACTTAGCAGATTCTCGACATACTTCCTGGCATCAATGCCAATACCTCCTGCCAATGCAGCAGCACTTCCCCATCCCTTATCGCCAGCCCCATCCTCACTGTTCTCAGCACCTCCAGCTCTAGCGCCGACAAGATTATACATGCCACTGCTAACTCTACTCGCCATGCTCTTAGCACTGGCCATGCCCCTNCTTTCAACAACATGATCTCTAGCTTTGCGGACCAAAAATGCAGTTCTACAGTGCTCAGGACGAGGATGTTTCCCATCGCCCTCGCCGGGTTGAGGAATCCGTAGCCAGACGACCCACCAGTGCCGTGTTGTCTTGGATGTGCGTTCTGTTTCTTGGGCGTTGCGTGCCGAGTGCTGTAACGTGAAGAGGATGTGGCTGTGTACGTTTAGCGCTTCCAGACGTGTCCATTGGGGAGGTGCGTCACGGCCTGAACTCGTTGTGCCGACGCTGCCTTCATAGGGTGTAACTTGCCCCGGCTCAGGAATGTTAGGTAGAGAAGTGTGACAAGTCAGGTTTACAGGATCGTAAACGAGGTCGAAGACAGGACTATTGCGGGGTGGTGAATAAGGAGGGCTCTGCGGGTTTATAGACGCAGGCTCTGGAGGCGAAGTATGCGCTGCTGCTATCCTATCCGCCACTTTCTGCGCGGACGTGCTGTTGAGGAGCGATTTGTGCAGCGGCCGCAAATGCTTGTGGAGTTCGCGGTAAAAGCCCGTAATGCTGAGCGACGGCGTCCTCTGCTCAAACAAAAACACATGAATAAAAGGTCGATGCACATACACCAAAACACGCAACCGCGACGAAGTATCCTGATTCACAAAACTGTCTCGCGAGTCCAGGTCATCGTTTTGGTTGTCTCCCTTNTCTGTGAGTTCGACTTTTACGGTGCGCAACGTGTTTCGTTCGGCTTCGGGGATTTCGGAACCGCCGATTGTGGTGTCGCTGTCGTCGTCGTTCTCTGCTGGTTCGCGTTCGAGATCGCCGTGGTAGCCGACGAGGAAGTGGCCTTTGTTTTCTTGTCGGCGTTGGCGTTGCAATGCGGCCATTGCTTGATAACCATCTGGAGTAGGATCTAAGTGCTGCATTGGTGGTTCGTCCTTGTGGTCGTCTTTTACTTTGGAGATGGAGACACCCTTGACAGTCTTTGAGCTAGATGTTGAAGTACGACGCGGGCCCTCTGGTCGCTTTGGCGACTCTGAGCGTTTCCCACCTGATGCCAGACCAAAAGTGAGATACTTGACCCATTTGTCAGAGCTTCCAAGATTCCATGATGAGGATTGTTCAGAGGATGGCGGGGGTTGGTTGGGAGCGTGAGACTCTGCAGAAGCGCTAGCTCGATCAAGTGAAGCTTCGACAGCGCTGACAATGGGAGGTGGTATACCAGGATGAGAAGCAACCTGAGCGCCTGGAGTACCGGTAGCATGATCGTGAGAAGCGACTCTGTCATGCATTTGCGGACGAGGGTCAGGTGGTAGCTTGATACCCTTCAACTTGTCTATAGCTTTGTTCTTGAGCTCTTCTTCGGTGGCAGTAGGCGCTTCAGACTCTGGATCCGGGTCGTTCACGGGTTGACGCCTGCGTCTCTTGCGGCGCTGTCGATGTGGATTGTCCTTTACGCCATAAGCGTGCTCACCATAGGCATAGATATCGCGAACCCAGGTGGAGATGTCTCGAACAGAAGGGCGGGTGATTGCACCCACACCACTGAAAATGAGGCCATCTGGAGCCTGGGGCTCAGTACCACAGCCTAGCCACGGGAGACCTTGACGAGCATCATGGAGAGTGTTTTGAGATGGATCATCGTCGGTGTAGTCGTCCTCAGGAGGCGCAGCTTCACCAAAACGGTGGACGAGCAAGTCGACCAGGCCTTCAGTACGATGTACCAAATCTTCAAGCACCTCTCTGTCCCCACTGCCCCAATCTTCCTCGCCTACGCCGTAGCCCAATTCGCCTCCAGCTGCAAGCTTCAAGCCTCCGAAGATGTCAACAGCGGGGTTGCCGTGGAGCAGGACGTCCCAGTTGCGACAGAAGCGGGTCCAGAAGCGATCGAGGAGGGCCGAGAATTTGTCTCTCGTGAGCTTGACATACATGTCGCTGAGCGAAGGACCATGGTGTAGTGTGAAGACGCGATAGGCGGTCAAGACTTGTTGTAGAAGGAGTGGAGCTGGGCTGACCTCGCGCGATGAGTATTCGTACTCTTGGTCTTTGTTTGAAGACGGGAGACGTGTGAGGTCGACGGACNNTGCAGGGGACACCATGAATGAGTATATCGATACAGAGAGGCAGAAAGAGGAACGACGTACAGCCAGGACCCACCAGTCCTTCTCCAGCTCGTGCATCAGGATACGCGACTTCTCCGTCTCGACGGCTTCAATGGGTTCACCATCGGAAAAGTTCCTTGCNTATGTTTAACACGCAGACCTCTTTTGTCAAGCATGCAGCTGGCTGTACCTGGCAAAGCCCGCCATGCCCTGCGCAAGGCCAATCTGGCGTAGCTTCTCATTCTCACTCAGTCGCTCCTCGTCGGCCGTTGCTTTGGCTTTCGTGCGTCCATCCCTGGCTGATCGCGAATAGTAAAAGACGACCTGGTCGCCGAATGTTTCGTCAGTCGGTCCCAGCGGCGGGCTGTAGATGGAGAAGAAGGACAGTTGCGCCGGCGTGAACTGATCCGCATCCATCTCGAGATGACCTCTAATCCGCTAGCCACGTTGATGTGTCGCTCATTGAGGCTCTAGACTGCTCGTGCGCGGCTGCAAACACCGTGACGTCGATTCGCGCTTAGACTCGATTGACGACTGAGATCGTGCAACAAGAGACGACAACCTTCACGTCTTTCTTCTATTCTAATGTTCTACCAAGCTAGGTCTTTTCTCTTTCATATGTCTTAGTATATTTCATCAATGTCGTTGTCTTCTATACCAAACACTGGTGTTGCCATCACCAACCCTCTCGTACTATACCGCGCCCTGCTTGCAACGAACCGTATAACTCAAGATCCAGCCCAACATAGACTTGGTAAGTTCGTTATGCTGATTTCTCTCGAGTACTAAGATATCAATGTTTCCCAGNCAATTCATCTACAGAAACTATATGACCGATTAAAAGACTATGAGCCTACTGTCGAGTACAAGCACAGACTCGATCAGATAACCCGCGCTGTGGGCCCTTCAGTAAACACCAATGTAGAACCAGATCCACAGAAACGAGGAGTCTGGCAAAGCCTCCTTGCTCAANAAGAGAAACGAGACAGTCTAGCTCTGACCAAAGTCTTGACTAGCCATGAAGCCGCCATGAACCTCGACTCGCCTAGAGGCCTCATGCTGCATGGCGAAGTAGGCACAGGCAAAAGTATGCTCATCGATCTCTTCGCCGATTGTTTGCCGAACAGGAAGAAGGCTCGCTGGCACTTTAACACTTTCATGCTGGACACGTTTGCCAAATTGGAGCTGCTAAGACGAAATCGTTTGACCAGATTACCTCAAGCGGCTGGTGCTGAGGTGGAAGAGCATTCGCTACTCTGGCTCGCTCGTGATATGATCAACACTTCTCCCATCCTCTTCCTTGATGAGTTCCAACTACCGGATAGGGCTGCCTCAAAGATCATGACAAACTTGATGACTTCCTTCTTCCAACTTGGTGGTGTGCTCATCGCAACAAGCAACCGGATGCCTGAGGAATTGCACAAAGCCGCTGGATTGGCATTTCCACCACCTTCGCGCTTGCAATCTCTGACTCAAAGACTGGGAATGGGACGAGCTACGAAGGGCAAGAGTGAAAATATGTTTGCTGGTCAAGGTGAATTTGCCGGCTTTCTCGAGGTTCTCAAGGCTCGTTGCGAGATCTGGGAGATGAGCAGTGGCAAAGATTATCGCAGATATGAGGCCAGCTCTCAAGCTCCTCCACCAATCGCGGAAGAAGATCGATTCGAGGATATCACAGATGCGGAAGCGTTCGAAAGCGACTCTGCTGTATCAGGTATTCCAGAGGAAGCCTCAAAGCAAGAGCCAGAGACACAACCCAATGCTACAAGAGCCCCCACCTACTTCTTGATAGTGCCAGGCCCTGAAGCTTCAGAAGAAGAACAAACAGCCTTCCAGACCAAAGTCTCAGAAGCCGAACAAACGCTTCTAGGCTCAGCAGCTTCTTCGATCGACTGGACACCGTCCAGCATACGCGTCTATGGCCGTAAAATCCCCATACCACGTTCTCACAACGGCATATCCTCTTGGACATTCTCCGAACTCTGTGCTTCCAACCTCGGACCTGCAGACTACATAACCCTTGCCTCGACCTACCACACCATCATCCTCTCTGACGTACCCATACTCTCTCTTCTTCAAAAGAACGAAGCCCGTCGCTTCATCACTCTGCTCGACGCCCTCTACGAAGCCCGCTGCAAACTCCTCATCACCCACGCCTCCGCGGGTCCCGACGAGATCTTTNTCCCAGAGAAGAGCACTGCCGAAGGATTAAACCAAGACGCCGTCTACGCCGAGACCTTTGCAGAAGCCTATCAAGACGCCACCGCCCCCTTCCGCCCCAACATCCTTTCTTCCAATCCCGATTATGCCGAACCCTCTGCACAGCCAGAGCCAGACTACACTCATTCACGCTTTGAAAACCTGCTCGCTGCAGACTCGCTAGAAGATGATCCTCCAAACCGTATCCGCCGACTCTCAGAGCAGCAGGGTGACCGCGGTCCCGTTGACCCAGACGACGATTTCAGAATGCGTGGATTGAGGCAAGGTAACTCGCCAGACTTCAGCAACGTCAAGAGTTTCACAGGCGAGGACGAACGCTTTGCTTATCGCCGCGCACAATCCAGACTTTGGGAGATGTGTGGTAGGAAATGGTGGGAGCGAGTGGAAGAAGGTTGGCATAAACCTTTGCCAGTGTCTATTCGCTCGTGGGAGAACCCCTCTTCCCCCACTTCCCCTTCTTCAGCATCTGCTGTGTTCACGCAGGCAGAAGCCAATGATGCTAGAATGGGATCTTCAAGGGGTGTCGATGAAGTCAACGATGAAGTCATGTTTAGACATGGCGCAAGTCCTTTCAGAAGGTCTGAAGAACCACCACCAAAGTTTTCTTGGACACATGTTTGGGGCACTGTCAAGTGGGGGAAGAAGGCAGGTGCTTGGGGCCAAGGTGTTGATGGATTGAAGGATAGGAAGAAGTAAACAACAGCAGCGAATGTATACTTCCAAGAAGCTTTTGTATAGTAACCTTCAAATTTTTGGGCCTTTTGTTGCAAAGGAATAAGTCGAAACGTCATTTTGAAGCATTCATTGGTGAATTGTGAAATCGGTGAACAGAAAGCAGAGAAGTAGTGTGTTTTGATAATTGGTTACGTGTTTAGTCGAACAAGATATAGAAAAAGCTCAAGGTATGTTGACCTTAAACATGGACCGATATGCCCACGCTCCCGAAGGAGGAGACATGCCGGTGAGTAGTAGGACAGAAAGTCAATCTTCTTTGCACTTAAAATTGGACAAGGCCACAGAGAAGTGGGCAGAGTCCAGAGTGTGGCAAAGTGAAGGGTGTAAGAAGGAAGGGGAAGGTATGAGAAGAGGAAGAGAAGGAAGTTGTGATGTTACCTTTGTAAGCCTAAGGTGAAAGACTGTTAGTCAGAGAAAGAAATGCACATTGATGGTCAGTCAAAAAGTGGCAAGTAGAGGAGTAGACAGAATGCGGGTATCTTTCGTTCATCAGCCCAGAGCTGGACAAGTGCATTCCGTAAGCTATGTCACAAGACGCTGTGTATGGCCAAAAACAGAGGGAGCAGCAGCAAGGCGGAAAATGAAGATAGCTCTCTTGCAGCGGGGAAGAAAGAGACGATGTTGTTGTGGGTGTTTTTGGAAACTTGTTTTTCATTTTTGTTCGCAAAGGTCCCATTTTCGCCAAAGCCGATCAACCCGCAAGCATGATGATGTTGACACCAAGTGATGTAAAAGAGAATCTTTTGTTGTTGCGCTTGTTCCCGCCCGCGAATAGAAGAAAGCGTAAGAGTCGTACAACTGCAGAGTGACGAGTTGTTTACGATCTGGGCTTCTCCTTCTTCTCCTTCCACAGAGCAGAGAGACCGACACCGGAGACCTTGACGACCTTGAAACGGACACCGGGAATATCACCCTTGGCCTTGCCCTTGCGACCGAAACCGGCGAGAAGGACCTCGTCGTTCTCATCGACGAAGTTCAAGCAACCATCGTTGGGGACTGGTTAGGTCAAAGTTAGTCGTGTTGTATGCGCTTTCCTCTGCGTCTTTCACGTACCGAAAGCGGTGACCTTCTTGCCGTTCTTGATGAGCTGGACACGGACACACTTGCGAATGGCCGAGTTGGGCTGCTTGGCCTCGACACCGACCTTCTCGAGGACGATACCCTTGGCGTGAGATGAACCACCGAAGGGCGAAGACTTGTAGGCGGTACCGAGAAGACGCTTCTTGTAGTTCAGATCGGCCCAACGACCCTCACGGCGGGTGTTCTGGAGCTTGCGGGCGGCGTTGAGACCTCTTGGCTTTCCTTTACCCATGATTGCTGCAGACGAGTTGTGTTAGTGGATGTGTTCGAGAGGTTTGAGTTGACAAGTTGAGATGTGGCGGGCGCGCGCGTTTCGGAGTGAAGAGTCGTGGGGACGGCGAAGGGCACAATGGCGATTGTGGTGTTGACGGGCTCGAGGAGGATATGGAATAGCACCTACCGGTTGTCGATGTCGGTGGATGTCGATATCACAGAGCGGTCGCGAACGAGAGATTCAAAAGAGGGCACCAGCAAATCGCGAATTCTCAGGTGCGGCAGCGGAGTTTTCCGTCAGTGCGGCAAGCGACCATATTTCTTGGCGTCAGCGGGCTCGGAAAGCGTGGGAAGCCAGAACCTTGGAAGTGCAAGTTCAAGCAACTCCAGGATTTTGGTGCCCTGCTCTCACTCGTCGTTGCTCATGCACGCACGCACGCCAACTTGCTTGCTGCACTGTATGTAGCTCTGGCAACGCTAAGTATCACTTGCAATGGCAATCTGTTTTTCTCTCCGTCTGAGCTTGCATCCTCTGCTTGATCTCAGTCTAGCTATCACGACGATAGCTTCTTTTCATCGTCTTGATCACTATTGTTATCCCTACGTTCAAGTAAATCCTCAGTCTAGAGCTTGCGAGACGATCCTTCCAGTGCAGCACAAATGCGTAACACGGCTACTGGGCTCCTAGCTCTACCTGCTGCTCTGTTCACTACCATCTTTGCGAAGCCTGCCTACAGTCAAGACTGGCCTTACAACTTACCTCTAGGTGCAAAGTATTATCCTGAACACGAACACCATATCAGGCGAGACTTGGAAATACAGCAAAAACTCAACCTGAACTCACCATGTGGCATACGAAAGATGAGTGACAATGAAGGCGAAAAATTCTTTATGGACTACTGGCAATTCGACGAACAGACATTCGACTCCACTGAGATGGACAAGCTCCAAACCGCTCGACGCCCAGTCAGCTCTGCAGCACGGTTGTCGAACATATCCAACGTTGAAGAATTGCTCCCACCACTGCTCTTGCATGCAGAATCTCAACAGTTTACTCCTAATCACAAATTCTTTGGTCGTAGCTTGTCCGAAAGGGCGTATCAATGCCCGACTGGGACTAACAGCTGCGCATCGATTGGGTATCCGAATAGCTGTTGTGCAACTGGCGAAACCTGCATGTCTCTCCCGGAAAACGATGGAGCAACAATAGGCTGCTGTCCTGAAGGTGCGAGCTGCGGCGGGCAGATCGGGTCGTGTGATACCGCTGCTGGATACACAAACTGCAAAAATGATAATGGTGGTTGTTGCATCCCTGGCTATACATGCCAGGGTATTGGATGTGAGCTGACTAGAATATTCATGCCAAGCCTTCTTTCACTGATATAGTATCTAGGCGTATATGCATCAACCGCCACAACAACCACTACACTGCCAATAGTCACTGTGACAACCGGGGCTTCATGGTCGACGTTATCTGATAGCACGACCACCAAGACCTTCATTATTCCAGCAGGTTCTTCATCGCAACCAGGATCGATCTGCACTACGACGACCACTCTAGTGATCACAACTTCTGGCAACGCCATGACAACGACAGTCGTTGAAACGACGACCATCCTTCCATCTTCGGCGGCATCGACAACATCGTTGATCCCTTCGATACAGACTAGCTCTTCGTCCTCAGGTCAAGGCCCACTAACATGCAGTCCTGGTTTTCAATCGTGCCCAGCGAGCCTTGGAGGCGGTTGCTGCCATACTGATCGAGCCTGTGGCTCTGTGACTTGCCCGCCACTATCCACCGCTGCTCCGCCTGTTCTTCCAACGAGTGGAACTGGACCAGTCTCGACCTCCGCATTGTCATCGAACACTGAGACGCGCAGGACTACCTCAACGTCCAATACTGTTAGCTATTCTGGCTGCCCAACTGGGTTCTATATGTGCAGCGCATATTATCTTGGAGGATGCTGTCGAGTTGGAAGAAATTGCGACACAACGAGTTGTCCTACTTCTGAAAGCACAGTGGTAGCCACCAACTCTGAACTGACAGTGATGGCTCCTAGCGGTGCTAGCTCTGCAGCTCCGAGTGGAAATTGTGCTAATGGCTGGTTCAGTTGTGCAGCCAGTGTGGGTGGAGGATGTTGTCCATCTGGCTATGGCTGTGGGGCCAGCTGTACAGCCATGGCTAGCGGACAGAGTAATGTTGGCAAGGGGTCGCCTAGCGAGGCAGCAATTGCAAGAGCGTGCGAATGGATTATTCTGAGCTTGAGCATCCTCTCAGGTGTTGGAATGATCTTCTTATGATCTATCGACATTCGGCATGGAATTGAACTATACCCATTTTATGTTCGAGTTCTCTGATTGAGCAAGCAACATTAGCTAGCTCCGAAGGGATTTCTGAATGGGAGGGGAAAGCGACTATGATGATGACTCGACATGCAGAAATGTAATATACGATACAGGAATTGGCATTGACGACAAAAGGCCACGCTGGTGTCACGCATCTTCACATGCTTCTGCCAAAAAGCAAACCCAGCCGCGTGATGTCTACAGCAATCCACTCCGAGTACAGCAGGTAGGTAACCCAAGCGAGCCTTTAGAGTGGCTTCAGAGAAGGTGCGGCGCGGGGTACAGGCCAATCAGACGTCAGACCATTAATTCACGCTTCTGCTTCTTTGCGGTCACAAAAGTCAACCTCTATCCAGAGCTTTCGCCCACGCTGCCGTCGCTGATTCTGTCGAGTCAATATCCATACTACTCCTGCTGAATAGTCGTATCCAAGATCCTTCCTCGACCGGCGACGGCGTGCCCGCCCAATTCGTCGTCTGAAGCCTGTCCTGCTTCTGGAACCCGTATACCTACCTGTCGATTCGCTCACGACCAGACGGAGGCTTCGTTCGTTCTGTCACTGGCTCGTCGACGTCTTGGAAGCCTGCCGAGAACCCCGTACCCCGTATATCGTTGCCTTGCTTAGTCGTCAAACACGCCGAGAGCCAATGGAGCGCACGCCGCTCGTTCAAAAGCGCGCGAACTGAAAGACACTCTTGTCTTCAGCAACAATCTTCCGCGAACAACATACACTTCGCACCACCCAGCATGAGAGATCCTGACTCTGNNGAAACCACCAAGGCGCACAACAAGCAGCAGACCTCTGCTCAACCACACAGATTTGGCATTCTGAACTACGAAAACAGTGATGATGTCAAGAGATTGGCTGTAAAGTGGAAGGTCGAGCTGGCTTCCGCATCATCCAGCATGCTCTCGACTTTCATCGCAGTAAGCCTTGTGCCACAATACATCTTCAGTCTACCTCGACGCTAACGAGTCTTGTGTTAGTTCCCCCTCGACTTCGCCAAAGTCCGCATGCAATCGTGAGTAGGCGTCATGTATATTCTGTGTGTCTCTGCTGACCAAACCCAANGCTATGACACTAGATTCCTTCCAACTGTCAAGGATGCCTACCAAGTTGAAGGTTTGCGCGGTTTCTGGAGAGGTACGCATGGTGTTTGCTAAGCATTGGTTGCATGTTTGCTGATCTCAATCTTCANNGGTGTTGGCGCCCCGATGGCTAGTGTGACTCTGGTCCGCACAATCTCCTTCAGTCTCTATGCACGCTCTAAGCAGGTGGTCAATCACTACATGACCCAGCTGACCGGAGAGTCGCCTCTCGAACTGGCCAACAAGAAGGGACAATCCCCTACCTTGTCAACCATCGCCTGCTTCAGTAGTGCTGGAGCTATCGCTGGTGCGGTCATCACCTGTGTCTCTTGTATGTCTATCTCGGTAACCATGTCGAACATCCGCTAATTCAAGCAAAGGCNNCCCTTCGAGTTCATCAAGCTTAACGCGCAGCTGGCTGGAAAGATGAAGAGAGACGCCAACCCTTCAGACCGCCCTCAGCCTATCAGCGACCTTCGCACTGGTGCTTTCAAGACCGCCCAGCAGCTTGTTCGTGACCGTGGTATCCGTGGTCTCTACTGTGGTTACCGCCTCCATCTTGGTAAGTCCTTCACAGCACATGCTTGACACTTTGAGCAATCGCTTACGAAGTACCATGTAGTTCGCGACACTCTTGGTACTGCTATCTACTTCGGTACCTATGAGACTGTCAAGCAGACGCTCTCCAACGCTCGTGGAAACGGATCCGCAGAACCCGCTGCAGTCGCTCTTGCTGGAGCTACTTGTGGCATCGTCAGTTGGGTCATGGTATGTACATTGCAACTGACCACTCTGATCCTGATGCTAATCATTGTACAGATCTACCCAATCGATGTGGTTAAGACTCAATACCAGAAGGCCCAGCTTGAGATGGGCTCTTCCAAAGTCTCCCGTCCCGAGATCAAATTTTTCCAACCTGGCTCGTACAGAGGTAAGCAAACTGACATGGTCTCTGTCAGAGCACCGATTGACAAGGAAACAGGTCTTGGTGTCAGCGTCGGCCGCTCTGCTCTAATTAATATGATCTTCTTCTCTTCCCNNTTTGAGCAGATTAAGAAGCGTATTAACACTGCGGGAGAGATCTAATTGAGTTTCTGGGAAATGTACATGAAGCGAGGCGTTCTCTGGGAAGGACGGGTCATTGATTTTACGCACGAAACGAATGCGCATGAACTTGCATGGAAGGAGTTTTCGCAACACGGCACTTATTCTGGCTCTCTTCAAAATGGCGTTATTCGGAGGGCATGAGCTGTATTATACCAAGGAGATTGCTGGACTCGAAGAGAATTATCGCCATCGCTGATTGCTAGGCGTCGCTTTATTACAGAACAAAAGTTCTTTGAGACAAAGAATCATTCATCATGCTACCATTTCAACGTTCATTTGCTTGTGATCGTTTAGATATGCCAACGTTGGTTGCTACAGCTCTGAGATTGCGGTATGCCATAAATGTTTAAAACGGCTCGTTCTATCCTTGTGGTTGAGCGACAGTCTTTTCGTTTGGGACCACTTGGCAAGACATGGCAACTGACTACTATATACAATATTCCGGCGCTACAGTTGCGATTAAGTGTTAGTCTGCGACAATTGCCGCTGCTGTAGAATTAAGAAATATCTCATGACACAAGACGAGATCGAGAGGTGGCTGGTCGGCTGCAAGCAAGCGTCAAAGCCCAGATTTCTTATCGTCATCAACAAGGGTGGACATCCTCGTACTCGAACATAACCTTTTCACAGGACTCAACTTGACGGGATGACTATCGCAATGGCAGGATAACGTCAAGGGCGGAGACGGTCGAACAAAAATCATGTTGGAGAGGCAGAAGCTAGCGAAACAAGGGTTCGGGTTTGGGGGTTGCTCGGGCAACTCGGTTGACAAAGTTTCTCCAGGGTACGAAAAGGTGCCACACTTGGTCGAAGGAGCTGTGGCTACCAATTTATCCAAGCATGCCTTTTCGCTGCTGCCGGGCGACGGGCCAATACAAGCAGGGCCCAGACGTTGGTATCGAACGGTGGCTGGTGCCTTCGCCTGCTACGTGGATGTGGATACCTATGTATGTTGCGTGACGAGCTTTGTTTACTCTGAGGACCGGAATGACCGGGCGGTCGCATGTGCAAGGCCCTTGTTCAGCTGCAGAAGAGCCTTGTGGCTCTCGATTGATTGGGTCTTCTTTCCTTGTCTCGTTCCCCGCCATCTATTTACCTTGAAGGTACTTACCTAGCCACTCCTTGTCTCGCTACGACACTACTATCTCGCACTTCCGCGTCCGCTCCTTCTGTGAACCATTGCACCCGCGACAGATCTTCCGAGACGAGCGGCCATCACGACTCTGACGATGTATATGGGTTGAGGGACCTGATTTGTGATATTTCGTCTCGAAAACATGTCAAAACCGGCCCTCACGAGGCGTATACCCGTAGTTGGACTTCTGGCCCTTGCAACTGCTCAGGTCTCAGCACTGGATCTACCATACAACCCGACACATATCGTCATACCCGAGCAGAACGATGAAGATGACCAGACAGTGTCTTACGCATATATCCTGCAACCCAACGCCAATGGCCAAGCCAGCTTACTTTCGCTCGACCTTACCAACACGCTCGAGGCTTCCANNAAACTCTCCTTGACAACTTTATACAACTCCCTGCCGTTTTTGGAAACCACATCGAATCGCGCATACACACCACTAAAAGGTAGCGAACAGAATATAACTGTCGTCGCTGGCGACTGCTCCACAGATGGTGATGCTCCTGAAGTATGGACTTTCATTCCGGCTACCCACGGCAAANATGGCAATGGAACATGGTTGCAAAGTACACCTGCAGCCGCAGCAAAGAACAAGATCCATGGACCCGACTTCCTAAGCTCAGGCATTGCTTTCTCCGACCTGGCCAAAGGCAACGCCTCAACGACAAGTCTATATGTGTTCGGAGGAATGTGTTCACTACCCAACGCTACCGATGAAACCTGGATGTCTGCAGCAAACTACACCAATCAGATGATGACCTTTTCTCCAGAACTAGATAGCTCGAAACAGGTAGCCTACACTTCTGCATTCTTATCAAGCAAAGGTCCACCTGTCGCTGAGGCTGGCTTCAGCATGACTCCCTTGGCTCCTGCATTCTCAGACAACTCTAGCAGCACCCAAAGTGCACGGCAAAGCTTCGTGTTGGTTGGAGGTCATACCGGAGCTGCCTTCATCAACATGTCCTCAGTAGCGCTATTCTCCCTACCTGAAGAGACCTGGACTTATCAGCCCGTGGATCAACCTTCGGCCGCGAACACGGATCTCGCAGTCAGAGGAGCCGTCACTTCTGTTGAACCAAGATCAGGACATACGGCAGTTTTGACTGAAGATGGCAAGAGTTTGGTTGTGTTCGGTGGGTGGGTCGGAGATGTCACAAACGCCGCTTCGCCTCAATTAGCTGTGTTGGAACTCGGTTCAGGCTACGGAGGTGATGGAGATTGGGAGTGGTCAGTACCTTCCCAATCAAGTTCTGGTCTGTCTGGAGCAGGTATCTACGGACATGGCGCAGCGATGCTTCCTGGCGGAGTCATGATGATCATGGGTGGTTACAATATTCCTACGACATCGTCCAAGCGTTTCCTACGTCGCTCGACATCTTCGTCCAACTCACAAACTCTCTTCTACAATGTTACATCGAGATCCTGGATACAGTCTTACAATCCACCCCCAGAAGTCACATCTGGCAGTGGTACATCAGCAGAAGACCAAAGGAAAGGCGCACTCACCACAACATCTCAGAAAGCTGGCCTTGGTGTCGGCTTGACCATCGGAGCCATCGTCGTCGGTCTCCTCATCGTTTTCTACTTCTGGTACAAACGTCATCTGAAGCGAAGACGCGAAGCTCGTGAAAGCGATAGAGAACGTCTTTATAAGAGTGGAGGCAATGGCTATGAGCAAGCTTGGTTCGGCAATACTAACTACGAACCTTATCGTAGCAGCACTTCCTACGAGCCCTACCACGGCGACTACGCCTCTGGTGGCAACTGGCAAGAGAAAGACGAGGATATGCATGATGGTTTCACAACCTGGACACCTCATGGTGTAGAGAATAGCCCTGCTCAAATCAAAGAAGGCAACCGCGAGGTCGAGAGATCTGGTTTATCGATCAATGCTCCAAGCCCAACCAGAGGTCTCCGAAAGAATGGACTGACCCGTAGCCAGTATCAATACCATGCTGCTCCTCGCTATGACGATGGCAGAATCAGCAGAACAAGTGGCAACATCCATCCGATTCAGGAGAGAGACGAAGAAGAGGAAAGATTGTCGTCAAGACATAGCAATCGCTCATTCAGAGGTCTTGGAAACATGATCGGCTTGAAGGGTAGCGAGCAAGATCCATTCAAGGACCCTCTTCCCAACCCTCTTCGCAGTCATCCAGTCACTCCGGAGCTTGGCTTCACCGCAGAAAGTTCTCAGGAATCTCCTATCCGCAGACAAGCTACAAACACCAGCGTAATGACAAGCACGACAAACAACACAGACCAGGTCAGCAGCTGGATCAATCATTGGACCAACTCATATGCTGCATCCTTAAGACGCACGATCTCTCCCTATCCTGCCAGTAGATCCAGCTCCCCTGACAAGGTCGATGAGAGAACTTCGTCTGGACTGAGCGAAAACTCCGATCGTTCTGGCCTTTCGAGCAATGGTCGCTCTGTTGCTAGGACATCTTCGACCCGCTCAGGCCTCTTCTTTGGTTTGTCAGGTCATCCGTCAATCACACCCTCGCAAGCACCAAGCGCGTCTGTCGTGTCACGTAGTATGTCTCCTGCATACTGGGAAAACAGACCGAAGCAGACAAACAGCTTGCATCCACCAAGTCTGCGCCCTGGACTAGAAAGAGCACCTGACTCTTCCTCGACTCAATGCACTACCTTTGGTCAACTGATTGCACAAAGCGAAGCTCTTCTTGGAACTGCCCCAGACACACAACCCACAGCACCGCTCAACTACAAAGTGCGCCCAACTTCGACAGAGATCATCGCAGCTGCCGTCGGCAAGACACCTCCTCTCCCAGCTCGCCGTCGTGGCTGGGTGGGCAGCATCCGTCAAGTGTTCAGCGGTGACCGCAGCATGAGCGCCTCGCATGCCTCAAGACGTGCTGGTGCCCCCATGGTCTCGCTCCCTGCTCAACAATACCGCGATCGCAGCAACAGTCCTGTCAAGGGTCACGCTCGCACCGGATCATCCATGTCAACATCAGCTCCTCGTCGTGCCGCTAGCGATAGCTCTCAGTTCCTAGGCACCAGGCGCGGCAAACGCGATTGGGAAGGCAATGAGAGCGATCCCCGCTGGCAGCCATATCGCGATGACCCGGATACTGGTGATTGGGGTGATGTCCCTGATGAACCAGCATCAAAGGACGAAGCTGAGAAGCAGACACCAGAAGACGAGCGCGAAGACTGGGACATTGAAGAGGCAGCCGCTAACCGCGATGTCCAAGTCATGTTCACAGTTCCCAAGGCTCGCCTTCGTGTCGTCAATGCTGACGTTGACAAAGCAAGTTTGAGAAGTATTAGCGATGGTGCAAAGAGTCTTCGTGCCCAACAGCTGCTCAAAGAACAAGAAAAGGAGGTGATTAAGGAAGAGGAGACTGAAGCGGGTGCTCAACGCAAACCATCGAACTACGGCCTTCAAATCCAAGATTGGGAACGAGAGGCCTTGGAGAAGAGAGATGCCGAAGAGGCCGAGACGAACAAGAAGAATTGAGTGAATGTTTATGATCAACTTGGGGAGATCTTTTGTGGATATATGGGACGGTCTATCTGACTATACTACAACCAGGCGAGGCGTTCATGTCAAAGGCTCATTTTCTTCACGCCGGATTTGGCCTGGGTTTCTGTTTTTCGTTTCTTCAGATTTTTCTGAGACACTTTCTCTTCTTTCCTTTCTCTTTCTTGTCAAGATCACTGATTAGACCTTTTTTCTTCTCTTCTACTTACGAGACCAATATATCTTTGTTTCTGCTCTGCTCTGCTCTTGATGTTCTGAGGTTCGTGGTATGATGACTTTGTAAATCTGTTCGACATGATTATGAACAGAGAGAAACAGACGAAGTTGCACTTGCAGTTTTGTTGTGCATGTCGCGAGACACACCTGCAAGGAAATCAGATGGATCAACAACACAGTTTGAGTAGTAACAACGCTACAGTCCAAGGATCTGTAAGTGACCAGAGGTCCATCTCATTGTAGCTGTACATGATGACCATGCTGGTCAGAATGTATGATGAAGAGTTGCCATTGCTATGGGTCAGACGTCGAAACGCCAACATGTAACCATTCCCTCGGCCTCCTACAGACCCATATCGAACAGCAAAAACTCAGCAGGCTTGTCGCCCACACTCTCGACCTCGATCTTTCCTGGCCCGGTAGCATTGGTGATGTAAGCGCCATCGCCCTCGCCCAACTCAATACCGCCAACTCTGATCTTTGCACCTCCTGACTTGGGTTGCGTGCGTCCGCCCATAACAAGATGGACAAAGAGGTTTCTCTTGCCCTCGGCAACGATCTCGTGGACAACACTCTTGCCAGGACTCAAGATACTGGCATCCATACTCAGATCCGCATGCAAAGGGATGGGTTGGTCTTCAGCGTCTTTGCCGTTGTGTCTCTTGAGATCTTCCATGATCCTCACCAATTTGTTTTCCTTCATCTCGTCTGTGAACTTTCTGGTCACATAGCTAGGCTTCAATCCTCTCGTGTACGGCTTTGCCCAAATCTGCAAGAAATGCACATCTTCATCTCTCTTGCGGTTATACTCCGAATGCCTGATTCCCGTGCCTGCAGAGGTAAATTGCACCTCTCCACGTTTCAAGTTTTCGAGGTTTCCCATGCTGTCTTTGTGTTCGAGTTCGCCGCTGACAATATAACTCCAGATCAAGAATTCGGCGTGGGAATGAGTGCCAAAGCCTGTGCCTTTCTCCACGCGGTCTTCGTTTATCACACGCAGAGGGCCGAAAGACTCGTGACTGGGGTCGTAGTAGGACGCGAAAGAAAAAGTGTGGAAGGTGTAGAGCCAGCCGTGGTCAGCATGGCCACGTGCATTCCAGGGTCGCTTGACGATCTTTAGAGGACTGCTTGTTGTTGCGGAAGAAGCCATTGTGCGGGAAAGTGCTGAGGGAGTAATTGCTGGTTTGGAAAACAAAGGTGTGATAGTAGATCGTAGGAGAGGTGAAAAGAGAGCCACGGTGATTGCTGCTATGCCGACGACAAAGGCGAGGGTTTTGAAGTTTGATGTTGAGGAAGTAGATTCTGTGGATTCTGACGAAGGGGAAGACATGCAGAAAAATGAGGTTTGAGAGAGGGAAACTTATATCTAGGGAAACAACGGCAGATGTTGATTATGATATTTATTCTACGTTCCCATGACTCGGAGGTTTGTCATTGCCGTTGTTGCGGCTCAGAAATCCAGCTTAAGTGTGGCTAATTTACCGAAAGCAGGTTAAGGCTTATGGATCATTTTGATTGGTTGAAATCAGAGAGATGTCTTGTTACATCCTGGGTATCTTTTGGATCGAAAGCGCGTGGCGGAATCCTACGGTAGTATGAAGCTCTTGCGCGGAGGATGTTCGTTAAGCCTAACAAGATGATTCTTCCGCTTGACAGGGGCCATTGACGGGTGTATACAACAGAAGAAACAAGAGTGTGGATCGAGTGTTAGAAAGAAGTCATTGCTCAGCCAAGATTTTAGCGGGGGAACTCACGAAGCACGGAATTACATCCTCTTCAGCCATGGAAAGCTCACTTGAATCATCAAAAATATTGAAAAAGCATAGAAGTTACTCTCTAGGGCTATGCGAATTTTTGCATATAATTTTTGAACTATCACCCCACCGATGCTGCCGTAAACATTGTTTCTCCCGAGCAACGTATTTTATTCCAACCCTTGGATGGCGTAGAGGAGGGAGAGATTGGATGACGTACGAGGTCTCTGAGTTGACCGACCCTCACGACTTCTGACCACCACTGTGCTTGCAGACCCATTTTCACCCTGGTAAAACTTGCGATTTGCTGCGATCCTTGCATATGCGGACGTGTTGATGTGTGCGGCATCGAAAGGCCAGGGGAACCCTGTACTGTCACGCTTTTTGGCGCGACTAGAGGCGTCATCCACGCCGCCGACGCGCCTCCCGTGCATCAGCACGACTGACGCGCCAAAGTTGATAGAACCTGGAGCAGCTCATTATGGCTATTCTCCTCCTCAATCTCGAGCCTGCCTTATTTGTACGTAACAGCATATTTAAGCGCTTCTACGCGGACCCAGTCATTTCGTCTGAGTCGAGTCATCCCTATATATCTCTTCCTAACGAATCTGGACCCTGTCGTGATCTATGACCGAGTATCAATGACGATCGAAGGTCACCAGAAACCAATGTCCATCTCAAATGAAGAGTCGGGCGAGTTTGACAACATGTGTATGTATCATGAGTAGATCTTGATTGGACTCGTTCTGATTAGTTAGTTTCAACGGACACTCCACTAGCAGATTTCCTCGAAGGGGCCGGACTCACAACTGAAAGACATGATCCTACCCAATCTGCGCTTGGAAACACAATTTTCAACCAGCTAGCCTTGCACAGTTTTGTGTCCCCAATCAATCCAATCTTCGTGGATACTGGCTCAGGGAACGAGCCCGATTTCACACCATCACTGTCTGCGCCTACCCTAGTTGCTGCACAACAGAGCCTCAAACCCATAGACGTTGGGTATCACGATCGCTTTGGTCTCACGATGGACGAGGGCCCTCCTAGCAAGCGGAGAAAAGGGAATGAAGAGCAGAGTCTCGAACAACGTGTTAAGAAACAATGTATCATGTGGTTGCGGCATCACTCAGGGCAGTTCCCTGAGCCAGGAACTATGGCATATCTGGCCGAACATGTAGGAATGGGATGTTCCCAAGAAGACATAAAGAGATGGTTCGGACAGACTCTACATGCTGGACTTTTGTCTACGTTGTCCGCCTGTCAAGATACGAGCTTGGACTCTGGATGCGATACAACCTTTGACAATTCCTACAACAACAACAACAACAACAACAACAACAACAACAACAACAACAACAACAACAACGACAGCAACAATAACAGCAACAACAGCAGCAGCAGCAGCAGCAACAGTACCAGTAACTACAACTACAACAACAACAACTATACCAGCCTTGCATTGTCAAAGGACTATCTATCAGGCTCGTCCACTTCGGCTGGTGGCGGGCATAGTTCAGTTGCTGTTTCAACAAACACGTGCGCATTGGAAACTCTCGACATCATCCGACGTGAAGGCAATGCTTGGTCCATCTCCAGCTGTGTTCCGAAACCCGGAGGACAACCCGGAAAACCACTGCAATGCCCTTACAAGTGCGGGACATCGTTCGCAAAAGCTAGCAAGAGCGATTGGAAAATCCACTGTTACAAAATGTATCCTGAGAAGGTATATATATGCCACCGATGTCCTGATTCACCTCTTTTCTGGCCAAGAAGCTTTTCACTGCACATCTCAGGACAAGAGGGCACTCAGATCGTCAGTCTGTTCGACAACTTGACCAGTTCTGTTACGAGCTTGATTGCCGCCCGCCTACTTGGTGTGGTTTCTGTAAGAAGCATATAAGCCCCCAACAACTGTCCGATCATCTCTACGGGGAATTTGTCGATGAAAAGAGGTCGATGGATAGTTGGAAGGACGAGGATGAAGTCATTCCCACACCAGATCATGATCTTGACAAAAGCAGCGGTCCAGATGATGACGATGACGACCCGCGAGACAATGGCAACCGGGATAGCAATCCGGGAAGCAAAGGCTCGCAAGGTAACAACTGGGAAAGTGGGGGCCCAATGGTCATGACGATGCACCAGACCATTTTGGAAACGCCCAGTGCGAGAATATTCAAGGTAAATCATCTGCTTCAGACTCTTATCATGGCTCTTGTTTTAATGATCATGGAGGCAACAATTTATCTCTGAGCAACCAGTTCGGGACACACAGATCTTCTGAGATCGAGACCACCATCTACCCATCTCTCAGGAAATATGCCTGCTGCAAGGAAGGATTTGAACCTTACGACAACATTCAAAAGTCTCTCTTATCGGAGCTTGCATCTGCGAGGAATGCAATCTGGCTTCTTGCTCGAGAGATCCAAAGCCTCGTCCATCTGAACGCCTTCGCGCATAGTCAGACTCCGACAGAAGACCCTTTGTCTGTGCTTGCCAGCGGCAGCACCCGAGCTGTACCCTGCACAGAAGTCTCAATCGTAATCATCTGTGATGAAGACTACCAGAGCTGTCAGGGGACAAACTCGTTCCTACTGTCCCAGCATACCTTTAAAGACTATATCCTTAGCATTACGGTAGAAAGGATTCCTGCTTCTGCGGAATTTCGATTTATCACGGAGATATCCCAGTCACCAAGAACACCTCTTGGTGCACTTGCAGAGAAACTGGCAGCCTTATCCAACCCAACATCGGTGCGAACGGTTGCCATGTTTGATCAGTCTGTATCCTGGAGGCTTATCATCGACGGTGTTGACGACAAAGACACAAGCCGGATGAGAAATCTGTTGATGGCTTTCCATTTCGACAGGCCTTCTTCCAGAAAAGTTCCCAGTCAAATTCGACCAACCAAGAGACTGCTGGGTACTGGCTCTTCGGCAACCGTGGAAGAAATCATCACGCATTCGCCAAAGTTGAAATTAGCACGAAAGACGGTACACAACCATATCAGAAAGGGTCGCGGCTGTTTTCTTGATCCCAATGAATCTTTGCACGAGGCAAGAGTCTTACTAGGTCTTCGTCATCCCCACATCATCCGCTGCGTTGGCACATCTGGTTGGGAGAACGGCTGGCGCCTTCTCCTGGCTCCAGTAGCAACCACTACTCTCGCCGCCTACCTAGAAGCGTCCAGTCAAATGGACCTTGAGACTGCTGCCCCCGAGATTGAACGAAGTTTAGGGTGTCTTATTTCGGCCGTCAGGTACGTTCACGGTAAAGGATACTGGCACCGCGACATCAAGCCGGCGAACGTTCTCATAGACCTTGATCACAAAGGCAAGATGAACTTTGTGCTCAGTGATTTCGGCCTCAGTGTTCGCCAAGACAGCATTGATGTTCTAGACGGCCAACGCTCGATAGGCACACCCATGTACTCTTCTCCTGAAAACTTCCTTGGTCGATCTGCTCGACCACCTTTGGAATTCGACGCAGGAAAGAGCGACATTTTCTCTCTTGGTTTGGTGTTCTTCGAAGTCTATTCAGCATTAAGTGGGGATCGGCCTTCGATTCTTCGGAAGAAGTTCAATAATGCACCGTACTGTCTGGTCCTTGATTCTGTTCACTTGTGCTTATCAACACTACCGAGGGAACCTCCGATCGACGCTCACTCAGACACCCCGTTGCACTGGGCAGTAAAAGCAAACCGGATCGATGCGATCGTCAATATGCTCCGCGCCGATCCAAAATTTCGACCAGACGGACGTATGCTATCAATGGAATTCACACCGGGTGTTTGTTGCTTCACTTGGGACCCATGGAACGATCTTGAGTTTCACGCCGAACAGAAACTTGGTTCGAGGGTTTGTTTGTCACATGATATGGCAAGCTTCCACAAATATTCATGCGCAAGTCGAGATGCCCTTATTGGCGAAGTCTCATCCGACGCCTCTGCTGAATATACCCCTGTTCTGTTTCCAGAATCTTCGCCTCAACAGATTCCGGACAACATGTCCAGGCTAAAGATTCAGGCCTTCAGCGCGTTGAGTCCTTGTATCAGCACTGACCGCGGCCTGCTCTCTTTGACGGAGGATGACTTTTGGGCCTTTGAACAGGGCTCGGAAGAGGTGACAAGGACTCATCTTCGCAATTCTCTTGCAACAAAATGGTATCAAAAACATTATTACCGACAACGTCTACAGCCAATAAAATATTCCAAGCAGGCGAGTGGTTGAGAAAATGTGGCTGTAATCATCAAACGACTGGCTTCCAGCTCCCCTCAACGCCGGAAATGCCTTCTTATCTCGTTGACTGCGGTCAGCCAGGTGACAATGATGCACATGTAGTTAGAGGCTCTGTCGGAAGCAAATACGTTGCTGTTAGTCACCTTTGGTCAGATGGACTACCAAGGCTAACAAAGGCCAACATTTCTCACCTTTCAGTCTCCTTGGACGTCAAGGGACTCCCAGAAGTCTACAGGCTGATTATCGACATCACAAGAGAGCTTGAGCTACGCTTCCTATGGCTCGATGCTTTGTGCATCGTCCAAGATGATTGCGACAACAGGAAGAGTGAGATTAGAAAAATGGGGAGCATCTACAGTAACGCCGCTCTCACTATAGTGGTTCCGATATCAGAATGGCAGTCACTGCAAACCGAAGCGGAGTACACAATACACGACGGTAATAACGTTCTCTATCAGAGACTGTGGACAATGCAAGAAAGCCTCCTGTCTCCACGCATCCTTGTTGTAGCCAGGCAACTTTTCTGGTACTGCAACGAATTTCGGGCATCTGAGGCCTTTCCGTCGGGATTGTCGACCATGTTGTGGGAAATGGCTCACCACCAACCTCAACTACTAACAGTTCTCTAGGGCCGTATTTCCACCGAGAACCACTGCAGCTGTTAGAAACTGGTCATTCAAGTCACCATCAGTAGGTGATTAGAAGTTCGCTGCATGTACTACCAGCTTCGCAGTATAGAGTCGAGTGGCTACAGCTCTCCTTAGTCGAAGAGTTAATCAGTTGTTCGGAAGACTTTCTTTTGTCCGATATCACGTCCTAATATCCGAACTCGGTTGACATGCTAACTTATCGCAGTATCCATAATTCACGAATGTCGAGGAAACATCGGATACGTCAAACTTCCAAGTAGTTTCTGATTTTTATTTCCCTTTTTTTTCTTTCTATTTTTCATGTTAGGAATTCCATTCAATCATAACTATTACTCCTCTTCTCAAATCTCTTCATCAGTGCATTTCTCAGCTCATCTATTGACCACGCATGCCCTGGGGTTATAGGGGGAAGTGCGGCCTCATCAGTCCTTGTTCCACGCCAACAGGCGCATCTGCGTGCTTGGCACGACAAAGCTGGCCTGGACGAGACAAAGACGTGCAGCTGTCTTGACGGTACGAGACTCGACCATGACAGGACAAGCTCGCTCAGTACAATCTTAGTCTCCCAGTCTTGAGACTTGCCAGGACTATGGGCTCGTCTCGTCATCGTGGGCGCGCCTCTCGCACATCACGATCATAGCACACAGATAGACAAGCATAGCACGGGCAACATACAGATATAAAAGGAGGAGCTTGAGACAGTCCAAGGTTTTTTCCTTATCTTAAACCCTCAGAAACCAACATAGACAACGATCCAAGCAGCTGACCTCCATGAAGTTCTGGCCTCACCTTGTCTCAGTCGTCTTGCTTATCTTGCTTGATGTAATCGGCTGTGCACCAATCTCCGAGCCAAAAACTTTCGAAAAGATAGACATCTGTCACGGTAGCTACCACGTTCAGATCAATCTGTGTTGCTCTTGACGCTGATATCTGTCTTGTCAAAGATTTCACCACTCCCTATCAACCGAAGAGCGCAATCATACCCACGTGTCCTGTCGCAGTGTCAAAGGACTCTCGTACACTAATCGATCATATCACTCCTCAGAGTACCACAATCGAATCACCCTGCCTCAAGGACTTCGACACAAAACTTGGAAACAACATGACATACAATGCTCTCACCATGACATACAACGATGCCACCATTCCGCCCATGAGTAAACCCAGCCATGAGGTCAATGTCGACATCCCGAAAGATGAACAACCAGTATGGAGCCCGGCACAACAGTCCGCTACGAACATCACTGGCTTCGTCGCTGTTCGTCCGGATCGCCTCTATCGTTGGCTACCCACAATCGATACCATCCTCGCCATCATCAGCACGTTGTTTGACACTGGATTGAGAATAATTCAGATCTGGGTTGTATGGAAGCAACTTCGTAGCCTGGAACGTCAGGAAGTTAGTCCACGTACATCTACGACATAGGAGGAACTGCCGCTATTTTTGGTTGATACGACGGATGTCAGGATAGACCTCCTCCTGTTTTTTTCTTGTGACTTCAGCAATTAGCCACAAGCACGTTCTCTTTACCCCATATCTACAAATCGTCAAGCTAATTCGAATCATTTTGCATTTTCACAACATGAGCCATCGCTCTTGGTGATGTGTAGACTCAAGTCATGGATTGTCTATTTGTGATGATCTCTTGTGCATGACTTGTTCCAAGCAATAAATCTTGCAAGCTCATAATCAGCTTTTGTTTGTTCTCGTCATCCATACCGCGCCTAAAGCTTTCGTGAGTAATGGTACTCAGTCTCGTCTTAATCACGTTTTGCGACAATTGTCATTCAGAAGAAGCGATGTCGCTACATGCTCTATCTCTCATCTAGTCAATTCATAATCTTACAGTTTACTCTTGACACCACCAATCAACTCTTCCACCTTGGCAAACTTGTAGTAATACTGCAAACTCTGCGGGTTGAGCAAAGTGCCTGAAGGTGTGACTTTNTCGCCAGAAACAATTCTCTTGACTGGCAATTCTACCTTTTGAGGTTGACTGTTGTCTGTTGTTTTGCATATCGTCAGTAAATTTGTATGTGGTTTAAGCTGCTTAGGGATAAAACTCACAGGTATCTCTGGCGTCTCAAACACGTATTTGGGCACATGTCTTGGACTGCACTCTTTACCGATCCTTTGCTTGACTCCTTTAACCAGGGCTTCGTTGAATTTCTTCCCAGGCTTCATGAGTAGGAACAGCATGACGGCTTCGTCGTGGTCGCTGGGTCTTCTTTGGCCCACACAGATGCTGTCCTGGATGTCATCGCCGAAGAATGTTTCTATCACATTGTAAATTTCTGCAGAGCCGAAGCGTACGCCAGAGGGGTTTAGTACGCCATCGGCACGGCCTAGGAAGTATACGCCGTTGGTATTTGGGTGGATGAAGATATAGTCGCCATGGGTCCAGACGTCTNNGTGAGTTGTTGTGTTAGCTCTTTGACATCAAGTTCAGACAGATGGGAAAGAAAGCTTACTATCAAACCGAGCGTAATAGGCATCAAAGTACTTTTGTCCAGACGCATCACCCCAGAACTTGACAGGTTGGTTGGGGAAAGCAGCTGTTACAACGAGTTCACCTGCTTCTCCGATGGGTAAAGGTTTGCCTTTGATGCCTTTACCTCCTTCGATAGTCTGATCGTAGACTTGGAGGTTCATGGCTAGACCAGGGCCTTGACAACCACCAGCATACAAAGGAGTCAGTAAGTTGCCCATGGCAAACGAAGAAGCCACATCCGTGCCACCACTGATATTGTTCAGGTGAACAGAAGGAGGAAACCCGGAATCATAGAACCAGTGGAAGAGAGATTCTGGCAGGACCATGCCTGTGCTTGAAACACGACGAAGATTGGACAGATCAGTGACTTGCTTGGGGATGACTGGNGGAGATGCCGATGCGAGTGTCTGTAGGTATCTAGGTGAGATACCCAGGTCGGTGACTTTCTGCTCGCCTACCAGACGAACGAAAGTAGTGAGATCAGGTATGAAGGGTGATCCATCGTACAGTACTGATCGTGCTCCATGCTGGAGTGCCATTGTTGACATCAGATACATGATCCAGCCAGTGGTCGTATATTGCAAGTTGACTGTCGAAGGCCCAGAATCGAGGTGAAGTTTGCCTTCTTTCATTGAACTGGCTAAGACAGGTCCGCAGCCGTGCACAATGCACTTTGGTACGCCAGTAGTTCCTGAACGCGGTCAGACCTTGCCGGCGAAAGTGGAGCACACAGACTTACCTGAAGAATAAACAATCAAGAACGGATCCTTAAAATCCACCTGCTCAAACGGCAACTCAGAGTTACCACCACCTCTCGAAAGGTATGCTGCCAAACTCATGGTCTTGGGCACATCTCCCACATCAGCCGGTCTCTCCTGGAACCTAGGCATACTAACAACACCTTGGAACCACTTGGCCTTGCTCTTGAGCATACCATCCACAATCTCTTTCATCTTGGGTTTCAGATCAATAGTCTTGCCGTTATACACAGCCCAATCGTCCACAAAGATCCACTTGGGCTCAATCTGCGTAAGCCTCTGCAAAACACCTTGACTACCCATATCCGTCGAGCTCGAACTGAAGATACCTCCCAAAGTGGTAACAGCCAAAAACACAGTCAAAGTATCTGTGGAGTTAGACGCCACAACAGCAACTCGATCGCCCTTTGCTACTCCATGTGCTTTCATGGCTTGAGCGAGCAATCCAACTTTAGCGCGCAGTTGCTTCCAGGTATAGTGTTTGATTTCCGTGCATCCTTCACGCACTTCTGTCAATGCTATCTTGTCGCTCTCTTTGCCGGAAAGTGTGCGCACAGAAGGGTCCTTCAGATCTGCAGTATACAAGATGTTTTCTGCAAAGTTGAGTTTGACGCCTGAGAACCAAGAGGGCACTGAGTCCATTCTGGCATTTGGATCTACCACTTGAGTGTACTTTCCAGTATGAATGAGAGGATGGAGTTCGAAAAGATCAGACCAGAAGTCAGTGCGTTGGTTGATGGAGAATTGATGAAGGTCTTGAAATGTCTACAAGACATCAGCTTTCTAGTTCAAGTTTGTGGTTTGAACCATAAGATTAATGTATAACTTACCTTTNAATTCCAGTCCTCTCTTCTTGTTGACATCTCTCATGAATTGAGCCATGTTGGTAGCATCTGGATTCGGATGCTCCCACAACTTGCGGGGCATCACGGATGGGGAAGCCATTGATGAGGCTATCTCAATTCTGGTGTAATCAAAGTCAGATTCTTGGTATAACGTGACACCTAGACGCGTTAAAGCACATACAACAATTCCAAGATTCAACACGAGGCGAACAAGTGACAACGTGTCAGAGTGTCTTTGCAACAAGAGAGTCGTGACAAGGCTGGTGGAGGCGCGGGCTTCTCCAGTGTCGATCATCCTTCTGAGATCCCTCGGCTACAGGAAGCGGGGAAGCCTAATACAAATTCGAGAGATACTCTACAAGTGTACCTATTCGGAGTTTTGAAGATCATCAAAGGCAGGGAAGGGCAGGGATGTTGAAGGGACGTATCGAACTAAGAATACAATTCTCTCCGAGATATGGTCTCTCTAGCTACAAGAAAAAAGGGTCTTCGTCCATCAAGGAAAAGAAATTGCCCGACCAACGAGATGAGTATGTGATGTGGTAGCGAAGGCTCCAATAGAAACAAAAGCCCAAACTCTCCCAAACAGATGGAAGAAGTATCCTATATATGGTATCGAAAATCGATCCTACCCCGAAAAGGCCAGAAGGAGCCAAACCAAAAGCTCAAAACAAAAACAACGCTAAGTTTTCCAATTCCATTTCATGATATGCAGCAGAGTCGTAGAAACATTAATTCGGTGGCAGGGAAAGATCATCGCCAGGATGGCAGGACGCCGCTCTCGGCTCGTCTGAGCCGGAATCTAGGCATTTCCTTGGAAGAGACGGAACTGACGGAGTCCTTGCGAATGGTCCAACGGCTCTGAGGAGGAGGAGGTTGGAATGATTCGCGAGGGTAGGGAGGTAGATCCAGAGATGCCATACGTTCACTAGCGCCTCGAGGAACCATCTTCGGTTTCAAGAACGAAGATGGAGCTGCGAGAGGGGCAGTAAGCGGGGCTGCCGTCATGGATTGAGATGATCCAGGACGTTGTCTACCCATGCTCGGTAGCTTGAGATGATATCCGTTACGAGACATGCGATGTTTGGGTGGGCATGAAGTCACGTATGTCGGGCTGGTGAGAGCGTCAAAGTAGGCGGAGGCTGGAGAATCTGGTGTGGCGGGGCTGTGGCTGGATGTAGGTGTTTGAGAGCCGGACGAGCCCGTCTCGAGTTCTGGTGTCGAAGGCATCTTGGGAGACACCACTTTAGGTGAAGCGACAGATCCATCGTGGCTGTGTGCTCTGATCGATATGATGCTGAGACGTGATAAGTTGCCATTGGACTTGAGACTTGACGAGGTTGTTGGTCTTTTGAGGATTGGTGATGACGAAGCACTCAAGTTGACTCTAGAGACTCGAACCATCTTGGCCTTGCCTGGCGAGACAAGAGTCACAACTTCAGCCTGATTGCATTGGACTTGTTCGACAAAGCTGCATTCCTCGGCCAATAGTTCCGGAAAGTTTGTTTCGAGTTCGTCGACAAACTCGTCGGCAACGGTGCTGATAGACATTGATGAAAGACTAGAATCGTCGGACGACATTGGTTCTTCTTCAGAGAGATATCCAGAAAAGAAAAGAGGTTCGTTGCAGAGATCCGTGATGGTGGCTGATAGAAGAGGAGGCTCGACGAGGATCCTGAAGTCGAGCGACCTCTCCTGAAGGGGTGCATCGACGTCGNNACGTAGCATTCGCTCCACATCACCAGTCGAGATCACAGGCTCGGCTGACATGTTTTCGTTGGCGGTGTGACCACGCTGACTGGTGCTGACCAACAGCGAGGGGATGTACGAATGTTGGTGAAGGGAAGGAGGCACACTTTGAATAGTGGGAGGAGGAGCAACGCCCAGCCAAAGGGTCCTGAAACGTTAATTGGTTTTGTTGCGAAAAGCGATCCTGCAGTGTTCGCAGTAGTGGCTTGTAGCTTAGTTGAAGGTCTCGGGATATTTGTCTGTTCGGAGGGTCCAAAGTGTCGGGTGAAGTTGGGGAATGGTTGGTGTAAAAATGTGGTGGAGGAGCGCGTAGATATGAATAGACTACGGGAACAGGTTGTCCGAAAGGAATGACAAGGTGGGAAGACGTTATAGCAATCAAAAGACGGTTAGCAGTTGGAAGGTAAGGAATGGCTTGGAGTGGGTGGGTGGTGCGTCCGATCAGTGCACACGAAGAGAATGAGATGGCCTTGTTTGTCTCTTGTGGGATGCGGCAGCGCGACGCTTTTGAAGATACCATGCGTTTGTCGAAAACGGTACAAACGTACGTGCAACCCAATCCACCTCTGCTCCACCCCTACACTACGACTCTGGGCCGCAGGCACAAGCCTTGAGAGGAGCAATCAGCATGTAAAAGCCTCCTACAGAGTGCACAAAGTCGTTGGTGCTAGCCGTGTCTGTCCAACGCTTTCAGCGGGTAGCCGAGCTTAATCGATGAAGTTGCGTGGGAGAGTCGATCATCGTGCTGCTCCGTTCCAAAGATTTGGATGTTGAAAAGGCACGCCTCGATTCCGATTGGCCAAACGGGAAGCAATTCTACGCGCCTGCCTCGAGTCTATCTCGCTGTTCACTATTTGCAGGGGTGGTTCAGGTCCCCAGAAGACCACCACACGCAAAATACTCCACCTCAGCACTGGTACGTGTAGACAAGTAGAGAGAAAACTTCTGCCGCTTTCCCAACCTCTGCCTTTCTCTAGCCCTGGTGGATTCGCATCCTTGTTCCTGAGAATTACGTGTGTGCTTATCGAAACGGTTCAGCAACGCCATGTCATGATACGTACAATCGATTGTGCTGGCGGTTCGCGCAGAAAAGATTCTGGAATCGGTTGTTAGTGTCTCCCTTGCTCCTGCTTGCTTTCCTGCCTGCTTCCTGCCGCCAACGAACTTTTTCCGCACGTCAGCGATGCATCCGTGCAGCATACCTAAACGCGAACGTCAGGCGTCATGCACGGCATCACACGGCTTGACTCGAAAGAGGTGAGATTTGGAAGAAAGGTAGAAAAAAAGGTTCAGCATGCGATGGCGCTACTCTGCCGAGACATTTCGAACCACTATTTACACCCTGCGACGAACCACACATCACATCCATTCTAGACACTCTTTGCTCTGTATGAAACCCTTTGTCCTTTTGCTCTTTCGCTCAAGGCATCCCCAAGAGAGGCGTTTCTTGAACATCGTCACAAGCCGTTTTCGTGTCCTCCTCGAGTGCCAGCCTGCTGATTTCACTTTCCCCTGCCCCTTCCAAAACGTTGCCGACAATCTCCTCACAATCGACAAGACAAACGGCTTTTTGCTGTTGCCATCGATACGCAGCAAACAACCCCCCCTTATCAAAAACGCGACAACAGTTCTGCATCATCAACAATCGTAAATATAGCAGCAACAATAGCGAAATTAGGAACCAGCAAAGAAATCCATGATGTCAAGTATTTGGAGACAAGAAAGTTGTCTAACTAGGAAGTCTGTTGTCTGAGAGCGAAACATTTCGAGGTCTCAGAAATGACTGCTTGACATTAACGCTCTGAGACATGTGTGGCTCGTGGTGTAGTGGCAAGATGTGTCGAGTCATCAACGTCTTTCCTGGCGTGCGGCTGGATCATGCTTGCTTCTCTTCTGTCTATGAGACTATCGCACGGAATCTACACCAGCAGTATGCGAACAAGATCATCTCTGTCCATATCGATATATCTGAGACTTACCGGTCGCAGAATTGAGTATTGATGATCAACAAGTCATAAGTATCTAGCGACGACTAATCCACGAAGAGCATCAGAAGGTGGTGTGACCCTGCTTCTAATCCCCTGATTCAGAACAATCTTGATGATATACGAGCTTGTCAAGTAACTAACGTGCTGCTGCGAATACGAGCTTGTTCCTGATCGAAGCTGTTGATCAGCGATGATATACCATGTGCGCAATCAAGCGTTATAATCAGTCCGAAACACTTTAGATACTGCTTAACGATAACAAAAGCAAACCCAGCCGCTCGATAAAGCCCAATGAGGAAATGACAGGAATGTTTTCGCATCAACCGTCGACCGTGGTTATTCAAAAATCTCTCTTCTATTACTCTCTTTTCTCTCTGATCTGCTTTGAAACATGTACTTGAACTAGACCTATACAATCGAATATACGAAGCTGAGGCGTCTGCGAGGTGAGGCCATCATCCAAGAGTGGATTGGCTGGTGGTCAAGTCTGGAAGACTCTTGCTATGTCAAATGTGTAAATATAAGGGCAGTTCGCAAGAAGGGCAATTCGCCCAAAGCAAGGAGTGCCAATTTGCTTACAGCATGTATTCGCCCAATCTAGGGGCGCCACCCTTCCAGTCCAGACGCTCAAAGTATCTGAAGACCAACTCGTAGCCCTCGAGGTCGTGGACGATGCGGTCGACGCGACGGTAACCAGCAATGTTGTCCATGTTCTTGTCCTTCTTGACTCTTGCTCTGCCGTAGCCGTCCTCGTCGGTCTTAGCTTCGAAGACGGTGACGCTGAAGCGGCCGGGCTTGAAAATGTTGACGACCTGCACGACGATATCGTGGGTCTCGCGTCCAGTCTGGCGGGCAGGAACGTTGGTCTCGAAGGATGCGTAGGAGCATTGGGGCTCAGGAGTAACGTGAACGGTGAAGTAGTGGGCTGATCCGGACTCTCCAGTGGAGGGGACGACACCGTTCGCAGAGTATCCGCAAGGGGTAAAGAGGTAAGAGTCGATCTTAGCCTCTGGATACTTAGACACAGGGTAGACATCGGCAAGACCACAGGCCTCAGAGACAACGGAGCCCAGAGTGTGACCTTCAGTGGTCAACTCCTCAGGGAAGGTTAGCTTTTCGGAGGGGTCAGAGGTGGTCTGCGCAAACACGTCGACATCATCGTCAGCACCGTTGATGTTACCAAGGTGAGCGATAGCATCCTTGCGGGCCTCTTGAGACTGCTTCAGATACTTGCCCTCAGCGATAGCACTGGCATCTTCGAGGTAGAACTGGCGAGCATTCTGCTCGTCGAGATCGGTCATGAGGACCTCCAGAGTCTCGTCTTGGGACTCGTCGATCTCTGCGTTGACCTTGTCGGCAGCGAGCTGCTCAGGATAGTCGAGGATCTTGGTAGGAGTCTCTCTTTCAGGAGTAGCAGGAGGAGTGAGCTGAGTGTTAGGTCCAGTGATGTACAGGTACCAGTGCTCGCCGTTCATCTTTCCAATCATATAGGCACTGCCTCCCAAGAATCTCTGGTCAAGGAACTTGACCTCGTCACGCCAGCTACGGTGAGGACCACGCTGCTGGTCAGGGTACAGGAAGTTCTTGCGGCTGTAAAAGACGCGGTGGGGAGTAGCAGCGGCAGGGACGGCGGCGGAGAGGTCGGCCTTGACACCAGGGAAGCCTGCCTCGACAGCAGCAATCTCAAGCATTCTTGGCAGACCATACAGCAGAGTGGTGGTGCCACAGGTCTTCAGCACGAGCTTGTGGGGNAAGACGAACATGCTGGACTCGGAAAGGAGGTAGGCGTCCATGTGTCCATGTCCAATGACGGAGAGAACCTTGCAGTTCACCAAATCGAGCATCTCTTTCCAAGTGTCTGACGAGACAGCCTTCAGACCATAAGGCTTGGCCCCTTCAGGAAGGGAGGTGGCAGAAGGGCTGAACCATACTTCGAGGAGCTTCTCGGGACCTNNGCAACTACAATCAGACAAGCACTTGGTACACGTTCGTCACGCGAGCTGACCTTCAAAGGCGTTGGTTGAGTCGAGGTCAATCGTGACGTCGCGGTTGATTGTCAGATGGGGAGTAGCCGTGGAGGGCGAGACAGTGTAGTCATTAGGGATATCGATGTTGACCATGACTTCTTTTCGGGAGGCTGGCTTACGCCAGCAACAAGCGGGTGTTATAAGATGCCTTTGAAGGGACGTTATGGAGGCCTGGCCGAGAGAGGAATAAAAGAGGACCTTTGCCGTGGAATTTTGACGATCGATGGAGCCCGGATACCCTGGATAAGTACCGGGTCTGGTATAGGAGCGAGACAACAAGCCTCAGGAGCAATGAGATGACAGGTGCTGTACCAAGAACACACACACAGAGCGTCGCTTGTTATTTTTTTCCACACGGCATATGCGATGGTCTTGGCGATGTCACCGTCCGTCATCGCTGATCCCGCCGCTCTCCGCCTCCACAATATGGAGCCGCAACTCTCTTCCGATTGGACACGACCACTAGTGGACGTGCTTCCGAGTACCTACTTCGGAGGCAGCAAGACAATGTTTCTACGGCGCGCCATAACCTTTTTGAAAAGCATACAATCAAGTGAACATCATCAATACTTTTGTGGACTAGGTAGTTGCTTTCAAGCGTAGCCCAGGGTACAGTCTTCACGGAAGACGCCCCTCACGCCAAGGTTGCTCTCACCTCCAACGACAGCAGGACCAGATACAACAATCTACAAGGCAACATGTTAGTATGCATGTATCGCCAGTCAAGACGGGAAATGACGAAAACTTACCTCGCCTGAAGGCGTGCTACCATCAACCTTGCTATCGTCCTTGTCCACAAGCTTGATTTCGACACTGCTCAGAGGTGCGCCAAAGTGGCTATGTCCTGGGCGGTCGTCGTGTCTGTAATCATAGATGTTGGTCTGCGCAACAGCACCTGCCACTGAAGAGGCCGTCAGTGCGTAGCAGATTCTGGAGCGTGTGATAATGCGAAGATCACGGAGGGCAGTACTGCTCAGAGTCGTGGCCCCGGTACCGGCTCTCTCAGATGCGAGAATGAGACGTAGCTTGCCGGGCGATGTACCAATAGCGCTTCCCTTGGGAGCAACCATTTTGTACAGCAAGTCCTCTCCAGGCATGCGACCAGCGGCTAGAGCTCGACCATGGTTTGAGTGAACAAACTTGTGGAGGCCAGAGGATGCTCCCGACATGTAAGTTTGGTGCAAGTTTGCAAGAGATTGAGACGAAGCAATGATCACTGTAGGCGCCACACCGCGAGCAGCAAGAGACAGATCAACACCAGTACCCGCGACAGAGTTGATGACCAGGGAGCTGTGACTGAATAGTGCGGCCATGGTCAAAGACAAAACGTAGGAATGACTGAACGAATCAGCCGGCAACACAAGATCCGAAGGACCCAAACGCTGGCGCTGTGGCAGAGCTGACATCAGGGCGGCAATAGCTGCGACCATGTTCTAAGTAGTGTCAGTAATCGTTCCATGGCTTCCAAGCACCTTGCTTCATACCTTCTGAGTGAATTCGACCACTTCTGCAACAGAATCGGTGGTGTTTTTCTGCCAGACGAAGATCAAGTTGCCAGGTACCACACTCTCGTCATTCTTGGGCAGTTCACTGCTTATCGAGGAACCCTCTGTCACGAGATTATCCCAGACAGATACCGCAAGCTTGCCTTTGGTTTCGCTGTCAGGGGCACCTTCCCAATCCATGTGCTTGTTGGCAGGATCTGTAACCCAGATGACATGACGCAGAGTAGAGACACTTTCAGTAAGGCCAGCAAGCGGCAATGAACCGGCGCTGGCGACTACAGCTTGCGCTTGTGTTTGTTCAAGAAGCTTGCAAACGATGGCATGGTCTTGATTGAAAGGAAGCAGAATAGGGGTTAAGCCATAGAATGAGCAGGCTNNTTGGAAATCGTCAGCAATGGAGCATCAAGACAGTACACAGTATTTCTTACCAAAGACGGTGACGAGGTTCTCGATCGAATTTGGCGTGTAGATAGCGACCCTTTGAACACCTGCCTTTTGCAGATAAGAGCCAATGATGTTGATGGTATTCGAAAGTTTGCTCAAGTCATACTCGGCGATAGAATTTTCTCCATGGACAGACATGATCCTGCTGGGAGTAGCAGATGAGGAGTTGACGGCCTCACGCCAAACATCTCTGAGATCACCATCTTTACCAGCAGTCCATTTGGGAGCACCAGGCTGGCGAACGGAGAGACCAGTCTTCAAAGTGTAGCCATGAGGAACTTCAGTCGAGCGATAAACGGCAGACTCGCGTGGCTGGCGGACAGGAGAAGCGGTAGCCTGACGAGCAAGAAGCAGAGGATGAGTATCGGGCTCGGCCCAGAAGATGAGTGGATATGCTACAAATGCAAACAGAGCCAAGGCAATCAGGGTGGTGTAGAGATTCCAGGCCGAGAGAGTATCTGCGATGAGAGCATCCAGCTGCTCAATCATGTTGGCCATGTTGAATCTCAGGGACTTGTCCTGCAAGACCAAAATCTGAAAGAAGGGAAGAAGGTTGATCTTGTGCTTCAGGTGATATGGCGGTTGTCAGCAGTCGGATGGTGGGGCTTGCGGCAGCACAGCCACAAGCGCCGTGGAAACCAGTGCCAAGCTCGAGAATCAACACAGCTTGAAACAAAGATCAGGAAACACACCTCTGTCAATAGCCATAGAAACAGCACCAAGACTGCTTGCAGCAAGATTTGACTGTTGTTACGCCATGCGCCGTGTCTGACAGAAGCGCTAACCTGGACCCCCGATACTAACCCCTGCAGCACTCGACAAGACCACCAGCCAACTCTATACTCTGATCTCACACGCTCACACACAACACATCATGTCTTCAACAGCGATTTTGAAGCCGAGTCCGGCACCTTCGCGCTTCGTCGCTCCCACCACACCTTTACGCCCCTCGTCAGCACCCTCGACACCACAAAAGTCACAGCAACCACCCACAAAGGTCGAGACTCCTGGAACCTGGCGTCACCCCAACATGGACGACATCAATCGTCGCAAGAACGCCTCGACCTTTACCTCAGACAACGCCCATACCATAGTAGTCAATGTCGTTGCTCTGTTGGTCTTCTTGCTTGCCCCAGCCATGCTCTCTGACTAGTAAGCCTCTACCCACCTGCTAGCACTCCTACCTAATACTTACTCTNACAACAGCACTCCCACAGCATTGACTGCCTCCCTCAAATCCATGGACCCATACGCAACCTGGGCTTCCATTCTCCTCCGCTGCATCCCAGTCATAAACATCTCACTCGCCCTCATGCCACTCTTCCGCCCTACCGACGAAATGACAGATATCCCCCTGACCAGAGAACAACGCCAACTCCTCGGCTTGACTCCCCAGAACGTTCCTTTACCTGCTGGCTCCCCTGGCTACGTTACTCCGCCAAGATACTCGCGCGCTTCTACACCACGTTCCAGTGCTCAGAAACACGCCTCGGCTTCTCCCATGTCGCATAAGGCTAGCCCTTCTTCGTTTGATCAAAGCACTTTGGGTGTCAGCAAGGGTCCTTCTGGCAGCNCCTTTTCTGTTAGTCCTCTGATGCAGAAGGCGGTGGGAGGTGCTACGGCCGCAAGAACATCTTCACTCTTGGACAGTAGCTTGGGAAGCAGCTCATCAGGTCTGGCCACTGGAAAGGCAACTGTATCGCTGAACAGCAAGTGGTTGTACGAGAGAGGAAAGGGTAGTCCCAATGGTGGAAGAGCCGTCTTCTCGTGATTCGTTGACTTTCTGTATCATAGATACCCCTTTTTTCTAGGCTAACTCTACCAGTAGTGCTTTCCAAACAAATTCTAACTTTTGGCAAAAACTTTTTCTGTTCATGCTTTGAACATCTACCGTGATCTCTCATCACACTTCCGTAGCCGTCTGTCTAACGGCATACTTTGTCTTGTCTTCCTCAGATGTGGCTTGCTCTGCCAACTCACTCCACATCTTCAAACTTCTTAGCTCCCTCGATGGGAACATGTTCCTGCAATGCGATCCACGTAGGCACCACAGCAATCCCCAACAAGATGGTGTTCACAGCAAGAGGAACCCTCCCACCCTTCCAATCCTTTGTATTGATACCAAAAGATACCGCCTGCGAAAAACTCTCCTGGCCCCTCAAAATACCCGAAAAGCGTGCTGATATCAATCAGTACACCAAATAATGAGAAATGCAGAGGGAGACTTACACAATTCAGAGATATTATCAGTCTTGGTGGATAAGAAATAATATAAAAAGTTTTGCAGGGATTGTTGAGCGAAACCCCAAATCACGAGGACGAAAAAGCCTTCAATAAAGCCGGGGTCGGTCCAATCCCATACCGGATTGGTTTCTGTGTATTTGGATTGGATGGCCCAGCCGTAGGACCAAGCTAGAAGGTGCCAAAACAGGACGTAGAAGAAACTTTTGGAAACCATGTTAGAAGAGATCGATGTGGAGGGTTTGAAATGGTGCTGCAGGGATTGAGTTACCAGATGTTTAGTCTTTTCTTGACGGGCCAGGGTTTGTAGTCGAGGAGAGTGCTGACGAGGAAGGAGGAAAGAATACCACTGAAGTTAGTCAAGAAGCCGATTAAGCATCTTGCACGAAGGCCGAAATAGTAAGTCTGGAAGTCTGATGTATGTTAGAGATGTGGAGCTCTAGGAAGATGAGATTAGACTTACTTCCGGAATATTGGTTGAAGTATGCGGCCCAGAATACAGGGAGCAAGAGGAGGATGTCACGTCTTTTGGATGCAGCGACAAGAGCACGCAACTCAGCTGCAAAGGACTTCTCCTGGACAATTTTCACTTTACTGCCATCTGATCGTTGGACCTGTGCAAAGGTCAGTCATGCTCAACGACAGCAAGTCAAAGTCAACCTTACCTTTTCAGGTGGTGATAAGAGTAGTCCGATAGGCACAGCAAGGCATTGCAGAACGATGAAAACAAGATAGGTTTCTAGGTCAAAGTCAGTGAGATGAATATGAATTCTCTCTGTGTGCTGAAGACTGGCACATTGTAGCTGCACAAATGCACAGAACTTCCACGAAGAATGTAGATCCATAGAGGGAACCATTTGAAGGCTGTCTCCATGGCCAGACTCGGATTTAGAACGAAACTGTGCATTTCGACAGCTCCCAAAACCTTCGTGTGTGTGGAGTTGAGATAAGGTCAAGAATGTGGCAGTCTTTAGCATACAGGGAGGAGATAGCAAGGCATAAACTTACGGTAACCTACTTTGCCTTTGGATTTCTGGTTGGCAGAGCTGGAGAAAAAAAAGTCAGCGAAGCCGGCAAAACGCAAGTACTCCACAAGCCTACTGATTAAGACCAAGTAGGATAGCACCTCCTAGGATAGGGCCTCCTGTTCTGAACACCAGCCAGATGTTCATGTATTGTCCACGCTTGGCCGGAGGAGGATATCCCAGAGCAACAGCTCCCTCTGAAGCCCAAAATAGTCCAGCACTGATACCACAAGCGACAGCACCAACAAGGACGAACCAGACATTTCCCTGTAACCACGTTCAGCATCCAAGCAGAATTCACACAGGTAGGATCCGAGCATACATATCTGTTGTTGGTATAGAGCCCAGCACTGTAGACAGGATAACCTACAGCGCCCAGAACTAGAGTCCACTTGAGACCGATACGATTTGCAATTGGACCGCCAAAAGACAGAAAAAGCCCATCAAGCCGAAGACCAGGGCGTTAGCCGCGTTGACCAGGAAAGGTTTCTGAGCACCTCCAGCTCCCAGAGAGTTCATCGCATTCCATAGACCAGGAGCCTGGTCTATAGTCAGCATGTTTCTTATGAAAGAGACAATGCAATACCACAGTCAACAAGTGGTGGCAGTTGACCTGTGCTATTTGGACCCTAGGCACTTACCATAAATCCTACCATACCAATTACCCATGCGTTAAACATGCTTGACCGATACCATCTCTTTCTTTCAATTGTGCTTTGCTCCTCATGGCTCTCGGCCAGGTCGGAGTTGGTTGAAGTCGACATGCCTGAAAGTAGGGGAAATCCGAAGAAGATGACAAAACAAAGCCAAAAGCCACACCTACCTGGCTGTAGCTATCCTATATAGATGATTCTTGAGGTTACATTCTCATGCAACGTCTAAAAATCGTCGTCGTGAAGTCGATTGTGCCATATTGCGCAAGACAGGTATCCACTCTGTATGACAGCGGATAATATGAAGCGGGCGCAAGCGACGAGGAGAACTGTGAGAATCTCGACATGTTTAGGCAATCATATTGTCCGTAGGGCGTAAAAACGATTGATCGGCACCATGAAGGATCAAAGAAGAATGCTTCTCCTGTCGAGACCAAGTGGACCGATGTCGTGATTAGAAGTCCGAATCCTTCCTGCCTTTTTCGGCGCAGCTGCACTTACAGATGCAGTCAAGAATTTACATGCTTGTTCGTCCCTACCTGATAGTACTTGGCCTTGCTTGTTGATTGAGATCATACGTTGTTTCTTGTTAGATCTACAGTAGATTTACTTGTGAGACCGTTAGGATAGAATCGAAAGTGGTTGATGGCAGCGAGGTCAATAGACAGCTCAAACGTCATGCCAAGATGTTGCAAGGTTGACATGTGAAAGAGAGAGTATACTCAACCATTCTCATTTGTCAACCCATTTTTCAGAGAGGGAGGAAGCAAGATGCCCACTATTCCGGACAGAGCGCAAACAGAAGACTCGACGAGCTTCAGCCCGGACGCATACTTTGACGCGTGGGAGAAGGGCGACATCACAGCACCGTACGACAATGACTTCCGCAAGTTCATTCTGACCACCTTCGGCCTTCCTAAAGACGATACATACACGTACGCCGCCGTCGCCGAGGTCACTCTGCTCCAAGCCCAGACTTATGTCGAATTCGGCGGCCAGGGCGGATTACACGCCTGGTACAGAGACGACCAGGGCAAACCAGTAAGCCCGCCATAAGACACGACTCGTACCAACCCATGAACCAACATCACCTTTCATCCAGNNCTACCACCACCGCCTGCCGTTGATATCGCTGCATACACCAACATCTTCAAGAGTACAACAAATACTCAGAAAGCCCTCGTTGGTCTGGCTTCAAATGCGAAGAAAGACTCGATTCGTGCCTCAATCGGTCAACACCTGCAAAGCCTATACCAACCTCCTTCACCCGACCGCAAAATAGTCATATCCAAGCTGAAGAAAGAACACACAAATCCTTACCTTGATGTCTGGGCCTGGTCATGTCAGAACCTCGAATGGGCTGGTCCCGAGGATGCCACGAGCAAGGTCCGCTTCTCGCATGCCATTCTGCCAATCCTATACCACCACTTTGGTTGTGTCTGTCCGTCTTACGAGTCGCTCTCTATCATCTACCAGCTTGCAAAGGGTCGACCCGTCGTTGATCTGGGCAGCGGAAATGGCTATTGGTCATACATGCTGAGAGTCTTCAACAAGCAGAAGCCTCTGACTGTTGTTCCCGTCGATAATGGTATCAGTGAGTGGAGGACTGTTTGGGTACCTGACACCAATCAGATTGATGGTGTTGAATACCTCAAGAAGAACAACGACGGCAAGGACCAGGTCTTGTTGCTAGTCTACCCTCAGGTCGGCCTCGAGTTCACATCCAAGATTCTCAGAGCATACAGTACGTTCCATTCCAGCATCCGACGCGTCGGAACCATTCACTGACTTTTTGCAGAGGGCGACACCATCATCTGCGCGGGTACTCAAAACTCAAATGGCTACACTGCCTTTGCCAAAGAGACCATTGCAGATTGGATCGCTAGAGAAATGCCCGTGTTTGAGAAGGTTTGCCAGATTCCGCTACCCAGCTTTGCTGCCAAGGACGAAGCTCTCTTTGCGTTTCAGAGGAAAGCTTCATGATTCTTGAGCAAGTTAACTTTAGCTCTCCCAACACCACATTTGCCCCGCAGTAAACAACACTCAACATGAGCTATTATTACATCCTTCCACCTTTTACTAGCCGAGCCCGATTTCGATCATCTTTCTTGTGTATCGTACCAGGACTACCGGACGTTGCATGAGGGACTTCAATTGGATGCGGACAGTTATGTCTGCATGGACCATCAGTATCGTATATGTTGAGAGGGTTTACTCTCATACAATGGAAGGTCAGGACACCTCAACTTAGTGTGGGTTGAGCACCAGCAGAGTCAACCTCAGCTACAAAACCAGATTCGTTTCCACATTGCTTTCTACCTCCTACCCATACGTGACACTTTCCAATCATGAAGAACTTCGCTCTTCTATTTGTGCTTACCCTTTTGGGTAGCATGGGTGTCCTTGCTGCTCCTGTTGAGCAACACTCTACAAAGAATCCAAAGGNNACGTTGTCAGTTTGCCCTCTACGTGCCGACCATACAGCTATTAACGCCATACAGTTCTCAAGCTTCATTAGTGTAATGCACTTTCGTCCGACACACTCAAAACACCACAACTCATCTCGCACAACTTCGGCGGAACAACATCCAGTCCACATAAGAAGCCACACAGCTGAGGAGCAATATGTGAAGACGAAGACCGAGACTCAAATCATCACTGAGGAATGCTCTTCTGATGAGATGATACGCACAACAATCGTCGAAATGGTGCCATCCACCAGAGTACTCGAGGTCACTCCTTCATACATAAAGACCAAGACCGTCATGCAGACTGTCTTGCACGACGTCACCGAGACTGTCTCGTCCAAATCACGCAGACCCAAGCACACAAAGCATACCTGGACTGAGACTGAAATTTCGCCCTCGCCTTCGCCCACCACTTCGAAGTCTTCCAAGAAGCATACCAGATCTTCAAAGAAGCACACAAGGTCCAAGACTACTGGATCAGCATCTGCATCATCTTCCGTGGCACCCTCTACGAAGAAAGAGGTCGTCGTTACCACGAGCGAGGTTGTCGAAGTGGTTACAGTCGGCTACACAGAAGTGGTTTCGACCATGACACTGAGTGAGGGTGACAGTAGGCTCTCGAGCATGACTCAAACTTCTTCAACAGGGAGTAGCTCTGCTTACTCTATTGACCGGCCCTCTAACCCTACATGGTTCCCCACTGGTCCCTGGCCTTCAATCATAACCTTCTCCGCTGATGCTGCCGTTGAGAACGTGAAAGATGTAGCTACGCCCGACGCTTCACCTCTATCTACATCTTTCAGGACGATATACCCCAATGCAACTGCCAAGACTCGAATCATAACTCNNCTGCCGAATTGCCTTCCACCAAGAGCCAGGGGTGCAGGCGACGTTGTCGAAAACCTCTCTGCTAGAGATGATGAAGATGATCCTGAGTACTATTACACGAAATACCGCAAACGCGACAAGGCCATGAGCAAGCGAATGAGCAGATGGAGCAAACACCACAGCATCCAAATGGAGAAGCAAAGCAGCTACAAGCAGGAGGCTCGTGGCCGCGCTCACGACAAGTCTATCAGGAAGGCCGACAAGGCTTCGAAGAAGAAGCATTACAATCATAACGACGATCAAGTTGCCTCGGCTGCACTACCTGCTAGAGATGTGAAAATCGCAGCTCCAGCGACTGCAGATGCTGTAGTTACTGTCACGACTACTGTGGTGCCTACTCAGAACGGGACCTTCTCGACCTCATGAAGAACAGTCCATGCCAGCAAAACTGGCAGCAAGGAGAGTGCTTCAACCAGCAAGGCCTCCAAGGCTCACTCCAAGTCCTCCTCCAAGGCTTCCTCAAAGGCCTCCAACACTTCCTCAGGATCTTCCTCCAAGATCACGTCTCAATCTGCTTTGGAGATGGATGTTGATGCCATGACTGGATCAAAGTATTGGCCTCTCACATGCACATGGTTCCCTTGTTGGGTAAGTGAGGGACCAGCCCCACCANAGACTGCTCTCGAGACCGAGGATGCAACAATGAGTACCATGGTCGCTGGGGAAGAGTCAAACCCGTATTCGCAATGGAACTGCATGAATCACGAATGTCGCTCAAGGCTTTCTTCAGCAGATGTGGCCAGCACCATCAAGACATCAACATTCAAGGCATCGTCCACCTCGACTAATAGCCTAGATGCTGCAGTGAGCTCGGCATTGAGTGGGTTTTCTCCCCTTGAAACACTGCATGCTGCACAACACGAAGTGTAACCTATTGCTTGATCCAGCAATTCTGGTCAGCGTCATGAAGGAAATGTCTACCCTCAGTCGTATCCATGGGCCAGAGAGTACCGCCACACGCGACAACGGTATGTGAGAGTGGCATAGGAGATGAAATGAGAAGAGAAGGAGGTAAAGGAAGGGGGAAGGTAATGTTTAATGTCTGTGCGGTTGGTTTGGTTTCTACCCCCTTGTGTGATCAAAAAAAGATAAAAGCAAATAACGAAAAAAAGTAGGGTTTCATTCTATCTCGCGTTCCTGTTCAGCAATCCACTTCTATTGACATCTGATAGCTTGGCCATGGCAAGCCTTGCGGATACTGTCCATGAACTAGCTGATCCGCCATCGCCATTCCGTTGGATTGTCATTCGGTCCTTCTGGGCCACTTATAAAAGGAATTCGATCTGGTCATCGAATCGTTAGCGAGGAAGACCTGAACCCAGTAGTGTGGTTCGCAGAAGATTCCTCGCGGTTGTTTGAGCCAATCGCAACAGAATGTGACAGTGCTACATGCAGTAATGCCTTGGCGGCGGCTATCTGTGTGCAACTCACCTGAGGATGTCCTTCGCACCTTCTATTCATCTTTCGTGACTTGCTTGTCTATAGTTTACCATCAGAGCAATCTGGCTGAGTGTCCCCAGCTATTGCTGTTCTTACTATCAACTCAAATCTTAGCAATTGCTATACATAAGGATTTACATATCAGTCCGGCACCGATATCTTCAAAAGTTGATTCGAGCCATGACGAGACCATCTATCTTGACAAAACATGAATCCCTCACTGAGCAAGATGCATTGGATATCGAGCTTGATGTCATTCCTCAACTTCAGCGACAACGCGAAACAGACGACTTTAGACGAAAACTGCAGTCATCTACATCCCACATTCGAGAATTGATCTCACGCCATCTACAGATCCCAGAGTCCGATTTTGTCCTTGATAGTCCATCCGCCTGGAAGGAGGGGTCATTCAACATCTGCTTGGGTTTTGATATCAATAATGATCGTCATCCTCATCTTCCACAGCGAGCACTGATAAGATTTCCCCTGCCGTTCAATATCGGCGGGAGTTTCGCACCAGGGATCATGGACGAGAAGCTTCGCTGCGAGGCTGCCACTTATATCTGGGTACGAGAGAACTGCGCCAATATTCCCATACCTCGCCTTCTCGGTATGGGCTTTCCTGGATCGCAGACTGTAGGTGCCTAGTCTATCTCGGCCATACCACATACTCGTCTAATCTTACCCCAACCAGTTCACCGCCATCGAGAACGAGACTTTCTTGAATCGGTTCCGCTGGTATCTTCGTTACACCTGGAACTGGCTACATGGAGACAAAACTTCACCTTACTCCACTTATACGCGAACCAAACTCACGGACGTGGGTTACCTCCTTCTGGAATGGGTTCCAAACGGAAGAACAGTGACCGACAGCTGGCTACAAATCGTTCCTGGCAACAAACGTACTGCAAACCTGTACCGCGGCATTGCACGAATCATGCTTGATTTGGCCAACGTGCCTCTACCAAAGATAGGCTCGTGGACAATGGACAACAAAGGAGTCCTGACGCTTACCAACCAACCATTACTTGATCTCACCCTGCTCTGGAATCAGTACAAAGTTCCAACAGGCATATCGAGGGTGCGTTCTCTCTTGATTGTTCAACATTAAACATTCGTCGTCCCCCCTTCTCTCTACCTTGAGACTGACAAGTCTAGGACACGACATATACTTCAACAGAGACTTTCATCCATGATACCATCAGTCATCAGGATCGTCGTATGACCCATCAGATGAATTCAATCCTGAGCGTAAACGACGGCGTTCATCAACTCACAGCATTGGTCGGCATGCGAGCTCTTCTACCTCATTTTTCAACAAAGAGTCCCGCGAAGGCCCATTCGTGCTTTTCATGTCTGATCTACACCCAGGGAACATTTTTGTTGACGACGACTGGAACATCGTCAGTATCATCGATCTGGAACTTTGCCCTGCGGCTCCAATACAGATGACACAAGTGCCGCACTGGCTTACCGTCAGAGGTGTCGATCAAATCACCGGGCCTCATCTCGATGTCTACAAGCAACATTATGATATGTTTGTCAACATCTTGGAGCAAGAGGAGAAGAACCTGGTGCAAGATAATTCCTACAGCCAGCGTCTGCGGCATGAGTGGGAAACCGGCAGATTCTGGTATGTCATGGCCTTGAGGAGTATCAATGCCTTCCCCAGCATATTCGAACAACACTTGCAACCAAGATTCTTCGAAGAAGGATTTGAGACACATGTTCAAGGAAAACCAATCTCGCGACTTTGGTGTGAGGATGTTGACTCTTTCATTGTGAAAAAGCTGCAAGACTATGAAGTTTACAAGGAGAAAGTTCGTAGCATATTCGCTGCAGTCAAGACCGAGAACGGAGATGCAGGTGAAGAAGAGCGAGGAGAGGAACGAATTGACCAACAAAAGAAGGGAGAGGAAGAAACAAGCCTGGAAAAGAGAGAAGAAGTGGACTCATCAGTTGACACGCAGCACAATCCAGAGCAAGAAGCGATGGAAGCAATATAACTCAGGCTGGTCGAGCCAAGTGGAAGGAGCGATCATGCCGTGCATAAAAGCCACTGCAATTGCCATCGGCAACTCCCAAGACACATCCATCAAGATTGGCTGACATGCCATCTTCTTGCTACCGTACCAAACGCCTCGAAGACACGAGGCGTTCTGAGCCACTGGCCTCCGCAGTGTGCAAAAGCGTTCACCAAGTGACATGCCACATCGGACGACATCCCAGCCTGTCTTACGAGATGGAGATACAGGGATACCACAGGTCGTGTGTTGTGTTGACCGAAGGGGTTCAATCGATAGGAGCTATTGAGCATGTTCGAAGGAGCGATCAGACGCATATATGACCCGCATCGGTGACGACCATCGCATCAACATTGACTCCTCAATCTCGAGTTCACTAGAATCAAAAATCACATCATAGTAAGATCGTATATCAGAAGCGGATAAAACATTCGTCGAAATTCGTGAGTACAGCCTTACTAAAAGGCCTCTAAAAGCCAACATTTTCCAAATCCTCTAGAGCAAATATCTGAATCCAGGACTCAATCCAGGCGCAGGACTAGCCTGCGAAACCTCCATATGTTCGACATTGTTCTTCTCTCCCATGTCAAGATTAATCTGTTCAATCTCTGCCTGCTCAAGCTTCCTATTCTCCCTGACAAGGCAGAAGCGCAAAACCGTAGCCAGGATAATAGACACAGCAACAAAGATAGTGTTGGCCTCCATGGCAGGCAAGTAACGAGGTCCACTCTCCTTCTCGTACAAATACGGCGAGTAGATTTGCGCAAAGTTGCCGACCATGTTTGTGAGCGCGAGCGCCGCTGCTCTTTTNTCCATGGGGTGGGGCAGGGTGGCAGAGATCCAGGCGATGGCGACGTTGAAACCGCCGTAGACGCCTCCCAACATGAGGAACAGGGATACATAGCGGGGAGCCAGGGTGGTGGTTGCTGCGGCAATGATGTAGCCGACCATGCCAAAGGCGAGGGGAACCACTAGATGGGTGTAACGTTCTTGACGGCGGTCACTGCTGATGGAAATGCCCATGGCGCAGAAAGCGGCAAAGACGTATGGGGGAGCAACCAGAAGGAGAGAGTTGATCTTGTTGTAGCCGAAAGTCTTGACGAGAGTGGGGATGAAGGAGGTAACAGCCGCAGCGCTGGTCTTAGTAATGACAATGCCACTGTGTTTTGAGTGTTAGAAGAATGCTTGATGATGCGGGTAAAGGAGAGGGACGTACGCAAGAAGCCAGACTTTGTAGTCTGTGACTGCCATTCTGAGGCCTGAGAGAAGCGATCCTCTCTCTGCATCGTTGTTGCCGTTGCGGTCGCGAAGTCTGTAAGTGGCAATTGCTTTCTCTTCCTCCGAAAGCCATCTGGTTGTGTGAGGGAAATCGGGAAGAATCAGGNNCTGTTGAAAAATCAGCATCGTTGTCAAAACAGCCATTCGAGTAGATATTGCTTACATGCAAGTCAAGGCAAAGGCCACGGTAACACAGCCTTCGATGATGAACAGCCATCTCCAAGACTCCAGACCGTGGACTCCATCCAGACCATACTGTACACCAGCACCAACAAGACCACCAAAACCACTGGACAAGAGACTTCCGGTGTAGAGGACGGCAGTACGAGTAGCGAGCTCTTTACGAGTGTACCACGAAGAAAGCAAGAACAGAGCGCCAGGGAAGTAAGGTCTATTGCAAATCGTCAGTCTACTGATCATCGCTCATTCCTCAATGATCACTTACGCTTCCATGAATCCAAGGAAGAATCTCGTCACGACCAAGCCGTTGAAGTCGTGTACAAGAGCCGTACAAGCGGATACGACACCCCAGAGAGCCATACAGACGGGNCTAACAAAATCAGCAAGTGGTTCTTGTACGCTGTAGGGAGAAAGAATACTCACAAGGTAGATACTAGGTCGGACTCTTGTCAAGAGCATATTAGAAGGGATCTGAAGTGCAATGTAACCAGCAAACAGCACAGAAATGGCTGTGTTGAACTGATCGCCCTTGAGTCCCAGATCTTTNTCAATGCCTTGGATTCTTGCATTGGGCAGAGCATTGCGGTCGAGGTAGCTGNNGAGATACCGTAAGCATTGAGAATGAGATGCAAATAGATGATTGACTCACTTGAGCACAATCATACCCAAAAGACAAGGCATGAGTCTGTAGTCGATCTTGCGGACGAGAGCCTTGTGTTTTCTGGCATAGTCTTCTGCCGTGAGCTCGAAGCCTGGGATGTCGACCATGTCCATGTTTGCTAACTCTACTCCAGTCATGATGGGATATCAGTGGTCGAGAAGATAGTCGAAGGAGAAGAATGAGTAGAAACACTGCTCGATGATCACATCTCAGACAGAGAGGACACCGCTCCTATATACCATCCCCGGGTATTCGGTCCCCCATGGGGAGCCTGAGCCATGGCATCTCATGGCAAAGCAAAGATGGTGGAGATATCGTGGGGTGGAAGGGTTCTTCGGCCAACTTCCGTGAGGACGTTTGGGGCTCGGTCAACTTCCGTAGCAAACAAGACCCACCTTGCACTGCAGTGACCATGGCTTGTCGAATGCATGGCCAATCGTGCTTTGCTTAGCCAGAATGCTTGAACGCCACTCGGACGACGTCCGCTGGTATATCTCCGCCAAGACAGGTTGCTTCGGTTCAGAAGTGTTGGGGTGAGGAGATGGAGTGCGGAGTTTGAGGGGAGACAATAAGTATCCTAGCTTGGCGCTGTAGTTGAGATCTTCTCGAACATGGTCTCGAGTCTATCGATTAGGTATATACAATTGGGTGGTACATCTTGGTTGAACCCGAAGAGAGGGCAGTGCCACCAAAACCTAGGACGGCCCACTCTTCATCGGCACCCACGTCCCATTGACTAGCCAAGTCCCGGCTTTGGTGTAATCGGCCACCCCGTTTCCAGCCATGTATGCAAATCTGAAATACTCTGGTAAACTCTCATCGTGTCTCTCCCACGTCCATTCTCTGGTTCCGTCTTCCTTCCACAATTCTTGGGCGTCGTAGTCGGCATATCCTCTGAATCTCTCTACGTCGTTCACCAAGACTGAGATACCGTCATAATACGGCGTATCCTTCTTGCTGTCGGGCGGTGGGATGGGACCTAGGGTGAAGGTGATATTGCTGGTGCCAATGACAGGAGGAGAGATGACAGGCAANAGAGTGTTTTGCGGGGCATCCGAAAGCAGTTCTCCTGGCGTTTGGAGAATGCTATCGAAGCCCCAACGAGCGATTCCGTTGATAAAAAGCCCACAGAGTAAACCTTGGTAAAGCAAACTCGGACGATTTTGGAAGGCTGTGCCAGGGAGTAGGAGTATGGCAAGGATGTAATGATGGATACGTAGGTTCATACCCGGTACTGCAAGGAGAAGAAGGAGTGACAGGACAAAGAGACCGTATACAACCAGGTAGCGTGGCATGCGACCTTCGACACGGAAAGCATAAGCTTGACCTAATGCGATGAAGAATATTATCAATACGATTGAGATCAGGGCTGGCACGGCTCCTGGCTGGGCTTTGATATCGTGGGGAGTGAGGCGCTGAATAGGAATGCGATCGAAAGTGTAGTTGTTGAGTGCGCCTACCCATGCTGCGCCTACCCAAAGGATCGTCTTTTCAAATTGGGCTGTCAAGCCCGTTAAGCTGTAGCGGACGGCGTAGCGATAGATCACTGCCATGACGAAGGCGGCAGGCAAGAACCTCCCAAGAGCCGTAGAGATCAGCGAATAGTAATCCGTGAGATTTGGTGGATCGGAAGCCAAGCCTGTTTGGAAGAACAATCCGACAAAGATGGACCAGAAGAACACAGCTGGTGATGTGGTAAACAAAGATAGCATGGCGGTGAAGAAGACAGACACAGCGAGTAGAGGCCACCTCAAGTCCCGACATTGCGACTGTGTGCCTTCTACAAACTGGAAAGATTGTGGGAAGTAGGACTCGAAACCGATACTGTCGATTCCATGTTGCTTTACACTGGGGAAGAAGTGTTGATCACCAGTGAGTTTGAGGACACCACATCCACCTTGTTCGCTTTTGATGAAGCCTGCGTGTATGGCAGAACCACAAATGAAACTGTCGCCTCGATAAACAGTACTTGAGATGGGTTGACTCTGATTCAAGGGTCCACCAACGACCAGAGGCTTGTATACGACTTCCTGATCTCCAACAGCATGAGGAAACAGAACTTGGGTTTTGATACATCCTGCTGGGCAGCGGAAAGGCAGAGATGAGTTGGCGAAAGGGCGGCACTGATCTCCGTTTATACCACAACCATTTCCGTCATGCCAGTATCTTGCTGTACAACCCAGTCTTATTGGCGAACCATAATCTTTCACATCGGCAGCAAATGATGATTTGTGTAGGATCAAGGCGAACGAGAGGATCCAACAGATGTAGAAGACAAATAGAAGCCAGAAACGTTGCATACGCTTGGGAGCATAACGGTCCAACAGCTGGAGAGGTGCGTGCTGTATACTCGGGAAGAAAGGTTCAATCTTGTATATCCTCGGGGGTTGAGGACCCTTGACCCAAGTGACTACAGCACTCGATAGTCTCTTTAGCGGTGAGGGTATGTTATCGCTGACTCTTTGCATCCACGGGTATCGTTGTGGTGCATCTTCGTCTATAGGATCGTCGACTGAAGTTGCGTGTAACAGCGGGTCCTCAGTGGAAGTCCTGAGTGGAGTCTCATCGTGGTAGCTCTCGAGCTGTTCGTCGTCGTCGTCACGCATGACTGGTGGGTCGATATGGTCTAACTCCACTTTCGGTCCTCCTCTTAGCTATTGCACCCGGATAGAGATGTGTTTAAGGCGGATATGGATATACAGAACAAGATAAAGAAGAGGGATGAATGTAGAACTCACTGTGCCAAGTCGGGGGATTCATGGCCAGTGTGCTAAGAATATGCGATCTGACTTGTCAAAAGATGGGCAAACGTCTCGGAAGGCGGCAACTTCGGAACCGCTTTGTCCATCTTGGTCATGACGCACTGAGTAGCATTGAGCGCAAATAGACCACCTACCTACCTGTGTTTGACAGCTCCTGATGTTTATGGAAAGCAGCAGTATGTTGGTGTCTGTATTGTAGCAGCAAACGCTGACCATGCAAGAGGCAGTTGGATTCGCATGAGCGACACGATTTAGGCAGGTGCGGATGTACCGATAATGATGATGACAAAGGACGTTTAACACCGACTAAAGCCGTTTATCACGATCCAAGGCATGCGTCCGCCGGCCTATCTCTCTGTCTTGGTAGGTAACCTGTTCTCTGCTTTCGTTCCCTTCTCTGAGTTGAGCTCCACCAACAACCAACATGTCGAGCACCAGTTCCAAGGATACGCGCCCACCGCCCAAGGACCTCTCGCACCACCTCTCGCGCAATGCCAAGAGCAGACAACCTAGCTCAATTAAGCAGTTCTACAAGTACTTTGCTATCCCAGGCATCGGCCAACTAGCTGGCGGTCTACCCAACCAATACTACTTCCCTTTCGACACGCTAGAGGCAAAGGTCGCCTTGCCAGAGAGATGGAAGCCCACCGACAACAAGCCTGTTGATCCTCCCTCGCCCGCCACACAGTCCCTCAAGAATGGAAGCCCTCTCAACCAGCCTCAGTCGGCACTGAAGGTCCCTCACACTTCACACGAGCAAAACCCTCTCAAGAAGATTGACTTGGCTTCTGCTTTGCAATACGGCCAAGCTCAAGGATACCCGCCTCTATACACCTTCCTCCGCCAATTCTCCCAAGAGAATCTGCACCCCAATTGTCCTTACAAGGGTGGCCCCGAGATCGTCCTATCCTGTGGAAGCACTGATGGCTTCTCCAAGGCTCTTGCTGCCTTGTCCAACGAGTGGAGTGAAGAGAAGGACTGGGTTCGCGACCGTGAAGGTCTACTTGTTGAAGAATTCTGCTACATGAACGCCATTCAAGCCGCCAGACCAAGGGGCCTCAACATTGCCCCCGTCAAGATTGATGATGAGGGTATGCTTCCTGAGGGCCCCGGTGGTCTCCGTGATGTGCTCGAGAACTGGGACTACAAGAAGGGAAAGAGACCTCACTTGATGTACACCGTCACCATGGGACAGAACCCTACCTCTGGTGTTTTGTCTCTGCAGCGTCGTCGTGAGCTCTATGCGCTCTGCTCAAAGTACGATATCATCATTGTAGAAGACGACCCTTACTGGTACTTGCAATTCCCTTCGTCGACAAACTCCGACAAGGTCTTTACTCCACAATCATCAAAGTGGAAGTCTTCAGGCTATGACTTCCTCGATTCGCTCGTTCCTTCATATATCAGCGTCGACACTGATGGCCGTGTCCTTCGTCTCGACACTTTCTCCAAGACTGTCGCTCCTGGATGCCGTCTCGGCTGGATCACAGGACAGCCCGCCTTGATTGAGCGTATCCTGCGTTTGACCGAGACCAGCACCCAACAGCCTTCCGGATTCGTCCAATCCATGATTGCCGAATTGATCATCGGTCCCCAAGCCGACGACATTGACCCAGGCAAAGGGCCCGCCAACGGCAAAGGCTGGAACACAGCAGGCTGGGTGCGCTGGCTCGAAGGCCTACGCGGCAACTACGAACGCCGCATGAACGACATGTGCCGCATCCTCGACACAGGCCGCGAACTCGTCAAAGTAGGACGCCGAAACTCGCTTTCCAATCTTTCGCTGGACAGCGACGACGAATGGGCAGTCGTCCAAACCACCACCGTATATTCGTTTGACTGGCCCGTGGGCGGCATGTTCGTCTGGCTAAAGATGCACTTCGAGACCCACCCTTTGATCAGCAAAGTCGCGCCCGCTCGTCTCTCCCGCGCTCTCTGGATCTTCTGGACCACAAAGCCTTATTTGGTACTGGTATCACCTGGTCTGATTTTCTCTCCCACAGACGAGATCCGCAACAGAGATGGCTACAAGTATTTCAGACTTTGCTTTGCGGCTTGCGATGACAAGGAGATCGAACCCATCAGTCAGCGATTCGTGGATGCGGTTAATGACTTTTGGAAGATCAAGAGTGTGAGGAAGATTGACGAGTTGCTGGAGGAAGAAGGCGAGGGTGTTGAGCAGAGGGCTGGTCAGGCTGACATGGCACAGTTGGCAAGTTTCATGGGTCCTTGCTAGATTATAGAGGAAAGCGCAACGAAAGGAAATTTGGGGGAATAATACACCAGGCGTTATAGAAATGAGTAAGGAAAGGCAAAGGTTTCAAACAGATTGGCAATACGCGAAATGAAACAAGTTCACTAAAGGACATTTAATTCCTCACATCAAAAAGAAAATCACACCTGAAAAAACAAAGCGTTTGACTTTGTGGTTTTTAATTCGAATTTACCAATACCCATCGAAATTAATGTGCATGTCCTCCGAGCGGTGCACCACCAATCCCTTCCCCATGACTTTGCTGCACATGCCCACCCCCAGCAAAACCTCCAACATGTCAAACTCGCCAATCCCCGGTCCAAAGCAATTGGCAGTGACATCCTGACCTCCAGCCTGTAAGATCGGATCCAGCGGCAAAGCAAGCCAATCATAAGTCCCATCCTCGGCACCCACAAACCCATCACCATAAGTTCCAAAGTTATAGTCTGTGGTGTGGTCAGAAGAAGAGTGATGATGACCGAGCCCACCAGCCGCAGCCAAAGAAGGCGAAGGCATATTAGTAGGCGGCGGCATGATTGAAAACGTATTATTGTTATCGCCGAGATCGTAGGTTTGGGTGGGGATACCGTAGAGGGCGTTTGTGTCTGTTCTTTGGTGGTGGTGTGGTGCTTCGTTGTAGGGGTCGGCGGGGTATGCGGGCATGTGTTCAGTGCTTCTGTTTTGCAGGCCTGGGCTTGGTGGTCGCGAGGAAACGCGAGAGGCTGCGTTGTGTGAGGAAGCGCCGTTTGTGCGTGACATGCGCACAATCATGGGACGCAGGCGGTTGGTGATTACTTCTAGGAAGTTGGAGAAGCGGTTGGAGAGATGCACATCGTCGACAACGTGGTTGCGCATTACTTCGACCGTGCGGTCCATGAGGTTTAAGGAAAGCGCCATTTCGTTTTCGAAAGCACCAAAAGCGAAGGTCTGTAGTCAGGGTGTTAATAAGAGGGGGTAGTTTGTGTGAAGGGGAAGAGCACTTACCTTGACGAGCACTAACGTAACAGACACAATACGGAAGAATGTTCGCACTGGTGCATGTTTGAGATAGCCACCAGGTGCAAGACCGTCGACAACGACTCGAAGTACATTGCGGCAAGCTTGCATCACCTCATCCACGTGCTGTCTGTCGCTGCCGAACCACTGGTCAAGCACATTTGGTGGAATAATCTTGCCAGCGGCTCCAGTGTTATTGTTCGCGCATCTCTCTACCACAGCTTGCAGGGCGAGCTGATGCAGAATCACTCGAGTGTGTTCATACTCGATTATGAGTACATGACGAAGCAGAATCGGGACTNNGTAAAACGAGTCAGCAAAAATCCATTGCTCTGCGATGTTAGCTCACTTACTGTTTCGATACGCTTCGAACTCTCTCCGCCATTGCACCAACGATGGCTTTATACGTTGCAGTAACTCTCTGTACTTTCCAGTCTTGATAATATCACGAGTCTGTTGTCGATTCGCATACAGCTCTTCGTTATTGATCTTGACCAGTGCAGCTAGACGCAACCAGAAATGCAGAACAATATCTTTGGTATCCTTGAAACTCGACCGCTTGGGGTTGTACAACTCGCTCAGGGAGGGCTCGGCGTATCCTTGAGGCAGCATGGCAGTTACGCCCATTCGCCCGCTGGTTTGTGTGATGTACCCGAGGATCACGCTCTTGACGTGAAGCCGTCGTCGTTGATAGATTTCCTGCTGCTCGGGAGATACGCCTTGTAGATGTCTTGAGCAGTCCGCGTCAAACACTCCGATTTGAGAAGCTACTGTCATCGCCATGTTGAGCAGAATCCAACACATGCGATCACTTCTGAAACAAGGCTCGAGCCATGAGGTTAAAGCATGACCTCCTTGTCCCTTGTCGGTATTCGATGTGCTCTCGTTGATCGAGGCCATTGGATCTACAGGCGCCATGAGTTGCGTATCATCTTCATCTGCAGGGAAGTGCATCATCCTTGGATGCCATTCGGTCAACAGCAATAAACTCTCAACTGTGCCCAAAGTTAGGAGACCCTTCCGCGATAGAGGATTAACATCACAACCCGGTTGTGTCTCATCAGGATGAAGTGTGGTTCCAGATAACTCACGGCCCCAGACAATCCGGTCAATGATGCGCTGAACAAAAGGCCAAAGTCTGGCGTGGATAGAATGTGATCGACTCTGAGCACCAGGTCCGGACAATGTCATGTATCGTGATGCGATCATCAGCATGGTAACAGCAAGCATAGGTTCATTCTCCAACAAGGCCCCATGTTTGTCAGGTCCGCGATAATCCGGAAGAGCGATTGGTGTGAGGGGCGACATGTACGTATAAAAGTACTCAATGTAATCCATTCCTTCCTTGATGGTGAACCAGCCATTGCGTACGAATCTGAAGCGGGACCATGCAGCATAAGCTGAAGCGTAGTCTGCCGAGGATGATGGTCGAGCAGTAGAAGGTGGTTGCTGCATAATGGCAGGATCGATCGAAGCATCAGGCGGTGGTGGTTTCGAAGCTTTGGGCAGCGTTACTTTCGCAGGACTTGGTAATGAAGTAGCATATTTGTGGGCGTCGGTAGCACTGCCAGTACGGTGATTCGCTGTAGCAGCTTCTATCAGAACATTCAGAGCGTCGTGTCCGTTGTGCAACTCGGCAGTTTGCAAGAGAGCTGCAGTATGGCTGTTGACATGATCGTCTGCTTCATCACCTGGATACGGCGTTTGAGAGGTCGAGTGTGGCCGGCGTAGAGGTTGTTGACGACCCATAGAACCGCCAGGAGTCAAGGGTCGTGGTATGTACGGCGCGGTCACAGGCGCGGGTGAATGGGCACTGCGAGCATCCGAGTCGACTGATTCGGCCATGCCTTCCTTCAACCTCTTACGTCCTCCCCTGATCTCGTAGTCATTGGGGTCGACTTCATCTCCAGTGGTACCAGAGTCGGCCGCTCTCTTCTTCNNCCTCNNCCTCGTGGCGGAGAAGAAACATTCTTTNGCTTCGCGACGACAGCGAACACATGGAGGGTCATGAGGATTGTCGACAGGACCAAGATCGCATCGAACCTGGTGGTGTCAACGGATGTGCAGCCAAGAAGACGATTCGTCATGTATATCTACCTTCCTCCGCCGACACGGTATACACGCCTGATATGTCCTACTGTGTTTGTTGTCGACTCCGTTCGCATCCATCGACTCCATGGTCAATGGCGAACAAGACGGCAAACCGCGCTTTGTGTCGGCTGTATCAAGCACCAGATACCCCGCGCACTGGGACAGCGTTCAAAAGCACCAAGACCGAGACAATTATCTTCTTACGTGACCGCCGAAGAATTCTATGTCGCTGCTGCCGAGGGACTCGATCGGAAGTTTTGAAGAGATATCGGGCGAGAGGAACAACTAGATAGTCGAAAGTGGAAAAGAAGAAAAGTGATGAAGAGTGACCGAATCAAGACGCCAAGCGGCTCAGAACGCGCTCTGGTGCTATAAACCTTAATTGCTCTATGAAGACGCCAGTCGAAGAAAAGGCTGATGAGATATCGAAAATCTGTAAGATGTGAGCACTCATATCAGGACTAATTATCCTCATCGGCGTGCGTCTGCGAATGTGCTATACATAGCCAGACGTGAATTTAGTCTACTGCCCTGTCACGTGCATCTTAGACTGCTGTTTCCGCGCGAATTTGATAAAGAAACACAATTGCGAAAGCGGCATCAGAGCATTCCCGGACTGGACGGTATCATAGTTATCCGTTGAAGGATGTCAAGTCACAATCTGATCTAGTCGTTGAAGTTGAAATGCAAGAGGCTTCGAACCTCCGACTCGAGCACGATCACGTGCATGGATGCAGGCGGAGGATGACGCTTTGCGTCCAGAAATCTTACAACGCCGCGAGAGAGACCGCGCGACAGCAATTCGAGTTGCAAGAGATCGAGTCCGTTTCACTGTCGACCACACCACTACCCTAAACCTCTCTCTCACATCCACACAACACCGTCAAAATGGTCAAGCTTGAAGAGGTTCTCGACGAGGAGTTCAACAGAGAACAGGCCGGGCCCCAAGTCGAGGACGAATGGGACACCAGCGATGGTACGGATACCCAAGACCCACCACCGTCAGGCGCAAGACTGCAAGGGAAATAGAAGAAAGAAACAAAGGCTAACATTTGATTGCGCATACAGNAGTCCGAGGCCTCAGACGACGAGGAAGAATACATGCCCGACGAAAGCTTTGCCGACAGACTCGCCGCCCTCAAGGACATTGTACCCNCCACATACCGCAAGACCCTCTCCAACACCGTGTCCACAACCTCGAGCTGGGTGCAGACCACACTCAACTACGGCGGAAAGACTCTCTGGGTTGTCAGCACCAGCGTGTTGCTGTTGGGTGTGCCGTGGGCATTGGCTTTCGCAGAGGAGCAGCAGATGGCCGAGATGGAGAGAGAAATGAAGATGCAGCAGAGTGCCAATGAGGTATGACCCTCTATAACAACGTCCAAGCAAGAGAATCGTGCTAACACTCAAACAGNNCTCCTCACTCAGCAGCAACAATCGCAGGCCAAGCCCGCTCTGTAAATGGATCCGTCTTCTTTTTTCTGCATTGCTGCTTGCCTCGTGTATCAAAAATCGCCCTTTCTTCTCATCCCCTTGTACAACTATATTTTGGTGGCCGGCGGTTGGACTCATGAAAATGCCATCGATTTCCCAATACAATCTTCTGTTGCAAAATTCTTCCTTCCTGAAATACGGCATGTTACTTGATGTCGAAAAAGCTAATCAGTGGCTCTGCGTTCAGGAACGAAAGTGCATGTCTGAGAGATCCCATAAACCTATGATTCCAGAAAAGATGAACAGAAGAAAACGCCTTTTATGGCTATTCAATATAAACAGACCCCGACCACCCAATGCTAATTGTGATATCACAAAAACTAGACTGCTTTTTCTCTCGTCCAACCAGCTGTTTAGGCTCTGTTTGCACGCCTGCTCTTGCCAGGTCTTTGAGCTTTCTTTCCGCCCTTCATCTTCTTTGACGAATAGCCGCTCATATCGCTTGATGACTTTGCATCGTTGCTCTTGGAGAAGCGCTTCTTGCCTCCAAAGCCGTACTTTTCGTCGCGCTTGACGCGCTTGAAGTTGTTCTTGCCTCCGCGCGAATCGGCACCGCCGGCCTTGCGAGCGGCCTTGTCTTTCTTTTCCGTCTCGGCGGCGTCCTCGAGGGCGACGTCGAACATGTCGTCTTCGTTTGCGTTGCCAATGTCTTCGCCCTTTCTCTCTGTTTGTTTTGAATGTGGTTAGCCTTGTGTTTTCTGTGTGATATGTAGGATTTGCGTGGAGGTATATGCTTACTTNCTCTTGAGAAGCTGGATCTTGTCCAAGGTATCCTTCTTCTCGCGACTTCTCTCTTGCAGCTTGGCGACTTGGACTTGCTTGCCGAACTTCTTGAGATCTCTCTGTCTTCGTGCTTCGGCGGAGGCCTTNTTGCTCGCCGCCTCGTCGATCAACTTGCTCTTGATCTTGCCCATGTGCTCGTCGCTCTTGACCATCTCAGCAAAGTAGTCTGCAGGGCGAGAGAACGGCACACCTTCCTTCTTGAGGAGACCGCGAGCCTTGGTAACTGCATCCAGGGATTGCTTGTAGAAGGCAAGTTCGCGGTTCAGGTCGTCATCGATATCGGGGATCTCGGTGGGGGCGTCGCTGACAATGGTTTGGTTCTCAGAGAAGGGGAGCTTGGAGGAGAGAGCAAAGGACTTTACGGCGCGAAGCAGGGCGGCGGTGTTGTTGATGGTGAGACGTTGGTGTGGGATGATGTCGCCCTTGTCCTCTGAAGCTACGGATTCCAGATCTGAGAGCGCAATGTCTTCGTCTTCCTCGTCATCGTCCTCGTCCTCATCTTCATCTTCGTCCAGCTCGGCGTCGCCGTTGATATCGTCCTCTGAATCAGACTCGTCCTCAGAATCGTCCTCGACCAGTCTTGCAATGTTTTTCTAGAGTAGAGAGTCAGCATCATGATGCGCTATGTGCACAAATAGCGCAAGAAAACATACAGCATGCGTCTTATCCTCATCATCAGTCTCCCACTCCTCATCCTCTTCCTCAACTTCCTCCTCTTGCTCGACCTTTGCGCGCTTTGCACCCTTCTTGTCCTTCTTACCAGCAGCACCCGACACAGTCTCCTCAGCCTTCTTTATCGCATTCTCGAGAACAGCCTCGTCTTCCTGATCCTCAATTCTCGATCTCTTTCTCTTCTCGGCGGCTTTTTGCTGTTTCTTTTGGCGTTCGAGTTTGTGGTCGACACCCTTTTCGCGATCCAGCGCAGCTAGCAATTTGCTTCCCTTTTGCCATGATGTGTGAAAGTTATGTATGTGTTGTGTTCGGAAAAAAGTTGGTTCTGGGAACTTTTTTCTTTGGAGAAGTCTCGAAAGATCGGACCTTTGCAGAGGGCAAAACGCCGTGAGTAAAATGTGGGGAGGTTGTTTTGTGAATTGCATAAAACAGAAGCTCGAAGTGCACAAAATCCGAAAAGGGGGAGTCCCAAGCCAGCGCCATCACCCTGATTGCCTTTGTAGCAATTCAGGATACCCGCTTCTCTCATCTCCAACCTCGTTGCAGATGTCTGAGCCGCATACAGAAAAAGACGTCAATCTCAGTATGGCAGACCTCAACATCAACAAAGACCATGATACCACTGAAGCATCAAATGTAAACATCACTCCCACTGAAAGTGCTATTCGTTCCTGACCATATNCACCACAGGGAGCAGACACTTCATCATCTGAGGACCTGGCTACCGTAGTCGACGATCTCTTGAATCAACTATCCACAAAGTTCACAAACATTTCCTCGGATCTGCTTGCGAAAAGTGAGTGCCCATCTATCTCAACGTCATTTCGGCAAAGAAATATCAATGTTAACTTCAAAACAGTGGATGAGATGTCCAGACGTCTTGACAACCTCGAGGCTTCTATTCAAGCATCTGCCAGATCCCAAGATGATGAGTCGAAATGAATGGCTTCATTTTGCTATTGTTTACAAAGTACATTATACCCCCAATCTCGTATAGCATCGAGTTGAAAATCGAAACTGCTTATCAAAACCCGAGCCATTACTCTTCTGGCACGTCAACCTGCATCTACTCCCAGCCAAAATCTGTCTTGTCCCTCCTCTCGTGGTATCATAGAAAGTATCAAAGTCCTCCCTTTTATCAACTGAAAACGCCAACGTAATGAGCTCCCAATTACAAGTACGAAATCTCAACTCGTCAATAACGTTGAGTGATGGGTGGCGGCAACTTGCTTGATGCTGCCATCCCCCTAACCTTATCCATAAGCCTGTTTACAGGCAAATAAGGCGCCTCCATGCGCCGTACCAACTGAACCCTCTCATCATGGTCAAAGTCATGAGTTTGTGAGTGTCGCTTGATCAAGATCTGAGAGCTCGGCTCTGAGGCGGCGTATGTTTTGTGCATACAGCCATCCACAGGGCAATGCCAAACATCACCATTGTTGGCTGCGTCCTGAAGATGGAATGGTAATGAAGGCTCGCGTGTCTCTGTCTTGTTTCCGTCATCCTCGTCCGAGTCTTCGGCTGTGTCCTCAATCTGTTTGTCGCTGGATTCCGTATCATTTGGAGGACTATCGATCGACATAGGTTCTGGTTCGACGGACTCTGGTAGAGGTGCTGCTGTCTTGTTCTGCGACGCAGTAGGTGACTCCATCGAAGCGTTACTTGCTCGTGTAGCGAACTTGCTAGGCCTTGGCCTAAGAGCTGATTTGCCTTTGCCCTTGCCTCCAGTTCTAGGGACTTCATCGCTGCTAGAAGACAAATCTTGATCGGCGTGACTTTCTGTCTGCTTAGTTACCGACACAACCTCGGCAATTGGTTCCACTTCTGGAGTATGGTCGAGATCCATAAGCAAGGATTCCACGGTCACCGTCGATTGTGATCTGGTTGATCTAGTCGAGCGACCTGAACGTATGGAGATAGTAGACTCCGGAGTTGCGCTCTGTTGTTTGGCTGTCGCCTTTTTCCTTCTTGAGCTTGCGGTCGAGGGAGCAGGGGATTGTGTGCTACTCTTTTGTGATGACGATTTCGCTCGTTGTGGTTTGATTCTCGACTGGACGAGCAGAAAGTCATCNCTGATGCTTGGGTTAGCTGTAGCTTTGTAGAGAGGGGTGACCTGACTCACAGGAAACGTGACCTGAAACCACGTGTAGAGGGGCACTCGGTACCACTGCAATCCCTCCTTGTTGGTCAACATGGATGCGATCAGAAAATGTCTATGCTTAGTAAACATTTCTGCGACATCAGCGACATCTTTGCTTCCTTCGAGGCCTGCTTCGCTGCACTGGAACCAAAAGTCAATACAGTTCGAGGTGTTGAATGAATTACGCACCTTCTGGAAGAAATAAGGAGCTGACAGATCGGCGTACTTGCGCAAAGCTTTGTAGCTGTCGGCCATAAAGTACAGCAGCTTGAGAGCCTGGGTCATGTCGCTGTACATGTCCCTGTATGCTCTGCTTGGTTTGATTGTGAACCAGCCAGCCTGGCCAGCAGCCCATATGTCTAACGATCCATCACCATACTCGCCATATGAGAACTCTTTGATATCCGTGAGCTCGATATGAACGGAACGATGTACTGAGTCATTTAACCAGGATCCGTTGTTCCGAGAGTTTGGTGGTTCGAGTTTTCCAGTTATGGAGAGCGGACGATAGTGTCCAGCATGCAATAGGCTAACAGGTGCTTTGTTCGGGTCCTCTGGGTCGAAGACGAAGGCTTGCTTGAGTTCGAATTCCGGCCAGTCGTCCGAATTCACTTGCGATGGGTCGCGTGGCCGTAGTACAGAGGTCTCGTGGCTCATGTTTGTATCAATGTACTACCAGATGAGGTGAAAGGCATTTTCGAGGCCGAAGGATGTTATAGCACTAGCACATCAACAATAACATCAAACTCGAGGAAGTTGCGACTCTCGAAGAAACGTCTAACTCACGAAGAGCACGCGCGATCCGCGTCACAGCTTTGCCAAGGCCGACCTTAGTGGAGAGCTGCTGCACCGCCGACTTTTGAGAATAATTTACTCTAGTATTCCGTCTTCTCGCAATCACTCGTCACTCTGCAGATGGCAAAGAGTTTCATCTGGAGGTCAATCAAAATCATGAGTGAACCAACTCCCGTCATCGAGGGCGTCTTTGGTAAACCATCATCGCACAACTTCACGCTTGTCAATCCACTGACACAATTCCTCTCCANNGCCGTTCACAAGCCAATCGCCGTCTCATCCGCCCAAGCTCTCCGCGATCTCCAAAAACACCTGAACCCCTCCAAGACATTCGCTCCCTGGATTCTAGCCGAAAAGAACAAACGCGATGCCGATGTTGCCAAAAACTTTGGCAAGCGTTCGCGCAAACAGAGACATCCCGTCCAAGTCAAGCTCGGTCACGGCGGAACCCTCGATCCTTTGGCTACCGGTGTGCTGGTTGTAGGAGTTGGCAGTGGCACTAAAAAGCTGCAAGGTTTCCTCGATTGCACAAAGGTGTACGAGACTGTTGTTGTCTTTGGCGCCGCAAGTGATACCTACGACATCGAGGGCAAGGTGGTCAAGAGAGCTCCTTACCAGCACGTTACCAAGAACATGGTCGAGGAAGCGCTCCAGAAGTTCCGCGGCGACATCATGCAGCGACCACCCATCTTCTCCGCTCTCAGAGTCCAGGGCAAGAGACTTTACGAATATGCCAGAGAAGGCAAGGAGGTTCCTGTCGAGATCCAAGAACGTGCCGTCACAGTGTCGCAACTGGACATGGTCGAGTGGTTGGAACCTGGCGCACACAAGTACAATTGGCCTGAGAAGGAGGCTGAAGAAGAGGAGAAGAAGGCCGTAGACAAGCTGTTGCCTCAAGTCGCTGCTGAGACCCAGGCCACTGCTGGCCAGGAAGCAACACCCGACACCGAGGATTTGAAGAGANAAAGAAAAGGTTCAGATGGACCCGAGGCCAAGAAGACGAAGATCGATGGTGCAGAGGCAGCTGATCAAGCACCAACAGTCGACACAGACGCTGTGGCAGCAGAGAGGAAACCATGTCCAGCACCGGCAGCCCGCATAAGAATGACCGTCTCATCAGGCTTCTACGTCCGCAGTCTATGTCACGATTTGGGTGCAGCTGTGGGTTCACTCGGACTCATGGCCGCATTGGAGAGATCGCGGCAAGGTGAGTTTGAGCTGGGCAGAAACGTGCTCGAATTCGAGGATTTGGAANAGGGCGAGGATGTCTGGGGTCCAAAGCTCACAGATCTGTTGGCGCAATGGGAGAAGGACCATCCTGAGGGACAGGGAGGCCATACCCGCATCACAGCTAAGAGACAAGGATCGCCTGCTCCTCCTTCTGCTGCTCCTGCTGCAGACCAATGACCTCGCAGAAACTCGTTGTCACCATAGTGAGTACAAAAAGTGTTCATGACTAAAATAAATCTTAATTTGATACCCTGTGGTTTCTAATCGCTAGCATGCTCTTTTGTCGTGACTTCAGTACTTGTAAAGCTCAATCGTTTAAAGCTCCTCCTTGACGCTCTGGACCTTGGCAACAAACTTGCTGAGGATGTTGCTACGCTTGGTCAGATCGTCAACCTTCTCAGGGGCGAGACCACCCTTCTTGAGCAGGCTGTTCAGTCTCTTAGACTCCTTCTCGACGTAACCAGGGTTCTGGGCGAGCTTATCGAAGACCTTGACGTAGTACTGAGCGTAGGTGTCCTTGATGTTCTCGGAAGCGGCCAAGATCTCCTTCTGGATGGTTTCAAGAGCGCCACCGCTGGTGTACTTGGAAACGAAGCTGTCGAGAGCGGCAATGGTGCCAGCAGTGATATCGAGGCCACCACCAACGGTACGGTGAGTACCAGCCTTCTCGTTGAGGTACTTGACAAGAGCGTCCTCGGAACGGCCACCCTCGTAGGCGACAGGCTCAGTAGAACCCTTGGGGAAGAACTTGATGGTAGGGTAACCCTTGATACCCTGCTTCTGGGCAGTGGCCTTTGCGTTTTCGGCTTCAGCGTCAACCTTGGCGACGAGGACATTGGGTTCGTTGGCGTAGTCGTTGGCGAGCTTTTCCCAGATAGGAGCAAGGGTCTTGCAGTCTGCAAAGAAGTCAGCATACTTGCCCTGCTCAGAGAGTGGCATTCGCTGCTTACGTCCACACCAAGGGGCAGTGAAGGCAACAATGACATCCTTGTCACCGCCAATCTCGGTCTTGAAGGTCTGGTCGTTCAACATCTCGACATTGCTGGGAGCGGCGGCCTTCTTCTTCTGCTTGAGGCCAGTCTTCTCGGAGATGAAGGCAGACAGACTCTCAATGTCTCTGCCGCTGTTGTAGTCCTGGGGNGTGTCGCTCTTTCCGTCGAACCACTTGAGGGTAGGGAAGCCTTGAACACCGAATCTGCGGCCGAGCTCCTTGTGGGCATCAGCATCAACCTTAGCGATAGTGACCTTGTCCTTTGCGAATTCGAACGAAGAAGCCAGTTCCTCGTAGACCGGAGCCAGGGTCTTGCAGTGACCACACCATGGGGCGAAGAACTCGACCAGAGCAGGCTTTCCAGACTTGAGGACGATGTCGTCGAAGTTCTTGGGGATGAGGTCGATGACGGCCGAGGCGGCAGAAGTGCCAACCAAGGCGAGAGAAGCAATCAATCCGAATCTCATATTTGCGGTTTGTTGCTGTCGCTGTTCAACAGATAATGGCAGCAGCTCGGATGATGTCGAGTTTCAGGGTCGACCATGCATGCCGCCACCTGTTCTCCAGCTGAGTAAGCGCCTTCCCAGGGAAGTCACAGCCACATCCACAACTTCTCTTCCGACATCCGACATCCGACATCCTTCAAGCCAAGCATCAAAGTAGGGCACAAGGGCAGTCGCCCTCTAATATTTCAGCCTCCACAACTGCCAGCCTCTTTCTCTCTTTGTCGCAATACTACTGTTGCAGCACTGTCATCCAGCAAAAAGTCTACCAAAGAGACTTTGTCTATACGAGAGCCCTACTTCTATCACCAGGCCGAGCCGTCTTTCAACGAGTCCTGAACCTAACATGTCTATTGGCGTGTCGTTGGCTTTCACAGATGCAGCGCTGCCAAGTTAACTTCAAGTCTTCTCGTATTCTGAGAGGCTTGTCCTACGTAATGTGTTCTCAAGCACTCCGTGCATGGAAATGTGGCCGAGATATCGATCGACTAATCGAGGGCTCCTGGAATGGGATTGCCATGAATTTCAATCCCAGCCATGTTGTTACAGACTCTATGCTTGGTGTCGACTCGAGAAATCACGTTTTTGAAGAGTTAGAGTGTCAGAGCGAGCGAACAGGAACAGTCCAGAAATGGCAACTGCCATAACATTTCTAATGATCCTTTAGCCAAGACTCACTCCTCGGGAGAGAGCGTCGATCTTTCTTTAAATAGCAATATTCTAGGGTTGCCATCACCACGACTACAATCCCCGACCATAACCAGATGAGAGGTCGACGTTCATCAGACATGCCAGAGCTCGCAAACCCCATGGGAACGATTGTGAGACAACGTTGGCTGCCCACTACCTCCATCTAACGTTATGTCGAACACGCTGCTCAATTTGTGTTTGTCGCGCCCAATCCATGGCGACCACCAAACCAGACTTTTTCTTCAACGGTTAGTGCATGACGTGGTTTAGAGTAGCCCAGGAGAACCCCACTGAACCCAACGATGGTCTCGGCCGCGTGCCCTGAGTTGGAGTCGGACTTTGCGTTTCAGGCAAGGTGAACAGCTGACGATCAAAATCGATTGTTCAAAGCCGTCAAGGATGATGGCGCTTTAAAGTTGGCTTCGAAAATGCACGGTGAATCGTTGTCCATCTTTTGAGTTCGCACGGCCGCTACAGGCCGCCAACCCAGCAATTCGTCAACCTGCGACAGCCACTTCCCTTCTCTTTTCCTTCATACTCTAACCACGCCCCGTTGTTTCTTGTTACGCTCTCCGTATCCTATCGCTGGTATCTGCCGCTCCTGGACACTTCCCGTGCTGTCATGAGAGATTTGGTTTTGTGAGGATTCCACGTTCGGTCTGTCAAGACCTGAGGCCAGAATGTATCCTAATGCTGTGGCTTTCGTCGTGTCAACAGCCTTCCTCGTGAGATGTGAAGCTTGTGAGTGATGCCTGGGTCCTGCTTCGCTACTATCCCTCCTAACATATCATTNNGCAGTAACGAATGGCAATCTTTCGGCGGTCAATCTCACTCCCAAGACAACATCAACCACTGTTGCCCCTGGCCTGGGTGCATATATTCTTGCCGCATTAGGGCAAACGCCGACATATACTAACATCACAACGACTTCAGTCCGGTTGAACACCACCTCTTCCTCGGCCAGTCCTTCGGTTGCGTCAACACCAGCCCATAGCACCGTTTGCTATTCTAACGGAGGCCGATGCTGGGATGATATTACCTACATCAGTCCAACGATAGCGTCCACTGGATCTGGCGCTGCATATGCGACATCATGTTCTAACGCAATCTCTGATTACAACTCGGTGTCTAACTCCTGGGCGAACAAACACAGCTATACATCAAATTACACTGATGTCCTCGGAGGAACTTCATGGGTCTCGGTCACATATTATGCCAACGCTACGACCTTGTGCGATGGTCACGCACGCGTGAATTACTCGCCTGCCATTGCCACATCTTCGACTGTCATTACGACTGTTGGTACAGCACCATCCACTTCCGTGGGTACGGCATCAATGGGATGGATCTTCCCCATCTCTTCCGTCTCTTGCAGTGTCAACCCTTCTGATTGCGATGGGTTATGGCAAGCTTATAGTACCGCATCCTCATCGTGGACCGCTACCGCCAATGGAACCCGCGCGGTTGACGCCATCTTCCCAACCATCACGCCATCGCCCTCGTTGCCCGCTTGCATAAACTCCAGTCAATCTATGTCGGATGAGGCCTTCTCANAAAGTTTCTATGGCTGTGGGCTGTGCACGATCTTTGGCAATGAGGTCGAGTTGATGTATTTTCCCGAAGCCACCACTGTGTCACGCGATATGTGTGCTACCACTCCTTCCGCCAACCTGACCGCGTATGGTGATTACGATGGTATGCCATATACAGGTCCCGGTCCGTCAGCTACATGGAACGGTGCAGGCACGCCTCTGGAAACTGCTGTTGTAGGAACGCGCACATTCGTCCGGGACGGCCAAGCATATATTTCGATCAAGAAGGTCTGGGCTGTGGATCGTTGCAGCAGCCAAATCGGTACAACGGTCACCGATGCTATTCTCGCCTTGCCATCGGAGAAGTTGTTGAGTTTGCGTTACTCTCAACCACACTTCCAGTATTTCGTCACGACTGACAAAGTCACTGGATATCCTTTCAAGTACGCCGATCTGAACTCACCGGTACCCTACAGCGCTTGGAACGGACAGGCAAGATGCGAATATCCTGGATTTGCCGACTATAAATGTAACGTTATCTACGAAAACCAATATAATCCTCAACTGGCAATGCCTCCAGGCATCAGGAAGCTTGATCCGGCTTGGGAAGGTTGCCAGATGTGGTATGGAGGGCTTTACGATCCTCCATATGCCCTGAAACCTGGAACTGCTGTCGAGACACCCACAGTCGCTTTTGGACCAGCACCGACGACCACTTCGGCAGCAGAGGCTTCCAGTGCAGCTCCCACCACACCTACGCCTACTGCTTTTGCAGATCATACGACCAATCGAGCAGACCCTACTCGAGGACAGGAGAATAACGATAATGCTCGGCAAACCCAGGCTGCTAACACTGCAGGTCACAATCAGGATACCCAGAACACGCAAACACAAAACGGTGCCCAGAACACTCAGACTTCTCAAGACACACAAGGTGGAAATCAAAATGAAAACGGCGGCAACCGTCAGGGTGGAAGCAACAACAACAACAATAATGGCCAGAACTCTGAAGGAGGTCAAAACACCCAGGGAGGACAAAATACTCAAGGAGGACAACCCGTCCAGGCCGCTCAAAACACACAAGGCGGAAGTCAAACTGACAATGTTGATAATACTCAGAATGGGAACAACGACAACGATAACGGCCGGAATTCTGAAGGAGGTCAAACCTCCCAGGGAGGACAAAACAACCAGGGTGGTCAGACCCACGATGGGGCACAGAACACTCAAGGAGGACAATCCCAAAACGGAGGACAATCCCAAAATGGAGGACAAGGCGGTGGCCAGGACCAGCACTGGAATCCAACACAAACTGCTGGCCAAGGGGCCCAAGGAGGTCAGAGCAAGCAAAATGTCAATACCGCGAATGGAGCACAGAGTACTCAGGGTGCACAAGCACAAGACGGATCTCCACAAGGTAATTCGCAATCATCCGCTAAACCTCATATCTATGTCTTCACCGCAGGAACCTTCACGTATACCGCCACCAAGACGAGTACGCTCTATGTCTGTGGCACGAACAATCTGTCAGTTGGTGGGCCAGCCGCAACACTCCCAGTCAATTGTGTCATCAGTGCTGGCTCAAATGGGCTCGTAATCAACACCGAGGCTGCTACCATCACAAATCGTGCATCTGCAGTCACTGCTCTACCGGTTATTACCAAGGCCGTCATTGTCACCGTCGGAACCAAGGTCCAAACATTCTCTCAAGAGTCATCAGGCGTAGTCGAGGTTGGCTCGACTAGACTAACACCCGGCGGTCCAGCAGCTACACTCGATGACGGATCTGTGGTCAGCGCTGACAGCGAAGGAGTCAAGATTGGCTCTACCATGGTCAAATACTCAACGGTGGCACCCGCATCTGCTGCTGCTCCTAATGTCGTGGTTTTTGTCGTTGGTACTAAGACCGTTACTGCATCATGCCCTCCTGGTTCAAGCAGTCAGGCTGTCGTTGGATCTGTCACTCTTTCTGCTGGTGGGCCTGTCCAAACACTCGAAGACGGTACTCGCATCAGTCTCGCGTCAGGCGGTGCTATCGTTGTCGATGGCACTTCCGCTGCTACTATTGCAACTCCCACATCCGCAGTAGTGTTTACCGTCAATGGTAACGCTGTCACAGCATATCAAGCTGCTGATGTTTCGAGCGTTGCGACGATCGATGGCACTGTCATCTCGCGAGGTAGCCCTGCTGTGACATTATCTGGCGGCGAGGTAGTCAGCATGGGCTCTGGCGGATTGATCGTGCAACAGGGCTCTACAACTGTGCCTGTGTCTGCCTTCAGCACGATATCTGGTGAAGATGACTCGGCACCCTCGTCAGGTGCATCTCGATCTGGATCTCAATATCGATCTGGCGCCACAAGCAACAACGCAGTGATCAGCTCGACAAGATCCGCCCAGCAAAACCAAGGCACACAAGCTGCAAACACCAGTAAATCCGGAGCTGTGTCTTTGATTCACTGCTCCACGACGACAAGTCTAGTGACGACTGCTCTCCTCATTTCGCCTCTTCTTTTCGCTATATACTTATAGGTATCTTTTTGCTTTTTTTTCGGCATGGTGTTCTCTTGGGTGTATATACTTTCAAGCTCTTTTCTTTCTGGTCATTTGCTTTCTCTATAGGGCTGGGCTCGAGATGTTTGCGAAGATGGGATGGTTTTCGGGAGGCGCACCATGACACTGTATGACTTTCGAGCGCTTTGCTTGTATTTATGTACAGATAGGTAGCTTTTTTGTTCTATACTTGCGACAGCGTCGCTGATACAATCCAGTGTCATTATTCAGATCTTTGCTTGACGTATACGAAATCGTGAGATTATGGGGTTGGTGTCAGCGCCTGGAGGCTTCGAGGTTGTGTATGGTCTCTCTAGAATTCACGAGCATGAATAGATTTACTTGTCAATCTCACAACAGCCACTTGAATGCTTTCTTGACTCTGTTGGTCTCCTGGCATAGCATCTAAGGTACAATATGGATTTCTTTGTGCTCTTGTATCTGCACTCCCAATCCACCAATATCGTCGGACATCAAAGACGTCATCTTCACATGCAAAGTATCAGGGTCATACCCCATACATTGGAAATGAGCAACACCACAACATCCTCTTTCTACCTTGATGCCCCAATCAAAGCTACAAACCAAAATGTCCAAACAATCCTCTCAACGCTTGCCAGCGCCTTCTCTGTTTGTCGGACCGCCATCACATAATGCCAGTAATGCCTCTCTCACACGCGCAAACACGGATACATCGCAAAACTCTCGCAGCGTCCCGTCTTCTGCCATCCCAGGCCCCTCATCGCCGTCTCTGAACCACAATACGTCACTGTCCAGATCAAACACAGCAACATCACGCCAAAACAATGCTAGTCTATCACGACAAAACACCAATCTTTCGCGGCAGAATACTCGCGATGCGTTGAGTAGACAAAACACAAATCTGTCTCAACAGCGACCGGATGGGCTGCAAGTACCTGAAGACCCTCCCACAACAGCGGGAGAAACAAGAGGTGCAGGAGCAGCAGCAGGTGTAGGTTTAGCAACCACCACCATTGACGAAGAAGTAAAACGCCAACGACCGCGTCGGGGAACCGCTGTATTGGATGCGCATTGGGCAGCCCTGCAATCCACACTTTCCGACATCGAATTGAGCGCCGGGTCTTCCGCACACGTATTTGGGACGGGACATGCAAAAGCATTAGAAGAGTTGAGAGCTGCACAGGTGGAATTGGCAAGAGCATGGGGACAGACGGATTCGGAAGATGTGTCTACGTTGCCGACTAAGGAAGCTAGATCCCCTGATGCGGCGCAGCAAAGGAATAGCAAAGATGCTAGCAAGGAGGCTACGCAAGACAAGCATCAGAGCAATAATCATAAAGAGCAAGAAAAACAAGCAGAGCAGAATGAGCGAAAGCTTTCGACAGCAACGACGTTGGATTTGACGTCTGCGGCGAGGAGGAGAGAGGCTAGTGATAAGTACTTTGCAGCCGTTAAAGAAGGTGTTGCTGAGGTAGTTCGGAAGTTGGATGGCGTTGCTGATGCCATGAGAGAGGTTGAGATGCAGAGTAGAGACATTTGGGGTGACGATGGCAAGGAGAGTAGTGAGATGACAGAGAGCGAGTTCGGGAGTTTAAGCTCTTAAGACAGCTCACAAGAGGATATGAAATGATGGCAAGGAAAGTAGTGACGAGTAGCGATGAGGTTCTATTCTGCAACGCCAGTTGTGTCATCGAAAGGCACAACTGTCAGCACATACATTGACAGAACCAATCCACTTTAGGAGAATCTAGCATGTCTGCCGAGCGATTGTACCGACGGGATGTCCGTGTTCGCGGCAATCCTGATCAGCTGCCAGAGTTCTGACTCTGCAAGTTCCTTAGTCGGTTGCAATCCTGATCTGGGAATTGGTTCATCATGTTCCGTTGACCACAGGTAGGCTCTCCACCACCCCTGAATCTCCTGTTCCTCATTCGCGGAAATGTAGGCGAGCGAAGAAGTGGATCCGTCTTGAGGTTTTACTGGTTGATAATGGCTAATGTACGCAATCGGCACGAAAAGGAGTTCGATCTCTTACGCTTGATCGACCACTCGTTCAGTGCTACACTAAGCGTATAGAATTTCTGACTTGAAGGCACCTCGGACATGTTTGATATTAGGGAGTCGTTTGTTGTGTTTGTTTAGGAAGGAGTCTGGGAGTTTGAGCTCTTAAGACAGCTCACAAGGGGAATCTGGAATGGTATGGTGTCCTATGGTGTTATGCCAGGACTGATCGGGGTTGGGATGGGCCAGGGAAATCATTCAGGAATTGCTGCAGGAAAGAGCAATGGGCGACCGAGAAGAAAGTGCGATGAGCTCGTGACTCATTGCACAAGGCACGTTCACGAACGTGGAAACTCCATCGTAATGAAGAAAGCGCTCAATATAGCGCGAATTGTATAGATGCACGATTTATCCATCGTGGCCAGCTTTGAAGCGGCTCTTCATGACTCCCATCACCTTCCCAACCATTATATGTGCCAGCAGATAACCTTGCCCCATCCTCCAGAGGTTTAACTCCTTGTCCAGCAAGAAACAAACTCCTTCCGAGCCCCAAACCAGTTCTGTCGGTTGATCACCATCCCTAGAATTACAAAGAAAAGAAAAGACATAGAAGAGAATCGACTCGCGTTCAATCAGCGCTAAAGTCGGTGCCTGTGCGCAGCGTCTCGCGGCTGCATCGAGGAGTCATGATGATACTGCTATCCGGTGTAATGCCAGTGTTCATCGAATTCGCACTGGCGATTGAAGGGGCATAGTCTTCTGGCGTAGATGTGTAGTCCGGCAACTTTTCCTCGGTATATTCAGGCAGAGTGGTAGTTCCAGATCCAGCGTTTGATAACTTGCGCGCTCTCCCGACCAGATTGACTACAAATTCGCGTGCGTTTCGAAGGTCTCCGAATGCATGGCCCGTTTCTAGGTCATCAACTTGCCGCGAGCATCCCTCTGCATAGTCATCAACCACTGCACCAGCAGCTTCGATGACAAGTGCACGCTTCTCCTCATAATCTCCATTGCGAGGTGAACGCTTGAAGACTTGTTTGAAGGAGACCCACTTCTTGCGCATAGCCTCCTTGCGGGCGAGACAGCGGAAATGGCGAGCTCGCCGACGCTCTTCCTTGTCCGAGAGGCGCTCAACGCGACGACGAAGAGAACAGAAGCGACGGCGGAGGAATGCGCAAAGAGCAGTAAGGCCTATCGCTGCTGCGAGGATCTCCAAAGCAAGAACCAAAGGATGCTGGTTGCCATACTTTCTCGAGTTTCCATCCTCGATATCAGAGAGGAGGTTGTCCACGGAGCTGACATTGAAGTTCCAGTTGTCTTTCTCATCGGCAGCGACGTATTGGTCCTGTCGATCCTTGCTTACCATGATAGAATCTTGAAGGGCTGCCTGAATCTCCTTGATCTTTTGGTATGTTGTGTCATGAATGCGTTGGCACATGACTCTGCTCATGCAGGAGATATCTCTGTGACAATCAGATAGACTTTCGGTAAAGTCTTTATGACAGCGTTGGTTCAGCTTCTGAAGCTTCGTCGCCTGCTCGTAGAGGCGATTGCGAAGGGCTTGTTCGACGGTAAGAATATCAGCCGTTGACTTGATGTCATTGTCGGTAGGGATAGCTTCGATCTTGGATAGAATAGAGGAATTCTCATTAATCACGCTCTTCAATGTTGAGGCACAAGCGGCCTGTTCGTCAATTTCCGAATCGATAAGAATTTGAGCCGACTCAGATTGATCGACGACGACTGTGAACGTGCCAGGAGTAATCAGGGGTTGTTGAGCAACTTTGGTAACGTTAAAGTAAAGGGCGCGCTGGGTAGAGACAGAGTTGTCCTTGACGGGATCACAAAGGCCTTGAACCTCAAGATCAACCTCCCAGTGTTGATTTGCTAGACCACGAGGTATGTGGAGAGTAGATGCTTGGGCTGGATTCGTGCGGTCGACGACAATGGGGCGCCCGTTCAATGTAAAGTCGACATCGCAAAGGTTGGTTGAGGAGTTAAGACGAGGATATTGAAGTTCAAAATCCTGAGGTAGTTGTCAGAGTCAAGACTAGATAGCATACGCGTACTCCCATCTCGAACGAGGTATATGGCGTCCTTGGCAAAGGTATATACTTACGAGGGCCACGTCATCTTCGTATACAGGACAGTCAACGCACGGGACTTTGACGGCTATTGTTTCGAATCTGCCTAGNATGTGTTTATAAGTACGTGTTACATCATGAGAGTTCGTCGGGGGATGGGTAATACCAAGGATAGGCTCTTTGGCAGCTTTGGTGAAAGAAGAGAATGAGGGCAAGACGGGGTAAGGAACGGCCGAGACAAGAGTCCATGTAAAGGCAAGAGCAAAGAAGAGCAGGCTGATTGAACACATGGCCGGAAAGGATGGATAGAATTGCAAATGAATTGAGTATCTACATGGGCCTATCCAGCCCGGAGTTGTTTCGTCGAAGAAACCGCCGGCGTGACGGTGAGGTGAGAAAGACGAATTGTGGAAAAACAGCCCGTAGGCAGCAGTTTATGGGATGCCCCCCAGGTTAGGGACTGAGAGAGGCTCGGCGAAGGATTTGGAAGGAAGACGGAGCTTCGGAGTCGGCCTTCGGAGCAACTTGCTTGACAGCGATCGACTTGCTTGGTGCTTGTTCACTGCGCGCAAGGTCGGCAATCTCCGAATTGCTTGACGTCGTTGTTGCTCTCTGGTTGCGCGACCGAGAGCATGCGCTAACACCATTTTCGGACTATCCATAACACATTGACACATCGAGTCTGTCGCATTCACAATGGTGAGTGGCCAGGCACTTCTCCAGCTACAGAGAGCTCTCCTGCTCACAAGTCAGGCCACTAACGACCACTTGTCACTGTCTAGCTCCCTCTCGGTCTTCTCACTGCGGCGCAAGGCCATCCTATGCTGGTCGAGCTCAAGAATGGCGAGACATTGAACGGACATCTGGTCAGCTGCGATACATACATGAACCTCACACTCAAGGAAGTCATTCAGACGAGTCCTGAAGGCGACCGCTTCTTCAGACTGCCCGAATGCTACGTTCGCGGAAACAACGTACGTTTACACTCGTCTCCAATCCCGGAATCACAGCCAGCAGGATGCTGATTGGATTGCGACAGATCAAGTACCTGAGAATGGAAGATGAAATCGTGGATCTCGTCAAGGACCAGCAAGCCAGCCAACAAGCCGCCAGAGGAGGACGTGGAGGCGGCCAAGGAGGACGAGGCGACCACAGCGGACGTGGTGATCGCGGTGGCAGGGGGAGGTCGTGGTGGCCGTGGAAGAGGTGGCCGCGGTCGTGGTGGTTGAAGAAGTATGTTTGGGGAAGACGAAAGAGAAGCCAACAGCTCAAGCCCTGTGCTGCCATGACAAGAATGGCGGGACCTTGGCTATGAAGGATACATGCGGATATGTGCGATAGCGCAAGTGAGCGCGGAATCGACATCTAGAGCAAAGCATGACGAGGGACAAAATACCCATGCACAGCTTGCAGACAGGCTGTGCAACCAGAATACATATCATCACGACATCAACCTGAGTTCATGACTTGAGTCAAGCATAGTACACTGCAGTAGAGATGAACAAGTGTGGCCGAATATCGATAATGTGATAGAGTCGTTGTTGGCTCTCTGTGATGTAGCTGTAATTAGGCATGGCCAAAAGCTGTCTCGGCGTTCACATGCGCGGCTTCAAAATGTCTCCCAGGATTTCCAAGGACATTCTCCACCGCACATGTCCTCTACCACACCCAGAGTTATCGCCGACGGGCTTTGGCATTGCCTCTGTCCCTCATATAATTCCGTGCCGCTATTGACAAGCCGAAATGTCTTGATCCGCTCTCGTCGGCCAGCGCTACAATGCGCCGCGTCTCGAATACCACCACCGGCAGTGACACGCCACAACTCTACTGTCGCACCCGTCCGCTTCAAAGGAACTGTCGATGCTCCGCCAGAATTGCAAAGAGCGGTCTTCCCGCCATGAATGTTTGGGCTCCGTTGGACGATGAAACACAATCAAAGGAATTCACAACTTCTCGGAAGACAACCATTCGGCCCAAGGCGACTGTCAAGAAGTCCGAGTATCCCAATCTCAGCACACCTGACCTGTACGAATTGGCACATGCTGCGGCGGCCAAGGGCAATAGCCGAGAGGCTATGCAAATGGTCGAGTACCTGGTGCGCGAACGACGTGAATCCCCTAATCTTCGCCTATACTCAATTTCAATCCTCGCCAATGTTCATCCGACCGAAGGTTCTGCTAGGAGCGTGGCTCGTCTGCTGGCTGAAATGGAGGATGAAGGACTGCAAATGAACGTACAGATCTGTCACGACGCACTGCGTGTACTAAGTGTTCACATGGACTACTTGCTGCGCATGGATATTCTACAATACATGCGTCGCCAATGGTTGCAGTTGAATACCGAAGGTTATCACTGGGTTGGTGCAGCCTTGTTTCGAGAAGGCCAACTTGAAATGGGTTACAACCACCTCGAAGAGATGCGGAAGGACAATGTGCCGATTCAAAGTTGGCTCTACGACATTGCCGTATATACCATGCTCGAAATGAATGAGTTCGACGACGCCTTGACCATAGTCAAAGACCGCATTGCTGCCAACGACTGGATCGTCAACCGGAATCTTTGGGCTCATATGCTCGACCGCGCGGCAGCCTTCTTCCACTATCGTAGCGCCGTATATGTCTGGAACAGCCAAGTTATCCCTGGTTATTTGATTCCTTCATCGGGAACCTGTCTAAACGTTCTTACTACAGCTGCTCGCAAGGGTGATGCGGCCCTGGCGACCTCTGTCTTTCATGTTCTGGGCAAGCGCAGCACAAACTTCAAGCAAATTCACTATGATCAACTTCTGACTACCTACATGTCTGCTTCGCCACCCGACCTTCGCGCCGCCTTCACTGTCCTCACCATCATGGCGAATGTGAAGATACCTCCGACCTCTGTATCCACGCGCCCTATCCTGACACACCTTGTTCGTAACCCTTCCGACTGCGCGACCGCCTTCGACATTATAACGTCTCTCCACGAAAGTGGTCGGGAAGTTCCTATTGCGGCATTGAACGTACTGATAGAGGGATATGTCGAATCAAACCAACTCGAGCAAGCCTTAGTGGCCTACAAACACATGCATCTTTTCGAACAACTCACTTTGGACAAACATGGCAAACCTATACGTCGGAGCCGATCTTATAGCACCCTCGACACCTTCAACATCCTTCTTCGTGGCGCAGCAAAACCCATCGCTCAACAGGCTTACGATTTAGCGATGTTCCTGGTATCTGAGATGTTGGCATTAGGCGTTCGACCTGATGCTCTTGTCTACGACCGCCTGGTGATCATCTGTATCCAAGACGCAAAGTTGGACCATGCATACCGTTACTTTGACGAGATGGAAGAGCTGGGATTCATGCCCAGATCGCGCACCGCTGAGTTGCTGGCAAAAGCATTGGCGGAGAAGGCAGATAGTAGATGCTGGGATGTTTTGCAGAGAATGCAAGACAGAGGGGTTGCAGTGGATGAGAGACAGAGGTCTGTTGTGCTGAACATATATTCAGGAGCTGAACAAAACAATGGGGGTAAGTTCTTGGATATGATCGAGTAGGGACGGACTGTAGAATATCTGTAAAACAACTTGTATAATATTCATGTTCCAAATCGGAAGCAGCGACGTTCGTGATTGCATTGTTCCGAGGCAGAGTGGATGCGACTTCCCGTCCGACATGTGTCTCACAACGAACGACAATCCACTCCAACATCCCTTCCCTCGCTCAACATTCACCACCGAGGATAACATAGCGACTACTCGAGTATAAAATATGCCGCTAACAATTAATATGAATGGAAAAGCTATGGGCACAAGATGGAGCCTTCAGAGATGGCCATTGCGGGATTCGCCGCAAGAAAAAATGAGCAGCTCCTAACCTCACCTCGCAACCTCAGGAGACGTTTGGTATAGACGTTTCGAAATCTGTGAATCCATTGATTTGCTCGATTTGAAGCCTTCACTTGCACCCCATTTGTTGTTGAAGCACCAAGACAAAGAATGCCTCCAGGACTCGGGACACCAGCGTCGCTGAAGCGGAAGCGAAAGCCGAAGCGAACGTCAAACCATCAAGTGCAACAGCACCAAGAGACGCCAATTCATGGATCAAAGCAAAATGCAACGTCGACCTTCGGATCACATCAACAAGGACTATCGAACTCTCAATCACAACAAGTGGAAACACCGACTCTCGAACCAGAACCAAAATCAAAGAAACGTAAATCATCAAATCATCAAAAGCAGCAAGAGAATCACAAGACAACCCATGGCGACCCGGATATCAACCAGAACAATCGACTGATACGCTTGGAGAAGCTGGTGAACGATCAACTTTTGGAACCCTCTGACCAGGTTATGGAGAGAGTGCAAGCTATAATCCAGCCGGAACACGACAAAATCAGGAAGGAGCTTGAAGACCAGATATCCAAGAAGTGTTGCGATCATTGCAAGGACGATCCGAATCTAGATCTTGTGGTGATGCAGGAACAACACGAACGACACGCCGACGAAACCCAGGAAGAATTCAGGACTGTCAGGAGGGATCAAAGATTGATGAATATCAAACTCGAGACTTACAAAGCCAGCGTGGTTACACTTAGGAAGCGTCACGATGATCAACAGACAGATTTCAAGAATTTGCGGGCAGATATTCAGGAGCTGCAGAATGAAGCCGAGGAGCTGTATGAAGATTGCGTCCATTTAGTGTCAGGGTGGTTTCGCGAAGAACATAGGAGGAGGCGAGAAGACATCGACGAAACTCGAAACGAGATTATTGGTCACGACAAACAACTGATCAGGATGCAAAACGACGTTGCTGAATACAACGAGAGAGTTACCCAGGCTGAGAACGAGGTTATCGAAAGTCGTGAGCGACTCAACAAAGTTGCAGAAGGTTGTGCTGGACACGACCACCATCTTGCGGAACACAGCCAGAATCTCGCTCAACACCATGAACGGCATAGTGTACACGACGACCGACATAACTTGCATGAGGAACGACTAACTGGACATGACACGCAACTGGTTGCAAATAGCGAACGACTAGATGAACACCATGAACAACTTCTTAAACTCAGTGAACGAACTTCTGCTTACAACGACCGAACTGCTGAGCACGACGGGAACTGGACTGAGCTCAGTGCCTGGAAGCTTGAAATGGAAAAGAGGGTCACCGAAGTTGAGAAACGAGGCAATGAACGCAAGAAGTCATACGACAATCTCAAAGAACAACATGCTGAGCAGCAAAAGCTCACGAAGCGTCTTGGTGACCAGGTCGATGATCTTCACGACAAACTAACTGAGGCGTGCGAAGCTCGGGATGAGGCTGCGGAGCAAAACCAAGCCTACGTCGACTTGATCACAAAAGAACGAACAGAAACCTCGAGACTTGAACAGAAAGTCGAAAATGTCTTGGAAGAACAGCAGAAGATGCAGCAAGACTATCAAAAATACCAGGCTCGTATAGAAGCGACCTTGGTAGAGAAGTCTCGAGCAGATTATGTGATGTTCCAGGCGCAAGCCCAGAAAATCGAGGCTCTGGAGTCGCAAAAATACACCCTGGTATCGCTTGTCGAGCAACTTCAAACACGACTCGCACATTTCAAACACATTCCAATGTGGACCAAGAGCATCGAGCAAGAGATAAGACTGTTCCAGAGGCAACTAGACCAGGACTTTAGACTGAGCCAAAGCCAACCAGTGCAGGCCCCGAACTTAGAGGCGCGGGTCCGGACGCTGGAACAGCAATCAATCAAGCATGATGGATTGAAGGATTGGCAAGCTCGTATGGAGGTCTACTTCCATGGAACCCGGGATACAATGTTCACCTGGGCTAGAGCTGAGCTCAAGGAACATCAGTCAAGTCTTGTCTCTCAGATTGAGTCCCTTAAAGCTCAATCTGACTGCCAGGAGAACTACGTGAAAATGATGAACAAACGCTTGGAAGATCAAGATCTCAAGTTTCTGACACTGCGCGCCTTGTTATTGAACAAGGCAAATCGGCCTTCGATTCACATCGCATCACCCTCTTCTGAAAAAGTCATCGAAGGGCGACCTGAAGATAATGCTACATGGAACTCATCACCTACAGTTATGATGGCAGACGCAGACGTGGACCAGCAAGCAGAGGAAGATGAAATGCCTCAAGCGCTGAATAAAACTTTTGCTGGCTCCGACGAAGAAGACTGCACTGCACAACCAGCAATCGACATTGAGCAGTCACGACCAGATCCTTCATCAGTCCTCTATGATCCTTGTTCAAGACACGTCTTCGGAAGATCAAGCCCTGCTGTTGAAGAGCCTGCTCAGACACCAAGTTCTCCGCTTTCCTCGATACGATTTGACGTTATAGGCGAAGCAGGAGAGAATGCTGAGTCTGATCAGGAATACGCAATGTCGGAGATGTCTGTTCATGAAGAAGATGGCCAATCTGAAGAAGAGGAGGATTCTGCTAATGAGTCTGATGAAGACAATGATAATCCGGTACATGCGCATACATCCATTCGCATTCGCAAAGATAGCTGGTCCGAGAGGGAAATTCAGATTGTGCGGGATCTGATGCATGAACACGAAGATCGGGATACACCCATGGCGGAGCGCTATGGACTCTGCGTACGGAGACTCAGTGAGGAAGGCTTCAAACGAAGCTTGAACTCCTGTAAACAGCTTTGGTGCATCAAACTTGCTCCTAACCGGCGCAGAAGTCAATACTGGTCAGAGAGGGAGCTTCAAATCGTGCGAGACACGATGCGTGAATTTGGAGATCGGAGTACAACGATGAGTACACCGATGAAGGAGCGTTATCTACTCTGCAAACAGAGACTTAAAGAACAAGGGTTCGAGAGAACCTATCGCGCTTGTGTGATGCTTTGGAGAAAAAAGTTTGTGACTGGTAATCGACTTGACCTAGAAAACGCAATCCCGGAGATGTTGGTCAACGAAGATCGCAGCCAATCTGACCAAGAGGAGGATTTTCCCAAGAGGTCCGAAGACGAAGGTAACGAATCAGTCAACGTATCTTCTGTGAGCCACGGAACTCGCTGGTCAGGGAAAGAGATTGAAATTGTGCTAGACACGATGCATGAAACCGAAACCCGAGATATGCTCATGCCGGAACGTTATATACTCTGCCAGCAGAGACTCGCAGAGGAAGGCTTTAAAAGATCTTACCATGCCTGTAAAGCAGTTTGGCAACAAAAATTGGCCCCTGTTGATCGGCGTAGAGGTCCAACTTGGTCAAAGCAGGAGTTTGAAATTCTGCAAGATACCATGAAGGAATTAGCGGATGATAGTAGATCATACAGTGACCGCTATCTGATTTGCGAGAAGAGACTCGAAGAGAAAGGCTTCAAACGATCAGCATACGCCTGCAGAAAGCGCTACTACAAGCACGAAGAGCACGCGTGGACAGAGCATCAGATTCGTCTGCTAGGAAAAGCTTTTCAAGCCACCGGGGCCTACATTCGAGATTGCAGCGACCAACGCTTCAAAAGGATCAGTGAGATGCTGAATAATACAGGCGAGATGGCTGTCCATATTACCACAAAGACCTGCATGGAACAATGGAAGATTCAGGACGAAATCTTGAAATCCAACGGAGTGAGACCGTCAGTCCATCCAAAGGAAAGGTCCTCAATGACTTCAGTAGTCGAAGACAGCAACTTGGCCGAGAAGCTCAGTGCTGATCATACTGAACAAGCATCATATCTTCTTGGACACCTAACGAGTGACTACGATTTTGGACCCTCTCAAGAACTGCAGAAGCAAAATTCTTTGTACATCGATCAGTCAGTACTTCGCAATGCAGAACCCGAGGCGGATATAGCTTCTGTTACACCGATTTCTGCTTGTCAAGGAACAGCGACGTCCCCTTCGAGAACCGATACATCATCAAACGTTCCTACGCGGCAGAGTCAAGTTGTTGAACAGTCATCAGATGATGGTCAAAAGACGCAGGTTATAGCTGAACAAACTATGAACGAGCAGGCCATGAACGATGACTCGGCCAGAATTGCCGCTATTCATGCCACAACAGAGAGCGTTGCAGAACAGCAGAAGGTTATCGATTTACAAACCGAGCCCACTCTTCAGGATCCATCTCAGACGTCTGTAGCTAAAGTCAATGTCGAGCCAGCAAACTCCAGGAGCTACGACTGGATGCAAATGCACTTAAAGCCTGATCCTCCAGCACAGGGCCACGCTGCAGATCCCGTACCATCAGAAACGCCCGTAGACCGACCAAGTGGCGATCAGGGAGACGCTTCTGAAAGCATATCCGCAGCTGATCTGGCTGCTGCTGTAGCCGATGAGATTGCTGAACACTGCGAGGAAGCTACTACGGGCTGGGAACCCATGGACATTGGTTTCTGGATTGCGGACAGCAACTAATTCTTGTATCCCAGATGACGGAGACCGATGAAATCATCCTATCAAAATGCAGAATATGATCCGAGATCGTCGTGCGACCACTGAGATGCTCCGAACATGTAGTTGGTGATCAGCTCTCAATGAACACGCTCCAATTTCTGGAACGATTTTCGCATTTTTACAGATGCTTTTGAAGATGTTGGCGGTTCGGAGATAGGGAAGCCATGATGCGTACTTGCATTCATCGGAGCTCTCTTCACTTTGAGCTGATGCTCTTTCCCGTCACTTTCACCTGAACCTCACTGCTACCGCAGGAAGGAGCGACACAACGGGCCGCATATAAAAGCTGCGTCCTTCGACATCAGTAACCATCCAAATTACATACCACTTTGAGTCCCCTCCAATTCCCTCACCTCTGCTCCGTCAACCATTTCTTCCCCGTCACTTCAACTCAGACCTCACTCACACCTCCAACGAGAGGTCCGTGCGCCATTGTTCCCTATATCAATCCTCTGCCGACCACTTCGAACGCGTCAAACGTCAGAGCGCGATTCTGGTTTATAGATTCCACCGTCGAGTCGTCATCCTTGTCTTCAAACCATGGTGCCTAAGCACTCCCTGGATGATACGATGAGCTCATCTGCAAAACGTCCACGATCAACAACCACTCCCATCGTCAAAAGAAATTACCGTGCAAACTTCGACAGACTCTGCGCCTTACACAACTGGACACCATCAGAAATTGTTCGCGACAAGCTGGCTGCTCTTCTACAGTTATCTGGTAACAGACTGGAAGCTAGTGAACTTCTGCCGCTTGCTTTTGTGCAGCACTACCCTTTCATCTGGGTCAAAGACTTTCTACTTCTTGGTTACAACGATGAAGATGAAAGCGTCTGGTACAAAGCTTTCCCTTCAGGCAGAGGAATGGCTCGTGGCCGTTACTACAACTCATCACAAGTCAATATTCTAGGCAAACACACTGTCACGAAGTTCTGGCAATCCTGGATCGACGTGTTTGATATCGAACAAAGAGGCTTGGACAGAACTCACGAATATTTCACTGGTGTCTACCTCATCTTGAAGAAGTTTCCGAACTTGCGTTACAAATCGAGCAAAGAAGATGCAAGAAACCCACAGAACGCAATTCGCGCAACTGGTGTTGCCGAATACCCTTTCAACGATGATCATCCTTTCATGCAAGAGACGCCCAGCGAGTTGAAAGACGTCGAGAACAATGAAATAGAGGCGGTCCCAGGAGCAGAAGCAGATGTTATTGGTCAAGACCAAAACAATGTCAGCATTAAACAAGAGGTAACAGGCTTGCATGAGGATGAGGATCGCTCCTATCTCCTCCTTCGCCAGTTATCAAAGCAGTTCACGTTCCGCGCCAATTCACATGAGATCGATGTGGTAACCCAAGCGCAAGGGCACACCGCCAACGACCGACAAGGCTCGCCTCCTAAGAAAAACGGATTAGGTTCTCCAATCCTCTACTCATCCATGCCATTCGATTCCCGCGCTGATTCGCGTGGATTTGATGTGGTGACTCAGCAAGGGCACGCTGCCAACGAGCGACAAGGCCTGCCTGACAAGACAGATGGCTCAGCCTCTCTGCTTGGCTACTCGTCCATGCAGTCCGATTCTCGCGCCTATTCACGCGAGTTCGAATTTTCATCGCAGCACGATGCCAACGTGACCTCTCTTCCACGCGATCTATCAAGACAACCTGTCTTCTATGCCCACTCGCACCAATCTGGCTCACCATCCTTGTCGCAGTTTGACAACAACAGCGCTGCGCACAAAACTGCACGCTCATACGCCAAGAGTGCTGCTGCTCNNCTCGTCCCTTCTCGATCAGTCATCGAGAAAACCAACTTCCNNCGCGCTTCTTCGCGCGAGAACTTGACACCCAGTTCTACTCCTCAAAAACCAAGAGGGTCCACACATCGAGGACGACAACACAGTCNNCCACAGACTCCCACATCTCGCGGTCCTTTGCGCACGTCAAAGACGATCACATCTCCATACTTCGCTCGAACAAGATCACAGCCTACCCAACCGAAGATTCTCCCAAACTCTACCCAGGAGTTCGGAGAAATCACTATTCGCGTCCCCATCGAGGAACCCAGATGGTCAAACACCAACTTTACGTTTGCGGTTGTGACTTCCGTGTCTACAGTTCCCGCACCAGTCATAACATCGATCGAAGATTGAAGAATGGATTTATGGGCTTTCAATGGACAACATGGCTAATCAACAAATGATTGTGCCTTTTTATGGATGGTCTTGCACAAGGAGTGATTGGGTTTGGAGAAGAGGGCGTGGAACAGTCATTTGTTGTTTTTCATGATGCTGAACATCGGGAAAAGGGGTTTCTGCTGGAATCAGGAATTGGAATGCTGCGTGGCTGGAGAAAATTGCTTATTGATGCAGATTGATCATGAATCGAAGGAAGCTGCAACAAGGCACCTTCCATCAACACAATGGGGAAGTGAGTTTTTGCTAGTTTTAGCTTTTGCTTTTGCTTACTTTATGGAATCACAAAAACACGTCGAAAAATGAACACACTGTTGATCGAGCTGTGACTTCCATATTGAGCCTCCTCATATGCTGAAATGTAAACATCTTGCTATAAAAATGCACAATAGTGATAGGAAACAAGCGATGTCCACTGAGAGGCCACAAGTTATTTACTCTCAGTGGACACGCCTCCACTTTCGAATACATTTGTGCCTTTTTATAGTCTGAATTTTGGTCTTGGTGATGGTCGGAGTACGGTAGAAGTTACATCCTTTATTATACAGAAAGAACGTGGCTTCTTCCTTATCCCTGATGCTGTCTAGCATACTCGAAAAGCACCACACCAGCCGCCGTCTGCACATTCATACTCCTAGTAACGCCCTTCTGCGGAATCTCCACCAGCATATCACACTCACCAAGCACACTCGCCGGCACACCTTCCCTTTCCCTTCCCATAACAAGCAAAGTCTTTTCCGGCAACTTGCACTGTTCAGAGCCCAGCAAGACACTACGGTCAGTCTGTTCAACACCCACAACAGTATATCCCTGCATCTTNTTGTCAGTCAANAAGGCAGACAAGTTGTCAGAGTGGAGATCGTGGATGGGCAGATGGTTATGCGAGGCCACGGCTACGGAAACAAAGTCTTTGTTTGCGAGCACGGAGTGTGGGGATTGGATGTACATGGCCTCTGCGCCGAAGATTTCGCTGATGCGGGAGAGACCGCCGAGGTTGTATGCGTTGTCGACGAGAGAGCCGACGACGATCAGGGAGGTAGGGCGCGTGGTTGTGGTTGTGGACGAGTCTGAGGACGACAGATCCGCGGACAGGTATGCTGTTCCTTTTGTTTGTAGTGCAGCAAAGGCCTCTGTGCGTGCTGACTCCTTGGATTGCTCTTGTGTCGCTTGAGCGGGAAGGGTGCCAAATTGTGTTGGTGTGGATGATTGGGGACCCAGAGGGAGGGCTTCATTTGTCGATTTTGCTGTTGTGTCTTTNTCCCACAGGCGTTGGAAATCACCAGTCACAATAGATTCTTCACCTGGCGGTTCGACACGAAGGTACTTGCCCTGGAGCAAGTTCGTGAGTGTGTTGTCAGCAGAAGGGTCAAGACGTTCAAGTTCTCTTGCTGGCGGCGGTTCCGAAAATCTTTCGAGACTGCGGATGTACTCATTCAAGGCAGCACAAGCGGGGTTGGATTGGATCTCTGTCCAGCCCCTACTTTCAGCATAATCCCACAAGATTGGGAATGACCACTGTGCTTCGTGACGGATGATGATCTTTGCACTTGACGCGAGTGCTACAAGACGATATGCTACTCTTGCTGCAAAGTCTCGAGAGCAGTTTTCTTGACAAGCAATCATCAAGGCAATCTTGACGAGAGTTCCAAGGTATTTGGGATTCGAATGGTGGTCTTTCGATGAGAGTGCATCGAGGACAAGCTCGCCTGTTGAATGATGATTAAGAATGACGCGGGAGATGATCCATTCTAGCAAGAAGCGATATCTCGGCAGCGGCTCGATGGCGACCACTCTCAGCAGCACTCGAAGCTGATCTTCCGCTTCTTTAGCAGTGATTTTCTGGAGACGTTGTTCCGAAAGCATAAGCATGACTTGGAGCTGTGTAGTGCTCTTCCACTTTGTAACGATAGGGACAGGAGGTCTTTGTTTTGTCCACGGCTTGAGTAGACGGTCGTATATATCACTGACCATCGGCGAGTTCATGTTGTCGAGACGATTGACAAGATCGAAGAAGGCAGCATGTCCAACCTCTTCGTATTCTCCGTAGTAGTCGCTGTAGCTTCGGTGAATGTCTCCATCCTCAGTCAATAGCTGGATAGCTGCAGCCTCCAGCTTGAACTCAAGTCTTGCAGCAGGAAGATTGTTTGCAGTCTGGATGACAAATTCGTCCAAGCCGAACTTTTCAGCAGAAGCAGGACATGTGATCATGGCTGTCCTGTAGGCTTTCATTATGGGTGTCCACAGATATATTCTGCCCTTCATCAGGCGCTGCAGTTGCGTAAAGACTTCCAAGATCGTGGCGCAAAACGACTCATCCTCCAGACAACGACTGACACAGCCAGGATGCAATGCTAGACGTGGCAGGAACATGAGAACGTCTCTCGGGTAATCTTGTCTCTCGACCTCGTTCCAGACAGCATCAAAGGCGCGATCCAGCTTTTGAGCATCTAGATCACCGCTGCCAGCTCTGTCGAAAATGGAAGTCAATGACTCGCACGCCATCAGCAACCCAGAACCCTGGATGCTGGTATGTTGGGTACTTTCGAGTTCGTCCAAGAAAACATCAAGCGACGTCCATCTTGCAGACCTTTTCTCGTTTGATTCGAACCTTGAGGGCGCGTTGATTTTGAACGCTTTGATCTGCTGAGATAAAACCTCCAGCTTGGCGTCAGATGCAGTCAACTTCGCCGTACCGTGTTCTCCGTATGTCTCCGCATCCTGGCTGACCAATTGAGAGAGTTTGTAGCATTGTACGAGCATAGCATCGCGCGCAACCTCGGGGTAGCCAGTGACTCGTGACAAACTGAGTATCAACTCCAATGCTTCACCTTCCATACAGGCGGTAGACTCTCCTCGTAGACCCTTGGCAAGACCTTGGAGGAGATAGATCACTGCTACAGGAACAATCTTGTTCTTGTTGGTGTCCAGATAGACAAGAACAGCATTGACAATGCATTTTCTGGAATAGACATCGTCGCGGTCAAGATGGCCCTGAAGGAGTCGTTCCAGGAAATTCGATAGTCTTGTTCCATGAGCACATATCATATCTCTGGTTTTCCCTTGAACACTACCTGTGAACAAGGGGCCTTGAGTGGCCCAAGGTAGAAATGATTTCTGCAACAATGTTGCAAACTCTTCAGCATGGCTGAATAGCCTAATGTCGGTGCTCATGAGCCAGTTTCCCAGCATCTTGCGCATACTGTCTTGAGTAACCGGAGAAAGTGCTGATTCGAGAAGAGCAAANAGCCATGATTTCTGGACCATGGTTTCCNNAGCAGAAGCAAGGTGGTCCAAATCCTGCACGCACTCCAGTGCCTGGTTGAGATATCTGCCAATGACGATAGTTTCGTAAACAGTGCAGAATCTTGCATACTGCGATTCAGCAATCATGGAGCCTGGCTTGTCTTGCTTGTCCAATGTCAAGTCCATGTCATTGGCGCGGATGTTGTTGCGGGAGATAGCGATGGACTTCTTGAGAACATGAAGACAGATTTTCCTTTGCTCAGTGTCGCCTTGAGATGACTGACCAAGTGTTCCGAGCAAATATTTCCAGTATGGATCTTTTTGCAGAGCTACCTGACGTGAGTAACCATGACTGTCCAGATCCAACCACCTCAGCCAGATGGTATAGGCAGTGGTCTTATACGAGCTCCTCTCGCTGAAATCGAGCAAGTTTCGGATGCACTGCCAAAGGTGCCTGTCGAGTTCGTCCGGATCCGATTTGAAATGTGAGAATGTAAAGGTGCCAGCTTTGAATGAGGCCAGGAAGGCAAGAATAGTATCCTTAGCTGCAGCTGCGACATCCGGATTTGATGCAGCGAGGAGACCAAAGATGGCACATACTATCGGACTCGAGACGACAAAAGATTTGTCAAGGATCGGACTTCTGAAAAGTTGTTTCGCGAAGCTCAAATATAAAATAGTCGTTTGTACGAGCTCGTCCAATTCGCGATCAACCCCAAGCTCGGGGTCGTAGTGTGATACAAAGGGGTCCACGATCAAGACCTGATCAACCGGCACCACAAACTCTGCATTCTTTGGTTGACGGAGAAGCTGTGAGAAACAGATATGGAGTTCGCGATCTGTCCAGTGCAATAAAGCATTTCGGATCCTTGGATATTCAACACAGAGGGCTGCGGCCGACGAAGCATCATCTTGTTCGATTGATCTGATCAAAAATTCATTGAGATGAACATTTGCCTCCTCGTCTGGACATTGATGAGCAAGTGCAGCAACAAGTCCAAGAGTGTTATTGTCGATATTGGAGGCAAGGTCCCGAACGGCAGAGTAACGTTCGCTTTCCGGAATCCTGCTAAGAAAAATGTCGGCTAGCGTCGTATGTACAGACACAGAAGGAGCGACCATGGTATGAAATGGACGCCACCGACGCCCTGGAAATGAAGACGAACGTGTATAAGAGCGACTCAGGGCGCCACGAAGTGTGTTCATATATTTACTACTTCGTCCTAGGACCACCAAACAAAATTGTAGAACCGATGCGGCATAACTTCGGTATCAAAAACTGTCGCTCTAGATCATGGGTCTTCGAGTGGGTTTTAGGCGGACCCTTCTCCGAAGGATAGATATTTCCGATTCACCGTCTCGGCGTCGATGGAATTCGCGCACCGTAAACATCTTCACGATCAAAGGACTGGTGTTTTTGCGAGCAGAATATCCTACTTGGGTCATTTGCAGACGACCGATTCCCACAACGTACTGCCACAGGTGTCTCATCCTTGAAAACAGAAACCAATCTCACGTGTCGAGTTCTAGATTTCTGCATTGTCCGTTTTGGGTAACCCAAAGCACGAACACGAGCACAAGGTCTGGACCAAATCCAACGCGAAAATCTTGCCAGCGTTCAGAATCACACGCTTCTCAAGGGGAACTTTGATTGATAAAGACTCTTGGTGGGTACCTCAGACCTCTTCCGTTTGGTTCATGGTTGTAATTACAATTCGAAAGAGCAACCGACCACTAAATGCAGGATGTAGCTTCACCACCATGAGCCATCTTCTTCTTCGAAATCAAACAATCCTTGCTCCAAGCTGTCTGCCTTTTTACGTTTCCTTGCAACGATCTTCTGGACGTCGAACATGTCGAAACATCCTTCTTCGTCGTCGGTGTCATCATCAGTGAGACACAAGTTCTCGTTGATGGTCAGGTTCTGTCGGATCTGCCAGTAGCTGAGCCCTTGCTGACTAGCAGCTCTCGGCCCAAACTCTTCGAGCAATGCCTTGTCCAAGACACTCTTTTGTTCTGCGTGCTTGTTCGCATGATGTATGTCTTGGCTAATGTACACAGACTCGCCTACAAAAACCTCCCACACCTTGTTGATAGTGTCGATGAGTGGCTGCCATTGTACGAGACTCGGCTTGAGCATTCTCAGATCAATAAAAGTCTGTCTGGCCTGCGGCATGCTTGCTTTGAATCGCTGATAGAATGCTTCACGCATGTCGGGGTCTGGTATAGCCCACCATGTGCGATCAAGTTGGTTGTTGAGGTCGAAAAAGAGAGTCAAAGTCCTCAGACCAGGAAACATGATCCCCATATTTTGCCATTTACCAAAATAGACCCCGCGACTTTTGTCCGGTGGTGATATCGGTAGCCACAATTCCAGGCTGTTGATGAGGTTTCGTCCTTTGACAGGCATATTGCGGATCCACTTCTCACTCTGCAACATATCTTCCTCGTTTTGGGCAGAGTCTGGACGAAGCAGAAGGGGAGCAACGCAGAAGTTGTTGACGCGATATAGTACTGGCATAGCCTCTTCGTAGATTTGTCGACAGGTGAACATGATGTTGATCTTGACTTTTGCAGGTGTCACTTTGCCATTGGCACGCAAAGGGCCAGACTTGCCGAACAGTCGAACAAAGCCACGTGTTGCCTCGAGTTGGAGCTCATAGAAACGTTGACGAACTGTGTCCGGAAGCTCGAGAAAGGGAAATGGCTTGGTGGGTGTTGTGCTTGTGACATGTTGCTGATTATCTGCAGCCTGTAGGGTGCGCTCCAAGCGCTCCAGGCGCCTAGTACTCGGAGGCATGTCGATTGAATAGTTGTTAATTCTTACTTTGGGGAGAAGTACCAGGATGTAAAGAGGGTCACAGACGGTTGAAATGCTACATTCAAGTAACGAAGTGGGTCTCAGGATTTAGTTAGGCAGCAACAATGGAAGACTTGATGAAGCATTTGATCGCAACTTACGAGCCCCGCAAGGCAAATGACACACCGCTGGTCAGTGATCTGTGTTGTCTGGGCGCTCTAAATAAGGGTTCAGACAAGGAAGTCCAGTTGACAGTCACGAGCAAAAGATGTAGAAGCGAAATCTCGAGAAGTCGTGGCTAAGCATTCCTTGAGCTGATGGTCAATGGAATGTCGAGGCAATCTATCATTGAACTCTCCTCAAGTCAAGTTCTCTCTTCCTGCTTGACTCATATCATCGAGCACAGTATGAATCGAGCTTGGTGATGGCTATTTGGAGTGGTGAGGGTGACTTTGGACTTTTGAGATCTGCGCGCCGAGCCGAATTGTCGTGGCAACCGGGATTGTTGATTTGGGGGACTTTCTTGCGGAGGAAGGCACAAGCTTGGATGATTGACAGATGTTCACCCACAATCGACTCCGTTTCCAGTCAACGGTTGTCGAACTTTTGATATTACTTCAACAGCAGTTAGACCAAGGAGCAGTCAACATGGATATCCCTCACGCAGCATCCTCACCCGACATTTCTTACATATCAACGGCGTCGGCTCCATCCTTACGCGCCAGAGATTCGACAGTTAGCATGGCTTCTTCACGACCTTCTTATCTGCCAGGCGAAGAAGGAGGTAATGTCAAGGTTGTTGTCAGAGTGCGCAAGTTCTTGCCTCGAGGTATGCAATACACGTCGTCCACACGTTGAGCAGCTAGCTAAGAAGACCAAACAGAACTTGAACGACAGGCGCCATGTCTGATCGAGATGGACCCCAACACACAGAAGACGACAATTCATCCTCCTCCTGCAAACACTCTTGATTCAAACTCGCGCAAAGTCTATGAGGAGAAGAGCTTCGTCTTCGACAAATCCTTCTACTCTCATGACGAGTCAATGCCACACTTCGCCCACCAGCAAGATGTCTACGCTTCGTTCGGCGAAGACTTCCTGGATCACAACTTTGATGGATACCACACTTGTATATTTGCATACGGCCAGACTGGTTCTGGAAAGTCGTACACCATGATGGGCACCAAGGACCAGCCCGGTCTGATCCCCCGGACATGCGAGAATCTATTCCAACGCATCGAACAAGAGCAGAATGGCAACATCACCTACAACGTTCATGTCTCATACTTTGAAATCTACAATGAGCACGTTCGCGACCTTCTGACTCCTCGCACCAACCCACCCACACACCTGAAGATCCGCGAAAGCAAGTCGGACGGTGTCTATGTCCAGAACTTGACTGACAGCCCCGTCAAGTCTTTTGGCGACATCCAGAGACTCATGCACATGGGTGACTTGAACCGGACGGTAGCCGCAACCAAAATGAACGACACATCATCGCGCTCCCACGCCGTCTTCACTCTCACCCTCAAACAGATTCAGCACGACATTGCCACTGATAGTACCATTGAACGCACAGCTCGCATGCGTCTGGTTGATCTGGCTGGATCTGAGCGAGCAAACAGAACTGAAGCCACTGGCCAACGTCTGCGTGAGGGAGGAAACATCAACCAGTCTCTCACCACTCTTGGTCGCGTTATCGCCGCCCTTGCAGATCCCAAACGTTCACGACCCAGTGCCCGCTCAAATCAGACCAAGCGTCGTGCTGATGTGGTACCTTACCGTGACTCGGTGCTTACCTGGCTGTTGAAAGACAGTCTGGGTGGTAACTCCAAGACAGCAATGGTGGCCTGTATCTCACCAACAGACTATGAGGAAACCCTCTCCACACTCCGCTACGCCGACCAGGCCAAGCGCATTCGCACTCGTGCCACTGTTAACCAAGACGCAGTGTCCGCTGCAGAACGCGATGCCCAAATCAAAGAAATGGCAGAGACGATTCGCCTTCTCCAGCTGTCCGTCAATGCATCGACTACTCGCAAGCGCGATGAAGTGGATCGCGCAGGCCAAGAACTGGAGGACTACCAACGCCAGGTCACAAAGATGCAGCGCGCAATGGAAGAATCTCGTGCTGTCGCCGATGTGAAGATTCGCGCCTTGAACGCCGAGTTGGAAGAACTTCGTCCCATCAACGAACGCTTGCAAAACGAAGTGGCTTCTTTGCGCAGGCATCTCGCTCTTGCCGTTGGCGAGTTGAAGAACCCTATCGTTCTACCTCCTGCAGAGGAAGACAAGGGTTGTGATGTCCAAGAGATCGAGGTGTACAGTGACGAAGATGAGGNNGAAGAGCAAGGGCAGAGCGATGACGAAGGATACTCATCACAGCATGCAGATTGGCAGGCTGACATTGACGAGCTCATGAAAGACTTGACCATGTTCAAGACGAAGGTTGCGGACGACCGTAGCAGATTCACTATCCCTGTTGCTTGAGTTGTCTCACATGTTTTGTTTTCGTCTTTTTATTTCTGGTTATGATGAATAATGTTGTTGAGCAAGCGAGGAGTTTTTTCTTTGGTTCGGAAATAAGATACAGGGGGTTTCCAGTTCAGATGGGTTGTCCAACAGAATAGCACAGCGCCCAGTACAGTATGTTTCAATGTCCGTAATGATATGCATATCTTTCTATGCTTTCATGAGTTCTGTTGCTTTTGCATTGGAAGAATTTAGAAGCAGAGATGGCGAAGGGTCAATATGCAAGACTAATTATCGATTTTAAACCGGATGACTTGCAGACAAACAAGGATCAGAATCCTCTTACTCGTCATCGTCTTCAATTCTGGCCCTCTTGCTCCCACGCTCATCCTGGTCTCCACCTTCATTGAGTCCATATCTCTTGACTCCCTGTCCAGAAACAGATGCGCTTCCAGCCGCTGCATCACCCTTCTTGCTCTGCGCATCCGCAATCATCTGTTCCACACCAAACGGATCGCCATTATCGCGCTCAAACATGACTGGGCCTTCTCTCTGCTCAGCAGCCCTGGCACTCTTCATGCCTTCCTTGGGCGCTTTCCCCAACGTCTCAAACCTCGAAGTCTTTTGAATAGCTTCCAAAGTCTCGCCTCCATCGTCTGCATCATCTGCATCCAATTGCGGACGATAGATAGAGTTTAACGCCTCACGATCTGCGAATAGCGGTTTGTCGTACGCTTGGTCTTCATTGAACCCAGCCGCAAACCCTGACGACTGGTTGAAGAGTCTTGAGTCGTACATTGTTTCTTTGCTGGTTGTGGGTTTTGCAAGCCCCAAGGCTACTTTTTCGCTAATGTCGCGGTTTTGGGCGCGCGCGAGGGCTTGCATGCGGCGTTCGTGGCCCATGTTTTTCTGGCGCATTTCTCTTTGGGCGTCGCGGCGGCGTTCGGCGCGCAGGCGTTCGCGTTCGCGGCGGTCGTGTTCGGTTTCGTCTTCTGAGGGGGGTGCGAGAGCGGGAGCGTGAAGAGTAACTATCAACACTTCTGCTCCTGCTGCGTGGGCCATCGCGAGCAGAAGGTTTTCCGGAAGCGGCGGCGGCGGAAGCTTTTTCCTCGCGGGCTTTTTGGGCGAGCAAACGCAGGTTTTCTTCTTTTTGCTCTTTTTCCTTNNTTCGGCGAGGCGTTGTTGCATTAGTGCTCTGGACTTTACTTCTTCACGGGCGTGGCGGTCGGCGGTTTGTAGAGCTTCGGCGAAGGAGGCGAATTTGTCGTTGATGGTTACGTCTTGGAGACCTCTGCCATCTGCTGCCAATCTCTTGTCCAAGGGTACTGTGTAACCCTTGGGGTTCTTCCAGTTTGAGACTGTGGGAGGGATGCGCCAGGCTTCTTGGTCTTCGGCGGTAAGTTTGCGAGGTGGAGAGTGCATGACTGGCGGAGGAGGTGATGAGGGTCTTCCAGGGATCTTCTTTGCTTTGAATTTGGGAGGTTCCATAGGGTCGATTTGGCGAGACATGATTTTCATGATACGGTCGCCTTTCTTGGAGTTGTCTTGTCCCATCTGGTTGGCTGGTGTATAGCGGACGTATGATGCTTCTCTCTTNTCGACACCCTTGACATTTTTGGGACGCTGTGCTGCACTTGCGCCGGCGACTAGAGTTGCCAGTGCTGCTTCTGTCTTTCGCTTTGTCTCTGCCACCGTCTCCTCGTCCGGGCGTGCAAGTGAGATTTCACCAGCATTTGCTTGATGTCTAAGTGGAATCAGATCCTTGAACGAAGCATGCACAATTCTGTTCTCGGCGTGGCCACGCTTAGCAATGGCAGTATAGTCAACCTGACCCTCAGCATTAACGCTCAAAGTCAGAGCATTCGACGACGACGCATGCTTCCTGCCCATATCCAGAGGGTACTGAGCGACCGAAACTTCAGGGTAGGCACCGCCATCTCCAAAGTCTTCGTTGCCGCGAGGACGCCAGTTGTTGCGTTGGCCATATAGAGGAATGCCGCTGCGCTTGGCGATTTGCAGTTGTTGTGATGCTGCCTGGTCGGCGCCAATGATTCGAGGACCCACTGATTGTCTCTGCTGCTCCTCTTCGCCAGTATAGCGTGGCCTGGGTAGTGCTGCGAACATTGTCGTTGCTCTTTTCGGAGTGTTTCGACGAGATTGTCACTTGGAGGCAACAGGCGCAAAAGTGATGGCGCGTGAGCTCGGTAGGTCGGCGAGGCACGATGAGAAGCACGAGGTTGATGGCGGAAAGGACGGTCACTATGCGATGTAACAAGGCGATTTCTGCCGAAATACGAGCTTCGAGGTAAGACTCCACGTGGACCAGAGATGTAGTGGTGATGAGGTTGTATGCAGAAGCAGAAAGTCTTCAGATGGTTTCGCGAAAGCGTGACGACGTCCAGCGTCGTCTTGGCGTTGCTGTATCTGAGGCATCCTTGGGCACCACGACCATTTTCAACATTAACTATCATATATTCTGTTTTTCTCTGTAATAATCCAAAGACTCTGTATCGTCCATTGTCAAGTCTCGCGCAAGTACGTCCAACTCGAAATCGTACTTTCTACTATTACTCATCCGATGCAGTATCATCCTAAGAACCTTGCTGCTCTGTGCAGTAGCATTTGAGCAAAGCCAAGATATCATCTAATGGACTCAGCTCTTGAAGACGAGTGTCAAGCAATAAACGCAATCTACTCCGAATCTACCCTGGTAGTCCTATCCCAAGATCCAACAATCTGCTCTCTAGAACTACCAGGAGAAGTCAGCATATCACTTCGACTAGAATTCCCACCAGATTATCCAGATGCACCTCCTTCAATCCTGGGCACCCAATCGGTGGGTGAGAATGTTGCANAAGGCGAAGGTGCCCATGCCGTCGACATTGCACGTGAGGTGCTTGCAGAAGTCTATCAGCCAGGCTCACCATGCATATTCGATGTCATGGAAGAAGTCAATCAGAGACTTCAGCAGTACAACCAAGACACCAGCCAAGATCAAGGGCATCAAGAGCAACAAGATGCTCAAAGGAGAGGTCAGCAACAAGCCTCTGTCCTCGACGAACCCCACTCTCCAGACCCTGACGAAATGCAGTCTTTAGACTTGCTCCACAAGGAACCGCCATGGATCATTTCCGACGTCATCACAGAAAAGAAATCTGTGTTTGTCGCCAGAGCGGCTGCGGTATCTTCGCCAGCAGAGGCAAAGTCATATCTGGCACACTTGCTTGCTACGGATAAGAAAGTCGCAAAAGCTACACATAATATTACGGCATGGCGCATTCATGGTCCTAATGAGACTGCATTTCAAGATTGCGATGATGATGGAGAGACGGCTGCGGGTGGGAGGTTGTTGCATCTGATGCAACTGATCGATATCTGGGATGTCATGGTTGTGGTTACGCGATGGTATGGTGGTGTACATCTGGGTCCTGATCGCTTCAGGTTGATTAACTCTGCAGCGAGAGACGCGTTTGTAAAAGGCGGCTATGCTAAAGATCCGAGCAAGCCTGAAGCCGGCAATAAAAAGAAAGGCAAAAATAAAGATATCGGTCAGACACTCTACACCTGGACGTATGGGAAACACCCATGATCAATGTTTGCGGCGAAACGAGTGAAATACCAAATGGCAGCCTGGACAGAGACCCACCAGCGATGGCGATGAACAAGAAGCTTCGGGGGAAACAAACGCGACAACAACCGCACTCGGCACAAAGACCGAGCCAACACCTTCTTCGGTATCCAGCTCTCTCAAGCCAGACCATACCAATGAAGGAGAGTTTTCCCAAAAAAAAATTTGTTTCAGAGGCACTTCTCTTGAGCGAAGTACACCTCCTACTTTGATTCTCCTCAAAAGAAGATAGTTGTGATCGCAAACACCTTGATGGTTCACGACGCTGGTGTCCCAGAACGGGAAGCCTCCAGAGAGGCCTCTGTTCCTATGGATGAAAATGAGTGTAGTCAGCATGTGGATTTTGATAGAAGTAGAAGGCAGGGAAGACTTAGCTCTGACCACAGGCGATGCGAGTACCGAGGTACCCTTGTCGCCCATGGCACTCCGAATGAAAAGGAAACGAACGAGTGTGATGGAGAAGAAAGGAAGAGAATGAGATTGAGTGGGTTTAAATAGCTGAGGGTCACGGGTTATCTGATCCAGAAGCTTACCTAAGGTTGATATCTGATCAGGAAGCCTACCTAAGGTTGGCTGCACGGGACTCTTCGTAAGAGCTCAGAACTTCAACTTACACTTACAAACGCATATCGGAGTTGAGTATGAGCGAGGCTGTTCGAGTGATGGATCCTATCGGTCATATGGATGAGATGTTTCAAACCTACCTACCTAGTCAGATGTATCGGACGTCGCTACATTAAAGATACGGCGTGGTGCGATACGGAGCCTAGAGTGAGAGTGGCAGTGTCATGGATACATTCGTTCTCCAGTCGTCTTTGTGCGAATCCCAGTCTCCTTTCGTGTGGCGCGTTCCGTCATGGTAATATGCACTGGTATTCGAATGTTGAGAATAGTGTCTTCCGCTTAGCTCTTATACCGTCCAGATGCTCTTGCTTCCTTCCATTCCTTCCTGTATGTGACAAACGCCGTAAACCATGAAACGCCCACGCTGTATGCAAATATGCTCTTTCGATCCTCCCTCTTCTCAGAGTCCCAACGATCTTCTGACATCTTGCTTGACCTTCTTCTCAAACTCTGCTCTTCTCTCCCTCCACATTCTTGCCGCATCGACATTGGCAGGCGACTCGTCGTTGGGTTCGGCCAGCATGCTCATGACACTAATCAAGATCTTTTCCACGCTTTGAATAGGGCTCCAGCGTTCGGAGGCGTGTTCGTAGTGGTTGGGGTCGTCGCCAGGAGGGTGCAGGATAGAGATGCAGACAACACCATTCGGATACACTNNAAGCCCGGAATCAGCACGGTGTCCTAGCTACCAAACTGACAAGGAGCAATACATACCATTGGGATGCCAGATATCGCAAAGGAACTTCATGGTCGGCGGCATGAGAGGATAGTCCTTGGGNAATTTGAGCTCGGCGGGAAAGATGCCGCCTTCGTAGGGAGTACCCTCGGGTCCTTCAATCAGGGCTTCCCACACAAAGAGGTCGTCTTCTTCGACGGGGCCTGCGGTGATGCCATCCGGTGGGTCTTGAGTGAGGTGTTTGTATTCCTGGAACAGGCGTTTTGATGCGACAGAGGTTGTCATGGTGTGCTGGTTGGAGTGTGTGATGCGCGACTCGTTACGAATCTTTCGTATGTAGAAGTGTTGCTGCGCTTGTGACTGTTGACTCTAGAAGTGCTGGTTGGTGTGGAGGCGGTCATGGAAGCCAGTAGACCCTGAGTGCTGACGATGGGTCTTGATACCGAACAGCGCCCAGTTTGTATCCAGCGTCCGCAGAGCACCGCGTCGACGACATCTCGTACTCGTAGAGGACCAACAACCATCTCTTCCCTCCCCATGTATTGAACTATGTAACTATAGCTATATGAATGCACTACGGTGATGGGAAACAAGGTAGTGTCCAACGAGAGGCAACAAGTTGTCGACTCTCTGCGGACACGCCTCCACCTCCTAAAGCAATTGTGTCTGATGATGGTCTGCATTTAGCTCTTGGCTATAGTCGGAGTAAGGTGAAGTTACAACTTTGCGTCATGATTGCTATACTGATGCTCATCTCTGTCTTCAAAGAGGGACACAAGCAATACCCAGCATTGCTTTCTGATAAAGAGTGGATCTGAAGAATGTCACAAAAGTCTGCATTGTTCACCTGGCATCCCTGAAGTACGGTTCGAGCATTCCCTTCTTTGAACGATTTGCGTCAATAATCTTGATGTAACTGAGCGACAAAACATCCTTACAGTTATGTACAGAATGTTGTATCACGTCAACAGTGCCTTCTCAATCACGGCTTCTGTTGGCCAACCATCTTCTGATGACAAACTCCCTAACTTCATAACCTCTCAGAAGCTTTCCAATATCCACTTCCCCTTCCGCAGCATTCGGTATCTCCTTTGGCACCTTGACATACACGATGACCAAACTCTTCTTGACCTGACTTTGCACGCGATTCACACAATGCAACCACCACCAGCCCATTTTGCCTTTTCCTGCGGCTGCTTCCACACTTCCCTCTACATATTCAGGGATGATGATGAGAGCAAACTCGGCGTGAGAAAAGACTGGACCACGGTTGTAGAGTAAGAAGTCGCAGGAGAACTTCACACCAGGTCTGACGACCCAGCCCAAAGATCGATAATGGTGGTATACAACATAGTTCAGCAGGAATGGGTCGTCTGAGCGTAGGGCAGAAGTTTGTGCGGTGGGAAAGTGCGAGTGTTGTCGGAAGAGCGTAAGTAGGGAGGGTGTAGAGAGAGGCTGCTTCGTGTCGGAATCGATAATCCGTAGGCTACCCAGAGCGTAAGACAAGAAGAAGGATTCTTCGAGATTCAATTGAAGATGTTCTTGATTCGTGATTGGTGTCTCTTCTTCGTTTGCAACGACAACAGTGTCGGTAGGAATGCCAGTTGTGTGGATGGTGCTGCCTGTGGGAAGAACAGGGACTTCCACAATATTGGTTGCTGTTTCTTTAGGTTCCGTGTCTTCGGCAGGCACAGCCTTGGTTTCTTCCTTAAACTCCGCATCACCGTCTTGCTGTTGCATCCAGGGGAAGACATGAGAGATGGCAATTTCAGTAGCTTTTTCCACATCTTTTTCTTCTTTAGCAGATTCCAGCGCTGCTCGTTCTTTTCTCAGGGTCTCCTCAATCTGCTCTGCTTCTGCTCTGGCTCTTTCGAGCTTGAACAGCTTTCTCTCTTCTCTTCTTTTTCTGGTGTTCTCTTCTGCAGTCCCGCCACCGTGTTTGCTCGCCTTAAGTCGAGCTTTCTCTCTGTCCGGCCAACTTGGCTCACTTCTTGACATTGTACCTTTGCCAAAGAAGCCCATCTCCCAAAGTGCACGAACAGAAGCATGATCCGTGATGTGGACTGATCGTGTCTCTGAGCTGAAAATACCAGTGATAGGCACATCTCTGTGAGACGATGGCGCAGAAATAAGCTGTGAAAGGTAGATGTAGGCGATCCGAAGAAGAGAAAGAGGATTCTGTGGTACAAAAGCTGGAAGAGGACAGGTCTCAAGAGGTAGAGGTTTTGAATGTATCAAAAAGTAGTTGGGCTTCTGCGGCCTTGTTCTGACAGGTTTAGGCTTGTCTTGTGCAGATGGATCCTTCAAGGCTTGATCTTTGGTTATGTGAGGTGCCGCCGTTGGTACGTCGAGCCTCGAACTCGTGTTTGCATCAACATCTGGACCAGCCATCTTGCCTGCGGACTAGGCAATCAAGTCGACTATTGATTTTGTGATTCCTGTCAGTGTTGTTAGATACGTTCGTGATCTTCCACAAGCAATCAAAATGATATCATGGTCAAAAGTTGCCATCTCGAGCTAGTGATTCATTGCCGACTGAGAAACTGAAATGATGTTCGTGAAAGAGCAAAGCAAAACGAAGAAGAAATGGCATGAAGCGACGCTTGCACCGTAAGCTTGTCTAATCGTACCGAGTTCTCGCTATGCAAGCCGTCTTTTGTTCTCGAGACTCACGCATTCCGACAGACAAAATTACGGATAGCGTATGTACTCGCGGCCACAGAGTAAGTCGTAATGTAGCCAATATGTGCTTTGCCATTCTTTTTCTTTTCCTCTTTCCATGGCTAATAGTTCTTTTTGTGCTCATTGGAGCGATTGGAAAGTGTGCGTGAAGGAAATCAATATCAACTCACCAAGTCAAAATTCCGTTTCTGAGGATCTAATTTGCAGAAGTCATCAGTGAATTAATGGTATTCGGCACTGATGCTGAGCATGAACGAGAACGAGATGGATGCCAATTATTCTTGATATGGCCCAAGCTTCTGCAGGGCTCGGAAGAACGGACCGAGACGGGATTAAGGGCTGGCTCAAGAACAAACCATCGTCATTCTTAGATCTGCTTCTTCCACTCATACAACACACATGCCGGGAATACGACCCCAGATGTTGCTATCGCGAGCGGCCAGACGCTATGTGTCAACTTCTCGAGGTCCACGAGGTCCGCGCAGTATTCTCAACAAGGCACGAACACCATCCCGAATCACACCTCGCCCGTCCAGAGCTTCTCCATTGTCTGCGAATAGCCGCCACCNNAGTCCCTCACAGCAGCCGAATCAGCAGAACAAGCCAGATGAGCAGTCTCAGCAAACACCAGAAGAAACGTCGAAAAATGCTCTTGTAGCTACAGCTCTCGCCGAAAATCAGTCCTCGGATCTTGTTGCACCTGTGACCATCCCAGACGATCCAAATGGTGTGCTTACACCAAGCCATCCAGCATGGCATATGCTCAACAACAGCTCATTGGTCATTCAGCGACAGATCGAGATGATGAATGTCTTCCTTGGATTTGAACAAGCCAACAGATACGTCATTATGAATGGTCGAGGAGAAACAATCGGATACATGGCTGAGCAGGATCATGGAATGGGAAGCATGCTGGTACGCCAGATGGCAAAGACTCACCGTAGTTTTACCTGCCACATCTTCGACAACAGCGAGAGGGAAATTTTGCGTATTCATCGACCTTTCTCTTGGATTTCGTCACGCATCCGCATCTACGACCCTACTACCTCAGGCGAATACTCCCAATCGGATTCTTTACAAGGCACTTCTGTCCAATCAACCATCAACCAGACTTCTGCAGCGCAAATATCACCTCTTCCCCTCAACGACATGCGTATCATTGGTGAAGCACAACAGCAATGGGCTCCACTTCGCCGCAAATACAACCTCTTCAATTACCGATCTATCGCTCCCGCCTCTGACTCAACACCAAAGTTGACCTCTGGAGACGCACCCAATACCTCGACCAAAGCTCTTGCAGTCACAGAAGGCACCTCCGAACAAGCCATCGAAGCCGGCATGCAACAATTCGCCTACGTCAACGAACCGTTCTTGTCCTGGGACTTTTCTCTCAAAGATGCAGACGACAACAAGATTGGCAGTGTAAATCGTAACTTTGTCGGGTTTGCAAGAGAGATATTCACGGATACTGGTGTTTATGCTTTGCGCATGGATTCTGCTGCGCTAGAGGAAGGGGCTCAAGAACAAATCGCTATGACGCTGGATCAAAGAGCTGTTATGCTTGCTACGGCTGTCAATATTGACTTTGACTACTTCTCGAGGCATAGTGGGCATGTTGGTGGTGGTGGCTTTTTCCCTATGTGGTTCCCTGGCATGGGTGGCGCCGCCGAGGGAGGCGCAGTAGGTGGAGCAGCAGGGGGTGCTGCTGGCGAGGTTGGTGCCGCAGAAGGTGCTGCAGGAGCCATGGGCAGGGGTGTTGCTGGATCTGAAATGGGTGCGGGAGCAGTGGGAGCTGGCACAATAGCTGGCGCAGAAGCCATGAACCGTGGCTTGGGAAACCAACAATCCGACGACGCAAGCCCTCAAGCCCCTGTTGATCCCTATCAAAACGATGGTAACGTCAATCCATCACAAGGAGATACCTGGGGCGAGCAAAGTCCTTGGGGTGAACAAAATCCTTGGGCCCAGCAACCACAACAACAAGATGATCCTTGGGGCAACCAAGGAGGGTCTGATGGTGGTGATAGTGGAGGCGATGGATTTGATTTCGATGATTTCTTTTAGGTGTAAAAGCTTCAGTATTTTCTCCTCTCCTTGCAATATTTAGCATAGCGTAGCATATTTAGATACCCATTTCCTCTCACTATAGAAAATGACAAGATTGACAACGCTATACATAAGGGTTATTGATAGACATGATTTTGGTCAGCCCGTCCAATTCTGGGGATCCGATCTCATTGATATTCTGTTGGCATATTCATCATATTTATTTTATTCGCAAGACCTCTGAGAAATATAAAACATTGAGAAAGCCTTATGAGACTTGTACTGTCAACTAAAGGGCATATGACATCTTTATCAAGGATGATGAATAGTGACCAGGGTTGTATGCTCGACATTTCGACTTGGTCAACACAACATCTTCTGGGAGGCTTCACAAAACGAGCTTCAACTTCCACAACAACAGGAGCCTGACTGCGCAACACTGAACCATGCACAGTGATTTTAGACAATTCTCAATCCATTCGCAGTAATGTTACATTCGCTGATATGTACAAGATTGCGCAGGAATCGTGCTCTCGTTGCCTTCGTTGGTAGTATGATCCAAATCGGTAATTCAGGAGGAAGCAAACAGGCAATTCTAGAAGCTATTATGATGCTTTTTACTCCTCGTCCTGCTTCTTGTCAGCGCGAGGCTGGTCAGCCTTGTCCTCGCCCTTGTCTTCGCTGATTTGGTTCTCGGGGGTTGGTCTGTTGACCGAAACGGTACCCATTGACTTTGCGGTCTCAGGAGCACCCTCGCCTACAAAAAAAATGTCAGCATTGGGCCTAAACAGACGCCAGAAGGATCAATAATACCTTTTNTTCGACATAGACGGATCTTGATCAATGCGGGTGCTGTGACGGGTGGCTGTGTTAGACATGCCTCCTTGCTTGGTCATCATATCTCCCTGGCCACCGGTGGAGGTGGTCTTGGAGGTGGCAGCCNNTGTGAACATGTTAGTATCAGTCTACCATGAGCAAGGGTTTAGTTTGTCATGGCGTACGCTGGTGGAGCCATCCTCTCTGTGCTCAGGACCCTCGCCGAGGTTCTTGCCGTAGCCAGAGTCGATGCGCTTCTTGAAGCCACCCTTGCCGTCAGGCTCGCGCTTGCGCTCATCAGGCATCTTGTTGTCCGAGTCACCCTCGTTGGTCTTGCCCTTGAATTGGACACCCTCGACATCACCCTTGTTCTCGGGCATGTTCTTGCCTTCGGTGTTGGGTTTGCTCTTCGACTCCCCAGCAGCAGGCTCGTTGTTGGCCTGGGGCTGGTCCTGGGTCTTCTCACCCTCACCGTCCTTCAGAGCACCACCCTCGTCCTTGGTCTCGCCGTCATCCTTGGACTCGTCCTCAGGCTTCTCCTCAGACTCCTCCTCGGGTTGCTCAACCTCGGGGTGCTCCTCGACGTGCTTGGCATGGGCAGAAGCAGGGCCGTGAACGTCACCGTTAGATGAGTCGGGCCAGAGGTACCAAGCGCCAGGAATGGTGACACCGGCAGCACCGAGGATCCTGTAGGAATAAGAAGTCAATGGGCGTCCAATTGGGTTGGTAGTGACATGGTGGAGCGTTTACCATGGCACGTCGCTGCTGGGAGCCGAGTGACCGTGACCGCTGGCGTAACCTCTTCTGGCAACGACACGAGCGGCAGGACGGGCAGAGGAGCGGAAGAGACGGGCAGCTGAGAAGCCGCGCATGGCAGATCTGGGGAGGACCATTGTGTGTATTATTGACAGTTAATTGGTGTTGGTGAGTGGTTCTTGACAAAGCGTGATGGGCTGTCGAGGCGCGAATCGGATGTCAGGTCGCCAAGAAACAGCTCTTCTTCGAGGTTCCGCGTCATAATTGTGCCTTTCCATCCGTCATCACAAAAGGGAAGCTATCCTTGTGCACGGACTTCTTGTCGCCTAACTCCAGAACAGGCACCGACGGCCAACACGAGACAAACACGCAGTTGCGAAAGACTGAAAGTAATCATAACCATTATTTCTCTGCTGTCCATTCAGACTTCTCCTCCAAAACCCCATCACTTTGTCTTCTTACATCACTCATCACCATCTTTCTGGATGAGAGAACTCTAATTTATCAACCCCACTACAGTACTCCAGCTTAGCCACCCTGTTGCGCAGTACCCTCCATCACCACCACAATGGCCGCAACAACGGCGCCTGCTATTCCTGCTAATCCCACCGCACACCATGTTGCTTCTCTGCTACCCAAGCTGCAGGATGTCGATCCGGATATACGTTACATGTCGTTGAACGACCTGAACCAAATGCTCACCATTGGCCACCCCACCTTCATCTCACACGACTACAGCTGCTGCGCACGCGTTGTCGAAGGCCTTNTACACACTCTCAACGATCAAAATGGTGATGTGCAAAACATGGCCATCAAATGCCTCGGTCCTTTCGTCAACAAGGCTCCCGAGAGCATCCTCTGCCCAACCTTTGACAAGATCTCAAACCTCCGTACAGACAATGCTGTTGACAGCTCGGTACCTGCTCTTGCCGTCAGAGCCATGGTCGTCGCTCTCNCCCGTCCTGCTCCAGCTGTTCCGCGCACACAAANNAAAGTCCAAGAGGCATACTCAGCAGTCAGTCGTGCTTTGATTCCCCGTCTTGTCGGATACACCGTTATTCCTACTGGCAAGAATCTCCCTGCTCCTCCCAAGGGCATGATCCAAGTTGAGGTTGAGACTGGAATTGATAGCAATGCCCTGGACGTGTTGGTCGAGGTTGCCCGTTGCTTTGGCCCGATGTTGCAAGAAGCCGAGGTGGAGGCTCTCCAGAAAGTCACAGCAGAGGTTCTGGAAAATCCTCGATGCAGTACTGTCATGAAGAAGAAGGCTGTCACTGCTCTTTCCGTCCTTGCACCATACTTTTCAGATTCTCTCCTGAGCTCGGTTGTGTCACACTCGATCGAGAGTTTGCGCCAGGCCCACCTGACACCAGCCCAGCGCAGGCTATATCTCACAATCTTCGCCTCCATGGCAAGATCAATCCCTCGCAAATTCGGTCCGTACCTCAGGACTCTGGCACCCTTTGTTTTGTCACCCCTGAGTGAGCAAGAGTTGGAACAGCAGAACGAGGAGGCTGCCGAATCAGATGAAGGCCGTGATCCTCAGGTTGAGGNNGAAGTGCGTGAGGCTGCTCTGCTAGCTTTGGAATCTTTCCTGGCTTCATGTAGTCAAGACATGACACCCTACATTCCTGAAGTCATTGACTCGTGTCTTCGCTTCGCCAAGTACGATCCCAACTATGCCGCTGACGAGGACGATGAGATGGAAGGAGCAGAAAGCGATCAGGAGGACGAATTTGACCTTGATGAGGACTTTGAGGAAGAAACTGGCTTTGACGACGAAGACGATGTCAGCTGGAAGGTTCGTCGTGGTGCTGCCAAGCTCATTCACACCTTGATCGCTACACGAGGAAGCGGCGACTTGCTTGACAGTGGTGTTCTCTACGACAAGATTGCTCCGGCTCTTCTGTCACGCTTCCAGGAACGTGAAGAGAGTGTTCGTCTTGAAGTCCTCTCTACTCTTGCTTTCCTCGTCAAGAAGACAGGCGAATTTAGCTCTACGCCCAGTCTTCGCAGAATGTCTTCAGCCGCTGGACCACCGATCAGTCGCAAGCGCCGTCGTGACAGCAGTTTCTCTAGTGAGCGCCCGCAATTCTCCGTGTCCAATGGCTACGCCTCTCCTTCAACACCCCCACCTCAAGGCGGTCCTCAAGTCAGCTTGTCAGCCATAAATCCTCAGATCGTGCAGGGTTCTGCTAAGCTGCTCAAGTCAAGCACTGTTCCTACCAAGCATGCTGTCATTTCCCTGCTAACAGATCTGGTTACTGCTCAACATGGTGGTCTCTCAAAACGCATCGATCAAGTAATCGATCCTGTTCTTGATGCCATGAAGTCAACCGGTGGCACATCGGGAGGCGCTTCTGTCACGAATAATGCACTTCGCATCGAGTCCCTGCGATTGCTGCGTGTTGTTGCTGACACACACTCTTCCAAGGTCATTGAGCCATATCTTGCGAAGATCATGCCCGCCCTGACCACTGTCTCGAAGGAGAAGTTCAGCAAGGTCTCGAGTGAAGCATTTGACACAATCCAAGTCTACATCAAGGCCCTTACTCCTCCTCGTTCTGCCGGCTCCAAGCAGCAGAATGCTACTTACCTGCAACAAATTTACGAGACTGTCACCCAACGCATCTCAGCCTCCGACACTGATACTGAGGTCCGACAGAAGGCAGTCCAGTCCCTTGGTCTCTTGATTGGTCGTACCTCTGGTACTCAGGGATCAGCTCTGCTCAACCAACAAAGCAGACTTGCTGGTCTGCAGCTCATCAATGACAGACTTCGCAACGAGCTTACCCGTCTGGCTTCGGTGAGAGCCATTGAGACCATCGCCGTCCTCGCCCAAAGCTCCAAGGAATTTACACCTGAATGGGTTCGCGAAGTTTCGCTCGAGTTGGGTGCTCAGCTACGCAAATCCAGCAGAACCCTGCGTGGAGCCAGTCTTGCTGCTTTGAAGCGTATGGCTGTCAATCCGGCATGCCGCGAGAACATGGATGATGAGACTGTGCAAAAGACTGTCCAACTCCTGTTGCCCTTGATCATGCTGGATCAGGATCTTCACCTCATCGGTCCTGCCCTGGTCATTATTGGTTCATTCGCCAACGAGAGACCACAATTGGTGCTGAGTGACGATGTTATACAAGCTTACTGCTTCGTAGCCAAGATGGATCTGAGTGGTGCTGCACTCGACGCATTGCTTGGTTCACTTGAAATCATCGGCAAGAAGGGTGCTGGCAAGAACTTGATGAGATCGCTGCTCGCTGAAGTTGGTGTCAATGGCAACCCTGAGCTTGTTGGCCAAGTCATTGGTGTTCTTCTTGTCGCTGGAGGAAACTCAGTCGGTGTCACACTTGCTGACTTTGAGGCTGAGTTGAAGTCAACAACCGACGAGAAGCGCAGATGTCTTGCTCTCTATATTCTCGGCGAGGCTGGCTTGCGCATGGGCCCCTCTTTCCCATACGGACCTGACATGTTTACCTCATACTTCTCAAACTCCGAAAAGGTATCCCTTGCCGCAGCTGTTGCTTTGGGTCGTGCTGCTACCGGAAACGTTTCTAGCTACCTGCCTCAGATTCAGTCCAGCATGAGCCAGGGTAAGCAGTACCTACTCCTTCACACTATCAAGGAACTGCTGCAACACACCGCCGCCGAGACAGAGGTCATCAAGTATTCGAAACAGCTTTGGGACAACATCATCACTGCCTCGCAAGTCGAAGACAACAAGGTTGTTGGTGCCGAATGCATTGGTAGACTCGCCACGATTGATCCTGCTGCATACTTGCCTCAATTGCAAGCATATTTGAGTGATCCCTCGCCCACTGTTCGTGGCATGGTTATCTCGGCTCTGCGCTACACTTTCTCCGACACTGATCCTTCTTACGATGTCTACCTGCAACCCAGCATCGTGCCTATGCTTACCACCATGCTCAACGAAGTCGACTTGAACAACCGTCGCCTTGCTTTGACGACATTCAATTCTGCCGCCCACAACAAGCCTGATTTGATCTTGCCTCACCTCGACACCTTGCTGCCGCTTGCTCTAAAGGAGACTGTCATCAACGCAGATCTCATTCGTGAAGTGTCTATGGGTCCTTTCAAACACAAGGTCGACGATGGTCTTGAGCTTCGCAAGTCTGCATACGAGACCTTGTACGCCCTGATGGAGACCGCCTTCGCTCGTATCCCCATCTCTGCTTTCTATGATCGTATCCAGGCAGGTGTTGGTGATGAGCACGAGATCAAGATTCTGTGCTGCTTAATGTTGACCAAGCTTGTTACTCTTGCGCCCGAAGAGACTGTTCGCCGTCTCGAAGGATTGGCTACAGCCTTCAGAGCAGTTCTTGCTTTCAAGCCTAAGGATACCGCCGTCAAGCAGGAGTTGGAGAAGTTGGGCGAGCACAACAAGGCCATCGCCAAGGTCAGTGTCATCATCAACAAGACTTTCCCTACCGAGACCACCGCCGAACATGCACGCGCCTGGAACGATTACTGGGAGTGGGCCAGAAAGGACATGGCCACCGTTGTCAAGAACGCAGAGGATGAACTCAAGGAGAAGGATCGCTAGGAGCAAGGCCTTGAAACCGATGAGAAACCCTCTGATGAAGCTGTTTAGCAAACGGAGATATCTCTTTCAATTCTGATGGCGGTCATGAGTCTTGAGCAGACTGGCCAAAAGAGAAAGAGAGCGATGGAAACAGATGCGTGATGCGGGGGTTTGGTTGCATGGAGAATGGTATGCCTCGCCTTTAGCAAGCACAGAATCGGATTGTACACCGAAAAGGGACCTTCAAGGAAGGTATCAAAATGAAGAAGTAGCTTCGCAACGTTATCAATGAATATCACGTTTGTTCCGTGCTTGTAATTTTGAGCATCAAAGCCAAATCTCTAACTTCTAGATCCTCACACCAACGATTTCTTCCCAATCAGGAGTAACGACAAACTTACCCCTGACCTGACCTAGTCCCATGACTTCACCACCGAATGCACCCTCGTCTTGTTCCTCTTCCTTGCCCTTTGCACCTTCCACATCACTCTTGTCATTAAACTTTGCAACCACCGCATCTTGCAAAATTGCACATCTGTGCCCATGCCAACCTGCAGCGAAGTACCGCCCCAATCCAGAGTCGTTCTGCCGCTTGCATGAACACGCAGTTTTCCGACTAAGCCAGCAGGGAAGGGTGAATGCATCTGCCCAGCCGACTCTGGGACTTCTTGTTTTGTCGACTTTGGTTTTGAAGCCGAGGAAGCATCCACATCGATAGCTGTTGCTGCTGTTAATACTGCAGGAGTTTTCTTAGACAGCGTTGGAGACACGGGTTCTGGTTTCACAGTCGCGGGAACCAAAGAAGGCAAAATAGGAGGGAATTGGAAGAGGTACACACGATCGGTGCGGCGGTCTGGCGGTGGTTGTGTTGTTGACGCTTGTTCTGATGGTAGGGAAGTTGCAGCATCAGGACCTTCTGCTAGATCTGCTTGTTCGCTGTTTTCTGCCATGTTAGTGTCTCCTTCTGCGTCTTTTGCAGCAGGTTTTGGAGGTGCTACAGATGACGGCAAGGTGATTTCTCCGAGTTCTTGACGCAGGATTTCGAGGTCTAGGTGGTGGCGTTCCCATTCGCGACGTTCTTCTACGGTTTGCAGTGCTGGTGCTTCGGTGGGGACGGAGTGTTTTCTTGCTGTTGAGGCTTTGCCCTTTGATTTGCGCCGGCTTTCGGGAGAGGCGGATTCTTTGAGGGCGAGGTTTGTGGTTTCGTCTAGGGGTGCTGCTGTGATGGAGGATGCTTCGTCTGTGGGCTCGGGCTTGATTGCTAGATCGTCGTCGGAGCTGTCTTCCCAGGCTCCCTTCCATTTTCTCTCGGTGCGGACTACTTGGACTTCCTTTGCGCGTGGTTGTTTGCGAGACAGTTCTGGAGATGCTGTACGTTCTTTTGGGGTTGCTGTTGCTTCTCCTGGTGCTCCTCCCGCTGCAGCGCCTGAGGATTCGGCAATCGCTGCTTTTGACTTTGAGGCATCTGCAGCAACTGGCTTTTCTCGCTCGCGGTGTTCGACGCGGTTGACGCGGATGGGAGCCATGTTGGCATTGGTAGCTGTCGTGTCTTGCTCATCGTCACTGAGGAGGTTGATAAAGTCGATATCCTTGCGTGGTCCTTCGTCTGCTTCATCCAGATCTGAGGAAATATAGCCACCGTCGTCGATGTTGATGTTGCCGTATGATGGGCCTCCTCCTTCGCTCTTGATGCGAGGGCCTCCACTTCCACTGCTTCCACCAACCCCAGATCCGCCAGAATAACCACCACCACCTCCACCGCCGAAGCCACCGCCCACAGCTCTCCTTTGTCCGCGGAATCCGGCATCGGCAGATACTTGACCAGCCGAGAAAGGACCACTGGCAACGACATCTCTGATGGTTCTCTCGCTATCACCCATGAATCCACCTCTTGCTTTACCACCACCTCTTCCTCTTCCTCTGTCGCCCCTGCCTCTTCCTGCTCTCTTTGCATCTCTGAGTGCTGCTCTTGCTTCTTCGGCTTTCTTTGCGTTTGCTTCTTTTTGCAGGGCTTCTCTGTCTTCTTTGCTTCTTCTCACTGCTTTGGGGGCCGGCACGATTGGTTTCTTGCCGCGCGAGGCTGAGGGTGCTGGTGATGCTGATGCGCCGCCGCGACGGACTGAAGCTACGCGTTTGACTGGTGCGGGTGCGGGTGCTGCTTCTGCAGTCGAAGCAGATGCAGTGGTCTCGGGAGCCATGTTTGCGACTGGTGCTGCTGTCATTTGAGCAACAGGTGCTGCTGTGGACGGCTCTGCTGGTGCTGCATCGGGCATGGGTTGGTCTGTTGGCATGGACTCTGCTGCTGTTGCGGCGGCTGCTCCTCCTCGTCCTCCTCTTCCACCTCTTCCTCTTGTGCCTGTTCCGCGAGCTCTGCCCGTAGCCGTCTTGGGCGGCATCTTGGTGGATTGTGCTCTTTTCTGCTAAGAGATTGACAGGTTGACCAGCTAAATGATGCGATTCAGAAACACTAAGGCTTAGTTGTGAAGTGTAAGGTGCTATGGTGAAACGAAATGCGCGTAGAAAAGAGCTTGATAAATTTATCGAAAGATGGAGCTCGCGGAGTTTGCGGAGAAGACACCTGCCAAGCTTCAACCTTAAGGGAAGTCACCCTGTCTCTGTTGACTTCAGGTCACCATCCGAACAACAGCAACATCAAGCCTCCCTTTAGTATTGCCAACCTCACCACCTTTATCAATTTAGCTTTTGACAGTCTTCGTATACTAATGAGGATCTCCTACTCTCGAGCAGCGGTTTCCTGCTCACTCACCTGATATCGGATTTCGGACTCGAAATCAACATTGTTATCGGAACCGAAGCAAAAACACATCCGAGGATAGATCTCCCAAGCGGGGAACTACATCATCACCCATGCCATGCAATTACAAATGCAAGGGAGATCGTCCATTGAACTGAAGATGGAGAACCATATATATTTCTTCTAGAAGCCCAAAAGTTAGGTCTCTATTTCTTTTCTCATTCTCAGTCCATACAAATTATTGTATCTCAAGTTTCATTCTTGCATCATGGCCGACTACGCTCAAATCCCTTCTACTGCAAAGGTTCAACCTAAACCTTTCAAGGTGGAGATTGATGCCAGTGATATTCAATCCATGAAATATTTGCTTGCTCATTCAAAGATTGGTCCTGCTACATATGAGAACCAACAGACGGACCGCCGATTTGGTATGAACAGAGACTGGCTCATCAAAGCCAAGAAACATTGGGAAACCACTTATGACTGGTAATTGCATTCTTTCAAGCCGACTGGGAGAAAAAGAGACTGACAAAATGTGAACGGAAACAGGAGAAAATGCGAAGACCGAATCAACTCGTTTCCAAACTTTACAATCCCAGTCACTGATCCTGAAGGCTCAGAGTTTACAATTCACTTCCTGGCTCTCTTCTCCACTTCGCCTTCTGCTATCCCCATCGCCTTCTTCCACGGCTGGCCTGGCAGCATTCTAGAATTCCTTTCTATGCTTGACTTGATCAAGAAGCAGTATCCAGACCCTTCTACAATGCCTTACCACATAATCATGCCTTCCCTTCCTGGTTACGCATTCTCCTCTGCACCTCCCGTGGACAGAGACTTCAAAGCCGAAAACATGGCACCAGTCATGGATGCCCTAATGCAAGCTCTCGGTTTTGGAAACGGGTATATTGCTCAAGGCGGCGACCTCGGCAGTTTCGTTGCCCGCCAACTAGGCGTGGAGTCGTCGTCCTGCAAAGCCTTCCACGTAAACCTGTACAACCTCCCTCCCCCCTCAAACGCAGACTCTCTCCCTATTTCCGAGCAAGAGAAAAGAGGCCTTCAGAGAGGAAAAGCATTCAGAGAGTCTGGAAACGCTTATGCCAGGGAACACGGCACCAGAACTGCGACCATAGGATTGGTATTGAGTTCATCGCCTTTGGCACTGTTATCATGGATTGGAGAAAAGTTTCTGGAGTGGACGGATGAGGATCCGAGTGTTGATGAGATATTGGATTCGGTATCGTTGTATTGGTTGACAGATACTTATGCCAGATGCATCTATCCCTACAGAACGGTATGTTTGCTTTCCCCTCATCTACTAACCTATTGCATCGACTTACAATATACAGCTCTTTGCATCGAATTCTGGTCCTTCTNNTCCACACCACCCTTTATGAAGGGCTCCGGCAAACCTCAGGGCTATTCCTACTTCCCTCAGGAGATTTTCCCTACGCCGGTCTCTTGGGTCAAGGCGGCTGGAGGCTTTGTCCATCTTGCTAGTCATGAGAAAGGAGGGCATTTTGCTGCTATGGAGAGACCCGAGGAGCTTTGGGGTGATGTCAAGGAATTTGTAGAGAAGGCTTGGACTAAGAAGGATGCCGCGAGCAAGATTTAGAGTGGAGAGGTGTTGGATGTAGAAATAGGCTGTGTGTTTTTCTCTATGAGCAATGTGTATGTATCTATGCTAAGTGAAGCAGATGTTATCATTCCATCATGCAAAGCAGCAATTCCGTATTGTGTTCGTGCAAAGCGATTTCAAGTTGACAATCGTTTCTGGTGTTTTTCCCTTTCCCTCGTAACCTCATTCCTTGTACGTCTCGGATCAAAAGCCCACACGGCGCTTCTTGCTCTTGTGACTCTTGACCTCGGGAGCAGCAGCTGTCTCCGTTGCAGATGCATTGGAAGACCGTCTGCGCTTCGCCTTGTTAGCTTCAACTGCTGGTTCCTCCTTCTCAGAAGCAGCACCAGTCTTCTGTTTCTTCGACTTTACTTTACTGCCAGGCGCGTCATCAACATTCTGACGCTTTCCCTTGCCATCATCGACATCGATCTTATCAACACGTGCCTTCTTCTTTGCTGGCAAGATTTCTCTGTGTTCAGGCTCGGCTTTGGGATCTGGAGAGAAGATATCCGAGGCCACGGAGTCGCGCTTGCGTTTCTTCGCTTGCTTCTTTTGGCTCGCTTGAGTNTCTTTTGCTGCGAGACGGGCGTCTACTTCTGCGTTGATGTCCTCTTCGTCGATGAAGCTTTGGTGTGTTGTGCTTGGTTTGGGAGTTGTGGGCGGAAGATCCTTGTCGACCTTGGGAGTATTGGGCTCTGGCCTGTGCTCAGGGCTAGCCTCGCTGAAGCCATTGGAAGTTCTTGACGAATCATTGGACACTTTCGATGGCTTGGGGTGCTTTCCGAGCTTCTTGCCCTTTCCCTTCATCGGCTTTTCATCAAGAGCATCAGAACTTCGGGTTCCCGTGACTGGTGCTGAGGTGTTCGAGACATGCTCGGTCTTGGTCTTTTCTTAGGAGTAGTCTTCTCTGTCTTTCCAGTCTTTGACTTTTTGNGATGATTGCACTTCCGGCTCCGAGTCAAAGTCACTTTCAGTTGGTAGTGGAGGCGAATCATCTTTTTGGNNTCTGCGAAAATGTGTCAGCCATGAATGGTCCGAGGGATATTATAATGATTGAGATTCGCACACATGCGGTAAAACGTTGTGAGTGTGCCAACTCTTTTCAGATGGCCGACCAGAGGATGGGATAAGATGTAAATCCTGAGTTTGACCCAATGGGAAGAGGAAAGACAAAAAAAAGATATGCGGTAAACTTACGTTCTCACTCCTCAATTGCTCAACTCCAGCAGCAGCGTCCTTGATCTGATCGACAAGCGATCTATACTTGTTCGACTTCATTACGTCGCTTCCATCAGACTGTGCAACGTTGCCGTCCATTGTTTCAGCAACAGCCTCGACGATAGCAGCATGTGTCTGCAAACTCTTCACGCAAGATTGTAGAATCTGNCAATTGTTCCTGTCAGCAAATCCTGTTCTCATTATCGGAAGATTTAAACACACATCTTGAACCAAGGACTCGAACTCGATAGCCGGATCCTTGACAAGCATCTTCTCGGCTTTATCACGCGCAGATTCGAGTTGTAAAGACGCAGAACCGATTTCCTCACAGCCAGTGCGCAAAGCCTCGAAAAGAAAGAATCGAGACACGCCATCGGCGGCACGAAAAGGCATCTCCATGGTCGAGCTGCTTTCTCCCGGTATCGTTGTTGATATAGGCGGTTTCTTGCGTTTTTGATACAAAGTTGTGTTTCGGAGGAAAGTGATGCGAGCAGGGAAAGACAAGCCGGCGATGAGACTTGTGGAGACGAGCCGAGCCGCAGCTTGCAAAAAGCTAGAGCGGAAGAGGTATTTGCTTGCGCGCATCAAAAGCGTTGTCGATGCTCACGAGGATGTCGCGTTTAGTCCGATGGTCAAAATGTTTAAAACCCCCTGTTTCGAGTTGGAGCATGTTCTCCCGCGGCAAAGTGATGGTCTTTCTGGTGATGACATCAGGTTTTGTACTGTGAGTACTCCCGGCGCGGACTGCACGAGTCAAGCACAAATGAAAGAGTAGTATCCACCATGTGAAGAGCAACGGTGATGCTGCAGTAGCATTCGTGCATTACGACAAGCTCCAAAGCATGATCAGTAGCACAGATTGGTGCTAAATCAAGTCATATGCGGTATGACTTCATCAGCTCCGCTCCATCACACCTATAAACATCTTCTCACTTCAAGATTCTGTCTTGAACATCTATCTGAAACATATTCTTCCTTTGCAAACATTCTTCAACAAACAGATCTTCATCATGCATCTCTATCTGGCAATCACTGTGCTTGCTCTGCTCTGCGCAGGCATCCGAGCAGATAGTTATCTTACCGCTACTGCACTGGTCACCAATGCAGCCAACGAATCAGCGCTGGAGTGTTGGCGATTCGCGACACCCTTGATCGATTCGTCACAGCCTGGTATTGCTGGTAGCTTGACGTTCAACTTCAATGCTAGCAGTGCTTCGTACACCATCATTCCGCCCAGATTTAATGGTAGCAGACACAACAGTCCTGCCCCTCAGGTATGGTTGAGACATGTCAAGTTGATGTTGTTCGGCTTGCTGATGTGAATAGNNCTGGTTGTGTACACATCTGGTCTTGCACACATCTCGTTGCCTTCGTCCAAGGATGAAGAGTGGTTCATTGGCGGAAACCAGGGTCTGCTTGTCGCCGCTGACACGACAGGAGATGGTCACATCACCAACTACCCATCTGACCAGTACACCTCAGTCTTGACCATGCCATTCCCAGATGGCATGCTACCTGCTCACGAGAAAGTATCTTCAGGACCTTGTCAATTCAGTAGCATCGGAGCAAGATCGCTTCGAGACAAGTTGTGGCACTGAAGAGTTTACTCAAATTGGTTTTGGGGAGATGGCGGGACGTAGCCACGGCGAGTGAGGAAGCCTGAAAGACTTCTCTCAAGTTTCACGAACNNTGTACATCATCAGCAATGAATATCACGACTTTTATGACTTGGACTTACGAGTCCTTTTTCTTCCACGACGCCGTCTCTGATCCAGAAGCCATATGAGCCCATCATGTTTGCCATCATCACATCAGTAAAGAGCCTGTCTCCCACAATGGCGACTTGAGATGGATGAGTAACTCCGGTGTCAGGAGCATTTCGAAGATATGATAGCACATCAGGATGACAACCAGGTTTCTATCACTGAGTCAGATGAGGTGGAATATTTATGATCTTGATGAGCACACCTTTNGTGTTGTGCCTAAGGACTTTAACTCCAGTGTTCTTTTCCAAAAGGTCTGCTTCCGCTCCGGTAGGATCTGATAGAGTGCCAGCAGAATTTGATACAATTAGCAGACGAGATCCAGGATATGCTTTGCGTAGTTCCTCGAAGCGTTCCTGTGAGATAGTCAGACATAATTGATCTATTTTCAAGATCTTGATCGAAGAACTCTATGGTTTGGAACGCACTGCATATGGCTCATAAACTTCATTTTCCTTGGGTACAGCAAAACAATTATCCTTGTCAAGCACAACAGCCCGAATGTCTACCTTCTTCTCACCATCTGCCTTGGTGAAAGGGCGAGAAAGAGGAATTGGTAGGTGGTTGAAGGTAGATACTGTGTGGTGCGGTAAGCATAGAGACGGATCTCTAAAGAGCCTGAAGAAGCTCAATGTTCCGGATACATTCATCTTGGTATTTGTGATTGTTTAACTATTGAGAGAGATGAACTGAACGCGATATCGTCTCAAGTTTCCGCCAAGACGAAGCAACGCCAAGGCCGTTCCGCCAGAAGCTCTAGAGATTCGCGCGCATCGCAGCCCTCGCTATCGACAACTTCGACTGCTCAAACCCATTCCTCCACGACTTTCTTTCCCGGCGCATTCATCTCACGTCCATTACGATCTCGAAATAATACCCAGACCAAACGACAACAATCACAAACAGTCGCCATGACCTCTACCATTGGAATTCCGATCAAGCTTCTCAACGAAGCAACCGTACGCGCATCTCCAACTTCTGTCGCATCATAATTAGCGTATGCTGATGCGCAAACTCACAGGNGCCACATTGTTACTGTCGAAATCACATCTGGCAATGTCTACCGCGGCAAGCTACTCGAAGGTGCGACTCACAACAAGGACTAAGAAACCGGGCAAGAATGGAGCGCTGACGACATGACAGCCGAAGACAACATGAACTGCCAACTCAGAGACATCACCGTCACAGCAAGGGATGGCCGCGTATCACATCTGGACCAGGTCTACATCAGAGGATCGCACGTCCGATACTTTATCGTTCCGGACATGTTGAGGTTGGTGAAACGCGATCAAATGAGGGAGGAGATATGCTGACCTGAGAATGACAGAAATGCGCCCATGTTCAGAGCAAGAAATGTCCGTGGAAGAGGTGTCGGTCTGGCCAGAGGTCGTGCTACCGTCAACAGAGCCAGAGGCCAAAGAGGTGGACCCCGTGGATAAACGCAAGCGACAAGAAGCTTGTCTCTATGATGATGATCTTGGGAAGAAGAGAAGGATAAAAGTTTCATGTCAACAGAGCGCTTGGGCTTTCACATATGTCGCTCCGGGTGATGCAGCCAGCCAGAAGATGGGCTTTAGTACATGCATCCAGACGTCGCGCAACAGAGACTCGCATAGAGTCAACACTCTTGAGTCGCTTTCGCAGCCCCTCTGCCGACAGGCGCAGAAAGGGAAAGCACGACTCACATTAGATACACGTGACGTGGTTGGCGAATTGAAACAAACAATCTCAAGACTCTTCTCCATCTTTGCTCTCTTTCTCGCTCAATCTTTATCGTGAACCATGCATCTGCCAGAAAAAGTCATGGAAATCAAGAATCCGCGTCGCATTCTCGTGCTAGGCAAACCAGACTGCGACATTTCTCGCCTTGTCAAAGGTAGACCCTGTCCATCTTCCGCGCACCCACATCTCAAGAGCAGCATAGGCTCACCAATGCGACAGNCTCTAACAGGTTCCGCGCCCACTCCCGACCCATCCACCGACTCCCTCGCCGGCGTAACGCACGAATGGAATATCAAGAACGCATACTACACAGCCAACATCCCCATTTGGATCGATGAAGTCACCGACCTCGAGGCTTGGAAAGCTGAATTTCTAAAACCCGAAGCCAAAGAAGTGGTAGATGCATTGGGCGCATGGATATACTGCTTCGGCAGCGGCAAGAAAGAGTCGGAAAATGCAGGAGATGAAGTCGTAATATCTGAAGAAGCGGAGCAGACTATGAAAGCTGTAGATGAGGTGGTCAAGAAAGCATGCGGTAGCATGTGGGATGGTACAAAACTTGCCATTGACCTCACACCATCCAACAAGGGCAAATTTGCGGATCCAGCTGAAGAACTGTGTCTGGATCTCACATTCGAGTATTTCCACATTGATGCTGAGGGAAAGAATGATTACGGAGAAAAGCTAGGGTTGGAGGCGATGAAAGATGTGCTTGAAGCAAACTCATGGTCTGCTCTGCCTACCGAAAACGATGACGAAGACAACATAGGAGACATGGACGATGAGCAGGCACAGATGAACGCAGAGCTTTGGGGTATGAAGACTTCTCTGCTAGACCCGGATAACGACGATGATGAGGNNGACGAGGGAAGTGCTTTGCAGATTGAAGGCATAGAGCAGATGATGAGTCAATTGATGGCTATANAAAGGTATGAATAAAGAAAGCTGTAACACTGGAACAGAGCTGACAATACAACAGAGCACACTGCTGGCATGCCAGAGAACGATCGGAAGAGATATGCTGCCCGAGCTGTTGACGACCTTATGAAGAACTTTGAATAGATCAAATGCCCACCCAAGATTACATGAAACACACTAATGCTACCGCTATCCAGAAATATGCTATATCCTGACCGCATGTCATGCACATGTATTCGATAATCCGAAGCATTGATGCCGCGATGAAAAGGTCTAGGTTTCAGGCGTCCATTGTTCGGGATTGACAAGTTTCTGGAACCAATCTGAAGGTTTGAAACACAACACAGTCCGCTGCAAGTCAGGAACATGATGCTATGTACCTGTTCACAGCACCACGAGTTCTTCGTCCAGAAGGTGCAGATGTATGAAGGACAATCACATGCGTGGGCGGAGTTTAGGCCCAAAAGCCGACCCCGCGTTTTGGACGAGGTGCATGGCGCACAGACAACAACAAACAGTCCAAGTCATCGCGACTGGCACTTTTTTAGATCAACACGACTCGACAAGATATTCATAGTCAGCATCTCAATTTCTAGAGTCCTGCCGATCTGACAATGCTGTCTTCATCGCCACCGCCAGTGCCGCCACCTCACCGTCCTGCTCGCGACGATGAACGCGATCAAACACAATATTCTCTGGATCTGGACGCTTTGAACCTCGACGATGAACCAAGTGCTCTGGATTCGCCCAGCGTCCATCGCGTGGTTGACAAGATTCACAGTGATGATATTGATGGACCAACCGACTTTACTGTCAATCTAGCCAGATACTTCAAGGGCACACCACGCAAACAACCACTACCAGCATGGGAAGAACAGCAAGATTTGTTCGACGAGACGACGCCCGATTTCTTGACAAACTCCTCACCCAATCCCTCACCGAGACTCAGTCGCAGTACTCAGAGCGAACCTGGTGCCAGCGACACAACCCCTCGCCCTGACCAAGGTGACTTTGAAGAGACGAAGAAGAATATGCTGCAACCCACAGTCGAGGACTATTACTCCGAGCTCACTCCTGGTCATCCTACTTCCATCAACATCACGCCCGATCCCGCTCAACGACGATCATACTCGACCTCGCGATTGCGAGAGTCACAAAACCAACGACCCTCAAGTCCTCCCACAATCTCGTCTATGCGATCACCCATGCCACACTTTGACAGCACACCCAACCAGAAGCCTCATAGTCTGTATCAAGAATTACAAAAGTTGCGCGCATTGAATGAGTCTCTACAAACTCAACTCGACACAGAACGCGCCTCTCGCCAGTATCAACAATCCGATCGCTCGCAAAGTAGAAGTCGTTCTGAGGATACGAATGAGCTGGATGCCTTGCGAAATGAGTTGACTCGCCTGCGCGACGAGTCAAGAAACTACCAAAAACAAATGCAGGATCTCCAAGCCGATCTGGAAGAATCAAAGGCCAACGAGAAGGATGCTGCAAAGCTTGCAGACGATCGCGCGAAAGAGTTGGACCAGATGCATGACAGCGAGGATGCCGAGATACACAATCTGCAGATTCAACTCGGTCAGGCTCGTGATGCTGAACGTCAAACTCACGAATCGCTCGACAAGGTCAAGGATGAGCTGAAAGCCAAGGACAACCTGCTTGCAGACATTCNNAAAGTCAGTTGAAGCAATCGCAAGACAATCTTCGGGAGACCGAGAACGATATGCAAGATTTGAAGACCTGGAATGAAGACCAGCACAAAGCAAAGAGTAATGAGCTTGAACGTGTACAACAGCAATTGTCTGACGCGCGAAGAGAGATCCAGCAGGCAAAGGACGATCAAGAGGAGGATGCCGATGTTGACCGTACCAAGGNTTGACATGGATGATACACCTTCGGCGTCTGAGAGGCAAGAAGAACTCGAACGCCAGATCGCAAGTTTGCAAACTCAGTTGGAGGATATGCGCAGGACAGTTGACAACAAGGACAAACTCATTGCAGATCTCAAATCCCAGATCAAGGATGATCTGACAAACGAAGGTCTAAGAAAACAATTGCAACAAGCTCAAGATGCGCTTGCAGCCAAGGAGAAGGCTGTGCAAACCGCTCATGAAGATGCCGATACCAAAGCAGCAGAGATGACTCGAGGACTCGCTCAGCAACTGCAACAAGCAAATCAGCGACTTGCTGCTTACGAGACTGAAAAGAATTACGACAAGTCAAACACAACCTCGGAACAGCTCGCAGCACAGCTGCAGAAAGCGCGGGACGAACTGAACTCTGCTTTGCAGCAGCATGCGTCTGACAGAAACGCTTGGGCAAGAGCAGACAGTGACGCTCAGCAGTCTCAGGCTGACGTTTACGATCAACTGAAGAAGGAGCAAGAGCGTCACAGGAAGGCGAATGAAGAAGTGCGTTCCCTGAAAGAAGAGCTGGACGTGCTTCAACACTTCGACCGAATGGAAGACAAGTCACTCTCTTCATCCCATGACTCAACACAACACCTCGCGGACTCCTTACGCAAAGACCTCCAAGCACTTCGCAACCAACTCGAGTCTCAGCGCAAAGAACACCACGACGAGATAGAAAGACTCCGCGAGTCTTGGACATCACCTGCACCTCCTTCCGACTCTGACTCTGCAGCTATACAAACCTTGCGTGCAGAACACCGCCGCACAATCGATCTGATCGAAGAAGGCATGACTAGCCTGCGCACCTCCCGCGACACCCTCTCGCTGCGTACAAACGAACTTGAAACCACCCTCTCCACCACGCAATCCGACCTGCAAACCACCACCAATTCTCTCGCCCTCGCCGAAGCAGACCTCGCCGCCAAAACTTCCGAATTGCAAACACTCACTCTTGCCTCAAACACTACTGAAGAAACCCTCAGAGACACAATATCAGAGCTTGAAAAGACGAAAACAGAGTTATCAGAGTTGCACGCACTGAATCTCGACTTTGACACTAAATTGTCTTCTACACTTAAGAAGAGGGAAGATTCATGGCGTAACAAAGTCAAAGCGTTGAAAGACGAGATTGTGGCACAAAAACAGAGGATTGAGGCGCTTGAGGATGAGAGAAGAGGGATGGTCAAGGCTTTGATGGGCTTTTGGGGCAGAGAAGAATTTGGTGGAGATGATGGGTTGGCAAGTTCAGATGGTGATGAAGCTACGAAAGAAGGCAGGAGTCAGAAGTTTAGGTATAGGTTTGCAAGGGCGTGAGAGAATGAGTTGGAATACGGCGGATATATCTGAGTAACGAATCATGAATGGGTTGTATTGATGTTTTGAGTTGTTGTATCGGCTCTTTCGTCCCGTGGTCCTATAGGGAGCTCCCGAGTCCCGTCGTCCATGTTAGTAAGCGGGCATCAAGCTATAAATTTCTTCCTAACCCTCCGACTATCCTTCTCGTCTCTCATCGACAAACACATACGACCAAACGCATTGCGCGTTCCTACACAGAAGATGGTATGTATCGCCTTCCCCAGCACTCCGACAACTGCACCTCGGCCCTTCCGGCAAAGGGACTTGCGGACTCCTCTTCAAGGGCCTAAGAAGATTACACACTCTCGTTTGCGGGCTCTTCACGGAGCTAAGAGAGATGCCCGTAGGGCAGGCCTAATAACGTATGGCTGTCCTGAGCGAAATGCCACAAGGACGTGTCTAACCCGGGATCCGATCTGGTCCTGAGCTTAGTGGGAAACGGTCGAGCAACCCCCCTATTCGCCCTCATGTCACTCTTTTGGTTTTATCGATGATTTGTCTGCGCTGATTTGAGTTGGTGGTGTAGAAGACTTGAGCTGTGGTTCGATTCCATGAGCTGATGGTATGTCGAAAGACTACTGTCGTGGCATCCCTTGGGGTGTCACTATCTTTTTTTCAACGTGTTGCTGGCTTTGATGCTGGGACTTGTAGAAGAAAGCTGCTTGTTCTTCTCGGCGTCCCCCTTCTATCATCCTCTGTTCGTCCAATCCTATGTCCAGAAGTGACGAGCCACCAGACCCTAATCCTGCGATACCATGATAGATCACAAATCATGGTTCCCAGAGAGGTTCGCCCTCGAAGTCATGTGGACAAATCTCATACAACGCCATATACTCATCCACCTTCTCCCACAGCTCTCGCAGATATAAGATGCGGCTGTTCAACCAGCCAGGAAACATCTTGCCATCTTCCCCATTGTGGGGTCCTCGTCTGGTCCTGCCTGGTAACCTGCGTTCGTCGCGCTGAGCGGAGACCACCTTGATCATAGGCGCCCGTTTAGCGCTCGCCTTGACTAGGTTGCTGTTGGGATCCGGTGCATCTGCTATCATTTTGAGGTTCGTTTCATCGATAACAAGAAAGGTCCAGAAACGGACGCAAGGCAACATCTTGTCGCCTTGTTCATCTTTTGTATCCTGAGATTTGAGCCAAGAAGCAAAGTGTGTACGAAGATTGTCAAAGCTGGCCTGATCGAATAGCGAAGCATCTTCCATCCAGAAGTTCTCGAGCTCTGCTATCATCGTCTCATAATCTTACTCGAATCCGCTCTCGATCAGAGTCTTTTGAAGGCTGTAAGCGATGTAGGTGTGGATGGTGTCGATTGCCCGTGGCCAAAGGAGATCTGATTCTGGCGTATATACCGTGCGATAGATGACCTAGCCCCAGGTGGGCTCGACGTACTCGGCGAAAAAAGTTTGAGTGTTTGGTGCCATTGTTTGGTCGATCAAGGTTCGTCGTGAGTAGAGGCGGTCAAGTCTAGATGTGCATCCTTCATGATTTACGGCCCGGCCCGCCTAATTTCTGCTGCCTCACTTGCGAGGCCAGGACGATATCCAGAGGTTGTGACAGTGTGCCTTGTTTCCTCTGCGTGATGAGCTCTCATCCAGCGGTAAGGCAAAGTGTTTTGTTACTTGCAACGTTGGAGAGAGAAACGTGTGAAGAGAAGTTCTCCACAGTCGAAAGGAGCTGGGGTCGATGGCACTTCCCTTCTTCCACATCCTCCCTCTTAGGTGAAGTTACAATTTTACGATCTACCTCATCTCCATCGCAGCTGTAAGTGCAAGTGCAAGTGTAACTGCAAGTGCAAGCGCAAGCGTTATGAAATGCTTTCAGCATACACAGTCGCGAGTCGAATCTCGAGCTGCCCTTGGAGATAGCCTCCAACGGGGTTCTCTCACTAGAGACCACACACTTCACGAAGATACTATGCAATTCTACAACTGCACTGTGAGAGTATCTACCACTGGGAAGGACCGTACAACGACCTCTGACTACAGATCCTGTCTACACTATCGCTATAGTGTATACCTGAATCCTTTATTGTCGAGTTCAGTCTGATCTTGCATGCCCTGCTCGATTGCCAGTCTTTCTTCCTCTGCAGACATGTTTCCAGCCTCGCGATCGCGTTTCTTGTTTGCTGTGTACATGTAGATGTACAGAACGACAACCATACCCAGCTTAACCACATAGCCTACCAACATGGCTATGTAAGCGCTGTGGTAGCCGGGTTTCTCGCTGTCTCTGAAGGTTTGGGGTCCTNNGTGTGTTTTTGTTAGCCAATGTCCGTTGCTCAAGACATCCGAGACTGGCAAAAGGTCGAAGATGAGTTGGAGGATCTTACCAATAATATTGCCCACACAATATCCCACAAACAATATCGTACCCGTACACTGTTTCTTCGTGTATCCGGCTACATTACTGCTCACCATGGTCAAGCTCATACTAAACCCTAGACCCTGGAAATAGCACAACCACAATGCAACCAATCTACCCCATTTGTTGGTGGCAGGTAGGCCAACCAGCATTGCAGCTCCGATGATACAGATGCAGTTTGCGGTGATCATGACGATGCAGCGAGAGTTTGGGAAACGCGAGCAGACGAAGCCTCCACCAAGCAGAGCAGCGAATTGAATGAAGCCGCCCGGGATTTGCAAGTACTGGGTGCCGAGGGTGTCGAAGCCGAAGGAGGAAACGATAATGGAAGTGAANCTGGATGATATCTTGTCAATTTCCACTCTTCTTCCATCTCTTCTGGAAACCTGGAAGTAATCACTTACACTCGTAAGAGCAGAATTAGGCACCTGAGCACCCACAGCCATAACGAACAAAACCCAAGTCTTGGGATCTTGTAACGTCTGCACCAACTGGTACTTCTTGAAATGGCTGTTCTTGACTCCTTGCCTGTTGTTAGCCACCCTCTCTACCGCGACATATCTCTCCCTCTCGGTCAAGAATTTTGCAGTTGAGGGAAGGTCGGGCATGAAGACGAGTACCACAACACCCCAGACGATGCTGACACTGCCGAAGATGAGGAACACATACATCCAGCGAGAGAGGGAGCCGGTGGTTATGTGTCCGATTGCGTAACCGAGGAGGCCACCGACCATGGTTGCAATGCCGTTGGTGCAGTAGTATGCTTCGAGACGAAGGGGTTGTTCGGCGGCAGTCCACCACATGCCNTGTTGAAAATGATCAGAATGAGTCGGACAGTGATAGAAGTGGTTGTCCTTACCCATAATGAGCACAAAGCCAGGATTCACCACAGCTTCAAAGGTGCCCAGTAGGAAGCGATTCGTTGCTACGCCTGCGAAATTGGTGCATGCTGGTGTGGTGATGAGAATGATACCCCAGACTNNAGTGCCATCAGTGTCAGTACACGAACAAAACAACATCGAGTTCCAAGGGAATAACCACTCACTAATAGTCGTCGTACCAAGAAACTTGGCAATAGGCAACTTCTGCAACAACCATCCTGCTGGAAATTGCGCCCACAGATATCCAAAGTAGAAGACAGATCCCAACCAAGAATACTGTTGCTTGTGCAGATGTGTGCCCTTCTGAAAGCCATACGCAGCGGCAAAGTTCAAGGAGTTTTTGTCGAGGTATTGGAGGAGATAGACGACGAAGAGGATGGGAACGATACGCATGTCGATCTTTCGCAGTACTCTTTTNGCTTCTGCTGGGTCGATGGGTGAACCCTCATGACTTTTGTATGCTTCATAGCTGGCGTCTAAGTCGGCAGTGGTGGCTGGAAAGATTCGTTCTTCGGTATAGGGGTCTGGCTGGTGTTTCTTGTCGTATTCGGACATGGTGGATGATGCCCAAGGAGCAGTATTGACGATCTCGAAACGACGAAAGATGGAAGACAAGTGACAAAGAAACCACGAGGCCAACCTCAAGGACTTACACCTCTTTTGCAATAAACCCATGCATCTCGGTACTTACTTCTTGGCTGGCACGTTGGAGTGCATATGCGGGTCCTTTGTACTTAGCCGTGATCCAAATGAGGTCTGTAACAAGCAATTGATGAGCTTTCTACACATTGCTTCCAGTCAAGAACGATTGTCATTGGTTATGTTGTGGTTCCGAGGATGTTCCAAAGCTAGAGATGGCTGATCACGACATCGAGGGATGGATGACGCGACGTTGGCAACAATGTGAATCAACAACATTCATGCTCGAGAATGCTCAACAACTGCGATGTTTCACACTTGTTAGATCGAGAGTACTGCTGTTTAATGGAGTCAGGCCATTTGCCAGGTTTGTCTATCTGGTCGTAGAGAGTGACCGAGTTGTTGAAGCGATGAGTGCCCAGAATTTGGGATTGCCAATGCAAAGTCGAATTTGGACCACACAGCCAGTAACCCCTAGAAGAAACAGGGTTGGAGGAAGCTAGATAGTAGATGAGGATACCTTGCTCCATACTCATAATTGAGACATGTAATCACGTCTATGAGTAACTAAAGTGGTTATACTGTTCGTGATAAAGTAGTTGTAGGTACGACCCTGGTCTTCGGGCCATCATTCTGCCGAGACGTGGTTTTCTGAGCGCTGCAAACATCAAGCTGTCAACTCAACACTGCCCTCTGGAACACCTGCAGAGCTCTTGAGACGTCTAGCAAAGAACTGCATGATGGGGTACATCTCATCGCGACTTCTAGGCATTGTATCTCCAGACCTCTTGTAGCGATTAAGCTGGACAGACTCGAAGACAGCTTTGAGCTTGTCTTCAGCTGATGAAGTGACCCAGGGGCTGTCATTGCCAGAACAGACCAGCACTGGAGTCTTGCACTTGGGAGAAACTGAGGCAGGAGTTTCACTAGGTAAAGCGCCACCAACACTAATGACACCACCTAGCTCTTTCGCCATACTTACTGAGAGACGTGTCAAGGTTGTCCGAATGATTCGTAGAGTAAGAGACCTACCTGCAGTATTCAGAGCTACCATACCACCCTGACCAAATCCAAAGAGCATCAACTCGCGAGGTTGACAACCACATTTCTTGATCAGTGTGTCCTCAATGATTTCCTTGACAAGTCGAGGCACAACTTTCTTGAAGCCACCATCAGGATCGATGGTGCCGACGGTGTTGTCGAAGAGAACGTCGTCACCCCAGTGGAAAGAAGATGCTTCGAAGGGAAGAGGTTCAGGAGCCTTGATCGAGATGCATGCTGTCTCTGGAAGATTCATCTGGGTGCCAAGCTGGGCAAACGGAAGATGAGCATCGCCCAAACCATGGAGGAGAATGAGGATGTTCGTGGGCCGTTGCGAGCTCGGAGCTGAGTGACGGGTTAGTGATCAAGATGATGTCGGATGTGGTCCGTGGCGTACGGAAACGAGGCGGTGAATGGACGTTTTGAGGCAGTGGATATGGAGTGTCACGCCAGGTGGGCAAGGTGAGAACTTACCAGGAGAGACGGTCAGAGTCCATATGGACGGAAAGTCGGAAATCGTCGGCAGTCTCTTGCTGGTAGACATGTTGTTTGTGAGCTCTAACTGCCGGTGTTATTTGTTGATGTGGACTTTTGCTTGGATGATGCTTTCCCCCTCGTCTCAGCCCCGTCGCTTCCATTTTCCGAACCCTGCTGTGGCTGACGTGGCTGTGCCTGGAACGCCACAGAAAGGCCGATCGCTGAAGTCATGCTTGTTTATCCGGGAAGGGGCTTGGCCAGATGCTTGTTTGGTGTTCTTTGCGTCAATCTCACTTGGCGGCTGTGGGGAAGTTATTCCTCTTTGCTCAAGGACAGATGGAAAGATGAGAGCCCCCGAGCTTGAGATCAGGACATATGTACATGACGCTGTCTGTCGTCGATAGCAGGCCATTTCTTGTTTCATCTTGCACAAGCAATGCAGGGTCGGCTCTAGGATTGGTCAAAGTATTCTTAGCAGCAGGTTAGCCCCGCTTCGTCATTGGCTTTGGTTCGTCGTGAACGGTGAGGATCTAGATTACTCGTTTCACGAAGGAGCTCAGGGACCGCCGCGTCATCATGAAGCTGAATAAGGGAAAGTGAAGCCAGATCATGGAAGCTCACAGTGGCTTGTAGAGCAGTGAGCTAATAGGTGGGGCAGCTGCTGTGCAAGGCAGCTTCCTTCTTAGGGACAGCACAGCACATATAAAGCTCGACAACTACCCCTCTTCCCCTTGTTTCTTCCTCTCATCAACACACGCTTCATTGCACCACTTACAACTTCTCAAACCAAACCTTTCCACATCAAATCAATCACAATGTTCGGCTGGGGTGAGGAATACTTGAAAGTCCTCATGACCCCTCAACAAGACTAACAACTCTCAGGTGAATCTTCAGACGCCTACCAACAGGTCTACAACGACGACCACCAGAGCTCCCTCTCTCACGAGGTCCTCGCCGGTGGTGCCTCGTTCGCTGCCATGCACGCCTTCGAGGAGAGACAGCGCAAGGAGGGCAAGCCTGTCAACCACGAGTTCGCCAAGGAGCTCATCGCCTCGTTCGCCGGTGCTGAGGTCGACAAGCTCTGCGAGACCAAGGGTCTTGACTACGTCGACAGAGAGAAAGCCAAGCACCAGGCCAAGAAGAACGCTGAGCAGCTCTACGACCAGCAGGTATGTGGATCTGACCTTCCTTTCATCAGATCAGTCTCTAACCGTAATGACNAGTACGGTCAGTACGACCAGTACGACCCCAACCAGTACGGTCCCCCCGACCACCTCCAGCAGCAGTTCGGTGGTTACGACAACTACTAAACAACTCAATCTTGTCTCCTGAAGAGCTCAAGAACGACCCTATGATGATCAGAGCATGAAATACCAATGATTGCAAATAGGCAATTCAAATGAAAACAGTCATATTCACTTCATTTATGTTCTATTCTGTGTATTGTGAATCAACAAACATCGCCATGTGAATACGATGGAGACATGGAAGCTTTGAACGATTGGCCAATAGAAGACAGCCATTCTGACACGACGTCACTCCCAAACCCCAAAGATTGCCAAGAGATGAGCCTCTCAATCTAATCAAGAAAAACACAAAAGATAAGTGTAGAGTATTCTTAACCAGGTTCTGTGCCACATGGACATGGTATTAATATGAGGCCGGCAGAAGCACGCGAGCAATCATGAAGTTCGCCAAGTAAGACGACTGGCCATGCGCCCAATCCTACTGACTTAGACTGACGAATTGGTGACAGAGAATTGGAGGCTGACTTGGTACCGGAATGGCGGGCTAAATATCTGGATTACAAGGTTCGCGCTTCGATACATTCTCTACGCCGCGGAAAGCGCTACGAGCACGTAGGCTGACAGTCGACTAGCAAGGGAAGAAGAAATTAAAGGCTGTTGGCCGCGCCCTACAAAAAGTCGAGCGTACAAGCCCGCCTGATGGCCGTCGCGACTCGTCGCCGCTTGCGACTTTTGGAAAAGCCCCCTTCTACGCCTTTCTGAACCGACCTACGACCAGGACGAGCGGGAGAAGAGCCAGCAGTGGAGATCTGGGCGCTGTTCCGTCTACCCACGAAGACGACCATCATGGTTCGACATCCTCCGCCATGCCCATTCCTGGCGCACAAGATTTGGAAAGCACTCCTCTTCAGATACATGGTGACGGAAGACACATGACACGCTATGGGAGTATCATTGGCTCTCCTCCAAACATTGCCAGTCCACCAAAGGCTTCGCGCCCAAGCGAGGACTCAAGCCGGTCGTTAAAACTGCCTGGTCCTGCGTTGGGCGCCCCAGCTCGTCGCAGTGCTATGCGTCAAGAGTCTTCTGGTAGCGCCTACCAGGTTGGCGAAAACACCCCGAAACACCCCCACTTCAATCTTCCTTCTAGGTACAGGAGTGTATTTCAGCCGAAACGAGTTAATTCCATGCCCGGCGTCCAGGATGCTCAACCTACTCGCCCACCAACCAGGAGAATGTTTAGCGGCTTTCGTGGCAGCGACTCTACCCCCGATGATATAGCCCTTGAAGCCTACAGAGAGATTGATGTTCGACAGTCTCAATTCTTCATGTTCCTGGATAAAGAGATGGAGAAGATCGAAGAGTTCTACAAGAAAAAGGAGGACGAGGCTACTGAGCGACTCAAAGTCCTGCGAGAACAATTACATATGATGCGTGACCAGCGTATGGAAGAGATTCTCTACGCAACCTCCCGGACTAAGCGCCCATCAAACAGCACAGACCTCTTGTCAAATGGCATGTTGTCCAGGAATAGCACTGCTGGAGGTGAAGAGTCTCAGCTCATCAAGAAGAATGGACATGTGAAGAATGGCTGGACCAAGGCAGTCAATGGTATACCCGGTAGAAAGAGAGTCCCACAAACAGGCAAGACTTTCGAAGCCATGAAGCAGTTGAGCACACCTAGCGGGCCTCGCCCAATGGAAGACAGCAGAGACTACATTCGGAAAAGTGGCCACCCGGAAGTACCGTATAGAACTGCTAAGCGCAAGTTGAAGATCGCTCTGGCTGAGTACTACAGAGGTTTGGAATTACTCAAGTCATACGCTCTACTGAACAGGACGGCCTTCCGCAAAATCAACAAGAAATATGACAAGACAGTCAATGCTCGACCATCTGGCCGATACATGACTGAGAAGGTCAACACTGCATACTTTGTCAACAGTACAATCGTGGACGGTCACATCCAAGCTGTCGAAGACATGTACGCTCGCTACTTCGAACGTGGTAATCACAAGATCGCAGTGGGCAAGCTGCGGGCCAAAGTCGCAAGATATGGAGACTATACTGGGAGCGTGTTCCGCAATGGAGTACTTCTGGCCACAGGCGTCGTCTTTGGTATAGAAGGACTTGTCTATGGCACCCAACTTTTGTACCACGACGATCCGTCGATCGCTTCCCACACATCTTACCTCCTCCAGGTATGGCTTATGTCGCTTGACGTTTTGCTCGGTCGTTGCTGATTCATCCTGCAGATCTATGGCGGCTACTTTTGATGTGGTTCCTCTCACTCCTCTTCTGTGGTGCGTGCCGAGTATGGTCAAGGGCCAAAGTCAATTACACATTTATCTTCGAATTCGACACCCGGCATCACATTGATTGGCGTCAACAGACAGAGGTAGTTTTCTCTGTCCTCCATGAAGAATGTCCCTAACATCGTTCTAGATACCCGCTCTTCTCGGCTTCGTTTTTGGGCTGACAATCTGGCTCAACTTTAAGCGTTTCACTAATGACTCATTCTATATCTGGTGGCCGGTTGTTCTTGTTTGCGTTTCTGGTATCATTCTATTCAACCCATTTCCCATCATTTACCACCGAAGTCGTCTGTGGTTTGCCTATTCGACCGTAAGTCATCCCCCTGAGAGACTGGATATAACAAGCTGACGTACGCAGTGGCGACTGTGCCTCGCTGGAATCTTCCCTGTCGAGTTCAGAGACTTTTTCCTCGGCGACATGTTCTGCTCGCAGACATACGCTCTTGGAGTAAGTGCATACACGCAGAACTGGGAGACAAGCCGCTAACCCTCGCCAGAACATTGAGCTCTTCTTCTGCCTTTACGCTAATGATTGGAACAACCCTGCACAGTGCAACTCATCACACTCTCGACTCCTTGGATTCTTTGCCACCCTTCCAGGCATCTGGCGTGCTCTTCAGTGTCTTCGCAGATATGCCGATACAAGAAGTCTTTTCCCTCACATGGCCAACTTCGGAAAATACATGTGTACCATCCTCTACTACATGAGCTTGAGTTTATGGCGTATCAACAAGATCGAAAGGTTACGAGTACTGTTCATCTTCTGGGCAACCGTCAACGGCGTCTACTGCAGCGTTTGGGATATCGTCATGGACTGGAGTTTGATGGACCCGTATGCAAAGCATCCTTTCCTGCGCAACACACTCGGCTTCAAATACGCTTGGTGGTACTACGTTGCGATAGTGCTTGATCCGATTCTTCGTTCCAACTGGATCTTCTATGCTATTTACGGACATGATGTGCAACATTCGTCAATCATATCCTTCATGATTGCCTTCACCGAAGTCCTTCGACGTGGCATGTGGCAGTTGTTCAGAGTTGAGAATGAACATTGCACCAAGTATGTTGAGCAAACAAATCACAAAGTCAAACTATATGCTGACACGTTCACAGTGTGAGCCGTTACCGGGCATCGCGTGATGTGCCGCTACCCTACGAACTCAGCAAGACGGAGACCGAAGCAGAGCCCGCTGAAGATATTGAAGACAGACACTCGGACGACCTTGAAGCACAACACCCTGGCAGCGTTACACTTACACCCTCGACAGCGACTGGGGTTGATCCAGCACGCAGAGCATCCAACGCGGATCTATCGTCACCATCCATCCGTCAACGCAGAAAACCTGGTTCACATGAAGCATCACCGATGGTCAGAGCAATTCACAGAGTTGGTACATTGTTACGCGCATCGCACGCACAAGACTTTGAACGCCGTAGAAAGTCTGAGGTTCCAAACACGCTCGAAGCCGATGACGACGACGATGATGATGACAGTGATGAGGATAATGGTGCTACAATTGAGACGGACGAGATGGATGGGAGTTTTCAACGGTCACAAGACAATCTAAACGGTGACAGCGATGGCAATGGCAAGGCCCCGAAGCTGAAACAGAGCGACGAGGACGATGAAGAAGCCGTCGGAACAGGATCAGGCTCTGGCGGAGAGGGAGCAAGTAGCGCATCAGACGATCAAGCAGTCGCCAGAGCGAAAGTGCTACGTAAAGGATAGCAACCTGGATAGCAGCTCAGTAGAGAGTCGTGGCACGAGTAGCGATGTCATAATCTTACCTTGGTCCCTATGAAGTCGTTCGTCGTGTTTGTTTCATGCGTGTCAGAGATTCGACTTGTCAAGGTTTCGAGGTCCGTGCGCCGTGTCTCAGACTGACACTACTGGCCAGGAACAGGGCAGGTGCGGTGCGGGGACAGGCCGCGAGGAATGGAAAGCATGTACTAAAGTATGTAACGCGTATGGCTAGAGAAATACATAATAGCAATAGAAACAAGATAGTTTCCACTGAGAGCCAACAAGTTAACGACTCTCGATAGACACGCCTCTACTTTCTAGAATAATTGTGCCTTTTTAAAGTCTAGATTCTGCTCTTGGCTATATTCGGAGCACGGTGAAAGTTACAGAGGAGGAGACGAATTCAGGGGTGCGAGCGCGTATCGGCATTTCCAGGGTGCAACCACCTTCTTGTGGCCCGTGACTGCCTTTTGTGTATCTGAGGAAGATGGCCTTCTGAGAGACGCGCTCTTTCCTAAACTTCAATCAACTCCAGGCTACGCGAATACAGAGCCGCAAACATGGGCTTCTTCAAACATCTTCGCGCAAAGTCGCATAACAAGGGCAGCGAAAGCAGCACCAACAGCCCAAAACGCTCTCCTCTTGCTATTCGACCTGGACGTGACTTTGCTGCCAAACTTCCCAATGACATACTCACAAAGATTATGGTGCAGGTTGCGCCGCATACCCAGGATGAGACATACGAGCCTAGTGAGAGGTCGACAATCGGCGAGGGGTGCATGTTGTGCGACTTGAGAGATCTGGCAAAGGCAGGTCAAGTCTGTCGCCGTTGGTACAATGCTGCTGCCACTGTCTTGTGAGTCCACCTTGCAATGCCATAACACGTAACTGACCCTAGCTAGGNNTACAGCAGCGTCCGCATCGATGCCGTCCACTACTGCGAACTCGAGGAAATCCTCGCCGAGAAGAGACAGAAANAGACATTCCTCAAAGCCNCCATCGAGTCCGGCGACGTTCCTACCATCAGATTGGCCCTCTTCTCCCGTACCGTACGAGAAAACCCGAACCTGGGACATGGCGTTACTATGCTCAAGCTACCATACATGACGCGAGAGACCGCANAAGCCGACCTCGCCCGCACCATATCCGTTTTGCCCAACTTGAAATATGTTGATCTGCCCGATGGAGCTTTCAATGGCGACCCGAACTGTATGCCTCTAGTCCACGAGTTACAAGCACGCTGTCCCGACATTCGCAAGATGAGCTACAGACAGGGTTCCGAAGGTTCTTTTGAACAACTCGCTCGTCGTAACTGGCAAGCCCTGGAGATTGTCGAGATTTCGGGTATCCAGGTTGAGCCCAGTACACTCCGTATCGTCCTCGGTTCGCTACCAGCTTTGCGTGAACTCACAATGACTGATCTCCCGTGGCTGGACGACACCATCTTTTATCAATCCCCCATGCTCCCAGATTTCCCTGCTCTGCGTACTCTAGCTTTCGAAAATACTCCGCGAATCACCGCTGAGGGTATGGGCGTCTATTTCGAGAAACCCCTAAACCGCAACACCCTCAATGACCTTTCACTTAACGGCACCGGTATCGACCCAATCCACCTACACCACTTCCTGTTCGATGCTTCATCCCTACACTTTTTATCCATCGTCGAAACCGTCTCCAACTCTCTCGCTCTCTCGCTCAACGACCTTCCACCTCTCGAGTCCATCTCTCTCAAAGTCCTCCACTACGAACTTACCGATTCAGAAGATGCCCATGGCCTACAGAAACCCGCAGCTTCATACTACGCATACTTGGCTCAATCACTACATGCCAATGGTCTACCTGCTCTCTCGCAGCTGTACGTTCGTGATCCCGATTTTGCCGAGATCATGCTGCTCCCTGCACCTCCAACACCTTTCATGGATGGAGGCGGCAACCAGCGACAGAGCGTCGTGGGAGCTATGAATCCTCCTCGTGGATTGCACCAGCCTCTGGAAGTCTTCTCGAAGGGTCTGGACGAGGTCGAATGGGCTTTCACAGCGTATCAACCACCAGCTCCAACTCACGGCCGTCATGGATCCGGTAGCAGTGGACGTCCACAGAGCGCATACAGTGCCGCCCGCGGTCTTGGTCCTCAATGGGCGCAAGGTGGGTTTGGTGGCGACGCACGCAAAAGTGTCATCGTTGGCAATGGCTATGGTGGTTTCCTAGCAGTCCCGCAGGAAGAAGTTGCACGACCAAGATCATCAGCAGGCCCCGTATCTCGTAGCTGGGGCAGTGGCAGCAGTCCTGGAAATGGAGGCGGTGCGCTCGCTGCTCTTGCTACCATGGGTACCAGTGTTGGCAGCAGTGCTGGTGGCATTGGAGGTCGTGCCAGCTGGCTGAAACCTCCACCAAAGATTCCTGGTGCCGAAGGCAATGGAGGCCACAAGCGCGCTGGTAGTCGACAGGATCTATGGCGATGAGAGCTTGCTTTCTCCGCGTCTGATCGATGCCAACACTCGCTTTCCCTTCTGCTTGGACAAAAATCTGGATGTCTGAAGCCCTGGTCCTTGTGGATGTTTCCAATTTTCCCATTTGTTATCAACACGCTTTGCTGGCATAGTGTTTACGCTCATGCCTTCTGTTTTGGGGCGTTTCTTAATTTTGGGCTTTCCAGGTACCTGCTTTTCCCTTTGATTCCGACACTAGCACTCTGTTTCTGCTTGCTTTCTTCAAAACAACCATTTCTGTTTTCTTGATTATATACCCACAAAGCTAGCTACAGTTTGCAGAAATTCCATATCTTCATTTTAACCTCCCTGTTTGTCCGGACCCTTACTGGTGAAGGATCATAGGTAGTAGCCATATATGTCTGTTCCTTATCCGAACTTAATAGCTTCCTGATCTGAGAATTTTGCATCTGCTCGAGAGAATGTGATATCCTCCGCGGAAGGATGGACGTCGAAGCTTATTTCGGAAACTGCTTCTGGACACCGCAAACAAGGTGACTCGACGCACCGAATTGCTGAACCGCTCAAACAGACATATCAGGGAGACGATTTCTACTGTTCTGTTCTATCCTGCCTTCAAAGCACACACACACACACACACACACACACAACATGTCTTCCTACATGGACACGGAGAAGTTTCTCGCGGAATATGTCTACGAGGTCGAAAAGGACTTTGATGTCGATGGAACACCGGCATCTTGGGCCTCCACTACCCACAAGCCTGCTCATCGCTACTGGGACGACGATGACGACAAGACTGAACTGCGCTTCTTCGCCGACGACGACCAGAACCCGGGCGATGCCGCCGACATTNTTGCTGTCAGCCACGACAACAGGTTCATTGCAGGTTGCAGGGGCTCAATTGTAGGTGTCTTTGATGTCCAGACCAAGCAAAGTTGCATGCAATTCAAGGGACTTGTGCTGCCTTGTGTCAAACTCCTATTCCGGCCTGCTTTGAACGAGTCTGGGGGCTATACTCTGGTTATAGAGACCTCCAACCGAGACGAAGACGAAGAGGTTATCATTTTCCTGGAACTGGACAGATACGGACACAAGACAAGCAAATCTGTCATGATTGATGTGGAAAAGCTTTTCAAGAAGTCTCTAGATCCTGTAATGTCGGAGTTGGAGGATGCTTTGGACGTTCCTTCGACGTCACCACTTATCGCAGCAGTCCACAGAGGCTATAGCAAGACGCTCCAAGAGTTAAGAGCTGGTGTAGAATCTAGCGATCTGTCTCGTGTAGAAGGTCGCACTGGCAGCTTTGGCTCGAGTCCGTTTAGCATGGATGGTCAATTGTTTCTCTACCTTATCCAAAACGAAAGCACACAATCTGGGGCTCGTCCGTCGGAAGATCTCCCGAAAGTCGTCGTGTACGATATGGTCGGAAAATGTCAAAAGCATGTTCTAGGCGGTCACGAGGATGCTATCATGTGGACGGCATTTAGTCCAAACGGCCATTACGTGGCCACTGCAGCCTGGGACGGCACTTTCAGAATCTTTAGTGTATCGACCGGTGATTGCAAGCAAGTTATTGGACCAACAGGAGGACAATGCTGGAGCGGCGCGTGGTCACCAGACTCGAAGCACCTCTTGGTTTGCGGAATGACCGACGAGGGCCACGGGAGAGGATTCTGCAACAAGACATTCGTGGCTGTTTATTCAGCTGAGACGGCAGAGCAAGTCAATCGATTCAAGCATGAACGGCTTCGGCGCTGGGTGAGATGTGTGGCGTGGTCGCCCAAAGGAGAGATCGCTATTGTGCACGAGGACGACCTGTGGATTTGGGAGCCTTTCTCGGACACGACGATCAGCAGTTTTAGACCAAAGGTTGAGGACCGCATGATGGAAGATTTCGCTGGCGCGTCGGATGTTCAGTGGGCGAATGAAGGAGATACGTTGCTTGCTCATATGGGCGACGGAACCATCGAGATGTGGAATCGGAATGAGAACACTAAACTGCGATTACAGAGACCTAGAGGCGCCGGATCAGCGCGAAGAGTGTGTATCATTGGATGGATGGAGGAGAAGAAGACGCTGTGGAGTCTGAGCAACGATGGCTACATGAGGTCGTACCACTTTTGACGGAAGATGTCCAAGATCGATTGAGTAGCGAGATGATAGCGCATACTTTTCATGGAACCAAAAATCTTGGTACAAGGAGGTTGCATATCAGTCGCCACCAAGCCTAAAGTTCAGAACCTCGACTGCAAACACATCATCCCTATCTTGTTGGCTCATTTCCTTCTTCTTGCCAATCTTTCTCGTAAGCTCGTTCAACGAACTCTTGAATTCCTTGATCAAATCTCTCAGCTCGTCTCTCTGTCGCCAGAGCATAAGCTCCAGATGCGTATTCATTTGTACGGAAAGAACAAGGCTGAAGATGTCTTCGATGTAGCTTCGTAGTTTGTCGTGGCGCGAGCGGAGGAACAGGCGTGAGCGGATGGTGTCGAGCATATCGCTATGTCTGTTGCGCAGGTGCGAGATTCCAAAAGTGACTCGTTGGCCAAAGCTTCCTTCTTCGTCCTCGAGTGCGAGATCTGCTTCTATAGTGTTGAGGGTACGTTGAAATTCTGTCCAAGGGCCACCAACACCAATGTCGAAGAAATAAGATGCGAGACCGGATACACAACTCCAAGCTTCGTGAGCAAAGGCCTGCGATGCAGGCGAACTGTGCTTCTGTTGAGCGGTGCTTCGAAGTAAAGTGACAAAATGCAACATCCTGAGCATCCCTAACAATACACGGAAACAATCGTCGTATTTTGCCATCGCTTTATCATCGAGTATCACATTCAATGGCGTAGGAGCTTCGTATCTCAGTCGCAGAAAATCAAGCGCATGGATACTGTTAGCATCTAAGCATTTTTCAATCTCTGCATCGCTGAGCTCGCGAATGGCAAATGAGAGATTGCCTGGTATGTCATTAGAGCCATAGGCTTCAGATAGAACACCCATTAATCCAAGCCTCAGTTCTGAAGACGCCGGTGGCCATTGCTTAGATCGATTGTCCAGACGCAGGCCTCGTGCATTGGTTTCAGAAGTGAACAATGCAGTGGTGAGACGTTGAACGAACAGACCATTACCTAGAAGGTGGAAGGAGTGGTTCAAGGTGAGATGATCGCGAAGAGAAAACTGCCGGAAAAGAAGTCGCAGAAGGACGCCATTCAAAAGGCGGCTCCGAACGCGCAGGTATGGTGTGAGATGATGTAATGTGGTCTTCGAAAGATGCCGTAGATCGAGAGCCGATGTCTCTTGTATGTTCTCCGCCTCAAGCATCTCCGTGGTCAGAAAGCGAATACCAGATGTGTCAGCCTTGTTCGCAGGAAGTTCAGCAAAACGAGTTCCCACGTCCTCAAAATAGGTCTGCTGGTCGTCGTCAAGACTCCATGGCAACTGCTCCGATGTAAGGTGGTCAGGTTGTTGCTGGGGATTTACATCAAGCGGCTTCGAATCTCCCCGACTATATCTTGTTATGGCGAGAAGAAGGTCCTGTTGATATTTGTTCGCCTTCTCGACGATCCGGTCAAAGTGAAGACATGTGTGCGATGCCTCCAGGTCGGGGCTATCAACACCCCAAGAAGCAGGAGCCAATATGGGATGGTCAGGTGCAGCGTCTTTCAATACAGCAATACCAGCCATGACTTCTGTAATTTGTGCATTGTCTTCAGCAGAGATATGAGCACTGCGCTCAAAGACATCATCCTGAGCGGGCAAATCGAACTGGTGGTGCGTGAGGCCAGTCTTCTGACAGATGACTTGAAGCCAGGGTAGTGAGACTTGTTTCAATATCTCGGCGTGAAGAGATTGAAATGGAGAACAAGCGTTTGTGAATTGATGGATAGTCTCATGACAGGCAGATAGGAAGGCAGTGTCGGTACTTGCAGCAGCAGTTGTGCTGATCAATTCTCTCATCTCTGTCAGTAGAATAGTGGGTGTCTCGAAGCAAGTGAGAAGCTGCAAGAAAGATGTGGCAGTCAGGACTTGGTCGGACAAGTTCTGATCGAGAGCTTCTAGCACAGCCTGTACAGTGGTCGCAAGGGCAACGCGAGCAGCCAAGGGATTTTTGGTAGTATAGGAAGACTGGACAAAATGTCGCAGGTCGACGGAAGCACAGCCAGCAGCTGTCAGTTGTTGGACCAGACTGTCAAAGGCAGTACTGCTCAGACCAGATAATCGCACGTTGTCAAGAGATGACACAAAAGTCTTGTCCTCTTTCTTCCATTGGAACAGAGTAGACGATCTGCCTAGACCCAGGAGGGCTAGACATTTCAGGGCGAAAGCAGATTGGAGGACATCAGTGTCGTCGGGCTGGAGGGCATCAAATGCACGTGGGCCAGCGTCGGAGAGGTACGATATGGGTGATTCGGAGTGGTCCTGGTGGGCAAAGGCTTCCCATGTACGTAAAGATGGCCGCTCCACAGGTCTAGTGAGGTCAAACTTCCACAAGTCGTCGAGTTCGTCGGACTGGCTTGTGGTGCATGTTTGNAGGTCAACGGTAGAAGCTTTGTCGGGCTCTTGGTTCACATGGAGGTCATCAAGTTTGCCAAATTGGAAGTTGTCGAGGTCCGGGAGTCGTAGTTCGGTATCGAGATGGTGGTCAATCAAGGGCAGTTCTGTTTGTCCATGAGTGAACGTTTTCATGTGACTGCACAGCGCGTCATGCTCACCAAAGCGCGTGTCGTTGAACAGAGTCTGCTCGGGCGCATCAGAGATGCTAAAGGCAGATGGGCGCCAGAAGTCGGGCACGTTAAATGGGCCATGCTCGCCGTCCATGCCATGGGTCGTGATCGTGGTTGGTTGTCGTCTTGATCTTGTCATGTTGACGCCGTCTCGGAAGGAGCTGACGCGATTTCCCGACGCGTGCCAATTCATGACATCCGACTTCACTTCATCACATCAACCACGATTGACTGCTTGCCATGTTCTTCCTTTCTTCCGCCGCACCGCTGTTAATGCGATCAAGCCTTGGGCTGTTCAGACATTTCCGCCTACCATTTGCCGCCCATACAACATTTTCGACAACTCCAATTTGCCGTCAGGAACCCGACACTGTTCGAGCGCCGAAAGTCGCCGATTACTATCGTCTGCGCTACCAGAGCGATCGTGAATTTCGAATGGCTGAGAAACTGCGTTTCAGAGAGTGGGCATCATCTCCTGAAGGCGTGGAACGCATTCGCAAAAAAAGTCTGAAAAGCCGTCATGCCGATAAAGCACGTGTGGTTCTTCGTTATCAAGAAAGCTCTGCTGTTCGTCGTGCCCAAAATCTTGTTTTACACATTCGCAAGCAGATCAGAGCAGGGTTACTCGATGAGAACTGGTCGTGGAAAACCCATGCTCCCCTCATCTATCCCTCCAGCGTTGATCGTCACTGTACAGCTTGCGACAGAGATCGTNTTTTAAAGGTCTGGTGGAAGGAGAAACCTGAAGCCTCCACGACTGATGAACTGCGGTACATGTGTACTCCTTGTTTTGCTAGTGATCCTGAGCGCATGATGCCTGAGAAACATCCTGCCGAACTGCCCGGCTTTTTCAGAGACACAATCGACAAGAAAAGCAGTCCTTGAAATTCTGTTGTAAGCATCAGACCGTCGCACACACGGGCTGGACACGAGATGGTCATTTGCGACACTGCTCGACAACAAGTTGAGGAGCATACAGACATCTCTCGATGCTACAGAAAAGCATTTTAATGCAAATGTTCTTTGTTGACAGACTTGATGCCCAGGACTGAATAAGTTTTCCGCTCTCTTCGCTCGATGGACTCTATGCCCACTTGCCAAGCACACTCATCAGCACTAATCCGGCAATCAAACTGATCGCAGCTGGGATGACATGTCTCAGCGGTGCTTTGCTCAATTCTCCATGCATCCAATCATGCGCGAGCATCTCCACCAAACCCACATAAAGCAAAATACCAGCACTCAATGCATCCAATGTGCCGATTGCAATGATGGTCGAGGGATCATTGCCATTGAATTGGTTGAGGACACCAATACCAATGGCCATTCCAATGGGTGTCACGATGGCGAAGGCTGCAGCCATGAGAAGTTTTTCCACCATTCGGATTTGGAGATCGCTGATACGGGAGCCGAGTGCGAGACCTTCGAACATCTGATGGAAGATGATTACAATGAAGAGTGTGATGAACCCGGAGTCACCAGCAACGACGAGGGTAAGACCGATCACTGGAGCTTGTCAGCAGAGATCGTGAACGACGCTTGAGGGCGACCTACGTAGCGAGTGGAAGATGATGCCAGCTTCCATGATGTTGACCTTGAGCTTTTGTAAAGCAGGAGACTGTGTATGAGCATCTCCAGAGTGCATGTGATGATGTCCGACAGGAGCCTCATTGGTTTCGGCTCCCTTCAAGTCTTGACTCTGCTCAGGCGTTGGGGATGCAGAATTGGTATGCTTTGACAGACGCCAGAGGAAGATTCTGGCCCCGACGTACTCGGGAACGAACGAGAGGACGATACCTGCCATCACAATTGCTGCGGTTGTGGCTTCGTATTTGAGACCACCCAAGCAGTGGCTTGCGAACATGAGTTCTGCATGGGTGAACAGCNNTAAAAATTGTCAGAATCCGAGCTGCTCGGGTAGAGCTGTACGACTTACATGCACAAGTGCCGTGGAGATGATGACACCAGTTCCAAACTGCTTGATGATTGACATGGCGATACCACTGCTTTTGAATCGGCCGAGCGATAGGAGAATTGGTCCGAAAACACCAATGGACGCGGTGGCAAGAATGACAAAAATCAGACCAATACGGAGAGGGATGTTGTAATCGCGGTTCACGGCCTCACAAGTCTGTTCGACAGTGTTGCCATTTTCATCGACACAATGTCTGGGAGATGTCAGGTCATACCACAACCGAGAAGTCATTCGCGAAACTTACGGGACACCTGCATGGTCATGACAACTGATTCCATCAGCCGAAACTTCTCCAGCTGATTCTTCTCCATCTGCAGTCTGTGCCTGGGCGAGGACTTCACCACCGGCAGGTGACATGCAGAATCTATCCTTGTCAGATACGGCAGGCCAGCGCTATTGAAGTTACTCACAGCTGTGACCCATGGGCATGGCAACCTGTGTANNCTGAGTGGGCAATTCTCCTGTCGCAGTCGCGGGGATCTTCATAAGATATTCTGTGGCACTAGGACCCATGCAAAATTGTTGTGTTTCGTGCATATGGCAACCACTCAGTGCCGTCACCTTGGGTGCCTCAGCAGCACCGGGAGCCGCGGTTGAAGTTACTGCTGGTGAAGTTGTACCGCTTGCATGATCCTCATGAGATTCTGCATCCTCGGCAACGACCTCGACTTCTTCGCCTTGAGGGTCGAAACAGAACCTGGATCCGTTAGTTGCTATCTGAGAGTACGAAACGTATGATGACTCACATGTCAGCTCCATGAGCATGACANNTCCGGTATATTCTGATGGGAGTTCTTCAGTGGCCGTGGCGGTGGTCAAGACTTTGTACTCTGCATCTCCAGCAAAACAGAATTGAGTATTTCCGTGCATATGACAACCCGTAATCGCAGTGGGAGCGGCAGACGCTTCAGATGCTGTTGTGCTGGGGGCAACCGTTGTTGAAGGTGCCGCTGTTGCTGCACTGCTCAGAGTCGTCCATGGTACGGTCGTTCCATCACGCAAGCAGTTCCTGAACATAGGTCAGTCCATGTCTGAATACCGGTTGTGGTATACTCACACTACGCCACTTTGAGTAGCGCATGCCGTCAGAGACAATGTTCGCAGTGACTGAGCATGCACAAGAACAGCTCCAATGGGAAGTAGAATTAGAGAACTATGCATCTTGACTGAACAAGTAAGTCGAGCAGATGGCTTGAGCGTGATTTCTTTCTCACGATGAATCATGCTTCTTTATACCAGCTCAGCCTCGGAGACACCTACCTACCGTACGCAAAGATTCTTCACATTGCTTGCGAGACAATGCCCCACTATGTTCACACAAACTTGGCGAGAAGTGCGATGACCACACCTTCTTGCCGTCTTTGGGAGGTCAAATCCTTGACCAAGACCTACAAAGCATACCAAGAGCCTTGGAAGAAGCCACCCGGAGTAGGTTGAGCGAAACTTCTACTGCTAATCTAGGCGTACACTGCCTCACTGTTGAGAAGCAAAGTGATGCTTGGCCACCTTGATGGCCAATGCCAAGGTATGGTTTTTGCACCACCTTCCACCGGCTAAATAGTCGACCGACACCGCTACACACTATTCACGCTTGGCAGACAGGCATGTATTGACTGTTCGCGAAGCCACATTGTAATGGCTCGATCTTGGTATAGACATTCTTTTGCTCAACATCGCTCATCGCCGACTTTTTCGCCTGTACTGGCCCAGGACATCGACCACTCGGGTGTTTCTGGGCATTCAGGATCCGGGCAAAGTGTCCGAATGTGGCTCCGATAGGTGTGCAGAGTCTTCGTCAATGGTCTGCTATAGCCGATGCTTGAGAAAGGACGCAAGTATATAAAGTGTCAAGGTAGATGCAAGCTTGTTTAGAAGAAAAATATCAAGCATTCAAAGCAGTTCAGAGCTCTTTCCTCAGAACTTCTAAACTTCTCTTCTCGATTCGCTTAACATGCGTACTCAATTCCTTGTCAGCGCAGCTCTTGCTGCAACCGCTGCTGCCTCTCCCGTCCTCAGAAACAGAGCAGTCACCACTGTCACCGTATCCGGAACTACCGCAACCTCGTATCCCCAGCCTGCCATCGAAGTTCAAGGCTTCCCAATCCACTCATCTTGTAACGGAACCGAAAGAAGACAACTCGAAAAGGCCCTTGGTGACACTATTAAGATTGCCCAGCAAGCTGCTCAGCACATCTACACCCACGGCAATGAGTCTACTCTCTACAGCAAGTACTTCGGTCAAGCACCTACTGCTGAAGTGATTGGTTGGTACGAGAAGCTTGTTTACGGAGACCATGACCGCGTTCTCTTCCGCTGCGATGACATCGATGGAAATTGTCACCAAGAAGGTATGGCACCCTCTCTACATCCCGCATTGACACATGCATACTGATATCTATTTTCTGATANNGGTTGGGGTGGTCACTGGCGCGGTGAGAATGCTACAGACGAGACTGTGATCTGCCCTCTTTCTTACACCACACGTCAACCCCTCGAAGCCTTGTGCGGAAACGGCTATACTGTTGCCAATGGCAAACTAGCCACCTACTTTGCAGCCGACTTGATGCACCGTCTTTACCACACAACTAAGATCGGCGAAGGCGCTGCCGAGCACTACGCAGACACATATACGGAGTGTCTTGGGTTGGCACAGGAGAACTCCACCCAGGCTGTCCGCAACACTCACTCTCTGCAATACTTTGCCTTGGATGTCTATGCTATGGAGGTTGCTCTGCCTGGCGAGGGATGTACTGGTACGCCTACTGAGGAGGAGAGCGATGATTCTCACGCTGCTGCTGCGCCTGCTTCTTCTGCGTCCTCGTCTGCGTCCTCATCTGTTTCCTCGTCTGCAGCCGCAACTTCCGCTGCTAGCACCACTGCTTCGCAAAGCGCATCCAAGACCACTAGCGCCGGCACTGTGAGTATCCACTCTGTCATCTCACAACGATAAACACGCCCTCCGTAAATGTACAGGCTGACATTATTCTCAATAGGAATGCCACACCCACGCTGGTGGTGAAGTCCACTGCGCCGATGTTGCTCCTGCCGAAACAGCTTCCAAGACTACCAGCGCCGGAACTGTGAGTTGCCCTCCTTTCCTTTTCTCACAATGATATGAATCGCGATACTGACTTCTTCGTTCTAGGAGTGCCATACTCATGCTGACGGGGTTGTTCACTGTGCCTGAGTGTAGCCGAAAATGAAAGTTCAGGTACTAGTATGTGAGCAATCATGATCGATGGTCTCTGGTTGCTAGGGATTAGCAGAAAGATGCAAGTTAACAAAGAAGCGATGGAGAATGACCATATATGAATCCTGTATAATCTTACATATCTTCGTCGTGTGCTGAGTGTTGCCACAATGTAACTATGGAAATGCACAATGTTTTTCGAATCAAAGCATGGCCACAGAGAAACCTTTGCGTAACGGTCTCTCTGTGGTTAGCAATCACCCCCAGACAGTATAGTGCATTTGTGCAGCTATACTGTGACTGTCTTTAGTACATGGAGAGGCATGAAGTCTCGTGAGCTGTATGAGTCATCCGAGATATCAGTCTGTAACGCGAGTGGGCAAGCAAGCCAAGTGAGCAAGTTGAGAGGGTTAGCTGTGTGGGCTGCTGCTGCGAGCAAATCGGTTCACGCAACCACGTGGGTGAGCTCAAAGTATAATAACGTCCACTCCTATTCGAAAATTATCAAACACTCCTTCAACATCCTCTGCGCTGATATCTTCAGAACATCCATCTGATCTCGCCGCTTTCTACGAGCAGTACGATGCCCGCCCTGCCAAAGTCACTGGAAGACCTTCCACCGGAACTGCGATGCATGATCTACGAGTATGTCTTTGCAGACTGCACCCGACTGCCACATCCCCTCATGCTAGTCTCCAAACAAGTACGAGCAGAGACTGCCGACACAGCTACACGAGTCATAGGACCGAAGATCGAGTTGATGCTGGATGTCAACACTCAGTCTATCCATTACACGCTCCATTACCCGTTTGAAGGAGGCGTAGTCAAGCAATATTTCCATCCAGGTCGCGGGACCGGCAAGGCCCGCTCGTGGGGATATGATGCTTTTGGTAGATACGCTTTCGGTCCTCAGCTGTTAAGTCGCATACGGACAATTAGAATATTCTGGGAGCTTCCGGCTGCGCATTTCGTGATTGTATTCCGACCTGGTTCTCTGTCGCCTGAGGTCACCTTGCGTGCTGATGGATCTGTCGATAGGCGCACACGCGTGACGAACGAAGACGCAAAGAAGTTGTTCCACGCTTTGGCTGAAAAGTGGCGATCCGATGAATCAGGCTGCTCGCTAAAGTGGGTTGAGAGTTGTATCAAAGATCTGAGAAAGGGATGGGAAGACCTGCGAAAAGAGGCTCGGGAGAGGAAGTTGCGCAGTGAAGCGGCTGAAGCCAGGAGAAGGGAACTCGCCACGAAAAGGAACACTCCTGTGTGGGTAATCTGGAACTCTCAATGGAGGTTACTCAATCCCTAACACTACTCTGTATTTCTATGACTAGATCTACCCGTCTCTACACGCTTGAGAGGCTCAAAGGGGGCATGACAAGGGGCAGAAAGAGCGCATCTGACCAAGAAAACAGGTTTTGTGTGCGTGGTTCTCGACTGTATGAGCTATCGTGCATTTCTATAGCTATTCGATTAGCATGGCTGCAAGAAGGAAGCTCTTTCTATCTTTGTCCGGGTCACTAAATTTCAGCAATAGAGGTTGCTGTTTCTCCTGGTTGTATGCACCCTTCGGTATCATGCCAAATCTCTTCGTTCTCGTTTACAAATCGTGTCACAATTCCAAAGATTGACAGAGGAAGTCACAAAGATGATGTTGAGGAGTCTGGCAGTATATTCACCGCCTTCGTGGGCTTGGCGTCTGCTTCCTGCCAAAACCGTTGCCATCCAGGAGTCATGTTTAGTGGACAATGACGCGTTAGAAGGCAACGCTTATGCGTACTGGACATGTTGATCTTTCATTGTAACAATCTCATCGCTCGCCCACGGTATGTGGGTCGAATATTACTGGAGTACAACATGATTCAAGGTAGGTCCTTTACGTGCGAAGACACCAGCCAAGACACTCTAAGCCGCCCGATCCTTCTTGTTATGAGGTGTCCTCATATGCCCAACTTGTGATGTAAATCTGGTTCTAGGACGACCAACCTGTACCTGACACCTTCTTGAATCCCGCTTTCAGGAAGAATTCGCAGGAAAGCCTGCCAAGTGCAGAAGCATATACGCTCAATGTATGTTAGAACAAGTTCAGCAAGTCGTACGGCGGCTTTGTTAGTATCGTACTAATTCAATCAGGAATTCACAGAATGTTTCTACAGACGCCAGTCCAAAAGCCAACCAGCCATCAAGAACGTATTACCTTTCTGATGCACTATTCCTCATCTCATGCCTACGTCTGTACGCTCTTTGGAGTCATGGTCTGGCCACACGATTCGACGTGCTCATCTCTTTATGCGCTTGCAACCAAGTTATTGCAGAAATACTTCGGAGTGCCACTGCAGAGACCAAGCTGCCTCATGAAGTAGTAGACCTTGGAACCGACGATGGGCGTGTTTCCATCCAGCTGGATACAGAAACCAAACCATCCACTCTCAAGTCTGTTGCAGCTTTCCTTGACAATAGAAAAGCAAGTGTTGAAGTGGTAGCCATTGGCGCTATTCTCCGAGTCTCATGGAACCCATATGACAGATGTAGTGCGCTTGTTGGCTGGGTCCCTTATTTTGCAGGTTGTTTCGCCGGTACTGCCCAATGTTACATTCGAGAGCGCATGCACAAGCGAGATCTTGCGCTTGAGGACTGGATAATCTGTTATGTTGGCATGTACATAGCTTTTCTTGCATGAGGTTGTTCAGCCCAAAGGTATCGGAGGAAGACAATACTGTAACGGCACCCAAGACTTTGCTGGAAAAACCACAGGTCCGCTCAGCCAGTTGGCTAGATGGCTTCTCTGATCCGGCGATAACCTGGTATCACAGTACTTTAGGATCACTCCAACTAGCATAGCACTTGTTCAAGTGAGACCATGATAGCAGATGTCCTCTTCGAATAGAGAACAACAGGACAAAGAAGGGAGGATAAGAGAAAAGATCTGGGAGAAAAAAAGAAAAAGAAAAGAAAAGTCCAGCATTTCTGCGCGCTTGGCGTTCGTTCCCACCAAAGCTCATGCAATCTGAGCTGAATGGTATACACCCTTTCACATTGTTGATCAGGAGTCGCAACTTACTGTCATATCACTATATGAATACGAAACTCTACAATCGAGAGCGGTAATCGCTCATGTTATAGGCTTCGCCGAAGGACCAAAGCGGTCTCTCATGTTTGACCGTTGGTGACAGTTCCTAATCCGGCATCTACCTTATACAGAGCTTGGGGTTACACCCTCCGTGCTGATCGTCCCAAGTCGCATTCGACTATTTTTTCAGCTCCCAGCATTCTCATTCATACATCCAATGCTGCTCAAGAGGTCCTCATCGATGGATAATACAAACAACGCGGCGAGTATGGCGCCCCAGCAGACGAAAGCCAAAAATATTTCTCAAAATCACATCCAACGGCCAAAAATCCGAAGCTGAACGAACGGTTGTATGGATCACAACAAAAACGGCTTGAGCTCGAGAACAGTCTAGATACAAAGATCAGCATGCTACTTATTCTTTGGGTGAACGCCTTGCTCTCCGAGCTTTTTGAATTTTGGTCCATCTTTGACGTATACACAATATGAGTGATTCCCGCTACCGTGAGCTGGATGTCGAAGAGTCGAAGCGATCGTTTGAGACGACAAGCTCCGATATGTTTTTGCAGTCGCCGAGGAAACCGCTGTTGACGATTGGGGTACATACACATTGTGATTCGCGATCTGCATGCAAGTATGACTGACGGTGCTGTAGTNGGTTCAACAATAGGCTCATCGTTCTGGTATCCTCGATCCTCATAGTATTTAGCTTCCTCGGAGCTCTATGGCTTCAACCAACATTCATCTACGGGTCAAGACCATACCGTATCGCTAAAGTGTCCATGTTGTACGGTGACAACAAACTGTACGACAGAGCTTTGGAGTCACATACACGACATGGAGAGAAATGGGGCTATTCGACATATATTAAGCGACAGAATGAGTACTGTGGTTACTGGAACAAGCCAACCTTCATGATCCAACAAGTCGTCCAAGAACTCGCAAAGCCAGAACACGAGAGAGCAGAATGGTTAATGTGCGTACTTCTCTCTTCTACCTCCTTGTTAGAAATATCATATTGACCGACGGCACAGGNNTGGGTCGATGCAGACTCCATAATCCTCAACCCAAACATTCCAGCCCACATCTTCCTCCCACCCAGAGAATTCTCCCACATCAACATTGTCGCAGCACGCGACATCCAAGGCCTCAACACCGGCGTCTTCTTCGTCCGCGTCCACCCCTGGACAATCTCAATGTTTGTAGATAGCATGGCCTTCCCCCTCTGCAACCCCAAAATCGAATTAGGAAACGACGCCGACCAAGCCGCCATGGCTCGCACAGTGGAAAAATCCAGCGGTGGCCCTGATGGCTACGGTTTCAAGCGCGGTATCGTTTACTTGCCTAGAAAACTGTTCAACAGTTATGAGCTTCCTGGATATATGAGGGATGGCAGGACAGATGTGCTAAGAAACTTTACTGGGTTTATGGAGCCTCACGCTTTCGAAGGCCAAAAGGGAGATTTTCTCGTTCACCTGCCTGGATTGTTTGATGATCGTGAGCCTTTGATGTCGGATTGGCTGGACATGGTTGAGAACCGTCAAGAAGATTGGGCTATCCCTCTGGAAGAAACAACATACCTCAAAGACACACAGGCGTTCTGGAATCTTTATGGCGAGGCGGTCTCTACCATAAAACAAGCTCTGAACAGAGAGACCATCGACAAAGACATGAGAGACGCAGTCGGACAGCTCAGAAACGCTTTGAGCGAGGNNGAAGCCGATGACTCAGACAAGATCGTCGAATACATGAACGATCTGAAGCGGCTTCTTCACCCATCAATCCTTCTTGATGAATGAACGAAGCTCTCATAAATCTGGTCACTATTTTGAGCACGTCAGAACGGAACAGACCAGAGAGCCTACAAACCCAGCTATCGCATATACCAACCCCACGCATTATGCTGATCCATCCAGGATCATCAGATCTGATGGCTTCTGGCTTTCAATGGCATTGAGTACGCGTTGCGAGCGACAGATGTATCCATGCGCGAATACATCACGAGCATACCCTCGAGCCCTGATGCTCGATCTTCGGTCTTCAAAGGACGATCCTAGCTTCCTGGCCTGGTCCGATTATAAGAAGAAGACGATTTGTTGGTCAGCATGACAACAGCCAGCGGATTGGATTTGAGCTCGAAGGGTACCCCTTCTCCATGAACAAAAAGGTCTAAAGGAGAGGCCAAAGCGCCTACGGAAAGGGTAGTCACCTAGGCAGAACTTGGAAGTAGAGAAGAATACATGTCAATGTAACAGTATATCAGGGGAAATTCACGACTATCTAGCTCAACAAGCATAATCCTATTAAATACTCGATCGGATGGCCTAGTCGCGCACGGGGAGTACTCGCGCATAACCACCACTCCACGATGACTTTTTTTTAAACAACCTTTTGTGCGACTATCCCGTATGCGCGACTAGACTATAAGTTCCATTACTTATTTCTTGCAGATAAAGTTGTTGGAGAAGAAGTATTCTCCACCCATGTACGATGTCTGTCAAGAAGGCATCCACCCACTCAGCCGAACAGACTGCCTTTTGCTCTTGGAACTTCTCCGCTACGGACAGACACCTCCGATATGCTTCCAGAGCAAGTTCTCTCCTCCTCATCCTCCGGCCTTGATAAGAACAACTGCTGACACTTATCTTTGGCGCTGAGTCCCTGCTGAATATGACAACGATTTTGAATGTCATGACAAGCTTTTGAGAATCTGCCATGGACATCCAGATCCGTAGGTGGCGGACCTGTGGTATCATCTGCTTGCCAAACTCACCACAGGAAAAATCTCGCCATGATAGCCACCGCGGCGGATATGCTGGTGGTGTCTTTTCTGTGTACAAGCGGGTGTTGTGAAGCCACGGGCTGTTCAAATCATCCATGTCTACCGCAGTATCCAGTTAGAAATCTCGAGAGCGAGGCTCGCAAAGATGTTCAAGATCGCTCGCGAACCAACATCGCGAGCAACAACTGGTAAGAACTCCTCTCGCAACTGTTTAGACGTCTGCGTCAGAGGGTGAGGGATCACAATTTCGTGATTACCTGCGACGACTTGGTCATAGATCATGTCCCGCAGCTCTCGCGGAAGCCTGGTCAAGAAGGAGTCGGTTTGTGTTGACGATTGTTGTGGCACAGCATGTAGCTGCGTTTGTTGTTGAATATTGATAGACATGTCGTGCTCTGGATGAAGTGGAGGCTGGACTCGGATGGTTAGCGGAGGCTGGAGTAGGCAGGCTTGTGATGTTAGCATCCAAGAAAGGAACATCAATTGTTGTGAGTCTTTAGATTATTGGATGACTCTTACGAACCGCCACGCGAGATTTGGAGAATAACTTGCTCAACCTTGATTGCTTCGCTCAGCTACCATTGGAGGATGAGCACACCATCATTCAAGACCTTATGCCCTTCTCTGCTCTCTTCTCAGTCTAAATCGCAAGGCTGTCCAACCGTCTTTCAGATCCTTGACCAAGGCTTCGATCCACTCGACTGAGCACACAGCTTGTTCGTCTTGCCACTTTCTGACTCTCATCAGACACATGTAATGTGCTCGCGTGGCAGCGAAAGAATGCGATAAGGGCGTTTTGACGGAGATTTCGGGTGCTGCGCCGTCGCTGAACGTTACAGTTATCTCGATCCACTCATGCATTTTGAAGGCCAGTATTACGTGACGCATGCGAGGCACCATCTGCTTGCCGAGTTCGCCACGACGAAACGACTGCCATGGTTGATATGGGTTTGTCGAGTGCCGGCGTGACTTTGCTTTTACGGATCTCGTTTCGGGAAGGAGGAACGGGGTACTGTTAGTGCCCTGGATCGTGATAACCGGTCCTGTTCGGTGTCCTCGATGACGGGTGATACATGCCATGTAGAACGTTGCTCGAGGTCCGACATTGCGTGCGAAAGCTGCTGTGGTTTCTTCCCGCAGCTGTCTTGAGGTCTGCATAAGGGGGTGTGGCAGCTTTACCTCGGAGTCATCTGCGAAGACTAGGTCATAGATCTTGCTCAACCTCTGACACACATCTGATGAACGCTGAACCACTATCGGTATGTAATAAGAGTCAGTATGTTAGACGAATGATACTCAATCGAGGTGCATAGCCAGAGCCAGACTGCACCAGAGCAGGAAGGAAAAGGAACTGAATCACATGACAGCCGCGTGGTTGTTTATTGAAGCAAGAACAAATCTGTTGTTTTTCGTAATATTATTCTTTTTCTGCAGGCCTCCAGGGCCTATTTGAAAATTACCACTTGGCTTCCTTGGAGGCCAGGAAGTCGTTCAAGATCTTAACAATGTTCTCGAGGCTGCTCAACCAAGTACCAAGCTCTTTCTCAACGCGAGCCTGATCGTCACCAAGCTTGGCGTAGAAGTCCTTGCGGTAGGGGGTTGCGCTCATGGCAGCGCTGAAGATGGGCTTGATCATGAAGCTGTGGTGCTTGCTGAGGGTGTTGCCGTAGGCGGCACGGAACGAGACGCTGACCTCCTCGCCGCTGTTTGTCAGGTTCTGGCGGAGAGCCTGGGCGGTGAAGTCGAGGGCACTGTTCCTTGGTCAATATACTGTGATGGTCTGGGTCTGGTTCACGACATACCGGTTCAACCAGACAAGACCTTCTGTTGCGGTGTGCTTCTTGGTTGCGAGCTCGTTACGGACGAGGTCTTGGAGGGTTTCCGAGTCGACGGGAGCGGCGAGTTGACGGTCACGGATTTTCNNTGTGACAGATGAGCAGCTGAAGGCACTAGTCATGGGCATGAAAAGTACCTTGATGTTGCCGGTCATGTCCGACTTGACAGGCTTGAAGGCGGTTGAACCGAGGACATCTNNGGCCTGATTAGAAGACGAATACACCAGGCCTTGGACAGACATACCGAAGAGAGTGGTCAAGCTCTCGCAAGCCTCGAGGAATTGGGTAGTGGCAATCTTGCCAGACTCGACAGGGACGTCGGTGAAGCTACGCTTCAAGGTGTCGAAGAAAGTACCGCCGGGAGGGAATGCTGCCATTGTGTCTGTGGTTGATATTGTAGGGATTGGTATGAGTGTCGGAATGGAGAAGTAAACAGGCACGAGTTCAAGAAGGGGTGATGTTGGTCAGGAGTTCTTGAAATTGGAAGCTACGGCCAGACTTGAATAGATTGGGGGTTCGTTTCAACAACGGAGCACGCCCCTGCCTCGTCACCCCTCCATCCAGCGGTGTGAGGCTTCTCTTGGCACGTCAAAATGTGGGGTAGCTTGCATCTTGACATGAGGGGCAGACGAGTATTACGATAGACTACTCCTTTGCATAGCCCATAGCTTTGCGCCACCATTCATATACACCGCGATCTTGCAGCTGTTTGCCGAAGTCGCTCACCGTATCTGTCTCATACAGACCAGGTCTAACTTGTGATTCTTTGGTTGGCTGATTCTCGTGCTGAACAGCCGCTGGACGAGCAACTAGCTGATAGTCCTTGTAGCGGAGATTNCTATTTCACAAGGTCAGTGGGATTATCGAAATAAGACTCTCAGTACATACATGAACAGAATCAACCCACTGTCTGACACCATTCTCTTCGCCTTCACAATACATTATCCCTGGCGAGCTTCCGCTCCTCAATAAAGCAAAAACCTTCAAGCCATCGGCAGCTTGCTTGAGCTTGGTCACCTTCTTCCTCGAAGTTATGTGATGTGTGCGGATTAGAGCATTGAACATGAAGAAGGATGAGGGTGTGGTTTGATATTGTGAGTGAGCTGAAACGCAGAAATGAAACTCTCACACGCGACTGCCTGGCTCGGTTAAACTTCCCCTCTCAGTGAAAGCCTCTGGCGCATTCTAGAAGCTTGGTCGTCACAATCACATGCATGCCTTGACTCTTCCTTGCACAACAACCACCGCATTCCTTTCCTTTGCGACTCTCGGTACAGCACTGCTACGGCAAACAATCATCATGGATCAAGCAAAACTCGGAGCAGAAGCACTCAGCGCAGGCAACTACGCCGAAGCCATCAAACAATACACAGCTGCCCTTGCAGTCTCACCAACATCACCCGACTACCTCATCAAACGATCTACCGCATACCAAAGAAGCAACCCAGCCGACTACAACTCCGCCCTCGCCGACGCAAACAAGGCTGTCCTGAACGCCCAAAAGAGAGGAAAGCGCGAACCCATCCTCCAGGGTCAGCTGAGACGAGCAATAGCACTCTTCGGCCTCGAACGCTACCCCGATTCAAAGTTCTGCTTCGACATTGTCAAGCGTATGGACCCGAAAGAGAAGACTTTGCCTATCTGGGAAAATAAGCTTGCAACAAAGATGGCTGCCATGGATGGTGCAAAGGATGTGACCATCAAGGAGATACCAGATGAGGAAGACGTGCAAACAGTCAAGGCAGACTCGACACCAACAACGACCACCGCTTCTGCGCCCGCACAATCTGCTGCAGTGGCCCAGACCCCTGCGGACAAGATTCGTCACGACTGGTACCAAAACAACGACAAGGTCTACTTTACCCTGCTTGCAAAGGGCGTTCCCAAGGACAAGGCAACCATTGACATACAACCTCGCTCTCTCACCATTTCCTTCCCCCTCCAAATTTCTTCCGACTACGACTTCTCACTCGAACCTCTCTACGCCGAGATCGACCCTTCAGCCTCAACCTTCTCCATCATGTCCACAAAAGTCGAAGTTGTACTCAAGAAATCACAACCCGGTCAAAAGTGGCCATCACTCGAGGGCAACGAGTCTACAACCGAGACATCAAAGCCTACAACTTCCGTCGCTTCGACATCCGTTCAATCATCCAGTGCTGCACAANAAGCCCCTTCATACCCCACCTCCTCTCGCAGCGGCCCCAAAGACTGGGACAAACTCGCTTCAGAAGCCTTGGCTAAGCCCAAAACCGGCGACTCAAAAGCTGGAAGCAAAACGGAAGAAGACGATGACGATGAAGGTGGTGACCCAGTCAACGGCTTCTTCAAGAAGCTCTACGCTGGGGCTGACGCAGATACTCGTCGTGCCATGATGAAGTCATTCAGCGAGAGCAATGGTACCGCTCTCAGCACCAACTGGGAGGAAGTGAAGAAGGGAAAGGTCGAGACGAGCCCTCCTGATGGTCTTGAAGCCAAGAAGTGGTGAGGTAAGGGCGACGGACACGCTTCTGTTTTCTATTTTTATTGGTATAACTTAATGCGTGGTAGCAAGGGTTCAACAAGCATATAGCAGGGGTGCTATTGGAGTTTTCCTCTAAGCCAGTCACTCTTTGGCATCTTTGGGCTAGCACAAATTTCGGTAGCATAAGCCACAACTTTTCGGACTCGTTTTTCACAATCCTATTCTTCGTATTCAAAGTCTGTCGTGATTTCTAGAAACCTGATTTTCGCTTTTCGAGCCTCCAGAACTCCGATATCTTTGTGACTCAAGTCGGTATGCTGAGTATGTGACCCTGGTCATGATTCCCATTCTTCCCAGACACCATTCTTGTTTTCTTTTTGGTGACCTCGAGTGCAGGTCTTACATGGCTTTTTAAATGCTTTTTGTACTTTGTTGAGTGGGGTACTTGAACGATTGAGATACGAAAAATATAGGTAGAAGTTTGAGTCTCCAATTTCATCCTTGGTGGTGAGCATTTGCCGTAACTATGACCCAAGAGACGACGGTCTGTGTAAAGATGAATCCAAGTATAAATCCAAAAAGCAGAGATGATTCACCCATGGAAAGACATCACCATTCCACCGTCTCGATACCAACGATCCTGCCCGCAACAAACTCCTCCAAAGTCCACCATTGCTCTGCCCCTTCCGCATTCACAGCAACCCAACCCCAAGCACTGATTTGCCATCTCCTGCCCTCAGAATCTCGAATCTGTGTTTGTACTTTTCTGACCTCGAGTTTTGTGTCTTGGGTAGTGTTGAGAAAATCCCCGATTTTGTCGATATCAGTGCTGCTGTGAGGGAAATAGACTAACCCACTAACATAACGATACGTCGAAGACAAGCCCACAGGCACCAAGGCGGGAAGTAAAGTCCTAGCGTGCAAAAAGGTTGTGTGGTTGAGAAAGATAGCGGGTGTTAAGCGACACAGAACCTCTGAAGTTCGCAAAGAGAGAATTTGGGATAGTGTGTGGGGCAGTTGGAGGATGCTGTGGAGGAAGATTGGGGTTGGGAGGGTGAGGAGGTTGGAGAGGGTTGAGGGGGANAAGTGGGTTGTTAAAGCGAGGTGGGAAGAGAAAGGGAGGTAGGTGAATGTTAGATCGTTGGGTGTTGGGAGGGAGATGCAGGGTGTGGAGGTGGTGGCAGGTGGGTTTGAAGATGTGGACCAGAAATTGTTGGACCATGATGTAGTATCTTGGTCTTGTGAGCTGCTGGGAATCCAAGTGTTGTTATCTCCTTCTTCACCTCCATCGTGTTCGTCTGATATTGGTGGTTTCGCGGTTTCGAAGATGTTTTCGATGTCCTCTCCGAACACCTCTCCGTGTGTTGAAGAGACGTCTGCTTGATTATGAAACTCATCCAACTTTTCGTCGTGCTCGACAGTGCTGAGAACCTCGTGAGGAGAGATTGGATCCAGATGTCCGCATGCAGATCTTGATCTGTTGGCCGCAATGGTAGCAGGTTCTTGTGTCTGCTCGAGAACCGCTGCAGAATATTTCGGACTTCGTCTATCGTCAATGTCTCCCAATGACTTGCTTCTGTAGGGTCACAAAAGTTATGCAAGATTCTGTGCTGTCAACAAGCAAAGATACCCACCTTGGTCTTGAAGAACTACTATGCAAACTCTTGGGGAGCATATCTCCAGAGCATGAAGCAGGCGAGGCTATATCTTAGGTCTCTGAAGCTTTGTCTCTACGAATAAGGTAAGCCACAGACTTGAATCGTGCAAGTCGACTGAAAGCGAAACAGAGACAAAATTGTGGAAAGGACGCTAAATGCCGTTGAGAAGACATGACAACCCGCACATCTCTTGGAGATCGTGGGCTTCGATGCGAAGAAGAACAAGACCTACCAACAAGCGGTGTGATTTCTTCCAATGCAAGGATATCGATGCAAAGGAAAGAAGTATGCAAAGGTATACTTTATGTCCTGATCCAGAACATCCAAGTATATAGATTTCTGTACTGGCCGGTGTCGTCGCGAAGAAGAATGACAGCCGTATCGAGCTCGCGTACTTCCTGATGCCGATGGATTCTGATGCAAAGAAGAGAGAGCAGACCTACCGTCAAAATGCCTACGAGAAACGATACCCTTCCATGTTTGCTGTTAGAATGTGAAAGCAGAGACTCAAAGGCTTGAGTAGCTCGACAGTGTGGTCAGGAAACAGCTAGGTGTGTTTGCCGTCACTTTGGCGGTTCTAATTCAGCCAAAGATGACCTTGTGAGAACTCGCCAGATTGATCGAGATGCAGCTTGCAGCCACAAAACTCTCCAGTGGCGTATGCGAGTGATTGATAGAGTATGTGAATGCTAGACTTTCCATTTTAGACAAAGTTGTGGTGAAAACAACAGCATGTCTCAGCACATTCTTGATGCAGTTTTACAAACGCCCTTCACAGGTGGCAAGCAAATTCCTAAAAGAGGTGGTTCCGAAACATGTGTTTACCGTAGGCAGCAGTGAAGGTGCTTTGTACAACTTCGGCGTAGGCTTGGTGGCAGCAAAAATAAAGATCCGTCTATCAGATTCCATCGAGTTCTTTTCGGTGGCGTACGAGTGAATAATCATAGTCCTCCGTAGATAGTCTTGTCGTGTGAGACTGAGAGCACGCCAGCTGGCGCTTGAGCGGACTTGGTTCTTGGCCCGAGCTCTGGATACGGCGTCATTGCTTGCACTCACATTCACCTCAAGCAACACTCGCACTCACTCGCCATCTCCTTCCAATCATCCCATAACACTTTTCCATCACCTTGATCACCTTACCTCTGTTCACATCTTGAGCTTCTCCTCCTCATCAACACATACACCGCAACAAGATCTACCGCCATCATGTCTGGGGAGCCGGATCACGTCGAGACCAAGAACAAGGTCAAGCTTGAACAGTACGACCATCACCCGCCTCATCTTACATATCACGCGCATACTGACTTGTCTCTGCAGTNNGACCCCTCTGGCGCCGAGCAGAAGAACGTAAGTCACCGCCACAACAGTCTCTACCACCATGAACATCACAACTGACTTGCCCCTCAGGTCGAGAACGACGTATCAACGGCTATCCTCANNAGAAGAAGAAGAAGCCCAACTCATTGATGTAGGCGCCGCCATCACACCGCATCGCCACAATCTTACTGACATGCTCTCAGTGTCACCGACGCTACCAACGATGACAACTCTATCATCGCCCTTTCCAACAACACCATGGAGACTCTCCAGCTCTTCCGTGGCGACACCGTTCTGGTCAAGGGAAAGAAGCGCAAGGATACCGTCTTGATTGTTCTCGCCGACGACGATCTCGAGGATGGTCAGGCTCGCATCAACCGCGTTGTCCGCCACAACCTTCGTGTCAAGCACGGCGACATCATCACCGTCCACCCTTGCCCTGACATCAAATACGTGAGTCGACTCAACATCCTCCATCTTATTCCAGCGCTAACACCCACAACAGNNGCCAAGCGTATCGCAGTCCTTCCCATCGCCGACACAATCGAAGGCATCACTGGTTCTCTCTTCGACGTCTACCTCGCTCCCTACTTCCGTGAGGCATACAGACCCGTCCGCCAAGGCGACCTCTTCACATGCAGAGGTGGTATGAGACAAGTCGAGTTCAAGGTCGTTGAGGTGGATCCCCCAGAGTTCGGCATCGTCGCACAAGACACTGTCATCCACTGCGAAGGCGAACCCATCCAGCGCGAAGACGAGGAGGGTAACCTCAACGAGGTTGGCTACGACGACATTGGTGGTGTTCGCAAGCAAATGGCTCAAGTCCGTGAGCTCGTTGAACTGCCTCTGAGACATCCCCAACTCTTCAAGTCGATCGGTATCAAGCCTCCTCGTGGTATCCTCATGTACGGTCCTCCCGGTACCGGTAAGACTCTGATGGCCAGAGCTGTTGCCAACGAGACCGGTGCTTTCTTCTTCCTCATCAACGGTCCCGAAATCATGTCCAAGATGGCTGGTGAATCCGAATCCAACCTGCGCAAGGCCTTCGAGGAAGCCGAGAAGAACTCACCCGCAATCATCTTCATTGACGAGATCGACTCTATCGCCCCCAAGCGTGACAAGACCAACGGTGAAGTCGAGCGTCGTGTTGTTTCGCAACTCCTTACCCTCATGGACGGCATGAAGGCTCGTTCCAACATCGTTGTCATGGCCGCCACTAACCGCCCCAACTCGATTGACCCTGCCCTTCGTCGTTTCGGCCGCTTTGACCGTGAAGTCGACATTGGCATTCCCGACCCTACCGGCCGTCTCGAGATCCTCCAAATTCACACCAAGAACATGAAGCTCGGTGACGATGTTGACCTTGAGAGCATCGCCGCTGAGACTCACGGTTACGTCGGTTCCGATATTGCAGCTCTCTGCTCAGAAGCTGCCATGCAACAGATTCGTGAAAAGATGGACTTGATCGACTTGGACGAGGACACAATCGATGCTGAAGTCCTCGACTCGCTGGGTGTTACCATGGAGAACTTCAGATTCGCTCTCGGTGTCTCCAACCCTTCGGCACTCCGCGAGGTTGCCGTTGTCGAGGTTCCCAACGTTCGCTGGGAGGATATCGGTGGTCTCGAGGAGGTCAAGCGCGAGCTCATCGAGTCCGTTCAGTACCCCGTCGACCACCCCGAAAAGTTCCTCAAGTTCGGTCTTTCACCATCAAAGGGTGTCCTCTTCTACGGACCTCCTGGTACTGGTAAGACTCTTCTTGCCAAGGCTGTCGCCAACGAGTGTGCTGCCAACTTCATCTCCGTCAAGGGTCCCGAACTTCTCTCTATGTGGTTCGGTGAGTCTGAGAGCAACATCCGTGACATCTTCGACAAGGCCCGTGCTGCTGCACCTTGCGTTGTCTTCCTTGACGAGTTGGATTCTATTGCCAAGTCTCGTGGTGGCTCAGGCGCTGGCGGTGATGCTGGTGGTGCTTCCGACCGTGTTGTCAACCAGCTTCTCACTGAGATGGATGGTATGACCTCAAAGAAGAACGTCTTCGTTATCGGTGCTACCAACCGTCCCGAGCAGCTCGACAACGCTCTCTGCCGTCCTGGACGTCTTGACACTCTCGTCTACGTTCCTCTTCCCGACGAGAAGTCTCGTGAGGGTATTCTCAGAGCTCAGCTCCGCAAGACTCCTGTCGCACCCGATGTCGATATCGCCTACATCGCTTCCAAGACCAACGGCTTCTCTGGTGCCGATCTCGGCTTCATCACTCAGCGTGCTGTCAAGCTCGCCATCAAGGAGGCCATCTCGACCGACATTGAGCGTACCAAGGCTCGTGAGGCTGCTGGTGAGGACGCTATGGAGGAGGATGCTGAGGACCCTGTTCCCGAGCTCACCCGTGCTCACTTCGAGGAGGCCATGCAGAGCGCTCGTAGATCCGTCACCGATGTCGAGATCAGAAGATACGAGAGCTTCGCTCAGCAGATGAAGCAGTCAAGTGGAAGCAACTTCTTCCGCTTCCCTGACGCCACAACTGGCGGCGAGAACGGCGGTCAGGACAACTTCGGCGAGGCTGGTGGCGATGACGATCTCTACAACTAAGAAAAGTTGAGAGGTGATATATCATGGCAAAGGCACTCTGATAGAAGCGAAGGAGCCTAGGGGAGTTTTTCTTAATGGAAGCCGCAATGGCACCACTTAGTGATGAATTGACGGCGTGCAATGGCTTGTCTTTTTCTAGCTATTTACGTAGTTCACGCAGGAATGTACTTCTGAACAACAAAAACTGCCAGTTGACTTGTGATTTGTATTGTAAAAGTATACGGCCCTAAAAAGAACGAGAAAATAACAAAAAGTGGTATCATCGGTGGTAACGTCCAAACGCTATCCAAATGCGGCGTTAGTCGATGGCTTTGTCGTCGAAATGGTATGGGATCAGCTTACCCATTGTGCATGCAAGAGTAGAGTAAAGAAGAGAACGAGGCGGAGATGGGAGAATCAAGCAGTGTCGACTTGACAGATTTTGTCCAACTCCTTCTTGACGACCTTGACAGCCTGAGTGATTGCCTCATCGGGAATAGCCAAAGAAGGATGATTCGAGTCTTTCGCAGTGTTCGGATCTGCCAGAGCTTCCTCGAGAATGCGTTCCATCAAGTCATCGTACTTGGTACATTCGCCAGAGCGCATGAGTTGAGTGACGTGGTTTTTGAGATTTGTCGACCAGCCTGAAGCCTGTAGTTCGTGGAGGAGGGCGTTTTGTATGACGGGGATACTTCCACCGTCGACGAGGGCGGTGGTGAGTTGAGTTTGAGTTGCAGGTTGGGTAGAGAAGCTTGTAGAGTCGTTGACGGCAAGCTTTTGTGACATTGTGATGTTTTTTGTCGAGGTGGACTTGTGATATGCAAGTTGAGTTTGATATGTTGACGGGGAAGTTCTTTGGCGTGTGGAGTGTCTAGGGCAAGTAGGGCAAGAGGTCGGGGTTGTCCAGGCTTGGCATATGCTTCCAGGCCGATCGACTGACGACGACAGGCACAAGAGGGGAAGACAGCACCAGTCTGTTCTACCTGCACACGCGCAGACACACTTGACCAGAATACACACGAGTCTCTCTGGCAGGCCTTCGTTACTCAGCCGCCACGTTTTATCACCAACGGTTCTGCCCCGGTTAGCGCCGCCTCCACGCCAGGGCGCGCGCAGTGGAATGTCAATGGCCGCCTACAAGACGTCGCAATACCACCATGATTCAGACCCCGAAGACGACTATCTGCACCCGACATATCACTCGCCAACTCTTCCGCGCTCTACCCTCAGCCTGCACGACGACCATACAGACGACGACGACATGACGACCAGTGCTGAGCACACGCCCACCACCTTCAGCCACTCGTTATCGCATTCTCTCAACCCGAGTCCGACAGGCCTGATTACCCAATGGACTGCTGAGCAGGTCGCCGACTGGGTCGCTTCTTTGGGTCTCACTCAGTATGCAGACGCCTTTGTTGACGAGGCCATTACCGGTCTGGCTCTTGTCGAAATGCAACACCACGACTTCAAGGAGATGGGAATCACGAGTGTTGGTCATCGTTTGTCGCTGCTCAGAGGTGTATACGACATCAAAATCAAGCAGAACATCCCTCTGGACCCGGATCACTACGTGCCTTTGTGTCAGTCACAGCCCATCTTGAACCCCCATAACAAGACTAACAACCATCCGCAGNCTGCTGGAGACCAAGCTCTGGATATGACGGCTACACAGGACGATATCGCCCGCATCATTGAGTCGATCCGTCTACGCGACTCACGCATTCTGTCGGCCGAGATTGAGCTCCGAACTTTGCGTGACCAATTCGAGCGTATCTCAGAAGAGAACAGAAAGTTGCGCGAAGACACTCTACCTGTCATTCGTATGGTCAAGGATCGTTCCCAACTACCTCCCACTCCAGCAGACGGACTCGGCACCCCTCCAGCAGACATCAAACCTGAAAAGATCACCAGTGGCTTGTCCCGCAAGTTCTCAACCAAAAAGCTTTTCCTTGGAGGTGCTCCCAAGAACCCTTCGCCTACCATTCATGAATCGTCCACTCTTGATCCATCTGCTGCTGCAATGGCTGCTACATCTCACCTGAACCCTTCGCATCCTCAAAACTCGCCCAACCAACTTTCACAACCCTCTCCTACATCTCCCGCATACACTTCCTCGGCGCAAGCCATGTCCGCAGGCAATCGCTCCTTCCCACGCGATGTTCCTCCATCCGCTCGCCCTTCATACATCGAGGATCCGCGTCTATCGCATGTATCCCATGCACCATCTACAACAGCTCCATCAAGCAGAAGACCAGCAGCAACTCCCGCACCTCCACAAGAAGAGCCACCAAACAGTGCCCCACTACCACGCTCTACTCGCGAGAAGGACAATCCACAGGTTGAGATTTTCAAATCTTTCCGTGTGAGTATCGAAGACCCGTGCCACAAAGTCTTGCCTGTAGCCCTGCAAAGGTACAACATCAACGACGATTGGCGTCAATATTCTCTTTATATCGTCTATGGCGATCAGGAACGCTGCCTTGGTTTGGAAGAAAAACCACTCATGCTCTTCAAGCAACTCGAACGCGAAGGTGGTAAACCAATGTTCATGCTTCGCAAACACGCCGCTCCTCTTAACGAAGGCTGGTCCGCCAATCGCACCGTCCCCGCGGCAGAGATGCAAAACCCTGGTCCCAGCAGAGAAAGCGTGAGAAGAGAGAATGCAGACAACGGCCGCGCGTTACCTGGAGGTGTGCTCTAGGCGAGTACACCTCTTTCTAGGTTGATGCAGGATCTTGTAACCTTTCACCATGGTGGTGCCAAAATCACAGGCAGGAAACTGTGGTACTACCCGGCGCAGCAGATCTCGGAACATGCATTGAGGCATGGTGTTCAGATTGATCTGGATCATCTTGGTGGTACTGGAAAGAGGCAAGAGAGAAGGACAAGTCTATGTGAGCGGAGGGGAGTGCTAGGATTAAAGGTCCGAATCTCAAGATGAACGTCAAGCTATGCGGCAGATTTGGAAAACATTCCTCCGCCAATCTCGAGCATAACTTTTTGAACACAGTGGCTCGATCGTGTTAGAGCAATCTTATGACCCTTCTCAAATCTCATATCTTGCATTTATGATGGACCTGTGTACCGCTCAAAGCTCCTTGTGATACGACGATATCAGAGAAAGGTTAGAAATGCCTTGCTCACTTTTTTGCCTGGGAATGATCAAGCCATGTCAACATCGCTACAGATATCGCACTCTGCCCGTTTGGGACAAATAAGTGAGAAAGCTTATTGCTTTCGATAAGCAGAACACGCGGAAGTGGACCGCACATGGCATTTTTTGGTCTTTACGTGGAGCATTTGCGTATTGCAATCGAGTGCCCTAGAATCGGGCCAGATCAAAGTCATAGGTTATGACAAACAGCGACAGGGAGCCCGCGGGTATCAATCAAGCCCTTGTCTTTGCCGCGTGATGGCTCCGCTCTGGTAGCGGTCGCATCTCGACTTGGTATCTCCACGCGTCGAGCTTTCGCATGGACATGCTTGTTTAGGTATAGTGTACTTTTCTGGTGTATCACTGCTGCTGCTGGCTGTCCTGATGGATATATAAGTAGAGCTATTGTTCGCTCGAGGTGACACTGTTCTTCTGTTTCATACCATTCTCTTCTTTACTCTTGCCAGCCATGGCTCCCTCCCATCCTCTTTCTATCCTTTCCATCGCAGAGACCAATCTTGCTAGAGAGATTGTTCTCGCCCACCACGACAAGGAGGTTATCGACTTTAGAGAGATCTTCCTTCAGGAACCTACAAAGGCAGAATTGGTCAAGTACCTTCAACTTGAACACTCTGGTCGCTTGTCTCCTTCCTCGCCTCGTCCTGCTCGTCTTGCCAAGTGTCAGTACGATGTCATTGGCCAGGACAGAATCCCTTCCTACCATGAGTGTGTGGTGGATATTGGATCCAGACAGAGAATCAAGCACGAGATTATTGGTAAAGAACATCAAGCTGCTTTGACGCTGTAAGTTTGTGTGTTACATACTATACACACATCAAGTCTAACCCCTTTGATAGCANAAGAATTCGAGGTCCTTGTCAATGTCTGCAAGGCTGACCCCAAATTCAAGCAAGCAATTGCCGAACTCAACATCCCCGATTACTATGAGATTGTCGTTGAGCCTTGGCCTTATGGAGGTCTTGACGAAGAAGATGAGAGTCGTCGTTACTTCCAAGGACTCATCTTCGCTCAAGACACACGCAACAACAATGCCGACTCCAATTTCTACGCTTTTCCTCTTCCTCTGATTCCCGTTCTGGACATCCACAAANAGGAGATTTGCAGGATTGACAAACTGGCTACTGGTGGCAAGAATGATGCTCTTAGTGGAAAAACCCACGCAGAAAAGATTCTGGAGCATTGCACCACTGCCGAATATGTTCCTGAACTGCTTCCCCAGGGACTCAGACAAGATCTCAAGACTTTGAATGTGTTGCAACCCGATGGGCCTTCGTTCAAGGTTACAGACGAGTCTCTGGTGGAATGGCAGAAATGGAGATTCAGAGTTTCGTTCAACCCTCGCGAAGGCGCTGTTGTCCATGACGTGCACTACGATGGCAGAAGCGTTCTCTACCGCCTCTCGGTCTCGGAAATGACTGTTCCGTACGCAGATGCCAGGCCTCCCTTTCAACGCAAACAAGCCTTTGACTTTGGCGACGGCGGTGCTGGAAACTGTGCCAACAACCTCTCTTTGGGATGTGATTGTCTAGGCGTCATCAAATACTTTGACGCTGTGATTGTGGATGACGAAGGAAAAGGTAAAGTGCACCCTAATGTTATTTGTCTGCACGAACAAGACGAGGGCATTGGTTGGAAACACACAAACTGGCGTACAGGCCGTGCAGTAGTAACCCGCAGCCGCGTCCTTGTCATCCAATTCATCATCACCCTCGCAAACTACGAATACGTATTCGCCTACAAATTCGACCAATCGGGAGGCATCGACATCGAAACACGCGCCACGGGAATCGTCTCCTGTGTCAACATCGACGCCGGCAAAACCTCCAATTACGGAAATGTCGTCAACCCTGGCGTGCTGGCTCAAAACCACCAACACATTTTCGCTTTCAGGATTGATCCTGCGATTGATGGACATAACAACACAGTCATCACTGAAGAATCCCATCCAGTGCCCATGAACGCCAAAACAAACCCCCGCGGCAACTACTACGAAATCCGCAAAACGCCAGTGGAAACAGCAGCTTGGGCAGATGCCGAACCCCGTCTGAACCGCGTCTTCAAAATCGTAAACGAGAACATCAAAAACCCAATCTCTGGAAACAGTGTGGGCTACAAACTGGTTCCTCCTGCTACCCAACTGTTGCTTGCAGATCCGGCTTCAGTGCAAGCCCAACGCGCACAATTCGCTCAACACCATTTGTGGGTGACGAAATATAAAGACGACGAATTGTATGCGGGAGGAAGGTTTACAATGCAGTCTCGCAAAGAGGTTGATGGTGTAGCAGATGCAGTCGCCCGAGGCGACAAGACCAGAGATGCCGATGTGGTGCTGTGGAGTGTGTTTGGCTTGACTCACAACCCTCGCGTTGAGGATTGGCCTGTCATGCCTTGTGAGATCCATCAAGTGCATCTGCGTCCTGCGGATTTCTTTACTGCTAATCCTAGTATTGATGTGCCGCCGTCGAGTAACAAGGCTTCTGTGGAGGTGCCAAAGAGTTGTTGCCAACCTGCACAGGGGGAAGCTGTAGGCTGCTGCTTCGCGGGGACGTGCAAGAGAACAAGGAGGTAAAGGAGAGAGAAGGGACAACAGGATGTGGGAAGACGAGTGAGGTGCAGGTTCATCAAGACTCTCAGCGATGATTTTGTTCCTTGGGTATAAAAGTAATCCAAGTCTCAATCCCATATACCAATCCAATTCCATATATCAACCAACAAGAACGACGACTTTTAGATTTTTTTAATACTCCTTTGTTTTTGGCGGCGTGGGATTTGCGTTGATGGATACTTCTCTCGGTGTTTTCCCCTTTGTTTATCCATAGTGTCAGACCTTCCATGTCGAGTTTTATGCAGGCTTACATTTGTGCAGGCTGTGCATGTGCACAAAATTTGAGCTGGCTGGACCCTAACTGTTACCGAACTAAGCGCAACAGCTCGAAGGTCATTCTTCAGCTCCTTAGCTGCTTCAGAACATCGCATACGTAGCCTAGTAGACTGATTCGGGCTCAGCTCGAATATGCATGAACGTTGTCTTCTAGACCTTTGTCATGCAAGAGACCATAGCTGAATCAAGCTGAGGTAAACCGTAGCCGCGGCGTGCACACTGGCCGATACCCCCTTAAGATCGGTCATGCCCAAGTCCCCTTCGCTCTGAATGGCTCATAAGAACATCAAGTGATTCTCTTCTGAGTACGACCGGTCTTTGAGCATAGAAGAAGTCTGGCAATATCTAAGCAGCTACACTATCGATTCCTTTACTCTGACAAAACAGCCCTTGAACACCGCAACGTGATTACGACGATGGCACAGCACAATCAGGATTTACCTTGTTCGAAGAATACCGGGCGTCTGCTCAGTGTCAGTCAAGGTCTTGTTACCTTGAACACGTCGCTTTTGAAAGTTCAGCCTGTCATGGCAGAGGCGGTTGTCATGACCTCCATTATCGATGGCTATATTCAAAATGTGGTGACTACATTAGACTTCATGGATACAGCACTGGAGATCCCCGACAACGTTATGGCTCTGCTCAAACATCTGGCAAAGCTGATGCCGAACATTGGTCCTATGCTTTTACAGGCCGCTGACACTATCTCTGAACTCGACCTAGGATCAAGAATGAGGAGAGATTCAGATCAGATCAAGCGGATTGTCAGAATTGTAAGGTAGCATCCCGTTGATCCAAGCCGTTTCTGATAAGATGACAGGCAAAGGAACAAGCAGTCGCAGAATTCAAGCGAGCCGTCACATCAGCATCTCAGAACATGGATGTCATGACGTCCAAGCTACCAATCTGGCGCGAAAGAGTGAAAATCATGGGTCGTGTGTTCCGACTTGTGGACATTGTATTCTACACGCTTGCAGACCAAATCGACAACCGAGAGATTGAGCAGGTCATGATGCAGAAACTCGTAAGGGACCTGGGCAAAGTAAAACCGATCCTTGTAGCTAATCAAAACAGAATGAAATCTCTGGTGCAATGCTCGATGGTCTACAGTAAGCGCTGATCTTCCAATATCGGGAAACCTCATCTGAACTTCTTGCAGAGACCTACTAAAAGCGTTTCGCCCAATCCAGGACTTTATCTCGAATGCATGGCAGGCTTTCAAGATCACTATAGGAGACGCGGTTCGTTGGCTCGTTCCACATTGAATGGGCTGCGCTGACGTTATCCACAGCTCAACTCTAGTCTACAGACCTTCTTCAAGATGTTCCAGCCTTTGTTCGACGTTATGAAACACTGTTTAGGCGTTTTCGACACGGTGAAGGAGGTCTTCCAGCCATTTCTCTGGGTTCTGGTAAGTTTTGATCACAGGCGACGCTAGCTAGACACTTATGTCACAAATAGGATGGCATTTCTGGCCTCTGGGAGAAGACCATCGGACAATTGACTGCTTGGGTGCAGAACGAACTTGGCATCACAGCATTTGTTGACGGTCTCGTCAGTCAATTGCAGCAAGCCTTGGGCTTGGACGAGTTGAAGGAGACGACTAAAGCGCTTTTTGAGGACGCCATGCCCGGCTGTTCTAGCTCCTTGCATATGATTGTTGATGGTGACGATTCCATCGTCGCTACTACGACTAAGGTAGGAACGTCATGTACGAGTATAGGGAGACCAGCTAAAAATTCTTTATCCAGTTTGCAGATACGATGTCCAGCTACAAGGATGACCCTGCTGGCACGCTAGTGGAAGTTTTGGTCAAAGGTGATCCACAATCACCAATACGAGTGGTCATAACTAACATATGTAGCATTCGATCTTGGGCCTCCATTGCACCCCATACTAGCACCGAATGCGTTGAGTCTGGATGACATGCTCGATTTCGAGCGAAAGCCTGGGTTGGTAATGCCAACGTATCGTTACATGTACGAATCGATGGACAACGGTCTCGACAAGGTCCAGATCCACCAGAAAGCTATAGATGGCTTTTTGGCAGGATCTTGGTCAGTCCCAGGCCCTTACGACATTGTTGTTACAAAATTGGAATCCCCTACCAAAGGCCTTGACTTGGAGTTTGGAGCGCCAAAACTCATTAACACCCTGCAGCAACCACCAATCAAAAACATTGCGTTGGACAGTGGCACTTTGGCACCGAAGCTCAGTTATGCGACATACCAAGATGAGTGTGTCTCTGTCGCTCTGCGGACCAGTCATATACCAGTCGTCGAACTCTACAACAAGTCTGCTTCGACTAATCTTCTTCCCCTGGATTATCCCGACGAAAATCGACGAGCTGCAAAAGAGGTCACTCTGAAATAGAGACTCAATCATGTGACGAACCCTCGCCACGAAAACGCATCAAACACGATGATTCCACAGACAAAGGGTCGGATGTTCAGCACAAAGACTACTCGTCCCAGTCGATCGCTGTCTTGGTCGACTCTCATACTTATGAAGTCATCGAGGACGCAACGAGACCTGGCTTCTCGGCGCTTACCAGTGTTGTTGCTAGACTGAATAAAACAACTGTGAGCGCGGGCTGTAGCTTACAGGCGATTGCAGCCAGCTTTGTGCTAGCAGACAGAACATTTGCAGCCTTCGACCCCAGAAGCATGGACTTTGTCAACCATCTAGTTGTACAACTATACAGTTTGGAGCCAATTCTGGAAGTCGTCAGGAACCTTCTTGAGATGCCATTCCATCATCGGAAAAGACTAGCCACAGTTGCGCAGGCCTTGAGCTCCACAGACATAGACGCTTCAGGCATCTTCGACGCCATATTCAAAGTTCTGGCGGGTTTGAAGCAGTGTACTGAAGATTTCGAAAAGCACAGAGTCGATCTTATTGAAAGAATGGGCCAACTGGAGAAGACTTACACCAGATTCGGCACTCATATCCAGGAGATTCGCTCACAGAGCTCTTTTCCGACTGTCCTTGGTCCCAATGTACAGGACCTCACCTCATTTGGCAAGGCGATCGAAAATCGCCGCTCTGCAACATTGACTTCTTTCGCACAGACTGTGTTAATGGCCGAACGCATATTCTCATATCAGTTCCAGAATCCCGAAACAGAACTTCTTTCGGACCTCGATCAGATATGTCATCGCCTTGCAGAAAGAGCGGAGGTCATAGTGTGCAAGATTGCTCAAGCCTCAGAGAAAGTGGTTCGCGTACACAGTACACTTGGAAAAGTTCACGAAGACGTAAAGTCTTTCTACAAAGTGAGTTTGTCGAAATCTTGGGATATACCTTTACTGATCAGATAAAAGTCAGCGTCACTAGTCTCCAAACACTGTCGCGAACTAGAGGCCAAACTCATCGCGGCAGACAAGATCAGTGATTTTTGTGCCAGGGTCAACAATATTTTCGCGCCACTTCAATCAGTCCTCGACGCCCTCGGGTTCAAAGCTGAGGAGGACAGTTCAGAACGCAAACAAAAACCAGAGCCGATTGTTATGAAAGAAACGCTGCGAGCATTGAAGCAGGTTGATTTAGTCGCCAACGAGTTACCCAGTAAGCAGCATTAATCCTATCAACAGCACCTACTTACAAAGTCGTACACAGGCCTGCTGTCTCAGAGAGTAGACGAACTCGCCAGGAGATATTTCCTCTTCGACAATCTAGAAAACATGATACAGAACCTGGAGTCTCGCGTGTCCAAAGACCTTGCCGCTCACTTGCATGAGCATGACGAAGCTTTGATGGACTTATATGCTCTTGTGAAGCCGGAGCTGGCTTTCAACATCAAACCAGACCCAGAAATGCCTCAAATGCTGATTGAAAACGCATTGTTCGATGACCAGACTCAAAAAGATATGCTGGCCATCATGTTGAGATTCCAGCATTTGATTGAAAGAGATCAAGCTAAGCTCGTGCAGGCTGAGCAACGTACTCACAACCACAAGGACACTGTGCCAGCACCGCCTAGCGAGAAGGAATTGTCAAAGGCTGAGGACGACGCCGGGCATACATCCGACACCGACGATGATTTCGGTTTTCGGCTTTGGGATTGATACTTGAGAATCTGATTGGTATTTGTGATCTTAGAAAGCTGGTAGTCTTGAGACGAGCTACCAGTGTCTTTTCATATGAGCTATTAAAAAGTAGTCCGCAGCGCGAAACATAGAAATTGTTGAGGTACTTCGAAGCTCTTTCACCCTGTCGTGCATGTTATATGCATTGCAACTTCTCTACGGTGGAGATTGATTGTCGTACGGATAGGCTAGAACTGATGTCGAAGAGGATATCGGTGAGTTTTGAGAAGCACTGTATGCTGAAGCCGTATGAAAAAAAAAAGCAGTAGATGTGGTGCATTCACGGACTACATATCGAATCCTTTTGGAAACTAGAATCTAGTCATAGACACCTTCTTCAAACTTGTCGGCATTGAAGAAAGTGCTCTGGACAATGCGCCCATTACCCAAAAAGTCTGTGCCGTCGCTTGCTTTGATGGCCTATATTCCGGGTCAGCAAATGCACTTTATCTGTTGAGGATTATCGCAACAACTTACGTTGAAAGCACTCAAAGCGCTGGTAAACTTGACAAACACCCTCCCAGTATCGCGATCAATAAACACACGTTCAGACCTTCCATACTGCTCCAATTTCTCTCCAATTCTCTGCATCAAATTGTCTTCTTCGATAGCCTTGTCGATATCCATGTCTCTAAGCATACCCTCAAACCTAGCAACAAGACTGAATGCTTTACTTTCGTCTACAGCAACATCGGTCTTTGTCTTNTTGCCACCCACAATGCGACCCATGGCTGCAGGTTGCGCCCACCCACCGCCTTCGGAATCGGCTTTGCGTTTTCGCTTTGTGGCTTCGTGGCGCAGGATGGTGGTTATACCGGTTGCTTCTTTGCCCAGACCTTCGCCTTTNTTCCAGCCCATTTTTTCCATGTAGCGTTGGGCGAAGCCTTTNTGTCCGGGTGCCGATGTGCGGACTGAGGGTTCGGGGTCTTGGGGTGGTGAGGTGTCGTTGGGTTCGGGAGTGTGGGTTGTGTTGTCTTGTGATGGGGCAGCTTGTTCGTAGCGCACAGGCTCGCGTGAGATGGTGCCTGATGGTTGTGATGGAGGAAGCTGCGCTGTGACGGGCGGAGGTGTAGCTTGATACAGCTCTGCGGGTGGTGGAGATGGAATGAAATGAGGTGGAGGGGGTGAATAGTATTGTAGACCAGGCAAAACAGGAGCTGCTGGGAATTGTGGAGGTGGAGGCGGAGGTGGATATTGGTTGAATGGAGGAGGTGGAGGGTGGGCTACAGGCACGATAGCAGCCAGAGGAGGTGGTGAGGCAGACGCAGGTTGAGAGGTGGCAGGAGGATTGGCAGGCTCAGTGAGTTCTTGCGGAGGCGGCATGTTCTTGTAGGAGACGTCTGTTGGCAGTCTAGGTTCATCTCTTGCTGGTGGAGGAGTTCCAGGACGTCTGAATGAGTGGAGTGTTTCCTTCCACTGGTAGCGGGCATTGAACTTGGAGTCGGAATGCTTCCAAGCATCTAGACGTAGCTTGGTACGAGTCTTGGTGAAGGCATCCTGGACATTGTAGGGTGCAGACCAGTCGATATCTTGAATGTGCAACGAAGCNCTTTTGGATCTCTTGGTCTTGCGCTCCTCCTTCAGACGGGCTTTCTGTTCTTCCTGGAACTTGTGATATTCATTGACGATATCAAAGTCTTGTTGCTGAGATTCGTTCCATTTCTGGACAATGGGACCAGTTGCGACAGGAGCGGCAGGAAGCGGAGGGGCTTTGGTCACCAGAGTGGGATTCGAGTTGGGCCTAGGTTTCTGCTTGGTCGCAGGCTGGGGGCGCTTGATGGCAGGCTGGAAACGGAGAGAGGCTNNGCGTGTCGTTGAGGATCAGCTCGCCTTTTTAGTTATACGGCTGCTTCAGGTACCATCGGGTGTTTTCTTTTCCACTGGCGCTGGAGCTTCGTCTTCTTTCTTGAACGAGTATTTGACGGGCGCGCCGGAGATTGTCGCAGCGGCTGGGGCTGCTGCTGGGTCCAGTAGGTTTGCATATAGTGACGGCGGCATTTCAATCTTGGGTGACTGTGTGAGCAACGAGACTCGGCGGACCTTGAAATGTCGCTGCAAGTGGCCGAACAGAGACAAGCAACAAGTTGACGCGCCAAGCCCGAGTCTCAGGGCTCTGCGGGAGCGGGGAAAGCTCGGATCTGTTTATGTCACCATCATCAACTCCACCCGCACCTTCCTCCGATTACCCGCCGCAACTGCCAGTTACAATAGATACCGCATACTTTCTTATCGCTCCTTCCTTTTCTGTTTCCATTGTCTATATACCTGTCATATTTCTCTGCTCTTTCCAATTGACACGCAATATTGCAAAAGCTACCACAATGACGACCCTCACAAACGCTTTCTCACATTCGTCTCATGACACGGCCATTATCGTGCCTGGAAAGCAGCCTTTGACTGTGTCATACGAGCAACTCACAGCAGACATTCTCTCCTTCCAAGAGAAGCTCGCACGTCTAGGCATCACTCCTGGCTCGGCAGTCTCGATCGCTCTCNCCAACACATACCCATTCATTGTCGCTTTCCTTGCAACCGCCTGGCAGCGTGCCATTGCCGCCCCTCTCAACCCTGCATACAAGCAATCCGAGTTCGAGTTCTACATTGATGACTTGAAGTCTGCTCTCGTCCTGGTACCCCAAGGTCTGGCAGATGGTCCTGCTGTCAAGGCTGCCACCAAATACAATGCTGCCGTCGCCGAGTGTTACTGGAATGGAAAAGAGGTCGTCCTGGATATCAAGAATGAGGGCAAGCTGAAGGGCAAGGGCAACAAGTCAATTGAATATGCTAAGCCTGACGACGTTGCTCTTGTCCTGCACACTAGCGGTACTACTGGCCGTCCCAAGGCTGTCCCTCTCTCCCACAAGAACTTGACACGCACAATGTCCAACATCAAGGCAACTTACGAGTTGACCAAGGACGATCGCACCATGCTGGTCATGCCCCTGTTCCACGTCCACGGTCTGCTTGCTGGTTTCCTTGCTCCCTTACTGTCTGGTGGTTCCGTCGTTGTGCCCCCTAAATTCTCGGCTTCGGACTTCTGGCATGACTTCCAGACTCACAAGGCAAACTGGTACACCGCTGTACCTACCATTCACCAAATCTTGCTCAAGAGTCCCACACCTTCTCCTCTGCCAAACATTCGCTTCATCAGATCCTGCTCTTCACCCTTGTCTCCCAAGGTCTTCCACGACCTCGAGAAGACATTCAAGGCTCCTGTCCTTGAAGCCTATGCCATGACCGAGGCTGCTCACCAAATGACCTCCAACCCTCTGCCGCACAAGGGTAAGCGTCAACCTGGCTCAGTCGGTGTTGGTCAAGGTGTCGAAATCAAGATCTTGGATCAGTCAGGCAAGGAAGTCTCGCAAGGCTCTGAAGCCGAAATCTGCATTCGCGGCGAGAACGTCACTACCGGCTATCTTAACAATCCTGAGGCAAACAAGTCCTCATTCACTGCTGAAGGCTTCTTCCGCACTGGCGACCAAGGCAAACAGGACGCTGACGGCTACGTGATCATCACTGGCAGAATCAAGGAACTCATCAACAAGGGTGGGGAGAAGATCAGTCCCATCGAACTCGACAATGTCATGGCACAACACCCTGCCGTCTCCGAAGCCGTCAGTTTCGCCATCGCAGACGACATGTACGGTCAAGACGTCGGTGTCGCCATTGTCCTCAAAGACAGCCAAAAGCTCGAACCTGCAGACCTCAAGTCCTGGATGGCCGAACGTGTCGCAAAGTTCAAGTTGCCCAAGAAGATCTTCTTCACTGATATCATGCCCAAGACTGCGACCGGCAAGATCCAGAGACGTATGGTCGCTGAAGCTATGCTCAAGCAAGAAGGCCCCAAGGCTAAGCTTTAGAATATTTTGAAAGTTGTGAATGTTTACTGTACATATTGTCTACATGTTTTCTGAAGATCTAGAAGACAGACTTATTGTCACACCCGAGCCATGCTGTTTCCCGACGCTTTTCTGAGGTCCAGATGGAGTGAGTTCCTATCAGACATCCCCTCTGACCATGCAACTAGTCCAGACTAGTAACTATGAATATAACGTGATACCTTTGTCTTATCTCTGTTTTACTCTAACCTTTTGAACCCGGTCACAATTCTTTCAAGGAGGAAAAAAGATGGGCAATGTTGATACTAAAGATGTCAAAGTTGCTGTTGTACACCCAACGCGGAATCTGTGCGTTTCGGCCCACGTTTTGGAGGCTCCTCCGTGACGGTCTTTCCATCAACTTATCGACGTCTGTACCTACCTAACTTGACCTGCTCCTTACCATATTATGGACGCTCGCTGATGAAGATGCGTCCAATGTCTGATGTCCCAACGCGATATTGCGTCCTTGTCAAAAAAAAAAACAGGCGCGTTTCACATCTCAGACTGTCCACATCGCGTCAATTTTCCTGACTCGCACCTGCTCAGCAGCGCAAGCACACCATGAGTTGCTTTCTTCTTTTGAGTCGACCTTGCCTTTCGAACGGATCTTCAATCAGTACACTTATTCATAACATCGAAAAAGCAAGCATCCCGCTTTTGAGCAACTCGTTCGCACACGATGGCCTCGATGTCGCTTCCTACCGAAGTCTTTCAACAGATCTTGTTGCTCTTACCTCGCCATGAGCTTTCTACCTGCGCCCGCGTTTCGAAAGTATGGCATACAACTATCACACCACTCTTATACAAGCATGTTGATTTGGTCTGGCGTCGCCCAGTGTCAATGTGCGATCGCGGCATGGATACACTTCTTCTTGATCCATGTCCTTGCGAAGAATTGGGGTACTGCGACCGCGTCAGACATCTTGACGCCCCTGTTTCTGGGGTTCTCATGCCCCGTAGACACAGTCATCACCTCAGCGCTAGCTGCATCGCGCAGCCCCTCGGAAGCCGGCGCTCGTATCCATCGTTGTATTTACTGGCACGAACGTTGATCTCGGCTCCTGGGTTGGCGCGTCTCATACGGCGTCTTCGCCTCACTGGACCGGTGCCTCGGTCTGTCTGGACGAATGCTGAGCAAACATGCCTCTCAATCTGTGATAGAAATCGTGCTCGACCCATTATTGACACCCATAGCCGTATTCCATCGAGTGAGTGGCTTGAGAAACTCGACAATGGCGAACCGACAGCATTTGTCGCTCTTATCCTAGCATGTATCACTGAATTGAGACAGTTAGAACTCGCTCCAGACCTTCAGGGAGCGTTGACCTTGGTGTCTTCTGAGTGTCTAGCAGAGCTTTTGCCGTGTCTGAATACTGCCTCGATTGGTGTCTGTGAGGAGAAAGTCTGGATGGGCAGAGGTAGAGCACCTCTCTCTCAACCATTGGACACTCCACAGCTTCTGTTCTTGAGATTACCTGCATTGCAATCGCTTACGCTCAGCATTCCGAGTCCAAGGATGAATGATGTACCGCCAGTCATGGAAATCATTCCAGCTACCTCAAGACTCCAGTCACTGACTCTCGGCTACACGCACCTCAACGAGCGAGGTCTCTATCGTCTGCTCCTTACTTGTCCCAATCTGCGATCATTGAAGTACGACTACTGGGTTCAATCACCTGGGGAGGATCCAGAACATCATCAGCCAGATCCTATGAGTGGCCCACCGAATACTACAAGCCAAGCACTTGTGGATGTTTGTACTCTTGAGCAAGCACTTCGTCTGATCAAAGACACCTTGCAGGCTTTGCATCTGCATATAGTGTCTCCACGAGGGGAATGGCATCAGCTGCTTCGCAGGATATCCTTCCGCGATTTCGCTCGTCTGACAACATTACATGCGCCTCTTCAACTGCTTCTCAACAAACAAGAGAAAGTCGACGGCAAGACGATGAAGCTCCATCAATCACTGCCTGCGACCCTGCAGGAGCTCTGGCCAAATGACGATGGAGCAGTGCTTTGGCTCAATCATTACGACTTCATTAGCCCTTACAACATCGATTGGACTTTGAACGACATGTGGTTCGGCCAGACAAATCATCCCATACACACGGACGAGGACATCGTCAGAGTCGTTGAAGACTACCTCTCAGGTTTCCATATACATACGCCGGCTTTGAGATCACTCAAGCTCCTCTTCTACTTTTTTGACTCTCCAGCTTGGGGCCAAAGGGATATCTCCATGATAAGAAATGCCTTGCTTCCGTTCAATGGTCACGAGAGAGTTACAGTTTCCGTCTTCGAGTTGCTCAAACGCTCATATAAATGTCAAGGCGGGAGTGATTCTTTGGCTACCAACGGACAATACCCTCCATACTTTCAAGAACGGTCCATCGAGGCAGCGACCGAGACAGACAAGTATATACGCGAACATTAAATCTCGCGCCGAACTTTTCCGAGCTTTGGTTTTTCGGCTAGAAAGTGCAATCTGTCCTGAATGGATGAGATTTGGACTGGGCAAATCGCTAGCGCATATCCTTTCTGCGTAAGTTGCATGTAACTCTTTGATCTTGCACGTCTCTGTAAGTTTTTTGTGCGGCGATTTCCGGGATTCAAACATTTTGCACGCTGCTGGAAAGGGAGAACAAAACTTTCGTGATCTCTTCTATAAGTGATCGGCCTTGTTCAACAATCAGGCATTACTTCTTCTGATGGTCTCTATGGATACCTCATGTGGCACTCATATCAACATACTGAGAAATGCTTCTACGTCTTGAATCTTACATCCTGTCAAGGATTGAAGGACGGTGAGTTCCTGTGGAACGATTCGTCGGCCACGATGACTGCGTTATGCATGCGTTTGCTTGGCACTCCTTCCATCGCCTTGCTTTGCTGTCGGTCAACCTTTCCTCCTTCTCTTACCTTTGGGCAACTTGCCGATTGAGTCTTTCTTCCAACCAGAACTCTGCGAACTTGCTTTCAGGTCCTGTATCGCGACTTTGTGTCCACCTTCTTCTTGATCAAAACATCCCATCACACATCGTTCTTTCCAGGATCCTACAGTGTTAGCAACAAGTCGCTGCAAGAGATGTCGGTGGATATGTCAGCACTGTCTGAAATGCAGATTCGAGTCTTCTTCGAGAACAACACTTCCGTGACGCAGAAGCAATGCGATGACAGAGCTCGAGAGATCTCCGGCAAGACCGTCAGTCCAACAACGTGCCAGGGTGGGAGTAGCTACACTGTCGCTGCAGGCGATAAGATTATCCAATTCCGCACACCAGGTTCTTTTCTGAACATGGATCTCATGGGTAGTATCGAACAAGCTTACCCAGACTTTGCACCGCGACACAAAGATTGTGGTCCATTTCACAATCTTCGCATTTATACGATGAACAACATTGGAGGAGAATCAATGTACATCGCCCGGGGCTCCTTGTACAAGGATAATTACAAACTCCTTCGAAACACCATAGACAGCTATGCACAGTTCGTCAGCAACTTCCTACCGATGTTGAGCTTCCTTGAACACAGGTCCTTGAGTCGGATCCATTTTCAACACGGCTGACTCAGATATGTTAGATTCTTCGTCTCCGCATATCATAATACGCCTGTGTCACTTGAGAAACCAGACCGTGGTGCGCTTTTCCAAACCTACCTGTCACAACTTCAAGAGCTGCGTAAGGGGCTTCCTGCTCGCTTCCACGCGCTGTTGGATACATTGATCCCCCGATTGCCTGGAATCCTCGATCAGACATGGCCATTAGTGCCCAATCATAAAGATCTTCTCGAGAACAACATTCATGTGGATTCTGCAACGGGTGCCATCATGGGCATCTGCGACTGGAGAGACGCAGAAGTAACGGCATGTCGCTCGGGGGACTTGAGACCATGCTCGGTTTTCGGACAACGAACGAGAATGGCTGGAGCTATTTCCCCAACCATAGTGAGCTTCGAGAGCAATTCTGCACCACATTCTACCGTCACCTGGGAACCGCGTCCGAAGCGCAGCGGCAGAGAATCGAGACCGCGAGACTGATTGGTCTCTTCTTGGCCAATGGTTTCGTGCAGGATGAGGGTGGCAATATGGCACCGGCTACACAGGACAGCTTGGACCTGCGATTTCTTGGAGCTGTTGTTCTCGCTCAAGATTCTATCTGAGGATCATTCAGTCCCAGCCGTTGTTAGTGCGGCTACCTTTTGTCAATTCTGACTGTTAGAGAGATAATTTGGATGTGACGCCGAGATTCTTATTCCTATGTGACCATCGATATATGGATGCAGGAATTGGGTCAATCACCTAGGCATCGAACACCCAGCCCAGAAAAGACCGACAAACAAGCTCGATCCGTCTACAGGTGCGGGATATCGAGTCGTACCAGCTGGGTACAGATGAGAGCATGAGGCGCGCTGCTAGTCAAGGAAGAGTTGACGCGGATACCGATAGTTCTTTTTTCCCCTTTTTTTTTCAAATTTAGGACCGCGATTGGTCATGACAATCTGATGAATGTTGGTCCAATCAAGGAAGAGTCAATATAGACATGCCTATGATTCATCGATAACAGTGTTTGACGATGAGGTCGGGGCTTCGGTATCAGTATCTGAGCACGGGGAGGTTACCTCAGGCAACCTGCTCTGCCGAATGGCATCGAGCGTAAAGTATGGCGGATCGTGGCCCTTTCGTCTCCACCGAGGCTCGCGACGCTCGTGTACCTTGTGGACAAAGATTTCGACACCAGCTTGTTCACCAAGCGGTAGCAAAATCGTCCTGATAAGCGCTTCGTCACGTTCTGCCCAGCAGGGCCAGTCAATAGTGTACAGGATCAACCTGAGTGACTTGAGATGCGGCACATGATTACGCCAGTCCGACAGAAAGCTTGATATGACACATATGATGTCCTTATCCGTGTGTATCGGGTGCCATGCGGGATCATAAACAGGGTTTATATTATCCTCAAAATAATAATGTTGGCGAGGGTTTTTGAAATGCTGGTGATTAAGCCAAAGGTAAGCACCATCATCATTGAGCCAGAGATGCTGCAGTGAGAAAGGGAGCGATTGGGCTAGTGTGTACAACGAGGTTTTGTTGGTCAAGAGCTGAAGTGGTACGTGTAACGTGGTCAACACATCAAACGCTGTAAAATCAAGGTTTTGCAGGTACTGATTGAACCAGTCGAAAGGTGGAATAATGTGAAGATGGAAGCACACCAGTGTCTCTCGAACAACCTCAAGAGCCTTTCCAAGTACCTGGGTATCCACCAGCCTCTCGCTCGATTGATCAGGGGTGTGTTGAGCAGCTCCGTTGACGTACGGGTCGCGGCTTGGAGATGTCGTCCAATAGTCGTATTTTAGGGTCCGCAGTCGAGGACAGGCTCGAAGCAAATGGACCAGATCGTGTTCGTCCAGAAAGGTATATGTCAATTCTAGCGTTTCTATACTGGTCATCAACTGACCAGGATGGATTTCCAACCACCAAAATGGTGTTAGAGGCCGAGGAAGATTCAGAGCAAGACTTTGAATTTGTGGAAGTCGCAAAGAGAGCAATTGGAAGAAGTTGTCAGCTTGCGGATATGGAGGTCTGCCGCTGCCCATCAGGACTGGTTCTTCGAAGATGCCAATAGATGCCTGACGCACGAGCGAGAGTCTTTGATTGAGCAAAGGAGCCCCAAGAATTGCTAGAGCGTCTTGGAGATAAGGGCCAAGATGGAACGATTGGAGTTTGGATAGACACATTAGAACAAGCGCGGCAAAGGCGCTAGGGCAGCCATGTTCGAGCCGACGGAGCAATCCACTCCTAGACATCTGCGAATCGCATTGTATAATTGTTCTGATATAGTTGAAGTCTTCGTCCGATAGAGCTGTTTGATCCGGATCTGTCCAGATAGAACGAGGAACAGGACCAGCAAGGCGGAAGCGATGGACCAATCGAGCCCGTGAAGGGAGAAGAAACGAGCGTTCTTGCCAACAGATACAATGACGGCCACGACTCGTCGACACAAGGTGTTTCCATAAGACAGTTGTACATAATACATCGGTGTCTCCTAGTCGCCCTAACCTCTAGGTGATGTTCAGGTTTGCAGAATCCCAATTTCACGCATGGGCAGAGGTCGGTTTGCAAGTTATCCCAGCTCTGCTCGCAAAAGACCTCGGGGCGTCGCCATGTCAGATCGATATGCTCATACAGAATTGAGATGGCGTGGTCACACCAAGTCTTCAACACAAGAGCGCAGTGCGTAAGTTGGGCGCGTGGGACGAGTGATAGGATCTGGCGAAATATCTCTGGAGGAAGCGTCGGCAATGAAGACATGTCGGATGGGGAGTCACTAAAGATTCGAGAGTCAAGCAACCTTTTTACGAGGAGATTTTATTTATGGTCAATGTTGCAGGATCGACCTGCCGACGAGTCAGGGCAGGCACAATCGTGTGGTCGGCCTAAACGGTGAAACTTTCGTTTCTTTCGTCTTCACAAGGCGACGCAACTTGTGATTGCTAGAGCCGCAATGCAGCTTCAAGCGCATCGGGTCGACCTTGCCAGTGTTGAAGATGCAGAACGCGTGAGCTGTGAGGTTGCGAAGAGAAACATGCACGGACCATCATTTCGGCTCCCAAGGAAAGCAGGGGGAGAAGACCTTGATGTACCAGGTAGTTGGGGATATCACAGTGTCTTGATGAACTTATCAGAGCATCGTGTCAGAGGTCGTTATATTAGGGTGTCACAATTCACAGCTTGCTAGCTTTCCAGTTAGGCTTCCTCTTCTCGACAAAGGCTTTGACACCTTCATGGATGTTCTCCCCCTGCAGGAGCTTCGGATATGTCTCTGCAATCAACTTCTCAGTCGCTGCATCCGCTCCCAGACCCTCCCATGCCAGGTTGACACCTTCACGACTGACAATGACAGCATCTGGACTGTTCCCTGCAATCTCCATGGCCACGGCCACGCACTCGGCCAGCACGTCTCCTTCAACCACACGATTGACCAATCCCCACTCTCGAGCCTCTTCGGCCTTCAACACACGTCCAGTCAGAGCCATCTCCATGGCACGCTGCTTGCCTACTACACGCGCGATACGAGGAAGAGCGCCTGCGATGGCCACAACACCACGCTTGACTTCAGGAAGAGAAAAGGTGGCTGACGAAGAAGCAAACACCATGTCGCTGTTGATGGCCATTTCACAGCCTCCGCCGAAGCAGATGCCGTTGACTGCTGCAATCACTGGCTTGCGTCCGCGACGACGTGACAGTCCACCAAAGCCCGAGGATGGCATCTTGCGCTGTTTGCCGGACGCATTGGCTTGATTCCACTCTAGAGGAACATGTCAGCTATAGGGCTTCGCAGAGATCAAACCAGATAATACCTTTNNGAGATCAGCACCTGCGCAGAACGCTCGGCCAGTGCCTGTGAGGATGCCCACACACAACTTGGGCTCTGCGTCCAACCACTTCCACACGGCATCTAGCTCTTCGTTGCCCTCTGCGCTGATACAGTTGAGTTGCTTTGGTCTGTTCAATGTCACCACCAATATTTCTGGGGTCGGGTACGACAAGATGCAATATTTGGTTGAGGGCGGAGATGTGCTGAATGCTGGGACTTTGGGAACAGGCGCCATTTTGAGTAAAGAGTGGGCACAGTCAACAATTGAATATATCAGGTGAGTACAATCTTGAGATTCAAAAGAATGCCGAGACTCGCGAGGGTTCAATGGAAGCAGAGCTGTGTTGCTCATATGGTGATAAGTTAAGAATCGCCGAGGTGGCTCTGTGTAGAGCTGCGGGGTGAGCGACGATCACAGCCGAGGGACGACGTCCAGCAGCTTTAAGCTTGACCAACCACCAACTTGTGCACCATCAAGGTACAAAATTTTTGAGCATCTAGTACATGGATCTTGTGCATTACGTCGCCAAAAACAAACCTATTGCTCACTCACACTCATGCCCTTTAACAAGACAAGCAACCCATAAGCACCAGGATCCGGCACACCTCTGGTCGCACTCTCGTCCAGATAAGTACTTCTTCCAAGCTTGGCCTCGAGGTTCTTTGTGCTTTCAACTCCTTTCTCCGCCTCCACAAGAGCTTTCTCGACATCTCCCGTTGACTTGAGCGTCTTAACGAAAGGGATCAGACAGTCCAACATTGTTCTGTCACCCAGTCTTGCTCGCGTATAGTTCAACAACTGGTCTAATGCAACCGACAATGCCGCAGCCACAGAGTCCGTCGAAGCCAACGCTGAAGACAGCGAGGTCAAGAATATACAGTACAACGCTCCAGATGTGCCTCCCATGTTGACCTCGAGGTCGCGTACAAGCTCGCTCAGCGTTTGAGGTAACTCCGAGAGATCCTTGTTCGCGATGAATTTGAGGACTTGTTTTGCGCCGTCGCGAAGAGTGTAGCCGCAATCGCCATCGCCGACGATTTCATCATATCGAGTGATGGTTGCTTCCTCCTTGATGACGGCATCGCAGCCATTTTCAATACGGCTACGGACTGTGTTGTCGGTGAATTTCATGTATCGCGAATCGACCTTGGTCAGACTGCTACCTTCCGTGACTTCATCGGCAAGTGGGTTTGTCGGTTCGCGCTGTGCTTCGAGATCCTGCTGGGAGATTGGACAGGCTGAGATGGAAAATCCTCTTGCCAGATCCTCGTGTTGCAAAAGCGTTGATGTGGACAAGCGGTAAGACAGTCCCGCGTTTTCTACTGATAGTCAGGACATGAGTTCAAACAAGTTTCAGTAACACTCACTGAGGTAGGTGGCAATCTCCAGGCCAAGGATGTAGTTCTCCAAGCGCGACAGACCATTGACATCTGAGTAGTGGATGGAATGCGTGATCTCATCTTTTTGGTCGAGGTGTGAGCCCAGGACACTATCTAGTGCTTTTACGATAGCATGCCTTGCTTCTTCGTAGCCACTGGCATCCCCGTCGGCATGTGATATGGCTGGTCGTCCGTCTTCTTTTCCAGTTTGGAACGTCGATGTTGTAGCCGTTGAGGCATCGAGGAATTTCTGCAGGACTTTGCGTGTATTTTCGATTGATGCCCTGAGTTGGTCAGCGTGGATTACTCAGAGTTTGCCTCGATCGCTTGCGTACCTTGTTGTCTCCGTGGCCGCACCCAAGAGATGGATCAGATGGTCTACCTCCAGGTCGCTCTCGAGTTCTACCTCTACCACCTCGTCCTCGTGAGTTGTCAACTTCTTCTGCTTGCCCGATCTGAGGATGACTATGCCAGCTTGTTGGCGGTGTCCAGCCTCATTGATCGCCTGCACAAGTTCTTGACTCGAGGGTNNCCTTTTTTCACTGTCGCTGTCGGTAACAACAGCGGTAATGTGCTTGTCCGAAAGCGATTTGCTTGAGAAGTTGCCAGCTCTTCCAACGACTACAACTCTGACAAGTTTGTCATTGGCGAGCGTCTCATCCACCAGCACTGTTTGGCCTTTCGCAGTCTTGACTGCCTTGACGGAAGGTCGGATCAATGGGTAAAGAGTGTTCCATCTCGTCGTGTTCTCGGTATCGAGCTGTTCCTTTGCGAACGGAATTGTTTGTTCGACGACGACCGCCATGTTGATTGCGGGGTAAAATGCGGGGATGGTATAGGGTGCTTCGAGGCTCAAAATACTCGGGTAGGGCGATAAGGTCGTGTTGGTGAAGACAAAAGAGAGAGCTAGGATTTTGTAAGAAGCTGGGAGCTACTTTACTTTTCTCTCTTTCTCACCTCTACCGTCCCGACATCGAGGCCTCCGAAACCCGTTCTCCTTCATGCGAGAGACGGCATGCCCCCCGCCGCGATGGAGCAAGCCACAATATTTCCTAATCCGGTAATCCGAGCGCTGGACCCCGCACCGAACATTCGGCGATCAGGCCGATTGATGTCGTTCTTCTCGGCGGGGCTGAACATTGTCCACCGAGAGATGGATTGATTCGGGCTGGATGTGTCAATTTGGCAACTCCGAGGTCATGGCTTGGATGGTCTTGAGCTGTCTACATGATTAGCTAACTCCGCAGCCTTCCCTTGTCTTTTTCATCCTTCTTCGCTGACCATATTTTGCTACATACAAGACTGCTCAGAGCCACAATCGATAATTGTTCAATAACGACCACACCATGGCAGCGGCAACACAACAAGCTACTCCAGCTGTCAAAGAGACGTTTCACTTCATCAACAAGCCTGAAGGTTCGACGCAAGCTCCGTTATCAACCATTTCGACATGCTAAAAATCAATAGATGCCATCAACGAAGCACTAGCAGGGCTAACTCACATCCATCCCAATCTGTCCTATAACCCACCCTACAAGATCTTATACCGTTCGGATCTAGGCACTTTCCGCAACAACCATGTAACGACGATCGGTTTCAGTGGAGGCGGTCACGAACCAATGTTCGGCGGCTTCGTGGGACCCAACTACCTCTCTGCCTATGTCAGCGGTAATATCTTTGCCTCGCCAACCGCAGCCCAAATTTACGAGGCCATCAGGATGTGTCAACCCACCGATGGATCAGGGAGTAAAGGCACATTGGTCGTGTGTGGCAACTATACTGGTGATATTCTCAATGCTGGACTGGCGATTACGCGAGCACAGGCTAGTGGCTACAAAGTCAGGTTTGTACCTGTGGGCGATGATGTTGCGGTCGGCAGGAAGAAGGGTGGAAAGGTTGGCCGCAGAGGATTGAGCGGTCATCTGATAGCTCTGAAGAGTGCTTGTGCTCTTGCTGCCAATGGAGAGAGTTTGGAGCGTGTAACGGAAGTCATGGAATATGTTGCTGCAAATGTCGGCACTGTTGGAGTTGCCTTTGACCGGTGAGTAGCATTCGCATGATGTATGAATTATCGAAACTGACAGAACCAGCNNGTCGCTTTACCCAATGCCACATTGACCGACTTACAAACTCTACCACCAGCAACTATCGAACTCGGTATGGGAGCACACGGCGAGCCTGGCTTGCGACAACTGAATCCTGTTCCATCGCCCGAGTCTCTTACAGCCCAGATGCTTGACTTACTCCTCGACATCTCCGACTCAGATCGAGCATTCATTCCTTTCTCCTCATCCTCATTCAAAGACACTTCATCCGCATCCCCCAACAAAGACAACGAAGTCGTGATATTGCTTAACTCACTTGGCAGCACGAGCGACGAGGTGCTTGCACGTTTCGTCGAGATAGCAATTGCGGATCTGACCAAACGCGGATTTGTGGTTAGAAGGGTTACTCTGGGTCCTCTGGTGACGAGTTTGAAGATGAGTGGATTTGGCATTACGGTCTGGCGGTTGCCGCCTGTTAGTGGAGAAGCGATGACTAGGGATGTGGCTTTAGAGCTTTGGGACACAAAGGTTGATGTTGCTGCTTGGAGACAGTAGTGGGCTGTTTCGGGTCCTCCAGGGCGAGAGTCTTCTTCCTTAATCGTATGTGTGGTACTGCGCATCGTGGTAATAATGCTTCTATACACAACTTAGGCAATCATATGTCGAGTCCCTAGCGAGTGTTATGATTTGATTTTTACTTGGCATGTTATGAATCCTTCGGCATGTAGGTCGGCCGTTCTCTAAAGCAACGTCTGACAAACCTGCACCTCTGTCTTCGGACTTGCCGCATTCTATGGCATGGAAACTGCATTGTCGAGTTTCAACGCAGCAGCCGGGCAGACAAATGCTTTCGCCCCGAGATTTTGTAAGCAGCCAGTGAGATTGCTTGGTCATCGCCAACGTTCCTGAATCCTTTCGGCGTCGGCACAATAATCATTTCACATGCTTTGCTTGCTACAATCGGACCACTCGAACATATATAAACGACCACAATGATTTAGTTTCTGGGGTATCAAACTCAACAGCAATTTTGCCTTCTCTGATTCAGCTTTGCTTTACTACTCTCGATAAAGACTCTGACATCTGCTTCTGTAATTACACCATGCCGTATACCGTCCTCATCTCCGGTGCCAACAAAGGCCTTGGTCTCTCCTTACTAGAAAAATACCTCAGTCGCCCTGACACCACCGCTATCGCCACTGTCCGCGACCCTTCCAGCAAAGAAGCCAAAGCCCTTCATGACATCCCCAGAGCTTCTGGCACCAACCTCATCATCGTCAAGGTCGAAAGCCGCTCCGACACCGACTGTCTCTCCGCCATCTCCACTCTCAAAGACCAAGGAGTGACACACCTCGACGTCGTCATCGCAAACGCAGGATACTACAATGTCCCCGCCGAACCTCAGGTTGCGAAGATCTCGTCTCAGGTCTTGTTGGAGCATTTTGATGTCAACACCGCGGGACCCATTAGACTTTTCCAGGCAGCCTTGCCTCTGCTTCACAAAGCAGAGAAGCCTGTCTTCATGTATATGTCATCCATGGCTGGCTCCATTGCAGCTACCGGAGAGGTTCCATTCCCTGTTGGTGTTTATGGTGCCTCCAAGGCAGCCTCCAACTTTTTGGTCCGCAGAGCTCACCAAGAGAATCCTGACTTGATTATCTTTTCCATGCATCCTGNNGGTTTGTGTCCTTTTGTTTCTAGCTATGAGAAAAAGTCGTTGCTGACTCTGGACAGAGCTGTGAAGACGCCTGGCGCTGTGCCGGTCATCGAGAGCATGGGCATGGCTGACGTCCCCAACTTCTTCACCACTCTGGAACAAAGCATCGATGGCATGGTTGATAGAGTAAGTCACGAGATCTGCACATACCTTTGGCCTACGAGGGGACCCTTTGCTGACACATACTCAGNNATCGACAACGCGACTAGAGAAGACACGTCGGGCAAATTCTGGTCTTTTGATGGCAGTGTCTTGCCGTGGTGAATTTGGAAGGCGCATTTGGAGGTACGGGGCACAGTTGCTCCGTGTCCGTTCGCAGGATCAGTGGAGACGTTGGGAATGGCTGTGGCTGACTAAGCCTTTATATCCAAGTTGTGGGAGAGACCCTGCTTACGATGCATTCTTCCATTGATACAACCTTGAGTCAAGCAAATCTTCTAAACTCCTTTAACTCACACTGATAGAATACATCATAAGAATTGTTGCTTCAGAAACAGTTGCCGAAGTGCATTGTTGACTTGGTGTTGTGCATCGATGGTAAAATTCCGAACATCTGTAATTTACAGTCCAAACTTTTGGTCCAGTCTGTTTATTACATATCTTGAAGTCGTTCAAAACATAGGTTGTCGACTGATATCACGAGTAGCGTTCGTGCTTCCAAACAATATGCCACGTATGCTAACAGATGCTCTTGTTCAGACGGCATAATCGGACACCTCGGAATGTCGACCACATTTGCTCGGCATGGTCGATAGACACGATCTTCTGGCGTATGTATGTGTGAACCAATTTGCTACTGATAGGTACGAAGACCAGGACGCTGAGAGATAACAGATTACGGCCCTCTACATGCCAGCAACTACTCTTTGCAACATTTTTGGTTCTCCATGTCTTGTTGTTCATCTAAAATGCAACACCAGCCTTGATCGCGCCAGGATACTTGCCGAGCAGACCACTAAGGAGATCAGTCCCATCCATTGTCATATCCTTGAATGCGGGACAGTTAAGACTCAACAACGGGTCCAAGACAGCATCAGTGACAAGCTTGAGCGGGATCTCAAGTGTCTTGAACAGCGAAGACAATGAATTCGGCGAGAATGTCTTCACGATTTCAAGAACAAAGCAAACCAGATTATTTCCTTCGAGCAGCGATGTGGCGTTCAAAACACCTCCAGTAATGTCTTCGAGGTCGAGGCCGGCAAAACTGTCAACAGTCCCGAGGTTTCCCCCGATGCTGGCTAGAATGGGGTATTTGAGGAACCATGCTACCAAGTCCAAGTTGAGTTCGATGAGGCCATAGTCTATGGGTCGTCTGTACCAGTTCGCGGGGATCTGCTCGTGGCCTTTATTGTATACGAGTCGGCCATTCTCCTCGTAGACGGCGTAGAAGCTGGCGAATACGTCCTTNGGCTGTGGGTGTGTCAGTCTAGCCCTTCGAAATATGTCTTAGCTGTGGATTAGCTTACTCAAGTGGCCTCCCATGGGGTTCTCTTTAGTGTGGTTGCTCAATATACGCCCAGTGAAGGCATAACCAGCGTTGCGAGCGATCATGCCAGTATACGGACCGTAGTAGAAGTTCGGATTGGTCGAGATGCTCTCTTGGAATCGCTTGGCTGCACGTGCGCCAATGTCGTCCATGGTAAGAACAAAATCGTCCGAAGTGTTGTAGGCCTCCATAAAGAGAGTCATGTTCATAGTGGACGCGTCACCAGTCACGTACAGATCGTCGCGCGTATTCGATGAGTCTGATTCGATCCAGTTGTGGGCTCCATCAAGGCCTCTGGGCGTACCGAGTAGTCCCAAAAGATTACCGAGTATGTTGTTAGTCTTTCGACTCTTGCCACCAATAGAGAATCCAGGGTTCAGTGAAAGCGGGTTGCCGACGCCTACAGTGCCCATGACTGCAAGCACAGTGATCAAATCGATACCCATGCCGTATACNTATGGCCAGTCAGCGTTATGCTCGAAGGAACTCTTAGTTTCATATATGGTTCTACCTTGATTGACGGCAGCAATCACTTCGAAAAANCTGTTTTCGGAACGTCCAAGTCAGCCAACAAACACAAGTTATGCTTGGTAACAACAACATACTCCAGCAATTCCATCATGAGATATGTAGCCGTGATTAGCGAGCGCATTGAGACCTGGACAGGGGCCTCTTTGATCGCCCCTCTCAAAGTCTGGTGCTTGGAAAGCGTGTCTGCCAGTCACTGCTTTAAGATCAGCGAGGATACGATTCTGGCGAATGCTGATAAGACACATACCATCGATGGGTGTGGTCATCGGGTCAAAAAAAGACGCTTCTCCTTCAATCGCAAGAGATTCTCATGCAAACCTTCTGGAGGGGTTGCAGAATCACTCAAAGCATTGTGTTGGACAAGCTTCGCAAAGTTCTCGGCAGTCGGAAACGAGTGTACGAGACCGCAAAAGACCAAGGTAAGGGCGCAAGACCCGAGTGAAAGAATGGACGCCTTCATGAAGAAAGCAAGCAGGTTGTGGCCTGCAGTTATGAGGCAAGGAACGACTATGGAGGCTTGAAAAGAGTTGTGTTAGAGAAGAATCTCGACAATGCTTCGACTGAAGGTGATCTTGAGCGACTCTGACAGATGTTGCACAGCGATGGGTATCAAATCTCAGGTCCGGGACGGCACGAGCTTTGGAAAGTGTTCTCAAGGAGGCAGTCCGTGGCATAATGTCGTTCTAATAGATTGATGGTGGTCATCCCCGAACGCGCCGACAACTCCCGTGATTGGGATCGTCCGAGCCGGATGATCTCAGCGACCCAGGAGAGCTTCAATGAGGATCCCAGAGCTCGATATGAGCACAAGGGCAGTTCTGTTCAAGACGCAAGACCTTACTGTGATGATTGGACAGGCCTTGATGCATTGCCACTTGGAGGACTGCAGGGAGTTAGATGGGGATTGAGGACGAAAGATGGCGGTTCGAGAGAACATGAGCACGCTCACAGAATGACCAAGTCGGTATCTGATTACCAGGCTCATGGATGATATCCTTGATTGAGCTCGAGCACGTTGGAGGGTCGTCAACTTGGGTCGCAGGAACAGATGAGGAAGTGCACGGTGCACATTGCGTCAGAGCACGCTTAGTCAGGCAGCTTCCCCACTCAGAATGTCGACCGTCGCTCGCTCAACAAGACGCAGTCAATCTTTCTGCTACCAACCCTTGGCCCAAGAAATGGGCACTCAATATATAAGTTCGACTGACTCGTACGAGGCCAACCCCATCCGAGCTGTCAACGTTCAACCCTGTCAGAATCCCTGACGTCTTCATGTACCTGCACTTGTACGGGTGCAGTTACCCGACCCGACATGTCGTATAGGATGGTCTCGATGGGCTGTATACAGCACTGTTTGTCGACTCGAGATTCTGCAAACGTCAACGATCTATCGTTTGGCCCAAATGTGAGTTACATCTGGACAAGCCAATCCAGGAATCACATGGCACGGAGCAATTCGTCCGACGGACCAGTCGTGCAAATGTATCAACACGCAGCCTTGGGCGCAACTGTATGTTGCTCCTCGTGGTTCAGAAGGATCATCGTCAAGAAGGCCCGGTAGGTCTAGCGCAGAGGGCTCCCTCGTTAATATCCGACACATTGTCTTGCATGAAGCGAGAAAGATGCTTGGTCTCATCACAGGTCTGAAGGACTGATGTGCCAACTTCCAAGTACCTGAGAGCATCTATCAATCACCCCCTCAGTAAGGTCCCAGGTCCACGAAATCCTTTAATATACATTTCCACACTAGGACGACCGCCCACGTATCCCATGGTCCCTGACTCTCAGCACGTAGATCAATCCACATGGCAGACCTCGAATTGAAGCTTGAGCATTCAAACTTACCAGACACTTCAGTCTGTTTCTGTTGAATGAGGTTGAAATAGGTCCATCCTCTTCTTCTAGAACACCCTTAGTCTTCCTGTTTGACTTGACGTCCTGTCACCACTTCACTCGTTGAATTGTGGCTCTATACCACTTTTTCCATCCGGGGTCAGGACAAAAGCTCAGCCAACATGAAAGCCCTTTTCGGCCTATCGGTAGCTTTGACTGCCATGATGGCGTCGACAAACGCTGCATCCGACGCGTCATCCGCTCTAGCGATGGCCCAGGCATCCTACCCGAAATGCACAGTGAGTGTGCTATCCAACTAGTAATACCATTCAAAACTGACAGCAGACTGCTTCTAGCTGGGCTGTCTCGCGAAGCTCATTCCTCAGTCATCTTGCTCACTGACTGATGTCAACTGCCTATGCACCAATGTTCCACTGAACGCGAATTTGACGTTATGTGTTGTGGAATCGTGCACCACTTATGAAGGCTTGAGTAAGAAGCTGAACCGACCCTTGATGAGCAACAGATTCAATAATTAACACTTGTCTCGCANNGTGACGAAGAATGTCTCCTCGACAATGTGTGGTGCCCCGGTACGGGATCAAACATTGAAACCGCTTCTTGTGGGAGTCATTGGTGGCGCCATTGCGTTGATGATATTCATGCTACGACTATGCTCTGCTCTACCAGTCGCGGGGCGTCTTATGGGCTGGGACGATTATGCCATCTGTGTCGCAGTAGCTCTTGGCGTACCTCCGACCGTATTCTCTGTCCTTTGTATGTTCAAAAATCCCCTTGACTTCCAATGCTGAATAAGCTAACTCGATGTCTGTANNGTATCCAAGAACGGTCTGGGGAAAGACATGTGGACACTTCCGCTATCGAACATCGAGAATGTTCTTTTCGTATGCATCTCTGGCTGTCAAAGCAACGGTACATCCATTGACATGACATAGTATTACTATCTTGGAGAGATCTTCTACTTCGCCTCACTTACAGCGACCAAGATCTCGCTTCTTGCTTTCTTTCTCCGCGTCTTCCCACAGAAAGCTTTTCGCCAAGTCATCTACGTCGTCATCGGGATCTGTGTAGCCTATGGTGTCTCGTTTGTTCTGGCCACTACTTTCCAATGTTACCCGGTTCCATACTCATGGAAGCAACTCGACGACAGTTATGAGGGTTCTTGTAACAATATTCACATACAGGGATGGATGAGTGCGATCTTCAACATTGTCATCGACATCATCATTCTTGTGCTTCCATTGAAGGAGCTCTACGCACTACAGACAAGCTTGAAANAGAAGTTGATGGTCATGGTGATGTTCTCACTGGGTATCTTGTAAGTCACTCAGACTGACAATCATTTTGATTTGGCTAACGGGTCTTTGTGACAGTNNGTTACATTCGTCAGTGTTGTCCGGCTGCACTCTTTGATTATTTTCGCAAACACTCAAAACATCACATGTAAGTTGCATACTGAATCACCATTTCTCAAATCAATCTGACATCTACGTCCAGNNGGGGATTATAATGACGCAGCTTGGTGGAGCACCGTCGAAATTCACGTAGGGATCATCTGTGCATGCCTACCATCAGTGCGAGCCCTCTTTGTTTCCCTAGGCGCATCTTCTCTCGGTACCACCAGAGCCAATTCCAGAGCAACTGGTCATCAGGCTTCAAGTCACTCGGGGCTCACTGGGAGCTCACTTGGAGGCAGCAAAATTGGCGCGCTGGTGAAGGAAAGGCCAGTTTCTGTGCCAAAACACGGAGATGAGGAGGACTTTATCCCATTGGTTGATATGGCCAACAGCAAGGGTTAGTTCTAAACCTCTCACTTGATCGCGAAACTTCGATTTCGAGCAGGGCAAAACTACACTTGCCTCCGACCACTGCCAAAGGAGCAGAATACCCCTGTCGGCTTGGAAGCTGAAAATCCGAACAACAAACTATTCTAGATCTGGAATCACACAGCTGGACAAGCCATGAAGAATACCTTTCCTTTGTCAATCCAAACACGATTTTGCTCCTCGCTGGCAATCTGGATCACGCACCGAAGGGTTCAATGTACATGTCGTCTCTTGCCCGAAGGATGCTGTCGAGGAGTCAAGCAAAGCAACGCCGAAGACCAGATGCATTTGCAAACAGCTCAACTCCTGAGAAGCGACCAGCGTGCCGCCGACGCCTTCTCGATACATGCTGGTCATCAAGGAACGATCAATGAGCACGAGGGCAATATCATATCGTCTAATTTTCTCCCTTCTCATCCTGAATTGCGCTAGAGTATACATCCAGTGGAAATGTGCCATGATCTCAAGCTGCGACAGGAGGTTCCTTGATTTGAGTTTTGGACAATGGATCATCGCCGTGCTCATCAGAAAAACCAAGGTTCAGATTCCCTCCAATACCGCAGCTTGGATATGAAGTAATCCAAGAAATCACCCCGAGCAACATTGAATGTGGAATTCCACGCTCAAACCATGATGCTGTGGTGCTATAGAATCACAATGGTCAAATGGTTTGGTCGTCCGGGCACGGACTCGGGAGTCAGCCGCTGTCTCATGAACCTTGAGTCAGGGATGTCGACAAAGTGTCGTGCCCAGCTGGGGTCTCACCGCTCTGTTCCCAGAAGCTACAGACCTCGTTCGCCCATGTCGATTTAGGGCAAAGGATTCTGCTGTTAAATGTCAAAGCAACAAAGCTGCATATTAATTCATATGGAGCCGACGTCGAACACGGCAGATGATCGGCACTGATATGAAGGGCCAACTAGCAGGGGCACCCCACCGATTCATCACCGACATCATTTATTTTCCTTTCCTCAATACCTGACGGCTACCTTTCCTCCATGAGCCCAATTTATTCGCGTTTGTGAGTGTATAGCTCTCTCTAAAGATCAATTGGGATCATCCAAATTTTCGGTCGAAGATTGGACCCATACTGTGATGGACCGACTAAGCGTGCCGTATGGCACGAGCACGTTCCGAGCACAATTTGGGGCACTACTCGACTCAAGCATCAAGTGTCGTTTGTAGGTTTATATCATGCTCAGGCGTCCTTTCTGCAACGCCCTTCTTGTTTCTCATCCACGAGGGCCAACCACAGTCATTCATTCATTTCTTACCCACCGGTTCCCCGACACCCACTCTTTTTCTGCTTGAACAGTCATTCCGGACTGTTTTTACCCATCGCGTTTCATTTTACTCTCTTTTAGATACTCCGTTTCTTAATATTCGCTATGAAGGTCCTCAGCACTATTGCAGTATGCGCTGCAGGTGCACAAGCGTGAGTCAGACCAAGCACTGCATAATCTAGACGACCTTTCTGTCGAAGGTCTCTCTCCGAGTGGTTGTACTCACATACATTAGGTNTTGAGTGGACATGGCCAAAACTCTCCGATGACCCGCAGTATCCTCCTAATGGTTACAACTTCCCCACCAAAGGACCCGTCGCCAACTCTACTTACGAGTACATCGTCGTCGGATCTGGCCCCGGTGGTTCGCCTCTTGCAGCTCGTCTTGCTCTTGCTGGCTACAGCGTCTTGCTCATTGACGCAGGTGAGGACCATGGTACAGACAGACAAGTTCAGGTTCCTGCTCTGCACCCCTACGCCAGCACGTATCACCCTATTCAATGGGACTTCTTTGTCGACCACTATGCCGATGAGGAACAAGCCAAGCGCGACTCCAAGATGACTTACGTTACGCCATCCGGCGAGTACTACTCTGGTCTAAACCCTCCTGAGGGTTCCGTGAGAAAGGGCATCCTCTATCCCAGAACTGGTGCTCTTGGTGGTTGCGCTCAACACAACGCTTTGGTCACCATTCTTCCCACCGAGAAGGATTGGAACGATATCGCCACTCTGACTGGAGACGAGTCATGGATGGCCAGCAACATGCGCAAGTACTTCGAGAAGCTCGAACGCAACCGCTACTTGCCTAGCAGCATCATCGGCCATGGTTACGGTGGTTGGTTGGAAACTCGCGTTACGCCTGTTCTTCTCATTGCTGAAGACTTGAAGGTCTTGTCGCTTGTCGTTGCTGCTGCCACTGCTATGGGTAGAGGTCTGATCAGCGGTCTTTTGCACACCGTCACTGGTCTTGCTGAGGTACGTATACTTACCACTCTGAGACCCGGGTCAATGCTAACTATTGCATCTAGANTTCTCACTCTCGACATCAACAACCCCACCCCATCCCGCGACAACGATGAGCTCATTTACCAGATCCCTCTGTCTATGGACGGAGACTATGTCCGCAGCTCTCCTCGCGACTTTGTTCTCCAGATCGCAGGAGCTACCAACAAGGATGGCTCCAAGAAGTACAAGCTTGACATCGCTCTTAACACTCTGGTTACCAAGGTCAACTTCGACACCTCCAACACCAAGCCTATGGCAACTGGCGTTGACTACCTCTTTGGTCAAAGCCTGTACCGCGCCGATCCCCGTGCCGGCACTGAGGACAGCGGCATATCTGGAACCGTTCATGCAAGCCGTGAGGTCATTGTCTCTGGAGGAGCTTTCAACACACCCCAAATCTTGAAGCTCAGTGGTGTCGGCCCTGCTCAAGAGCTCCAGTCTCATGGCATCGAGGTCATCAAGGATCTTCCTGGTGTTGGTGGCAACATGCAAGACAGATACGAGGTCGGTGTTGTCGGCAAGGCACCATCCGAGTTTTCTCTCCTCAAGAAGTGCACTTTCCTCGAAGGCGATGACCCTTGCTACGACAACTGGAAGAACAACGTTGGAGCTCTCAAGGGTGGCTACACTACCAACGGTATCGCCTTCGGTTTCCTCCACCACTCTTCCGTTTCTGAAAGCGATCCTGATCTTTTCCTTGGTGGTGTGCCTGCGTACTTCAACGGTTACTTCCCTGGTTACTCTGCTCACGCCACCCAAGATCTCAGCATCTGGACTTGGCTGACTCTCAAGGCTCACTCTCGTAACAACGCTGGAACCGTCAATCTGACCTCTGCTAACCCTCGCGACACTCCCAAGATTGTCTTCCACTCACTCGGTGAAGGCATCGGTGGCGACAAGGATCTCCAAGCCGTCTACGAGGGTGTCCAGCACGGGATCAAGGCCTTCAAGGACCTGATCCCTCTCGATGGCAAGTTTGACCGCGTTTGGCCTCCACCTGAGATGACTTCTGAAGAGGATCTCAAGCAGTTCATCAAGGATGAGGCTTGGGGCCACCACGCTTCTTGCACTGCTCCCATTGGTGCTGATGACGACCCGATGGCTGTTCTTGACAGCGAGTTCCGCGTTCGTGGTGTTGATGGTCTGCGTGTCGTCGATGCCTCCGTCTTCNCCAAGATCCCTGGCATGTACATTGCTCTACCTATCTACATGGTCAGTGAGAAGGCTGCTGATGTCATCATCTCGTCTGCCACTGCGCCGGCTGCTTCTTCCTAGGTACTTTCAGGTGCTTTGAGAGTAGTTTGTTTGATGTTTAACTAGAGATACACGGTTTTTGTTCGCTTCTGCAGTGTTATAACACATACCTCGATCGCTTGAATCACTCATTCGGCATTGCGAAGACCTGTTGATCCGTTACTCCAGTGGTCTTGAGACAGCTTGTTTCACAGTGCATATCACGTATTATTACTTCTATGTGATCGACTCGCGCAGCGAAACCTTCCAGTCAAACTCCTGACTCAGCCAAGGAATGTGCCGCAACGACAGGATCTCATCCACGCACTGACTCATGAAATGGACCGAATTTATAGTGCAATCGTACTCCATACCCCAACGAGCTTACCTTGCTTGAGCAAATCATTCAGCGGCAACATTGCCGATCGCTAATCCACGTTTTCTATCATATATGAACCCTGAGGTGGCGGAGTCAAAACAAACGACCAGCAGAAAATTGGTTCGGTCAACTCCGGTACCAAAGACCATCGCTTTGACCTTCCAATTACAAGCATCAAGGCAATATAACTAGAAAGTTGTAAAAGGGATGTGCCGCTTCAGAAAGTGTTCAATGTGCAGTAGTGAGTCCACAAGAATCAATATAGATGGATATGCGAGACCAAATCATACATGGCAAGAGATCAGCAACTGAGTAGTGAGGATTGGAAAGACAGAGCTCAAGTAAGCGGCGTGGTGGAGTTGTTGTTCATATGCCTTGAGAAGCCCTTTGCATCTTGATTCGCACTCCGTCCAAATCATCTTCATAACCATAATCATGATATACAACGAAGACAACGTGACTGACATTCCCAGCGTGGATCTTTTGACTTTTCTTTNNTGGTAAGGCTCGGCGTTCGAAGTTCCAATTTCGTCTGAATCTAACACCGCTTTCTCAGAGTCCGAACATTGCACAGCCAAAGAAGACACGCCACTGTACGCAGAAGCCAGCGATCCCACCAAAGTCATCGCGAAGTCACAAGCAAGAGTCCTCACCCGTCAGATTGCATATTTCTTCCGCGACCAGTATGAAATCGGTCAAGTTGGTCCTGGCAAAGACGTAGTGGCTGTCGTTTCCACTGGTCAACATACACTTGCGTGTGTCTTTTTTGGTGTCATCGCTGCTGAGGGCGTGTACTCAGCTGCAAGCCCGAGCGCTACGGTCGAGGAACTCGTCAGGCAGGTTCGCGATGGAGACGCCAAGGTCATTGTTTGCAGTGCAGACGCAAAAGACCTCGCAAAAGCTGCTGCAGAGATTGTCGGTCTGCCAGAACGGAATGTGCTCATCCTCGAATCCTCACCTACCATCAAGCTGGAGAGTATGGACGGTAGCGTACATTGCCAATTCGACCAACAGCTGGACTGGAGACGCATCACCTCACCTCAAGAACTAGAGAAAAGCAAAATTTGCATGCTCTACTCCTCTGGAACAACAGGCCTGCCAAAAGGCGTCTTGATCTCTCATTCCAACATGGTAGCAGAAGCTTTTCTCCCTGCCTATATCAACAGACCCGTCTGGCAAGATTGGGCCGCAGCAGGAAAGCCATTCGAGCTTCGCACACTAGCGCATCTCCCCACCGCCCACATCTCTGGCGTACAAGGCTACTTTGTTAATGCCTTTTATGATGGGGGAATCGTGTATTGGATGCCTTCCTTTGACTTTACTGCTTTCTTGAAGTATAATGTGCAATATCGCATCACGACGTTCTTCAGTTTGCCGAAGATATTTCTGGGCTTGGCTAGACATCCTGGCGTTACTGATCAATTGAGGGCGCTTCGGATTGCGTACTCTGGAGCTACACCACTGAACAAGGAGGTCTATGCCTGTACTAAGTTTGGTGGTGAAGGAGAGGATAGGACATTGCTTAGCCAGACTTGGNGGGCGAGTGAGACCACTGGTGCAGTCACTCATGTTTCTCCCGCTGAGAGGGACACTTCTGGTAGTGTTGGAGCACTTCTTCCCAATATGTTGATGCGGTAAGTGTTGAGGATTAGGGATGCTCAAGCGTGACTCTTTACTGACTCCAGACAACNNAGACTGGTCGACGAGAACGGCGATGACGTCCCTATTGGTCAGCCTGGTGAAGCATTGCTGAAAGGACCACTCATCACACAAGGCTATCACAACAACCCAGAAGCTAATGCGAACGGCTTTACCAAAGATGGCTGGTACCGTACAGGTGACGTGATGGAGTTTGGAGAGAACAATGATTTACTGTACGTCGTAGGTCGCACAAAGGTAACTTGCTACACATTCCGATCTTCAACAAGACGCGCTAAACCATCTCTAGNNGACATCATCAATTACAACGGCCTCAAGATCGCCCCTGCTGAACTTGAGGAGGTCCTATGCGAGCACCCATCCGTTACAGACGCAGCTGTGGTCGGAACCCAGGATCAAGATACAGAGATTCCACGTGCCTTTGTCGCACTTCGTCCAGGTGTTGAGAAGAGCAAGGAGACCGCAGAAGATCTAAAGGAATATGTCAAGCAGTGGGTGTCAGACCACAAACAGCTGCGTGGTGGTGTGGTATTTGTGGAAACCGTGCCTCGTTTGTTGTCAGGCAAGATCTGGCGAGCCAAGCTCGAGGAGATGGTTGCAAAGCATCGAGATACCTGATGATCATGATAGGCAGCGGTAATTTGTACTCAGCGCCACTTTCGATCTCTGTTGAAAGTCCTACTCGAATGGATGTGATCAACAAATGTCTCATTGGAAGAGGCGTCTCTGTGATCTTCAGGGCAAGGACCAAATCAAAACAAATATGTATCTGATAAACACTTTATCTATCTAGGCACGCCAAAGGAAAACCCAAAGAATCAACACAAAATCACTGTACTCCACTCATAAACCTGTCATACTGCCCCCGAACCCTTCCCATATCGATACCAAAATCCTTTCCCAGACTCCTTCCAGAGGCCCACCATATATCTCCTTCGAAAATCTCCCCGAAACTCCAGTAATACCTTGCTACACCGCTTAGAGAGAGGCGACGTTGCCGGGATCCTGAGTGGTCAAGGTCCAACCATAGCTCTGGCTGACAGTGTAGCGGTCAGAACCTCTGTACTGACCATAGTTGGTAGAAACACTCTTGCCCCAGGTGGAGGTGTACATGCTGCAGTAAGTGCCCTGAGGAGCTCCGTTCTTGCTCAGGACATAGGAATTGTAGAAGTTGCATGGGTCGTAGGTTCCATCCTTGCGGGGGTGCTTGTGGGAGTAAACGTTGGTACCGAGACAAGCATTTGCACATTGACTAGGGTCATAGGGGCCGGGGAAGTATCGTGAGCCCATGTACCCGCTGGGAGCCTGAATGGCTCCTGCAAGTTCGGTGGGAGCGTTGAAAGAGTTGCAAGCAGGAGGAGGGGCAAGCTTGTTGAAACCCATGGAGCCGGCTACAACAACCTGGAAGCTATCACGCCACTGTCCGTCGTTGGTAGCAGTAGTGGCGTCAATCTGAGAGCCCCAAAGAGAGCACNNTGCGAACCATTAGCATCGGCAAAAAGCTCTTAATGAATCGATATTTACCTTAATGTTGACAGTCGATGCAGGGTTGGGGCAATTGACGGCATTGGGGTCTTGAGTAGGATCACGCTCGTAATAGATGTTGAAAGCGTAGCAGTTGGTAGCTTTGTCGCAGTACTGCTGGCACTGGTAAGGGTCGTAAGAAGTCAGAGTGTAGTATCCGAGATAAACACTGGCGGATGTGGCTCCCTGGTTGGGACCGAAGGCCAGGGCGTAACCATTAGGAGTGCCGGCAGCAATTGCGGTGCTCTTTCGTCGTGGAGATCAGCAACCAGAAGAAGGGGTTTACAGGAAAAGTCGACTTACGTTGTAGACGGGGTTGGCCAGGAAGTCAGAAGCAGTATCGGGAGTCGTCTTAGGACCGGAACCATTGGGCTGGTTGGCGCAGGTACCGTCACGCTTGTTGAGAGAAGAGCCAGTCTCGGCTGCGGAGTCTGCAACGGTAGAAGTGGCAGCAGCAGCGGAAGTAAGGCCGGTGGTGGTGACAGGGTCAGCGAGGGCTTGAGCGAAGGCGGAAGAGGCGGCACTGGTGGCAGCAGCGTTGATAGCAGTGATGTCGAGGCTGGATGAAGTAGAAACAACACCCATAGGGGCACCAGTGGCACTGGGTTCGGGNGCTGCATCAATGATGTCCCAATCAAGGGAGTCTTGGGGCATGGCAGCAGGAGCAGCAATGGCGAGGCCGGCTAGAGAAGCGAGGACGAAAGAGCGCATCTTGAAAGATAATGTTGAAGGTTGTAGTGATCGCGAAGCTGGTTGTTGCTGTGCTGGGTTGGATGATGAAAGAAGTCGTTGATGGAGATGCGAGGTCCTCTTTATACCGCAGCCTCTCTACAGTTATCCCCCAAACAAGACTATCAAGTCCGAAGCAGTAAAGACAATGCTCGCTCACTGATCCCAAAAAAAGCCAAAGGTCGATTACAAGCGCGTTGAATGGACCGGGCGCACTCGGCGACACCGCCAAACACCTGAAGAACATTCGAGCTGATCAGAAACAGAGAATGCGCGGCACGGGCAAGTTGGTCAAGGTAGGACCTGGTAAGGAAAGAGAGGAAGAGGGTGTGCGATCAAAAGAGCAAGTGCTCAGGAGTCGGCATCAGCGAAGCCACGAACCAGCAAATGCCATGACAGCTGCTCGAGCCCTCGGGGCATCTCGAGGGGTGAGGGGAAGCCCAACTCCTAGCCGAAACTCAAAATGGGTTTGAGTCGTGTTCCTGAGATTCGTTCCTGCAGGATACAAATGACATGTCAATGAGCATGCTGACGACTTTGCCTACGACATCGATGTTATTGCTGTCGAAGTAGCTTGATACAAGACCTCCAGCATGTCCGTTTTGTGAAGTCGGTTTTTTAGAACGGCGACGTTGAAAGAGTCTCAGTTTGCGACGGCTGCCGGCTGTCTTCTGTGGCGCTCGTGCGAACCAGCCAGGATTCCTTGGAGGCCGCTCCGCTCTAAGACATGGCTGCGCCCAGGCTGCATCGTCAAGTCTCGTGAACAACAACACGGCAACATCTTTTGGTACCGATCGAAGCGTAAAAGAAGAGTCCAGCAACAGACGCTTCCTCTCGGGAGAGCCGTGTCGCTCGCTCGAAATCCCCGCGTTGGCAGAGATTTATCGTGCCTGACAGTGGGACATGTCCTGTATGCTCATGCTGGTATCTTACAGAGAATAATGATTGGACTTCATGGAAGACTTGCTCCAAGTGTTACAATGGACTCTGGATATTGCAAGACATCATGAGTCTGACGTTGTTGCCGTAGAGCAGTCGTTTTCGAACTTTGTTTGACAGATCTGATCGACAAGCACGTTGCGTGCGTCTTGACACCGCTCGAGCGACATGTTCGCCGGATTCCCACGAGCAGATACGAGAAGCAAAATCGTCGGGGCTGATGTCTTGGGGATGGAAGGAAGGAAGGAAGACACGGAGCTGAGCGAGATGTCTTCCATTCAGCTGGGGCTGTGGGGTTCGGGTCAGGATCGCCCGAGGCGGGTAATTCTAGCCGCGCTTCTGCGCTTAGAGTAGCTTTGCACGCCGAATTTTTCTCCGAAGACTGACCAAGACAGCAATCGAGCTCAGCTGAACATGATCCGGCTCGACCAAGTTCCCAAATAGTGCTTCTTGTTTGGGATTCACGAGGGAGATCTAGCTCGATAGAGTGATGCAGCCAAGATGCGCGCGGCACAAAAGATTCTCCATCAGGAATATCCGCGGCCAGAGATTTTCGAAGGCTCGATGGCTTCCCCCTACAGTTTGACAACCCTGGTCTGGACAAGACTTATCTGACCTGATCCAGACATCACAGTGGCATGAGTTGGATGTTGCTGACACTTTCGTGGTAAGACAATCTCCAGCAAGCACTTCTTGTAGCTCTTGGACATCCATGGTGCTGCAATCGACCGGAATTGGTGTTGTGTTCAAGGACACTCTTCAACAACTTCAACACTCGCATTTCAATGTCAATCTCGATCATTGAAATCCAGGAACATGTTGATCCACGACCACTTGGCATATTAAGGAGTAGGTGCAGAGTCGGGACTCATCAGGAAGTCAAAGCCGAGATCAGTCAAGTGTAGAGGGAGACAACAAGAGAGCTTACTGGCATCACGAAACACAACCAAGAACGCTCACAAGGTGTACCGTAGGCATGGAAGTTCAGACAAAGTTTGGAATGTCAATTTCGACCAAACTATTTCGACCATCGTCTTATGCTACCAGCTGAGATACTAAGCTAAACAAATGCGGCTGTAACAAAACAAGAATAAAGATCAGTCGGCTCTCAGCAAGCCTGATCTACAAAGCCTCAGGAGTATCCCCAAGCAGCAGGGGCAGAGTCAGGACCCATCAAGAAGTCAAAGCCAAGGCATTTCGCATCATCGTTGACAGCAGAAGCCCCGCGAACATAGATCAGATAAGCTTCTGCATCAGTTGGGCAAGCAAGGAAGCCATCACCGTTGTAAGTAAGGTAGTCAAACTGTCCCTCCTTCTTTACGCCAAAGCCTGTTTGGGAAGACCCTACACCGATGGCTGCGGAGTGGGGCTCGGTGTATCTCAAAGCACCAACGTCGTTAACGTAGACTTGTTGGCCGCCAGGAACCGCGACCTTGAGGTTCAGAGTGTCCTTGCCGCCAGTGAAGAGAGTGGAAGTTGTGTTGGAGCATTCAATGCCGGGAGGACAATAGGCGGAGCTCTTGTAGCGCAGCCAGAAGTTCTCGTCATTGGCGCTGACGCTAGCGAATTGGATTGGGGAGCCGGAGTTGATGGCTAGACCCTGGAAAGAGCTTTGGGGAGTGGGAGCCGCGAGAGCAGAACCAACAAGGGCAAGGGTAGAGATGACAGCGGACGTAGTCTTCATATTGATGGTGACTTGGATGGCTGTGTAATGATGATTTTTTGGATAAGAAAGGTTCGTGGAGTTGCTTGATGATTTGGATTGTGGTTTGATGACAAAATATCTTGATGTCGAAGAGATGGTGTCTTATATACTTTGCAGATAGTCGAGGCACATTAGTATGACCATTCAGGAATGTATCGTCCTGTCTCTTCTGACTGGCTGCTACTTCTAAACATAGAGTAAGACAGGAGATGTAGCGGCCGTAACATATCTTACATAGTAAGGCGTGATGACGGAAGTGTGAAGGCTTGTTCACGGGAAGCTCCATACAGAATCTTCGGCAAGCCCTAGTTGACGTTGATCAAAGGTGGCGTTACGGGGTCTTGCGAACACCTGTGCTTCGGTTGCGGTGCGGCCTACTTACTGATACCCCAAAATTTTCTAGATCGCAAGTCCAAGTGCCGACATGTAACGCATGGCGAATATCATGAGCCGATCAACAAGCTGGTATACCCTTACTCTACCTGAGGTTCAATGGATGCTATGAGCACCCGACACTGTCTCGTTCGGAAATAAGGATTTCAATTAGACTTCGCAAGATCTTCAAAGCCCAGGGTCCTGCTTCGTCATAAAAGTCAATGATCGCCTATACACGAACACGATCTTTTTCGAGCTCGGCTTGAGGCCTCTCCGCTGACATATTTCAAATCGGTCTTCTCGTCAACTAGATGATGTGCATGCTACCGACTTTGTCCTCGTATTCAACCCCTCATATGATGGAATGAATAAGACCACCGCGCTAGGATGACATAGTCAGATACGTCTTGCGACAACATCTAATAGCAAGATTGATTGGTGCTGCGGTAGCAAGTGGGTTGACCGAACGTGGTGAGAAAAAAGGAAACATAGCGAGCAATAGAGAATTGAGGTAAAGAGATCCATTTCTCAAGCTTTTTACGTTACATCAGAAACGTTCGATCGTAATGTGTTAGTGAATCAAACGTCTTGAGGTTAGATATGAATTAGCAATCTACATGACAGATCAAGCTTCTACTTTACTGCGCTGGTGATGACGGCTAGGGTCATGCTTGAGCTTGAAATCCTCCGTGTGGGAAGGCAACGATGTGCTGTTGAGTAGTATGCTTTGCTTGAGCCAGAGTGACAGTCAAGGCTTCTTGATCGAAAATTGCATACACGTTTCGAAGCCATGGTGCTCCGAAAGCGGCAGTACCATTGCTGACATCCACTTCATACAGATGGGTTCCACAAGTGCCATCGGCAAACTCATCCACCAGTGAGTGCAAAGGCACCTTGAGGCTACCAGCATTACCGAATGTAGTAGTGACGTAGCCTTTGGCGTGCATGGCAGAGCGATACTTGCAGTCGACTACGAGCGGGCGGGCTCCCTTGTATATTCTCTGAGTGGGATTTCCGAGGCCAGCTGTGACGGCATTGAAGACAGGAGTGGGGAGTAGCCATTCAGGATTTCCGGTGTCCAATTGAGTGGACTGTCCGATGTCTGGTGAGGGACCAGGGTAGAAGGTTGTTCGATTTTCGCCGACAACGACTTCGATCTTTGTGACGTTCACAAAGTTCGTCTCTCCAAGAGCAAGAGATTGACTAGACGGATCGACCATCTTGACGGTGAAGGGCTTGCTTGCTACCTTGGCTTTGTCGTAGAACGCGCCGAGTACGAGAGAACCATTAGAGTTCGTGTCACCACCGAGATAAACACTGACTGATCTGCGGTTGATGGAGGATGCATTCTTGAGCTGCGCCAACAAATAAGGCCCGGGTCCCAGGGGATGATTTTCAGCGAGACCTGGGACCAGTTACATCATTGAAACTTGGACAGAAATAGCTTCTCGCAACTGGAAAGTGGAATATTTACCTGCAATAGTTGCTTGCGGCAGAAGTAATGCGCTTGGGTTGCCATAAGAGTTGATATAGCCAAAATAAATGTGGTCAGTGGTTACGCCACCTAGCGTGATGGTATCGTTGAGGTAGGCACCAGAACCAGCATCCTGCAATTCATCAAAGAAATCCGTTCCTTCGTAAGAACATGTNTCTATACGCCTTTTATCAGTACTGGAAAAGCAGATAACATGTTTAGCGATCACATACGACGAGGTGTAATTGTCGAACGAGCCATAGACCTTACACGGCTGATCGGTGCCATTGCAGAACGAGCTTCTTGAATCAAGAAAAGATATAGTCGGAGAGCCAGTGTCCACTTTCAAGTACTCCAACTGAGGGGGGNNAGTACCAATATGGAATGGGGCATAGTAGGCAGCGGTGAATTCGTTGTAAGTCAAAGGAAGCACAATCGCGCCTTCTGGTGCTCTGCCGTTTGCAGCAGCATAACCAGCAGAAGCTGCTAGAAGCAGAACGGAATTGGTGATTTTTGGCTGCATGATTGAGAACCGATTGAAAAACGACGGTTGGCACGAATGGTCGGCAGAGCTCAAATAAATCTGTCTCCACGATAGTTCAAATATTGCAATATGTCGATGAATACGACGTCAGACCCGTCATCACGCCTCGTACTCTTAATCACATTCGCATTTGTCTTTGACCACTATCGGAAACACAATGCCACCACTTGCTTCGTCTAATTTGTGTTTCCATTCTTGAGCAAACTTGAGCAGCAGGCGAAAGCACCTTCTTTGAGGATCCAGTCACTATCAGACCATTACCGACCCTTGCACTCTTTTCGACTCTGCTATTTTGTCATCAAGCTTTGTTTATAGCTTATCTTTACTAGAGTTTGAGATGTCTCAGTGATATGCTGCCTCCGTGCTCTGTAACACTATTTTTATCAGATGACGTCATGAATTATTCCCCTGAGTAGAGAGTCGCAACGGTAAAGATGAACGAGAACAGTATACGAAGATAGCATTACCTGATCCATGTGGTCTCCCCTGCTTTGACTGGAAACACAGCCCAGTCCGGCATCTCTCAGGGTCCCCCATAGTTTCGCACAGGATGTCTAGTTAGGACTAACTTTTCTCCTCTACCTTTACTTCCAGGCTCTAAACGAATGGACTCAGACCCGCGACTTTCCTGCGATATCGGTGCTACTTTTCTATATCTGTTCGATCTATGCTCCGCTCCGTCGACTCCAGGACTGAAATCAGCATTTTGGAAAGCATGTCATCTTACACAAATGCTCAAGGTTACTTAACAAGGCTTGTTTTGATATTGCTAAGGATTGTTGATTTCATAGCAGGCATCGCAATGCATTTTCAATCACACATCTCCCGAATTTGCAGATATAGACAGGGAATCTCCGATCAGAAGCGCTTCGCCTTCCCTGCAAACGTCTAGCGTCCATACATCCTATGTAATCTGGATCTCGCTAACACACCACGACAACCCTTGGGGGCCGATACAGAGACAGGTCGGTTCTGCGGTCGAACATCATCTCGCTCCCTGCGTTCAAGGAGACATTAATTGTCGTTCGCTGGAATCGAGACCCTACGAACAGCTAATAAGTCAAAATTTTGTGATCTCATGCTGCAGATGCAAGGCACAGAATCACACTCGCCTAGATGGGGTCCAATAAGGCATTCCGTGGTATACCTGCTTTGCCTCAGATGCCTCGATTCACGCATCCGCTTTTATACATTTGAGATACGACTGGCGTTCCACCTGAGATCCACGGCCGAAGGGCAAGCGTCAAAGTTTCAGCTGAACTAGGAATACGCGGATGAATACTCGCGGCATGATCTGGCATTGGTGAGTGTGAGGTGGGCTGGTGACATGCGCAGAAGATCAAAATTCAGGTGCAGATTCCTCGACGCCTGGTACAAATGATGGCTGGTTGGACGCGTCAGAGTGCTTGTCTCGAACATAACTTCTATGTTCTTTTGGGGGTCGATTGCTGCCAACGCGCTGCGAGCTTGAGCAACTTCAATTGGACCCCCTTGACGAAACTGAGCTGGGGATCAGTGCCTAGGACACTGGCATGGTGTGTAAGGATCTGGTCGGGAACATCCAGCGATAGATATCCGCCTTGGAGTTGCGTGAACACGGGAAAGCCTTCGTGTCTCTCGAGATATGCTTCTATCAGCGTATGATCCGGTGCCATGTCGTCAAGCACCACGCGTGTAGACTCGCCAAATTCCATGCTCGTATCTGGAAGACTGATGCTGTTTGTCCAGGCTATCAGCGCGACTCGGTACACGGCACCAGCCCACCAAGCTGGTCTCATGTGCTCAGGCATTGAACAAATCGTACGTAGGACTTGTCCGCAGTGAAAGAAGATACGATGACGATCTTCGAAATGGTGAGAACGCACCCAGCAAGGAGACTCGTGAGTCTGGATGTTGTCGTCGTTGCGAGCAAAGCGTTCGACGTCGGGGAAGTTGGTCAGAGTATTGAGCGAGATCAAGTGATACAGCACCACAAGGTGGCGCCCATGGCTGGGGACTCGTGGTCTATACATCGATGCCTTGCCAGACTATACCACTTTTGCAACATGTCTTGTGCTTCATCCATGTGGACCGAAACCAGGACCATGGATGTGTGATTACGAGTAGCTTTGGATGATGCACCACTTGCACCAATGTCCACAATCATTGTGCGCACCTGAGCCACGACCTTCTGGAGATGGTACAATAGTAAGCGTAGCGTAATGGGAGTAAAGGTGTCGAAGTCTTTGTCCACGTTGATCACTCGGAAGCGTTTGACATGCTCGTTCAGTGAAGGCGGGAAGGATATCGTTCCGCCATCAAGTTGTCTGATTTCTTGCGCCCACTGCTCAGCAGAGGTTGCTCGCCATAATCGATCGGAGCTGGGGACAGAAGTGTTAAAATCGGTCACCGAATTGAACAAAGTCGATGTGGTGTCCTGAAAGAGATACATCTCCTGATCAAGGATTACCCAAGTATATGCTGTTCTTTTATCGAACATCAAGTCAGTCCTTACGTGATTTGTAAAGATGATCAAACGTACTGCGTACCGATTCCTTGATTCCTGTCCTTGCCATTCGCGCCAGACACGCGTCAGCTCGGCTGCTAAGTGTGAGAAAAGTACGCTTGGTGAAGGTTGTTCAAACAACCTGGACCTGCGCAGCATGTGCGGGCACAAGTCAGCTATGGTCTTGAGGTCGAGAGAACTTATTCATATCTCGATATACATTGCTTTCTGGTAGATAGCAACCTAGCAAGATTCAGCTCGTCCGCTTTGTCTCAAAAATGACGTTGACTTGTTGACTTACGTCCATTTGCCACTTATCACCGCTTCATGCCGCAATAATGTTGAAAACTAAAGCACATTGTAGCAGATCCGGGTTCGAGGCAAGTCTCATGTCTTCCTCGACAAGATGAGATAGAAACACCCGACATATCTCTAGAAGCCCATGTGCAAGCCGATGAGTATGACTAGCTGCTGGTGTCATTGCCCCAGCAGCCATCATCAAAAGTAGTTTCAGGCTTGTGATGACTTGATCACTGCCTTTATCAAGTAGCTCATTCGTTCTCATCCCCACAGCAGAAAGAAAGGGATAGTGTATTTCGTATGATCCATGGCAGGCTGATAGTCGTGAATCTAGCACAGGTGGGGCAGGAAGAGTAAAGCAGAACGGAGCCTTAATCTCACCACTCTCTTGCTCCAAGCTCAGTAGGCCATGTACCCGCTGCGCTTTGTCAGAGAAGCGTTGCACGATAGCAATGAGCTTGTCTCGTGTGCCAGAGACGAACGGCTCGATGCTCGCTGCATAAGTCAATTGCGAGTTAGATTTACCGCAGATATCCTGGTCGCCAAGGGCACGGTATAGATTTCGCAAATGGTCAGTTGCAGTGGTAGGACATTGATTCGTTTGCATGATAGGATCGCATTCAAAAATAGGCCACGCTTCGAGTGCAGGGAACATGTCGATCACAGATGCTATACCAGTAGATGGCGCAGGCTCGGTCAGCAAAGGCAAGTCAACATCGCCATCGAGTCTGAAGGGTTCATTCGATAATGAGTATGAAGACCGATAATCAGATGATATGGATGTATTGAACAGGTCATTGATGTCCTGCATAGTGGGTTCATCGGATGCGTGATTGATAGGTGGTCCAAAGGGGTAATTGTCTAATAATGATTCCAGAGAGAAGTTTAGCTGGTTGTTCTTTGTGGCATCAGTATTGAAGAAAGACATCTCCTCAACACTCGGCGAACTCTGCAGGTGATGATCGCAGAGAGGGTTGTTGATGAAGTCGCTAGTATCTTGTGCTGACAAAGCAAGGTCGTTCTGAGAATCCATGACTGAGTGAGCAATCGTTGTACTACCCTGAGTTGTGGTTGTTGAGGATTGGTCCTTTAGCTGTGAGTCTCGGGGCAAACATTTATAACTATTGATACATCAAAGGCCGCACATCGGGTCCTTTGTCCTTCACTTCTCACATTCTAAGAGGATTTTCCTTGCACCTACAAACGAGAACTCGTCTATGAGCTCTTCCCACAATTGGTTGGCGATGCTTTCACCTTCGGACTTGTAGAGAATAGGTGCCATTCTGCGAAAACATGTTGGTTTCCAGTCACGCGACAAGAGGAGGGTAACAAGCACTTACGGGCGGATTCTGCAGTCTTCNACGTATTGTCCATGGACCTCCTTGCCAAATTTGGTAGCGGCGGCTGTAAGTGAACGCGCGCCTTCGGAGACGGGTCGACCGATGATACGGGTGAAAGTTCGCACCAAGAAGCCAAGGATAGTACCATTGCCCTCACGTTGTAGACCGGAACCATAGCAGGAACCAGGATTGCACGAGTTCACAATGACTTCCGAAGGGTTGAGATGCTCAGATAGTTTGGACAAGAAGAGCTGGCCCACAAGTTTCGACGTGGAGTATCGCTTCTGCATGTTCCAGACAGCTGGGGCGGCGGGTGTGTCCTTGAAGGCAGATAGGATGGGATCAGCGGTTCTCTCTTGGAATTGGGCCCAGCCTGCTGTATCGGATGAGACTATGGTCAAACGCGCAGGAGCAGCTCTGGATCGCTTGGCTCTCAGAACAGGAAGCAGGAGAATGGTCAACAAAGCGGTGGATATGTAGTCGACTTGAACGTCCTCCTCGAAGCCAGTCGATTTGTCAAAGGTCTTCTCGACTTTGTAGAGGCCGGCGTTCATAACAACGATATCAAGCTGGTCCAAGGTCTGGGCACGTTCAGCGAACTTGGTGATGGAGTCGTACTCAGAGAGATCCAACTTCCAGACTTCGATTGCGCTAGGGACAAGCGAACGACCAGCAAGCAAACCCGAGCGAGCGGTCTCGCCCCTTGCTTCAGACCGGACTGCCAGAATCAGCTTGCTCAACTTCAGATCCAGGAGCTGACGGGCGGATTCTAAGCCGAGACCAATGTTGGACCCAGTGACAATGGCAGTCTTGCCTGTGAGATTCACTTCATGCGGCGAAACGATGGGTGGTGTGACANNATGAAATTGCCGATAGAGGTATTGGCGAGTGCTTGCTTCTTGCTCCGGCGTGATGTCAAAATCGAAGGTTGGACTCATCTTTACTCTAGCAACGCTCGGAGGTGAACAGGTTGACGACTATATCCAGAGTTATCGTAGCTAAACTGCGCGAGAACGATGCTAAGTGCAACGACTGGTCTTGCAGCGAAACTCAAGGTAGTCGTCCTGATGATCAGTCGTGTAAGTGGTTTTCGAAAACTGGAAATCGGAATTCCACGGCGTGACAGGGTTGCCAAAGCGACGGAGTTCCGGTACACCGGAATTCCGGCAGGGGTCCATCGAGCCGCGTCTAAAGCAAGACACCCGCTCGTTCTATACAGCACCAGGAATTCCATGAGGTCGCAGCCACTGTCTCGTGTACACGAGATGCCACAATCATATCGGCCGACATGATGTCGCGTATAAAGAAGGACCATGCAGCTTGGCTCTGTTGTGTAACGATAGATTGACGATCAGTTCCTAACGCAATGCGCGCTTGTGACAGACCAACTCGAGACGTCGACTGGGATTCATCAAAAGGATCGGTTGATGAATTCGTGCTGCTAGTTTGGGCTGAGTGTGAGCTATCTGAAGGGACTTTATGCCGTTTGAGCGTGCGAGTAAGCGACCACATCAGATTGCGGTTCCTCGCAGTAAACCGTCCATATAAGGTCCTGTTTACTGCAGCCGGAATTCGGCCGGTCGATGACACTACTCTTCTCTCTGGCTCAAAACTGAGCCTCAGCCTGTCGGCATCAGCTTCGTAAGAAGCCTGATTCCCAACGCGCGCACACTTTCTTCCTGCCCGAGAAACGAAGAAAACTTTGCGACCACGTCCAAGAGTTTGGTCGTCTCTCATATCGCTGCCGTGACAGCGTGTTGGTCACAGCTATCCAAGGCAAACGACAAGTCTTTCTCACTTCTCAATCTTCCAGATTACAGCTGTAATGAGATCAGTTCCTCGATTCCGTGTACTGGTGCATGAACGCTTGACAAAGCGCATCTCGACATGGGGGTCGAAGCATCAATCACCAGACGACAAACACAATTGGCGCATTCCTGAGGACCTCGTTGATTGATCAACCAACGCATTAACAGATTGATGCGACAACAGCAACTCTGCACGTACGCTCCGATCTGCAACATCTAGGCTTTCTTGAGGCTGTACATGGGCATACAATGAACAATTGTGCCGTTTCTACCTCTGTAAATCCACCAAAGATCGCATACTCAGCTTATGCTGACCTTCGCACAGTCTATTTGGACCGACATGGCTCTCATAGTAGGAGGTTATCTCTATCAGCAACTCGTACCTCAGGCCAGGATGTGCACATGAACTTCTACGATGTCGAAGTGTTGCATAAGTGGGCAGCAAAGTGCCTGGAAACAGTCAGCCACTGACTTTCGGAGCTCGCCTCGATCTGAGCATGCACACCATGTCGCTGCGGTCAGCGCGATATCGCATCGTTCACTACCTGAACTGCCACTTGCGAGGACGTTGACAGCTGGCGCATCAAGTGGAATAGAATCCACTGACCATTTGTCCTCTGATACCGCATGCTGAGTCAATTCCTAGAAAGAAACTGCTGGGCCCGGTGTCTTTGCTTCCAAGAACTTGGATCACCACGCCTTGACATCGGCGTAGCCTTTCCAATACGCTCGATACCCACTGTGTCTCGGCTCGCGCGGAATTATAGAATAATCTTGCGACAAGACTCGAGCCGATTTTCGTCAGTCATGCTGAAACATCGGGAGTGAACGACATCAAACGCTTGCGAGGATCCAAGAACTGAAGAAATTGGAGTTGTCCAGAAGTTGGCGGCATCTGCGCAAACGCTCGTTACGCATGACTTGTTCTTCGATGCACGTACGGATAGGACTTCCGTTTTTGGGATTTGCCGTTTGAGCTTGCATTCATAAGTCTCAAAAAAGCTACGAATAATCAAGACTGACTTTCACCATCATCATCGTGGAATCTGCGAATTGGAATGAGAGGCAAAAGCACCCGGAGGGGCATCCTAAATACACGTCATTGGTGCGGCTTTGCGGCTTCTGGTAGTGCAAAGTTCGCTCATCACGCTTGAGCTGTGGCCCCATGATTCTTGGAGGGCAGCATGAGAGGTCTATTGCGCACGTAGCATGGCTCTCTTGGTGTATAAAACTCGTGCTAGACCTCGATCTTCATCTGTCCGTTACCTTGAACCTCCCGCTGCCTGCAATTTTCGATCCTCAGACAACATGCAACTCACTTTCATCCTGTTTGCTACCGCTCTATCGAGCATAGTTGATGCTAGCCCAATCGTCTTGGAGCGCGATACAACCTGTCCAAGCTATAGTGAGATGTCATCCAAACTCCGCCCAGCACATGGCTCTTTGCTGACCTTTTGCTCAAGCTNNCTCATCGACACCAGAGGTACTGGTGAGCCACAAGGCCNNCCCTCTGCCGGATTCCTGACTATGAATAAAAACACGCTTGCGCAAAAGCCTGGCGGCAAAGTTGTATGTGCCAGTGATGTGCATTCGAATGAATCGGAAGCTGAGTTCTCTAGTNACAACACGGTTTACCCTGCTGGAGTCTTTGGAATTACTGCAGCCGGTACACAGAACGTACGTGGGTCGTTGATTGACGCCGTCACTGTGGCGACTCGTACCTGACTCTTCTNNTCGCAGATCATCGATCACATTAATAGCGTTCTCGCATCCAACCCGGGAGAGTGCTTCATCCTCGAAGGATATTCGCAGGGTGCAACCGCCGTGGTCAATGCTCTGCCACAGCTCACTGGCCCAGCCTTCAATGCCGTCAAGGGTGTCTGGCTAATTGGTAACCCAGTCCACAAAGCCGGACTGGATTGTAATGTTGATGCCAACGGCGGCAACACGACGAAAGATGTCAATGGTATCAATCAGCCGCTTTATCAGGTCAGCGTCCCACTCAACTGGGTCTCAAAGACCAAGGATGTTTGCGCTTTCGGGGACTTGGTCTGCGACACTCGCGATGGTCCTTTCATCGCCGGGGTGCACTTTTCCTATCCCTTCGATCCTAACGTACAGAACATGGGCACCGACTTCAATCTCGCTCAGCTCAATGGTGGATCTTGAGCGATGGAAAGGGTCACGAGGTGTATGTGTGCTGCTGTATTTGAGTAGTGTCAATTCTTGAACTACCAGCATTTCTTTGTTGCTACTCCCTGCTTTTTGACCAATGTTGAATCCATTGTATGACTCCTAATCAATAGTCAGTGAGCCAAGATGGGAAAAGGACTTTGCCAGATTGTGCTTTTCATTTACAATGCATTGCTCAGGAGAGCTTGCTCTGCTTTGCAAAGCAGGTTATAAGTGATATGGATGGCATTGATGAGTTCTGAGTCTATGGTAGTCGGTGCAGCTAGGAATAATTCGTGAGGGTGGGACAGGGTGCCTCTAGCATTCACAAGGTGACGGTTTCCAAGCTACGATATCTCGATGAGATCTTCTTCTTTCGACATTGCGAAAATCGCAACATATTCTCCATATGTTCGTGGTATGTTTTTGTTATGTTTTACACTTGGCAAAATGTTAATATTCCATGTATTCAAGTTGTTATTTTGTTTTGAATATGTTTGCGGTGATGTGCGCCATTCCGGCGTGGCCGGCCAGCGTCCCCACACCACGAGTTCGAATGAAGTATGCATGGCGAACAAGTCGGGAGTATACCTAGAATGGAAGCGTTGCTCGATTTGGTCATCGATAAGTATATCAGCAAACACATGGTCTTTTGTCAATCGGAGAGGAGGACATAAACTTGGACGACGAGCTCTTCAAGCATCCCCGATCACAAAAATCATCATCTCGGAAACCTTAGAAAGACTACACATCTCAGACCCCAGAACTTGAAGGCAAGGAAAATGGACGATGGACAAATAGCTGCTTGATTTGTTTCTAGCGATTTTGAAGTTTCTAGTGCTATGTAACCAGATTAAGTTTAAAGAGTGTATATAACGTGTTGGAAATGAGTGACAATGGCCTGTAGATTGAGAGAGGAAACTCAAACAAAGGAAATAGAAAAATGCATTTTCCAAAAGGTAATGCGGGAAATTTTTGTATCGGCTACTGTCTCTGGTCGCGATCGACCAGACAGGGAATAGCGACACTCGAACAGTACGTAAGAGACTCAACGACCGAGTCGTCTTGGCTTCGAAGACTCTGCTGAAGATCTTAGAAGAACTCGATGACTGCAGCAACCGCAAGGAAACCACAGATCGTGAATGGTGCGGCAGCGATGCTGGTTGCAGCTCCAGTGAAGATAGCGGGAGCGGAGGCTGTAGATGAGCTACCAGGATATCCTCCTGTCGATGTTGTGGAAGAGCTGATAATACCAGACAGTCCGGCAGCATTCGATGAACTGGCGGTGCTTGAGGGCTGTTGAGACTCGACCAAGCCAATGGACGGGGAGCTCGTAGCTGCGCTGGTTGGGCTCGTGAGCCCAGCGGATCCACCAGACCCAGAAGGACTGGCAGGTTCGTTGTGATTCATTGACGCTCCCGAGATAGCGGCACTACTAGCGGTTTTGACGGAGCTTAGCGTGCTTACAGAGGTAACCAAAGTGCTAGGAACGGCTTCCGATGATGCAACATGACTTGGGGTTAAGGGATTGACAGTGGGTACAATAGGAACGTGAGATGAGACCGGACCGGCAGAGGACGAACCGGTGCCAGCGGATGGCCCAGGTAGATTTCCGGAAATGGAGGATGTACCCGACTTTGGGCTCTCAAGGATCCCAGAAGAACCTGCTGGGCGAGCGATGACAGATTCGGCACAGAGCTCAACATACAAGCAATCGATGACAGCGTTCCCTGACGCACCCGCGACATTCAAACATCTCAGAGCACACACATCCGTATCTACGGAGGGGAAAGATTTCTGAAGATCGGCTTTGCATTCAACGGCCTGTTGAGCGCTGATAGCTGCAAATCCAGCCATCTCCGTACAAGCAGTCGGCAGGGATAGCTCGCAGATGTCAGCCGGTTCAGATGCCGAGGAAGTGCTTGTGTGTTGGACAGAGTTTGCGGAACCGGATGAAGACATTGCAGTTGTTCCAGTGGCTGAGATGGCTGGGCCTGCTGCAGTGGTTGCTGTAGATGTCCCAAAGTCTCTTGGGGGACTGGAAAGTTGACATGACTGGGTGAGATCAGAGCATAACTCAATCTGTAAGCAATCGACAACGGCAACACCGATAGTGCCTGCAATATCGAAACACTTCATAGCACAGTCAAAACCGGACAAGTCAACATAAGGCTCAGAGCTTTGAAGAGCAGATTTGCAAGAAGCGACTTGTTGATTATCGACTGCAGGAGAATCGATCATATCAGTGCAATAACGCGGAAGTGTCAAGTCACAGACTTTAGGCTTGTTGGTGTCGAGACCGGAGCTCAAGGGCTGCGAGTTAGAGGATGTTTGTGGAACAGGCGGAGATGCGCATAATGCAGTGTGTATGCAGTCGAGTATAGTAGCGCTGCCGTCAGATGACATTTCGAGACATGTATCTGCTGATCGATATGCCGCTGACTCATCAGAAGAGGAAGAGGAAGCGACTGACAGGGCCTGAAGAGCAGATCTGCAGGCTTGAGCTTGATCGGGCATCACCACCGGCTGCGCAGCCATTTGACTACATGCCATCGGTACAGCCATTTCGCAAGCTTGGGGAGGCGTGACGATGACGGCTGGCGGTTGCGGGGTGTTTGTTGGAGGCGAGAAGCGACATTCGTGATATAGAGCTCCTGAATCATACAGATCAGAGCATAGTTCCTCCTGCAAGCAATCGATCAGAGCGATAGTATCGATTCCAGGAACACCGAAACACTTTTCTGCGCAACGGTAAAGGTCCGTTTCTCCGGCGGAAGAAGATGTTTGCGAAGACAAGGCCGACAGTACAGACTTGCAAGATGCAGACTGCTGGGCACCGAGTGGAGTCGTTGGAGATCCAGCCATATCAGCACAAACGGAGGGTAAAGTGACGGTACAGGTCGGCACGGGAGACTCGGAGCTTGGTGTCGTCGCTGAAGGGAGTCCAGCGGATGCAGACGATGTGCTGGAAAGACAGGACCCAGATGAGTCGTCAGAGCAAACTTCTGCCTGTAAACAATACAGAAGAGCCACTCCGGTCGTGATATCTATATCGAAACACTTTTGAGCGCATTCATAGGCTTCTGCCACAGGGGGAGAAGTCAACGCCGCAAGTGCAGACTTGCAGTTTTCCATTTCCTCGACATTAGGGAGTTGACTTGAAGAGGTTGTCATCTCTAGACAAGCGGTAGGCAAAGTGGCTGTACAGGCCGTAGTTCCTTTGGATATGGTTGGCATCGAAGGTCTAGTAGACGTAGACGGAAGACATTCGTTGGGAATACCAGCGTAGCACTCTCGCAAGCAGTCAAAGACGTCAGTACCAGTAGATCCAATAGGCCCCGAAGGTCCTCTAGATCCGAGGCACTCATTAGCGCAAGCAAAGATCTCCGGCTCGGTTGTTGTTGTAGACGAAGCTTCGATTGCAGATCTACAGGATCCGATCTGAGAGGTAGGAGTTGCTACTCCGACCATCTCAGTGCAGATACTGGGAAGCGCAATAGTGCAGTCGACAGTACTCGTAGTGGATGGAGAAGGGCTAGCAGATCCAGCATTAGAAGGCACTTGAGTCGATTTCACCGACTCAGTGACCGATCGAGTGTTCGACGACATGACATCCGAAGGTCCCGGCTGCACAGGGGATGAAGCTTGCGCACTGGTGGCGGGGCTAGAAGAACTCGACATGGCTTTCGATGTGGTCGTAGTCGTCGTCATCGATATTGTTGAGCTTGACACAGGAACATCGCTCGATTTCATACCCGTGTTACTATCAGAAGCACTGCTCGATGAGGATGAGGTGGTTCCTGATGACATCGAGGGACTGCTCGAATTCAATGAAGACAGGATAGTGCTAGAGTCAGAAGACGATGGCCTAGCGCTAGTGACTGTTGTAGACGATGCTGTGCTAGACGGCTTGGGAGCAGTGCTAGATTCTGAAGACGATGAACCAGCACTAGACGCCATTGGAGCAGTGCTAGAGCCCGAAGAGGATGGAACAGTTCTAGAATCAGATGAGACTGAAGTTGTAGTGGTCCTGGTCGACATCAGAGTGCTGCTAGAACCAGACGCAGATGGAGTACTGCTGGTGCTAGTTGAAGACGAAACTGTGTCAGACGACATTGGCACAGTGCCAGATCGAGAAGACGATGAAGCAGTGCCAGAGCTGGATGAAGATGAAACTGTACTAGAGCCAGGCGAAGACGAAGCGGTGTCAGACGAAGACGCTGAGCTTATGCCAGTCGACATTGTAACAGTGCTAGGTCCAAAAGACGATGTAGCAGTGCTAGTGTCAGGCGATTGAGAGCTAGTACCAGACGAGGCGGAGGTGTCGGCAGTTGTACTCGAGCCAGTCGACGCGATACTAGAATTCGAGAATCTAGGTGTAGCGCTAGAGCTAGACAAAGCTCGCGAAGAACTGGAGCTCGATAGAGGAGACGAAGAAGTGCTAAAGCCCGAAGACGTCATAGATGAGGCTGATGAGCTAGGGCTCGAGGAAGAACCAGAAGAGGATGTCATAGATGAGGCTGATGAGCTAGGGCTCGAGGAAGAACCAGAAGTAGTGACAGTCGTGGACACCGACGACCCAGAGCTGGAAGAGGATGTCGGTGAAGAAGTGGAAGATTGGGACGTGGAGGTAGGTGCCATGCTCGAGGACGACGATGTCTCTTCAGGACAGCCAAAGGCTTGCTTGATGCATCTTTGGAGGAGTGTACCGCTGGTGATCTGAGTGACATTCTGAGCAAGACATCCCAATGCTGGTAGAGCCCCTTCAACATTGTCCTGGAGGTTCAAAAGCTCAAGCTCTGGTCGACAGATTGCAATTTGGACAGGAATCTGCGAAGTTGGTACGTCGAGACCAAGACATCCCTGCGGAATCTGTTTGCAGGTGATAATATTGGCAGAAGACTTGATTGTACCAGCTGCGAGAAATAACAGACTCACAGCGGTAGAGTGCCTCATGATCGTCCCGCGTTGGTGTAGATGTTTGAACGAGTGTGTATTGCGATCTGGTGCCGATATGGTAGCATGGAGCGCGGAAGTAGGTCTATCTTATATGTTGTAGACGAAAGAAGCACAGACGAGCGCCTCGGTATTGATCACACGAGGTCTCAGAATACGTGTCTTGGTGGAGCCTTGTCAACCTTGCTCGTGAGCCAAGAAGGTTGCATTGATGTGAAGCTCGGTGGGATGTATTGATTGAAACGTCTGTCGCTAAATCATCGTGCTCTGTCTCAATATTCTCGGCAGAACTCGATCACGATGGTCACACCACGCGTACGACCTCGGCGATCATCCAGACCATTGCATACGGTCCCAATACCATTCTATACGGTGTCAATACCATCGCATACGGTCTCAAACTGTATTTATCGCGATTATGGAGTCTCAGACTGGTCATCCCGCGTATACAGCCTCAAAATATGTCATATGGTCTAGCTGACTGTGTTTCCCAAGGGTAGGTGTAGTTCTCACAAGGAATGTTCGGTATGTTCCTTTCCACTATCTTGTCGAGTGGAATATGTTCGTCAGAATTCAGTATCTGTCATGAACCACTGTTAAGTTGCGATGTCTGAGTCCAATGGAGGTGGTAAACGGATTTAATTTTCTACGCGAGACTACATATAGCAAAACAGAACGACAAGCGTCAACGATAAACATGACTAAACAATGGAGCCACTCCGTATACCACCTGATCCCACTCTACAGGTGTGGAATATTAAGGGCGCGCAAACCATTGAAACCAATGCTTGTGAGAAGTGCTGTCAAGTTTGCAGTGGGGTCGTAGTCAGGTGGAATGATAGTTTCGAAAGTCTCCTGGTCGAGTTTAGTAGGCTGATGGCTGATATCTTCATCGGGCAAACACATACCGATGGAGTATCGATAACGACTCTGACCGCATTCGGAAGGAGATTGGGATCAGCTGCCAACGCGGCAGCAGCCAGAGCAGCAACATTGGCTGCGTTTGTGGCTTCAGGGAATGGTCTCCAGCCCTCGTTCCATGGCAGTCTCTCTTGTTCGAAGAAAGTGCGAACGTAGCTAAGCGGGGCAACTCCGAGAGGGCCACCCATTGCGGTGAGAACAAAACCTGCCTCGATAGCTCCGAAGCCCGCTGCTCGAACGCCATACAAGTCCTCAGGGTTCTGAGCACGTTCGCTGGTAACTCTAGCAGCTTTCCCGCGTCCGAGGTCGAGTGCATTGACCGTAGGACCATCGCCCATCGCGTCAAGTGCCTGTTGCCAGAGAGTCATATTGAAGTCGTTATTGTTGCCAATGCGAGCATCTTGACGCGAGAAGCTGTCGTCGTGTTCAATCAGGAACAGATGACGCGAGAGATCGTGCAGATCGAAGGTAAGAGTGAGCGGATGAGAGGACGACATAGTACCCATCAAGCCAATCAGACCCGAGACTTCTGGTGAAACACCCAGGCCTTGGAACAATGCCAGAACGAGCTGGACGATGTTCACATTCTTACCATCATGGGGAAGAAATCCGTGATTGGCAAGCGTATTGAGTGCTGGACAGGGACCTCGTNNGCTGTCCGATTGTCAGTTTTGTTGATCTAATTGCTGGAGCGATACAGACTTACAGTCATTGGGACCGGCTGGATGCCAGTCAAGGAAACGAGGATCATTGAAGTTGAGAGAGGGCTCGCTTTGACTCGATGCCGAGGGCTCAAGCGAAGGGAAAGCACCTGCAGGCCCGGAGGAAGTCAAGGAGGACAAAAGTCCAGGCTTTGGGAAAGCAAGCCCGAGTTGGGGTAAAGCGATGGAGAGAATGAGAGGCGCCCACATTGTTACAAGGTATTGAAGTACTGATCAATCTGAATATACAGGGACAAGCTGAAAAGCATTAATGAAGAAGGACAGCGTGCTCTTTTGAAGTGTTGAGGAGGGCATTCTTGAATCGCATCACCGATTCGAGATCCTACACGTCATCGCCCTGCTGGTCACCTAAATCTTATACTCCAACGCACTGTCTGTTTTTGAGCGACTAGACCATTTGAAGTGTGCATATACGTACCTGGATCCCTGAAGTGAGGCTTGTTGGACAGCGTTGCGAACTCAACACCTCTCTAGACCTTATTACCGGCTCAAAGACCGGGTGACGGTACCCAAAATGGCAGCCCGGCCGTTGACTAGCCTTTGCCGACAAAACGTTGTTGAGGCTTGCCATGAACGGAGGTTCGAGGTTGACAGTCGTTTTCACGCAGGCGAGTCTAGTGCCCGTTATCAGCCTTGCAGGGCTGGGGTTTGCGCAACTGTTGTCTCATCCTTCGCGCAAGAGTCGTTGTAGCACCACAGAGCTTATTAGTGCCGATGAGAGTGGCTGGAGTATACCAAACATACGCTTAGTTTCCTAGTTCTCAGTGGAGTGGAGTGAAGCGCAGGGACAATGACATAACAGAACAAACGATGCATTTGATCATAATCTGCTTGTCCCACATATCGATTGCGATTTGTTCAGAGAAAAGAGGAGTTCTACCTTGGGTTGATTATAGGATATCATAGATTGGACCGAGGCCTCGTCGATTCGCCAGCTCAATCCAATCGACCTCTTCAGTCTCTCCGCCTAGTGCTTCAAGCAGGCGTCGCTCCTCGAAGACTGCGGTCAATAGCTTCAAAGCAGCCCCAGATGCTTCATTCATCTGTGTATCGCGCATGGTCTGCAGTACCTCCAGAGCCTTGACCCTCTGCGTAGCAATCCTTGTTGCGAAACCAGCAAGAAAGACACACCAGACAATGGGACGTATCCAACTAGGCGCCATAGGCAATACCGGCTGCGCATTCTTCAAGATGAATCCGCAGTGCTTGGCGACCAGAGAGTCGCGATGTGTGAAAAGCTGTGACTGTCCAGGATACATGCACCTGAAAAGATATATCTCGATAGCCGCGTAATGCATGAAAGCCATATATGCATCCCTAGAAGATTTCCCAAGGTCTTGCGCTGAGCTGAAAGTGGAGAGCGCATGGAGATCCAGAAGCGAATCATGTGTCAACGACTGCCATGCTGTATGCGTATCCTCACGAAAGCACTCGATCAGATGACAACATTGATTGGCGCTGAAGTCCACTTTGCTAGACTTTTGCCGAGTCATCTTCGCCACGACGCTCAATTCGACGGTCACCCTGCGGAGGAAGGTAGCGATCCTTTGCGCTTGCTGTGAAGGGTCACCAGGATTCTGCCATGGCGTCGATGTCAATAATAGATCCCAAGGGGGCTGGGTATTGTAGTTTATGAACTCTCGTGCGTACACACCAGCTGATTCCATGCCGGAAAGGACAGCGTAAGCATCCAGTGATACGACGTACGAGGAGAACGATGCGTAGTAGTGGTCCAGGATTCTCGGAGGCCTGCACGCGATCGTTCTCGCTAGAACTCTGAGATGAGTAGACATATAATCGTCACCTCCTTCGCCCAGAGCTCGCATCTGACAGATCGTATCAAATACTAAAAGGAGAAAGTGTAGGCAGAAGATATCGTCAGAGGCGATATTCTCAGTGGACCAGCTGGCCGACAAGGCTTGTCCATAGTATTGAAAGGCAGTAGCAGCACAACCTGGGGTTCCGTCTCGTGTATATATTAGTGATGAGATTGCGCACACTGCGTCATGAACCGGTCGACATCTCAGTGCCTTTGAGATGATTATATGATCGCCGAAGAGCTCGAATCGGTGAGGGTCCTGGCACAGGTCTGAAAAAATCTTTTCCGATTGTAAGAGAATTCGAAATCGTTCAATATGAGAGGCGGCGTCGGCGTGACCGGGCAGTTGCCAGTATGTCGTAGTCTCAGAGGCCATGGGTAGCGGATTGTCATCTGGAACGCGATCTTTCGGACTGGTATATATCACCCTGAAGCACGTGAGTATTGTTTGACCCTGGCAGATTGAGCTTGTTTTGCCAACTGACCATTTTGAGGCGACTTGTTGGCCAGACTGCTCATAGCTAGAGTCGTTCTTGTGCTCTGGTCGTTCAGGAGTATCCGAATCCCCTTCTCCAGGTGGTCGAGCACAAGTCTGTGACTTGTATTGCTGAGTGATCCAATCATCACAAGGGGTGAAGATGAAGTCTTGCGTTCGGTATTGACACCTTTTCCCAAGATGGGAGCAACGACCACACTTTGGTCGAGCTTCATCGCACTTGATCCGTCCTTGCCGACAACTTTGGCAGCCGTTCCTTGACCGACCATGCGACATCCGGTTCTTCCTCGTGTTGTCCAGGGTGTTTTGGATCGTCAGCTTGTTCATCCTGAAATCGTGTGCCCTCGAGCTGTTGAATAGCTCGAATACACCATCGATGACGGCTGACTATACAGTTATATGAGGTCGCTCAATATGGCTCAGTATTTTGCTCACTGATCGACCATCATAAAAGTGTACCAGTCCCCCATGACTAACATCTTGGCTGACGCTAATGTGTCCAGCTCGTCGTCTCTCAAAGTTCTGCTAACGTTTGTCAGTCCAGGACTATTGCTGCTTCACCTGGCCGAGCATGACAGGAGTATAACGAGCATTCCATATATGGATTTCAACGGTCACCGTCCGCCATGACAGAGCTAGCGCAACCAAATGCGCAGGCTGTCAAGTTTGATGCCCTGAACCGCGAAATCAAGAAACTTTCGAGCGAGGCGCTCAGCATCGTTCTTGATGAAGGCTTTGCCAGCCTCGGGAATTCTGGAAACGTACAACAAGTCTAAACCTTGCAGTCCCATCCTTCGCAAACATGTCTTGTGGATACCCATCTTGTGAGCGATGTAACGCTGGCAATGACCCAACCAAGAGAAAAAAAAAGATCTGCACGTGGTATTCATCTCCAGGCTCCGGCAAGCCGTGGATTGCCGTCAGAGCCCAGCAACGTTAACGGCCAGCGGATCCGCTGTCCGGAGCTCAAGCCTTCTCTTCTGCAGATCATGGAGACAGCGTTGAGCTAAGCAACAAGCTGGGCGAGAACTTTGACGTCGATCCTTTGTTTCCTCGGCAGTTCTTGGTGTGGGAACAGACATGCTGAGATGCCAATCGCGCCGAGCATTCTACATGTTTGATCGATTCGATTTGACGGCGCTACACCGGGCAGTGTTGGATGCTGTATACTGCGTACGTAAAGTCCCGAAGTCCAATGCGTGATCCTACTGCAGACAGACTCTTTCCGACGGGTAAGTCTCCGAGAATCTAGTACAGAGCAGCTACAACCCTGATTTGCAGCGCCTATACCCTTTTGGAAGAGCGCCTTCTTGATCGAAGCCATGAGCGGTGCTCCTATAGGCTTTGGCGAGGTATGAACCATTGGGGAAATACGTTGTCGACTCCGCAGCCACCTCCCGCGGCTTACTACCTAAGACAGGCAATGCTCCCGCTTACACCTGCTTGTCAATTTGCGCTTCGGATCACAGACATGCTTATACTCTGACACTAATCATCGCAGCACGTGCCATCAACATCGCCGGTGAGTCGTGTGCTTCGCTATTCGACATCCTACGATCATGATCGAAGATTTGTTGCACCATCAAATGACGACTAAATTGCATAGTCTGGCACCTAGACAACCTGATCTGTTTGTATCGAGATCAACTTGCACCAGTCCTCCCTCCTGGGTACTTCGACACCAGTCATGATTGAAGGGGCGCACCGGCCCAGCTTTGTTAGGCGTTCGAAAGCCGCGTGTCTCGCACAAGATCACGAGTATTAGTAGTTCTTGGCAACGAGTTGAGATACTGGTCTCTCGCACGTACGCACATGGCACTGTCGTTTCAAAGTTCTCGACAGCATGCAAAAATCTTGGAACTTCGGGTTTCTCACCGGACTGCTACCTGCGTATCGCAGTTCTTTGACTCAGCCTTACAGAATGCGAAGACGTTTGTTCCTGCATCTGAGGTCTCAGGTTCTTTCGGCTACGGCACGCTGATCGTTCACACAAGTTCTAGGCACAGTCCGCAACCGATAACGGTAACATACATCATCGACTCCCTCTCGGATTTGGTTCGCGCTGGATCTGTGGTGTAACATCACTTTGCCTTACAACGGAACAACGAAGGGAATAGCGTTCGGCAATATGCTTTTGGACCTACATCTGCACCTGCGCCGTCCAATGGTGGAAATCAAAACACATGTCCGAAGTCGGAAGGATCTCGAGATGTTTTGTCTCCATCAAAGAAAGCTTGACAAACGTTTGACCACCATGGCCATCGTCTCAACACAGGAGCGATCCTGCTCAGTATCTGCTCTCGATTTCCAAGCTTGGTAACAGAAGATTCCGCAATACGGCTGGCCACTGAAGCCGCAGGTCCCTCCTCTGATTGAGGTGAATCTTACATCAAGCTGTCTCTCAAGTGCACCGGGAGCAGGTATGTTAATCATGGCAAAGAATTGACAATGGCACAACGGACTGCTTGGAGTCGATTTGCAGCACTTTTGTACAACGACATCTCATACGCTTATAGCTTGTTCTATATCGGTACTACAAGCCATAACATCACGGGCCGTCGAACGTACTCGATGATGGTAGGGATCATCCAAAGAACTGAAGCAGGGTGGCCCTAGCAACATCCAAACTGTTTGTTGATTCCTTACTCCCAATGATACGTTGATCTAGGCTGTCTGGATACATAACGCCAGATCATACTGAAACTTCAAGGCATTGGCAAGCATGGCAGGACGAAAATCACATGGCCGGAACAGTTTCACTTCTGATGTATATCTTGACGCAAGCACTGACCATTTCACTGTTCCAAGAACGACAGAGACTCGGGCACTCTTGATCAAGAAACAAACGTGTCTGTTCCAGGATCCCACTTAGACTTTGTTAACAGACTTCGATATCTGAGTTTCCAGCCCTAGTTGATCAAGGCATGTGACTCGAGCAGAGCACAGGGCACATGAGAGAGGATGTCATGCCGACATCTCATCACATCGAACACGCTCGTCAACTTCCTCGGTTTTGAGCCTTTCGTTCGTGATGACGAAAATGGACCCATGCAGTTTTCCGCTCGCTGGGTAAGGACGTATCCCTTTGACGACTCTCCTCGCATCTTCTTCTACTGCGGACGGATCTTGCATATGGTTCGCTGCATGCCGGGGCACAAGAAAACACCTTGGTGGGCTGGTGGGGTTCGTCAAAAACTGCTTAAGCTCGCTGCACAGTGGCGGTGAGCTTTTACGAACGGGCCGGACTTTGTTCTACAATCTCTGAGGTGGTAAGATCAACCAAGTATGCGCTAGCCAGTCATAGGGCTCCATGGATCAGGGCAATCAGCTTGCTATTTGCTACAGTATTTGTCAGCTTCATTGACTACCCCTCTTTTCATCAATGGTGCAGGCCAAGCCAGTTGATGAACGGAGTTGAAGCGGGACCGAATGCAGGCCAAGTCTTTGAAGCTGTGACTCCCGTTACCTTTCCAGTGATCACTATATTGCTCGCGTAGCACAGTCATGGATTGTCAGACAAATTGCCCCATCTGAAACGTCCTATCTTTTCTGATTGGCTTATTAAGAAGCTCCTAACATCACTTGCTACTTGCTACACGAAAAGCTGACCGGTTGGATCGCTGACCAAATTATTTATGGGCGTGAGCTCTGCATGACCTAACTCACAGGTTATAAATCCCTCAAGGAACCACGATATGAGCTATAGATCGATCCGATATTTCGAAACCATGGACAAAGTTAATTCTCCGCAGGTTGTCGACCTGGATGCTCTCGTCGTTGGTGCTGGTTTTGGTGGCGTGTATCAGTTGAAGAAACTACGCGACTTGGGCTACGACGTCAAACTGGTTGAGAGTGGCGACGATTTCGGCGGCGTATGGTGAGTTGATATCTGCTGCACCAGATCATCTTCCTATCGAAGAGCTGACTCATGTTGAGGTNATTGGAACCGCTATCCAGGTGCTCGTGTCGACATCCCAATCCCACACTACGAGTTCTCGGATCCAAAGCTCTGGAAGGAATGGACTTGGAAACAACGCTTCCCAGGTTCTGCAGAACTGCGTGCATACTTCCAATTTGTCGCCGATATATGGGATGTACGCGACCATTGCGTCTTCAATAGCTATGTCAACTCTGCTGTATGGGACGAAGAGTGTTCGAAATGGATTGCTAGAATTAGAGACGGAACGACTTATCGGGCAACCTTCTTCCTGCCCAACACCGGGTTCGCGGCCAAGAGATACATCCCTGACTGGAATGGTATTGAAAGCTTCAAAGGTACTTGGATCCATCCTAGCTTCTGGCCAGCGCAAGGTATCGACCTCAAGGGTAAGAAAATTGCTGTCATCGGGACCGGATCGACAGGTGTGCAGCTCAGTCAAGAACTAGCTGCGGGTAAGGCTTGTTCACGCGACAAAGCCTACAGCAACAAACTGACTATGAGCTAGNTCGCCTCCGAGTTTGTTCTTNTTCAACGCACACCAAACCTTGCATTGCCCATGAGGCAACGGGAATTCGGTGGAGACGACCAAATCATGCCGAAGGAACAGTACCCTGACTTATATGCGGGCCGCAAATCGTCCTTCTGCGGCATCGACTACAACTTCGCAACAGAAAAGACTTTCGATCATACTCCAGAAGAGCGTAGAGCCGTCTATGAGTCTCTCTGGGCTCATGGCGATTTTCACTTCTGGCTTGCCACATACGGAGACATGCTATTCTCGGATGAAGCAAACACCGAAGCCTTTAATTTCTGGTGAGTGCCCATGGATTACAAGAAAATAGTGTTCCTGAACGTCAACAGGAGGGACAAAGTCCGCGCAAGACTCGACGTTTTGCGTCTGAAGGATAAATTCGCACCCATGAAGAAACCGCACGCATTTGGCTGCAAGCGAGTATCTCTCGAAAACGGCTTTTATGAGCTGTTCAATGAACCAAGCGTACACCTTGTCGACATGAATGAGACTCCAGTGCTCGAGATCACGCCGAACGGCATCAAGACCAGCGAGAAAGAATGGGAGTTCGACATTGTGGTTTGTGCAACCGGTTTCGATGCTATCACCGGGGGTATCCTGGATATGAACATCCAAGGAAGGGACGGCTGCAAGCTGGAAGACTTCTGGTCCGATGGCGTGAAGACAAACCTCGGGATGTGTGTGCCTTCATTTCCAAACATGTGAGTCAGCGTCAGCATCGTTGAGGGGCCTTGTTAGCTCATCTGATTCTCAGGTNTCTTCACCTACGGCCCACAAGCTCCAACGGCTCTGTGCAATGGACCCAGCTGTGCAGAGCTCCAGGGTGATTGGATCGTAGACGCACTCGAATACACCCGAAAGAACGACTACCAGAGCATTGAAGGCTCTGAGCAGGCTAGTAAGGCATGGGCAGAAGGTGTCACTGCTGTAGCCAATATGAGCCTACTACCAACAGCACGTTCGGTAGGTGAACTCTGAGTTAACTACTGAGATCCATACTGACATGGTTTGTAGTGGTATATGGGAGACAATATACCGGGCAAGAGGCGGGAACCCTTGATTTATCTGGGCGGTGTGCCTCACTACTACAAGTTATTGACTGAGTGTGCTGCGAACAATTATGAGGGGTTTTTGTTAGCTTGAACTTCGCTAGCATAGACATAACTTGCAAATTGGTGTTCTTAAATTGTCATCTAACCAATATTTTGCTAGATATAGTGATATGATCCAACTGCTTTACCCACTGGTAGGAGACGAGGCAGTTATCACCGAGCTCGGCTAATCCAACGGAGCATATTCTTCTTGGTACTTATGTATCGGGCAACCAGGGCACAGGTCTGCTTCCCCAAATCGCAAGGAGTTGGAAGCGATTGCGACTTCACGTCGGCAGTGAAGCGTCGAAAGAATGACTGCGACNNAAGCGACAGCAGCACTCGTCGGCTGAGGTCATCGCGGGTGATATGGCGAACCCAGCAACAGTATCTACACCGCTGGACGGCGTCACATGCTGCTTCATCATTTGCCCTCCTNTGCGTACAGAATCCCATCTGTCGAATCTCGTGCTAATGGTCATCCTCAATTTACCAGATGAGACAATGGAAATTTATNACTTGATCGACGAAGCAGTGGCACAACGTACTGCCGAGGTTCCCTTCGTCCACACGGTGTACTCGTCTGTCATTTCCCCAGTGCTTCGANAGNTTCTCAACCACGACAACAAGCGTTACGCGGAGGAATATCTCATCGAGTCAGGATTGCCATACACCATCTTACAACCTACGCACATGATGGAAAATTTTCCAATGGAGAAAGTGGTGCGCGAAGCAGAGCCAGTCTACCCTATCCCCTATAATCCAGAGATCGTTTTCACCTGGGTGACGGCCAGGGNNGATACTGGCGAGGCCGCTGCTCGTGTACTAGAAGAGCGACACAAGCATTTTTATGCGACTTATCCTCTCGTCGGTACTGAGTCTGCTACGTATACTGAAGCAGTCCGAGACGTCAGCAAGGCCATCGGGAAGCAAGTCATGATCGAACGAATTCCGCTTGAAAAGACTGTCGATGGCTTGGTTCGCCGCAACAAGAACGAGTCCATGAGACCATTTGCTACGCGCCTTCTTGTCTATTACAACGAGCGTGGACTCATCGGAAACATGAATGTTCTCGAGATGTTGCTTGGCAGGAAGCCGACCTCATACGTCGAATGGGCAAGGCTGAAGGCAGACGAAGTGGTGAGTAAATCAGCACTCACGGCTTGATTATCTTTGTACCCTGCACAATGAGCATTAATTAAGCGACATGGGATTAATCGTCGGATACATGATCTATGCTTGTAACCTTATCTACTGTGACCATAGAGCATCGTGATTGCCGTTCTGACATCTATCAAAACCTCGGGGCGGCCCGGAAGAGCAACTTCAGCACCGAATCCCATCAAACAGTGTGGCGAAAATCAATTCTGATGGACCATGGTGACCAAAGACAGGGAAAGTTCGGTCGCAGACACCATCAGACTTGATTGCATCATCTGCGAAGAGTTGTATGCCAATGGTCTCTTCTGCTGCATAGAGGCGTGTTGAGATAGCTGTGCGTCCATTCACAAACACTTCGAGCACAGAATTGTCACGCCAGACCTGTATATGTAGTTGTTCCTCCACATATCTGCCGTTGGCATCAACTGAAGTGAACAGTGTATGTGGAGCAATCTCTGGAGCGCTGTTAATAAGTTCCGCGCATCCCAGCGTTGAGAAAGAAGGACGTTCGATTGTGAATGTCTCTCTCGCTGGCGAGAACGCGAGCGTAGTTGTTTTAGTGAAGTCTNNAATATCGGCAGTTAGTATCAGTTGCGCTGTTCTTGAGATCATGCTAGATTTACCTCGAGAGTGCACGATCCGCAGACCAATCTCATGGCAGAACCTTGAAACAGAGAACGAGCAGTCTAGCTCCCAAGCTGATGTCTTGACATCATCAGATGTGAAAGCCATGATGAGAGAGTCTCGGCAGCGAAGAGGTTGACTGAGACTGGCTCGTCGCACCGAAGCTCCAGAGCGTAATTGCTGGACGACCGAGGTGACAGGCTTCGTGGCCAAAGTGCATATTGTATAGGTGCCAGTTGAATTTGGTTCCAGATCGATTGACGTGATGGTCTTCAAGCTTGATGCTCTGGCTGAGACCACGTGCTTCAGTGTTTGGAGCTGCATCTCTCTGGGTAAAGAGAGTAGACCGCTCCAGCCCTGTTCGTGCCGGAGGTCGTCACACAAGTCTTCCTCCGTGATCCAGCCCCAGACGACGTGCTTGGATGTCTTGGTGTCGAAGAACGAATTAGCAGCGTACAGACACCCATGATCAAGATGACCCCCGAATTGATAGTCCATGTGCACAGGACCGCTGCCCGATGAAGGATGGTCTCGATTGTGCTTGATCGAGCCAGACATCCACAGCTGACCGCGCTGTGGCCGAGAGGGACCTGCAGAATCTCCCAAGGACAGTGCAGGAGCCAAGTCACTTGGCAGACAACCTTCAGTGCCCATGACGAGGAAGTCTCGAGTCATAGAGGGGTCTACAGTATCTCGAAGCGTCATGAAGTTCGTGACCTCCCAGTTTTTGCCCAGGTCCCCTGACCATCTCGAAGCACGGAAGTTCAGACCAAAGTTGACCAGAGGACCGATGTACTGCCAGTGCGTGAGATCGTTGGCATCAATGCTGTACAGGAAAGTCGTCGGTGTGACATCTCTGATACCTCCTGAGATGATGCCGAACAGAGTGTCACATGGATCTACACCAAGTGCTGCTGCCATCGAGGGCCATAGGCTGACGAAAGGATCACGCCAACCCGTGACATCTAGATCGATAGGCTCACTTGGTAGGATTGGGTTTCCTGCATGCTTTTCNCAAGTTCGACCTCCATCGAACGACTTTGCCATACTCAAAGACTCGCTTCCGACAACATGCTGTAGTGTGTGATGAATTGGTAGCTCACTGACGGAGGTATAGACGTAGGTCAATGAGCCGTCTCGGGTAGGCATATTGCAGCCGGTAAAGACACCCTTCCCATCATACTGTGTGTCTGGGTTCAGGGACGGTGAATGCTTGATTGTCCATGTAACCAAGTCTGGTGAGGTTGCAGTCCGCCATGCGATATCTCCCCAGTCTGCATTGTCGAGATCGGCATTTGACTGATACGAAATATGGTAGAGACCCATCAGCGGATCGTAGTGAGGAGCGCATGGATCNCTGAGTGAGATTAGCACGTTCCGACCGCGTAGTCTGTCGGCTCTACCTACGTTCATCCATCCCGAAGGCGCTTGAAGATGGTAAGATGGCCTCCAGCGTCGGAAAATCGACTTTATGCCGGGGATTTTGCTGTCGAGATCACCTTGAGATGAAGGCTCGGTGATATCAGTCGACTGTGACGAATTGCTAGGGCTGCGGGACATCTCCCGAGAGCTCGCTTGACTCATAATGATGGTCTTTCCAGGTATGCTGATATTTGTGTAGTGGCTGTAGGAGGTAGTGTCTTCTCGACGAGGGAATGTCTGATCACCCACAACCAAAGTGCGCGGGAGAAACATCAGTTCCTTTCCCTTTTCTTGATCGTCTTCCACTTCATCCATGATCGTCACATGCTCTGATGTGCCGGCTGCATTGTCGGTCATGTTCCCAAACCGTTCAAGACCTCCGACCGATCTAGTAGCCATCCGGGCACACTCGAGCAGAAGTGGAACATATTCTGAAGATCCGGGGCGATTGCACTGTCTGGGGAAGCGTGGAGATGAGAGAGTTCGCTTTTTCGGCAGCCTTTGCGGTGATACTGACCATTTTGGGCGCATTTCGCCGAAAGTTAACGCCTCCCGCATCCATCCATCCCACTTGCACGCGACCATCTTCTCCATCCTTCTTCGACTACACTCCGGGGATGTCGAACCTGGGGTATATATCCTCAATGGCCTACCGCCATGTCGATCATAATTAACACAGCAGCGATAACATTGGCACTCAGCACTTCCACCACCATCCATCAAGGACAGTCACTCGCTGATCAAGATGACTTCCAACGATCTCAAGTTTGAAATGTCTTCACTCGATAAGAACGACATCGCCCATCTCGAGGTCACTTCTGTCGACAGCAAGACCAGAGAAGAAGCTCGCCAGGCAACAGAACTGTCTGCCAAAGCACAATACGCAAAGCTAGGCGCTGCCATCAAANAGGACAAGCGCTTCGTGTGGTGGACGCTCTATGTTATGCTTTTGGTCTTCGGTTGGGGTTATGATGCTGGTCTCTCTGGTGTCGCAATCGCTTTCCCCGAGTTCAGGAAGCACTATGGTTCGTACTTTGCCGACGGCAAACAATGGGTCATCCCTGCTCTTTGGCAATCTCTTTGGAACGCTGCTTCAACTATCGGCCAAGTCTTTGGTGGATATGCTGCCGGTCAATTCGCCGATGTTACGGGTCGCAAACCCTTGCTGTACTCAGCAGTGTCTCTGTCTTTGGCATCTTCCTTCGCCCTGGTCTTCGCACCCAACCTTCCAGTTCTCTTTGTCTCCAAGCTACTTCTCGGTCTCGCCGTTGGTCTCTCTACTGCTACACCTCCTCTCTACGTTACCGAAAATGCGCCGGCGAATTTGCGCAGCACCGCTTCCTCCTTGACAAATGTTATCATCGTGTTTGGCTTCTTTGCGTCTTCGATGACTGGCTTTGGAGCCTCCAAGATCGACGGACCATGGTCATATAGACTCGCTTTCTGTATGACCTTCGCTCTGCCTGCACTGTTTCTCATCGTCCTCCCGTTCTTCCCGGAGAGTCCGGTCTGGTACATGAAGAAGGGTCGCGAGGCGGATGCTCGCAAGGCTATTATCAGACTTTTTGGCCCTGACACCGACGTTGACGAGCGTATCGAGATTATCAAGACCGAACTACAGCAGGCTGAGTTCGAGGGTGCTGGTAAAAGTTCGACCAGCTGGAAAGCAATTTTCTCGAAAGAACACCGTGCCAGGACCCTTGTTTCAGTCCTTGGGCTGCAGGTTCAGAACTTCTCGGGCGGCTATTTTGCGAATACGGTAGGTGTCAATGACTGGTACAAAGTCAAAGATGCGATGCTGACACAACCGTATAGTNACCAGACGTATTACTTCGAACTCATCGGCCAAAGCGACCCTTTTGGTCTGACAGCAATCTCTTCCACCCTACAGCTCCTGGCGAATTTCGTTGCCGTCCTTGTATCTGATGTCGTCCCCCGCCGTAAGGGACTCATTGGTGGTGGTACCGTACTCATGTTCTGGTCTGTCATCATCGGTGGTACCTCTGTTGCTGGTACCAAGAACATCGCTGCGAATACTGCTCTCTTGGTCTTCATGATCACTTGGTCCATGCTCTACACTGCTACCGTCGGTTGCTATGGCTGGGCTGTAGCTCAAGAAACTGCATCACAAGCAACGAGACCTAAGACCATCTCTTTCACTCTTGTTTGCCAGCAACTCACGGCCCTTATGCTATCTTCAGTCTTCCCTTACTTCATCAATCCTGATCAGCTCAATTGGGGTGGCAGAGTCATGTTCTTGTTTGTTGGCGCTGAGGTTTTCATCATCACTGCCCTCTGGTTCTTCCAGCCCGAGACCAAGAACAGAAGCAACGCTGATATCGAGATTCTCTACGCTGCTGGCATCCCTCCTCGCAAGTTCAAGAACTTTGCTGTAGTCGACGGTCAAGTCGCGGAGAAGGAACATCAGGATGGGTTTCTCAGTCGCTTCTCTCGCAGAGCTTGATATTTCTCGACGAAGATGTATATGTGTATATAGTCCTTGGTTGTGTTGTTTCGCAATGAGTCGTGTAGATATAGTACTGCTACCTCGAACATGAAAATTTTCTGAACTGTTGTCTCAAGATCATCATCTGTCTATCAATATATGTATCCAACGACTCAAACATCGAAAGTTTGTCGGACAAAGTATCCATAAGCAATTCAGACACCACTTCTATACAAGCCTATGAAGTCATCAATATTTGTCTTGGTCACGATAAATATCATCTTGCGACGCCAGCATGTCCTAACAAGTTCGTTGTCAGTATGTTGTTGTATGGGACACCCGGCTACCAGCTCAGTATTTAGCTTGGATGGCGATTCAATCCTGCGTGGCTAGTAAGAAGTGAGCCCACAGCGGCAATTCTGAATTCACCCCGACCAGGTAATGACACGAGGTGACTTGATAGAGCCGCGTAGAAGCAAACATTGTGCCCAATTGCAATTGCCTCGGCTGCTGGAGCGCTGGGCTCTTTTCACGGCCCGACAACCATATCGGACCGACTCATGCCGGCGAAACTCACCGCATCCGGTAAGCGCCCTCAGGACCTCTATCCGGAGATCGCAGATCATCCAGCTGGGGGAAACAGTTGCGGGGCCACAGCTCCATGGGGTGAAAGTATCGCCGAAAGTACACAACTCACGAAGTCTCACCCGTCCAGCAGTATCCCCGTGGAGTAGATCGACATTTCGCATCACACCAAACGCCAGGGAGAGTGGCGGCTGCACTTTATCTTCCCATCTTCCGCCACGTCTCTGGAGAAAACCTTTTCTCTCATCCTTCTTTATTGCAATGTCGCCACACGCAGTCATGTCAAATGCTTCAAGCAAGGCTTGGTGGAAAGAGGCAGTTGTCTATCAGATATACCCTGCCAGTTTCAAAGACAGCAATGGTGACGGTCTTGGTGATATTCCTGGTATCATCAGCAAGATTCCTTATATCAAATCATTGGGTGTTGATACTATCTGGCTTTCACCCATCTTCGCATCACCCCAGAAAGATATGGGTTACGATATCTCAGACTATCGAGCTATTCACGCTCCCTACGGCACAGTCGAGGACGTGCAAACACTCATTGATCAGCTTCACAACAACGAGATGAGACTTCTAATGGATCTGGTTGTCAATCACACGAGCGATGAACACGTTTGGTTCAAAGAGTCTCGCAGTTCGAGGAACAACCCAAAGCGCGACTGGTACCTCTGGCGTGACCCTAAATTTGACGCTCATGGCAACCGAACAGAACCCAACAACTGGAAATCTATCTTTGGTGGCAGTGCTTGGCACTTTGATGAACAGACTGGTCAATACTATCTCGCTCTATTCCTCCCGTCTCAGCCTGATCTCAACTGGGAGAATCAAGACATGCGTAAAGCCTCATACGACGATATGCGTTTCTGGCTTGATCGTGGTGTTGATGGTTTCCGCATCGACAGCATGAACCTGATGAGCAAACACCCCGATCTGCCCGATGGCAAGGTCATCAACGACGAGCCATACCAGTCTGGCGCCGAATTCTTTGCATCTGGTCCGAAGATGCATGACTACATACGTGAGATGAGAGCTGTCTTTGATGAGTACGATACGATGACAGTGGGCGAGCTTGGTTTCACAAAGGATGAACAATCGGTCAGCGAATATGTCGCCAAAGACCGACATGAGTTGAACATGGTCTTCACGGGCGACATCGTGGATATGGACTTTGGCGTGGATGGCAAGTACGGCCGAGGCAGTTTCCATCCACGTAAGATTCGACACATCACCGACATGTGGCAGAGGATCATGCCTCGAGTCAATGGGTGGAACAGTGTCTATCTGGACAACCATGACAGCGGGCGCTCACTGAGCCGCTACGCCTCGGACGCACCAGAACACCGTGCCACAGCCGCCAAGATGCTCGCCACATACTTGCTTACCTTGAGCGGAACGCCCTTTATGCTTGCTGGACAGGAGATCGGAATGGCCAACTTGGGAAAAGACTATGGTCCAGAGGCATACATTGATGTGGAAGGGCGCAACTACTACAAATCAGTGCTCGAGACGAGAGGCGGCGATCATTCCGAGATGGGTGATGTCATGCGCGAGATACAGCTCAAGGCTCGAGACCATGGACGACTACCTATGCAATGGGACGACAGTGCCAACGCAGGCTTCACTCCGGAGAGCGCACATCCTTGGATGACGATCAACCGCGACTACGTGGATTGGAACGTTGCGAGTCAAATTGATGATCCCAACAGTGTGCTTGCATACTGGCGTAAGATGCTGGCTCTGAGGAAGGAACACTCAGATTTGCTCACATACGGCTCTTACAAGCCACTTAACGAAGGCGACACTGGCGAGAGAGTGCTCGGATATGAACGTCAGTGCCATGAGACTGGTCAGACAGCCGTCGTACTGCTGAACTTCTCGGATCGCGAGCAGAAGGTGCAAGTCAAGTCCTTCGGTCAGCGTGAGTTCGGAGTCCTGGTGTCCAACCAAGCAATCAGTATCAAGGCCCACAATGTGACCTTGATGCCACATGGCGCAGTCATCAAGGCAAGCTATGTATCCTTGATGCCATATGGTGCAGTTGTGCTTGCAGATAGGTACTAGATAGACTGAGGAGTAATGAGAAATGACATAATTTTTCCAGATCATTGCCATCACAAGTATAAAGTAGATCTTTCTTGATCGAGATGACGGCAGTAAGTTAAAGCATGTCGTGCCAAGTCGATCAGTCGGTCCGAGTAGGGCATCGTCGGCGTCGCCGAGATGAGTGGAGTCCATTCCGGGGAGCTTTCTCCACCCCCCTCGGATACAGATGGGTCATCTTGCGTGGGGCAATCGCGTGCGGGCAATAAACCTTCTGCTTGCGCCTGCCTGTTCGATTTCTCTGCACTGGCCTAATCGAAATCTGATATGTCTTTCGTTCGGTCGAAGTTCCCTTGATCAAGCATTCATCAAAGTCAGGACTTCCGGATCTCACGCGATACAGTTTGTGGAAGGAAGATGTTCGCAACTTTTGACGCCGCAGCCGGTATTCCCTCCAGCCGGCAGAAGACTGGAGGCGACAGAGCAAGTCGTATGCCGAACATTCTGACGGTTACTTGCTAACGATCTTGTTTGCAGGCGTGCGACCTCTGTAAACAAAAGAAAGTGCGGTGCGACATGGCGAATCCGTGCAAGACTTGCATTGGTCGGGATGTGGAGTGTACCTTCAACGAGGCGCGGAAAAGAGAGGCCCTGCGTCTGCTCGCTTCAAGATGCAAAGGCGACTGTCCATGACAAGCCCTGGAGAAAGTGTGATGGAATTCACAGGCACAGCTCATGGAGTCTCGTTGGTGAGCAAAAGGCTGATATGACCCCATCAGATAATCATGAGCAAGTGGTGAATCATCGCGCCAGTACAGCGTCGACACACGACCTGACTATGCTCAATGCTGATATGACACCTTCAGCTGAATACTGGCCTTCTGCGGCAACATCCTATCAACCATCAGTCACGAACTCCAATTCACATCAACACTGGACCATCAACAACGACACGCAAGACGAATCTGCGTTCTCAAATCCTATGCCGACTTTACAACAAGACATGCATATTTCTGAATTTCTACTACCAAGTCTACCAATCGAGTCACCAACAAATGATTCGTTTAACCTTNTTGCTGCTATACAAGAGCAGGATTTGTTACCTATCGTGGAAACTGTCGAGATCTGGCCCAAGACCATAAGTCAAGAAGCCCTTCTTCCATGGATCGATGTTTACTTCAAGCGCCTACATCCAACTGTGCCTGTTCTGAGTCGCGCTATCATCTACCAGGAAATGCTACTCAGGACTCACCACCATGATCCTCAATTCGGCGCAATGCTCCTTGCGCTCTGCGCTNTTGCAATGACTCAACCAGTTCAAATCCATGAGGTCGCCTCGACACCTTCGCGGTCTGTTCAAGCCCGTATGCTGTTGGAAGAATCCATCAAGATGAGAATGACTGTGGACTTTGGAGAGAACCCTTCAGTCTATATGATACTCACCAGCTTCTTCATATTTGCTTGTCTCTTTGGGAACGGCCAACACAAAGCAGCGCACCACCGGCTACGAGAGGCTGTTGACCTTGCTAATTCTCTGTCCATGCACTTACCACAAGCATACGACAGCCTTGATATCGAGACACGGGAACAATGGTTACGGACGTATCTGGTACTGTCTGTAACCGAAAGGTATGCCGAGCGTGATCTGTACATCCATTGGTAACAAGTGCTGATCGCTTCCGCANGAGCATATGCGTTGCAAAAGCGTCACTTTATCGGCTTTCGTGGTAGCCCTGCTGTGAATGCATACTTCATGCGCGCCTTTGGATCATCTACATCATCCATGAACCAGGACCAAACAGATACGCTCGGAATGACAGGCTTGCTGTACCTCATGGAGATCTTCGATGCCATCGATGAAAGTGTTGTCGAATGCTGGGCTGGTTACTGCAGATACAGCGACGGCCGTTGCGAGACCTTTGATCGAAGACAGGCGATCCGAATGTTCCGCGCCCAACGACGAGCTCGAGAAGGCTGTCTTGTCGGTCGTCTGTCTTTCGAGCCAACAGCATCGCTGCTACCACTTGGACGGCTGTTGGAAAGTCAGCAAGCTGACATATCTATAACACAATTCTGGCTGTCTAACCGACTCTGGGAGCTTTGCATGTCACATGGATTATTACTCGAATCTTCTGATCACCCCGAGCTGTGCTTACACTACGCATATCATGTTGCCCATGAGCTCCTCATGGTTTGCGACGTCATGAATCTAGCTTCGATGGAGGTACACGGCGTCGGCTTCGTCGAGAAAGTGTATGATATTGCCATGAGTTTGATCAAAGCAATGGATTCTTCAACACAAATGACTCTCGAATCGAGCTTTGCCAGACTCAACACGCTTACAGAAGATGTTCCAGAGCTTTGTCCCACGATCAAAGTGCTTCTCAGTCGGTTTTACGAACTCATGAAGAACTTCCGCGGAGGTGATCACGAGTATGCATCCAGATTCGCGGTGGCTTTGCGCAACATACCAGAGTACGACATCTCAGTGTAAAGTTCCTGGCATCTTGGAAGCTCGATAGTCACATAAACGGCTTATATAGACGCGTCAAATTCGGGTATCGCGTGCGTGGCCCTGTCTTGTAGGATCCCGCGTTATGGAGATCGTTCGCTCAACAAACCCAATGATAGACTTATGCGGCAGACAGCGCCAGGCGGAAAAGTTGTACGACAACTTTCGACTGCTTGATTCGTATCCGTCTCACCAGATTCGAACAGCGTGATCCTGTCCTAGGACCTCAGAGAAGTGCAATGTCGTCCCTACGAGTTGCAGGGGAACAAGAAGAGAATCACTGTCGCAGCTGCTTCTAAGACACTGGCAAACCTCATATATCAATATAAAGGCATGGGTCTCGGCATGGTCACAATGAAATTTGCCGCTGTTGTGTTTCGTCACTTACACGAACACAGGGAACTATGTGTGCAGATGTGACGCCTAAAGAGGGTCCGGCTTTGTATTACATCCACAGTGCTGGAACCCGACTATCTGGCAACTTGTTCTGCGTAGGTTCTGGTCAGACATTCGCTTGTGGTGTGCTTGATGCCAAGTACAGATACGATACGAATGAGGAGGAAGCTCTCGACCCCAGGAGACAAAGTGTTCTTGCGGCTACACATCGAGATTCCTTTTCTGGCGGCTCTATCGTTATTTATCATGTCAAGGAGAGCGGACGGGTCAAACTCGAGTATTTCGATACGGACTCGATGTTCTGGAGGACAAAGCTTGAGAAGAGGATGTTTTTAGATGTCGCCGCCGACTTGGAGTAGGAGATCTTCTTTAGTTTGCACATATGCTTGGGCCAATATATCTACTGCACATGCAAGCGACTTTACCAGACCACCAGACCTCGTGTGAGTAGTCAACACTGATTCGAAAACAGCGGACGTGAAAGTTGTGCACAGAACCTCTCGAGACGACCAGAATAGGGTCAGAGTTTAATGCTCATGAGTGTTCCAATCACGATAATCTATAATGCTTTCTGGACCAAGTAAATGTCTCCAGGCTAGTTCCAGGTCGTCTTGCATACGCCATGACCTCGGTACTTGCCAATACAGTCTTCGTTTATGTTTGTGTTGATCCTCGCGAGGGAAATTCCAAAGATCATCTGCATGGGTTTCACCTGGCATGAGATAGCAGAATTGGAACGACTGGTATGGTGCGCAGCTTGGCGCATCGGACCCGGCTGCAAAGACCTTCAAAGCAGGCATTTGTGCAGCTGTTTGCGCCATCATGGTGAGCATAGCTTCGAGTCTTTGGGATGGCCAAATCCTGAACGGATCGGCCCACTCTGTGTCGGAAAGGTATCCATCTTCGTCATCGATCTGATCTTCATGCTCATCGGGTTCAGAGTCATATTCTTGGTCAAAGTCAATGACTTTGGCTTTGTCTTCTTGAGTTTTGTGTATGCGTTCCAGCGCGATTCGGCGAGAGATTAACCCCCAAAACCGTTCGACGTCTTCCGAGCTGGGTTCTTGCTCGAAGAACCAACCACCGTCGGCTACCATTGGGCTGTAGTTGATCTTTACATGACTGAGACTAGGCCACATAGGTGTTTTGGGAGATGACTTGGACTGCTCAAAGAACTGCTCTGAGATGACAACGCTGTGGAGAACAAGCGTTGTCAATCGTGTCATCGAGGATAGCAGCTTCAGGGACTCACTCAGATGATCCAGTGATATGCGCGGGAGCAAGATGCTAGGGACGACGATGCTCTCGTCAGCAGGTGTTTCATTGACAAAACGAAGCTCGATGGTCCTCAGCGATGAACAGGTTTCTACAAGCGATCGTAGTTGCTTGGCAAAGTCTGGATGTGCAAAACGTTAGCCGAGACTCTGCATGGTGGAGGAGTAGCATGGCGTGCCGATGATATCCGTTGATATGAGGGTTTCATGCTGTGCTCTCGGAGCTCTAGAAAAGTGCCTGAGAATCGACAAGCTTTGCAAGAGTCAACACTTACCGTAGCGCGCTTTGCGCCGGGAGACCGAATTTATACTTTTATCGTAGTCATTTAACTCCCATTTGATCTCCTGTAGGTCATGCATCCGAGCGGCGATGTGGACCAACAAAATTGGATCTCGTTGGGCTGTACTATGGAACTCGAATCGCTTGACGAGCTCGGTCGTGGAAATCAAATCAATCGCAGACTTTGATAGGCAAGTCTCTGGCGGGAATTCTATCTCGAGGATGATAGCTTTTTTGAGTGACCAGGAGCTCAAGACCGAGTACAACTTTCCAAGGACGTGCATAGCAATCTCCGTATCTCTGTATCTGGCAGCCGCCCTTTCAGATGGGGGTTCCGACTCCAACGCCTCGTGTGTGCCAGGTATAGATTCAATGATAAACCTGAGTTTTCTTAGAGCAGATCTGCGGTGTTCTCGGCCCCCGCCAGCGCTATATAAAGTATTGAAGAAGTCCAACTCAGAGCTCCTCAATTTGAGGGAGCTAAAGACACGTCGTTCAACAACTTGTTGCCATTGTCTCGAGACCAGCGCGTATGGTCCAAGACATTGGTGAGATCTCGAAGGACGACCGGTAGGACAGTAAGAAATTATGTTGGTGAGGACCTCAATCGGTAAGCTGTTCATGGTCGAAGTTTGGATGAGATTGATAAGTTTTGTTTCTGCTTTGTAAACAGATGTCGTCCTAGGTGCGCTTTGACAGCCAAGGTTTCAGATCAACCTAGGCGCATGATTCGGGGTTGACTACGCCAGTGTTCTTGGCATGAACTGCATTACTCAGAGAAGTCTTAGGATCATGCCACGTATGCGGAACATTCTTTCTTGGTACTATGAGACATCTTGCGTGTGTTACAAGAAAGCATCGCATCATCAGACTGAATGATGCATATTTGTGTTCCAGCCGCATCATTCCAGATAGATCCGGTCAAGATTCTGCACTTTACATGCTGCCAGCCTCCTCAAGGTGCTCAGCCTTATTGACCTTCTCCTCAATCACAGTCGACATTCCAGCATCCCATGGAAGGTCCCTTGCAACTTTAACAACCTGGAGAGCATTATCAGATCTTACGAAGAACTGATCGATATCTTCAAGTCCGCGGGAGCGAGTCTCAGGGCACAGGAAATAGACAAACATGAATGCTGTAGCACTCGTGCACACGTAACAGAGATAGTCTATGACTTGTTAGTACTGAGTAGAGTCTCTCCGGGACTGACTTACANNTTTCCAGCCGATAGTCCTGAATCCGATGGGTGTGACTTCTGCAATCAAGAAATTGAAGAGCCAGTTTGTTGCAGCCGACATAGCTGTGATCTTGTGTCGAATCCTGAGAGGCGCAATCTCTGCAGAATACATGAATGGGATCAAGAACAATCCAATAGGGAAGAAAGCAAGAGCCAGGAAATCGAACAACAGCGTGGCGCCCGCAACGCTTTTGCTGACATGTGAGTACTTTATGAGCGCCGCCTGACCAGCTTGAGCGATTGTCATGCCAGCAGTTCCAATCAGTAGCAACTTTCGACGTCCAAGCCTGTCAACCAGGAAGACGGCTAAAGTCGCCATACAGAATTGCCAGATTTGCAGACATCCCGAGATGATGCGTGATGTTGTACCATCGTAGCCTAAGATCTGCGTAAAGATTTCGTTGGAGTAGAAAGTGACTAGCACTGTCAGTCATGCAGTGCTAACAATATACACTTTGATTGACTCACTGATATTGACACCCGTCATCTGAGCGAGCATATTGACACCGATCGCGATCAAAGTACGGTTCAGATGGCGATTGTGTGTTCGCGCAAANGGATTGCCAGAAGCTCCGACATTCTCCTGTGAGATGGCATCCCTGATTACTTCAACTTCTTGTCGAAGTAGTATTGAGTCCTCCGGCAGGCCGTGGAGCCGAGATAATGACTTGAGTCCAGCTTCATAGTTCTCCTTNTTGATGTACCATCGAGGTGATTCNTGTCATCGATCAACATCGGGGTTGCCTGGAAGTCTGGAGTTGAAACACTTACCTGGTAGCATGAATATCAACGAAGCGATGCCAATCGCAAAAACCGCCTGGAAAGCAATTGGGAATCTCCAATTGGCAGAATTGTTNTTGAGAAAGAAGAAGCCGAAGTCCAACCAGACTGCGAATGCGACACCACCAATGGCGAACATGCCTTCGAGCATGACCATCTTGCCTCTATCATGAGCGTTCGAGCATTCGGTGACCCACATTGGAACAGTTGCTNNAGACGACGATCAGCAGGATCATTATCAAGGTCCTTACAACGTACCTGTAAAAGCACCCACCCCAAGACCAGTGATGATACGTGCCGCAATGAGCTGTCCCAAGCTGAAGGATGAAGCCTGAATCGTGACACCGACCAATACTAAGCATGATGCGCCAAAGATAGTCTTCCTTCTGCCTAGGATGTCGCCGATGATGAAACATGACAGAGCTCCTATGGCACAGCCCACTTCATAAATTGCAACAGCTGTGCCCTGGACAAGTGATCGTTCATGTGACTTGTTGTCTGAGGTATTGATTTGGGGAAAGGTCTTTTCCCATGTTAGCAGACCTAGTAAACCGTTGATCACAGCTTGATCATATCCCTGTAATAAGAATGCAAGGGCACCGACTGCTGCAACGAGAAGGTGTAGTCTCGGACCTTGGATGTTGATACCTCCCATGACTGCAAAGTTTTTGGAGATGATTGTTAACATCTAGACTCCAAGGAAATCATGGAGTCTTTTATCCCAAAGCAAAAGTCCGTACGGGGAGCGGGGTCGGCTATTGACCCCATACAGGTGCCAGTGAATTCCCGTATCTCGGACAACTTCCTGGTGAGAAATCATTCATACCGATATTGCCGATGTTGCACTGTTGTGTTCCTGGCGTTGATCTCCGGAAATAATTGCATGCCGCGTGTGCTGAGGCCACGAGTCCCCACATACCAAGACCAATTAAAAGCTTAGTTTCCAGATTAAGCTTCGGACTCGGGCAGCTCCGGAACATCGCGGGTAGGTAGATACCATTTTGGACATCTCCAATGGTGCGTCATCAGGTTTATGGTCAATCTGATACTCAGATATTAAAAGCTGAATAGACCACTCCTCCTCTTCTTTCGTATAGGGTAAACAAGAAGCGCGCTGATGGATATGCCAACAGTGATTCCAATGGCAATTTCGATCATGGCAAGACCAGCGTTCGTTAATGAACTGTTGTCCAGTCCATCGCTCGAGATAGCATCGCCAGATTTGTGCTTCGTGAGAAGATCCGCATTAGCAACTGCATTGATCAAGCTTCCCGATGCAGCGAAACTCCCCGGCACTTGAATGAATATTGCGGGGTGCAGTAAAGCAACAGCGAGTCCTTGTCCGAGGCGTGAGTAGAGATTGGCTACCAGTCCGATTGCCAGAGCACCCAGCATTTGCGCCATCTGTATGTTCGAGCCGAACCCCTTGGAGATGTGCGTCTTTCTGGAGAAGCCTTGAGCAGCATAGTAGTTGACAAGCCATCCGATCATGGATAGGACCAACATTGCCGGGACCTTNTTCCACTTGCCTTGATTGATAATGATGTAGCANAAGGTGAATGGGATGACAAAGATGACTTTCCACCAGAAAGGCCATGGAGCTTCACAGGTCGTCGCAGAAGTCGCGTTACCGTCTAGTGCGCCATATAATGTACTTCCAACAGTGAAGCCAAAGGCCAGAAAGAGGACGAATATGATGCCGTAAACCATCCGTACAGCCCCAGAGATGATGTTCTTCGACTGCAGTTCCAATGCGCTGTTAGTGATTATGAACCCGGGCAAAATCAGGACCAGAGATGCTTGCGATATAGCAGAGAAACAGAACAAGCGACCATCGCCATAATTGATTGAGCCAATGGCGCGCGAAAGGAACGTCATCAGAATGGCTGCGGACACTTCATAGATGTGGGCGTACAACTCCGAGTTTTCGGCCATGATGAGCTGCATGAAACCAAGCAAGCACCCAAAGACAAAGATGATTGGCAAGTCTACAGGCCTTGCGCCATAAGAAACTGGTCCAATACATGCAGAAGCAAGGCCAAACATAATGACGCACAACCAGCGAGGATACTTGTCTTTGCTGGTCATGACTTCGTCGAGTCGTATAATCGCGTCTTCAATGGCCATCTTATCGTGAATGACATTCTTGTACACCTCATGCGAGTCGTACAGCTTTGACAGGTTAAGAGTCTGCGGCGTCTTGACAATGTGAACCTCTCTGCTCCGCCAGATGGAGTTATTGAAGGAGATGATCATGATGCCTGGTAGATAGAATGACTCCAGTCGAAGCCCGATGACTTCTGCTGTCAAGTACATGTACTCCTCAAGTCGATGGGTAGGTGCGCCATAAGCCATGAGAGCACGACAGACTTTGAGAAGATAGAGCTCACGTTCGCTCGTTCGATTGGGGTCGGCAGTATCTTGCAAGACCGTTGGAAGCAGTGACTGTGGAAGTGAAGTGTCGGAGCTCAGCGGCCTACGGCGGACTGGTGTGCTAGTACCAGAACTGAACAGCACGTTCGATGAGGCATAGCGATGCTTGTTGCTCTTGACAGAGGTAATCCTATCGAGTTCCACGGCTTTTTCGACCACTTGATCGCTTCGCGACGGCATAGTGACCGCCCTGGGCCGGCCATGTTTCCGCTTTGCTGTCATTGGTTCCCCGGCTCAGGGATTTGATGTTTGCGATAGACTCGCAGGCTTCCAATCGATTGATAAGTTCATGCACCGCTGGTCTGGAACAGAAAATTTCGAGCGGGGGGAATGAACGAGCGGGGCAAACTCGGCTGCAGGCGCAAAGACGATCACCCGCGGCGGGCCGCTCGGTCTAGGGAACGCACTCTGTTATCAGGGTGACCCTGACGATGTTCGCCAAACAACATCAACGTCGAGCAACGTGGTATGAGGCTAGATATAGAGGGATCTGCTGTCGAAAAGCAACAATCACTGAAGCATGGTAAATTTGCAGTTCGTAGAGCGATGTTACGATCTTGATGACGCTTGATATTTAGCCCCATCAGTTTGAAAATATAACGACCAATTTGAAGACAAGAGCTCCTCCCAAAAACTTCATATCTGATCATTTTTCGTGAAGTCACTTAGAGCTGTTGTTGATCGGAGGATATGCTCAGAGTCTACCAATCAGATCTCCTTCTTTGAATCAGAACATCGAGACCTTCTTGCTTGTTGAACCAAGCGTTCTTGGTCGCCCAGACTCTGTCTGGATGCTTGAGCTTGATGTCGTACCTTTGCACAATCAAAGGTACAACCTTATGGATCTCACTCAAGGAAATCTGAGCATTCGTCAGCAATGTGGATCTTATAGCGCAACTGAGGGTGCTACTCACGTTCTTGCCAATGCAAGTTCTGGTGCCACCGCCGAACACCAGACTGTATCTGTCCAAAGTCTCGCCACCACTTTCTAACCATCGTTGAGGACGAAACTCATCGGCATCTGCTCCATATATAGCTTGGCTTCGCCCTACAACTGCAGCATTCATGCCGATCTTCCAGCCTGCGGGAATTACTGTTCCAGCGATTTCAAGACCTGAGTCGCTAACAATACGAGGCATGGTCAGCCCAACACTTGGGTGAAGACGCATGGCTTCTTTGATCGTAGAGGTGAGGAATGGGAGCTTGGAAGCTTCGGCAAAACGTGGAGGATCGGAAAGGCGACCCTCTCTCGGAGCAGTGTCTACTTCGGTGCGCAGCTCTTCCATGATATCAGGGTGCTTGAGTAGGTAGTATAAGACGGCACGTAGGCCGATTGCGGTTGTGTCAGCACCAGCAAANCCTGATGTGGATTAGCGAAATACAGATGAAGTTGGTCAATCAACTCACAGAGCACTGAAAGCCTGCAACTTCACTTCGCCCACACCAAAGTCCACCTTGTCACCTCTTAATCTCATGATATCAAGCAGGTGACCCAGTAGATCCTGCCTACCAGTCTCTCCCTCCTCGACTCGGCTATCAACGCTTTGGCGAGCTGCATTTTCGATATGCTTGATGGCTGCGACCGCTTTCCGAGTCGCTGGGTTGATCGCAGCGGTTCCGAGAATGATGCGTTGACCAGTGGAGGAGGCGACCGCAGCTTGACACAACACAGGGACTAGTGCATCTAAAGATTCGATGTATGACTGATAGTCCTTGCCTTCCGCCATGAATCCGAAAGCTCTTCCGAAGAACAACTCTCCAATGACATCGAAAGCATACCAGTGCAACCATTGCCCAAGATTCACCACCGTGTCTGAAGCTGCGAACTCATCCAACCGTTGCAAAAGCAGGGTACTGCAATCGTCTATGTACGGCTCGAGTGTCAAGATCGTAGACATACTGTACACATTGTTGACGATGCGCCTTCGATTGCTGTGAGACTTCTCGTTTGTATCAACAAAGAGATCTGGATACTTTGAGAATTCGTTGGTACCCCAGCAATGGTAGAAATGCGTCTTCTCGAGTGGTGCTTGGGTCCGATAAATCTTGCGAACCGCATCTGGGTCCGCACAAGCTACTTCATCAGGCGCGATTCTGACCAGCGGGCCGTACTGTGCATGCAATTTTCGTTGGACAACTTCCATGTCTCCTTGGCGAATGCGAGAAACCATCCAGAGACGGGTAATCGAGGCCCAAAATGGACCAGGAATATGTCTGAGAGGATGTAGAAATCGTACGTAGATGATCCATGACAGAGCATAAGCAACTGTGAGGGTCCCAAGAATCTCGACTGACAATAGAAGCTGCATTGCAACGATAGTGTTATGAGGCAGGCTCGAAGCTGAATGGCCGTGGCAAGGCTGAAAGTAATAATGGGTGTGGGAGCTGTTTTGATGTTTTGCTCTTGAGGATGAATATGTAGAGAGAGGGAAGTTAAGTCATTTTACCCCACATGATCGATGTTCGATTTCGGGAATCCACTTGGGCCTGCCGAGCTCTTTGCACAACAGTTTGCTCGCTTCCGGAGGTCGTCATCCTTCAAACTCTCATCTTCCTGCCGAGCATCCATGAAAGCGATCTTCTGTCTGATAACAGCTTGATGAAATCCCTCGTTTTGTGAAGAAGCTGGAATTAGTGGTTGTCTGACCACAAGCAACCCCACTTTAAAGCTGAATTTGGCGGGCCATGGGGTTTGATACCGCCGGTAGAGTCAAACATTATGTGGGGTCGGTTTTAAGTGCCTTGATCGTGACCAACTTGTGTGCAATGGGCGATCAGAGTTTCCGACTCGTCTTCACGGGTAAAACCATTCTGTCTGGTCGCACACGCACTGCAAACATCATCTTTGACCATTGATGGACACAATATATCGAGGCATCCGATAGACGAACAATGCATCCGCATCGAAGGAACTGTATGCAAATCAAGCGCAGATCAGTGCTCATAAAGTATACGAGATTGTTACAAACACATTTAGATACAAGTTCGGTTCGGGATCTGGTCTCATGGCTTGATTTCTGCTATGCATTCATTAGGGAAAAGATCAATACACAACTTGGAGTGCTCGAATCAAAACAGTACAAAGACATGAAGAACATCAGTCATTGATGCCTTCTTCATGGAATCTATATATTGGTCCAGGTTGCGCGATACAACTTTCAGGGATAGCAATGCTGATAGACCGCTTATGGAATACTTATCCCAGACAGCATGGTTACACCCCGTTGCTTCTCTTGGTTGCCAGTAATTTCCGAACCTCATCTTGATGTTTGGAGAAGTTATCTACANNTAGGAGAAGTTAGTGAAGGCTCGATCAACGTGTAAGTTACCTAGACGTACCGACTAGATTGTCCCACATTTTAGGGTCGTGCTCGTGCTTCTTGTCAGAATTCCACGCAAAGTCAGTAATAGTGAAAGGCCTCGAGCTCTCGAACATGATGGCCACGGCTCCTTTCGAGATTTGCATGAGGGGGNNAGGTTCGTTCTCGGTAGCTGCTTTAAACTCCTCATAAGCAACACCGTGTGGCACCATGCCACATTCGTAGGAAGCGCCACCCGGCTGGAATCCGTCTGAGCGACCGCCATACTCACCATATAGAAGTCCCATAAACTCTGATGCAGCATTGCGATGGAAGTAAGGTGGACGATATGTGTGCGAGGCCACGTCCCACCTGGGCGAGAAGATCAGGAAATCAGCCAGCGGAGCGGCAGGATCTCGAGAGCGGGCCGTAAGAACACAAAAAATGCTGGGATCGATATGGTCGACGGAGATAGAGCCAACATTCACGAACTTCGTCAGATCGTACTTGTATGGCACATAATTGCCGTGCCATGCCACAACATCGAAGGGACTGTGTTGTTGAGTGCTTCTGAAGTATTTCCCGCCGAGCTTATATGTGACGGTCCAGCTCTCCTGTTCGATTTCATACTCTGCGACGGGGTGAAAGAAGTCTCTGGCATTCGCCAAACCATTGGCACCTAATGGGCCCAGCTCAGGAAGATCGAAGTTGGCACCCCAGACTTCAAGGATGTATCCGCGCGATGGACCATCAGGCAGATTGACCTTGAATTTCTGTCCGCGTTGAATCACGACAATCTCTCCTGGTTGAACAAAGAGCATGCCGAACTCGGTTTGAATGTCCAAAACGCCCTGTTGTGGACATATGAGATAGTCGCCATCAGAATTGACAAAGGCGGTCTTTCTCATATCGGTGTTAGCCGCGTAGATATGCGTTGCAACGCCCTCCCGCAGTGTTGGGTCTCCAGATCCGGCAAGCGTCTTGAGACCTGCTACAAAGTCGACGTCGTTATCCTGCGGAATATCAAAAGGGAGCCAGGCGAGTTGAGTTGGGCATAGATGGACTCTTGGGTTGGTAGGGAGAAAGTTCGATTCGGTGTCTTGATTGTCTGGAAGGTCAGTCTGACAAAGGCGTTAGTCGTCATCGTCTGANACATGCAACCTGCCACTCACAAAGCCTTGGTGAGCCACTGAGGGTCTCGCTCGATATAGCCATGCCTTCTTATTCAGATGTCTTGGCGCGACAAAAGCGGAAGCTGTCATCTGCTCGGCATACAAGCCGAATCGTACATTGCGTGGACTGTTCTGTCCTTGAGGCAGGGTCCCTGGCACAGCCTCGGACGTAAAGCTATCACTGTCAGTGCTAGATATCAGATGGATCTGCTGAAAGTGGAAATTGCCTGTTGTTGAAGCCCGTTTGATACTGCTCACTTGGTCAGTTGCGGAATTGTCAAGCTCTTCGTCGTCAAGCCGTACCTCATATGGGTCGTTCTTCCTAGTACCAAAAGATGGGATAGATCCGTCTTGCTGTGTTTCTGCCCAGTGGAAGATGTCCTGATACTCGCGTGGCTTCGATAGCATTGTGACCATTGTGATTGCAGATTAGCAAGTCTTCGGTCAATTCTTTCCTCGACCTGTACGTGCAACCCGACTTATTTGTGTTGTCTCATCATATGTGTGTGAAGTGGGGTTCACCGACTGGCCATATGTTCGTCTTGATTGTCGTCGGTATTCCCAGCTCCACAAGGGACTCATGAGAATTCAGCAGCTCCTTTGCGTACCCCACATGGCTTTTGGGTAGCTTTGCAGTTGGCAACGCGCAGCAATCCACGTTTTGCCGACAAATTTCACTCCACAACGCCGTGTCCTCGACGAGTGTAGCGTTCCCACCTTCTAGCTTTCTATAGACTACGACTTCAATGGAATTTGAGATGGCCCACAGATATTGCATAATGCGACTGGCGGCAAATAAACCCAATAACAGCCTGCGTGTCTTCCGCGTCGATAGCTATCCATTTCGTCGACATCGGAATCTTACACAGTCGTTACAGATTTCGTGCACCACTTTGAAAAGAAGCTGCTTTCAGTAGTATTGCAGGCATTCAAACAACCCCACATCCAGCCGAAGCCATTGAGGTAAACGATACTGCCTTGGCTCTTTCAGCGTTCGAGACTGGTTCTCTCGCCAGGATCGTATCACCTTCGGATTGCTGTCTGGATGTTTGTCCTCAGAAACAGTGTGTCACCATGTGAGCCTTGACCCAGAATGTTGTTGTATGTATCGTCGGGACAGGGCCTGCTGCACTATTCTGGGCGGGCTTGATGCAAGAAATATCATTACGGAATGATCACGAGCAGCGCACTACTGAGCTCTTGCTGTCTTTCGGCCAATCCGCAAAGAGATATGCAAGGAGGTTCAGGCAGAAGGCAGGCTCGGCCAGCACCATGCTCGATGCCACTACGACCAAATCACTTGGCTCCCTCTCAATCACGTCAGCAAGACCATTCTCGAGGACCTGATCACACAGCCGACTGCAAGGATCTCCGAGTCACAGAATCCATTCAGATAAGGTAGTCAAAGAAAGAAGCTTGCATCGGTATTGAGACACGAAAGGGACTCTGTTGGCTCGGAATGGATCACACCTTGGTCATAACGATAACCAGAACACTATCCGCAGAATATCCTCTTGGGGAGGGTCACAACATGCAAGAGCAGATCGAAGCTATGAGTCCACATGTGCACGTAAACTCTGCTTCAAGCCGACAACATGAACTGTGGCAGACTTGTTATGACTACAGTGAGTCAGATCATCGAAAAAGACAGACAATTGCGAGTACGCAATGGTTTTGCGGGTGAGTCAAGATGAGCTGAGGTTCGATCAAAGAAAGCTGTACGAGGATAATTTCAGCGGGAGAAGGAAAACAATCCTAATGTGGACTGATGATCCAAATCTTCTGATTGTAAGCCCGTATTCATTTTGTAACAATTCTTCCTCCAAATTATCACAACTCTGTGTGACAATACGCTTTGCGTTCGCATGGAACCAGTTTGAGAAAAAGTCAAAGGCTAGATTCATCCCTTCGCAGATCCGGCACTCACGGCTGTCCGCGAGTCCGCTATAGTCCATGTAACTTTGGATAAAACGCAGGAGGCGCCGCAACATGTAAACGCATGTGAGGACAGCTTCGGCAAATTTAAGCTCAATACAGTATCGTGGTGACCGCGCGACTTGTGGGGTACCCCACATGTATGAATGGATGCGCGGGGGATGACATGCGAACACATCCAATACGCTTCCCAGAAAGTCTCTTCTTCCATTCTATATATCTGTCATACGCAGCCTGCTTTTTGGATCACGCTCGTTTTTGGAGCTATATATTTTCAAGAGAAAACATGGGGTTCGGCGGTATCCTCGAAGATTCCCACCTACCTCACGTTCCTGGTACTGTCATCCTTAACGAAGAGGCCGCTCATTCCGAACGAATCACACGCGCACTTCGACATGGCAAAGGCAGAAACGCTGGAGTTGTTCTTGCACCTCAACCTTCGGAAGACCCGAACGATCCTCTCAACTGGTCCAACACAAAGAAGATCACCATCGTTACCATTCAAGCCCTAGGCGTTATCCTCTACGCAGGCACAGTCGGGCCATTGCTCAACGCTGGGCTCTCGACAATCTCAAATGACTTTGGAGTCCCAATTGGAGACATCACAGTCATCTCTGGCTATCAGTTGCTGGTCGCTGGCTGCTTTGGTCCCCCGGTCTGTGCATTCTCGAGAAAATATGGCAAGCGCCCACTTTTCGTGCTCTCTTCTATTCTGGGCGTGGTGGGAACCATCATCGGGTCTGTATCAAACAGCCTTGATTCCCTCCTAGCTGCTCGTATTGTTCAAGGTTTCGCGATTGCGGCTTACGAATCACTGGTCATCACTGTGATTGGCGATCTGTTCTTCGTCCATGAACGTGGCTTGTACGCGTCGATCGTCAACTTCCTGATTTGTGGCATCTCCAACTTCTCAAGTGTTATTACAGGAACGATAGTGACGAATCTAGGTTGGAAGTATCTGTTTCACATCCTGAATGCTTTTGTGGCGCTTCAACTCATCCTTCTGTTTTTGTTCTGCCCAGAGACCTCCTACGTTCGAGACAAGCAATATGATACCGATGAGATTGCAAATGTGGATTTCGAGAAGCTTGGAGAGGCCGAACACCGTGACGAGCTGGAGAAGACTGTAACCTCTGGCTCTCGAGTCACGGCTCTGCCTGCTCCCAAGACGTTTCGACAAGAGCTGGCAATATTCACTGGCGTCTACACGGACGAGAACTTATTCCAACTGACCATCGGGTCCTTTGCTGTCTGGACGAACGTGGCTGCTGCCTGGGTAATCATTGCAGTGGGAGGCTCGACCGTCCTCTTTGTCGCAGTCGCATTCGTGCTTGCCCAGATCTTCACTTTGCCTCCATACAACCTCAACGCCTCGGGTGTTGGCTACTTATCCTTGGGTCCGTTCGTTGGTGCTATCATTGGCTCCTTGATCATGGGATTTGTTCTTGACCCCTTGATCAAATGGTTCAGCAAACGCAATGTGGGAACTTACGAGCCAGAATATCGTCTTGTGGTCATGCTTGGAGGTCTGCTCATGGGAGGTGGGCTCATTGCATGGGGATACATGGCTGAACATGGCATTAATCTGTACGCTTGTGCCACGGTCCATGGTATCATTCTAGTCGGGGTCGTGTCTATATGTACCGCCGCCACAGCGTACGCGCTCGACGCCTATCGCGACATGAGCAACGAGATCTTCATCGCGATCATGCTGTTCAAGAACGTTGTTCTGTATGGGTTTAGTGAGTTTGTCAACAACTGGACCGCGTCTGCCGGGCCATTCGTCGTCTATAGTGTCTTTGGCGGGATCGGGCTCGCCATTGCATTGGCAGCTATTCCAATCTATGTTTTTGGCAAGAAGTAAGTGTTATGAGATTGGCGTACCTGGCTTGTTACTAACTGTTTCTGTAGATATCGAAGTTTTTGGGCTCGCCACAACCTCCTGGAGAAGTTTGGCGTCAAGACGCATGCAGAGATATAACGTCAGCCGAATGATGCGCTGCAGACGTAATCTAGAGCTTGTCCTCTTGATGAAATCCATCACGAAGGGTCTTGCGATCATATAGCGAATGGAATGAGATATTGAGTTTACAGTTTGATCGATGTCAAATTAATGAGCAGTTTGGCCTTCTACAAGCGTATAGTTCATGCAGGTGGCAAGCTGGCCACTTCCTCCGCCCTTCTAGTTATCAGAGCCCTCACGTGGTTCCATACTGCAAGATCGTGTATAGTGTGTCAGCCATTGGATTTCTGCTTATCAAGCATTACTGTCTCGTTTGCTGCTCCTTGAACCTGGTCTTGAGCCCATACCCATGGTGGAATTTATCGATACACGCAATCGCACACCTCAGAGTCATCTGCAGTGGTCGTGATCTTAGCTTTGAGTAACGTTCCAACTCTTTTACCAGATCTCACGTCTGCACCTCAACGCGATCATTGGCTGATCGGTCCCCCAGGATTTCCCCAGGAAACTTCCTCTTCCAATCATGTTTAAACGCATCCGACAGTCTCCTCATAACCTGCCCCATCCGTAGTGTGATGCCCCAAGTCCAAGTATCGTCAAACAGACTCGCCCACACCCTCAAGATCTCCGCGGCCAAACTCCCATATCCGTTGTACTCGCTATCCGCTTCACTCAGCAGGTTGCGGAAGTTAGAAATAATCATCAATTCGTCTTGATCGGGTGGATCATCGAGCTGCGACATCTCCAACGTGTGCACCCATTTCGTGGCGAATAGTGCGCAATCCCATGCCGCGATGGGGTGTTCTAGACTCCATGTCAAAGCCGCTGTTTTTCTGACTAACAGGTAGCCCGCTTTGATGGGCGTAAGGAACGCGCCGTAAGCTTTATCTACTGCTCGTGTCATGAGGAGTCCTCGCTCAAGAGCATTGCCAGAGACCAGTGCATCGATAGAGGCCGAGACATGGCCAGGACTTCCAGTGAGAAGAGCCATGCGGTTGAAATTATCTGCTCCTGTGAAGACTCGAATATGGGCAGACCGCAGTAAAGCCAGGGAGTTGAAAGAAGCGGACCCTCTGGGTCGTCTGATGTTCGCTCTCCTTCGGGGCGATCTGCTGTAAGTAAGGCGTAACATCTGGCTAACGCCGCCTGGGTCTGACTGACTACAGCATTCTTGAAAACCGCATTTGTAGATGTCTCGACGGCGAAAGCGCCGAAAGATTGGCTGCACTGCATCAAGTTCCACATGTATGTACTGACCGCATGCATGATTACCGAGGTCGAGAATGCCGTCCACCTCATGGGCGAAATTGCAGTTGCAGAGGAAGGATGTTCTTTCCCAGAACAAGGTGTGTGAAAGCATGCCTGAGAGTAATTCTCGACTGATTGCTACGCTGTTCCTGTATTCTGGCCCAGTCTTGGCTGTCGCTCGCCTCCCACAATTTTTCTTCGTCTAGGAGTTCGACATCGAGGTCCTGGGTGATGGAAAACATGGGAGGAAGGTCGTACACGAGGCTAGCCATCGAACTCATGACGAATATGCCATACAGCAACCTGCACACATACATCAGCTGGGACATACTAGAAGAGCGCTGACTGAGACACAAACCTTTTCGATGTCTCACGCAAAATCCATTGCTCCCATGTAGCGGTGGCAGGATTGTAAAGTGTTGATGCAAGCAGCACTCTACGAGATCGATACTGCTGTGCTGAGTATTAGTGAAACGTCAATAATTCTTCGTGAGCATACGTAGCGTACCGCAGCCCAAAATCCCAGCTCTGAGATTCCTTGTTGTGTCAAGTCTCCATTGAAGACGGCGAACCATGTGACCAATAACTTGCATTGCATGGCTGATGTAGCACTTGCGGTTAGGAGATCGACATTAGCATCCGTATCCGGGTTCTTTTCATGTTGTGTCAATATGTAAGCGATGAGGTGTGGATCTCCATACGACATACCTTTTCGCATATATTGCTCGCACATTGCCAGATATCATGGGCTGTCTTGCGGCGAAGTCTATATAGAGCGCCGATGGCGCACATTGCTAGTACCAATCCTGGGACAGCTCTCAAGTCTAGTGAAGGTAGGTGGATGACAGGACAATGTCGATGAAAGCATACCAGATAACACTTCATATACTGTTGCATATCCTGTAGAGACAGCACAGGATCCATCTCGGCAGTGATTGGCATGTACTCTTTTATGCTGGTCATTATCGCGTAGTATGTATCCTCTTCGATGATCGGTGGATTCAGTGAACGTCGAGGAGTTTCCTTGGGTAAACTGGGCATTCTGAGAAGGATATCGGAGCTTTGTGGGCTCTCCATGCCGACATTCATTGCGCTAGCCTCTATCGGTAGAGAGGATGACTCTGGCATTGCGAACGGCGTGTGGAGCATGTGCCGCGCACTGTTCCCTTGGATACTGTCCCAAGAACTCGTAGCATAATGATCCATATAGGTTGAAAGGTCGGCATCTAGCGCTGCGTTGTTCAGCGCCATACTGTCCATGGTTATGAGGTCAAACTCCTCGGCGCCCATGTTGTGATGCGCGCGAAGACTTTGGAAATGTGCATCTCCAGCGCTTGTGGCTGTCAGCCAGTCTTCGAAGCCGGGGATCGAGCGTGTCATGTCCGTCGCGTTGAAATCGCTGATGCTAGACATGTCTCGCGACCCGTTCGAAAAGTGCGAATTGTGCGGACTGTATTGATCAGCAAGTCCCATACTCTCTTTCTCTACAGCTAGAGGTAGCGAAGGATCGTAGTCCTGCTGATGATTTGGTGTCGAAGTCAGAAGGATTTGCGAACTAGTATCGACGAGCATGTTCTCCGAAGGTGGTGGACTGGTGATGCCCGGCGGAACCACGACGTTGTATCCCTCTGTCAAAAGATGCGGGGACTGAGAGGACCTGTCTCCGGATGAGTGCGAAGGGGGAGTCGGCAAGTTGCGCGTCTCGGACATAGTGATATTGTTTGGTCCGCAGCTGGAAGGCAGTCTTTCAACGTTAACCATGCCATCTGCGTGAGGATGGAATGACTTCTCATGCCGATTGACCAGATCTCTGCCGCCGGACAACTTTGTCAGTGGAGTATGTTGACATTGACGTGAAAGATTCAACGCACTTCCGAGCATATCTTCGACCACAATATCTGCAATGGAATGGCTTCTCCTTGGTGTCTACCACAGCATCAGTTGCTTGCATTCATTTCTGGAAGAAGGAATCGATACTCACGGCCTCTTTCATGTCGAGTGCGATGCTCACTGCGCTTGAACACTTTATCGCAGTAACTGCATGGAAACCTGGGTGGAGTCTTCGGTGGCCTCTTAGAAGCTTTCTGAGCAGAAGCAATCGTTACGGCAGCTTCTGACATGACTCCAGTCCGTGATGTAGTGTTTTTGATCTCAGACACCTGGATGAACACGATAACAAGGATTGTGCGATGGGGATTCAGGTTGCGGCGGAGGACAACCAAAAGGACCAGCAACCGTTCGAGACCCACAGCTGGACCCACAATGATTGCGGGGGTGAGGGGTCATCCGAGCGCGGAAGTCGCAACCCACTGAGTTTTCCGAGCGAGCGGAACTGCTCACACTCTCGGGAATTTGGGAAAAGTGGAAAATATCGCAACTTCAATGAGTCGTGTGAATTTCAGTACTTTACACATGGACAGTAAATCGATAGTCAACATTCAATCACCATCTTGAACAACGTGCATCGCCACGTATCTGTCCATGATGCCATCTTTCATAGCCCTCTGTGGCGCTGGGTACCCAGTGAAGAGTTCAAACTGAGCACGACCCTGTTCGATCAGAATCTCAAGAGGCTCTACGCATATCCAGCCTTTATGCGCATTATCGTGTGCTTGCTGCAGCAGCGGTGTCCACGCTGATTTGTACGAAAGCTTACACTTGAGTCAGTCATGCACGAGCACGAAAAGTTTGATATTACTTACCTCTATGATAACTCCACCCGTCCTACTTTGGAACCACTGCTCAGGGATCGTGAACTGAAGGGGAGGCGTATCTCCTATCTGATGAGCAGGAACGGTGCAAATGACGACCGTGGGCTGCGCAAGCCCCTCTGGCCATGGAGAATCGAGCTGCTCAACAACTTCAATGCGGCATCGTGGCAATGCGTCTGCAAGATCGGGACCTCTCGGGAGAAACTTCGTGTGCCAATTGGTGAAGTACTCTGCCACCTGAAGGGCTTTGCTGTGCGTGCGATTCCACAAGACAATATTCGTCACGCCCATCTGCAGCAAGGCGTACACCGATGCGCGACCCATGCCTCCAGCACCAATCACAAGAGCCGAAGAGGTAGATTGAATGGTGTTCGCAGCTGAGAGATAACGCAACACGCACGTGTACAGTGCAATCCAATCGGTGTTTTCGCCATGCAACGCAATGACTGGCCCGGCCCTGTTCTTGTAGGACCTGCAAAGTGGGTCCGAATCGAGGTTTCTCTCGTCTCCTGCTGCTCTCAGGGGCAAGATTGTGTTGATGGCCTGTATCGCCTTTGCTGCTTCGCTCAATGAGTCCAAGGATGGTATAATCTCGGACTTGTACGGAAGACTGATGCTGGCACCCCCAAACGAATCATCGACGAGGCGAGTAAAGTCTCGCAGATTGCTTGATTGTTTGATAGCATACGTGTGATCCAAAGCCAGAGCTTCAAAAGCAGCGTTATGCATCATGGGCGACAAACTATAATCGATACTCGCACCAAAGATATGGAAGTGTAACGGTTGATAAACATAGCTGGAACACCTTGCTTTCACCAACTGTTGTAGTGTGAGCAGCGACGAGGTCAGATCCGAACTTGGTAGCTCTGGCCGACGCACAGGGGTCAGACACGAGTTGAATACCATTGACGATCGTGACGGGATACCAATATTGTATGCTATGAGAGGCACCTTGGACCTGGAAGCAATCGCAGCCTGGAACAGAATACAATCTCTGTCTTCCGATGCCGACTGAGCTTGACGAGCAAAGCGGACGACATGGCAGCCCAGAGCAATAGCACGATCAAACTCCTTGTGCAAAGCTGGATCTCTCCAGGGTGAGGAGACTTGAGAAGGATATGAGCGATGTCCGATAACTTTTGTCCGACCTACTGAGGTCACCAAATCATGTAGTTGCTGGTTTGTGCAGCTCAGGTCGATTGTGATGAAGTCAGGAACGAGCCGGAGGCCATGGGATACGAGATCGTTGTACTCTTCCTCAGTGGATGGTGATATTGAGTCTTCGAGTTCGACATGATAGACTATCGGAGCGTTGGATCGACGTCGTATCATTTGAAGAGAGCGGCTGATGCGATCCCAATCACATGGAGATGGCTGCGACGGGCAGTGCCGAACGATCAGTTCAATTGCATCAGTGCCGCAATCTAGATTGGCGAGATTGAGGCGTCCGCTAACAATGTCATCCAAGTGCAAAACAGACATGGTGGAGAATTCACGTTCTGGCGGTGGCAAAGAGCTAAGCAGAGAATCAGAACGCAACGTAGTCTTGGCCAATAAATCTAAGAAACGCAAGAAGTCCTGTTTGACATTCTGAAGAAGCTGAGGTGGCCTGTGAATCACGCTTGGTCGTCTCAGATTACGGCATATCTCAACAGACAATGGCTGAGTGGCCTCGATTTCCGGAAGATTGTAAAACTCGTAGGTGGAAATGCGTCGGCATAGCTGGCGACTTCGGCCCAGGATCTGCAAGACTTCTGCAGTATCTGGAAGGCCTAGGTAATCTCGGATGATGGTCAAATCGCGATTGATCATTACGACAGGGTGCGTGCGGGCGAAGGCACGAATGAGGCTTTGACAGTGCGGCTCGAGGGCTTCGGGGCCGCAGACGATGACACAGCGCTCAGCGTGTTGTCTGAGTATGTTTTCTAGAGCTTTGGCCGAGAGCTTGCGGTAGGCATTCAAACCTCGCTCCTTGACGTATTCAGATCTTTTCAAGCCACAATGCTCAATTAGCCAGCTCTCAGTATCGATCAAACGAAAGCGCAAGGCAGTGGCGGCTATTACGGCGAATGACGAGAGGCCACTGCCCTTGGTGCCGACCAGGACTAGAGAAGCATTCTGCTCAGATGGCGACGTCGCTCTTGATGGCTGACGGCTGTGTAGTCTTGACGAAAAAGGCGATCGTGTGGCTCCATCAGCGCTACGGTGACCGAGTGCGGCGTCTCGGGTCTCGTCAGGAAGACGGCGCAAAGCCGAAGATTCGCGGCCACCAAGCGAGGAGCTGTATGTGGACGCGTCGACACGTCGTCTTTTAATGGCGACGAAAGTTGGACTGGAAGGAGCAGACACAGCCAGAGCGTCAGTCATGTCGGCTCTGGTGCGCATGTCATGGGAGAGGAGTCGGCATCAGTGCTATCCCGTGGAGCTGCAGACGCGAGAGTCATCCACACATGGTGTTGTATCGAGGAAGGAAAAGTCCAGCGTCCTCAAGCGCGAGCTCGGAAGAAGACCAAGCCGAGCTTGTGAGGAAGGTGCGCCATGGCTTGGCATCGAGTCACGACCTCCTTCGCTCCTTCCTGCCGATCTGGAGAACGCACAGGATGCCTACGCCATGGCTCAGTAAACAACAGATCAATTTCTTACGGCCGTGTCACCGATCAGAAGAAATCGTATCTTCTCACACGTCTTCAATTGTTACTCTGGAGACTGAAATACACAACCGTCTAGCACTGTTGTCTTCTACTCACTCCAGAGTCGTGCGCGCTGTCGACGCGACGCCGCCACAGCATACTGCTGTACTCGAGTAGTGGCTTTCCTATTTGGCACACTTAATGTTTCAATTGAATTGCTCGGAACTGGCATTTTCATATTCGTAATCCATCTGCTAGCATCAGCGCGACACATACGGCGATGCACTTGTTCTCCCTAAGGCGCTCTGGAAATGTCGCAGCCTGCAGAAGAACCACCTCGCAAGCGACAGCGAGTCACCCAGGCATGTCACCGATGTCGACGGAAGAAATACAAGTGTGATAGCGAACGTCCCACTTGCTCTACCTGCAGGACCTCCAATTCTGAATGCACGTATGGCACTGTCGCTAAGAGACGAGGACTGCAATCCGGCTACGTTCGGGCAGTTGAGATTCTCTGGGGCTTGGTGTTCAAGAAAGTCGCAGGAAGCCAAGTTGCCATTAACGACTTGCTGGTAGATCTGTCTACTATCATCAATTCGGGTTCAAATGATGTTTCAAACAATGGCGACGTCAGCTACCGCGCGGATGATCTCCTTGAATGCTGGAGAAACAGCGGCGTACCTTCGGCCATCGAGCTGATGCTTGACGGTACATTCACGAGCAACCAAGTGAGCTTGTCGGAAGACATGAACAGCCAGATTGACACGACCCTGACATCTTTTCACGCCTGGTCCCTGCCTCAATCCGAACTTCCACTGGGCACCCCTCCACGCCCGCTATCGCCACTGCAGTCAACGCAGGGACCGTCACCAACCGTGGACGCTGTCGTGTCAGATGCAGCAAGGCCGCTGAACGATACTTTTGCGGCAAATCAAATGGCTCTGCCACCTCTCCCAACTGATTGGCACTCTCTGACTCAGATTTACTTCACTGTCGAACACTCCTGGTTCCCTATCCTCGAACGACATACTCTCCTCCGAATCGCGTATTGTTATCAGGATGAGAGTGACTCTNCTTCTGCACTCGATGACCGGCAACGCGGCGAGTTTGCAATCTTGTGGGCAGTCCTTGCGCTTGGCGAACTCCATTCCAGCGGAGTTTCGTCCCCAAGAGCTGTCCGTCTCGAGTCTCGATTTCGATACTTTCTTGACAAAGATCCCGCCAAGGACGATTATGCCACTTATGCTCAAGCGTTTCTCCTATGGTCAATGATGCACATAGGTCGCAACAGGTTAGTCCTGGCCAGATCAATGCTGGCTCGAGCGTTTGTGTTCTGTACCGCCGCAAGCACTGAAAACTCAGGGCGACAATGTGTAATGACCCTCTCTGGATGCTTTGTCATGGATGCTCTCCTGTCTCTAGCCACTAACACTCGACCACTTATGTCGGCAGACGATCTCNCCCGTTTAGCCCCTTGTGATGAGTTTGGCTCAGATGAATGGGAACCTTATGTGGATAGATTCCGAACACAAGGGCCTCATGAATCTTCCAGCGGCATACCAGCTGTACCTAGCCGTGTATCGAGCACGTACAATCATCTCGTCAAACTCTTCTGTATATTGAATACTGCTATGCAGAAGCAGACAGTTGAGCATGACCTTTCTCATGATCTTGAGACTTGGAGAACCAATCTACCGCGTCATCTCCCCATGATGAAAGAACCGACTCAACAAACCTCGAAGAATGTCCTGCCACCACAGCTTCACCTTCGAGCCTTCTACTACGTTGTGTTGTACGTAACTGGAACGAGGCCATTACACGGCCTGCCCCAAATCCCGAGCACCAATCCTCAACAAGAACCATCACATAACATAGCAGTAGCTCTTGTCCAAATCGGTCACCACTTTGGCGCGCAAGCTATGCCAGCCTCGGTAAGCGTCCTGATATCTCTTCTTTCATCAAGATCTCCTTCTACCTTCCTCGATTATGAAACCACAATTCCAGGAATGGGAGATGTGATCAACAGGTATAAAGCTCTGTGGGGTTGGGAGCAAGCGCCTGATCACCAGGATCAAGATTCTTCTGAAGCAACAATGCTTGACCACTCTGATCGCCGACCTCCATCAGCACTTACCTCACAGGACCCAGTGCATACTGCGATCCAGGGCGGAATCCCACATGGCCTTCCAGGTGCATTCGATTTGGGAATTGGTTCAGGCTTCCCAATTGAGCAGGCTGCGATCCCGGCTATAGTTGCATCTGAAGAGACGCAAACAGCTGGAGTGGATTTGAGCCTCATGACGGGTTCCACCTTCGATGATGTTGCTGCTTCGGGAACCGACAGCATGCTTGCAGACACTCCAACACAATTACTCGATTACCTGGCTTTGCTCCAAGAGAACGAGAGGTAACAAAATCAATCTTCGATTCGGTTTAATCTTTCGCTGACTTTCACANGTGCTAGCAATAACCAGGATTTCATGCAGTCGCTCGGTTTCTTCATGGACTTCGAAGAGACAAACACCTGACCACTCTCTCTCTACCCAAGATCTATACTACTTGCAACTCATCCACCTCGAAGTTGATGCCTTTGCTATCCGCTGCTGCTGCTCTTAGAGTGTTCCATGCCTCGCTAGCAAGTTGTGGACTGACGACTTCGCTGTCAGACTCTGGACTGATCCATACCCTATATTGCTCTTGAATCTGATGTCCGATAATCTCCGTGCCCTCAACTGTCTGCCATCCATGTTTCCTTGCCAGCTTGATTTTCCTGGTGATTCTTGGTTTGAAACACATGTCGAGAAACACTCCTCGCTCCTTTGCAGCTGCTAGATAATGATCAAAGATCTTGATAGTCATCTTCTCAGTTTCAGTCTCGGGTACACTGTCAGGAACAGTGCCGACAATGTAGTGTGGTGTTGGAAGAGAGCTGGCTTGTTCGAGGTTTCGGATGTGAACGATCTTGCACAGCGACTCGGAGGATCCGGGAGCTGAGAGCATGTCGCGAGTATCGACAATCAAGTCTTCGACCTCCTGATCATCGCGATTGACCACGTATAGAACAGGACATTTGAGCTCGACTGCCAACGCATACACAGCAGCGCGGCTTGCGCCTCCAGCTCCTACAATCATTGCTGGTTGACCAACGCCTTTGTCGCTAGCCGCGAGAAGACATCCTTTGATACCTCTCCAATCTGTGTTTGTGCCTTGCAGCTTGCCATCTGATCTGATATACACATTGTTGCAAGCACCGAGCTTGACAGCCAGGGAATCCAGACCATCCAGATGCGACATCACGGTCTTNTTGTAGGGCATTGTGACGACGGCGCCAGCAAAGTCTGGGGCAGTCATGAGTTCGATCGCTGCCTCGATTGTTGGCGCTTCTGTTGCAACAAAGGTCCATGGTTTGTTGAGCGATTTGCAGATGTAGTTGTGCATGATTGGTGCAATGCTGTGACTGACACCGACTCCAATCAAGTGCAGCTTCTTCGGGCCAGAGCTTCCATTTTGTGTCTGCGCTTGGGTCATGTTGCAAGAACTGGATGGAGATGTTAAGTCCTGTCTGATGACTGCCAGAGAATGGGCCTTGACAGCGAATTGTTGTATATGTCTTGCAATGCTGCTTGAACGTCGCGATGTTTGATCTTGAAGGCTCATGAGAATGCCGGAACAGCTCATAGCCGAGCCTGCCCCACCCAACAACCGAAATGCGGAGATCCCTGAGCTTTCACAAGGATATAATGCACACAGTAATGAAAATGTATATCGAAGTATCAACTAATGCTGTGAGAATGGTCGAGCAAGATTTCCTGTCAAACTGTGTCGTTTCCATTGGGAATGTCCACTTCGACCGTGTAGATTTTGGGGACGATTCTTGCGATAAATCATGAAACTGGGTGGCACGTGTGCGCCTTGTCGACCCAGCACCCTGGGATCATTCTTCTATTCTACTGCAAATCCAGAGTCTCGACAAACTTCTTCCAAGCTCTGATGCCACGCTGTGCATGGCTTTCAGGAACACTCGGGTCGGACTCTGAGAGCGTTCTGGAGAAGAGCTCCATGGAGACATATCCTTCATAGCCCAAACCCTCAATGATTGCTCGAGCCACCCTTTCCACGGGCAGGTAAGCATTTCTATCGGTCTCATAGATGAAGCATCTTGCATTACGAGACCATGACATGCGACTTGGTTGGCCGTCAGCATGGTAAGGATGGTTCTCATCGAGTGGCGGGTCGATACGTTCCGCATCCACGACCTGGATATAGAACACCTTGGTTACGTCGACAATCTCGACGAGCCTTTTCAACGACGCATCCAAAGCAGCTTCAGCACCGTCGACCATCCCGCTCGGAGTAGCAGGATCTGCCCAAACACGACCAGCAATATTGAATGTGTCCAAACACATACCGAAGTTCGGACGATCCACTCGCTGCACGACTTCCCACACTGCCTCCCATGTATCGATATATGTGCTCCAGCAGAGGTTCTCGTATGCGAAGCGAATTGGACGTGTACGCTTGAGGCCTAGGTCAGCGACCTCTACCATGTCCGACACTATTGTGTCCATTTCTCCAGTAATCTGATCCTGGGGCAGAAAGTTGGCTGGGATCTGGATAGTGTCGGTATCCAAAGCATCGACAATGTCAAACCAGACGTGCAATTTCTCAATCAGCCTATCATGCTGTTGTCTGTCCCGCAGACCTTCATAAAACAAAAATGGCTGCAGTCCGATGATTCGCAAGTTGTTTTGATCGCAGATGCTCTTGACTTTCTTTGCGGCTGCCAGCAGATGTGTCGGGGAGGGTGTCATGTCTTTGTCAATCGAAGAATCCAAGGTCCTTGCAAAGTATTCGAGATCTTCGTAGAAGATCTCCATGCCTTGAAACCCAGAGGCGGCTGCAGCTCCCATTTTCTTCTCGAAGCCGTGGACCCAAGCCCGTCCGAGGCTCATGGACGCTATTGCCGGCGTATACTTCATTGTGGAGGTTGCAATTGACCAGGAAGGTGAGGTGTCCCAATCCGAGTCGCGAACTTGCAAGATGAAGGAAGGTGTCGTATCTCAGGTCAAATTGGTATCTTGATCTTGACTCTGGTTGATGCTGGCACGTACTGGCAGGAACAGCAATCGTGGAGCGCGACTTCTGGTCGGATAAAGACAGTACCGGCCTCCCCGCACAGACACAACCGCTTGGCGTGACGTCAATGAGGCTGGCAGGAGCACCCTGTTCTTATGGTTCCACCTCACGATGCAGGCGACGGCGACGACAGTGGTGACATGAGACTGCTCGAGAGTATACTGTCAGCCTGTTGCATCTCTATGCAAAATCTACAATGGGAAACTATTGAGCTCTGCTCTCTATGTATGTGTGTAACAACCGTTGTTGACCTATTGTCACTGTCGTACTTGGGAATCACGGATTTCACCAAACTGAACGTCGATTTTGATCTGAAGGATTGACAAGAACTATGCCGATCTGTATTTTGGTCATCATTCGTGCATGTATGAACATCACTCTAGATGAAAGGAAAGATGTGCCTGCAGGGTTTGAGAGTCTTGCGAGAAAATATCCTCGCATCAAGATCATTATATGTTTACAGAACGAAAACTTATCCAACATCGACTCTGAGGTCCAGTGCTTTCACTAGAGTTTTAGCTATGAACCTGCCTCGCGTAGTCTCAACGTCCGGGACCGGATTTGTTTTCACCTCTGATTGCATCTTAGATTTCCACGTTCTCACCATCCATCCAAGCCTTGATCTGCTTGTATAGTATGTCGTGCTTCTCGCCATTAACAGTCGATCCGGATTCTCTACGGTGACCAGGCAAGTCTCGAATCACCTTGACTCCCATAGTTCTCTCCTGGCAGTATGCAAGGTATCTATACCCGATGGGATATTCCTTGGCTGCTTCGGCGTCAATCTTAGGGATCCTGTTTGGGTCCACAGGAATCAACTTGTCCTTCTCGTAGAAATGGCGGACGTAGTCAGCCCCNCAGTCGCCTGTCTGTGAATTCTTCGACCAGAAGAAGACAAAGCGACAATCTGACTCTGCGTCTGCTTCGATCCCATCTTCGAACTCAAAACGTTGAGTGATGGTTGCCTTCATCTTGGTTACAGCACGAGTTGCCTCGGGGTTGATATCCGTTGTCGAGCCGTGGATTCTGTGCATGATGAAGACTCCCTTGTCCATACCAGCTTGACTTGCTCTGATGAAGTCTTCGAAGTGCGTGCGACCGGTCCATGAAGTGTAGATGTAAGCGCCAGGGTGAAATATCGACTTGAGGTTCTCCCATTCACAAGAATCTCTGNNTGTTTGTATAAGCATATCAACAACACCCAGAAAAGATTGATAAAAGGCCTACCTGTAGCAAGGCCAACCTTCTGCTAATTCCCGAAGCTTGTATCGTTCCATGACAAGATCAGCAGGGCCATTGTTGCGAAACGCATTTTCCGGTCGCGAGTTTTCCGGGAGTGAGTGTAAATTGACCATGATTGTTGAGGAAGATTTCAGGGAATAGAGAGATATGCAGTTCTCTGTCACCTCTGATCTGTCCAGTTCAAGATATGAATGTGTTTCTATTCGTTTTCAAGGAGGTAGATTTGTCCTTTTCGACGTTCATGCAATTCGTCCCGGAATCTGAGGGACGGGTGCCCATCCGAGCGGGAAGTGGGGTGTGTGAAGACTTGTGGCTAAGGTATTGTCCGAGAAATCGCGCAATGCACATTCACATGCTGGGCCGATAGCGGACCCTCTTGTATTTGAGAGACTGATCATGGCCCCAAATGCAGATATAGTTGTGGCTGAGATGTATGAGAGAGTAGAGACATATGGAGCGACGGCACCTGTGTCAGTGCAGACAAAATCTGATTCCCACCATTCCAGTCTGCAACGACGGCTTTCACCACCTTAACCAGAATATCAGGCAGCGTTTTGCCTGTCAAGTAGCTGTCTTATGCAAGATCCTGGTAGATCATGGTTTCTCTAGCCTATTTTCTCAGGCTCTACAATCTGACTTTGAGATCTTGGATGATAGCACGTTCCTATAATCACTCCATGCATCTGACTTGAAACGGTTGAAAATACCATGTGCCTCGATCACTACACTACCCGATGAGACATGGTCTGGCATACACGTCTCGAGCGCGCTGGTGTTCTGAGTAGCCTGGACTACTCAATGGTAGAGAAATGGACTAGGCTGTCACTGTAATCGTGAACTTCGTACCACGAGACCACTTCATGATGTCTCCGCAGCTCAGATAGATAGTCGATGCCTTCATGGAGTACTTCGAGACATGAACGACACTGCGAGCAGTCTCACCACCATCATCGGCAGGCTTTCGATAAAGACTGTTTATCTTGCGATTGTTTCGAAATAATGTCTTCCGAGTATCGAAAATATCCGTGTTTCTGACTGCAAGGATTTGCTCATTGTTGTTTGGTCTGAGGAAGACGGTTCATTTGCCCGCATCCCTGCCTTCATTTGGCAACTTGTCCAGACGTGGCAGTATTGAAACCTTGTTCGACGTTGCAGCCATCCACCTGGTTCAATCAACAACATGGCTATAGAGCGAGAAGTGACCTCTTGTAGTTCAGAGCTGTCACAATGTCAAAACTTGACCGCTCTTCCACGACCACAAGTAGTGGCCCGCCAAAAGTGAATGTGCAATCGTGCTCTTGGTCTCGGAAAATCGACCAGCCAGAAAGCCTGAGCTGAACACTCTCATGATCAATGGTCATGACTAGTCTCCAGAACATCTTGTGCATTGTTGTACTTGAAATGTGGAAAGCGACCAGCTTAAGGCTGGGGAGACAAGGGCAGATCAGCGCCCTCAGGTTGCTGCTCTCCACGGCATAAGTGATAGCATCAGGGCTCCGTAGGTAGGGCTCGGGAATGATCTGTCCCATATCAATGGTGGAAAGAGTCGGGCATGAGCCAAGCATCTGTACGTACAGCAGAGGTTGATTATCTTCCCGGGGTCCCACCTGGAATCAAGACCGTGTTGCCGGTTTGCGGCGATGATTTCTACGCGATGGCGTGCACCAGCAAACCTTCTTCAAAAGTTCACTCGGGGTAAGGACTCATCCGCACTTTACATGGCGAATCTGGCTATAGATTGAACATTGTGGCGCTGTAAGGCTTTCCGCACAAGCCCAGCCAGTCAAACCATGAACCCGGGGTACATCTGGAACCCAAGTCTAACCCTCGCCCCATGGGGTTGGCGCGTTGAGGAGACCCCGCAAGTTGTCCCATAAAAGCTTCCCCATAACCCTCTTCATTCTTCTCTATCTTCCATCGTCGCCTGCTACCTTATTCGAGTTTTGTACAATCGTTTCACTAAACCAAGGATCCATTTTGAGGCAAAGTCACCAACATGGGCTTGCTTACCCTTGTCGAAGATCGACCGACTCCATCAGCTGTCTATAATTGGAGAGTCTATGCTTGTGCAGCCGTAGCCTCTTTTGCATCATGCATGATTGGCTACGACTCTGCGTTTATCGGGACCACCCTTGCCCTTCCTAGTTTTGTCCACGAATTTGGTTTCCNNAAGCAGATGAAGGCACAGCACCTAGCTCTTATCAAGGCAAACATAGTTTCTGTCTACCAGGCCGGCGCATTCTTTGGTTCGTTGTTCGCCTACGCTTCTGCGTACTACCTTGGTCGCAGAAAGAGTTTGTGGGTATTCGTCACTGTCTTCATGGTGGGCGCTGGCATTATGTTAGCCGCTAAGGATGGGGATTTGGCGCCGATTTATGCTGGTAGAGTACTTGCAGGCGTGGGTGTTGGTGGATCTTCCATGATTGTAAGTACCATCTCTATCTGTGTTGAGACTTGCAGATCGATCCTCCCCTCGATGTATTCCTTTTTTGGCAGTCTTCAGCCCGTATAAGCATAACCTGTGGTTTTGAACGTCTGTTGACATTTTCCAGNNGTGCCAATCTACATTTCGGAGATCTCGCCACCCGCTGTTCGTGGCCGATTGGTCGGTATCTACGAACTGGGATGGCAAATTGGCGGCCTTGTGGGCTTCTGGATCAACTACGCCCTGGNNAGTGAGACAATGGGTCCCAGCCGTCGCCAATGGCAGATCCCTTTCGCAGTGCAACTAATCCCAGGCGGTCTTCTCATGGTCGGAAGCCTCTGGCTCAAGGAGTCGCCTCGCTGGCTGTACTCGAAAGGAAGACGAGAGGAAGGCCTGAGAAACCTCTGCTGGATCCGCAAGCTTCAAAGCAATGATCTCTACATTGTAGAGGAAGTTACCTCTATCGACTCCGCGCTCGATCACCAGGCGTCCACTATGGGTATGGGCTTCACCGCCCCCTTCCATGCCGTTGCAAAGAGTCGTACAGTCCAGTGGAGATTCTTCCTCGGCGGCATGCTATTTCTTTGGCAGAACGGCAGTGGTATCAACGCCATAAATTACTACTCGCCTACGGTGTTCAAATCGATCGGAATCACAGGTACCAACACTGCGTTCTTCACAACCGGCCTCTTTGGTGTGGTAAAGACAATCCTGACTATTGTATGGCTTCTGTTTCTTATCGACAAGCTTGGTCGTCGCAACCTTCTTATGATCGGTGCCGCTGGTGGCTCAGTTTGCATGTGGATCATAGGCGGCTACCTCCTTGGGACTGATTCTGAGAGAAAGGGAACCGAACTGGGCCCGGGCGGTATCGCTGCGCTATTCTTCTTCTACCTGTGGACTGCATTCTACAGCCCATCGTGGAATGGAACCCCTTGGGTTATCAATTCCGAGATGTTCGACTCANACACTCGATCTCTTGGACAAGCTTCAGTAAGTCACCATGATACTCAGCCCAGAGGTATTCACTGACCATTACACAGGNCCGCTGCGAACAACTGGTTTTGGAACTTCATCATCTCACGCTTCACGCCGCAGATGTTCCTTAACATGGGACCCTCTGGCTGTGGAGTATATTTCTTCTTCGCCAGCATGATGATGCTCAGTATCGTGTTCGTCTGGTTCCTAGTGCCAGAGACGAAGAGTATTCCTCTGGAAGCCATGGACCGTCTGTTCGAGATCAAGCCTGTTCGCAAGGCCAATAAGGTCGTCATCGAAGAAGTCAGACTTCGTGAGGAAGAGTTCCGCCATGACGCAGAGGGAGCAGGATTGGATGCAGCTAAGCAGGATGTGGTGTATCATGAAACCGTGGGAAAGATGTAGATACGCCGACCAAGTATCGAGCACAATTGTTTCAGTCATCTGTTGGCTATCTATACCTTGCCTATGATGATCACAAATCGATTGTTTCCCAAATTGAATCCCAGAAAGAGGTCAGATGGCGACTCTTGACAGATTCTCGTCTGCCAGAAGTCTTTGCATGTCGTCCGATATACAGTCACGACTTACCATTGGTCGTAGCTGGATGCCAACCAAATCGCATTACATCCCGATCCAAGACACCAAGCAGACCCAGCCACTTACACCGGAGAATGACTTATCCGAAGCCCAACATCTCATCGGAAAGATGTAAGTAACAGTTGTCTCATCAGGGTGTCTCGAGCCATCCGGCATTTGACTCTTGAGACTGTTGCTCGCATAGCTCACACCGTCTCTACTTGTATCGGCTCCGTGTCATCTCATGCACTTGCTGACAGACAAGCCTCAAAATCTTCCAGTCTTTGCAACTTGGAGATGGACACATTCATCTACACCAGCACCCCCAGCCGAGTAATCTTCGGCCAGGGCAAGATTAACACGTTGCCAGCAGAGATCGAAAAGCTTCAAGTGTCACGATGTCTTGTTCTTTGCACGCGAGCGCAGATCACGGACGCGNAAAAGTTGTCTCTCCTGTTGGGTGACAAGGCAGTGGGCATCTTTGACAATGCAACCATGCACACACCTATTCACATTACAGAAGAGGCGTTAGCCTTGGCGAGGAGCCTGATGGCAGACAGCGTCGTCAGCATCGGTGGAGGAAGCACGATCGGTTTGGGCAAAGCCATATCGTTCAAGGCTGGCATGCCTCACATCTGTATTCCCACGACTTATGCAGGAAGCGAAATGACACCAATCCTCGGACAAACCGTGGGAGGTCGCAAGACTACAGAGTCGCACCCTGATATCAAGCCGGATGTGGTCATCTATGATGTCGATCTGACCATGACGCTGCCTGTTGAGCTGAGTATGACGAGCAGTATCAACGCTATCGCACATGCGGGTAAGCCAATACCGTCAACTCTTCGTACTCTGCGGCCTGAGCTTACACGTTTTCGATNNGCAGTTGAAGCTTTGTACGCCCCCGACACCAACCCCATCATCCAACTTTTGGCCGCAGATGGAGTAAAAAGCCTGGCCGAAGCTCTACCAAACATCAAGAAAGACCCAATGTCTGTTGCAGCTAGGACCCAGGCTCAGTACGGTGCCTGGTTATGTGCAATTTGTCTGGGAAGCACANAAATGGCTCTTCACCACAAGATCTGTCATGTTCTTGGAGGCACTTTCAATCTTCCCCACGCAGACACACATACCGCTGTCTTGCCGCATGTCCTCGCATACAATGCTCCAGTGACTCTCCGTGCCACGGAACTGTTGGCACGAGCTTTGCCGGACAGCAATGGCGATGCTGTCGAAGGGCTGAACAGGTTACTCAGCAAGCTGGACTTGACATTCGACCTAGCGCGTTTTGGCATGCAAGAAGCAGACATAGATATCGGTGTCCAGCAGACACTTTCTAATGCGTACTCAAACCCAAGGAAGATCGAAGAGAAGGCACTCCGGGAAGTAATTCGCCGCTGCTGGGCGGGTGAAAAGGCAAGACAAGACCTGTGAGAATAAGATGCACTGGATATCTTGCAAGCGATCAAAATGATCAGATTATAAGGGATAGAAGCAATTGATTATTCTTGAGCATCGCTGTCCCTTTCTCGCCTAGCTAGCATCGATATCTTTGACGAAAACAACCATCGTAGCCAAATGTGCCCGATCCACAAATCACAGGCCCAGACTTGTGGTCACAGAGGACATATAGCATCAATCATAACTGGCAGTGATTACCGACGAGTGTGAGTACACCTGGCCCTGCATTCTCAAATCAGTGCTTCCATCCACGAATAAGCGGTTAAGCCTTTTTCCGGTTGTCTTCCTGCCGAACTTAGGGATACGCAAGCAACACAAGAATATCGCGGAATGCCATCTTGAATAAGTCATGTTTCAATGCGTATTGATATAGATAAGTGGATCTGTCATATTAATCGATATCATGGGAGGACGAGATCTCGGAGATGCATATTGTCTATCTATATCCGGCGCTCGACAACCTATTTAAGCCTCGGCTTCTGCAAACGCGGGATTCAGAGTCCGTCCTAGAGCCTTGTTTACTGCATCCATCATCTCCATCTTGGGAGCTGGTTTGCCTGTCCATGCTTCGAATTGCCCAAAGGCCTGCTGTTGAAGCACATCTATGCCATCGAAGACAGTCCAATTAGGAGCAGAAATTGCCTTGACAGTAATTGCAGTTTCGTTTCCATATGCCATCTCGACCAGAACGCCCTTCTTCACGTTCAGGAAAAGCCAATCTGGCACATCGGCAGCTGTCAAAACATGTGTAGGAAGGCAACCGACCATTACCGAGATGTTCAAAGATCCGTCATTTGAGCGCTCTTCAAGGGCCGAAAGAGAGTGTACAATCTCGATGTTGTGGTTCGGAAAGTTCGTTGCCAGCTTTTGTGCGCGCTCTAACGACCTGTTGACGACGACAATATTGCGGATGCCGAGCTTGATAAAGGCATAGACAGCCGCTCGGGCTGCTCCACCAGCACCCAAAACCACTGCTGCGGTCTGGGGCGCATCCAGGTCGACCTTGCCGCCTTGTATGCAGCGAGTGATACCAAGCCAGTCGGTATTGTCTCCATACAGCCGCCTTTGACTGCCGTGGAATGAAATTTTGACTACGATGGTATTGACTGATCCCATAGTCCTTGCTTCTTCCGATATCTCATCCATGAACCTGCCGACTTCGAGTTTATGTGGAGCTGTGACCGATAGTCCGCCCACCGTTGGGTCTTGGAGTAGTTTTTCGACGGTCTCGTCCATACTGGGCACTTCAAACAGACCATAGGTATACGGCAGTCCCAGAAGCTCGAATCCAGTGTTGTGCAAAAGTGGAGAGAACGAGCCTTTGATATTGAAGCCAAGCAGGTAGTAATGGGTCCCCCGGGTCTCCCCCTGGGCAAGCGCTGTCGTAACGAACCATTATGCCTGTTGCTACCATTGAGATGACAAAATTGGGATGTAAAGGTGTTTAACAGTTGGACTGAAATGCAAAATCTTGTTACCATCTAGTTGTGATGATGGTCGGGTGGACGGCTAAGTTCCTTGCCGAGCTGCATGCGGTCGCAGATCTCGGTCCGCCACCACCCGGAGGCCAAGTGCGCATCACAATCGTAGGATAAATCAATCGATCAATAGTCAGACCCTGATTAGATCAACACTGTCTTGAAATTACTAACCAAAGATCTATATAGGACTACTGAGTCTCAATACTAAATGGAATCGTCGAAACAGTAGCATTGTTCGTTTGGGAGCACATCAGATTCTGTCCAGAGACATGGAGACCATTGATGCCGATGGGTCCAATTCTATGGGTAGGAAACATGCTGGGGTCGGAGATGACCTTCTGCATAACCCCTTTGTCGACATTGACGCTCCAGACTGCACCGAGAGCACTGTCTGCGATAAGAATAATGTCGTCTGACAAGGTCATGGCGCTGTTGAGAAAACTGCTATCGGGAATAGTAGCGATACGGCTGACTTTTGTCGACTAAGTGGTAGAGCCTACATTTCAGACTGCCCATGATTTCGAGTCGCTTCGAATGTCGAGGTCCAGTGATTGCCACATGGGATAAAGCAGTTATCAGTGACGGTTTCAATGATGTCCAGACATCAAGTAGCGTCTGGAAATCTGTAGACCAGAGATACGCTCTCAGACACAGTACAAATCTGCCACATCTCGGGAGTGGTCAGGAGGGTGACGAGGATCTGTCCTTCGGATGTGACAGCCAAGTTTCCCACCCGGTTCACCTCTCCAAAAGTGTACACAGGAGAATTGCCCGAGGGAGAACGAGGGTTGATTAGCAAGGGAAGTGCAGAGTCAGCAACAAGGATCATTGAGAGGCCGATCAAGGCCGTTTTGAGAGTTTTGAACATCGTAGCGGAAAGGATGTTAAGGCTTTCGACTGTGATTGATTCTTTGAGCTGATGTTCGAACTTCTGAAGACGGATCGTTCGCATATATAGGCAAGCCTGATCACGCGAATGACGGTATCTTTAGATGATTACATCGGGACCAGCTGGATCGTACCTGTCAGGTTCTACTCCCATTGTGCACCAAGACCCGTCGGTGCAAATCTTCCAAGACTACAAGGAGTGTTGATTTCCGACAATGTTCTCGATGATCTAGGTTGACCGCTGTAAGCTGCATTTTATCGCTGCAGAAGCAGCACCAGTAATTGTGATACATGAGCATATCACGTGCACCTGTTCCTTGGCGAGCTCGAAGCCGGAACCGGCGATCTAAGTTCCGGGCAAGATTTGCTTCTGAGATCTTTGGCCGGTCCCCACTTATCTTTGCCTGTCAAACGTGGCTGCTCCATCCATCAGACATGAGAATCATTGGTCCCTGCAACCTCCAAGCATGGATCGTGCTTCGCAGAGCGCGCCAGCACGGCGTCCAAGACGCGTAGCCTGTACCGAATGTAGACAGCAGAAAGCACGTTGCGACGCTGGTCCTCTACCAGACCAGCCGTGTTCTCGTTGTCGCAAGTTCAACCTGTCGTGTGTCGTGTCAACCTGCTTCCNNAAGCGTCAGCACAAACATAGGAAGTTGTCCGAGCTGGAACAAGAAGCTGAAACATTACGCTCGGAGCTGAGAAGCCATGAGGATTTCGGTACACCGCCCATCACTGGCGATCACCCGCAGCAGCCATAACTTGCGCCTGTCTACGGTCCCGCTTCTTCTTCATTGACGGGATTGGATGCAAACTTCACGTCGGCCATGCCCATGGATATATGTGAATCGCTCCCGCGTACTGGCAACATGTTCAGTCATGGTTCCGATCCCCTATACAGACCCATTGTGCGTACAGAAACCTCCGGTAGCCATGAGTCGATCACCGGGGACGCTGGTCCGAGATCTAGCTCGTTCGCGGCGACAAAGAACACTGTGGCTCAGTCGTTGGCAGGCGTGTCGTTGACAGCACGTGAAATCGATAAGCTCTTCACAATGTACTATCCGCGTTGCCATACTTGTTTATCAGCCGACTAAAATATGCAGATTCNNTTCCAGACATATGCTTCCGCGCTCCCGATCTTGGACTCATACACGGACCCCAACACTCATCATGCCCAATCGACATTCTTGTTCTGGGCCATCATCTCGGTGGCTTGTCGCAAGTCTCGACAACATGTCCATCTGTTCAGCTTGCTGGCTCAACCAGTCACGGATCTGGCCTTTCTGTGGCCAACCACAGCATCCAACCCCATCCACGGGATCCAAGCATCATTGCTTCTTCTGACTTGGCCGTTTCCGCGTTTCTCCAACGTGCTGGACTCGATGTATCCTCTGGCTGGCCTCCTCATACACAAAGTCAGGCAAGCCGGATTTCATCGTCCCAAAGCAAGCCATGAATTCTACTTGATCCAAGGAAAACCTGCACGTCTGACAGATGCCGAGATCGCGTTGCGGAAGGATCTGTGGATAAGATGTGTCCACGCTTACCAATCCATATCGATCGCGAAGGGCCATCTACCCGGACGTATGATTGGTGCGATTGGCGGCTATCACGCCGAAACGTCCGACAGAAGTCTCGAACTGCAGCTGCAATGTCAAGACATCGTGGTTCAATGTTGCACAGCCATATCCGACAATGGACTTCTCGGCAATATGTCAGATGCTCAGGCTAATGCTGTTGCTATCATTGTTCGCGTCTTTGACACGCGGCTCCGGGATCTCGAGGTCGACAAATTGACGAAACTTGCGTCAGGGCTTACCCAGGAAACCACCGGTTTTCCCACCCTCACTGTCACTGAGAACCTGTATGTCCAAGCTGCTAGGCTAGGCATTCTGGTCTTTAGCCTCTTCGTTCGTTCATCAGGTACGACAAACGAGATGGAAGAGCCCGTTCAGCTTCTGCTTTCAACAGCACGAACAGTGCTAGATCTGATCAAAAGAGTGGTACAGCTCCCTTCTTTTCCGCCAAGTCCACCAAATCACATCGTCGACACCTTTTTAGTCTCTACGTTCTCAATTCTCAGAATTGCGGAAACATACCCCAACAGTGTATGGGTGGCAGACGCTGAAAGCTACATTAACAGCTGTAAACTTTTGGCAAGATCATTGTCGAGTAACGAGAACGATGCTTTGTTCAAGACGGCCATGATGCTTGATGACCTTTGGAGGAACCCAAGAGCCTACAGGACTGCGGACGGTTCAGCGGATGCGCCCATTGCATACTTAGGCAGACTAAGTGCTGGCGTGGTGATAGATGCTGTCTCCAAGTGGCATGACATCGTGGACACAGCCCCGACGCCTGGCATATCCGCTCCAGTGGAAGGGTTGTCGATCGGTCCGCGAACACCTGTTTCGTGTAAGTGTTATCGTGCGTGAGATCGAGGATTCTCACTGTTTTACATTGCTGCGACTATGTCAACTCTGCTGATCCATGACACAGCTTCGCGTGCCGGGTTCCACCACGCAGGATCATTTGTCACCGGGAACATCGCTCAATGTTCGAGTAAGGAGGACTACAACTGGAGTCTATTCGACGACGATATCTTCGGTAGTTTCGACTGGTACGGAGAGACGTCATATGCGTGATATGTCAAATCGCGGAGGTCCGATCAACAGAATTTCATGGTTGAGTTTCTCAAGAATTTGACCCACTTCCGTCGGCGTGCTGCAGTATTCTCCGTTGTGGTTTTTCTACATAGTCATGGTTTTAAACTTGGACATGGGGAGCAGTGGTTGCAATGCTCAATTTACTAGACGATCAATCGCGTGGCACAGTAAAAAGCTGCAGGGTAGCTCCAGGAGAGTCCCACAGTGAAAGGGTTAAGTACGACAACGTCTCGCTTCTTCGCACCAAGCAAAGCGCGAGTAGCGAGTCTCGTGAGTTTGAGAGGATGTACGGAATCTGCTACGAGGTCAGACTTTAGCTGACATCAAGACGACTGTCTTCTCACTGATTTCGGCTGTTGCGTATGAGTCACCCTCGTTATCGAACCAGAGATTTGACCATTGCTTTGCCTCATTGTCAGTATGCAATACAGAATGAGGTCAGGGCAGACGTGCTGGTTCAAAAACTCCAGCGTTGGCAACGTAGATATCTGGGACGTCGCCAAACATCTCGACTGAGATAGTGATAGCGTTTTCCAGACCACAATTCCTGACATCGGTCTGGATGTATCTTATCTGTTTCTCGAATGATCTGCTGGCTGTTGCAAGCTCATCAGAAAGGCACAAGTCGGCAACTACCACCCTTGCACCCCCTTCGTTTGCCATCTGTACGAATGGCAATTCGATGCCTGCAATCGCGGATTGTCTGTGAAGCAAGATGGTACAAGCCACATACCAGAGCCCTCCCCGGTCACAAGTGCAATTTTGCCGTTTGAGGAAGAGATTGTTGCAATGATCTTGGATACAAGTACAAGACCGGGAAGCACAATGACCGAGGACGATACAGGACCTTGTATACACCGCCAGCGTTGGACTTTGTTAGAGCTACCTTCACGTAATGCATGCCGGCCTTAAAATGCGGTCTTCGAGCCTACCAAAGTTGTCCCCGAAGCTTGCCGGCGGATTACACATGTTCCTCTGGCATCCTGGCGCTCTGGCCTGATACAGATACTCGCGCTTGGGGTGGATGCTCTAGAAGTACTCGTCGCTGTGCTAATCAGTTCCCGTACAGGCTTCGAAAGCTGCGTCTGACCTACAAGAATTTGAGTAGTGTGGCATAACCACGCTCTTATTCGGCTTTCGAACGCTGGTCAACAAGATCGCTGCTGTAGAAAATGTGAGTAGTGAATCAATCGGCTCAAATGGGCAACCGCGCACCGGGCGGCCATCCAACCCTGGAGGAATTGTGAGTAAAGATCGCTGCGAGTACTGTAGAAAAACTCACGTGAACCTGATCCGTGAATGTTTCTGCATAGTGAGGCACCTTGAGAGCTTCAACAAAGTTCTTCACATCGTCTGCGTTCTCGTCACCCAATGCCAGAATGGCGATAGGGATCTCAATGCCGGGAGCATCTTTAGGATCGATCATCGACGGATGGACTTCAGTGGCGGCTTTGAAAGGGGTGCCGTATCCGCAAGAGAACGAGACAATCTTCTAGAAGTCAACCAGACTGCATTGTAGATCTGTTGGCATACTGGGAATACCTTTCNNCGCCCAGCATTTGCCCAGGAGTGCCCAAGACTCAATCGAACCAGAAGATCCACTGCTGATGGTTTGCACAAGAGCTGGAATTCTCTGGACGGTAGTGATAGGGTTAGCAGGCCCTGAAAAAAATGCACCCATAGCTTGGTCCTTCTCGGCAGTGTCTGGAGGGAACCAGGTGTGGTCTGCATATTGTCCAAGGAGGAAGTCAGGTACGTAAACTTGGTACTGCTCCTTCTCATTNGTATATGCGAGCAGATCAGCGCCCTGCAGAGACTGAGGGCTGGATCCAAAGATGTCATAGACGATCAAAATAGCCTTCTTGGCAGACGAAGGTCCTGTTTTGTCTATACAATACTAGTTAGAACACTCGTCAAACCGGTCAGTCCCACCAACANNAGTTCTAAAGCCATCGAACTCGATGAAGTCACCCTTGGTGTTGTATTCTGAAGACGCTTTGGGCGCGATGGTGCAGCATGCCTACTGTCGTCAATGGACCTGGATCTTGTTCTCGCAAAACAATTGCACAGACCTTGCTGTGTTGAGACATTGTCGAGACTACGGTAACACGTCAGATCGAGATAGCTCTGGTAGCAAGTGTTTTTGGTAAGTGTTGGAGGCCTGTTTTATGTAGAAACGGAAGTCCGGAAAGGGAGGACAGGATGTTCGTCGACATATCGATTACGTCCGTACAAGTGCGCCGATGCCTGTTGCAGGTGTGCTGGCCGGTCCCGGCGAAGGCTCATCCCCTGCTTCCCCCTGATCAGGCAGCGCCGGCCAGACACTATCCGAATAACTTGGCAATTCTTATCGATACTTGTCCGATCTTCTTCAGTGGTAGGTAGATGACATGTAGCAGTCTAAGCACAATACAACACGGGAAAAAAAATCACATTCCTAGCAGTTGTCACAGGTCTATCGTTAAGGGTGCGTTCATTTTGGCATACCAGTGAAAATTGTGATCATCATCTAAAGTGGCTAATGTCTTCCTCCACTTGTCAGTACCTACACAGAATTTCAGCTTGCTCGCCGGCTCGAGCGCGGTCAGACTGGGTCTTTTCGATCGCGCCGACGTCGATCATCGTGATCAAGCATCATGGCTGACACTCGAGGTGATGAGTCTGGAGCGTCGAGTGCGTTCTCATTCTGTATCTCCTCAGTCCAATTCACCAACATCAGCATGATAGTTCGACGGTACTGCGAGATCATGAGTGCTACGCTGGAAAGCTTCACACGTCGATGAACACCATATTGTAGTTTGATCAATCTGATGTTCAAGATACGGACGTAGAAAATTCATGACATTAGCTCATATTGAATGACTTGCTGTCAGCATCGGACAACACACTGCAGACTCCTCGATGTACAGAGATACTGGCCCTGTCAATAGCGTTGACAAGGGAGACAGACCAATCGTGCTGCGGCATTTTCTCGCCGATACAGGCCCGGTTCCGCTCTCGCGACAAAACACAGTTCGACGCAAGCCATCCTGTCCGCCTTTCAAGTACGTCAGTCCTTTCTTCTTGTACATATATATTATATAGCTTTTTCTTTCCGTAGCTTACATACATCTCTCAGCAGTCTTACACGACAGTCTGCAAATATCCTTTGGAGCCCCGTAGATCCAGCATGACAGCCTACAACGAAAAGCATGCCGAAGAAGGCCGTCTACCAGGACTGTCTTCATCTAGTAGCGATGAGAGTCGTGAAAGTACGAAAGAGCCTGAGAAAGACCCATTCCTTGTGACGTGGAACGGTAAGGACGATCCAGAGAACCCCAAGAATTGGACAAAGCGACAAAAATGGGCCGCGACCTTTGTAAGGACTTGTCCAAAGCATGTCGCAAATCATCACTAACATGTTTGGGAATACAGGNCTGTCGCATCCTTCACCTTCATCTCACCCGTATCCTCTTCGATCGTCGCCCCTGCGACCCAAGATATCTCTGAAAGCTTTGGCATCAAAAATTTTGCAGTCAGCCAGATCAGCTACAGTGTCTTCGTTCTCGGATATGCGTTTGGCCCTCTGTTCCTCAGCCCGCTGTCCGAAATTTATGGCAGATCGAGAATATTGCAGCTCGCGAACCTCTTCTACCTCATATTCAACACAGTGGCTGGATTCAGCAAGAATACAGGCGAATTGATCGCTTTCCGTTTCCTATCTGGACTCGGCGGCAGCGCCCCTCTCGCGGTATTCCATTCCTCTGTCCCTTACTTCGGATGCAACTGACAGGATCAGGTTGGAGGAGGCGTGCTCGGTGATGTCTGGCTTGCTGATGAACGTGGAGCAGCGCTTTCGATCTATTCTTTGGGACCATTAATCGGTCCTGCCGTGGGACCAATTGCGGGTGCTTGGATTGCCCAGTGCACGACTTGGAGATGGACCCTTTGGGATCCTTCTATCGTTGATGTCTTCATCCAGCTTGCTGCTCTCAAGTTCCTGAAGGAGACGTTTGCTCCATGTCTTCTCCGTCGCAAAGCAATTAAACTGCGCAGGGAAACTGGGGACAACCGCTATCAGATGATTCAGGAGCGCGCGAAGTTGACTCTGCCTGTCGCGCTGAGACGAGGTCTATCACGTCCATTTATTCTGATTGGTACTCAACCTATCGTGCAATGCCTTGGTCTTTATATGGCATACCTGTATGGTCTATATTGTAAGTGTGGTGGCCGTAGTCAGTAATTGTCATTGTTGCTAACGCGAGCGAAAGACCTTGTTCTAGGACACTTTTCCGATCTATGGGTAGAAGAGTACCATGAATCTCGCGGCATCTCCGGTTTGAACTACATTTCTCTCGGCCTCGGCCCGATCATCGGAGCCCAGATATCCGCGCTCTTCAACGATCGCATCTACCGCAACCTCAAGAAAAAGCACAATGGTATTGGCCGGCCAGAGTTCCGACTACCCCTGATGTTCGCTGGCAGTTTCCTCGTACCGATCGGCTTGTTCTGGTATGGATGGAGCGCAAAAGCCCACACACACTGGATCGTCCCAAACATTGGCGTTCTGATCTACTCCTGTGGCGGTATCTTTGGATTCCAATGCATCCAGACCTATCTTGTCGATGCGTACACCACTTACGCTGCGTCTGCCATGGCTGCAGCCGCTGTCGGAAGATGCATCCTCGCTTTCATCTTCCNNCCCCTCCTAGTAAAGCAGCTCTATGCCTCTCTACACTACGGTTGGGGCACGATTCTACTCGCTTGCATTGCTCTAGGCTTGGGAGTGCCGTTTCCAATCCTGCTTTGGGNNTACAAGGGTGAGGCACTAAGAGCGAGGAGTCCCTACGCTGCGACTACGGACTAGTCTCTTGGCTAGACCACTCACGTTCATACTTGTATAGCTAGTCGTCTACCAATAATATTCTAATGTACAATCCCTCCTGTCAGACTCCAGTGTATTTGTGCCGGAGAAGAGAGCTCTCGATGTTGTTCTAAAGCTGCAAGGATATCCATCGAGATATAGTAGTGATTCTCGAGTCCTGGGTAAAAAACTTAATACTCAAGGATCTAGTGAATAGTACTTCTAGTTATATAGTAGTGTATCATCGCAAATACTTAGGTCTTACTTGTTTGTCACAGTGATGGTTGCGGCTGAGGTCGTGATTGTGCTCGTAATGCTTGTGATCGAGGACGTCACAGTAGTGACTTGTGTGTCGTAAACTGTCGACCACTACGCTTTAAACTTGTGGCGGCCCTTCTCAACTGGCCGATTACAAGGCCTTCATTCCAGTCTGAGATATTTGGAACGGTGATGGCCCTAGCGATCTAGGCTCACATCGTACAATCCCGAGAAGACGCTGGTAAGAGTAGTAATATCATTACTGTGGGCGTCAATGGCTATGTAAGCCTGGCGCAAACAGCCTCCACCGACAACAAGAAAGCTGACAACCTCATCAGCNTCAAAGTCGGCAACTCTGTTCAACAATTCGCGTTTGCTGGCTAATGTAACGGTCTGTATATCTACGGTGGTAACGATGGCGTTTTCCATCGGTAAGAGCCTATATTTGATGATGCTTCTGCTCCTTGCTGACGATCCCGCAGCATTACTGGGGAACCAGGCTCGCGTGCAATTGTGTTCTCGTGGTATGCTGGTACCGATCAATGGGGTCATCAACAGAGCCACTTTACCATCACCTACTTCGAGGATCGTCCTGGCGAGATTCAATACAAGTACTACGACGTCGTACAAAGTCCAGGCCCGTCGGCTTGGGCTCAAGTTGCCATCACTGAGATTTGGCCTCCTGGATTTTCTTCGACATCAGACTAATCAAATTGTGAATGGCGCTACAACTACTATCGTTTCGAGCGGCCAATACTTCCAGCCCGGCCAACAAATCAGCATCTCGGCACCCGATGCTTCTCCCGTCACCTTCTCGAGCTCGATTCATGATCGCGCGAGCTGTTACGACAAGCGCTCCTGGCACTCATGCACGGGGTTCCAGCCACCAAAGAGACCTTGAGTTCTTTGGTTCTTCTGACTTATCTGATCTGTCCACACATTCCAATCGTCGTTGCAAGTTTTGTCCCCATGTATCTTGTTTATAGTCTTACAGAGCATTATATCGTGTGTCCGAAGCCCATTGCATGTTTTCAGCATGATACTGTCGCATGTTGAACACATTTGTATTGGACAGCAAAAGTGAAGTCAGTGATTTTCTAGTTGGTAATCGGCATCATTATAGACTCATCAGTCTAGAATCGTCCACAGCATATGTCGTAAGGACATCCCGCAAAACTTTCCCGGCAACTTCAAAGTGCTTCAGTTCGAGATAGATCTGGGCACTTAGTCGAACCCACAGAGCTCGTTTGTAGTAATAGATATTGACAGCAATATTGTGCTTCCGATTCATGACCATGTTTAATAAGCCCGCCAGCTGCTCTGAGCACTTCTCAGAGACGACAGGCAGGCGCACGTTCGTCATGGCACAATCTCCAAGTGTCAGCTCTTTATTGTCCAAGACTTCTGTGCCCAGCATCTCTGCCACCAGTTGACCACCCTTCCGGGCGAGCTCTTTGTTGTAGCTGATGATTGCTTCTTCACCACTCTTGCCACCAAATGTGATACGCTGACGCCACTCCAAAGCAGCAGCAACACAGGAATATGGCGTGTCATCACTAGTAGCCACAGCCGCAAAGTTGGCCACGAAGTTGTTGGTTTTTGCTGCTTGTTGTTTCTTCAAGAAGTTGAAACCAGTAGGCAGTGTTGATCGAATGAGATGTTGGTTTCGTACTGGTACGTACAAGACTGCGCAGCTGCGAGGCGTAAATAGCCATTTGTGGCAGTTGCTAACGAAGAAGTCTGGATCAAGTTGCGGAAGATTGAGGTGGAGCTGACCTACGCCATGAGCGCCATCGATACATGATAACACGCCATGGGTGCGGCAGATCTGAGTTAGAAGTTCGAAGGGCATGCGAACAGCCGGCAAGGAAGTGATGGTGTCGAAAATTGCGAGTTTTGCTTTTCTTCCGTCTTGCGAGATCTTATCCAGCATTTCTTCAAAGGCACGGCAAACCTCGTGGTCCGAAAGAGAGAGGTCATGTTCAATCGTGTAGATGCTGAAGTCCTGTCGTTCTCTCAGATACTCCAGTGTGTTCATGGATGCTGGATATATTGTCGAGAAACAGATGACAGCATCCTGTGACTCAAAAACCAAGTTGCGTAACACTGTATCTATACCAGTGCTTGCATTTGGCACAAGAACACATGTCTCGAGAGAAGCGTGGATGTAGTCAGCGATGGCTTGTCTTGCTTCGTCCAGAAGATGAGTGCGAAACTCATAACGGACGAATGTATCTGGTCTTGCCTCGGCTCGTTCTTGGTACTGGCGATGCACCGACCTGACTTCGATCGGATGTGTTCCATGTGAGCCTNNGTAACAATCAATGAGCGAGAGCTTCGCAGATATAGAGTTATGAGACAAACCGTGGTTGAGATTGACATAACCATCATCGAAAGCAAAATGCTTGGCTGCTTCCTCGCCGCACTCAATCGTCGATATGATAGAAATGTCTGTGGCTGTCATTTTAGCGTTCATATGTATTCATTGCTGGATGATCTTGACTCTGCTCAGAAACCTCTGAGATATCTCAGCATCGCACCAGAGACTTGAACTAGAGGTGTCTTGTACTTATCGACGTGATCGCCGAAGTCTGCTTCTAATCACCGCACCGCAAGGTCTGGACTCAGGAGTCGTGTTGCCCAGGAAACGCAGGCAGCCCCGCAATCGCAAAACATCCAACTTTATCGCTTGGACCCTGAATTGAAGTGTATACCGCACGTTGCGACAGCCGCTGGAAGTTGCTAGCTGATCGTGAGATAGATATGAGAGTCACACATTCACATACCCAGAGCCGTGCCTGCACAACGATTGGACGTGTCCAGGAGCTGCTGCCTGAACCAAAAGTTCGGTGAGTCAGCCAGATACGCGCGAAGGATTTCTGCCCCACCTTGTCAGGCAGAATCCCCTAACTTTTCGATCATACAAGAACAATCCTAACCTCTCGTATATCCACCAAGATAATTCACAAAGACATGTCAGAGATCAAAAACGTCGCCATTCTAGGAGTAAGTCCTCACCATATTTTCCAATTTACTATTGCTGACTACTGGAACAACAGGNCCTCGGGCAACTTTGGCACTCCCATCACCTCCGCCCTCATTGCCGCAAATTTCAACGTGACAATTATAACACGAGCATCTTCTACAACAGAACACCCACAAAACATCCCCACTCTGCGCATCGAGTACTCTCTCGAAACGCTCACCGAAGCCTTCGCAAACCAAGATGCAGTGGTCTGCGTCGTGGGTCCCGGCGGTATAGCACTTCAGAAAACCTTTGTGGATGCTGCTGTTTCGGCCGGAGTAAAGAGATTTATTATTGATGATTTTGGTTGGGGACCAACGACGAAAGGATTTCCTGAGTTTGGTGCTATACATGCTTCAAGAAGGGAGGGCTGGGATTATGCGGCTGAGAAGGCGAAAGAAGTCGAGGGGTTCACTTGGACAGGTTTATCGACTGGAAATCCCATTGACTGGGTATGGTTACTTCAAGCCAAGGTTGGAAAAATACAGTACTGACATCAAAGCAGGNCGATGAAGAAGTTCCCAATGATGGGTTTCGACGTGCAAAATCACAAAGCGATCATCTACGACGAAGGAAGCGAAAGATTCACCGGCACAACACTGCAAGGAATCGGTCAAGCGGTTGTTGGAACATTACAACGCCCCGAAGCCACAGCCAACCGCTTCCTCGTTGTGCAAAGCATACAAACAAACCAAAACGAGCTGCTTCAAGCATTCGAGAAGGCGACAGGAGAACAGTGGGAAGTTACAAGGACATCAAGCAAAGGATTAATTGAGAGTGGTCAAGAGGATTTTGAGACTGGAGCAGGGTTGTGGAGGTTGAAGTTGGCGGTCGCTACTTTGTATGATGTTGGACAGGGAAGAGGTAGGGTTGCTGCGTCCAGAGAGGAGTCTGATGCAGAGTTGTTGAGTGTGAAGAACGAGACCACTGATGAGATTGTGGCCAAATTGCTTCAGTGAGTCGAATTGGAAACCACGAGGATTCTTCTTGTTCTGCGACTGCCATCCGAAAGGAGCTTTTGTCGACAACCACAAATTTCAAAGTCTGGTAGACGCCAGCATGTCCGTCTTCCGTATGATCTTCTCAAAAGTACTGCACACCATAAAGTCCAAGACGATGAGGCTTGAGCATGACATCCATGCAACGTCTCAACTCGATATCATGGCTCCTTGGAAGCCAAAGATGATCACCCTCCTTGCGGTACTTGCAACCCTTGTCGGTCAAGAACTGTTCGCAGATGGGAGCGACATCGTGGTAGCCGTCGCAATACTCGCGCTTGGTGCGGAAGGCGCAGAGGACNCTGTGAGATCGTAAGTGTTGTGGACGGAAGTGAAGAAGGTGAGAAGTTCAACGTACGGAGCAGAGACGCTTGAGTGTACACTTTGTGCCGTGGGGGCAGGGCTTGGAGTTGAGGCTGAAGGGACAGAAGCCGCTCAAGTATTGAAGCTCTGGCAGGCGTTTGTGGTCGAGTGTGTCTAGAAGATCTCTAGTGGGCGGTGCTTGGACTGGTGCCATGTTGGATGTTTGATTGCGAGAGGATGAGTAGAGAGACAAGCGAAGGAGCAGCGGAGGGGAGGAAAGTTATAAACGGTCAAGTGATTGGGAGTGAAGGTGCGAATAACTTGGGTCTCGAGTGATTGGATCAACGCGAATAGACTAGTATTGAATATTGTGCAGTCTAGAGTATTGATTGTCCACCAACTGAAAGTGAGCGAACGTAATACACGATTAAGATTTGCTTGGATATTTACATGTCAAGGTGTGCCTTGACCTATACCCGTGTCCTCGTTCAAATGAGCAAGCATTAGGTAAACAAGATCAAGTCGGGGTCAGGGACAGCATCAAGCGTGGCACTCTTCTCAGGGACCTCTCCAGAAATGTCGTTCTCCTCAGCTTCGGCGACAGTGAACGGCTCTTCGTGCTCACTGTTATTCTCCTCCACATTAGCTGTCATCCAAGAGGCGCCGACGGCATCGCCGATCGCGGTGGGAGGAGTGGTGCTAGGCGCCATCCAAGAGGCTCCAGCAGTATTATCTCGCTCGCTGGGTGGAGTGGCGCTGAGGCCAGCATGGTCATAGTCAACACCATAAAAACCCAGCTCGTGAGGTACACGCATAGCGCCCATAAACAAGCGCGTCTTGTAGTCGTGGTTGCGTGGACACGCTCTCCTCTTGTTGTCATTCACGAGTCTTCGAGTTCTTGAACAGCGAGTTCCATCATAGACCGAGTCACACGTAGGAGTCACCTCATGAGAGAAGTTGCAAGAAGCTGGTCGTCTGCACCGGACTTCNCTTTGAAAGTGTTAGTGGATACAAAAATCTTCCAGAGCGACGAGCCATACCCAACAGATGTGCTTCAATTGACACGCACGACCATGAGGACACTTGCGAAAAGCCAGGGTGAAGGGACAGAACGTGCCGAGGCGCTGCAACTTGGTGCGGTCGTCTTTGCACAGTCTGTAGAACGTGTCGGCACACAAGACTGCGCCAGGCTCTGTAGACGTCTGAGGGAGCTGAGGCTTGCTTCGGGGTGTGGCAGCCAACTTCATGGGAGCTACAGCGGAAGCAAGAACCAGAGAAGTCTCCTGACTAGCTTGAAGACGACGTAACAGTTCGATGGAGTCGTTGGCATTTTCCTGGGTGACAGTGTCGCAGATGGCGCGAATTTGGGCATCCGGGAAAGATGTGTCGCGCGCCAGAACCATGAGTTGGAAGAGCATCTCTCGCGTAATGGGACCTGGCACGACGGAAGCGTCGACGACAGCAGGCATGTTCGGCGAGGTTAAACAGATTGCGGAAGAGAAAAAACGAGATATGACCAGGATGGCTATCCAGAGCGGTTGTCCTCGAGCTTGATTGCTCGATACACGCAGATCGTGTTGGACTCGCTCTGGAGAAGGAGAAAGAAAGATGCACGAGGGAAAGAAAAGTTTGGAGAGAAGTAAAATGCCTACCAACTCAGGCAACAACTTGTGTTACCACGACACGCCACAACGCGTCTTTGAGTACTTGCATGTGCATACCTCAATATGAAACAGAATTGCGTTCGTGTATCGGCGAATCAGGTGCAAGCGACTGAATTTCAATCATCCACCAAAACTAACCACGACTGCATGTGAAGTAAAGTCCATTTGTTGTGTTCCTCATCAATAAAACGAATGTTCCACAATTGATGGATGCTGCTTGTATGCATCAAGTCCGAAATCGAGATGGGCAAAAGTGGGTGAAGAAGATGCTCGACATCATGCACACGTCATGACCATCTGGGTACTAAAAGAGGAGCTTCACGTACCTGCAGGCCTCACCTTTGACAATTCACCTCACCTCTTCTTCAGAAAAACACAAGAACACCGCAATGTCGATTATGAGAAGCTCCATCATGCGCAGCAGCCGCGTCTCAGTTTCGCGACTTCTGCGTCCTGCGANNCATGTAAGTCCCGGATGAGTTCAGAAAGCGATCAGATCAATTATTGACCAGCTCCCAGTCATGCGCAGCTATGCCAACAAGCAAAACATGGACTCGACAGCCGGACAAGCCAGCCCCGGCACAGCATCCAATGTTGGCAACCCCGTCAGCTCCAGCCCAGAGTCGAACAAGATCAACCAGTCGCGCGCCACCGATGCCAGTACTGGGTCGCCAGACACAGCCAGCGTTCAGACACCCGTCAGCAATCCCAAGGGAGCAGCCACTGGCCAGCAGGGAGAGGATAGCAGTACACAGGAGGCTTTCAAGCAGGACCCCAATGCTCCTGCTAGCGAGAAGAGGAAGAATGTTGAGGAGAAGGGACAAAGACCTCTTGATCCTGCCGACAAGTAGGGATATGTTTGACGAGTTATATCATGATTAGTATATGTCTGTAAATTAGTATGATGGCAAGTGCTGCAGGACGTGCACTCGAATGGAACTTGACCCAGATTTGGTTTTGCTCGTGTGATAGCTTTGAAGATGCAAAAGGTTCAACGGTCTGCCAGGAATTTTCAGGCTTAGCTTGGGACATGGATGTGACAGAGGATGTGAAGTAGCATGAGTCAATTGTATGTTATTTGACAATAAGTTGTCAGCTGTCAAAGGCGTCGGCGAAAAGAAGAATGGCAGCGGTTTGCGGAGCAGATGAATGCGGAGAGGCGGTGCCAAGGCAACGATGCAGCGCCACTGAGCGACACGTGCGTCAAGGCGGCAGCATCATCGCCAACGGCTCGCGTCCAGTGACACAACCGCATCTCGACCTCTGCCATTGAACCTTTCTCTCGCTCACAAACAAACACACACGTCCAAACCCCACCAAGATGAAGTTCCTCGGCATTTTCAGCGTCGCTCTCTTGTCGGCAAGCGCATCGGCGCGCAGTCTCAGCTTTGTCGGCAGCGACTCGCAGCACGCGCTCGAAGAAGAGTTCCCCGTTCCAGGCGACAACCCTCTGCTGTTCTGCGCCGCCCCCAAGGACAACATTCTCGAGATTGAGAGCGTCGATCTGTCTCCCAACCCTCCTTCTGCGTGAGTTCTTCTGGCGATTCTTCTTATCGGGCAGCAGAAGCTTATTTATCGGGGTGTTTCTAGTGGCGTCACTCTGTCCATCAAGGCTTCTGGTGTTCTGTCCGAGGACGTTGAGGAGGGCGCCAAGGTGCATCTGCAAGTCAAGTATGGCTTGATCCGCATTATCAACCAGGAGGCCGACTTGTGCGAGAACCTGAAGAACGTCGATCTCGAGTGCCCTCTGAAGAAGGGTCCCATGGAGTTGACCAAGGACGTTGATCTTCCCAAGGAGATTCCTCCTGTAAGTGTGCCTTCTGAAGACAGAGATGTGATCTGTGCTGACTGGCTTCTGCAGGGCAAGTACACTGTCCTCGCCGACGTCTACACCAAGAACAACGACAAGATTACCTGCTTGACCGCTACCGTTATCTTCAAGAGAGGTGGAGCCGTCGAGGTTGTCGCTTAGACTCTACCTTAATCATCATGTATCATGGAACGAGACGAGCGAGGCATTGAAGCGCATGTGGCATATGAGCATTGCAGTATAGCAAGTAATATCGTATTAAAGGGTATCGTGCGGGTATCATTTACTCTCCAAACAACTTCTTGACGCGCTTCATGACGCTGTCCTTCTCGGGATCGTACGGGTGGTCTTTGGAGGGAATCTCGAGGAGCGAGGGGAAGGCTTGGGTGTACGAGTCAACGCGGCTGCGGATCTTGTCGGCGATCTGAATATTGTATGAGCTGTCTGTGTAGGAGAAGATATGACAGTCAGAGAGTCGTACGTGCTGGTTGATGAGGAGAATGGCAATGTCCTTGCGCTCCTGGGTGAAGCTGTCAAAGGCCTCCTCGATGGCGTGTGTCTCGGTCTTGTGGTCGACGACGAGGTAGTTCTTTTGTGAGTCCGGAGGGTCGGTAACGTGCTGTTTGATCAGATCAGAGGCTTGTCCAATTTATGCGCTTTGTGGTCTCCATACTCCGACTCCGGCGAGCAAGACTCCGGTCACTGGAGTCCTAGAGGACGGGGGTCAGTCTGGGTACAGTTTGGAGTGGATACCAGAAGAAGATTTACGTACCTCATCACCGATAACAGCAAGGAACTGGCGGTCCTTGTAGGCAGATTGCGGAAGAGCCATGATGTGTGTTGTTTTTCAAGGGATGTTGCTGTCGCTCCTGCCCGTATGCGGGACAAGTCGGCGGCTGAACTCCGGAGCTGCCGACGTCACTGTTTGTATTCGAGAGGTAAACACTTTCTTTCTTCGCATCTGTCGAGCATGTGAAAGACGACAGCGACACGCCCAAGATGCCGCCCATCATTCGTCGACCTCCGCTGTCCGAGCGCATCAAGGCCTTCCTCAATCCCTACGACCTTCTTCTCTGGATCGCCGAGGAACTGCACGAAAGCGCCCTGGATGAAGCTCTGCGCGACTGGGGAATGCCCATTGGCGTCACGGCAAACTTGGTTTTCGCATGCGCTCGCTGGAGCCTGAAGAAGAATCCGAACGACGACATCTTTGGCGAGTTCGAGGCCAAGAGCGGCTGGTTCTACTGGTTTGTGCGTGCTTTCCCTTCTGTGCTCAGCTGCCTTCTCTGGCTGACTCTTCAGGTCTCGTTCGTTGCGCATTTCCTCGCCTTCGCATCGCTCTTCAACGCCTTCTACACCTTCACCCGCTCACGCAAGTACCGCCTCTTTGAATCCTCGATTGACCAAGCGCCGTCAACCCCTTCAGCTCGTCGAGTGCGCGTCGACTCGTCACCCTCCGCCTCGCCGCTCGCCTACTTCTCGTCCATCATCTCGTCCAACAATGTCTTTTCGCGACGACACCCCGACCAGCACAACGATGTATGGGAGGTCAGCGTCTGGGACCCCAAGCCCTTCAACCTCGAACTCTTCGCTCTCTTCTCGCCCGGCCACGTCCTCGTCTACTGGCTGTTCCTCCCCACCAGCCCCGCCGATCCTCGTCCCTCGGTCACCTTCGTCACCACAATCCTCCTCGCTGCTCTGTTGAGCGTCCAGCTGCTGTTCTTCAAGAAGTTCTTCGTCCAGCAGGCAAAAGATTCAACCCTGATCCACAAAGAAGTCATGAACGAGTACGACACCAAGTTTGTCCACCCCAACCTGAACGGTCCGGTACGCGATGTCGGCACGCAGACAAGAGACACGGCCACGAGCCCTGGAGGAGCAAGGATCAGGACGAGAGAGGTCGACGTCTACACACCACACACTGTCATCAACAAGGGCTTCAAGGTCAATCCCAACCCAGCCTACGCTAGTCACCTGACAGATGATCCCCGAGCTTTGTACGCCACCTCGCCGACTAAGAATCTGCCGAGAAGCGCGACAACTCCTTCGCTGCAGCCGACGTTCGGAAGCTATAGTACAGTTTCGTCGTTCAACACAAACACAATGTCATCGTTTGGCGCAACACACGAGCCGACAGATGTCTTCAACACTCCGGGCAGGNCACGGCCGTTGGCACGCGAGCGAGCAACGAGTCCGATGAAGAGAGCGGGAGATGGAGGAAGCTTGGGAGTGTACAGTCATGCTGCGAGTCCGTTGCGCAAGAGTGCGAGCCGACAATTGCTGAGGCCAGATGGCAGACCCCAAGGAAGTCCGCTGAAGAGGACGGTGAATGAGGAGGGAGGATTGACGGAGAGGTTTGCGAGGCTGAGCGACGCAAAACGCAGAGATTCATCAAGGTACTAGCATTTCTGGAGAAGGGTTACATGGCGTTGGTGGGAATTGCTTGCATTGCATGGAAAGGTGGTCAGTCTTCAAACAGTCAGAAGAATCAAGATGCATCTACTTTCAACTTGTCACATTGATTCAAATAGTCGTATGTCCATGGCTCATTGCCGACTTGTGAAATTGTGCTGCGGCAAGCTCCAACAACGAAAGTTCCCCCACAGCGACGTGCGGCCATGACGATGTTTCTTGACAAAACATCAACAACAATCAACACAGGAGATCTCTGTGTCTTCGACGAAGACTGTCGACTCGACCAAATGCCATAGCAAGACAGCAAACAACATCTACAATGGAGTCGCCGCGCTCAGCAAAGCGAAGAAAGCTCGAGACGATACCAGAAAGCCCCCAACGCACCACAGCAGCAGCCGCACCACCGCCCACGGCAAAGACACCTCGACGAGACCAACATGAAGCCCGCGACACAATCCGCGTCGCCAGTGTCGTTACACCCTCGTCACTCAATCTGACACCCTCCAAGCCGACGCCGCGACCAGCGCCCATGTCGGCCACCAAGAGCAACAGCAAGATTGGTGGTCTGATGGCTCGACTGAACGCAAAGATTGCTGAGAGCCAGTCGCCGCAAAAGTCTCCTGTCAAGAATGGGACCAATGGCGCTGCTGCTGCCCCAGCGCCAGAGTTACAAGAGCTGGAAAAGAATGCAAAGGTCAAGACGCTGTCGCAGAAGCTGAGGGAGAGTTTTGAGCAAGAGCAGCTGGAGAGGGCCGCAAAGAGGAAACCGAAGCGCACCCTGGAAGACCAGATGAGGGATATTCAGGATGCCAGTCGAAGAGAAGTGCAGGGAGAAAGAGCGACCATCTCTCCTGTCAAGTCACAGCCACTAGCCACGACTGAGAAGAGGAAGCCGGGACGACCAAGGAAACACCCCATCGTCGAGACAGACACGACTGAAGACGATGGACCCGTGAGTCCTTCCAAACTCGCCTCTGCCAGGAAACCGTTATCTCGTGCCATGAGTCCTATGCTCTTGGACGTCAATGGCACACGACAACCTCAATTCACTCCTCGGAAAGCCATCTCCAGTCCGCTGAAACCACGACCAAAAGCAATGATAGACCTGGACATCAAACCCACACAAACAAACGCCTCAGCCAATCTCGAGATCCCCAGTAGCGACTTGCAAGCTATTCAATCTGCCATCCTCGACCAATTGCAAGAACGAACACATACTCCTTTCGTCGGCCTCTCTTCCGAATACGAAAAACTCGCCTCTGTAGTGGACCAGACCATTGTAGCTGGAGAAAGTAACAGTATCCTCATCATCGGCGCTCGAGGGACCGGCAAATCCGCAGTTTTGAACTCAATCTTGGATGCCCAGTATTCTACAAATCCGGACTTGTTTCATGTTGTTAGGCTCAGTGGCTTCATTCATACAGACGACAAAATTGCTTTACGAGACATCTGGCGCCAGCTCGGCAAAGAAGCAGACGCCGAACAAGACTTTGCAGCCCAGAATGCCGCCGACACATTGACTACACTTCTGGCCTTGCTCTCCCATCCTGAAGAACTAGGCAGGAGTGCCGATCAAGTCAACAAGTCTGTCATTTTCGTCCTTGACGAGTTTGATTTGTTCACCACGCATCCACGACAAACCCTCCTTTACAACCTGTTCGACATTGCACAAAGCAGAAAGGCTCCGATCGCTGTCATTGGCACCACCACTCGATTTGATGTTGTTGAGCAGTTGGAAAAGAGAGTCAAGAGTCGGTTTTCGCACAGACACGTTCATTTGTCTTCTGCGGCCAACCTTTCTGCTTTCAGAGAGATGTGTCAGAATGCATTGACGCCGTTTTGTGCGGAAAGTCTTTCTGAAGATGGGAAGCGGGTGTGGAAAGAGCTTGTCAATGATCTCTTCACCACTGAAAGCTTCAATACCCATTTGAGGGNNGGGCTGTACTACTTGAACAAGAGTGTCAGGGCTTTTCATACGAGTATGTTGGTGGCTGTCAGCACCTTACCTACTTCTGCGTCCACCAACAAAGCAGAAGACTTGCTCAACCATCTCAGCGACATGACCTCGCTGTCTCTGCTCACACCGCCAGACTCTAAACTCGCAGCCTTGGCTTCTTCATCGACACTTCAACTCGCCCTTCTGATCGCTGCAGCCCGCCTCACCATCATCCACGACACCGATACCGTCACCTTCCCCCTCGCACACGCCGAATATGTCTCGCTAGCTTCCAAAGCCAAAATTGCAGCCTCGGCATCTGGACAAATGGCTGTTGGAGGTGGGATCGGTAGAGTGTGGAGTAAAGAGGTGTGCAAGACCGCTTGGGAAGGATTGGAGAGAAGGAAACTGGTCTTGGGAGAGGGTAAGCAGGGAGTCTTCAGGGTCGATGTCAGACTAGAAGAGATTGGTGAGGCCGAAGTTGAGTTGGGGAGTACGATGGCCAAGTGGTGTAGAGAAATCTAGCACATGGAGAAGCGAGTAAAACATCAATTCGTGTCAGTCCCTTGTCGAGATGGAACCAGCTTCTTCTGTGGTATACACAGTATACGAACGCCAAATATGGTTCCTTCTTTTGTTCCTCGCAAGGCTCGTTTTGCTGTGCGAATCTGCAATCCAAACCTACCTTGATGTCAAAATAGCCCTCTTCGCAAGTGCAAAATGGTAGTTCGCTAACGCATCCGCGATACCGGTTACTAAAGAGCCGAAGGTTGAGTGTTGAGACTGCAAGATGCTCTTGAGGATCGGATCTGGCTCCAGTCTGCTGTCGAGCGTTCATCAGTGTCGTAGCTCAAAGGCAACAGCCGAGTGAGAAGAAGTGCCGAGTGGTTCATGGTGTCATGGCAAGCTCCGTGAATCGACCGTTTGTTGAACCTGGTCTCTTGCAATTTTGTGTTTGTTGCATCAGTAGAGGATTCGAGATGAGACTGAGCGCTGAGATCGATCTCCAGCAGTTACTAGTCCCACGTCTTTTCGTCGGCCATGGATTGGAGACTTTTGAAGACCATTTTCGTACATGAAAGATGACAATCCTAAAGCAACCTTACCACATCCTTTGATCGTGAATATCGGTAGACGACAGCATATTGCAAGGTGATGAATATCAGATGGACAGCAAGGAGCACAAGCACGTAGGAGTAGATGATTGAGGCAAGATCGGTTGACCGCGGCAGCACAGCATACAACCATACAGAAGCTGCAGGACAGCTTCCTCCACTTTCCGATTGACGGATTCGATGGTTTTCCATCAGGGTCATTTCTCGCATTCTTTGTCCCAAAGTGTAAAAAACACGTGGTGTCGTGGTCAGCAAGACAAGACGGCAGATGCCGCATGGACATGATGAGGGCGGGCATATCTCCTCATCGCGCCAAAAGATCCGTTCGCGGCAGCTCTATCGGGCTTTGGAATCATAGCACGACGGAGAGAGCCGTGGTCAAACCTGCTTGCTCGACTGGTTGTTTGCGCAACCAAGGGCATGGCCAGACAAATCCATTAACGGTGGTTGGCCGAGGCCGGCGTGCGGGCACCGGATCTGCCGTCTCCACAGTCTTTCTCTGAACGTCAACTCAGGATTTCCGAGTTGGGTAACTCTTCGCGGTGCTGGAGATCAGGGTTGTCAGCCAGCAGTGAAGCTCGCTGAAAGACTTGTCCAACTTGACGACAAGGCAGGACATCAAGATGCCGGATTGAATGTCTGACAATTGCATCTTCGCGCACTGGTTTCGCGTCATGGTCAGCAAGTGGAAAGATCCGTCGGCGGGTGGTCGCCGTTGGTAAACACAGCCAAAGTTTAAACCGAGGGCGGGGAGTTCCATGCTTGATGAGCCAGTTCGGGCAGGTGCGGGGTCAGTTATAGCTTCCCCGAGTCGGCGCCGGGCCAATGCCCTGATCTTCGACACATATACAAGGGTCCCTCCTTCCCTGCCTGCTTGTTCCTGACTTTCATTCTCTTCCCTATCCTTTCCTCCTACCCTCACATTCCCCCTCACACATTCGACATCATGTCTCCTCCTCCCAGCGGATGTCCTATGAAAGCCAGCCACAAGACCGTCAACACTGGCGGCGGTGGCACCAGAAACAAGGACTGGTGGCCCAATGACTTGAAGCTCAACATCCTCCGCCAACACACTGGCGTCTCCAACCCCTACAACAGCCAGTTCAACTATGCCGAGGCCTTCAAGAGCCTTGACTACGAAGGCTTGAAGAAGGACCTCACAGCACTCATGACCGACTCCCAGGAGTGGTGGCCTGCAGACTTTGGTCACTACGGTGGTCTCTTTGTCCGCATGGCATGGCACTCGGCTGGTACCTACCGTGTCTTTGACGGTCGTGGTGGTGGCGGTGATGGTCAACAGAGATTCGCTCCCCTCAACTCATGGCCTGACAACGCTTCTCTCGACAAGGCCCGCCGCCTCCTGTGGCCCATCAAGCAAAAGTACGGCGACAAGATCTCATGGGCTGACCTGTTCCTCCTCACTGGCAACGTCGCCATCGAGTCGATGGGTCTTCCCATGGTCGGTTTCGCTGGTGGCCGTGCCGACACATTCGAGGCTGACGAGTCGGTCTATTGGGGTGGCGAGTCTACATGGCTCGGAAACGATGTCCGTTACGCCAGCGGTCAGCCCGGCCCCGACAAGCCCGGTGTCATCGATGGTGACGAGTCCAAGAAGGAGCACACCGACATCCACTCCCGCGAACTCGAAGAGCCTCTGGCCGCAGCACACATGGGTCTGATCTACGTCAACCCCGAGGGTCCCGACGGCATCCCCGACCCCGTTGCCTCTGCCCGCGACATCCGCACCACCTTCGGCCGCATGGCCATGAACGATGAAGAGACTGTCGCCCTTATCGCTGGTGGTCACGCCTTCGGAAAGACTCACGGTGCCGGTCCCACCGAGAACGTCAGCGACGAGCCCATGGGCGCCACCATTGAAGAGCAGGGCTTTGGCTGGAACAACAAGTACAAGTCTGGCAAGGGTCCCGACACAATCACATCCGGGCTCGAAGTCATCTGGACAAAGACTCCTGTCAAGTGGAGCAACCACTACCTCGAGTACATGTTCAAGTACGAGTGGGAGCACGAGAAGTCTCCTGCCGGCGCCGAACAGTGGGTGGCCAAGGACGCTGATGCCTTCATTCCCGACGCATACGACCCCAACGTCAAGCACAAGCCTCGCATGTTGACTTCGGATCTTGCCCTGCGCTTCGACCCTGCCTACGAGAAGATCTCGCGCCGCTTTGCTGAGAACCCTCAAGAGCTCGCCGATGCCTTCTCCAAGGCCTGGTTCAAGCTGTTGCACCGTGACATGGGTCCTCGTTCTCGCTGGATCGGTCCCGAGATTCCCAAGGAGGTCTTCCTCTGGGAGGATCCCCTTCCTGACCTCGACCACCCCATCATTGACGACCAGGACATCTCCGCTCTCAAGAAGGAGTTGCTCTCGGCTGTCGACCCTACTCAGCTCATCACCACCGCCTGGGCCTCTGCCTCGACCTTCCGTGGAGGTGACAAGCGTGGCGGTGCCAATGGTGCCCGCATTCGCCTTGCTCCCCAGAAAGACTGGAAGGCCAACAACCCCGCTCAGCTCCAGTCAACCCTTGCTGCCCTCGAGAAGGTCCAGCAAAACTTCAACAGCTCTGCCAAGGGTGGCAAGAAGGTCTCGATCGCTGATCTCATCGTTCTTGGTGGAAGTGCCGCTGTCGAGAAGGCTGCTGGTGTCTCTGTGCCCTTCACTCCCGGCCGTGTCGACGCGACCGACGAGCACACCGACGTCAAGTCCTTCGAGCACCTCGAGCCTAAGGTTGATGGCTTCCGCAACTACGGCAAGGGTACTCAGCGTGTCCGCACCGAGCAGTTCCTTGTTGACAAGGCTCACTTGTTGACTCTTTCCGCTCCTCAGATGACCGTCCTTGTCGGTGGTCTCCGTGCCCTCAACGCAAACTACGACGGCTCATCTTACGGTATCCTCACCAAGCGTCCTGGTCAGCTTACCAACGACTTCTTCGTCAACCTCCTCGACACTCAGACCGAGTGGCAGCAGGGCAAGGACGAGATCTACTTCGGTCAAGACCGCAAGACTGGCGAGAAGAAGTGGCAGGCCACTCGTCACGACCTCATCTTCGGTTCCCACCCCGAGCTTCGTGCCATTGCTGAGGTCTACGCCTCATCGAGCGGTCAGGACAGATTCGTCAAGGACTTTGTCTCTGCTTGGGTCAAGGTTATGGAGTTGGACCGTTTCGACATTGCAAAGGAGCAGAAGCTTCAGGCTCGTCTTTAGATTATGATACACCCCACCATCAAGTAAAATGCTAGCTTATGAATGAATGTAACGTTTCTAATTCTATGCTGTGTCCTTCTTCTCAATCTCGTTGTTATGTATAATGTGCAGATGTTGGGCATGTTGTGTGTTTTTGCGACACTCGCCTTGCCCCGGGTCCTGAGATCCGAGGATACGCAGGCTTTTTGGGTGGCATTAAAAGCTTGAATTGTCATCGCCTCTCGACCCCCACAAAACACGGGGATATCAGATATAACAACTCTTGAGCAAAGGGACATTGAGAATCGGCTTATATGCAGTGTACCGGCCCCTATGATCCTCTGATCGTCGTCGCGAACCTATCATAGTGTATGAGCAGGGTGCCCCTGGGAGCGGCATCGGGATATCTTCGGTGATCTTAGAAGCGGCCCAAATGTTTTCGCCGGTCGAAACCAACCAGCATCACACAACTTTCACCTCAACGAGTCGCTACACTACCAATCTGATGTCTCTCGCGATGTACCCTATGACAATTCTTGTGACGGAACATAGTCGAATTTTTTCTCACAGCACTATAATTGATGAGGGGGAATGAAGTTGTTCAGCTCGTGGCTTGACAGCGGAGATGACCGCGTCAGAGCTTTGCGACCTACTCGAGTATAGACTTTCCTTCTTTCTCTACTGCAGTAGTTCTCATTCACAATCGCTGCTTCTGCTACATTCTGGCGAATCTCAGAGACAAGATCCGGTCATCAACAAACCTCATGCAGTATGATGTGCTCATGTAGTGATGATCATCGAGGCTGCATTGCTTGTGTAGGCGACGCCAAAGAGAAATTCGGGTTCATGGTGTCGCAGCCCTGAAGTCAAGTGTGGCTTACGCTATTGACTACCATCTGAGTAAGTAACAAGGCGCTTCACTACAACTGGAAATACAGCCTGTAAGTTCTGGACCCTTTGCTGAGAGATGGACCATCCTCGACCATTTTGGTGGAGATCGAATGTCCTTTTGTGGCTATTGTTCATTTTTCGCGTGCCCGGGACGACCCTACCTTTCCTCTTTCTTATATCTCTACTGCAGCACTTCGCAGACAGTTGTCCATCATTGCTTTCTTCTTTGTTATTCGTGCGCTTTCCCACTACGGATCATCGTTATCCGGCACTCCTTTCGTCATGAAGCTCGAGTCGATTGCAGTGTTGCTGGCTGCGACGGCGCAGTCTGTCAATGCCCTCTCTACTCTCAGCACACGAGTGGGTGTTGCGACCAGCACCGTCATAGCGACAAGCTTCGAGACTGCGACATCTACCATCACTAGCGTTTCCGAGGTCACTTCTGTAGCTACGACATGCGCTGTTGGAACTACAGCACCAACGCTTCAGCCATACTACTATCTTTCATCCTCCTGTACCGAGAGTGTCTGGTCATCCGCAGGAGGGTACTGGCAGCAGTATTGTTCTGCATCTCTTGTTGGGGGTACCACTATCCGCGCCTACATTTATCCAGGCGGATACAACTTTCCAGTCAGCTTCTGTGCCGGCATGAACAGTCTCAATACCCCCGCATCTAAGTGTGCAGGCGTGAACATGAGAAGGATCGCAGTGAATAGCTGGGGATACTATCTTGTACATGGAGATGTTACTCTCACTTCTGTGACATCAACAAATCTGTTTACTAACAACGCTATCGCGTTATACACAACCAATCCATGCGAGGTCACTGCAACGGCAACCACGACAGACTTTTTATACCGTCGCTGAAACAAATGCCGTTGTCTACACCTCAACATACGAGGTCACCTATGTGGAGACCATCACTGTCTCAATTCCGGACACATCTACATCGAGCTCTTCGACTACGAGCATTTGTTCATCATCATCATCTTCTTCTGCGATTCTGTTGAACACCACAAGCAGTGCTGCTGCCACTACTATTATTTACCCTTCAGCCAACGCTACATCGACGCTGTTCACCGTTTCAGTGTCGAACACGAGCACAAGCTCATACAGTCTATTTACTTCCAACATTTCTTTCAACGCTACGACTCGGACCCTTGTACCCATCGCCATCAATGCCACGACCACAAGCTCGATCGTTCTGTCAACACCTCAGATTTCTCTTAACGTCACGACTCAAACTCTCGTACCCTTCGCCATCAACGCCAGCACCACTGCCTTGCCAACTGCTGTCTTGCCTGTAAGCAACGCCACAATCATCAGCAAGTCGTCGAATTACACAAGTATTCTTCCTTCACTTACATCAACGGCCCTCAACACAACTTCCACTGTCGTATCAGCAGCTTTGAGTACTACTATCAGCGCTCTTGCCTCAAGCTCCACTTCGCCATCACCTTTGTTCATGAACACGACTACCAGCTCCAACATACAAGCCACCACTTCATCTTCTCCAATTCTCCAGAACCCTTCGGGCCCGGCTTCTGTGTCACATTTCACCAGCAGCGCGTCCGTCAATGCTGCTGTGGCCGCTTCGTCGACTTCCTCTAGCACACAGATTATCTCGGCAACCATGACAAGCCATGAGACCCAGGCCCCTGTCACTCTGACAAGATACATCACCGATGTCTATACCGTCACAGCTTGTCCCTCAGAAATCACGAATTGTCCCGCTTCTCAAAAGACGACATTCCTTTCTACCAAGACCATTATTGAATATTCGACCGTACAGCTTGCAGCTCCTACTCAAGGGGTACTAGCCACTGGAGCTCCTGCTCTGGGATCTGGATCTACAGCGAACGACGATATCAGCAACAACAAATACACCACCTCAACATTCTTCAGTACATCCACTCAGACTGTGACGGCCTGTCCTTCAAGTGTCAAGGATTGCCCTGCCTCGGAAAAGACTGTCTATCAGACCGAGATTGTCAAGGCTTACACGACCGTTTGCCCTGTTGCTGTCTCATCAAGCGAGACAGTTTCCCGCCCCACATCCAACGTTGTTCCTGCACCTGGAGTATCGCCAACTAGCAGCGGCATCAGCAATGCCAGATACACCACTTCAACCTTGTACAGCACATCCACCCAGACTGTAACGGCCTGTCCGTCAAGCGTCGAAGATTGTCCTGCTTCGGAGAAGGTTGTCTATCAGACTGAAGTTGTTGAAGCTTACACGACTGTTTGCCCTGTTGCTGCATCATCATCAAGCGAAGCTGGTTTAGGCGCCACCTCAAGAACTGTTTCTCCGTTCGAGACATTGCCTACTAGCATCGCTTCCAGCTCTGTGTCTGTCGAAGATGCTACCTCACACAGTCAATTGGGCTCTGGAGCCGTTTCTGGTACACTGTCAGCTAGCCCAGTCTCCAGCTCCAAGATTATTCCTGGTTCCGACTCCGCTGCTCTTCCAACCGTGAGCCATACCCAGATATACACTGCTGATGAAAAGACAATGACTAGCATCGGCTGCTTCCCTGCGATTTCTGTCGCTTCGTCTGCTTTCTCATCTTCGACTACCACAGAAGCGATAGCCATTGCTCTTAAGAGCAGTAGCTCCAAAACCGTGACGGAAATGAGCTCATCAGAATCGTCAGCGATGCCTGTGCAGTCCCCTGCGGTGGACGTCCTTGGCCTCAACGTTACCGCCGTTGTAAGCCTTAATAAGAACTCACTTACAATTGCTTCATCGACATCGGAGAGCATTGCCACCACTTCGGCTGTCACCTCACCATCTCTTGCGTTGTACACTGGCTCTGCTTCTGCTTCGGAGCCTCATCTAGCGTCTTTGATCCTTATGGCCGTTTTTGCCTCGCTTGGCTTTTCCTCGACTATCTTGTAGATCATGTAGATATGTGTTTTGTTATCAATTGATTGTGGAACCATCAGATTGTAGTGAAGTTCAATACTTCGAAACTAGGGTTTCTTCTCGTATCGCCTTATTGACAGCTTTGGCAAATTCAGACCGCAACATGCTTTCATCCTTCAAGCGATCTCTCAACGCCTTCGGTATCTCAAGCTGCATTCCTGCTTTCCGCTTGCCTCGATTGCAAATGTTGGAAGGCGCCGTCCCAGCCAATGTCTCTCCAGGCTCGCGAACCACAGCTTCAAATCCAGCTTTCAATAGCTCCACCATTGTTTTCCTGCACCTTTGGGTATCTAGACCTCCGATCCAAACCCGAGAAGGGTCATCTCCGTCTCTCCTTCCGTGTATCGCAACTGCCGTTTCGGCGCCTTCGATAAGTTGCAAAGCTCTTGGTTCGTCAAATCGATGCGAGGCAAGATGCAACTCGCGATGACCATGTGTATTCTTCAGACCCTGGAAATCGTACAGCGACAGGTCATCGCCTGCTATCGCTGCCGCTATTTGGGATGATCCTGGTTCGATGTCTCCTCCATGCGGTGCAAGGACCACGATAGCTGACCCCCGGTTTTTGACCTCAATTCTGTAGTCCACGCCTTCGATTTTGGCACTGGCGATTTCTTGAAAGGATTTTCGTCGCGCTCGTGTTGTGTCTGTCATTGTGGCTCTGTATGCGATGAATTTTTGTGGTCGTAATCGCATCTGGAGCGATCAATAAATACGAGTTTGCTAAATGCTCAGTCGGATCATTCCATTAAACATCCCATCGAGCGTGCGCGAAAGAGGTTATGTCGTTTGACGTTTAACATGGATAGGTTTCCTTCATTCGGTGGGCGACGTTGGTTTTGATTCGACCGGCCCCACTTTTGATGAATTTGTCTACCCGAGGCTATCATGTCAAGAATGACATGGTCGATATCTTGTGATCTGACGACCATGCATACGAATTCATGGGTCCCTAGGCACGACTTATCATTCCTACGATCACTGTATGAAAACAAAGGATTGTTTCAGAGTTGTACAGAGGAAGAACGCGAAGTCGAAAAGTATGACACGTGCTTTCGAAATCAGTGACGTCTTGACTTCGTGACGATGGACGATCTCCACATCTCACCATGCACTATGCATCGTCGAGATGTGACTTCTTTCCTAAAGTCGTTTTCATCAAATGAAAGCATTCAGGATGGCAAACAATCTATTGGAACACNCCCTGCTAGGACCCCTACAAGGTGTTGGCCTTACCGAGCGGTTCACCCAATTCCGCTCCATTCCCTATGGCTCCATCAAGCAGCGATTCGCCAGGTCTGAAATGCTGATGGATGTACCAAGAAGGAAGCAACTCACCAATGAGCCCAAGCCGAAAGAAATATACGATGTTACCAAGCAAGGTCCTCAGAGCATACAACCACTCGAATCTGCTCACATGGATGCAAAGTCAAATCAATTGCCCGATGATGTGGAGGAACAAGATCAGGCCGAGAACTGCTTGCGTCTGACCATCACGACACCAAAGGGCACGACATCAGGATCCAACTTGCCGGTTGTCGTGTTCATCCATGGCGGTGCATTCTTCTTGGGTAGTGGTCAGAGGAAGTACTATGACCCTCTCACATTCTGCACTCAAGCATCAGAGATGGGAAAGCCACTAATTTTTGTGTCCATCAACTATCGACTGGGCGGTCTTGGTTTCTTCCACTCTCCTGCTGCAGAAGGTCTCATGCCATCGAACAATGGCCTGCATGACCAAATCACCGCGTTCAAATGGCTATCGCGCAACATCGACGGCTTCGGAGGCGACAGAGACAATATCACTGCTATTGGGCAGTCAGCTGGTGGTGAGAGTTTGAGTCTGCACAATATGAGTGGAAGGCAGTATTCTCTGTACAAACGCTCAATCATGTTCTCTGGCACACCATTAACCATGCCTGACAAGACGCACTCAGAACACCAAGACAACTTTGTCGCTCAAGCCAAGAAACTCGACATTGATACTGAAAACCTCAGCAGCACGCAAATTGCCAAGCAAATGGTCGAATGCGACGTTTCCAAGATCAGAGATCTGGCTTATGTTGGTTCTCCTTGTGTCGATACGGAGATCATCCCCCATAAAGACCATGCAAACCAGCGCAGTATTTCTGGTGGCAAAGTGAATCAAGTCTCTTGGTTGGAGTCACAGATCATCAGTTCCTGCAGTTACGACGGCAGCATTTCCAACATCATGATGCGCGGCGATGACTCTCGCAAAGATCATGCCAAAAGTTTCATCAAGATTGCCAAAGAAGTGCTCAAGAATCCAACGAAACTCTTGCAGATTTACCATATCGAAGAAACCACATCCGACGAAGATGCTCTGGAAAAGATCTGCCAGTTTGAATCTGACATTGGCTTCTTTTCTGCTGCGTTGGCTGTGGCTAGAGGCACGGCTGATAAGACACCGACATATTTTCAACTCTTCGATCTGGGCAATCCTTTCCCGGGTCCGCTTGAGCAGAAAAAATTCGCATCACATACCTGGGACATTGTGGCGTTGCTTGGTGCATATGAGGATAGGTTGCCAGAAGCATATGTGAAGAAAATCAGGGAGTGGCGGGCAAGGTACATTCGTTACATTGTCGATGGCGAAGCACCATGGTCGAGGTTCGAGAAGGAGGGGAAAGAGGCGATGTTTGTGGTGCCTAATCAAGGCGCAAACAAAGAGACAACACTTGCATCTNTTCTGGAAGGCAGGTTGCAGAAGTTGTTGGATTTGGCAGAAGAAGAAGGACCTGATGGAGCTGACACTCTGTGGGAAGGTGTTTGCCGACGTTGGCTGATGAAAGGAGAGTGATGGAGTAGTCAATTGACGATATGCCTTGCTCTGAACCTCGTGTCGAGTCCGTTGAGCAGAATAATTGTTTAACCATACTCAGAACCTTCCAATGCGAAGTGCTGTGTCTTGACTTCAGGGGACACGAGATACCAGCCGACGTGGTGCTTTCAGATGCAGTATGTCTAGTCAGGCCTGGACTTATTGGCTCCCATGTCCTGAACTCAGGACAACGCAAATCGGGCATGAACACATTCAGTCAGCATTCGACCATGTCTTGGGTCCAGTCAATCTCATGGAGAAACAACGGGGAAGTCGGATCACCGGCTCCTGGTGTTCTGACACCAAAACTCCCCACCGTGCTTTACTTTCTTTCTAACAAGAGCGCAGACTCGAGCCTCTGGGCGAATCAAGATTGAAGAATTAGTCCTGCAACCTCGTCATGCATCTACTCGAGTACCCCACAGTTTACCCCAGAGTTCACCCTGGACGGCAATAGCGGCAAGTATGTATGCCAAGCACAAACGTTGTATCGAATCGGCCTAGTACGGAGTCGTCACCGTCATGTCGTCAACGGCGTCACTCGAAGAGACAGATGGATATTTGGTGCTCTTGGTCCTGTCTCTCTTTCATCAACCACAGGCCTCAGTTTAACATACCTAACATCATCTCACACCCAATAATCACTCAGAATATCAACATGGGCAAAACACTCGGAGGCAATTGGGGCTGACCATGACGAGTTCGATGTTCTGTATGAAAACCTAAAGAATGCGACCGACGATGCGGCAAAGGTCCGCTGGAGAAACCAGCTCACTTGGACTGTTGCCCGCCATGCTATCAGTGAAGAACTGACATGGTACCCTGCTATGGAGAAGCATCTGGGAGAAGAGGGTGTTCGTCTGTCCAAGACTGACAAGGAGCAACATCAAGGTGTACGTTCTCACTGCAGTATCTGGGTGTGCCGGTCAAAGCTGATAATGTTGGATCAGGTCAAGGACTACCTCTACAAGGTGCAGGACATGACACCAGTCGATCCGCAGTTCATGCCCCTGCTGGACACATTGATGGATCTTCTTCACCACCACATTGAGCACGAGAAGGAAGAAGATATGCCTCGCCTCGAAGGCTTGCTGTCCCGTGAGGAAAGCGAGCAGTTGGCAGTGAGCTTCGAACGCACCAAGAAGATTGTACCGACAAAGAGTCACCCGGGTGCACCGACAAGTTATTACTTGGAACTGCTAACAGGATTGATGGCGGCGCCTGTAGATAAGTTTATGGATTATCTGACCAAGGATTTCCCAGATGAGCAAGACAAGCGGGAGGCGCAATCGGCGAGGGATAGCAAGATTTAGGCAATGAAATCTGAATCGTGGATCCTGCGGCGACAGTGAACACTCAAGCACACAGCCTCTCGACTTCTAGACTAGCCAGTACGAAAGCACTCGTTCCAATCAAACTGTTATTCACCGTCGGTCTGGAGAAGTANGCACTGCAAAAACATTCGTTAGCAAATACATTATGCTCTGGGTCGCGTCTTGGATGCGTCTTTACCTGAGCGTTCACATTCTGCACACTCAGAGTCGCTATCGAACTGGTACCACCAAGGTTCAGAGTTCCATTTGGGGTCCTTGTGACTTGTGTGCGGAGAATATTCTCCCATAGTCCCAGACCTGCTCTGATGGCTCTGTTACGCAGGTGCGCAGATGTGATGAGTTCCAGGCGAACAGATTTGAGAAGAGAGTAGGCTGTCATCAGACTTGCGCTTGTCTCGATGAAATTTTGCGTGTTCTCAATGGATGCGCCCGGTAGATCGACGACTTGCCAGGCGCCATAGTTGCCATTGATTGCCGTCGCACGTTCGAGAGCGACGATCTGCGCCCTGATCAGGGACTCGAAGAGGAGCCGCATGTCGGTGTATGCGATCCTGTCGGCCAATGTGTTGAAAACTTGAGGCATTGATTGCAGTGTATCGAGGGCTTCAACTACACCAAGGGTATACCATGCCAATGAGCGACCCCATACAGACGGACTAGCACCGGTCTCTGGATTCGCCCAGGCATGTGCTTTTAAGGCATCGTATCCATGTACAAGGAGACTGGTTCCATCGTTGCAGATGGCTTCCAGAATCTCGAGTTGTTTCAGGACGGCAGCAGGACCGAAGACGTCTGATTGTTGGGTTCCATTTCCTGCACTCAGGATAGCGAAAGTCGGGTATGAGTACATGCCATCGGCATATGACAGGTTTTGATATGCAGTCAGGTTCTTGGGGTTGTTGTAGTACCAAAGTCCTCCATCGGCATTTCGTGGTTGTTGGTGCAACGAATCCTTGAGTGTTCTGATGGCGGTCTCGAGGTTTTCTCCACTCATCTCCTGCGACTGACGGATCATTTCCGTACCAATGGAAAAGCGATCAAGGGGCAATTGCGCAGAAGAGTTGGCATTGGTGAACAATGGAACCGCACTGGCGGTGCTGTTGTGCAAGTAGGCTGTCCATTCTTGCTTGTTCGTCGTGTCGTTGGTTGCTGCGATAGCCTGTCGCAGAGCTTGGTAGAAGATGCCGAGTTCGATGAGTCCAGTACCTGAGGAACTCGCTGCCGCACCTTGGCTTCTTACAATATTGCTCATAATCATCTGTGATGCTTGTCCCTGGATGTTCTGTGGACATTGCAGGGTTTGAGCAGTCGCGAGGCCTGCTGTCGCCAGCGAAAGGTATAGCAAAGTCGCTGAATATTGAAACTTCATATTGATTAGATGATGTATGGTATGCTGAGATGTTGGGTGTTGTATGAAGAATGTGGTGAACTCGTTGTGGGCTGTCGCCGCTGATCATTCTGGTTTTTCGCTGCAGATCGTTGTGGTTTCTTGCCACAGATCTTTATGGGTTGTCGCTGCAGATCGTCGCAGTTTCTCGCTGCAGATTGTCATAGTTTCTCGCTATAGATCGTCGTAGTTTCTCGCTATGGATTATTATGGTTTCTTGCTATAGATTATTATGGTTTCTTACTATAGATTATTATAGTCTCTTACTATAGCCTATTAGTTTTAAAAAGACTATAGACCTTATTATTAGATACTTAGCCTAAGAAACCCCTATAAATAGATATAGCTACCTCTCTTTATAATAATAACATTATTATATAGTCTCTCTATAGCTCTAATACCTAGAACGTTAGTACTATAGCTATTAAAAGGCTATACGATACTTATTTATAGTATATAAATATTAAAAATAATAATTAACTTTTTACTTTTATACTCTCTACTAGACTAACTATTAGACTAACTACTAGACTAACTACTAGACTAACTACTAGACTAACTACTAGACTAACTACTAGACTAACTACTAGACTAACTACTAGACTAACTACTAGACTAACTACTAGACTAACTACTAGACTAACTATTAGTATATTACTATACCTCGCTTTATACTAATAACTTACTAACTATTTAAGTATATTCTATATTAATACTAATATACCTTACTTATTATATCTATTACCTACCTATAATTAATTAATTAATCAATTAATTTAATTAATTAGGCTACTTAGTTCTACGGCAAACCTATTAGCCGTCTCCTACTAGTTTTACCTTTTATGTCCCTATCTATCCTTATTCTATTCTAGCTTCCCCTTACTCGATAGCTCTCGTCTACTACGTAAACCTATCGGACTTATAAAGAAAATGGAGGACCGCCTTTACCGCCGGGAGGTTCGCTTTCTATTTTTCCCTTCGGCCCGTCGATTAGTCGCCTAGTTCTCGGGTCTTCCTAGGGATTCTAGCCCCCGAGTATATAAGAAAGGTCCCTCTACCTATGCCCTACTACCTCGATAGTAATTTAACGATCTTCGCGTAGGAGGGGGCATTCGTATATAACGTGCTTAACACTTTCTCGCCTAGCTCCGTATGCGTACCTTACTAAGTCTACTAGTTTTATCCGGCATAGGTTACTCTTTAGTTAGGAGTACCCTATCCGGCATTAGGCGAGTATCGACGCCTCCTCCGTAGATAATGCATTATATACTATCGCTATATAGAAGCCTAGAAGGGCTCCGTCTAGCTTCTACGTATATAGTCTAGTATATAGCGTATCTTAAGGCCTTATATTCCTAGCCTATTTCTAGGTCTCGTCTAGCTTCTTTTAAAGTGTCTTCTTAGCTACTCTTAAGACTATCTTCTTCGTAACTCCTATATAGCGTTATTAGTATATTCTCGACTTTACTATACTACTACTAGAAGATAACCGGTTCGAGTCGAGACGCTTAAAACCCTATATAAAATTAGGGTTTAGGGTTCTATCTTTAACTCGAGACGTTTACTTTCTAAGAGTCGAGACTTTTACTTTAATAAGCTTAGAATTAGCTAAAATTGAAATGTTTTACTCTCTAAATATCGATATACTTACTTAGAAAGATTAGTCTATCTATAACTAAGAATAGTAAAGTTATCCTATAGTAACAATTATACGAAAGACGTACCTTATAATAGATCTAGGAGCTTCCTTACACTTAACCTATATAGCTAGCTATACGACGTGTTAACAAACATTTATAATATAAAGCGTATCTATAGTTTATTAATTAGTAGTATACCTATCTATTAATAATAGTAATAACGATATTATAACTACGATCTTTTAGTTTATTTATCTATTCTAGCTATAGATTTTAACTATCTCCTCTAAATTAACGCTACTTATAAGATTCTTATATATATACTATGCTAGTACGTAATAGTACCTTCGTAGCTAACGATATATCTACGGACATACTATAAGCGTCTTACTATAAAGTAACATTACGACTTTATTACTAGGATTAGGAGCTACCCTAATCTAGCGAATGTTCATGAAGCTATTATCTATCCGATAGTAATAGATCCTCTAGTCCTATCTCTTCTAGTATATTTTAACGGGCTAAGATGTAATGTAGCAGACTATTAGAACACCGCTTATAGCTACGTATGTCATGACCTACGTCGAATATAGAAACACTACTAAGATAAATATAGATAGAAAAATAAGTAAAAATAAGGAGGGGACATACGTAGTAAAAGCCTCTATTTACCGAATAAGATCTAGACTATAAACTATGCCTACTAACGTTTCTTTAAGGTTAATAGCTAGTAGAAGTACTTCGAAGTAGTAAAATAGAGTAAAGTCCTAAACCTAGAGCTATAAGCATATTAGAAATAGGACTTTTCTAGGCTATAGAGGACGATATCTAGTAAGTATAGTAGGACGCTACCGACGACGCTAATCGAGTATATAGCTTTTAGGATTACGTTTCTACTATAGTTCCGTAGTTAAGAGAGATAGGTATTACTAAACATATATAGCATCTCTAGAAGGATGAAATTCGAATAGGAATTACTATTCTACTACTAGGAGATAAGAGTGATCTTTATACGATAATCGACGCGATGCAATCACTACTGCAAGATGCGCACAGGCTATGTTTTGACGGACCTAGCTGTATGTTGACCTACCAGTGTCGGGTCGTTCTTGGTCGCTTCCAATCGTCACAAGTCGATCTACAGGGCAAAACCAGACCGTTCGATCCATATAAAGGGCCTAAGAGCCTTGAGACATACTTTGGAACAGCATCTCGATTTGTGTCCTACTTTGCTAGAGTTGTTGCTTCTAATCGATACCACTTTAGCGTAGCAGCCGAAGACAGCAACGACATGCAAAGACCGGAAGACATCATTAAGGCAACAGACGAGCAGTTAGCAGTGTGGCAAGACGTATGCCAGCTTGCTCAGCAGAGTCGAACAGATTCTATCGAAGGAGACGAATGTACTAGCGACAAGGCCAATGGGGCAAAGCTAAAGGATCGACTTTTAGAGCTATGGATGCTTACCATCTGTCACACAACAGGCGCTCGTCGATATGAGTCGCCGTTGTTAAGCTTCTGTGCTATGCTAAGCATCAAGCCGTCGACACTAGGCTGGATAGAGCCTGGCAATCTTAATAGCAGTCTTTCGGCTATCATATGGGTTGTGCAGCTGCTGGTCTTTTACGACAGCGCCTTAAAAGAGCAGCAAGGCCATGGAAAGACGCTAAAGCTCGTAAAAGACTACTGCAACGAGTACCTACAACAGACTGTCGAGACACCGATGGGAGAGATCCTTAGATGGCGTTTGTTGCTGTTCAAAGTGTCAGGTGCTTGCGTTAGCACTCATGAAGCCTCTTGGGACGAGAGCGAGGAGGTTTTGACGTACGAGGACACGGAGCTACGCATGGATCAGATCCCATCTTTGCTTATATCCGAGTACCAGGGATGCTGTCGGCTTCTCTACGACGATCTAATGCTAGGCCTTAGCGGTCTTCGGCGAATAAACCCTCGGTTTCTTAGGGATGGTGTTAACGTCGATACCATCCGTTGGAACTTTACTCAGCATAGAGACAACAGAACAACCCTCGATGGCACGGAACGTGCTTTAACAAAAGCTATCGAACAATCTGAACAGCTATGCCGAATCTTCCTAGTTAAGGACAGCAAGTCGTCTAGCGGATGGGCGTGGAGGGAGAGCGCGATAGCTAGCTACGAAGCTACGGTGCAAGAGTTTCTAAAGCGGCTATGCGTCCTTATGCACGTCAGTGGTGGTCAGCCCGTCCGTGAGAGCGAGTTCTTCTCGATGACATATCGCAATACACAGCGCCGACGTTCGATCATCATTCGCTTTGACCGTGTAATGGTCCATGTTCAATACCACAAAGGCCAGCAGCAAACTGGAAACTACAAGGACAATGTTCGCTTTCTTGCAAACCCTGTTGCAGAGCTGTTGCTTGACTATATAGTCTATGTGCTACCACTACGGGAGAGGTTTCTACGGCAGACATCGCCTGGATCGTTGCTTTCCCCGTATCTTTGGGAAAGGGAGGGAAAGGTATGGCCGGAAGGTCGTCTAAGCCGCTGCTTAGAAGAAGCGAGTGCTCGGGCATGTATACCACGCCTTCATGTTGCCAATTGGAGGCAGATCTCAGTGGCCATCGTTAAGACAAAGTTTGCTAGCCAGATCGAATGCTTTGATCACGACGAAGCCAACGAAGATGCAGAGGAAATGGATGTAGCCATCCGAAGCATGACAGAACAGCGCAACCACAAGACACGGACAGTAAATCGAGCATACGCCAACCAGACAGGAGCAGTCTTTAGTAACCTGTGGGATGGAAAGATACGCATGGGTCTCCAGGCTTCGACGCTATGGCAAGACTTTTAGGGCGTGGAGATGATCCTAAAACAAAAGAAGCGCGGAAGGGTCGAGCAAGAGGCTGGCTTTATAAAACGAGTTGCTATGGGCATCTACCATCCTCGGAAGCCTTGGTCGACCGAAGCTCTTCTAGGAGGCGTAAAGAAGCTGTACGGAAACAAGGATGTAGGCTGGAAATCCGCCGAGCAGGAGCAAGCCCTTACAAAGATCATGTGCCGGACCGAGCAGGTCGTCGCCGTCCCTTCCTACAGGAGCTGGAAAGAGCCTACTTTTCATGCTACCATGTACTCTTCCGGATGCTAGGACAACGATACTTATCGTGCCGCTCGTTGCACTTCACGTAGACATGCTTCGACGTGTGCAGCAGATGAAGATAGACCACCTTGAGCGGCGGCCAGGCGAGAGTCGAGAGGCAGCACTAGTACTAGTTAGCGCCGAGGCTGTTTCGTCCAAGGACTTTATGAAGTATGCTCGCCGGCTAGTAGCAGAGCAGAAGCTCGATCGGATCGTAATCGACGAATGCCACCTAACCGTAACCGCGGCCAAGTATCGACCTAGCATCATCGAGCTTACAACAATCCGAAGCCTACGAACTCAGTTTGTCTACCTGACGGCTACCCTGCCACCGTCTATACAAGCAGAGTTCGAAGAGAGAAACTATCTGCATTACCCAACAGTAATCAGAGCGTCTAGCAATCGGCCAAACATCTTCTACATGGTACGTAAAGCCGACGCCAACAGAGGAAACCTTCTTAAGCAAGCCGCGATTGAAGCCAAAGAAGCATGGACAGAGTCGGATCTCTTTGACCATACTTGCGATAAGATCATCTTATATGTTCGGACATGTAAGGATGCAGATGATCTTGCAGAGTTGCTTGATTGTAATGCATACACGGCAGAGAGTGGAACGCCAGCGGAAAAAAGGATATACTCGATCGATGGATCCAAAGTGTAGACACGCCTTATATCGTTGCTACTACTGCACTTGCCGAAGGGTTTGACTATCCACACGTCCGACTTGTAATAAACGTAGACGAGCCGGACTCGTTGATCATCTTTGCCCAAGAGTCAGGGCGAGCTGGGCGGGACGGAAAGCGAGCTTATTCGATGGTGCTGCTTCCACTAACTTGGCAAGCTAAAGTTACAAAACATCACGTGGACCTACGGGCTATAAGCAACCACAAACAGGACCGATCGCTTCGAAAGCAAAAGGACAAGCAGGCGGTACAGCGGTATCTGCAAAGCAAACAATGCTACCGGACCTAACTATTAGGAACCATACCTTCCATCGGAAGGTATGCTAAATTAGGTATAGCGGGGAGGCTTGGCTGCCGAAACAGGAAATCTTTAGGACGGAAGGCATGACGGAAGGTACATTTTGTAACTCACACAGATCTTGCTGAATATTCATGAGACAATGGTAAGTCACTAGGCTTTACATGCGAAAACAATCGCACCATTTAGAATTCTCATGTAAGTACTTGTTGGCAGGATATCGTCGTCGAAACATGGTGGTCGAGGATTTCGAAGTTTGCCAAGGCTTGCGGCCACGACCCGCAGCAAACCAGGTCACCCCAACACCAATAACAGACGACAGTATTGAATAAGGAATGAGCTGCATTTTGATGCTATATACTTATTTCTTCATTATCTTCATCTGAAGAATCATGAACCACCCGGAGTAACCGGTTAGATGCGCGCTTGTAAGAAGAATGCTGACCAGTCGATTTGTCTTGGGGTTGGCTGGCAATGACTTTCCGCTCGCCGAATTTGTGCTGTCTAACTTCTTCGAGGCCAGCGACAGCAGGAACAAGGTCTGCTTTCAAACATGCCAATGCCCGCAAAGCAAAGCCACGACAAGAGTCGCAACAGTTGCGAACCAGGTGACTAGACGAGTTGCCATGCTTCTCAAAGTACTCATAGATTTCTGTAAATTTGGCAAACAACCGTGCAAACTCAGGCCCATCGCAGGCTGCCGCATTGGAGTTCGTTTGCCACGAGCGCGGTGCTTCATGATCTAGACTGCTCAATGGTATGTCATCCAGAAGCTGGGATAGCCCGGCAGCAGGAGAGCCACGAGGCGGTGTGACAGGCTCTATAATGCGATGTCCACGAACTTTTTCATGCGATGATTACCAGTCTGATGGGTTACCAAGGGTTCAGCACCAGAATCATCAGACTTACCAGACTCACCATCAGACTCAACAACAATAGCTTCGCTGTTTTTGCCATGTTGCTTCTGTCTTTTGGGATCCGGTTCTCTACCAGTAGTAGTCCCATGTTGTGCCACAAGCTTTCTCTTATTCAAGACAGCCAGTGTGGATTTTGGAACTGCTGGAACCAGTGGCTTCATCTCGAGTCGATCTTGTTTGATGCCGGTTGCATAGGCATTTACGCTCTCATTATAGGACTTGGAAATCATTAAGTACCAATTTCGAGGTTTTTTCTGACGCGTGCCAGGCTTACGCAGGGTGGGGTCGATTCTTTTGTCAATCGCAGCTTGCCAGCCGGCAATAGCTTCTGCAATGTCTGGCACATTGGCGCAGGTAATGGCAATATAGGTCGTTATCCGTTTCGAGAGATTTTCACCAACTCAACAGGTCGTATAGATACCGGTATCTGGTCATACCAATCTTCGCCCCAGTGCTCTGCAATCCATTCAAGATGTGTTTTCTTAGTCCACTGTGCTGACGAACCAACAACGACCATAAGCCGGACGATATCGCCATTACCAACGTTGGCCAAAAGGCTTTCTCACTACGCATGCTAGGATCGGGATGGGTGTTCCACAGGCTGTTAATCTGCACCCATCGCCACACGTACGCCGCATCAACACTAGCATTTTCGGCTACATCGGCAGAAGCAGACAAAATCTCGCTTGCAGCTTGTATGGGGGAGACGTTTCCACCAGGATTGTTGAGATAATCCCACAGTGATATGTTCGCATTGTCTTGCAATCTCCGTGCACGCAGCTCTGTCTCGACTTCGTTAGGAGACATCATTTGGAGCCGGGCATTCACATCTCCCGCTTCCGCTCGGCTGTAAAGCGATTGACCGGACCGCTTCTGTTGTTGCGATACAGTCAATGGGTTCGAACTAAGCATCATCTCGAGACTTGCAGGCGGCGAAACGTTCTCAGTAGCAGCAGCAGGAATCAGAGGTTGCGAATGCTGCAGATGCAGTTGTGGCTGAGGCTGGGGCGGGGGTGGAGGCTGGGCGACAGCGTCATCACCAATAGACTTAGCTGACGCATTCGAAGTGCCAGGGTCGAAGCGATATAGCGTATGAGCACGGACGTGTTTGATGCGCGCCATTGCTAAAACGCGTAGTGAACAGCAGTGGAGAGAGCGAGAGAGACAAAGAACAAGAGGGGAGCGGGGAAACAAGGGTAGGTTTGACCAGAGCGATCAGTCGGATGAGCAAGATAAGGGTATGCGATGTGGAAGGAGGGACGGAGTGATTAGAGGAAAGGGCAAGAGATAAGGGGGTTCAGCGCAGAAGCTACGTGGCTTGGACCCGACAAGGATTCATATCCGGAAGCGGGGGAAAATCCCGCACTTGGCTGATACAACACCATCCCATTAGGCCAAGACATGCATAAAGCTAAGGTAAGTAGATATATTACAAGCAGAAAGCAAGAAAAAAAGTCAACCAGGATCACGCGTAATAGACGCGTTAGAGTTCCGAGGTTGCATGATGTGTCTCTCGCTACTTGCTTGAGGTGTAGGGTAGAGGGCATACACCCACCGTGCCAGGAATCCCAGACTCTTCACTTCTCTTTACTCGTTTATTTTGGATATTCCCATAGCCCGTAACTCAGCAGTTAGCAAGATAAATCCGACAACCGCTAACAATGGAGTGTGTATTCAGAGTCTCAAACAACACTTTCACCGACCCCCAAACCCCAGCCAGTCCCACCGCGTTAGTACACTGGAACAACGCGTCTGAAGACGAGCAACGCGTTCAAGAAGCAATCTCAACTTTTGTCTATCTGCCAGGGTACAAAGCACTTATCTGCAAAGTGCACGGGTACGCAATCAATGCCGTCGAAGGTCATCTCGAAAGCTCCCACCAGGACGTCAGGGGCAAGACCAAGAAGGCCGTCGTGCAACACTTTGTCGGTTACAATATCACAAAGGCAGATCGTATCGAACCCCCCGAAGCCGACCAACCAGCGATCGAATGGCTTAAGGCACCCGTTCTCGGCTACAGCTGCGAATTCGAGATGCGGCAGGATAGCATCGGTCACGATCCCGAGACAGCAGCTGAGCACAGGGTCTGTGGTCACATTTCCAGCAACGACAAGAAGATTGCAGAGCATTGTCGCGATGTCCACGGCTGGAGGTGGAAGCCCGAAGACCGAACGTGCTGGAAAGAGGTATACGTTCAGTGCTTCTCAGGCGTCGGCGGACGGCAGAAATGGTTCATCGTCAAGACACCGGACGAGGCCGAGAGAGAGGCAGCAAGCATAAGACAGTCGCTCCCGCGAGCCAAGCAGATCCAGTTCGACGGCATCAGAGACGACTTCCAGAAGTTGAAAGAGCAGTGGCAGAAAGAGCAGGAGATACTGGCAGACAAGGTAGAGAAATGCGAGAACACCGGATGGTGGAACAAGACGAGATGGAGAGAGCATCTCAAGAGGTGCAATCTCATCCATCTCTCGCACGCCAGTCGGCTGCCCGAGAAGGATGAAGAAGAGTTGCTCAAGGTAGCTGCGGTGATCGAGAAGATGGTCGAGAGGGGTGTCTCAGGACTGAGCTCGATGCCGGAAGGCTTGCGTCGTTGGCTTCGAAGTGCAGAAATGCACAAGCCAGACGTGAGACCACTGGCCCGATTGCAGAATCCAGAGAGTCAAGAACGGTACGTCGGGTACTGGAAGCGAATGATTTGTTACTGTCTACGAGTATGGTGCACTCGCAATGAAGCCACAGACAGCGAGTCAAGTGGCGATAGCAGCAACAATGACGATACCGGAAGCGACAGCGATGAGGCAAACAGTGTGCACGATGCCAACACCAACACCGATCCCGATGATGGCCGCGACGACGACGACGACGCCGACGACAACTCCGACACAGATCTACAACACGATCGAGGCAGACGGCAAGCACAAGATCACATGCACGATGCTCGGAGGCTCTTCCCATGGAACGATCAACTCGAAAGAGCATTAGAGGAGGTGTGGAGATTGATCGTTCTCGAGGGAGACACATCATCCGTAGAAGACGATCAAATCCCAGCGACGGTAGAGCTCAGTCGGGTGTTGTTGTTCNAAAAGGTGTGGAACGACCGCTTCGACAGCGCTCTAATCCACTTCATGGCTGTAATGGGCATCGACGAGACCAACGCTCGGCTACGCGATGGCAACGACTACTCTTACATGATCGCCGGACTGGTGTACGTGTCCAGGATCGTGGCCGCCGAAGCTCTGCTCCCATCACTCGACCGCGAAAACCAAGGAGAGGCCGACTTCGAGGCATTTCTCGAGCAGAGAAAGGAGTTTCTGGCCGATGGGTCGATGAGCGTGATGGGAGAGATGTTGAGCTTGCTAGCGTACGGAAAGAAGATCGCAAAGAACTTCCACGCCCAAGGAAAGCTACACTGGACTCACGACGGAGCCGGCGTCGCTCTCGGCAGCATCGAGTTCACGGTGTACAACTTCAAGTCCATGGCACGCTCCGCTCTAGACGACTGCGAGGACTACATGTGGAGAGATCTCATGTGGGCAGGCCGCAAGGCAGATCACTTCGTGTTAGATCTCGATGGCATCACCGACGACATGACGGTCAAGAAGCGAGGCTGGTACTTCGGCGCCGATCCGAACCAGGATCTCGAAGCACAAGGTCTCGACTGGATGTTGAAGAGGATGCTAGGCTCGAACCACGGGAAGAAGATGCGCAGAGGTGACCAGTGGCAGTCGAGACTAGTGGCCAACTATCTCCGGAGGGTGGACAAGTTCAGGGAGCTGTTCTTGTTCTGCGTGCACGTCTCGAGCGGCCAACCCGCCAGAGGAACCGAGATCACCAGTCTGCGCTTCCGCAACGGAGTGGCCAACCACCGCAACGTCTTCGTCTTGGACGGCAGAGTGATGACGGTGACGAGCTACCACAAGTCACAAGCAATGCTCGACATGCCCAAGATGGTACCACGCTTCTTGCCGTGGAGACTAGGTCAGATCGCGGTCATCTATCTCACCCACGTGCGGGCGTTCGCCGAGTTGCTGTCGGTGCAGGTACAGTACGGTCAAGGATGGAGTGACTATATCTGGGCGGACTCGCACGGCCCGTGGGAGACGCAGAAGCTCACCGACACGATGAAACGAGAGACGGCCAAGCGACTGAAGGCCAAGCTACACACTCAGAGCTACAGACACGCCGCCGTCTTTCTAGGCAGGAGGTTCGTTGGACCAAGGTTCGCTAGAGGCTACCGAGAGGAAGCCGAAGATCCGGAAGAAGCCCAGGCGGGTGATATGGATGACGATCTCGAGGAGGGCAACGCGATCGAGCTGCAGAAAGCCGGCGGGTTCGGCACCGGAGCCGGCAGATACGCGGTCAGAGCGGACATCTTGAAGTATCTCAACCAAGAGTCGATCGACATCTTCGGCGATCTCAGCGAAAGCTGGCACAGGTTTCTCGAGCTCGACCACAGAGATCCGAAGAGGAAAAGAAAGGCCGAGAGCGGCAACAAAGACGATGGGATGCAAATCGTCGACTTCGAAGGATTGCAGAAAGAGAGATTGATCAAGAGACTGCCCACGGCAAAGGGAGGAGCTATTGCTGTTGCCGCCACTCCGACGGTGGATCTCTCACCGTTCTTGCAACAATCCGAAAGACAGCAGAAGGAGATCGAAGACTTGCGGATGAAGCTCAAGGCGCAAGAATCCGAACTCACGAGACTCCGAGAAGAGGAGCTGCAGCAGCAGCAAGGACGACAGCAGCCCATGACCCCCATCGTTGGCTTAGGCATCTACTCGAACAACGGACTGCCGACCCCGATGACAGAGGGGAACAGGCACGACTCTCACCACGATGATGCCAACGACAAGAACGACAGCAACGATGTCATCTACATCGATGATGATGATAACAATAATGACAACCACGACGAATCCAGGTACTCTCCAAGGTGCAGCGGCAGGAACTACCAACAACAGTATCTGCAGCAGCACGTAGATGACAGTCCGATCATCGAACGAAGCCGAAGAAGGCGGGAGAGGCTGCAACGCTACAGAAGACCGACGGCACAGGAAAAGGAGAGGGCTATACGCAAAGCACTCAAGCAACCCATGGACGACGACGCGGTGACGATCAGATACAGATCGAAAGCACAAGGAGAAGCGCTCGGGAGAATCATGGACGGTGGCTTCAACGTTCTCACCGTCGTTCTGCCGACAGCCGGAGGCAAGACTCTACTCTTTACCGCACCCGCTTGTCTGGAAGAAGACGTCGGGGTGACCATCGTGGTGGTCCCATTCCGCAAGCTCATCGACGAGACGGTCCGAGAAGCACAGAAGACGGTGGGTGACTGTGAAGAGTGGAGCCACAGCACCGTCGATCCAGCAGCTCTCGTGGTCGTCAGCGTGGACAAGATGCACGATCACTTCTGGTCGTACGCACGCCAGATGGCGGAACAGGGCCGACTGAGACGAGTGGTGGTGGACGAGTGTCACTTGCTAGTGACTTCCCACAGCTGGAGACCGCATCTCGTCGAGCTAGAGAAGCTTAAGTCACTAGGAGTACCGATGGTGATGCTGACGGCCACACTCCCAAGGTACATGGAGGTCGAGCTACGACGAAGTCTAGGTGTCGGCATCGGCATGATGTCGCTGATACGAGCATGCACGGTGCGAGAAAACATCACTTACACCGTCAGACAGGACATCAGCAAAGGCAAGCTAGTCGAAGAGACGGCCAGAGTATGCGAAGAGGTCGCCGACGAGCTGCGCAGCACCAGAAAAGAGAAGGCCGTCGTCTACTGCAGAAGCAAGAAAGACTGCGAGGAGATGGCGGACAAGCTAGGCTGCGGCTTCTTCTACGCCGGACATGTCGACGGCGAGGAAACGCTAGAGCAGTGGAAGGCAAACGGTGGCTTCATCGTGTCGACCACGGCTCTCAGCACCGGACTCAACTACGAGGCTGTAAAGGCGGTCATCCACTCGGGACTGCCATACGGACTGATCGAGTTCGCCCAAGCATCGGGCAGAGCGGGTAGAGATCCCAACGAGAGGGTGGACTCGATCGTACTGCTAGAGCAAGGGTGGGAGGAAGAAGAACAACGGACGCGTGAGCGTCACAACGAGGCACTCGGACCGGACGGAGCAGCGATGATCGAGTACATCAAGACAGAGGGTTGTCGAAGGCCGGTGCTAGGAAGGTATTTCGATCCGGCAGACACGATCAAGGAGTGTCACGACAGCAGCGGCGACAGCGACGACAGCGAGACCGACAGCGACGAGCAGCAGCAGCAGCAGCAGCATCACGCCCCCCGCAAGGCTCCGTGCGACAGGTGCGGAGGTGGAATGATAGCTGCAGGCACAGAGCTAGTCAGACAGTCCGAGCTCGAAAAGGAGATGGTCGAAGAGGCTCTAGACGAGATGAAACTCGGCTGTCCGATATGTTGGATGAAGTCGGAAGCGAAAGACTCACATCTCGAGCACGGTGGCCAGGAATGTGAGAGTCGAGAGCTGACGGTGACAGACGAAGCCGACGAAACGACAATCACCGACGCTGACACGTTCCGGAAACAGATCAAGTATGCGAAAGCGAGCAAGGCTTGCAGGAAGTGTGGAATCAACCAGAGGATGTGCAACACAAGGGAAGCCGCCAGACGAAAATGCCAGTGGCCCGGCATAGCAGTACCGGTGTTGATGACAGCAGTTCGAGATCCGATCGGGAGAAACATCATTCGAAAAGCCGGCTTCGAACCAAAGCGAGTGGTAGAGGAGGAAAAGGAAGGGTGGAAGGCTTACGCGTTGTGGTGCGGACAGGCTAGGGACAGGAGGATATGGGGAGAGATGATGAGCAATTCGATATGGGTGGTGAAGGAATTTCTGGTGTACAAGAGTGGAGAGAGGATGAGGCAGTTCGATGATGATGGGAAAGACAAGCAGGCCGACGACACAGACTCTTTCGTGGACATGGACATAGATGATGACGACTTCATTCTAGTGGATTCTGGGATCACGGAGACCACTACAGCAGGAGTAGCAGCGGCGACACAAGCAGACCGACCACAAGACCGACAAGAGGAAGAAGTAGAACAGCAACAGCAACAGCAACAGCAACAGCAACAACGACAGGAAGATGACAGCTTGGATGCCCGCAATACCGCTGTGGAGAGACTGGAACAAAGCGGAAAGATCCCCAGGGTATCGAACCGTCCATTGTGCTTAGAGGTCAGCAGCAAAGAAGCGTTCGAAGCAAAGCTATCGATGTACAGAGGATGTTGCACGGTGTGCACAGCGCGATCGGGCAAGACGGAGCGCGGGCACACGTCATGGAGGGCTTGTCCGTTGGTGGAGAAGCTAGACTTGAGGGAGAAGATGGAAGGGATGGAGAAACGACTGGCCGGAATGCGAATGGAACAGACATCCGGGTGCAAAAAGTGCTGGAGACCGTGCATGCTGTGTGAGCAGTACAGAAAGAGGCCGGGAGCACAAGGAGGCTTGACGGAGAACAGATACATCAAGTGGGACAAGATACAGGGAGCGTGGTGTGGAGAAAGTGGAGAGTTCAAAGGAGATCAGCGAGTGAAAGATGATCTTCAAGGCATAGTTTTGGGATTGTTGTTCAGTTGGAGGGATGAGGTATGGGATTGGGCGGTTGAAGATGGAGGGTTGGTAGAGGACATCGGAAGCGACAACATGACGGTGATAGTGGAATGGTTGGCAAGTAAGAGCAAGGTGGGGTTAAGGATCAGAGAAGGGTGGGTACAGAGTAGCAAATTATGTGAGCTGGTTTGGGCTTGGGGGTGAGGTGAGATTGGCCAAGTAGTGAAGTAGTGAAGTAGTGAAGTAGAGGCAAAGTGGTCGACACAATGGAAAAGCTCAAGGTTCCCAAGTCCATCTACCCGTCTACCCGTCTCTAGGCGTTCTAAAAGCAAAGGGGCAAGAGTCAACAGAAGGGGGAAGATATAATAGGAAAGAAGCTAGTCAACCCTGCAAGTGTCCCGAGAGGAGAAGAAGGAAATGTCCCAACCCTGCAAGTGTCCCGAGAGAAGAAAGATCCCACCCAACCCGTAGGGTGTCGCAAGGAAAAGGAAAAGAGGAAAGTAAAGTAATAAGAAGAAGCCCGGCCAATCCATAGGGTGTCCCAAGGAAAAGGAAAAGAGGAGAGTAAAAGAATGATAGGAGACCCAGCCAACCCGTAGGGTGTGCCGAGGAAAGAGAAGCGAAAGAACAAAATAAGAAAGAGGCCCGCCCAACCCGTAGGGTGTCCCGAAAGGAACGAAAAAGAGGGTGAAAGAAGAAAGGAGACCCGGCCAACCCGTAGGGTGTCCCAGGAGAAGAGGAGAAAGGAGAAGAAGAACAAGACAAGATGCGTAGCGGCCGTAGGGTGTCCCAAAAGAGGGAGAAGCGTGCATTAGGGTATGAGGAGTACAGATTAGAAGCCGACATTAGGGTATGAGGAGTACAGATTAGAAGCCGACATTAGGGTATGAGGAGTACAGATTAGCACCCGACATTAGGGTATGAGGAGTACAGATTAGAACCCCCAGTGAAACCCGGTAACCGCTTAAACGCTTAAGCGCTAGGGCAATAGGGTTAGGGTTAGGGTTAGGGTTAGGGTTAGGGTTAGGGTTAGGGTTAGGTTAGGTTAGGGTTAGGTTAGGGTTAGGGTTAGGGTTA